CTCGACAGCACTTTTATACAGCGCCAACGACACCATCCCCGGCGCTTCCGACCGCACGGACCGCCTTCCTTGACCCGTGGGACCTCACCCTCCAAGCAAGGCTTCTTTTCGACCGCATACTTCTCTTGAGCGGTGAACCGCGCACCGTCGCCTGTTTGCTTGCCCCAGGGTCTTGTCTGCAACTTGACCCCCCCCCCCCCCCCCCCCCCCCCCCCCCCTACCAATTGATTCTTGCCTTTCTACAGCTATCGCGTCTGCATAGCACCGCTCTTGGAGTGTGGTTACTGCCCCAGGCAGAGCCACTCTCCATGAGCGATAACAGGGTATCTCAATTCCATTGTGCATTGCCACAGCCGTCGGACATTCATAATCCTGATCTTGGGGAGACAGACCTTCCCCAGGCGTAGTTGCTCTCGTACACAACGTCCAGAGATGTGAATTTGATTGTGCATTTCGACAGCGAGGTTTTAGCACGTCGGGGTAGGAGGAAGCTGTGGTATGAACTCATGACACATGACATTCTCTGCCTGCAGATGTCTATCTATTACTTATATGGTATAGCGCTACAACAACAAAAAAAGCATGTGCTACGCTTATATAGCATACGTCGACGACGTGGCTGATAGCTTAACAGGCTCGGGTTCTGATATCGAATCACCTCGTAAGAACACAGGTAACTCGTTGACTGAAGGTCTGGTATCTCGCATACTGCGTTCGAGATCTTTTGGGTTTGCTGTCAGCCAGTGGAGAACACAGACCGATAGGAAGACTGGATAGTGTCAGTAACATGTCATGTTAGGATATAGAAGGAGTAAACTCACTGTCCATGTTACATTGTGTGAAGCAGAGCCACACGTGTTCTCTTCCTTCGGTAACATAGAAGATGGTAGAGTTGATGACACCCCAGCCTAAAATCAAGATCGTACCGATCAACGACTTGTATGCCAGACCACGAAGCTTGCAAGGTTTCGTAGAGGCAGGCAAGACGACCCCGTTCGATGTAGAGTCAAACTCCAGCTCCTCGATATCGGCACTCTTCTTTGGACTGCTAGGTCTGGCGACATGGCTTAGACGATTGAGTCTCTTGCCAAAGGTAACGAATCGTTGTGGAGTTTCGAAGAGGGCGACTTGCTTGGTCCTTCTAAGCATGACGACGAAGACTCCGGTGAGCACTACGTAGGTGACAAACTCATAGAACTCCAGTGGTGCGACTACCTCTGGAGGGATACCCTTACGACATCTTCCATCGTTGTTGGCAATATAGGCGACAGGGTTCAAGAAGGCCCAGATGAGTAGAAAGGTCGCAAAGACACCCACACAGCTTGTGGACAGTAGCCAGATGGGATCATCCCGACGACGAAGATAATCGACGTTGGCAATGTGAGCTCTCTCTATGAGAAAGAACTGGATTGTGAGTCTGCCGATGAAGAGGAAGCCGATGCAAAAATAGATCGCTGTCCGGCAAAAGCCAGAAGTGTGGATGCCGACACCCGAGATCAAGATGGACGTAACGAAAAAGGCGATAGAGACGATGTAGCTGGAATAGACGAGGAACCGTATCCACGAGATGTATCGGATGGTGTGCCAACGAACTTCCTTGACTCGACGCCCTGGTACAGATTAGGTGACTATCCAAGGCTGATTCGACTATCATGCACTTACAGAAGAGATAACAGGTAACGATCAATGGAAGACAGGAAAGAGCACTGTACATCGCTCTAGCCAATGTAGAGTTGTGTTGGTGTGCTCTAGGTCCAGGGTGATCATCTTCGAAGATAGCGTACAGTCGCCTGCGTATCAAGTCTGCCATCGTTGTGATAAGATCGAGTTACTACAGGTGACCACCAGGGCTCGATTCGAAGATGCAGCAAGGGCAAAAGTTCGACGACAAACTGGTCGCGGGATGCATTGTCATTTGAACAGTACGGCCACAGGTCTAGAAAGAGACAAGAACACTTCCCATCATCGCCGGTTCCACTTTTGAGTTCAGGATGGTTTTACACACATAGTGACCGAGGGCTGGTAGTTGCATCTGGCCTAAGCCGTTGTGAGACGTTTGCATTGATCCGACATTAACGACCGGAGCCCACGCCTGGGGTTACCGAGTTGAGCCGCGGCATGTCAAAACCAGCAAAGGTGTACCAGAGAGTGCTCGTGTCGAGATCGAGGTTCGCGTCACATGCAGGTCAGGCATGATACAGTAGCCCCATGCGAATGATACATCGCATACATCTTAGCACGACAGCATGTAGACTGACTATCGTTCGTCCACAACGATACCATGTGAAGATAAGGAGATTGTACTCGAGTACTCAAGTAGTCACGTATCACATGCGACCAGGCTTATGCTGAAAAACGGTCGACTTCTGCTTCCAGGCAGACGATCTGAAGGTGACTCTACTTACTTGCTTCAGTCAGTGTGCTGGTCCCTCGTGCGACTATGCCCTACGCCGTTGACCAAAGATCTCATGGATATTGATCAGGTCTCATCTGTCCCAGCTGAAGCCATGGCTATGAACAGCCGACATCTGGCAGAGAACGACCTGGGTAGGAGGCTATCAGGGTAGCAAGATCTGGCGTCACCAAGGTCTCAGAGCGCAATCTCATATTTGGTACGAGTCGACACGGAAAGAAGCATGAACATGTGTGAATCTCAAAGGGGAGAAGGAAGTCACACGCGATTGAACCTACACTCGATGACTCGGGCAAGAGCGACAAGGTTGCGGTCGGCTGCCCCTGCCGCCCGCTGAATTGACATTTTGTCGCCAAACCTTTCCCAGACAGCGACCATCGCGAATATCGAAAAGTCCCTTCGCGTGCAGCACAGGGGCTAGTGCGCAGACTGGAACCGGAATAGATTCAGGAGACTCTAACGGTTATGTAGGGTTTCCAGCTGGTCGGCTAGCGGATCGACCAGCTAGACCGCAGTGATGTCGCAAGATTGTTAAACGGTTCAATAGACTTGACTCGCACACCCGGCTCTTTGTGTATAATAATCAGCTCATCGGCGCCAGCCTTTTTCTTGGCCCGCCAGGTTGTCACAAAAGGTACAGACGTAGACGAATAAAGCAATCGAGCAATGGTAAACGTGAAATTATTTTTGCATGATATGCTATCCTCTCTAGTGATGAGGTACTAATTAAGTGGGTATCCAAGAAACAGAATATGAAAGCGCAATGTGTTCTATGTACGTATGAAGCGATAGGCGTTGAAGCCACGATGAAACAAAAGTAACAACATCTGTGGGCTACAGGCTTACTGTGCCTTGCCCAAGCTCTGCAAGTTGACCAACTCGAAGTAGCGTCCTCTCAGGTGGAGAAGCTCAGTGTGTGTGCCGGATTCAACGACTCTACCAGCATCAAACACGTAGATCATGTCTGCGCGTTGGATAGTGGATAGACGATGCGCGACGGCGATAGTAGTACGACCCTTGGCAGCCTTGTCCAAAGCAGCCTGAACGACCTTTTCAGACTCACTGTCGAGAGCAGAGGTAGCCTCGTCCAAGAGCAAGATCTTGGGATTACGTAGCAGAGCTCTAGCGATGGCAATACGCTGCTTCTGACCACCTGACAACATGCTACCCTTGCTACCCACGATGGTGTCAAAGGCATCCGGCAATGACATGATGAAATCGTAGATGTTGGCGTCTTTGCAAGCCTGTACAATGTCTTCTTGTGGGACGTCTTCTCTGTCAGCACCGAGTAGGATGTTCTCCTTGACGGTGCCTTGGTAGAGAGTGGGCTCCTGTGAGACAAGAGCGATCCATGAGCGGTAGTTGTTGACGTTGAGGCTTGAAATCTCCTTGCCGTCGATGTATACACCACCAGCCAGAGGGTCGTAGAAGCGCTCGAGAAGCTGGATAGTCGTCGATTTGCCGCAACCACTAGCACCAACCAGAGCCACATATTGGCCAGGCTTTACGGTGAGATTGAGACCTCTCAATACAGGCTGCTCGGGACGAGTCGGGTAACGGAAATGTACATCTCTGAACTCGAGATGACCCTCGACGTTGGAAAGCTTCTCACCATCCTCGCTCCAACTGTCAATTTCAGGCTTGCGATCAAATAGAATCTTGAGCTCTGCAGCAGCCTGCTTGGCCTTGCCCATATCGGGAGCGAAGGAGAAGATCGTGCCGGCAGATTGTGCACCGAAGATGACGGCACTGAAGCATAGGAAGAATTGGAACATGTTGTACTCGCCACTGGCAATCAAACGCCCTCCGTACCAGAAACCCCTAAAACAATGTTAGCATGACTCTCACCAATATCGGCTGGCATGGACACCGCGGCTATGCGGCATCTGTGCCTTCAGTGTGACTTACAAAGCTGTACAACAGAAGATGAGCGATTGGGAAGCAGCATAAAGACTTGAAGATCGGAGAATAGACACAAGCGATTTGCGCTCTTGGTCAACAAGCTGGTCGTGATAGTGAAGGTGGACATCATCCTCTCTGGTCAAGGATGCGACTGTGCGAATAGCGGAAGTGGCTTCGCAGGCGTAACTAGCAGACTTCTCGTATGCCTTCTTAGCCTTGGCCTGGAAACGAGCCAGCATCCAGAATCGGAGGAAACCGCATGCAAGCAAAATAGGTACAGTTGAGATACAGACCAGACTGAGCTTCCAGCCAACGGCCAGAGAGACGGAAAACGCGGCAATCAGAGTGACGATGACAGAGAGAAGCGTTCCAAGTGTTACGCCGGACATTCCAGCAAGGTGGGTGGTCTCAGTAGACAGGAAGGAGGTCAGAGCACCGGCAGTATTTTCTTCTTTGTCAAAGAAAGCGACATCCTGACGAAGCATAGTCTTAAAGGCTTGCTCGCGAGCGCGGTGAACCAATCTTTCAGAGCAAATGGCGAAAACGTATCCTTGGAGAATGAAGGCACCGAATTGAACCATGGCAAGCATGAAGTACATCCAGGACCAGAAGTTGGCCTCGCGACGAATGATGGGGAGATTTGATGGTATACGGGTGTCCAAAGAGAGTGCGGTGACGGCTTTGGCAAAAAACACGGCTTGTGTCGGGTTACCACCACCTGTGATGACAGAGCAGATGATGCCAATAGTCATGTAGAGCCACTCCTTCTTGTTGAAGCTTGCGACGAGCTTGATCAGAGTCCACAGAGAGTAACGGTTCTCAATGTCGGCCTTTTTGTTTGCAAGGGCGATGCTGGACTTGGACTTGCTGGTCTGAGTGCGAGCAAGCTGGAGGCCGTCCTCGGACTCTTCACCCTTAGTGACAACGCGGGTAAGATTCTGGTCCTTCTCGTCCAGAATACCAAACTCTTCCTGATCTTTGCTCTCGTTCTCGGCAGCGATTCTTTGGGCTTCGACCAGGTTGTAGTAAGCTCCTTTCTGTCCAATCAGCACGTCATGCGTCCCCTGTTCCACGATACGACCACGAGACATGACAACAATGTTGTCAGCGCCCTTGATAGTGGAGAGTCTGTGAGCGATGACGATCGTCGTACGTCCCAAGGCCGCCTTGTCCAGTGCAGCTTGTACAACACCCTCCGATTTTGTATCCAAGGCAGACGTAGCCTCATCAAGGAGGAGAATCTTGGGGTCGCTAACCATGGCTCTGGCAATAGCGATTCTCTGCTTCTGACCACCAGAGAGCAAGAAACCACGTTCACCAACGTTGGTCTCATATCCTTCCGGCAGACCGGTGATGAACTCGTGGGCATTGGCAAACTTGGCGGCATTCTCGACGAGTTCACGAATCCTTTCCTCCGACTCTCCCTCGTGAGCGGTACCGATCAATCCATGGCGGATGTTGCCAAAGATGGTGGTAGCGAAGAGTGTTGGTTCCTGACTGACCAAAGAGATTTGGCGGCGAAGCCAGCGCAGATTCAAAGTCGAGATGTCCTGACCATCGAGATAAACGTTTCCACCAACAGGGTCGTAAAATCGCTCAACGAGACCAACGATGGTACTTTTGCCCGATCCAGACTCGCCCACCAGAGCAGTTGTCTTACCGGCTGGGACAACAAGACTAACGTTCTCCATGACGGTGACTTCAGGACGAGAGGGGTAAATATGACGGATGTTACGTAGCTCAATGTGACCTTCGACGCTCTTCAAAGTCTCGCCAGATGCAGCAGAAGGGTCTAGGGGTGAGACCCGGTCGATGGTAGCGAAAATCTTGGCTGCTGCAGCAACACTAGTAGTAAAAGCCTGGATGTTAGGAGCAACGTTTCCAAGAGCAAAGGCGCCAATCATAATACTCAGGATGATGGTCAAGACATCACCGACCTTGACACGACCGCTGACAAGGTATCGAGAGCCCATCCAGAATGCCAGGGAGTAGTTCAGGTAGACGTAGCACATCAAGAAGCCAATCATAGAGCCAGTGACAGCCTTCATCTTGAAGCCCCACTTCTCAGCTACAGCGAGATGAGCATCGTACGCTCTAGTCAATTTAGCTTCGGTGTTGAAAGCTTTGGCGTTGCGAACACTTGAGATAACCTCCTCGGCCACGGTACCACCTTCGGCGTAAGACGACAAAGACGCCTTGTTGAACTTGACAATAAAACCACTCATGCCACCCATGGTGAATACGATTGCGAAAACGGTCGACATGAGGATCAGGGTGAGTTTCCAATCTTTGATGAAAGACACTACGAAGGCAGTGACAAAAGTGGCGACAGCAGTGAGTGTCAGACCAACCTTCTCAGAGATACCATCTTGAACAAGGTTGGTGTCTGATGTGATTCTAGTGGTGATCTCTCCCGCACCAAGCTGATCGAAAAAGGCGATGTTTTGGCGAAGAATGGCTTTCAAGAAGTTCTCGCGAATCTTCCCGGAAACGTGTTCGCCGGTGTAGAGGAATCCAGCCGTGGCGATGTAGACGAAGACAAATTCTCCAATAGCCAGGTAGAGGAAGTATAGACTGAACCTACTCAATTCAGAGTTGAAGTGGGACTGCGATACTTCTCCAGAGAAGAATTGCTGGAAGGTTGTTGTGAGACCGCCAAAGACGATGGTCATGAGGGGCAACAGGGCGCCTCCAATGATAGAAGAGAAGGCAGCCAGCGCCATCAGGAGTTTGTCGTTGAACGTCGAGTAGCGGAACAGCATTACATATGTGACCTTGACGACAGGCACGTCCAGTTGCCGCTTCAAGACAGCCTTCTCATGCTCGGGGAGATGAGCGAACGGATCTTCACCCTCATCATCGCTGTCTGTGTCCTTCTTCGAATCCTTGCTCTTGTGTCCTTTCTCGGTAATGGGTACTGCTGGTGTTGGTGCAGGAGCTAGTGGTAACGGAGCTTGGCCCAACTGTGCTTTTTCATAGTTGGTGACTTCTACGTCCACTGTGTCGCCACTACTCGATACATCTGAGCCAGTGTTTCTGTCGTTTACAGGATCCATATTGATCTATATGGGGTTATAGCCGCCCGAGGCTTTGTTGATGGCGGGGAAAGAAGTAATTGTCCCTTGTGGGGCGATTTTGAGTCCAGAACTCAAGATGTTGGTATGGTCGAGCGATGAGGCGTCAGAAAAGAGTGTGTAGATGAAGAGAATATGTCGGAACACCGAGTTATATTGTCGCAGAATTGGAAATGGAATCGGTTTCAAGAAAGGAGCAAGAGCCCGGGACCTAATAACTTATCTCCAGGTCGCCTCACCCTTTGATTGTATGTTCCTCCAGGCTCCATCTGCAGTCTTGGTAATCAAACCTACAGGCAAGGTTGCCCCCTAAGCTCGCTTAGAGCGTTTCTCACACGCAACGCTCGTGAACTGAGGTGGGCGTTATTACCCAAAGCCCTCTTCGAGAATCCCACCGGGACGTCCAACTTCCGCTTATGCATATCGACACGCCGCCGGCCTTGAATAAACACCGATTTCGATGGACCCTGATAGTTATGTACGACATCGCTGCATTACTGCGGCTCTTTCCCGCATAAGCTCGTTTACCTCTGCATAAGCTCGTATAGATAGGGTCGGCCGAGAATTTCAGTCGGGGTACGCACCCCGATTCATCTGTGGAGATGGGTCATACGAATTACGGGTACGAGTACGAATGCGACAGAAGTCAAAACATACACGCTCTACGACAAACGGAATACGATTCTTTACGCGTATCTTGCATTGCTCAAGATCGATCTTGCTATGGCTCCTTCTCCTTCTCTAGCAAGCACATAGCTCTACTTTCTTGCAACGCAATGATTGTGCAGTGAGGTTAACAAGAGAAGGGCGAGAAATGTACGGCAATTATCATCGCGTGAGACACCAAACTTGACTAAGTAGGCAGGTAGGCACCGCTTACGATCCTTCGGATGACTGCAGACAGATCCGACAAGTCGGTTGCAAAAGTGCTGCCTAACGGCTTGGAATACATGTGGTCTTGGACATGGAGCAAATAGGATGGCACGCTGCGAATCTCATGTGATCGTGTAAAGTCACAATGGTTGCAGAAAGCTATAGGCTCTAGGTAGAATTTGGGCCGAGTGAGGTTGAGTGTCTTGTTGGGACCCAAGTTGATCAGCATCTGGATCTAATGCTCATACGCTATATACCGTGGAAGAACCGCTCCGTCAAACTGTCTGGACGTGAAAAGAATAGATGCAATGCCTAAGGAGGGGAATCGTGCGATTAAATGCAAAAAGAATAACAGCAAGAAATGGAAACCAGAACAGATGAGGCGGGCAGCGCTGATGACTTTTGTGTTGCGCAAGTGATTACAGACTTGCGGTTGACGAGCAATAACGCCTGCGTGGTGCTCTATTTTGTTGGTGAAGCAAGTTCACGCAGTTTTCCGTTCTCAATGTATCGCGAGAAGGGAATGGTGTTGTCGTCGTGATGATCCTGCTCGACAGCCATAGGGGGTGATGATGGAAGAGGAAGATCTTCGGGAAGGACCGCTTCTCTTGCATTATTCAAGGCGTCTTCTAGCCCATTTGACTCAGAGAACTTGCGTGAGGTATTGCGCACTCTGTCTGAGCGCGGACTATTCGCGTCGAAATAAGAGTCGAGATCGTCATCGCTCGACATCAGAGTGGGCGTAGTCAGCTCATGCTGAAGATTGAAAGGATCGGGTAATGACTTCTCGACCGCAGCAGTCGGTGTCTTGTCAGCTGGATCAGCTTGCCATTCGTGTACGGTAGGAATGCGGACATTCATCGTTCCTGGTCCGTCCGAATTGGAAGTATCGTTTTGGTTGAAAGATGAGAGAGCTTGAGTGACATGATATTGTAAGTTGGCATCTGGTCCGCTCTCCTCTGTGCTATTTTGTGTCGATGCAGAGTGATTGCGGGCAAGTTCGCGCCGCATTTTCTCTTCTGCCCAGTCCGCACCAAAAGTTACGACCGAGGCTTGCTTGCCATGGACCATGAATCTTGTCGCTGTCCTCTCCAAACCAGGAGTAGCCTCGACAGAATCATCGGCACGGCTTCCGTCCGAGCGGATTGTGCTGGCACTCTCCTTGCCCCTGCGATGACGTTGAGACGCAGATGTGTCATGGCGACCATCTCGCAGCGTACGATGCAGACTTCTTCTTCCACTCTTGAGCTTGGAGGCACTTTCTGGAGTCGCGTGAGAAGATTCTGAAATTCCGGCGGTAGAATGCGTGGCGGCAGACGTGGATGGGGCTAGTGGATCCCGTGCAAGAAGAGCAGCTTCGTGATCCCGGGTCTCATAACTCCGGGTAGGTGTCAAGCGACCATGGCGTGATTGAGCATCAGAAGCAGCAGATGAAAGATATCTGTCTCCATCCTGCACACTAGACGCAACTGACATGCCAGCAACGCTGTGCTTACGAATGACAGATTGCGGGACACTAGCAGTCGAAGGACGACGATCGTCTTGTGCGCTGTTGAGTTCCAGTGGGCTACTAGGAAGTTGCCAAGCATCTCCGAACCTGAGGGCATGTTCTGGTGGTGTTTTGAAAACGTCCCTGTTGAAAAAGCCCTCGCCCTGGCCATCTCCGCCATTTGGTCGAGAAGAATGGGTTGGTGACTGGGGATGTGGTTGCTGACTTATGGCAGAGCTAGTCTTCGAGACCGTCTTCTGAAGACCACTAGTCTTGCGGTTATTCGCTATCGAACTCGATAACTTACTGTCGAATATGTCCCCATCTTCTTGCAAATCTAGGGAGAGGATGTCTCTGTGACACTTTGTTCGCCAGATGTCACGTCTGACCCATTTCAGCATAGCGTCCATCCGAGCAGTGGCATGACACACATCTTCTCTTGTCTTTGGCTGTATGGGAGCAAGAAGAAGTAGGTGTCGAGCGTTGCGCATCATGTTCTCGAGGTTCCTGATTGCATCGGTCACCTCTCTTTCCGACTCCACTATAGTTTGTAACATAATCTGTCGTCGAGCAGCCAACACTTGTCTGACGAGTTGCGGAGTAAGGTCCCTCTTTCCCACAGTAATCTGTCCGTCGTGTGTTATAGTCGAGTTCAGGGCTGAGCCAATAGATGCGTTGATCGAAGAATCGACGGAAGCTGTCGAATTGAGCCTACCACGGCTGTTGATTGTGACGTCGGTGTCCGTTCCGCCGATAAATCCACGAATCCTCACACCAGCAGACCTGAAAGCAGCAGCGTAGTTGATCAGAGCGATCCAATCGTTGACTTCGGATTCGTTCTCAGCGAGCAGGACTTCTTCTTGTCCGCCGTGACGGACCAATGTGAAAGCGTCTTTGTGCTTCAGGTAACTACGATCAAGCAAAGCAACAGCGTCGTCTGTCTTAATGAGAGCGTCTGGTTTGAAATCTTGAATTGGTGGTTTGAAGATGACGGGCGCGTTGGTGCCTTCTTGCTTGACGTGCGTATGATACTGCGACATCAAACCCTTGACCCAAGTGACGTTCTTGAAGAGGTACAATTGAGATCCGGTCAAGATGGCACCCCATTCCTGCCATGGAGATCTTGTCTTCTTGCGCTTTGTGGACTTTCGCCACAGGACGCCGACTTTCGTGACCTTGAGATCTACGAGACCTATAGCTGACTCGCTAGGATTGTCGCGAGTAGCTTGGGACTCGAAAGCAGCGGGCCTAGAGCGAGCAGAGATGATCTGAAGAATAGCGGTATTCACGAAAGCCTTTTGCAGTCTTTTCATATCGAAGAAGTTCGCAGTGCCCAAATAGCTGTAGGGATCTTCCATGGTTATCGAATCCTTGATAGAAGGCCTCAGTGAGTCCAGCTTGCCATCGCAGATCAGAGCATAAGGATCGATTGGTCCACTGTTCTTCCTTCCAGGATCAGGTATACTACCCCGAAGCTTACTCTTCTTTGGCTTGAAGGTGAGGAGTCGTTCACCATTGATATCTACCTCTTCCTCAAAGTGAATGAAAGGCGTGTAGCAAATGTTGTCGTAGAAGCAGCCCAACACGTCGTCTAAGACATTCTGACCGCTAGTGTTCTTGATGTAATCATGCTTCTGCATCTTCCTCTTGTTGTTTTTGTTGAACGCGTCGGTATGCAGCATCATCAGTGAGAAAGCTATGATGTAAGCTTGATCAGGCGACATGAAGATTCCAGGGTTACATTCGTGGTATCGATCTGCGAAGGCCTGTACAACTCTGTCTACCTGTTGAGTTTCTTTCGGCAGCTCTGCCTCCAGCAGGAACTTGCGCAAAGACATATCGATAGGTTCCCCGAAGAAAGAAAACTTGCGACAGTAACTCCGCAGAACGGCTTGTGCAAATGGGTCGGCTGATTTTGATAGTATTCCCGCGATGAGACTACGAGATACGGCAACTTGCAATCTTTCCAAATATTTGCCGGGGGTGTCGCCCTCTTCGCGATCTGGTATGACCAGAGGCTCGTTTACGCTAGGAGACAGCGAGTTGGATTTTGTGTGAAAGCCAGGTGAAGAGTTGCGGTCTCGAAGGTCAGAGTTGTGTCGGAATCTGTTGAATCCTAAAAGTCCACCCAGACTAGTTCTACCTGAGGTTGAGGTCGAATTGCGAGCGCTGGAGGGCATGGGCGGTGTAGGCGGGGTACGATCCTCAGATCGGCGTCCGAACGAACTCACGGTTGAGGATCTATCTCGCAAGCCGAATCGACGAGGCGGGTTGAGAACGGGCGACGAGCCATTGGAGTGTGTAGAGTTACTTGAGTCGTTCCGGAACAATGGAGCACCCCCGTGGGTAGCAAGAGCCGCGATTGATGATCTTGCGAGCTGAGCAGGTGCGGGTGAAGATGAGAGGAAAAGGCGCGGTCGTGAGGCTTCGGTGTGGCGTCGCTGAAGAGCGCTGAGAGGAGGAGGTCGTCTCTGTCTTTCGGGGGATTCTATGTTGGAGTGAGTCGAGATAGCGCTGGTCGAAGGACGGGGCGTGCCGTGGGGACTTTCTGTCTCAGGAGGTATCTGCGAAGATGCCGATTTGCTAGGTAGAGGGAACAGTGACTTATTTTTCTTGTTGCGGCGTGGAAGCTTGAACAGGGTTGTGGTAGTCGAGATGGTATGGGTAGTGGTGGTCGTAGCATATGTGACATGCTCCCCTGAGCTCCTCTGTTCTCCTGACGAGTCGGACAAACGAGTGATGGGCAATGCCAGAGCCGAATTTGATTCGTCGCCATAAGGTGGCGGAGCAAAAACATCGGGAACGAGCCGATCGATATCCACAGAGCGGCCTCTACGCCATGGTCGGTGGTCTTCGGTCGACTCTCGACGCTGTTTCGAGGGGCTGAGCTTCGAGATCTGACGCTTGAAAGGACTCTTTGCTTTCCGGGCGCGATGTGTAGGGTGATTGTGCTCGTCCATGGTCGGGGCAGTGGTGATGATCTGGGGGGTTGGCACTGGAGCTGGACGATGTGAGTGAGAGTCGCAAAGCTGACTGAGAGATGGTGACGTACTCTGTGACTGATGTTCAAGCGGAACTTGGGGCACCGGAGGAGTCTTGTCAGCTTCAGCATGCAGTCTCGCCTTGGCTGAGAGCTGGCCATCGGAGAAGTGCCTCCACCGTAACATGCTAAAGCGAGCCGTAGACGAAGTGGCCGTCTGGATGGGCGGAGAAGGTGGGCCAAGACTGAGGGCGTCCATGGGGGAGATGGGGTCCTGGGCACTCATGGGACGATGTGTATTTGGCACGGGAGTGGCATAGCCCGAGTTTGTGGTGGCAGCATCTTCCTGGGCATTACTACGGATGTCGTTTAAGAGGGTGTCCAGAGTGCTGCGGCGACGCGACATGAGAGGCATGGCCGGCAAGTCGCAACAGAAGGATGGTCATTTGACGGCGTAGGAGCAGCACGTCGACGGAGGATGCTAGGCGCGCATGTGTTGGACGTGGGTGTAGATTGCGGAGAATATGTTTCGCTCCTTTGTGGTTACGAAGGGGGTTCAGCAGGAAATTGGAGATGGCGGGTCCGGGGGGTAAACGAGCGTGTCTCTTTCCAAGAAGGAATAGCTGACTCTGCACACGGTGATTCGAGTAGATGCAGGGGACGAAGAACGGAAATCTGGATTGGTATCGAGAGTACAGACTGTGACTATTCTGCGCAGAATTGGGCTCAGCGTGACTGCCTCGTCAGCACCACGTACAAGGCTTGGAAAAGGTCCCACTCTCGCTCAAGGCTGCTCGCATCAGGGAAGGCGCGGAGGATGTTGCCAAGCAGCCCCGGTCCTGCCTCTCCACAAGCCTCCGGCCTCCGCGAGCCCGCCCAAGCTGTGACTTCTTGCAGTTTGCCAACCGTCTGCCTGCACACACTCACTCGAGCAGCAAGACTCAACAATGCGCGCCTCGTCGTTGGGGCTCGTCGTCGCTTCGACATTGCTGCTTCCGACTGCCTCTGCCGTACCCTCACATGCACAACCACCCCCATCATCTCAGCAACCATTGCATCGCCCGGCATGGCGCTCCGTCACCGACGCCATAGTTCGCACCATCTGGAGCCCGCCGCCAAACTCTCGACCCGACTCCCAAGTCCACAAGAACAGCGACGATGTTGTCGTGCGCTTCAACATTAGTAATTCCAAGGATGCAACGAGCCTGGCCGATGCTGCAGACACTCTCTTCCTCGATCTATGGGAGTTTACCGACGATTGGGTCGACATTAGACTACAGAAAGACTTGATCCCTTCGTTACTTGGCCTGCTGCCTGCTTCGCTACACCAAGCACATAACCTGCTCATGGACGACTTCACTCTTCAGAATGCCATTTCAGATACATATCCTTCGTCCCGCTCCTCTCGTCTACTTCAATCCAATGGTCCTACTCACCATAATGCCTTTGGCCCCAAGCTTGGCGTTTCGTCATCCGACAACATCTTCTTCAACGACTACCAGCCTCTTTCCGTCATCCAACCTTGGATGCGTCTGATGGCCTCCCTCTTCACAACCCACGTGCGTGTCATCAGCATTGGAACTACATATGAAGGCCGTGATATTCCTGCCATGCGTATCGGCGTTCACCCGACCAACAACGACTCTCCTACACGCCGAAAGACCATTCTAATTACTGCTGGCCTACACGCCCGCGAGTGGATCTCAACCAGCACCGTCAACTACATTGCAAACTCGCTCATCACTGGCTACGGGAAGAACCATGTCATCACTAGCCTGCTGGAAGAGTTCGACTGGGTCATCGTACCTACCATTAATCCAGATGGCTATGTCTACTCCTGGGACCACGATCGTTTATGGCGCAAGAACCGTCAACAAACTTCTCTGCGCTTCTGCCGTGGTCTCGATCTCGATCGTAGTTTCTCCTACAAGTGGGACGGTGCGAACTCCAGATCGAACCCCTGCAGCGAGTCGTTCTCAGGTTCCGAGCCCTTTGAAGCTGTGGAAGCCAAGCAGCTGTCTGATTGGGCACGCAATGAGACCGATAACAACAATGTTGACTTCGTAGGTCTTCTCGATTTGCACTCGTACTCGCAGCAGATCTTGTACCCCTTTTCGTACACCTGCGAGGAGAGCCCTCCCAACCTTGAGAATTTGCAAGAAGTGGCTGCTGGTCTGTCAAAGGTCATGCGTTTGTCTGGCGGACGCTACTACCAGTCTGCACCGGCGTGCGAGGGCAATGTTGGCTATGTCGCTATTGGTGATCGTCAAGTCTTCCCCCGCTTCGAAACCGGTGGCGGCAGCTTCCTTGATTGGTTCTACCATGATCTGAAGGTGAAGTACACGTATCAAGTCAAGCTCCGTGATCGCGGTACCTATGGCTTCTTGCTACCTAGAGATCACATTGTCCCTACTGGCAAAGAAGTCCTGGACGCTGTGATCTATTTCGGAAAGTTCCTTGGAGGCCAGCTTGATTTTGCTGCCGAGGACGAGCAGCAGGGCGAGTTCAAGCCATCTGCACAACAAAGCCAAGTTCCCGAGGTCTTTGAGGAGGCAGAATATGTTGATGTAGATGACGAAGACGTCATGTGGGAACTTAGGCGGAGACGCGCCTAGCCTTTGAAATCTTGCATCTAGCCACTTTCTATGTTGATACCCTTACTTAATTGCATAATTGCATTGACGACTCTCTTCTTCTACTTTTTACGTCTTCTTTGGAGCATCACGTACGATCGCATGTCTACAGCTTTTTGGTCATTCAGAATGTAATGTGACGTCCCCAGTCTCTATTGTCACACGCGGTCTGTGTAGTAGAGCCTCCTGGATCCCGCATCATCGAACCTCATCTCAAAACCAGATTGATCATGATACTGCTAGGGAAACAGATAAGTCTTGATCTCTGTAGTACAGGACATGAGCATAACGTTTGTTCGAAAGATATTCCCCGGCTTCATATTGACTGTCATCGATGTCATCGTCGAGGTTTGTCGTCAAGAAAATTACAATCAGGGTCGCACTCTATACTTGCTGACTTGGGCGCTTTTTTCTCTCCTTCCCGCTTCCTGCTATTTTTCTCCTTCTGCATCTTCTCGTCCGCCTGCTCAGAGCCTCCATAGCACCAGTTCCTTAGTCAAAGTAACGATAATGGTCAGGTGCCATGATACATTTTGGAACGGTCATCATAAGCCATGTCTGTTGAATGCATATCTCTCAAGGGTATATAAACTACAATGCCCGTGCCCCAAACCCCTCCAATGAGTTAGTTCCTGAACGCCATCGCTAACCGAAAAAGCAATCACTCTTCATAACGCATCGAAGCTCTATGTGACAACACGATCGCTCTCATCTCACCACACTCAAGCCGTCTTATTCGCTTTCACCTGCATGTTTGGTGGTCTCCAGTCCATCAAGTCAAACGCCTCTTTACTCCACGGTCCAAGATCTTCATCCTTTTTCTCTTCTACTGCAATGGCTTGCGCAGGCTCCGTGGCGAGGACAGGAGCTGTCACGGGAACCGGTTTGACGGTCAAAGGCTTGAATGCTCTGGCAGTGATAGTACTAGATCCCCTGCCTTGTGGTTTCGTCGTCAGACTCGTAGGCTCTTTGCTTGGCTTCGTTGGGGGCTGAGCAACCGAGTCATCGATGATAGGGTCATCGAAGTCCAGAGGTGTGACGTCTGGGAATTGGAAGTCGGCGAGTGAAGGGTTTTCGGGAGAATCAAGACGAGACATGACGACAGAAGTGGTCTTCCTGAGTCCAGTGCCGGTCGTGGGTTTCTTTGCTGCAGGACGTTGCTCAGTCACGTCAGACGAACTTCGCTGCAATCCTGTCCGTTTGTTCTTCTTCTCTAGTCTTGCGAGCCTTTCTTGCATGCGTCGTTGGAAGATTGATTCCTCCGAAGCTTGTTCAGTGGCAGGCTGTCTTGCAGTGTAATTAACATTGGGTGCTGCCGCCTCCTTAGCTGGCTCAGAAATCCCATCTCGCCCCGTACCGGAAGCTTTTTCGAGCGGTGTGCCTCCCGTTCCACGCTCACGCTCCGTGCTCGATTGACGAGATTTCTGTGACTGGAAGACCAACATTTTTCTTGGAGCTGCGCCAACAAGCTTCAAGGATTTTCCGCGTGCCTGAGAATCGGATCCAGTCGCAAAAAACTCACTTCTCTGACTGTCCCCAGCGGTAGCAGAGGTTTCAGCAGCTTTCTTTGCACGTGCAAGTCGCAAGGAAGTGACTTCCTGCACAGGTTTAATGACGATGGGAGTAGGGGCACGGGCAGGAGGGTCGACAGGCTTAACTCGCTCCGATGCTTTTGAAGAGGGTGAACCAACGACAGGTGCTTTTGCGGCTGCCGGTCGTTTGTCAACTGACAAGAAACGATTGGGATTCAAGTGCCGAGGTGCAGGACTGATGACTAGACGGGCAGGAGAGGACGTAGCCAATAGTTCGGCATCGATAGCATGGCTTGCAGCTTGTGCTGCGGAGATGTCTTCAGTATCCGACGAAAGATCGATGACTTGACATGCTTGATTCTTGGCGACGGTGCCCACGCCCTGCTGTACAGAGACATTACGGTGCTTTGCCACTTTCGGAGTAACTTGAGCTGGAGACTCGAACCTTCGTCGTTTCCTTTCTCTTTCTTCCTGAGCTTCAGCTATCTGTATGTCTCTGTTCCGCGCCTCGTATGGAGATTCTGTAGGGAGAGATGCTTTTCCTATAGGTCGTCTCGACTTCCCCAGCAGAGTGTTGAGCGATTTGTGCTTCATGGGAGTTGTCGAGGTGGCTTGGGGAGTCCTGGGTGCAAAGTTGGGTGCAGCAGCATGTGGAGTTCCATAGCGCATCAAAGTCCTCGACGTGGCTGGATTCCTTGCTGGAGTCTTGTCTTTACGCTGCAACAAGTCCGACAGGTCGGTCTGTATGGTACCTATCCTCTCAGAGACTTGGACCATGATACCACCTTTTTCGAGCGTCATCTCGTCGCCCTCTCGAAGATCATCTCCGCTAGTCCAGTGAAGGTCGCCAAGGAAATTTCTAGGAACATCGTAGACCATAACTCGCTTGTTGAACGTGTGGTATCGCAAGAAGCCATCTTGCCATCTCTTTTGCTTGCGTCTCAGATCATGAGTGTAGAGACAGTTGAACTCATGGACCGGGGCGGTATTTTGGGTTTGGGGGACCGCGAGGTTTGGCGAACTACGCAAGACTGCTGCCGTCATGTTCCTCGATGATGGTCTGGAAGAGCTATCGTCGTATCCGGCATTGCGCGAAGAGATCTTGAACGGCCTAATATCAAGAGGCGCCGGTGCATCAAAAGCAGTGTTCAGAGCAGGCAGTAGACCATGACGGAAGTTGCGATGGCCTCCCGATGGAAAGTGCTGCTCTTGGCGCGTCACACACGCGTCACACGTGTCGGGCCCGATCTTCAGAAAGAACGGCGGAGATTAGGCGTACGCTCCGCCCACGACATTTGACATTGCGCAGGGTGCTAATTTTATATCTCCAACCACAAGACGGATGTCCTGCCCTGTCCTGATTTACGGATAAGCATGCGTGAAATAGATGTCATCTCGGCGCCGCGTAATCCTGACATGATAATATCGCAGAATGCATGATCCAAGTGAACAATGACCCGCTGCCAGGTTCTGCGAGGCCGGAAGGCTTGGCCCCGCTCGCTGTCCTCTCAACATCAACTCTCGGATTTCTTCAACTTGCTTGTCTAATCACTCATTGTGCTTTGTATCTTGCCTTCTTCTTTGATCGTTACTCACGATGCAGAATGTTCAACGCAAATTTGGTAAATTGATGAAGCGGTCTGCCGATGGGGCAGACGTAGGTGGCATCCTTAGTGAATTCAACACGGCCGATGCAGCTCTTGCCAGCGTGAGAACGTCGGGTACTGTACACAATGATATACACTAATCAAGTCAACCAGTTTATTGAAGCAACAAAATCATGGCGCAATGCTTGGGACGAAACACTGAACACACAACTTTACGTTGCTGAAACATTGCATCTGCTGTACAAGCCGATCGAAGTCGAGGAAGACCCGGATAATCCCAATCAGCAGAAGCCGGCACCAACTCCGCGAAGATACTTGGACAAAGCCAGTGACCTGCATTCTATCTACGCAAATCTAGGGAAGGACTTAAGCACGGAGATCAATTCAATTGAACCGAGACTACTGAGACCTGCGATGGATGCTAAGGACTCTCTCAAGATGCTCAAAAAATCTATCAAACGCCGAGAGGATCTCAAGGTTGGTCGCTGCTGTACTGGCTGCCATCTTGCCATGGGCTAATTTTGCTTATCAGCTTGATTATGAACGCTACAACTCACGCGCCGACAGTGTCCGACGCAAAGAGACGAGATCCGCAAGAGAAGAAACTGCTTTGATGAAGCACGAGAATGACCTTGCACGGTGTAGCGCAGTAAGTGACGCATCGACACTCGAACCATTATTTGATAGACTGACCGACGATGAAGGACTACCAAGCTGCTGACGAACAGCTCAAGAGCGTATTGCCTCCTGTGTTAGATGCTCTCTCAAGCCTTCTCACAGATCTGCTCGCGATTCAGATCATGATACAGTACCAGCTCGTGGGCCAGATGTATACCCAACTACACGAGTACTGTCAGACCCATAGGCTGCCTTCGCCTTCTCCAGCACTCGAGCAGGTGGTGTCAACGTTCGAAGCAGAGTTCACACCATTCCGTGAAGATCTTGAGCACAACATCAGGACTCTCTCAAACGGCAAAGCCATACATCAACCAATGAGTCTCCCGGATAAGGAGCAAGGCACGGTCACTGGACTTGGACTTCGCAACAACTTTGCAAAAAGAACTGGTAGTCATGGTTCACTACCCAAGCCTAGTATGCCCGGAATGTTGCGCATCGGCTCTGGGTCAGGTGCCGGGTCCGGAAGAAGTGAGGTCGAGGAAGAAGCAGCACCAGTGAAGCCACCAAGGCCTGGTCGCATATCTTCCAGCACTAGACTGCACTCGCACTACGAGAACACGGCTACGCTAAATTCGCAGTATGAGGACGAAGAGGCACCTCCAGTGAAGCCACCTCGACCTGGAGCAGCTCCTAATGTCGATATGGGAAGCAAGCCACGGATTCCTTCCTTCTCCAAAGCCACACCTGTGGCTACGCCAGACGGGTACACGAATGGTGGGGCAGCTTCTCGGACGTACTCAGCTACAAGCACACCTAGCTCGACATCGACACCGTTCCTCACACCGTCTTCGACACGCCAGAGTCAAGGATCAGACTACTTCAGTCGAGAGCGTAAGGCTTCTACGTCCTCAGGGACGTTCAGCGTCGCAGGCAAGAAGAAGCCCCCACCACCTCCTCCAAAGAAGAGGATTCCGTCATCACAAGGTCAATATGTAACGGCTGTGTATGACTTTGGCGGACAGGGTGAGGGAGACTTGTCTTTCAGGGAAGGAGACAGGATCAAGGTGGTGAAAAAGACAGGGTCGACAGATGACTGGTGGGAAGGAGAAGCGAATGGAATGGTTGGCAGTTTCCCAGCGAACTATGTCAAGCTGGATTAGAGTTGGCAATTTATAGAAGAGAGCGTTTCGAGACGAAGCAAGCAAAACAAGTCGTAACTCTGCAGGACAGAAGGCAGAATGGTGTAGAAGAAGCTTGGCTAGGCAGGGATCTGCAGGGACCAAAGGCTGAGTCGAAGCTTCTTGCTTGCTGGCGGGAAATGGCGGGGCGGGCATTGGGCCTTCGTCATTGCTTTCTCTGCTTGATGGTTGGGCTCGCGTCTCAAACCAAGACAGGCATCGCTCATCTCTTGGGCAAGGAAAAGATCAACGCGCGCCAATGTCGTCGTCCTCCGACGTCCGTAGTTCGCAGTCCACCTTACTCCAACTCCTCTCCGCCTTTTGACGTAGATATATCCACCTCCACATCCACCACGCACTCCACCTCCGCCCTCGTACACGTACGCGATCCGCCTCGACCACAACGCCGGGTACGACCCCAGAAGACAAAGTCTCTTGTACCAAAACATGGATTCCGTGCTTCTCGATGCACCAGCGAGCAAGAAGGTCCCGCTCAGGTCGCCGCCCTTGGCCTTCCAGATGACGTCCAACGACTCGCTCTGGGCTCCCGCCTTCAATTCCACGGCCCTGCAAGCCCTGTCGCAGCCCTCGTCGCCATACTTTCTGACCGCTTCGCCTACCGAACATGACATGCAGGCCCAGCTTGACAAGCTGAATGAGGCCTTACGGCTACAACACCAGGCCTTTGTCGCCGAGCGTGAAAGCTGGCAGATGGAACGAGATAGGATGCACCGTCGTGTGGCCGCCCTCGAATCCCTACTCAAGTCTCCCAATGGCCAGAGGTAATTGCAGAACAAGAGAAGCAAATTGAAGCACGCGACTGACTCTTGTCCGGCTCCAGTCCGGCACGTAGTCCTGCAATGTCACCTCAAAATGGCGTCAAGCCTTCCACGTCCCAACTACCCAGCATAGCTGAAGTCGACTCATCCCGCTTGTCTCCGGAACTACCTCGAATCAAGAGAAACGCTGCCCCAGTACACATCGACTTACCCTCCTTAACAGATGCTTCCGTCTTCGACAGCGACGCCTCCTTGACCGACGTTCTGCAAGGTGATCTACCTGCCTCTCCCCCTGTTACACGTAACATCTTGAGTCCTCCGCCACCTGCCAACAGAAGACATGCCGGTCATACTCCTCTCAAGGCTCCGAGACCTGGCGACTTTAGCCCGGCCCTAAGCACCCGCTCCGACAAGACTACCGACACACCGACACGCACAAACACGCACATGAACGAAGTCATGTCCCAGGACGATGGTGTCGATGAAGATCGCCCTCTGAAAGGACCCCTGCACATGCCTTCGCTGCCTTGCAATCCGGGCGCCGAGAACTTCACTATGGACATGCTGAATGCGAAACTCAAAGACATATCTGAGCATCCAGAAGAAAACCAACCCATAGTATGCAAAACCCCCGACTTGGCTTTCGAAGAGGAGACTCTGCCTTCACCTGTCCTCGACGAGAAGATCGATTCCGCGAGTAGCGGGGCCAAGGATAAGTCCGAACCGAACAGCAGAGAAAGCAAGGACAAGGATGCTGTAGACAATGAAGGCATCCGCCTTCGCACGAAGCCAAGTTCAAACTTTGGCGCACCCCTTGGTTCAATGGGTGGATGGAGACGTTAGGACGACTCCCTGTTTTGAGTAGCATGGCTGGTTCCATGTCCTGACTCACGAGTCCTGATCATTATTTTACCGACAATTTGTTGGATCCATTGGGATATTCATTAGAAGGTTCTTTCTTGCATAGAAATCGGAGACTCGAAAAAAAGAGATGGCGTTTTTTCTGTTTCGGCTTTCAATTCACTGTTTCTGGAAGGATTCTGCACTGATACCCCCCTTATCACCTCTCATCACGCAAAGAAAAGAATATGGCCTTCAAAGGCAGAAAATTCAGATGACTAGATATGTCTAGGAGAGGAATGCAAGAAAACACTTGTTCGGGTCTCGCGGCCCTGTTCTGTTTCCCATCCCTTGCCTGATAGGGCTTCTGTCTTTCTTATCTTCACGCGACCGGATCGACTTTCGCACGCGGAAAGGCGCAAATGACGTCTCTTCAACATTCCTGAGCAGAGACACTGTGAAACAAACGCCACCTGTGATGGCCATGGTCGCGACCTTTTGCCCTGTTCTTTCCGCTCGACTCGCCATGAGCCGTGTCACTGGTAAGTCGGTACGTTCATACTTATGCACTGGTTACCAGATCAAGGGCGAGAGAAGGCTAGACAGGCATATTACATTCTGGTGAGACCTTGAGACAAGAAAAGGGATGGGATCTGGACATGTTAAAAATCGAGGTAGGCCATCTTTTGTATCTTGTTTCTTCCTTCTTTTCTGCCAAATATCACCCATCTCGAAGAATACAATCATTTTGATCAAGGACCACATCATATCATCCTACTTGTATCTCCAGTCCAGACAGGCTATTGCAAGATCGCTCTGCTCCTGCTATCGAAAGAGAATAGAATGAGAGAGATATGGCACATCCATCACGACTGATCACTTTGATCACAATAATTCTATCCCTCCTCATCCACTGTGTAAATACCGCTCCAACAACCTTTGCCGATGTAGAGGAATCATGGCAAAAAGGTCTTTCTGAGGTATTCCTGACATTTTTTCTCTCTCCACCTCACTCCCTCTCTCTCCCTCTCTCTCTCTCTCTTCCTTCATTTTATCTCCTCTAGAAATACTGATGATCACTCTTACAGAAAGACATCCACACACCCTCCCAACACCCAACACCCTCATGGCATCCATACCTCCCTCACCTCCCCAACTCCAACAGCGCCCCTCCCTCTTCGACCCAAAGAGATGAGGTTACCTCCTTTGAGGGTATGCTAGATGAACGCACAATGGCTGTTCATCGTTCTGTGGGAACTGTAGCTGGGAAAAGTATTGGTGTGTTTGCAAAGATTATGAGGGATGTGGCGAGGAGGCAAGGTGGGAGGGAGGATGTTGGGATGGTGGAGGTACTGAGGCCGGTGAGGAACAGACGGTGGGACTTTTGAGGATGGAACAAGGAGAGGGATGATGGATGGGGGTTTGTTAAGAATGATGTCGATGATGATGGTTATGGTAATGAAATGAAATGAAATGAAATGCTTGATGATAGTTTTTTTTGCTATGTTTTGGTATGGCAGATTATTTCTAGGCTCTTTGCTGCTCATTGAGAGTCTGATAATGTTGTAGCACGGTGATTAAACACTAGGACCTTTCGCTGTTGTCTTGCAGCATGCAGCATAACACTTGAGGACTCAGGCACGTTTGGGATAGACAATGTCTTATTATGAAGCTGGGTATCTGAAATTTGTAGAAAGTGCTCTCTCTGCTTTGTTAGTTATATTAGAGTGATGACTTGGTTGTAGACGAATGAAATGCCGTAATCTCGTGAACCTTAAACTCCATATCAAGCCATGTGAGAAACTCCTAAAGAAACGACCCTGCCATGAACGCCTTGACTTCTGAGTGAATGATTGTCTGAAGGCAATAGAAAAAGGACCTGCCTCGTCTAAACTCCCATAGTGTGGTCGTGCTCGATACCAGGAGTGACACTGGCCATGAACTTGATGAAGACGACGAGGTACTGATCAACACGGATAGCGACGTCGTCTTCCTTGCCCTCATCAGTCAAAACTTCCCACTCGTCATTCTTCTTCTCGTCATCCAGCTTGAGTGCGCTGGTCTGGTCGACCAAGCCCTCCATGCCCTGTCTCGAGACGTCTTGGCCGTGCTTCATTCTCTGTGTACGCAGCTTGAGAGCGGCATCGGCGCGGTCGAGGAGGATCTTCATAACGCTGGCGTGGCGGCAAGGGTGAATGGAGGCGGTCTTGATGGGTGGAGAGACGAAGTTGAAGTCCTCCAGAGTAACGGTCTTGTCCTTGTAATCACCCACAATATCCTCCATCATGGACATGGGCGGCAGAGGTTCGTTCGAGGACGAGTAGCCCGAGAGATAGAGTCGCGGCGTCATGTAGTATGTCGAGTAGGTTATGTAGATGGTGTAGTTGCGGAGAGTGCTGAGGGAACAGGTTAGCGGTGTGTTGAGTATATAGAGCAGACGCCAACTCACTCGTTCTGGTCGTTGTGAGCCTTGGGATCACGGATGATGGCATCTGGATCGTCCTCCTCGTCCTCGATGTCAGGAACATCCTCCTCGTAATCACCACTGTCTTGCTCGACATGGCCCTCGTCGTCGACAGTGCGGATGTCGCCTGGACGGGACTCTGGCTTATGGAGATCTCCGCCGGTCCTCAACCAGCCATCGTCGTCGTCTCCAGTAGGGCCAAAGGCTTCACCCTCCTTGACCAAGTCGTCGAGACCTTCCTTCCCGGCAAAGTTGTCGTTGAGGCGTTTGTGGCAGGGGACACCTCGAGTGATGAGGTACTGCTTGTCGTCGGGCAGGTGAGAGTTACGCTGAGCCGGAGTGGCGGCTCCAGACCATGACCATGAAGGGAACTTGTTGGTGAGGAAGTCTCCAGCCAGAACGAACTCGTCAGGAGTGAGCTTGCCAGTCTCGCGGAAGCTGGACGTTGTGGCAGGTTTGGCGTAGTCGCGTATCGTGTCAAGGGCAGTGTGGATGTATTTGTACATGTTGGTGGTGCTTGTCGTTCAGCGGGTAGAAGATCGAGTGGAAACAGTCGGGAACCAAATGGCAGAATGAGTAAGATGCAAGAGCAAGACAAAGCGGTGGGTGAATCATCAGGGTTGTGCCTTGTGAGCGGGGCAGCACGGCGATAACATTGCACCTGATAAGCTAGACTTTCATCATTAATTGCCTAATGCGGCAATCCATCAAGCCGCATTCGTTCACGACATCACGAGACGACCCATGCAAGGCAGCGACAGAACATAATAAAAGCACGATCCGTTCACTTTCGACTGAAATTGCAGTGACTATGCTGTTCAGCAGCCTCTCAATCGAATCCATCTTTGGCTCGACTGCGGTAGAGGGAAGGAGCTGACCATCATGATTCCCGTCTATGGCGCCATCCATGTCCTGTCCATTACAACTTGCCCTCACGGCGGAGACCCTCGTACATTGACCAAGCAGCCAATGCCTTGCTGTCCCTTCCGCCTTCGCGGAACAGCTCTTCCAATCTCACCACTTTCAACGTGATCTTCTCGCCGTGATCGCGCAATCCCGTCAATTTACCCTGCCAATCCTTGAGCTGTTTGCGTGGGATGCGCTGCTGGTGCAGGAAAATGGGAACGAATTCATCGCATCCACCTGCACTGGGGTACATGGCCTTCTGTAGCTTCTCCCCATCTGACGTCTGGTCTTCAGATCCGAATGTGAGTTTCGTCAGGTCAATGAGCTCGTCCTCGCCGATCTTGAGACCCGTCTCCTCTTCGATTTCCTTTGCTGCACCACCCGAGAAAGTACCTGCATCATCGAGCATGCCTGCAGGCAGTTCCGGGAAGCAGAGTGACCCGGCTGGGATGCGTGGTTGTACAGTTAGGATCACATACTTGTCTTTCTCCGATCCCTCCTCGACGTCGTCAGGTTGTAGAGTGAGCTAGGGAGCTGTCAACAAATGCAGTGCGATTGTACCTCATGCTGTGCGACTTACCAGCATTGCTACACTACCTCCTCTCAAGAACACAGATCCAGGAAACTTCTCCCCATCATCGTTCGACACCTCCGCCTTGAATTTGATGAAACCGATTCGCTCACCACCAAAGAAGTCCACACTCTGGATGTTGATGCTACGGAGCTTGTAGGGAGCCTCGTGGAATGTATGATTCTTAGACTCTTGCTGTTTCAATGAGTGTTGAAGTGTCTGTGACCACGTCTTGAAGGCCGGGAATGAGAGTAATTGCTCTTTGGTCAGATCGTTTGTCAAGTGGACAGGACATTCGGGCGAAGAGCCTGGTAGCGTAAATGTACTCATTGCTCTGGTGCTGGAGTTGTGTTTGGTATATCTACTCAGGTTTCCAGCAATGTTTGTTCGAGAATTCAAGAGTGATCGCGAGAGCATATGTGTGTGCAGAGTCAAAATGAGGATGAGTTGACGCGAGTTGCGAGTACGCTGCATGTATATCGATGACGTATCAATGTCACGAAACGCGGATCTTCTAGCTTCACTTTCTGTCCTTACCTTTCACGTCTGTAGCAATGCACTGGACTAATCCCAACTCCTATGCACCTCGTGTAGCGCTTTCACATAGGCTAAGCTTTACCTCAATCTTGTATCTTTATCTTACTACCGTAGTCTCCGCTATGGCGTCCTTCTCCACTACTACCTTGACCTACGACGAAGTCCGAGCAGCAATGAAGAAGCCCCTTACTGCTGAAGGAAAAAAAAACTACCGCGGGATTACGGATTCAGCAATGACTGGACTGAGATATGACGAGCTCTTTGGAATCAACACTGCCGAGCAGCTAATCGTCGCCGAAGCACATGGAAGACAGGCCACTCCATCCGACGACCCCGACAACCTCTACCTTTTCTCCGCCGGCCATGGTCTCGCAGCAAGATTTAACCCATTGTATCGACAAAAGACCCTAGACTCGCAGTCAACTGTGCCAGAGGCGATTCGTACTACCTCCATCTCGAACCGAACCACGATAGAGGAGATACACAATCTATACCTTAACATGCCGGCGACGTCTGGATCTGATGGTGAAGAAGAGCAATTGAGCATGGTGGCCAGCGATTTTCTGATTTGGTGGAACGGATTGATCGCAGAGTCCCAAGGACTTGATCGTCGACAATGGGGCCCACAAGCGCAAAGGATAAAAGTTCAAGACCAACCACCGCTATGAGGTAGGGCTCACACATCGAAAGTCAATTCATGAAGGGGAATATCGAACGTACAGGAAGAAACATAGGGCTGTCATATTCGATTTGCTCAAGTTTTAGACAATTGATGTTTGAGGCAGGGTCGTACTGCTGGGCCAAAGAACATGGTCAAAAAGAGAGAAGTCCATGATACGTGGACATGATATAACAAAACCGCGACAAGCTTTTACTTCAAAAGCCACCGCTCATCTCAGTAAGTGCGAGCTTCATCCTCTGTGGATTCATTCTCTCGAATCGGTCCACCGTCATGACAAAAGTGCCTCGTCCTTGCGTGAGACTGCGTAGGTGCTTCAAATATCCTACCATCTCCTTGAGCGGGACCCTTGCCACAATCTGGCGTGCCTGATTTCCGACACTGTTGGATCCTACGCCAATGCTTGAAGCCGAGCCACCGAATGGATCAGGTGGTGAATAGATTCGTGTCGGATCAATCTCGATTAGATCCGAACCACCAGTTTCATCGTCGGCACCAAGAGACATGACTTGTCCTCCTCTGGCGGAGCTGATGTCGTGTACGACACTTCCGAGACTTGGTTCATCGACGGTAACGGTGACGTCCATGACGGGCTCCATCAGTGCTGTACCAGATCCAGCGTCTGCTGCCTCGCGCAAAGCCTGCTGCACTGCTAATCGAGCTGCAGAGGAGATGGCAGCGGCTGTGGTTGTTTGGAAAAGATGCTGGGATGGATCGAAAGTTATAGTAATCTTGGTGGAGTGGAGAGGGTAACCGTGTGAGGGACCACGCGCAAGAGCGGCCGTGACACCAGTCTGCATGGCTGATTGCAACATTTGCATCGGCAGGGTAGAGGGTAACGGTGGTAGCTCGGACTCGGTCGCGGAGCCGTCAGGGTAGAGAGTCGGCGTCTTCAGAACTAGATAGTTCTCATCCAGCAGTGCGAATACGTGCGTGTGATCGTCAGCTACGTTCAACTCCGACTCCTCGTAAGGTGTGACGGCTGCAGTGCACCCAGCCTTTGAGGCCTTGCCAGCTACTTCTCGATCGAAGACTGCTGACGCTTCTGAAGAAGGGGCAGAAAGGGCTTCGCGGTAGCCAATCTGGATATTGCCGATTCTGGCTTTGGCTTTTAGATCGTTGATGAGTCTATCGCGAGCTATCTCGAGGTGAAGTTCACCCATGCCAGCTAGGTGGGTCTGCCCACTCTCGGGGTCTTCTCTGACATTCAAGCTAGGGTCCTCGCGAAGCAAAAGTGATAACGTCTCAGAGATGTGCTTCTCTTCTGCCAAACTGTTCGGCTCTACGCTGGTGAAGAAGACAGGTGGAGGGACAGTAATTGGTCTCAGTTGGAGAGTATTGATAGGGGAAGGAGGGCCGACCTTTGGATTGACTCCACTGTACAAAATCAGTGTATCACCTGTCCGCGTGGACTTTAAACCAGGGATGACACCGATCTGACCAGCCTCGATAGATGAAATCTCGACGGCCTCATCGGCATACATTCTTAGTAAGCGAGGCGCTCTTTCGGTAATACCAAGATTCGTATTGAAAAGAGGAGCGTTCTTCGTGATGGATCCCGAGTACACGCGAACGTAAACAAGAACACCTCGACGGGGATCAGTAACCACCTTGAAAGCCAGAGCACACGCTTCAAGACTCTTGATGATGGACATGTTCTTGCTCGCTGCAAGTGCTTTGGTCTTTTGCTGCTTCTTGGCTTCGATGGTTGCAGGTAATGAGGCCTTGCCTGAGAGAAGATCGTTCAGTCCGTACTTAGAAGGGCCAACACTGGCTTCGGGATCAGGTCGCTCCTGTGGAGAAGGCAAGAGATCTACGACCGCGTCCAATAGTGGCTGGACACCGACATTGCGGAAACTTGCACCTGAGAACACAGGCACGAGCTTTTGTGGTTGCTGCAGAGTGCATCTTCTCAGACTCTCTGTGATATCGACAGATGGAATGGCCAGATGATCTTCGTCATACTCCAGGAACTTCTCGACCATCTCGTCGTCATGTTCACTCAGCATCTCAACTAGTGCTGTTCTGGCCTTCTTGATCTCTTCCGCAAAGGCAGAGTTATCCGCTTCCAAGCCTTGGAGACTATGCACTTTGACAGTCTTGCCATCGCCGCCTTCTTCGTACAGCAGTGCACGGAGACCAACAGCATCACCTACACCTTGAAGCTTGAGGTCACCAGGTCGCCACCACGGAATCTGACATAGCGCCGGCCAGACACGCAGACGTGTGCCGATTTCAGAGATGGTCCTCGCAAAAGCAGCTCCCTCACGATCAAGCTTGTTGACAAACAGAATCTTTGGAATCTGATACTGCGTCGCTTGAGTCCAGACTTTCTCGGTTTGCGCTTCGACACCAGCAACTCCATCGAGAATACAGACAGCACCATCCAGGATACGTAAGGAGCGAAGAACTTCAAAAGTGAAGTCGGCGTGACCAGGAGTGTCAATTAGGTTGATGTTGTGGCTTTGGGTAGAGCGAGGCAGAACGAGCTTGTTGGAGGAAAAATCAGTAGCCGAGGCGGCAGCTGGTGGCCAGGAAAAGGTGACTGCCGCTGATTGAATGGTAATTCCTCTGGCACGCTCAGCGGGCAAGAAGTCGGTCACTGTAGAGCCTTCGTCGACATCTGAGAAAGACTCAGCACATGCAAAGCAGACAGGCGAATGCATTGGAGTCATAGCGAAAAGGGCAAATATGTGAAGCAAGTGATATGAGACTAACCTCCTAATCTACGAGTAAAGCCACTGTAGTAGAGCATGCGCTCTGTGGTTGTAGTTTTTCCCTTTGCCACACTCAGCACCTACATTGGAAGAAAAAGAGATGCTACGACATACTGCATCGATGTGGGCAATGATGCCAATATTACGAGTCTTTGAAGTGGCTAGATCATTGCGATAGGGTGTAGAAGAGGCAAAAGATCTAGCGGTTATGGATGCAAAAGACTTAGCATTGTGATGCAGTCGGCGGCAGGGCCATTGTATCCTGAGCAGCATCCCAGAACGAAGGCCAGATGACAAGCAGATCAGAGACCCGTTGCAACAAACAAAAGATGACTTTTTTGTGGTTTGACGAAAAACAATAGGCAAGGAAAGTTGCTGGACGGACAGGTCGCGGCCCTCGGCTCTTGGCAGAAGTCGCGTCCGGGGCAGCGATGTCATGATCGAGAGCAGCTCCGATGTCAGCGACCACGCCGACCTTCAGCACTACTCGAACCCTTTGGCATAATGGACTATTCTTCGGCCATAGCCAACGATGCGGGAGGCTCCCCATGGGCCTCGTCGCCGCAACATGACCGCTCCAATTTTCCCCAATCCAACAACCACGATGTGCCGCCTAACAACTCGCTGTCGCACCAGCCCCCGGCTCCTGACGGCGACGACTCCTACCGGCAAGAAAACAATCAATTACCTCCCCAATCAAACCACTATCCCTCGCAACAGCCTCAGGCCCAGTCCCACGACCACTCGACTCGCTCAGAGCCGCAGCGATACCACCACGCCCGCCCGCAACATCCCCCTCAGCAGGCCAGCCACCAACAGCCACCACAGAACTACCAGCAACAACAACAGCAGCAACAGCAACAGCCGCAGCAACCACGAAAACAGTACAAGCTCCAGGCAAAGATCACCGCCTTGGAGCGTACCGGTCGCAAGGATCCAGTCTTGCGCTTCGATGTCTATGTACGCTGCCTTTGCGGACGTGCTGCTTGAACACAACTAATCCATTTACAGACCAACCTGCCCAAGTTCCGCACTACCCAGTTCCGCGATGTACGACGCACCCACTCCGAGTTTGTCAAGTTTGCCGACCACTTGATCTCATCGAACCCGGATGCCTTTGTGCCTGCCGTTCCTCCTCCGCTCACTGCTGCTGGTGTTGGTACTGAAGAGGATGAGGTTCGCGTCAAGGCCTCGATGCAGCGCTGGCTGAACACCGTATGCTCCAACCACGTACTCATGCGTGATGAGGAGATGGTCTTCTTCGTCGAGAGCGACTTCGGCTACAGCCCTGTCGTCAGGCGCAAGCAACCTGCCACTGGTGTTCGTCGCAAGTACATTAAGCAATTTGCTCCTCCTCCGGATGACACCCCCGAGCTTCTCGAAGCCCGCCCCATCGTCAAGTCCTTCTATCTTGGTACTATGGATCTTGGTCAGAAGGTCGACAAGGTGGTCAAATCGCGAAGAGGTGAGCGTTAGAATGTTCGACGAGCCGAACACGCATACTGACTTTCATAGCTCTCGGTCTGGCAGAATCAGATTTCGGTGTCAAGATGGGCCACATGCAGGTTCAGGAAACACATCCGGGCTTAGCCAATGCCTACAAGAAGCTAGGCAAAGTCATCCAGGCCGTTGGCGACTTTCACGCTGCACAGGGTACCGCTGAGGCAACTACACTGGCCGATCCTCTCCAATACCACTCCAGCGATGCCTTCATCGTCAAAGAGACTCTCACCAATCGTCACATCCTCCTACGCGAGCTCATTCAAGCCCAACAGTCGACCCGCAGCAAAACCACCGCCGTCGATCGTCTGAAGGCTTCCTCCTCCGTCAAACGCGAAAAGGTCGACGAAGCCTTTGCCTCCCTAGACGAAGCCCGATCGCACGAGGCCCAGCTCAAGGAAAAGACCGATCGCGTAACCTCGAACCTCGTCCACGAACGTCGCGCATGGGCCGCCCGCACAACCTCTGACCTCCGCGCTGCCATCCGCGAATATGTCATGCGTGAAATCGAAGCTGAACGCCGCACCCTAGCGACCCTCGAGCAAGTCCGCCCCGACGTCCGCAACATTGACGCCTCGGGCGGTCTTTCCCGCCTGGGTCGCGAAGCCCATCCTATAGTCCGCCGCACCAGTCTTGCGAGCAGCCAGGGTCCCAAGGGAGACGCGTGGAGTGGTGTACAACGCAGACCGGACGGCCTGAACCGTAGTATCAGTGGCAGTTTCGTCGGCACTGGCACCGTTCCCGAAGATGCAGAAGCCGAGCAAGCTGAAGAAGCCACAACGGGCAGAAAGCGAGCCACTAGTAGCGCGAGCAGTCTGGGTCGTGTGGATGAGGATGATGAAGATAGAATCGATGCAAAGAATGCTGCCAGCCGACTTGCACAGACGACGTTTTAGACGGGCGGTGTGTCTTGATTGCAAGGGCAGGCGAGTATAGTGTGGGTTTTGGTGTATACGACGTATGATCGTCTCCCTCTTACCTCCCCCTTTTGTAGATGTAGTAAATGTCCCGAAATTTCCCTCATGTTTCTTGTTCGTCTCAAGTATTGGAATAATCTCTTCATGTGATGACTTTACACAAGCAGTGCCCGTCTCAAGGCAGGATACTTTCTGAGAGTTGCCGTGATGTCTTGGAGATCCCACTACCTAAGCGACTCTCTTGTGAGCTTCAAGAGTTCAAGAAATAATATTGCCTTTCTACAGCTCCTTCTCGGTCTGCGACCATCGTGAAGGAGAGATGGAGATGACCAGAACCTGACACAGACCTTGTGTCGATATATTGAAATAACCATCCCAATACTACCAGATAGATACACGACGATCAGAGAATCTTGAAGAGAGATTACTGTTGCCAGTGTGTTTTTGTATATATACTACATATCGCTCCAAAAGCTCCCAAACCATGTTGAAATATTGTTGGTCATGAAAAAAAGTCGTCTATCACATAAAGGGGGGGTTGAATCAAGATTTTGCGCCTTCCTATCCTTCCTTCTCCGTCTACCTGCATACACACAAGATCCTGCTGGATTACCAAGCAGTAATGTCAGCGACCTCAGCTTCACCAAACGTCGACGTTTTGGGCTCATCCTGAGAGCCATCGTGACTGACAAACGCTACAGGCTCTCTGGCCATGACGTCAGGCAAAACCTCATGCAAGAAATCCAACACAAAGCGATTGACCTGTTTGAACTCTAGCAAAAAGGCATCGTGGCCTTCGGGACTGTCGATGTTTTTGAGCACAGAGTTTGGAATAGCGGCGGCGAGCTCTTTTTGCTCGGCATAGGTGAATAAGCCATCGGATTGAATGCCCAAGACCAGTGTAGGTTGTTCGATCAGAGCCAGAGCGTCAGCGACAGGAGTTGTGGTTGTAGTGTCTGGAGGGAGACGGCCGCGAGATACATCGTGGGTGTCGAGTTTGCGGGTGATGGCAATGTAGCAGTTTGCGTCGAAGCGCTTTATGAATTTTTCGCCTTGGTAGCGGAGGTAGGATTGGGCGGAGAAGTAGGTGGGTGTGCGCTTTAGTCTCATGCTGGATGGAGCAGCATTGGTGGGCAGGGGTGTGGTGCCAGAGAATTGAGGATCTACGAATGTTTGGGGAGGGGTGTTGGATAGAGGAAGGGAGTCGATCGAGGTGGACATGTCGGCGGAGCTGTTTGTACGGCTGTAGCGAGGAGAGCCGGCGTTCTTGTGACCTTCATTGTGGATGGCGAAGTGGTCGGTTCCAGGGGTCGAGGGGCGGAACGAGCCATTGATGTTTTGTCTGCGAGAAGGGTCGGGAGTGTTGCGACCGAATCTAGATTCGAACGAGTCGCGACTGCGGTAGGTCAGGAGTGCTGACATGCGGGCGGCAGAGAGACCGGTAGATGGCGGGTCCTCGAAGGCGTAGTAGCCGTCGTCGTACTTGGGGTCGCTGTAGATACTCTGTCTCTGAGCCTCACCCCAGCTGATACCCCAAGCACTGTACTGAGCCGATGTCGCAATGGGCACGATGCAGCGCACATAGTCCTTGCCAAAGTAGGCAAACTCAAGCACGAGCATACCTCCCATGGAGCCACCAACCACGGCTGCAATCTGCTTGACACCTAGGTCGTCCAAGACGAGCTTGAAGATGTTGACATCGTCTCTGACAGTGGTCAACGGAAACTCAGGGCCGTAGTGCTCGTTCTGCGAGTTGCCATCCTTGCTCGTGACCGGGCTCGCACTTCCGTAAGGACTGCCCAGACTGTTCAGACAGACGACGAAGAAGCGCGACATGTCGAAAGCCTTGCCAGGACCACCGAGCAAAGGACCCCACCAATCGCCAACATCAGCACTGCCAGTCAAGGCATGGCAGATGACCATGGCATTGTCGCAGGCGGGCGACAGGGTACCATACGTCTTGTAGGCTATCGGCACATTGTAAAGAACACCACCGCTCTCAAGACCGAACTCGGGGATAATGGCAATCTTTTGGTCGGGGATGAGTTTGGAATATGGATTCTCGGCTTGCGATGTCACTCGTTCTGTACCCATATTAGTCAATGCAATTGGTATTGCCATGTAGGGGCATACCGTATGTCATGGTGGCCGTAAACCAAAGAGGAGTTGACTGTTGGAGAAACAGAAGCTTGAGATTGTATCAGCCATCATTGTCTCGACTCATGGACAATGAGTCTTACCACTGTCCTTTTTTTCTGCCCGCAATCACTTATCGCTCGTCATTGGACAAAGCGACCTCGGTCGGTGACCTCAAAGACGGCCCTCAACACACCCCACTTCCCGCCCCACATTCTTAGGGCTAGCCGTCTTTTTCCGTCACTACCACAGCCTCTTGCACTTTTAGAGCAAACATAAATATCAGGCATTCGAGTTTGAAATGGAACGCAACTCATGATCATCGGGTATCATTGTGTATCATTGGGTATCACCAATTGCAATCAATCCTTGCGTTGCGTGCTACCGCTTGCCTTTTCATACATCTTGTTCGCTCTTCTCGAACATGCCTTGATGCCAGAGGTCCGCAATCACTTTCTGTTGTAGCCCAGCTCTCATTGCCTGGAGCCGACCGGTGGCCCCCGACTTGCCAACTGTGATAGTTTCAGAGGGTAAGGCGATCACTGAGGACGAATGACATTGTGGACCTGGGTGCAAAGTGCGACCTCGCTGTCTGACAGGATCCGATTCAACCCTCCGAGGGCTCCAATGGCACCGTCGATTGCGATAGACCCGCCGTATCTGGCTGTTGATATGTAAGCTCATGAAGAGAATGAGGTTATACTTTTGCTTGCGCTTACCTTGACCACGAGCATCATGTGGAATGTCCGTGAAGTTCTCATGGCGAAGGACCTGCTGGCGACGATTGACAAGAATACGCTGTGCGTTACTCGTTGCGCTACGCATCTGCTGAACCGTCGAGGCGATCTTGTTGTGATCCTCCTCCAGCTTGCGAAGTGATCCCGGTGTAATGATGTGCGTAGCTGTATGATGAATCAGTTGTGTGCGCGATGTGTGATACGAGGCAGTGGTTGAAACGACTTTCATGTACGAGTGAGCGGTTGGCAAACAGCTGTGATAACGCGTAATTGTTTTCGGATCAGGCTCGTCGTCGACGGGAGGGTGGCCCTCGGGCTCGTTCAGTGGGCATGCTGCGAGCCCGAAAATGATTGTGCATTTCCACAGCCTGTTCGGAGAGTTGGAGTGTTGAACGGAGTCTCGTAGCTCTCCCTACTCTCTTGCTTGACTTACATGCATTTTCCATCTGATTTCTGGCAATGCTGGGCATGAAACCAGAAAAAGCAAGTGAGAGGCACGCGAAAGTTCTTGGGCTTTGTTGGCCCTACGCTCTGCGAGCCTATATACGGTTAGTGGAGTTAGATGAATGCACCCCGATAGACGTGCCGATCGGCGAAGAAGAAGTCTCGGCGTAAGAGGCTCTAGTACCCGTAGGCAGGGCGCCAGGAGCATCTCTTTCCGGCGAGGCGCTGAGAGAGCTATGACGGCGGAATGGGACTAGTTGATATCAGTCTCACGGAGTCCCTATGCTTCCCAACCCCAAAGCCACACTTACAGCCTCTTGCGTCCATCTTGTCTTCATGGTAATCTAGCAGGTCTTGCAGTGTGCTGTGTACCTACTGGATGGCGACGCCGGCGTAGTGACGCGCGTCGACACGACCCTCGACCAAGTGCCGGCTGTTCAATAAAGCCTTTGGAGCACACCATAGACTAATGAGACCTCTCATTAATCCGTGTAATAGACACGTCCTACCTGTGTGTACGTAGCTGGCATACCTGATGTTTGCATTAGCCATGCTACCCTTTGCATGAGACAAAGACATCTAGCAGTACAAACAGCTCTATTGATAGCCAGGACGCGTAATTTGTGGTGAGCGTGTCTTTCTGATCTTTCTCTTGACTTGCTTTAGGTACATGGTAGAAGGGAGTTCATCTTGGAGAATAGAGTCTAAAGCATCAAGAGGGTCGCCATCTCAAATCGGAATGACCCCGAGACTCAAACAGCAAAAAGTCGAAAGACTTACTCTTTTGAAGACATTGAGCTCACGAAGAGATGGTGTTCCTCGAGACCTTTGTGACGATTACCTCAAGATGGTACACTCCGGTCACGAGGCATCTCTACACATCATGTACCACCGAGTGGCGCTACTCGATCAGCCTTAATACATATCTCTGCCCCAGTTTCAAAGGAGATGGTCGTTGTTCACGGCGTTTGTGAGTGAAGTGAAGGGTCGAGTGAGATCAACATGTCAGGGACCGTGCGTGCGTTTCAATTTCATCGCGACAACGCGTCTTCCCTCCAACCCGCGTTGCGACGCTGTCAGACTTTCTATCCAACGTCCTTCGCACAACAACTTTACATCACATCAGCAAGATGTCCGGTTCAGAGAGTCCAGAGAAGTCAGAATTGGCTTCCGCTATCGAAGATCAAGTACAGGAATGTGTGTGCACGAAAATCCACTGATTACAGGGCAGCATAGGAGCTAACCAAGCTCCAGGGTCGACCAGCAGCAACGATGCGCTTCAGATCTCACTTTATCGCGGTAACAAAGTCGTGTCAGACTTCGGACCTGCCCAAACATATCCAATCTTTGGCGAAGAAGAAGCAATCTTTGGCTACCGCGGACTGAACATATCGCTTTCGCTGGCTGCACACAATCTAAGACCGCACATGGACATCTCCTGGACAGAAAAGTTCACTCAGATAGGCGACATCAAGGCGTCCGACATCCGAGAAGCTCTAGAAGACTTTATTCCAGAATCAGCCTTTGCTACAAAATCTCGAGCCGAAGCTCTCGCCGACCCTGATGCTGCGTCATTCACGCCCCCGGGCATCCTCCTACACTCTTACACACATGAAGACCACAGGTTCGAGGTCTGGAAAGCATCATTGTCTGATGAGGGAGCCAGAGAAATCATGGACAACGTTCAAACACTGGTTCCCATGTTCATTGAGGGAGGCACCATTCTTACACTTGACGAGCCTTGGGTCGCAGACCGCTGGACGCTCTTCACCTTGTACCAAGTTGACAAGAAGGCCGCAAACACATCGCCATACGTCTTTGTTGGATTCTCAACATCCTACCGTATATTCACATTACCTGATCGTCGCGATCCTTCAGAGCACGATCTCGCCCTACTCCAACACAACGAGACAGACATGGATGCGATACTTCGCCGATGGAACTCGGAAACTGCGGATGAAGACGAGGCACTCCTCAAGACTCCCTTGCAACTGCCCAGCCGTGAGCGCATCTCCCAGTTCCTGATCATACCGACGCATCAACACTCTGGACATGGTGCCGCGCTGTACAACACTGTGTTCACTGATCTTATCGCTCCTGATAATGTCTCCGAGTTGACGGTCGAGGACCCCAACGAGGCATTTGACGACATGCGTGATGTCTGTGACTTGCTCTGGCTTCGAAAGAATAATGATGATTTCGCATCATTGAAGATCGAAACTCAGATCGATAGCAACAAACTCAAGATGAATGAGGACATCCCAGTGGATGACATCGTGTCCGGTGACGCCAGAGCTCGCATCAAGAAGACCAGCAAGATTATGCCTCGTCAGCTGGGTAGACTTGTCGAGATGCAGACTTACTCAAAGATACCCAAGCTAAATCGATCGATGAACCGGATCTCGAGAAAGGAGAAGAGCACTAACGAGATGGATCGTGCTTATTACCTATGGCGTCTGTACGTCAAACAGCGCCTTTACATTTCTAACCGCGACGTACTCTCCTCATTGGAACGCGAGGAGCGCGCCGAGAGACTGGACGCAACAATCGAGAACATCCAGGTGGACTACAATCGTCTACTTGAGCTTGCGGATAAGCGCGCTACTCATTCGGTCGACAACCAGACCACAACCAGCAGTGGCGCACCGAAGCGCAAGAAGAAGGTCGTCCTAGAGTCTGACGAGGATGAAGATGACGCTTCAGCAGGCAATGTGGCACCTGCTTCCTCAAAAAAGAAGAAGAGAAAAACTACTTAGGAGGTGACACCCATCGAATGCATGAGAGACTGCCTCGAAAACTCCTAAGGCCCTTTTATCGCTAATGAGGGGGCCATGAGAAGGCAGACAGTATTTCTCCAAAAACTTGTTCCTTCAGAATGCACGATCAGACAAATGCGCAGATGTAATTACGGTCAAGCGAAAGGAGTTCAAATGAACAGGTTTTTTTTATCATTGCTAGACTAGTGTCCACATAGCAGTCAAAGGCAGCAATCTTTATCAATCAGTTAACAATTGATTTCGTCTTGATCCATCAGCATTTCGAAATCTGGCTGTAGATATCAGAAGGCGTAGTTGTGTAGTTCACGGTGTGCACCTATTACGAAAGACGGACCCACGAGACACCGCCAGGAGAGCGGTGTGTACAATCTCGCATTTGTAAACGGACAATCAGCGACATCTGACAGCTCGGTGCTCGACCACGTGTCGGATACTAGAGCACAAGAGGGAGGTAGAAACAGGTTAATGATCATCAGGTGAATGGCGAATTACGACTTTCGCATACATATGCAACAAGCCGACAGGATTCAAGGGGCGAGGCCTTTGCGCGATTTTCTCGCACCTTATATAACAGCAGTGATTACGGTACCTCGCAGACACATGATCTGGATAGTGGCAGAATATGCATGCTCGGGTCGGCAGGATGCAGGGCAGCGGTGCCACTTAGCGCATTTAGAAGAATGACTGTGATGTAGCTGGAGTCAGGGGAGTACATTTTAGGTGTCAGCAAGCGATTAATAAGGAATATAATGGATGTTTCCAAGAAGGTTCAACGCGCGTAGACTTGAGCAATGGTACAACAATACAGACAGTTGGATGGATATCGAGGGTTTGTAGGAACAGTGCTTCTTGATGAAGACGGTATTCTCTTGGGAAAGTTGAGTTTATTGACTTGTCTTGCCCTCATCCCAGTGGCAGATGGCTCCGCGATGACGCAGGCAGTCGTTGCAATCCAAGCCCTCTTTCTACACTGAAATGTGGAGAGCGATGAGTTCTGCGCTTATGCGCTTGTGCCGACCTCGGTATGTCTCGCTGATGTTCAGGCTGGGGATGGGCGCAGGAAATGAGATGGATGGAAGATTTCAAGGACACCTCACATCGAGTCCGATTATGGTTAGTGGTCGCGGTCAGCGGTTGGTGGACGTAAACCCCTCGTACGGGAAAACGAAAGGTAGCCAATCGCCAAGCAAAAGAAGCATGAGCGGATGAGCGGTTTTTTGGCCACGGATGGACTCCGCGAAGTGGGAAAGCGCGGTTGCATTTTCTTCAGTTCAAGAAGCACATTGCCGATTGACTTACCGCTTGGCCTGCTCACTTCCACCTCTCTGGTTTACTCTTGACCGAGAGCGGTGCCTTTGGCTGTCGTCTCACGCTTATACACGTTTGCCTGTCTCGAAGCCCGTGTCCGTCTTGTCCATCTGATCTGCTCCAGGCTCGCTCCTTGTCGCGCCCCAAGTTTGTCAGCAGTGAAGCCGACACAAGACGTCACAGCCACAATTCACCACTCGCCGTGGCCACGCCCGACAATACCACGTCCAGTATCGCCAACACTTCGACTTGACATACACATTACGCGCGTCTGACATCTGCATCTGCTGTCCAAATTTCGAAATCATCGGCCTCCGCGGTCTCCCGGCTCATCTAATAAAGCATCCGACGACGTGACGTCGTCTCTTCATCCTTCTACCATGGCCGTCGCTACTGAGGAGTTCAAGCCTCAGCAGACATCACCTCCTCCTTCTTCAATCAATTCCCAGACTTCCGTACCCGTCTCAGCTGTGAAACCTCCTTCCAATGGAGATGCGCGCCCAGCCGGTCCCCCAAAGAAGCCTACTTTCACCTCGAGACTGAGTCGCATGTTCTCGGCCAAGGACGCAAACGAAACCTCGAGAGAGCCCTCGCTCAAAGACAGACTTGCCGATAAAGTCCCCGAAACTCCCATGGAAGAACCCGAGGCCGAAGCTCTGCCTCCGAAGCCATTGAGACCGGCAAACCCATCCAGACAATCCTCGCAGACCGACAAGGCCAGATTGGCTGGCACTGTATCAAGAAGCGGTAGCGACGCGAAGAAAGACAAGAAAGAACCCGAAGGCCTTCCCGTTCAACATCGTCGCTTCTGGATTGACGAAGACGGTGCTCACCATCATCAACTCAAAAGTGCTCGACGACAGGAGAAGCTGACGGACATGGTTCGCGACTTCCTCGGAGGCAAGAAGAAGGAGCATCATGAAGAACAGCCCTTGTCGCTTATGGCTACTTGGGTGGATCAATTGAAAAACGAAAAGAACCGGGTTGCCTCGGATCAGAAGAACGGCCCTGCCGGTACTGCCACGCTTGTTCAAAAGTACGGCAAATGTCAAGAAATTGTCGGCCGTGGAGCTTTCGGTATCGTCAGGATAGCGCACAAGGTGGATCCAAATGACTCGAAACACGAGCAGTTATATGCTGTCAAGGAGTTCCGCCGTAGACCGCAGGAAGACTCAAAGAAGTACAGCAAACGTCTTAATTCGGAGTTCTGCATTTCATCGTCTTTGAGACATCCAAATGTCATCCACACCCTCGATCTGCTCACCGACGCAAAGGGCGACTACTGCGAAGTCATGGAATTCTGTGCTGGTGGAGATCTCTACTCGCTGGTCCTTGCTGCCGGCAAGCTAGAAGTCGTCGAAGCGGACTGCTACTTCCTGCAGCTGATGCGTGGTGTTGAATATATTCACGAGATGGGTGTCGCACATCGTGATCTCAAACCAGAAAACCTTCTGCTCACAACGCATGGTGCTCTCAAGATCACCGACTTTGGCAATGGTGAATGTTTCCGCATGGCTTGGGAAACAGAACCGCATATGACGGCAGGTCTTTGCGGTAGCGCGCCTTACATCGCACCGGAAGAGTACACAGACAAGGAGTTTGATCCTCGTGCTGTGGATGTCTGGGCATGCGGTGTCATATACATGGCCATGAGAACTGGCAGGCACTTGTGGCGTGTTGCTAACAAGGACGAAGATGAGTTTTACGAGAATTATGTGCAAGGTCGCAAAAGCGATGCTGGCTATGGGCCAATCGAGTCATTGCATAGAGTAAGTCGTTCGAGTCAGTACAGCATAGCAGATTTCTAACCCAGACCCTACAGGCGCGATGCAGAAATGTCATCTACTCGATATTGGATCCCAACGCGAGCAGACGAATCAGCGCACATCAAGTACTGAACTCGGAGTGGGGCAAGGGCATCAAAGTCTGTCAGGCCGGCGAAGAGGGGCTGTAACAATAGTGCAAGGGCAAGAGGCCCTTTACGTTTCCTTCTAATGAGGATTGATCGGTTTTGGGTTATGGTTGCGACGGTGAGCCATGCTCTCTGTTTTGCGCGGCGTTGGGCAGGATTATTACCAATATGGCATGGAGAGGAAAGCACGACTTTGAGGCATTTCCTCTGGCTATCAGAGCCATTCTGTCGTTTACTTAGACTATCAAATTTACGACCGATTCATGACTGGAAGGGGCCTCAAGAAGTCGAGGTCGGTCGAATGAGCTTGACATGTGCTGCTTCCCCACAGTGTCGACGACGAAAGTGACGACGGAGCCGCGCAACGGGAGCAGAAAGCCAAACAGATTTCATGTACAACGCGTCACGTTGACCTTGCAGCAGGACGATGCGCCTAAAAGATGCAGCGGGCATTCAGAAACGGCAGAGCACTGGCGGCACTGCTGTTGGCCCTCCTATATCTATGTCTCGTCGCCTCGGCCCAAGCTGAGAGCAGCAGCAACAAGACATCTGGCCCCATCGTCAGCAGCAACAGCACCATCGCCAATGTATCCGTCTCATCCACCCAAGATGCACGCAATCGCGGCATACGCCAATCCACATGTCGTACCGGCACAGTCAATTACATAACTCACTCTTTGCCTCAGCAGTGTCTGAGCCGCTCGACTCCGATCTCGAATGCGACCACCATTGTCACTCCTGCTCCTACGACGGCCACCACCCAGCCATCCTCCATATCGAGTAGCGTGGCTTCCGAGGACTTGATTTCGGCCACAGCAGAAGCTCTGACTGCTTCCACGACGCAGCCCGAAGCCGAGTTCGAGACAGATTCGCCGCTGGACAATGCCAATTTCCTGTCATTCGAAGAATGGAAGAAGCAAAACTTGGCCAAGGTTGGTCAGTCACCAGACAATGTCGGTCAGAGGCCACATTCTGGACAGGACAAGGCGATTCGTAATATGCGTCCTATTGACAATGCTCTCGATATTCTGGGCGAAGATTCGGAAATCGAGCTGGACTTTGGAGGCTTTGGAAGACAAGATAGCCCTTCGTCATCGAGTGCTGCTGTCCAATCTACAGTAGCTTCTGAACCCACTCTTCGAAGTAGGGATGCTGGCAAGACTTGTAAAGAGCGCTCCAACTACGCATCGTTCGACTGTGCTGCCACAGTGCTCAAGTCAAATCCCGAGTCCAAGTCCGCTCATGCCGTCCTGATCGAAAACAAAGACAGCTACATGCTGAATATCTGCTCGAGTACGAACAAGTTTCTTATTGTCGAATTGTGCAACGATATCCTTATTGATACAATTGTCCTGGCGAACTATGAGTTCTTCTCTTCTATCTTTCGTACTTTCCGGGTTTCGGTCTCCGATCGCTATCCTGTAAAGGCTGATCGCTGGCGAGAACTCGGGGTTTTTGAGGCTAGGAATATGCGCTCCGTTCAAGCCTTCCTGATCGAACAGCCTTTGATCTGGGCGAGGTATCTGAGGATCGAGTTTCTGACCCATTATGGTAACGAATACTATTGCCCAGTCAGCTTGCTTAGGGTACACGGTACTACGATGATGGAAGAGTTCCGACATCAAGAAGAGTTGGCTCGGGGTGAGATCAGTGATGACCTGGAGGAATCTGTCATGCCTGATGCATCATCTTCTGTTCAGCAATTACCACAGGAACCTCTTCAATCCTCGAAAGAGGCCGACAAGTCAATTGCGGTAGAATCAGATACGCCTGTGGAGACTCCAACGGGCGGGTGCGTATCTCTGCCTTCTTCGACGTCGAACACGACATCCGCCAATGCTTCAGCGACCACAATGTCAACCGGTTCTGATATACGGTCTCCTGATTCAAAAAGCGAACACATATCAACCAGTACTCGTACGCCTACGGGTAGCACTGCCAAATATAATCAGACATATCTGTCCAACACCAATGCGCCAGATGTCATACACCCTACACAGCCGATTGCGAACTGTAGTACACTAACAAACATTTCCACTAACATGACGTCTACGTCTCTACATACGGCTTCAAATCTGACTAGTAATGCAACAGGTGTGGCACGATCTGAACCTGTGGTCACGCCTCCAGCACAAAAATCTTCCTCGACTGTCACTTCCGCCCAGATTTCGTCGCAACCAAAGTCAGCAGAGTCTAGCAGTAGTTTCAGTCCTTTGAGTATGATTGTGCAAGCTTCGACCAACTCGAGTACCTCTGCAAGAAGTGGGTCCGCTGTGAACAAGTCGTCATCTGCTGCTTCCGATGTTCATCAGAAGCCTGGCACGTCGACTGTGTCTTCAGCTCACTCCAATCCGACTACACAAGAATCTTTCTTCAAATCAATTCACAAACGTCTGCAGATGCTTGAAAGCAATGCTACGTTATCCTTACAATATATCGAGGAGCAGTCTCGTATCTTGCGTGACGCCTTCATCAAGGTTGAGAAACGTCAAATTAAGAAGACTGAAGCGTTTCTCGAGAACCTGAATACTACAGTGTTCGCCGAGCTTCAGGATTTCAAGCAGCAGTACGATCAACTATGGCAGAGCACTGTTATCGAGCTTGACAATCATCGAGATCAATACCAAAGAGAGATTCTTGCCGTCAGTGCTCGACTGAGCATTGTTGCTGACGAGTTGGTCTTCCAAAAGCGGATGGCCATTGCTCAGATGACTGTCTTGGTCATTTGCTTGAGTCTCGTGTTGTTCGTCCGGACAGGAGGCGGTGCCAGCTTGGACATTCCCATTCTCCAGCAGATGGTGAACAAATCGCAGCTGGGCAGGAGCGCTTACTATTCTCCGTTAAACTCACCATCGCCCGATCAGGTCTCACCGCCTTTTACCAATGAAGGCAACAGGCGAAGAAGAGGATTTTGGAGAAGCAGTTTCCACTCACCAGCATCCCCTAGACCCATTTCTAGGGGAAATGGAAATGTCTCTGAGGCTTCCATAGAGGAGCAATATCAAGGCGAGAACCCGGATCTCAGGTTCCAACCACCGACTCCAACTCTCCGGGATGAGAACGACACGGACGGCGAGGGTGGTGTTATAGCATCAGCTTCTGCATCTTCTATACATGAAGAGGGCTCCTTTTTGAATGAAGCAATAGACAGTGATGAGGACCTTGAAGGTTCGACGGCGTCACTACCACAAACACAATCATCGCCATCGACACCCAGCGGGTCGAGGGACCTTAAGATACAACCCTGGCCAGCTGGCATCGAAGAAAGTGGCATTGCCGACGACGACTAGACATGGGAGATGGCTGTTTGACGAATACCTGTATTATGATGAGTTATGAGTTTTCCTACCTTCCTAGTCTCCCTACATTCCTACTATCCTGTACAACAAGGCTGGGATAAAGTTCTTGATCTGGTGATCAATTGATAGAAGCGAAGTCTCTAGTAAACATTAACCCTATGTTATCGTCTTCTTCCAACATAGCACGCCATAAGCACAAAGAAGCCAAGTTTCATGACCTTGACCCCAAGATGACGAAAATGTGGCTTTCCTCTAAGAGGGAGATTGCATCCTCAAGCCATGTCCTGCAAATTCAAATAGAAGCAAGCAGGTTTTCTGAGATGGCACAGCCCCGAGGTGGCTGAGAAGAGGGGTTCTGGACCTTGCCCTTTTGAAACGTGGACGGACGATCAGTGGGAAAAGCGGGGGCGTTCGTCAGAGAGGACGAGCATGTGAGGGTCTGAAGCTTTTCGATTTGGCAAGACCCTGTACTTGTTGATCAACACCTGCTTTTTTGCAGTAGCTCGCGTGGAACCTGGCTCGGGAATCGTGTGTCTGGGTCCGCGAAGCAGGGATATTTTGGGATGGTCTGATTGCTGTCGCGATGGTGATGGTGGGGTGGAGTTGCGGTCTAGAGAGGAGGGTTATGACGCGGTGTTGTCGTGTCCCAGCTCTGTGCAAGCTCCCTACCGACCTTGATGTTATATAACCTGACTCTTGCTCCCTGTGTTTGTGGGTTTCTTTTTCTAGTTTATCAAATACCGATTTCAATTCAATCAAATAACATTCATCATGTCTTACAACAACGAGTACAACAACAGCAGCAATGACGAGTACAGCAGTACTGTATGTTCATCCTCCTACCATCCTTATCTATTGCTCCTATAGAGCTACATCAACCTATCATTTCCCTCCAAAGCAACGCCCTCTCTTCCACTATGTCAATCATCTACTCCTTTGGAATCTTGGTCTTTCTAACTCTTATCTCGCCTAGGGTCGCCAAGGTGGTTTCAACGATAGAACCACTGGTTCCGGTGCTTACGGTGTAAGCCCCTCCCCCTCTTTATATCTTGCCAAGGTACAATATAGCTTATCAGTAACAGGGCTCGGATAACCTGAGCGGCTCAAACACCGGCCGTGACCAATACAGCGAGTCCAACACTTATGGTTCTGGCAACCGTGGTAGCTTGGGTAACGATGACATCGCTGATCGTAGCGGTGGTACCGGTACCTTGGGTAGTGATGAGTTCTCTGGAGGCAACACTTCCGGGTCTGGTCTTGGAAGAGATGAATACTCGAGCTCGTCGGGTAGAGATAACTACGGCTCGTCAGGAAACACTGGTAGAGATACCTTTGGCTCTTCCAACACCGATAGAGACACTTATGGTTCTTCCAACACCGATAGAGACACTTATGGCTCTTCCAATACTGGTAACACCGGATATGGATCTTCAAAAGGTGATGACTACCAATCTGCTGGTCTGACTAGCTCGAGTGGCATTCACCATAACACTTCTGCTGGTGACCGCATTGGCGATGACGACTTGGTAAGTTGCGATTTCAGCTAGGACTTGGTCGACACAAAGTACTGATCGAGTATTGCAGAAGCCAAGCCATGGTACCGAGAGAGATACACACCACAGCACTGGTGGAAACTACTCTGTAAGTACATGCATGCTGATCTTTTTCTTATCTACACCCAAGTATATTGTTGCTTGCCCAGAGCTGAGTATATTGCTTGACATGACTTTACCCATCTATCCTTTCCTATTACAACTCTAACATCGACACATTACACACAAATCATGTTGGAGAAATTCATCGTACGAATGTCTTTGATCTCAATGCTAGCTTTCATTTCACAAGCAACAGGAGCTAACCCTTTTCATATCTAGTCAACCGACGACAATTTCGGCTCAGGCACCACAAGCGGTGCCGGCTACGGCAACAAGTCGACCTCTGGCCGCGACGACTACGATTCCAGCAATACTCGCTTCGGCTCTTCCAACGAGACCGGTGCCTACTCTGGCAGCACAGACTTTGGCTCTGGCACTACCGGTGGAGCTGGTTACGGCAACAAGTCGACTTCTGGCCGTGACGAGTTTGGAGACTCTAGCGATACTCGCTTTGGCTCTTCGGGTGAGACTGGTGCTTACTCTGGTAGCAATGAGTATGGCAGCGGTTCTACCAGTGGTGCCGGATATGGCAACAAGTCGCATGCTGTCTCTGAGCATGACAACAAGGAGAAGTCTGGCAAGTCAGGTAAGACTTCCAATCCATGCTCTACATCGAGCGGATACTAACAGATGCGTAGACAGTACTATGGGCAAGATTTTCGAAGGGATCGGTAAAATGACCAAGAACGAGAAGATGGTTGAGAAAGGTGAGGCCAAGAGAGAAGCTGCCGGTGCCAATGTCCGCAGCGAGTACTAGGTTCCGGCCAGGACATGAAGTTGTTTGAGAAAGCGATAGCTTGGACGCAACCAGTACTATAGGCGACCAGAGTTTAGTTTACGGCATAACGAATACCAATTATGAATCTTGATCGAAGCCTGTTTTCCAGAATGAGTCCAGATGCGCCAAGGGAGAGTTGAGCTCGACCGTCCTTAACGGACGTACTTGCTCATGAAGCGTCTGTGGAAATCGGATCTCAGCAAGTCGTTGACAAACTCCTTGCCCTTCTTGTCTTCGGTTCCTCGGGCCTGGTTCTTGAAGACAACATCATCGTCCCATCTTCTCTTAACCTCGTAACCTGTTGTGAGATGTCAGCGTTCGATCCGACTATCTATCTCGGTGTGGGTTAGAATACCTTTCGGTTGGAGCAAGGGGTTACCAAGAGCAGTTGATTTCATGTTCTCCTCTTCCTCCTTAGCAGCTTGCTCAGCAGCTTCTTTTGCAGCAGCTTCTGCACGTTCGGCCTTGATCTTTGCCAATTCGCGCATGAGCTCTGCCTCTTCGTCGTCGTCACTCTCGTCGTCCGAAGAGTCTGAATCTTCCTCTGAACCATCATCCGAATCAGCATCAACGTCACGCGTCTCCTCGAGCACTCTCCTCCGTTTAGATTCATAGTCTTCCTCATCCTGCTCTCCGTCCTGTCCCTCGGCTCCCTCCGCCAGACTCCTCTTCACACCCTTTCCAGATACCGCATCAGCATCCTCGTTCTGTCCAATGGCAAGTTGAACCTTTTCTTCTTCCTCGGGCGACAATTCACGACCTTCCTTTTTGGCAAAGTGGCGGCGTTCGGCGCGCAGGAGTTCGGCGCGTAGGTCGCGGGCAGAGTGTTCATCTGTGGTTCCTTGGGTTGCTTGACGGAACTTGAGGGTTTTGTGGGCGGGGAGGAGTCGTTGATGGTAGCCGGGGCCACGGAGTGAGTCTTTTCCACGGGCGGGATCGAATGTGGGACGATGTGCGGTGGTCATTTTGTGCGATTATGTGAGGCGACGAAATAGATCAATTGTGAAGTCCGAGATGGCTGGTCGCGAAGTAAATGGATGCTCAAGTCGGATTGACGATTCAGGGCGGGACAAGCCGAGCTTTCTGCGGCGGGAGAGCGTCACCGAAAGCTGCCGCGCTTCGCTTTGGGAAATGTTCGAGCATTGGAAATAATTCATTTGATCGCCTATTCACGTCATATACGTAATTTCTAACACATCACAACATGCCGAGAGAAGTTGAGCCTTCGCTCAACGAGCGTCAATTCATCCGCGATGCCCTGTTTGAAAGCATCCGTCTCGATGGCCGTCAACTCGATCAATACAGAAATCTGGAGCTGGAGTTTGGCGACGACTTTGGTGTTGCTGATGTGAGGTTGGGAAAGACAAGGTATGTGAGAAGATTAGACTTACAGAGAAAATCCACACTAATATATGTATACAGAGTGGTAGTACGAGTGTCCGCAGAAGTCACAACACCCTTCCCTGATCGCAAGTTCGACGGCGTCTTTACAATTTCCACCGAGCTCTCGCCCATGGCCTCTCCTGCCTTTGAAGTCGGTCGCCCAAACGATGCCGAAGTCGTCCTCTCCCGTCTATTGGAAAAGTCCATTCGCCGTTCAGGAGCTCTGGATACCGAGTCACTCTGCATCATCGCCGGCGCAAAGTGTTTTGCCGTCCGCGCAGACATTCACGTACTGGATCACGACGGCGGTTTGATTGACGCTTGCTGTATTGCTCTGGTCGCCGCTCTGCAACACTTCCGCCGTCCTGATGTCGAGGTACACGGAGAGGACGTTACAGTCTTCGATACACGCGAGCGCGAACCTGTCAAGCTGGCCATGCAACATCATCCTTTCTGTGTTTCCTTCTCCTTCTACCACGGCGGCGAGACGGTCATTATGGATGCAAATCTGGCTGAAGAGAGTGTCCGCGACGGTGAGATGATTGTCAGCATGAACCGTCATGGTGAGGTCTGCCAGATTGCAAAGTATGGAGGTGTGCCTGTGGATCCATTGACTACTCTCAATTGCTCAAATGTTGCGCTCGAGAAGGTCAAGGTACTGCATCAATTCGTCCAAACAAAGCTGGAGCAGGACGAGAAGAAGAGAGACAAGGGCGGTCTCATGGCCGAGCTGAATGCTGCCAACTCGAGAGAACTCGCAAACATCCCTGGTTGAGAATCTGATGTGAATCCTCAAACCACCGAGCCACTGCCTCTTTCGCCTCTGAAGGCGTGAGGTTACGAGTCTACCAGCACACAGCCTATACATCGTGGTGCATCCGCCAGGGAGTGGCTACCACGAGCCCTTTCAACGCCACCATCTGATAGCCATGAGGATCCCAGGCTACGTCACGAGAATGTACAATGAATGACTGCCATGTCAGCTATGGATCTTCACGTAGGTACCATGGCCAGAATCACCATGTCCATCACGAATAATAGAAGGATATAGATGAACAACAAAAGTCTCGTATCGTCATTGCAAGACGATCAATCTACGTTCTGAAATACTGCTAGTCTAGTCTATCGTCGCTCCGTGCCTCCTGTCTTGAGTGTCGTGTTCGGTCAAGCTCGGAGGGGTCATTCTGCTGTAGGACTTGATCTTGATAAAGGCAATGCAGTCATGGCAGCAGAGCACCAATCTGATCCTCCTGATGGCCTTTGGTAGGGTTCCTCTGCAGTAATCCCCGAGAACTGATCTCCAGCTCGGCTGGCCATCGACCTGTTTATTTTTGCTCGCGAGAGAATTCTCGCACAACCTTGCCTCGTCACGATGCCAGCTTTGTCAATCGTGGCTCGCAAAGCATGTGCGTAGGATGGTGAAGAAGTTGTGAAGAGTGTCCTGTTTGGCGCTGCATATCGTGATGGACCACTTTTGATCCTCATGTTGGCATAGCGTCGTACTAATGATTCCGGAAATTCTTTTTCTGGTAGAACAGATCCGTCCTCGAACTACCCAGGTTTATAATCTTAGGGCAACCATCTCTGTCTTTTTCGAGGCGCGTGCATTCGAAGCAGTAAAAGGCATCGGAGATTCCCTGCAAGACATTGTCAACAAGAGCTCAATTTGGAAACAAGGGATCGCATGTTCTTACCTCGCCGCCACAGACGACACACTTGTTCTGGTAGTTTCCGAAGGAGCATTCATCGCAGATGCGGACTAGAGTTGTAGGACGGACGTAACTGTCGCATACGGGGCATTTGCCGTCGCATTTGTCGCAGAGGCGACCGATGGATATGCCGGCGGTCTTGCGACACATGACCAAATCACTGGGGATCTTGTGAGTTCGGATGTCTATCTTAGAAGATCTGAGGAGAAACGTACGGATGATGGCGAGACATGATTGCGGATCAGATGTGAGGTTTCCTGGATGTGGATGGCTCGAGAGTCGCAAAGATTATAGGAAGGCAGTCGGCTCGGTTTTGAGAGGAGATCGGCGAGTTAGATGTGGCGTGCAAGGTGGATGGTTGGTAAAGATGTCGAAGCTTCCGGCTGCTATGAAAGCGAGGAAGGCACGCTAAGAGCGGAGATAGTCTCGGGAATACGAGAGGCTCTCCCAGAAACACCGACGTCAGGTGTAGCTCTCTCCACCGGACCATCACTTTGCGCCGGACATTGTCAACTTCTTCTTTACACACGCTCGCAAACATGGTTGAGACGGCAAGCAACTCCCTGCTGTCTACTAGTACCTCGGATTCATCTCTCTCGGTCCAGCTGCACCCTCTGGTTCTTCTCGTCATCTCAGACTACATAACGCGCCACTCGATACGCAAGCAAGAAGGTCCCATTATCGGTGCAATCATCGGTCAGCAAAATGGCCGTTCAATCACAATGGAGCAGGCCTTCCAGTGTAAGACCAAGCAGGACGGTGACAAGGTTCTGATCGACGAAGAGTGGTTCGCCGACCGTCTAGAACAGTGTGTGTCTACCCATTCATTCATCCATCCATCCTACCGACCACGTCTAACTATATACGTAGTCAAGGACGTCCACAAGTCACCCCCGCTGGATCTGGTCGCCATCTTCACTCTCGCTCCTCCCTCCGGCCCTCTACCAGAACATGTGCCCATTCTCCAGCAACTGCAACACTCATACAATGACTCGCTCATGCTGCTGCTGTTCCACCCTCAGACCATCCTTGACGGCTCTCTCACCGGCGGAAAGCTACCCATTTCCATCTACGAATCCTACTACGAGCCTGGTAGCGAAATTGCAGACAAGGGACTACAGGTCGACGGCTGGGGCATGGGCCGCCAACTGCAGATGCGCTTCCGTCAACTGCCATTCGAGGTCGAGACTGGAGAGGCCGAGATGATTGCTGTCGATTTTGTTGCAAAGGGCAGTGGTAACGCAAATGTTCAAAACTCTGCCACTCCTCCGTCAAAGGGCAAGGCTCGTGCCGATCAAGCCACCACCACAAACGACGTCAAGCTGAACGCAGAGGACGAAGAAGGTGTCTAGAATAACCTGTCTCTTTCGAACCTGCTTCCAAGCTAACTCACCATAGTCATGTCATCACTCACCGCAAAGTACAACGCCATCAAGATGCTGCACCAACGCATCAACCTCATCAAGGCCTACCTCGCCGAACTCCCACCTTCATACCTCACCGACGCCTCTGTCCCAGCCGGCCCAACAAACCCCACCGCAAACCACCAACTCCTCCGCGAAATCTCCTCCATGCTCTCCCGCCTCCCATTACTCGCCCCTCCCACCTCAAACTCCTCCACCGCCCTCCCCGTCCCTGGTATTCCTCAATCCTCCCTCGCAACAGCCGCATCACAGGAACAATCAGACGTCCACATGGTCTCATTGCTCGCATCTCTCACTCGCACAGTAGCTCAGGCAAAAGATATGGGTTCAAAATACTCGATTGTGCAGAAGGCAAAGTCGGACAAGAATCACACGGGCGGTATGATGGCATCGCGTCAAGGAGGCTTCGGTAACTTTGGATCTGGCGGTGATGATCCTTGGGGTACTCCTGGAGAACCTAATGACTTTGCTCCTGTTGGCCTTTGAGAGTGGAACAGTATACACGAGATGAGGTTTAACGATTTTGCTTTTTCCATGCATGATTGCGAATGGCGTAGACTGGCGTAACAAACACTCCAAAGGACCAGGGTCTGCTTTTTCTCGTTTCTTTTCCTTCATCTTCAAGCAGAAATTCTCATAGACTTTGAAAGCTGGGACATGTAGTTGGCGAAGAGTCATTTCGCTCGCTAGCAGGAGAGCATTGCCAGCCGAGTGTTCGATAGATGGACAATCAACATGACAAGTATCCAAAGTCGTACAGAGTCATGAGATCAACAGTGCATGCATACGTGTGAGAATGCTCGCCAGATGCAAAATGACGATATATTGTAGATGAATATCTCCTCAAGTACTGAAGCATCCTTTGTCCAAAGATGAACACTTGTTGTAAAAACGTCAAGACCAAGCAGGAGCAAAAGAAGAAAAAAGCACCGTACAAATTCAAAGCCAAGAGTCTATAAGAAATCAGACAAACAGTATCATCTGTAGCATGGTGGACTGTAACGCAGCGGCCATTTGAACAATGACTCAAATTTAGTAACATCCCTTGCCAGGCACATAATTGGTAACCTTGAGACTGTGATGATTGTCAGTAAAACAGCTTGGAGCAAGAGTGTATGATAGGGAAGTAAACATACGTAGCAGTGACCGTCTTTGTAATCTTGGACGTTGTTGTCGTACGTTTGGTAATTGTACGAGTCTAGACGTTTGTTAGTAGGTAGTAAAGTCTGATGAGTAGTGTCTGCTTACCGATGTTCCTGCTGTCTTTGTGATTGTGGTCTTTGTTGCAATGATGGTGATTGGTGCCGGGGTGATTGTTGTCGTACTCTCCACAGTAGCTGAAAGGTGTTAGCATTGAAATAGTCCAACATGAAAGGAGAAGGGGTGCTTACTGTATGCGGTTTGAGTAACAGGTGCAGCTGTAAAGCTAGATGTTATGGAGATCCAGTTGGCAGTATTAGTATCGGTTGAAGTAACCGTAGCCGAGTCTGGAGCACGCTTGACCAGAGCAACACCATGACGCTTCGCAACTTGCATGACCTTGGTGATGTCACGTCTGATCCTCAAGCGGCGGACAGGGGCTTCAGTTGGGCTTGCAGAGGCAATGGCTGCTTGAGCAATGGAGACGAGATTGGCATCAGCCGTTGGATCAGCTGCCATGGCTGCAAAAGCGACTGCACAAGCCTTGGTCACTGTATATGTCTTGATAGTATAAGTCCATTTTGTTGTGGTACGCTTGACTGTTGCCGTGGACGACGTGGTGATTGTCTGGCGAGGAGGGTAGTAAGTTACTGTCTGTGTCTTTGCATTGCTGGCAAGACTGGTGACAGATGAGGGGGCAAGAGTTGTAGATTCCAGATCAGTGATTGTAGCATTAACGGTAGATGTGGGTGTTTGTGTGACACTCAGAGTTATGGTTGGCTCAACAGTCGATGTGACCTGCGCGCCAACGTTGAGATGCAAGATACGTTTGGCAGAGAAACTGCTACTGTTTCCATTGTTATCTAGAAGGATGAGCGTCCAGTCGCCAGAATACATCTGACTCTTCAAGATTGGGCAAGTCGTTGTAGCGTCCGTGTAATCCGGTGTTGTCGATATGTCTGAGCAGTAGTATGGGTCTCCATCAGGAGCGACCAAGACTACGCTGGCATCTCCAAAACAGTTGTAGAACTCCGATACAGCAGTAAAAGACTCGTTGCTGTTAATGTTGATGAAATAGTTTCCATTGTTCTTGAAGTCGATACCGTAAGATTGGCAAGCATTGACGGCTCGAAGGAGGATCGCTCCGGTTGCGAGTAAAGAGGTCCACATGGCTTGGAACTTGTCTAGTCAAAGATAAGATCCTAGTATCACAAAGAGATAGAATCTGAGGATTTGCTAAGATGGTTTCTCCAAGAAAAGAACCAAGTTATATGCGATTTCATTTTATACACAGTAAGGTCGAAGTGTCGAGTGGCAGCGGCACCATCATCCTCTCCTTGGACTTACCTGCTGAGCAAAAATAGCCCATATCCTTGCAGTCTACCATCTGTATCCCTACACACTGCCTCGCTAGAGGATTCTCGCGGCATGGGATGCGGACTTGCATATTTGGATCTGACATCAGAGACCCAATGGAGGTGGTCCCAAGTCGGCGAGTGGACAACGGACCTCATGATCGGAGTTTCTCAAGCCCGATACCATGATTCAGCAAGCAGCCTTACACATCCTGCCAAAATTGATAAGAAAGATGATGCTGCAAGCATGCTGCGATGCAAGGCAGATGTCGGAAGGAGGCGGTGTGGTGCGCGGCAGATGGGGATGCCGATCATTTTCGGAGGCTCGGAGACGACGCCAAATTTGGAAGCTGCAACACCGACCTGCTGCTTCCTAAACTTCACGTCAGCACGACAATTGGACCCGGCCTTCTCTGGATGTACCCGGCAACATAGACGTCACCAGGCATCACGAGGCATGGTCAAGGTACTCGTCGAAACTTGTCGCCCGAGGTGTGTTCATTGCCTATCGCGACACGTGGCTGAGCTCGTCCGGCATTCTACATTCAGTACCGTAAGAAGAGTAAGACAGGATCGGGGACCAGCGCATGACAGAACCATAGCTGCGGTATCCTCTTTCGATGGAAGCTCCGCAATCACACTGTTTCTCTGCAAAGCAGATCCACGAATCAATATTGATTGTCTGCAAAGAATGCCTGCCAGCCACAGCTCATGCAGAAGCTGACGACGACCCTTCGACACGCGTTTACTTCCAAACTCGCTGGTAGAATAGATGAAAAGATAGAAAGGACATGTCGCATGCCAAAATCGATCACCTCCATGTGCGCTCTCGATAAGCATGGACTGTCCGAAGACTCCGTGGACACCATAAGGCTGACCCTTGGCGATTAAGGTTAGCAGCATGATGACCATGTCTCTGCATGCAGGTAAGTAACGAGGGTCCGTTCGCTCGAGCCTTGACCTTTCTGCAACATCTGGTTCACGTCCATGAGGGCATGAACTCATTATTGCACGCCATCTCCTGTCTATCTCCTAATGCCTCTACAGTTATGAGACTCAGCGTTTACTTTCTGTTTTCGTCACTATACTGCCTCGTCGTGAACACGAGGCCAAGAACAAGTAATACGGAGATCACGCTTCAGCTCTTGCATCCTCTTACATAGCGGATAACGATGTGGTTGGTCAGCTAGAGGGTTAGCCTGGGACAATGAACCGAACAATACATTGTTCTCAGGGCTCAGTATCGATTCCTGAAGGAAGAACGTGTCTGGGTTGTGCAGAAAGGGGTGTCGATGGCCACGTACCTTATGTCGGAAGATACATTTCTGTCTCACAGCCTAAGGTTCTTATGGCAGATGTATGCCCGGAAAGCTTCGCCACCAATCGGAAACTTCACCAAAGTATTCTTCAATCATCTGCACAAAACTTGCCAATCACAAGGATCAGACTGTTCTCTTATTACTAAGACTCTAGGTACTGCATTGATCAAGTGGACTGGTGAATTTCAAATGCTGACTCCGCAGCAGTCCATCGAAAGTTAGGCAGACCATCTGACTTGCAGCTCTCGCTCTCTCCCGATCAAAAGTGAGGAAGACTTGCTCATGATATCCTTTCCGGAGTAGCCAAAGCTCTTCTTTGCACTTCTAGGGGAAACAGTGGCCCGATGCATGAAGAGCTATTTCGGACTTGTCAGTCCGGTAAGCAACAGGCTGTACCTGATATGTCATCTATATAACCCAGTCTTTCTCCGTCTGGAGATAAGTACAACGATCCAAACTTGCTCAATCGCTCGCAGACATGCATCTACTGCGCACATTTCCTCTTCTTGCTTCCTTGGCCGCTTATGCTACTGGTTCAGTGGCTGTAAAACGTCAGGCTTCTTCAACGTCCTCCGCCGCTGGCTCTTCTTCCACTCTGACCCCAGATGATGCCGATACAGAGTGTGATAACACCGCTCAAAGTCGACAATGCTGGGTATGAGATTTCGACATCCTTGAGCATTCCACACTAACAACATCACAGGGAGGCGGCTTCTCGATAGCAACTGACTTTGACAAGAAGTGGCCAGACACTGGGAAGACTGTACCATACACACTGGATATAACCAACACCACCCTCAATCCTGATGGCACGGGTGATCGGCTGGTTATGTTGATCAATAACCAGTATCCGGGACCAGTCATCAGAGCTAACTGGGGAGACTGGCTCGAGATCACGGTTAACAACAAGTTGGCTAACAACGGCACGGGTATGTTGTCCATCCACTGGCTTGTGGTATCTTTCTGATTATGTCACTAGGTATCCACTGGCACGGTATTCGACAGTATGAAACATGTGATCAAGACGGTGTTCCAGGTATCACTGAATGTCCTATCGCACCTGGATCTTCACGCACATACAGATTCCACTGCACACAATTTGGCACTAGTTGGTATCACAGCCATTGGAGTATGTTCACTACACTTCTTCAGGGTAATCTACCTTCTAACAAGTATGCTAGGTGTTCAATATGGTGTGGGCACTCTTGGAACGCTCGTCATTGATGGCCCTGCTACGGACAACTACGATGAAGATCTTGGGCCATTCCCAATGACGGATTGGTACGATGAGACTGCTTTCTTCAACAACCCTCTGTCTCGCATCGGTCCTCCTCAAGCTTACAACGGTCTTATCAACGGCATGAACAAAAGTCCCGATGGTACCAAGGGAAAATACTACAACGCCACCGTTCAGTCTGGCAAGAAGTACCGTCTTCGACTTATCAACACGTCGGTGGATAGCGCTTTCATGGTGTCTGTTGACGGCCATCCATTCACAGTCATTACTAGTGATTTCGTGCCCGTAAAACCATACGTTGCAGAACGTGTATTCGTTGGTATTGGGCAACGACTTGATGTCATCATCGAGGCAAATCAGACAGTAGGCAACTACTGGTTCCGCGCAGATGTCCCGAATACGGGTCTATGCGGCAGCAATGCAAATCCCAATGGTATCAGAGCGATCATCCACTACAGCAATTCAACCTTCGCAGATCCCACGAGTACTGCTTGGGACACTACCGGAGACAATGCAGATCGATGCACAGACGAGTCGTTCAACTCGAATAAGCTTGAGCCTTACTGGGACAGTTTTGTGCCCAGCAATCCGTTGACAGCCAGTCCCGAACTTCTCAGTGTACAGGCTCAAGAATCCGGTGTCACTACCGACGGCGCAACGATTTTCAGATGGGCCATCAACATGACAGCTTTGAACGTGGACTGGGACAAACCGATTCTTGAATACGTTCAGGAGGGTAACACAAGCTATCCTCCTTCTGAGAATCTGATCAACGTGCCGGACACTGACTGGACCTATTGGGTGCTCCAAGAGATCAGTACACCTGCTGGAGTGCCTCTGAATCTTCCCCATCCCATTCACTTGCATGGGTAAGTCGATACTGCCATTCATCTGCTATGAATTGACTGACACGAGTACAGCCATGACTTTTATGTACTGGGTGCAAAGGAAAGCAGTGTCTACACAAACGACCAGGCTAGTGAGCTGAATTTTGTCAATCCTCCTCGTCGCGATACTGCAATGCTTCCTACTGCCGGTTGGTTGGTTCTTGCTTTTGAAACCAACAACCCTGGAGCTTGGATTATGCATTGTCACATCGCGTGGCATGTCGCCGATGGCTTGGCTACGCAGTTCCTCGAGACACCGAACCAAATCACTCTTGACCCTAGCTTCAATGAAATCTGCTCTGCATGGCGAGACTACTATCCCGAGAAGGCTGTATATCTCAAGGACGACTCTGGTGTTTAGATCAGACTTTTTCTTTGAAGCTAGATCTCGAGGGCCGGTTTCATGGACAGTCGGTAATCGAGGAGGTGCAGGGGATCATCTCTTTTGAAATAACAATCGCGATGATAGATTGACGTTGTGCTCTGAAGTCTTTCGGTATTTCTTTGACAGATGAATTGCAAACAAGAAGTCGCCCCTTTAAAGGTGTTCATCGTTCCTTCTTTCACCAGTAGTGATCATCATTTTCAACATGTACCTATGTCACACTTTTCGTATCGTGATCGCCACGCCAAAGATAGAATTTAAGATGGTGGTCAGCAGAGTAACACCCGTCAGGTCCTACCCGTTTTCAAACACAGCTCCCGTGTAATACGAGATCTTGAGTTACATGTACCTATAGTGCTAAGTTTTGCGACAAGGCTGCCTATAGGCATAAGCATTACAGGAAATCGTGTTTCATATGAGTTGATATGCTCTTCCCCAAGCTCGTCGATATCTGCCATGATGTGCATAGATCTAAAGGCTTTGGACCACGTCAAAGTGTGCAGCCTTCAACAGATCCCGACATCAATTGAAAACACATGATGGTAGGACCATTTGGAGCCATGTGAGCTGCTTTTCAGTCGTCTGAGCCGGCAGTCCAGGGGTATCTCTCATGAGATTACCCTGGGACCTACGTGATGTGTCTCGCGATCCTGCATCAAGATCGTTTGTTGATTCATGGCTCGGTTGCTGCGCTGAACTGATCAACTCCGCTTGAATGTCTTCTGTAGATTTGCTCAATTGCTGCGCTGGCTCCTAGGTTGACTGCCGCTCGGCTTCAATCTTCTGCTCTGTCGGATTTGTCTGTAGATCTCGATTGTACTCATCAAGATCTTTCATTTTCTTGACCACAAACGCTTCAATCTCTTCTTCGCTCGGAACACCAACCTCGAGTAATCCTCTTCTCTGCAAGACACGCTCCAAGTTTGGCCATATTACCTCCTCATCGAAGTTGAAAGACTTTAACAACAACTGTACGAACCGAAACGTGCCGTCTTCGAAGTTCTGTCGCATAACGGTCGACATAGGCGGCTCTCCGGGTTCCTTAGGAGGAAAGGTCGATTCCCTTTTCTGCTCCACATCCTCCAGAGCTTGTAGGAACAGGGACATTTGTCTCCCAAATGCAACTTCACTCGACGTGTTCCAACCACTAGGACCTTCCAGTGCCAACCAAGACGGAGGTGTGAGCGAGAACTCTCGAGGGGCAGCATATGTCCACTCCCAGCCGATGATCGCGGTAATCTGATGGGTGTGCTCGTCAATCAAGACATTGCGTGGATGCATATCATCGCAAAAGAGCTTGAAGGGACCTGTGTTGAGTCGAGACTTGAAGTATGGCACAAGTGCTTGCATCCTTCGGCTTCGGCGTAGAACAAACTTGCATCTCGCATCTTCCGCACTGTCTATAGAGTTCCTTTGCTCGTAAAGTTGCTTGATATTTTGTTCCAGGAGGTTATTCATGTAATCAGCTGCAGTGTCGAAAGGCGCAGCTTCATGGTCTGTCCTTGGATCAGTCCAAGCTAGTAAACACGTACGAGTCCAACATACCGTCTACCACAACATGGCCGTGAGATTCGATCTCGTTCATCTTCAGAGTCAGTGGCCATTTTCGAATTGACCACGAGGTCGAACCGCCGACTTGTTCTGACATTTCCAGGCAACAGTATTTCTGCCATCTGCGAGTGTACTTTATATAAAAAGTCGTCGTCAAGATCCTTTCGCAGAACCATACCGTAGCTTGGACGTGGCAACTTCTCCATCAGGCTGACCAGTGACACGCCATCAACCCATTCTGATATGATGAAAGGTCCGATTTTTGGGTCGTGGTTATCGGAAGCACTTCCGTGCGCGACGAGCCTGGGCACAGGAATGCGAGTGTTTCCCTGTAGGTATTTGATCACGGCGACCTCGCGATGTATTTTCTGTTCTGGATCCATGACCCATCCAGGAATGGGGAATCGGACCGCCCAAGCTATACCGTCATCAAATACGACCTTGAAGCAGATATTGAATCCACCATTTATCCTGCCGACGAACTGGCAATGCTGGTCGTCCCTGTATGCAGATGCAAGCCTTTCGACTCCACGAGCACCGTAGTGTTTGTCGTAATGTTCGATCCATGACAGCTTGCGCTCCAGGTGGCTACGACTCGATTCATCATAGTCCATGGTGATATTCGCGGTGGAAACTTAACGCTTGTGGAGACATTGAGCGAACAAAGAGTCTTCAGTCTCATCCAGACGCGAGGGGTACGTGCAGCTGGCGCTTGAAGCACTACACTTGAACTCCATAGAAACCTTTCACCTTGCAACAACGCATCTTGAGAAAAACTGGCAAAGGATGCTGACGTATCCAGAACGTAAAACCGAGTTTCCAAATCTATATTAATTAATCTGTACATCTAAAGCTTGCCCTTGGCCATATTTGACAACATCTCTCTGCCGGTGATCCTTGTGGTATGCCACAGAGTAGGGAAGTCGAGGGTACTGGTAAGACCATCGGCGAAACCAAATCCGAGCATGGGAGGGATCCAACCACGAGCGTACTCGAGGGCGAAGCAAGCATCGTCCATCTTGTATTGCTTGACCTCACCGCGGCGCAAGTGGTGCACACTGCCTTGAGGGTAAACCTCGGGCTCGTAGTGGCCAACGGCGGGTGAGTAAGCGGTTTGGGTACCCTTGAGAATGTGGAAGTAGTCGTCTGCAGTGTGGCGACCGGTGTGGCCTTCGGTTCCAATAGCGGTACCTTTGTGTTTGTTAGCTTTCTGTATTTTCGACGCCGACATTTCTAGTCAAACGTACCGAAAATGATCAAATACTCAGTGATACTGGCGTGAATGATGTACATGGCACCCATTGCACCACCGGCGTTGTTGAAGACCCATTCTTCGTTCAAGTTGACATATTCGCCGGCAGGACCCTGGCTGAGCTCGCCGACGATCTGTGCAACAACAGCCCTAGTGTCGTTTCCATGGTTTGCGATCGCTCTTCCAGAAATATCGTGCAATTGTTTCGTATCGAAGACATAGAAACTCTGAAGATTTTGTTCCATGAAATAAACAATTGCTGAGAAAAGGGCGACGAGGACCGTGACGATCGAATATGTTGTTGCTCGGCTGCTGCTTTGCGCGGGCCTGGAGCCGCTGTTTATTTTGGCTGCCATGTTTTTTGTTTGGTGCAAAAGGTTGACTGGATGGAGAAGAGGCAGTTCCAAAAGTCCAATTGCTTTCCTTAAGCCTATGGGTTTTGTAACATCGACGACGACATCAACAAAAAAAATCAGCCCATTCTGTATCTCCGAGTTCAATCTCCGCGTGGTCGATTATGGCCCGTGCGCACAACTTTGATGGTCGGATAGCCTCAGGGGCTTACCGTCGGCATCCGCGGAAGCGTTGTTAGATGCTGGATGTTGTCTGCTCGATGGGCTTGACATGGCTTGGGGTGTTAAGATAGACAGCCTTGGAACGGGGCCGTTGATTTTGATTGTGACTGCGGAATTTCCTGGATGGCATTGATCAGGAGTATCTCTCACATGGCTACACCGTCGCCGTCGACACGTGCACGAGCTCGAGAGGAAGGAACTCCCTGATTATTTTTGCCACGGCTCTGCCTTTTGTATCCAGTAATCTTCGGATCCTCGATATCTCTTTTTTACTTCTTACTGTGACGGACAACAAGAAACTTCGTGCAGCCCGGCTTGCATGCCTCTCAGTCGTGCTTGTGAACATGAGCACGAACATCAGTGGCTCAAGTTCTTATAATTCGAATGAGCACTCACGTACGTTTCGAACTTTATAGGAAATGATATAAGGCACGTCGTAGGCAATCGACTTGACGAACCATCACTGAGCCCTTCCTGATCTCCATGTGGACACAGCATGGCTTTATCTAGCGCAATTCAGTTCTCGATAAAGGAAGAAGCAAGCATCTAAGAGAAGAAGGCACGTCGAACAAGCACACTAAACCAAAGCTTTTGATTCCTATTCACAGTCTTGACGAAACACGTCATAAACAACTGGAGTACACTACTCTTCGCACTCTTCTGCACACTGTGGCAAGGTCTTGACCTTTGTCGTCTTGGTCAAGCTGTCGACATCATGGACAAACTGCATCAAACTAGCCGAAAACTCTGTGTATCCAGCACTGGTCGTGAGCAAAGTGGCGTTGTATCCTGCCGCAATGGTACTCTCGGTGTAATTGCTCAGCTGCGCATCTGAGTCCGGGAAGCTGTATATCATGACTGTGCTCTTCTGTCTCAGGCATTCGGGAATCTCGTCCTTGCCGCCAGCATTCCAATCGTCATACGAGTTCTCATAAGCATTGACCAAATCAGCATACTCGTAGAATTGAGCGTCGATGGGGATGCCTGGGTTGGTCCAGACTTGTTGGTGGGATTCGGGCATGACTTCATGGACGTAATCCTGGATGTCCTTCAAGTAGGGCAGGTATTTGAGTTCGTATGGTGCTTCGTCGATGAATATGCCGTCGAGGTGAATGTCTGAGTTTGCAGTCTTCTTCCAAGATGCATATGTGGCGATTTCCTGGTGGACAACAGTGGCGTTGCGTTGTGCGTATTCGATGTGGACGTAGCCGAACAGTTGGACGTTACTGTAGGAGCGAAGACCCGTCACTGCCGAGACGACTTCAGGGTTAGAGGCGCCGTCTGAAGGTCCTGAGTCCGGGTTGACGATGACATTGAAGGTGGTGTCTGGAGCCGCAGAGATGGCCTTGTAGAGAGGATCCCAAGCACCCGGGGTAGGATAGATGTACAATGGTATGGCGATTGCCATAGCTAGGTTGACCATTTTGTTATATTTTACCGGTGTCTTGTTCGGTTGAGACGTTGTTGTTAGGAATCCGAGCCCTTGAAGGAGGAAACGAGTGTAGGAAAGGTACTGCTGGTTGAATACGGCAAAAGTGCGACTTGATAGACGCTCGAGATGCGGCACGGCACCTACCTCCTTATTAACTAGACCCTGTGAGGATTTTGTGCTGTCACAGCCTCATCCTTCGTGTAAACTAGCAATAAGTTGCATTTTTAGGCTTCCAATATACTCTGGTGAAACGCTTCCTGTAACGGTTGATAGAGCACACCACAGACACGTGCCAGACCAGTGTCGGCAGTAATTTTGCTATAGGCGTATATCTCCCAAAGACATGAGCTTGTGCAGGAGAAACATCTAAGAGGTCCAGACGTCGCGCCCTCCCTTGGTCTGTTGAGCCGCGTCTAAGAATATCGGCCGCGGACATCGTTGGAAGCTTCAAGGTCTGTTGACTCACTCCACCAACAGAGGTGTCATAGCGTGCTGCAAGCCTGCATGAAAGGTATGCGGTGTTTGTGGAATCGAGTCCCGGAGACTAGCATACAATAGCCAAGCCTCTTTTGATGACGAGTGGTGAGCAGAGTTTGATGGAAAACAGGAGACAGAGTTAGGCTTCTCCGCATAAGCCAGGCACGTTCCCAGCCTCTTGTCAGGAAGGATCGATGCCATCAAATCACGGATGGCTACATGATGCAGACTGTTGGCAACAATACCCAGCCAGCAATGAAGCATCCTACCTGATGTGGAGTGTCGCAAGGTGATGCAAAAGCTCAAGGTTTTTGTTGAATACCCAACAAACTAGGAGATGTTGCCAACTTTCATGCCCCTGCGATGAATGTTCCCTGGAGTCAAGTCTTGTCAATATGGAATGAATGTGCTTGCACACTAAGCGAAGCGTTTTGACAGTGGTATTGATAGATCACTAGATCTACGTCAGATGAAAACGTACGTAGTTCTTAACAGATAGGATAGTATTAAATGCTCTTTAGAAACACCTTGACTTATTAATATCACACTATCGCCTTCGTCGCGCTGTCTGAAAGTGCTCATGTACATGGTCAGGGTGGTATGGCTGGCAAAGTCGCGGCAGCACTTCCTAATCCGGACCAGCCGACCACGCGCCCACCTGCCAGCTCCAGACCGACGCAACACCTAAAAGCATCCAAAAGAAAAACACAAACATGTACACAACCCAGACCATAGTTTCAACAAAGGGGAGCAGATGGCAACAAGAATGAAAGCTTGAACATGTATGATTTATGTACAAAGCCGAGAACCAGACCTCTTTCTTTTAAATCTGAATCAAACAAAACAATGCTGGGAAAAAATATGGGCAAATGCAATGTAACACAAGCCAGGCAATACCTCCCGTCTAAACAATCAATCATGCATCAACATCAACCAATTGGCGCGCCTTATGCGCCTTCTCGGCCTCCTTGATCAGGATCTCAAAGTCGCCAGACATGTCGCACATTCCCTTGAAGATACCGTTGTCCATTCTGATAAGGTCCCAGGGGTTACCATACTCGATCAGTTGACCCTTGTCCAAGACCAAGACCTTGTCGTAATCAATAATGGTTTGGAGACGATGGGCAATGGTGATGGTGGTGTTCTTGATCTCGCGAATGGTCTCTTGAATCTTTGCATCAGTGGCGTAGTCGATAGATGCAGTTGCTTCGTCCATCAGTAACACTTTAGGGTCCTTAAGCAAGGCACGAGCCAAGCACAGGAGTTGGCGCTGACCTTGAGAAAGGTTGCTACCAGACTCCGCGACAGAAGAATAAAGGTTGTTGAAAATGTTCTTGTTCTCGAGAGCGGCGGGGGCGTCGGGAGTTGTCTCGGCAGCACCTTCGAAGCGGACGCTGCCACTGCCATTGACAGGTGAAGGCGCACGCGAAGGCTCAGCCGAGGCAGCACCAACAAGTTGTGTGCGGCGAAGTGCGGTGAAGATCTCCTCGTCGGTGAACAGTCCGAAGGGATCGAGGTTGCTTCTGATGGTTCCAGTGAAAAGGGTGGGATCTTGAGGGACCATGACAATGTTCTCGCGCAAATCTTGGAGACCGATCACACTGACGTCGACATTATCAATGATGATGCTTCCCGTCTCGGCTTCGAGTGCTCTGAAGAGAGCAAGAGCCAATGAACTCTTACCAGCACCTGTTCTACCAACAACACCGACCTTCTCACCAGGCAGAATCTTGAAGCTCAGATCCTTGAGGACCATGTCAAAGTCGCTGCGGTATCTGGTGCTGTAGTCTTTGAACTCCACGGCACCCTGGCTAGGCCAATCGGGTAGAGGTTTCTTGTCCTCGATTTGATACGGCGCCTCCTGCTCAACCTCGAAGTACTCCTTGACACGCTCAACAGCGTTCATGTTTTGCTCGTTCATCGAGTAGAGTCTGACGAACCACAGGACGTTCTCGGTGAATGTGACAGCGTAGGTCATGGCCAAACCAGCAGCACCGGCGTCGAGCTCACCGACGCTCAGAATGACAAACGCACCGGTGAAGAATGATACCAATGCACCAGTGACATCGACACGGAATGCGAGCCAGCGGTTAGCGCCCCATAGATAGATGAATGGTCTCGAGTGGGTGTTGACCTTGTGCATGTTTTCACGAATGAAGCGACGCTCATCGCCATAAGCTCTGATTGTCGTCATGCCGGACAAGGTTTCACCAAACTGCTGGTACAGAGGACTGCGCTGCACAGACTCCAGACGCTTGAGGTCGCGAGACGAGTTGATGTAGAAAGCACCAATCATGAAGTACAGAACACTGATGAATACACCAGCAATCAAGAAGCGAGGTGTGATGACCGAGATGAGAATGACGGTAGTGATGATCGAGGCCATGCAGTGGACCACGCCAACAGCAACGGGAGCAATCTCCTGATCAATAGCCTCGACATCCTTGGAGAATCTGTTCATGATCTGACCGAGAGGGGTCGAATCGAAAAAGCGGAACTTTGCGTGTGTGACAGACTCCATGAGCTTTCTGTGAATTCTCTTAGAAGCAACCAGAGATCCGTAGAAAAGGACACCTTCCCGAGAGATGGTAATGATCATGTATACAAGACCAAGAATACCGTAGACAGCGAGGTAGTAGGAGACGTCGACACCATCAGAGCTCTCCGAACGGATGGAGAATTGGTCGGTGGTGTTGGAAGTGCCGAATGAGGGCAGGCCCCAAAGACATGATCCGCTCTTGACGCAAGAAGCTCCACTGCCAATACCGCTAAACACGTGAGTGAGTTGACGGGGCTCAGTGTAGACGCCCATAACAGTAGTCTCTCTCTTTTCAGAGTATGCATTGGCCCATTGTCGGATCCAGACGTTGGTCGAGACTTGAGAAACCTGCTGGAGAGCAAACATCAAAGCAGTGACAACCCAGTAGTACCATGTGCCCATGTAAGAGAAGTACATTATGATGACTTTGAGGCTGACACTGCCAGTAGCCTTCGTCTCGGTAGGCAGAGTAACGTCAACGTCCTTGTTCATGCCGGGAACGTCCTTAGAGATGACCCTGTGGAGAGGATTATCCTCGTGTTCGGCTGAACCATTAGTAGCTTTTCCGTTGGTATGACCATTTTCCCCGAGGGGATGATCACCACCAATACCCGACGGTACACGGGAAGGAAGGTGAGATGCACCGCCTTCAGATTCTTCCAAGACCTTGCTAAGATCTTCGGTAAGCTTGCCAGACATGATGACATCCCTGGCACTGCCTTGAGTACTAACTCTGCCGTTATCGAGGACGGCAGCGAATGCAGCGTGGGGAAGACAGAGGGTGGTGCTGTGAGTGACCAGGATACAGGTTCTATTGAGCATGAGAGGGCCCATAAGAGCCTTTTCGAAGATCCATTTGGAAGTGTGAGCATCGACTGCACTCAGAACATCGTCGAGAAGGACATGTCTGGCGTTGCAGTAGAGTGCGCGAGCAAGAGAGATACGTTGCTTCTGACCTCCAGAAAGAGTGACACCCTTCTCACCGACAAGGGTCTGATCACCACCATCGAGAATCTCGAGATCGCGCTGTAGCGAACAAGCAACGATAACATCCTTGTAGCGTCTTGGGTTCCAGGGACTAGCGAATACGATGTTCTCCTTGATGGTTCCGTTAACAAGCCAGGCTTGCTGAGCGCAGTATGCGACGCTCTCAACAAGTCCAGTCTCGGGGTCAGACTTGAGATCCTCTCTGCTGTGCCCACCAGGCAGATAAACATTGCCATCAAGTTTAGACATCTCTCCGAGCAGTGCCATCAGGAGCGATGTCTTACCACTACCAGTGGGTCCAACGATAACGTTTAATTCGCCAATTCGGAAGCGCATGTTGAGATCAATCATCTTGAAGTCATCGGCTTCAGTGCCACCACCCCAGCTGAACGTTGCGTTCTCGAAGCCGATGACAGAGTTTCCATCCTGGTCAAATTCGTTACCTTGGAGTTGGTTGTACTTGTCGGTCTCGGGCTCGTTAAGGTACTCCTCAATACGGTCAACAGATACTTTGGATTCCTGAACGTGCGCAACCATATCGGCAAGCTGATCCAGGGGAATGCGCAAAAGACTGAAGAGCGAGAGAGCAGTGAAAGCCACGGATGGAATCAAATCTTTCTTCTCAATCATAGTGTAGACGAGGAAGGTCAGGAAGGTGATGACCATCGGGGCACCACCCCAGATGGTAGCTGCGGCAGCCCAAATGATATATCTGTTGCGAAGATTCTTCAGCTCGACTGCTCTCTTCTCGTCGACCTGACCGAGGAAACGCTGCTCCCAAGCAAAGTACTTGATAATTCGGATGTTGGTGAGCACTTCGTTGGTGGTGTGAATACGAGCATCGGTAGCTGCGAGAATCTTCTTCTGAGCCTTGGTGAACTGCTTGGCAATGAAAAGATTGACAGGGAGAAGCAGAGCCATCATGATAATACCAGCGATACTGCTGTAACCCAGGATACTGTAGAGTAGGTAGATCGCCAGAGCGAATTGGACAGGAGTCTCGGCCCACAGGAAATGCAGGTAGGCACAAATCTCGCTGACCTTGAAAGAGTCGACAGCCATCAAGTTGATGATTGTACCAGAAGTGACCTGGTCGGTGCTTTGTTCCTTCTTCGGGACATCCTTGGTAGCCTCCGACGTCTTCTTGCCCTTGTAGAATGATTTGACCTTTTTGAGGAAAGCTTCCTTGGTAGAGCCTTTGGGTGCAGGAGGCCCATTGTCCTTCTTTTCCTCCTCACCCAGAACCTTGTCACCAGCAGCTGCAGCCTTACGACGCAAAGCCTTGGAATAGATCTCGCCAATGATGATGGCACGGAGGCGAATGCATGTCTTTCTTCCAATCCACAGAGCCTGACCACCAGAGAGGGCAGAGACGATACCAGAGACGAACAGCAAGATGACGTAGAACCACGCAGCGTTGACAGGGGTATCAGCTGGATTCTCAACGTACTCCAGGATGACCTTGAGGAGAAGGGTAGGAACAAAAAGGTTGACTCCGGAGATGGCTGCCCATGCAGCTTGGATGAGGAGACCGCGCTTAAAGTACTTCAACAAGTGCCATGCGAGGATCGAAGTCTTCTTGACTTGGCGGTAGTCAGACAGAACAGCTTCTGCCTTGTCTCTAGCATTAAGGTTCCAGACATCGGACAACTCTGTTGGCTTCTTGTATCCCTTCCAGACAATGGGGTCGACCCAGGAGAAGGTAGCAAGAGAGAGCACACTAGCCAGAGGCTCTCTCGACGGCTCGATGTCTCCCTCATACTCAAGTTCGACAGGCTTGTTACCCTTGCGTGAGGTGAGCATGATCAGAGTCAGCAGGGTGGTCAGGGCAAAGTGAGTGCTCGTAAGCGCTTGAGCACCTTGAGAGACCGGGTGAATGATTGCTGAGCGGAAGAGGAGGAAAGCGCAGATCCATTGAGCAGCGTAGAGGAAGCCGGTGTGGTACCAGAGCTTGTTAAACGAGTAGTTGTTTGTGCTGGAGAAGTAGAGACGCAGAGTGGTCAGAACTGCAACGTACGACCAGAGAGCGGTACTGCAAATCATTGTGACTCTGCTCCATCCCCAGATGCCAGTGGCGCATGCAGCGGCGTGGATACCAATCTCGGCCAATACAGCAAGCTCTTCAATGATGGGCAGAACGATCTGGCCTCTGGGCTTGTCGACGACAGACATCTCAGTGTTACGGGTGCGGACGGTACGAATGGCGAGATCCTCGTTGCCGCCAAACTCATCCGAGTCATCGTCGGTATCTTCCTCATCCTGGGACGAGGGAACACGTTGATCCCAGGCGCGGGGACGTTTGGAATTAACAGGTTTATAGGCAGAGGAATATTTCGAGTTGACGGCGGTATAAATTAGTTGGAAGGTAAGGTATAGTACGGATACGACGGTAGCGATGAGGGGAAGGATTCCCATGAGGTAGCTGGAACGCGGTTAGCACGGCGTGTCTGAAGGCGAAACATGTCTGTCTCTCTACGCGACAAGCACATTCAATCTCATGGAAACTTACTCATTTTGGAAGCAGTTCGTGAAATCGTCACTCCGCCAGATCGGCCCCTTGCATTGCCCCCAGTTCAACATGGCGGGGATTGCGCCAGGACGAGGCAGTATGGATGTTGATGTGTGTTTCGCCGCTCTCTCAAGCAATGATTCTGATACGGCCAGCTGCTCGGCACGTGCAGTCTCAAACTCTTTCTAGACGACAACGACAACTACCACCAGAACTTCGATGTGTTGTGTAACAGCGACGATGCGCTGAAAATGTTGATGAAGGAAGCAGAAGCCAATCGCGCTCGCTTCGGCCTGTCTGCCGTTTGCCGTATCTGCGTCACTTCGGCAAGGCTTGTCCTAATTTAAGCTCGCCTCTTCTGACCCTCTTGACTCGCTCAATTGGCTGCTTTTGCTCGAACTCCTGGAGAAAGACACAAGCTGGAATGGAAGAGATACAGTCCAAGGGCAGGCGGTATGGTCATATTAGGACCATCGCTGGTGCCTTTCTGACCACTTCCAATCCTCATGCATTGCGTACCACCGCTCTGGATTGATCCCCTCCTGACTCATACAACCACGGTAAAACGACCTATCACCGGTTTCCCAATCAGGCAGGACAGAAAGCTTGCGGAGTCCTACACGAGCATAGCTCAATCACACAATCCCACGAAAGACGAGCAATTCGGATACGGCAAAATTTATTAACAGACCGCTATACGCCATTTGGTATTGACAAAGAGAATTTAATTGGTTCGCTGGGTGAGGATTCCAGTCATATCACCTGCAGAGATAGGCATGCCGCGACGCAAAAGCCATTCTCTTATCAGCTCTCAATAATCGGAAAGGCGTAGACCGCAATCCTTCACGCCTTTCCCGCTAATAAACCCTAGAAAAAGCCGCGCATGCATTCGCTTATCTTCTAGCAGCAGCGACTGGGGTCCATGGCTGGTACTTGTTCTTGACACTATGTTGACTTAGTCTCTCCGGCTTCGCTGTCGTACCAATGTCCATCGTGACTTACGTGTTGAAGGGTCTGTATGCACTTCTGCTCCAGGTCAAGCAGGGACGGTGCTCTGCAGGCTCCCACGGGCGAACTTGTCTCTGAAGGAGGGGGTCCTGGGATGGTGCTTTGTCGACCATGTATGACATCCATGCGTGCCTGTATCGTGTGAGAAGTATGCACAACGTCTCGATCTAGGTCTACTACATACCATCCGGGCTCAATCTGGTCACTGTTCGAATCCGAGTCAGTCCTCCTGCTGCTCCATCTAGTATCCTCGCATGGTTATACGCACGGGTTGAATTCCTGGTCCTTGTAGTCGCACCATCTCGTTCTCACTGTGTTCCACGCATCAGATGCAAGCTCTCGGTGTCTCCCAGTCTCATGTCGACGTACAGGGCAGGTCCTCCATGTTCTCAAAGTACTTGTTGCCGTAACGATCCTGGCCCACGAGGGTACCGGCCTTGGTGTCACCTGTATTCCTTCAGTCGCGGTCGCAAGTTGTCCAGATGTTGTTCCTCCGTACCCATGTACTATAGCAGTGAGATATCGAGTAAGTCGTCATCCTTTGAAGGGCGTTCGTTGATTCCGGAGCGGCGGACGTACCTGCATTTGGTGGCCATATTCCTGAAAGAGTGGTTAGCGCGAGCAGGTAGAAGACTGGTCACAATCACTCACCTTGAGGCCAATTGAGCGCAAGTTGCGCAGCGTTCTCATGATAGTCGACATGGTTGCGGTATGTGATTTCCAGTCCTCACTGTTCTCGCTGCTGGTCGCGATTGAGGATGCGGCAATCGATGGTCAGCATGTGTTTGGCTTGTTTGTTCCTGCTTGCGATCGTCCGCCTTGGCACCAAATGTCACGCTGGAACATTTATCTCTGATCAGTGCAACACTTCGGATCAAATATTTGCGAATAGGACTATGTTCGCAAGGTGTGTGCCGCGACAAGCGGCCCGTAGAGCAGTGAGGTCTACAAGGACATCGCATCAGATGCCTCTGAAAAGACGCTACTCCAACTCAAGCGTTGTTCCTCCGACAAGCATATCATCTCCTGCAGCAGCCTTGGGAGGACTGAATACCGAGTTAGACAAACTATCTCCTCGGTTTGATATATCTTCGTCTCAGATTGAGATTCTGAGATCTCCTTCTGACTTCTATGAGACCCTGAAGGCAAGTCGAGCAGTCAATCTCTATTCTCTATGTATTTCCACGCCATGGTCTATGACCCTCATATATTCCAGAAAGAGGAACAGTCTCGATATAGTGAAGACACTGGGACGAGTCAACGATGATACTACGTGACTGACTAGAAAACCAGACCAAGATCAGGACAGCCAAAACAAGAATCTACCTCTCGACTCTTTACATTGGGAAGTCTGAGCACGAGCTGGTATTTTCATTGCTTCTGTTATTTGCATCTCAGTCTGATGAATGTTGTAGATTCAAACCATCCAAGAATCACTCAAGCGAAACCCCGACCTAAAAGTCTCGTTCCTCACGGATTCTCTTCGAGGAACAAGAGAGACACCCAAAGCATCATGTGCAACGTTACTAGCGGCTCTGATCGATGAGTTTGGCCAGGATCGTGTTGAAGTATGCATGTACCACACTCCAAACTTGACTGGGATTCGCAAGTCCATGATCCCAAAACGCATCAACGAAGGATGGGGATTACAACATATGAAACTCTACGGAATTGACGATGAAATCATCATGTCAGGTGCAAATCTGTCATCTGATTACTTCACCAACCGTCAGGATCGCTACCACTTGATCTCATGCAAACGGATCACCGACTACTTTGCCAAAGTGCATGACACAGTGTGCAGCATTAGCTATCGCGTAGTACCGAATGCTTCAGCACCCGGAGGATTCAATCTCGACTGGCCGACCACGAACGCGCACCCGGCACCTCTGACTGACCCTAAGGAATTCATTACTCAAGCCACAAGATTGCTCGCTCCGTTACTGAAACCAGCGTCTACCAGTTCCGCCCAGGCTTCACAAACGGATACACAACTTTACCCTCTGCTTCAGCTGACACCTCTTCTGAAGCCTGACACATCTACTGAACTGCCAGCGCTTACTACAATCCTCAAGGCTCTGGCTACTCCAGCCTTCGCAGGTAGCAAATGGACGTTTACAGCTGGATACTTCAACATGACACCCTGGCTCCGTGACTTGCTTTTGGCTTCCAATCCATCATCTGCAAATGTCATTGCTGCTTCACCTTGGGCCAATGGCTTCTACGGCTCACCGGGTGTGTCTGGTATGCTGCCCGCTGCTTACACTCTACTGGGCCGCCGTTTCTTGTCCGCGGTGCAGAAAGCTGGATTGGAAAATCAGATCATCCTCAAAGAATGGAGAAAGGGCACCGTCAACACACCACATGGTTGGACATATCACGCAAAGGGCATTTGGGTCACGCTTAAAGACCAGCCCGGCCCGAGTGTGAGTCTAATTGGTAGCAGTAACTATACCAAGAGAAGTTATAGTCTGGACTTGGAAGCAAATGCGTTGATTGTCACTAAAGATGCTGGATTGATGAAGAGGCTCAAGGAAGAGGAGGAGTGGTTGCAAGAGTACGCGACAAAGGTTGACCAGAGCACCTTTGAGAAGACTGAACGCAGGGTCGGCCTGCATGTGAGAATCGCCATGTGGATCGTCACCTTGGTTGGCGGTGCTTTGTAGACAGCATGTCGGTGGGTGTGATGTAAGATATCCAGAACCTGACAACCATATTATTTCGTTACGCAGAAAGGACGTTTCCCGTGTCGTGTATAGAATTTCGCTCTAGTATTTTGCGACAAAAGCTTCTGATCAAGGTCTCAAGGAAATCATGGCAAGTCACAAGAACTCAATCACGCATAAGAAGAAATCATAAATGGCCTTTGAATCATTTTTTGTTTCATTCCGGCAACAGCATCCAGCCAGCAAACACAACACCCCATTCTCCATTTTGTTCTAGAAGTAAATCCGATCAGGAAACAAGAAGAGCGAGACGCTTACTGCTTCTCAGCAGCCTTGCGGGCCTTGGAGCCACGGAGCTTGGTGGGCTGGACGGAAGCCTTGACCTGGCGGGTGGCCTTCTTGACGGCAGAAGCGCGCTGGACGGCCTCCATGTGCAAGTCCTGGCGGTAACCTCTCTTGGTGTTTCCAGAGACGGCGTTGTTGATGAGCTTGCGGGAAGGGGTGGTGGACTTGAAGGTGGTCTTGGAGTAGGACTTGGCGGGCTTGCTTGAGTTGTTGCCGAGCTTGGTGGTGACCTCGATCTTGCCGTCCTTGGAGTTGATGCCGATAGCCTGGGGGTTGGCGAGCGAAGAGTACTGCGCGGAATTGCATATCAGTATCCTGAGCTGCGGGCTTTTTTTTTCCTCTCTCGAGAAATGTGGGTTGAGTCCTTACCTTGCGCGAGTGGAGGTTGGTCAGGTTAAGGGGGTCCTTGGAGAACTGAACACCACCGGCCTGGTTGCGCTTCACGAGGAAGGCATTGTTGTGGCCTTGAAGAATGCGCGCGTCAGTTACAAGTGCTCATATTTTGGTGTCGTCCCTCCGAAGCGTATATTCTTCAACGAAATGGTCGATTTTCCAAATTTCCTCATCCCTAAACCGGGTCCATCTCTTTCAATTCTTCGGAGCGGAGCTGAGGGCACGTACGGATGGTCTCCCAGATGAGGTCGTAGGAGTTGTTGTCAAAGTTGGTGGCCATTTTTGCTGTGTATGAGATGAACTGGATCGTAGAGGAGCAAGAAATCGTGAATATTCAAAGGCGTCTGTGTGTGCTGGAAGCCCGGCTAACCTTCCCGAAAGCCCTGATTTCCTTGTCGGTTATCCTCGCCGAGAAAGCAGCTTGCGATCTGGGGTAAACTGCCAAGCATACAAGGTCGTGCAGTCGTAAGCTGAGCCCCGTTTGGAGGAGCATCATCTTTCAGCAGCAATTTCCCTGGTCTCGGTGTACTTCATCTCTCGTCTCCGGCCCTTTATGTGACTGCGTATACCTCTGGCCACCTAGGCCTTGAACTGAACATTTACACCTGACACCAATCCTTGTCCTCGACATCCCACTCGGATCACTGCTATCTCCGGCCAAGGCCGCGTTGTCAACCATCTGTCCATCCGTCTATTCCGAGTCCACGAAACAAGGACTGCGCATTCTTTCTCTACCTCTTACCTCCTTCTATATTTTAATGTTGTCAACATGGGCTATCTATTCTACTCAATAACCTTCCTCTTCCTCGTCACCGCAACCGGTATGCTTTCCATCCCTTCATCCCCTCCCTGCACCCGCTTATACAACGCTAACAACCCTCCCAGCACTCTACCTAACCAAACACCTCTGGATCTCCCACGCGCCCCCAATCCCCTACCTCACAGCCCCCGGCCACATCCCCGAACCACTCTGGCGACTTTCCCAATCCCTACAACGACTAAACCCATTCGCCCAAAATGCCTACATCAGTCTCGGTCAAAACAGCTTCGAAGACGACATGGAAGCCGGCTTCAGCAGTGCGAATTTCGACCTGAGGGAAAATGTCGAAGGTGGGGATAGTAGGCAAGGGTTAGATGAGCAAGGGAAAGCAAGAGTCAAGGCGGTTATGAAGAGTAGGGGTTGTGGGTTTGATGAGGCTAGGAGGATAGTGATGGAGGAGAGATTTGGGAGGGAGAATATTGGGAAGGACGGTAGACCTAGGGATCCAAAGGCTGTCATGTTTGATCGTCTGTGATCTTTGGTCAAGGATTATTCGTTTCGTTTGTCTGCTTGACTGGGTTATTTCTAGCGATGGGATTGGGATCTTCTTTCTTGACTCTCGTTTGTTTGCTTGCTAATCACTATACCACGCTCATGCTCAACAACTTCGGGCTTCTTTCTCTTCTCCTACATATCCCCTTTCGGTCTATGTGAATATGCTTAGATGCCTTCAGCTCTCACGGAAGCTTCGAACAGCATCGCTACACTGCAATCAAGTCACGGCTGGAACAGTGGACGCTTAAGGACCACAATCACGACATCCCTCTCTCCAGTTGACCATCGATTCGCTTGGAAGTCAGCCGATGGCAGTCAGGACATCGGTTCAAGGCTGTGAGCATTGAGACATGCAATCTCGAGGGACACAAAGAGCAGGCTGGAATGTGGTAAGAATGGTTGATCGACCATTACACACTGTCGACTGTAGAGCCTGCACAGTGGTTGTGATTTCCTAGCTTTCACCGAGGGTCAACTTGCAGGGGTTACCCGTGTTTCCTGATACGTTGTCCATCTCAATATACATTTCCTTCTCCTTTTGTCATGCAACCAAATCCCGAGCATGCCATGAACGCCTCGCTAAAAACAACAGCTTTTCCTTGAATCGTAGATGTAGCCTCTTCTCTCAGATTGTACCAACTCGTCTCATCGTCTTTGGTAGGCGTTTGGAGGCATTCCTGGAGGAGGAGCAGGGAAACCGGGAGGCATACCAGGCATGCCACCGAAACCTGGCGGTGGTGCAAAGCCTGGAGGAGCTCCATTTGGTGCGAAACCTGGAGGGGGGGCAAAGCCTTGAGGACCGTTATAGCCACCTTGGGGACCGTTATATCCACCGATGCTAGGAGGTGGTCGAGCAGGAACGCCGGCGGCAGCTGGAGGAGCTGGGAGTGGGGTCCTGGCTGCTGGAGGAGCGCCGTATCCACCGGTCACAGGCGAGACACCGTAGGGTGCGGCAGACATGGGCGTGGGCGGTGCGATAGGGGTGGCGATCTGCTGAGGAGCAAGCAGTTGTGGGGGTAGAGGTTGGACCTGGGGCTCGATGTTGTGTTCGCGGCCGGCTGCAGCAAGGGCACGCTCTGCGGCGTCGCCGTGACGTTCACCCTTGCCATCCTTCTTGAAAGCGTACTGGGCGGTGATCTCTTTGTTCATGAGGTATTGGCCGTGCATGTTTGCGATGGCATCGTCGGAGGCTTCGAATGTGGTGAAGGACACGAAGCCGTATCCCTTGCTGAGGTTCGCATCGTCGCGAGCAACCTGAAGAGCTGTCAGTAACATGACAGAGGTGGGCAAACAGGACAGAGCATACCTTTGGTGCAGAGGTCAAGCTGCCGAAGCGGCTGAAAGTCTCGAACAAGACGCGCTCGTCGACCATGGGATCCAAGTTTCCAACGAAGAGCTCGGCACCAACATCCAGAGTCTTCTGCTTGTCGGCCGAGGCCTTGTTGACACGGATTGGCTTTCCCCATAGACGGATCTGGTTCATGATTTTGGCGGCATAGTCGGCGTCTTCTTCGCTGACGAACTCGACGAAGCCAAAGCCCTGATGTGTTTGCGTGACGCGATCCTTGGGGAGATGGACATTGACGATGCGGCCAGCTTGGAGCATCAACTCCCAGACGAGTTGGTCGGTTACGCGCTCATCGAGGTTGCCGACATAGACGGTGGCTTCCTTGTCTTGTTCCCTGCAAGACGTGTTAGCTTGAGCTTCTAGTGGGGTATGTTATGCGCTCGCGGCTGTGGTGCGACTGAGAAGAGGATGGATGGTGGATATGGAAGGAGTCAACATACCAGTGCTTTCCTCCAGACGCCATGTTCGTTGGTGTACGTTGAATGTAATCAAGTGGCAGAGGTGTCTAGTCGCATGCGCCAGAGAAGTTCAGCAATGACGGAAGGCTCCGCCGCTTCTTTTCGCCGCAAAGCCCGATCTGACGCCTGTCGCGAGTGACGCTTTACACATCTTTGCTCTGTCTAGCACCTCTATACATCCGTGTCCATCTCGTCAACATGCAGCTTTCCGAAGAGACCAAGGTATGCCGAGTCAACCCATGACATTCCTGTGACTTTCTGACTGACACTCATGTAGGAGCGCATCTCGCGCGTCATTGACATTTCTCGTGTCGCTGTCCACTAGTACGTTCGCTCCGTCTTTCTATCATCTGTCGCACCCTGGACCCCCTGGCATCTCTCAAACTGGTCTGCTTTACTGTTTGGAACAAGAGGACGAGGAAAAGCAAAAAGACCAAGGACATGGACCATGAAACACGTCGAAGCCTCATGCACATCACACATCCTTTCCTTGCTACGACAGCAAACACCGGCATCGACACGAACCATCTCGGTTCCTGTAAAGGAACTTGCGCTGACAGGCCATCTTACAGTGGATACCTTCCCTTGATCATCTACCTTGGCTACACCCGCAGCGTGCCCCGCCCTTCTCTGATCAAGTACGACTCTGCCTTCGACCCTCGGTCCACTACGCTGTGCTGACTCTCTCCCAGGCTCTTCTCTCCTCTCGCCATCTAAGCAGAATAAGCTGGCCCGACACTGTACGATAGACGAACGAGGCGTGAAGTTGTGTTGAGCGTTTACGAGAAAGGCCCAACGAGATGCAGGACAGCCAGCGGCTTCGACTTCTGCAATACTACCAAAAGGCTATTCCTGCCACTTCTTGTACAAAGTAAAATATTCTGCCTTGACGAATGAGGCTCTTTTTGATGAATCCACTAAACTCTGATCACTTCTATCTAAGGGTATCCTGCTTCTGCTCTACTTTAATGTGCCTGTGACCAACTGTCTATGATGCATCCTTGTCCTTTTTGAATCTGCTCGCAAAGGCTGGGAAGTTCATGGTCGACTTCTTGTCCGCCACTGGGCTGGCTGCTTGGGCGACCGCAGCTGCCTTCTGTGCCTCGACTCCCTGACTGACCTTCTCAAGCAGCTCGGCTCCACTCATCTTGTCCACCTTCCCAAACCTCTTGCGTCCCTTTTCCACGTCGAAGAACTCTTCTTCTGCGCGTCCCTCACCTTCTTTGGCCACAGCCATGAGCTCAACTGTTTGGCGTAGCTCGTCAAGGCCCTCCATGAGCACGGGGTTGTCGAGGCTGCGGACAAACTCGATCAAATGCTCCGAGTCAAGGCGGAACGCTGTGACACTCTGAGGCGAGAGTCGACGGATGGAGGGGTCCAACGGTAGTGCAAGAATGGCGTTACTGATATGTGCCAGGGCGTCAAAGTAAATGAGCTCTTTGATCTGCACGGGCAGACCGAGCAACACACTGGACATGACGTCCGACAAGTAGCGTGTCAATTCCTGCATATAAGGCGAAGCAGCTGATGGCTCATAGGTGGAGCTCCAGTCATACTCGGCTGTCTCGATCAAGTCGTCGATCTTGCTGTTGACGAGTTCGAAGATGCGCTTCTCTGCCGCCTTTTTGGCTGTTGTGAATTCTTCTGTCGCCGCGAGCACGATAGGCCCGGCTGCGCTGCTCGACGAGCGGGCTTCTGCGAGCAAGTCTTGCAGCTCTCGGCATGCTGTTTCGAAGTGATCGAGGTTGGTCAGGATTTGCACAATTTGACCGGGGTACTGTGATGATAGCCTTTCGACGAGTGACTGGCACACTTTGTGGCAGAGTAAATCGTCCAACGACTGTTGTGAAGTATGTCAGTCACGTGTGAAGCTCAGGGCGGCGCCTCGATGGCTTACGCTTTTTAGTGTGTCGTCGATGACTCCAGTGTTTTGGAAGTGATCGTCAGAGAACAGATAGATTTGGTTTAGAAAGTTCCGGATGTCGATGCAACAAAGGGGGTACATCTGGGAGAAGGGAAGAACACAGGGGAAGCTACTGTAGTTAGTATCATGATTCCGCGTATCTCTGACGCATACACGTACTTTTGCTGCTCACGATCCTTCTCTGGCGTATACCAGCTGACGTTGATAACCTTATCGTACTCGTCGGGGTTGTTGATTGGCATAGGCATGTAGTCGTCAGTCGACACAATCTACGTGTGAAAGTCAGCTTTAGCTCGCAACACGAACCGCACGGCTGGGCTGGGCTTGCGATCACTACGCCACTCACCTCCTGGAAATCTTCGCTGAACCTCTGCTTGAGCAACTGCGCGTACTTGTCGAAAATCGTAAGGAGTAACTTGTCGAGACTATCCACAGAATAGCCCCAACTCTGTCATCTCTTGTCAGCCTCTTTTCTGATCTGCAGTTTAGTGCTAATAGCTGGACTCACTCCCATAGTCTGGACGAAGAGCGCAATGACGCCCTTGATCTTCAAGAGTCTCTCGTCGTTGTCAATAGCTGGCAACGACTTGCTGACCAACGTGATGGCACTTTGGCACATCGAGTCCCACAACTCATCAACCTGGATAACGTCAACAAAGCCCGTGGTCGATTCAAGAGGGGTGGGCTCACATCCGCGGACGACCTCAAATTCTCTGTTTTCAACATCGTAGCTTTCTCGACGATGGCAAAGCCAGCAATGCTCTCTAGCAGAGTACTCAATTCGCCTGCGTCTTCGTCCAGGAGATCGAGGCTCGTCGGCAAGAGCAGTTCTTTCTGCCTCCTTCTGGTGGCCGAGTAGTCTTGACGAAACTTCTCGCTTTGGCCCAGAGCGTCATGTATGTGGATTGCTTCAAAGAGAGGAGAGAAGTCAACCTGTACTTCCTCGTTGTTCAGCACATCAAATTCTTCGCTCTCGTCGGCAACGGCTTCCACTGCTGAGTTGAGTTTGAAGTTGGCTAGATCTGGATTCTCCTCGAACCTCATCTTGTGTCTGGTGCGACGCATCTCGGTGTGGTAGAATGCTACCTCGCCCAAGAATTGCGAAGTCTCTCGGATCCGGAAAAGCCAAGTGTTCAGGTCTGCCATGACAGCCTCAGCTATCAGGCGCTGGGTTGCAGGTACAGAGCGCTCAATCATGCCAGCAATCATGTAGCGGGTGACCTCTCTCAGGTGAACGTTCTGCAGCTCGTCCAAGGCCCGAAGTGCTGCATAGCGATTCTTCTCTTGGAGGAGGTCATGTACCTGGTTTGCCAGCCGCAGAACTTCGAGGCAGTCTTTCAATGCTTGAGTGGCGTCATCAATGTTCTGCCTGACACCTCTGGAATCAACCAAGGCTCTCTTCTGCTCTGCGAGTTTCTCGGTACTAGCTTCGATTGACTGGCTGAGGCTCATAATCTCGGCGGTCAAGTCGACAGTACCTTGTCGGACGTGTTGGAGCTGATTGACTGAGTTGATGAATTCCTGATGATTGGTGTTGCAGATACGCTCGATCTCGGCTTGTCGGTCGTTCGAGACTTGGTTGAGGGCCTGAATCAGATGGCCAGCACGCTCTGAGTTTCTGAGATCTCGCATCACCGGTATCAACTGGTCGATGTAATCTGTCTCGGATGATGACAGAATAATCTGCGTTATGTCAGCTTGCTGTCATGTCTTCGGGAATACGAAATTACTACCTGCTGGACAGCGCCCATGAACTCATCATGGGGTTCAATTATCGCCGGCATGATTTACCACAGTTGGTGTCTCCTCGAATAGGCAAGGACTGGGATACAACTGCTTTGCCTAAGACGCGTCCTTAGATACGTAAAGGTCGGGGATTTTCGCAATCTAAGTCGAGCCTCGAGAGTGAAAGAACAGAATCGATGGACTGGCCTGTCTTGCGGAATGTCAAGATCAAGATGTTTATCTAGTCCAGATCATGACCGTAATGGTTATTGGACTCGAGAAATGGGAGCATGTCATGCTTCGGAGTTGGAGAGGAGTAGATGAGGCCAATGCGCGAAACTAGGCTCGAAGAACTTAGTTGCCGCAGAGCCGCATCAAACACCACATGGCTGGAAGCAATTGCCAAGCAGGCAATCAACCTCAAGCTCTATAACAAAGAGCGAAGCCTGCTTCGTTGTTGCATGCTGTGGGACATCATCGCAAGAAGTGTTCGAGCGATGTGGGATACGATGCACAACAATTTCAGAGGTGTTACCCAGCTGTTTCGATCACTCGGTCGTCGAACCTACAACATGACGTGCGAGCTCACCATCAAGGTGAAAGTACCTTCAGCCCTCGATGGCTCGGTAGACTTCTCTTGCAGAACTTATCTTCTGCCCCCATACCACCATCTCTCCCCCAACCTTCCATAGAATTGTCCAAGACTTGACGGTGTCGAACATCGGACCTTGCTGATCGCGTTGATATCCACGATTGCCTGGTTTCGATAAGCCCAGCCCTCGTAAGGCAGGGACGAAGAGTTGTGCCTTCCTCGAGAAGCGACCATCTCGAGCACCTTCCCTCGTAGTGATCGTCGATTCGAGCTTCTCTTCATCTCGAGCCTCCTCGAACTCCTCTCGAGCAACCAAATTGTCTACCTACAATCCGATCACTGTCATTCTTGCCTTCACCTTCATTGCGTCAAACTGTTCGACGCGTTCGCTCGAGCCAGAAGAGTATATAAAGGGCCTCCCCCAGTCGCTTCCCTCCCTTCCTCCTTCCACGACGTCCATCTACCAGTTTTTGAAATCGCTTGTCTTCTGACATAGCTTCTTCTATCCTTGGTCAAGGTCTTCATCCTTTATCCTTCCTTCATCCTTCTTCCATCCTTCCTTCATCAATCTTTCATCCAAAATCATCGCGCAGCTTCTTTCTCTGAAAGTACTTCGCGCCAAAATGACTCCTCAGTCGTTCGCCATGTCCAGAAAGGACAGTGGTAACCCCATCGAAGACCACAAGATCTTCCAGAGCGCTGCTCCCAGTGCTCAGTTTACTCCATCCAAGGTACGTTTTCTTTCTTTACACCTCCTTCGCGCGAATCTGCACACACTGTCATCATCTCTCCCATCTCCATCTCCATTTCCATCATCTGTGCGCGCGGAATCAACCGCTACAAGACCTAACAGCAATTGACCTCGTTTCCATCTCACGGCGGAAATTTGGTGGTCTTTTGTCGTTCTGTCTGTCGCCTTTCGCCTTTCGCTTTTTGTCTTTGCCTTTCCTGTTCATCATCCATCCTCTACCCTCTTGTCCTTTCATGTCCTCCATCACGACTTGTACTGGTTTGACTCATGTCATACTTCATCTCATACTACATCCAACCTGTCTACGCTTCATCCCATCCCGTCCCATCGTATTCCATTCCATCCTATCTTGATCTTACGTTTTTCTCCCAACTCGCCTCATCTCATATATTTCGACTCGTCCCACCTTTCATGTCTTCACCTATGCTCAATGACTGACCATCTTTAGCAATTCTCAAGCACTATGTCTCCTTTCGGATCAGTGTTTACTCCCACCAAGGCCTTTGGCACCTCCCAAGCCAGCAACAGCTCTCCCTTCAACAGCTTCTACACGCCTGGTCAAGGCAGTGCTATGAAGATGCTGAACCTTGGCTCGACTCCGGACGGTCCTTCCACCAAGTCCTCGTTCTCTTCCGTCAAGCCTATCGGCTCCTGTGTCTCGTCGCCTTCTCGTCATTCCTCTCTCATGAGTGGCCCAGGATTCAGCACCGATGCTGACCCTAACCTTGTCGAGACTCGCTTCGTGCGCTTCGGTATGCTTCCTGGCGAGTGGACTCAGGAGATCCTTAATGAAGTCCTCTCGGATGTAAGTTCCTTTTCTTCTTGCTTTGCTTTGATTATCCTCTGACATTCCTATAGGCTGGCCTTGAACATCTGGTCGACAATGCCGTCACTGCTGAGGGTGACACTCCTTACACCTTCAGCCTCTACTGTCGCTTCGACGACCTTCGTGCAGCTTCAAGCTCGAAGATCATGTTCGAGAGTGTTTTCCGAACTGTCTCGTTCAGGTTTGTTGATCACCACGAGTACTTTGCTATCGACCGCCGTCACCCTCGCGCACAGTCAGTCTCAGCCTACGATGGCCAGGTCGTGTTCACCGCCATGCCTATGAGCATGATGGACTTCAACCTCTCGGCCATTCATTCTGAGGTCTACACCCTGGCTGAAGCTTTTGGCAACGTACGCATGTTCTCGTACGTCGAGCCCGACGGTTTCGAGGCCCCTCGTTTCCGTGCCGAATACTTCTCAGTCAAGTCTGCCGAAACCGCAGTCAGCGTCTCTGTTCAGAATGAGGCTCCCTACACTTGCGTAAGTATTTCTTTCCTTCCTTCTCTTCCATCCTCACATCTGTATTCTCCTCCTCAATTCACTTTCTGACCAGCAATAGGAGTCCGTCACAGTCTCTGTCAAGCAGTATGAGCCTCCTGGTTACGTCCGCTACGCCCATCCCGCTGCCCAGGGCGGAATTGCTCAACTTGAGGCTGCAACTCAAGCTCTTGAACTCTACGACGACTTTGATGATCGTCTCGAGAACAAAAACAACTACTACAACCCTCGCTCGCACAAAGACGAGTACGCCCCTCGCTCGCATGGTAACCATGGAGCCCATCGCAGTCGTGGTGGTCGCGGTAGCTACCGCGGTCGTCCCAGCGATGCCCCCCAGCGCGCCTGGTGGGTTCCTTCTGACGATTCTATCGTCCATCAGACAGATGTTGAGTTTTGGCGTTTCAACCAGCCTCAGACTGTCAACTTGTTGAAGATCCACGACGGCATCGACGTTCGCACAACTATTATGTTGCGCAACGTACCCAACCGCGTACAGTTCGAAGACCTCAAGATGTGGCTGGACGAGACCTCGGCCGGTCATTATGACTTCTCGTACCTGCGCATCGACTTCTCAAACAACTTCAACGTTGGTTACGCATTTGTGAACTTCTGCAAGCCTGAGTACATCACCAACTTCGTACAGAAGCGCGTTGGTCACCCTTGGAGCATGTACGGCTCGCTGAAGAAGTGCGAAGTCTCCTACGCCACAATCCAAGGCATTGACTGCCTTTTGGCCAAGTTCCGCAACTCAGTCGTCATGGAGGAGACTCCCGCATTCCGTCCCAAGCTTTGGTACAACATCGAGTCCACCGACCTGCCCATCGACGAAGAGACCGGCCTCCCTGATTACCGTGCTATCGGTACCGAGGCCCCCTTCCCTCCTCCCAACAACGAGCAGAAGCGTAAGCGTTCCAGAGACAACGCTGGCACAATCGGCCTCTTCCCTCCTCGCCGCGGTAAGGGTCCTTACGGTCCCGACGCTCATCATCGCGAGGGCCAGTACGACCGTGGAACCTCCTTCGCTATTGAGGAGGAGCGCCAGTTCGAAGAACAGCGCCAGGTTCGTTTCAACGAACGTCGTCAGCTTGGCCACCGTGGTCAGGGTCGTCACCAGTATCCCGCTCATCGCGACGATGCTCAGGGTCACCCTGCCCGTCGCGGCGGTGGTGGTTACCAGCAGCGTCCCGCTCGTCGCATTGGCGGTGCCCCCCAGGAGGACTCTCACGACCCTACTCGTAACGACTATGAGGAAGACGACTTCTTCGACGAGAACGATGCGTACTTCCACGAGAACCGTGGCAGCCGCTACCGTCGTGGTCACTACCGTCAATAAACCCTCCATGGGCTGACGTGGTTCTCGGTCATTGAGCACAGAGAAAATTGGAAGCAGTGGACAGCTTGGAAGCTGTTCATTCCGCAACCTCATCACGACTAACGACAAACTTTCTTCTCTTGTCATTAGTTGGCACTGTTTGAGGAAGAGCAAATACCAGAAAATTTCAAAAACATTGGCGGGCTAAAAGCCTCAGGGTCGAGCAGCATCGAACATTTGTTCTTCTGGAGACTTCTCGTTTCTGGACAACGGTGTTGGGCATGCTGTCTCCTTCCTCGTGAGCTTGGAAGAATTGAAAACAGGCGGATTCTAGATGGAAAAAGACCTTTGCTTCAAGAAAAAGAAGATAGAGAATTTACATTCTCTCAGATACTTTAGCTTAGCTTTGCTTTCGACATACAGAGAAATGAAACAGATCTGCCTCGAAACTTTACCTTCTGCATGAGTGCTTGTGCCTTTCAAGTGTGATGTCAATATTGCATACCAAAGTGTTAACCCCGAAAAGTCCGACGTGAGAGACATTCTTGGCGACTGGCAGCCTCTCTCTTGCTTCAACTTTTCCTATCAACGTCGCTATCATATAACATCAACAAGTTTCCAGGAAGATTCCTTCAAGCTAGGATTTGCTGAATAGCAAGAGTGCGCAGACTGAAAGTCGAAGCTTTGTTGCGACAGGCGGGTATGAATACCAACCAAGAAAACTTCAATCTCCAAAGCACACAAGAAGAACAACCATAAGTCAGAAGATTCAAATTAGCGCAGCACTTGAGACATCGAGACAAGATCTGATATCTGAGAGACTTTGCTGTATCACAGCTAGTCCGGAGAGTAGAACTTTGCTCGCTCGGTCAGTGTACTCATACCACGAGCATTATCTTCAAATCCTGCAAATCTTCTGAACACTGCCATCTCCACTCCACTCTCCCCCTCTAATCCCTCAAAAGCCTCAAGACAACTGGAGACTGGTTGCGATAATTTGCTGTACATCGGGAGCTGGATCTCCTGGTTACGCTTTGCTAGACGCAGGCCGAGGGACCGCGTTTTCTTGGAATAATACAGGATCTAGAAGACGAGAAGCGCTAGTCGACCTCACACCATGGGGACCAATCCGATAACAAAGCTCTCCGACCTCCCCTCTCTCAAACTACCTTCCTCATCACAGACCGCGGATCTCCAACATTTACACACCCTCATGCATCTCCTTCACCACAGAAACCACAACCAACACCGTCGAAGTACCTGGTACCGCCACTTCAACATCTTCCGCCGCCATCTCCAGACTATCTTGACTCATCTGACAGCTTTGTCGCACACACCTACTACAAATCTTGCTCGCCACAAGAAGAAAGCAGAAGACGAGGCTACACGACTTAGGATACAGCAAACACTGGCTTTCTGGCGAGATGTCTTGGTACCGAAAGTTCAGCATGCATTTGGACAGTTGATTGCTGATGGTCGGTTCGCTGTACTTGGGATTGTGTTGATGGCAATTCTGGGACATGTATGTAGGGTGTTCGGCTTGATTGCTGTATACGACGATCTAGGGGAGGAAGAGACGAGGAAAGCTATAGAGGCTTTTGCCGCTGAAGGGTGGGGTGAAGATGATGGGTTGGGCGTGCTTGTGTCGCGGGAGGGAGAGAGGAGGGAAGATTTTGGGGAGGTGTTGATGAGGGATACTAGCTCCGATGACGACGTCATGGCGGCGAGCACAGCACGAGACACAGAGAAGGAGTTGAGGAAGAAGGAGAGTGGTTGCTTAGCTCCTGAACGCGATATGCTGGAGCAGAGTCGGAAAGCTATAAAGGCCATGGCGACTAGCACACCGATCCTATCGACCAGAGACTCCAGCACACCACCTCCTACAACGACAAAAGCCAGCAAGAAGCTCAAGCCCACAAAGACGGAAGTCAAGCAGAAACCAGTCAAGGTCCTCCCTGCCGTCAACTGGGACGACAACTCCACTACGCCGATACCGAAACCATCAAAGTCTTCAGCGCCAATATCAACAACGAACTCGAAGCTCAAGGCAAAGAGGCCAAAGCAAACAGAAGATGATACTTTGAGTAGTGCTGCAAAGCCTGTCAAGAAGAAGAAAAAGAAGAACGCCATCGACGATCTGTTTGCTGGACTATAGCTACATAGAGACTTGTCTGTCAATCAATCAGAGCACACGTCATGACTATCACAGAGCGTCTCGTCGAGCTCGAAGCCTGGGAGAGAGTTGTTTGGAGAAGCTTGTAAGACAGCAACATAGTTACATACATGATGCTTGCAAGAAAAAGCACCCACATACTCATATCCACGTACCTGGTGTCTGGGTTCTTTTCATGCTCAAAAGAGTTGTCGGGCAGACCCACGTACGTCTGAAGAAGGCTGCTGTGTTTGTGACGAAACCTGCTCGAAGGAGAAACCGTGCTCTGGATGGATGGCTGTATGCTATGTCCGACCGCAGCAAAGAGCTTCCTCATACCAAGGTATTGCATGATCATGACATGAGAAAAGTGACAAGCAAGTACATCACATCGATTTTGATGGCACAGGGGAGAGGAGTCTGTCAAAAAAGACAGGGTGCTCTCTGCTGCATGCTTCGGCGAATCCTCGGACCTGTCGGCAAACCTACCTTAATGCCGACCGTCCACAGAAAAAAACAATCTGCCACTACAAAGAAGCTTTGTCTCGTTCAAGACACCCAACAAAAGAAGATGTGATCACGGCAGGGATCGAACCTGCAATCTCTTGATTCGTAGTCAAGCGCCTTGCCATTGGGCCACGCAACCAGTACTTGTTTGATGAAGGAAGACAAGGACAGCAGGCAATAAGTAATCGTGAGATACGAGAAGTACTGGTTAACCTACCGAGCAAGACTGATGTTATGTACAGCTGTTAGAACAGATAAGCGAGTACATGTATCATGTAGCGTGTATCCAGAGAAACACTCAAGGCTTCATTTGAGAAGAGCCTCCACGAAGTCTGGGACCATGGCCACGTTCGCCCAAAGCCTTCCCCTTGAGCTCATGGGGAGCTGGGAGCTGAGGCTGAGGAAGATCTTCGTTCTCCTTGTAACCGTTGGTGTCTTGCTGCTTGTCCTCTCCGTTGCTTTGGCCGGGCTTCTTATTGTTTGCAAAAGACTGGACGCCGCTGCCAATGGCACGCATCTCGTCCGACTCCTGGTCTTCCTGGCCGAGAGGTCTGGCAGTGTGCTTCTCTGCGATGCTCAGTTCTTCCGTCTCCCCTTGTGCTTCGCGTTGCTTGTGCCAGTCCTCGTATTCTTGCCACCACCAGGTGTGAGTCTCGCCGTCACGACCTAGATATCCAGCTACGCCGTCTTCGGTCACGCGCTTGGCCCAGGGTTTGTCGACAATGTAGTGCAGGCAGACAACCTCCTCATCTCTCCAGATGTTCTCGTGCCAGTAGCGCATAGTCTTTAATGCATTGAACTGCCAGCCTATGCTCATCCACTTGTTCTTGAAGAACTCGGCCAGGAAATCTTGGTCAGGGAACTTGAACTCGCCTAGCAGAGGAGTGGTGTTGAAGAAGTGAATCATGCGATCCCAGAGCTGCTCGGAAGCGACGAAGAGGAACATGCCACTGTTGAGGAGATGATAGGTACCGCGCGAGTCGGGAGTGATTGGAGTGGGGTGGTCAAGGGCATCTGGATGCGATACGGCAGTGTAGGCGCAGTTCTCCTTGGTCCAATCTTCGGGAGCCCAGGCGTCCTTGTCAAGGTTGCAGACGCAAGCGTGGTTGGCGGCGATCCAGTCGTTGGCGGGCAGTTGCTTGTCAAAGACGTGATCCATGTTTCTGCGCAGGATCATGTCGGCATCGAGATAGCATATCTTGTCGTAGTTGTCGAGCTTGTACAGCTCAAAGACACGCAACTTGGTCCAGGTATCGGCGAAGCGCTCGGCTATGAGGTGCACGTGGATGTTATCGCGTGGCAACAGAGCTTCGACGCGGTGAAGGATGAGGTTGCTGTGAGTTGCTTCGAGCTCAAGGGCGCGGACTGAAGAAGCAGATAGTGTGTCTGTGTAGAGAACAATGAGAGGGTATGCGCTCTTGTACTTAGCCAATGTGTGAGCAAGTATCAGCACGCCCGCAAGGTACGACGACCGGGTGATGAGAGTACAGTAAGCATAGTTCTGCCCAGTCATGATGGGAACTTGGTCAAGGATAGTTATGCTAGTGAAGTTCATCAAGGGGGGAAGAGAATCAGTGCCGCCAGCTATGAACAGATAGCAAGATAAAAGTCAATGACGTGTTGGGCAAGCGTTCGAACGCTTGGACTCTTCTGGCTAAAGTGGCCATGAGTGGAAAGCGGAAACAGCATTGTGGGGATCTATGGGGATCAGGGTTGAGAAAGAATGTCTTTGACATGTCCTTTGTAGCTGTTTGAGTCGTTTCCCTACAATAATCTGGACGTCTGTGACACACAGATGGAGCGGTGTGGACTCTCGTCCTTGCCGAGTCGGGCACAGAAACGCGTCGCGCCTTCACGTGTTGGGAAACAGTCCATCGCTGCCTGGCGAGGGAGTTGGCCTTGACTGACTATCGAGTGTTGCTGACGGGAGTAGTTGCTTTCCATCGACAATTCCAATCTCAGTTCCGCTTTCTTCACACATCGTCTTTGTCATACACTGTGACACGCTCGCACCTGTCAAGAACAAGGCATTGCGCAGCCCAGATCTCATCCAGGAACAGGCGCTGATCTGCATTGTCCCGGATCTCGGATCCGACTCGCCAATTGCTTCCCAGACCGATATCTCCGAAGTCCTTCTCCAGCATCCCTGGGTGGCAACTCGGGCGTTTCTATTCTGTGTGTGAGAAAGCACTTCTTGCCTCTCACACCTTTTTTCTTGTTCCTTCACTCCAAGCGTGTGTCTGCCTTGTCTTGGGCTTTGCCTGTGTCTTTCCTCTCGTTTCACTCTCTTTCCAAAAACACCATTTCAAACTTCCATCATGGCCCGCCAAACCCGCTCATCTCTCAGTGCTCGCCAATGTATGCTCACTCGCAATTATCATTTGTTCAAAAGTGCCTCCGACTGACACGTGTTAGCCAATACATCCAACACCGCTTCGCCCATGCCTCCTACAGCCCGCTCATCACTTGCTAAAACATTCACAACAATTCCCGACTCGGACCAAGACACCAGTGATCAAGACCAACTTCCAAGCACAGTCCAAGCCGACAATAACAGGGCCAGATCAAGGTCTCAAGTCCAGGTCGTCATACCAGTCATGTCGTCTCGCAGAAAGGCTGCCCTCCGCTCCAACAGTCCTTCGTCACTGTCCTCGGCTGAAAGTCCTGATGCTCCACCACTCGATACTCCGGCTACCAGTGCTGGGGTCACCCCTGAACCCCCACCACGTGGACGCTTCACCGACAAGAGAAAGAGAGATACGGACGGTGATGCTGCAATCGCCAGATCGTTACAGGAGGAAGAGTGGGCACAGCCGCCGAAGAAGATCAAGGTCGATCCATCCAAGCAGATCAAGACAGAGCCAGCATCCAGCTCCAAGAAATCAATCCGGGCCGCTGTTATCGAGGACTCGGATGGAGAGGAGAATGGTGAGGACATCAGCGATCTCTCATCTGCCATGTCTTTCAAGACTGAGTCGGAATCCGAAGAATACTCGAACTTCGGGAAGCTCAAAACAAGGTCTCTACGCAGTATCATTGCCGACACAGATGACGAGGATGAGCCCTCGAAGTACAAGTCTGGCCTGGTCAGAGCACGCGCTGGAAAGAAAGCAGTTGTACCCAAGCAACGGCCCTCGTTCGTCGTTCCTGATAGCGACAGTGAGCTCTCGGAAATTGCTGAGGCCGACATGACAACTGAAGACGAATTTCGTTCCGAAGATGCTGAATCAGGCGCCGCCGAAACCTCTGACGACGATGATGACGACGACACACCGTTGGCCCTACGTAGGCCCCACGGAGCGACCAAGTTCCGCCGCCGAAGAGGTCAAGTCATCGAGACTGCCGCTGACACAAAGAAGATCAGAATGTCCAGAAAGGATCGTGAGAGATTGAAGCTGGAGAAGGCACACCCTCAGATCAAGACCATGTGGCAAGACCTCAAGGCCATCCCGATCATCAAGGGTGTAGCCGGGATCCAGCCACCATCCATCAATCGCAAGCTGAAATCGTACCAGCTCGAGGGTGTGGACTGGATGATCAGGCAAGAACAGTCCAACTACAAGGGTGGTCTTCTCGGAGACGAGATGGGCATGGGCAAGACGATTCAGGCCGTGTCGCTCATCATGTCCGATTATCCCCAGAAGCAGCCGACACTGGTCTTGGTTCCTCCAGTTGCTCTGATGCAGTGGTCCACAGAGATTGGCGAGTACACCGACGGCAAGCTCAAGGTCCTTGTGTACCACGGTACTAATGCCAAGTCGAAGAACATGAAGGTTAACGAGCTCAAGAAGTATGATGTTATCATGATCTCGTACAACAGTCTTGAGTCGTTGCACCGCAAGGAGGTCAAGGGATGGAGCCGTAAGGGAGACATCGTCAAGGAAGCCTCGCCCATCCACGCCATAACCTACCACCGCCTGATCCTGGACGAGGCACACAGCATCAAGACCAGAACCACTCAAGTCGCAAAGGCCTGCTTCGCACTGAAGGGTAAGTACAAGTGGTGCTTGTCGGGTACCCCTGTTCAAAACCGCATTGGCGAGTTCTTCTCTCTTCTCCGCTTCCTAGAGGTCAGACCTTTCGCGGACTACTTTTGCAAGAAATGTCCTTGCTCTCTTTTGCACTGGTCTCTGGATGCACAGCACATGTGCACCGAGTGTAAGCACACTGGTATGGAGCATGTATCGGTCTTCAACCAGGAACTGCTCAACCCCATCACCCAGTCCGAGGATTCGCAGCTGCGCGAGGAAGCCATGGACAAGCTCTTCCTCATCACATCCCGCATCATGCTTCGTCGTATGAAGCGCGACTATGTCAGCTCTATGGAGCTTCCGCCCAAGGAGGTCATCGTGCACAATGAGTTCTTCGGAGACATTGAGCGCGACTTCTCCCAAAGCATCATGTCCAACACTGCTCGTGAATTCGACACTTATGTCTCTCGTGGTGTCATGTTGAACAACTATGCCAACATCTTCGGTCTCATCATGCAGATGCGTCAAGTCTCCAACCACCCAGACTTGATCCTCAAGAGAAAGTCTGCCGAAGGCATGAACGTTCTGGTTTGCAACATTTGCGATGAGCCAGCCGAGGAGCCCATCCGTTCCAGGTGCAAGCACGACTTCTGCAGGACCTGCGTCAAGAATTATGCACAGTCTGTGGAGGACGGCGCCGACGACGTTGATTGCCCTCGCTGCCACATTCCGCTCTCGATTGACTTCGACATGCCTGAGCTTGAGCAGAACGAGGAAGCTGTCAAGAAGAACTCTATCATCAACCGTATCAAGATGGAGAACTGGACGTCGTCCACCAAGATCGAGATGCTGGTCTACGACCTCTACAAGCTTCGCAGCAAAAAGCAGACCCTGAAGTCGATTGTGTTCTCCCAGTTCACGTCCATGTTGCAGCTCATCGAGTGGCGCCTTCGTCGCGCTGGGTTCAACACTGTCATGCTCGATGGTAGCATGACGCCTCAACAGCGCCAGAAGTCGATTGAGCACTTCATGACAGATCCTGACGTCGAGGTGTTCCTAGTGTCACTCAAGGCCGGTGGTGTCGCTCTGAACCTGACTGAAGCTTCCCGTGTCTTCATCGTAGACCCTTGGTGGAACCCCGCCGCAGAGTGGCAAAGCGCAGACCGCTGCCACCGCATCGGACAGAGACGCCCGTGTGTCATCACTCGACTGTGTATCGAAGATTCCGTCGAATCGCGCATCGTCATGTTGCAAGAGAAGAAGGCCAACATGATCAACGGCACAATCAATAACGACAGAGTGGCCATGGAGAAGCTTACACCTGAAGACATGCAGTTCTTGTTCCGAGGCAGTTAGAGTCTCATTGAGAAAGAGACGTTGCCTTGCCTTCCTTTTACATTCACGTTCCCTTTCTTTTCTCTTCTGTTCCTACTTTCCTGTTCTGCAAGCAATATGGACCTCAGCATTCCCAGAAGATACTTCGAGGACATGGCGGCATTGCAGCATTTTCAGCATGATTATACGGCATAACGAATTACATTGCATGGTTTGAACTTTTCGGTGGAGTACATAGCTCATTTGCTACCTTCGAGAGCGCTAGAAACATTTGTACACTAGAGTAGAATTATATCAAAGCACCAAAAATGAGTGTTGAGTTTCTTTATATTGATGACCTTGAGGTGCAGGATCTGATAAGGACCGATAATCGGAGATGATGATGTAGCAAAGGTGGAGCTCTCCCCAGGCCGTGCGAGTGAGACCCTTCAGATTTTGAGTTTCGTAGGCCTCGGGCGAGTGCGTGGACTGGGCACGAACCAAGGCATGAAGGTGGCAGACTCTTGTTGAGACTTGCAGAAACATCTTCAGCATCCTTCGCGTCTGATCATGTATCGTTGACAAGCTCAAGGCCATCCTGCCTGTTTCAAGACCATAGCGAGGCAGCACCACATCCGGAGCGGCCATGTCCACCCCATCCTCATCGCGTCTCTCGGCTTCTGGGGTCAAAAGCTTCCTACCATTGTCGGAGGAATCGGCTCTCTCGACCAGAGGTCAACACCTCCCGCAACTGATACGCGAACGCTCATCGCCCAATGCGACTGGTCTGACAGGACGACGCCGCCGCTCGTCGCTGGACGGTAGCTTTGCTCCAGGCACTTCATTCGAAGACACGGCTGCCGCCAGCGACAATGAACCTGCGACACCCCAGCAAGCTCGTCACAGAGTTGCGGCCGCCGACGATGCTTCTCGCCGCCTCAGCTCAGGAGCTGCCGCTCTCATGACTCCTCAAATGCGCAGTATGCGCTTGATCGGAAACAGCAACCCGCGTTATCGTTGGGAGAAATACTTTACATCGGACGAGGATCTCAAGAAGATGAAGAAGCCTATTCGCGCATACTACGAGCGGAACAATTTCTTGATTCAGCAGTATCTGTATATCGACAGACTGCTGGATTCGAGTCTGCCGCATGACTTGATTCAAGAGTATCAGTACAATGTGCACAGCAGTTCTGGGGCTGCTACAGTGCCGCCAACAATCACAGAGGAGAATGGCGGTCTTAGTGGTGGCCCTTCTGCTGGCGCGTCTCCAGCTATCACACCTATGGATGGCAATGGTACTGCCTCGGCAAATCAGAGTTATAGACTCAAGAGAACACCCAAGGCTTTGTACCGCGTTGCTGATGAGGAGACACCGTTATTGGCTGAGGACGACAGCAACTCGCTTTTCAACGCCGGTATACCTGCTTTTGAGCCGGAAGACGAACCTGATAGCGAGAGCCGCGTTGTCAGCATAGCCATTTACATGAATCTGATCGCAAATACCGTTCTTCTTGGCCTGAAGATCGTTGTTACGGTCCTCACATCCTCGGTTTCCGTTCTGGCTTCCTTGGTCGATGCAGCTCTGGACTTCCTCTCGACAGCAATTGTATGGACTACCACGCGACTGATCAGCCACAATGATTCGTATGCCTATCCCGTGGGCCGTAGACGTCTAGAGCCCATCGGTGTCCTGGTCTTCTCCGTCATCATGGTCACTTCTTTCGTTCAAGTCGCCATCGAGGGTCTGAACCATCTCACCTCCAAGGACCACACCATCGTCCAACTCAGTTACGCAGCCACTGCCATCATGTCCGCCACCGTCATCATTAAATTCGGCTGCTGGCTGTGGTGCAGATTAATCCCCAACAGCAGTGTCCAAGCTCTGGCTCAAGATGCCATGACCGATGTCGTCTTCAACATCTTCTCCATCATCTTCCCTCTCGTCGGCTACTACGCAGGGATCTGGTGGCTCGACCCCCTCGGCGGTATCCTCCTCTCCTTCTACGTCATCCTCGGCTGGTCATCCACCTCCCTCTCCCATATCCGCAACCTTACCGGTGCAGCAGCTTCTGCAGACGAGCGCAATGTTCTTCTCTACCTCACCATGCGTTTCGCCAAGACGATTAAACAAATCCAAGGTCTTCAAGCCTATCATTCTGGCGATAAACTGAATGTAGAGGTTGACATCGTGTTGGACGAACACATGTCATTGAGGGACAGTCATGATTTGGGAGAGAGTCTGCAGTATGTCTTGGAGTCTGTGCCTACCGTCGATCGTGCATTTGTGCATCAAGATTACGCTAGTTGGAATTTACCTTCGCATATGAGTCAGCAGGATTAGATGTGGAAGAGGAAGTAGACGGAAGAAAGTGGTGGCATGGAGCAAGAATGGAGGGGGGAGTGGTTTGGAGAAGTGTAAGACATGGTTGTGTGTAGATACTCTGTGGCTTTTTTGCTGGTGTATATATATTCTTACTTGTGTGTTTCGCTCTCTGCTTATTTGCTCGTCGAAGTTTAGAATTCATTTTCACCTTTGCTCGATATTTGTATATGTATATATCAAGTTTTCATTGCTCTTCAGTCCAACTCGTCTCCATCACCGCTTTCGTCTGTCTTGTTTTTGCCTATGCTAATGTAAAACTGTCTTCTATCATTGTCTATAGATTACCTCGGGTTTCTGATAAAGGATCATTAAAATCCCCAGATCAGATGCGGTCATCTCAAGAGATGAGTTTGTTCAAAAATAGAGAAGTGATCGCATGACTCGATCTCAAGAGGAGACTGTATGGAGACGGGCATGGGGATACGCATGCCTAATCGGGTAATGAAATCATTGGTGTCACCTTCTCTGTGCATATAAAAGACATGTTCTAGCTCACCAAACGCTGAACTTTTTGTTTTTCCGTCTACACGTTTCAGTGATTTGGAAGGTAAAGCAGAAGACATGTCACATATCACACAATTGACGTTTAGGCACAAGTGTTTCACAGGTGAAAAAAGTGGTTTGATATTCTCAGAGTTAAGCCGAAGCAACAGCCTGAGCGACCTCCTTTCTCTCAGCCTCAAGAACGCTCTCAAGAACATTGACAGCATCCTTGCCGGCCTTGTTCAACTCAGAGTTGACCTCGGACAGACCAAGCTGCTCGTCAGTCCAAAGAGGCTCGACAGAAGTGTCTTGGCCAACGCCGAGGAAGCCGCCCTGGGCAGCCCAGTCAGAGGTACGCTTAATACCAAGCTGGTTCCAGACCTTGTCGAGGGCGTCGACCAGGTGATCACGGTACTCGCGGATGTGACCGGGGGTAGGGGTGATACGGAGACGCTCTTGGCCGACGGGAACGGTGGGGTAGTTGATGGCTTGGACGTAGATGCCGTGTTCCTCGAGGAGGAGATCAGAGGCCTTTCTGGCGACTGCGGCGTCGCCGACGAGAACGGGGATGATGTGGCTGGGGTTGGGAATGACGGGGATGTCCTTGGCGGCAAGGGCGTCCTTTGCAGCGCGGGTGTGCAGCTGCTGCAGACGACGGTCACCCTTGTAGGCCATCTGGTACTCGATGGCGGCTTGGGCACCGGACATGGTGGCGGGAGGGAGCGAGGTGGTGAAGATGAAACCGGGAGCAAGAGAGCGGATGGTGTCGACAAGCTTGCTGGAGCCAGCAATGTAACCACCAACACAACCGTAAGCCTTTCCAAGAGTACCAGTGATGATATCAATACGGTCCTGAATAGTGCCCTTGGGGCTGCCACCGTTTGCGTATACTTCGTAGTCGAGGTGCTCAGCAACACCAGCACCATTCGGGCCGTACATGCCAACAGCATGGACTTCATCGAGGAAAGTGATGGCGCCGTACTTGTCTGCAAGGTCGCAAATCTGTTCGATAGGACCAATGGAGCCGCACATGCTGTACACACTCTCAAAAGCGATAATCTTGGGAGTCTCTGCAGGGAGCGAAGCCAGCTTCTGCTCAAGATCGGCCATGTCGTTGTGCTTGAAAACAATCTTCTTGGCACCCGAGTGGCGGATGCCCTGAATCATGGAAGCGTGGTTGCTGCTGTCAGACAAAATAACACAGTCAGGGAACTTGGAACCAAGGGTGGCCAAAGTGGCATCGTTGGCGACGTAGCATGAGGAGAAGACAAGGGAGGCTTCCTTTGCGTGGAGCTTAGCAATAGTTGCCTCGAGACCCATTGCGTGCTGGTTGTGGCCAGAAATGTTGCGAGTTCCTCCAGCGCCGGCACCATACATGTCGAGAGTCTCGTGCATCTTCTTCAGGACCTGGGGGTTTCTGCCCATGCCAAGGTAGTCGTTGGAGCACCAGACAGTGACCTTGTCCTCGGGAGTGTCCTTGTGAGCACGGGGGAATTCCTTGGCCAGACGGTTGATGTTGTTGAAGTAGCGGTACGACTTGTCCTTGTGCTTCTTGTCCAACTCAGTCTGGTAGAAGGCGTTGTAGTCAAAACGAGATGCATTCGGGGGTACTGGAGGAGCACCGTGCATATCCTTGGAAGACTGCTGGTGTACCTGTTGTTGCTGGTGCTGCGCAGGGGCAGGGTAGCGGACTGGTCTTGTCAGCGAGGTTCAATCATGACTGATTCCGCTTCTTCGTACCATCGTCGCGACGCAGAGGGCTGCTGTCTACAGCCTGGGCCTTCTCAGCACGAGTGGTGTGCAGATAGGCGCGAGGGGCACGAGTAGTGCGAGTGCTGTAAGCACGGGAGCCACCAAAAGCACCGGACAGGAGAGTGTTGGCGCGGGTGCTCTGAACAGCCAATGCCTTGCCCATGACAGGGCACTGGCCGGCAGTCACCTGCAGGTTGGACATGTTGGCCTGGGCAGCATTGGTGCTGGTGCTGAGCGAGCGGAGCGTGGCGGGCGATGTCTTGTGCAAGAATGGGCACATGCCGCGCGATTGACGGAGAAGAGCCTCCATGTTGATTTTTATTGTTATTTTGCCTTGTCTGGAGGTTCGAGGGGCGAGGGATGGAGGTGGAAGGGAGAGAAAGAAGACAGGACGCCGGGTCGCGGAAGCAGTGGTAATGATGTGTAATTTTGTTCAAAGTCCCCGACCATCGAAGCACTGGGAATGAAGCACGTCCGATTCGAGGCCGCGACCTGCACCCGTCACCGGCAAACGCCCAAGAAGCCCTGCCGTTTCCCCCATAAGACCATATTCGCCACTTTTCATTGGTCACATTGGGTCGCTCTCTCGGCGATCTTTCGCTGCTGACGCCAAAGACAAAGAGACCATGATGCCGAGGCGTGCATTTCACTTTCACGTCAGCACTGGACCGTCCATGACCTCCTATTTCGCACCGCTTTCCGCCGTCTGCTCTCTCCGTACAAACCCCGTACAGTCGCTTACGGCGTCTGTCAATTCCCGTTGAAATGCTCCAATCGTATGATATTTGGCAAACGTCCTCTGCCTCTCCGTTCTTCTCGACACTCACTTGTCGTTGTTCTCCCTAAGAGTACAGGGGCGCCTTTAGCCTTTTGATCAGCACATCTGGCTCACAAAACGAGCAACGCACGCTGCGAGCATGTGCGGTCTTGCCTCTTTACCCCTCTCTCCGAATCCGGAAAGCGCCCAACCAACGTTCTCTCGAGACGCATGTCTAGAATAAGCTTACTCGAGCCTTGGCTCTGTCTTACTGTTCCTGCCTCCACTCTTGTACTTGTCTCTTGTAGTTGTTGTATTCCATCTATCCTGTATACGGTAATCCCCAATTTACTGTGCAGCGTCGTGCGTGTAAACGGTTGTTGCCGCTGTCAGTTGTGAGAATGTCGCTTGAAGTCTTGTGACGGCCATTCATTCCTCTTGTCTCCAAGCCATCGACCCTGTTGGTCATGCAGTCATGCACCGTGTCCGATCACTTCTGATGCCTCGGTAAGTCTATATCTTGCTTCTCCCTCTCCTCATGAAAAGCTACGAGGAGAAGGACAAACGTCCGGTGATGATCACTCAAGAGACTATTGACACTCTCGCGCGGGAACATGGGTCGACTCTGCTCGACAGAGCTCTGTTCAGACCACCGCATATACGAGCACATGAGAACTCGAATACACTTGATCTGAGGACTAGGAGCTCTTGATACGTACTTCTCAATTGACTTGAATTGATTGCTAACGTCAATTTCAGGCCTTTCAATGCATCCAGGATGGTCACGCGAACAAGGTCAAGAAAGAAGTAAATCAAAGTAAGGAAAGGTTCATACAACTCATTAATGCATGCTGTCCATAGAGAATGTTCAAAAGAAAAACCACCGCCCAATATGCATACTGCGTTAAAAAGGCAGAAAACTCCGAGCGCAATGCAGGTTTCCTTCCCATCCCCATCCCATCGGTTTCGTACCGTTCCCATCTCGTTCCCAAACCCCTCGCCGAGGGTCATCATCAAGTAGACACTCAATAAAGCAGAAAATCCAGAAAACAATCGCAGAAGAAACCAAAGACTCCAAACAGAAAGTACAAGAAAAACACAAAATCCACACCTTAGAAACACTTTTTGTATCGTCTGTAATGTTTCTCTTTCCGCCATTTGTTCATTTCGTATGCAAAGTTGTCGACATGTGGGGCTGATAATACAGCCTTGTAGTCGTGGGTATCATTGTTTGATGTTCATGATCAGTATCTCGCGCAATCTATGCGCTGAGATCCGTGGAGGCTCCGGGCCTTGTCGTGTGGAGTTTAAAATCTCGAAGTGATGCTTCTGCTGATGCTGGGGCGCTGGGAGCGCTTTGCAGGGCTACCCGTGCTGCTTCCTTGGTTGGTGGGTTGAAGTTGAGGCTGCTGCTTGGAGCCAATCTTGCCAAACTCCTGGAGAATGTCGACGCCTTGCTCGTCAAAGATGTCATCCTGGATGCCGAGGCCAAACAATTCGGGTCCGTGTTGTTGAGGGAAGTAGTTGTCAAGAGACAAGTCCAACCAATCAGGAGCATTGACATTATTCTCAGACATACCAGTGGAGGGAGGAGCCATGGTCACACGCTTCAAGGGTGAGCCGAGCATGACTGGAGAACGCAGTTGAGCAGGGTGAGTAGCCTTCAAGGGAGTAAAGTGGAAGTTGAACGGGCTGTCAAAAGCCATGGCGTTACCCTTTCCAGAGGTGATGTCGGCCAAGACGCCGGTGGAAGTGACAGCACGTTCGATACGAGGACGCTTCTTGCCAGGGCTACCGCGAGCGCTGAAGTCATCAAGAGCAGCGTTCTCGTCAAAGACATCGTTAGAGTCGTTAGAAGGGCGGTAAGGAGTGACTTCCTTAGCGGGGGTGAACTCGTCCAGGTTGAAAGCAGGAGAGAATGGAACCAAGGGAGTCCAGCTCTTTGCAGGGGACTCGCCGAGAAAAGCCTTGATGTTGTTGCGGTGGTTGCGAAGACTGGTATTAGGAGAGCAAGATTGCGGAGGCTTAGCTGGGCGTTTGAAGACAACAGCAGGAGTCAGGGGAGCAACAGCCGCGGCAGATGACGTGGGACGCTGAGGCGAAGTGTACTCGAAATGGACCGAAGGCTTGCGCTTGTGGGGAGCAGTCTTTTGCTTGGTAGGGCTGTCATAGGAAGAACTGCGGATGCGTGCAATCTCCTCTTCAGCGCGGCCGCGCTTGATACGGCGGTGGTCAGGATCGGCGTCGGAAGTCAGAGCAACATGCGAGATGGTCGGGTTTCTGACAGCCGATGACTCGATCGAAGAATAATAACCACTGTCCTGAGGAGCGTTGAACTTACGCTTGCGAGTACCGCCGGAGTGTGTGTCGGTTGGGAATCGTAGACGAGAGGCGCGGGGAGGAGTGTCTTGCATGGGAGGAGGAGAAGAACCGAATGCTGGGGGCGGCGAAGAACGCATGGAAGCGCGGGCAGCGGGAGGAGGCATTGCGGACTCGTCATCCTGAAGGGCAGGATCGCTGGCGGGGATTGTACCGTCGGACGAGAAGTGGTCCTGAGGGAACGATGCAGAGTCGACGGCCTTTGTGTCAGTCTTCTTGACAGGGTTAGGGCCCAGAGCAAAGCGGCCGATTGCGGGGGTGGTGACAGGATGAGGAGCGTTGCTGGGAAGAGTCTGTAGCGGCATCATGTCTGATGAGATTTGTACTTTCTTCATAGGGCGGTCCTTGCAGAACTGGCGTTCCATTCCAGGCTCAATGGCCCAGTAGTTGCCCTTACCAGGGTCATCCTTAGGACGTTCCTGCTTGATGAAAGCCTTGTTCAAGCTGAGGTTATGACGGATGCTGTTTTGCCAGCCAGTCTCTGATGCGCGGTAGTACTTGAAGTTGTCCGAGATCCATTTGTAGATCTGGGCGAGTGTGAGGCGGCGGTTAGGTGCGCGCAGAATGGCCATGCCGATGAGGGTTGCGTAGCTGAAGGTGGGCTTGTTTCCGTCGTCGTGTACTGACGGCATCTCTTCGGGCTCTGGGAGGACAAAGTCGAACTGATCGGCGGACTTTGCAACTTTCTTCATGGCCTTGTCTACCAATGCTCGCTTGATGGGCATGGCCTTTTGTGCCGAGTAGACGTGGTGATCGTAGGGGAACATGTTTTCCTTGTTCATGTTCATGTTGGGATAGAAGTCGTGTTTGGCGACGGGTGAGTCGGCAAAGCAGCTGGCTTGCAGCGGAGAGGGGACGGCGATGTTGTGGTTGTGAAGCGAGCGTCTGCCAAGAGAAGCGGCGGGCGAGCTCGAGTGCTTTCTCGGCGAGCCGGTGCTGAAAGAGGTGTGCGAGGGACTGAGCAAGAAGCCCGTCTGTCTGAAAGGTTGCTGACCAAGGGCGCTTAGGAGGGCTGCCTCGACCGAATCTTTTGGGAGATCGTGGAACGACGTGGACGGCAGGACCGGCACTGGGTCGTGATAGATGTTGAGCTGGTGATAATTCGTCCGACGCGTCGACGCCATGGACCAGATGTGCGGGTTGGAGACTAGGTGGTGGTGGGATAGAAGAGCAGAGCTGAGAGCTGAGCTTTGCTGAGTGTTTCGAGTTTAGACGGCCGGAATATGGAGAAGATGGTCGTGCTTGGCGTGCTTTGTACTAGTTCGTCTTGTGCGCTTCGAGTTGAACAGGCCGCTCCTGGCTTGGGGTACAGCCTTTTTTAATCTTTCTGCAAGCCTTTCTGCAGGAAAAGGAGCTTGGTTAGCACGAAGACCGCCAGTAGGCCCTTACAGGCTTGCGACTAAGATTGCACCCGTTAAGAAGGGCAGAAGGGGTGCCTCACGCTTGGGCGTTAAAGAAAACCGCCCTGCCTTGCTCCAATCACGAGCTCGGGCCAGCGATCACGACGAGATCTGAGAGTCCGACAGCGATCGACCACGCCAATTGTCAATCCGCGTCACGCCAGAAGTGCAAGCGGTGAACAATGGGACTGACCGCGCTGGTGGTACACTGTGCGAGGTGCAAGAAAAAAGAGATGCTGCACCTGCAGCTGGAAGAGGGTCTTTTGTTTATGTCCATGTCCGATCTTTGTTGACACGGAACCTGTACACTCTGCCGCTCTCACCTGCAGCTCTGCCAGGTTCCCCTCCAAGCCCTTCCGCCTATCTCTTCACAAACTCGGCCGGCTCTTGTCCTCTCTTGCACAATCTGCATGACATTCACTCCGACTCGTCAACCAGCGGGGCATGTCACGTCTCGCTCCTTCCCGAGCGTCGCCATTGATGTCATCCTTTGGAATGCCTTGCATGTGCCTCCAACGCTAACCGCTCGTCTCTTGGGACTCGTCGGAGCCCGTCCGTCTGCTTCCTATCGATTGGCTCTCGTGCTGGCAAGATTGCTGAAGCACAGGCCAGACACTTTAAATTATGCATTGCCTTTGAGAACAATTCCTTAACCGCGTCCCTACTCCGCCTTGCTTGCGTGAGCCTCGTGAACCGCAATCGAGATCACGCTCCACTCTCCCGTTCCAAGTGCCAACATCGGCTCGATCCCAACATCCCAAACCTGCTCCTTGTTCCATCTTTCTTACTAACCAACTCTACCTCGTATGCCGCGACGATTGTCGGAGAAGAGAGTTGTGTGAGAGACTGAGTTGAATCAGGGGGAAACGTTAAGCGCCGGAGCCGTATGCTACCTCATGGTGAACTCGAGTTTGGCGTACATTCCGCGTGCACGACTATCGACCGCTGCAACATTTCTTTCCCACGTCCACTGGCCTCGACCTCCACCAAAAGTCAAAGATATGTAGTTAAGGAGGTCGGCTGGTTGAGGGTGAGAGGCCATTTTTCCTCCATCGGCAACGCGCGCGCTTGACAGCCTCATCCCCTACGTGTCGCCGTTTGATCCCAACTTCCACGACCCTGACCCAGACCTTTTTAAATCATCATTCCCTTCTCTCGCCACTTGGTCATCTCGGACCAAGGCTTTCTGCTCCTTCGCTTGCCACCGGCCGGCATGACCTCTTCATCCTCAAAGTGCGCTCAACGAATTGTTCATGCTTACCGTATATGTTGGTTCTTTACCGCCTACGTAGTAGCCGCTTGGATCATGCCGGGTCCGCGCTGAAACTACCGGCGTTAGGCATCCATGAGTTCTCAAACTTGGGGAAGTCGGCGATCCGTGAATCTTGACATCTCGGGTGTCCTTCGAGAAGGAAAAAGCAAAGAAAAATTTCTATCGACATCGTCTCAGCCTTCGTCGATGTCCATGTCCCCATCTGCGACTTCAGTAATTTCATCGCCTGGTGTAAGTAGATGCTGTGACGTCGAGTCTTCCCCTGCAGGCTGCGGTGTCTGCTGGTCTCTCTCATCGCCGCGGGGAAACGAGAGATGTTTCCAATCTTCGATCTGTACAAGACTATGAATAGATGTAGAATTGGGCGTGTACCGGGTGACTCACCTCCTCAATAATACACCGCAAGCGATCGCGGATGCTCTCGACGGCGAAGCTGCCCAACAGTAGACGTAATGGTGGAAATGAACAATGACCTAATTGCCAGGTGAGTTCGGCGCTCTTGACAGCACTGGTAGGCTGCTGATTGCTGAGCCATTGTACCACGCGCTTAGCATGCGCAGCGGGAGCATTCTGGCTCTCATAAGGCTGAGACGGCGACTTGACCAGGAAATGACCATACGTTGGTAGACGGCTCTTGTCAGCTGAATCGGAACCCTTGTCATCCAGTCCCGTGGGTTCGTCGAGACGCAGATGACCTGGAGCGACAAGGGTGGCCTTAATGTTAAAAGCATCGACCTCGTAGAGCAAGCTTTCAATCAAACCTTCGACGGCATATTTGGTTGCGCAATAGGGACCAAGGCCCGGGACACCGAGTGCGCCAGAGGTGGAAGAGAAGATTAGATATCGGCCGGAATTCCTCTTGCGAAAGTACGGCAGTGATTGCTGGACGATGTTGAGACAGCCGAAGAAGTTCGTTTCGAATTGTGCACGAAGATCGCAAACATCTTGGTCTTCACAAGCTCCAATGACGCCGTAACCAGTGCAACTGTATTGAAATCAATCATGAGATCGAGAGCATCGGGAGGAGATTTGAGGTATACTGACTTGACAATAACGTCCACGGAGCCGAAATGGCGAATTGTGTCTTCGATGACAGACTCGACTGTTTTAGATACTCTCACGTCGCACAGAAGACCGAGACAAGACTCGTGCCAGCCTTGCATCTGGTCAAGTGTGTGCTCGCCAACTCGACCGACAGCAGTGACGTTGTCGCCATGAGAAAGACACGTCTTGACAATGGAGCGACCCATGTGGCCAGTAGCACCAAAGACCTATAACACTCCATCAGCACGCGATATCCAAGCAAGGAAAGTCCAGTGTGACCAACGATCCATGTTTTCTGCGCAGGCGGATTATCTTCTCCTGGAGGATCACATGTTGAAGGCAATGTCAAGCCTGAAGTCAAGGTCGCTGGAGATGGGTAATCTCTCGAGGTAGCCATGTGACATTGAGCGAAGGTATATGCGAGAAGTCAGCGAGGCCTCAAGATCAACAACAAGCTATCCGTACACCGAGAGTACACAAACACGGACAATTATTGTCGAAGAGGAAAGCAAGCATTTGTCGGAGTCAGACCCCGCATGTGGAAGGCCGCTTGCTGCTGCCGCTGTCGGGCCATCTTGGCTGGGATTGTCTTATCGACAAGACAAACTGCGTCATGCACTATATCTTTCTTGGGAGTTTCTGTGGTCAAGCATGCGACAGTAACATACTCTGATTGAGTTCTTCTGTGTCTTGTGGAGGGATCAGTTGGGAACATGTCCAAGGCAAAGCAAGCGGCATACGGTATTTCTGCTCCAATCGCGTCGTCGACCACGTCACTGACTCTGGTATAGCCGCGTCGCCTGCAGCTCAATCTGGCAGCAGCACATCATTCGCCCAAGGCTTCGTGCTAGGGCAATTGACATTGGCGTTGATCTTGATATTCCTGATCAAGTTCTTCATCTTTGGCGAGCCTCCGACAGCGGATAGTCGTGCCGCTACAAGAGCAGCCCTGCGACGTCAACGAACTCTGTCGCACGCCTCGTCCCTACGCCGTCGCTCCTTTTCCGACCTCCGTCTTCGCAAGCGCAGTTCCGCTGCTGTACTTGCTCCGCGAAACATATCATCCGGTGGCGCCGTGCTCACAACAGACAAGATTCTGGAAAAGACATACTACAATGTTGATGGACACCAGCCCGAGAGCTTGGACTGGTTCAACGTCCTGATCGCACAAACCATCTCTCAGCTACGTGCGGACGCTCTGGAAGGAGATGCCGTGTTGACCTCCCTCACGAACGCCCTTAATGGCGGCCAACGCCCACAATTCATCGACGAGATCAAGGTGACTGAGATCTCGTTGGGAGAAGAGTTTCCCATCTTCAGCAACTGTAGGGTCATCCCAGTAGACGAGAATGGTCAGCCTGTCAAGCCGGTGGCGGGAAAGAAGGGTACAAAGGGAGGTCTAGGAGAGAGCAGGCTACAAGCACGCATGGACGTCGACCTGTCAGACGTCGTCACGCTGGGCATCGAAACGAAACTCGTACTAAACTACCCAAAGCCCTTCTCGGCTGTGCTACCCGTCGCTCTGGCTGTCTCTGTCGTGCGCTTCTCTGGCACTCTCTCCTTATCCTTCACGCCTTCCCAACAACCAGACGACTCTGCCAATAACGATTCAGAGTCGTCTTCTGGAAACCCCTCGTCCTCGCCTACGACCCTTACCTTCACCTTCCTCGACGACTACCGCCTAGATCTCTCTGTGCACTCTTTGATTGGCTCCCGCGCTCGCCTACAAGATGTCCCAAAGATTGCACAGCTGGTCGAGCAGCGTATTCATGCCTGGTTCGATGAGCGCTGCGTCGAACCTCGTTTCCAGCAGATCGTCCTACCTTCCCTCTGGCCGCGTAAGAAGAACGTCCGTGGAGGTACTGATGACGTTCCTGAAGAAGCCATCTTGTCAGATGCAGAGATGGACGCTGCAGCTTCAGCCTCTAAGCCGCGTAATCGTGAGCGAAGCAGAGAACCTTCTACCACTAAACGTGATACGCGAGCTGACAAGTCGCCTGTTGCTGCCACAAGACCAAAGCCCACACGGCAACCTTCACGACCAATTAAGCCGGAAGACGAGATGACTGACGAGGAGAAGCTAGCTGCTGCTGGCGAAGAGCTCAGAGCCGCTGAACAGAGGGAATGGTCTAGAGAGCGTAGGAGCAGAGAAAGGCATAACAAAAACAATGACGAGACGGTCAGGCGGAGGCCACGCCAGAGTCAACTGGCCAAGGAGTTGGACGTGCCGTCGTAGTTCGGTTGTTACTGATGGCTTTCCACTACAACCGCAGCGATCGTTTGTACGAATATACGAGTAGTGTAAATCTATATAATGCTCTGTTTATGACCATGCCCATGCCCATCTGAAAGACTGCACTTTCCGCGAATCGAAGCACAATCTCACTGGTGATAGGTGCATTTGAGATGGAGGACAGACCGGGATATGATGATCTGTCGGCAGGCTAGCCCAAGACGCGAGTTGGAAACTTGAAAATCAGCATTTCAACCCCACAATGCAACCAATCCACAGTTTGACGAATAAAACAATTATTCTAAGAGTATACCAATTAAGCAGTATGATATTCAGATGAATTGGTCTCAGGTTGGTACATCCACAGCACGATCATGGTCAAAGATCATTGTCGAGGGGACGACCCTGTTAGACCAATCACCACCTCCATCACCTCCCACCTCTGACCACCTACAACCACGCACGTCACACCGTTCCTGTCCACCGCTCAAACGAACACGCTCACCTGCCTCCCACACCCCAGCTGAGACTGCGGAGAGCCCGACATTATCCAAAGGAGATAGAAAAACGATCGTGATCTCATACCCGGTAGATGGGAAATTGGAAATTTGCATAAGAATAAAACGGGGACGTGCGTCCTATACCCAAAGTTTCTTCACACCATCATTTAGCTATTTCGCACTGCCGCCAAAACGTTATAACCGATGTAATCCCTGTTCATATCTTATGATTTCTGACAAGGTGCAATCGGTCGATACGGATGGTCAAGGGTATCGGTTTTGATAGCATGCGGATCTTGAGTGTCGGATCGCGGAGCGGAGGGTTGGTCCGCCTTGGGCTGTGAAGAGCGGGTAGACGATGTCGAAGTTGTAAGGATGGGAAAGGCGGTGGAAGGGGAAAGTGGATTTTGGGCAACGTTCTTTTGGCATGACGAGTTCTGGGTGTCATGCAGATCTTTGCTGCCTGTTGGCGACTCTTGCGTATCTTGATTGCTCGTGTGATGACGGGGGTTGTGAGGTCGGGTGATTTGCTCTCTCTACCTCTGCTCGTATATTCGTAAACGTCTATCTGTAGATTGCTGCGCCTTCTGCATCATCTCTAAGGTAGGATGTAGCCTCCATCGATGACGGTGTCGCTGCCAGTCTGGTAACTGCTAGCATCGCTGGCAAGGTACAGGTACAGAGCCTTGATCTCTCTGACGTCTCCTTGTCTGCCCATAGGAGTCATACGGTAGGCTTCGTTGATCACGCTCTCTCCTGCTCCCATCTTGGTGTTGAAGAAACCAGGTGACACGATGTTGACACGGGCAAATTCGCGCCATTCTCTGGCTAGCGATTTGCCTAGGTGGGTAATGGCCGCCTTTGTGGAGTTGTAGACCTAGAAATACGTGTCAGAGGAGGTCACGGCATGTAAGCTGAATATAGACTCACTGGTTGGTCGACTGGGACATTGACAATATGCGCCGAGATACTCGATGTGATGATCAAATTACCCTTACCCTGCTTCTTGAATTGCTCACCAGCATATTTGGCACAGTAGAAAACACCGTCGACTGTCACATCGTCAGCACCATCTTCTCCCGGCTTACCATAACTTCTGCTTACCATTGACAGCAAACTGCTTCTTGTATTCCTCTACGCTAGTCTCCAAGATAGGCTTGGAAATAGCCATACCAGCATTCGCGACCATAACGTCCAGTCTTCCAAAGTCCTCTACAACCTTGGCTACCAACTCTTTCACCTTCTCTGGATCTGAAATTTCAATCTGGTATGCTTTGAACTTGTTTCCATGCTTCTTTGCCAGCTCTTCGGCCTTTTTAATAGCCTTTTCATTTGAGCGGTACCACAGTGCTACGTTCGCACCAGCCTCGGCCATTGAGTCTACAACGGCACCACCGATGCCTTCAGCGGCACCGGTAACGACAACAACGCGGTCCTTGAGGTTGAACTGCTCGAGGACATTGTCGGGACCTGAGGGGGCAGGATTGGGCTGGCGGGGTACTTGGGCTTCTTCGAGGGTCATAGACATCTTGGGCGGCAGTTTAGGGTGTATGTCGAGTATGTAATTTGGCGGGTGATGCTTGGTCAGGTGTGCTTATGCGTTTGAGATGTCGTACGTGTCTTGAGAGACGCAGAAGATTCTTGACAGAGGCATGACGATATCCCACAGAGGATACAGTCCCATCAACCTGGTCTATTCAGCCTAATTTGTCTGTTGACGTGAGGCTTGGGAAGCTCCATAGACTGATGGTGGGGGAGCTTATGGGTCTGCGAATCAGTGACGGCTTTTATTCCGCGGTGAGCTCGGGAGAAAACAACCCGAGTTGACTTCATGCTCATCCATCCATTCGTCATTCTACAACCAGAAACATAAAAAATGAATATACGAGTAACGAGTCTGATAATATGCATGAGCAATTGATGTAAGATGATATGCCACTGGGAATATGCTCCACTGCAGTATCGTTAGCCACATGTTTCCCTTGCGCGATTGAAGGCCATCTTGCGCTGTTAGGTCGGTAGAATTGGAGAATCTTGGTGTCGACATTCGAGTGGTGGGCAAAACTCGAGAATAAACAAGTGGTGGGCAGATGGTCTATGAAATTACTGAAGATGATGATTGATCGAAAAGGGCCTACGCTGAGTCTGCAGGCGAGACTCAAGGTTCAGCTATTATCACTCCTCGCAGTGTATCCACAGTGGGGCGCAAAGATTGACCTACTATCGATATCTGCCATCACAGATTCTACACCACAAAAGACCGTGGCTGATAGTACTAAGGTATGGATACGGCAGGTAAAACAAAACACCCACTGAACCAGCAAAAAAAAACCAGAACTCAATCTGGGAAACATCTTTGCAACCAAGTCATAATTGCGACCAACCAAGGCTGTGAGTCGAACTCACAATGTCTGGATTCTATTTATGCTAGACTTGGAGAGGTGTGACGAATGCCTGTGAGCCACAGGACTGATCTCTGATAAGGAGGTAAAGCTCCGCAATTATAGGGCTTGTGGCACACTGATTGCGAAGTGAAGCGCGCTACCAATAATGATGTCTAGATCGATTGCTCTCTCACGATTGCCAGGCCTACTGGTATTCGCTCAGTCATCTAATAGTGACCGCGGAATTAGACGCCCTGGTCTCCTAGGTGCCGCGCAGAATCGAGAGTTAAGAAGTGTCGACAGACATATATTTATGCACCGCAAACACGAACACGCCTCCAATTCAAGACTTCCACCTTGATAAGCTGCCTGGTGGGAAAATGAGAGACGAAAGCACCGCTTGTGCATCATACTTCAAGCAGGATCATGCCGAGAAACAAAGATCGTTTATATGTTGCACTGCACGCCAGAGGAGGGTCGCCTACAACGTCAGGAGCAGAAGACAAGGAAGTTCGAGTATCAAAGCAGTACACGAAAGTGTTGACAGCGAGTTCAGGTACCACTGGGCACCCATGATCGGTCCAAAGGCAGAGAACCAGGATACCACGGGAAACCGTTGCCATGCGAAGACCTGCGTATCGACGGCTGGTACTTACTGGACTTTCGAGGAGAGTAGGCACATCAATGCAGATGACAAATGCTATCCTTATACGAGTGCTAGTAGGAAAAATTGAGGATCGCGAGCGGCTGCTTAGCATACTTTGCAGAGTCGAAGTCGTTCAAAAGGACCCAAACTGGAACTGCGTCGTGTGGGTCATGCAGGCTTGGAGAAATCTCCAAGATGATGGGCTTGCAACGGGAATCGCTGTTTTGGAGTGGAAGACAGTTCGAGATGCAGCTATGGCCTTCTGCCAGAGAAAACATGACGAACATCGATTCGATATTGGAGGTCAATTCCCTATATCTGGAGTACCTCCGACCTACGGTTTGTTGACGAGTAAACTACTGTCTCCATGAGCGACTGGAGGAATTAAACCAAACGGAAAAGGCAATTAGGTAAGTAAGATGAGTTCGGGATAAACAAGATCATGGAGTTGTGGTGGTCATTATCATTTAATCTTTATCTATACAGGTTCGTGAGGTGTAGTTTTGTGGTATCGTGACGCCAAACCGACGTGTTTTTGACAGTCCGTCGCAATGCATATGCTGTCCTGTCCAATTATAGCCCAATGCTGATGCGTCCGTGTCCCAGTATGCTCGACTTTGGAGTCGTGTTTCTTATGATGTCTTTCGTGTGCTAGATTGAAGCACTTAGGCGATGTTTGCTGCAACCAACTTCACATCAGCGCAGTTGGAGCTGACGGTGGAGGCGTTGTCGGTCTTCCACAATAGCTGATATTGAGGGCCAAGGGTGAAGTAGGGCGAGGTGCCGTTGACGTGGCAGAGAGCAAAGTTGCCATCAAAAGACTCAGGAGCGATAGAAGAGTTCGAGGCAGACCAGGCAAGAGTGTTGTTCTTAAAGTAGAAGCCAGTAGTGGCTGCGCCAGATGCATCAAGAGAGACGTAGTCGTAGCCGGCAGGAGCATCGGAGCGGTAGGGTGCTTGCTCAAGCAGACTGATGTTGTATGCGAAACCGGCGGGAGCGCCTCCGATTGCCAAAGGCTGTTGGAGAATCGAGTCTGAAAGGGCTGCTTCATGTTAGTCTCACATTTCATGTCAGAAACGGCGTGGGCCCACTTACCCCATCCGATGGCAATGCTGCTGTTCTTGCTTCCGACCACAGTGGATTGACCAGCGCCGACATGGAACGAAGTCAAGTACTGTCCGCAGAAGGCCGAAGTACCGTTGACGACTTCAGTGTGGAGAGTGAAGGGCTTGCTGCTGTCGAAAACGGCATCGGAGCGGTGGCTGAGAGGGAGGGCTGCCACAAGGGGCAGAGCAATGGCTGCGGCGAGAGTCTTGATGGATGTGTACATTGCGATGTGGTTTTTTGAGTGATATATGCTTGTAGGTTGTAGGATGAATAGATATGCTCAAAATGCAATGGAGCTTGGTGCAGCGTCTTATATGTCTCTACAAGTAGGGAGGTCGGTGTGGACCGAACGGCCGAACGTCACCGTACCTGCCAAGATCCGTCGTTCCAGGCTTTCCCAGCCACCTGCGCCCCACATGTTATCCCCGAAGAGAACTCGGTCGAAGCTTAAAGTGCCTATAAGCTCAGCCGAGGATGTTGAGAACGTCGCCGTCAGCGCTGTAAATAGATGCACAGGATAGAATTCAGAGCGAACGCTCCACGAACCTTACGCGAACTTTGGCCTCTCAACTGAAAACACTGCCGACTCGTGTTCGACTTGCAGCAACCGCGTGGCATTCCACTGGGTCGAAAATTACCTGTGGATCAATCACTAAAGCCATGATTCTCGGACGTAAGGCAGACGACTTCTTCGTTGCTGTCAAGCAACATCTGGACAACATCCAGCCTGGTCGTGTAGACAGCAGCTTAGACGCGTTCCAACAAGCTGCTAAGACACTTGTTGACTTGTCCGGTGGGCTTGAGGGCCAGGATATTGCTCACCTCATCTACAATGCCAAGGCGACCCTGCTTTTCACCCAGATCTACATCGTGCTAGCCATTGTGGTTGGTGCTTTGCTGATCAGGAGGCTGGGAAGATTCATCCACCATGTCGGCAAGAGCCTCAGGAATCTCAGCGACGTCACAGAGGTCCAGAAGAATATACATTATCAAACTCAGTTCGCTGGAGCTGTCCGCCGGTTTATCGAGTACCAGCATGTCTTACACGAAAAGCAACACTCGACCGATCCACAGGATGCCATCTATTATGTCTACCATCCTGGAAACGACTGGCATGCTTCATTCCACGCTGAAGACCTTGACGTTGAAGGATTTGGTGGTGTGTATGACGACCTTCCAGCCCTAATGGAGCATTTGCGCACCCGTCGCCAGGATCCAGAGTTCAGTGCAAGTATCTATATTCTACTTCCATCCGCTCACCGCCACGACTTCACCATCGATCTTCGCTCTGAGACAGCTCTTCTGCCTCTGAAGCTTGTAGGTCAAAAGGATTACAGTGGTAAAGCACTTTGTCGTGGCCGTATCAGAGGCATGCCTCTGGGCGTCGAGCTTAGAGATGTCGACGTTTCACCGGAGAAATCGAGATCATACTGGCCTTTGGTTTGGCCTTTGTTGGGTATGGTGGGAGTAGTAATGGCGTCTATCACTGCCTCCGAATACATCGAGAAGTAACTGGAACGGACCTGAAGAGCCATGAGCTGTGGTCAGAAAATTACAGTTAACTTTTTGGACGGCACACACGCATTGGTGTCTATAGCGACAGTGTCACACTTATTGATAGAACTGAAAGTTTCATTCAGTATTGCACAAAGAGACTCAACTGATACCTTCCATAAACTTTCACCTGGAAGGCCGAAGTTTCCATGGCACGAATGAATGTCTCACACTATGGTTTCCGGCATCCTCCCCGTGTACGAAGCACTGTAACCTTTGTGTCTGCCTCAAGGCAAAAACATTTTCGGATCTGGAGCGACGGCATCGGGATGTATCTTGTCATCGCATCCCTGCACTAGGCTTATTAATACGAAATAATGCTGTGCCTTTCTACAGCTTGTTGTTGCCCTGCTTCAATCATTGTGAGATAAAGGGTTCACAGTAGTATGCATACGTGGAGGATGGCTTTGGGACCATTCTTGTCTGCTTGCCATTCCGGTGTCTCGCTTGAGGAGCATAGCAATCAGTCTTGAGATGTATCTGTCCAGCGTATCCGCGAAGAGTATTGACCAGCTTCTCTTCCAAACAATCTCGTTCTTCCTGTTGAACCTTGCATCACTTCAGTCATTATGGGACAATCAATGCTAGGCTGGAAGGCAGACGACTTCTTCGTCGCTATCAAGCAGCACCTGGATTCTATCCGTCCTGGTAGTCTCGGGGAAATATCCTTCGTCTTTGGAGAAGCGGCTGCCCGTGTGATGTTGGTTTTTGAGCGACTGAACAGCGAGAAGCTTGACTACATCCTGGAGAATACTCAACACATGACCGAAGCTGCGTCGAAAACGCTTCAACAACTCGATCTTGGTCTCTTGCATGAGTATTTCAAGACATCGCAGCATGCTTTCGATGTCGCGATCCAAAAGCTTGGGCAAATCGAGGTTCACCACATCCATGACACCCTTAAAGCTTCACAATTCATGGTCGAGACTGTTCATGAACACCTTCAACAACTCGATGTCGATCAGCTCCATGAGGGCCTCAGGACCTTCCAGAAGCTGACGGACAATACAGTACCATCATTGCACACATTCGTAAGACTCTTCGACGTCTTCATGGTGATCTCGTTGCTCTGTGGTGCGCTTTCCGTCCTGACGATCATTGCCATCATCTACTTCTTACGGAGCATGAGTAAGCATATGAACGACCTGTCCGATAGCACGCAGATCATCAGCAACGCAACTTCGATGCAAGGAACTCTCGACCGTCAACGTCACTTCGCTGAAGGAGTGTACAATCTCATCGAATTGCAAGACAGACAACAATATATTTACCCAAAGGAGTGGCCCATATTAAGTACCACGGACTACTGTTACCTCGTATACCACCCAGCTTCGGACTGGCACCCCAGTTTCTTCGCCGGAGCCTATGACGATTGGAATGATGACTCAGACTTCAAAGACGAACAGGATACCCTGATCCGGCGTGTACATCTCGTCAACAACCCCACGGCGTTGTTGGGCTATCTGCAGAAAATCGAGATGCCAGAGTCCATAGATAATCCCGACGACCCTGGGAAGGTGGTACACATCTTGTTGCCTTCAACTCATGCATACGCTGTACCATTTACCATTCGTATTCCGGAGAGACTTCGACCCGTCAGAGTGGTTGGTCAGACTGATTGTAGCGGAAAGCCTTACTGTCGCGCCTGCATCCTCGGGGTCGATCCCTCAGATGTGATTGATGTGGATTTGTTGCAAGAGCACGAAGCCCCCGACTATTCACCATCTCAGCCTGATTTCAATGTGTGGCTCTATTCTATTGTCTGGTTTCTCGTGGCAGGCCTCTGGATTGGAGTGAAGGTTGGCCAGATATCCGACCAGATTAGAGATGTCGCATGGACATTCGCAACCCTCTAGTGCTAACGCGCTGCATGGGCTGTGTAGATGACGGAGAATCGAGACTCAAGATTGAGCCCATTGAGAATTGGAAGAAACCGTAGCTGAATAATGTCGCGTTGTGTAATATTATGTTATATCGCAGGTTTGTTAACCGTAACCAAGTCTACCCAGTACAATAAAAGGACATTGGCCGTAATACGCATTAGGGGTATAAGGGAAAGAATGCATCATAAACCATCTCTCTATACACTGTCACTGCTTGACAGTTCGAGGCCAGCTTCCTCGGCCTTCTTGCTCTTCTTGTTCTTTTTGCTCTTCTTCTCCTTCTTAGGCTTCTTGTGCTCCTTGAATTCAGGGAAGAACACTCCGGGATGTGCGACGGTGAGGGCTATGGCGGCAATGCAGACCATCCTGTTGTTCTGTCAGTGAATCGCTTCTTTATATTGGATACCCTGTACACTTACATTCCGTCAAGGATCAAGAACTCCTTCTCATTCTGCATCAGAGGGTTGCCCCAGCCACCGACCATCTCGGGAATACGATAGATGGAACGGATGAAAACAGCAATAAAGGCCAGGCCTGATGCGCCAACGTAGTACTTGAAGCCAGCAGTTGAGCGAGTCATTGGGTCGTCGAGGTTGGTTTGTGCTTGCTTTGACCTGTAACGGCGGAAGAAGAAGTCGGCGGCGACAAGACCACAGAGTGCCATGGTAGCGACCTGGATACAGATACCAGCAACCATGATTGAGTTTCCAATCTTGACAAGCTCGTAGTTTTCGCCTGCAGCGATACCACCACCTGCAGCTTGAACGAGGATACTCGCTGCATCGGCAGTGATAAAGATCCAGGTGTAGAGGCTAGGCTTGAGCCTGGAGTATTGAGGACCGAAGTGGATGACCAGATGCTTAATCGTAAGGTAGATGCCAGCGGCAAGGAAAGAGGGCGACAGAATGAGGCAGACAATCTGAATTTTGAAGCCAGTATCACTCCACGGGTTGTTGTGCATGATAAGTCTGCCAATGTATCCGACACATTCTCCAAAACATCCGATCGAAACAGCGAAGGTGAAGCCCTTCAGACGAGCCTTGATTCCAAGGAAGAGCTGTGCAATAAACAGAATTCCGAAGACAACACAGAAAAAGATGTTTCCACCTTGATTAGGTCGGTATCCATATGTAGTTGCTTCTACTGGGCATTGCGGTGTAACCTCTGTGCAGTAACCGCGAGCCATGTTTGTTGAAATCGCGACGAAGATGTCACGTCGTTATGTGATGACGACTTGGCTGGAAAGAAGGTTCAACAGGGTTGGCTAAAACGAAGAGTTCGAAGACAAAGGCAAGTACATCGTGGGGTTGATTTGGGGGGAATATATGATATATAAGCAAAGTATCAGCCTTGAAGGAATCATTGCGACATTCATCTCACGCTCGCCTATCGTCTGCCGTTTCGTTGAATAGCGTACGGTAAACGAGTTACGGGCGTTTTTCGTAGAGCGGTCATCGTAAAATCGGGTGCGAGATTGCGATTTGCGTGGCAGTTCGCGTCATGAGGAGCGCCGCATAGTCAAAAAAGCCCACGTCAGAGTCTGCCAGATAGCGAAGGAAGCAGTGCCGAGCTTCCTTCCATGCACGGATGACAGCCAAACCCTGGAGAAGTGCGACAAATTTAACCTGACGGGATGCGCGGGCCTTGGTAGCGGGTCGTTGCCGAGCGAGTGTTTGTACGGGGGTTGAGTTTGTCCGGTGATGCGCATATCGTACAGTGTCATGTTCCATTACTCCTGCAGTGCTTGAGCAGAATTACAGCCGCAGGACCTTCGACTCTGGCATTTATCCAGATTCTGCAAGATCTCCAACCCCGTTTGACGTTTCCGATGTCCTCCCGTCGGTTTCATAGGAAATCGCGAAGCGGATGCTCGCATTGCAAGAAAAGACATATCAAAGTAAGCTGACTTCGTACTTCACGAGGGCCTAGTCACTGATGGGCCATTTCTCCAGTGTGATGAAGGTCGTCCAAACTGCGCGAACTGCCAGCGAGCAGGTGTCGTATGTACCTATGATCAACTCAAAGTACCCAGTAGTCCAGCACAAAGCGCAAGTGCAAGTCCAGCTGGTTCTACAGCGTCTACTTTGGTGTACGACCATGCTCCGACGTTCGATATGCTCGACCTGACTCTGATGCACCACTACACAATATCAACATCTCTCGACTTGTTTGCTGGACAAGGCTCTCGGAAGATCTGGCAAGAGGTGATTCCGAGGGAAGCGCAATCAAGTCCCCTACTAATGCATGGTCTTCTTGCGCTGGCATCCATGCAACTTGCCTCGACACGACTCAACGAGCGACAAATATATGCAACTCGAGCATTGGCTCACCAGAATGCTGGAACTAGGCTGTTCCGAAGCATGCTCGAACAAGTCCGTACACCCGATGGCCATGTTATCTTCATATTTAGCATGATCCTACCAATCTTGGCTTTCGCCTTTCCACACACGTGTGACGATCCACCAGACATTGACGGTATACTCGACCTGTTTAGTTTGATTCGAGGGTGCAAAACAGTGTGGCTCATGAATCCGGAACTCATTGATGCTAGTCCGGTAGCGCAATGGGTCGAGACTACCATTGTCGGACATCCGATCGAGATGAAACCAGAAGTCGATCATCGATTCCAAGCTCTGCGAGCAAGCTTGACAAATCCAGCAGATATTGTTGCCTGCGATCAGCTCATAGACTTCACTCGTGGAGAGCTTGCGACATCGCCTGATGGAGTCGCAAACTTAGGGCGCTGGCCTACTATGGTATCGGATGCGTTCTGGATGCGGCTGCAGAATCACGAGCTGGACTCTTTGCTTGTACTCTCACATTACTCTGTTGTCTTGGGCGCACCTAGCTATCGCTGGTGGACTACTAATTGGGACTCCATCTTACTACAAGCCATCGACAAAGCTCTGCCTGAAGCTGACAAGAAAGCAACGGGATGGGACTATGCTACCATGATGAAGTTCGCAAACTCGTGCAAGGCGAGATGACCGCTTGATCCGAACATTTCTTGGCCATAAACGGCCAGATCGGACACATTTCGAAAGCTTCATTTTTACTCGAGGGAGACAAGCAGTATCCAGAAGCTCTGCCATTGGTCTCGAAAAAGAGAGCGCCCGATGATGCGGGTTCAAGGGATCTCAAAGCGATGCACCATGTCATGATACAGACCACCGGAGATTGATGTAGTGGCCGAGTAAACACTAGCCACACTCCAATACTTACTTTCACGACCAGCATTGGATAATTCAATGTGTCTCTTGCAGCGCGGTCAGACTTGTATGAGCCTGTCAGATGGTCTAGATATTTGGTGACAACAACAGGCCAGCTGAGCGGATGCGTGCAAGAGCGCGATCAATACCAAAGCACCATGGGACTAGAGCCCTGAGTGACTTGGCTTTCATTACTAGGCGGTGCGATTATGCTTAGGTCGCTTGCTGTCATAAGTATCGATTCGTCATCAATATCGTCCTAATCAACATCATCTTCATCTTCTTCGCTCAGAACGTCAACTCTATCTACTGCATGCCGAGACATTAGATTCGCAAGGGATTTACGAATGTCGTCGTTACCCGTCACCTGAATTCTCTCTTTGCCAACAAAGCTCAGTGTTCTTGGATATGGTTTCTCGGTCCGAATATCCTCCAGATGCAGATAGTCGAGACCTTTTGAGCATTGTAGAATTCGCGACAACGTTTCGTAGATCGGCATTGTCTCCACGTCCGCATCGGCGCCGTTAAAGTTGAAGAAAGAGAGAAAATGCAATAGTCGAGCGTTAAGGATAGTGAGTCGTGATAGGAGGTGTGATCGGTTGCTGGTAGATAGCAACAGTTGCTCAAGCTGCGCGGCATAGAATTGACACCCGTTCAGACAGAGCCCAGTAGGTTGTTTTTGGCGAGTCCAGTTTTCTATTTGGTGAAAGTCTTCGATAGTCAAGTGGGTGAAGCAAAGACTGGCGTGCTGGCGATCGTAGCTGGCGTCTCCGTGTTGAAATTCTACGGCCAAGACGTTCACGGTGGAAATCTGTGACTCTTGCTCCTGTTTGTCTAGCAGACCGCCAAGTCTGCACAGCATCTTGTCAAGCTGATCTTCTGCGTCCCAGTCTTTCGCCTTTATGATGAGCTTGCCCACTGGTAGTCGTGATTTAGCAGCCATCTCGACGATGCCTTCGATGTAGTGAACGATACACGGCTCCGAGATCCATTCGTTACTTCCATAAGGGCTGAACTTCAGCTCGATGACAACACCAAGCGCGCTTAGCTTGTCGAAAAGTTCTTGGACGAATGGTATCACGGCCCATACATTACGCCAATCTCGAACAAAGTCAAAGGCCACATATTTGACTGCACGTGCATGTATAGGGCTTGATATGACGTCCATCAATCGTGTGAGGTTATCCTTTTGAGTTGGATCTATGCGGAGTGACTCGAGCTGCTGTAGAAAGAGTCGATGGCAAACTTGCTCCAGGCTCTTGTTCGTGAGTCGCAAATTGGAGAGCGCGCCTTTTTGGATCTTGTCTGCATGCTCTATGATCCCGATGAGAACTTCGTTTGGTAGACTGAGGAGTGCGATGCCCATTGTGATGATGATAGTGAAGATAACACGTGATGTCTTGATCTGGACTCTTCTTGGTTAACCAGACTGCCGTCAACCGTGCTTCTCAGACCGAGTATATGGATTCAGATATCGATAACGGAGCGAGCTCGAGGGAGCTGCTGATGTGCGGTGACGTAATGAGGTGCGCGTCGCTATGTGGTCGAAAGGGTTGGCGCATCAGAATCAGTCATCCCATATCATTGCTGAGATCGGAGCAAATATAGAACGCATAAATATTTCTTCAGCTGCGTGGTGATGTTCTATTTAGGCGGCGGTAATTAACCAAACTCATACCAACGTTTATGCTTTGATCCTTCCGCCAAGACCCGGCACAACAGGAGGAAGTACAGTGAAATGGAAGGAACTCGATTCGCTGCCTAAGGGTCCTCGTTCGAGGCCCCACTCAAGATCGTCTACTGTTCTTTTGACTTCAACCACGCAAGAGCCAGAAGATTCATGTTTCTCGAGCAAGTTGTGCTAGCAGAAGCGGTCGGATGTGGCACTGCTGCCGAAGCCGTTCAACGAGCGACCGCAGGAAGAACACATCCGGCGATTAAAGATAGAGAGTTAGAGAAGGATAATAGAAGTAGTAATATAACGGTAATTGTAGAATAGCTAGTAAGTAAGAGTAAGGTTCGTGCATAGACCTGCTAAACCTCTCCCTTATTTGCCCGTAGTAATAAAGCCATAGAGAAGAGTAGCGCTCCCTACAATAGCTTTCCGTGAGCTTGTGCACAGGGGGGCGGAACGTCGAATGTGTGGGGATCAACCAGGTCGGTGACCTGGAATGCGCTGTAATCTGCTAGCGCCAGGTTGGTACCTTCAGCAGCAGGTGGACGGGTTTGGCAGAAAACAACCGGAACATCACCGGTCTTGTACCATATCCAGAACTGACCAGGCTCGTGTATGGGTGCGCAGAAGCAGCGCGTGACAGTGTCTGGACTCAATTGGGGATTGTCTCTGATCGTATACATGATCTTGCCACTACCGGCGGTCGCCCATGTTGGACTAGTGGGTCCGAAAGGAAGTTTCGTGCCACATTTGAATGTCCCGTCAGCATTTCTCGAAAAGATCCAGGTGGTCGAGTCTATCAGGTCTGCGTCTGTGACATTCTGAGGCTGTCCAGCCTCGATAGGATTGAACATACGAGTTCGTTGAGACTTAGCTGGCCAGTCGTATGTCATTTCGGTACTCAACGGCGTTGACGCGTTGACAGGTGTCATCGTACAGGTCATAAAGAATTGTTCAGGCCAGACTGGTAGCGGAAGCCCACCGTCTCCGGGAGAAAGTCCAGGAATCAAGGTAGACACATCCTTGAGGTCTTCGCTGCTGACGCCAGCTTTCGAGAGAATAGAAACTGTTTTAGAAAGTATATCATCGTCAGAGGCCATGATTCCTAGAACTAAGAGATCAGTTAGTGATTGTATTATAGTCTATGTCCTACAAAGCGAACCATACCTTGAGGATCTTGTTGCTCCACGTCCTGTTGCTCAAAGTTGGAGACTGTCACGCCGACATCATTCGTGGCTACTGCCCGGAAGTGCGGCCAGTAGATGAACGCAAATTGGCCGAGTATGGGAACTTTGTCGCCATTGTCTTCAGTCGAGTTCATAGTACGCCAGGGAACGTTACTGTCAGATCGGAACCAGTGCTTTGGAAAAACGTAAGTCAAGAGCTTTGTGGCTATCTCGCAATGTTAGAACTCACCCAGTTAGTTGCGTTCGGTGAAGTCATCTCTGACCACCAATTGCAGTCAACTCCGAGGATGGGCAGAGTGCCCGCACAGCTTGTGGAAGAAACGAGCCAATCTGCCTTTGGAACAATCAAGTCCGTCGAGTATGGTCCATAAACGATGCCCTGAGTCCTCATCCAATACCTGTTTCCAGTGTCTGTGGATTTGAAAACCAGCATCATGTTGTTACCGGTCAGGTCCGTAATGTCGAATACCATACTTCGTAAGGCCTCATCGTAAGCCACTTCTGCCACCCAGATCGGGTAGCCGATTTGGAAAGGATGCATGAGAGTCGTTGCCACAAATTTGGAAGGCCATGCTGGGCTCTTATACGAAGACTGTGTCTTGAGCTGTGGTCTGGGTGCAGCCAACTTGTAGGCGATAGTGGATGAGGCTGTCCCAGTCGGAAATGTGCTCAAGAGCAACAGATCGACATTAGCAGCACTTCCTACTGTCACACTATGCAATGTTCCTACTGGAAAGCTCCAAGTAGTCAAAGGTTGATTGTGTGGGTTAATAACCGGGTCACGGATGATGTTGGAAGGATTCGAACCATCCATGGCAATCTGGTAGAGGGACAAAACGCCTTGCGCGGGATCAGAGTTGGACTGTCCCGTGATGTAGATAGTTGCCGATGTTGGATCCCTTGTGCGAGCCGTGGAAAGTGCAATTCCATAGGGCTTCTGATCTGAAACGTTTATTTCTGCGAGGTAGTTTCCCTGCGAGTCAAGAACTACAACGCGAGAATCTGAGCTATTCAGTACCCACACACGCGACACTGCATCGACAAGCACAGCATGCGGAAGATCAAATTCGACCTTCAGGGTTCCAGTTTGCTCCGAAGGCGATCCCCAGACGGCAACGCACTGCATGCTCCGATTTAGAACAATAACACGATTGTTAGGGCCGCCTAAATCACCATCTGTCACGTAAACTTGTCCAAGGGTGGTATCGAAAGCGACGTCGGTGATCTGTAAAGGTTTAGCGATAGGCCGCAAAGGAAAATCATGAGGATACACACTTTACCGAAAGTCACTGGACCATGAGAGCCAGGTATGCCAATTGAATCGTCCTTGGACTCGATATTATTCGAGCCCCCAATCTCTGGCCCAATGATAGTCAAACTATTGCCTTCTGCATCAAAGACACGAATGCAGGCAGCGTCAAGGTCAACGACCCATAAGGATGAAGAGTCGTTGGTGCCGTGAAAGGCTTTGATCGAGTGGCCCCTCACGATGTTGGTGTCGGAACGTGTGCGATACAGTGATCCATCATCATTTAAGATGACAAGCGATGGCTGTGTCCGGCGTAACATGTAGACTTTGCCGGTCGCACTATCTATGGTTGTGGCAGAGACATCCGTGAGGTATTGGGATGCCATGGAGAGAAACGAGGTAGCAACATACTGCAACATGCCGCTTTCGAGAGACGACGCCGCTCGGGAGGTGTCTACCTCTAATTCGTCAGAGCTGTGCTTCACTCGACCCCTGAATGGATGAGGTGGAAGAACGATAGGCGCTGGCATCTTTGGTACAGATCGATAAGGCAATCTCAGTTTTCAGTGAGTGATTTAAGAATGTGTGATTCCAGCACTGCAACCCGTAGAGTGCCTTTATATACTACTCTCTGCAACTGATCCTTCTCCTGAAACCAGAAAATTAAGTAGCGATGCGATTAAGGTTTGAATGGTTTGCAGCTCGTGTTCAGCAGGAACGTTGTCTCGGTGAAAATACAATTCAATTCGAGGGACTCGAAACGAGCAGTGAGACTAAGCTACGTTGGTAGACATTGTCATGATCCTGCATTGGATACAATCGGCTGGTACCAGAAGGAATGTCCTAAGCGATCCACCATCTCAGCTGCCATCTGATCGTGGCCTGATCAACCCGCATTTATCACCTTGCATCCAAAATTCGCCCATGAGGCGACCTTATCTCTGTACTGGTCATGAGTCGCTATTGTGCTTGACGGACGTAAAACGCGCATATCGTCTGTTTAGCGCGACCACACTTTAAGAGTGGCTGAATTACGAAACCGACTTTGCAATTGTATCCCAGATATGCGAAGATCAAGTTCCAATGCGTGGGCTGAGAGCCGTAGTAGTGAACCAAACTGCACAATGTACGTTGACTTCCCCGCAGCTGAAGCTCTTTGTTCGTAAGCTTCAAGATTCCGGCCAGAGGAAAACGGTTTAATATACGGAGGTGTCAAGATTGTAGCTCGATCTATCGATCATTTTCCTAATGTGGCTATTGACGGAAGGCTCAGGCTACATGACGAAGAGATTATCGACCGTGTGCTTCGCCTGGCCGCTGTCCTTTTTCCATTAGATATCGAAGTCGGAAAGCTATATTCTTGCTGTGATCCTCCAGACCAAAGCATTAGAACTGGGCAAGCTACAGTCGACTGCAGCACACCTACCAAGGTTCATGCGAGGTCTTGTTCTGGACGCAGCGACACAAATTTGTTATGCATGAAAAGGGTCATATGAATTGAGACGCTGGAGGAACTGTACGTCGGTTAGTTGTCCCATCCAAAATGACCCATCTGCGCGGATGTTCTTGCGTCGTCAAGCTAGACAAACGGATGTGTAGCTGAGGCTGGATGGAACATGTCGTTATTGACCGTTCATGTCGGGAAAACCTGTCCTAATGGGCCATGAAACGGCCAGCTGATAGAGCACAGAGCTGCAAGATGGGAAAGAGGTAAGCAAGATAGGACAAGCTCTACTAAGACATTAATCGCTTGCTCGCATGACCTCTTCTTCCTTGCACCGAAGTGGTTACTTGGAAAAAGGCTATGCTTTTCCGCTATGAAGGAGAGTCTGTTTGCAATTACCGCTTCGAGGCCTTTGCCCATTGTAGCGAGTAGCGAAATGGGCCGGAAGGCCTTTGGTACGGTGTAATCCGGTTTCGCTGGCTTCCTTAGCGGGACTATCCCCGCAATTCTGAAGCTACCTGGAAGGTGGCTTAGGCGTAACGATGCCCTGTATATGGCCATTATACTGCCTTCTACCTCTTCCCATACCCTCTGCCACACTAAGAACGGTATGTCATCAGGGCCCGGTGCCTTCTTCGGATTTGACCGGAAGATGGCCGCGCGAACTTCTGTCTCTGTAATCTCTTTATGCGCCTGGACAGGCAAAGGTGCCTCTCGATCCTCTGGGTCCTCGCTTTCGAGTTCCGGTTGAGGTGTGAAAAAGGCCTGAAGGAGCGCCGCCGCCTTTTCTTCTTCGTCGTCGACGGATCCTTACGGACCCTGTAACGTAGGGACGCCCCTAGATCTAGGATCCATGTGGGTGTGCTTATTTGCCTTCCATACGTTCTCTGGGCTGTCTACAAAATTCTCTCCAGTGGGCGGCCTTCTGACTTCTTATCTGCGAGAGGTAGTCCTTCCTAATTGCCTAGATCTGTCGGTGCAGGTCCTTGCAGTCAAGTTCTCTCCCCCTTCGCTCTATCTCTCGATTCCGTAGGGCTGACAGGGTGTGTCGGAGCGTTGCGAGAGACGGCGCCTACCACCTTTTTGCGTTGGGGTGGGGTTTGGCGTATAGGATCTTGTCTGCAACTATCTGGCTCACCCATCTGACGAACTCTTCGGCCTCGTCGCTGAGCTGCTGTTTCGTCTCGATTGGCTGGGGCTGTGGCAGGAGACTAACTGCTTTGCGGATGTCCACCCAGTTCGCTTTGTCGTACATTCTTCTTGGTTTTCTAGTAGCTTTAGCCTCCCACGACACTCGAAATCGAGTCTCTATGGCCCTGTGATCCCCTCCGTAGTCCGTGTCGGCGGTCTTGCACTGAATGATAGCCGCCTGTAACCCTGTCAACACCAGAACCAAGTCGATCGTAGACGGATGTGAACCATTGTTGTGCGAGAAGGTGACGGTGCCTCGTGGGAGGATAGAATCCAGTTCCTCCTCTGCCATAAACTGTAGGATAGGCCAGTCGTCCTTCCTTCTGTCGTAAGTCACCTCTCGTCCTCCCCACACATTGCTGTAGCGATTGAAGTCGCCCCCTATATACACGTAGAGGACTCCTTCTGGCTTTCCCTGGGTTTTCTGTACGATGTTCTGGATGCAGGCTATCCGCTGTCGCAGATCTGCCTCTTCCCGCGGTCCGTTGTACGGTACGTATACTGATATGAGCAACAGCAGTGCTCCCTCCATCTGCATCATTACCGCAGCCACATCCGACGATGTGGTCTCTTCTTCTTAGCATTTTATTCTGTCTAACACCCAGACCGCCACTCGGAATAAGTGGCGTACCGAGCTCGCTTTCTGGTTGTGTGTTTTTGGCGTGACTGTCGTCCACTCACTGGGTTGATTGACGGTGGGTTCTCCTATCCTCGGATGAGGGAATATGTAGAGTTCTAAAATGCACATAGCATCGAAGGTTATTGTGTAATCGTCGTTAAAAATACTTATAATTAGGCCTAGCCTAGCCCCTACGTTTACCTGTAGGATGCTTATCTAGTGTCCTAACATTTAAACGGGGACTCATTCGCCTCTATTCTCGTGTTAGGTACTTGTTACCTTACTTCCCTATGTTTTCAGTTAGCTACGCACCTCCTATCTATGATAGAGTAGGGTCCGTTACACCCTAGGTACTTTAGATTATTCTTATTCATATAGTTCCTACCCTAGTAGTCTCCTAAGTAGTAGCCACATTTAGCGGGTTTAATACACTTAAACTAATAGTAACCGTAGCTATTATAGTTAAAGTATAGATCATTATTCTCCTTTACCTAGTAGGGAGCTACAAATCTAGCTATAGGTCTAAAGATAACCGTTATCTTCCTTAGAAGGTATACGGCCGCCTCTCTCTTCTTGATAAATGCCTAGTATTAGCTGGCCGGGATGACTGAAAAAATTCAAGCAATGCTGGAGTAGAAAATTTCTTGGATCGTGGGCAGTCGTCAAGGTAGAACTACGCCCCTAGCCGGGATCTGGACCCTTGCAGAGCCTCAGCACAGATAAGCTTTCCACCTTCGCGATGTCAATGGCCTGACGACGTCTGTGTTTCCAGAAAGCAGTCATCTAAGAACTGTCACTTGGTAAGAAAATCAGCTAAGCTGCCTTGAGGACTTGGTCTTCACGCTCATGATAACAAGAAGGTGATGTGTCTGATGCAGATGATATTGTAGCAATCTATAGACAAAAGTGGTACGATGGTTGAAATCGTGGGGTATCTCTAGTAAATTAAAATCAATGCTTTTCGTACTCCGTCATTAATAAATTGTTAAAGTCGTGGTGTCGTGCTTAGAAGCTACTGCCTTCAACAGGCGCTTGGTGTTTTGGCACCTTGATGAAGACGTTCCTGGTCCAGCCTTCGGCGTCCTTGTGAATCTCCTTCTCCAGGCGATAACCTCCGAGCTTAGGCAGGAGGACAGCCCAGAAGACCCAATAAACACCTCCAGCGGCGATAATGGCAAGACCAACAACGCAATGCAGGTAGTAAGGCAGTGACTTGTATTGGTTCAACTCGGGAGTAGGAGGAGGGACGAATGGTGCAACGACCAGGTAGACGTTACTGAGGAAGAAGAAGATGGCGACCGGAAGTGTAGCCTTGACTGGAGGGTTCCAGTTGAATTGTTCTTTGTGGAAGTAGATCCAGATGAGTGCGATCGAGACGAAGACGTTGACGACCGAAAGAGGGTAAGAGATGACGTTCAGGATGAAGTTGTAGGCATCACCGGGAGGAGGTGCCAGCATGATGATAACTGAGACAAGCCAGTGCTCGAAGAGACCCATGAATGGCGCGTTGAAGGGCTTGTTGCTAGCCCATAGCCTAGAGAAGGGCAAGATACCCTCGCGGCCAAGTTCCTGAACGAGTCTACCTTGCGAGAAGATGACAGAAAGGACGTTTCCATAAGCTGAGAGGGCAACGAACACACTCAACGCGCGTTCAGCCTTGGGTCCGAAAACGTTGCGGAAGAATTGGGCGGCAAGAATACGCCCACTGCTGACGATGTCTTCTTTTGGGACTGCAGCGAAGTAGGCAACATTGGCAAGAAGGTAGAGAACACCGACGATCATGATAGCGGTAGGGGCGGCGATCTTGAGGGTACGAACGGGATTCTTCATCTCGCTCATGGAGTAGTTGGCGTTGCTGTAACCAATGAAGGACCAGATAACATTGTACAAGGCAGTGACCACTCCATATGCCGAGCCTGTGGTGCCCTCGAAGGCGTTGTCGAAGTTGTGGGGCTTCTCGATGCGCAGTTGACCCCCAAGGGCGGCGAAACCAGCACAGACGATGATGAGCAGGATAATGAGCTTGATAACACCAAGAACATTTTGTAGGCGAAGACCCCACTTCAAAGCAAGACCGTGAATGAGAAAGGCGGAAGTGATGCAGGCGAGACCGATTCCTCTCTGGTTCCAGCGGTTGACGGGCACTTGAGCTGCGTTGAGGATGTATTCTCCGAAAACGACACTGTTAGATCCAGCCCAGCCGAGGAGTACAACATAACCGGTCTGTTTGAAAGTTAGGCATATGTCTTGGCCAGCACAATAGTGAAACATACGTAAAGACCAGTGACCAAGAACTTAGGCTTCTTGAACACGTGCTCGAGGTAGTTCTTTTCTCCGCCATTTCTGGGAAGTGCTGTGCCGAATTCGAGGTAGACGGCCATACCGGCAGCGGCGATGATCAATCCAGCGACCCAGATGAATAGCGCGAGACCAACACTACCACTACTCGAGAGGATACTGCTAGGTGTAGCAAAGATACCCGTACCGATCATGCGATTGAAGATGAGGAAAATTGCGCTCACGAGACCGATCTGGCGTCGGCCTTCGCTGGTCTGGTAGACATCGTGACCGTCGTCGCTCGATGTTTCGTGGTCGACAAAGGCCGAGGGATCCTTGGCCTCGTTCTCCTGAACCTTCTTCGACGATGATGAGAAAACCATCTCTCAGAATTTAAGTGTGAGATACTGGGCCTTTTTCGAGGGACTTGTGTAACGATTTTTGCGGTTCATCATGTCGACACTTCCTTGTGCTTTTGTTAAGTGGCCTCGCTCTTGCGTGAGTCTCTGTCGAGAAGGCGTCATTGTCACTAGTATGCAAGCAGTAACTTGTTAAGTAATACAAACCACGAGTTTGAAAGCTTGGTGGTCTGGAGTTTGGGGTGCACGGCGTGACTTCGCTGCTATTTTGCTCATTCACCTTCCTATTAGCACGCCCACCACGCCCTACAGGATCTCGCTAGAATGCTTGGACGTATCGCGCATTGCTCGGCGTCGAAGACGTGATGAAAATGCCTGCTGGGCTGCTGTGTTTCTTTGTTGCAATAAAGATTGCGTCTTCTCTGTATGGAAAATTTGCAGAGAACGCCATGACTCGCTTGTATAGTACAAAGGTCTTCATCAGCGCTTATGTGGTTGTGGTTCAGGGTGTTTAAAAAGATCCACTTTTTTCTTCTCGCCAAGCGAGGTGCTCCTACGAAACCACACGGCCAGATTTGCAGATGCAAAGATGTCGGATCTCGTGCCCTGATCAGAGTGTCAGTCAAGCGCTGATCTGGTTTTCTGGAATCATCATCTACTGTCGTCGTGCAGCGGGCTGCTTACACTGCGATCGGGATTTGTAGGGAGGTCAAGATGAGGAAAGATGGCGGGTGCTAGAGCCAAGAAAGACGTCGCGTGAATGAAGATGGTACGCACATCCCTGGTTGTGGAACCCCCTGCATTATGGATAGCACATGCAGTTCACAACTTCGTGTAGAAAGTGCTTCGCATCAGCTAGACTGGCTAGAGCGACGATGGCAAAATCAAGTTGATTAGGACCGGTCAGTAAAAATTACATGTCCGATTATACAGTGGAGCGGAGTTTAAAGCTGCAAATGTCCACGCAGTGGGTGTTCGTACTGACGCACCTCTGTCTGCTCTACTCCACCAACCTCCCGTGAAAGCCCGCAAGACCAACGTCATGTTGATTATGTTACATTAACATCTTGCTTGAGTAGAAATGTGCATCCAAACAATAATCTCATAGATCATAAGCATAATCGAAGTGCGCAAGATGCGGCGATCGCTCTTCTGCTGCAGACAGCCGCTCTGCGGCCCCTTTACGAATCCAAACAGACACGCACGACTACTTCACACATCGACTGATATCCCCTCAAACATCAAGACAGCAAACAAATCACATTCACCATTAGTGTCTCGCTACACGTCACCTTCGAAGCGCAATCAGGCTACGTCCACCAAATCTGGCTTCTATGATTCGAATTCAGCCTTCCAATGGCAACCAGGCAGTGAACCGGGAATCGACACTTCTACTGATGGCGTCGTGTCACACGGCGAAACCTTCCCTGTAAGCAAGGTCCATCGAGAGATGCGACAAGATGATCAAGACTGACCAACAACAGTCACAAATAACAGCAGTCGACTTTAGCGAGGATCGGATTGAACAGAACGAACTCGATAACAACTCCCTGGGTGACTTTCTCAACAAGCCAAGGCCGGAATGGGCTAACTGTCGCTGGATCAATGTCAACGGACTGAGTTGGGATGTCATCAAACTCTTGGGCAACCATAAGAAGCTTCATCCTCTTGCTATTGAGGATTTGATGCACACTGGAAATCGTACGAAAGCTGATTGGTATCCGGAGCATGCTTTCATCATCATGACTCTCCAGCGTCTCACAAAACTCTCATCTCAGAACGGACTCAGCGATAGGGACATACAAAAAGCCCTTTCGAGTTCAGAAGCTCGCCATTCGACTAACGGTCGCAGTGGCATTACCTGGGGGACCGACAGGACGTTCCAACCACCAGACAACCAGACACACCTACGCAGTCTGCAGTCTTATCGAGGAGACAGATCCCCTGAAAGAGTTGCATACATGGAGAAGAACTCTATCCTAACGCGAAAAAGCCTTGGGGTGTCTATCGAGCAGGTCAGCGTGTTCCTCTGCAGCGATAACACCGTCGTCTCTTTCTTCGAACACTCCGGTGATGTGATCGAAGAGCCCATCCTCAAGCGCCTGAATTCACCAGAAACCATCCTTCGCAGTAGTGGTGATGCATCTCTTTTGATGCACTCGATCATCGACGCCATTACTGATCTTGCAATCCCAATTGTTGCAACCTACGAGAAAGCTATCGCCGAGTTAGAGATGGATGTCTTGACTGACCCAGTGATCGGGCACTCCAAAGCTCTCTACATATTGACCTCCGAGCTGTCGATGCTGCGATCACAGATGCAACCGATAGCTGGTCTGATCAACAGTCTGCGTGACCACCACTCTACAGCTCAACTCCTCAATCGAGCCGCATCGCCTACCAATTCCATGCCCACTCTTGCTCGCCGTGGATCTGGTCCTGCGATGACAAAGTCACAGACTCAATCTTCCGTCACCATTTCTCCTGCAGCTCACACGTATCTGGGCGACGTAGAGGATCACTGTATCATGATCATCGCATCGCTCGACCAGATGCGTACGCAAAGCGATAATATGATCAGTCTGATCTTCAACACCATGGGAGCGTACCAGAACGAAAGCATGCAACAGTTGACCTTCGTCACAATCTTATTCCTACCCTTGACCTTCTTGTCGGGCTACTTTGGCGTAAGTAAACTCAAAGGTACACATTTGGTGCGCCAGGTTACGCCTTCGACTGGCTGAATGAGACGGTGTCAGAGGACGCCATTTGATCTCTGTCGAGTCGAAATCATGAGCTGGCTATCCGAACTAGTACCGTATCGCTTCAGTGAACCTTTGCTAATTCGCGTTCAGATGAATTTTGAAGAATTTGCGCCGTTGAAGAATAGCCACATGTAAGTCTCTCTGTAGACTCTGCCGTCTCTCCATCGATACTGACTACTTTAGGTTCTTCTGGTGGCTGGCTCTGCCGATAACGTTCGGCATGGTTGTGATTCTCTTGTAAGTCCTCACAGCCCCATCTATCCCTAGACAGTAACAGACTGACACACAAGCAGACGACAAAGACTATTCCGCACAGTGAGAAGATGGATGCATCCAGGTTCGCGCACTCACAGACATGCCATGCGTGAGCAACGCAAACGACAATGAGATATCCAAGTCGCACCAATACCTGTCAAGGCATGAATTAGCTTGATTTTAAAGATCCAGAAGAATGTACAAATAGCACTATATTCGGGTAGCGAGTGTGTAAAGTCATACTCCACTTCTCAACTTCCTCCTTGTCCATACTCTTGCTGTATCAGTGTCTAGTCATTTCCAGATCGGTGATATGACTGAGGCCTCAATTTTCTGCTACTCTCAGCCATATTCTCGGTGTACATTTCCATCATGTCGTTTTCGGCTCTTGACGTCCTTGGGTAGCTTCCTTTCCTTGTGACGTCCTTCCCGCTGACCACGAGTGAGATAGAGTTGATAACCACATCGCACGTCTCCGAGATGGCAGCCGTGGATTCCGGTCGCTTCTTACTTATGTAAGCAAGTCTCTCTTTCCTCTTCTATAAATACCCCTCTTCAATCGCAATTGTTCTGTTTCTTCTTCCATCCTACTTGCCTCTTCCGCATTTCCCTAACTTTCTCTCTCGCCCCATTGCTTCTACTGGTCTAAGGACCGGTGGGTGAAGGGGAAATATGATTTTGCTTTTTACTTGTCTTATCTTGGTGAGTGAGATGACTGGTGCTACGTACTCAAGAATCAGTTGTCCGTAGGAGATTTTGTGGCATTCGAGTCACGATGTCACAGTGGTGAGACTTATTGCATGAACGAGCCCTCTCACCTCACTCTATATCACAGGTACGGGCTAAGAACCGTCTCGGGTACATAGACCTCCCACCGCTTCAACCCTCGACTCCTGGAAAAGCTCACTCTCCTGACGACACGCAAGCTTTCGACACTCCCGTCTGGCGGTCACTGTGCTGTGGGACGGCGGTCTGCGTGCGTCGACCGAATGTACGTTGTTGGGTGTGTCGAGAGACAGCATCGACTCGACAAGAGGGGCTGTACAGTACTTAGTGAGTCGCAACTCTCGCAGGACACTCTGTGTAGGAGCTGTTGAAAGTTGTAGAAAGGAAGACCTTCTTGAAAGCAGTGTTTTGCTTTTGTCAGAGCCCCTCAAACACGGATGCGCACAAAAGGATCCAGTCACGATCAAGCATATCAATGCCTCAACATGCCGACAGAAACAAGGCGAAGAGAACTCCGTGTATAACTTGTATATCATGCAAAACCAAAAGAAGGAAAAAAGCCTCGCAACCATCATTTCGTACATGAAGCCCCATGTCCTTCAAGGGCAAAAAAGACACTCACACCTTCTCATATAATCTAAACTCATATCTCACCTTCTCGCCCTTGACCTCTTCCTCTTGGGTCTGCTGCACATCTTCGCCCGCAAACTCGTCAAGCTCAGTCTTCTGCCGTCTGGTCCAGACTTGCTCAGCGTCGACATCAACAGGGAAGTCGGTGTCACAATCCCACTCTCCTTCAACTCTAGTGAGGAGAATACTCTTGGCTTCTTCCATGTCTAAAGCTTGCTTGTAGATGGCACCGCCGCCGATAATAAAGACACGACCAAGAGGTGCTGCTTGACCTTGCTTGACCTTTGTAGAGAGTGAAGAGAGGGCAGAGACGATGGAGTTGCCAACAATGACATCTTCACCTGCTCCCTCAAGGTTCTCCGATCTCGAGATCACGACATTGGTTCTTTGAGGCAGAGGGCGGAATTTAGGTGGGATGCTTTCCCAGGTCTTGCGACCCATGACGACAACATTTTGCGGATCTTGGATGTTTGCGTTTGTTGCCACTTCGGAAGAGTCGGACGATTGGGACGCAGTCTCGGCGAGCATGGAAGAGTCAGGCCTGGAAGCGGCTTCGGGCACGCGTTTGGTGACGCGGGCAAAGTATGCCATTTCCTTCTTTAGCATAGGCCAAGGCAAGGTTCCATTTTTGCCGATGCCATTCTTGGCGGTAGTGGCGACGATGAGAGTGAGTGGTGGGATGGTAGTTGCTGCAGCTGCTGCCATTGCATAAGTCTTTGGCTGCTCTGGTTGGTGTGATGTGGTTGATGTTTCTTGAGTTGACTGTGACTCTTGTGTTTCGTGATGTTGCGAAGATGACGTTTCAGGTGCAGGAGCTTGGACCACTTCACTGTAGCTCGGAGCATTTGGAGCCGAGGAGTCGTGGGCTTGGGATCGGTTCCACGCGTGATTCATTTCCTCAAGGGACAATGCAGGCTCTTGTGCGCCAGGTTGTGCTTGTGATGGTGCATTGGAGTCTTGAGACGATGTCGGAGCCGGTTCGACAACAGGCACGATAGGTGCTGCAGCGTTGACCTCGAGTTGCTGCTTCTCAGCGGCCTCAAACTCGAAGTTGCTGGAATAGATGACGGCAGCGAAAGCTTCAAGGTCTTTGACTTGATCGATAGCAGCAAGGTACTCGTTGACTTGGGAACCTGCAGACTCTGCAACGACAAGATCGTCAGGCTCGCTACTACCGGCAGCGATAATGTGGGCTTGACGACAGAAGACAGCAAGGGTCTGAGCAAACTTGCACTTCTTGTCACTGATCTCAGAGATACGTGACATGGAGTCTGGTGCTGGCGGGCTGATCTTGAAAGCTTCGGTTGCGACACGGTAGTCGATGAGATGGGAAAAGGTAGCGTTGAGGACTTGAGTGAAGACATGGGTGAAGGTAGGGGAGTCGATGAGATCTGACGTCTCGTCGAGCAGTCGGCGAAGAGATGCATTCGACGAAGCAGCATTTGCTGCGAGCATAGGGTCCTGTGATACGTCTTGCGGTGCGGGTGATGCAGACATGGCGTCGATGCCTGATGCAGACAGGACAAAGTCTTCTTCCTCGCGAGGAGGAAGCATGTATGACAGCCATCTGTGCTCGCGTCGCTCGCTCTCGGTAGCACCCTCGACCTTTTTGCGTACCTCAAGAATGAGCTCGCTCAGACGCTCGAGAGTCATGTCTTCGCGTGGGTTGACTGGACCGAAGACGTCCTTGACAGCGGCGCTGACCTTGTCGACAATCTGTTTGCTACCTTTGTGTAACAGCCACCAGCTGAAGGTCAAGTACTTGCGGTTTGTTTCGAAATCATTGCCGTAAACGTTATCGTAGTTATCGTCATCGTTATTCTCCATGGAGATATGCGTAGAGTCGGTGGCCGTCGGAGGGTTGGCGAGAGAGACGACCGAAGAGAGGTAAGTTCGACGGCCGAGGAGGTTCAGTTGGATACGCGTCAGGAGGGTGAGGAGCGAGAGGGTGTAGAGTAGAGTCAGAGATCTCGTGATGGCTGCGAGCACGACATTAGCAGGATTGCAACATTGAGCATCAACGGGCGACTCACAGCTAATCTTCATGTCGTTCCAGAGTTGTGCCTTAGTCTTCTTCTTCAACAGCGACTTGCCGTCTTGACTGTCGACCATCTGGCTTGCGTGAATGTAGCTGCCTGTCTGGAAGCTGGACATGCTCGCAGAGTCGTCCATTGTACTGGCAGGTGCCGACGGGAAGTCGGAGGAGGCAGCCTCAGACTGGCCAGCACTCCTGGACAGCTTCTCGGATCGCTGGCGTTGTAACTCATTGGTAATGTCTTCGACGGGTAGAGTGCTGATTATCTCCTCTCGAATGGTGGGGAGCAAGGCTAGCACGGTATAGGTGCAGTCCTCCTGGTTCTGTTCGAAGCGGCGGCGAAGGCTGTAGTTCCGTCAGCATCTCCCTTCTTGATACCATGTACCTTGTGTCTGCTTACTTCTCCTTGGACATTCTCTCGTCGGCCATGCGCTGGCGCGCCTCGAGCCATTTGCTCCAGGCATACTGTCCGGCCAGATAGACCAGCCCCAACGTGCCTGCTCCGACCGCGAATCTGGTGCGATTGCGCCTGAACCACCGGCGCGTCCCTTCTAACATGGCAGCATCTGTATGTCAGTCTACGATCAATTGCTGCTACACGCCAACAATAATATGCCTCTGCCACTTGCTGAGAGGCGTCACTGATCTGGAGGCGGGTCGAGGCTAAAGAGGGACGAGCTTGACATCGTGGGGTGGACCTCGGCTCGGCCAAACTTTCCCTCGTTTAGCTTAGAGCTATCCGATCCCTTGTCATGATCATGACATCAAAACCTTCATCGTTTAATTATCCTATGCTTATGCCTATGCCTATGCTATTCTATCCACTCCATAGCCTGGATATACTAATATGGAGCACATTCTCTCTCGAGCCACTTCATCGTTCGCTGATCGTGAGTGAAATAGCCCTTTGTCTTTTCGTACACCTTGGCATGATAGTCATTGAGCCAGTCCTTCTCCGCCGAACTGAGGAGCGATTCATCGGTCAACTTCTTACACATGGGTGTCATCGTGACATGCTCGAAGCCCAAGTACGGCTTGTCACCGAATTGATGCGTCGTCTTCTTCTCCGTCACCATGAACATGTCTGTGTTGTGTCAGTTCGGTCGTCTCCACAAGCGAGCTTATAAACGTAAAACTTACTCTCTATTCTGATACCAAACGCACCGTCCTCATAGTATCCGGGCTCGTTCGAGATGACATTACCGACAGCCAACGGGACCTCACTGTAAGCGACTCTAGTGCCAATACCAATAGGTCCTTCGTGCACGTTCAGGAAGGATCCCACACCATGGCCTGTGCCATGACGATAGTCAAGTCCCTCGGCCCAGAGGAACTGTCTTGCCAGGACGTCAATGGCGTAACCCGTAGTACCTTTGGGAAACTTGACGTTGTCCAACGCGATGTGACCCTTCAACACAAGGGTGTATGCTTTGCGCTCCATGTCTGTGGGCTCGCCAAAGTGCATGGTGCGAGTCGTGTCTGTTGTACCGTCGTAATATTGGGCTCCTGAATCGCAAAGATACACAGCCTTGGGATCAATGACGCTGCATGCACCAGGTTCGGGCTTGTAGTGAATCACAGCAGCATTTGCGCCAGTAGAAGATATCGTGTCGAAGGAGAGGCCAACAAAGTGCTTGTGCTTTGAACGGATCGACTCCAGCTTATCAGCAGCCTCAACTTCGTCGAGAGTAGCTTTCTCGTTGATGAGCTGGTCTTCAAGCCATGCAAAGAATTCGCTCAACGCAGCACCGTCGCGAATGTGGCATTCGCGCATGCCCTTCATCTCGGTTTCGTTCTTGATAGCTTTCGCGTCACCTATCAAGCTGCGCACCAAGTCGACCTTGTCCTCTCCACCGAGTGCTTGGTACAGAGCCCACGAAGCCTTGTTTGAGACGAGGTACTTGCTGTCTCCTGTCGAATTCGAGGAGAAAGCTTCCATGTCGGTGAATATGGCGTCGTATGGTCGGATCTCGACACCTGATAGATGCGTTCTCGCGGCAGCAGTGAGCTTGGAGTCGTCAATGTAGAGGGTAGTGGTAGTTGGGCTAATGAGAGCGTAAGAGAAGAAGACGGGGTTGTAAGGGATGTCGCTTCCTCGCAAGTTGTAGAGCCAGGCAACCTCATCAAGCATGGAGACAACAAAGCCAGCGCTCTTCTTCTTGTCCAGATCTTTACGGAGGTCATCGATCTTGTCCTGGAACTTCTTGCCGGCAAAATCGAGGGTGAGGACGTCGGCCTTTTCGTTGGGTCTAGCGGGTCTTGCTGTGCCCCAGACGGAATCCACGAGGTTCTCCTTGACGGCAACGAGATCCTTGCCGCCCTTTTTCTTGATCTTCTCGGACAGTTTACGAGCATCGGCTAGTACAATAGTCAGTACCGGAGAATGTAGTGTCTTGAGAGCATCTTACAAGCAGTGATAGTGGTAGGGTCGACACCCACAGTCTTACCGCCCTCTGACTGCTCGGCAGACCACTCTTGCCAAGTAGGCACATCCTGGAGTCCCTGCTTGAGGAGAGTCCAATTGCTATCGAGTTGCTTCTCGGCCTGGTTGAAGTATCTTCCATCCGTCGCCAGGGCGGCCTTCTCTTGAGTGATAACGGCAGTTCCAGCGGATCCCGAGAAGCCAGATATGTACTCTATGGTCGGGTTAACGACATGTCGCCTGACCATTCGACGATCATGTAAACTGACCTCTGCGCGCGTCGGCTGGAGCTATGTATTCGCTCTGATGACTGTCTTCTGAAGGTACAACTGCAAAGGTCAGTCAGTTGTCTGTCCATTTGCATCGAGACGGCTTACTGTAGATATCTACCTTGTTGCGCTTCATAAGCTCTCGCAACTGCGTGAGCCGTTCGGTCGTGTTTACTTTCTCCATGTCGATAGGATACTTTCTAATACTTGAGGTGTGAAATAGTCTTCCGGCAATCGTGCCTCGTGGAAGTGTAGTGAGTCTGGCGAGTCCACGTAGCATCTGCAAGTCAACTGTTCGATTGATGCCTCACTGTTCATTCGACACGCGACGACGGAGTTGCGGCCTCACAATCGCCGAAGCTACCGACTGACTCGCGATCGGCAAGCTCCGCGTAGCGGCCCCTTCGACGTGCATTGGTGGGCGTCGGCGTTGATGTATTCTTACAAACAACATCTTCGTGCCTGGATCAACTATCAAAAACCATCACCAGATCATAGGAGGCGACTTGGGACATCAGTAGGTGTATACCCTCTACTTGGACATTTCATCGTCGTGAGATTTCAACATCTCTCGTACCCCCTTCACGCTCCTTTTGGTAGCTGATCTCCTTGTCTGTTTTTGTTGTGAGTGACTATTACAAAGGTATCTGCCTTGGTTCTCAGGCTGAGTCGATGTCCATAGCAAAAGCTCCCTGGATTCAATATTCACAGGTAGGCGATGACATCCTTTCCACTACGCAGCGCCAAGGCAAGTTTTGGTGGCAGTCTGAGAGAGACCGATATCTTTGCTTCAACGAAAGTCTACGCGACGCATCCTCTATATCTGAAAGACTCTTCACTTTGGTACCGTCGACAAGATGCCCTAATCACCAGTCTGGCGATCCTTGGTGCACAGTCGTGATCGTGGTGGTCTGATTCAAGAAGCAATCACATCCGGAAGACTAATAAACATGATTCTTACAGACCCAAACATGAGTGTAGCAAGTCAAGCGATTGAGCTTGTACGTCGGCTCAACGACCCAAGATATGCTGCCGGCGCCTCGCAGATATCTCGAGAATTGCAAGAAATCCAATTGTCCGATCGAGGATGGGCCGCTGCAGACGCTATGCTCGACCACGAAGACACCAACATCAAGTTCTACGGAGCTCTGACCCTGCAAATCAAACTCAACAAAGACAGGTTGGTGATGACTCAATCCGACGCAAGCCTCTAGATGCTGACTTGTTGGAAGAAACACACTCGATAATGAAGCAGCAATCGAGCTAAAATCGCGCCTCATTATGTGGTTTGTAAGTTGAGATCTAATTTTCCTTTTCCAATACTCGACATCTGATAATGTCCTGCATAGGTCCGGCTTACACTCGGCGATATGCCTCCTAAACTCATAATCGACAAGCTTTGTTCAACATTGGCTACATACTTCATCCAAAGTCCTGTGCCGTGGACTCAGACTGTGCGTCAAATCATCTGCTCGCTACACACTGGCGATGTTGTGCCTGTAGAGATGCTCAACACTGGTGTATATCCTGATACCAGCCAAGTCATCAACCAATTATCAGGTTTGAAGCTATTCATGGCCGTGCGTTTCTGCAGGGTTTTGGCCGAGGACATCCAGAATAGCGCACTTCTGGGCTCTCAGTACCACCATCTGGATAAGGCGTTCAAGAGCAACACTACCGACACGGCCATACTCATGACCTACGTCTTCAGCACACGTACGCCGCTTTCTACAGAGATCCGAGTCGAAGCTATCAATTGTTACTCTGCCTGGGTCACATACGGCTTCGCCCACTGGACAACTGATCTCGTCGCTCTGGGATTGCTGCACAATTTGATCCCGATGGTCATTGAGCACGTCTTACACAACGAAGAAAGCGTCCGAGATCCAACTATAGAGTTTTTCGTCAACACACTGGAGTACCGCTCAAAGTTCCTCCAGAAGGACCATCTTGAGTCAATGTCGTTGCTAGTGCGCAAGACCATCGGCCCGCAATGTTTATTGCAAAGCCGTGATTTCTTGGATCCAACCATTGTAGCTTTCAGCAAGCTGATTTCGGCTTATGGTAAACTGGCTGTCAAGGATCTAATTTCACAAAGGAATCAAGAATCATCCCAAGAACTCATAGGTCGGTCTCTGACGGCAAACGAGTTCGACCACTGAGCTAACTCGGATTTAGATCTGTTGCGACAGCTACTGCGTGCTCCTGGCTATCCCGCGGAAGATGATCAGGTGATTATCAACGTGACGGAGTTCTGGATTGAGTACGCCGAGCAAACAGCCGACACTCTGATGGACTCTACGGAAGACGAAGTCCCTTCTCTGGCGGCCGTAAGAAATGACCTCATGCAGGCTGTCCAGATCTACATCCCAAAACTTCAAGCTCCGCCATTTTCAGAGATGTCTGAGTGGGATGAAGACAATGTTGACCAATGGCAATTTTTCCGCGATAACATCGCCGATTTCTTTGACCAGGTCAACAGTATTCCAGAGACGCATCTACTAAGTAACATGGTCGTTCTCGCTACCAACGTCTTGCCTACCCAACAATGGCTACATCTCGAAGCCATCATCTTCTCTATCAACTGCATCTCAGACACGATTGCCCTATCAGATGAGAATGTGCAGGCACTCTCTGCACTTATTGGGTCCTCGCTATTCAACGACATTGCCTCCAATAGTGAAGAGGTGCCAAACAAGCTCAAGCGTGCTGCAATGACTCTTGTCGACCGATACTCTTCTTTCATAAAAAAGAATCCAGACTTCCTGCCTCCAGTACTCACGTTTCTCTTCACAATCCTAGCCTCCACGCCTGCTGATAAGATCAGGCTTGCGGACGCTTCAGCCAAGTCACTCGAGCAGCTCTGTTCCTCGTGTCGCAGATCTTTGACACCACACCTGAATGAGCTGCTTCAACAATGTCCACAAGCGCTTTCTGGCCCATCCGCGAACAGCTATCAGAAGGAGAAGATCATGGCAGCTCTTGCTTCCGTCATTCAAGCCCTACCCAGCGAAGAAGCTAAAGCTGCGCCACTCATATCGCTTATCGAAGTGGTTGAAAGTGACCTCAACAGCGCTGTCACAACTCTGCGCGAGGGCAATCTAGAAGAAAGCGAAGTACTAGGAACGTCTGCTCTGCAGTGTCTGGCCAGCATTGGCAGAGGCATTCAAGCGCCTACCAACGACGTAATCGATGTGGACAGTGATGACGAAGAAGGAAGTGATGACTCGGCCACAACTGTTAACTTCTGGACTTCTCAAACTGGCCTTGCCATACAGAATCGTATTGTGCAATGCATCAACATCATCGACTATCTCCACAATCCGGGGGAGGCAATGGATGCCGCCTGTGCAATCCTGCGAGCCGGGCTGAAGGAGACGAAGCCGGGTCCCTTCGTGTTCCCGCCGGCGGCCACTGTCGCCTTCATCAACAAGGCACAACTCGAAACACCTCGTATTGAGGCTATCATCACCACAGCATGCAGCTTTGTCTCCAACTGTTCGCGCAAGTCGGCCCCTCACATGTTCCACGAGATGTCGGCAGTGTACCTGAGGGTCGCGCTGGTGATGCAGCAGCTCGGTGACCCGGTCAACGACCCCCAACTGGCCCAAATATGCATCGACTTCCTACAAAGACTGCTAGTCAGCTATATCGACGTTCTACTCTCCCCCTCGGACGACGATATCGCTGCAACCCTGCAGTTTGTCATAAACTGCATGGCAGGCGACGCGCCCATGCTGAAGCGCGCAGCCTGCAACTTCTTCGTAAGCCCTATTGTCGTCTCGGCTTTCGCCCGATGACCTTCGCTCTATGCACCCGAAATATACTGACATATGACGCAGGAGTCGCTGCTGGGTCTCGCCAACCCACGCACCGCCCACTCTCTCCCGGCCTGTCGAGTGCCTCCCCTCTCTGTCCTCACCGCCTTCGCCCCCTCCCTCTCCCGCGCCCTCATCTTTAACATCGGTGGGCTGGCCCAGCGCTCGGAGCTCGAGTCGTTGTGCAAGCCGTTGCGTGCCCTCGTCTTCTCCCAGCCTGGGCTGGCCAAGCCGCAGCTCGAAGCGGCACTGATGGATGGCGGGTTCCCGTCCAGTAACGTGGGAGAGAAGGAGAAGCGGGTCTTTCTGACCAAGGTGCTGGGGTTGAGAGGGGGTAGGCAGACAGTGGTTGTGGCGAAGGAGTTCTGGGCTGCGTGCAAGGGTACGGTGACCTCGTTCAACTAAGGGGTGAGCAGAAGAGGATTTAAGATTAGATTGCTTTCGCTGGTCGCAATGACCGTGATGAATAAGTTTATGCCTTGCTACAGCCCTGCTTTCCTGTGACTTGTGTGAAGAGGAGAGCGCAATTTGCCACTATCCGCCCAGGGCGGCGAGGCTCCCACGAAGATAGTCAATTATTCAGCAAATGATTATGCCTTTTTACAGCCCTATATCATCGCTGTACATCGTCATATGGAGAACAGAAAATTCTTCAAACCTGCCCAGGGCGCCCGATATCTCATAAGCATTGTCAACTTACCAACAAAATTTCTTGCCTTCTTACAGCCCCACTTCACTCACATTAGACATGCTGAGATTGATAATAGAGGTACTTCTGTGCCAGGGGCGGAACGTCTCTCGGCAGCCAACCCATCAAATCAACAAATGATCATGCCTTTTTACAGCACACAAGAAACGTGTATTACACTGTCGAAATTGTTCTATTGTATATGAGTAAGCTCAAATACCGCCTGGCGCCTCTTAACGTTAACAGGACTCATAATCAGGCAGCTCAAACTTCTTGCTTCCCAAACCAAAGCTAGGCAACGAAGGCAGCGATGCAAAAAACTTTTGCACACCAGGTCTAGCCACAACGCCAAAGATGGAACGGATGATCCATATACCCGTATCAGACTGCGGACAGAACAGTTTGGGTGCTTTGCCTCCTAGAGGAATAGCACCTTCTTCTTCTGCAAAGACTCCGAATTTCTTCTTGTAGTTCGTAAACGCTGCTGCTGGATCGTTGGGGTTGGCGATGAGTTCTCCAGCGATCATGTAACTTCCTAGTACGGCCATTGTGGTGCCTTGACCTGTGAGGGGAGAGGGACAGTATGCGGCGTCTCCTACTAAGCCGCAACGGTTGTTGTGCCAGGTGTCGAGCTTTACTTGCACTACTCTGGTGAAGTAGAAGTCTGTGGAGGCGTTCATGCCGCCAATTATTCTGTCTCTGATGCCACCCACACCTTCGAAGAGTCTTTCGAGCAGGGCTTTCTGTTGTTCGATGGTACCGTGGCGAGCTGCTTGGTTGAGTTCTGCTCCATCAGTTGTGGTTACCATGACGTAGCCTGAGGTGCGAGTCCCATTTGTATCGATTGGTCGTATCCAGAGAACGCGACCTTTGTTTGCATGCTGTAGAATTGAATAGCTTGTGTGGTCTTTGGGATCTACATCCATGGAGAAATAGGCTACGTAAGTATCAGTCTGCTTGAAGCAATCTTTGGTCAAGGACTCGTCGAATGTAAGCTTTCGGACTCGAGATGCTACTCCATCTGCACCGATTATGGCGGTAAAGGTTTCTGGCTTTCCGTTGTCAGAGAGGGTGGCTGTCACAGAGTTCTCATCTTGCTGTATATCTGTCACGGTGCATCTGATTATCTGTCAGTTTCTCTTTGAGCCGATAGATGGTCTCGGAAACCTTGCCCGTATCTGTACTCAGCACCATGTTTCTTTGCAGCATCCGCGATGATGTTGGTCAAAGTACCACGCATGATCTGGAAGAACCTTAGCAATAGACCACCTATAAATCACGAAAAACATACCTCAATCTCGTTCGTCGGTGAAAAAGCAGGTTTGCTGTTATCCACAGCATTCGTACCTGTATTTCCAATCTCTTTGCCCGCATCATCAAGCATAGCAAATCCACTCTCGCCGGTCGTGTTGGCTTTGATTTCATCCCATAAACCCATCTTCTTGACAACATCGACTGCTTCTCCTGTGATATCGATGCCTTGCCCGTATGGCTCAACTGTTGAGCGTTCGGCGACTGTGACTTTGAAACCTGCTTTTGCGAGCCAGAAAGCTGTGCTGGAACCAGCTGGGCCACCGCCGACAATCAGAACGTGATGCATGATCGTGTTTTGTGTTGTAATGGCCTGTGACGAGAATGATCTTGTCTTGGAAATCGTAGAGTTCGAGATGGATGGCTTGTTATATGCTGATAGTAATGATGATCTTGTCGTTGTAAACAATGTAACAGCTCTTGTGCTATTCTGACAGTAAAGTTGCGTCTGTAGTATAGATCTCGGGCGCACAATGTTCATGATGAGATACAACAGCTTCACTATAGGAGACTCGCTTTATATGAGGCATTGAAGGATCGAACGTCTATGATGTAGGATTGCGGTTTTTGATAATGCTCGGTCGTGTCCCCGTTCGGGGGGGAGTAATGCCCACCAAGACGGTACTTAGTAAAGCCCGCGGAAATTAGGTTTCGGGCCCGAGACCGAGATTTTTGTGCTCCATTCATCATAGATACGTGATGACGATTTGAATGACCTCGACGAGCAATTTTATATTACTCTCTGGTCGGGTTATGAAACATTCTTTCTTGTCTTATTCCAGATATGTCAGGATCGGGATTTCAAGTGTTGTACTAGCTTCGAGAGCAGGCAAGAGGTTATTGGCTGGATCGCCGCTCATGCAGAATTATGTCTATATCTTGCGAGTTTCAAAACTGGTCGCGTTGACGATGTGACACCGTCGAGAAGCTGTAAAATACTTGATCAATATTTATTATCATATGATATGCTAGATGGAAGTCCCAGAATGTAACGAAGCGTGCGAGATAGCAAGTTGAACGAAAGTCCAGGGTAGCCCCATTTGCCAGATTTCGCACAAATTGAAATTGTGAATGCCTCCATTATCATGTCTCTCGGGCACTACGGTCGGTAAAAGCCAGGGTGATCCAAGATCTGGAAATTGAAGCAAGCAAATAGTATCAGAGATCCGAACGAGGTGGGTAGAAGATACCTTGGTAGATGGTGAGATATTTTGTGCACGTGCACAAAACTGCCAAGCCAAGCTTTGCAATTCTTGACGAAGCCTGGCTTCACGCAAACTGAAGTTCTCTACAAATCTAGCGTCCAGATTGAAACTTCGTATCTCTCCGGTACAAAAAGCGCCTTGCTGTTGTAGCAGCGGTAAATGTACGAGAAGCAAAAGAGATGTTGATGAGAGTGGGATTTGAACCCACGCCCTTTCGGACCAGCGTATTGGTGAAACCTTAAGCTGGCGCCTTAGACCGCTCGGCCATCTCACCATTGATGGATGAAAGTTTAGCTTTAGCGTATATGGTTTTGTGGCAGACACTCTGCAACGATCGAGGACAGCTCAGGTCCCACCAGCCGGGCGATGCCACAAAGAGAACGCAAGCCGTGAGTCGACATGCAACTATCACTGCTGATAGCATGGGCGCTCCGTTCATTGACTTCCTGTTCTCTCACGGTTGTCGTAGGTGAAGAGTGATTGCAACTGAGACTGATCTGTAAGGTTGAACGACCAGAGCGAGAGTGAGTGTCCGGGTCTCAATGGTGAGCGGTGGCTCTCAAGCCATGCCTTTTGCTTGCACTTTCGAACGCATCGGCTACGCCCGAGTATGCACAAGCTTGCAGACTTGAAGATGAAAGAGTTGATCAATATGTTGTATGCCAATAATCTTTGAGCCTCTTCTAGAAAATGCCCATGCGCTGGCCCCAACCATCGTTCTTGGGATTGACAAGGATGTGGTAGGGGAAGGTGTTTGTGTCTTGAGTGGTAATTGGTGGTACGTGGTCTTTGTTTTGCTGGACGATGTCGGTGATCTTCAAAACAGCGTTGTTGAGGGATCGCTCAATAGCTCGTCGGGATGTGGTAGCTTCTACACATACGCGTTAGTCTCAGACAGTTATAGGATGAGATCTAGTTGCAAGGTCACTGACCTTGATGAGTGCGTGGGGACGCGAGAGCGATGTTGAGCGTCCACGTCTCCCAGACCAAGTCCTCATCCTTTTGTCCAAACCAACCCTTCTTGCGTCTACGTTCTCTTTCACTGAACTGTACAACAATCTGGCCACGAGTGTTCTGGTTCTGATCGTTTGAGTCGGCGTCGATTTGGCGGACAAACTGATCGACACGCTGTTCAACAAGTGTTTGCAGGTCAACGTCTTGGATCCAGGGTATCGGGACATCAAGCACATCATGTGTTGAGGGCTCCAAGTTGGCAAAGATGCGATACCAGAAAATGGTATGGAGGATGCCAGTGACGACGTCTTTGGCGTTAGCCTTGTCGGCGAACACGTCGATGCTGAATGAAGCAACTCGTCGCTCTTCCATGATGAGAGTGATGAATGGCGACTATCTCATGTCGCGAAGAAGGCTGCTGAACTAGATCTGTCCATGTCTCTATCAACAACAAACGATGTTTCCAGATGGATGTGACTGATTGCGACGAGGAGAGCTATGTTGCTATCACCCGCAATCTGGCTGGTTGGTGCACGCGTGGGGAATCGCGTCCGGCCCGAGAAATACGTCAGCGAACCTCTCCAACTCCGACAACGGTCTGTGGAAAGGTCAGCATCAGTAGCAGGTACTGCCTCATGCCCGCTTCTTATCCAAGCCTCCAGCTCACCAGAGAACAGGGTGGATGTCTGATGAGTTCTGCGGCTCGTCCATGTGCTGCTCCGAATCTCTACATGCCCTCGCCTCGACATGCACACCCTCCACTGATCTGCAAGCCCGGCCAGCATGCATTAAGCATCGGAGCTTTCCGCTTCGCCATCAAGCACGCGGGAGCACGCTCTTCCTCGGCCGCAGACAGCGATGCTAGGACTGCCAATGGCCACCACATCACTTCACGTAAATCAAACTCTCTGCAGGCTTGCCGTCCATGCTGAACTTGCCTACTCTGTCAAATGATCTTTTCCGACAAAAGCTCTCGTGCGTAAGTGCTTGTCTCCTTCCTTATCTGTTCCTGGCCAAGACTTGAGATAGACAGTGCGTCTTCAATCTCAACTAATTGCCCTCCTGATCTACACTCCATCAAATGTTTGCTGCCGTCCTCGCACCCAACTTTGTGTCCTCCGCTCATGCTATTTGCTGTGCAGTCATCGGACTGCCGCTTGCCAAGTCGCTTTCATCAAAGACATTACGCTAGGAGATGCACCTCAATCTATCAATTACCTCAGAGAAAGCATGAGCACCGCCTCCAGACCCTCTGCTGTGGCAACGTAGGCTCATGAGCCCATGTCTCCATGAGATATCACCATCGTCCAGGGTCATACTGCATCTAGGTTACGATTGGCGCCCCTTGGCCCTCGCCTCCTGCAACATGCAGCTTTTATGGTTACCTCGTTGAACACAAACCCCTCTTGGTGAACTCCCTCTTTGGGAAGGAGAGCTGGAGATAAGACATGCTGGCATATGGTATATAAAGGTTGCCTTGTAGGTAGGTGTTTGTGCAGCTCCAAGGTCTCAAGTCCATTCATTCATCACAGGATGTTGTTCAACATCGCCACTCTTTTGGCTCTCGCCCCCTCCGTTCTTTCTGCGGTCACAGACAATGGTGCTAAAAAGCAGCGCAATGTTGTCCCTGGCGGATACATTGTCGAATTCGAAGATGTTATGTCTGTTGCTTCAGACGTATGTTGTGTGCTTCCACTTGTGAAACTGGCCGTTAACATCCTTAATAGACCAAGTCGAGCTTCTACTCCGAGCTTGCAGACAAGAAGATGAATCCAACTCACCGCATGGATCTTTCTTCTTCTCTCTTCAAAGGTCTTTCATTCCATGTTGATTCAGGTCTCGACCAGACAGTAGTTGCTTCGGACATCCAAGCTATGCCTCTCGTCCGTAAGGTCTGGCCCATCTCTCTGTACGACACTCAGGACTTTGTGACCGCGCCTTACGTCAACGGTTCTAACTCCACTGGGTCATCTGATGTCTTCTCTACGCATCTTATGGGTCACGTCGACAGACTGCACGCTGAAGGCTTGACCGGAAATGGCACCACGGTTGCCGTCATCGATACTGGTATTGACTATCTCCACCCTGCTCTTGGCGGTTGTTTCGGTCCTGGCTGCAAGGTCGCATATGGCTATGATCTGGTTGGTGATGACTACGATGGTACAAACACACCTGTGCCCGACCCCGATCCGTACTCTTCATGTAATGATCACGGCACCCACGTCGCTGGTATCGTCGCTGCCGGTCCCAACCCTTACAACTTCACTGGTGTTGTACCAGATGCCACCCTCGCTATTTACAGAGTTTTTGGATGCTCCGGAAGCTCTGGAGATGACGTTCTGATTGATGCCTTCACCCGTGCTTATGAAGAGGGAGCCGATATCATCACTGCCAGTATCGGTGGTGCTAACGGCTGGACTGAAGAGCCATGGTCTGTCGTTGTCTCCCGTATTGTCGCAGCTGGTACCCCCTGCACTCTTGCTGCCGGTAATGATGGGTCTGAGGGTCTGTTCTATGGTTCATCTGCCGCTGATGGTATTGGTGTTATCGCCGTTGGCTCTATCGACAACATTGAGTCTCCTGTCTTTACTACCTACGGTATTTACAGTGTCGACAACTCGACCACCGGCCAGTTTGGCTACCTGGAAGCTGCTATTGGCATGCCTAACATCAGTCTTCCTCTTTGGGCCGTCAGCGAGGACAGCACTATCCCAGGTGATGCCTGTGAGCCTCTTCCCGCCAACACTCCCGATCTTGCCGGCAAGCTTGTCCTTATTCGTCGTGGCACTTGCACCTTCGACACCAAGGCTGCAAACGTTGCTGCCTTTGGAGCACAGTACATCATGTTCTACAACAATGCTCCCAGTCTCACCTCCGCGAGTGTCACTGATCCCGACATCCTCGGAGCAGCCATGGTCTCCGCTGAGCAAGGTGCTTCTTGGGTTGCCACTCTTGCAGCTGGTTCCGCTATTCAGGTCACCATCACCGGCGATTTGACTGTCTTCTCGAGCCCTGCCAACAATGTCACCGGTGGACACATGTCCACTTTCACCATGTGGAACCCTACCAATGAGGCTTACGTCAAGCCGGAGATCTCTGCCCCTGGCGGTAACATTCTGTCTACTCTCCCTCTTGCACAAGGTGGTTACGGAGTCCTGTCTGGTACCTCTATGGCCACTCCATTCGTTGCTGGTGTTGTCGCACTTATGAAGCAGGCACGCCCTGATCTTGACGCTTACACCATTCGTGCCATTCTCGGTACGACCGGCCATCCCGTCACCTTCAACGACGGCACGACTACTTATGACTACCTGGCTCCTGTCGTACAACAGGGTGGCGGTGAAGTCGATGCCTATGCCGCAGTCTACACTTCCACCGTCCTTGACGTAGCCAACCTCGCTTTCAACGATACAGCACACTTTGTCAAGGAGGCAAACTTCACCATCACCAACCGTGGTAGCAGCGACATCACTTACAACTTCGACTACGTCAACGCTGCCACTGCTTACACTCTTCCCGATGATGGCAGCACCCAGCCTCAGACCTTCCCTCCGGATCTCGTCACCTCTGGCGCTAGTGTACACTTCAGCTCTGGTAGCATTAGTGTTGCGGCTGGCAAGTCCGAGGTCGTCATTGTCACCCTGTCTCCTCCTGAGAACCTTGCGACCGCTCGCATTCCTGTTTACTCAGGCTTCATTACTATCAACGGTACCAACGGTGATTCGCTCAACCTTCCTTACGCCGGTATCGCATCTTCGCTCAAGGATGCTACTGTTCTCGACCCTAGCACTGGATACCCATACATCACAAGTACCTCTGACAACACCTTCGTCCCTTTGGATCCTGGTACCGTCTTCACTATTTCACTCGCGAATGCCACTGTGAATGATACCATTAGCAATTCAACCGGTCTTCTAGTCCCCAATCTGAGAATCGGCCTCGTCATGGGTTCATCGCTGATTCGTGCTGATCTCCTTCCTTCGAACGGCACTTATGGCACTTACAGCAACACCACCACCATTCTCGGCGTCAAGACTCTCGGTGCTATCGCCGGTACACCCACGCTCTATCAACCTAGAGCAAATGCTTGGAGTACTGCCTTCTACGGTGTCCTCGATGACGGCAGCAGAGTGCCTGCCGGCACCTACTCCATCTTGGTCCGGGCCTTGAGGATCTTTGGAGATGCAACCAATCCCGACGACTACGATAGTGCCGGGACTGTACCTTTCACGATCAGATATGTCCATTGAAAGTGAGGAGCTGGCCCTTCTTCCGCGCTTGATTAGACTAGATGATCTTCTGAGATAAAGAAATGATGATTTCTCTTCTCCTATTCTTACATTACCGATACGTCTGTAAACACATAGTCATGGACTGCGATAGTATCGAAGACATAATCTCATCCATGGCTTTCCGCGGGCATCTTTCATGTCGAAAATACATTCACGCAGTGTGCGACAGCCGGTATATTTTGAGGAAACATTCGCATGAAATGATTGATGACTCATAATTCATAGCTTTAACTTCTAAACTCTATAGTATAAACTCCATAACTCCGACAAAGGAAGACATGTCCCCAATATCGATCTTCTCTCTAGATCATGTTACAGTCTCTAGACCAGCCAGCTGGTTTAGATCGTCTATGCCATAGTTGATCCATGGCAGTAACTCGATACTCTTCATCACGTAAGATCAGAAGATCATAATCGTCACGCCTTGCTTGATCAGCGGCATACTCTCTTCTGTGATCTCTGGCTGTCAGTACCCTGACTGTGGGCGTTCGTTCTCCACCCAGATCGTAAGGTGGAGTCGTCTCCTGCTGGTCAGATGCACGTTGAGTCAAGAATAATTGATCCTGGAGAGCATCAGATCTCATCTTGTCAGCGAGCAACTCCAGGACAGTCTTGATCTCGTCGAGGTCATAAGTGATGTCCTTTCTCGAGAGGGCATACTTCTCATCGCGGTCGGTCTTTTCGATATCGGCGTTGTCGAGAGTGTCGTGGAGAGATCTGTTGGCGGCGTTTCGTCTCCAGTTCCGTGCAGTCTTCTCGTCTGTCATTCTCTGGGCGTCTTCGGCTCGAAGAGCAGCTCTCTTAGCTACCTGCTTCCCCCATTCGTCGTCCGAGTGTGTTTCAGTCGATTCGGCTCGATTCGCTTCTTCTTCCTTTGCACGTGGCTCTGCAGTTACAGCTTCCTCGGCCGTCTTTTCCCGGTTTACTTCCCACTCCTGCAAAGACCGCTTCCTAACTTCAGCTAGGTCGGCTTCTTCTTCTTGCCTTCTCAGCTCTTCTTGTCCAGCCAGCTTCTTTCTTCTTCCTGCTTCGAATGGTCTCAAGGCGATTTCGACAGCTTTTTCGGCTTCTTCCTTCTTTCTTCTCTCTTCATCAGCCTTCTTCTTTGCCAGATCTTGCTCAGCTTTCCACTCCTTGATGTACTTTTCTCTTTGTCTCCTCTCCTCCTCGATCACCTTTCTTGCCAACGCCGCCCTGGCTTCTCTCTTCTTTCTGTGCTCGTCTTCCTTTCTTCGCTCCTCATTGATTTTTTCTTGTACCACGGCCTTCTCAGCTTCCTTATTTCTTTTCTCCGACTCCATGTCAGCTCTGATTCTAGCTGCTACCTCAGCCATCACAATGGCGGCCTCCCGGGACCATTTTTCAGCTTCCCTCTTACGCAATTCGGCTGCTTGTTCCATGGCTCTTCGTCGTAGTGCGTCTGCCTCTCTGGCAGCCTCCTCTCTTTGATTGGCTTCGGCAGCCAGTCTGGTTGCCTGTTGGGTAGCAGCCATTTGTCGGATGAGTTCTGCCTCTCTGGAAGCAGCGGCTCTGGCACGGTCTTCGGCTTCTGTCTTTCGCTGTTTGGCCGCTTGCTCGAGAGCTCTCTGGCGGGACGCTTCTGCCTTTTTGGCCTTCTCCTCTTTCCTACCTGCCTTAGGGGGTCGTCCAAGACTTCTTCGTCCTTCTTCGGTGTCTGACCAGCCGGGTTCGGCATCTGCGCAGGATAAATTCCACATCTCGAAGTCTTCATATCGAGATTCGGAGTGTTGGTATCCTCCATATCTGACAATTGCTTCTTCGGACGAGTCAGAGTCCGAGTCCTGGCGGTATGGCGAGTAGTTATTGGCACCCATATTGTGTGTAAGATGGTGATAATCGTTGTTCTGGGATTTCAGGTTTGGACGGAGAAGATCGTCTACTATATAGTAAACATGGAGACAGGAACTTGATGGGATGTCAGTCATGTAAGACAAGACAAGGAAAAATCAGACTATCCGGCCAATGAGTTAAGACGAGATACTGACTCTCAAAGGCCAAGCTCCACGAATAATCCTCCGAGCATAACATAGACTCAGAAACGAGAGTCAAACACACTCAAAACATGAACTCGCAAGTGTTTGAACCCGATTCTGAGCCACATGCGTGAGAATGTGAAACCTAGGGAGTAAGACATCCTTTGTGGTCTTGATTATCGTGGCGAACAAGTGTCTAGTCACTTCCATCCATCCATGGACCGACATCTCTGATTCCATTGAAGCGGTATCACTTATTGAACCCATGATACATCACTGTGTGAGACTCGTTGTTAGCAAAGTTCCCAACTTCAACGTACCAGCTCATGAAACATATATATTTCAGATGTTCTTGTCTGGAAATCCATCTCTCATCCCAATCAATGGCAGTATATTCTTATTGAGCCTTTACAAGTCATCACGATCACCACTCAAACACAATGCTGACTATGTGTGATCTTGGTCCAACTTGCCAAGTCCATCTGGACAATGTCTCAACAACTGTCAAGTTCTCACTCTTCTCGTGTGACTAAAGCCATTCGTCTCCGCCTCAAAGAGACCAAGTAGGATAAGCGTAACAACTTGACATGGTCTCCACTCCAATTCAAGATAAACATGGTTATAATCTGGAACTTAGCATAGAAAATGCCTTCCAAACGTGTTCCAAAGAGGCGTAGACCCGAGCTCTCAGCCTTGTGTATCATCTCTATCATCCTCAGCGCCTGCTACAGTATCTTCCTCCTCGTAATTGGCAGACGAATTAGGATTGTACTGGGATGCAATTTTCTGGTCATCCTCGTCGCCAGAGTATGTGTATCCGACAGACCATTCGCTTGCGGTCGAGCTGTTTGATCTGCTCCGAGGCTGCGACGTCGTATCTTGATTGTTGGACATTGTTGGGTTGTTTGGATGTTGTAGTCGACGAGCTGGATAGAGTTGAGGGGTTAGAGAAGGTATGATGTATCAAGTGCCTGATGTAGTGATTGTGTTGGAGATGATAAGATGATCGACAATGAGGACAACGGATCCTCATATATTATTTAGTAGTGTGAGGGTAGCGTGAAATTAGCCTTGAATAGATTCAGCACGGTGGGACTGTCCGTAAATCGAGACATGCACGAACCAAGACATGTGTGATGCAAAGCCGAAGATCCGGTCGAGTGTTCAGCGCAAAGACAACTCTCGATCTGAGATCAGATCTAGAACGTGAGTGTACTGAAAGAGAGCTCGAGTTTACAGCCAAATATGGTTGCTCAAGAGCATCACCCTAAAACCTGTAACCTGTGTCTCAGACATTGTCGCTATCTTCTGGATGTTCTCATATCATCCGAGGAGCCAGTCGCGACTGCTGCATTATCCTCATTCCTGGCGATAATTGTTAATGAGCTGCATGTTGTAAACCGTCACAACAATGGCTCCAGGGTAAGTCTGAAGCTGTGTAATCTTTGTCGTGCTCGTAAACTTATCTTGAATATGTCTTGGTATTTGCCAAATTTGGTTCTCCTCATATGCTCAAGTCTGTCACTGACACTATCCTCCACCTCTAAGCAAAGCAGATGGACATGAGAATACAAGGATGCAAAGTGTAAGAGCCAGATATATCCGAACTTTGAGAACCCCAATATCCATCTCTCACAACACATTCGACACCTTGCATCCTCCAAATCGTCCCCTGACATGTCCCCTCGACCAGTTAACGACTCCGAAATACAAGAGCCCACACTCCTTGCTCGTCGTGATCAGATATTCCAGATAGCAGCCTTGCCGTCCCCCATCATACGTCCAGTCTAAAAGCAACTGCCCACAGACAGCGACGGAAACATCAAACCATCGAACGACTCCATCAAGTCCGGCCATAATAGGTAACCTGATAAGCGCCGATAAAGCCATAGCCCGTCTGGTTGGCATTGCCAGTGTTCTTGTTTGTAGTTGTAGTGGTGGTTGTAGTGATGGTTGTGACTTTGTTTGTGGTCGTGGTGGTATTCTTGGACTTGGTGTTCTTGGCCTTGTTCTCAGACTTTGACATTGTGGTGTTGTTGATATTCTTGGTGTTCTTGGACTTTGTCATTGTGGTGTGCTTAGTTGCTTGTGTTTTTGAGTGTAGCTTGAGGATGTAGAGTGGTTGATGTGATTGATGAATGATGTTTGTAGATGTAGATTGAACGTTTGGGTTAGCAGGAATATTGGCAGGTGGCTGTTTATATATCCACAGCAAGGATGAGAGAAACAGAGACTGTGCCAGAATCTTGGAGACGTACCTCACTTGGAATTCCAAAAAGTTGGCTCCAAGACATGCATGTCTCGTTTCATGTGTCTCATGAATTTGGTCGTGTAGGGGTGGAAATGTCTTTCAATCTCATAGCTATCTCGCTATACCAATTCCTGCAACATGTCTTCCAGATCTTCTCGTCCGAACGGTACAGCCAGCCTCTCGACGCCAAGCCCATCTTTCTTACTCTCCACCATATCGTGATCATGAAATTCTTTTAGTAAAGTTCTGAAACTCATCTCAGATGAACAGACAAACTCTTCGACAGCCTTGTGATATAGTGTCCTATACTCGACACCAACAAAGGATGATGTCTTGTGAGCCTTGACTTTTGGAGGCGGCGCTTTCTTCGCAGGGCGACCGCGACCACGAGTTGGCTTTGTGACGTTGCCATGATCCACTTCCATCTCGTCGCCGGAGTGGCCAAGTATACTGTCTGAATCTGGCGAGCCTGGATGTGTGTCGTAGGATGAATCAGCGAGAGCCAATTGCTCGGCGACCAAAATACGGAACAAGTTTCTTGCATTCTCCGGAAGCGAGCGCAATACATATGCCACACCGTCTTTACCACCAATTCGACGACCGCTACGGTTGAGCAAAACATTGACTTCTTCTACAGGATCGAGCTCTGCGGTATATGTAGCAAAAGTAGTGGTGTCGTGGAAAAGAAAACGAAGAGATGATCTTTGGGATATGTCCCAAAGAAGAGGGAAAGTGGGAGTATCTGCCGAGGAGATGAGACAGATATTGGGATGAGCGGCCAAAGTTGAGATGGTCGACTGGAATAGCGGTTTGCGGAAGAACGGACTGTCGATCGAATGGATGATGACGTGTATAGGTGAAGCAGGAGGAAACGCCGTCAAGGCGGAGATGAGAGCGTCTAGAAGGGCCAAAGGTTGGAGGGGGAGTTTACTGACTGTCGAGGATGGCAGGGAGTATTTCGCAATGGTAGTCAGAACATCTCTGACGGAGATGTTCGGTGAGTAGGCGTTTACGACGACGACATTGGTCTTCTTGTTGGAGGATTGGCAGAGGTGGTCGGCAAAGTCGAGAAGAAGTTCACGCTTCGAACCGTAGCCGTAGAGGCAGATGTTGAAGCCTTCCTCAAGTTCAAACAGCCATTGGTCAAAAGCATTTTCATGCAGACCGGCTAGGAAGTGCTTGTCTGCAGCATGTGGGTCACTGTACATATTGAGCTTGGCGAAGTAATCGTCATGGTTGAGAAGAGCATTGCTTGGTAGGGTATTGGTCGACGTCTTGACACCCCCAGGCCTGTTTTGGAAGAAGTACAGCTCGTGCGGAGGCATGTCCTGTGGTGTAGGAGACGCTTGTCGCTTATTACCCTTAGGCCTTCCTCTTGGCCTCGCGGTCTTTGACGGAGTTCCAGGAGTGGCCGTGATGCTGTCTTCCTGGGTCATATCTCGGTCCTCGTCTTGCTCCGAATCGAGAATCTCGCGAGCCAGAGCGTCTTCCAGGCCAGTGTCATGGACAATAGATTCATCTTCCTCCTGTGTGTCGAACAGTCTCTTGTGGCTTTTGCGTCTGGCGGAACGGTCTGCATTGAGAGCCGCTGTCAAGGGAGAATCCTTGGTGGGTGCGTTCTCGATGGCTGGAGTAGAAAAGAGGACTTTCCGTAGCGATCTAGGGGTTCCTTCTTGCTTCAAGGTCGACTTGAGGATGGAGCGCTGTTTCGACGGCGTATCCGCATTCGTGTGTCGTGAAGGTGTTTCTGCCTCGATCATCCTTCTCTTGGAAGGCGTCATTTCCACGTCCATCTCTTGTGTCTCTTCAGCCGTGTCTTCACCATCCTGGCTCCTCTGTCGTTTAGGCATCGTGTTGTTTGTGTCTTGGTCGACAATTGTTTACCTCGGTCGGACAGCAGCAGCAAGTCCGACAAACGAAGCAACATTAGGCGGACCTTCTCCACAGATTGATAAGATTAGCCGCCATCGGCAGCTAGCTCTTATCCTCTTATCCATCTTATCCACTTTGACTCAGTCATTGTTTCGATCTCTGTTTTTCCCTCCCAATCGATTGTTATTCCGTACCAATCAATTGCGTATAGTTAGCAACATGGCTGTCTCCCGATCAAACGCCGCTCGTCGGTTGATATCGCTATCTTCCCAGCAAAGTCGACGATACTCAGCACCCACCGACGGCGCAATCCCGCCCAACAAGGCCAAATACGTACCTACCGAGGGAACCTATCCCAAAGGCTTCGTGGTCGGTAGCGCACATGCCCAAGTCAAGGTCTCAAACACAAAATTCGACGATCTCGCTCTCATTGCCTCGGAGAAGCCATGCTCGGCCGCCCTCGTCGCCACGCAGAACCACTTCCAGGCTGCTCCTGTCAGTGTGAGCAAGAAGATCATGTTTCAACATCAGAGCAAGAGCATTAGAGGCGTTGTCATCAACTCTGGCTGCGCAAACGCTGTCACAGGAAAAGGTGGACGTGAGGATGCCGTGCGCATGGCCAAGCTCACCCACGACCTTTTGAACAAACGCAACCCCAGCCCTTACGACAAGACTGCCGAGGTCGAAGCAATGACAAGCGTCGCCGACGGAGAGGTCAAGATCGCTCCAGATGACCAAGATGTCTCCGGCATCCGTACTCTCGTCATGAGCACTGGTGTCATCGGCCAGCGCCTTCCCATTGACCGTATCGAAGCAAAGATCCCCAGCCTCGTTGACTCTCTGGGCAGCACCCACGATCACTGGCTCCGTTCAGCCCGCGCCATCTGCACCACCGATACCTTCCCCAAGCTTCTTTCCCGCCAATTCACCCTCCCTTCATACCCTGGCATCACCTTCTCTATCGCCGGCATGACCAAAGGAGCGGGTATGATCCATCCCAACATGGCCACTCTGCTCGGTGTCATCTGCACAGACGCGCCCATCCAGAAGACTGCCTTGAGAACTCTCCTATTCACTGCCACAAACTCCTCTTTCAATCGCATTACTGTCGATGGTGACACCAGCACTAACGACTGTGTCGCTTTGTTCTCTAACGGCATGGCTGCCCCGGATGCCGAGCCCGTTCGCCTTAACCACCTCAGCTCTCACGAACTTCCTACCAAGGGTGCATCTCTCGTTGGTGCGAAGTTCGAGAGGCAATCAGACGACTACAAGGAGATGAACAAGGTCTTGACATCTTTCATGGAAGACCTTGCCAAGCTCATCGTTCGTGACGGCGAAGGAGCCACCAAGTTCGTTACCGTCAAGGTGACCAAGGCTGCTACCCACACCGCTGCCCACGTCGTTGCAAACTCTATCGCTACATCTGCTCTCGTAAAGACAGCCCTGTACGGCAAGGATGCAAACTGGGGTCGCATCCTCTGTGCCATCGGCTACGCACCTGGAAACACACTTATCAAGCCTCAGCAGACCTCCGTCTCTTTCATCCCTGCCGACGGCTCCGAAGAGCTCAAGTTGCTGGTCAACGGCGAGCCCCAGGCTATTGATGAAGCTCGCGCTGCTGCCATCCTGGAGATGGAAGACTTGGAAATTCTTGTCAAGCTGAGCACCAAGGAGGGAGAACTTGGCGAGGCCACAGTCTACACCTGCGACTTCAGTCACGAGTACGTCACTATCAATGGCGATTACAGAACTTAGGATGTCTTTTGTGATGCCAAGACACATCAGGACAGAGATGAGAAACCTTTGTGCTCTCCGAAATTCCGCGCTACATCGAGAGGAGCCGGTGACAACAAAGTGCCTGGAGGCAGCAGGAGCCGTCTTATCCCCAACGGAGAAAGCGATCGCAGCGCGCCTCAAGGAGAACGAGCGTTGGCCATCCTGTCAGTCGCTACCCCCGTGCTCAAGATTCTTATCACTAGCGTCGCGTTCTTCATACTTACCAGAATTGTTTTCTGAACATCGTTGGAGACTTTCAATGAATGAACCTGCGCTAGACTATCGTTCGACTTGAGAGTTCTGTAGTATGATGATTCTCTCGTTCGAAAGTGATGTATGATGAACTTGTTGTCATTACTCTCTGTCTTTGATGAGCTCCTGCAATCTGTCTTATGCCGAGAAGCTCTATGATATGCATATGTACACTGACTGTCGCAATCCTTCAAGCTCTCTACAACTGAGCAAATCCAGTCAATGCAAAAGTGGCGCCAAAGGCCAGCTTAAAAGCCACATTATCTTGCATAGCCGAGCGCAGATCGATGCTAGTAAAGTAGCGCTGCATACGACCATAAGGCACCAAACTGATACCCAACTGCGACTCTGCAAACTGTTTCGAAGTCAAGATCAGCAATTGCGAAAGGAGTGTAAGAAGCAAAGACGCAGAAAACCAGGCAAGGTGAGAGGGGAAGGGAGTAGCACATACCTGGACACCAACGATCAAAAGTCCAATCAACAATGCCAAAGGCTTAGAAAACAGTGAAACCGCCAGTCCACCCAAAACACCTTGTAACATCATCAGCACATAAACTTTTTGCAGTGCTCGTATATACAATGTTTCTCAGGAAACATAAAGAAGCCGAAAATTAAACTTACCAGCAATACTTCCACTCGAGACCTGACGCACAGCACTGGGGTTGAGTCCACCTCTGCGATTCACAACCGGCACCTTGGCATTGGACGTGTATGAGTTGAGTGTGCTAGAGGCATCGCAGAGTGCATAGCGATGTCTTCTTGGTGTGAGGAGAGAGTAAGAGGTGAATGCAGCGCCGAGACCGAGGCCAATGCCCAATGGGCGCGAGTGCAGGAGGAAAGACATTTTTGCCGACGGAGTGTTGTGTAATTGATTTGAGATGAAAGGTTAAGTGGTGTGATTTGTTGGTGAGTCACAGAGATAATTAGACTGATATGGGGATCGTTTTGGTGAGGGTTTTGCTGTGCAAGTGGCAGTGGATGTTGTTCAGATTGTCGTCGGATGTCAATGACGCAGATCTTCGAACGCTTGGACCGCGCATAGAAGGTAATCAGATTGCGGAGGAAGGTGCGCTAAAAGTACGAGGATTGGATAGCAGCATGATTCGTTTCCAAATAATTGTAGCCAGGTCTGACGTTGCTATGACTACTTATACAAGGAAGCACTATTATGAGCTTTATCCATAACATCGGTCACAGATTGAATCCCCCAAAGAGTATTGTCAGATCTGATAGATCTATGATGTGCGATTCTCGTGGCTGCAGCCGTCTACTATGAACCAATCGGCGTGGTTCGGCGTAGTTCTTGCAGCCAGGGTCCGAGCCTTCCGACAGCGGGGCAGGCGGGGCGGGATTTGGATCGTTCGAGACGGACAACAAGTTCGCCGCCCTACGCCCGCGCCTCTGGGTGTTTTTCTTGAGTAATAATACCTCTAATAGGCAGGTGAGTCACTGGAAGAAGAGCGAAGTTCCCTGGTGAGATATACTTTTATAAATCTTGGAAACGAAAGGACCCTTCTCTTTTTCTCCCACGCATATCTTGTTCACTTTGCCTCTTTGCATTCTACATCACACACATCTTTCACAATGGCCACCACACTACCCACCACCAACGGCAAGCACGATGGCGCCAACGGCACCAATGGAGTTGCCTCATTCGCCGTCAAGGCTGGTCTCGCTCGCATGTTGAAGGGCGGTGTCATCATGGACGTCGTCAACGCTGAGCAGGTATGTCTATGTCATTGACTCTACCCAAGACATTGTCACTGACAACTCGTCTCAGGCCCGCATCGCCGAAGACGCCGGTGCCTGCGCCGTCATGGCTCTCGAGCGTGTCCCCGCCGATATTCGCAAGGATGGTGGTGTTGCCCGCATGTCCGATCCCGCCATGATCAAGGAGATCATGGACACTGTCACTATCCCTGTCATGGCCAAGGCCCGTATCGGTCACATTGTCGAGTGCCAAATCCTCGAGGCCATTGGTGTCGATTACATTGATGAGTCCGAGGTCCTCACCCCCGCCGACCCCATCTACCACGTTGAAAAGCACGACTACAAGATCCCCTTCGTCTGTGGATGCCGCGACCTCGGTGAGGCTCTGCGCCGTATTGCTGAGGGTGCCGCCATGATCCGCACAAAGGGTGAGGCCGGTACTGGAGATGTCATTGAGGCTGTTCGCCACATGCAGACTGTCAACCAGCAGATTGCCCGCGCTTCCAAGATGTCTGAGCCTGAGCTCCGCGCTTACGGCCGCGAGCTTGGTGTTCAGTACGAGCTGCTCAAGGAGACCGCCCAGCTTGGACGTCTGCCTGTTGTCAATTTCGCCGCTGGTGGTATTGCTACCCCTGCTGATGCCGCCCTCATGATGCAGATGGGCTGCGACGGTGTCTTTGTCGGCTCTGGTATCTTCAAGAGCGGTGACCCTGCTAAGCGTGCCAAGGCCATCGTTCAGGCCGTCACACACTACAACGACCCCAAGGTTCTGGCCGAGGTCAGCATTGGACTCGGTGAGGCCATCGTAGGCATCAACTGCGGTTCCATGGACTCCAAGGACAAGATGCAGGGTCGCGGCTGGTAAACAACTTGCTCTGATCAAGTTACCTGATCCACACGACACGCAAGAAAGCGAAGCATGGTTTTGGAAAAGAGCAATGGCGTTTGACACACAAGAGGGTTCATTAGAGCATTACACACACATAAGGCTTTGGAGACAAGAAGAAATCAAGGCGTATTAGCGCTCTTGAGAGACTACCTTAATCGAGGTTGAGATTTATTCAGGGGTTCTGTACGATAGTTGAAAAATGGACACGACGGTTATGACACTTCACAATATTTGTTCGCACGTTCGTTCTCTGACCAAGATCTGGGGTATTGCTGAAGCAGCCTTCAAAATTTGTATGAGTGAAGCCTAATTGAAAGCCTCCCCTGCCGAGAGGTCCGGTCTGATATCTCTCAGTCTATCCATAAAAAGATCGCAAGAGCCGGAAGGCCCGCCTGTGTACTTGTATGGTAGGAATGTCAAGAGATTCGGCATCTAGAATGGATCGTTCCACAACGACGCCCGGGCCCCGAGTAACAACCAAATCTAGTGGCGCAAACCAGACCGCGGTCTTTCGGAACCGAATCCGACGAAGAGTGCTCTTCCTAAAAGGTGATGGAGACTCGATTGACTAAGTTAGACTATCATGAGATGCGATAAGACAATAGAAAGTAATACTGCTTAACCGGCCAGGCAGTTATGAACCTTTTTGTGTAGAATGGAAATGTCCCGAGCAAAAAGTGATAAAGACCGTCTAAATCCGGCGAATCGTCGATGAGGCAAGGTTCAACATGCACCACGGGGTCTAGGCCGAATTGTAGCGGTCTCACAACGCATGGAGGGAACGGCAAATCTGGGAACAACGACATTCCCATCTTTGCTTCATTCATGCCTCACGATCAAGTGTAGAGACGCCTAGAATCGAAAGCGCTCATGTCGCGTCCAACTGCTAGCGAGACGTCAAGGACGCGTGAAGTCTTCAAGTATGCCCAGACCACCGACCACTGATGCGGAGAGGCCCAGGCTAACATGGTGTTTTGTGCAGATGTCTAGAAGCGTACGACACGTCGAGCTTCAAAGCCCTCCAATTTGGTGATGGCGAACTCAACGAGAGAGTCGCTGTCGGTAGCGACGACACTGCTCTGGCTGCCTTCGCCCAGTTGGGCGCGCTACGTCTGAAGGCCCAACGCTGTATGATCTCGTTGGTGTCGAAAGAGGAGGAATTTATCATGGCAGAGTCCACAAGGACTCTATCACTACAGTCAGATTTGGTGCACAGTTCTCGCGATGCTCTGTTTCTAGGTACCTCCCGTTTCCCTCGCGACCAAGGCTTCTCCGTTACTGGCATCAAGCAATGGACCACTACCAAGGAACGCCGTGAAGAGCCGAAAGAAGACGCCTACTACTACACCGATGGCATAAGCCCTCACTGGTACATCATCAGCGATGTGCGGCAGAGCCCTGAGCTGCAAAAGCTCATGTTGGTCCAGGCTGCAACAACCTTACGCTTCTACGCATCTGTGCCTATTCGAACCAATAGTGGTCTGGTCGTTGGTTGCTACTCCATCCTGGACGATCGACCACGCTTCGGAATCAGCACCGAAGAGATGACCTTTATGGAAGATATTGCAGACACTATCATGGGCCATCTAGAAGCCAAACATGCAGCCGTGCAGAGACAGCGTGGCGATCGCTTGATCAAAGGTCTAGCTCTCTTCAGCGAAGGCAAGGACTCTCTACGTGATTGGTGGCTGGATACACACAGTCGGAAATCTCGTGGCGAGGGTGCCCGCCGGCGTCGTGACTCGATTGAGGAGCAGAAGGTTCAAAACGATAGAGCCGACGAAGAGCTAGGAATGACATACCGAGCCGATCAGGTTCCTCACGGACGCAGTACTCCGACACCGACAGAAGTGAAACGAGTCGAACCACCTGTGCCGACAGCCATCCAGGTTCCTAAGCCAACTCCCAAATCCGGTCGCCTAGCTCCAGACAAGCATGAAGGTTTCGATCTTGGTCGCGAAGTCAACACCACCTTCGCTCGAGGCAGTAACCTCATGCGGGAGGCTCTGAGTGTTGAGGGTGTGGCCTTTATCGATGCTGATTTCCACCGTTCAAAGGAGTCGACCAAGAACCAAGAGTCGTCGTCTACCGATCCCGAAAGCGATACTGCCACTGCTTCGTCAGGTCCAGAATCACATTCACCAAAACAGCAATCGCCGATTTCTCCCGAGGCTCAATGTGCGCTGTTAGGATTTTCCACAAAGGTCAAGTCCACAATTCGTGGATTCGATGCCTCGGCCAAGCATTCGAGTCTTCCGAAGGCCTTCATCCGTAGTCTGATTCGTCGCTACCCTATGGGCAAAGTGTTTAATTTTCTTGAAGGCAAAGCTCTGAGCTCGAGCTCGGGCACCGATTTCTCTTCTGACGGCATTTCAGATGACGCAAAGAATGATCGGTCGCGCAAGCGTCGCAGCCGCGAGTATGTCGATGCTATGACATTGGGCGAAGTCTTCTCAGGCCCCCGCAGTGTCGCCTTTTTGCCACTGTGGGATAGTCGGCGTGAGAGATGGCGATCCGCTGTTTTCGTGTGGAACAATTTCCCCAATAGATTTCTGGACAAGACCGAGGATGTGACATATCTCGCAGCTTTCAGTAACAGCCTGATGGCTGAGCTGTCACGTCTTGACGCTATTGCTGCGGACCAAGCCAAGGCTACCTTCATTAGCTCCGTTTCACACGAACTGAGGTCGCCTTTGCACGGTGTGCTGGCGGGAGTGGAGCTTCTGCAAGAGAGCGAGTTGAGCAACTATCAACAAGAGATGACGACCACTATCAGCATGGCCGGCAAGACTTTACTTGATACAATCAACAACATCCTTGACTTCACTAAGATCAACAGCTTTACAGACCTCGAGCGAAAGGACAGGAAGGACAAGGACGCTAGCAGAAATTCTGGATTCAAGACAGCAGACATGGGCGAAGTCGGCGTCACAAGTGCGGTCGACCTTGCTATGCTTACTGAGAACGTGGTCGATACCACCGTCACTGCAAAGAGCTTCCAATCGAGCAAAGCCAAACAAGAGGATGAGGACGAATTCGCACCCAAACCTCCAAAGCAAGTCGCTGTGGTACTAAACATAACACCACGAGCAAACTGGAATCTGAACATTTCGCCTGGAAGTTGGACGAGAGTGATTACCAACTTACTCGGCAACTCGCTCAAATACACCAAGGTTGGAACCATTACCGTGAGCCTTCAATCTAGAAAGTCAGATGACCCAAACAAGGCTCTGGTATCTTTGACTATTGAGGACACAGGTCAAGGTATTGGCAGCGAGTATTTGCGCAACCACTTGTACACACCGTTCATGCAGGAGAATACGCATGCTGTCGGAACTGGACTAGGACTTTCTATCGTCAAGCAAATCATCAAGGACTTTGGAGGACGAATTCACTTCGAGAGTGAGCTTGGAAGAGGAACCAAAGTGGTTGTCTCTTTCGAAGCCGATTTCGAGGAAGACGCGGAATCTGAGATCGAGGTACCGAAACGTGCTGATGGAAGCAACCTCAAGGTCGCGCTTTCCAAATCAGTAGGGAAGACTGACGCAGATCTGGCACGCGACAAGATGGTCAAGATGAGTGCTTCCAAGACCTGTAAGGAATGGTTGGAGTGTCAGACCGAGTCAGTGTCCGTTTCTGACGGTGCTGACTCCTTTGACGCTTGCATCTTGACCGAAGGCGATTACGAAAAATGGCAGGAAAGGAGAAAGCAGTCACCAAGTCAACGACCAGCACCAGTGATTGTGTTGGGTTCCATCTCAGCCTCGTCTATCGTCCGTCAGAGCGCGGCAAAGAACGCCATCTTTATCAATCAGCCCTTTGGACCGAGAAAGATGTCCAGAGCACTGGCAGCAGCTCTGAAGAGTACGAAGCAAACACACTACGTCACGGAGAACGAGACGCTAGGCCCAAGATCGTCTTCGCTGTCTGCGGTGACGGAACTCACCGAGCCTCCGCTTGTCAGCTCAAATAGCGACCCTCCACCTACGTACACGGAGTCCAAGCCCAGCGTGACTTTTGACGCATCTGCTGCACCCTCGCCGCCCGTGTCGCCGCAAAAGTCTCCTGCTCCGCAGGTCAAAGAAGTCAATGGCAGCGAAAACTCGGATCTTCCCAGGGTCTTGCTCGTAGAGGACAATTCAATCAACATGAAACTCCTTGTCGCGACATTGCGTAAGCTAAAACGACCGTACACCTGCGCAGCAAACGGTCTAGAAGCCGTGACTGCCTACGCATCAGCCCCTGCTTCTTACGCCTTGGTGCTAATGGACATTTCCATGCCCGTCATGGACGGCTACACCGCCACCGAAATGATCCGCAACCTCGAGTCCAAGAACAAATGGGATCGCTGCACCGTCATGGCCTTGACAGGAGTCGGCGACGCCGAAGCCAAGAAACGCGCCTTCCTAGCCGGTGTAGACGATTTCATGACGAAACCCGTCAGCATGGGAAAACTACGCACCATAATCCAAGGACTCGATGCCAAAGAAGAAGCCCAGACCTCTCGAGGAGTAGAAGAAGTAAAACAGAGTATCGAACCGTCAAAACCAAACGGCAATCTACACGAGAATAAACTTCATCAACAACAGCAAGCCGCCTGACATGAGCGCCGGAAACGAAAGTGGCAAGAGGATGAAGAAATTGAGGTCAAGGATTTCGCTTCCGCTTCCGGCTCACAGGACAGGAGTGAAGATCAGAATCGGAATGAGTCGGGTGCCGTTGCCAGTAAGAGGAAGAGAGAGGATGATGGCGCGGACGGCTATGATGATGCCGAGGATCAGAGGAGAAAGTCTCTTGTCGAGGAACAAGCTACTGCTGCTTCATAGAAATATCGACAGTAAGATTTGGGAATTTTGGAGGTGAAGAAGAGGCGGATTTTTAATGATTTTTACGGCCAGGGGGAGGAAGAACGACTTTTTTTCGACTGCACATCACGTACATGTATAAGTCTGGCGTTATAACTTTCTTGTATCAACACAAATCATCTCATGAGCATCGTCGTCTTCTTCTTGTGCTGTAAGAATGTATTGTGATTTTTTTGTCGCGGAGAGCTGGCTCTGGAGAGCGCATCCGCACCTGGCACACACACACTGACCCGATCGTTGTACCTGTAGTTCTGTGCCAGCATATCGAGTGCGACGAGGCACTAAATCCTTGATCATCGTCATGATCACGATTGGACCATGATTCGCGCAAGCAGAGAAAAGGCTTTCTTGTTGTGTATGACCGTTTTCTCGATGGTTTTCGACAACTATGTACGTAATCCAATCTTTGCGATTGATAGTGTTTGGCAGCAGCATCCAGTACGTCGAATGTCTTTATTGACCCATGGATCTCAGCTTCTGCTGCTCAGCAGCACTCAACTGACCAAACACCTCTCCAAAGCCCTCTTCTTGCGATTTACCTGCGAACCACTGCAGTAAATGTGCCTGTGTCTCATCATCACGACTTCTGACGGGCATGTCGTCTGCAACCATACCCATCAAGGCCTCCTTGGTGATGCCAGCACCCAAATCCAAGAAGCCGTCTTCGTCTTCCCAGCCTGATTCATCACTACCAACAGATTCTGCCTTCTCGATCTCTGAAGCAGGAGCAAGGTTTTCGACACTGCGAGACAAGTTGGAGGATAGGATCTCATCGACGAGAATCTTGACGATCTTCAGAGGAGCGGGGATAATGGTGAACCGATCAGGTTCTGCGCGTGCACGGCTTCTAGTCATGATGCGGGTGGAGGTTGGCATGATCATGTCGCCCTTGACTTGAACAGTGTCAAGACGGGGATCGTGAAGGTCGTAGAGACAGGTGAGGGCGACGATGCTAAACGACCGTCAGTTATCGACACGATAAATATATGATAGACGGTGAACTTACTTTTGCCTGATTTCATCGTAGCCAGCGAAGTTGACAGAATTCTCCAGCCATTTTGTCAGGACGACATTCAAGCCGTTCTCCTCACCGATGGATAGCTGGGCAAGGAAGTCGATCACCTCTCTGGCCGAAAGAAGAGACAATCTCGCAAAGACAAGGATCAAACTTTGTATGATTTGAGTCTGGGTAGCAGTGCTGAGTCTGTGGGCGACAGCACTCAAGAGTTGTGCTAAGTATGGACCGAGTCTATCGGATCCAGCTTTCTCTACCAAGGCAGCAGCAAGACCACCAACCTCACCGGCGGCATTGTCTTCCACCGTGGGCCCGAGCAGACGGTCAATGATGACGAGAATGACCTCAAGACCACTCTTACCGTCATGATTGGCCCAGTTGAACATCTGCTCAGGATCTTTCTCCAGCATATACCGAGTGGCAGAGGTTGCTGACTTAAGCAATTCTTCGTCGGGAGATTCGAGGAGTAGACGCGTGAGTTTGGGCATGACAGTGACGATGAAGCCTTGCGGCAGAGGCGTAGGACCATTGCGTGCAAGATCGGAGAGCATGTCGGTGGCAAGGTTCGTCAGAGAGTTTTCATCAGTTAGGTTTGCGACATCAAAGGCTCCAGACAGTGATGGCAACACTTTGGCACATAGCTGTGTGTAGACCTCAGGGCCTGCGCCTGACAAGGACTCCGTGATATCCTCGAAAGTTTCGGCGATGATGATGTAAATTTGATAGTTGACGGCGCACCAGCTGGCAAGGGTGAAGAGGACATCCAAGCCAGAGCCTGTCAAACAGATACGAGTGTCAATCATAATGGCATCGCGGAGTGTCTCAACAATGGCAATCATGATGTCTTCAGATTCGTCCATGTCGTTGAAGTCGAGCTCAGTGATGAATTGGTGAATGGCATTGATGATGGCAGGTTGCATAGACATGTTGTTGTCAGAAGAAACCTCGGCGAGGTAAGCTTGCATGGAACGAATGCAGGATACCTTTACCACATCCGATGGATCGCTTGTTATAGCATGTAGCGATTGATCCATGAGCGAAGTGGCAGCACCATTGATGGCACCGCCTGCGGTACGGACCATGCTACTAGCGGTCAGGTGACCACGAGCTCGGAGGAAGACATGATCCTGTTGCATTGCAAATGTGATATAGTCGACGTAGATGCCCACGACTTCAGGAGCTATCGGACGGTCGGTGTCATGGTAGTCTGTCAGAAGTTGATTGAGTATGAAGAGAGCGGCTTCCTTTGCCTTCCAGCTAGAGTCTGTCGAGAAGAGCTCGCGAGTGTGATGTAACAGGCCTTCAATAGTGGCAGAGCTCTGCCATTCCCCAAGCTTAATGGCAAGATCAGCACAGGCAGTACGGGGAGTGTAATTGGCAGTGACATTTGACTCTTCGGCCAAAAAGATGTTTGTATCAATATCCCATAGCCCTTCCTCCTCGGTAGTGATGTGTGCATACGTGACGGTAAGCTTCATGACCTCCGTGACCCATGTGTCGGGCATGGACTGAGTCTGCAGTTGCTCCTCAAGCTGCTTGCGAACTGGAGCTGCGCGGAGACAGGCTTGCATAAAGTCAAGCTCCTCTAGCACCAGGAAATCAAGGGTGTATGGCAGACCATCAGCATCTTCCAGTCTGCCCTGACGATCGTTGAGGATGAACGAGTCGTGGTAGGATTGACGCAAGTTGTTGAGCTCTTGCCATGTAGCAGAAAAGAGAGCAGGTGCCTGGGGAGCCAAAGCTGAAGGGAACATGGTGCGCACCTTCATCAGTACCTTGACGACCTGTAGCTTCAGGGCGACGAGGCCACGGTACTCCTCAGCAACAGGATTCTGAGATTCTTCCTGCTCCACCGGTATGGCTGCTATGGGCATGTTGATGGTAGCCAGGAAGAAAGGGTACCAGTTTGCGAGAGCCTCTTCGACGAAAGATTTGACGGCTGTCTTGTGATCCTCCATGACCATCTCCAGCATGTCGAAACATGAGCGGAAGACGGAAACAGCAAGTGCGCGGAGGATGGTAGGGCGAGAGCTGGTGGCTACGGCAAAGACGGATGAGACGATCTGGTTGGCGACAGAAAAGAATTGATCGTCGTTGAAGCAGTCGTCGATCAGGTCCTGCAAGACCCTGAGAGCACCGTGTAATTGACCGTCCTGGCCGTTGTTGATGATGTGTAGCAAGGTAGGAAGGAGATTGGGATACTCGTCGGGGAAGTCAGCGGTAGCGATCTTGCTGACAACAATGGAAGCGGCGCTCTTGATCTTTCTTTCCTGATGGGCGTCGGTGGCCAGGTCAAGTAGGGCCTGTCTGAGCTTCGCACGCTCCTCGACGGAAACGAGCATCTCGCCTCTGAACTCTTCGAACTGAGGGGTCCATACTTGCAGCACGAACTGCTTGAGGAACAGAAGTGCAGCTTGTCGGGTAGGCAGATCGATGGATTGGTGTGTAGCGACGGCGATCAGGGTAGGAGCGAACGACGTGTGTGTATAAAGCTTCCGTAGCTGCAGCTCAGCATTGCGACGAGGAGCATCCTGAGGCGACTGCGTGTCGTGAAGGAGCTGTGCTATTTGCTGCTCCATGGCGCAAAGGATAATGTGATGGCCGGTTTGCTTAGCGTATCGCGGGGTAGCAAAGACGATCGAGGGGTTCGAAGAAGGAGGACAGAGGCTACTTGTCAGCTTGATCCATGTACAACTGAGTAAAGAGTCGACTTCGAAGCTATTCTGGAGCTGTCTTGACGTGGTCAGATTTGGTACGAATGATCAAACATAGCGGAAAAGGCATCTGGTGATTTGCTGCCCAAAATAATCACTGGAGACGCGACTCCCCGCCAAGTCGCGTCCACTCACGCGTATCGCTCTATTGTTTCCATCACCATTTCCATCACTTCATCAACATGGACGACTCGGATGTGATAGTCACTTTCCAGACCTTCGTCGGTGTCTTCAGTGATTTCCTGATAGTCGCTATACACACCATTCTCTACGAACGCGACATCTATCCACGCGACTCTTTTCTATCGGCAAAGAAGTACAACTACAGCGTGCGCCAGTCGCGGCACCCAAAAGTATGCCAATGGATCACCGATGCTGTCGCTGCTGTACAGATTGAGCTGCTGAAGGGTACCGTTGATCGTGTAGCTCTTGTCATGTATTCTGCCCAGGACACGCCTCTTGAACGTTTCGTCTTTGATCTCAGCCGCTTCCCCTTCGTCCCAAAGGAATACCACTTTACGCCAATGTCAAGGACCACTGATGATGGAGAAAATGTCGCCGTGCTTCCTAGAGTCGATCTTGAAGAGCAGATGCGTGCCACAATGAGCAGACTGTCGACTTGTGGCTCTCGTTTGAAGCCTCTGCCCGACAATTGCACTTTCACCCTCGCAATCGAGCTACGCGACAACACAAGCCCTCCCATCGGCCACCCTCAACCATGGATCCCTGCTCAACCTGATCTGCACAATAAGAACCCGGATGCTGCCAAGAAGGGTAGCCGGACCACTCCCTTACGTGCCGTTTCTGCTGGCGACATGGTTTTTGAAACTTGGATCGAAGAAGCAAAAGCAAAGCTCGACCCTGCCTGAATACCCTTCTCCAAAGACGCAACACATCTCTTCTGGGGACAGCGGCCTGCCCTCACATCTGTATCTCGGGCTTGTTCACGTCAACAAGATGCGGGTTCCTTGAGCCTCCCCTGATTGCCATCTTCTTCTTCAGCGCACTCCCGTCGGAATCTTTCGTCGGCAGACTGTGTGGCACAAGTGTGAGCAATGCCGAGGCTTCAACTCTGACACTTGTCGCTCCTGTAGGCTTTTTAACTCCCAAGACCTTCATCGTTTCTGTAACAGTCTCCGTGACAGTCTCAGCTGGCAACTCAACTGTCCTCCACCTCGTCTTCATATCCGCATATGCTGCTACATCGCAAGTCGCCACGCGAAATGCTCCCTGGTTGACATGTTGGTTTGTTACTGTCGCTCCGAGCAAGATCTCGTTGTTCTCGTGTGTGAGGGCGAGGTTGAAGGATATTATTATGAGGGACACGCTCAGGGTGATGAGGCTGAGCAAGAAGAGAATCCTGCTGGAGAAGCTGCTCTCGTTTGGCATTGTGAGGGAGGCTTTGAGATCTTGCAGGCAGAAGTTGGTTGACGATGAAACAAGAAGACGGTAATGTCTGGGACGAGCTTCTTCGTGGCGGTCAGACTCAAGGTCAGTAGCTTGTGTCGCGAGCTTCCGTTAGACTTTTGGCGATCGAGCAACATATGGAGGTCGTTTCGATCATGCCATATGTCCACTGGCCTCACACCACGACACAAGGGTCAGCCAAGACGTCGTCCACGAAGCTTGGACACAACAAAGTTCAGAGCCTAGGGTTTATCGACGCAGTTTTGTTGAACGGTGACTGTAGCTATACAGTGAAAAGCTACTGTAATTGATGGTATGTCTCCCTCAATCGTTCCGTCCAGCGGATCTGATATGGTGTCCGAATGTTGCTACCTCAGTGCGTTGGCTTTTGATTGCTCTCACTGACCTATTCCACACACTCGTCTGCCACAACTCGATGCGGATCGTCTTCGAAAGCCTCCATCGGTTACACAAGAATCCTCGTACTCCCAGCGAATCTGCACTCAAAGTGCGTAAACCTCTGCATTGACGACCCTGTAAAGACCCGGCGACCTGATCGTGTATGTCTGGGTATTTCTGGGGACGTTTTGGGTGATCGCCGTTATAGACACGACTGTCGTCTTGTGCAGAGTGACGATATTGGTTTGAGTCGGTGCAGTAGCAATCCAGGAAGTGACGGTGCCGGCCTCTCTGACAATGATCTTGGTCTGTGCATGTATCTGACCCCTGAAGTCATGTAGGGCGCAGGTATTGATGCATAGCGTGTAGATAATGGCCGCGAGGAGAGCGAGGAAACACAAACCAAAGATCCCTGCGCAGGTGTCCTCGGTATGGTCGTTGGCTGGTTTGGTGCTGGCAGGCTTCTCGTTGACGGTTGGCTTGATATTGCTGGCAAGCTTGGCCGTGTCGGCAGGCTTGTCGATGCGAGGCTCTTCGGGGACGCCCTGCCCCTCGGTCAGTCTGGTCAATGATGTTGATGTTCTTGTGAAGTTCACAAATGTCCATCGGCAGCTCAGTATGTAGGCGGATCGCCATCGCACCTTCCTGCACTCACTCTTCCGAAGCATTAACAGCGAACGATCCCCCACGGCGTGGTCGTCAATGCCTAATCTTGGTCTCTGAGCAAGTACACCGGCAGTTGTATGGTCTTGCCATCACCAGATCCTCAAACGAGCTCGACCGCTTTGATCTTCCGAGGTATTCGCAAAGATTGTCTACTCACATATTCAGCACACTCGGTCACGCATCAATGTTTCGAATGTGACCGACCTGATTCTGGCCCCTCGTACGACCTACGTATCGTACCGCCTCCGCTGTACTGACCGTCGAGATGGGTATATGAACCCATCAGATTCCTTCATGCTACTTCTTTCCTTTTCCACAGGGATAAAATCGACTCCCATCAGCTTCCGACATCAGTATCTTCTGTCGCCTTCTCCCACACCACTACAATGGCTTCCAGCAAAGGCGCTTCCATGGGAAGAAACTCTGGCATCCTCGGCCTCGTCGTCGCGCTCATCGCCGTCGTCATCAGTCTCGTCTGCAGTACGGTCTACCTCCAACGCGATGCCGAGATGCTGCAAAAGTCCAACACAATCTTGGAAAAATTGAACTCTACCAACTGTGTCAGCACTGTCACCGTCACCGAAGTAACCACCAAGCCCACCGGTACGCTGTCCGTCTCGGATGCGAACGATAACGACTGGGACACGGAGTATGAGACAGCCTACGAAGAAGATCCCCCCGAGTACGATTACGAGTATGATTCGGAGAACCCATACGACTCGTCGTACAAGTATGACTCGGAGTATGAGGATGAACAGCAGTCCGAGTGGGAGAGAATCCGAGAGGTGTTTCCTCCTCCGTCTAGTGGGGATGCTGCTTGGCCAGAGATTACCACAGAGTAGAAATACTCAGAGACCATGTTGATTTTGGGGGTCGAAGGGGTCGGATCGACGTCCTGAATGTCCGACGAGCTTTTGTAAATCTTGTTTGCTACCGTCGTGTCTGAACCTGTAGAAAATCCTTGAATAAAAAATCCTCAACTTCGGGTACTCGAACATCTTGTGAAGCACTTGGTATCAACCTTTGTGTCGCTGGTTTGATCTGAGCTAACAAGAGAGTTGTTTCTCCCGAAATGCGGTTTCGGTCGAACGCCCTCGAACGCTCTCGCCATTCTACGCATCCAAGGATTTCTCAAAGAAACCAAGTCATATATTCCGCATAGCAGTTCACGTTCCAGCACCATTCGTCAGCTGCTATGGAAGTTCAGTGCCGTCGCTGCCGTAAGAATGTATAAGAAAGAAGGAGAATGGCATTCTCTCCGTTCCGCTTACATCGTGCTTCCAAATGAGTGGATCTGACGTTGAACAACCTCCACCATACACCGGCAGTACAGATACACTACCGTCCTATACTTCAGTACCCACTCCGTCTCAACTACCAGAATCAACCACACCTTCACGTCCCTCTCGAGCTCTGCGACCATCGCGACCTCTCCAACGCTCCGACCGCCTAGAACTCTCCAACCTCTCCCCACCCCCGAACATCAGAATCAGATCACCTTCCCCAACTCCCGTCGTAATGGCCACAACTTCTTCCTCCGACAGCAGAGAGCATACCAAACTCATTTCATCGACTTCTGTAATTTCCGAGCCACACCTGTATATCCTCTTGCCGAAAGAGGTATGTGACACCAGATTTGACCCGACCAAGCGTCTGTTATGATTTCACCAACGCACCTGAAATCCTAGCTCGTGGCTTACGCAGCTTGGCTCAGAGAACCTCTAGTCCAGATACTCCCTCATTATCTCCGCCAGGTCTTCAGCGGAGAATGGGACAAGCGGCATGTGCCATCTGTCTGTCTCACTCGCTACGACAGTCTTTGTCTTCGTGGGCCATGGTGCAAGAGTTGTCGTTGTAAGGAAAATTGTAGGTTCTCTGATGGTCGCAGTAATGGTTACTGTGGGACCGAATACAGGGGGCATGTCACACCATTTGGTTACGATTTCCGTTCGTACTTCTGGTGCACAGGCACATTTCTCTGATGGTGATTCTGCAAACAATATCCAGCCGAAAATGGTCAGGAACATGAACTCCAAGAAGATCCTCAGCGGCTTGGACACCGGTTCGGAATTCGGCGTGAAGATTTGCCTGATGTAGTCTTGAGTGGATGCTAATTTCTCCTTGAGGTTTTCGGTGGTTTGCGTTTGTGCATGGGTTGTCCCTGATGCATCTACACTTGCTTCGGGGCCTGATTTTGTGTTGTCGTCTTGTGTTGCTTGCTCTGGCTGTCTGAAGTCCTTGATGCTTTCGCGATTGGTCAAGTCAATGTCGCGGCTTCTGGGTATTTCGACGACCTCATCGGACTCTTTGCAGCTCTCAGTGTCACTGATCTTCTGTGTATCATCGTCGCTATCGGCGTCCAATCTTTCCTGGCTAGAGTAGTGATGAGGATCGTGCATAGGTCCGCTGCCCTCTAGTCTGACTCGGATGTGGGTATATCCTTCGAAGTCCTCATTTACTTCAAGCAGGGTCATGTTGGATTTACACGTGAGAGGGTTAAGGAAGTCTTCGAAAGTGAAGTAAAGTCGTCAAAAAGTTGGTTTGTCAGGTCGTAAGTATCAACAGTAGAAACAATTGCTTTTGTAGTGCGCTTGGAGTCATCCTTCCGAGATTTGAGAGAGAAAGAGTCATAGGCTCAAGCACACTTGTCAAGACCTGAATAGCCACGTGCTCTCCACGTGCTAAACTCAATGTGACACTGATGGAAAGAAAACATGATCGTGCCTTCGAGATGTTGTCGTTCTTCAGTGCTTTACATTGTCTATCCGCAAGTGTTTGCCTTCCTCATGAGGTACTAGTGGTACGATAGCATTCTTAGATAGAATTGGGCCCCCAGAATCGGCCGGGGAGAACTGTACGCCATACTCATGCTTTTCGCGTCGGCGTCAAGAACTCCGTAATCGTCTTTGTCATAGTGTCCGTTACTGTAGGCTCCACTCCCAGCACTAGCGTCTCTGTCACCATCTGCGTGATCGTATATGTTTCGACGACATTAGTGAACCTATCCATGGCCTTCGTAACAGCGGCCAGGTGTATAGCAACCAAGAAGCATAGGACGAACAACGCGAGTACGAAAGCTGAACCAAGGATTGTCGCAGTGAGGATACTGTGGCGATAAATATCAAGGGGATCCTTTGGAGGTTTTGCCGTTGCCGTTGAGGTCTGGCAGTCGGTTGTTTGAGCTGCAAAGTCTTTGGAGGCGATGTTGAGGTTCGTGTTCATTGATTGTTGGGTTGGAATTATCGCGCGAATTGTATCAGTTGCGCCAGTCTGAAGCTGTTGGTCATCCATGACACTTGATTGGGAGACAATGAGATCAGTGACAGGAAGGTGTTCAAGCAACTGATAGGAATGAGGGTACAGGCCGGTACATGTCATATAGCAGAGGTACTGTCATTGTGGAGCTGCAGTCATTCCGAGCCTTGAAGCTCTCGACAATAGTGGGTCTTGATCAGGTAGTTCTCGGGCGTAAACTGAAAGGAGGAGCGGTCCTCAGATCTTTGCAGAAGTATGTGATGACAGTAAAGAAGCTTTCGCTGGTTGAGCAAGATATAATATTTGCTTTAGCTGATGCTTCTCCACTACCAACAGTCGATGGCCTGATGATCACACCTCATTCTGTTCCGCGGCGAATACTAGTCGATAGATTCTGGTCGATATATGGCAAGCGCTGTCGGTCATGAACGGCTCGAATATAATGATCGAACTTGACCTTGGTGTTCAGCAGATCCGTCTGTGAGCAAGATATCGGCTGTAAATTTGCCTTCTAACAGCCTTGTTTCGAGCCTAGAGAACTCGGGGAAAAATGAACGAGGGTGAGGTGTACCTAGAATCTTATGACCCTGAATTGCTATGCGCCTCGATCTGGATGTGTTTGTGCCTTTGTACAGCCCTGTTTTGAACCTTAGATACACTAGGGGAGATGGACAAAAGCGTAGTCATCCTTGGGGCTTCAGGGCTTTCCGGGAAGGTCTTCTTCGAGACAGAACTAGTTGCACATTTCGATGGCACTGTATCGTGATGAGAAGCAGGCAAGGAGGTGAGACAGCTTCAAAATTGTGTTTTGTCTGGTCCATATACCCGAAGAACTATAAGACTTGCTACCACGAGGTCAAGTTTGTAGAACGCTTTCCTTGATTGCCTTGGGTGCGACGGTGCAATGAGTGCTGTTGCTCTTTATTTGTAAACTTAACTTGTCCGTTCCCAGTTGACGTCGACAGTCAGGACTCAGGTCTGTTGGCAGCGAATCTATGGGCCCTGATGTAGATGTTTCCATATCTTGAAAGTCTTCATCACCAGATATGTTGGATCCGGCAATGCCGATATGTTGGCGCTTCAGTCAACTTTGCAAATGATGCGTACTGACTGCGACTGTGTGATCTGCTATGAAGTAGCAAAATGTGCTCGATGACATTGTCGTTGTGCAATGCCGTAGAATGTTGAAAAGATAGGACGGCATCAGGATCGAGCTTTCCTTGAGCCAAGCTATCGCCATGTGAGAATACTCATTGATCGTCATCCTTGACAGCCTCAGACAAACATGCTTGTTGATGACATGGTACCTTCGTGTTTCAATGAGCGATATTTGCTGTTGATGTGGTCTCTCTGTTGCGTCAATTAAGTCGGATGCAACAATACATCTGGACAAGTCAAGATGAATGCAGCACCTGCGTCAATTTCTTATCCTCGCAAGAAACAGATGGATTCGGCCTGGTTCATGTGGAAGGAGCTTTATTGTCGCGTGTCCAATTGCTCCATCGTGTTTGAATTTTTTCTGGTGAGCTCAGCTGCGTCAGGCGGAAGGCGCGCTAGACGGAAGGCGTTCCGCAATGAGAACAGCAACAAGGGAATAAATTGGATGTTTTATTCCCCAGTACGAACGAACCATCCGTTTGTGTGGAGGATGTCACTTCTTCGATAACGCGTGAAGATGTTTGATGATTCAATTGTCAAATGGTTGCTCGACTGAGCGCCCGGGCGCATCGGATGACTCTCTTGCAAGCTGTTCGACTTGCGTAGTGATTCAGAAGCCTTGGCCTCGCTTTGCTGCACGAATGTTACAAGATCGCCGAGAAGATCTGGGGAGCTTGCAGCAAGCAGTGACGAGTAATATCTTGGTCTGGTAACGATCAGAGGGCTCCCGACTGGCAAAGGACCAATGGAGGGTCGAACTTGCCGACGGGCTTCCACAATTGCATCCTGCAGAGCTTGACACGAGGAATTTACCGTAGGATTTATTTTGCTCAGCTATCTTTTGAAGGCAGCGAATGAAGATCCAACGCAGTCGAGGCTTTACACGCCCTAGGGAAATGTGGCGACAAAGAGAAGGGTTGGGACGAGAAACTCTCTCGGGAGCGGCCGACTGAAGGAGTCGTTTTCCGGCACCTTGATGTGAGCTATGAAGCTTTGCGGCTCGACATCTTTCTTCGATGTCATGTTTCGAGGGTCACAAAGAGCAGATGCACGAAACGCGAGAAATGCGATCAAATGCTGACCATCACCAGCGCTTGATACGAACAAAGCAGTCATACACCGAGCGAAGAGACGTCATGCTCATAGCCGGACACAATTCGGTATGGGGCGGGCAGCAACAGTGCTTCGGCGACAGCGAGCCGGGACCCGCTATACAGGGCGCGAACGGGCTTTTTCGATTTTTCATAACCAAATTTTTACTCTAGCGCGTCAACGAACGATGACTACCACCAGTATCTTACGTACATATATCCAACCCACAGGGCAGCTCATGTCCGACCTGGACCTTTTGCTTCACCTTTGACCTCTTGCTTCCAACTCATACCCCGCGTGCTGTTCAAGATTCGATTAGGTTGTTGGACACGTGCGCCACCACCTACCCATATCATTTGAATCACATCTTTCTCATACCGTCGCCATGTTCTCTTCGGAGAAGGACGTCAGCATTGGCTCCAAAGCTGTGCAAGACAAGCCATACTCATCGAGCCCGAGCTCAATCTCGAACGAGGATGTCGAGGGTTCGCCAGTCCCGGGGACCACAGTCCAGCTCAAGCGTAGACTGCAGTCGCGTCACCTGCAGATGATTGCTATTGGTATGAGCATACAGCTCTCCTAGGCTTCTCGAAACCACGCTGACAAGATTCAAGGTGGAACTATCGGTACCGGTCTCTTCATTGGTTCCGGAGGAGCTCTCGCAAATGCTGGACCCGCCGGTGCATTAATCGCATACGCCTTTGTCGGTACACTTGTCTACAGCGTAATGGTCGCTTTGGGTGAGATGGCTACTTTCCTGCCTGTCTCCGGTGCCTTCACAGCCTACGCTTCCCGGTTCGTCGACCCCAGTCTCGGTTTCGCTATGGGCTGGATTTACTGGTTCTCATGGGCCATGACTTATGCTCTGGAGTTGACTGCCAGTGGTTTGATCATTCAGTATTGGGATCCCTCCCTCAACATCGGCATCTTCATTGGTGCTTTCTGGGCTGTCATCACTGCTATCAACTTCCTTCCCGTTTCCTTCTACGGAGAAGTCGAGTTCTACTTTGCCAGCATCAAGGTTCTGACAGTTATTGGATTTATGATCTTTGCTATCTGCATTGATGCAGGAGCTGGACAACATGGATACTTGGGTTTCGACACCTGGAAGAACCCTGGAGCTTTCGCTCCCTACATTGTCAAGGACAACGAGGCCGTCGCAAAGTTCGTCGGTTTCTGGGCTGTCCTCATTCAGGCCGGTTTCTCCTACCAGGGTACTGAGCTCGTTGGTATCGCAGCCGGTGAGACCAGCAACCCTCGCAAGACTGTCCCTGCCGCCATCAAGAAGACCTTCTACCGTATTGTCTTCTTCTTCGTCCTTACCATCTTTTTCATTGGTCTCCTTGTTCCTTACGACAACGAATCCCTCATCTCCGACCACACCGACGCCTCCTCTTCGCCCTTCGTCATCGCAGCAAACTTAGCTGGAGTCAAAGTTTTGCCCTCAATCATCAACGCCGTTCTCCTGTGTGTCGTCTTGAGTGCCGCAAACTCGAACGTATACTCTGGATCTCGTATCTTGGTTGGTCTGGCAGAACAGGGTTCAGCCCCCAAGTGGCTCGGTCGCACCACCGCCAGCGGTGTCCCATACTACGCCGTTGCCTTCACCGCCGCCTTCGGGCTCCTTGGCTTTATGAACGAGTCCAACAGCGGTGGTCAGGTCTTCAACTGGCTGGTCAACATCACCGGTGTCGCTGGTTTCATCACCTGGACTTGCATCAACATTTCCCACATTGCGTTCATGAAGGCTCTTGCTGCTCGTGGTGTTTCCCGCGACACCCTGCCCTACAAGGCCATGTGGCAGCCCTTCTTTTCGTGGTACGGTGTGTTCTTCAACATCCTCATCATCCTTACCCAGGGATTCACCGCCTTCATGCCCTGGAACACGAGCGACTTCTTCGTCGCATACATCAGTTTGTTCCTCTTCGCCGCTCTCTACGGCGGCCACAAGCTCGTCTTCCGTCAGCCTTTCGTCAAGCCCGTAGAAGCCGATCTTGACACTGGTCGCAAGGAGATTGAGGAAATGCACTTTGACGAGGTCGAGCCAGTCGGCGCTTGGCAGAAGTTCTGGGCCTGGATGGGCTGATCTTTCTTACCGTCTATTGCATTTGGGCTTGGGGTTTGTGTTTGATCGTTCGTTGTGCATAATTTTGGTTTCGAAATACCCTGATTTGGGAGGAAAAGCATTACACTATAGATGAGAAGATTTAGATGCTAGACTTTGATGATGAATGATATCCCTTTACTTTAACAACCCCTTACATCTCGACAGGCTGGGCACATAATAATTATGGGTGCCACATAGCATCTAATCGAAGAGTAGTATTCATAATCACAACCTTGATCTCGTAGTTTCTGTAAAGAGGATCTTGCTCTTGGGTAGCTAACCAACCCCATGAATATAGATGCACAAATTTGTGCATCACAACCACTAATGGGTCGTCACTGCTTGTCTTGAGCATCTGTCTTCCTTGTCTTGACTAAAATTTGCGTGCTTGCACCCTCCAACAATGTTCTCGATTGCATCTCATTCCTTACTCACCAGCCAGCTCCCACTGGTAGCCGAAGTATCCTTTTATGATATCTATGACGATACTGCCTGATTTACCCTTGATGGCCTCTTTGACACACTGTGCAGTCCTGATGAGAATGCCACAACTGTACTTGTTCGTGTTACGGTCCTTCTTTTGTCGGTACTGTTCTGCATGCATCGAGTGCATCAAAATACAACCGACAAAGCTGGGTATGTGCAGATGGTCACCACGGCCGATCAACTCCTCACCGTAGAAAAGCATATTGCGAAGATCTGGTCCGACTTCCTCCTTGACCGAGGAAATCATGTTACAACAGATGCGATGAAGACGAAGATAGTCGAAGGACAAATGTACTACTTCGTTCCGGAGTGAATTGGCAAGACCGTTAAGAAGATCAGTAGTATCGAGTTTCTCCGTACTATTCTTTTGTGCTCGGGAGAACTGTATGCGTGCCAGTTTGCTTGTCTCAGAATCGCACAGGAGCGAGAACTGACCGCTGACGACGTCTTTGATGTGTATTTCTCTGATTCTGTTCTCAACCGCGGCGAAATCGGTGGATAACGATGAGTTGTGATGGTGCATATAACGTCCAGCAAGCAGACTTGCCATTGGTATCTCTAGCTGCACAGTTCGTACGTTGCCTTTGTTGATTGAGTTTACTGCTCTTCTTCTGTTCTTTGCGCTTGTGGTTATTGACTGGCCATGACAGACATCAAAGCGTTTGGAGCAATCCTCAAGAGTCTTTGGGTACACACCCGTGAAGAACCTAGCGCCATCTTGAAGTTTCATGAACACGTCCATGTCTTCCCAAGGTAACGCAATGCCTTGTACTCTCAGAGCCATATGCAAGTGGGCGCCGAATATAATGGTTCCCCAGTGTCTGACAAAATGAAGGCTAGTATCCTGCATTGCATATCTCGCGCTGAATAGCCAGATACCACAAAGGACAGGGTTTTGCTTTAGAAAGTCATACGCATCATGCCTCTTTTCGGGATCGAGGTGTCCGTTCACCAGAATATCGATCGTATCTTGAAGAAGCCATACATCCACGGCTTTGCTCAACCGTTGTAATTTATCGATATTTTGGTTCTTGACTTGAGCATCTAGAGGAAGCTTCGTGTGAAACGTAACGGTCTGGTCGAGGGAAGCTTTGATATATCTGCCACCCTTTTGCATCTCTTGAAATGGTCGCTCAACATCAGGGCCAAGCCAGTGCTGCACGTCGAGGAAGATGGGTGCTGCAAATACGAGCCAAAGATGGATCGGCTTGCCAGGTCCCATCTCTCGAATACCTCGAACCAACTCATCGTCTGAAAGACCGTCGAGTAAGACAAGACCTGTTAACCCAGTGATTGCTCTTGTCAACAATATCGTATTATCGAGAAACTTTTCCCTAGGAGACTTTTCGTGCCATTGTGTTGAAGTGTCACGATCCTCGACTGTGGTGTGAGTAAAGTGCGAGGTCACTCCCACAGTTCTGAAGTCGCTCAGCTCGCGTAACATCATGAAAGTGTCAATGAAGCAGTCGTGAGCGATATCATAAACAGCGAAGTTGATGGTATCACCAGGCCGTTCCCTTTTGAGAATGTCCTCGCCTATGTCCTTGCAACGTAGATGGTAGTAACTAAGAACACACTCGAGATGGCCAGTATCCCCGGTAGCATCCGGGAAGTTTCTTTCATGGTCTTCCTGAAGTCGTCTAACCATCTCGACTGCAGTGTCCGTGACGATGGCAGCGGCTTGTAGGTCGACGATTCGCTTGTCACGGTATAGAAGCCATAGCGACTGGACATGGCGCCGAACAGTGTTGGTCGTGTATATGAGGACACAAGTTGCCATGACTTTATCTTTCCCCTTTGACATCCGTTCGGCTCTATATTGAGCTACCGCGTCGATTTCAACGGCATTCTCCTCGAGCAAATTCAAAAGTGGCGCGTTTAGGAACTCCTCGGACAATACCTCAACACTGAGTCCTTCATACGAATTTGTGGTATGCACTTTGTTCATCTTTTGAGGTTCGCCCCCGTGGTTCTGCCTCTTCGGCTGCAGCTGGTCGCTTTCTCTTGTCGTGTTTGGTTCTAGTATGCTGCGCACACGCTCGAGCACAGAGATGAAATGCGCATGCGTGTCGTTCTCGGTTGAGTCGTCATCAACTCCTATGTGGCGGAACCACTTGTTGTGCTTCTTGCGAAAGTCAATTGCTCTGTCCAGAACGCGCGATAAGATCTTGGGAACTCTGATGAATGGTTTCGTACAGCCCACAATCTGTGATGCTAGGGTGATGAAAGACTTGATGGAGATGATGTATACGGGAACATCTTCATCCCTCTGGACCTTATTTTCTGGTTTGTGGACATCTCTGGCAAGCTTGCGAGCCCGGCCTTTAAGTTGGGACAGCGAGATCTCGTGCGGACTCCCGCCCAATGTCTCCGGGTTATAGCCACACCGTTGAGCAGTGGTCGCCAGCCAGTTGGCAATCAGGTCTGTGTCTCGTTTGTATGTCGAGTAGGAATCCTGAAGAAAGTCGGGCAACATTTGACAGTGAGCGAGAGCGATAGAGTCAGTTCGTCCAATCGTGTTGCAAGGCGATATTGAGAGAGTAAACACGTCTAAGTGTGCTGCTGGGTGACACTGGCAGAGCAGACCTGCGCAGGTGTGTTGCAAAGTGTTCGCTTTGAGCTGGATGTCAACACGACAAAGAAGAGATTGACGCTTGAAGGTGTTTGTCGTGGTCAAACAGAGATATGATAGGTCTCGGTCTTTCTGCAAAAGATCATTGAGTGCGCGTGGTAGTATGCGAAAATCCACAAATTATGGACCTTGATGCGATGGAAACAGAACAAATCAAGCAAAAGGTTAGCAATGACGCGGTTGTTTTGCCAATTTTATGAAAGTGAGATTGTTGTCGAGAAATTGAAACCGGCGCAATCGCACATCAGACTCCTCCGCTGCAAGATTCCGCCGACTCTCTGACCTCAATTGGCAGAAGTGAAAAAGTCTTCTGCCTTTTCACGGCTTGATCACCCACGGCGTTCGTGCTGGAAATGGCAACCAAAAGGAATATGTCGTCAACCATGGGGACTTGTGCTCTGTTCACCCCAGCTTTCCTCTCCTTCTGTAGCTGTTATAATGCAGAGAATAATATTGCGTACGATCTGCACGATCCCGAAAGACCCTTTACCTCGCTGAGATGTCTCCGCACTGGTTTGCTGTCCATGATATGGCTCGCCTCTGTGCATCATCAGACGGACTTGTCTGATCACTGCCTCAATTGTTACGCGCATACCGGTCTCCGGTCTCTTTCCTCTTCACCAATCTTCTCGGCCGACTGTTACGATCTGCAGGACGATCATTCCTCGATCTCTGCTCGTCTTCGAATCGTACTTTCCTAGCAGCACGCTCGACCAGATGCGACGTCACCATTTCCTCAGGCTGCTTATACGAGAATGCTTGATATGTCGGAAAACTGTCTGTTCTCGTAGCTTGCTCTTGCGGAACAGGCCGAGACAATGGTATGGATGTGGAGAATTGACGTGGTATCTCGACTGCAGAGTCCATACGTGAGTGTACGGTGTGATGATACGGTTCTACAGAGGATGGTTGTGTCCCCTTAGTCACCGATCTAGACATCTGATGAGAATGGCGTTCTATATGTCCCATGGTTGAGGTAGAATGGCTGGTCTGGACTTTTATTGTCGGTTCCTGGCGCATCTCTTGCACCAGCGTTCGCGGGAAACCACCAACCAGATATTTCTGATATGACTCACCACGACATCCTCCATCCAGGACCAAAGTCGCTGTGGTCGAGGCCATTGCATCTGATACGTCGATGTCGACATGAGGTATCCTGAGCATTCCATAGATGGTAAGTCTCGAGAGGATTTTCTCCGTGAGCTTGATCTTGAGAGCCCTGTCAGGTATACATGTTGACTCCTCCTGGATGACGAAGTGCGGTTCAAAGGTCTTACTGGACTGCTCCGAAAGAAACTTGCCCAGTGCTTTCAATTTGGACGAGCCTTCCTCAAACTTACAACAGATATAGCCTGTGCACGTAAAGTTGCCAGCTCGATGAGAGATTGTCCTTGCCAGCTTGAAGTAGAATGAGCTCGCGACTAGAGCACAAGCGATTTCTTGTGTCATCTTGACCACATCGGGATCGCGTAGTCGTTGTCTGACGTCTTTTCGAAGTTCCTCAAATTTGTCCTTTGCATCGAAAGAGGGTAGCTTACGCTTCAGGTCTAAGTTGAAGCGTAAATAAGGACTTGGAAGGTCAGTAGCTTGGCCAACAACATCGGCCTCGAACTCGATCCAGGTCTGTTCAGCGTCCAAGATGTTGTCAAAACGCTGGTACAGAGCTCCAAACGTGTCAAGAGTGCGTCGCAGGCCTCCCGATTTTCGAGGAGAAGGTTTCGACATCTCCTCAGATTTTTTACTGAATGAACGCCGCTCGGGTACATCTGCTGGTGCCTCTGGCAAATTTCGACCTGTGCCGATAGACAAAAGCAGGTCCGGATGCTTACTAGCCAGATCGGGCCATAGAAGCTTTCGCTCTCTGTTTGCAACATGGACAGGATTATTGTGGTAAAGTCCTCCGTCGAGGTAGCTTACTCCAGTCTTGGGCTGAGTATATGGCTTGAAGTAGAATGGTGCTGCAGAAGTGGCTGCCGCAGCTTCCCATACCTCAAGCTCTTCTCGGTGGTTCTCTGGTCTTACGAAAACTTGACTTTCTGCCGCGTTGTGTGGACGGTTGTAATTGGCGATAACCATGGCTCCTTTGCCATCGGCAGACGTCGCCGTCACGGCAACGTTGGTGCGAGAGGCACTTAAAGATTCGCTGCCACCAAAGAGCTGACCACTACCCAGTGTCTTTTGCAACACGCTGTGAAGGGGCTTTGCTTTGTATTTGCTTCCGTGATTCAGAAACGCAGCCTGTTCCAGACCCCAGACACCCCTGAACTCGCGCTCAGTGAAGGCTTGGTCGCAAAACTTTTCGAATACTGCGATGCAGTGGGCGACCGACCACTGTTTTACACCCAATGCCAGCGCGTTGATCCCTCCAGTGCTTGTGCCTACGATCAAGTCGAAGAAAGTCTGAATGCGTATGTTGCCTCCAAGTGCTTTCTCAATCACGCGGAGGATTTCGAGCTCGATGATGCCTCGCATACCGCCGCCATCGAGACACAAGACTCTTATACCGGCATGCTCAGACCTGTCGGGCATCTCCCAGGATGGCCGAAAGCTAGTGTGTATATGAAGTGGGCAGTAATTCAGTCGTATCTTGCCATGGCCTTTCTTCCCTGAATCCTGGACGCAACTATTGCAAAGCACATGTCCGCACGGTAGAGGATGTTGCGGTAGTCTGACCAGACAAGCAAAACAGCTCTTGTGGCTTATGAATGATACTGCAGCTCCAAGGTCCGTGAAGAAGTCGTTCATTTGTTCCAGATGTAAGTCACTGGCGATTCTTCTGCTCGATTTCTCCCGAGGCTCCTCATCCAGGGCTTCGCAATATTCGTCTTCACAAATATTGAGTTCCGTCTTGATGAAAGATACCCAGTCCGACACATCAGCCTCTACAGTCCCGCTAGACACATATTGGCCTTGGCCAATATCATTTCCATCAGCAGCGCGATGTTCTGCGCCGTGTGAGAGTTTTGTGCCGATACAAGAACGACTGGCTCGATCGGAGAAGGAGCAAGGCCAATGAAGATTGAAGAAATCCTTGAACATACGCTCCAAAGGTGGCTGATAGTATTCGCTAAAAGTGTCCTTGATGTTTCCTGACTACTATCAGTATGCTGCCACCATTTGCATTGCTTTTTTTACTCGCCTCTCCGGGTTTTAACACAGTCGTGAAAAATACATGATGCTACTATGCGTCCGAGAAACTGGAGGACTTCCCAGCTTGGTGTGCCTTGAGGCTGTTGCCTGTGGATCTGTACCGCAAGTCGCAGAGCATGTTCACCAATATTTGAGCCTTGTGTCGTCTTGACTCCGCCTCGTCTTCGTGAACTGTAGGCGGACTGTTGATTACGATCGCACATTGGTATTTAGTCGGATTGAGTCCAGCTCACCCACAGTGCGCTTGGGCACGACGAGTGTCAAAGGCATGGCGGAAATTGAAAGAATATGTTCGGGTCTTGACATGTGTCTGACGTTCCGAAGGTTTCGTGATCCTATACTAGCCGCCGCGGACGGCTTTCTTGACCCTCACCTTGTCCATTTTTGTTATAACACAACGTGACTCAGGCAGGACCGTCCGTGAACAGCCTTTAAACTGATCTAGGCATTCGGGCAGACCGAGCCGGAGGAAGGCTCCTTCAGTACCGGTACGATAGGGCTGTATCTCTTGCGTGGATTGAAGCATCTCCAACCTTAATTATGGTGAATTGACCCATAACCCTGGTCGACGGGTGTCTGAGTCGTGGTGGAGCTGCTTCGGCTTCCGTTTGTCTCGTGCACAAGCTTCACCTCAAGGGCGGACGTGACGACGAGCTGAACATTCGAAGGCACATCTCATGTACCTGCAAGCGAGTCTCCGAACATAAGCAACGCGCTCGCATTAGTGTCGATGTCAAGGCCTCGGAGACTAGAAGCTTTGAAGAAAGGCCCACTTTGCTTGAGGACCGAGAAGTGTTACGTATCCGGTCGCGCCAAGACCTCACCATTTGATTCGGAAACATCCTCCTTCCAAGTCAAACACTTTCCTGGAATTAATTATGGGCATTACAGGACTGCGTGGGACGAAATGAGCTGTCATTGCGCGAATTTGTCGAGGCGTTTTGGACTTGGATATGTTCAGGTCATGGGGCCTACGCCTTGGTAGGAAACGTCGACTACTTCCAAGCCACTTCTCCTAGCAAGAAACGCAGAGCGCATGAAGCAGTGCTTGAAGGCAGCTGAGGGAAGCCATACAGGTAGGTCATGGGAAGGACTCCCGACATGGCAGCCACCAATGCTTCTGCATAACCGGCACCTGGAGGAGATTCTAAGAAGGTAGAGTAAGCAGCTATGAGACACAAAGTTTGAACGAAGAGCGCCCCGCTGTCTGCCCCTGCCATCAACCAAGAACAAGCACAGAGCCTAGGCTCAGTGTTCAGCTCATATTGAATAACCTTCCGACACATGTTTGCTTGATACCGCAGCGTATAGCGCGCAGCCTGTCGACATTGACGGAGAATTTTGAAATGTTTGGAGTCGATTTCGACTATGCTACAAAGACGAAGGGCAATCCGTTACAATCTCGACCATGCTCCTGATAATATACAAATCATGCTCTTTCGTGTATTGCTGGGTATTTCCGAGGCGTGCAGGTCATCGAAGTATGCTTATTTACTTCTTTTGCGAAGCGAGCTTCTCGGTCTCCTTTTGCAGTTGCTTGATTGTGTCGGCGTCGGCGCTGATGTCACCTCTGTCTGCCTTGACCTGTAGTGGAAGGTGTTAGCTTCAATAGTTATGATTGGCGGAACCTATGGTATGACTTACGATGCTCTCGCTGTCGGAGGCGATCTCCTCGTGCCATTCACCCTTGCCCTGCTTCTGCTTCTTAATCTGCTCGTTCTTGACCCTCTCGGCCTCCTCGGCGCGGCCGTCCTGGTCTGGTGGTTATGTCAGCTTCAGTTGTTCATGGCGCGATAGCGTTTGTCCACTGAGGGCCAATTGGCTCTGTTCAGAGCGACGGTGCGCACAAAGACCAAAAGGCTTGAGAATGACTTACTGAGAGCGCTCTCCTTGCCGACTCTCAGGATGGGAGCGGTCTGGAAGGAACGGATGGGAGCAGAGACAAAGGCTCTTCTGGCGATGAAAGATCTGGAAAGCATGTTGACTGTTGCGTTGTTGTTTCTGGTAATGCTGTTGGTAAACACGAAGACACGAAAAGATGGACGACCTGCGAACCTGGAGCTACGTGTTTGGAGAGTTTGAAGATGTGGGGTATTCTGGATTGAATTGATTGCTTTGCGTGAGTTGTAGATGGAATAGAGAAGAAGGAAGGAAACAGAAAGGAGAAAGCAGCAGAAGAGTTCACTATGACCGTCCCTCGGTTGTGCTGCTGATCGTACCTGTCAACTCTCCTCTAAGCCGGGACCTTCACCTACGTCATTGTTGTAGCTGCCAATTGTGAATCGCACGATTACGAGCTCCATCCACTTGCCGGCTATATCGCCCTTTTCTCGCGCGCGTGTTGCCGATGAGACTTTCCACGAGACGAACAACTTTATGCTTTGAGATGAGTCCATTATACATGTGCCTTTTTAACTACCATTGCTGACGAGAAATCTCGTTTTTCCCATCTGCCAGCCAAGGATAGCCAGCCAAGCTACCATCCTGTCGAACATAAGGCGAGAGGGGCTGTGTCAAGTGCTTGCTGCAAGGCAAGGTCCCGTACTAACAAATGTTTTTCAAATTCAACAAGATCATTGGAATGACCAACAAATTACAAGGTGCACAAAATCAATAGTGGAAGTAAGAGAGCTTGTATTTCTCCGTAACCCGAACTCGACACTAGCATGATCTAACAAGACCAGCATAGAGAGAGAAAATCGGTAGAGAGAGGAAAGAAAGGTTGACAAGAGATACGAAATAGCGAAAGAGCAAGAACAATTCCCAGGCCCAGAATCTCCCCAACATGTGGTATAACCGACACTTAAAAGACTCCTCCTCGCTCGCTCGACGACGATTGTTGTTGCGCGCAACACCATAACTCAAGTAAAAAATACACCAAATTTCCGCCCCAGCCTGGCTGGCCATGAAACCTTTCTTTCCCTGTGTGAAAGTCGTAAACAAGAAGAGAAAGGGGAGTAAACATCAGAAGCAGAAACCCCAAGCATGCGTGAAATATATGCCTGCGCCCAAGAAGTCAAAGAATCCGACTGAATGTGCATCGTGTTGGTTTTCGTTCATCCCGTCCCCACCAAGTGTAACACCGTGCGCTTTGTTGCGAAGGAACATCAACAAAGGCTTGTAAAAGAAAAGCCGAAAATGCAGAGAAATGACCAAAACAAGAAGTAAACCGATTATGCCCTTTTCATGACAATGATACGAAAACGCCGTTCGTCTAGGATCCAGAGGGCTCCGCAATCCAGTGGTATATGTGTGAAAGCATCATAAATCTGTACAGTCGCAGGATTAAAAAATGTGTGGCCGTATAGTCGTCCGTTTTCCAGAGGATGCGCCCGGCCAGCCCTAGACAACAGCACCGCAAATAGAGTCATGAAATGGTATTAGTCTTTTCTCTACCAGCGGCGCTGGTTGATGTAACCCTGCATCTGACGAGCCGGCGAGACACTTGGGGGAGGGCTTGCGATGACGCGAGTGCTAGGGTCAACAATGGGAATAGCATTGCGAGTACGCTGAGCCATGGGCTGGTGGAGCTTCATCTGGTTTTGCTGGAAAGAATTGTTGTTGTAAGAGGCAGCAGCAGAGGGCAGAAGGAAAGGAGTAGGCTGGGCCTGGTGCTGCAGCGGAGAGGCTTCGGGAGAACCAGACGACAGGGACGATCTATCAGAAGAAGCGGAAGAGTGGATGGAGTGGAGCTACGAATACCATGAGTATTGGTCACTGATGTGCCGGATGTCTGTATTCGAGACTTACATCATCCTCGGTCAGGAGGTGGAAAGGGCAGAAGACCTCATCGTCTTCAAACTCGAAACCTTTAGCAGCTTCAAAGTCTCTGATATACGCGCTGTATGCGGGTGTCTCAGGAAGCTCCTTGGGACTTCTTTGGGCCTTGAACTGCTGTTGACGGTGGGCGTTTTGTGCTGAGGAAACACGAGGGCCACGGCGCGAACGACCGTGGTGGTTGTGAGAAGGGTGAGGGTGAGACTGCATAGCAGTTGCGTAGTGAGGAGCGCCGTAGTGAAAGTTTGACATGATTGCAATTGAGGTATTGATATCGGTCGAGGGGTGTGTGCGTGAGAAATCCAGTCAAAAGCTCGGGAGATTGCGGTTGATCGGAGTTGGCCGGAAGCGGTATATATCACAACAATGGGTTGGTAAGAGTGATATGGAGTTGTCGAAGGTTTCGAAAAAAGGCGTAGGTAATCGAAAAAGTTGGAGAATTGGTTTGCGAAAATGCGACGGAAAAGGGATGTTGGTGAAAATGGGATGCGAGAGATATGAAAGAGGTTGGAGGGTTGTGGGATTAGGAAAACGAGGGAGGCGAGGGAGGGTCGCTCGGTGGGTGGATACGCCGGCCTTCGAGGCGCCACCAGCCTTGCCGTTTTCGGTATCGTGCGTGTCTCCAAAGCCCAGACGATCCACGATCACCACACAAAGCCGCTGAAAGCAGCCTACAAGTCACGAGCTGGCACGGCAACCCACCTACCTATGACGAGCCCTAGACTTGCTCGCCGGGCGTCACTCTCTGCTTGCGGTCTGCGGTGTTGCTGCTTTTTCGACATCTCGAGAATGGCCGTCAGTCGCGCGGTAAGCTGCAGTGGTGTGTCGCCGGCGAAGATCCACTCTGTGAACGCATGCATCATGGTCGAGCGCTAACCGGCTGCATTGATTCCATGCACGCCACAAGTCCACTGAGACAAGGGGAGAGACACGACTGCGCTTGGCGGCATGGCCGTCAGAGTTTCCATCGACCCCTCACCAATCCCGCCCGTCCTTTTCACCGCTTCGACTCGTTCTGGGGAAAGCTTGCCGGGCCAGTCAACTTGCTTTTGGGCTCGAGCATTCTGGCTTCTTCGGAAACCGACAAAACTGTTGTCGCAACTCCGTGCTTCTCCCCAGTGACACTTTCAACGTTTGTTGATGTGGTTGAGGCAGTGTTGCAGCATGTTGGTGCCTCAGTCCTGTCACCGCCAGAACCATGTGTTCATTTGAGCTATTCAGGGCTTTGCTAATTCAGGAGCCGCTTGCGAAATACTCCTGCGTCGTGGCAGTGGCATGTTTTGATTGCGAAACAATGAACCCCTCGATTGAATCCGGGGCCGGCATGTCAGATCACATCTATTTCTGCTGTCGGTAACCCTTGACTTGTAGAGTCAAAGTATCAGGTGGTAGTACGCACGTACATGTACTTGTAGCCGCCGGAATTGAGCCTCATCAAAGGTGTTCATTGGTTCCTTGTCTTCGGCGTTGCTGTCTGATCGACTTTGTTGCTTTACCTGTTCGTACCCCTGGGCTGAAGTTTGAACCTTCATCTCTTGCACTCGTACTTAATTTGCACACTTCACTCCTGACAGCTTTGACTGTTGGGAAGACATTGTTATCTACGCTCATCTCGTTCAAAGACACTCTACGAGCGCTCTTGTCACTGGTTCGCTGCCTTCTCTTCAGAAAGCTCACCTTCGTGTGAAGAGCTCCGTCAACAGGAGATTCATTCAGTTCCTTATCGAGCAGATCGCCTTCGAAACAATAATCCCGACGATCACAGAGCCATCGCCTCTGAGTGCTGCTCCTCCCCACCTCAACCCAACGACCCAGATCGTTTCGAACGAGAGCTTGGACAGTTGATTGCGTCGACCGTTTCTGTTACAACAACGGGAACGGTAGGGTGCTATGGCATTCAAAAGACATGGACTCGATACCCCGAAAACACACAATAAGCACTGACTCGGTGCTGAGACTATCAACAGTGAGCTTTAGTTGTGACATGGGGCAATCATGCTGCTCTTCTTCTTAAAGATTGGATGGATTGCGTTGCAAGTAGCGCTCCTCCTTACAGTACGTATGTCTTGTAACTTCGAGGGTCGCAAGTGTGCACAAACGACGGACTGGAGATGTGCTGAATGAGAGTGCATAAGGCTATAGAACATTCTAGGTACCTCTGTCGTGATGGTCAGAGGAGGTATGTGATGGGCAACACCTGACACCAATGAATGTAGTGTGTCAGGATAGCCCTGGCTCTGGCAACTTCAACGTGACAAGAGGGTCTATGTCAGGATGTGGAAGACTGTCAGTCACCTGAGCTTGTGACTGGCGGTTGAGCTGTGACAAGTTGTTGTTCGCCCAATCCATAATGCTGCGATCCAACACTATCGGATCCCCTTCTTCATCATCATCTAGGTAGCTGAAACTCGAGAGCAAGTCGTCTCCAAAGCTCGGTAAAGGCAGAGTATATGTAAGACCAGTTCGCGAGCTCACTCTTTCCAGCAAGTCACTTGACGACTTGGTTTGGCTGTCCTTCGAGAGAGCATCCGCAGAAGTGGTTGTCTGAGTCGGCTCTTCAGGCCTCTTTGGATCCTGTCTCGTAGCACACGTCCGTTTGGCAGGCTTAGGTATGGCTGGTCGAGATGCTAGACCCGCTTGTGCATACTGCTCTGGAAACCTCGTCCTCAGACGGTCACGCAAATCTGTTGAAGTTCTGCCGTGCTCTTTGAAAGCCTCATCTTTGCAAATAGAGACCCAAGAGGGACCCTGTTCCTGGAAGCCTTTGAGCAGAGCACGGTCTTCTTCGTCCGTGAAGTTACGTCTCGGGCGACGTCGCGCCTTCCACAAGGTCGGGTCGACTGCAGTAGTTTGCTGGTCCTGCGGAACAACTTCCTCTGTGATCTTTGCTTTCTTTGCCTTCCTCGGTTTTTTGGTGGCCATTTCCTCCTCCGTGAGTGCTCTTTTGGCTTTCCTCGTTTTTCTTGCACCACCATAAGCTTCAGGCCGGCAAACTCGGAATCTGCAGCACGATCAGTCCTACGCCGAAAGTGGTAGACAAAGAGTCATCATACCTGTCTTTTAGGTCGACAGCAGTTCGCTTGTGAAATTGATAGTCTGAGCAGAACAATATTTTCTTCCAGCTGCCGATACCGAATCTAGATACTCCTGCAAGCAGATCATCGGTCTCCTGGTCAGTCCACAAGTTACGTCTCGAGCGTTTTTCTGGCATGTCTCCAGTTGGTTCGATAGATGTCGCGGCTTCTGCTTGGGTGACACTTGTAGTTGTGTCGTCGACGGGGTAGGGCAGAGTCATACTATTGCTGCTCCTTGAAGTGGACATGAAGACCTGTGACTCTTCTGTACTGATAGAAGGTAGGAGACCAGCATCAGGAGGAGGCTGGTGGAGCCCTTGTAGAACAGGAGGTACACGGTGACGCTTTGCATGTCTCTTGGCTGGAAGTTTTGGCAACGTGAACATTCCCTGGTCAACATCTCGCCTGATGGAGCTATGGTCTCCCAATCGGGGAGGCGAGTCTTCATCATTGAGTACAGCAGCGATTGACGAGCCAGACAGTTGGTGAGGCGAGCGTCTTGCGAGCCTTGTGGCCTCCGGAGCAATATCGTTACGTTGGCGCAATCGGTCACCGAGCAAAAAGGGGTGGAGCTGCTCATTAGTCGTCCGGTCGAGTTCGCGAGTGCTTCCATCGAAATTGCCATGGCTTAAATCACTAGGCTCAACTGGATTGGGTCTGTTTATGAAATCCAGCGATCCAGGTTGAGGGAGACGGGTAGAAATGCTTCTTTGGAAGAATGGTTCGGAAGACATGGCTGCTAGTACAACATCATACGTGATTCTGGTAGCTTTTTACGGCACTCAGTCGATAGCTCTGCAGGGCCGCTGCAATCCTTGTGGAGGCAGTCACAAATTTCGCAAACTTGGTGCAACCCACATGGAAAGAAAGGTCGTCGTTGCGACGACTGACCAGCCAAGACACATGCCGCGTTAGCGCTTTGCATGTGGCTGCTCGGGTAACCCTGTACTCAATATCTCTTGCCGACAGCAGCTTGTGTTATGTCATTTTGAGATCGATCCAAGTCTCTGGAGGGACTTTCGAGGCGCCCGATTCGATGCGATGTCCTGACGGGGGTTTGTTCAAGGATCGTGTTGCCAATATTACTTCGATTCGGTGCATGTTCACAGAATCTGCCACGCACCAACTCTTACCCATTCGTTCGGCTTGACTATATGACATCGATCTTATCGGAGTAGCGTTTGGTTGTGATTTACTTATGGTTTACTGGCGGCATCCGGATACAGACAGTTCTATTATATACATATTTACCATTGGCCTGACTGGCGGACCCTGCGGGCTGCGCGCGATGAGGGTTTCTTTACAACCATCCAGAGCATGACAGATGTCGCAGCAGCTAACGAGTACCTGTTCCCGATGTTAGACGATGGCGAGCTTTGAGAGAGACGACGGGGCAACTAACCATGTGAAGATGTACTGGGTGTGGTTGTTTCGAAGATTTACTTCAGCCGGCCTTCCGATAGGAATACCCTTTGCTTCTCGATCATAAGACTCGACGAGGTCGGCCTTCATAGTCTCCTCGACCCAAACAGGCTGACTCCCCGAGAATTCGGCCATTTGGTAGACATCGGGGAAGTAGAAAGCACCCTGTTCGGGCTTGTTCTCGGGCGTGAACATGTTCTTCTTCCACGGCTCCCTCAATAGTCCCTGAACAGTGACTTCACCTTGTGGCAGACCTTCAGGCCTAGAGCGCTGTTTCGCCTTGTCCTTGGGGATCCAGCCCCGACACACGAGAATCTTGGTGTTGCCAGGATAGTCATCGAACTCGCGCTCAAGAGGAGTGACGACCATGTACCCATCGTTGCCATCAAGGATTCTGGGACCGATGAGCATCTCCTGATCATGGCGGTATTTACCGGTGGCGTAGACTCTTCTGTAGTCAAAGTCCTTGATGGCAGCAGGGTCGATGCTGGGCGGGAGAGGTAGAGGATCGCGCACGAGGCGGTCCTCGAAGCGAGCGATGAGTTCAGTCTTCCAGCCCAAACGCGCCACCTGCCATGAACCGAGGGCGAAAGCAGTGATAGGGATGATGGCCAAGACTAGAAGGCCCCAGCCATGCTTTCTACCGCCCACACGTACAAGCTGAGGTTGGACATCGACAATCGAGGTGAAGGAAGGGTCATCGGCGGGCTGGTTGGCATAGGATCTTCGTTGTAGAACAGGACGAGTTTGTTGGCACTGGCGACAGACCCAGGGCCTTGTTTGAGATTGTATACGAGGGCGGGAGGCCAGTGAGGCCAATTGGCGCAAGATGGGCGACGGTCGAGGCGGCATTTTTGGACACTGACACAGCTCGACCACGCCGCTGCCTCTTTCGTCGACTATCCAAAGCTCTACGCTAGTGACACGCGCCAAGGCGACTGCTTGCTCGTGTTTGGTCTTTGCTTGCGACCGCCATCAAGTTTCAACATTGTCACTTCCTGATTTGTGCTGCTCGTTCCATCTGCCCTCTTCCGGACAAGTGAAGATAGACAAAGTCTCGCATAATACCTTGGAGCCCTCACAAATAACACCAGGAGTGTGACTCCGGCTCCGACAAGAAACACGACATCGCGGGTAACGCGTTAAGCACCCCGTCGCAACTTCGACTTCCACTTCGCCGCCGCCAAACATCCACACCACCGACATCTACCATCGCCGCCGCCCATCCTCGCAACCCACTCGTACCTTCGCCAACTCAGCCTTCCTGCCGTGACTGTGCGCTGCGAAAATGGCCGACGAGGTGACGATCGACAAGGCCACCTTCCACAACCGTCTCTCGGCCTTCATCTCGCAATGGAAGCAGGACAAGCGCAATGGCGACCCTCTGTTCGCCGGCGCCTCATCTATTGCCATCGTCATGGGCAAGTCGGATGAGTCTCAGGGCTTCACAAAGACCAGCGCAATGCAATTCTGGCTGCTGGGTTACGAGTTCCCCTCGACCGTCTTTGTCATCACTCAGGAATCCATGCACATCGTCACTACAAAGAAGAAGGGTATCTATGTCTGCCATACACATTCCTGCCATTTTGTCTGACAATCATCTTCGCAGCCGCCTACCTCGAGCCCCTCAAGGACGGCAAGACGCCTGTCGAGATCCTCGTTAGAGGCAAGGATGCTGCTGAGAACACAAAGCAGTTCGAACGCTGCCTTGAAGTCATCAAGAACGCCGGCGTACGTCCTCTCAAGAGTATTTTGGACAAATCCCACTGACCAGCCCAACAGAAGAAAGTCGGTGTGATTACAAAGGACCCCTCGAATGGCCCCTTCATGAAGGAATGGAAGGATCAATTCGAGACCATTTCCAAGGACCTGGAGGAAGTCGACATTACAGCTGCCATCTCGGCCGCCCTCAGCATCAAGGACGAGAAGGAGCTGCGCGCAATCCGTGACGCCTCGCGCGCGTCCAGCGGAATCATGGCCAACTATTTCGTCGATCAAATGTCGGGCATTCTGGACGAGGAGAAGAAGATGAGCCACAAGGCTCTGTCGCAAAAAGTCGCAGACAAGATTGAAGACGACAAGTTCTTCCAAAAGCTCAAGGTGTCGAGCGGTTTCGATCCCGCCCAACTCGATTGGTCTATCTCGCCCGTCGTACAGAGCGGCGGCAAGTATGATCTGAAGCTTTCAGCCGAGGCCGATGATAGCAACTTGCATGCTGGCGTCATTTTGTCCACCCTTGGTCTGCGCTACCTCAGCTACTGTTCCATCATCTCCAGAACCTACTTGGTCGACCCCAACAAATCTCAGGAGAGTGCATACAAGCTACTGCTCGCAGTTCACGACAGCATCCTCAAGAACATGAAGGACGGTATGATCGCAAAGGATGTCTACGCCAAGGCAGTTGGCCTCATCAAATTGAAGAAGCCTGAGCTCGAGAAGAACTTCGTCAAGTCGATTGGCTATGGCATTGGTATCGAGACTCGCGATAGCGCTTTCCCCATGAACGGAAAGAACGTCCAGACTCTGCGCGACGGAATGACCTTTAGCATTACTACTGGTTTCCACGACATCGAGAACCCCAACCCTCAGGACAACAAGAGCAAGACATACTCGCTGCTGCTTACCGACACCGTACGAGTCGGCAGCACTGAGGGCTTGGTATTCACCAAGGATGCTCCTTCTGACCTCGAATCGACCTCTTTCTTCTTCAAGGACGACGAGGACGAGCCGGAGAAAGCAAAGCCGAAGCCAAAGAAGGACTCTCGAGTTGGCGCTGTTGCAAAGGGCAACATCACAAGCACCAGACTACGCAGTGAGCGCAGCACACAACCTAACGAGGAAAAAGAGGCCCAACGTAGGGGACATCAGAGAGAGCTCCACTCGAAAAAGCAGCAACAAGGCTTGGAAAAGTACAGCGAAGGCACTGGTAACTTGAACGGCACAGAGGTGAAGAAGTTCAAGCGTTTCGAGTCTTACAAGAGAGACAACCAGTTCCCCTCAAGGGTCAAGGATCTGATTGTCTTGGTTGATGTCAAGAATGCTAGCATCATCCTGCCAATTATGGGGCGCGCTGTTCCCTTCCACATCAACACCATCAAGAACGTCAGTCAGACGGAGGAGAACGCATTCTCCTTCTTGCGAATTAACTTCCTCTCTCCTGGTCAGGGTGTCGGAAGAAAAGACGACCAACCTTTCGAGGACCCTCTTGCTCACTTCCTCCGAAGCTTGACGTTCCGTTCCAAGGATACTGACAGAATGAACACCATTGTCGCGCAGATCACCGATATGAAGAAGGACTCCGTACGCAAGGAGCAAGAGAAGAAGGATCTTGAGGATGTTGTCGAACAAGACAAGCTCGTCGAGATAAGAAATCGCCGACCTCAACGTCTTGACAACATCTTTATGCGTCCTTCTTTGGAATCCAAGCGTATTGGCGGCTCGGTTGAGATCCACCAAAATGGTCTGCGTTACGCCCATATGGGTGGTGTCAAGGTCGATGTGCTCTTCAGCAACATCAAGCACCTCTTCTTCCAACCTTCTCAGCACGAACTCATTGTCATCATTCACTGCCACCTGCACAATCCTATCATGATTGGCAAGAGGAAGACGAAAGACATTCAGTTCTACCGCGAAGCCACAGAGATGCAGTTCGACGAGACGGGTAATCGTAAGCGCAAGCATCGCTATGGTGACGAGGAGGAGTTCGAGGCAGAGCAGGAAGAGCGCAGACGTCGCGTCCAGCTCGACAAGGAGTTCAGATCCTTCGCCGAGAAGATCGCAGACGCTGGCAAGACCGACAATCTGCAAGTCGACATGCCTTACCGTGACCTCGGTTTCAACGGTGTCCCTGCTCGCTCCAGCGTCTACATTCAGCCTACCACCGAGTGTCTGATTCAGATTACCGAGCCACCTTTCACCGTCATCACACTTAACGACATTGAGATTGTTCATCTAGAGCGTGTCCAATTCGGCCTGAAGAACTTTGATATGGTCATTGTCTTCCAGGACTTCCAGCGCCCTCCTGTACACATCAACACCATCCCCGTCGAATCTCTTGACAGTGTCAAGGATTGGCTGGATTCAATCGACACACCCTACTCAGAGGGTCCCCTCAATTTGAACTGGGGTACCATCATGAAGACGGTCACTGCCGATCCTCACGAGTTCTTTGCTGGCGGTGGTTGGTCCTTCCTCGCCGCTGAGTCTGACGACGAGGAGCAGAGCGAGGAAGAGGAGAGCGCATTCGAAGTCAGCGAGGAAGATCTCGCTAGTGACGAGAGCAGTGAAGACGAGTCAGACTTCGACGACGACGCCAGTGCCGACGCCAGTGAGGAAGAGATGAGCGAGGACGAGAGCGGCGAGGACTGGGACGAGATGGAGGAAAAGGCAAAGAAGCGTGATCGCGAGAGCGGCCTTGACGAGGAGGAGAGACGCCCTGCTCCCAAGGCTGGCAAGTCTAAGAAGCGATAGATGCACAGGCAACGCTGATGCTTGAGAGCCTTTAACGTGGCTTCCTCTTTTTTTTTTTTTAAAAGATAGGAGGTATACAGTATCTTTTGCTTCCAAGGAGTTTCGGGCGTGCAAAGGGAAGAAGGAGGGGAGGAAAATTAACGATTGACACCGACACACAACCCTTTTTGGGACTAAACATATTCAGTCAGTGGAAAAGAAGAAAAACCCCCGTTTATTTCATAATTACATGTCATGAATACTCTTCTGTGATGTGTAACGTTTGTATTTCGTGAGAAAATGTAGTAGTAGAAGAAGTAAAAGTCCGAAACCTCCACAGGGTATATATCATCCATTTCCAAAAAAGCGCAACCCCCCAAAAACACCTCGTGCAATCATGATATACCATGATGCTTACCTCTGTATATATAAGAAAGATGCCTCCCTAAAGTCGTAAACACATGTATCAAAAAAAGTCCATCTCCTCAAAAGGTAGTCGATCGATTTTCTCAAAACTTCTCCATCAAGTTCTTTCTCACCGTCCACATACGAGCACGCTTGCCGTAGATATACATGGGAATCGTAAAGAGCAGACAGCCCAATTGAATGCCGCCGAGAGCCAAAAAAACCGGTTTCGCACCATCGGCTTCGAGCCAGTGGTTGAAGAAGAGGGAAAAGACTAGGCCGTGGAAGATGTCTGTTTTTGATGCGAATTAGTATCACACTCGTGAGGACAGTAATGGGAGGGGGAAGGACAAAACTTACTCTTAGAAAAGTTGAGCGTCACCAGTGCTTCTCCGGCATATTGGCGATAACTGTCGACGGCAAAAGTGATTGCTGTTGTACTTCCTACACAACAGCCGAAACTGATGATGCCGAAGAACACTGTTGGCACAATCCAAGCGTCTCGTTCGGAAACGCTCCATCCGTAGCCCATGAGTCCGATGACCGTGCTCAGAGTGACTGGGATCGCCATGACGAGACGGAACTCAGGTTCATAGATACCATCGTTTTTTCTGCTCATGTAGCGGACAATGACGTCGGAGAATCTACCCGCAACGGCCGTTCCTAGGATACCGCCGACGAAAGGAGAGATGTAGACAAGACCGACTTGAAGGGAGGTGAAGTGATATGTCTCGCGGTTCTCGTAGATGACAGAGACGGATTCAGAGAGGACGATCAGCCAGCCTACAGATAATGCGTACACAAGCGAGGACCAAAGAATGGCGGGATACGCGAACAAAATGAATGGGCGAAGAGCGACTTTGCCCCAATGGTCCTGAGACAAGCGACCGGCATATGGCTTCAAGGTCTCGACGAAGGACTTTGGGGGTGCGGCGCGGTAGAAGGACGTATATACTGATCCAGGGTTATTTGCATCCACAGACTGACCGCGGGATGGTATACTGTCAAATTGCGCACTGTTTGATCGCATGTGAGTGGACTCGGATCTATATGATACAAATGGATCATCTCCTGGCGACAAGAAGTGTGATCCAGGAGACAGGTGCTGGGATCCTGGCGATAGCGCACTTGCCTGTGGCGAGAGTTGTGATATAGGCGAGATAGGCTGCGGTCCTGGGGAGGGAAGTTGCAACGAAGCGACTGTCTGGTGATTTGATGGTGTCTGGGGCGCGGGAGGAGTTTCTGGAGGCTCGGGAGATGTACGCTTCAAGGCAGGCACATCTGGCTTCGCACTTTCTTCGGGTGCAAGTTCGTCATCGTCGGGTTCGCTGAAGTGAGCGTGCTTTGACACACGCTTCTCTCCTTTGGCCTTGGTCGGACTCTCATCTTGAGGCAAGCTGAACTTTTCTCCCTTTTCGAGCTCGGGAGCAGCCTCGTGTGCATGGGTATCGGCGTGACCTCGATGGAAGATGGAAGCAATTGAGATGTTGCTCATCAATCTGGGCCTGTGGTGCTTATGTGAGTGCCTGGAGGGCCTTGGAGTGCGGTCCCAGAAGGTCTCGGGGACGAATAAGAACAGTAAGGCCGCACCGAATGCGACCACCATAGACACGATCCAGAAGACCCATCTCCAGCCATAGGCCTGTATAATTGCGGCACTCACCAACGGGATAAGATTCTTACCACCGAGAAGGAGAAGAGTGTATATACCTAGGCGGTAAGCACGCTCGTGCAAAAAGAAGATTTCGGCAATGGTCGCAGATGGAAGACATTCGACAGGGCTGACTGCGATACCCATGATGATGCGAGCAATTACCAAGGAGGCGTAGTTGGGCGATAAAGCGCACCAGACAGCAGACAGCACAAATATGACCGAGGCGACTAGATACACAGGTCTCTTGCCGTACAGAATAGCAGTGGGAGAAGCAATGACGCTGCCGAGACCAAGCCCGAGCATGTAGAGACCAGTTGTGAGGGCGGTCCGGGCGACTGATATGTTGAAAGATTCCGAGACATTGACAAAACCTGCAGCGAGAACGGGCGTCATACCTCCACCAAGCATGCAGAAGAAGCCCAGTGAGAGCAAAGCACAATCTCGCCGCCACTTTGGCCAGTTCAGCGGATCGTTCAAGGATTCATCGGGTTGTGGTTCAAGGACAATGCCGTCTCCGGTCTGTTTCTTGTCCGGAGTCGGTGGTATAATAGAGCCCGCACGAGAGCGCGGAGCGATGGAGCCGTTGTGCGAGTGGGTTGTGTAAGGAAAGGGAGAGGGGAGAGACGAGGTCGATGTTCTGGCAGGCGTGTTGCGAAGACCGAGCGGTTCGTTACGATTCGAAACATTGGAGAGTAGTAGCACAGAGCCTGGAGCTGTGTTAGCAGAGACATGGCTATAGTGGACGCTGCCTCATCAACTCACCAGGTACTTCATCCGTCTCTCTGTCGTTCAAGATGCCTAAACTCCATTTGACGGGCCGTTTGAGGGACTCTTCTGACTCAGTCCGTGAGTCGCTGGCCTGCTTTTTCCATGGCCAGGTGCGGCCTTCCTGGCCGTCGTCCTTCTTCTCTGCGACCATAGCAGAAGGGGGGCCAAGTCGTACGGATGCGAAGAGGGTATGACGAGCGGCAGGGTAGTACAAGACGGAGATATATACGGCACTCGAGGCGGTGTAGCGTGTCGCCCCGTGGAGGATGATCAGGAGGTGGTCAGATAGCAGGTACGATGGGTACGCTTAGACTATGGCGCGGCGGTCTGTCTCGAGACTCGTTGTTATCACACTAGGCCCTGTCAGGTGGACGCTTCTGACACCCTGATAACAAGGCGAGCCATAGAGCGTGCCTCTTCTGCAGGAGTCGGAAACGTTTACGGCGTCGGCGGCCATGGATGCTCTTTTGAAACGCCTACTTGAGCAACGCAGAGGTGAGGGCTCGACTCGCCCAGACTTTGGCTCGTCATGCTCTTCTATGCTTCCTTCTAGCGCTGCTTGGCTGACTTGTCCATCCCACGGGTCCGCCAATCATTGCCCACATCCGGCCAGACCTCCAACTCTAAACGCTCAGATCATGCTCGCTGCCCTTCTCCGCAATTAGACCAAGATGAGAGATACATTCACGCAAACGTCTTCCCCTGTGCCCTCAACTACAGCCATTGTCCCTGTACATCTGGAGAGTCATGTATACTGACTGTAATGCAGGATTGTCTGATAAGAAGTGCTTGCCGGGTGTAACCTGCGTTGGATGACCCCTGACATGCTTTGTTCCAAGACTTGGTATTGAAAGTAAAATCTGCAGTCCTTCAATAGGTACTAATTTTCACCCGCCTTCTCAGCCGCTCAGCGTCCGAGTAACAATTAATTTCACATGCTATCCCCGGAAACTTGTAATTGAGCTCAGTAAGCCATGTGAAGAAGCGGTTTGGACAGGGAACGCTGCATTGGAACCCTTTTGACATGTAACCCTGCATATCCCTCTTTGAGCCCCTGAAGTCGCTTTTCCCATGATCACAACACTAAAGCCCCTCCAGATATAAGGTCCGTCATGCCAAGAGTCGTAAAGAATGTCCAGTGCCTCAGAGAGGCAGAGCAGCGCCAGCCGAAGACAGGTGTCCGACGAACTCTCTCAGCGAACACAGCTTCCAAGCAGATAGAGCTGTGCACCCATCGCTCCGCCCGGGCGGGAGAGACAAGCCCGGCGGAAAAGACAAGCCCTTGGCGTGCATTGAAAGATGAAAGTTGCATACGCTTGGTATGCCATCATCGGTTGAATCACTTAATTGTCCTTGGTGTCCTGACCATCCTTCTTCTTGCGAGGCTCAAAGTTCAGCTGCCTCCTGTTAGTGACCGCTATCTCCACGCTTGGCTGCTCAAATGTACTTACCTGGTTGCCGTTGTACAATTCCGTGTTCTGTTCTGTATCCCGTCTCTGGTCACCAAGTGTGCGAATGTTGATGCTTGCTGATCTGTTGGCCGTTCGATCCGCGTCTACATTAGTACGAGGCTCGCTCTCATCTCCCGTACCGGCCACGTAGGGCCCTGGTCGGTCGTTCGTTCCTGATGCGTAGCCCATAACACCACCCACGGCGCTTCCGAGCATGTTTGCCGCACCGGACAAAAGACCGAATCCGGCATTGAACCCCTTGGAGACCAGGCCACTACCAGTGCCGGCGTAAGCGTCTGTATAGCCTTTGACTGGTACCAAGACTAGAGTTGCGCTTGGGGTCAGTCCTAGCGACCTGAGCGACTCACCCTCCTCGCCGACTGAGATGTTACGGCTGGGATTGGGAAGCAATATCTGACGGAACTCGTATGGAATGTCCGTCTGTGAGTTCTGAGAGATGTATGTCCTGACCGAAGTCGCCAGGGTTGCCGAGGGGTCGAACTTTGTCCGTAGCGAACTGCCGTCGAACAGTCTGATCTGGAGATTGCAAACACTGGAGTTTCGTCCAGAAGCCGCCGTAGCCGTAGCCGGAGCCGGTTGCTGCGTGGCTGCTGTGGATGGTTCGCCCTGAGCTGCAAGTCGTCTTTGTCGTTCCTTCTCTTTCCTTGCAGCCTTGTCAGACTCTATTGACTTGAGTATTCTCTCCCTCTCCACTCGAGCCTCTTTGTTACGATTCCGCTGCTGGTCAGCCCAGTCTTGCTTGTTCTGAGGCAGTGACGATGATTCTGCAGCTTGTTTCTCAGCAGCCTCTTTCCGGGCCTTTGCTGTAGCCTTACGAGTTTCCTTTTCCGCCTCCTCTTGCTTCTTGCGTTCGGCTTCCAAACGTGTGCCGCGTTCGGTCAAGAATTGTTGCATGGTTTGATTGTTGCCTTGAGCGGTGGGCGCTGGTATGGGCACATTCGTTTCCGCAGTCCCTCGGGGCGCTGTATCTGATTCTCGTAGCGTTGTTCCTCGTTCGCCGATGAGAGGAACATTTGCCAGGACTTGGCTGATGTCCGCAGTGGCCGAGTCTGCATTTTGAGGGATCGGGTTTGATGTTTGCGGCAGCTGTTGTTGTGTTGAAGGCTGTGACAGAGCATTGATACGCTTGCGGAATTCTTCTTCATTGACATCGGCATCAATGTTCTCAACAACAGAACCTGCTTTAATGACCAACAGCTTCGGGATAGACTCGATAGTACAGAAGGCGCCCAAGAATCCGGCTTCCACAGAACCAGCATTGATACGAAGTAGGACTGCAATCTCGCCTAGCTGCTCTCCCAACGTCGGTTGTTCACCTGAGCTCGAAGAAGGATCAACGGGGGCGGTCAGCCATTCGTGTTCCCACTTCTGGCTTGTTTCGTTGTCATCTGACAACTTGTTAGGATCCATGTGGTGACCCGATCGTGTCATCTGGCACATACCTTGTCTGACGAGGCAGGCGACCAGCTTGTGCTGTTGAATCGCCTGAGATATTCCGCTTTGTAGATCGCCTTCGAAAAACATTGCGAGGAGGGTTGTTGTCGAAGATGACAAGGAAGCGAGCTCTGGTACAACTGTCTCTCTACCCCGGCCGAATCACATGCAATAGCGTCACAGGCCCGGATGGCCCTTGCACTCCGGCTAAAGTATGTCACGCCTGTAGCTGTGGCAAGGCACAATAACTAGTTTCAAGAAACTGCCGCACATCTACGGGGGCATATGATTTGATTGACACTCCGGACGAGTCTTCTTCACTAAGAGATGACTCTGCTTTCTTACAGCTTGTTGTCGCCCTGCATCGTTGTGGGAGAGCACAGGAGTGACAGAATTAGCGCACGGGAAGGCCGCACAGCCACGCCAAGCGTCTATAAGAATATCAAGATTAAACTCCGGTATCAACTTCGAACTTCACCTTTGTCGTCGAGGGCAGAGCAATGTCTTATCGTGTTATCCATCTCTATCTCTGGCGATGAGCACAGTACCATTTGGGTACAAGCCGTCCCCCAAGGCTTTGGGACGGTCTGACAAAAAGGACAGTTTAGAGGACAAGGACAAACGCCAGAACAATGCAACAACAGGTAAACACTTAGAACCTGGAATTCTGTAATTATTGTCTAGAGGCTTAGTATCAATAGGAGCATCGGCTGCTAGTATGCGGGCGCTTACTGCCCGTATGTTCGCCTTCTACTTCCGAGTACCTGTAAAAGCATTCTTCCGAACGCGAATCGAGTAAGCGTGAAGTTCTGTCAAAACGAGTGATATAAGCTGATTGATGAACAGCTACCTTGTATGCACAATCTGAGGAAGCCAACGATATATGTTATAAGACTGACTTCTTCAAGGCATTCCCAAGGGCTATCAACCCGTTGCTACAAACTACTGGAAAATGGTCTTGGAAAATGACCACTCCTGGCATCTTGGCTTATGCTGTTCAGAAACACGGATGGTCGTTTATTCCTAATCAAGTGCTACCTCCATTGCTAGCAAATGTCACCGTCGGGGCAGTCTTGTACACTTCCTATCTCGGAGCGCTCGGCCTCTACTACGAACCAGCTTCGCATTCCTCTAAGAGGATATACCCGCCGGCACCCTTCTCAGCAACATTTGCCGCTGGATTCTCAGCAGGCGCTTTTCAGAGCGTTGTCGCCGCGCCTCTAGATGCTCTTACCATTCGTTTTAAGACGACTGACCTCACTCAAGGTACCTACAAGCACATGTGGGATTATGCTTCAAAGAAGCTTCGGGCTATTGGTGCGCGTGGTGCCTTTGCAGGGTGGGGTCTATCGTTCTGCAAAGATGCCTTTGGATATGGCCTGTTCTTCGGGGCCTTCGAGTTCATCAAGTCTCAATGCTTTTACGAATACGTGAGCCATTGGTACTCGCGATATGGTCTTTTGTCCATGTTTCATAAAAACCAGATTGAGTTGCAAAGAGTTAGCGATCAAGAAGAGCGGCCTGTGATCAAGCCGCATTATCTGATGGAACCTTCATTCATACTCCTTGCCGGTGTTACAGCAAGTGTATTGCAACAGGGCGTTGCTCACCCTCTCACGCGGATACAGGAGCTTCATTTCCAGCGATTAGCAACATTGGATGAATTGCTACAAGCTAGACCAGGAAGGCTCGACACAATGCAGCTGTATACGAGAGCGTATCAGAAAACATGGATACAGGCTGGCAAACGTGCGATTAAGTCTGGAGGCTGGCTGAGGTGGTTGTACCAGGGCTTTTGGGCGACAACATTGCGTCAGGTACCATCAACCAGCGCCGGCTTGATCGTGTTCGAGGTGTTCCGAAGAAAATACGGAATCGGCGAGGATGCCGTTAAGATTCCAAAGGATGAATACGACATTCTGTTGCCTTAATCCCAGACTTACTTCCGATGTGCGGGATACCCACACACCTGTCGCTATCCCAAGGCACCAAACTCTCCAGGCTTCCAGCGATGTTACCGAGAAACGTGTTTTGAACGGCTCTCTGCACCATTCGTCGGTATGAAATATGACTGTGTCTTACCACAGTCCGCCGGTGCTCCTTTTCTGCATTGAAAGGGGGCGAGAGCGACCAACTTTAGCACCCAGGGAGGCCCTGACTTGTTGCTAGCTTGAGACGCGTCATTCCAGGAAACTCTCAAGGGCCGCTTCAATTTGCTCCCACCTGGCTTGTAAGAGCTTGAGCTTGTTTGCCAGATCACCAGTCTTCTCTTCTGATTGCACTTCCAGAGCAGCGACAGCAGCTTTTGCTTCTTCGACATACAATTCAAGTGCAGGTTTTAGCCAATCGAGTACCTCCTCGTCTTTGTCATCTGCGAGATCCTCTCCGGATCCCATATAGTGCTCCCACTCGTTGGCTGTCAGGAGCACAGAGCGCACGGCAACCTGCGTTTTGAAGCACAGTCCGCCAGAGCTCGGTAGAAGTGCATAGCCACCGAGGAAGCCGACATCTTGCAGAGCACTTTGCTGGGTGTTGGTCAAGCGGGGTAGTATTACGTGGTCCAGACGGATCTCATCGTCATCAAGACTGCTTTGGGGGAGGATAAAGCCATCTAGAGCGCGTGTCAGTTGGATGCACGCACGCACAGGATACAGTGTCCAATTTACAGTGTACTAGGAGCTTATCGTTCGAATGAGCGCCGTAAGTAGCCAATATTTCTTCTCCAGGCTCTGTTCAAGGTCGTACTATTAGCGAGGTGTGATCACAAACCACACAGATCACGTACCATAGTTGCGGTTCGCTCTCAATTCATAGCCTTTTGTTGACATAGTCACTTCGCACTGCTCTTCTTAGTAAGGAGTCACAATCGACGACGCTCATAAACTCACTCCCTGGCCGTTCGGACAGTGATTCATATAGTCCAGTGCTGGGTTCATGATCATTGCACCCTGGCTAACACCCTGAGGTTTCCAATGAAAGCTGCGTGTGTTGACGAGCATCCAGTGATATAGAAACGCTTGTTTGAATGCCTCATCGTCGGGAGCGTGCATGTGTCTTACAGAGTCGACATCTTGTTTCAGATCCGATAGCATGCGTTCCAGTGGTTTCTGTACACTTGGTGGGGCCCATTTACGTAGCACATCTTCTGTTTCGGTCTCGGGAGACCATGCGAGCATGCAAGAAGCAAAGTCTTCTGGAGTTGGCCAAGCAGGTCGGGAAGCAACATAGGTGGAAGACTGGCTCTGCCATTCCAGGGTAAGATACGCGGCTAACTGAGCTTGCGAGGACAACTTGGTCAATCTATGCTGGCGGAGTATCGCAAGTTCGGGCTTAATCATGGCCTTTTCGGGGACGAAGAAAAGTAAAGAATCCTTGGTTATACTCTTCTTAGCCAGCAAACCAACGCCTCGACCAGGAAGCACTGCAGGCGTGACTCCATGTATCTTGATACCACGGGTGAGCGCCCACTCGACGTATTCGGCATGCACTTTTGGGACGTCAAAAGCGTCGTCGGCCGTCTTCAGTTTCTTTGCCGGAGGATCTGAAAGCATGATGGCGCGTATGCGTGTAGTGAGGGATTATTGTGTCGAGAATCTCCGCACTCAAATTGCGTTTCACGGGCGTCATGCCAACGGCTATCACATTACACGACATGTGAAGCATGAAAAGCCGCACAGAAGACGATGGGTTCTTGGAGCCATGGCTGAGACATTATCTTCAAGAGCTTGTTCGTCCAATCACGTATGGTATGGTCGCTGAAAACACGAAGCCTCTGAATAATACATGGGCAAGAATAAGTTTAGTCTATGAAATTGTGGCCGACCAAGCATATTGAACCGAATGGCTATAACCATGGATCTCGACCGGCGGAGTTGAATGTTTTGATGAGACGATTGATTCCCAAGCAAGGGATGCCTTTTCGGACCGCCTCTCTCGTTGCCTCAGAGCGGCGCAAATGGAGAGATAGTGCATCAGTACAAGACCGGGTAAACATGTACAAGGGCTGGCTGGAAGAATGAGAACTGAAATATTTGAGCAGTCTAGCCTACAACCTATAGGCTGACTCGAGACGATAGACCAAGGCGTGATTTGCGAAAAAGACACAGTGTTGCAGCAAAAGGGCTGGCCAGACCTTGAAGATCAGTCGCGTTTGAGCACGGAAACAGCCGAGAGGTGCTGGGCGTCCCGGGCTTCGTGGTTGGGCATTAGGTTGGCCTTGAAGAGTTCGCTCTCACACCTCCTTCCCCAGCAACTTGTCTCTCTCCAGGGCTATCTAGGTCGACCGCCAACTTCTTCTTGGCCCGTCGTCACCCTGCCGCGCCCTGTCGTCGACATTTGTCGATTCTTCCATTGCCCGCAAAGCCCAGGTGCGTGACCAACCCCCGTCCAGTCAGCTGCGTGCCACGCATATCACAACCCGCTGCTCGACACCGATACGCGGCTTCTTTCATCTCCCAGTCGGACGCCGCGTCTGCCTCTTGTTCTTCACCTCGTTTGATCGTTTGCTCTCATCGACCACTCTGTTCGCTCCTCACTGTTCCCCTCGATCATCGATCACTCTGATTCGCTGGCGTGGGCCCGTCTCCGCTCATCCCCTTTGCCTTGCTGACGTCGCCATTGTCTCTACAGCTTCTCCGTCCTCAATCACAACCCACTCTTCCGCCTCAGCGACGGCTCACCCTCACAACAACTAAAGCATGACGACAATGGTACGACTTGGTTCTCCTCGCTCTTTCCTCGCTTGATCGCTAATCCGTAGCAGGACCTCCGCGTCGGTAACAAGTACCGTATCGGTCGTAAGATTGGTAGCGGCAGTTTCGGTGACATCTACCTTGGTATGCAAGCTTGCAGCTCCGTCTTTTTCAAAACCTTCTAACCCCTTTCGACAGGCACTAACATCATCTCTGGCGAGGAGATTGCCATCAAGCTTGAAAGCGTCAAGGCCAAGCACCCTCAGCTCGAATATGAGGCTCGCGTCTACAAGTCCCTGGCCGGTGGTGTCGGTATTCCCTTCGTCCGCTGGTTCGGCACCGAGTGTGACTACAACGCCATGGTCCTCGATCTCCTTGGTCCCTCGCTCGAGGACCTTTTCAACTTCTGCAACCGCAAGTTCTCCTTGAAGACTGTCCTCCTCCTAGCCGACCAGCTCATCTCCCGTATCGAGTACATCCACGCAAAGTCCTTCATCCACCGCGACATCAAGCCCGACAACTTCCTCATGGGTATCGGCAAGCGTGGAAATCAGGTCAACGTTATCGACTTTGGTCTGGCCAAGAAATACCGTGACCCCAAGACCCACTTCCACATCCCCTACCGTGAGAACAAGAACTTGACCGGTACCGCTCGTTACGCCAGTATCAACACCCACTTGGGTGTCGAGCAATCCCGTCGTGACGACATGGAGTCTTTGGGTTACGTGATGCTCTACTTCTGCCGTGGCTCTCTGCCATGGCAGGGCCTGAAGGCTGCCACCAAGAAGCAGAAGTACGACCGTATCATGGAGAAGAAGATGACCACTCCCACCGAGGTGCTCTGCCGCGGCTTCCCCAACGAGTTCGCCATCTACCTCAACTACACTCGCTCTCTTCGCTTCGACGACAAGCCTGACTATTCGTACCTTCGCAAGATTTTCCGCGATCTGTTCGTCCGCGAGGGCTTCCAGTACGACTACGTTTTCGACTGGACCGTCTACAAGTACCAGAAGAACGCTCAGGCTGTTGCCCAAGCCGCTGCCAACCAGCCCCAGGCTGAGGAGGCCGAGGAGAAGGCCGGCCGCACCCGCACTGCTGCTGCCACCGCCGGCCAGACCGCCGGAGCCGTCACCGATAAGCGCCGTGGCCCCGTGGCACCCCGTGCAGAGGGATCGGGAATGTGAGTTCAATCTCGTCATCCTGTAAGACTCCCCTGCGTTTGAGTGCTCTTGCGTGAGGCTTGCCGCGGGGGATATATGGTACGCGTGCTGACGTGCTGGCTCTCCTCAGGCAACTCCGCTCCTCAAAGCGTGGCGTCGAACAGCAAGGATACAACAACTACTGATCGCTTGTCTTTTGTTGCGGATCTGGGTCTATATTGTTCTTCTGGACAAGCCGACTTTGATCAGCGACATTGTTTCTTAACTCACCTCATGTGGAGCAATGCAGTTTTGCCGTCCTGAACGTCTTATGGACGGCGAAAGAAGCATCCACAAATTCTTATGTTGTCTGCAATTTCCGCTATTGGGGTTCATGCCGACTGGGTTTCAGCGGCATCATCTCACCCAGACAAATATGCTCGACTCGAAGTGGCTACAAGCAAACAACCCTCGTCTTGGGTTGCACATGCTTCGGACAGAGCATAGCGGATTCGGATTTCATACCTGGCAGTGTCACTCGGCAGGCTTTTGGCTTCATCGCCGGTCGACCTGCAGTTCCAACTGGCCACTCTCGGTACATCAGATTGCACCTATCCTTTGGCGCCCCCTAATCATCCACCATCCTTTTTCCCATCGTCTTGTTTTTCCGCTTTGATTTTGTTGCTCGGGATTTTGGGGGCGGCTTGTGTGGAGGTTCAAGCATTAGGGGACGGACTATAGGAGGGAACGGCCCCCGAACGATTCAGACTGAAAACACGGCCGGCACAATCGATGAGGATCCAAGCTAGAGACACGGTATAGACCTCGTGCTTGTCAAGAAATTGCGTCTCTGCGGAAGATGGCCCAAACGTCGGTTGTCGTCTGTTCGAGGGAAAGGAAATGGATGCTTCTGGGGAAGTTTTTTATTCTAGCTTAGTATGTATTCGGTCTTTTGCTCTTTCCCGCAACTCCTGCTCTCCTCGGATAAAGGACTTTTCTTGAATGCGTGATTCGTGTACTGGCTAGGTACTTGAGGTTGCTTGGTGAGCTGCGCCGAGAAGCTGGAGTGGTAGCCGCCTGCCTACAAATGGCTGCTTACCGCCCGGCAAATTCACGCTGACCATTAATTGTTTGCCGCCACTGTTTTGCATATTTATTGATTCAGTTCGCCATTCAATTTCGAGAATCCGAGGCACCTTGCTCCCGTACGCAGTTTCATCATCTGCCAGAGATGACACTCGCCCCCATCCATCACTCGATATGTACAACCTGCCGCCTTCGCTCTCTGGTGGCAGCAAAGCAATATGCCAGAGCACGAACACCAACTTCGCGAGACTGGACACGACTGAGGCAACCAGCGTTCGCCCGATACTTGCATATATCTAGGCCCAGCTTCCAACATCGGGACTCCACGAGACAAGGGAAGGAGCATGCACAGACACTAGACAAGAAGCTCCAAGCGGACCAAATAGCACGGCGTGCACATGAAGAGTTCGAGCTGGAGGACATAGAGACATCCGCCGCCGAAGACATAGTGGACACTCAAACAGCAGGAGCTTTGAATGCTTCACCTGAAGATGTCGCACGAGCTGCTCGTCGACGATTTGGAGATGCGCTGCCGGACGGCGTTCTGGATGAGAAGCAGTACACAGCATACGAGCGTTTGTACGGCCCACCAATTGGCAACACTGTAGATGAGATGGTTGACTTTGAGGAAAATGAGCTTGAAGGAGAGTTGGATGAATCAGACAACGTTGGCACTGGTGTTTTGAGGGAAAGCAAAGATGGCGTCCTCGAGGAGGTCGAGTTCATTGAAGAGGAGGAGGAAGACTTCGAAGAAGAGGAAGGACAAGAGCTCGTGGAGGAGGAGAATGCCGAAGCGGAAGTGGAGGCGGGCACTGTCACTGCAGGTCTCGATGCTCAGACTATCAGTCATCTTGCGGCACTACGTTTGACGTCGGAGCAAGAGCAGCTCGAGGATTCCGAAGAGCAGTTCCCTGAACCGTACGACCATACACGAGCGCACCCCTTGACCGTGGCCAACCGGTTTGGCACACCCTCTTCTACCGTGCAACTACCATCGTCCTCATTCGTGGACCCTGTCTCCCGGATCGTAGCAGGCGTTCCAAACAAGCACATTTCCGAAGTCGCCCATCGTATCTTTGGCGGTGTTGGTCTGCCCTACTCGACGTCAACACCGCAGCGTGCGGTGACCATGCCACAAAAACCCATACCTCTGAACCCTGGTCAAGGCAGGATGAGCGACATGGATGCCGACATCTTCATGACTACTCTCATGCCTGGCATCTACGCAAGTGTGTACAGTGTTCTTATCGAAACTCGCAAACGCCTTGGCAGCTCGTGGTTGGAAGGCCTATTGACCAAGGAAGGTGGACCTCGCATCTTGGACGCTGGCGGTGCAGGTGTAGGTGTGATGGCTACAAGAGACGTTCTGCAGGCAGAATGGGAACGCGTGCACGACACAAGCGAAGACGAGGACCCCTTCATGGCCATTGCAGAGGCCGGTGGCAAGACTGGTGGCGAGTCTATCCCTGCACCTGTCGGCAAGGCTACTGTCTTGACCAGTAACGAGGCTTTGCGCTTCCGCTCCAGCAAACTTTTGGAGAACACGACTTTCCTACCTCGTCTTCCTGATTATATGCATGCGACTGACGAGTCTGCTCGTGAGCGTGGCAAGTACGACATCATCATTGCACCTCACACTCTGTGGCCGTTGAAGGAGGACCACATCCGCAAACAATACGTCAAGAACCTGTGGAGTTTGCTCAGCACAGATGGCGGTGTCTTGATCTTGTTGGAGAAGGGTGTACCTCGCGGATTCGAGATGATTGCTGCAGCAAGAGAAATGCTTCTTACCGCTCGCATCTCCTCACCTGGTAACGAAGAGACTGCAGAGGACGTGGAAGAGCCAGGCGAGGGCACGATGTGGGGCAAGCAGCCAAAGGATAAGGGCATGATCATTGCTCCTTGCACCAATCACCTTGGCTGTCCCATGTATGTCAACCGTGGCATCAGCAAAGGTCGCAAGGACTTCTGTCACTTCAAGCAACGCTACATTCGACCTCCATTCTTGCAAAGGATCCTAGGAGCCAAGCACAGAAACCACGAAGACGTCGAGTTCTCGTACATAAGTGTGATGAGGGGCCGTGATCTCCGCGACAGAGACGAGGAAAATATCATCCAAGGAGAAGTCGCGAGAGATCGAGCATTTATCGGTTTCGAGAACCCTCAAGCGATGAACGAGCAAGACGAAGATGAGTTCGACCCTACAGCACCTGCCGTACCGGATGTGGAAGAGATGTCTGTGGAAGAAGAGCCTCACTCGTTGAGCATGCCGCGTGTGGTGCTGCCTCCCCTAAAGCGTCAAGGTCATGTTATCATCGACATGTGCACTCCGGCCGGCACTCTGGAGCGCTGGACGGTACCAAGAAGTTTCTCCAAGCAGGCTTACCGCGATGCACGCAAGAGCTCCTGGGGTGACATCTGGGCTCTGGGAGCCAAAACCAGAACACCTCGAAATGTGCGTGTAGGCAGAGGTAAAGATGAGCTTGGTGGTGTCGAAAAGAAGAAGAAGAATAAGGCGAAGAATACCATTGAGGTGGGGTATGATTCGCAGGGTAACATCAAGGAGGAAGATATCAAGGTCAAGACGGGAGGTCGCATGAGACAAGGCAAGGTCAAGGGCATCAGAGATAAGCGTGACAAGAAGGCCGATGGAAGAGGAAGAAGAAAGAACCTCGACAAGGAGTAATCGGATGGGTGTGTAAGATATGAGTTTGAACATGTCGGCTCTCGTAACGACCAGTAATGACCATCAATTGCAAGCATCAAGACACGAGCATGACACTGGTGATTTTGCACTTTATTGGACCCGAAGAATATGATGTGTATTTTGACAAGGCTTCCTGCGGAGCTATAGAGCCACATTCAACCTCTGCGCTTTCAATGCTTTCCGAAGAGCAGCATATCTAGTGGGTGGGCTTGAGGTTCTTGTTGGGGTTGCGAGGGTCGTTGCGGTACTCGTCGGCTGTGCAGTATATCTCGTCAGCAGGGTGTTCTCTTGCGCATGTGTATTGTATAGCCAGATCGGAGGTGTGGGTAATGGTTTGGAGCAAGATTCGGAATGGGTGAACTGACTGTTGGCGAGAGTAGTGGCGAGCGAGTTGATGCCGTAGAAGATGATGGCGCCTAATGGAGATTGTCAATACCGAGAAGCGATCGTGTGCCATATCGGACTACTGTGGGAACGGACCGGCAATGTAGAAGGGTGCCATGGGGCGGGCTATACCACGAGTTAGCGACCAAGCACAATTCGAGGCTCGGGATGAGCGCAATGGCGCAATGGCGCAAAAGCGTACCGACAGGGGTGGGGAACTTCTTTCCAAGGAGACCGGCCATTTTGACTGATTTGATGTGCTTGGTTGGGTGGGCTAGAAGGTACAATCGGCTGATAGATGTTGCTGTCGCTCAACTCTTACTTGCGCTCCGCCAACCGCAATTCACCTCTTGGCATCACGGGACAAGTCGCTCTCTCTCCCGCATTTCACATGCTTCAGCCTCCGCCATATCGTCAACAATAATAAACATCAATCTGTCTGGATTGTCACTCTCGCTCATCGACATCATGAGTGCGGCCAACAATACTCTGGAGAGCTGTGTGTCATCGCTGCGCTCGAGCATGCAATTGCTCGATTCTTCCATCAACATTATCGATTCTGGCACCAGCGACTTTCCCCGTTTGGCTAGAGTCCTGCAGGCCACTAGGGTAGGAAATGGACCCGACTTTTGCTTAATCTGATCGTGATACTAACATCTTCTAGCACTTCGAACTTGTCTCCGAGCCAGAACTACAGAATGCGCAATCTGCTTTACTCTCCGAAATACAGCCCGAGGTTGAGTCCATGCTCGACCGTGTTGCTGCCTACCTCGACAAGCTTCAACGTCGCGAAGAATCTCTGATCGCAAAGTGTGAACTACAAGAGGGTCGTCTGTCTTCACGTCATCCTCAACAACAATATCACCCCAGATCATCTGCTCCATCGTCGTCACAAGCCGCCGTCAACCCCATGGAAGAGCTCAAGATGCAGCAGCTCAGACAAAAGAAGGATCGCTTGAGTTATGCTGTCGGCCGACTCGAACTACAGGCGAACCAAAGAGAGAGACAACTGAGAAAGAGCATGGCCGGCTTTTGATTTCCTTCTCACAAGAGAGCTATCCACCATTTTACTTGGTCTGACTCTACGACCTTTTCTCTCCGCGAAGCTCTTGCACTCCCTTGGTTTTTACCGGAGTTTCTTCAATCTGCAGGGTCATTCTGTAAATTCCGAACCCATGCAGACACTTGCCAAGACGCGCAAGTCGTCCGTTGTTCGTCTCTACCGGCTGCTCTGGCATGGGCGACTCCTCTATCTCCAAGCTATTTCTCGACAATACTTCCTGGCTGGCCATGGGTGACATGACGATATGCGCCGAAGCGATTGACTTTTCCTGGCTCAGTTGCCAGACACAGAGGTCATGTACCGACACAACTCCTGGTATCTTGTTGAGCTCTCGGATTACTGCTGCATTCTGGGCGCTGGGCGGTGTGCTTCCTAGGAGGATGTGTCCGCTCCGAAAGGCTTTTTTGTCAACGATCGGCTTCTTACTAGAAGTGTGACTTGACTCACTAAGAGGAAGAGCGCTGCTAGCGATCATAATCGCTATTGCCATGCTCACAGCTGGATCGGCGTAGAACCTGCTCAGCGATCGGACCAGCATCATGACAAGGGCAGCAGCGATGACTCCAAGGTTGTTCAGGACATCTCCAAGGATGTGGATGACGACGGCATTGAGTCCCAAGTCGCCGTGTTCATGTTTTCTCGATGGATTTTCCTGGTTTGGTCAGCACGTCTTGTCACATCGATGATTGGAAGGCAATCACAAGATCCGACACCTCAAGGACGGGGACACCAGCTTTGGTTTCTTTGCCAGAGCCGTGATGGTGATGTCCATGATCTAGCTCTCATTAGTGTGGAATTTCGATCAGCGTCAAAAGAATTCGTACCATGAACCAATAGGATGCAGACCACGTTAAGTAAAAGTCCTATACATCCCATGATGAGAACATTGCGAGGCTCCTCGATGACTGGTCCGCATCAGTATCTGACAACATAATCACACTCAGATACTGTACCTTCAATGTTTATGAAACGTTCAATGGCTTGCAGGAAGATGCTCAGGCCAAGAGCGATCAAGAAGGATCCATTGAAGAAGGCGCCGAGGACTTTTGCTCTTTCCCAACCGAAAGCAAGGCTTGCGGGAGCATTCTTGCGATCTGACAGCTTTGCGGCAACCAGAGCAACACAGAATGCAATCAGATCATTCAGCTGTCTGGTATATCAGCAATATCACAGTCAACAGAGCTGGTACGACATGCATAATGGAAAGCATCAGCAATCAGTGCCAGTGATCTAGTACGGAAGCCGACTGCAAAGAAGATTAACAGACGACCAGACAGGTTCAGATTTGATGCCAGTTACCAACAATTTCGGACGCAAAGAAGGCAAACGATAGGATGATGACTACGACGAGTCTGGTCGAAGTGGACGAATTGCTGCGAGCCATTTTGGTGGTTACGTGTCTCAAGTAGGAGAAGTAAGGGAGAAAATGTATTCAAAGAAGGATGTAAGAGTGCGCATGAGGATTATTGGGATTCTGATACATGGCAGAAGAAAGAAGAGTATTGGTAGCACAAGGGTGTGAAATCATGGCGGTTGCCATGTAGAAGTAGGACGGCGCCATCAGGGTTGGAGGACAGAAACGGGTGGAGACATTTGATTTGATTCCTGAAGTACGGTACTACGTGTGCCAAAGCCAAAAGCAGGAAGTATAGACTAGAGAGTTTGTCAAGACGGCGGTGGTTCGAGAGGTTATAGTGAAGGGAAAGCAGTGAATCATGAAGCGGTGCCTACGTCAAGCAGCATGACTCTTTGCGCAAGTGATTCATCCCACATTTCGACCAAGCACAAAACACCCCGCTCTGTTTGTCACAGGAATTCTTGTCAGACACTCACACATCATCATGGCCGACCAAAACACAGTGGAAAGCAAGCCCGAGCAGTCGCTCCCCGAGAGACCCAAGGATGCCCCCGCCGACGAGGCTGGTGCTGCTGGCGCCGAGGGCGACAAGGGCCCTTCAAAGAGCGCATTGAAGAAGGCAGCCAAGGAGAAGGAAAAGGTGCGATTGGCGCGCAAACAACCGACACCAAGACATAGCTGACAGCTGGACAGGCCGAGAAGGCAGCCAAGCGCAAGGCCGCCGAGGAGGCGCAGAAGAAGCAGCAAGAGGGCTCGGATGTTTCGCGCGAGGACTACGGCGACCTGCCCATGATAGGATCCCTGGAGTACAAGCCTTCCGGTGTCAAGCGCGTCACCCTCGCCCAGATCGCCGAGAAGTACAACGAGACCACCCCCTTCGACGAGGCCGGCGGTGTCGACGTCTGCTTCCGCGCCGTCGTCGAGAATGCTCGCAACCAGTCGGCCAAGCTCTCTTTCCTGGTCTTCCGTGAGACTCTCAACACCATCCAGGCCGTTGTCGCCGCCAGCGACACCCTCAGCAGACAGATGGTCAAGTTCGCCGGTAGCATCAACGCCGAGTCCATCGTGCTGGTTCACGGTCTGGTCAAGAAGACTCCCGAGCCCGTCAAGAGTGCCACCATCAGCCACCTCGAGATCCACGTCAAGAAGATCTACGTTGTTGCAAAGGCCGACAGCCAGCTCCCCATGCAGGTCCAGGATGCTGAGAGACCTCTGCCCCTCGAGGGTGAGGAGGCCAAGGAGGATGAGAGCGGCCGTCCCATCGTCACCTTGAACACTCGTCTCAACAACCGTGTCATTGATCTCCGTGGTAAGCACAACCGCGCCATCTTTGCCATCAAGGATGGTGTCACCGCCCTCTTCCAGGAATTCCTCCGTGGTCATGGCTTCATCGGCATCCAGACCCCCAAGCTCCTTGGTGCTCCCTCCGAGGGCGGTGCCAACGTCTTCGAGGTCGGCTACTTTGCTACCAAGGCTTTCCTTGCCCAGTCACCCCAGCTGTACAAGCAGATGCTCATCGCTTCCCGCTTTGAGCGTGTCATGGAAGTCGGCCCCGTCTTCCGCGCCGAGAACTCCAACACCGCCCGCCACTTGACCGAGTTCACCGGTCTGGATCTGGAGATGGCCTTCGAGGAGGACTACCACGAGGTCGTCGAGGTGCTCGAGAACCTCATGCTCTACATCTTCAACGGTCTGCGCACAAAGTACAAGCGCGAGACCGACCTCGTCCGCAGCATCTACCACGTCGACGAGTTCAAGCTCCCCGAAGCCGGAAACGTGCCCCGCATTCCCTTCAGCGAAGGTATCCAAATGCTTCGCGACGACGGTCTCGAAATCGGCGACTACGACGATCTCAGCACCCCCGATGAGAAGCGTCTCGGTGCCCTCGTGCTCAAGAAGTACGGCTCGGACTTTTACGTCCTCGACCAATTCCCCCTCAACATCCGCCCCTTCTACACCATGCCCTCGCACACCGCTCCTGCTCACACAGAAGGCGCAAAGGACCCCAATGCCGGCTACAGTAACTCCTACGACTTCTTCATGCGTGGTCAGGAGATTCTGTCGGGTGCCCAGCGTATCCACGATGCAGACTTTTTGTGCAAACGCATGAAGGAGCACGTCACACCTTGTGACCCCAACTCTGACGGTCTGCGTGACTATGTCAATGCTTTCCGTTACGGTTGTCCTCCTCATGCCGGTGGTGGTATTGGTTTGGAGCGTATCGTCATGTTGTGGTTGGGTCTTCCTAACGTGCGTCTGGCTTCGCTGTTCCCCAGAGACCCTAACCGTGTCATGCCCTAAGTGCGATCGACTCTTGGTCCACCACTTTGCAAAAGAGAGAAAAGAGCCATGGCCTTTTATGTTAGATGTGCACAAGAACCCCAAAATTCTCAGAATCGTTTTTCGTCAATTTGTTCATTATCATTCCGAATTCGTGATCTATGGCTCTTCCGTAGTTTTGTCCTTTTCGTCCGATGTGGCCTTGAGAATGTCCTTAAACTCATCAACCGCTTCAGCAGCCACGTCTCTCATCTCCCTTCTCGTGTCCTCAGTATCTCCGCCCTGTTTGATCAAATTCCTCCACTCTTCCAACTTCACACCAGCCTCTGCATCCCCTTCCTTGACCATCTTGATCATCCTACTAGTATCCTTGCCCGAACTCATATACAACCCCTCCCTCTTCCCCGCCAACAAGATCCAAATAACATTCTGCAACAAATCACTCGCCCTCTTCAACTTCCTCATCCCCGCCACCTTCTGCCCCAAGATCTCTTGCTTGGTACTGAAAAGTAAAGAAGCAGAAGGTTGATCGATTTTTTGCTTTCTGGCCAGTTTTGCAGTTGCGGTGAGAATGTCTTCTAGTGTTTTTGCTGCTTGTACTGCATCAGAGAATTTATCAACGTCTCTGGATGTGGATTTTGAAGAGATGAGGTTAGAGTCTTTGATGGTGCGGAGGGTTTCCTGGATTAGTTCTTTGCGAGACCAGTCGTAGATGAATTCTTGGACGCGGGGTTGGAGTGTGGTGTCTGCGATTGTGTCGGCGGCTTGGGTATACAGTTTCAAGGGTGTCAGTAGGTCGGTTTGGACGGTTGTTGCAAATTTGTCTGCTGTTTCTTGCTGAAGTTTGAGGATCTGGGCTTCGAAGGCTGACTTTATCCTGTTCTCTGGATCGCTAGATTCGAGGATGGCGAGGTCGAGAGATGATACGTCGCTGGAGGCGAGCAGCTTTTTGAAGTCAAAGACCACATCTTCACCCGCGCGTCTGGTAGGCCACTGCTCTGTGGCTAGACCCTCGGCTTTGGTAGCGATAGCGGATGTCCTGATAGAAAGGGCTTCTTGTGTTATCAAGAATGACGACTCTCTGGTGCTCAATTGAACAATTTCTGAGCTCGAACTCTTCCGAGCATCTGCCTCCAGAATGGCTTGTGTGAGATCCGAGTCGCCAGCTGTCTGTAGAATCTGTGGTCTAGAACTTCCAGTCACCTCACAATATCCATTTGTGGCCAGCTCTTCCACAGCCTTTCTGATATAGGCATCTTGGGTTTGCTTGAGTTCGCTCTCATGTTGTACTAGTAGTGACTGTGGCGTGTAGCGTAGACCGCCGGACGTCATTTCGACCACACCCTGACCGTCATCGCCATTTGTCGATACTAGGCTCTCGGCTGTCGATTCCAACCAAGAAGCGGGAACCTGAGGGAAAGTGTCGCTAAGCACAACTGCATTTTGAGCACCTTCGATAGTCTTTGAAAGCTCATTCTTGAGCTTTTCCAGGAAACTCGAGTCATAAGTCTTTCCGTCTTCCAGATCCTTGAGAGACAGAGCAGCATCTTGTGCAGTAAGCATACGTCGAAGTGTGGTAGGTGTAACATCCTTGTCAGTGGCAATGCTGTTCAAGTCGGCACCACCATTGGACAGCTCCCTCTGAATACCATGATATATAGCCTTCTGCGTGCTTTCAGGCAAGAGTCGTCTGCGATCTCTGCTGTAGCAGATTCGCTCGTCTTCCTGGTTTAAGAGCCATTGAACATCCTGTACTCCGAGCTCGTTGTGCAGACTGTTCAAGAAGATAGGTCCACTAGCATTTTTAAGAAGAGAGTGGAAACGCTTGATGACTGCATCAGATCGAACGAGACTACGGCCAGATAGACTGCGAACAAGGCTTTCTTTTCCAGGTCGAGGTTCCGGGGGAGGGAACGAGATGATCAACTTCCTGATGTCGTCTTCTGTAAAGACAGGCGACCTGTCCACCTTCTTTGTCCCGAAAATAGAAGGCATCATAATCAAATCCGGTATGTTTCGGAGAGAAGAAGCAACGATGATGTAGAGTACATTGAAGTTTCCTAATCGGGAATTTATAGATCGGCTTTTGCCGCTCTCGACTTCTTCCGCCAGCGCCATCGTCACGACTGTGAATACCAGCGACAAGGCAAAGAAAGCACGTTCTGGACGGTTATACGAATCGTACGCACATCAATACCGCAATAATGTCCATGTTCCGATCGAAGAAGCTGGATCTTGGTGGTTTCGTCAACATCAAGGTCATCCGCGACCACACCAAGCGCAAAGTCTTTGAGCAGAACGAGACCGAGAGGTGAGTCCATGCCTAGCATATATGCACCCGACTTTCGCGGGACAAGTAAACTGATATATGCGACTCTAGACAAGCTCTTCGTTACATCATCCGCAACACACTTCTGCCTCAGCGTGCGCGCGCCCAGGCCCAATTGCAGTTGTCGCAAATGCACTGTTACACCCGTCCTACCCAGATCAAGAACAGGTGTATTGCTGGTGGTAAGGGAAGAGGTGTTTTCCGTGACTTCCGCATGGCAAGAGTATGTTTCGATATTAGCAATCCTTTCCACGACGAGGGCACACCACTGACGTCTCTCAACAGTACCAATTCCGTATGCACGCACTGGCTGGACAATTGCCCGGCGTAAAGAAGGCCAGTTGGTAGAGAACACACGACGTTTCATGTCACTATACTGTACAAATATTCAACAAGGCATTTGGGAAAGGCGTTGGTTGGGACATCGAGGAACTGGGGTATTCGAAATTCAAAGAAGTTATCATCTGCAATCATGCTTTCATGGCAGACAAACCATGCACCCTTCTAGTACTTGTTGTTTATCCTGTTCAACATGGCCAGTCTAGCAGGATGTATGCCTTCCTGGGCTCCTGCATCCACCTCGGCCTCGGGTGCTTCGTCTGCCTTGTCACCTCCAGGAGCGCCGCCCTTTTTGGCCTCCTTTGCTGCCTTGCGCTTCTCCTGCTTGGCCTCGGCCTCTGCTCTCCTCTGTCTCTGCTCATTCAGTCTGACGTTCTTCTCCTTGAGCTTCTCCTTTCTGCCCTCTGACTTGCTGCCACCGCCTCCAGCCGTAAGCTCGACATTGATCCTACGCTTGCCTCTCTCGCCGCCGACACCGCTGTCAAACATGCTGTGGTGGTACAACTTCAGACACGTCTTCATGCGATCATAGTTTGCAAACTCGAGGAACGCAAATCCCTTGCTCTTGTTTGTGCCCTTTTCGGTAGAGTGACGCACGGATTGCGGTTGGATGGATGCAAAGTGCTCGGTAATCTGCTCGGTTGTTGCTGTGAATGGGAGGTTGCCGATGAAGACGATGAAGCGCTGGTTCTTTGCTGCTGCATCTTCGCCCTCTGTTGTCGTTGCGTCTCCGGCCTTTTTGGCCAAGGGCTCCTTGTTGGCCGACGGCTCCTTCTTGCGCTTCTTTTGTTGCTTTGCTTCTACGGGAGCTGCGTCTTCGGTCGGCACTTGCTCCTTGTCTTCTTGCGATCGCTTGCGCTTCTTGGACGAGGCCTTCTCCGAGTCAGCAGTCTTGGTGTCTGCTTCTGCGACGGGCTCGTCGGTCTTTGGTGTGTCCTCGGTCGTTGTCTCGGTCTTGGTCTTCTTGTTCTTCTTGTATCTCTCCTCGGAACGCTTGGCCTTCTTTGCCTTGCCTGTCAGGGCTTGTGCGTCTGTTTCTGTTGACATTTTGATCTGTTTGGTGTTGTGAGATTGGTTTTTTGTGAATATCAAAAAAGTCTCTGTCAGAACATGGATTGGATTGGCTTCTCCGCATAATTTAAAGTCCGTGCTTTCTCCGTCGCTGTGTTGCTCTTTCACATGCTTGACGAGATTCGTTTTTCACAGCGGCGTCCTCAAAGGTAGGCAAAAATTAAAAAGATTCATTCAGACCGTATGTACAGAACGCTCAAAGAACCCCAGCAGAAAAAAGGGCCATCATTGCAATCGTGTCCCAAAAGACACTCGCGACAACATTTTTCTTCCCAGCTGCCTCGCTGCCATCACCCTGTGATGTCTTCCTCTTCAATCCGATGTGAAAATGAGACGAACCGGGTTCTGTTCCATCCAGAGGTGGCTTCCTGAGCCTGAAGCCTGAGGCCTGAGTACAAACCATGACTGTGTGTCTGTGTCCTGTGCTAGTCTGTGTGTATTGTTTGCATCAAGTGGGTGGGTATCTGCGCCGAACACTGCCGCTGCTCCCCCAATATCAAAGGATCCAACGCCAGCGACGCCCAGGAACTAGACTTGGCAACTTGATTAAAGAGATCTATCATGCCGTGAAAATGCGAATGTTGAAAAGTAAGGAGATTCGATACGAAGCTGCGCGGCCAGCTCAGAGGATGATGCATTTTTGCTTCTTGGGCTTGGAGGTAGGGCGAGGGCTAAGAACGGCTCTGTGATGCAAAGTCAGCAGCTGGATGATGTCTAAACACTTCTGGGTATGCGCACCTGATGGCCTCGTCAAAGACGCTCTTGAGGTTGCGCTGAGTAAGGGCAGAGCACTCCATGTACTTGACTGCCTTGATCTCCTTGGCGACGCTGATGGCCTGCTCATACTGAATGGGAGCCATCTTCTTCTGTCTCAAGCTCTCCTTGGTGCCTTCGTCATCACGAAGATCGAGCTTGGTTCCGACGAGGATGATGGGGACACCGGGCGCATGGTGCTCAATCTCAGGGTGCCACTACAAATGATAGTTAGAGACTGTCCGATTCGCGATCCTGCACTTGTTTGATGTCTCATACCTTAGCCTTCACGTTGTCAAAGGAAGGAGGGCTGACGATAGAGAAGCAAATGAGGAAGACGTCTGTCTGCGGGTACGAGAGGGGGCGAAGACGGTCATAATCCTCCTGACCAGCAGTATCCCAAAGTCCGAGGCTGATGGGCTTGCCATCAACCATGACACTCGCAGAGTAGTTGTCAAAGCTGCCGAGCATCAGTATCTGGGCCGACGCGTTATGGACATGGGCAAGGCTTGTGCAACGTACACAGTGGGGATGTACTCGCCGGGGAAGGCATTAGTCGTGTACGAGATCAAAAGGCAGGTCTAGCATAGCGGTCAGTCGGACGTTGCAGCAAGAGCATAGAGGAGCACGAACCTTGCCAACAGCACCATCTCCTGTGACGACACACTAGAACGGCATTTTAGTAGTTCCCTCTTTCCAGGCTTCGGCCAGGAAGGATTACCTTGAGTGACTGTGTTTGGGGACCGGAAGCCATTGTGAGGATGATCTCTTGGTTGTAATGTACTGAGGCGAGGGTAGGTGATACACGGGGCTGACGAGACCGTGATGATGTCGTGCGAGAGAGGGGTAGGACGAGTGACGGAAAGATCTAGATGCTTTCGTGATTCGGGCGTCGCTTGGAGCGTCAGGCAAAGGCAAATCGATCTTGAGAGACAGTAGGCGACACGACAGAAAGGCTGCTGCAGTGAAGTTAGCAAGATGCGGCTCTGGGCCCTCAGAAGGCGGTAAACATGCCTTCTTTCACCGTCTCCACGTCGGGGCTAGTGGCGTACGATTGAAGCCGAAGGAAGGTCTTCGGGGGTAGTCACCAGTTGACGCAGCAATATCAAATGGCAGAGAGAAAACGTCGAGCTTTTGATATCGCGGTATGGGCAATGGCACTGAACTTCACTTTGAGGGGCTTGAGACAGCGATTGGTTGAGTCGAGCTCCTTCCTATAGGCGGGACGATCCGACCGGATCGCATGAGGTTTTGAAGGCTTCAATTACAGGTATTCTGCGACAGCTCCAAATGAACACTTAAGCCTCCGAGGAATACTCTAAGCTACGTACAGCCACACTGATTATTCTCTATCTTGGACCGGCCATGCCGACTCGCCTTCCACTATGCTTTTGCAGAACTTTCCAACGTTATGCGCGCGAGTCACGCTGACCAGTTTTCTTGAAGCACACTGCTCGACCAAACGCGCCGTCTGCTTCTTAGGCCAATGATTGACGTCTTGCATGTTACCAATCCCATCCTTGGCCATCTCCGAGACTGGATACATGCCTACCTCGTGTCTCTCTTCGGTCCTTGAATTTTGAGTCTTGCAAACAGCTCGCGCCTTCACCTTGATTCACTCCGAGCCGGCCACGTTCTGGTTCAATTCACGTTTCATCTTGTGGAGAAGGGGGCTAGACAGACTTTGGGTCTTCTCCGTAATCTCGTTTTTTCTCTGAAAATATTGTTTGAGATCACTCTTGTTAATTTTGTACATCAAACCCAAATGCCGCTTTACGAGACGGACATAGATGGAGCTAGACTTCCGTCACACGCTCGCTCAAGCTGAAGACGTCAAAGCAGTAATAGAATGTCAGTCAGAAGCTTGTCTGGTAAGTGGGGCGCCACGGGGCAAAGCCAATTCCGTCTCGGGGCTCTTTCATACGAGCAGCTTGAAGCTATGCTTTTTAGATAGGCGGGGTGCGCAATTTCAGTTGTCCTTCTCTCCCACAACTCTTCCATCCACACCATATACGTATGTGCCCTGTAAGGCTGCGTGGTCATGTCCGCATCACTGACCTGACCAGTGTTCCTCCAAGATGCCTGTCCAGCGTGTCGGCCAGTCCATCCGTTTGCGCAGAGAATATGTTGATGAATACATCAAGATCCACTCTGAAGTCTGGCCTGGAGTCCTGAAGAGAATTTCAGGCAGCAACATCCACGACTACACCATCTTCTATGACAAAGAGTCCAGCATCTTGTTCGCCACGTTCAAATACACCGGCACTGATTTCGATGCCGATATGAAGGCCATGGCTGAAGACGAAGAGACCCAAAGATGGTGGAAGGTGACGGATAAAATGCAGGAGAGTCTGAACGAAGGAGCTACTAGCAGTGTCGACGGTGGTTGGTGGCGTGCATTGGATGAGGTTTTCCACGTCGAGTAGCATAATAATGTTGTGCTTGTCGGTCAATCGCGAAATTTGTCGTCCTTAGGTGTCCTTGCCGCCCTTGCTCTTTCTCTTCTTCTTTTTCTTTGGCTCCTCCTCGGTTGAGATGGGGCCCTGTAGCAAGGCTTGGAATGCGGCTTTGTGACCTCTGGGAGCTTTGTCGGACTTCTGTTTCTTGGGAGCAGCAGTCTTGGACGAGGCTGCCTTCTTCTTGGAGTCGGACTCGCTGTGTTCGACTTCCTTAGGACTGCTTTCAGCCTCGTGGTTGATCATCTTCCTGCTCATAGCCTCAAAGCGCGAGTGACTACCGACTTTCTCGGTCATGTCCTCGAATTTCCTCTTCGCGCCATTCTTTTCCTTCTCTTGTTGCTCCGCGCGCTTTCTGTCGTAGTCATCGTTTCCAGCGAGGCCGTGCTTGATGAAGCGTCCGGCGGCGGCTTTGTCGAGAGTCGTGTTGCGCTTGACGTGCGAAGTCTCTGCGAGCTTGATCTTTTCGAAGTATTGTTTCACACGAGTGAGCTCGGCGAATACCGGATGGTTTTTTGCATCGAGACCGTTGAGACGCAAATATGAGAATAGAAGAGACTCGATGGCGTATGTGACGAGGGTGTAGAGTTTGGCCTTGTCAAGCAGAGGGAGTTTGCTTGTGCTGGCGGACAGTGCAGTGTTGATCAAGGGCGCAAGAGATTCCTCGACATGGTCAATGTTGCTCGAGAGGGTGTCAATCAGCGGGCGAAGATCGGTATCCATGGCGTAGAACTGTGGTGTGCGGTATGCGATGATGGAATTTTTTGGACAGGGTCGAATGCAACTTCTAGAAGCAGCTCGACACGAAGCGGCGGCGGAAGTCCGCAATGCCGGGGCTCGAGCCAATCAGAACCTCCGGAGCGAGCATCGCTTCTGTTACAACTAGCACCTTGACTTTCATCCCACCTCTGCAACTTCCATACCTACGCTTCCAATCAATTACACACCTCTTCGCAACCCATCTATCAACATGCCTCGCAACAACCGTGGATCCGCAGCCCCCCCAAGGCGCCCTACCGCCGCCCCTGCCCGTCCTGCGCCACCCACTCCCCAGCAGGCCCGCTCTGCTTCCACTGCTGCCCACCCTCCTCAGCACCAGGCTCCTCACCCTCCTGCCGCCGCTGCTCCCCAGCAGAGCGCTGGTCCCGGTCTCTTTGGCCAGATGGCCAGCACCGCTGCGTAAGTCCTATTCTACATACACGGCTGCTTACAGTCTCTGACCTCTGCACAACAGCGGTGTTGCCGTCGGTTCCTCTATTGGCCACGCTATCGGTGGCTTTTTCGGTGGCGGCTCATCTGCTCCCGTCGAGCAACAAGCCCAGGCTCCTGCAAACCCTGCCGACAACAGCACCTACACCTCGTCCAACTACCAGGCTCCCAGAGCCTGTGAGACCGACGTTACCAACTTCCGTCGTTGCATGGACGAGAACCAGGGCAGCTTGAACATCTGTGGTTGGTATCTTGATCAGCTGAAAGCCTGCCAATCGGCTGCCTCTCAATACTAGAGATGGTGCTCCCGTCATACCCTATCCTGTTCTGTACAATACCACATGAATTACGTTAGTTTGTCATTTCACCACTCTTCATCTTCTTTTACTCTGTAGAAAGATTGTATCATCATCTATCACTCATTCGCACACGTTTACATCTCCAAGACTACATGGGTCAAGTGTGCGACGCCACATACTATCAGAGGCGCGAAGTTGCTTCGCAAGCTGATTACTTGCACTTTATTGGTCTCTTTGCGTCCTGTACCCAGGGACGTTTCGACCGTCACCTTCAGAGCGTTCGAAGAGCATGCAGGCTCTGCATATACTGGAGAACTACGCAGCGTGGACATCAGCAAGTGTGAATTTGATCGCACAAAGGTATCCGTCGATCGGATTGCCCACCCATTTAGAACGCCATCACCAGCACATTCGCAAAATCGCAAGGCTTGGGCCCGCTCGACAGCGGTACACCCTACACGTTCCGTTGATGTACACATCCACCAGCAGATTAGAGAGGAAATGCACACCTGGCATATTCTTGCTACGCCCATATCTCTCCACCCCCACGGTATGACTGACAAGAGAGAGTCCGAGATTTCTAGTTATACACGCCGAACGCTGCAGCCTGGTCTCTCCGCCTCAGGCTCTCAGGCACACAACTTGCTCAATCACAACCACATCCCTCTCTTTCCACGCAACTTTGCCCTACCCTTATGTACAACTTATTTTGCGTCCTCTCTGTCCTCCAACCAAGCATTGACCCCGCCTTCTCGCCTGGTGTGTGTGTGGTCTACTTGGTTGGAGCGGACATGCGACAATCACCCGTGGTCTGAGTTCAATCCTCCGCACGGGTAGATACTTTCGCAGGGTAATAAGAGGACGCGGAGGCTGCCGGTTTCTTTCCACAGGAGGCGTGGTTTCTTTTGCTCCTTTGGATGAGAGAATGTTGTATTCCTCGTGTCCCGATTCAGTCCTTATTTGCCCAAATGGGGCGTGTGCCTCAGTCGAATACCAATCCATCGCCTCTGCCAAAGTCGACGAGAGCCATATATGTACGGCGACTAGAGAACACATAGGTCTCATGCATGAGTCTGCGATGGGTTGAGTGAATTCCTGTCCAGAATATTCGAAGTCATCCTCGCCTGTGTTCTACTGGCCCTGGTATACTTCCAAGGATCGCCACCATTCAGTGGAAGCACTTGCGGAAAGCGATGTTAAATGATTTCTGCAAGAGCGCGGACACTGTGTTTTTCGTCGTCTTTTATCCATGATCGTAAAATCTATCGTCTTAAATTTTGCAGTTCGTGGCTATCTTTTGAGCCTACTGAATGTGGCAGTCGCGACCAAGTAGACGAAATGTCGTCTAAGCCCGCATGTATTTTCTGAGGCCACGCTCAGCCAAAACACCGAATGCTCCTAGACTTATTAGAGCAAGCGACCAAGGATTAGTCACTTCTCTCAGAGCAGGCCAGAAACTGTTCTTGTTGGCGCGCCACTCCTCCAACTGGCGATATTTCTGGGGTGCCTCTGCCTTGTAACGCTGCTCCTGTGACTCCTCATTCTGCTTGTCGCCGCCAATGAATCGTAGAAAGACGTAGTTTGCAAGAGGTCCCACAAGACTGAGAGGGTGGAGCATGCCATCCGCAGCCAGGAGTAATGGGAAAGAGAAGTGTACCAGGGCGTCGCCAAGGTAGTTGGGATGACGCACAATCGAGAAGACACCACTACGATTGAGATCACTGCTTTGCTTCTTATGCTCTTCGAGCTGTTGGTCGGCCATGGCCTCCATGTTGAGACCGGTAGTATAAAGTCCAACTGCAAGCCCATGAAGCAAGCCACTGTATTGAGGAGGTGTGGCTTCAAGGCTTCCGATTGTGCCCTGCTGCAGCACCAAGGACCACGAGAGTGAGATCAGAGCTTGAAAGACTGCCTCCGGGATGAAGACAGTGAAGAACGCCTTGTTCCAGAAACTGGTATCTTGGTTCATGTCGTCGTATCTTGAGTCGTCCTTTCCACGCTTGATGCTGCGAGTAGCGATGCGTGTGAAGAGTCTAACACCCCATAGCGTGATACCACCGAGTAGCAGCTTTTGTGTCCAGCCGAGTGTTGATATCGACTCGCGCAGACTGAGTCCATTCTCCCAACTACGTGCCAAGACTCCATGATACCAGGCATTGAGAACCATTCCTGAAGGCCAGAGCCAGTCCTTGATTTCGACACGACCAGTCGCACGGCTGACAGTATAGGCGAACATCGCAAGAGACGAATGCAGGTTCAAGGAAGGCAAAAGATTATCGTGCAGAAGACCTAGCACGTTGGTCGTTGTTGCCATCGCACGATGACTGATATCAGGCAATCGTGGACGTGAATCACCTGCAGCAGAACTCACTGCTCCTTTTGGATTGAACTCCATGGCTGCTTGAGTCTAAAATGGAGCGAGGAATTGACTGGACACGGCAACGTGTGATTATGAACAGGATGTGGAGAACTTGTGACGTCGCTCTGGGCTATTCAGGTGTGATCGATTTGCTTCATGTTGTTTGCTCAGCTCATGCGATCGCTGTAGAAAGCACGGCTTATTGATGCTGATTATCCTAGACTCATGGGACATAAAAGACTTGTGACGGAACACGATATTGATGGTGCATGAGTCGTGAGTAAAGTAGCTCAAGGTGGTGTCAAACATGCTTTCCCCCTGTCGTGCCGGGTCTCCTCGGCCTAGCTGGAGTTTCAACTTTGCAGCCAGTCAGTCCAACGTAACAGATACATTGGTAATCAGATACAAAATTTGAGACCTTGTGCTTCTTACACTTGTACTGCTTGTACGAAAGTCAAGTCACACGGCCAATCGTGAGTAATCGGACGAGCGACGGCACTCATGATGGTTGAACATCCACACAGCCAGGGTTGTCCGAACAACGTCAATCTTGAGATTACAACCCAAGATCAATTACCGAGCAAGCAACACACGGCAATTGAATATGGAACTATGTGCTTCTATGATAGACAGATCAATCCGCAGTGGTGATAGATAGATACGAGGAAGTGGTGTTGATCGATTATGCTGTCTATGTCACTGTAGTAGCAAACACAATCGCTTCTGGAGTCATGTGCTCACGCTCCCGCACACGCATTTCTCTATCACTGCAAATGCTACGATGCGGCAATGTGGCACGTAGAGTAACACACAAGGCTAGGCAGCCGAGAAGTTACCCTAACATCACAATACCAAGCACCTGCACACTGGTGTGCGGCCCGCACAGTTGACATGCAGCGGTGTGCTGGTTGTCCCTTGAATTACTGACCTGCAGACAGGGACAAAGCACAAAGGCAGGGACTTCACAAGTACACAACAAGGGTCAAACTTGCGGTGTGCCGAGTGCACCTCCTGTCACAGGTTCTATGCTCACGAGAATAGCGATGAGTATCACGCAACGGTGAGATTAACAAAAAGCTCAAGGCCCAGCTCCCCTGAAACGGTAACGAAGCTCGCAGGAGGCATAACAGAACCTTTGCCGACAGAGCAAGCCAGAATCGCGCCCAGGACGTGTAGCAGCTTGCAGTTCGTGCCAAATGTCAGCCCGAACTAGTTCACGCATCTGTGTCTTCGTTGGGCGAATTTGACCGCTGGGAGAGCGACCCTGCTTTCTCCCCCCTTTCAACGGCCTCGCTCCCTTCTTACCTTTAACGGCTTTGCCGGTTTTTGTCAACAATGCAGAAAGCGTCACCCCTGTTCACAACATGTGCAAGGGAAACACAACCCTACGTGAGGAAGTACACTTGACGAATGTATCGAGTCGCTGTATATCGCTGACCGAGCCTACAATTCGCTATAGGTGACACCCCTTGCAACCAAAGCTGATACTTCGTCATTGCTGCAAAGCCTTGCAGCAACAAAGATTTATCCACAGTAATCCACAGTAACCATCATGCACGATCGCTATGAAAAATTCACGATCAACCCGCATGCCGTTATGGGCCCTGGCTTCATGGCTTCAACATTCCATCCCCTTTCCTAGTAGCTAGGTGGGGAATGCTCTCACCTTTATAGGAGGTATAAACCCATGGCTATCAAAACAAAAGTCTACATTCCCGCGACTGTTTGTTGTTTTGATACTCATTTCCACTTCACTCTTGGGTATCGTCGCGCAGTCACTCCTCCTGGCATATCTTATGCAACACAACCCCTGCCCCAATAGTTCATCCGATAATCGATAGGACGGACAACATGCAGAGCGTTAGAGATTATTCCATGGATATGCGTACCGCTCATGCGAGACCACAGCCCAGGGAAGAGAGGCTTAGGATACCGGGGCAACCACAACAGACTCAGATGAGGATGAGGTCTCAACCAAACCTTAGGTCCATGGCTCGTCGGCCATTGCCTGGTGTTGGTTCTCAAGCAGAGCATCACGAAGCATACAGGACCCCGAGGGTGGTGCAACCTCCGACGAACACTCACCAGCGTCGCAAGCATGAAGCCATGTACCTGGAGGAGCCTCCATTCGAGCGACCATTCTCTCCCGAATCAGACTCGGAAGAACACATGATCTTGGACTACTATCTTCAAGCATCATATCACTCACCTTTGTCCAGAGTTGTCTCGGCTGAGGAGCCTTGCAACCTGGACGGAGCCATTGCTGGATTTGACTTTGGCCTTGAACAACCATCTGAGCCATCTTACACACTCTCTCAACCTACTGCTCAAAGACCGAGGACTGCACATGGAACCAAGAATGCATTGTCTCCATCAAGGATACCTTCTCCACGAAGACAATCACCCTCGTCGCCTCAAAGAAGGTCTCCTCCATCACCTCAAAGACAAGTTCCTTCTTCACCTCAGAGACACGTCCCTTCATCACCCCAAAGGCACGTTCCTTCATCACCTCAAAGACAATGTCCTACATCACCTCAGAGACACTCCCTCTCATCGCCTCAAAGACAACCTCATCTTCAATACACCCTCTTTCCCAAGGAGCAACAACAACCCTCAACCCCCCGCATCAGTGTAATCAGCGACAACGGCAGCATCACCTCCCACCACAGCTACAACAGCCATGAAAGCCAACCTCGTCCGCGCACCTCTTCATTAGCATCATCAGAGCGTTCGCGCTCAGATTCATGCATGTCTGTCCGCCTCCAGCCCTCTGCAACCTTCACTTCCTCTTCCCCTACCTCTCCCAAGAGACCCCAAACCTCCCCTCGCATGCGTACAACAAGCGCATCGTCTCAACAGCAGACCAGTCTCTCCGAAAAGCCTCCTTCGCGTTGGTCAGGCGAAACAGTCGACATGAGCAATGCCATGGAATCGCCCATCTCTGCCAGAAACGCTGTAGACAGAACCAGAGATTCTTCCTCATCTACCCTTGTGGCAACCAGCCCTGCATGGCCTACTGGTAGTTTCTTCGAGGATGACGAGGAGGAGAAGTTGCCATTGAGACGCAAGGTGGCTCAGAAGTTGAGAAGCTCGCGTTCGAGCAATGCATTGAGGTCGGCCAGTAACCCTGTTGCCAATGTGGAACAGACTCACAAGAAGTCTCCTTCGTGGGCTCGTCGTCTGGTCACCTGGCACCGGTGAAAGTGTATAGAAGTCATAGTCCTTGACGATATCTGATGAATTTATGTCTACCGTTCAAGCATTTCCTAAAGTCTCGTGTCAATCACCTGAGAATGTATCTTATAATCAATGTAAAGTGAAGCCGGTATTATTATGATACTTCCTATGAAACAAGTATGGGTATTCTTATGTACTGGAAAAACACACCAAACGCCTATTCGTCTTCTGTATATATGAAGACTTATGCCAATGTCCCAAAAACGCCTTCGTGATGCATTCATTATCGTTTTAAACATTAAGAGAGCATGCCCTCTATCGAGGCTCGGATGTTCATCCAGATGCCTTCATTTTTGTTTGACTTGGCTTCGCTGATGCTGCGAACCGTGTCAACGGCCTTTTGGCCGAGTATATCCTCCTCCGGGAACCAAACACCATGGAGACCATACGGAACGCGTTGCGGAAGAGCAACTCTCCCAACAACTGATCGCATGTCCTTGGCATCAATGATCCAAAGCTCACTCTTGGCTCGATTGGCAGTGTCCGCGTCGCAAGGCACCTCACCATCTGCGCAAAGCTGAGACTCATCGAAAGCGTATGTGAGAAGGTACCCATCGTCTTCTGCAAGAGTTTGTCCCGGGGCAGCCTTGCGAGGAACAAACCTAGGCTCCTGCGCGAACCAGCCAGCAGGCATGCGGAACACCTGAATCGGATCGTTGTCCAGAGCGCTGTCAATAACTTCTTGGACAGTGCGAGTATCAACGCAACCAGTGACCGGTTCGAGCTTTCCCAATTGCATCAACCGATCACCCTTTTCGATCAGCGCCTTTGCGTCGATCTTGGCAAGTGCATCAATTTTGACAGAGCGACCCAAAGCTGCATTGAAAGAGGAGACTGTTGTGCTACACCCATAGACATAGCGAGCTTCCTGCATGTCGAATTCGGGGTGAACAGACGGGAACTCGAAAGAGATGGCGGACAGTGAATACTGAGCAGTGATACGAGAGGATTTCAGGGAAAATGCGTAGTGGTACAGGCGACACTGGTCGTCCTCATCTGGAATCTCTTCAACTTGGCCATCTGTCTCGTCAGAGGGGACAGGAATTGCCTCATCATCGCTTGTTATTTGAATGAGTGGCTCGCGCGCCAGAAGAGGCGATTCTAGCGTAGGTGCCCCGTCATAAAGGCACTGTTCGCTTGCGTTGTATTTTGAGAAGAAAGGCATGTTCTTCTTTACAGCCTTGACAGTCTCCTTCGTAGGACGAGGAGCGGCAATGTTACCAGCGCTGAAGACGAGACATGCGGATGTCAACCTGCAAGTCAGAAGGTGAACGGTCTCAACCTGACCCGAGGCATCAAAGTCGTCCCAAGCATTGGCGGTGTGAAAGATGCAGCAAGCGGTAGTTTCAAAGTACTTGACTTGATCAGGGTGGTGACGGGGAAAGACACCAAAGCGAGCGGGTTTCGTGGCGTCGTAGTCGATGACAGGCTTGTTCCTAGCCAGGTTCAAAGGGTCGAGAGAAAGAGGAAGATCCATGATGATGGTGTGCTGAAGAGATACACCAAAGTCATGCATCATCTTGGCACCAGTGATACCAGGGACAGGGCGTTGGACGATGCCTTTGTTGGTTTCGGAGCGAGCAGAGGTTGGCGGGATGATGGAGTATTGAACGTAGGGAGGGAAAAAGGTCGAGTGGAAGAGCATCATCTCTTTGGTGGTAGGGTCGACCTTTGGGTGAGCAGTGGTCCACTCACGCATGAAGCCTAGCAAGCCGTTGCCTGAGAAGGATGGATCATGTTTGTCATGAGCGTCGGGCTCGCCTTCGGCTCGATTACCGTCGTACCAGCCAACAGTTTCCAGACCAGGGAGCGCGATACGCATTGGCGGGCCGCTCTCACAGGTCGCCAAAGCTCTGCCGTCATGATATAAGATGGAGGTGTTGGCAACACTGATTTTCTTGATGGCGCGGGTAGAGCCCGGCAAGAAGGATAGGATGACAAGCACGATGGTGCGGAGGATTCGTAGGACGATAGTGATGAGCGAGGCCAGAGGATTGACCAGAGTTGCGATGCTGGGCAAGATGGGCGAGCGTAGACGTGGAGAGGCGACGGTGGAGAGGAAGATGTCTGTCAAGATGTACTGGTTGACGAACTCGGGCTGAACGGAGCCGTCTGGTTGTTTTGTAAACGAGACTCCGCTCAGCATACCGTCACCGTCAAACCAATGGGCATCGCGACCCAGGTCTTCGTTCGACACGGGATTGCCGCCATTGCGGACATATTCACCACCCGCAAGCTCAGACGGAAGGACGCCTTCGTAGGTGCATTTGGTTAGAGGCATCGTCTGGCTGATGGGAGCAAAGTTGCCCGAGAGGTAGCTGTGCAAGGTCAGACAGGATTCTGAGGCAGGCAAAGCGAAAGAGGGCGAACATACGCGTGTTTGTGCTGTGGCAGGCCCGTCTTTTGCGCAAAAAGAGGCATGTCCAGAGACTATGGACCAACAGTCTACAAGACGTTATAGAGGACTTGAATAGTGCTCAGGCATGGGAATAGGCACTTTTCGAGTCAAAAGGGCGTGCAGAGAAACAGCAGTCAGGATAGCAATGGCATGATCGATCACGGCTCAAGCGCCAAACCGAGCGAAAGGTGTAACTATGACATCAAGCGCTGCATCATTGACGGCTCGGGACCGGATGAGTTCAGAGTGACAGAGCCAGGCTCCAGAGACATTGGGTCCGTGCGAGCAACATCGTCGATCAAGGCAAGCCCTGCCGAGACATGCCGACGCTGCCGGAAGCTGGTCTTCTTCTCTCGCAGGTGACAGGCCGAGCGCTCGCTGGACTCTTGCTACCACAGTTGCGCATCCCGATACCGACACGCCTGAGCCTGAGCCTATGCTATGGCGATGAGATAGCCCGCGATCTGGCAATTGTTTCGAACACGATGGGTTACGACTATGCGCTTGTGTCAGCAGCCCCCTTTCCTCGTGCTGCTTCCGTCGCTGCAGAGTGCTGATACTTGTACAGACATGTCAAGTACACGATTCCCCCGGCTATCGCTCTCACTCTTCTCTACCGACCTTTGTTGACCCGCCTCGATGTCTATAAGATCGTCTTCCTCATCACTGTATGATCCCCGACCACCTTGTTCCTCCGCCAATCTTACCCTTTCCAGATCGCCGTCGTGTCCACTACGCCATGGGACTCGTACTTGATCCGCACCAGTATCTGGTCCTACCCCGAGAACGCCGTCATTGGGCCTAAGCTCTTCGACATTCCCCTGGAGGAAGTCTTCTTCTTCATTGTCCAAACATACAACACCTCGCTCCTGTACTTGATTTGCAGCAAGCTCACCTTCCACCCAATTTACTTGCGCCGCCAGGACAAGAATGACCGCTGGAAGTATATGAAGCTGGCTGGACAGCTCCTGCTTGGTTTGCTGTTGAAAAAGGCCATCACGCTCATCCGAGCAGAAGGTGCCGGAACATACATGGGCCTGATTCTTGCTTGGGCTGTGCCTTTCCTGCTTTTGCTGTGGTCGCTGGCCTATCAATTCATCCTAGGGCTACCTCTGACCAACACCCTGCTGCCCATTCTTCTACCAACTTTCTACCTGTGGATCGTGGACACGCTGGCTCTCCGAAGAGGCACCTGGGTTATTGAATCTGGTACCAAGCTCGGAACCCATCTCTGGCCTGGACTGGAAATAGAGGAGGCTGTCTTCTTCCTCCTCACGAACACACTCATTGTCTTTGGCCTGGTGGCCTTTGATAACGCAGTCGCTATTCTCAACGCCTTCCCTACCCACTTTCCCTCGGTACCAGCCCTTCCTTCGCCTGCACTACTGGTTCGGGCCCTGCTGTTACCGGCCGGAGCCTATGACGAAGATCGCATCGAGGGTCTGGCTGAAGCCGTCAATCGTCTTCAGAGAAAGAGCAGGAGCTTCTATCTGGCTAGTGCAGCTTTCTCGAGCCGCCTGCGAGTTGATTTAATTGTCCTTTACTCCTTCTGTCGTGTAGCTGATGATCTGGTGGACAACTCTGCCTCGCCTCTTGAAGCCCGTAAGTGGATCAAGCGCCTGCGGACCTTCTTGGATCTCTCGTACAAGGCCAAAGACCCCATGGCGCACGATCAAAATGTCGGAGCTGTCGTTCGCCATGTTGTCACGGAATTTCCTCGAAACACGCATACTGCATTGCTTCAGTTGCCCACTTCGCGACTTTCTTCAAAGCATTTTTACGATCTATTGAAAGGGTTCGAGATGGATTTGGGCTTCCAAACAAGTAAAGGAGCCAAGCCTTCTGCTTTCCCTATCAAATCAGAGTACGATTTAGACACATACTCTTCGCGCGTTGCTGGAACCGTGGCTGCCATGTGCATTGAACTCGTCTTCTTCCACTACCAAGGAGAAATATCACCGGGTTTGCAGGAGCAAGTACTGGACGCTGGAAACACCATGGGGATAGCGCTTCAGTACACCAACATCGCTCGTGATATCGGTACGGATGCGCTGTTACAGCGCGTCTATCTGCCGACAAGTTGGCTGAAAGAAGAGAACTTGACGCCCGAACAAGCTATTCAGGTCTTCACGATCTTGGAGGCAAAAGCCACACGTGGGTCCGAGGACCAGATCTTTGTAAAGAAGCTCGAAAAACTAAGACATCGTCTGTTGGATCGATCATTTGCATTGTATGAGGACTCACGCGATGCTATCGACAAACTTCCCTCGGAAGTGCGTGGTCCTATGCGTGTAGCTACTGAGAGCTACATGGAGATCGGACGGACGTTGAGGCAGCCGGGATACAGGGTGACCAAGGGCAAGGCAACTGTAGACGGCTGGCGAAGATTGGCAGTGGCTTGGAAAGCGCTGCAGTGACACATAAAAGTAGAGATACCCTGTCCATATGCATAATGTAATTTCTGCCAGGTCACCTTACGATGGCCTGATCAAGCCACCGTGCGACTCGTTCGGGTGATACAGTTTTGATATGGATCGGTGGAGTTCACGGGCCGTAGCGTGAGAGTGGGGTTTATGCATGCGAACCACGAGATCCGGAGGCGCGCGGCAGAACGCCATGTTGAATGCTTGGACATTATCTGTTTTGCGCCATCTAGCCGTCGCCTGCTTACTGTTACCTGCTCACTTCTTGGAGTAGGCAGATAAAAAAAAAACACTTCAGCTATGAGCGGCAACACGAGACAGAAGACTGCTATCGTTGTAGGTACGTGTCGAGGGACGTCAGCTGCAAGCACAAGTCACTTACAGATAACACTGCAGGCGCCGGAGCCGGAGGCGTGTCGACAGCTGCTCGATTGGCAAAGGCGGGATTCGAGGTCACTGTGCTCGAGAAGAACGACTTTACTGGAGGTCGCTGTTCCCTGATACACAAGGAGGGCTGGGTATGTATCACTGCCTCGTTGCTTCCATGTCCATCTCCACTTGGCTGACAACGACTACCCAGCGTTTCGACCAGGGACCGTCTCTGCTTCTCCTCCCTCGATTGTTCCACAAGACGTTTGCCGACCTCGATACCAGTCTGGAAGCCGAAGGAGTACACATCGTGAAATGCGAGCCCAACTACAACATGTGGTTCGGCGACGGCGAGAAGTTCCAGCTCTCGACCGATCTGGCTCTGATGAAGGAGCAGGTTGAGAAGTGGGAGGGCAAAGATGGATACTCAAGATACCTCTCGTTCCTCCGAGAAGCCCACAGCCACTACGAACTCAGCGTCGAGCATGTGCTGTCGCGCAACTTTACCAGCATTACATCCATGTTGCGACCCAGTTTCCTAAGTCGCGTCTTCGAACTGCACCCTTTCGAGAGCATCTACAGCCGTGCTTCGAAATACTTTTGGACTGAGAGATTACGCCGTGTTTTCACATTTGCGAGCATGTACATGGGCATGAGTCCGTTTGACGCTCCGGGAACGTACAGTCTCCTCCAGTACACCGAGCTGACTGAGGGTATTTGGTATCCAGTTGGAGGCTTCCACAAGGTGAGCACGACTCTATGATGATAACGACTACCCCACACTGACAATGTTATGTACAGGTCATTGATGCACTTGTCAAGGTCGGCGAGCGCCTAGGCGTGAAGTACAGGCTCTCAACACCAATTTCCAAGATCACTCTCTCTCCCGATGGTCGTCGGGCGACAGGAGTCGTACTCGCCAACGGAGAAACTCTTTCAGCCGACGTCGTGGTGAACAATACCGACCTTGTGTATGCGTACAACAACTTCCTGCCGCCAACTCCTTATGCCGAATCTCTGGCCAACCGCGAAACGTCTTGCAGTAGCATATCCTTCTACTGGGCATTGGATCGTAAGCTACCGGAGCTCAACGCTCACAACATCTTCTTAGCGGACGAGTACAAGGAGAGTTTCGATTCCATCTTCAAGAAGCACCTGATTCCAAACGAACCCAGCTTCTATGTCAACATTCCAAGTCGTCCAGATCCCACAGCTGCTCCTGAAGGCAAGGAATCGGTCGTTGTGCTGGTCCCAGTCGGACATCTTCTCAAGGAGCATGAAAATCCCTCGCCAGCTACGACAGCAAAAGGCAAGGACATCCAACAAAGTGATGCAAATGAAAGAATGACGGGCTCAGATTCAGTACAAGGCATTAAACCGTCCGAGGCTCAGGATTGGCCAAAGATGATTGCACTGGCACGCAAGACCATTCTCACCACTATTGCCAAACGTACTGGCGTCGACATCGAGCCTTTGATTGTTCACGAGATCACAAATGATCCTGTAACGTGGCGTGAATCTTTCAACCTCGACCGCGGAGCTATCCTAGGGTTGTCACACTCGTTCTTCAACGTGTTATCCTTCAGACCCGCCACGCGCGCGAGAAGAGGCGGATGGTTAGATGGACGCTTTGGTGGTGGTGTGGCTGGCAGGATTGGTGAGCTCCTGTTCAGTGGTGGCAGTATTGAGCGTCTGTATATGGTTGGCGCCAGCGCTCACCCTGGTACAGGTGTACCAATTGTCCTGGCAGGAGGCCGGCTGGTTGCGGAACAAATTTGCCAGGACTTGGGTGTGAACATTCCATGGCAGAGCGGATCCCCAGAGGCACAGCGAACTGGCGCTCTTGACCAAGTGCAGAACTCACTTGTGCCTGAATGGATCCTCTATCTGCTTCTCGCATTACTCGTGCTTGTTCTTGGTATCTTCCTGGGAAAGCAGAGCTAAGCGTTCTTGGACAAAGGTTTTCACGATTTCACTTCATCAATAGACTTCTATAATACTTTCCTCTTTGAGTAATCGTTCCCTAAACCTTTATGCCTGAAAATTCAGACGGCCGTTTGTCAACACTGGATCCACCTATCTCATAGCTGAGCGCAGAGCAGAAACAGGTGAGTCGGCGCTCCTTCCGCAGGAAGCCGGACCCAAGGCTTCACAAATTCAACATCTCGGACTGTTCGCGATGCGGTGAACCCTTTGTGATGGGTGACACATGGTAAAACAAGGCAGCTGGTACCGGCATTCGTCAGTCTATACACCCCAGTCGGCAGCAACGGCTTATCGAAGAAATTCGCGGCCGTATGATGCTGATCGAAAGTCTAAACTTCGCAGCCAACGTGCGAGAAAGCCCGTCAGGTGGTCGTTATTAGATGAGTGTATTGGCGATTGGAGAAATTTTCTCGCGCGAGCAATCAATCAATCAGTCAGTCAGTCAATCAATCGCTTGGAGCTACGTACGAACTGTGACCAGGTTTAATCACGTCACCAGAGCGGTCATGCTACCCCAGTCGCTGACAGGGACCTCCGCTCTTCACATACATTTGCATACAGACATGGTTGGCACGACACCACCACATACCTGCTGGAACTAATTAGGATGGTACGTCATGCTGATTTCTGCAGAAGAAAAAAACACACAACGTTTGCCAAAGTTTAAAGTCAGGAAAGTGCACGATGGCTTTTGTTTCTCGATGGCCGACGACCCTGAATTACGATGGTGGAAGGCAGAAGATCTCGAAGTCCAACCAAGCTTTTGGCGATCGGGATGCGGAAAGGGCTTGGACTGCTTGTCGGCCTATGGCGCCGCCAAAGAACTAGTCACGGTTTGCGCCGACCCCCAGATCAACGATTTCGATGATGTCAGTAGCGATTTAGGTCGGCGGTTTGAAATCATGCTTGCAGTTTTGCGCGTTGTAATGTCGTCCTCGGAAACTTCGGGCGCTATGTTGACTCGTTTGGCCGGTAGAGCCGTGGTGGGAAACGCCATGCGGTGCGATAATGGTTTCTCGATCGCGCGTTGGGCCTGTGCGACTGCCTGTAGATCACTTTAGTGGGTGATGGTTCGTCGGTGTTGCGAGGGAGGTGACGGGGACGAAGGGTAGCTTCCTCACATCTCGTCATAGGTTTGACCGCATGCTTCCGCGGCGCATTCCTTCCCTCCACTGTTTATAACCCTCTCTCGTCCCTCGATTGTAAATAGCTATTTATCATCAATACTTCCTCGTTGCAGGCAACTCCATTGTTTCCTCCATCCCTCATCCACATCACCCAAGATGGCAAACGACGCTCTCAACGTTAACCGTAAGTCTTAATGAACATGCCTCTAACGCGTATATACTAACTATGCCTGCAGCCAACATGGTCAATGGCAAGTCTGCCGACATCGCCATCACTGTCCGCGGTTCCGACTGGTACTGGGCAGTCTGCGCAGTCATGACCTGTGCTACTTTTGTCTTCCTCGGTCTCGGTTTGACCAAGCCCCGCCAGCACCGTATCTTCCACTACATCACTGCTGCTATCACCATGGTCGCCGCTATTGCCTACTTCTCCATGGCCTCCAACCTCGGCTGGACTCCTATTGATGTTGAGTTCGTCAGACCCAGCATGGCTGAAGTCCGCGGCATCAACCGTGAGATCTTCTATGTCCGCTACATCGATTGGTTCATCACCACTCCTCTCCTTCTCCTCGACTTGATGTTGACTGCCGCCACTCCTTGGCCCACTCTCCTCTTCATCATCCTTGTTGATGAGGTTATGATCGTTACTGGTCTCGTCGGTGCTCTGGTCCGCTCTTCCTACAAGTGGGGTTACTTCGTCTTTGGCTGCGTTGCCCTCTTCTACATCATCTACGTCCTTGTTTGGGAGGGTCGCCGCCACGCCAACGCTCTCGGTAGCGATGTTGGCCGTTGCTTCACCTACTGCGGTTCGCTCACCACCCTCCTCTGGATCCTCTACCCCGTCGCTTGGGGTGTCTGTGAGGGCGGCAACCTTATCTCTCCTGACTCTGAGGCTGTCTTCTACGGTATCCTTGACTTGCTCGCTAAGCCTGTCTTCGGTGCTCTCCTCATCTGGGGCCACCGTGGCATTGACCCCGCCCGTCTTGGTCTTTACATCCACGAGTACGATGAGAAGGATGTCGCTGTTAAGGACAAGGTCGGTGCTGCTGGACCCAATGTTCACCCCAACTCCAACAACAACGGCGTTGCTACCAACGGCCAGGCCACTGAGACCGTCTAAACCCGCAATTGACATTGTTCGTTGCTGTGCTTGGTTCGACGTCTTATACCCCTTGAGATGTTCATCATCTCCCATTGATCTCTAGCAGCTAGACTGCGTTCAATGCGCACGAGCGTGCTGCATGTTCAAGCTCGCCTTTTGTTTTTTTCACGTCCTTTCACGATCATGACCGGGAGGATTGGAAGGATTACTTTACTCTGTACAATAATAATACACTAATTCATGACACACATACACATACATTTTCTCTTCGCACTTATCAGTACATGTCCACTTTGGTAGTTTTACACATCGGCAAATTGCGGTCTCGACTAATCTGTGCGACCAATCTGTAGCAATCTCGCAAGCGAAGGCCCAAGGCGCTTGCGATCCTTCACCGCTCCCCGCATCATCGCAACACTACCTTACCCAACAGTTCCTGTATGACAAACAGACCGTGGGGCAACCTTGCCCTGTATTTTGTCTTCGTGCTCATGTCCCTCTGAAGCTGACGGTGTATAACAGTCTTGACATCAACCCACAGATCGTCAAAGACAACATAAAGAGAACATGTCCTTGCGACCAGAAGGCCATCGCTCACCGCGATCAAGGTCCAAATCACACTCGCGTCGTGATCGGTCACGCTCACACAGCAATGTCCGGAAGACACACAATGTTACTCCCGAGAGGCCTGCAGAGTATGTTTATGCCAATACCCCAGCCTCGGTACCACGTCACATCTCGCCAGTGGTAACAATGCCCGCCATGCCCGGTGACTATGAGGACGAGTATACCATCGATCCTGGAAGCTTACGTAGCGATGGACACCATCTACCATATCCTGTAGTTGGACAACTGCCTTATCCCTCTGTACCACAGGAGATAGATATGGGTGACTACAAGGATCTTCCGCCGCAAGACCGACCTGGCTATGCTGCGTCTAGAGATGCATACGACAGTGATTCCGATCTGGCTTATGGTAGCTTACAGGTGCCTGAGGCTGGAAGGGGTCGTGGCAGTAGTGTGAGTAGTCAGCGAGCACCTTCACCATCTGGCTACACGTCTGAATCTTATCGCTATTCTACATCTGGAGCTCAGGAGTCGCAGTATGTGACATCTAAGACATCATCTGGGCAGGCTCAGCAATATCAACATTCGCAAACTCGAGCTGAGCAACCGTCATTACATCATGCCTACTCCGCTCCACTTCACGGGGCTAGTGCTGGGAAGCAGCCTCAGGCCTCATCTCAGAGAGCGCAAACCTTCGATGTGAAGCCCGGTATCTCGAAGCAGACTAAGCTTGGATTGAACGTACGCATGGATCGATTGTCTGTCAGTGGGAACAGGCCAGACGTACCTGGCATACTACCACCTCCCAGTCCACTTCTCGAAGCATATCGTGGAACGTATCAATCAGTTTCTCCGATGATAGCGCCCATGGAGTTGTCTCCAGATAGCGACTTAGACAGACTGTCTTCGCTATCTCCTGGCCCTGCATCGGATGGCAAGCATCACAGACGATCCAGAAGTAGCACTGGTCAAGTTGACTTTGTCGGCTCTGGCTCAGAGTCAAATTCAAAGGAACTCAAAAAGCGAGCTCGATTATATGATGCTGAGAAAGATGCCTTGGCCCTGAACGAAGCGATCTCACACCACAGAATTGACGTCGGGAAAATCTGCAAGATCTTGCCCTGCCTCACTCACGACCAAATCCTTGAACTCCGCAAGGAATACAAGAAGCACGTCAAAGTCCAAGGACGAGGCATCAACATCGCCAAACACATGAAGATGAAATTATCAGGCAACTTTGGAAAAGCAGTATATGTCTGTGCTCTCGGCAGATATGAGAGCGAAGGCTACTGGGCCAACTTCTGGTATCAATCACACAGCAGTCGACGCGAGCTTTTGATCGAAAGCTTGATGGGTCGCAGCAATGCTGAGATTAGGCAGATCCGAGAGTCGTTCAAGGATAAACGCTACAATGATGATCTTGTCAGGTGTATGGAGAAGGAACTCAAGCCAGACAAGTTCCGCGTGGCCGTGCTGACTGCACTGGAGGCTAGACGGCAAGAGGAAAATGAAGTTTACTCCAAAGGATATGTCGACAAGGATATTGATGTCTTGAACAGGTGTCTGACAGCTAAAGAAGGTGGCGAGAGTACGATGCTGGAAATTGTCATTCGTAGGAGCGACGCACATCTTCGGGAGGTGCTGAAAGCGTATGAACGTAGACATGGGGTTAACTTTGCTAGAGAGGCGTTGAGAAAGAGCAACAATCTTGTGGTAAGTGAAATCTCCTGATGAAGCATGAGACCGAACAAGCAGAACAATTGCTAATTGAGCGACTAGGGAGAGGTCATCTGCCACATCCTCAATGGAGCAATCAATCGACCTGCACGAGATGCTCTACTACTTCGCCACGCTATTGACGACATTGGTTCTCACAATCGAGACGAGGAATTGCGCTATGAGCTGCTCATCTCCAGGTTGACACGAGTCCATTGGGATCATGCACATCTTGCTCGAGTCAAACGTGAGTATGGCGAGAAGTATCGTAAGGAGCTTGAACATGACGTTGAGGATGCAACAAAAGGTGACTTCCGAGAGTTCATGTATGAGATCTGCAAGGCATGAGAAGATGAAAAATAGGAGATGAATGCACGAGATGATGAGACACGACACGATTTTATGAGGAGATATTTGCCATGTAGTCCAGCCTTTGGATATTTACCCCCACCATGTCATGTAAAGTTGCCATTCTTTCGCATACTTCATTTGATCCGACTACTGTGACTTGGTATAGACGATAGAAAAGATAACATTCATGGTCCGAGAAACCACGAAGTGTTGCGATCAGAAAGTGGGAAATGCATCAGAGCAGAGAGCATGTCGAGTAGTTCCCAATTGAAGACAGTGCTGAGCTTCAGAGTCGATTGTGTAGCGGAGCCAGGGTATCGCTTCACCTCGCGATAAGATTCGGCAACTTGAACTGCACAGCACAAATTCATTGCTGTAGACGAGAGCGCAACTGTCTCAATATACGGAAAAGGTCAATGGTCGAGTGAAGGAGCTGCGATGGCAGAGGCTGGCGGCAAATGCCGTCGCACTTGCCAAGACGCAAGCGGTCCGCGACGCACCAGAATTCGCAAACCCACCTGAGATTTCTCGAGCAGACAGCGACAACGACCGACCCTCTCACAGCCAGCCGCACAGTCGATACTTCAAAATGAGTTAGTCGCCGCCCCGTATACTCGCTATCGAAAGCGAATGATAGATTCTGGAATACTAATGAACCGCGCGCAGCCAAGGGTACTGGATCTTTCGGCAAGCGCCACAACAAGACGCACGTTCTGTGCAGACGCTGCGGTATGCAACTCCTACGACCGACCGACGACAACGACGGCCTTCGATGCTCTTTCCTGGATATACAGAAATGCTGACAGAACGACCGACTACAGGCTCTCGCTCCCTCCACGTCCAGAAGCACACTTGCTCCAACTGCGGCTACCCCAGCGCTAGCATCAGAAAGTGTACGTTCCTCCGACCCTATACCTGCTCCTCCTCCCTACGATCATTACATACATCCGACACTTGCCATTGCGGCCTGCGAAACAATCGATCCGACATCATCGACACATCTCTATCACCACACATCCCGCACCTCGAAACTACACACACACCTTTATATGAGAACACACATCTGACATGAGAGCAACACAGTCAACTGGGGCGAGAAGGCCAAGAGAAGAAAGACCACCGGTACTGGCCGCATGCGCTCATTGAAGCTCGTCACCCGCAAGTTCAGCAACGGCTTCCGCACCGGCACCCCCAAGGGCGCCCGTGGCCCCACCAACGCTTCCGCCTAAACGATGACCTCTCCTTGAAAACAAAAAGGACTGGTTGATCTCGAAACATGGAAAGGAAAATGGAAAAGCGTTTCTTGGTGGGCAGTGATTCAGAGGAGTTTCTTTTTTTACGGCATTAAGGGCATATGAAACTTTCTTGATTGCAACAAAAAATTGTGGATTCCTCCTACTGGTCACTCATACAAATGGGTCTGCTGCCACTGCCCTCCGTCGAATATGAAGAAAATGAAAACTTCATCTGGCTGTCCACATCGAGAGAGAAAAGACAAGAGAGAGACATGGAGGAAAGTGGCTTCTCTATGGCCCTTCTTACCAGACAAAGTCGTATGAACTGTTCCGCAAAATGATTTGCTTTCCTTGTCGTGTCTGATGTTTGACTATGTGACTGCAAGCATTCGAACATGCTACCACGACCTGACTTCCTGGTCTGCTTTCAAAACATCGTCAATAAAGTACCCAAAGACGACTACTTCAACATAACGTCAGACCTCGAACCAACTAACCACTATGCCCTCGGTCCACCTTTGTCCAAATCCATCAGGACACATGGACACGGGTATTCAGACTTGGGCTACCTACTCTCTACTGTCCGACTCCAACCTCTATCATAAGGTTGCTTAGAAACGACCACTCAAGTATGCCTCCATAGCATGACCTAGTCACCATGTTTTCGATTCGTCTGCTTCTCAGTCCATGTAATCGGCCTCTCTGAAGACTACCTGAAACGTTTGGTCGTGCTCCTGACAACTCGCCATGCCCCCTGCACATCAACATCGACGACTGGCTCAAACTTGATCCTGATCACCATGCATCCTTACTTGCATCACCGTCATGCTCTTGACTCTCGACATCTGAGAATGAATGTAGCTGGATTCATCGAAATCTATATATTATCCAGTTCGTCCACTCGTCTCATCCATTACACAGATACACCGAACTTTTTTGTTCATGAGTGAGGCCGAACATGCTATATGATAGAAAGCAGGAGGGGATGACTGAACATCAATGGAAATGCCTTCTCGTCAACCCATAAACCACCAACGTGAAGAAAAGGGGGTGTGCGTTCTAGAATCGAAAAAGGGTCCGCCATCCGTCATTCAGAAAGGTAGAAAGGTACATAAAAACATTATTTCGGCAATAAAAGCCTTACATCGCGCTTGGGTAACGGCCAGGAGGAGTCAGGCCGTTGGGGTTGGGACGTGGCATTCCTCTGCCGCGACCGCCTCGGGATGGACCTCGCATCCCTGGCAACATGAAGTCTGGATTCTGCCCAAGGATCATGTCATTCTGTTCGTTTCGGCGTTGTTGCGAGGGGCCAGCCGCTGACCCAGGTCCAGGACCATAGCCTGGTGGTGGACGCCAGTTGGGGTTGACACCACGCTGACTTACCGAAGTGAAGTTGCTGGTGTCAGACATGGCGGGAGAAAGTGCACCCTCGATGTTCTCATATGAGCTGTCCCTTTCTAATGACGGCCCTTCGTTGTTCTGATCGACTCGCAAGCGGTCGGGAGAAGGATGGCGTACAGTCGGAATCTGAGGGCCAGGGGTCAGACTTGTCGGTAGTGGAGCACCTACCACGGACGGTTCGTCAGCAGCGAAGCGTGGGTCGACATCTTCGTAGTATGATTCGGAGCCAACGCGTCTATGACGAGATGCTGGAGATGCTTGAATTGGTGAAAGAGGAGGAATCGAGCTCATCTGCTCAGCGGCTGCAGGAGCGTGTCTGGGAACCGGAGGCGCATCCCAGCCGACTCTTGGTTGCACGTATGTTCTGAAAGTAATGTCAGTTTGAAACCCAAGAAAAGTGTACGTTTGGAACTTACGACTCTGAGTAGATGCTTGACGGGGTGACGGGCTCGCCTCCGCTGGGCTGTCTTTGATTGACCGGGGTGATGTCTCTGCGAGGACGTGACAGGGGCTGACCTGCACCACCCATGCCTGACATTTCATGCTGCCCATATAGAGTGGGCGATTGGATTGCAGGACTTCCGGTTCTCTCGTCCATTTCGATAGCTTGACCAATGATTTCACCGTTTACAGGATCCTCAGGTGAGCCGTTCCTGCGAGGGAAAGGACCAACACCAGGAGGTGGAAGAGCATCATTACTGTAGCCTGGAGGAGGGCCGCGTTGACCACGTCCCATCATCGGGCCAAGCATGGGACCAGGGCCAGGGCCAGGGCCAGGGCCAGGACCAGGACCAGGACCCATTCCCCTGCCTTGCGGACCGTTCCAGCCAGGAGGAGGTGGGCCTCTCATGCCCTGAGGGCCGCCTCTCCCAGGACCGTAACCACCTCTAGGGCCTGGGCCATAGGAGCCGCGAGGAGCAAAGCCACCTCTAGGCGGGCCATAGCCTCCACGAGGAGGATATCCACCTCTGCCACGTCCATAGCCGGGAGGAGGAGGTCCCATTCGGTTTGAGTTTTGAGACTCGATTGTACCATTAGAAGTCTGGTGCATCAACAAAGGCAAAGGAGGGTTGGCATTGTGCGGCAAGTTGTAAGGATCCGAAGGCTGGATAGGCATGGGAGGAAGCCCGTCATCCATTGGACGAGTACTGGGAGCTGTGCCATTGCTGCGAAGAGACGGTGCTCGAGGATTGAGCGGGGCACGGTCGTCGCTTCTTCTTTCATTGCTCTTGGTCTCGAAGGAAGCAAACTGGGGACCTTTTGAGTTGTCGAAAGAGCCGTCCATAGGTGGAGGACTGTCGGCTCTGGGCAGCTCATCGGGCATCAGGCGCTCATTCTGCATGTTTTGCATATTGTTGTAGTAGTTGGCACCGTTCATTTCAGCGTTCTCGGCGATACGCTTCTTGCGGGCTTTTCTTGATACCAAGGTCCTCCTCATGGCGCAAGTGACGACACCTGAAGCAATGATGAGAATGGTGGCAGCCAGAACGATCCACCCTCCCCAGGCCATGTGCGGAACAAACAAGAGAATGTCGACCAAGAAAGCCAGAAGGGCAACAAGCAAGGTGGGGAAAGTCAAAATGAGCAGCGCCAGAAGGTAGCGAGGAGAGTGCGCAGGCGAGTGGAAATGAGCGGCCACGGCTAGAGCGAAGCAAATGAGCGTCAAGAGGGCTGCCACAGGATGGACGATGAGAATGGAGGAGAGCGAGGCGCGAGTACTGGATGGCAAGGAGAACTCATTGCTGTCGTCGGAGGAGAACAGCCTGTCTGCAACGGGGGTTAGACGACTCGATTGATGCAGGCTGGCGAGGAGGACATACCCGTGTTGTAACCCACTCTCATACCACTGCACTTTCCATTCTGACAATAGCCAAAGACTCCAAAGTCGACACCATCGAGGCGTGCTAGGGGGATGGCCTGGATGATGGGTGTCGAGAGGGTGCTCAGCAACAGCAAGACGAAGGCGATGAAGAACAGAATGGACAGCGGGGTCGCTGGCCGCAACATGATGGGCGGCTGGAGTGCGCTCCGTCGATGGCGAGTTTGGGGTGATGGCGACTGCGGTATTATAGTAATGTGTGGATGCGTGGAAGGTGCTCCTGCTCCGGAACGAGCGTGGTCGGCTCTGCGCTTATGCGCCTGAGGTAAGAATCAAGGAGAATGGCGGCGCAGCAGGAGTCGGAGGATAGGGAAAGAGCTCGTACGGCAGCGAATGGTGGAAGAGAAGAATCGTCGCAAGAGTCTTGATACGGCGCAACCAGCACGTCGTTCGAGGGATAAGGGTAATGGAGAGGGGGCTTAGATGTGGCGTGCATCGAGGCAGGCCTGACCACTGTAACTTTCTACTGAATACTTGCTGTCCCTCTCCACACCAACGACCAACTCGTGGCAGCCGGGCCAACGCCAGTAGACCCGTTGTCTTGCCATCTGTTGCTGTGCTGCTTCTTTTGTTCGCTACTGCATCGCCTACGCAACTGCCAAACGTCTCTTCTATCTTGTCCTTTTCCCTTGTACACATCCATCATCTCTGCGACATGCAACTTTCATGCCGTCTCGAGTCCAACTGTCCAAGCCGGGCGAGCACGCGGCACCCCCAGAAGACGCGAAGGCACTAACTTTTCTTAGTCCAGCCTCATTAAACTTGATTCGACGTGTTGCGCCAATGCCTCATCTCTTATCCATGTCGCATCTAATCTCAGACTCGTGTCAATCATCGCTTTGTGACGAGACTGTCAGTCCGCCTATATCGACACAATCCTGCGAGTCATGATTGAGCAACTGTCAATCTTTGACTCCCTCTGGAACTTGTTCTTCTTCTCTTTCTTCTACATTTCTCTCGAGCCCCTCGCCTCCACTAGCCTCAACTCTAAATCCCCGCAACATCTGCTTCTTGCCAACCCCTTGACTTGAAAGGTTGGATGGGCTTGGCCTATCGAGCCCAACAATCCGATTCATATCTCCTTGACATGATCCTAGACAGATAGCCGACTGCTCTGCCGCTTCCCAGCCGCCATCACTCAGTGCGTGACACCGAGCTCTGTAACCGACAAATATATTCATAAAGGCACATGATGATCATCACAAAGCTGAAACTATCATCTGCAAGCTTGCGGTCGTGTCAAAACTAAGGCAGGTACCCATCTAGTTCTTCTAATAACACACTCTACTGTCATTGAAATCTCCACAGTATTTCTACACTTGCTTCCACTGTCCGAGAGTCCGAGCAGACATTTAACCCAAGCAACGACCGTTCGTACTTTCGGTCCGTATCCAGTAATAGCTAAATCTGTATGAAGAAATGTTTTGGTACAGACGCTGCCCTTCATAGCAGACCAAGCTCAGCCATCTCGAAACCTTGTGAAACGAAACAAGATGCACCTGTCAGCTGTTTGAGTGTAGCCAACGCGTCATATCTGATTGAAACTTGTCGTAATCACATACAGTACATCGAACAGACTAGACGGATTCTCTATTGATTTCGTGGGTCCAACCTTCAAGCCTTGGCTTTGATAAATTGAGGTCGGTATACTTGCAATACAAGTTGAGGGTAGCACACTTCCACTCCTCTGTATATCTTGCCATATACGTTTGCGACATATCTTCGTCGATCTGGGAACATGGCTGGTCATGACATAACCGCAAGTCGCCAGATACCTCGACACTTTTCTCTTGTTCGACAGTCGCCTACATACATACATTTATACATGCATATACGTATAACAGCCTCACATTAGATGTTGTTGTCAGCAAATAATGATGGAATTTCATCCATGGAGATGTTCGAGAAACTCAGGTCAGGGTGCTGGGGCGAACTTGGTAGCACAACTTCGGGCAAGTATACACGAGCTTCGGCAGGCCCGGATGATCACCCGAGTTGCGTCACTGAAATGGTCGTCCCATCAGCACAAAACATGATGAACATCTTACGGATATTCATCACTTAACATTCAAAACAAAATCAAACCAGAATGGCAAAGCTAATTCTCTCGATCAACGCTGGCTCATCATCTGTCAAGGTCTCTGTCTTCAAGGGCAGCTCTAAAGATGCTGAGCCCTCTCAACTGGCCGAGGTGTCTGTCGCTGGATTAACTGCACCTCCTTCAACGCTCACATACAAGCGTGGAGATCACAAGATCAAGGATCAGGAAATCGAGGGTGTCAGAACTCAGGAAGACGCGTTCAGTTATATTCTCGAGCACCTGCTGAACGACGACGACTTGCCCGACCTAAAGAACAAGGAGGACATTGAATTCGCATGTCACAGAGTGGTTCACGGAGGTGACTTTGACAAGCCCACGAGAATTGACAAAGAAACCTACCATCATATTGAGGAGCTTTCTGACCTTGCACCTCTGTGAGTATCTCGTTATCTAGACTTTGTCGTTGACTGACAGCATGAAAGCCACAATGCAGGTGCTCTCACCATTGTGAAAGCGGTTCATGAACAGTTGCCCAAAGCAACCAACGTTGCTTTCTTCGATTCCGCGTTCCACTCTTCTGTAAGTCTACGTGCAAGAAAACTGATTTCCAAGTCTGACATGCCATGCTATAGATTCCTGAGCACATCCGAACATACCCTATTGACCAAGAGCGAGCAAAGCACAATAAGCTTCGCAAGTATGGCTTCCATGGTCTCTCATATGCATTCATCGCCAGATCAGTAGCAGAGTCTCTGAACAAGCCTGCGGACTCACTAAACATAATTGCTCTTCACCTAGGTAGTGGCGCCTCTGCATGTGCCATTGTCAACGGTAAATCTTTCGATACTACCATGGGCCTGACCCCTCTGGCAGGTCTCCCAGGTGCAACCAGATCAGGCTCAGTCGACCCAAGTTTGATCTTCCACTTTACGCACAATGCTGGAAAGCCTAGTCGTAGCAGCACCAAGGATCTGCACATTACCGAGGCCGAGGAGATCCTGAACAAGAAGAGTGGATGGAATGCTATCGCAGGCACCACTGACTTTGGTGTCATCAGTTCGAAGGCAGAAGAAGGCGACAAGGCATGTCAGCTCGCCTTTGACCTGTTTGTCGACAAGATCTTGAACTTTGTGGGTGGCTACTACGTCAAGATGGGTGGCAAGGTCGACGCTCTGGTCTTTGCTGGTGGTATTGGAGAGAAGGGAAGTCAACTGCGCGCTCGTGTGACCGAACAGCTTGGTTGCGTAGGCTTCGAGCTTGACGCAGAGAAGAACAGAAAACCCGAGGACAAGGAAGTGGTGGATATTACAAAGTCAGGATCGAAGCACAGGGTCCTCATCTGTCAGACCGACGAGCAGACTGAGATGGCAAGACAATGTGCGCAGAGCGCCGACACCTTCCGAAAGAATGCCTAGGATATAAGTCATACAATGCTTCTGATATACGATCTGGACGATGGGCACAGAAACATTCTATGGTGTTGTCGTGGACGGTCGGACAGAAGCCGTATGTAAAATTACTAATTATTGGAAACTCAAAGTCTCGTTAGGCGTTCGCTTCCGCCTTCGCCAGTCTTTCCTCGCGCCTGTAAGTTCATCCAAGACCAGATGTCGTCGTGACCGTTCAGGAGGTCTTATAGCAGGCTCAGGTGGCGTAACAGGCGCTGGTGCAGGAGTGGTAGATGGAGCGCTTCGATTCCTGGGTTTGATCATCAAGAGGATGAACATTCCAGCAACAATGAGGACTAGCAGCAAAATGATTTTTCGCTTCGTCGATTTCTTTTGATATCCCGTAGCGACCTTTAGTTCTTTCTCGGCATGCTTGACCTCAACAGCCATGTTCTCGACATTGTAGTCGATGCGGTCCAGCATGCTTCCCTGATCAATGACCATGGTCTGCAACTCCTGAAAGATGTTGGACAGGTCGATGATGCCCTGTGCAATGTCCTCAATCTCACGCTCTCGCTGGGCAATAGTCGAGTCGTGCAGGCCGGTAGACCGCTGCTTCTGCTTGGTTTGTAGAAGAGTGCTTTGTGCAGAGTTGCGATCGATCTCGGAGTCCATGAGGGAAGGGTCAGTGTAGGGATTCTGGACGGGCGAAGCGGCACGATCGAGCGGTGAGTTCATGCCACCTAGTGTACGCAGCTCTGCAGAGGACGTCAGTCATGGTGCATAGGCTGTTTGGAACGAGTAGGCAAGACATACTCTTGAGGTAGGCAGACTGCTTCTTTCGAAACAGTGCACTGCTATCTCCCACCTTTGTCGCCAATGAGACCTTGAGATTTTGAGCCATGGTCTCTTCTCCTCTGCTTAGACTTCCGGTTTGTTGCGATTCTTTGACCATGTTGTCGATGCGACGAATGGCTCGTTGACATGTCTGGAAGCCTCTGGTGATCTCTTGAGTCATGGCCTCGATCTCTCGCTCTTCCCTTCTCTTGACCTGCTCATCATCGAAGCCTGGTAGTACGTGCTTCTGATGCAGTTGGTCCAGCTTCTTGATCTGCTTCGTAATGTTCTCTAACCATTCGGCGACCTGGTCTTGCACGTCGAGCCAGCGCGGTGGTAGACGGTCCATTTCAATTACAGCATCTCCATCGTCAAAGGCACCGGCGGACATGAGTCCTCTTGTTTCTTCGGATTCGCCATTGTCTCCGAAGCCTCCAGCGATGCGCGACTTCTTGGTCGTAGGGTGATGCGAATAGGATTGGCGGTATGAAATAAAGCTACAAAGGGAGACATGGTCAGCTCCGTCTGATGATGAACAGTTGCTTTGGGCTCTTGTACAGATTGCTTCTATCGCGCCACATGATGCGCGTTTATGGGAAAAGTCCGAATCAACATGGAATGCGATGCAGAAGCATGGAAAAGTGTGCGTGGTGTTACTTGGCCATCTAGTACTAGAGCCAGCAAGCATTCGTGATGGTGGACAGGGTGCGAGGCTGACGTGGTGCAAATGACAAGCTCCCGCCGAAACACCAAAGCACCCTGAATCTCAAGCATTCTGGACTCTTCCCTCCTCCACGCACTCCCCTTCTTCGCATCTTGGCCTTTGCATAACACTCGCAAGCCATAACTCACACCACTTCACCGTTCACGACACACACATCAAAATGGTAACCTCATCCCTTGTCGCCCAGCCAGCCCCGCCATCGTCAGGAGGCGCCCGCTGATGCTGTCGCGGCCTCTCTCTATCGCCATTGCACTTGCTGACACCCACTTCCAGGCCGACTCACTCACTGAAGAGCAAGTCTCCGAGTTCAAGGAGGCCTTCTCCCTCTTTGTAAGTCCCTGCTGCCTCCGTTCTGCCCAGCCAGCCTCTTTGCGCGCCCAATCCTCGCAGCTCTCGCAGTCGACTAACCCAACAACAGGACAAGGACGGCGATGGTACGTCTACAACTTCCGAAACTCCACACCTCTTTCGAACTACGCCTGCTTTCTCCTAGCCCACAATGCGACACAGCCTCGACCCTCAGGAGTCCTACCATACTAACAATGTCGCGCAGGTCAGATCACCACCAAAGAGTTGGGCACTGTCATGCGCTCTCTCGGACAGAACCCCAGCGAGTCGGAGCTCCAGGACATGATCAACGAGGTGGACGCTGACAACAACGGAACCATCGACTTCCCTGGTCAGTCCAATCCAGACTCGTCACTGTGTGCAAGAAGAAGCTGACGTCTTCTTTTCCTATAGAATTCTTGACCATGATGGCCCGCAAGATGAAGGACACCGACTCTGAGGAGGAGATCAGAGAAGCCTTCAAGGTCTTTGACCGCGACAACAACGGTTTTATCTCGGCCGCTGAGCTTCGCCATGTCATGACCTCGATTGGCGAGAAGTTGACCGACGACGAGGTCGACGAGATGATCAGAGAAGCCGACCAGGACGGCGATGGCAGAATTGACTGTGAGTTCAAACCGCTACAACATTGGCTCGAAAGAACAACGCTAATGTGTGATTGCAGACAACGAGTTCGTTCAGCTCATGATGCAGAAGTAGAGGTAATTTGACGTCCGAGTGCACATGAGGAGGGCACTTTAGTTACTATCATGCGGTTCAACGTAGCCGTCACGACCTGAGAGATACCTAAGAGCTTATGCTTATTATTGCGACCTGACTTTGAACAAGGCTTTTCCAACCAGCTCTTCATTAACGCCATATCGGCCATCTCAATGCTCCTTCTTTCTTGCCATGACAGCCCTGGCGTAGTCATGTTAATTTCGACCAGGTAGTGTTTCAGGTTGACTTTATGCTGCCCGTTTCACTCTGCAGACGCGCCTCGGGCTTGGATGTGGGGGAAGATGACGAAACGTTTGCCGGCCCAAAGGGGACTCGGGAGTCCTCCAAGCGGAGTTGATCATTGATTCACATCTACTGAACAAGCGATAGCCATTCATTGTTAAGTTAAACGCTCTTTGTTGTATATTCTGTAAATTCTACAATATCAAACAGGTCAGGCAAGCCTCATTCTCAAATATGGCTGCCGCTCGTAGACTCGGTAACAACAAGTCATGCCCCACCTTGAGAATCCATCCAGACTGACAGCCATATAGTAAAGCCGGCTCTGTTGTAAGACCAAAGGCCTTCAAAGCATGCCCCAATGTTTAGTCGCTGATATTGTCGACAGTATTTGTGATCTTCAAGAGAAATTCCGGTCCGCTATTTATGAGTACGGTCGTGTGATTAGCACCACTCAGAAGCTGCTCAAGGCTTGTCAGATCCTCGACATTCCCGTCTTTGCAACGACCCAGCTGCGCGGTAAACTCGGAGAGACATGCAGCGAGCTTGGCCTTGATAGTCCAGGGGGTGTTCAGACTCATGCCCATGTTGACAAGAGTGCTTTTTCGATGTTTGTGCCAGAGCTCCGTGATGCTTTCGAGAAGCTTGGTGGTGGAAAGAGGGAGGTCATCATCGTTGGCATCGAAAGTCACATCTGTGTTACGCAGACGACACTGGATCTGATCAAGGAAGGACACAAGGTCTACGTCATCGCCGACGCCGTCAGCAGCTGCAACAAGGAGGAGGTGCCCATCGCGTTGGCAAGACTGAGAGCCGCTGGCGCTGTCGTCACCACTAGCGAGTCGTGGCTCTATGAATGCATGGGCGATGCTTCGGTGCCAGAGTTCAAGCAAATCGCGAGTCTAGTCAAGGAGTACAACTCCAAGACCAAGGAGGGACTCCAAGCTTTGTGTAGATTCTAGGTAGTAACGACGCAAAACCGATGTGTCGACAGGCGCGCGTTCTAACATTCACATGTATGGTAGTACCTACTTTGTGTGCAGACGGATGTGATTAAAAACGTGATAGGTCAGCAATGTCAAGTCTCACGGGATCCGGTGTCCTCGGCCACATGTTGGCTTCCATGTTCTTTGTCTCACACGAGTGCCGCAGATAGGATCGAGGACTCGGTCGTTCAGCCTTGCTTCTGAACCCGATCGCTGCTAAGCGACGCGATGAACCCGCATAGAAACCAGAATCCGGAGAAGAACAGGAGATGATGAGTCGGAAAAGATTGCCGTTCGCTAGGAAAAAGAAATCGTGTCAAGGTCACAAGTGCATGGATATTTCGATGGTTGATTTTATGCGAGTATGGACCAAGGTCCGAGCGCCCTCTAATGATGCCGTTCAGGACTACGAATGAACGAAACGAGAGCGAAGCGGAAGTGAACAGAACAGGTGCGCCTTCCTAATTCAAAAACAGCGGAACCGGGAGTTATATCATTTGTTGCAGTAGGCAGACGATTGCTGGCAGGACTTGCGCATTGCAAAGCAGGGGCTGCATAAGAGACGATCCCGACGTCTTCTCCATCATTCCCTCGTCTAGAAGCACACAAAGCAAAGACAAGGAAACACTTTACCCATCTCTACCTTCCCCATTCACAACGCCCGTCCCGACCGCCACTTCCTGGTTTGCTCAGTTCGTCCATCGACCCTCTGGCATCCGCCCTCGTTTGCTCTTGTTTTCTCATTTCTCACGACCAGCGCCTGCAGAAGCCCGTGTTTGAAAGAGACAAAGGGAAAGGAAGGACATTGGACCGGGTGTGCCACAAGCGCCGCTGTCGACCAGATCGCTCACGCACTCTTAACACATTCGATTATTCTCGCATTCAGCCCGGCGATCTCTCCTCGGCTCACCTGGCCCGCCGACTCTCGACCCCTGCTCGCCGTCGCCGTGCCAGCAACACCCCCACGGTCTAGTCATCAAGTCTCCCGACGTTCGAGCATGAGGATTACCTGCAAGACCAACCCCGTTGGAATATCTACATGACGTCTAGTCATACCCCAAACATGGCAGCCGCCTCGTCCGCCCAGAGACGATCAACAAATTCTCAGCAATCAAATTCCGTCCCATCTACACCGCACCAACATCCGCGAGACCTTCGTTTCCACTCACGATCTCCCTCTCCCAGCAAGACAATAGGTCACAACTCTCCTCACGCCGGCGCTTCTGGAGCTGTCGGCACTCCCGTGGTAGCAAAGCCAGTCCAGGAGTTTTGTAGATTCGAGACTGGTGCCGAGTACAGGACACGGCGGATACCCTACATTGAAGGCGGCAACGACCCGCTACCACCACCAACAGAAGAGCCCAAGGCGGCTCTTGACCCAGAGCAAGATGATAAACTGAGTGGCGACATGAGAGAACTTTACGGCCGGTTATTACCCACAGATGAAAGCGAAGAAAGAAGGCGGAAACTCGTCCAGAAGCTAGAGGACATCTTGAACAGAGAATGGCCCGGCAACGAGATCAGAGTGAATGTTTTCGGGTCTTCTGGCAACCTGCTCAGCTCCAACGACTCTGATGGTGCGTACCCCTGCTCTGCTCCTCCCGGGGCTCTCCTCAACATGCGCTGATCGTTCTATGCAGTTGATGTTTGTGTAACCACACCCCTGAAAGCGCTCGAGTCCATGCACTCTTTGGCCGCTGTTCTTCACAGACGTATGTTACTCTCAGTCCTCACTATCCTTACATTGAGCTTATCCCTTTGGCAGATGGCATGGACAAGGTCATTTGCAGAGCATCTGCAAAGGTCCCAATTGTCAAGATCTGGGATCCTGAACTACAACTGGCATGCGATCTAAACGTCAACAACCCACTGGCTCTTGAGAACACGCGCATGATCAAGACATATGTCCAGATCGACAACCGAGTACGACCGCTCGCGAAGATCATCAAATATTGGACGAAAAGAAGGATACTCAACGATGCTGGTGCGTACCCGAAGACCAAGCAAGAATGCATGTACGCTAATACAGTTCTCAGCCTTTGGAGGCACTATCAGTTCCTACACATGGATATGCATGATCCTCAACTTCCTGCAGACCCGCAACCCTCCAATACTCCCATCTCTCCAGAAGATGCCCGGTTCTCGCTCCACACAAGCCAACGGTCAGATCTCAGCGTTCGCCGACGATTTGGAAGAGCTACGCGACTATGGGAAAGACAATCAGGAAAGTCTTGGGCAGCTTATTTTCCACTTCTTCCGACATTACGCATATGTCTTCGACTATGAAGAGCTTGTGGTCTCGGTGAAAGAAGGCAAACCACTTGCGCGCAAAGAGAAGGGCTGGGACACAAAAAACTACAAGGAGAAGGAATCTCGCAGTCGTTTGTGTGTCGAAGAACCGTTTAACACGCAAAGAAACCTCGGAAATTCCGCCGACGATTACGCATTTGGTGGCATACACAAGGAGATCCGAAGAGCATTCGAGTTGCTCAAGGACGGTTCTGGTCTTGAGGAGTGTTGCGCTCAGTTCGAGTTCCCTATTGAGGAGAAGACGATATTTCAAAGGCCGCCGCCCAAGCCTAAACCTATCCTCACTCGAAGTGCCTCTCAATCCGGACGCCCTATCAACGGGAACAACCAAGCGAGAGGTAACGGAAATGGCGCGAGAAACAACCGCAATCCGTCTAATCAACGGGCCAATGGCCGTAGGTCCTCGAGTGGAACCGCATATGGCAATTCGAGGGTACCATACGTTATGAGCCCGCCGGTCGGGATTAACCCTGCAGATTACTTCCAAGCCACTGCAATATCGACTGATCAATTGCACAATCAGCTCTACAAGCAATATCGCTTCTTACAGGCGCAACAAGAGGCTTTGAGAAACCAGCTTCTACAACAACAGCAAACCCAAGTCCAGTTGCAGCAGGTCCAGGCTCAGGCGCAAGCTCGTGGTGTCGACCTTGGGACTCCTCCTCGTTCGCGACAATTTGCGAATAACATCCCAAGCCCCCACAGTCCACGAATCTTCGAGAACTCATCTACAACAGCACCACCGCTTCTGCCTGGCTACCTTTATCATTATCCGGCGAGATACCCTCCGCCGTCACCTTTGTCCCAATCGAGAAATACTGAGGATACTATCATCGGACCTTCTTCGCCCTCATTGCAGAGCGCAACTCCTACATTGCGGAGAGGTGTACACCGCGGTTCCATCACTGAAGGCACGGCCAATGCTTCGGCTCGTTCACAATCCCAACCTGGACGTTCGTTCCCCAATCCGATGACGCTCCAGGGTCTTGCGCATCCAGGCTACGATGTGTCCGGAGCGATTGCTACGCCCTATATGATGCCGCGCTCAGTGCAGCATTTCACTCAGATGCAGCCAAATGGCTCAGTAAGGCAGACCAATGGCTCTTTCCCTGCAGAGTCTGCTATGCCTAAGGAGTATGTCGGGTACTATGTGGGGCAGTCTCCTCAGCTTCTGCCTCAGTACCAGAGCGGCAACTTGGTACAGGTCCCACAGCTAAGAGATATAGTTCCACAGTCCGACAGACGCATATCTCCCGAGCTCGGCTACCAAGCCTCTGATGGCTTGCGCCTTGGCTCCCGTTCGCCCTCGCCGTTTGCTGACGGGCGTCGACACTCGAGCTCAGCGTCTGCTTACCCTCTTGCAGCCGTTCAACCTTTCTCCCAGGTACCCGTACAGCAGAAAGTCAACGAGAGCCAAGGTCCTGTTATCGTAAATGGATCCAACATGGCAAGCGCAAAACAGAAGCAGCCTTCTGCGACAATAACCTCGACGCCATTGGTGCAGAAAAGCAACGACACCACACCTGAGCTAGTCCCAACGGAACAGATTCAGCAGATGTCGTTAGATGCATCCGTGTTCCATACCAACGGTCAGCAGCACGACATGGGTGAAGCAGCACCACGGCACTTCGTCGCACGCCCGAATGGCCATGCTGTTGAGCCCTCGTTGCCAGCTCATGTCGCTCAGAATGTTCCGACGCCTGTTTGGAGGCAGAATGCACCAGATCCTCAGGGAATGTCCAACCACGCCGTGCCTGCGTCCCAAGGTCAAGATACGAGCCATGCATCTTCGATGAGTCTGAATGGTTCCATGCAAGCTGCCTCGCTCCACCCATCCATGGGACCGCTTTTGTCACCTGTCGCCGAGATTCGTACTCCATCGCCTGCGTTGGGCCGAGCGACTGACTCCTCGAGGTCGGGTCCACACCACAAGCTCGCGCATAACGTCCAAATTGCCAATGGCAAACTCGCAGAGGCAGCTACCAAGTCCCACAATGGCAATTCGCATCGCAGTGACGGTGGTAAGCATCAAGCTCCTACAAGCAGCTCCGCCGGTCCTTGGCAGCAAGCTCCAGCAAGAAAGGGGCACAAGAAGAGCAAATCCAACACTGCCAACAAGGGCTCGCATACGCCCAAGACTGGCGGCGGAGAGCCTTTGCCTGCCAACGAAGCCGACAGAAAGGGCGGATGAACGAAGGAACGAACCACAGCGAATCAGGCCGATTGAATACCTGGTCCAAATCTTGCTTGCCATTGTCACTACGATGTTCCGTCCCAGGCGGGTGATTACCAACATCTGCATGATCGAACAGAAACACTGTTTCACATATCTGGATTTACTTCGTGAAAGGCGACCAAAAAACACACTAATATACACGAAAAGGGCGTGCACTATATGGATTGGGCGACACATCGGAGCAGAAAAAAAAGGGGAGCACAGGAACATCTTCATGTTTTTCCACGAGATACCACCCAGCGTTTTCCTTGTCTTTCATGTTGATTTCGTTTTTTACAAATTTTCGTTTTGCTCATTCTTCCATCTCGGCATGGCGCGGGCATGGGCTACAAGTGGATTTTTTGCATGTGGGCGCTTTTGGCAGATAAATGCATACGGCATGCGCATCAAAGGGGTTTAGCACCAACGGGGTTCTTTGCGATGTATAGAAAGGCAGCCGAGAGTGAAGGATGACAAAGACAAAAAGAATCAAATGCACAAAAAAAAGTTGAAATCAGTTAATGGGTCCTGATGTATTCTGAGGATCTTACTAACGTGAATGCATATCGCAATTGACGGACGGGCCTCATCCCTCGCAGTGGCCTACTCCGCGCCTTCCTTCTCCGGATGGGGGAACTGTGGGGGTGATATGCAGCTCCGTCGATCGTCTCTACCATGATGTCCCGAGCTCACATCTTCTTCCACCAATCGCTGCCTATCGCTTGTTGGAACATGCCTCATGCCCATACATCAAAGGTCTACCGTGGTGGACAGAAGAGAGGGCGACCCCTCAATACAGTGGCCGCCCATGGAATATACTTTTCCAGATCGACATGGTTGGTGATATAAAAGTCAAGCAATCGCTCATGCAAATTTGGGTTACCAACAACAATGATTGTTATCAAGTCTCTCCTACTCAGCAGCCTGACACTGTCGACAGGCGTGGCTGCTGCTCCAAAGAAGAGTAGATTTAATTGGCATGACACGAAGTACATGTAAGATATTTTCAGCTTGGGATGTGATGATGAGTACTAATGTATACCAGGTTAGCATTCGGAGACTCGTACACATATGTTCAAGGTACCGCTGGCCGACAGAATTCGACTTTTATTGGCGACTACTTCAATCTCTCGTTCACGGAGGATGAGCTGTTGAACAACAAGATAGTTCAGAATCAGGTGAGCAGAAGCAGCATTGATCAGTGTTGGACAGTACACTGATATTATTGAGTAGACAGCTACTGCTGAGGGAGGACCAAATTGGGTCGAGTATCTTACAGGTTGTGGTCTCAAATCGGGCCTCACCTCACCACTTTCGTGCAAGACACAGCTCTGGGACTTTGCCTTTGGAGGCGCTGATATCTCTACCAAACAGTGAGTTGGTCTCATCTCCTCAGTCAACAGTACTAATATATAACATAGTACACCTCGACACCACAACTACACAGTAATGCTAGAGGAACAAGTTCAACAATTCATCACCTACGCCCAACCAACGCTCTTCAAAATCATCGATCCCTCAAAAACACTCGTCGCATTCTGGATAGGAATAAACGACATCAACGATAGTGCCAAATACTCTGTCGACTTTCCAAGCTTCTATAATACGTTGATCAGTACGCTTTTCGACTCTGTCCAAAGTGTCTACGATGTCGGATATCGTAACTTCCTCTTCATGAACCTACCTCCTCTAGACCGCACACCAGGAAATGTACTCAAAGCCACACCACTTCCAAACACCACTATGATCAACTGGTGGGACCAATCTCTTGCCTCTCACATCACCTCCTTTTCCGCCAAGAATCCTGCAGCAAATGCCTTTGGCTTTGACGTCAATACCTTCTTGAACAACGTCTTGGATCATCCATACAAGTATGGAATCAAGAACACCACGGGATATTGTGCGAGTTACAATCAACCGTTCATCAATCAGGAGCCAGAGAGCTATGGCTGCTTACCGTTGGATGAGTATGCGTGGTTTAATGATGGACATATGACTTCGCATGTTCATGAGATTTTGGCAAAGGAGGTTGGACAGTTTTTGAAGAAGCAGTCGTAAGAAGAGCGGAAGTATATAGCTTGCATATATCTAATCGTTTCTAGATAAATTTGTCGATGAGAGCGACCGTCAGTAGTCATTGCAATCACTTGGTGTGAGGGAGGATCCTCCTGCGAAAGCTTGCTTAAATGACATTCCTCGTTTGGTATCATATTGCAAGCCATATCTACGCATAATCCCACGGATGTTGATATATACGTCTATTCTAACAGTCGATGGAAGTAGTAGAAGTACAGCATGATCTGGTAGCCGTCTACTGACGTATCATTCCAAGAGCAGGGTGGGATGCTCGACGAGAAAAGCCTTGCTCAAAACCAAAATTGTTTTCATTCCCGTCCCTGGAAAGATCATTCTGCTCCATCGACGTTGTACGTACACTACATGACCCAAGCTATGTAAGTGTGTCTTCACATAGCCTGATTTGGTTGGACGGAATATGATGATAGGTGTACGTCGATTGCAGTATGTGCTATCCTTCTCATCTATAGAAAATAGGAATTAGCGCCGACCCAATGCTGATCCATGTATTAACGCTCAATGTATGGTCACCAAAACGCCATCCCTGTTGTATTATATCAACCGTTCATTTGCGGTGCCTGCAATTCACACTGACAATCTCTGCTTGTCCCCAGGCATTTAATACCATAGCAGTGAGTTTGTCGCCGTTCACGCAACCGCTATCGAGACCCTTGCTCCATCTCTTGAGATTGAGACCACGGGGGCTGTCATGTCCGTAGACAACGACAGAGGGTGGTGGGTGCTTGACCGTTGTCTGAGCTTCCTCGTTGTCGTTTTCGCTGTTGTACAGGCCGTGCCATGACTTCCACCAGTTCTTTGCTTCTGTGGACTCGGTGCTTGATCCGAAGAGCCAGGTCATGAATGGTGAGCGAGTACGGGCGATGCGATCGTTGTACCAGCCCCAGACACGCTCCCATGGAATGCCCCTTTTGCGATTCTCGCTCGGTACGTGGTTGGTTGGAGACATACTGCGCATGTTCATAACAGAGAATGGATCCTGACGAAGGAGTGGCACAGACGGAACAAGGCCCGCGTGCACGACGTTGATGTCGTGTAGGATCTGGAAGGTCTTTGCCTTCTTCTTTTTCTTGCCGAGAGTGTCCAGATCAGAAAATGCCGGAGCCGGATTTTTCGGTGGACTGAGTGCTGGGACATGGATGATCAGGGGCAATGAACGGAGCCACTTGAGATGGCGTGGTTTGAGGTAGCTGAGAAGAGCTTCACCCTTCAGTCCAGCACCTCTTGATGCAGCAGAGATGTCTGTAGATGATTCGTCGACTGTCTCAAGCGAGTCGCCAGTGGACGTTCTTGACTGTGCGGCTAACAAGATGCGGTCTTCATGATTGCCACGTACAGATAAAGCACCGAGAGAAACTAGGGTGTCGATAACGCCAGGGGAATCAGGCCCCTTTGCGACAACATCACCAGTAGCGATGATCTGGTCCAGATCCTTGTTGAAACCAACAGTCTTGAGCAGCTCAAGAAGTTCGTTCTTGCAGCCATGTATGTCGCCAATGAAGATCAGACGTCTCTTGCCATCAGGGTCGGATTTACCACCTGGCGCGTGGTGAGAAGGTAGTTGTTGTAGCTGTATGATGTCGCTTAGCTTGTCGGGCATCTGATGGCCAAATGAATTTGGATTGTCGAGACCTTCAGCCAAAGCTTCCCGCTCGCGCCATGCGGGAAAGATGTAACCACTGCAGAGGAAGACGAGGGCCAGGATGGAAACTACAGTGAGGAGCATAGTACGACGGACTCTGCGGTTGGCGCAGAAAGCATGACAAAGATTCACAAATGAGGCGTCAGAGTCAAGATCGCAGCAATGGGCGAGCTCGCGATCGTCGTCGTCGTCGTCAGAATCGGAGTCGTGGTATGACTTCTCGGAGCGCTTCTCTTCCAAGCGGTGCCAACCATTCACGGCGCGTTCGATCAGGGGACGGTTGTTGGAGGTATACTGAAAAGGAAGGTAGCGGTCGGAAGGATAGTTTTGGGACGAAGTCATTGCTGCGTCATAGGAGGGGACATGAAGTTTATATGTCGCGAGACAGGATGGGGCAGATTGTAGAAGGTCAAGGAGGGTTGATGAAAGCCTCCCCAGGCTGCAGCATGAACCGATCACGGGCAGATGAATTATTTGATCTTCAGGCAGGAACGAGGAGGTGAAGGAGGATTAATTGCCAAGACGCGCGGCATCTCTCGGCGGTGCATACAGAGTGTTTGATCGCTTCGTGCATATTATCAGGTAGCTGGGAATAGCAATGTGACAGTGTGCAGAGGGGTTGGAGAAGTTCCAGCCAGCACGAAGAAAAGCACATCAAAAAGGGTACGACCAAGGCAGACGTGTGTGAGAGGTCCAAGGTCCAAGGTCCAAGAGCCGCTTCTCATCATCATCAATTTATAATAGGCAAGCGCATCGGGCGGGAAAGAGCGAGCGGCCCCCGCGTCACCAGGTCGAGACGCGCTTTCCACACCAATCGCGTGTCACCCGCGACGCATCAAGCTCGTCCTTGACTTGCACATATTCTTCCACCATATTTGGACATCACCATACCGCAGCCCATGCCTCGAACGCGCAATCGCGCCAGTGCTGCGCAGGAGAAGCTTGTCGTCGAAGAGGCTGTCATCGAAGAAGCGCCTGTTGAGGTCGAGGAGGAGCAAGATGAGGAGGAGGAGCATCAGAGCATCGAGGGAGCCCCGAGGCCTCTGGACTTCAACGAATCGCTCACATGGCGCGCCGGGAAGCCGATTGCCGTCGCCGAACTACTACGCCGCCTGAGGACCCTACATGGCGAATTGAGCCAACTCGACCAAGAAGATGCACATCGCGACTCGCTCGTCCCCGTCGCACAAGAGCTGGCCCACCGCAATCTGCTCGAGCATCGCGACCGCGGTGTCAAGGCCTGGACCGCGCTATGTATCGTCGAGATGTTCAAGTTGCTGGCCCCCGACGCTCCCTTCAAGGCCGCTCAATTGAACCAAATCTTCTCTCTCATCATCACTCAAGTCTTGCCTGCCCTCGGCAACCCTCAGGATCCCTACAACGAACAACATCTGTCCATCGTCCGATCGCTGGATGAAGTCAAGAGTATTGTACTCCTCACTGACATACCTGGTGCCGATGGTCTACTGTACAAGCTATTCACAGGGGCCTTTGACATCTTCGCAGACACATCCAACAACGACAAGGCTGAAGAGCTGGGAAAGAATGTCGAACACCATGTCACTAGTCTGCTCGTTACCGTCGTCGACGAGAGTCCATCGCTGCCCAACGATGTTGTCGATATCATCCTGGCACAGTTCCTCCGCCTCGATCCTACCACCTTCCCTCTTCAGCTCAACAAATCAGCCCTCGAGTCATCGCGCCCTTTCCATTTGCAACTACCTCCGCCAGCCTACAACATGGCCAAGAACATCTGCAGCTCCTGCCCTGACAAGATGTCGCGCATGGTCGCACACTACTTCAATTCTATTATTGCCGACCTATCAGACGGCATGGACGGTTCGAGTTCGCGCAAATCGACGTCGCGACGACGACCTCGTGCTGATGATGAGGAGGATGAGGACGATGACAACGACCGCGATGCACCACCTGCTGGTCCGACCGCAGAAGAGCTCAAGTCTCTGGAGAAGGCTCACAGGTTGTTGCGCGAACTCTGGAGGTCCGCCGCTCTGGTCATACAAAACATTGTTCCGCAGATCGAGTCTGAGCTCGCCGCCGAGAATGTGGATATAAGGCTATTGGCCACAGAGACAGTTGGCGATCTGATCTCTGGTATTGGTGCGGCAGGTCCCCCCACTCCAATCGCTCTTGATCCCGCAGCATACCCTTCGCAAAGCATCGATCCACCTTCGGCCTATTCTAGGACATACAACTTCCTCACCACTCCCGCTGCGCCTCACGCCTTCTCTTCCGTGCACGCATCCACTTACCAAGGCTTCCTCAATCGTCGCAACGACAAATCACCTCGAGTCCGTTCTGTCTGGGTAACTTGTGCAGGCCGCATTCTATCTACTTCTGCTGGCGGCGTCGGTCTCGATCCGAAAGAGGAGAGCGCTTTGCTCAGGCACATCTCAGACATGCTTGTGGACACTGATGAGCACGTCCGTCTTGCGGCCGTGCAAGCCATCGGTCGCTGTGACTTCGAGACAATTGTACAACGCATGGGCTCGAGCGGCAGTGTCACGACTCCCGATTCTGTTCTGTCAAATCTGGCCGACAGAATCAAAGACCGCAAGCATAGCGTCCGTGCCGAGGCCATGTCTCTACTCGGTCGAATCTGGGGTGTTGCCGCAGGGGCCATCACTGAGGGCAACGAGAGGGTTCGTATGCTGCTTGGTGCTATCCCCTCGCGCATATTTGATGCTATTTACATCAACGACCGCGAGATCACTGCACTGGTGCAACAAGTCCTTTACGACTCGCTGTTACCGTTGAGCTACCCGCCCATCAAGGCCAAACCCGCGTCAAACGGCGACTCACAGCGAGTCAAGGACAGCCAAGTACCAGCTTCGCAAGTCGAGAAGGCACCTTTCCCAGATGCTATCCGTGCTGAGCGTATCTTGGTCCTGGTCCGTGACCTTGAGCAGAAGGCCAAGACTGTGTTTTTCACATTTCAATCTAGACAAACCAAGATGGCTCAATACTTGGAGGCGTTCCTGAAACGATGCGAAGATTACAACGGAGGCGTCAGTGCGAAGAATGGCAAAGAAGGAAGTGGCTCACTGTCCAAGCTGATCGAATTCTTTGCGCGTGAACGTCCCGAGCCTCTCGTGGCCAATGAACACCTCTGGAAGTTTGCTAAGAAGCATGACAGAAGATGTTATCAGCTTATTCGTTTTGCAGTCAATCCTGACAGCGAGTATAAGAAGGTGCACAACGCGATTAAGGAACTGTCGAAACGCATCGAAGATTCACCTGGTCATACCTCGGCGGTCCTAACGACGCTACTTCCAATCATTTACCAGGCCAGTGTATTGGTCTACAACAAGAGTCATGTTCCCACCATTGTCGACATCTCTCGTACGGAGATTAGGGGTCTCGATACGCCTGCACACGAGGTGCTCAAAGAAATCTCGGCTCACAACCCCGAGGTCTTCAAGGCACACGTGCGTAGCTTGTGCGCCACACTCCAGGAACAAGTGCCATCAAAAGACAGGCCAACCGATTCTGGAGTTGTCGAGACCTTGAAAGCGTGTGCAGGCTTTGCGCAGAGATTCCCTGCGGAGATTCCTCGCGACCGTGCCTTCTTACAAGCCATGGTTCAGTTTGCTCTGCATGGTAATCCCCCGATCGCCGCAAAGCACGCAGTCTCAGTAGTCGTTGCTGCAGATGAGAAGAAAGACATGTACGTCAAAGACATTGTTACTAAGTGTGTGCAAGGCTTCGAGTATGGCGAAGATGGCTACCTCTCAAAACTGGCAGCACTTAGTCAACTCATGCTGTTATCAGCCAAAGATACTGAAGACGAACATGATAACATCCTGGAAATCGCGATTCAGAAGGTCCTTCTACAAGTCCGCACACAAGCCAAATCAGACGATGTCGAATGGCAAGAAGAACCAGATGACGAGTGCGAAGCCAAGATCTGGGCTCTCAAAATTTTAGCCAACAGACTTAGGTCATATGCTATGTCTGTACCAGACACTGAGATGGAGTCCGTGGTTACAGAGCTGGCACTTCCAGTCTTCAAACTGTTGCACCGAATTCTTGACAAGGATGGAGAGCTGTCTAAGACTCAGGGAGAAACTCCTAAGCCTCACAGGGCACGCCTTCGATTGAACGCTGCTGTTTTACTACTCAAGCTTTGCAGCGCACACAAACGCTTTGACGCGTTGATGGAGCCCAAGAACTTCAATCGCCTTATCGTCATTGCTCAGGATCCTCTTCCTGAGGTTCGATCAGCCTTTGTAGATGCTATGAAGAAGTATCTCGGCCAGGGTAGACTGCCTCACCGCTTCTACACCCTAGTGTTCGTCTATGCTTTCGAGCCGAATGGAGTTATCAAGAACCCGGCGTCGACATGGCTAAAGGGGCGTGCCGCCGCGTTTGCCAAATCTAATGAGACTGTCATGGAAGCCACATTCGCACGCTTCATCAGTCTTCTCGCTCATCATCCCGATTTCTCAACTGATGCCGAAGACCTCCGGGACTTTGTCGACTACATGATGTTCTACCTTAAGGCTGTTGCTACACCAGCAAATATTACCTTGATTTACCATGTCGCACAAAGGATGAAATCTGTCCGAGACGGCATCGATGAGTCGAAGAGCGAAAACCTCTACTGTCTGTCGGACATTGCGCAAGTGGTTATCCACAGATATCAAGAGCTGCAAGGTTGGTCACTATCAGTGTGGTCAGGCAAGCTTCGACTCCCCATTGGCCTCTTTGCCTCCCTACCAAACCATACGGTGGCTCAGGAGATCTCAGAAAAGCAGTACGCACCAGAAGCTTTGATGGAGCAGATCGAAGACCTGGTCAGAGACCGTCTGCGCACCAAGAAGCGCAAGTCTGAAAATACAAGCACTCAAGCCAAGAAGCGTGCCAGAGCAAGCGAGGGCAAAGCGGCTAGACCAGCATCGAGCAAGAAGGTCAAGAGCGTAAAGACGCCTAAGAAAAGGAGAGCTTCCAACGCTACCGCGTCAGCGCCAGCCAGCGAGATCCGTCGTAGCTCGCGCAAGTCTGGTGCAAAGAGCTACATGGAGGAGAGCGACAGCGATGGAGTCGATGAAAACGACGACGACGCCGACGAAGACGATAGCAACGACGAAGAGAGCGACGTAGAAGACCACGAGATGGAAGATACTGAGGAGCAAGAGCCTGAACAGGCTCAAGCTAGAAGCGAAGATGCCGAACCAGAAGTCGAGGCCGAAGAAGAAGTTGTCGAGCCAGAACAAGAGCCAGAAGAGGAGCCTGAAGCACCGGCACCACCAAAAGCAAGACGATCAGGTCGTGCTGCCCCCAAAGGCAAAAAAGCCGCCCAACCTGCAGCAACGCCCAAAAGGTCGAGCAGAAGAAAGAAGAATGGTGCAGCCAGTGATTCCGAGCTGAGCGAAGCACCATCTGATATGGAGTAGTTATTTGAGATAAACCACATCGCATGTCTTTGCTAAAACATGAAAGTACTTACTATGGCTTTTCTTTTCTTTCCCTCTTCCAACAGCACGCACACTTTAGCGATGGGCGTTTTTCTCTTTTCCTTTCTTTGACAATGTTTTATCTGTGTTTATCGATTCATGCATGTATAGCCAGCAGTATCCAAACAAGACCTTGAGCAGGTGTACCATACTCTAGCACCTCAGACCAACGTGACACGACTGAAGTAGAAATGTAAGAAGGTACAAGCTCGTGATTATGAATATAGTAAGATTGATTATGGGTATCTAGTCTTTGATGGGCAAACAAATAAAAACAGGTCATTATAATGTTACACAAGTCCTCATTCTAGATCTAGACGGACTGTCTGTTTGATGCTTTAGACTTGACCGAAGCAGTCATGGAGTTGTTTCTGCTGGGTCCGTAGATAGCAGAAGCTCTCCTTCCACCATGCTCCTCGCGAGCAGAAGACAATTGCTGGGCGAATGGTGAACGCTTGCGGAGAACAGGTCCCTTCCAGTAAATGACATAAACAGAAACGACAAGGAGGAGAGCGATACAAGCCAAGATGGTCGAGGCGTACTCAAGGTGGTGCTCACCACCAATGTTTTGGTAGAATGGGGTAGCGGGTACGGTCAACACACCGGCAAGGAAATCACGAGACCATCCGTTACCGCCAGTGGCAGAGGCCGAGTAAGGACCGTAGGCACAGATCATGTAGTCGATAGTGGCCATGTAGATCGAGTAGTTGGCGATACCAATGATGGCACTGAAGACCATGGATCCGATCCAGTGGATCGGTGGGCCTCCGCTGGTCCATGCGAAGCCGATCAGACCAATGGGCAGACACGGAACAGTGTAGAGGAGCCACCAGAGACGCGACTCGTACTGAGCGTGTTCGTCGTTGGGGTTCTCGCGACGTTGTCTCTTGTTACGGGCGATAGCAGGGAAGAAGGAGAACCAGGCGATGAAGTATCCAATGAGGAGAGGCAGGAATGCAAGACCGACCTGGTAAGCAGAGAAGCCCCATTGGTCGTAGACAAGAGCGTATGACTGCAGGAACATGAAGATCAGAGCGTCACTGAAACCAGAGAGAAGCGATAGGGTAAGAACGATGGGCTCGGTGAGGAACATCTTGAAAGGACGGATCCATGTTTGAATGATCTCCTTTGCAGAGAAACGATCCTTCCAAGGGATGAGCTCGGTAGGACCGTAGACGTTGGTCTCTCCAGCCTTACGGCGCTTCTTTGCGATCTTGTCGAGCATACAGCTGGTACGGGTTTCGGGGACGAGGAAGAAGTGAAGAGCTTGAACGAAGCCACCGAAGATCAACTGGATCCAGATGTTCCATCTCCATTGAGCATATTGCTCAACAAAGCCACCGACGACGGGACCAAGGACGGAACCACCAACGGAAGAGAAGACGATGAAAGCAACAGCATATTGTTGTTCATCGGACTCCCACATATCGGCAACCATACCAAGGGTGACGGAACCACCGGCAGATGACAGACCGCCAAGAGCACGGCCGGCCATGACGGTTCCGAAGTTTTGTGCAAGAGCGACAGGAATCTGCCAAATGTTGACAAGGAACAAACTGAGCTGGAGGATAGGCCATCTTCCGAGCTCTTCAGACCAGGGTGCCCAAAGTTCACAACCAAAGGCGTAAAGCACGAGGAAGATCATGGCACCACAACGAGCAGCCTGAGCGCTGATGTTGAACTCTTCAGTCATGCCAGTGATGGCGTTGCTGTAAAGACTGGTGTTGAAGTTCATCGAGACCTGGACGATGAAGATGACTGATAGAATCGTCCATTTCTTCCAGGTAGGAAAGCAGAAGCCGAGTTCTTCGTAGCAATCATCTTCTGTTAGAATGATCTTGTCGCTGTTGTCGATCCCATTGCCTCCTTCCTTCTTGCGGCTGGGTACTTCGGAGTTGTCGACTCTGCGTTCGATCGAGGGATCGGACGACTCGGGGTTGTCGACCTTTTCGTTCTCAAACATGCCTGCCATGTTGAAAATTATATGGCTGGAATAATATTAGGTGTAGCAATGATGACACCAGCGACGAGCGTAGTGTGTCTCAAAGGATGTATTTGTATTCAGGATGTCTGACGGCCAAACAAAACCGTCAGGTGAATACTGGGGAGGCCGGGGGAGGGGGAAAGATGCTGGGGAAGGCATACAGGGGACGATCCTGCTGTCTTTATATGGCCGTTCAAAATTCAAGCGTGGTGGACGAAGGGGCATGATGTCACACAGCAGGAGCGGACTCGGGCACTTACACTAGATGGACTGATTCGCGCGGATCGCTCTGAGCGGCTCAGCGACCATGAAGCCCTGCCTCCAACTTGAACATCGCCCGGTCACCGAGGACCCACATGGCTTTAGTTTGAGTGCTTTGACACGGCATCCAAGTCCTTGCCTGCGTTCAAAACATAGAGACCCCATGGAGAACTTGAGTTCGTTCTGTCAGGACAGTAACTCTGACGAGCAGATTATTGATACCGTCGAAGGATTCTATGCATAACAAGTTAACAAGCCCGAATGCTCACGAGACCCTGGATCGATGACGACGAGCAAAATCAATAATAGGGATTGTTTCCGTTAACTCGTTCCTTCATACGACGTTACATGGTGCACCGTAAAACCCGAAAAATAAGACCTTGCCGACCGAGGCGTCATCGCGCCAAGTTGACAAAATACGCCTTGCCCGCGGTTGGCTTGCGCACAAGCATCGTCGACCAATACAATTGGCTGTGGCGTCTACCCTGATATCATTCCACGTCGCGCTGCTAGAGAGAGACATAAAGCAAGTAGCACGCGACACATCTGAGATGAGCATCACCTTTGTCTCTCTGCAGAAGAGCACCACACTTCAGACTGGAGAGATCATCCGCCTCACTCCGGATATCCCCATGACAGCGTGGCTTTCGTAAAGACATAAATTTGAACTGGAGATCGAGTTTAGCCGCCTGGGGGATTTGTAGCGGGGCGCGTCGCCATTCTCCACCGAGCACCACTCTTTTCCGCTGGAGCAGCTTGGGGTCTCCGAATGATTCTCTGGCATCCCACCCCCGGGTGATACCGAATTCGTTCGGGCCGATTGCTTTGACAGGGGCGTGCGAGTCAAGGCCATCGTCGGGAGCGCCGAAGCCGTCGGAACCGACTGAACGGCAGAGGAGTTAGTACCGTCGGCCGAAATCTGGTATAAACGACGATCACGCATGTGATGCAGAAAGATTTTTCTGCATTGAGATACTCGATAGTCGAATCGGCACAAACATGTGAGTCTGTGAAAACCTCACGCCAAAACGTGGTGGAGAAGTGTTTGTCGCAATGACTTGATATCCAGCATTCAAAATATCTCTATAGCGCCGATCCTCCTTAACAAAACACCGCACACGATATTGAGTGGATCTGATATGTTGGTTGCCCTTGGTACCTGAACGTCTCTAAGCTTCGTGCATGTATCGACACACCAAGTCACCAAGACACTTGGCAGAATGCGTGAGACGAGCCTCGAGAAGCTTACTTGCACGCACCTCTGTCAACCCTACCTTGACTGAGCTTATGAATACACTCATCTGAGGCCTGAGCATGAAAAAGTTTCGGTGAATACGGTATCTTGCACTTGCGACGAAGGAAATGACTGCATCGGTGATGTGACGCCAAATAGCAGTTGGAAACTACATTGTATACAGAGGTATCGGTAAGTGTTCTCAGGTTGTGCGGATTAGGCATCCCGTGTTCAGATGGTCCACTCATTCTTGTTGTCGGTAGCAGTCACAAAGGGTTCGTCGATGCGCTTGACTGCCATTTCACTGCACAGTACACTAGCGGTTGGTTAGCAAGCTGCACGTTAATCTAGCGGAATCAGACTTACCAAGCGCCTGCAACAAGGGCATCCAATTCCTTGACCATGCGTTCTCGTTTCTTGCCTGTGACAACCGCTCGTCCGACCTCGGTCTGCAGCTCCTTGATGCGCTTACTTTTACCCATTCCGACACTCTGAAGCACCATCTTGCCAAGGCAATCAGCATGGAAAGAGTGTTGACAGGGGAACACGAAGAACTGGCGCATCAACAGAGGAAGCCTGCAGCTCCAACACTTCTCACCAGGCTCGACAATTGCATATCTCTGATCGAGGGATTTAATGTCCTCCTTGATGTGCTGCGCAGTGTTCGCGCTTTCGTCCATCTCTCGTTTCAGCCCTTCGATCTGTCGTGAGTATTCCTCGAGGGCGGCGCAGATCTCCTCTTTGAAGTCGTCAATGACCACGAAGTCTGGGAAGAAGGGAATCAAGTCTTCTATGCGCAACAACTCGCAGCGCTTAAGGAACTCCATGGCGGCTTTAATGCCTTTACTTTGACCAATGACCTTTTTAGCAACCTTCAACCACAACTTCTTGCGAAGGGCAGGGTCATTTCCAGGTCGGTCGGCAACATTCGCAGCAAGATCCACCTGATCATGTTTCAGTGCCATATCCACGGCTTGTGCATATTGGTCCATGGTGCAGTAGATGTGCACACATGATTGAACACGCTGGTGGGCAATGCAAAGACGTAGAGCAAAATCCGCATCATAGTTCTGCTCGTGGGATGCACTTTGTGTTGTGAGATATTGGAAGAGGGCAGTTTCATCTTGGGTAGGATGTGCTGCGTAGATTGAGACCACAGTATTGTGAACTGCGGTCTCTGTCGAGTGGCGCTGATTGATACAGAACTGGAGATAGCGGACGGCTTGATTCTGGAAGCTGGTTAGTAAAGCTTTTGCACCGAATTGTTTTCTATTCTTACTTGGCTTAAAGGAACGTCTGCTGTCTTGTTGTAGTTGAGCAGAGCGGGTATAAGTTTGTTAGCTTCCAGATTGTTTTGGCGCATCATGACTTCTACGAGGTCAACAGCAACATGTGTCATTAGGACACTGCTATACTGATAGAAGATCTCGGGATCTGTTTGTTTCTTGAGAACAGACATGGCCTCCTGCCATCGTTCTCTCTGCACCCAATAAGACAAGACATAGTTATAGTCGTCGATGACGTTAGCAAAGTAGAGCAGCTCTTCTTCTCGCCCGTGACTGCTGATCAACTCATAGGTCGTCTTTCTGTCCAGGTCGGATTTGAACTTTGAGACGAACTCCCGAAATTCGCGGCGCATCGAGGGAAGGTCTTCTTGCACGTTGGCGATTGGAGCCGCTTCTGAAAGTTCTGCTTTTGCCGAGATGGTGTCATCTAAGAGATTGAGCTTAGCCATGAAGAGTTCGACCAGCCAACTCGCGACCATTATTCTCTGCATCGTCGACGATTTCTTGAGTATGGAAAGCTTTGTTAAAAGGTACTTTCTGAGAGCGTCTTGTTCTCCTTGATCGATGAAGGTAAGTGCGACTTCTTCAAATGGCTTTGTGCTCCTGCCATACACGGCAGCAGCTTCCGAGAAGCGCCTCCTTGAGACGAGGTGATCTCCAGAAGCAGTGGCCACGGCATCTTTTTGAGCGGCGGATTTGGCATAGCGTGATGCTGCATCGAATTGCTCGTTCCTCAGCATGATCTTCCATACATCTCTGGCTTCGTCTGTGACAACGACTTCAAAAATCTCTCGCTGAGTAAATAGCCAGTATGTATTCTTTTTGTGATCGGCATAAAGACCAAGCGGTGCATTGCCAGGTTCCAGAACAAGCTGATCGTAGACCAAGCTGCCATCAAGTCTGTTGATCGCGACAACACGACCCTCGACTAGATGGAGGACATGGAATTGCGTCAATGCTATTGATGATATGGGTCCTAGGGTGGGGTTGTTTCGGCCTCCGGATGTCTGGGAAGGAGGAATTACCGACTTGGGCAACAATTTTGCTGCCGAAAATGGGCTGGCTTCTGCGTTCTGAACCACAACAGCGAAATCACCATGGAACACACCGTGAGAGTTAAGCCAAGCAAACACATTCTCCTGCGCCGATTCAGACGGCGATGCATCTGCTGGTTCAGATATGGTGACCAAAGTCGAGGGGCCCGATGTTGCATCCTTGAGATGGTGTATCACAGGCGTCTCTCGCTCAAGCAGCCTGGGATAAATTGAGCCACTATCTTGACGGCCGCCTCTTCCCACAAAGAGCAGGAGCTTGGTAGGTGTAGCTACAAGGACACTACGAGTATCCGAGGAAATATCAACAGCCAGACCAACGACTGGACCATCTTGAACATTGTATAAAGTCTTCAAGTACTTTTCCTCTCTTCTGTAGAACTCAGCGCTAGGCTCGATATATGTCTCGTAGATGTTGCCATCGGATGCACCTATCAGGATCTCTCTGGTGGAGGCGGTGGGCTGGGAAGGGTTCCAAGCGATGGACTCGATTTGTACGCCCTTGAGACGAGCCAATGCTTTCGGGGTCCGTGATTGGGTGTGCAGATAGTAGTTCTCGCCCTGAGTGGTAGAGATGACGAGGTGGGAGGCCGAAGGGTCCAAGAATAGTCGACGGATGACACCAATCTCCGAAGGCTTCTTGGGAAGGTCAATGTCGTCGATATCCTCAGGACTGTCAAGATCGAAACGCAGGATGCGGCCAGTAGAGAGAGCGAGGATCAGGACGTTGTTGGCGACCTGGGCAGCGACAAAGTCCGAGGATATGTCGAAGCGAAGCTGCACTCGTTGTACATCGAAGACGGGCAACGAGGGGTCGAAGGAGTCAGGGAGGTTCGTCGCGGCAGCAGCATAGCCGCCGGTAGGGTCGTATGCCATGGGTTTGTAGTCGGATTATGATTGTGTCATTGTGCGGCGAGTCGTAGAAGACGATGAAGCTCGGGACATGGTCCGTACCGATGGTATAGAAGCATGTCATCGCGGTCGGCGTTGGTTGATTGACGCTTGGCGGTCACGTCGCGTCCTCCAGGCCCGACAGCTCGACAGCTTCATCAAGAATCTCCGACAAACATCGAATCACATCAAAATGTTCGCCGCTCGCTCTGCCCCTCGCGTCCTCAATGGCGCTCGCGCCTTCTCGACCTCGCCCGCCCACTCGCTAGCCCGCATGCAGCTCATCGGCCGTCTCGCCGACCAGCCTGAGCTCACTCCCACATCCACTGGACGCGAGCTCGTGAGATATGCTCTTGGTGTCAAGGGTGGCCCTAAGAACGAGAACGGCGAGAGACAGACCAGCTGGTTCAGAGTCGCCAGTTTCGCAGAGGGCCCTGGCAGAGACCTGCTCTTGAGCTTGCCCAAGGGGTAACTGTTTGCCCTCCACCACATGCCCGTCCATCATGCTGATCCTGTCTAGCACTCTCATGTACATCGAAGCCGACGCTCGTATGGACACCTTCCAAACTCAAGACGGCTCCAACCAGAGTCGTCTCAATCTTGTTCAGCGTAAGACAAGTCTCGAATCATCCAAGACCTGACACATTCGACTGACAAACTATAGGCAACTTTGAGGCTCTCAGCCGTCCCCAAAACCGTAACTCTGATTCTGAATCTGACAGGAGTGCTGCCGAGGACCCTCACAGCGGTCTCGGTGCCTCCTAGAGTGTATAGAGACAACCAAGATACATAGGGACATGGCGTGTACAGAATTTTAGTCGCCAGGTGTGCGGGTTTCAACAAAGTCGATCATGTAAAATACACTCCTCTTCCCACGTCAAACCGTACATTGTCTTGTGAGTAAGCTTCTTTGTCTCTTGACTTTTGGGAAGACATGTGTTGCATCCTTCTGGATCGCCTTTCGACCCGGGGACATGATCTTTGAGGACGGTTGGAGGCAGGGAAGAGCCTACCTCAACAGTAGCTTTGATTGAGCATGAGACAACGATGCTAGTCTGATAACAGATCCGGGACTCAAATCAAGCAGTAGGAACATGTTGATGCATTAATACAGGTAGCTTCCAAGGAAGGGACGCCCTTGGGCCCAATCATAATTGGCAACAACATCAACGATATTTCCGTCGTCACTCGACCATTTGCATGCGGCAACTTTGCATTCTTTGCAACGATCTCGCCGCGCCCTCACTACATTCGCCAATTCATTGCCATCTCGCGACTTTTGATCATCTCATCGATTTACCAAACACACTGCATGCCATGTGTAACACAGTTACCTTCCACTATTCTTGCAACCATCTTGCGCACTTCTACCGCTCTACCTGCCGCAGCACTTTCTGGATCACAAAGATGACCGGCAAGAGCAAGAAGAAGCACAAGACCAAAATCGACAGTAGCGACGTAAGCAGCGGGACCGATACAGAAAGCTCAAACAGAGGTAGAAGCCTCGCCCGAAGCCCTCGCAAGACTAGAGTGTCTCGATCGTCCCCGGCCAGCATAGACCAACCCAGTCCACGAACCGAAATTCACTCTCCATCACACTCGCAACCATCAACACTGAGACTTGTCTCCAAAGCCAACTGCAGGAGCTGCTCAGACGTTGTCTTACGCTCCGAACAAGTTTGCGGACCTTGCCATTCCAAGTCGAGAAGAGGCCTCCTTCTGCAGAGAAGGACACGTCTGGAGTTTCCCAAACGCAAAAAGCGCAAGCAGCTCAAGAGGGCCAAGCCAGTCTCAGGAGGCAGTCCACTCAGACATGAACTCACGCCAGAAGAGCTTCTGAGGGCTGATGATGAAGATCGAACGGAGACAGATTCTATGGAAATGGTATGTGATTTCCTCGTGAGACACAATCGAAGATGTGATGAACTGATGATTTTCCCTCTGTACAGGCCAAATCGAGCACGCAAACTATCAGTAATATCTCACGCTTGCTTCACCTTGAACCCGCACGCTTTTGGAGATGCTGGAGACGATTCGACAAGATCGGTCGTCGATGCGTGGACCTTCTCAAGGGTTGAGTACAACTGCTCCAAAGCTCGACGTGTGAGATCGCGTATTTGTTTTCCGAAAGCCTTCTCCTCTTGACGTCTGGCCATATCACACGCGCTGTAGTTTGGCCTGATTATTCGGGAGCATGTTTCCTGATCGACGAGACGTCTATGAACGACTTGCAGAGCCATTAGCCGCTGAGGAGATTACATAACCGCAAACAGAGAGACAAGGAAAAATTTGCAGACGAAGTTATGGGAATCAAGAGCTGCCAAAGTGGAGAGGACATGCCGACGAATCACGAAAACATGACATACTGCGAGTACATAGTGAGAGATAAGGAAAAACAAAGATCATCTAAGCCATTCACACCATCAGCTCCTCTTCACCCAGCTTCTATGCCAACCAAATTATGCCATGCACGTATGACTCTCAAGGTCGTCGAAGCGCAAAGGAATGGGCCCTCATAGTCGGGACTGAGAGCTACACTACAGATATCAGAAAACTCAAGAGTGTAATCATGTATCAGAAAAGTCAAGGGTAGATGTGATTTTGTTTCGATAAAGGGCTGTTCTCCGCCGGCCTGGGGCAAGACTGTAACAAGTCTCTCGTAGCCTTGCTATGTATACATCTTCATCTTCGTCGTTGCTCGAGTAAACCTCAAAGCAGCTTGATAAGTCTCGAGCGGCATTGATGAAGTTTGAGAGTCAATTCGTCGAGAGCTCAAATCTCCATCTCAGCTCCAGCGTCAACCTCAACCTCCTTGTAGTCATCAGCGTCATCAGCACCACTGGCATGACTAGCCTCTCCCTCGCTCTCAGCATACTTAGGAACACTGACACCACGAAGAGCAGGCTTCTTGGAAGGACTTTCCTCTTCGTCCTCAGGCTCAGCCTTGACCTTGATGCCCAGATCAGAAACCTCGTTGTCCATGTCCTCATCCTCGGCATCTTCAGAAGAGACAGCGAGGGTCTTCTTGCGCTTGGTGGGGGTCTTGGTGGGAGGAGCCTTGTCGTCGTCCTCAGAGTCGATGGCGTTCTTGGCCTTTCTGCGCTTTGCAGGTGTCTTGGAGGCGGGAGTCTTCTTCTTGATGATGCCACCGGAGGGGGTGGAAGGGGCGGGAGAGCCACCACCAGCGAGGCCCTTGTTGTTCTTGCGGACTTTGGCGAAGTGCCTGTAAGAGAAAAGATAAATAAGTATGATTTCTTCGTCGAGTAATGAAGTGCCGCTCCAAGGTCAAGTGGAGGCTACGATCTAGCCTGTCGCAATACAAAGTGCTTTTCAGGTTCGAGATTTCGTCCAAGGAGAGACCGTAAAAGAGGGGTAGTATGACTTACTCAGTGAAGGCCTTCTTGGTAGGCTTGTCTCCAAACGACTCGGCTGGATTGCGTTAGCAAAATTCTGGGCGCAATATAAAAGTGAAGAAGATTGAAGACTTACGCCAGGCAGCGATCATTTCGTCGAGGACGGAAGCATCGATCTTGATGCTGGAGCTGGTAAGGAGGTGGTTCAGGATGAACGAGTCCTTGTCGGGGGTCCACTTGACAACCATGTTGGCGATTGTTCTTTGTTGTGGTAAGGTGCGCGTGAGAGATGTGATGTGGACGTGTCTCGAAGACAAGAGCTGGTGATGATAGAAGAAGAGGGTGAGAGGAGATGTCAAAGAAGTAAAGAGGAGAGAAGTAGGATGAGAGGAGAGTAGATAGAGGAGCTTGGAGTGAGAAAGCGTCGAGCTGGAAAGCGCCGAGTTGGAAAGCGTCGAGTGAAAGACGAGAGCAGGAGCGGAGAGAGGAAGAGAAGAAGAGTCTGGGACGGAGTGAGATAAGAACTGCAACTTGATCTCGAAACCGAGTCGAAGAGGAGATGCAGCCAACCACAATCAAGGCCAGACTATGATGTGCGCGAGAGAATGGGGAGTCGCAGTAAGAACTTTGCAAACAAGAGTGTGCGTGATTGGTTTCGAGGAACTGAGCAAGCCGCGATTTCACGTCTAGAGATCACGTTGCTGTGGTTGTGGCTCGCTGATGTGAGAGATCCGTATCCTTTTGGTGTTCTCGAGATTATTTTTCTTCTAATATTGTGGATGTTCATGTATCATTCCTTCGTTGTCATGTGCTATGTAGTGATTCAGGGATAAAGGGTATGAGTAGTAACGAAGAGAACAGAATTGAATGAGAAGGTACTTCGAAAAACAAACCGGCCAACTCCCCTAAGACATCAGTGCGTGACCTCAGAAGAAAGGCTTCAAATGTACAGTTGTGTCCAAGATCTAGAGCTGTTCCTCCTCCTCGCCTTCTTCTGCGATTCGCGTGGTCAGATAGGCGGCAACGAGCGCAGCAAGACCGCCGAATCTTAACACCCAGGCCACACTGTCGTCGCCTGGTGTACCACGAGGCTTCTGCAATGCCTTAAAGATTGCACTCGAAACAAGCGTCGCAATGACTTGAGGTGCAGCGATCGCGACATTGTGGATACCGAGAATGACTCCGGCTTGATCAGCACCTTCAGCTGGGTCGCCACCGTTAGCCAAAGCCGCACCTTCAGCGGTGGCTGGGGCGGGAATCTGGTTACGACGGATGGCTTCACGCTTTGAGATCTCGGCAGCGATGAGCGCGAAAGGAGCCCAGTTGCTGAGTGCCCAAGGAATACCGATGAAGGCAACAAGAACGGTAGCTGTAGTCGTGTCATGGACGAAGAAGGTCAAGAATGTAGCGCCCGCGAAGAGCAAGTGCGAGAGGATCCAGGCGCGGCGGAGCGTGAAAGCCCTCATCTGCACGGATGGCATGCGACTCTTGATGCGTTCCCATCGGTTAGGCCCGGACAGGTTCAGCTTGCTTGTGGAATGCTGCGGAGTGTATGCGAAGTAATCGCTGCCAGTCAAAGAGCGAGGAGTTGTGGGAGTGTAGGCATGAGGCGTGAGTGGAGTATGAGGTTGGGGTGACGGTGGCTCGAAACCAGGAGCGATCAACAACGGCAGGATGACTGCTGCAGCCAAGTTCGTGAATGCGAAGATCAAGAGCGCGAAGGTGCCGATACGAGTTGCACGTTCCCAAGTGGCATCGATCTCCTTGGGCGACATGTGCGGGTTCTCGATAAAGTATGGCTCAACGTAGATCTCACCGATGTAGGTGGTGATGTAGAACAGAAAGGGAAACCAGCCGATCCAGGCAAAGAATTGAACAGCGCAGACCTTTCGTACCTGCGGAGGCAAGCGCTTCATAGAGCGGTAGAGCTCGACAAAGAACGACAAGACACCTGCCTTTTGCGGTGGCGGGTTGCCTTCCAGTCTAGGATCCCGTTCTTGGATGCTCAGACAAGAGATACTCACCGTGATGGCCAAGGCTAGAACAGCAATAATACAGAGGACCTTGAACTGTGTGTTTCCAAGGAAGCCAACATACTTGGGTAAATTGACGTAGCCAGAGAGGTAACCCAAGATGTTACCGAATCCGGACATACGGGAAGCCCATGCATTTGCATCGTTTTGCTGGTGAGTCGGAGCATTATCTACTATGAAGGCGCGAATGGCAGCTTGGACTGAGAGACGGTATGTTAGATGGATGCAGGACAGGTGACGAGCAAGGAGCGAGACATACTGCAATTGATGGAGAAGTCGAGGATATAGATAAAGCTCACGGCCCAGACAATGGAAACGACATGGACGGTCTGGGACTCTGCGCCAACCTTGAATAGGGCAAAGAAGTTTCGCACAATTTCCTTGGTCCACGCCAGCAGGACAAGAGAAATGATTGTGGCTAGAGCGCCACCGACGATGAACGGTCTTCTCTTTCCCCACCGCGAGCGACATCTATCGCTCTTGATGCCGACGTAGGGCTGGACCAGTGTACCAGACAGAGGGCCGGCAATCCAGACGAAGGCTAGGAGGGACTTGCTGATGCCTAGGCTGAGTAGATACGGCTATGGTATGATTAGTCTCAGCCGGCCTTGCAATGGAGTGAAGGCGAACTCACCGAGCCGTTGGAAAGCTCAACAGACCATGCGATCTGGAGACCACCGATTGACAAGGTCAGCAGGATCAGATACCAGCTGCTCTTCGTCTCTTCCCCACTGCCAGCGTTCCAGTTGTCCGAGTCTTCAGGAGACGGCATGGAAGACAAGGTCAGAGGAGACTCAACACCCTCGGAACGCGGCCTGATCAAGGGCGATGTTTCATCCTGGTCTTCCTGCTCTTTCTGTATGTCCAGAGAGGCGCTCGTTCTGCCATCCTGAGAGTCGCGATTGTACGAAGCATTCTTGAGGATGCCCCTCGGACGAGGCGAGGGGTTGTCGGGTCTGTAATTCGACATGGGTCGACAGAGGCGGTGAGGTTGGCCAGCGGTGTTTGGATGTTTATCAGATTGCGGGGTGCTTATTCACATGCGATTTGGATGGACAAAGACTTGGTCGACGGTTGCTGAGGATAGTCGCGGTGGACAGAAGCTGTGGAAGGAAGGTGAGACAGGTGGTATGTAAGAGAGTTGGTAGCGATCAGAATAGCTTGACAAGTAGGATGGCGATCACGAGGGCAGGTAGGTGAGCACTGAGCACGTTGGTAGGGAGGGTCGAATGATAGCGCGAGGGTTGACTAGCGTCTTTGGCTGTGATGGAAAGGCTTTCGGCAGATTGGCTCGCCCAGGAACCGCTGCTCTACGTGAAAGTGACCGCAGCGACAATGCCTCCGTTTATGTAGGTACGGGTTGATCTGGTTGGTATGTGCTTGTCCGACCACACGCTCGTCGTTCTGTGCTAAGCGTGACGTATTTCAAGATTCAGGCTCCGACTTCAAAGAAGGTCAGGGTCACCGAGCGAGTTTGGCAGCAGCGATTAACTTTGGCTCTCCCTCTTGATGAATGTAAGGCAGGCACGAGCTGTAGAATTCCACAGCCTTTATCTGGCTTAGGCGATCGCCGTGCAGAGTCTGTTCGAGACAACGGCTTCAACGAGTATTGCTGTAATCGAGGAAAGTACGAAGCATTGTGCCTTGATTACGCGTGACATAGTTTGGCACACGGGGAGGCAGGAGCGATCAGGCCCGTCCATTCTTTCAAACGGGCCGAAGAAAGTTTGTGGGGACGTGACGCGCTCGCACTCGCAGCTCTCCCGCGTGCCGTCTCCTTGTCTTGTCTGTGCTTGAACTTGTCCAAAGTGGAAGCTGTCCAGTGTCCGTAGGCAGAAGGGGACGCCTTATCAACTCTTTCGACATTTCACCCACGCTGTGCTGTTGGATCTCTGGAAAGCGCTGCACTCGAGTGTGAACAGACGGTGCCTAGTCACAAAGTCCTCCGTATATTCATATGCGATAACAATCTCGCAAGGCAGTTGACCTGCCCCCCACTACCATCGACAACATGGCTTCAATCCTGCGCGACACCGTCTTTGAGCTCATCAGTATGCCGCTCATTCCCTGTAGTCATATCCGGACAACCCGCTGACTTTGAGGCTTCAGAACGCGAGGCTGCAGACGCCGATCCAGATGGTATCCACCCATCAACCATCCGCACCACCCTCCCAGACAACTGACACGATGCGACAGAGCCCGAGGCTGGCCAGAAAGAAATCTTCGCATCATGGTCGCTATTTATCCTTATCATGCTGCTCATTGTGGCCCTTTTCACCAGTTACATGCTCCAAACGAGAAAGATTCAGGCCGTACACGAGACTGTCTTGTCCATCTTCGCTGGTGCGCTACACAACTCCATGCCATTCACACATTCTGTTCGCTGATTCCTGTTTAGGAATGGTCATTGGACTGATCCTCCGTCTTACCGCTGCTCAATCTGTGCTCGGAGCCGTCAGTTTCGACTACCAATTCTTCTTCAACCTCCTTCTTCCACCTATCATTCTAGCTTCGGGATATGAACTGCATCAAGGGAACTTCTTCCGCAATATTGGAACAATTCTCACTTTCGCCTTTGCCGGTACTTTCATCTCGGCCATGGTCTTGGGCCTCATCTTGTACGTTTGGACCCGTATCCCTCTCGAAGGTCTGGACATCACCTTTGTCGAGGCCATCTCTGTTGGCGCAACTCTCTCGGCCACCGACCCCGTCACCATTCTTGCCATCTTCAACACTTACAAAGTCGACCCGCAACTTTACACCGTCATCTTTGGCGAGTCGATTCTCAACGACGCTATTGCCATCGTTCTGTTCGAGACTGCCCAAAAGTACAGAGAGGGCGCTGCAAAAGGTCACTTGACCATATTGAGCTTGTTCGAAAGTATAGGTGTCTTCTTGCTGGTCTTCTTCGGCAGTTTGATGATTGGCTTGATCGTCGGCATCGGCACGAGTCTGTTGCTCAAGTACACCTTGGTCAGGCGTTTCCCCAAGATCGAGAGCTGTCTGATCGTTCTCATTGCCTACGCGTGCTACTTCTTCTCGAATGCCATTCACATGTCCGGTAGGTTTTGCCGATTGTCATACCAAAAAAAGCACAACTAACAAGACGCTCCAGGAATTGTATCGCTTTTGTTCTGCGGTATCTGCATGAAACATTACGCCTACCACAACATGTCCCGTCGTACTCAATTGACGACCAAATTCCTCTTCCAAGTAATGGCTCAACTGTCGGAGAATTTTATTTTCATTTATCTTGGACTATCGCTCTTCACCGAAGCCGGCTTGGAATACAAGCCCCTGTTCATCCTCGTCACAGTCGTCGGGATTTGCGTTGCTCGATACTGCGCCGTCTTCCCTCTATCGAAAGCTATCAACTACTTTATCCGCTACAGAGCCCGCAAGCTTGGTCGTGAGGAGGCGGATGTTCTTCCTAAAAATCATCAGATGATGCTTTACTGGGCCGGTCTCCGCGGTGCTGTCGGTGTGGCGCTAGCTGCCGGACTTCAAGGTCCCAATGGTTTTGCTTTGCGAGCCACGGTGTTAGTTGTTGTAGTGTTGACCGTCATCATCTTCGGCGGAACTACGGCGCGTATGCTCGAAATTCTAGAGATTCGGACCGGAGTGGTAGAAGAGATTGACAGCGATGATGAGTTCGATATTGAGGTCGTGCCTGGATCTGGCGGAACATTTACTAAGAAAGGTGGAGCTGGCTTTGGACACATGCCACGACCCAGTCAGGCAGGGGGTATCTCACTGGCCAGTGTCGCAAATGGAAGACCGCGAGCAGAGAGCAGATCAAACAGAGCGGCTCTGTACAGCACTAGCAATGCCAGTAGCCCCCCGATCCGTCCTGGTGATGGACTCGGCAGAAGAGCAAGCAGTAGAAGCGCACGGGAGCAGGCGGCGGCCGAACAAGGTCTGCTTTACCCAGACCAGAATGGAGACGCGTCTGACGATGATGAATCAGGGCTCGACTTGCCACCATCAGCCAGGCGATCACCACTCCGGGAGAATTTTCCTTCGGCTACTGATGAGCAGACACCATATGCTGATGCCAGAGCCATTGAGGCAGGTCAAGCAGAGTCAAGCCATCTTACTGCTCGTGGAGCGTTCAGTCAGTTGATGAATGCTACAACAGAAGACGCAGGCACTTTGTTCTCCAGGATCGACGAAGGCTTCATCAAGCCACATTTGTTGTTGGATCCCAGTGGTCAAAGGTCCCCTCGCCCACATGGCGGCTCATAGATGTATAGTATCTAGACTTTTCCTACCGCAAAACACTTTTCTCTCAATAATCAGTATCTCGCAGATGCACAGCATGGCAGAAATCAAGCTTTCAAAAGGCAAGGTGTTTTTTAAACTTTCAGCAGTATCCGCCGAGAGCGTGAAAATTCAGCATCTCTCAACCAAGAGCTCGAAATCACAAAAACACCATGCATCTTTACAGACCACAGCCATGCAGAGCACTGCTGCTCGGAGTACTATTGTTGTTTAGATACTCTGCCTCGGGTCTAGCCCCAGGTCACCTTCGAACCAATCTTTGAACAGCACTCCTTCCGCGTCATCTCGCGTATAACTAGGCTGTAGAAAGGCACAGTTATTTTCAGAATTCAAGCACTCGTCCCTGGGAGTACCGAGATTGGACATCTCTCAGCCGCAGGTTTAAAATCACGAAATCACCATGCCTTTTTACAGACTACAAACCCACGAAACACCTCAGCTGAGAGCACTGGTCTGGACATGTGCCCTGCCTCGAACATTGTGGCCAGGTCACCGTCAGATCAAAATTCATTCAGTACTCTCTCCAGAGTGACTACCACAAAATACAGCCGTAAAAATGCACAATTGTTTTCAAAAATCGAGCACACCTCCAGGGAGACGAGCAAATATCTGACATGGCGCAAATAAAAAGTGTTACAGGAATGCGAATATCCGTATTCGCAGTATTCGCATCCGCGTCTGTCTGCACTCTGGGATGCAAATGATTCGGATATCTGCGGATCGAGAACGAAAAGAGTGGATTTTTGCGACATTTTTCGATATTTTATTGTGTTTCTTCGACTATGTGGCAAAGTATACTAGGGCAGCGACTCTCGACAGTGAGGTACAGTGTGCTATACAGCTGTAAAAAGGCATAGTGTTTTTCAAAAGCAGGGCAACGTCAGGTATATGCAGTGCTTTCGATAGCAAGAGTCGAGCATCTCTCGGACAAAGAATGGGTTGCCCAGAGTCGCTTGCTCAACATTTTGTCGGTCATTTTCGGGCAAGATTCGACATTTACATGTTCTACACCGAGAAAAACGAACACGTTTGTGGCAGTCGCGACTTTGTCTTACCGCATCCGCGCGCTCAAGCAAATACAACATACACGAATGGGAAAGGAAAATTGTGTCTCAAGACATGCGACTTTTCATTGATCAAGTCACTTTTGAGAACGACTACCCGTTTCTCGCTACGAGAAAACTACTACCGATATCGTTTAGAGCACCGATATCTCTGTAACGGTGATGTGGACCATAGCGATCTTGCCTTAGACCTCCTCGTCGTTGGCGGCGCTGGCGGCGGTACCGACATCGGCCATGTCGTCGTCCGAGTCATCGGACACTCTGGCCTTTGACTTGGAGACCTTGGGAGTGCGCTTGGTGACGCGCTTGGCCGCTATGTGTGTGTCAGTATGGGGAGGAGTAAGATGGAATATCGATAACTAGTGTTACTTACAGCCGGGAGTAGCGGTAGAAGGCTTCTTGGGGGTAGCAGGAACCTTTTTGGGAGCGCCCTGGGACTTCATGTCCTTATCGAGGCGTCCAGCGCCTTCGACCTCTTTGATGAGGGCCAGAGCCGACTTCTTGTAGGCGCGAGTGCGATTCTCGACGGCATGAAATGTGTCGTTGAAGTAGCGGGCGACAGCATGGTTATCAACCCGTAAACATAGTTAGCAGAGATCTATGAACATCGTGGGGATAAAATTGCTCACCTTACCGCCGTTGGAGGCGATGAGGGCAGCGATGAAACGCTCAAGGGTCTCTAGGGACTTCCAATCGGTAGGCATGATTGATGATGTGTTTGGTTTGAGTGTAAGATGTGCTTAGACAGGGAAAAGACAGGGTGCAAAAGGCCGTGTTGTGGTAGAGTTGTTTGCGCGAAAGTGAAAGAAAGAGTGTGAGAAGCTGATGTAGAAGTCGTGAAGCTGTCTCCGTGGCGATCAACAGAAGTGATCGTGCGTGGACGTGTGTTGCAGGTCAATGATAGTCAGAAGACGTTTAATGTGATAGCGGGTATCGACAGCAAGGCAGGTATTAATCGTGGCAGTGTTCAGCAGGTGAACAGTAGTCAGAAGGCACTTGGTGTGATCGCCTGTATCGATAACAAGGCAGATATCGTGGGAGTGTTCAACAGTTAAACGGAACGAGAGTCAGGAGATGCTTCACTCGATCTTATGTATGGTTACCAAAGCAGGTATTGATCGTGGCAATGTTCAGCAGGTGAACGATAATCAGAAGGTGCTTGGTGCAATCACCGATATCGATAACCAGGCAGCTATCGATCGTGGATGTGTTTAGGAGACCAACGATAGCTAGAAGGTGCTTAGTGTGGTCTTCGGTATCGACCACAAGGCAGGTGTCGTGGGCGTGCTCGATGAGAGTTAAGAGATGCTTCACTCAATTGTTCGCATGGTCACCAAAGCAGGTATCTTGCTTTGTTTTGCAGGCAGAAGAAAACGACGACGCGCCTAAGTTGATCGTCGGTGTCGACAATAAGGCAGGTATCGATCGTGAGAGTGTTCGGTAGATCATAGATGGTCAGAAGGTGCTTAATGTAATCGTTGTTATTAACGGCTATCGATCGTGAGAGTGTTCAGAAGGTGAAAGAGAGTCACGAGACGCTTGGAACGATCGTGGGCATGGTCAACAAGGCAGCTATCAATCGTAGATGTGTTTGGCAAGTTAGCGATAGTTAGAAGGCACTTAAGGTGATCGTCGGTATTGATAACAAGGCAGCTATCGATAGTGTTCAGCGGGTGGACGGAACAAGAGTCAGGACATGCTCCGCTCCATCGTCTGTATGGTCACCAAAGCAGGTATCGATCGGGGCTCTATTTGGCAGGTAGGGAAGAACGACAGCATTCTTGAGTTGATTGTCGGTATGGACATGAGCACGATGACAAAGACAAAGAGAAGAGGCATACAAGGATGAGAAACAGGCGAAGGGGGACGATCGATTGATTGATTCATGACTGCTTGAGGGCTACCCTTTGTGTAGTAAAGACTGCGTCTTGTATTCCTCCTGATACGTGTGATGATACAGACGAGATTTTAGCACACTAGCATCAGAGAAGACTGTAAACATGATCAGTATGAAGAGCTTGTCTAACAGTGGAGTGGAAAACTCTTACCTTTAAGCATCTTCGTCAGCGTCAGCCTGCTCAGAGTTGACTTTCTTGGCCTTCTTCTTGGGAAGAGGGGTGGGCGCGTCCTCGTCAGTCAGAGCCTTCTTGGTCTTCTTGGCCGAAGGGGACGGCTCCTTATTGTCGGGAAGAACCTTCTTGGGTCTTCCGCGTCCTCTCCTGGGGGGAGGGGTGACATCATCTTCATCGTCTTCGGCAAGCATGGCGGCCTTGCCCTTACGCTTGCGGGTGGAAGCGGTGGCAGCGGCAGGAGCGACAGCAGCAGTGCCACCACCATCCTCAGCGTCGACCGAGCCAGCAGCGAGATCGCTGACCTCTTTCTTCAGTTTCATGAAGCGTTGACTACATCGAAAGATAAGCATAAAGGCTTGAGGCATGGTGAAGGTGAACATACCGGACAGCGTCCTTGGTCTTGCCAAGGTGGGTGGCGACCATGTCCCAGTCAAGAACAAAACGACGACACCTTCGGTCGAGTGCAAAGAAAACGACATCATCGATGGAGAGCAATATGATCAAGTCTTATGAGGCGACTGGTATAGCTTCCGACAAAGAGACTGAAGTTGTATTCAGATGCTCGAGAGCAAGACCAGAGCTCTGGCCAGTAGTCTTGCTCGCAAGGCAGTCGACGATTTGAAAGATGTCGGGTCTCAATCGTCGCCAAAGGATGGGTCTCCGTCTACAGAGTACTCCGGTCACCGTGGTATGCACCAAGACCTACCTGCTTTGCTTGACATCTGCAAAAGTTGCGGCACCTAGGAAACTAGTCTACACTGATCGACACCTATCGCTGGAGAATACCTGTATCATTCGACAAGATTAGCCGTGCTCTTGAGTAGCACATACCTTTTTTTAGAGACTCTTTGCTGGTGGTTCGGTTGCTGGTGGGACAATAGAATTGCAAGCAAGGTACGAGCTGACGTTGGGCTTCCAGAGTTGGTAAAACTTCGGAGAAACTATCGGAAGCTTTATTTTGCATTTAATTAATGATTGAGTCCACTTTGCGAAGTCCAGACATCATGAATGACATCTGAATTGACTACTTTGGTGTAGACACACTCCCCCGGATATTCACTTGATCAGCAAAGAAGACTCCGGGAAGACTCGAATACACAAGGCAGCTCGTCAAAATTACTTCCAGCAGTCATTCTAGGACGCAGAAAAGTCGATCTAGAAATACCATGACCGAACGCAACAGTGAGGCCAAACCAATTTCTGGTGGAAGCACAAATTACCCACAGCTCTCTGATCTTATTTTTAACCAAACAAGCAACAACTCCTTCAACAAAGTGCTTGGAGAACTCAAAAGAAGCACACTATCAATACCCAACAGGCTTCGCTCGATCAAACAAGATGCAAACTTTGTTTCTGACGTTGCTGAAGCGTATCAATTGCCATTGGTAGCGAACGAGAGGTGTGGAAGCTGGTATATCTCGCCGGAGCAGAAGAAACAGAGTGCATATTTCAAGAGCACAGATGGGCACATGGCACAGTGGAGCTTTAGCTTGAGGAGATTGAACTTGCAAGTGTTGGAGACGATAGCAGAGTTCGATGGGTAAGTCTCATCACCTCTATCATGGCTACTGATGGATAATGGAGGAGGCTGACTTTCGAACAGATGCATCGTCGTTGATTCTACACGGCGAGGCAAAAGCATGCCTGATGCTTTGTCAAAGACTATTCCCATATGGACGACCGTCATGAATTGTTTGCTATTTCCAGACATAACAGAGAGCCATGAGGTCACTACACCACCAACAGTAGTAGGAGCATCCGAGCACGCCCAGATCACTGCACGAATGTCAGGTTTCGTCGAATCTCTCAAGGCAAGGCAACTCCTGGTACGGCTACTTCCTCACAATCACTGACCGTGCCAGACAGACATTGAATCTCGACCTTTCGAGCATCCGTGAAAAGCTCACCAAACCTCTACGTCCGATCTGGGTCACGCCAACATCGACTCTGCCTGCTTCACCTCCAGAATTTGCTTCTTTTCATCCGGTCGTACTTCTCACGGCTTCTTCTCGCGTGTCTGGCTCAGAGTCTACATCCGAGACTGGATACGTACAAGGCGCCGCAGACGACGCGGAAGCCTGGGCTCAAGGTCTGACAGCTCCTCTCTTCTGGAAACACAGCGAAACCCTTCTTTCCACACCTGAAGACATGATCGAACAAACAATCGCCGCGCTAGTAGCCCAAGATGATGGAATCAAAGGTTCTCAACTCACTGTCCTCGGACCAAGAAAGAACATAGCAATTGGTACGATCGAAGCCGCAGAGACAGATGCAGAAACAACCGATATCGTCATCACCGTTGCGCCAAAGGAAAGCAGCATCCTACGGTCGAAGTTCAGAGCAAGGTACCTACACCTCATCCTTGCCGACGGAAAAGTAGGAAGCCGTCAGCTGCGCCACAGCCTCGCCAATCTCATCGCCTCGATGAAGATACTTATCTCCACAGCTTCTCCCTCTCGCATCGTAGTAGCAGATGCGTCTGGAAAAGACCAAGGTGTTGGCGTGGCACTAGCAATCCTATGTCTCTTCATCACAGAAGAAGGATCACTGAGGCGGGCAGAGGAAGTCAAAGAGCCGCCGAATGGATTGAACAAGGAAAAAATCAAGCAAAGACTTAGTTGGATCTCTGTGGCCAAGCCGGATGCTAATCCTAGTCGGACGACTTTGCAGAGTGTTAATGCCTTTTTGCTTGGGTAGAGGCTGTAAGTTATGATGGCGTGTATATCATAGTAAAAAGATCAAATCACCAAAGGAAAACATGATTTTGTGCAGCCACTGGGTGCTTGACCTACCACTCACCCACCTAACAGTGTCCATCGAGGGTCAAAGGGGGCTTTATTCTCCATGTCTCGCGTGATCAGCACTCTCCAATTTTCCATTCTTGGTCTTCTGATGATTTGTAAAGTCTTGGTTTGTTCATTTGATAACGTGTCGTCGTAATTATTAGCAAGTCTGTAGTGACTGTGTAAAGTATGCACTCAAAAGGTGCCATTGCCGAAGATACCTCTGCGCTTGTTCTGGCGCATGGCGGCCTTCTCGCGTCTCTGAGCTGCACGCTCTTCCTGGTCCTTTTCTCTGGCCGCCATTTGGATGTCTCGCTGCTCCTTTGCCTCTTCCATTTCCTTCTTCTTGCGAGCGATTTCCACGCGTTGCTCTTCACCCTCGACTCTCAATTCTTCTTCCAATTCGCGTGGATCCTTGAAGCCTCCGAGTTCCTGTCCAGTGGCTTCTGCGAATGATTCCAGATTCATGGGAACTGCTTCGCCGGCTAGAACTCGATTGACACGATCGGCGTCGAGGCGTTCTTCGCGAATGAACTTTAGCTTGATCTGACGGCGAGTTTTCGGCGGGAACATCTTCGAGATGATGAAGAAGTCGGTGCCAAACATGCGAAGCGCTTCGTAGAAACGGTCTGTCTCCTCATCGCTCCACGGATCCGACTTCATTTTGAAGAAAGGCACACGATCAGTGGGATCGCGTCGGCGTTCGTTGATCCAGCTCATCTGGTTCACACGCTTGGTCAAGTCATCATTTTCCGTTACGATCAGGTTTTCGGCGTTGCGCTCGGCTTGTGCTTGTCGATCGATGCGCAAACTTTCTTCATCTACCACCAGGTTTCCTTCGGCATCTATGCGAAGTCGAGGTCCTGTTACAACGGCTGGTGGTGCTTGGGGTGTCTCTGCGCTAGGCTCGCCTTCTGCGCCCTCTCCACCCTCGGCGTTCTCGACTGGTCGTGTATTGTTGTTGAGGGTTGCAGGGTCAATGCCTGCTCGAATAGCTTCTGCCTCTGCCACTCTTTTCCTGTGTACCTCGTCCCAGTCTATGGCGGCCATTTTGGTCTCTCTTTCTGATACTTTGCCCAAGCCTCTGTCTTTGGTGAGCTCGAACATGGTTGTTTCAGTGACATCAATCTCGTGGTTCTCCGGGTCCTCTACGGGGTCATCTTCGCCTGGTTCACCATCCTGCCCTTCGACCTGCTGTGCTTGCTTCTTCTTTTGGCGGGGCTGCCTTGGCTTGGGCGTAGGGCGAGCAGCTGGTTCCTGTGTCTCCACTATATTTCCATTCTCATCTTCCACGACTGTTGCGGCCGATTTTGGTGCGCGTTTCGCTCTTGAGGCTCTAGGCTTCTTTAGCTTCGCAACAGCTGCCGCATCTGTATTGTCCTCTCGGGCTCCGCTGACAGCCTGAGAAGGGTCTGCCGCCTCTTCGGAAGGTTGAGTAGCAGCGTTCTTCCTCTGTCGCTTTGCGCGAGGTTTGGGAGCCGAGGCACTCGAGTTGGCGGGTGGCAGCATCTGGGCTACAGGAGCTCTCGATTGTTCTTGGTGATTAATCAGGGAGTTTATCAGAGCAGCTTCGTGATCTGCTTCGACAGTAGGGAGAGCATGTTGATCGGCCATGGGCTGTGTGGCCTGCTCAGCTGTCGACTGCTGGGAAGGTGCGGAAGGTGGAGGCGTAGGACGCTTTCGCTTCTGGCCAGCCAATTGAGTCGGAGAAGGCGGCACGAATTCCGATTGTTGACGGGAAGAGACATGGTCGGTAGAAGAATCGGATTGATGTGGTTCCGGGTGGGTGACGGGAGGAGTGGATCCGACTATGGTCTGTGAAGTTGGAGCAGGGCTGGCGGTGGGGAGAGATGTCGCGGGTTTTTGCAGCGAGACATCGGACCGGGCGAGAGAGAGCGGCGACGGCTCCAAAAGTTGAGGGAGAGAAGCCGGTGGTGGAGGAGTGGGTTGTCTTGCAGCTTGTTGAGCGACGGCAGGAGGCGGGCGGGTTACTGGAGATTGCTGAGTTGCAGGAGGAGTAGGGAGGGGAGTAGTCGGAACATGTTGTTGGTCGGGTTGAGTCGAGGTGGACTCTGGTTGTGATGCGCCAGCACTGGCATCGAGATTGGTGGAAGATGGAGTGGGCTCAGAGGCAGGCGTAGCTTCGACTGGGTGAGCAGCGGGCTGAGTAGCGGACTGAGCGGCAGGCTGGCCGGCGGGTTGAGCAGGGCGACGACGGGCGACGGCAGCCTTTGGAGCGAACTTCTTGCCCTTGTCTGGCAAACGCGTTAGTGAGGGGAATCGCGGTTTTGTTCGAATGGCGCGTCGCACTGATGGCTGAACTGGTCAAGGGCGCCATGACGGCTAAGCGCGCATCTCTTGTTGGATTGCGAGGTCCGAGTCGATGAGTGTGCCGCTCTGTTTGCTGCGTCCCAGACGTCGATGGTTTGCTCGAGATGTCTTTGGTCGAGGAAGCAGCGTTGGACTTGGCCAAAGTTCAAAGTTGCAGCCGCTCGGCGGTCCAAAGCGCCAAGGCCCTCACAGACGCAGCATTGTCGAACACTCTCCCTCTCTCGCGCCAACTTCGCCCTACACTGTCTCTCCTAGCCTCTTGCTACCACGCCACCACGACAGCTTCCACGGCGCCCTCTTCGCCACCACCCAGCTGGCAGTGACATGACGCTCTCCGACACGACCAACTTGTCTGTCCCGTCCGCAAAGCCCACCATGGATGAGCGTAAGAGATCCATCCAGCCCGACTCGGACGACATCTATCCTAGCAAGCGCCACCAGCCCAGTCAGAATGCCCCTCAGATGAGGATGGACTCGGAGAAGGAAAAAGATGTCGAGGTATCCATCTCCAAACCACCCGTCCCCAACACGCGACCTGCCCTGCTAACTCCATTTTCAGTCCTTCCAGAAAGATGCCATTCTCCGTCAAATGAAAGAGTACAAGCGCGAGAAAGCCCTCTACGAGTCTCAAGTCCAAGACCTCTCCAAGCGCTCCCAGCACCATGACGATCATCTGCGCATCGTCGATGCATGGTTCACACAGGTGAATATCCCCCGACATGACTCCCCGCGACCATTCCCGACGCTGACGCCGCCGACCCTGTAGTTACTCGACGAGATCAGAATCCTAGTTGGCGACCTCGTCTCGGACCAGGAACCTGAAGCGGGTGAACTTTTCCGCTCATCTTTGCTGTTTGACGACAACACTCAATTCGATTCTCATCTCAAGAACCGCTCCTCCAAAATAAAGGCCGCTATCAAGGATGTCTTCGGCAGGTTGCCTGCCGCCGAACCGGAAGTCAGGAGTTTGCAGGAGAGACTGGCCGCTCTTCTGGCCAACGAAAAGGCTCATCTGATTGAAAGTCAAAGAATCATTGGTGAACGCGACCAGTTGTCAGAACGTCTGGAACAGGCCTCATACCGCTACCTTCTCGCCGAAAAGAAACTTGACCGCGCAAAAAGCGCTCAGGTACAGAAACTCGAGCGTCAAGCCACCATGGGCGGAAATCTGGAATCCAGCTCATCATCGGAAAAGAAGTCCGTGAAGAACGAAGCCGCAGAGACAAACGGCGAAGTCGACAGTGTCGTTCACGCTGCTGCGGAGACGGCTCGCAAAGAGGCTATCGCTGCTTCCGAAAAGCGCAAACTCCAAACTGAGCAACTCGAGGCAGAGAATAAGCAATTGACCGAGGAATTGACATCCGCCAAAATCCGACTTACCTCACTATCTGATGAGGACTACGCCAAATCCGACCTCTACAAACTCTTGAAGTCCCAACATGAAGATGTGATCAAGCGTGTGAATGATCTCGAAGCCACAAATCTACAACTGCGTGAGGAAGCTCAGAAGTTGCAGGCTGAAAGGACATCATACCGAAACAACATGGAAGAAGAATCACAGACGAATACAACTGACCTCGAAAGTCAGCTAGCACGCGCCGAATCCGACCTTGCTCGTATCCGCAATGCAAGAGATGAGTTGTCAGCTGAACTTTCCGTCCGAAAAGGCTCCCAGGATCAGACTCAGCTTGCTTCCGACTCGATCAAGGAACTGGCAGCGGCTCGCGAAACTCGTATCACCGCTCTGGAATCCGAAGTCGAGCGTCTCAAGCTGCAGATTGGAGAAAGCACCGCAACATCTACCAACGAGGCCGTCGACACAATGCCAATTGACGAGCTTAGGTCGCAGCTCAAGACGCTCGAGAACAGACATCTGCTGCTTAACAATGAGTTGCCCTCTATGGAAGCGGCATGGAAAAAGGCCAAGGGCCTGGCAGAGAGAAAGGTGTCCGAGATCACCGAATGGGAAGAACAGCGCACACGCATCCACGCCGAGAAAGCCAAGGCCGATCAGAAGTACTTCGCAGCAATGAAGGCAAAGGACGCACGCGAAAACGAGCTCCGAACTCTGAAAGCGCAGAATGCAAAGAGCTCCGAAATCGTGACGCAACTGAAGGACGCAGAGAACAACAGCAGATCACTGATTATCAATCTGGAGAAGCAGATTTCCGAGTCCAAGGAGTCATTAACATCCATATCCCAACAGAACAGAACAATGCAACAGAAGCTCAGCGAGGGAAACTTGACTCTCGAGAAGCTTCGCACACAAATCACCGACATGAAGAAGTTGGTCGTCTCAAAGGAAGCTGCATCTTCAGCAGCTGCATCAGCAAAGAGACAAGCCGAGGTTGAGTTGGAAGAGGTCAAGGTCCGCTTGGAAGACACCAAGAAGTCTCTCGATGCCATGAAGAGAAAGGGGCCTGGACGGGAGTCTGAATCAGACGATTGGCGTGTAAGTCCGAGTACACCATGTGTGACTGACCATAAACTGATGACCAGCAGAAAATCGCCATCTGTCCTGTTTGCAACTCGAATCTGCGCAACACTGTTCTCAAACTATGCAGCCACACTTTCTGTCAAGGTTGTGTACAGAATCTCATCGCCAACCGATCCAGAAAGTGCCCATCATGTGGCAAAGCATTCGGACATGCGGACCACATGCCTATCGTACTGGCATGAACAACGTTCCCTCGACAAACTCCACCCAAATTATCATTCAATGACCCTTTACATCACTTCTACCTTCTAATGATACCCTGGCTCTTTTCGAAGTCGCTCTATTGCTTTCTGCTCTCAAAATGCGGCTACTCTTTGTTTCTGGGATAGACACATTGATGATTTTGTCGCACAAAAGTTGTTTCAATTTACAGGATCGGGCGAAGGATATTTGCGCCAACACTCTCCTCATGCCAGCCCGATGCGACATGAAGGAATCGGACGCACGGAGTCGCTGCATAGCTCGTACCGGGATTTTATCACTACAAGAATAGCCCTGATGTTGACATGCCAGTCTTGGATAGCTGGAGCCTTATCTCATGCTCTACCTTCATTCTCGCATGTCGTTCGACAGTGATGAAACTGGATGTAAAAGTCCTGTCATGTGGATCGGCTTCACCATACCCGTGCTTAGAGCATGGATCTGTCCCAAGGCGCATCTGGCCCAGCCTGGGTTTCGTCGGACAATGGCGGACAAAACAGCGTTGTTTAGAAGGGTTCAAGCGGTCAAAGACACTCTACCTAGACCCAAGCAAGCACAAGAAGCTGAATCAAACTAAACCATGCCGATTTTAACATTTTCAAGATGACATGCAGAACTTTCGTGATGGTGTGTCTGTATGCGAGTCGCGAATGTAAAGACAGCAAAGGCATGATATTGACATGGCCTGTAAGGCGAGACCCAAAGAGACGACGATGTGGAGGCGGCCCGTTCCTCGACGTCGATCTTTCGGATGACGTGCCGACCGGAATCTTCAATCTTGCAAAGAAACTTGGATTGGTCAATTTACTTTGACAAGGACAAAGCATTACACGTTCACAACAATGGGCAAATCAAAGCGCCGTAAGACACAAGAACGCAGAGAGCACAATGAGAAGTCCAACGGTGGTCGCCCAAAATTCAACGTTCGAGATGGCCCATCAAGACCGAAACATCAGCAATCAAAATCGCAACAACATGCCAAAGCCGCAAAGAGTGCCTCGGAAAAGAAAGCATCGCCCGCGTCACGGCAGCAACAACAGAACCAGGACCCCGTAATCCCATTTGACGCCCTCGAGCGCATTCTGGTCATTGGAGATGGCGACTTGAGTTACAGCAGAAGTCTGGTGGATACACACGGTTGCGCTGCCTTGTTGGCTACGACATATGATTCCGCAGCCGAGTTGGCGGAAAAATATCCGCAAGCACAGGAGAACAAGGAGGCTATCGAGGCAGAAGAGCAAAGGGTACTACATGGGGTTGATGCGACGAAGCTTGGTCAAAGAGAAGTCAAGAAACAGGCCGGAGGTTGGGAGCGAGTCATCTTCAACTTCCCTCATGTCGGCGGAAAGAGCACGGATGTGAACAGGCAGGTCAGGTACAACCAAGGTATGTGTCTACCAACATCCCTGCGCTGTTCAGCTCTGCAGAATACTGATCACACCTGTAGAGATGCTCGTCTCTTTCTTCGGGGCTGTAACTCCCTTGCTCGCTCCTCATGGCACAGTCATCGTCACTCTGTTCGAAGGCGAACCATATACCCTCTGGAACATTCGCGATCTAGGCCGTCATGCTGGTCTCGAAGTCCAACGCAGCTTCCGTTTCCAAGCAGATGCCTATCCAGGATATGCTCATGCACGCACACTAGGCAACATTGAAGGAGGTGGAGGCTGGAAGGGAGAAGAAAGACTTTCAAGAAGCTATGTCTTCCAGATCAAGGGTGCTGGAGAAGCGGTCCAGAAGCAACAAGCAAAGACCAACAAGAGGAAAAAGATGGAGGAGAGTGACGACGATGACAGTGACGAAGACTGAGGGCTACCGTCTGTGGATTTGATCATGTGCTTATATTGTTCGATACCCAAGCGTAGACATACGCTGTCTTTTTTTTTTTCTGTTCACTTACTTCTTCCTGAGGGAAAACATTGGCCAGCGCTGTCAGCATTGCCAAGAACGCGATCGAAACGCTTCGACTCCGACAAGAACCCTCTCTCATACGTTACTCGACCATTTGGCAGCGGTCTCTAGCCTTATCATCGGACACGCCGAAGACAAAAACTTTTCATACCCAGAGCCAAGGTCCGCGCTGCACCGACGTGCGGATTTGTGGATACTGCACGCCCTTGTTGGGCGTGTTGTCGCGAATTGCAACCCGAAAAGTATAATTGCGTGATGCAGGATTCGAGCACGACATGGATCTCAGCTTGCTACTTCTGAACAGAAATATTCAAGGGAAAATTCGTTGAATGCGACAATGTGATAAATAGTGTTGATGATTCCGTAAAGGTAGGTTTTGTAATTTGTGCTTATTGACTACCTGTCCATCATCATGGTGAACGATTTAGAAAAGCATCTGGAACAGGTTCAACATGCCGTCGAGGATCACCCTCGTAAAGATGTTGATGCTGCATTACAGTTGGTGCAACAACACGGCTTGGAGCCCACTGTCCTGGATCCAGAGAAGAACAGAAGGCTTCTACGCCGCATTGATCTCCACGTCATGCCGATGATTTGCATAGTCTATTGTAAGGAAACTGTCAAGCTCCCTATAAGCTCTGCTAATTGTAATGTCTACAGTCTTACAGTATCTCGACAAGATCGCCATCTCATATGCTAGCGTCACTGGTATCAAGACTTCGGCAGATCTACACGGTACTCAATTCAACTGGATTGCGAGTATATTCTTCTTTGGACAGTTGGCTTTTGAATTTCCAACGATTCGTCTGATTCAGTTATTTCCTCTTGCCAAATATGTCGCTGCCAATGTCATCATCTGGGGTGCAGTTCTGGCCAGTCTTGCTGCCTGCAAGTCTTTTGCAACTCTCATGGTCTGCCGTGCCTTGCTTGGTGTTGCTGAAGCTGCAATTGTACCAGCATGGGTTGTCTTTACGTCTTCTTGGTATCGCAAAGAAGAACAAGCTTTCCGTGTCGGTATCTGGTTCTCCATGTGCGGGTTTGCGCAAATGCTGGGAGGCTTCTTTTCTTATGGTGTTGCCAGTCATGTGGGCGGTGATGCCAATGCTGCTCTTGAGGGTTGGCAAATCATCTTTCTCTTCCTTGGCTTGCTTACCTCGGTGGTCGGCATCGTCTTTTGGTTTGTCTTGCCTGACTCTCCTTTGACTGCAAAGTTTCTGTCGACAGAAGAGAAGGCGTTGCATGCAGAGCGCATGCGTCAGAATGAGCAAGGTATTGGTAACCGCGTCTTCAAGTGGAACCAGTTCTGGGAAGCCATCAAAGACATCAACACCTGGCTCTACGCATTCTGGATCTTCGCCGCCAACATCCCAAACTCGACCGCCACAAGTTTCGGAAACATTCTTGTGACTGGTATGGGCTATACCAAGAAAGAGAGCTTGTTACTCGTAACCCCTTTGGGTGCCTATGAGGTCGTCATCCTGATCGGCCTGACATACCTTGCTGGCAGAACAAATCAAAGATTATGGTGCTGCATCGCAGGTCACATCCCTTCCATCATCGGTGCAATCTTGATGGCCACCACCAACAAAGTCCCCGCACTCATCGGCTTCTACCTCACCGGCGGCATCCCCATCGGCTGGACCACCATCCTCGCCCTTCAAAGCACAAATGTAGCCGGCTCGACCAAGAAAATCACAGTAACCAGTATCGGTGTCATTGCCTATACAGTCGGAAACATCATCTCGCCACAGACGTTCCAGACTAAAGATGCACCGAGATACCTACCTGCGAAGATCAGCATTTGTATCTTGTACTTTTTGATCACGATTGATTTGTACCTGATCCGATGGTTTGCAGTCCGGGAGAATAGAAAGAGAGATGCTGAGAGGGAAGCACTGGGAGACAAATATGTGGTTGAAGAGAATCATGAGTTCCTCGACTTGACGGACCGTGAGAACAAAGAATTTAGATATGCTGTATGATCTATAGCATAAATCAAATCTGCGATTCCTGACGAGTATGGGGTTATCTTCTGTCTTGGGCATATGCTAAAACTGCACACGAAGCTACACGAATGCCGGTATGATCTCTTCACTCGACGTCAGCGCCCGCTTCTAGATATCTCCTCATAAACAACCCATTGAGATAGGCCCAAATGCACATTTATTCACGACATTCGAGTGGCGAGTACTTCAAACGATGAGTATCTGCGAATTGAAGATAAACACAGTATCACGGACAAGATCATTCTCATAGCGAAGGTGAATGTGAAATTCAGAATAGATAGATACAGTTGAATCGTAAAATAGCTATAAGCCAAGGTCGTTAAGCACACATGCCCATTAGGAAAGCATCATCAAATACACATCGTCTAACCGAAGAGGGCATCACCAAGTCTGATGCTGACAGTCTTGGTCTGGAGGTAGTTGTCAAGAGCAGCCTCACCGAGTTCACGACCGATACCGGAAGACTTGAAGCCACCGAAGGGCAACTGCCAGTGAAGGGTGTTGTAGGTGTTGACCCAGACGGTACCAGCCTTAAGTGCGTTCGAGACCTCAATGGCGGTGTTGAGGTTGGATGTGTGGACGGCGGCGGCGAGACCGTATGTAGTGTTGTTGCCGAGACGGACAGCGTCCTCCTTGGTCTTGAACTTGGCAATGGAGCAGACAGGGCCGAAAATCTCCTCTTGCATGATGGACATGTCGTCCTTGACATCGGCGAAGATCGTGGGCTCGATGAAGTAACCCTCGTTACCCTTGCGCTTGCCACCGGTAACGATGGTAGCACCCTCGTCTTGACCGGCCTTGATATAACCCATGATTCTGTCGAACTGGATTTGAGAGACCTGAGGTCCCTGGAAGGTGTCGGCGGCGAAGGGGTCACCGACAACGTTCTTCTGAGCACGCTCCTTGAAGCGCTGAACAAACTTATCGTAGATGCCCTCCTGGACGTAGACTCTTGAACCAGCACAGCAGCACTGTCCGTGGTTGAAGAAAATACCGAAGTTGACCCATGAGATGGCGTTGTCGATGTCGGCATCATCGAAGACGATGTTGGGAGACTTGCCACCAAGCTCAAGGGTGACCTTCTTCAGGTTGCTGCCAGCAGCGGCCTTCATGATTTGTCTACCGACGAGGGTGGAGCCAGTGAAGGCAACCTTGTCAACGTCCATGTGCGATGCAATGGCGGCACCAGCAATCTTTCCGAAACCAGAGATGACATTGACAATACCGGGAGGGAAGCCAGCTTCCTTGCACAGGTTGGCAGCGTAGAGACCGGACAGAGGGGTCTGTTCGGCGGTCTTGAGGACGACGGTGTTACCGCAGGCAATAGCAGGACCGATCTTCCATGCCCACATGAGCAGGGGGAAGTTCCAGGGAATGATCTGACCGCAAACACCAATCTGAAATGATGGTCAGTATTGAGTGGGTGAGTTTGGTGTGCAGCTACTTACAGGCTCCTTTCTGATGTAGTTAAAGGTGTCGGGGCTGGTGTCGACAACCTTACCCTCAATCTTGTCGGCCCATCCACCGTAGTATCTCAGGCAGCCAGAGGCAGCGGCGACATCGCCCTTGGCCATTGTGAAAGCCTTGCCGTTATCGAGGGACTCGATGGCGGCAAGCTGGTCTGAACGCTCATCAAAGAGGTCGGCGAGCTTGACAAGGAGCTTGCCACGCTCGTTGGGGGTAACCTTACGCCAGTCACCCTCGAAGGCCTTGCGAGCAGCTGCGACGGCAATGTCGACATCCTTCTCGCTGGCCTCGTGGACAGAGCAGATGACCTTCTCGTTTGTGGGGTTGATGACCTCGAATTGCTTGCCATCAACACCCTTGACGAACTCATTGTTAATGAAGAGACCGGTGGGCTGCTCGTACTTGCCCGTGGTCGGGGTCTCAAGTTGGATTGAAGTCATGATTGTGTGATATAAATGTGGGGGGTATCTCAAACACAAAAAAACAAGAGGAGAGAGGAACGGATGTCAGGAGAGAAACGTGTGCATTCGGGCATGATCAAGGTATTTGTACTCGACGTGTTCGCCTCTACAAGCTCCAGACATTCCGGGTCCACCGAACCAATCTCCACTCGTCCTGGAGCGGACCTTTCCCTATCCGGACATAAATGGGAGGTGATAGGCGACCGCCAGACCTCGGACTCGCGGAGTGTGTTTGGCAGGCGGGGCAAGGGCGGCACTACCCCGCGCGCTGTACTCCTCTTGGAGTTACCGGGGAAGGAACGATGAACCATGCCAGAGCAGGAAAGACTCTTGAATCAGCCGCCACATTCTTGTATCTTCTGCATCGATCAGTCCATATCCATTGACCCTTAGGTACCTCTTGCTGCATGCTCAAGAGGACGAGAAATCAATCTGATAGCTTCTCGCAGGCATTGCCTCGAGATGCCGAAGGACGTCAATGCGTCGAATCTGCTCGGGTGAGTTGCCTCCGAGTGAGACCTGCAACAAAATTATTACGAATGTCGTCGAATGCTGCGATCTGAGTGGTCCATTTTCAGCCTCGGGATACTTGCTTTATCTGACCACTGCAACATCATTCCCAACTTGTCACTCCGAACTATCTCCACGGTAGTAATCTCAATGGAGCTCTCAGAATGCACAATGTTTGCCAAACGTGTACCGATTCTCGAGAGACGGAATGGTACCAGACTTGCAAGAGGATCTATTCCGCCTCAAAATCGAGACTGAGATTCCACAGTCCTTTTCGAAACCGAGATGGATCGATCCTTCACCACCCCTCTTGAACCACGTGTGTAGCTCATCATCCATCTCCGCATCTGAAGACCATGGAGGGCGAAATTCCGCAGCCCCGATCATCAGCTACCTTGGCACAGCCTCGATGCATTATCAATGCCATGTGCATTACGGACTTATGGGACTCATCTCTGCTCAGATCTTTCTCGTCGCTATCATGCAGCTGCAGTGTGCAGTCATCTTGCAGACGCTCAGTTAACACGCGGTTAACACAAGAATGTTAAGTTACTGTGGAGCATATCCGCATAGACTTGCTCAAGGTTGGTGGCTTTGGCCTAGATCGTCGGATGCGGAGAAGCTCCCATTTGTAAGCCAAACCTTCCCCCTCACAACATCAAGGTATCGGAAAGCGTTTGCCCCTCACAGTATCGTGTCCTGGTGCTCTCCAGAGCCTGGTTTGGCTGACACACATTCTTTCTTGTCAGCTTCTGTTGACTCATCTCAACTACATTAGGATCTGCAACTGCTATTTCATAAGATTCGCCAGAACGAAAGAATATTATCAAAAGCAGGACCTCTCCCAGGTTCTGTAATGGCCTCAATGGAAGCTGTGCCTGAGAGTTGCTCGTTGGCTTTTCCGAGCTGCTCGTCGTCCGATTCAGAGTCGTTGCTATCCGCGCTGCCGCTTGAGGAGCTCAAGTCGGACTCGGAATCAGAGTCGCCCAAGTCGACCAGATCGCTCGGACTTCGACGTTGACCAGACGTGGTTATGAGCATCGGATCGCGATGGCTAAGTATCGTATTGCTTACCGCCGCTGTTTCTGCGTTAGTGGAGGTTGGCGCAAGTCGAGGATTGGAACTACTCACCATGACTAACATGCAATGCAAAATCTGGCTCTATGCGGCCCTCTCTGCCTGTAACATCTTGCCATGCTCTGACCTTACCATCTGTACCACCCGCCCAGACATTGACCTTGCCGTACGCATCGCTTGCGAGATCGAAAGAAAGCTTCAGTGTGGTAAGAGCACAGCGACCAGAAAGATAGCTCAGTCGTCGGCCAGTATGTCTGATATCATAGACGAGCAAAGCATCGCTCTGACGTTCGGCGACGAAGAGGTAGTTTCCACATGGACTCCAGGCAAGTTGGCTGACACCGTTTCCTTTGAGCACAGAATCCTCCAAATCGTTGTAGCTCAAGTCGAAGGCAGTCACACATTCTCCTTGACCAGCAGCCTCGAACAGGCCCACCTGACGATTATATGTGCCTGCGGCCAAGATGTTGTCGCCGGACAGAGCCAAGGAGGAGATTATGCCACCAATGCCACCCGAGTCTGCCCCATACAGTTTCCTCGCCTTTCGGCCTTTTCGTGTCGGACATTCGTAGGTAGGACCATCACCGTTGTGTACGTCGAACACAGCAATGGTATCTTTTGCGCCGGCAACAAAGCGGGTGTTGTCCACAAAGAGCAGAGACGATGGTGAGATGTATGCTTCGGTGAGAGAGTTTTGCCAAGTATAAGAGGCATGAATATATGCAATGTCAAGAGCATTGATCAGGCGTAGAGGCAGGTCTGGATGGGAGGTCACAAGGAGAGTGCTGGCGGGATTGGTGACATCGAAAGCCGGGTGAAGGGTGAGCGAGGTGAGCTTGAGCGGTGATGGAGCTGAACAGTAGGGCGAGACTTCTGTGGCCTTCTCGTCCGAATGAATTGACGGACTTGCACATGTCAGCTAGACGGAGGCAGGAACAAGACAGAAACAGGAAGGCAGATGAGAATAGGAAAGGAAGATCAAAGGCAGTCGCGCCTTCCTCGTGTCCTTACACTGCAAAAGTCCTCAAGATGAGATCCTCGTTATATGTGACTACAGCGGTACCATCAGATGACAAGAGAGCGTGTCGAAAACAATTGCTCTCGTTCTTGTCTGCAGGGGTTGCGACGCCGTGGACTTGATCAGCCCAGCCTGGATGCGCTTCGTCGACGGTACAGCGATATCTGTCGCCTGTTGAAGCAACGCATCGCAGACTTGTACCTTGCTCTGCGTCAGTCTCGGCGACGACAGATGGCTCACGCATTGAATCGATGGACGTGACGAGATAGCGTCGCGGATGTTCGGAGGAGAGAAAGTGCCTGAAGCTTTGACCGCATGTCCCCAGGCCGAGGGTCTCGACGGCGCTGTGCCTTCTGGAATTTTCCACCGACAGCAATACATCAATCGCCGCTACACTTCTTTCTCCAACAGCATACACATCTATATCCCCGTCGAATCACCCTCGTCGAACATATCCACCGTCAAAATGGTACGCTTTGCGCCACCTCCGAGCCGAACAATCAACGACTAACGCTGCCGAAATACAGTCCACCATCGCCGCCAAGTCCATCAAGGCTCTCGCTCCTCTGCTCGACCGTGTCCTTGTCCAGCGCATCAAGGCCGAGACCAAGACCGCCGGTGGTATCTTCCTTCCTGAGTCGGCCGTCAAGGAGCTCAACGAGGCCAAGGTCCTCGCTGTTGGCCCCGGTGCCTTCGACCGTGACGGCAAGCGCATTGCCCCCTCTGTCCAGCCTGGTGACAAGGTCTTGATCCCCCAGTTCGGTGGTTCGCCCATCAAGGTCGGCGAGGACGAGTACTCGCTCTTCCGCGATCACGAGTACGTACCATCATTGCCTCAACCAGAGAACTGAAGAACGATATGACTAACTATGGCGACCACAGGCTCCTGGCCAAGATCAACGAGTAAATTACATGATACCCCCGATCCTTCTCTCGACGAAAACATACCCACATATACTTGTATCAACATCACACGTTCTGACGATCTGCGCAATGACCGCTCGGCTGAGCACATCAAGAGTCTGAAGAGCACACAAAACTTGTAGTATATCATAACTTCCTTCTGTTGTATTTACCAGCGACTCTTTCTCAAAAACAGTTTTCGCATCCTCGAAATGTAGCATTGTCTCTCAATGGACAACACACCACTCTTGAAAAGTATTGTGCCTTTTTACAGCTCGTCTTTCAGTATATCATCGTGACGACGAGAGACTCGACTCGGAATGGACAAACAGAGCTGAGTTCAGCGCTACTGATCGTCTCTCAGTGGCCAACTCGCTATCTCGAAAAGCACTGTGTTTTTTTTTACAGCTCCTTCCATCACAGACCATGAACGATGAGACTACTGACTTGCTCCCTACTAGCAAGGCCGAAGTGAATCCCTCAGCAGACTTTCACCAAGAGAAAAGCAGTATAAAAAAACCCCAACCACCATCTTGGATTTCCCAACATCAACTTCAACCTGTTGGATGTTGGAGGTTGAGTGAAATCGAAGAAAGAGGCCGGAGATCCTGTGTTGCTTCAAGATTCCCAAGGACAGTCCGGGTCCTCGTCGTGATGGGTTGTCTCCAGTCGCTCGAGTCTCGTCGTGCTGATAGTTGTATATCACGGAAGTACTGCACGAAAGTGCACTGTTTATAGGAGTCACATCGCCAACAGAATCTGGGCCCTAGTCGATTTCGGAGTGTCTTCGTGATGCTCCTTGTGCCGTTCATGCTGCTTCGTGCAAACTATTGCAGTGCTACACAGAAGCACACGACTGACTGGTCGTGGTTAAGGAGACGTAGGTGTCAGTCGTGCGGACTAGTAGCCTGGTCCATGGTCCATGAGGTAACAGGAAATCGAGTGCGGTGACCTGCGATGAGAGCAAAAGCTTCCCACTCCTTATAGCAATGACTTGTTGTCTTTGTAGCTGCTGGAATGCAGAAACATTTCTACGTAGAGAGTATCTTTCGATGAGAAGGTATGCTTCCATGCTCTCAGCAGCATATTATCACTTATAGATTCATTCTTGCTTTTCCACAGGACCACAAATTCGTCAGTATCGACGACGAGAGACTGGACAAAATTTAGATCCATGATGAAACCATGCTTTTCTATCAATGCACAATGCTCTCTCTACACCTCATATGCTCACTCCAAAAGCGCCGTCCTGACCAACAAACCCGCACTCCAACTTCTTACCCTCCCACCTCAAAATATAAACAGCAGGTCGTCTACTCTACATCAAACAGCCATTCTTAATGCTTGAATGCAGGTCTGAGGCAGCGATGCGTTGACGAGAGCCACCTAGGGAAGCAAAGACCTCGATTTGCCATTCGTACCATACTTTACGGTCGTCAGTCTGACGCCACATGGAGACTTCGATCTCGGAGGCCGTAGGGATGTAAAGGGGCGTCTGGAGTTCAAACGTCAGTAAGGCCAACAAAGACAAGAGAGTGTAAAAGGAGAGCAAAACATACCTTGAGCGGAAAGAAGATAGGGAACCAAGAAATCATATCCTTGCTCTTGTCCTCCATAGTGTTAGGATTGATACTAAGTTCAATCTTCTTGCTTCCATTCTCAGGAGAGTAGAGGACGGTCTCAAAATAGCCACCCAAACCATGGCAGACTCCTCGCGAAGAAGCAGTGAAGCGAAGACGGCAGAAACGTGCGTTATGCTCGTTCCAGCCATCTCCACCTACCATGCCGCCGCCACCTGCTTGAACACTACCTCCGCGGCGGAGGTTTGATTGTGCAATGATGGCCTCAGGCAATGGATGAGTGAACTCCCACGCTGTTTGAATATCAGGTTGGAGAGTCTTGGGATCGATGCACAGATCATCGTATTGGTGCAGCATGGTGACGTATGGCAATTCCCACTTCTGATCATCAGTTCTCGACAACAAGTCGGCGTAGATCTTTGGATGAGCGATCGGTGTAAAGTGAGCAGTGTAGGAAGCAGGCACACTGACTCCATGTTCGGGGTGCAAAACATGCTGAACACCATCCAAGCACTCGGGACTCAGCTCGTTATCTGCAAAACTACCCAGAAGTTCAGAGACAAGGATATCGACTTTTGCGGGCGAAGAGTCGATGACGGGACCTTTCCAGGCACGCATGTCAGTCTTGACAACGGTGACGCGCTTATTCCAGAGAGGGTCGGTGGCGTTACGACGTTGGAGGAGGACGTAGGCGTTGGGGTTCTTCTCTACTGCCCATTGCTTGACGGGGATGCCAGTGCTGGCGGATGCTTTGAGACAGCGAGTCACCAGGGGTCCACGACCAGCTCCGACGACGGCGACGACGATAGGACGCTGCAGTTTCTTGTGAAGATCCTTAAGAGCTGCAGCAACAGCACGCTCGTACCACTCGTACTTGATAGGGTCCTTCTCGAAGACTTCATAGGTGATGGATTCGAGATTATCGGTCAAGGGCTGCAGAGGCGACTGCAAGAAGTCCTGGTATCCAGCGGCGAAGCGGTCGATGATGGGGCGGGGAGGCTGAGTACGTTGGAGATGACGGATGTAGCTCAGGTGGGGAGTCAAGTCCTTGGGCTTCTGAGTCTGCGTCTGCTGCTTGCGCTTGGATTGTGCAGGAGTGGGAAGGTCGGGAGACGCAGATCTGTCAGGCAGATTGACGGGCATGCCGGGGTGGTTCTGTCCAGGGATAGGGCCAACGTCGCTGAGAATGATCCATGGGACAGTCTTGAGGCGCATATAACGAGTGAGCAGGGCCTGAACAGGCTTGTTCAGCACAGGGAAGCCCTTGGCGTTGCGTGCAAAGGTCGACTCAGGAAGCATCAAGGTGCGAAGAGGCTCGGAGAACCAACGTGACTGAATCTCAGAGGAAGGCAACTTCTGAGGAACTTCAAGAGCGACAGTGAGTCTAGGATGGTACTTGCAAGTCGATCTGATCAGCTCCCAAGTGTCCCACGACCAAAGAGCGTCAGTTGACATGGACTTGATAGTCTTGAATGAGTCTCTAGCACGGCCGGCCAGGCTCAATCCGTCCTCGGCGGTTTTACTCTCAGCGGGCTGCATAGGAAGTAAGATCTGAAGGTTGATGTACGGTCCGGCTTCGAGGGAGTTCCAGATTGCTCTAGCATACTGGCTAATCACAGAAGATGCCTCGAGGTCAGGTCCTTGAATCATGATGTTGTTGACGCCACAGAAGGCAGCATAAGCAACCTCGTGGTTGAACACTTGACGAGAGACATGGGCAATGACTGGATCTGGAGAAGCAAGATCGATCCAGGTGCTTGTACAGCAGATCATAGTAGAGATATATTCGTCTGGTACCAAGTTCGTATCCTCGGGAGTGAGCGGTGCAACAAGAGGGTAGGGAATAGCATCTGCGTTCGCTGATGCTGAGACTGCCTCGAAATAGGCGTCTACCAACGCAAGAACTTTTGCTTGGAATCCAGGAGATGTGATGGGTCTAGTCATCATGTCGTACTAAAGCAGCGGTTAGTTATTTGACTGCTGACAGATCCCGTCATAGTTTCAAATTATGCAGAGTCCAACTGAGTGATATCCTAGATCACATTGCCACAATCTGAGAAGCAAAGCGTTCTGGGACTTTGAAATGGGACATGATTGACAAGGAACTCAAACTTACGCCAGCATCTTGCGCTTGGTTGCCCAACTCGGTGGTAACAGGGACTGTTCTCTTGGTTTCATGCTGCCCAATGTAGAAATAGGTATTTTGTTGCTCCTGCGGAGTAACTCCAGGTAGTGTCTCCATTGTTATAGGTGATAATGTGACAAATGTGTTCTATGTCAATTGTTAGCGGCGTTCATCAAGGTCGCAGAAATAATTTCGGCCATGCCAAGACCTTGGATCTGGCGTTTGGAGCGAGCGAGTTAAGGAACAAAGATGCAACAAGCGAATTATCAAAATGCAGGTTAAACAGACTGAGGCTTGATTCAAACAAGTGGGTATGACAATTCCTGAGGTCTAAATTGTAGGATATAGAAAACAAACAGCAAACGTCCAACGAAACAGATGGTACGGCACGCCTTTCGCTGGCAAACTGAACAGAAGATATAGTTTTGCACATCTTGCGTGCTGGTTGGCGGATTTATGCCAACCCGAAACTTCTGCCACCCAAAAAAACAATCCGAAAGAACAGAGTGAAAGCCAAACTCCAATGTAGCGCCTTGCGCAATGCATGAGGGACGAAGAAGACTGGAATATGGCGGGTTCCAGGTTGGGCAGTGTAGACTGCAGGGTATAGAGTGCTGACTTTGCCACTCATTGAGTGGAGAGGGTTGTGGGTATCTCGGTCGTAAAGCAGTCGATTGGGTGTGCGGAATTCGCTAATCAGCGTAGGTTCAAGGCTTTCTTGGTGTTTTCGTAAACGACGTAGGTGATGGAGACTGCAGGCACGACCTTGAGCAGGTTGGGTGTCAGGCCTTTGAACAGACCTCTGACACCTTCTCCAGCAAGGGTCTGTCGGGTGACGTCCATAATTCCCGTGTAGGTCCTGGGATGACTGGCAGTACCTTGAGACTGCAGTCTGGTACGTAGAAGGTTGACGGGGTAGACTGCGGAAGCTCCAATGGCACCGCTAAAGCCACCTATGAGAGCTGTTGCAAAGCTACTAGGCGCATTGTCTGCCTCGTGTCCACCATACTTTTTGACGTTGTACGCCGTAATGGTACGTTTCAAATACTCAAAGGTACCCAAATCGATGGCAGCGTAGGGGAACATGCCAACAAGACCCATTGGTAAGCCTCGGTAGAAAGCGAAGATGCCGTTCTTAGCCCACATCTTGGCTGCGGTGGCTGCGATAAGTTTTGTCCCACGTAAACCGCCTGGTACAGTCTCACATTGCATCCGGCTGTTACATGTTAGTGTATTGCAAGCGAGGACGGCCACGACTGACTTACAATTTTAAAGTGTCGAGGGGATAGACGACGGCTTGTGACACCATGCCTGCGAGGCCTCCAGCAACGAACTGCGAGACTGGTGAAATATTTCGCGTGTTGCTGTGTCCTTCGAATCTTGCGACCATCTTTTTCGCAGCCTAAGGTAGATATTAGCATGGCTTCCAAGAGAAGCAGGGCATCCACCTACTTCATACGAGCCGAACTTTACGGCGGACTCAGGCATGACCTTGACAATATTTAGACCATTGCCTTTTGACACTGTCAGCGAACATTCACGCTGCTTGCAAAGATGAAATTACCGGCAAATAAACTGCGAATACCGCCTGCTGCCCATAGTTCCTTGCAGGCTCTGGCTAAAGTGTTTGCGCTCGATTTTGCTGCTGCTGCGGGTGCACCACTTTTGACGGCTTGTACTGCTTCGTTACTGCCGGTCTGGGCGATGAGGTAGACCTTTAATCGATCTAGCGGGGCGGTTGTAGTTCTCGAAGCGACGCCTGATATGCCACCAGCCAGGAAATAGCCTGGATCAGGGACGAACTCCGTCAGCATGCTCATAAAGGCCCAGGCACGCGATGCATGTGATCGGTCGTCGTGATCAGAGACAACAGCGGCTTCTTTGTGGAGTGACGGGAGAGGTGGATTGCTTTCGGGCAGAGTATCATGATGATCAGAATACTGCCGTGATGGTGCTGGTGCTGGTGGTGGTGAAGCAATTCGGGTGATGGCCCCAAAGAGCGAGTGTTTAAGAAAGGAGGTTGCAGTACCTAGTCCCTGGATAGTCTCATCACTGACCGACACATCGCCCTCTGCAGTCACCTTCATGGCCGACTGATAATATGACATGACGGCCTTGATGCCTGGCGAGTTTGTTGGCATAAACAGGAGGAAGTTACTGTTGACAGTCAGTTGTGTCTCAAGCTAGCTCTTCCGTAGCAGGAGACATACCGCCAATCCTCAAAATTGATGGCGCCATCGTTGTCTGTGTCTACATCGTCGAAGAAGCTATCGAGGCGCGAGTTGGGCACGGCTAGACCGGCGCGGACAAAGGCGGCGCGTAGCTCGTTCTTGTCAAGGGTGCCATCGTTGTTGCGGTCGATGCTTCGGAACAGTTGCCAAAGTTCTCGTTCGGTTTGCTCGACGAATTTGCGGAACTCTTGGTCGGGTTAGCGGACTGTGTGACGGGTCGAGGGGGGCTTCGTGCTGCTGACCATCATATTCGATACGGCCACTGTTGTTGAGGTCGGCAGCCTCGAGTACATCCTCTATCAAACCATCTGCATTCTTCAGAGCTGCAATTGACGCGTGTGTCAGTACTTCTTTGGCCTTCGCGAGATCCGGGAGGTCGGTTGATGCTCACGATGATCGAGCTTCTTCAGACCCTTCCTGAGGGCCTTGAAGTCGAGGAAGCCCTCGTTTTGTGTGTCCAGTTTCTTCCACAAGGAACGAGTCCTGTTCTCCTTCTCGGCTGGTGATTCGGCGTCCATGGTCTGCCGTCTGTTGAAGTTCGGGCTATCTCGGTTTCATGGCTCTGATGTACCAGGAAAGGGGTTCCGCGATGCGCCTTGCTTTTCCTTCAGCAACGAGCGCCTCTTCGTCAACAAGCGCAACACGGCAGCAGATGGTGGACTGCGACGAGCAAGCAACGAAAAGCGTGTTATCTTCTTCTCTGCTTTAAGCCTCGAACAACCGAAAAGGCCTCATCCCCGCTGTCCTGACTTATGACGCTTTTCCTTCTTTCCTCCTTGGCACTCCTTTTACAGGCCCAAGCTTGGAAATGCTGACCTTTCCGGAAATAACACGTCCGCACCTCTCTCAATCTTGCTGGACATCGATTTGTGATTCCGATGATTTTCTTAAAAGTCAATCACGAATTGTTCTATGTAGGTAGGCTCTCAAGTCTGTATTGCAGACGTACCTGAATCTGCCTCTTCCAGCTGCTCTTCCCGTGTATCATGAGCGTCGCCTTGGCATCACGGCCATCGCAAGTCATGGTGATCTGGTCTTCAAAGTGACACCACCATATACTTTTATAGTACCTTTTGCCTTGATAAAGCTGAATCAGAATATCCATCCGAAAGCAGACATAGCACAGCATCCGCCATGGCGGCCAACTACTGGGATTCGACACAGCGTACGCACTGGACTTTCACAAAGGACCAACTCGATGATATCCGAAATCAACAACAACAAGACAACCAGGAGCTGTATCACAAATATCCCATGCCTGATCCGCGACTTATGAATATATACGTTGGACGGGGTAGGTCGGCCATCCCTTGAGTTATCTGCTGTTTAATTGACAGTTTGGCGTAGAAATCGGGAAGCTCGGTCGTAGGATGAACGTTAGACAACAACCTCTGGCCACAGCTCAGATCTATGTTCGACGGTTCTATACCAAAGTCGAGATCCGAAAAACCAATCCATACTTGGTCATGACAACAGCCGTGTACGTTGCCTGTAAGGTTGAAGAGTGTCCAATACACATTCGTCTGGTACTGGCCGAAGCGGCTAGACAGTGGCCAGAGCTTGGCATCAACGACATCAGCAAGATTGGTGAATGCGAGTTCAATCTTATCAGCACCATGTCAGCACGCATGATCATCCACCACCCGTATCGAAGTCTCAGCGATTTGGCTCCTAGTCTGAGCCTGTCTGTGGATGAGATGGTTATGGCTCAGAATGTCATTAACGATCACTACAACACCGATATGCCTCTCATGTACCCGCCACACATCATCGCTGTCACAGCTATGTTCCTAGCTATAGTCCTGCGTGGGTCACAACAGCCAAATTTACAACAACATGCTGCCACAACGAGTGCATCGGCCTTGCAGAATGCGCTACAAAATCCGGCCAAGATGGCCAAGATGACAGACTGGATGGCTCAAAGCGAGATCGATATTGAAGCATGTATGGCTGCGACTCAAGAGCTTATCAGCCTTTACGAAGTCTGGGAGAACTTCACAGATAGAAATTGTAAGGAAGCCATTTCGAAGTTCATGAAGGACGCACAAATTGGCAAATAGAGTTTGCCATGTTTACTGGGTCCTCCTGCGTCCCCATCAAAATCTCTCTCCTCATCACATTCGACGCCGGCTCCTGACGCAACGGTCAGTTCAGGACTCCACGCCGAGATCTGGGCAGAGCTATCTCACAGCGAACGTCATGAGATAGAGCAAGAACTCGCTGCTATGACTGCTGGACGTTTGGTGGTGCTTATCCAAAGGTCTGCCTGAAACTCTCTGTTCCTAAATGGGCAATCCGGTGAGAATGCATCGCTCTTGGGTCTGCAAGCAGAACAACACAGCAGCCTTTCTGAAGGCCACTATCAATCTTACAACGACAAGCCACAGTCAAGGGGCCGCTCTTGACAGTATACATATCATTCATACATCTATATGACCTAGTTAAAGGTTTCGTACGATCTGGATCATGTTCTACTTTTGGGAAGACAACATCTCAAGTCCAAGTACCATTCGCAGGACCAAAGAAACCGCTTGCAGGTAGCGGTAGGTTCGAAACGCCTACGGCATCGAGCGTGTTCGCGAACACCGTTGTACCCCACCAGTCTGGCATAGAGTAGCCGGGATAACTGACGGCGAAGAAGATAACGATGCCGGCAACGGCTGTGCCTGTATCGACGGCAGCGGCGAGAACATACTACTTTTCGTCAGTTTGTTTGTTTTGAGTATGACCTGGAGACGGCGCTACACACGTTGTACTTCGTCCACCAAGCAAAGAAGTTCTTCTTGATGTAGCCGTTGAACACCCAGTTGACCAGCGCCCAGGAGGTGTAGTTGATACCTATCAATATGGTCAGCTTCTCCCCTTCAGTCGCATCTGCATAATGTACTTACCAGTAGCTGGCGGCACATTGTAAGTGCCTACAAAGAATAGCGGCCAATTGATGTCCTTGAAGATCTTCTTGCCTGTCCTTTTGTACAAGTACCAAGTAATGACCGGTGTGATAGCACCGATCCAGAAGAAATGCAAGAGCGACGAATACCTCTTTCCGATACTATAAAGACGATCTGGACCAATCAAGCCCCAGATCACCGAAGAACTGAATACTGTGCGGCCGTTCGGGCAGGTGAATGAGGAGGCTTGATCGGAGCTGCAGATGTTGTCAATATTGCCTAGCATCCATAAAGTAACTCCCGTTTGGGTCAGGGCACCGAGGATCGCTGCGAAGCCTTGAGCGAAGAATACGGTTCGAGGCGCAAGCTTCAGGTAGTGGCCCAGTTTCATATCTTGAACGAAGAAAATTCCTTGGTTGACTACGGCGGTCGACAGAATCTAGTACATCCTGACATCAGCAACGATTACAACCATCGTTTAGACGACTTTACCTTGAAGATCATGTTGGCCAGAGGCTTGCCTGCGAACATGTATCCACCGATGAACTCGGACAAAACCTGTTACTGTGTCAGGGTGTGAGAAGCACGAATAATCTCAATAAAACATACGTTAATTTGATTGGCGTCGACGTTCGAGATACCTGTACATATCAGCGACCTACTCTTGGACGGGTGGAAGGGATCAAGGTCACCTTGAATTAAAGCACAAGGAATAAAGTAGATAGCAGGAATGACCAGAGCCAGGGCGACACCATAGATGGGAAGATCGGTGTGGTAGATCTCAACCATGACACACGATAAAGCTGTAAAGACTGCCAGAACAATAACATACCAATACCAAGGTGTAGGCTTGTATGCCTTCATCAGACGTCCGTGGATATCGAGCTTCCTTGTTCCGCGAAGAGCAGTCCAAATTTCAGTGCCATGCCAGAGATAGGTATGGGTCAAAACAGCAGTGATAGAGGCGAACGAGAGACCATACACGAATGCGAAGGTCGCACTCAAGAATGGAGGTGAATATGCGCGGTAGGCTTCAGGATCAAGACTCTTGGTAAGAGGATTGATGATCTTCGTCACATTGTAGCTGGCTCCGGTGTTGTCGTAGACATCTGCTGTCATCAATGGGAGGTAGCCCGTGAACCACTTGTTGGTGTAGAAAAGCCCAGGTGTAATGATCAGAAAGAAGAAAACGAAGCCAGCTAGAACATTTAGTGCAGCGCTCAGAGGACTCAACAGAGGGTTGGTGTTGTAGGCTATCTGACTCCAGTCGAAGGTCAGGGGAAACATGCCTAATTGAGTCAATTTCTCTAATTTTTCCAGCTGGTCTTTGATGTGGAACATACCTAGTCCAGTCTGCATACCAAAGATCTGGTTTACGACAGCATTGTTTGGTACGATCCAACAGATCCATGTAAAGTAGCTGAGCGCTGGGAAGATAAGACCTGGGAACCAATACCAGACGAACGCAGCCAGAAGGGCAATGAAGAAGAATCGAAGACGAGAGATTCTCCAGCCATTGGCAACGGCGTTTGACTTAGAGTGCAGAGTCGAGAGCAGAGCGCAGTTTCCAAGGATACCGGGCCAGATAATTGAGGCCGGCTCGACAACCCAACGTGAGCCCAGGCCGGCAACACCAAAACCAAGACACTGCGTACACAAGACCATCAAGACGGCGAGGCCAGCAGAAAGATCAAAGTCATAAAACTTTTTAGCAGCTTGAATCATGTTGGAAGCGTCAGAGCCCGAAGCAAAGCCAATCGTGACATTCGACATGATAGTAATCAGAGCATGTTCCTTGATGTTCTGCGTTCTTGGTCAGCAACGCTTGTGTGTCGGATGTGACTAGCTGAAGACTCACGAAGTGACGGTCTGGGTTGATGTTCCACTTTCCGAGGGGTCCAAGATCCATGGTGTAGATTGGCAGGATATGCGCCAGTCCAACTCCCATTGGGAAAGCAAGAAGCTCGGCTACGAGTGAAACAATATGTACTGCTGGATATCGCAGCGAGAAGAACTGATTGACACCGGATCCAAGCATGGTCCAGATGATACCTACAATCCACATACGTAGTGTGTTCAATGGCATACTAGGGTCATCTGTCTCCGGGACCACAGCACGTACTAGCAAAAAGTGTTAGATAACTCGACTTATGACCAAACGATCATCAAAATATACCTTCAGGATACGGCGAGGTATCAGCGTCGACGTCCTTGATCTCTCCGTCGTGTAGCACCTTGTCGACATCCACTTCAATCTCCTGAAGGTGGCCATGCTCAATGTCTGTCGGATCGACTTCAACACCAGCATCGGCACCTTTTCTGTCAAGGTCATCTGCAGTCTTTTGAGGGTCTAAAGTATTCAATTGGACAGAATCTGTATCTCGGCGAGAGATCGGAAAAGGTCGTCTGATTCTGTTCATCATCTCTGCTGCAGACAAGGAAATCGGAGAAAGATGGGAGCAAAGGCTGCCATATGTCACGATTGCTGCGACTACTTATTCAGATACCGGCACACATCGTCGGACCCTGTCTTCATCATTGGACCCACGGCAATGACCATATTCCTTATCATGATGTAGTACGTAGTATTCTGGCCTGCCGAAAGTCATGATAGATGAAGCGATAAGACACGCAAAGGATGCGCTAAGCTTATCAACAGCCCGTTTTTGGTTAGAGCATGCATGTCGCCTAAAAACAAGCTGCGGCCAAGTCGTGGGCAAGCATCTTCGGCAAATAGGCAGGCGGCCGATTATTTGCTTGTACTCCTTACCAAGAAGAATTGTCAAATCGAATCGTTGTAAATCAAACCACGAGCGGTGCTGGAGAGAGACTTGATTCGCCGGAAGAACCAAGTGATCCTTTGTCGATGATGTCATGTCAGGGTGATACCATTAGCAAGGGTATGATGATGCTGTCCGACCATGGCACATCCACATCTCCATGTGACTGGGTATTTTCTTGATATATCTACCTTGTTCTGTGTATGCTAGGAATTAAATCCGTTCTGGGCCACAATTGCTAACCTGGAGGCCGTAGTGGGCAAATATGTGTTTCAACATTCGCAGTCTCGGGAAACCGTAAGTAAAGCACGCTTCGCAGTAGCAAGTTCAAAGAATGGAAGCGAAACATAAGATTTAAAGTCGACAGAGAAGCTAGAATATCGAGATAATGAATTCAGATAGTATTTATATCAAAAGCCTGGATTCAGTTGGAGAAAGGACGAGATAAGCTGAGATCACTATGTGTGCTGTACATTGCAGCTATTGTGTTGTGCCTCTGCATGGCTACTAGCGTTACGTACAGTAGTACACTGGGAGAATGCAAAAATCAAGCACCAGGAACCTCAAGCACTCCTCTGAATCGCATCTCGCCGTTCTCAAGTCTTTCGAACGCACTCTTGAGGCCATCTTCCGTCATAGGGAATCGTTCTACCCACGGTGATATTTTGTGCCGAGCTGCAAATTGGATCATAGCAAGATGGTTCTGCCTTGATGCTTCGGTTGAGGCAACGATCTTGTGACCAGGTAGTATGAAAGGCATATATGGAACAACAAGTGGCTTTTGCTGTATCGACATGAGAACGATCGTCGCCCGTCGTGCCAGAAAAGGCAGAATCTTCTCCAGGTCAGGCGTCTCGTTACAACACACGAGAAGGACGTCAACGAGTGATACGGATTGCGTCTCATTTCCCCCAGCGGAAAGATATTCAGATCTGCCTGGCCGCAAAGTTGTGTCGATATCGCTTAGAGTGCGTAGCTCGTCAGCACCGAGTTTGAAAGCATCTTCAGCCTTGCTCTCTGCTCTGCCGAATGACCCAGAGAAGACAGTCACAACACAGCCCATTGCTTTGGCGAACAGAACAGCCATGTGTCCAAGACCGCCTAAGCCAACAACACCAATTCGGTGATGGGGCTTCGTGCCAGCTGCGTCCAACGCCTCGTAAGTGGAGGCTCCAGCGCACATGAAGACGCCAGCTTGCCAGGAAGGTATCTCTGGAGGGATATGGTAGGCAAAGTCGGCATCGATGATGTGGAAATCGGCGAAAGCGCCTGAGCTTTACAGTCAGAATGAGGAAGCGGGAATCTACACTGCCTGATTACCTTGCTCATGGTCGCAGAAAGCAAAGCCACTTGCTTGAGCACAATATTGGCGATATCCGTCGACACATACAGAGCAGTTGCCGCAAGACTAACACTTTCAGTCTCGACACTTTGATACAAATACGACTGTACCCACGCTTCGCAACCAGCTATGAGATGGTCAGGCCGAGTCGACAGATGGCATGTAACACCACAGCAGCAAAAACTGTCAGGAAGTACTTACCCCCAGCCAACTCTATCACCAAGCTTCATAGAGGTCACATTGTCACCGATGGTGGCAACTACACCAACGCCCTCATGGCCTAAACCGCAGGCCTTGTCTTTGGCGTGAACATCGGTGTAACAGACTCCTGAATGCGTTACTTGTATCTTTATTTCATTCGGACGCAGTGCACGTTCCACAGACTTCTTGATAAAAGTGTTCGAAGACGCTTCGTAGCGAAATGTGCTGAGGGTATGAGTGGCGGCCATGGTTGACGACCCTGATTTGCTCTGGAGCGCGAGAAGTTGGGGGTCATGGTTCGGATACTATGTGGTAGTGACGCCCACAGTCGTCATCGCCTGCAGATTCGCATGAGATTGGAAACGCCTTATTGAGAAGCAAGCACTTGATCGTTTTTGAGGCTCTGACAGACATGTTGGAGGCAATGCCACAGAACAGAACTATGTTCCAATCAGTCGTGGAGTTTAGGTAAGATGGCGGACAACTGCTCCGTCGATGGGGGCCTTCTTAGCAGCGCATCTCGGACAAGGGTCTACGGGCAAACGCGGAAGGATTCCGATTGGGACAGGACAAAGGTGTCTGCGCCTCTTGCGAGAAGAGTGGCGGCGCCGATGCGGGAATTTGTAGGACCGAGTCAACAATTCATGAGGAATTGTCACTGCTCCTAACCCTCTTCTCTACCTATACCTTGCATACACCACAACCTCAATCATGTCTTCACTACGACCAGCTTCCCGCCGCATCCTCTCGACAGTCACAAATGCGCCTCGCCTACAAAGACGATGCTTGGCCACGGCCACAGCAGACATCACTCCCTCGTCGCCAAATACAACGAACTCTACCCCTCGACGAGCTAGCAAATTCTCCGATGTCTTGAATGCTGGCCCTGCATTCGGCGACTTTGTTTCTGGAAAAGAGGAGCCCTTGAGCCCCGAGGAGGCTCTGGAGTTGAAGACGGTTATGGTTGGCCCTGCCGGCAAGAAGAAGCCTCACACACGACTGCCCGAATGGCTCAAGACTCCTGTCCCCGTTGGCCAAAACTTCAAGAAGATCAAGAACGACCTGCGTGGTCTGAACCTACACACCGTGTGTGAAGAAGCTCGCTGTCCCAACATCTCCGACTGCTGGGGCGGCGATGACAAGTCTGCCGCTACTGCGACAATCATGCTTATGGGCGACACATGTACCCGTGGATGCCGATTCTGTTCAGTCAAAACCAGCCGAAAGCCCCCTCCGCTAGATATCCACGAGCCAGAGAACACTGCCGAAGCCTTGCGCAGATGGGGTCTTGGTTACGTTGTCTTGACCTCCGTCGACCGTGACGATCTCGCAGACGGCGGCGCACACCACTTCGCCGAAACAATCATCAAGATTAAGCAGAAGGCTCCCACAATGCTGGTCGAGGCCTTGACCGGCGATTACGCTGGTGATCTCGACATGGTCAAGGTGGTCGCTCAAAGTGGTCTGGATGTGTACGCTCACAACATGGAGACCGTTGAAGCCTTGACACCTTTCGTCCGCGATCCTCGCGCAAAGTTCCGCCAATCGCTCCAGGTCCTCAACGCTGCAAAGGAGGCCAAAGAGGGTCTGATCACAAAGACTAGTCTGATGTTGGGTCTCGGCGAGACCGAGGAACAGTTGTGGGACACTCTCAAAGAACTTCGCAAGATCGACGTCGATGTTGTCACATTCGGTCAATATATGCGCCCTACCAAGCGTCACATGAAGGTCGAGGAGTACGTCTCGCCTGAGAAATTCGAACTCTGGAGACAACGCGCACTCGACCTGGGCTTCCTTTACTGCGCAAGTGGCCCTCTGGTTCGCAGCTCCTACAAGGCTGGCGAAGCCTTTATCGAGAATGTCATCAAGAAGCGTGCCAAGAAGAGCCAGCTTGCCATGGCTGAGGACGCAGGCGACTACAAACCTTTGAACGCTGCATAAATCCATCTTGGTGGCCCTTCTCTTCTAAATCTTCATTGGCGTCGGCGTTCGGGAATCATCAGCTGGGCTGGGCTGGGCGGAAACAGATATCAACTTGCGCTGGGGAGCATTGCCTGGAGTCTAGAGAATTGGTTTCTTCATCTCATTAGCCGATTACCTGTATATAAAAAGTACATCAACTGTACGGCTACAAATTCATCATCTTCATCATCGCCCAAGCTGGCGCGTCACATATCATACTACCCAGCATTACTTGTCCTTGCCGTACTTCTGAATCAGCTTACTCATGATACTGACGGCACCACTTCTGTAACCTCCACCGAACATAGCATGGTGGTTTAGATGGTGATACAACTCGTACAGAGCAACTCTGTCTGCGTACTCGTCCGCAGGCTCGGTTTTTGCGAGCAGCTCATGGTATTCTTTCGAAAAGCTTCCTCCAAATCCTCCGAACATCTTCATGATACCGAGCTCGAATTCGCTGTGAGCATAGCACGCACTGGAGTCGTAGATCACGTCTTCAGGAGCTTCCATGCCTGGCAGCTTCCCCAGACTCGCGTTGCCTGACCATAGGTCGCCATGAACAACGACAGGAGTGACGCCCTTACCGCCATTGAGATGGTCATCGCCAATAAGACGTGGGACCACTTTGCTGCACATCGTTTCAACAAGGGAGCGCAAGTCCTTGTCAACGCCGTTCTTCTTCTCGCTACGCTTCATGATAAATATGAGTCGATTCTCAGCATAGAACTCGGCCCAGCTGCTCTTGAAGCTATTGTCTTGAGGCGTCTCACCACAACATGTCGTGGTTGGGAAGCCAAACTTTGGGCTAGACTCTCCTGGTGGTGGGGGCGCTGGTGTGCTATGAAGCTTAGCTAGCTTAGCGGCAAGTGAAGGAGCTGAAGATGATGCATTTGAGGAGAATCGACTCGAGAGGTCGACGAAGTCGGTGACGAGAAAGTGCTTCGAGGGCGTGTCGGCAAATGCGCCATGCCCATATGACTTTGGACAGAGCGCGGGCACGGCTTTCTGAATTGCACTAAGCGACGCGTGCTCGCCTGACTTCTCTTAGTGCTAGCCTACTACTTATGGTCAAAAGCTACAGACCTTCAAACATGACCGATGCTTCCCCTCCAGATCCCGTCTTTAGGAAGTACTGCTTCGTCGTGCCATCGTCAAGTTTGGTCGTGATCTTGGACGTGGAGCTAAAGCTTGATCCTCCAGAGCCGGAAACTGTTGTTTCTTTCAGGTTCAAGGACAGAAGTTGAGCGACAGCAGAGTCAATTGCCATGACAGATGACGTGTTCGTAAAAGAAGACAGTCATGTAGAAAGGAGTAGCATGAAGTTTGGGAGCGTCAGGTTAGCCAACAAGGTGTTTTTTTGGCCAACTGCAGATGACATCAAGCTTGATCATCGAAGTCTTGTGTCATGCTTCCAGCGTAGGAAGGTATACCGATCAACACGTCGACAGCAAACACAGACATGATAAACCAGAAATTTATAACTAGATGGTTTCGTAATGCTCGTTAGCATTCTTTCAAAAGAAAAGGAGCAGAAGAGATCGAAGAAGGTTGACCACGAGCCCCACGAAACGCGAACAAAGAACTGTGCACTGGCCGCCAAGGCCATGAAGATCGACGTCTTTCTTCACCAGGGCAACTCATGACATATCCATCAACAAACGAGTTGGTCAGAAATGGCTGGGAGACCAAACCGAAAAGGGCCGCTGGACGGGCTCAAGTCTGACGGCTGTGTAGAATCGTCCAATTGAGGCAGGTGGGTGCGCGCAAATCGTGTCGTGTGTGGTTGGCAGAAGTGGGCCTTTAACCAGCCTCCTCCTCGGCAGCCGGCCACATGTAAAATCAACCATTACCATGTTAGCACTGAAAAAGAACGTGGTTGCTACATCATTCTCGATTGAAGCCTTTTGCACGTTTTGATATCGTTGACGGCAGTTTTTGTCGTTTTTGTCGTTTTAATCGTTTGATCGTTCGCAGCAATGATAAGTCGTTCACTAGAATCCTTGCATCTCAAGCATACAAATGGTAGGCGCAAGCCGTTACTATTTTTGGATGTATATCTGACCTTGAAGCAGTTTCGCAGCCTCGACTGGAACGAACATACTCAGAACGCTCGTTCACGGCATCAGAAGACTATTTCTCCGTGTCTTCTAGATCATCCAATCGCTCGGACAGCCGAACCTCACCATCACGACCATACGCCTTACCACGGACACATTCACGCTCAATTCGCAGAATAGAGAGTCCGGTATCCCCGGTGTCTCCAGTCTCTCCATATCAACCCTCACGCCAGAGCTATGAAGGCATTGCTCGTCCGGTCCTGATTCGTCATGTGTCAAAACCGTCACAAAACCCTATGAGAGGTCATGGTGTAAGACGACGTGACCTGACCCCTACCGAGATCTCCGTACCCCCGATTCCTCCCAGGAGAGGCTCGCCAATCAGGAGAAAACCAGTACCAAGCACAGTCTTGGAAGATGTCCCTCGCCTGGAGCCAATCCGCATTCCACAAGCCGCCTTGAGCTCTGCTTCTATGCAGATTGCTCGTCAGTACGATCCTCCGACACCAGAAGCTGATACACCCTATGTACGTTTCGCCATCGACCAGATTACTAGGGATGAAGATAGCACAGAAGGAAAGCGATGGCTTGGTCCTGACTTCGGGCTCGATCACGAAGAAGGCCCTCTGCCCTTGAGGGAAACCTTTCCTTCAATGTCTGATCAACCCTACGATGACATTGCACCGATTCCCATTCCACTGCGGAGCCCACGACGTAAGAGCAGACAGACGCCCGCACAACAACCCATGGAGCAGACACCGAGTTTGTTCGCGCCATTCGAGCCATCTACCGACTCATTCTATGCTCCCCTGACTGCTCTGCCACCGACACTTCGTCCTGTGCGGCTCGCTGTCTTCGTCTCCCTCTTAGCGCTTTACTTGATCGCTTTGGTCTTCACTGCAATCTGGTCTCGTGTACACAAGAGATTATGCAACTATGGAACTTTCGGCGATGGCAAATACTTTGTGTTCAAATATCTACCTACTCTTCTGGGTATGATATTGCTTCTTTGGCTTTTCGAGATCCAGAAAGCGGTGTACAGGATCGCACCTTTCATCGCACTGGCATCTAAGACGTCGACCCTCCGTGGCCACGGAACAACATTACCCATGTTCCCATCTGGTTTTGCACTTCTTCCGTTGACTCACCTGAGGGTAGGTCAGCGTGCCATTGGAGCATTCTTGCTCGCCTCCTGGTTCGCGTTGTTCACCGTTCCTCTGTTGGCGTCTTCCTTCAACGTCTACTTCCGTGGAAACCCTGGCAGCTGGGTCTGGCTTGCCACACAAGGATCCGTCTGGACTGTGATTGCACTCTACATCATCCTTTTGGTCGCTTCGATCACTCTTTGGGTGTTCCTCCACCACAGAGGAACTGGACTCAAGTGGGACGCTCGCACTTTGGCAGACTTGATTGTCATTACTGAGCGTAGCAACATCCTTGACCACTTTGCCGACATTGGTGTTCATGTCAACAAACACGAGCTCTGGGGTCACGCTACTGAGAGACAGGATAGATTGGGTTACTTCAGCACTACGTACAACCACAATGATGTTTTCCACACTCTGGGTGCACCGAACAGACCTGCCAGGCCATACAGCGGAGGTGAAAGCATTCTGAATGAGAAATTCACAAACCAAGCTACTCGTTACTCCAACATTCCTGAAGCCGAATACGGACGTCCTTACAGCTATGGTTCTAACCTCACAAGCAATACCACGGATATGGTCTTGCAACCTGACAACACTGACAACTACCTGCCTTGGTTCCTCCGCGCTGGCTTCACGTCTATCTGGGTCTTCATTGCTGTTGCACTGCTCCTTGCATTCCTGGTTGTGTCATATCTTCCAGCGACGGCTATCAGCGGCGGCTTCCTACCAGATCTCCCCGGGGCTGTGAACAGTTTCGGCTTCTCGTCGTCCAACTTCATGTACTCGTTTGTGCCGTCTCTGCTCGGTCTACTATGCCTTCTTGCATGGCAGCCGATTGATCTCGCTTTTCGCCGCCTGCAACCATATGCTTCCATGTCTTCAGCTGGCGGCTGCCTCGCTGAGAAGAGTCTCCTTCTCTCTTACACCGCCGACGCACCCTTTGTGGTAACTTTGAAGGCAGCAGTAAACGGTCACATACGCGTAGCAATCCTCAGCCTTGTAACACTCATAGCATCAACTCTTCCCATCCTCGCAGGCGGCGTCTTCTGGAACCAATTCTTCATCCCCCAACAGCGTATCCGTGTCAGCGCTCATATGACTGCTTTCTACCCTCTAACAGCCTTCCTCATCATCTATGCTCTGGCATACACTCTTGCTTTCGCAGGTCATAGGCGTGCACTTCCCAATCGCGGTATCACTCTTGCCGATACGATTTCCCTCTTGCATCAGAGTCGCCTACTCAATGATGCAGTTTTCCAAGCCCCTGCTACCAAGACTGCTTTGGTCACACGCTTGCTCTCAGCTCCTACTGGTGAGCGAAACAGTTATCATCAAAACTCTGACATGGAAGCCGGCATCACCGGCAGTAAAATCTCCATCGCAGACTCTATGCGCGGCTTCGGCCGTGCTCGGGCAGAGGTGACCCCTACACTTCCCAGCTCAGAGTTACCACGTTATGGATATGGAAAGTACGTCGGTCGGGATGGAAAACAACATGTTGGTGTTGACCGTGTGGGTAGACCTGGTGTTCCTGATATGGTAATTAGGATGTGATGTGTGATGACTCTTTTTGTTCTCTGTACACTGTTAGCGATGGCGCCTGGACTTGCTGTATTCGAATGCTCAAGGGTCACGATGTGACATATTGCCCAACCAGAGAACATGATGTCATCAATATTAGCTTTAATTTACAATTGTCAACATCAAGCTAGAAGAATCACCTTTGGTGTGCCTTTGAGAAGCGTTTCGATCAGGCTGCAGGGATCTGAGAACAGGAAATCACGAGAGCTCGGTGTATGTCAAGACGGTTTTCATTTCTCACTTGCTAGGAAGTCCGCGAGAGTTGGCTCAGTCTCGAGCCGCTGCTGGGCATTATCCTTGTATGCTTCGTCTAATCCTACAACTCCGACCATCGCCTCGCAGAAGAAAGAAATCAACAAAGGTTGACCACTTACCAAGCAGCAGAAGGAGCAGAAGCCCAAGCGTCAATGGTGGGAGCTTCAGCCTCGGCGGCATCTCCAGTTCCCCAGCCACCCTCGGCAGCAGCAGGAGAGGCAGGCTCGCCAGAGGCGTCGCCGTTACCAGCCGCGGTGACATAGGTAGGCTCCGAGATCTCATCCTCATCGTCTGTGACATCGTCCACAAACTCAGCCTTGCCATCCTCGGGCTTGAACTCCAGAAGGAAGTCGGGAACCTCCTGCTCAGTCTCGAGAAGAATGTTAACAAGAGCAGGAGCAATGTCCTCGTTCCTCTCGTTGTAGAAGGAAGTGGCTTGACCCTTGTGTCCGATACGTCCAGTGCGCCCAATGCGGTGGATGTACTCGGAAATGCCGCCATACTCAGTACCGGGCAAGTCGTAGTTGACGACGTGGTTGACTTGGGGAATGTCGATGCCACGACCGAAGACGTTAGTGGCGATGAGGACGTGGAACTTCTCGCCCTTGAATCTCCTCATGGCATCTTCGCGCTCGAGCTGAGAACGGCCACCGTGCATGAAGATGGTGGGGATACTGCGGTTCCAAAGATAGTCATCGAGCTCCTCAACTGCGGGCCTGCTGTTACAGAAGACCAGGGTGCGGCAGGGAGGCCTGGCCATGAGAATGTCGTAGAGGGCCTGCTTCTTGGAGTTGCGCTCGACGAAGATGATGTCTTGAGCGACATTCTTGTGAGTAGAACCAGCACGGCCGATGCGGACACGGATGAAGTCCTCAGCCATGTACATGCGAGCAGCAGCACGAGACTCCTTAGGGAAGGTAGCGGAGAACATCAGGTAGGCATGGTCAGGAACCTCATTCATATCTAAGATCTGATCAGCATATGTCTCTGGCATGTTGGAGGTGCGTCACTTACCACCACCACCCATGATCTTGCTCATCTCTTGCTCCCAGTCGGTGTGCAGCATCTCATCGGCCTCGTCGATGACGGTGAACTTGACACGCTTCATGGACAAGACATCGGGCTTGTCCATCAAGTCCTGAAGACGACCGGGTGTGCCGATGAGGAGATCGCAACCCTTTCCAAGCTCCTGGAGGTTGATACCCATGGGGATACCACCATATGCGCAGACTGGGCGCAACATGGAACGGTAACAAAGACGGCGGGCCTCATCGAAGATCTGCTGGGCGAGCTCGCGGGTGGGGACGACAATAACCACAAGCGGCTCGGCACGAACGCGGACACCACCCTTAGAGCGAGGTCCCTGGAGCTTGCGAACCTTGCCCATCAACTTGGAGATGATAGGGATCAGGTAGGCAGCAGTCTTGCCGGAACCAGTCTGAGCAACAGCCACGAGATCGTGGCCTGCAAGAATGATCGGGATACAATAACCCTGAATGACAGTCATTGTCTCGTACTGGCACAACTTGACATTAGCTAGAACTTGAGGATGAAGGCCGGCGTTCTCGAACTGCATCAAGAGTCAGCTCTAGACGACTGAAAGATGAAGTATGGAAGATAACTCACGCTGCTGATGGGATCGTATGTCTGGGGACCTTCGACCGTGGCGGAGAAGTTCATGATGTGGTCGAGAGCAGTGCCGGCTCTGTTATGCTCGCCCTCGAAAAGTTGAGCCTCGAGCTCAGGATCGGCAGGACCGACATCACCTTCCTCGCCGTCCCACTCGTAGACCTTGGCTGAGCTGGCCCAGGTGGGGTTGCTGTCCGAAGTCGGAGCGTTGAACGCGTTGTAGTCAAGTGCAGAGTCCTCAGTCCAGCCGTGCTCACGGGCTGCGGCGAGATCCTCAGGGTTGCCTGTGTTGGCGGAAGCGGCAGGGATTTGGCCGAAGTCCTCGACGGGAGTATGCTGGGGGGCACCGTCGGACATGTTGTCTGAGTCTGCGGGGCTCTGATGTGAGGCGAGTTGTTAGCAAAGGTGCTGCACAAAGTAAGGTAGTGTGAATTGAAGTGAAATGCAACGAAAATAAAGAGTGACAACGTGTGGCAGAGAGGGGAGCGTGACGAGAGGTAGATTGGAGAGGAAGTGACGATGAAGAAAGGCGTTATGAAGATGACGAAGTAGGAGGGCATGCGAGAATGAGGATTGATGTTGATGAGTGACCGGTGCAGTGAGAATCAGCTAGCTGCGCAGGACCGACATACAAATCAAGCTGGGCGGTGAAGACGTTGCGTTGAGATTCAACAAAGTGCGAAATGAGTGAAGGAAGTCAAGGTGAGGTGGAGTGGAGTGGTAAGGGGAGAGAAGTAAGATGGATGATGAAGGAGGAAAAGAAGAAGGGAAGCGGCGGTTATCAAGGCTCTTGCGGAGACGAGAACTTACAAATACGCGAGGCGAGTGATGATACTGAGAAAGTGGCGATGTTGATGGCACGACTGCAGACTGCAACCAAAAGGCACGTCAGTAATGCTGAGAGATCGTGTACGCCAATCGAAGATGGAGAAGAAGAGGAACACGAGCTGAATGAGGATGAGAGGGTATTGCAAGAGGAGAGGTCGGAGATGCTTACACTTCTGTTGTTCTGTTTTCGTGTTGTGATGATGAGCGAGTTGGGAGGCGCGGAAGATATAAATGCTCTGCTTTATAGATGCAGAAGGTGCGTGCGTTTTGAGGACAAATGCTTGGAGCAAGCGGCAGCTTCCCAAATAAGCGAGGAACTTCCGCATTAGTGAAGCAATCAGAACCTCATCTCAGTTCCTTCTAGGTCCAACTGAAGAAGACTTGCAAAGAATGGCATGTTAGGTTGAGCCTGCCCACTTCCCGAGCAAAAGTTGCATTCACTGACCCATGTGTTGTTAGAGACGCACCACTTCCCGGACCTGTCACGATCCGAGACCTCGCTCCGCGCTTCCCCGATGATGCCCTTGATGGATCCGAGTAGAAAGAGTCGTATGCGCCAATGCAAGAGCAAGGTGAACCAGGAAGATTTAGGGGCCCGCTTCAAGACAGGCTGCTGTTCTTGGGTTCCCCGATGGTTCCCCGTGATATCGATGGTTCTCCGTATCGTACGGGACATCTCTGGCTATTGATCAGAGGCGCGGACTGGAGCATATCGATGCGCCCATACGGCGGCCGTTGCCAACCGAGATGAGCCAGCAATACACTTGCGTGGATGAGGACATACCAAGATCGAGTACCTACCTCTTTGGACCGATACATTGCTTCCACTCGGTTCGCTGCAGGCCATGGAGAGGGTGTTCATATTCAATGGACAAGCTTGCACGTCCATGGCAGAGCAGACATGTTCGAGTGCCTTGTCCTCGACACACAAACACTCGACATGGCACTTCTGACCGTCGCTCTATCACGGGAAGGTTAGTACATAGCAGGACTTGCCACATCAGATGACGTTGTTGTTATCCTCTGAGGAAGACATATCAGTCAGGCCGCGAAGAGTTGAAGTTGGAGCATCATGATGGAGGCGCGAGACTATGGATTTGATTTGCTAGCGCGGGAACGGCCCGCGCTAAGCGAGAACATGCCACAGTGGGCCCGAGATACCTTCATGTAGCCTTCATGATCCGTCCTCCATGATCAAAGTATGCGATGGAACTCATGAACTATATCTGTCTACAAAGACGGTCCAACTGGAGTTGACTCTCCGTACAGGCAGTCCTGTTGCAAAAAACAACTGAGCCTGACAGCTCGTTGTTAGCCGTGTCATTCTAGATAGAGTAAGGAAGGCATCCATGTCCCTCATGGGAGGATGGACATTCTTCTCAGATGATGAGTAAAAAAAGACCACGGGCTTTGGACTCTGGCCAGCTTTGACAACTACTACCTGAGTACAGCGGACACAGGAAAGCAAATGCTTGTCAACATGCCAACTCCAACTTCTCCAGACTTTCCTTCGACGCTAGTTGCAGATCACACGCTGTGACCATGTGCGTACGTACCTTGGCAAAGCTTGACCAACTACGAAGGTGGCTTGCTTGTTTATCTTCGATCAGCCGCGTCTCATCTGTCAACTCCTCAAAACCTATTCTTGCCCTACTTTCTCGATTTTGGTACATTATGAACGTAGCGGAATATTCTTTGGGCATGTATGCAGAGACAAATCACCAATATACATTCGAGCCTACAAGAGGATGAGCGAACCCAATGACGAGCCGATCAAGCAGTTTGCGGAGAAGCAAGAGAAGCAGTCGAAACGGAGAGAGTCTGGCGATCTTGGAGAGGAACGCGATTATACGAACCCGAAGTACGACTTTGCTTGCCCACATGTTTAACTACCCTTAGTACTGACAAATTATCCTGCAGTCGCTATTGGTTCGAGTCAACAGCATGTCCCCTCATTGCAGGCACGTTTGGGCCTATGGCCTCCGCCTTCTCCATATGTGCCTTATCGTCGAGTTGGAGAGTCTACATCCCACCTGGCGGTACTGTCAATAATGGCACCACAATCGATGATCCTAAATGGTGCTTTGCAACAAAACTACACTCGTGTTTATGAGGCTGTATCTGACCAAGAACATCAGGCTACTTGCGATCAATGCCGTCTCACTGGCACTTGCACTCATTGCAAATGGATCGTTACTACTCAACATGGCTCACCGTTTGCGGTTCTCGATAGCGCAACCAATCACGATTGTTGGCTTCACTGTCTCCTCTGGGCTCCTAATTGCGGATCTCATTGCCCTAACCGTGTCACATACCTATCGACTTCCTACAGATTCTCCTGCCGCACCTGCCGTTAATCATGCCTTGACGTCGGCTTTCTACTATGCGATCATGGCTGCTGGCATCTACCTCATCATTGCTGCGCTCATGAGTCTGACTGTCTGGGGTGCTTACAAGGGACATTACGCCAGGCAGTTTCGACTTACGACAGCTCAACGGACGCTGATGCTGCAGACGATGAGCTTCTTCACATATCTTCTACTTGGCGCTCTGGTTTTCAGCCATGTCGAGAAGTGGGAATATCTGGATGCCGTGTATTGGGCAGACGTAACACTGCTTACAATTGGTCTTGGAGACTTCTCGTAAGTGTCATCTTCTATTCTGATATCGATGAACGAGAGCTGATTGAGCAATCCTGCAGACCAAGCACACATACAGGTCGATCGCTCTTCATACCATTCGCCATCGGTGGCATTGTTATCCTCGGTCTTGTCGTTGGCTCAATCCGAACTCTGGTCTTGGAACGAGGACAAAAGAAGATATCTGCCCGGATGATGGAGAAGAAGCGACTGCGCGCCGTCAATAGTGTTAGCGACGGTAAACAACGGATGCGTGTAAGCCGCTTCCAGACCATGAAGTTCGTGGAGAGCTATACAAATGCTGCTCAAAAAAGAGAACAAGAGTTTACCGCGATGAGAAGGGTCCAGGATTGTGCTGAGAGGGACCGCAAGTGGATCGCTCTAGCAGTGTCTACAACCGCTGCCTTTGCCTTGTGGCTAGTTGGTGCTGCTATCTTCCATGTCGCAGAGAGAAAGCAGGGCTGGACTTATTTCCAGACAATGTACTTTACATATACTTGTCTACTCACGGTAAGTTTATACGAGTCTCCGTTAAGGGGGTGGCGGTCCTATACTAACTACCGTGGCTTAGATAGGGTATGGTGACTTTACACCTTCTTCGAACTCTAGTAAAGCTTTCTTTGTTTTGTGGAGGTAAGTCTTAGCCGCTCTTGGACTGTGTCTATCGTGCTAACACTCTGCTCGTTAGTGTCCTGGCGATTCCCACCCTCACCGTGCTTATTTCTGATATGAGTGATACGGTGGTCCAACTTTTCTCAAATTTGACGAATTGGGTCGCCTCCCTAACTGTTCTCCCCGAAGAAGGCATCAGAATCGTCGGAAAAGCAGCCTTCAGATCTCTTAGCATGAGCCACGTCTTCTCTCACGACCTCGATGCCTCCAAAATCCATGGACCAAACCTAAGTCGTGAGCTCAAAGCTCCAAGCACAGAGGAAGACGACAATGAGCCGCCCATCACAATGTCCGACCGCATAGCCGACCGCATGGCCAAACACCTCGAAGCTGAAGAACTCTTCGATGCCATCTCCGCCGAACAAGCGGGCGACAATCTCGAGCGCGACATACACTTCTATCACTTCATCCTCGCACGCGAGACCCAACGTCTCATGAAAGATCTGAACGCCTCACCACCCAAACGCTATTCTTGGGGTGAGTGGGAGTACTTTTTGAAGCTCATGGCCAACGATTATGATACTGCCGCCATGTCTGGGAATGACTTGATTCCAGATGAGCTCAGATTGCCAGAGACAAGGGAGGAGTGGAAGAAAAAACACGCAGAACATCGGTGGAGTTGGTTGAGTGGGGAGAGTCCTTTGATGGGACATACTTCCGAGACTGAGTGGATTCTGGAACGCTTGGGTGCTTGTTTGGAGAGGGAGTTGAGAGAGTCGAAGTTATTGCCTTATCGTACCAGAGAAGAGAGGAGGAGGCCTCCTGTCAGTATGGGGGATATGGTTAGAAGAGGGAGAATTAAGCAAAGGGGGGACGATTGATAGGTGTTTATCGCTACTCTCGTCTTCACCTTGTCTAGTTTGAGAAATCATCTTGCCTTTTGACAGCCCTGTTATCGAGTGGCCGTTGCTGTTGGGGATTGGTCTAACATTAAGGGCATACTCACCTCCCCGGGCTCTCTCTGAGCCGCTTGAATGAATTTCCTGAAAATCATGCTGCATTTCGACAGCCCTCTTTCGTAACCATGCACCTGGCTCGGAGCATCAGATCAGGGCCGTAAACCGTCTTGACTCTATAGCCTCACTGCACTGGCATATCTGATGTACTGTGGTATCATGGCAATCGTACAAGGGTATCTATAAAGGGGTATCGAGGAGAAAATAAAAGAACAAGATGTGGAAAAAGGCAACGACGAGGACCTTAGCCTCTAGGTTCAGCTCTCCTTGCTTTGGCGCTGTCTTTCAGCTTGCTATAGTAAGCCCTGAATTTTGCATTGTCGTGTTCAAGTCTTTTGATCTCTTTCATGGCAGCGTGTAGATCGTCATCAGATTGTCTGGACGTGTGCGAAGGAGCGGTAGACCGTATACTCGCCACACTGTGTGTCAAAGCTGCCATGGAGGCATCTTGAGCATGCGATTCAAACGCCTGCAGTCGATGGCTCACATGATCGAGAGCTTGTTTGAGGGTGTCATTCTCCAATTGCAATTCTTCTTCTCTCACAGAGATCAGACCGCGATTGGGTTGTCTCGGTGGTAGTGTTTCCTGGGCATCCACGAATTCGGCCGGATCGTCTTCGCTGATATTTGAGAGATGGTGGCGACGAGCGTAGCGTTGTTCTCGCGTGACAATATTGGCATAAGACGCCGTGCCACCGCTTGTGGGTATAACGTAGAAGCTCTCGCCGGGACCGATGTGACCGTGTTGCTGCAGGGCGTTCAGAGCAGCGGGGGATATGAGAGACTTGACATCAGGGTCATTCGAGGCTCGGGCGCTTGTCTTTTGGTGACGCGAGGAGGTTGGCGAATCGGGCTCAGGAGTGTCTGTCAGGGGAAGAGCGGTAAAGGCGAGCATGGACGACAGGCGTGACAGTGGGCCAGTGGTCCAATTTGAGTAGAAGCGAGAAAAGCCATCGTCTTGATCTTTTGATCGAACAGTCTGGTCAGAAGAGATGGGCTTTTGTGGGGCTCTGCGGTCAGAAGAGATAGAAGGGTCGTTGGCGGGCGCTGCTGAGGGAGCGGACTTGCGTGGGTTGAGAGAAGAAGAGTGTTGTGGAATGCCTCTGCGAGTGGCCATATCTTTAGCCAGGGCTGGCGAAGACTCGCGACGTGCTGGATGTATGCGGGTGGTAAGCTGTGGGGGAGTGGACGACGAGAAGACGGCAGGCGGTGTGGCAACAGAGGTCGAAGTGTCTGGTATGGGAGTGTCCGGGTCTCCATGGTGGGCGTCTTGAACGGCTTTTGCAATCGTGTGTTTGGAGTGGATGATGTCGGCCAGTTGACGGTGGTGATGTTCCAAGAGGCTCAACATGCGCAAGGCCTCTGGATCCGAGGTCGAGTCTTGGGCTTGTGCATAGTGCTCAGCTGCAGCTTGGTGTTCGGTGGCAGCAGCGGCGAGATTCGACTTTGACGTTTGTTTGGCGGCTTTGCGCGCGTGCGAATGCGCCTGCTGCACGTCAGTAGATGCGCTTGGTGGAGGCTAGTAGAGGAAAGACGCACCAGAGTCAAAGGAGCCTCCTCCATGGTGCCTGATCTGCAGCATGGACGCGCTCAACCGGGGCGTGTCAAATGTAGAAAGCGCTTGGTTACCTTACTAGGTATGAAACGGCAGGCATGTGATTGTCTCGTACGTCACCGACACTTTTCCCCCGCAAAGCCGCAACGGGCTGGCCAGATGCATCAAGATGCTGGTCCTGCAATATCTCGACCACCTGTTTCACCCTCCTCCCGCACTCGCTCGACTGTCCTCTAGTCTGCCCTTCTCTATCTTGCTTTCCGCTTTCCGCTTTCCGCACTTGCCAGCTCGAGCCCCACGAGTAGCTTCATCTTACCTATCTTTCAACACTTGGCGTCGGCATGCTGCACCAAAGAGCCTCCACTCGATAGACTTTGACCTCGACCAGTCATGGCATCTACCGATGCCCCTCGTCGCAACCTGTCCCTCAAGCTCCGGAGAGGTCGCAAAGACGTCGACCGTAATGACTCGACCGCCTCGACCGGCAGTGCACCCATGGACGACCATGCCTCTGGCCTCAAGCCGTCCATTGACAACGTCTTTGCCAAAGTAAAGGAACGACGAGCCCGCAAGTCACAGGATGTCCGCCGCAACAGCGACGACTCGTCCAAACGTCTGCGTGGTCTCTTGCCGTCGTCAAAGAAGGCGCGTCGCAAGAGCAGCACCCAGGAAAGCGACCACCTCTCGGCTTCCAGCGATCTGTTCTTGGACCGCCAACGGGGCACCTCCCCCAACCCCAGCGAGCTTTCTTTGGGAAACCAGGGCAGTGGACATAGCAGTCTGCTGACTGAAGATTCCGACGATCAAGCGTAAGTTCTTTCTTGTCATCCAATATCTAATTCCAACCGCCATGCTATTCATGGTGAGCCCTCCCCGCCAAGTGTCCGAGCGTCTGCGTGTCGTCGTAACGCCGATCGCAACTACATGGCCCCATTAGCCTTTAGCTGCAATCACATCTCGTCCAGGACCCTGGTGGCCCCTTCTTACCGTACTGCATCGTACCCGTGCTGGATACGCGATACGGCCTGCACAAGGCTGCTGCTGCTGCTGCTCTCAACTGCCGCCTGCCCACTCTCAGACTACAAGAGAGGCTTCGTTTGCTGACTGCCCTGCTCGACGCAGACCTACAAGACCAACCCTGTCTCCCCACCAATCCCATACCGGCTACTTGACCTTTTCTTCACCTCTCATCAACGCCGCTGCCACCAACAACCCCTTGCCTGACGACATTCCCCACCTCGCAGAAGACAAGTCTCGCCCCGCTTCTCCCGACAAATCTGCTGCTTCCCTTCCGCTTCCCGCAGCAACAACAGATCGACATCAATCGCCCGTTGATAGATTCAAGGGCGCCTTTACCCTGCCAAAGAAGAAGCCTGTGGCCGACATAACCACAGAAACACATGAGGCCTTCCCAGATCTCGACTTCGAACCAATCAACACCACCGCCGTGTCTTCTCCACGTCCCTCGACTCCGCAATCGCTGCAGAAGAAGCCCACCATCATCACCACCGTGCCTTCCACACCGCCCAATACCGTCGACCCTCCCACCACTTTCGTGACACCACCGACGCCCACTTCTCCTCAAACCCATTTCTCCAATGCGTCTGGCCAATCGCTCAACTCCGCCGTCAATCCTCCTCCCTCATACGTAAACGCTGCTGCTGCACAGAGACGTAAAAGAGCCGGAACCTTTACTTCGAGCAAGCTCTCCACATCGCCCTTGACTCCGCACATTGAGGAAGCAAAAACACCCGGAGGCACAATTACTGCTCCAGCCACTTCGTCCTCTGGCTTCTTCTCTTCTGTCTTCAGCGCCGCTCAGAACGCTGCCAACCAATTCAGCACGAGCATAAACACATCCATTACTTCGAATCAGAAGAACAAGCCTCCGCAGCTGAGCCAAACAGACGCCGCAGGCGGTGAAGAAGTCATCTTAGGCGCCAAGGACACCAGCTTACCAGAACTTGAGCCGGGCCTCAAACGACAATTGGCAGTCGAGACTCTCGGAAGAGGTGATCTAAGTCTTGATCAACTCGGAATCAGCACCGAAAGCTCAGACGTCAGCCCGATGAATTCCAACGTGGATCTACCGCCGGCATATGCTTCGAATAACGTTTCACAATCAAACGTCGATGGTCGAAAACAAGAGGAAAGTGCCGCTCAACGCGCCGTCTCTGCCGCATACGAGAAGCCTGTAGAGAAGGCTGTGAGTCAGGCCACTGGCGGTAGGCCACTTTCTATGGTCTCGGGTGACGGCTCGGATGCTGGCTTCCAAACACCTCCTCGTACCTCGGGTACATTCGACAGCAACAAACGTGCTAGCTCGGTCAAAAGCAAGCTCAGTGGACGCAGAAGGCATCGTGGTAGCTCCGCTGCTACTGGTGGTACCCTAGCTGCTGCCGTCTCTGCCAGTAGCGCTACCCTCGTGCCTGGCGCGCTCGGCCAAGGTCATCGTACCACTGGTTTTGCTGTGGCCAGCAGCAAGCGCAATAAAGATTTCCATCAGCTGTTCCGAAGCGTGCCCGAGGATGATTACCTGATCGAGGACTATAGTGCAGCTTTACAGCGGGACATCCTTCTACACGGCAGATTATATGTTTCGGAAGGGCATCTCTGCTTCTCAAGCAACATTCTCGGTTGGGTTACCAATCTCGTCATCAGCTTCGACGAGGTCGTGTCTGTTGAGAAGAAAAGCACCGCAGTCATATTCCCCAACGCAATTGTCATCCAGACGTTGCATGCTCGAAACGTCTTTGCCAGTTTGGTTGCCAGAGACTCTACCTATGATCTGATCATTGGTATCTGGAAAATAAGCCATCCCAATCTGAAGAGTTCCCTCCACGGTGTTGCACTGGACGATGCTGGCACTGGCGATAAGACCGAGCGTGCTGAATCAGTTGCATCTGAAAGAGATAGCTCTGACCAAGCAACTGAAGATGACGTCTACGACGAAGACGAGGACAACGATGATGCCAGCTTCTTTGAACCTGGCGGCAGTGTTGCTGGAAGCGAAATTGGCGAGCCGGCTGTGAGCCGAAAGACCTCTGCCGCACCTGTCACAGCAGGTGTATCGACAAGCCATGGACCCACAAAGGGTGCAGAAGTTATAGAAGCAGTTCCTCCTGGTGCAGCAGCTTCTGCTGACTGTCCTGGTCCATCTACACATGCTCCTACTGAATGTGGAGATGAGGCTAGTCACTACGACAGATTATTGGCTGACACCACGATACCTGCACCCTTGGGCAAAGTCTACTCTCTCATGTGGGGCCCAGCATCAGGTACGTTCATGAAAAAGTGGCTGGTAGATGACCAAAAGTCTCGTGAGCTTTCTTTCGAACCCGAGAAAGGCGGAATGGACGACACGCACCGAACCTTTACCTACTCATACATCAAGCCTCTCAATGCGCCCGTTGGACCAAGACAGACAAAGTGTATTGTCACTGCCACGGTAGAGAATTTTGATTTGGAAAAGTGTGTCAGTGTCAACTGCAGCACTGCAACTCCTGATGTGCCCAGCGGAGGCATCTTCACAACGAAGACCAGATACTGCATGATGTGGGGCCCCAATAACTCGACCAGACTGATCGCCAACTGTACGGTAGAATGGACCGGCAAGAGTTGGTTGAAAGGACCCATCGAAAAAGGTGCTAATGACGGTCAAACACAATACGTCAAAGATCTCGTCGCCGCACTCACCGCCGGAGTAGCTGCGAAAGCCACGGTCAGAGGTGCCCCTCGCGGAAAAGGCAAGGGGAGGAGACGAACAGATGCTGGCATACCAGCTGAAAGCGAGCGCGTGGCAGTCGCCTCCAAGAAGGTACCAGAGGAAGCCAATTGGGGCTTATTCGAACCCGTTCGTGGAATCCTGGAACCTTTATTCAGCATACTGCAGCCTCTATTCTCAGCACAAATCATCATCTCGATACTGGTCTTGCTACTTGCCTGGACGTGGCTCTTCCCCTCTCGAGCTCGCTCTACAGGAGTTGGCTTTGCCATTGACTCGCCTGGCAGACTTGCCGCATATGAAGAGCTATGGCGCAGGGAAGAGAGCGAGCTCTGGGACTGGCTCGAAGATCGCGTGGGGCTGAGTAATGGCATCCCCGTCGGTGGCGCCGCACAAGAAAAATCCGACAGACAAAAGATCTTAGGTGTCAACCAGATGGCCCGCCGACTCCGCAACCACAATCTGGAGGGAAAGCAGGTGGAAGACGCCATCAGAGTCACGGAAGAGAGACTCGCGACTTTGAAAAACGCAGTCATGAAAAACAAGGGGACTGCACAAGAAGAAGAGAAGAAGTGATCCCTCTCTGTGACCTTGAATTTATTTCTATATGTCAAACCTTTCCCTTGCGTCTTTATGATGATAGCAGATCCGGTTTCCTTTGGCGTTTTGAGCGAGCGAGGATGATGGTTTCTTTCGTTCGAAGCGTTTTGCTGTCTTTTCCGTTTGTATAACCTGCGGTAGCTTGGATACAGAGAGACCGACCAAGAAAACATGATGTGTTGACAACCCTGACTCAATTTCTGTCTTTCCATGACTTCCTTCTTTGAGCTGCTCTTGCCGACTACAAAACCTGTTGTCACAAAATAGAATGCGGTAGGGAACCATCTGCGTATATGCTATCGAGCTGCTGTTCGAGTGTGAGTGTGTGGGTCAATCGAATCGTGATGAATCGGGATAGTAGTATTTGTTCAGCCTCGAAAGGGCAAACATAACACGCATGTATCGACGCACTAGGCAACTAAGGCGAAGATGGGATGTGCAATTCTTGTATTACTGTAAATCTCTTTCAGACAGCGTTCATGGAACCCTGTAGCTATTCATAACTCATCAAAAGGTCGCATTCAAAGCTCAATGACAACCTTCTTGGCACTAACACCAGCCTTCGACTTGTCGAGACCCTTTTGTACGCTCTCCAAACCTTGGCCAACAACCAAGGGCTCAGGCAAGCACTTGAGATCACCACTTTGGATCGCGCCGGGGACGAACTTTTGCCAGACAGCATCGCCAACCTCCTTGTGCTGGTTAGCGATGGTGATGGCGAAGACGCCCTGGACATTGAGATCAGATGGCTTGTCCTGGGGAGGAGGAAGAACAGTGGCCATGTTCTTGCTTCCACCAGCCTTTTGCAAGACTTCGAAACAGTGTTTGAAGGTCTCGGGGTGGGAAATACTGTCGTAGACACCAGCGAATTCTGCACCAGTGTCTTTGATGGCGGAGACGATGTCATCGACGACCGAAGAGCTGTTGTAGTCGATAACGGCCTCTGCGCCGAGCTTGGAGCAGTATTCATGGTTGTGCTTGGAAGCTGTGGTGATGACTTGGACGCCACTGGCTACGGCGAGTTGGATTGCTGTTGAACCGACACTGCTGGAGCCGCCCCAGACGAGGATGACCTTTCCTGATGATTTGGGCGAGGCAGTGGGGTAAGGAAGCTCGAGGTAGCCTTTCTGGTAGAGTCCAGCTGATGCAGTCGAGATGGCAAGAGGCAGGACGACAGCTTCAGTGCAAGAGATCTGCTTAGGGATCTTGGAGGTAAGAATCTCAGGGCAAGCTGTGAAGAGCTGGAAGCCAGCATTTTGAGGCTTGCCGGTTCCAAGACCAATGCAGTGAGATAGAACCCTGTCGCCCTTCTTGAAGTTCTTGACGTTTGAACCGACTTCGTGGATCTCGCCGGCAACATCGGTACCAAGGACATTGGGGTAGTTCTGGATGAACATGCCGGAGTCTTGGATCTTCCAGTCGACCGGGTTGACAGCGAGAGCCTTGTTCTTGATCACGACCTCATCTGCACCGGCAGATGGCATAGGTGCAGTGTCGACCTTCAATGGTGTTGCTTTGGCCTCGGTGATCCAAGCAGCCTTGTTAGCATTGTCTGACATAGTGTTTGCCATAGTGATTTGGTATTTGACTGTGATTGAATTGGATCTGATTGAGAAAAGAGAAGTTGGTTCGATGAAGGCTTAACTTCCTAGACGCCAGTAGACATATATATGAGCAATCAAGCTCCGGCAAGAGCCCTGAGGAGAGGTTGGTGATTGAGTAAGCAGCTGACAACTGTGATGTCAATGGATGGTGAGAGGCGGGGCAGGCTTCACCGAAGGGGTCGAGATGCAACACTCGGCCGGTCCGATCCGCTAAACATTACAGACCCATGCATTGTATATCCCATGACGGAATCGTAAGCTTGTTGGTCCCTAAGACATTATGGCAATCGAGACTAACGCAACGTGTAGAGATGTAGCCTCCGCTGTCGTGGTGCCCGACGCGACTCCTTCGTCACCACGCCGCTCGCCTGTCGCATCACAAAGTCCACAAGAAGCTCGCGCTGGAATCAAACGTCGCCAATCTTCTGCATCTCACGAGTCCCCGAAGAGACAGCGCCTGTCGCCTTCTCCGGACAGAATCAAGAAGGAAGAACATAAATCACCCATTCGCGAACGACGCCCAGTAAAGTCAATTGACGAAAAGAAACGTAATCAAAGACTCTTCGGAGGACTACTAGGAGGACTGGCCCAGAAAAGACCTGCAGCAAATTCACAAGCAGCCAAACGACGAGCTGAGCAAGAAGAGCGCCGTCGGCAGAAAGAGCACGAGCTTAGCGAACGACAAACAAAACGACTTGAGCTACTCAATGTCGCAAGGAAGAAGGAGCAGCACAGAGTTGATGAAGGCAGTATGCGCATCAAGCACGAAAACATGAAGGCCATGACCAACTTCTTGACAACTTCAACCGAGCCAAAGCTATACTTCAGACCATGGGAATTGTTACCGGAACAAGAGGACCTGATCAATCGTCAGCGCGAAGACGTTGATGTTCAAATAGATCAGGACCTGGACGATTTCGATCAGATTCGTCAACGCCGGCAAACCGAAGATGCCAACGGACACTCTGATCACGTTGCGCCAGATACGTCCAATGGTACGGATCATGCTTCTGAATCTGCAAATATTCAAGAAGTTCCCGTCACGGAACCTGTATCAGAGCCATCGACTGCAACTGTAGTTGATACGACTGAAGACACGGCGAATCAACAGCAAGAGCAAGAGCAAGAGCAGATTCAAGATCATGCGGCAGAAGAAGTTGGTCGACATAGAAAGGACAGCATTGATGACACAGGCGACATTGTAGTCGAGGCTGACGAAGACACGGTCATCTACTAGTCTGGTCGCGCTATACGGACCACTGCCTGGCGTGTCTGACCGGTCATCGATACCCTATACGAAAACCTGTCAGCTCATCAAGACTACGGCGTGGCTATCCATTCTTCCATCATGGCTCCTGATCACATCAATAATGTGCTACAGGTCGCTCTAATTTAATGCACATTCCGGCTGGTCTACACACATGCCCCCATCTCGAGTAAGATGTCTGGCCAGCTTATCCAATTTCCATGTTCGTCTGTGCAAAATCTGTCCGCATCACACTGGAAAGTTGCCGGCCATGTCCGGGAGAATACCTTCAATGGCGTCGCTGCAGCCTCATGTCTCGGTCTGAAGCATCCTGTCTTTGGTCGAAGGTCTCTGATATGCATTCTCCACCACCCATAGTTTTTTGCCGTTGAACAAAGACATTCCTGGAAAACGAGGATTTTGGACTCGATGGCATTATCTTGGTTGTCTCACTATGATACAATCGTTCCATTCTTTGCCGATGTGTCATGCATCAAATTTCCCCATGATCTACCTGACTCATTGGTATGGCTAATTGCGACTGCCAAAATGAGGTTTGTTTCATGCGAGCCGACCACAAAGGCTTTGTGTTCATCAGCGAACAGACATCAATATCGTAGATCTCCCGGGGAATCTCTGGAGAAGGTCTTTCCAGATCTTCTCGACTCTATTTCGAGTTGTGTAGACGTGGATACGCGATCTGAGAATAACCCACTAAACAGAAAGCAGCCGAAGGTTTGTCTCAGTCTCAAGGCCGCTACGAACGTTTGCGGTTCACCTTGAGGGCTCTACGATGCCGCTGAACCTTACTCAGCGTTCAGAAGGGTCCACCTCGCGAATGAGTGCCATGTTCTGTCAATCCTCCTCGGACTAACAAGCTTACCGCATTGTACCTATGGTTATCGCCGAGTATCTAATCTCACTGTCTTCAAATCCTTTGACCCACTGCGTGTAGCAATTTACGACAATGGAGAATAGCGTCTTCGAGAACCAAAGAATCGCAACAAACATGACCAGCCTTACGACTCAAGCGAGCGGCTGTTCATCCAGTGTACCTGTATATAAGATCTCATTACCACCCTGAGGTATGTTTCTGTTCCATCATCAAGCTAAAGCATCTTCGTTTCCATTCTTCAAACCTTCTCTCCTCCATCATACACATATAGCATTATGCGTTCTGCTCTTGTTCTGTCTGCCCTTGCTGGCACTGTTCTGGCAGAGCACAGGTCTTTGATCGGCCGTGACGGTACCTGCAAGCCTCAACCTGCTGGCTCCGGTCCCGTTGCCTCTCCTGATAGCATCGATGGTTTCTTCGCCATCCCCGAGCTCCAGACCCTATCATCAACCGCTCCTACTCCTGATGGCTACACTGCTGCTTTCACCGGCTTGAACGCTTCTCTTAACGCCAACAAGTACATGGGTCTCTGGACGCTCACCTCATACGACACCATCGGTTGTGCTTCTCTTTGCGACAAGACCACCGGCTGCGAGGCTTTCAACATGTACAGCGAGCGTGACCCTACTCTTGACCCCAACGCTTCCAACTGCCCCAACCCTGCCTCGCTCACCAACTATAAATGTACATTGTGGGGCGATTTTGTCTCTGAGTCCCAGGCCAAGAACCTTGGCCAATGGCGCAATCAGTTCCAGGTTGTCATCACTGGCTCAAATGCATACAACAAGGTCCCTGCACCTTGTACCGTCCCTGGCTACGACGGCCCTACACAGCTGGGTGGTGCCATCAACGCACCCCTCGACAGCAACCGCCACGACACCTACATGGGCGTCCGTGTCTACCCCTTCAACGAGGACCAGGAGTACGACCCCACAGTCTGCGCTACTGCTTGCACTTCCCAGACTTCCTACAACAAGGGCCACCCCGCTAAGGATGGCTCTTACCAGACTTGCCGCTTCTTCAACTCCTGGATCCAGAGCAAGGATGCTGTTGCCTACGAGGTTCACTGTGGTCTCTACAACCAGACCTGGTCTCCTCAGTACGCTACCAATTACGGCCAATACTCTGGCAACAGCCGCATCACTGTCTCCAGATCTTACAGCTACACTCTTTCTGAAGTCGTTGCTTGAGTGGCTTGATGGTCTTTCTCGCATCTCCGGTTTTTCTATTACATTTAGCATTATGTTTTTCCAGCCATACCATCAGCGCAGCTTCTTTTGCATCTTCGGAGTCAATGTTCTCAGTCACTGGCACGATACCCTGTACATACAAACTTTATACATAATCATTTTATCACCTCAGAAAGCATTGCACCAGCCTCTTGTTCTGCAGCATCCAGTCTAGTGTAAATCGAGCACAGAAGTCTGCTCTTACTTGCCCTCTACCAGATCTTCTAGGTCGTACCCTTCTCTAGCAATCCTATAACACACGCTATCCCTGACCCCTAACAAAGCACTCTTATAATCACCTTCTGGTACTCCACCCCACTGCTTCCACCCACACCTCTGCAGTAACTTTATACTGGGCAAGTTCTCAGTACCCACATCATGTGCCTCTGCATATAATTGCTCCATTGGCATGGCGGTAAAGAGCGCTGGTGTAAACGCCAGTAGAGCTCCCGTGGCATAGCCTTTTCCAGCTCAGTCGGGAGAAAATCGATACCCTATCATGGGAAATGACATGCTACCCAAGGTACCGATGAGCATCTGTGCAGGATCTTAGAGACATACAGCAAAATTACAGATTGAAGGGCTGGAGGTTCGTTGGGAGATGTAGGTGCTTGCTTGATGAGGTTCTGTGAGAGGTAATCGGGTGCAAGGGGAATTGGGTTAGCTATCTTTTTGGGGATCAGATGAGGGAGAAGGGCAGATTAAATGGCTTCGGACGTGTATTTCATGGTGGATGGTGTGGACATGAGAGTAAAAACGGCATTCTGGTCAGAGGGTTGGAGTTGGCGAAGGATCAAGCGATCGGTAATGATAGTCTTTTGTGTTTGCGCGGACATAATACAGGGGCGGTCAGCCTTATGACTGAGTCAGGGTGTCAACGTAAATCCGGAGCTTTTGCCTCTTTTTCTTGGGCAATGGTGCTTATGAGAAATGGTTGGAACCATAGGTGTGCAGCTCGGTCAGGGTGTCGTTCGGAGTCTTGGTTGGGCCACGTGCGAAGCCATCCGAGCTTTTTCTCTGAACGACCTCTGTCAGTCGGATCCATCCATGTTTTTCTTCACCACACTGGACGCCTGACTCTTTCCATACATGACCAAGGGTTACATCAAAGCTTTGTTTCTTGGTTTCATCAGCCGTGATCTATAGGCATAGATCTACCATTTAGGCCTGATCATGGCGCTCACGGCAGTATTTCGTTCTGCCTTGGGATCTTGATCACTGTAGGCAGCACAGCCCCCGGTGCACAGATGTCGTGCAGCCTCCAGGTAAAGATCGAAGTCTTCATGCAATTGTAGGTAGGAGAAGTCGAGTCATGCATATGCGAGTCTTCAAAAGAGGCCTTCGCCCATACCCATTGTATTGATTCACGTCTGTCTGATCCCTGCGACGCACTTTCGGCCTCTTAAATCTTCTTGAAACCATACAATACCGGAGCAAAAATCATGGTCGCACCTCTGACCATCGCCGTTACTGGAATCGCAATCATCCCGAAAAAGGCAGAACGTGCCCTCCTCGACGTCGAAATTTCCTCCACTGGTTTCTCGCGCGCCTTCATATCAGAAGAGGTTCAGCTTTCATGTCGACGTCTGGAGGACTTACTTCGCAAAACATCTGCCGCGAATGACACTCAAATTGCACGCGACTCGGCCACAGTTGCACACTGGTCAATGACTTCTATGAGAACGACATCCCATCTGCCGACAGATCAGTACGGCACAGTCTTGAAGAATGCACAAAGGGTCTATTCCATCTCTGTTACTTTCGACATTCGGATACGAGACTTTAATAGGCTCGGGACTTTTGCAAGTCAAGTTGCTGTTCTGCCTTATACCCTGATTCATAGCGTGAGATGGGCTTTGACGAGCACGACACGTCAAGCACATGAGAGTCAATTGCGCTCAATGGCTGCCGAGGATGCTCTGGAGCGTGCGAAAGATTACGCAAAGGCATTGGGATTGTCAGCTGTTTGGCCGGTCGAAGTCAAGGAAGCACAATGGGGCAGTCATGACCCGAATGCTGTGATGAAAGTGCAAGAAAAGGCAATGGATATGCGTCGACCTGTTTCAGATTCTGATCCAGCATTTGCGGATCTGTTCTTCGAGCCAGAGGAGGTCACGATGAGTACAAGAATCGACTGCAAGTTTGAGGCGGAATGAGGATTGATGTCTTTGTGTGCTATGTGTTCGTCACGGTCCAGTCTAAGGTGGACGCGCGAATCGAAGGCGACACACGAGATGCTGCTTCTCTGCAGTCACTCCCACTCTCTAGCGACGATAAGCATATCTAGGAACGACGAGCTATAGCAAGGCACAATTATGTCTCGTGTCAACAAAGCTGGCACAAAGTATCAAGGGAAGGCATATCTCGGCGAGAATCGCTGCAAGTCTGGAATACGTCTTGCTTTGATACAGCGTTTTATAGAGACAGCTAAAAGTGTTCTGGCAGTCACGATTGGCCGTTGTCCAAGCTTCTCTCGGATGCCGGCCAGCCGGAGGTGTATCGTGCCTTTCTAAAGGCGATGCTTCGAAGGACTATTTTGCAGAAGGCATTAATTATGGTTCTCTTTCCTCTTCTACAATTTATTCTATAGAAGATCTCAATATTCTCAAGTCCAATCACTCCGAGTCAATCATACTATTAGTACTCATCGCACTTGAGGACATCGGAGATTAAGCGCTAACCCCATCTCCGGCTCAGATAAGCTCTTGTCTCCACTCCGAGGCTCTTGATGCTCCGACTTGTTTCTTGGACTCGAGATACTTTCGTTTGTACATACACATACCTCTCCTCACATACAAGATGAGTTCACCGCCTGGTGGCCAGTCAGAAACCTCTGCATCACAACGCAGCCCAATTTATGCCCCAGCGACCGAAGACGATTGGGAAGACGAAGACGATGACGACATGGATTTTGAAGACGAAGATGGCACCGAGTACGCGACTGGAGACGAAATCTACCTTGCAGGCTCAGACGACTTGGATGGCACCGAGTTCTATGGTAATATCGAGTCTTATCAATCGGATCACGAAAGCTGTGGCAAAAGCTAACCAGACCCAAGCAGACGCCGACGAAGGACTCGGCCCAGTCATGATCGACTTCGAAACGACTGACGATGACGATGAAGGCAGGGAAACCTCGACAGACGCACCATCGACGACCAACGAGAATGAGGAGGAAGGTTCACAGGCAGAAACAGCACGACCGCAGCCTCAACAGCGGACAATCGCTCGTCAGTGGCAATTCTATGTTCACATGCTGAAGAAGTCGGCTGATAGCTTGTGTAGTCACGCAGCAGCAGATTCTACAACTACTCGGAAACACTGGACTTCGAGGATTGTTTGCAAACGTTGTCAATCAGCAAAGAGGCGGGCTTGCTGCCGATGATGATGACGATGACGACGACTATCTTGGCTGGCATGCCATGGGAAGAAGGTCAAGACGACCTAGGAGAGAAGGTGCTGGATATCCCAAAGTGCCGAGCGAGGCTGGCAAGAAGCTGATGGAGTCTGGAACTTTCGGCACCACTGAGCGACCGCAAGGGACCTTCGGCCGCAAGAGGAAGCTGGCATACCGAAACATGATGCGTGAGCTCGGAGTGGGCGGCTATGGTGCTCAAAGGAGTGCCAACAGACTCATATCCCAGACCATGATACCCTCAACACAGGCCGACAGCATCATCAATTACAACCACCGCTGTTACTCTGGACAATTCTCGGATGATGGCAACTTCTTCTTCTCCTGTGCTCAGGACTTCAAGGTTCGTATGTACGATACCTCCAACCCGTATAAATGGAAGTACTATAAGACGGCGCATTATTATGGCGGTCAATGGACTATTACCGATGCGACCTTGAGTCCGGACAACAGATTCCTGGCCTACAGTTCCATCAGAAGTGCCGTCTGTCTTTCTCCTACCGACCCGGACAATACAATGGATCCCACGATACTTGATTTTGCCGACATGGGGCAAGCTCGAAGAACTGGACGTGGTTGGGGTCACTTCGGTATTTGGTCTCTCCGATATTCTGGTGATGGGCGTGAAATTGTTGCCGGTACTTCTGATGAGAGTGTCTACGTTTATGACATCGAAACGCGACAATCAATTCTTCGAATTCATGGTCACAGGGATGATGTCAACGCTGTTTGCTATGGAGACAAGACCTCGCCGCATATCCTTTATTCCGGATCAGACGATACGACGTTAAAGGTCTGGGATCGACGATCGATGGGCGATGGTCGTGAAGCTGGTGCTTTTGTTGGCCACACAGAGGGAATCACCTACATCGACAGCAAAGGCGACGGCAGATACGTCCTCAGTAACGCCAAAGATCAAACCATGAAGCTGTGGGACTTACGCATGATGATGTCAACAGAGCGATTCGACAAGATTGATCCAGAAGCACATACAACAGGTTTCGACTACCGCTTTGCACCATACGACGAAGAAGAGTACGAAGCTCATCCCCATGACTGCAGTCTGGTAACCTTCCGAGGGCATAAAGTGCTCAAGACTCTTATCAGATGTCACTTCTCGCCACCGGGCAGCACAGATGGTCGATATGTGTACAGTGGAAGTCACGACGGCTCGGTGTACATCTGGAACATGGATGCCACATTAGCTGGCAAGATTGACGTACTGGAAGCAACAAGGAATTCGCGGCCAGAGCGTGATGAGCGATACGTAGATCGCTGGGAGCACGGTGGAGGTCGCAGCCAATGGAGCACCATCGTGCGAGACGCAAGTTGGCATCCCACAGCTCCAGTCGTTGCTGCCACGTCATGGAACGGATGGGATCACGGCCTAGGAACGTGTACCGTCCACAGCTGGAACGACGGCAACGAATCCGACGAGGGAGAGCCAAAAATGGGAGCCCGACTGAATCCTCAACTCGAACAAGATAGCCGATACTACGAAGCAGCCAACACAGCGGCAGCTACCCGAAGGTCAAGATTCGTAACACGAGCACAGATGGCTAGAAATGAGGAGCAAGCGGAAGAGTAGCGCTCTTCTGACGGTATTGACGCGTTCGGATGTAAGCCTCCTGACGAACTTTCGTTGGCGTGTACGGAGGGATAGTGGAGTTTGGTTCTGGTTCTTGGAGGTCATATTCTGGGAACACTTATTTCTTGCTGCGCTCTGTATATATGGATGGGAGAACTAGTGCATTATCAATCAGGTCGTATTCACTCTTTCCAGAAGAACGTTGCATTGCTTGAAGCCCTGCTCGTGTGACAAGAGTGTTTTTGAAGTTTTGTTTCTGTTGCGTGTTTTGTGGTATCAAGATAAAGTAGAAGAGAAAGGACCATGCATTTTTTCCCCTTCTCAACGCCAGAGATGTCCCCCTCGCTCTTGTGGATGGTTGAAAAGGAAAAATTGTACAATCGAAAGTAAAGGAAGCGGTGACCCAGATGAGCTGTGTCTGGGCGAGTCGCAGAGGTATCGTGCTGGTATCCTCACAAGGTGTGGGAGCTTCAAATAGGTGTCTTTCTTTCTCCCGAGGACACGTCTCTGTGGTTTGCCCCTTTTGTCGCATGGAGGATCTGGTTCGGTGGAGAGGAAGCGGTGGGAAATGAGGACGGGACGAGTAGTCATCGTTCGCTTATGCGCCACCGACAAGGATGTTGTTGACGGGAATGTGGACTACAATTCTTGTTAGCTTCCTGTGGTGTATCTTGTATGAGGCTTTGCGACGTACTCAGCTTGACAATGTAGCCAATGACACCCATGACGAGGAAACCGACACCGACGGCCTGGGAGATCTTGAGGAACTCGCGCTTGTCGGGCTTGCTGTATTGCTGTCAGTGGGAGATGCTCCACAGGAAGTGCTGGACCAGGAGAGAGATGGGCAGACGTACGTGCAGCGGTTGATGAACTGGGTGCCGTCCTTGATGAACTCGCGGGGCATCTCCATGATTTCTTGCATTTGGTTTGACGACATGACTGCGGTGTGTGTATTTGTGTGCTTGTGGTGAAGAGAGGACAGGAGTTGATCAAAAGAAGTGGTTCAGAGTAATGCGACAAGGTGGCTCGGCCTTGGTGCCAGCTGTCTATCAATCTGCGGAGAGAGTTGCTGAGGTCTGTGCGCGGCATGGGTTGCTCCTTCCTGGCCAGTGGCCAGAACTGCCTTTCACATGAAATGCTGTACTACTTCCAAAAGAGGCTGAAAATCTGGTCGTTTGTTCTTTCTTGGTCAAAAGAAGTGAAGTTGTAGAGATGCAACGTTCATTCGGTCGGATGCCCGACCAGAGCTGCAACGAATGAATTATATACAATGACCATAGCCATGGCTCAAAGACTCCTTACAACACCATGCATGCGAAATGGGAATATGGTTTACTTCTTGAACAAAAGACCATCGCTCACCAGATCATGGTCGTCCTTGGTCGGAGGTTTCTTGTTAAACTCTTTGCCACCAGAATTGTTGGTGGCATAGATTTCAGCAATGCATAGATCGAAAGGTCCTGGGACACGATCGATCAAGCCAATTCCTATGCTTCTAACCTTCTGGCGCATCATGTCGCTCTGCGGTTCAACGACCATGCCGTGGTTTGTACGCACAAACTCGCTGATTGGCACAATGACTGTCTCCCATTGTCCAGACTGTTGGGCATACAGACGGTGTTGATGAAGATCCGTCGGTACAATGGAGTCGGTCTGAACATTGACGAAATATTTGCGAGCATCACTCTTGACTTTCAAGGCGATGTAGCTGTATGGGTCGAGGTCCCAAAGTCCCTTGCCGAACAGATTTCGGCCCATATCTCTTGTGCGCCAGGCAGCATATCCGGACCTCTGAATCTCTGGTCGGTTTGCGGGAAGCTCATTTGAGATGGTGCCATGGAAGCGAATGTGTGGAGGATCTTCTGCAGAGGCAGGAACAAAGTCGAAGTGGACCTTTGAGAAGCCGCCCATGTCTTCGTCAGACATGACTTTGCAATTCTCTGCTGCATCAGGTTCATTGAATGTGACTAGGGGGAAGGGCCTTTCCGGGCGATTGATCGCTTCTGCATTGATAGCTGTTTACACGTAATATGTCAGTTGGATCCGGTGGGTGGTGAAAGCAGAGATTGTGATGGCGATGACGGACCGATTTTTGACAAGCGGGAGAACTCCTGGAGGCTACGCTTCCAGAAGCCGGCAGGCGCCAGCATTCGTCGAGTGCACTGCATGTTGAAATATGTGGTTGGAGAGTGGAAAGCGATGCGAGATGGATGATTATGATTGTTAGCTGGATGATCTGATGATTCCTGACGTAGGGCAAAGACCCTGGTGGTGATGCATGACTCGGGCATGCATGATGCGGAGAGTCGAAGGCGCTTTTTGGTGCCTGCAATTTTTGGACTTGAGCCGGCGAGAGCTTCAATTGATCATCCACCATCTACCATCCACCATCCACTGCCCAACCCTCGAATCTTCCGGACGACAACACACGCCCTATACCACACCTCTACATCTCGTCCAAATCTCGCGACTCGCCCCCCTCCCTCCGTTCATGACGGCCAATCCGTCCATCGCCGCCGCGCGATCCTCCATAGTCGACAGTCCTCTACCGCAGTCCAGAGAAACAGGAGAAGCCTATCCCGAAAAGGCCCAAGATGGAGCTTTGGTGAAAGCGCCGCCGCCTGTCGCAAAGTCATGGGCTCATTTTGTCGCCGGAGGGTAGGTTCGCCTCCGCTGCCTCTGCTTGCTTCACCTTGCTGATCCATCGCCACAGTCTGGGAGGCATGACTGCCGCTACCTTGACATGTCCACTTGACGTCCTGAAAACTCGTCTGCAATCCGACTTCTACCAATCACAACTTACCGCCTCTCGCGCCGCAAGAGGCATCCCGCCGCTGTCGCAACTCTCATACTCACGAACCGCCATCCTCCACATTCGAGAAACCTTCCAGATCCTGACGGCCATCCCTCGCAACGAAGGTGCTCGCGCGCTCTTCAAAGGACTAGGTCCCAATCTCGTTGGTGTCGTGCCAGCACGAGCCATCAATTTCTACGCGTACGGTAACGGAAAGAGGATTCTGGCGCAAAACTTCAACGATGGCAAGGAGGCCCCTTGGGTACACTTACTGGCTGCTGCTGCATCTGGTATGCTTACTGGAACCGCTACAAATCCCATCTGGCTGGTCAAGACGCGACTGCAACTGGACAAATCAAGAGCAGAGAAGACCGGAAGTGGTTTGGATGGAAGAAAATACAAGAACGCTCTGGACTGCACAATGCAAACTATTCGCTCAGAAGGTATCCGCGGATTGTACAGAGGATTGAGCGCAAGTTATCTGGGCGTTACGGAAAGCACATTGCAATGGGTACTCTACGAGCGCATGAAGACCTACATCGCATTACGGGAAGAGCGCATCGCAATAGCCGGCCGACAACGCACATCCTGGGACGAAGCAATCTCATGGTCTCTGAAGCTCGGAGCAGCAGGAAGCGCCAAATTCGTCGCCGCACTCATCACATACCCTCACGAAGTTGTCCGCACACGTCTGCGACAAGCTCCTGTCACTACAGCTCTGGATGGTAAACCTCAACTCAAATACACTGGATTGGCTCAGTGCTTCAAGCTGGTATGGAAAGAGGAGGGCATGGCTGCTCTGTACGGCGGCCTCGTGCCGCATATGCTTAGAGTCGTGCCCAGCGCTGCCATCATGTTCGGCATGTACGAGGCCACCTTGAGGTTCCTTGGAACCGACTCTGGTGTTTAATCGGTTCTAAAAGACGGATATTTCATTTGATGTTTGTACAAAAGCATTTGGCGATAGGCGCATATCTCGGGGAGGCTTTGGGGAAGCTTGTCCTTTTACTTGTAACAATATTGTGGGAGAATACATGTAGGAAGACCATGTCAAGATGACTACATTTAAGTCATAGGTGTTGGATTACACAAATCGCAACTCTGTCAAGAAGTTTGAGATTCTACTCTATATGCAAAGAACTTTTAGACGTTTTCGACTTCATGCGCTCTCTTTTTATAAGCACATATAGCGGGCAGCACGAAAAGTCAAGCCTTTCATATTAGGCGTGCTCTGTCCGGATAGCCAGATGTCACATCGGACGACCTCATACATTTTGGTCTCGTATACTCGCGACAAAATTTCCTGCTCTCGAGATGTGATCTCGTATGCATGACCATCGACTCTGGAATTTGGACCACTATCCACTAAAGCCTTGTACTGCCCCCAGAGTCTCGATTGTTCCTCCCAACACATACGCAGGTTGCAGAGTCAATACCTCATCCTCGAGTTCAAGCACTTGTTTCAGAATCTCTGGTTGAGCAAGCGTACCGTAGAAGAAATAGATCACCGGATATTGGTCCTGCTGTACCAGATCTTCCACGCTATCCGGACGATGTTGCGGCAATGTGGGTTCCGATAGACTTAGAGTGGGAGATGCAGAAGTATGTAGATCTTTGGCTGCAATGTTCATGGTGATGAAGCAGGGTTGAAAGTCGACGATGCCATGGTCGCAAAGTCCTTTTAGAATCAGTTGTTCCTCGCCGGCAGTAACGTAGCAGAAACTCGTGGAGCTATCTGTTTCTTCTGACTCTGCTGCTGTCACAAGGGGTGGCTCCGAAAGTCCTGCAATGGTTTGGACTTTTTCTGGTGTTGCTAGAGGTCCGGTGAGTAACAAACCGCGCAGAGAGCTTTTGGAGACCACAGCCTGTCTTGAGTCGGTTGTAGTACTGACTTTCGAGCGACGAAAGAGCTCATACTCGTAACTCTCACGATTGTGACCTTGCAATCCTTTCGAAGCTTTCATGCCGAGCCATAGTTCAACAGAGATTCTTCGACGTTCAAGATCTGCTCTGTTACTTTGTATCTTGTCTCTTGCGTCATTGTATGAGAAGCCAAAGAGTTTTTGCCAGCTTTTAATATCCTTCTCGTTGGCTTCTTACTGGGAATCACTGTTGAGTGCATTGGCGCCCAATCTCTCGAGCTCTTCCAGCAAATAGTCCATGTTTTATGCGTGATGAGCTGGACGTACACGGCCGTTATAGATACAAAAGATGAAAATGTATTCCGCAGATGTGATTATAGTATCGACCTACCTTTTGCCCGGAAAGGAATGACTCACGGCAATTATAAGTGCTCAAATGGGAGAGAGAACGTCTGGAAAGCGACAACAAGATCGGAGGTCACCCGTGACGTCGGATAGCTAACTCTGTTCGAACGGTATCTTTGACGATACGTCGGCAGCAGGTCAGAGTCCTGTAGGTAGTGATGAGTGTGGTGATAAAAGATTCATTGCTCCCACGCTTTTGCTTGAGATGCCATGTATGGGTGGCGGAGCCAGTTGCCTCACATTAAACTCATCCTAAGCGAACCCTTTGATGTATCTCGAGTATCTCATGCAACCTTTCGAAATCATATAAGAAAAATTAATTGTTGGTCGTTTTGGAAGTTGAAGCTCTCCATGTTCTCTCGCCGCGTCGAAAACATTCATCAAGCAGCGGCCGAATTCGGGAATGCCCCTGCCAAACAACCACAACAGAAAGCCAACGAGGGAAGTCGCTACTCATCAGGTCGTTAGGCTACTGGAATCTTAGGCGCTGCAATGCTGGACATATTCTGCTAGAAGAAACGTCTGTCTCTATGAGAAACTCGCCCACTGCGACAATTACAGCGACCAACTAAAAACACACCAACAAAGATGTCGCGTTTCCTGACACCATCTAAAATATGCATACTCCTCCTGGTCCAATTATACCGTGATGGAAATGTGCCGTCCAAAAGTACGATACCACTCTTGTCATTCATTTCCATGCACACAATTCACAGGTCACCACTCAACACCTCGAATCAAAAGCCATTGACTCCGCCATCCATCGAGGATTTTGAGACTTTGCTTCAATCTCACGAATCAGCTGTTCCTGGAAGATCTTTGTACCATCTCTTCGTAGATCACCTTTGGGCTGTGCACGATTTTGTCACGTTCACTGCTTTTATTCAGGACCAGACTTCGGTAACGGCTTCGCTCCAAGAGCAGACCGAGGGCAGCAGGGCCAAGTTTGTATGCAGTCCGACGAGTCCGATCGGCCAATTCGCCCGAAGATGTCACTTGGAGTCTGTAAGATTGCAATTCAGTGATGCCTACCAGTTGTGGGAGGATCTAGTGGTACTTCGCGAACCTACTAGAGATGGCCATGTTGAACGGAACCCAAGGTCAGCTTATGCTAGCTACCTGCCGAATGCAGCATCAGCAAACTTGCTACAACTCGAGCAATCTAGTGCTTCCGCTATCCTCCTGGACAGGATGAACAAACAGGATGATCGGCCCTCTGTACCATCAAGTCTGGACGATGTGGAGAAAGTGCTACATTTTCAATTAGGCCAGTTACAAAAGTTTGGCAGCAGAGTGTCAGACGAGATGAAGGCCGAGTTGAGGACGATGGTAGAACAAGGAGCGTCAAAGCCTTCCGACATGCACTTCATCAAGTACGTCTTGTGCATGAAGCTTAAATGGCCGTAACACTACTGACAACAATAGTTTCTTTGATGCTTGGAGAAGCGGTGCATACAACAAGGCTATCGAACTTCTTCATCGTTACTTTGACTACACTATGGAGAGCCAAGGCACAGATCACATCAAGACATATCACCAATACGCTCTGCTTCATCTTGCGGTCCTGCATGCAGATTTCGGATGCTACGGTGAGGCTATCTCAGCCATGAATGAGTGTATCGCGACGGCTCGTGAGAATCAAGACGCCCGTTGTCTGCACTTCAGTCTTTCTTGGCTTGCCCATCTGCGAAAGGCATATCCCGAGTTCTCTCGTCTTGAGAATGGCGGTGAAGGGAGCGAGCTAGCAGGGAACGAGAACGACATCATCACCTTCCTGCAACAGAAAGCAGTTGAGAATAAGGATTGGGCGACTCTTAGTAGCTCACTGCTCAGCCAAGCTGAAGTCATCGTCGAGAGTGGCGGCAGTGTGGCCAGGGCTCTGGAACAAATTTACCAGTCGAGCTACCTCAACAGCTTGCACAATGTCGCCAGCATGATACCCAGCCAACTTCGACTTCACTCCGCAATCTTCAACAGACTGGGTCAAATGCCTCTGGCAGAACATTACTGCAAAGTCATGTACCACATCTTTAGTCAAGATGCTTCGAGACCAGATGTGCTCAACGTAGTGCTCCAGAGTGCGCATATGCATAGCATATTGGGTCAGTATGAAGAAGCATACGAGCTTCTGAGGCAGAACGACCCGTCGAAGGAGAGAACGCTACGTCTTGAAAATACATTCAACGCGTTTGCCGCCATGATCAGTCTCAGGCGTGCTCTTCACCAGTAAGTCCAGACACAACTCACGCAGAACCTATCCGCTAACGATCATCAGCAATGACTTCTTCGTCGCGGAAGAGTTTCTGCGTCAGCTGAAACCCATAAGACAGACCGCAGATGCAGGAGTAGTCTTCGAAACGCACGTACTTGAGATTGAACTCTTGATGAAGCAAGGAAAACTCGCAAGTGCGTTTGATTGTATCGAGAAGCAAGTGGTGGAAGCAAAGGCTGCCAACAGTGCGGGTACGAACAAAACTCACGAGTGGAATACAGAATCTGACTAACCTTGACAGATATCGTGCGCCGCATCAAGCTACTAATTCTCAAGGCAAGGCTTTTTGCAAAGGCAGGGCTGCCGACCAAAGGATTCAGCATAGCAATGCGAGCAGCTTCGTCGGCCCAAAGAGCCATGATCATGCCAGCAATGTGGGAGGCAGTCGGAGCTCTTTGCGTGATCCTGATCGACCTGGGCGAGTTCGGCGCGGCAAGGAGCCTGGTGGACGCTATCATGCCTCAGGTAAATTAAGATCTCTACAACGCGTTGGATATTCATGTTGCTAAACCAAGCAGGTCCTGGAAGGCGGCAACACCACTACGATCGCGCATCTCTATATGATACTTACGGACTCTTATGTAGGTCTGGCTGGCAAGTCAGCTGAATCAGACCAAAGGGAAAGCTCAAGTCACATCGATGCCGCGTTCATCTACCTTGACAGAGCAAATGAAGGTATGCAAATCCAAGACTGAGGCCTGTTGTAAAAGGACTGACAAAGTGTTCAACAGCATACATCAAAGTAGAAGACCTGGACGGCACTTTGGAGAGTCTGATGAAGAAAGCGATGCTGTACAAGCACAGAGACGATGAGGACATGGTCGAAGAGATGGATCGTTTGTACAACAGTACGGTTCAGGAGGCAGAGCGAAAGCAGTCAGCTATGCACGGGCAAAACAGTTGAGCAGATGGCCGGTGGACACGAGGATAGCTGACAAACGAAACGTTAAATAATAGTTAGATGCATGCCTCTGCTATCTGTACAATTGGCGCGAGGTGACTCCTGAGTTATATGGCTCTTTGAGCGCAGGAGCGTTTGGCTAAAGGACAAAGATTGAAAGGTTCTTAGAGATATGCTTTGCTCATTTCAGACGAGGATAGTTTACTCGTCGGACTTCTTGTGGTAGTTGACCTTGTCGTTCCAGAAGATGGTCTGAGGATGGCCGTGTTAGCCATGATCTTTGTGCTTGCTCTGGTCCAGACTGGAAGAGGATCGAAGCTCACCTTGTCACCGTCACCCCAGAAGTAGTTCTTGGTGCGGATGTTCTGGAAAGAGTACTCGGGCTGCTCAGACTTTGGGGGCTCGTGGGCCTTGTGCTCCCAATGCTCGAGCCACAGGCTGTAGGCGTTGACACTGGCGAGGACGATCGAGGGAACGACGATGCTGTTTTGCAAATTCTTGGTCAGATTTCTGATTCATGGGTTCTCGTTTGATCGTAGGTGGGGTAGGTTTGTTTTCGTTCGTCCGAGGGATGATGGGAAGTTGAAGACTGGGAAACGCGTACTAGATGGAGAGCTTGCGCCAGAGGTCTGTTATAGACAGAATTAGCAGAGTTCGGAGCCAACTGATATGCAAAAAGAAGCGGCCGATTTATAACGTACCACTGGTGGCAGCGGCGTGGTCCTTGACGGCAGCACGCTCGCGGTTGAAAGCGTTGTCGGCGGCGCCCTGGAAACCAGTCTCGCCGGCACCGTGGAGCTGACGACGGCCGAGCTGGCGGATGATAGGGGAGCGCAATTGCTTAGCGGCGCGTGCGGTGAACATGATTGTGATTATGACGGTGAGTGGAGAGTGGAGAGCGCTTCAATTGGTATGGCTTTTGCTGACACCTGATTGACGGTCGGATCACGCACAGCGCGACGTCCCGGTGTGCTTGGCATTTGAATGCCTGAGGAAGCTGCGAGCGCCGAGCGAGCTCCGCTTCGGCTTCTTTGCTCTTGATGCGGCTCTTCTGCACGTCATAGCCTCTTGGTCACGTCCTCCAACTGGAAGTCGCGTCTGTAGTGGTTTCCTCCCAAAATCCCATCCGACTTGTTGATGGCTTCATAGTGCTTCAAGACTTTCTACTATGTTCAACCTACATGTGAACGTGCAATTGATCACCCTACCTCCATCACCATGAGGCTTACTACCTGGAATGTCAATGGCATCCGCAACCCATTCTCTTACCAACCATGGAGTACCACAAAGACTTTCCCGGCCATGTTCGACATTCTTGAGGCCGACATCGTTGTTATGCAAGAACTCAAAATTCAAAGAAAGGACCTGCGTGATGATATGGTACTTCTCGACGGCTGGGATTGCTACTTCAGTGTGCCAAAGCAGAAGAAAGGTTTGTTCATCTTGGTTGTCTATTCTTGGAGTAGTCGCTCATATCTTTGCAAATCAGGCTACTCAGGTGTGGGCATCTACACTCGCAACGCCACCTGCTCTCCTATTCGGGCAGAAGAGGGCATTCTCGGAGTCTTGACACCACCGAACTCTACAACACAGTATCGCAGCCTGCCCGAGTCTGAGCAAATCGGCGGCTACCTCTCGGAGATGGAACTCGCAGAGCTTGGCGTTGATCCTCTCCTTCTGGACTCTGAAGGACGTTGTGTTTGTCTCGAATTCCCTGCCTTCGTTCTGCTCGGAGTGTACAGTCCTGCCAACTCTAACGGCCTACGAGATGACTTCCGTTATGCTTTTATGACTGCCTTGGATTGCCGTATACGTAAGCTCAGCAAGATGGGCAAGCGAGTTGTCTTGGTCGGTGACCTCAACGTGTCCCGAGGCTTGATTGACACAGCTTCCGCTCTCGATGACATCAAGAAGGCCAGCCTGACAAGCGAGGAATACGTCAGCACTCCGAACCGTCGAATCTTCAATCAACTCATAATCGGCGGTGAGGTTTACGGTGAGAGGGACGAAGGTCGAGAGCAACCTATCATGCTAGACACCACCAGAGAGTTCCACCCCCAGAGGAAGGGCATGTACACTCATTGGGAACAGAAGATCAATGCTAGACCTGGAAACTTCGGAAGCCGTATCGATTTTGTTCTGGCCAGCGGCTCTATGCGTGATTGGTTCGTTCACGCTGATATCCAGGAGGGTCTCATGGTCAGTACTAATATCCTTGCGTTCTCGAACGTCATCTAATTCTGCTGCAGGGTTCCGACCACTGTCCGGTCTATGGCGAGTTCAAGGACTTTGTGAATGTTGCCCGAGAAGATGGCGGCTCAGACATCAGGCTGATCGACATCATGAATCCACCTGGCATGTTCAGCGACGGCATCCGACAGAAAGAATGGAACATCAAGGACCTGCCTCCCTTCAGTGCCAGACTTATGCCAGAGTTTCATCAACGGAGAAGCATCAAGGACATGTTCAAGAAGTCGGCCGCTCCAAATGCTTCCTCCACGTCGAACAGTCAAACACCCACAGCAGCGCAGTCGCAGACTACATCCAACACCGGAATGGAAGAGCCCGGTTCAACGGACACAGATTCATCTAAGACAGTCCCTACCTCGCATGCTGCTGTCTTCTCGTCTTCAGAGATGAAACGTAAAGCATCTGACACATCTGCTTCTCGACCTTTAAAGGCACAGAAGACTGCCCCAGCCCCAGCTTCAGCCTCAAAGACTGCTCCCGTCAAAGGCCAGAAAAGCTTGAAGGGCTTCTTTCAAGCGAAGCTCAAGCCGGATGAACCTGCCGCTGACGCGAACGAGTATGTGCCTAGGCGCGAGAATGGTGCACCTAATGACGGTGACACGACGGTAGGTGATGCGATCATGTCTGGGCCGACCAATACATCTTCCACACCGACATCTTCGATGATTCAGAACCCGACATCTCATGCTGACGCGCGAGATAGTCCAGCGGCGCTTGAATCGGCTGCAAAGTCTGAGGCCGAGTTTCTACCGCCGCTCGACGATGTCGATGAGATGGTGTACGATCCGATCGTGAACAAAGAGTCATGGCAAACACTTTTCCGCAAACCAGCTGCACCACTGTGTGAAGGTCATGAAGAACCATGCAAGAGCATGCAGACGAAGAAGAAAGGCGAGAACCAAGGGCGTAGCTTCTGGATGTGCGCAAGGCCGCTGGGCCCATCAGGCACGAAGGAGAAAGGTACGCAGTGGCGATGTGCTACATTCATATGGTGCAGTGACTTCAAAGCATGAGACATGAGGCAGTGGGCATTAGTTGCGGTTGATTGCTATAGACTGGCAAGCAGATACTTGCTTGAAGGCGAAAGAGGAAGTGAGAAAGAAAACAAAAATTCCAACCATCCAATGCGCAGTACGCCGACCATGCAAAAATTTCTCCTCCCCATGCTCCCCCTTTTATCCTGCCTCGCAGAAATGATCACCAAGAACTTTGATGATTGAAGAACTCCTTGCTAAAGAACGCCATGCTTGAAGAAGACAGACGACGTTGATGAAGGACGAGATTAGTTGACGAACTCCATGCCCCACATGTGCTCGGGCATCTGCTCGAGAAACTCTGTGAAGCGCTGAGACTCGAAGTCGTTGTACTCGAAGCCGTTCTCCTCGGCGAAAGCACGACCACCATCCTCGTCAATCTTCTCGAGGTCACGGGCAAGCATGCTCTCGATCGAAGACTCGAAGTCGTTCAGGTCAGCCTGAGCCATGGTGAGGTCGTTGGCAGTCAGGGTAGGCATGGTGCGCGAGAGGCCATCGTTACCATCAGCCATGACATGGTTGATGTAAGTGGGGATGGAAGTTGAGGCAGCAGGAAGATCGTCATTGGCAGGACCGTAGTCGTAGTCATTGTTGTGCTCGTTCAAGAGGTTGGCGAAGAGGTCAAGTTGACCCTGCTCGAAGGTGTCAAGGGTGAACGAGGCTAGGTCACCGTTGGAAGAGTAACCGAGTATGGGGGCGTTGAACTCGCCGAGGTTGACCATCTGAGAAGGCGAGGTGACAGATGAGAAGACGCCAGTGGTCGAAGGACCAGGCGAGTAAGTGGTGGCGGCATCGACGATGTGGGCGTTGACGGAGACAGGAGCAGGAGCGGAAGCCGAAGGAGCGCTCTGCTCAGCAGCAAGAGCTATGGCCTTACGCTTGGTCATGCGACGCTTCTTCTCATGAGACTTGCGAGGCTGGTACTGGTAGTCAGGGTGATCGCGAAGATGCTGGGCCTTGACGCTCTCGGCCTCGTCCTTCCACTGCTTCTTGACAGAGTCAGACTCGTCACGCCACATCTTGCCGATGATCTTGGCTGTAAAGGATGTAAGTCATCAGCCACGAATAGTGGAAGCAGCAGAAGTCACTTACAGATCTCGTTGTTGTGAAGACCAGGGTTGCGGAGAACGGTGTCCGAGTGATGGTGCTTGCGGTACAGGATGAAGGCATTGGCGGGACGGCTGACCTTAGGACCCTTCTTGGGAGAGTCGACAGATTCAGGAGAAGTAGGCGAGGACATGCCGGTCTCATTGGAGTGGTTGTGCGAGCCAGGAGACAGCACGGTGATGCGAACCGAATCAGTGGCGGCATCATCCTTGACTTCAACCTGCGCATTGCTGAAAGTGCTGCGAGAACGATTAGTGCGCGTTCAGAAATCGATGCGCAAACAACTCACCTGCAACGCTGGGCGACAGCAGCGATACCGTCTTCGCCGAGGCGGCCTCTTAGATCAGAAGGGAGAACAATCTCAGTGGCACCGGCGGCGGCGCTAGCAATCTGGATCATAGCGTGATACCAGGTCTGCTCGATGTCCTGCTTCTGGTTCGACATCAAGGGGAAGGTGGAAACTGATGCCATTGTGTGAGTAGTTGTCGATGATAAAGGTTGTTGATGGAAGGGAAAGAGTGGTGGAGGAGATAGAAGAAAGTCTGGCAAAGAATTGAGGAAGAAACTATGCGCAGAAGTTGAGAGGAAGAAGGAAGTGGGAACCCGGTGAAGTGATGACTGCGAGGTAGTGATGCTAGCCAGATGAAGCTCTGAATAAGATTTATGGGAGTGTCAATAGTGACAATAAATCCAAGTGAGAGCGGAACCATTTTTCTCGTCACCCACTCACTCACTGTGACTTACTCTTTTCAAACTTCACAACCGCGCAGACTTAGTCCGCTATCCATGTCCTTCCAGATCCACGCAACCTCCAATTACCTCGTCGTTCCCGTCTTCGAAGCAACACAAGAATGGCTTCCTCCTGCCAGACTATCAAGGACAATTCTGCACACATCAGCAAGTTGTTCAACGAAAATGCCGAAGAGAAAGACGAGCAGATCTTGAGCATGCTGGAAAACATCCATGGTGATCTCTCAAGACTGGCCATATCGAAGAAGCCCGACGTCGACAGCTCTCACAAGGACTTACTCAATTTGTCGCGAAAGATTATGTTCTCCACCCAGTCTCGGCTACAGACCGACAAGCTCGTTCAGGTCGGTAGTCTCTATCAATCCGATCAGACACTGGCGAATGGAGTGTCAGCTATTCTCAACAACGACGACACCACTCCTCCTCACCTCAAGAGATTGACGAAGGCGGCCCTGCGCGAAAAGCTTCTCGAGTAAGTGCAACTTCTACACCGCTTTGTACACTCTCTGACAATGCGAAAGGTCGACAGATGACTTCACCGTAGCTCTCGGGCTTGTCGCCAAACCCGGTGTTCGACTTCTCTCTGGATTGACGAACCTCGAGCGTGAAGATGACCACCTGCTCCAAGAATTCTTCCAGGTCAATCGCGAGCCCAACTTGGCAGAGTTGGAGATGCTTGAGTATGTTTGTGGAGCTCCAATCCAGACAGTTGCTACTTGGTGTAAGTACAATTCAATCCAGCAAGCACAAGGTTCAAGCTGACAAGATGCAGTCGCACTCAAGCGTAACCAAACCCGGAGACTCTTTGTTATGCAAGGTCTTGCCACAAAGGGCAGCAGGCTGGGAACAAGACTCCGAAAGCGTGAGCACGACCTTCGTGAGGGTCCTGTTTTGCGACCAAGTCTTCCACCTGAGTTCTCGGATCCAGACCTCAACGAAGGCTGGCAGGCGACTGAATGTAAGACGGGCTTGAACAACTGTACTAGAATTGGAAAGTAGGCTGACACATCGACATAGTCTACTGGTGTAAATCCCAGACATAATCTCCACAGCGAAAACATCATCGCTGTTGAAGAATACACGGGATCTTTCATGCAACTACCGTCGTCTGGAATGTGGGCAACAAAGAGTTAAGCAAGGGGCGGAAGTTCGCGGTCTGGCATACAAAGAAAGCAGCTTCTCGACAACGATCTCAACTCGAGCTCTCTCGACTGCGGTGCATGGGATGTTGCGAGGTTCTATACTTGAAGTAGGAAAGAATGGAGTGACAAGACACAGATTTGCGTCAAAGCTTCTTGGCCGTCATCACGTTTCACAGCACACTGCTTGAGACACTTAGGTTTCTCGGAACAAAGAAGACACATTTAATTCATCACAAGGAAATTGCTCAAATGTGACTGTACGAGATTGAATATCCGATTTATTGTGGCAGTGAGAAATGAATTGTTGGTTTGGGGTGAACTCTACTTCGTGATGTCTGATGCCACCATGGTGTGCGAGTAGGCGGCAACGCTCCCTTGGAAGTGTTCGCCCAAACAGATCGCAAAGGTCATCGATGCCGTGAAGAGGGTGCGTCCTGCCGCTGCTGTCGCTTCGCCTGCCGTCGCTTCAACTCCTGTCTCAGTCATCACTGAGCGCAAGAAGCGCACCAAGAACACCAAGAAGTCATCTTCCAAGAAGAATGTGCAGACCTCTTCCGGCAGTATCGCCCCCACTCGCCCTCTCAACTCGTGGATGGCCTTCAGAAGTATGTCTCTCTCCACCCAATGCGCGCACAATTCCACTGACAACTATCCGGCAGGCTACTATGCTCCCATCTTCAAGTCACTCCAGCAGAAGGACATCTCTGGCTTCTTGACTCTCATGTGGAAGAATGACCCTTTCAAGGCTAAGTGGAGCATCCTTGCTAAGAGCTACTCGACCATTCACGAGACCAACATCAAGAGCGCTGCACCTCTTGACAAGTTCCTCGCTCTTACTTGTCCCTTGATCGGAGTCATTCCCAAGGACGACTACCTCAAGGTCATGGGCTGGGTCATCGCCGATGCTGCTGGCGTCAAGAGCATGGAGCGCACCCGCATTCCCGACATCAACTCGTTCCCCGAGAACATGCTTATGACCAACCTGTCCTCTGAGGAGATTGTCGTCTACTGCCAGCGTGTCAACTACGTTGACTACAACGTCGCCGCTCGCATTCAGGGCTCGACTGCTGCCCTTACCATGGCCGCTAGCGTTGACCACGTCCAGCACAACGATGCCGGTGCTTAGCCTACCTTCGTGGGTGCTCAGCCTACCTTCATGGGTGCTCAGATAGCCCACACGGATGCTCACCGTGTCGTTTCGGTTGCTCAGTCTGGCTCCATGGCTGCTCAGCCTCTTTCGGCCGACACTTCCTCTCCCGCTGCTTTCTTCGCCGAGCCCGAGTCCGACTCTCCTTACGATCAGGACCAGCAGGACGACCACAACAAGTTCATCAGCGAGGAGGCTCAGCGCGACCTTGTTCAGCGCGCTCTTGACCAGCGCAACAACAACGCCTTCGGTGCCAGTGGCCCTGCCAGACAGGCTGTGCACGACCTTTCCAGCCAGCAGTACCCCTTCATGGACGAGTTTGATCCTTTCTCAACCAGCTCGCTTGAGTTTGATCCCTTCAACATGAACCATGACGCTGCCTTCTCTGGAAACGCTATCGGCACTTACCTCGCTCCCAGCGGTAGCGACTTCCCTGACAGCTTCAACATTGACGATCTGTTGAGCAGCGATCTCTTCGACATGGGTCAGTAAATAAGCCTGCTGTCCAGAGGCAGAGTCTCATCCCAGACATGAGCTATCTTTGATCGATGAGCTCCCAGAAGGAGCAACACTGGCGCGAAATGCACGGTGCATTCAATCAGGTCGTTTTGTACATAGATGACTGGTCGAGATGTAGATACACGAAGTCATGGTATCTTGGTAATGAGAAGGAAAGAAGGCGTTCATGGAAGATCAGAATAATGAGGGGTTGGTTGTGGCTGGAATGGCGTTTTGGGGGCCTGCGGAAGCTCGGGCAAAGTTTGGTACAACTACAGCGTACCTACCTTGCACCCTTTCTTGTACATAGCTACACCTCGCAGACCTTTTAATGAGAGCGAATGATAAGCAACCCAAACACTTCTGATCCATCAATCATGTCTATGCAGCAAACAACATGACGCTCAAATCGCTGTTGCTTGCGTACTTCGTCGGTGGCCTGACGTTCATCCCCCTGCTCGCGCTCATCCTTGGCGCCTTCGCATACGTTGCATTCACCCAACCCGTTGCTCCCGTATCGACCGCCCCGACTGCCAGAGATGTAGACTCGACACTCCCAGCGAAGACGGTGGACGAAGCCAGCGAAAAGAGCAAGGAACAGCAGAGTGAACTCGACACGGCAGCCGCTTACTTCGCCGTCTGCAGAGAGTATGTGCCCGGCGGCATCAATGGCAAGCCTCCAGAGCGTTCGACTCCAGCGGGCGAGGTTCTCATAGCAGAGAGTCCCAGTGTCTACCAGAGCATGTACAGAAGCATCTTCGAACGAGGCAAGACACAGATACCAACCATCGAGGGTGACAAGCGTGACGGCAAGGCAGTCAAGAAGGCCCGCAACGTCTTCTACGTTGTCCTGAGACACGGCCATCTTATGCTCTACGACGACTCGGAGCAAGTCGAAGTGCGACACGTTGTTTCTCTCGCCCATCACGACATTGACGTATATGCTGGTGGAGATCCTGTACCTGAAGGAGATCTTTGGATAAAGCGAAATTGCATCCGCCTGACCAGGAAGCCTCTCGCTGGAGAGACTGCTCCTCCTTCCAAGCCCTTCCACTTCTTCTCTGACAACTGCTCCGAGAAGGAGGATTTCTACCATGCCTTGTTACACACTCAGTCTTCCATCATCACCACTGACCCGCCTCCGCTTCCTCAAAAGTTCGAGACTCCAGACATCATCAAGCTTGTGCAGAATCTACACTCCTCCGATGCAGACGCTCATTCGCGCTGGATCAACGGCATCGTTGGCCGCATCTTCCTTGCCATGTACAAGACTAAAGACATTGAAAACTTCATCCGAGCAAAGATAAACAAAAAGATCTCACGCGTGCCCAAACCGAATTTGATCGCTTCGATTGACATCATGGATATCGACATGGGCGATAGTGCCCCAATCATCAGCAATCCCAGGTTGAAAGAGCTTACAGTGAATGGCGACATGACCATCGAGCTGGATATCAAATACAACGGTGGCTTCAAGATCGAGATGGGCGCGGTGGCACGCATCGAGCTCGGTACCCGTTTCAAGGCTCGCGAAGTCAGTCTCATCATGGCGGGCGAGCTGAAGAAGCTCAGCGGTCATCTCTTGATCCGTATCAAACCTCCGCCGAGCAACCGCATGTGGATGACATTTGAGACCATGCCTCAGATCGAGATGAGTATTCAGCCAATTGTCAGCAGTAGGCAGATCACGTACGGTGTTATCTTACGTGCTATTGAGAGCAGAATCCGAGAAGTCATTGGAGAGACGATCGTCCTGCCCAACTGGGATGACAGTCCGTTCCTGGACACCACCAAGAAAGAATACAGAGGCGGCATATTCGAGCCAACGCCTGCAGACCAAGAGCTCACGGGTACGGAGAAGGCTGCAGAGGCAGACGCCGGCGTGGTCGAGACTGCAGCACACGAACTCACCAACAGTGCGGGTGACGGAGATTCCGAAGATATTGTCATTCCTACCCTGGCTGAAACTGGAGCAAAGACCTTGAGTATGCCGAGTCTTCTTGAGCCAGTACAAAAACTCAACTTTAGAAAAAATGCAAGGAGATCCGCAACCTCGCTCGTAGACACCCTTGAGAGTCCGACCGGCGCATCAACCAGTTCGACTGCTCTGCCTACGCCAGTTCTTACTCCATCGTCGCCACCGATTCGTCCGCGTACGCCGCCAGGAAAGCCTCGCAATATGCGTTCCAACTCCTTTGCTACCGCGGCGACACCCCTGGTTAGTACTGAAGGTTCGAACATTGAAGCGATCAGATCACAAACAAAGAAGAAAGGACAGAAGGATGCGGTCGAGATGGTGAAGGAGGTCAATTCGAAAGCACAATCATCAGCGACGTCCCCAAGAGTACTTCGCGAAAGTGACAACATCTTGCCCATCGACGCAGAGACATTCTCAACCCTTGAAACGCAAGGGGAAGAAGCTCCAGTGGATGCTTCGATTCTGCGCCGAAGTTCTGAGCCTGTAGAGCAGCACTCTATCAAATCAAGAGCTGAACCTCAAGACATCGTCAATGCAGATATTTCGGGAACGACGCCAAAAGCACCTTCGGTAAAATCACTCGATACGTCTGGCCTGTCAGGTTCACCTCCGTCACATCTCAGTACAGCTGCCAACGCAGCGAAGAAGTGGGGCTGGCAAGTTCTGAATAGACAGAATGGGTCTTCGTCATCTATAACGGGAAACTCCTTAGGGTTGAGCAAGCGGTTCTCTGTGTCATCAGCCAGCAGTGGATCCTCTACAGTATCTTTGCCATCCCAACCGCCCGATCCAAATGCCCTTAAGGCGGCACTTCTGGCTCAGCCCATGGGACGTGGAATGCCTTTGCCGCCACCTGGTACTCCTCTTCCTGGACCACAAAGAAGTCTTTGGGCGACGTCAGGCTTGAATATACCTGGCCTCAAGCGCAAGCCTGTGGGAGCACATTCGAGCTCTCAACAACTAGGCAAGGAAGTCGATAAGCCCGAGCAAGCCGAAGAAACAAAACGTCGACAGCCTCCACCATTGCCGGCGAGGCCCAGACCTGCGAGCAGAGAGATCCCTACGTCACAAGCCGAGCAGCATGCGGCTGGTGATCCTGACGTGTTTGTCGTTGCTGCACCTGCGGAGGAGGATAGTATGCCCAACACGCCCACGGTTGAACGATCAGATCACGGCATACCGACGTTTGCAGACGAAGCGCATGTAGCTTCGCAAGTGGAGAGCGTACTGACGAACTCGGGTATCGAGCAGACAGTTCATGACCCAGCAATCTATGAGCCATCAACCGCGACTGAGGTAAAATCTGAGGTAGAGTCGGAGGTCGAGCCCGAGCAGATCGTGCTCCGAGAAGTCGAGCTCAACGACAACACACCACCCGTCCTGGTCAAAACAACAGTCGAGCCTATGGTGCCGGTAAATCATAACGAAAGACACGATACAGAAGATGGAGAGATGGGCGACTCGCTCGAAGCGGCCGATGTGGCAGGTGAGATGAGAGGATCCTTTTAAGCATTCAATTAAACCTTCTCCTCTTCTTACTATGAGTACGAAATAGATACGCTATGAAATTCTTCACGTTACTCCACCCCACGGACACTTCATTCTTTGGCAAAAAGGGCAGCTACTCATGATAACATTCTATTTTAGGCCCAGAAAGGTAAATGGCTTTGTAAGACGACGACTTTGCAGTTTGCAGTTCAAGAAGACGCGAAAGGTACGGTTGGACTGGCTTTTGAATTATGAAACGCTTTCCATGAACACGGCTGACCTCTCGAGGAGGCGTGCGGATTGGAAAAGAAATATGTGTGCTGCGATGACCGAATGGTGTCGAAGTCTGACACGGTCATGTAAAACGGCCAGGCCGGGCTGGGCAACAATGTACAGCTGCGAGCAGAGACGTGGTTGGAGAGCAGAGGAAGAAGAACGCCGTATCGCTGAACCGCAGGAAAAGGGCAAAAACATCATTAACTAGGAAAGGGTATTCTGGAAAGTCGAAAGGTGGATTCATCGTCATGAAGGAAGGGCAGTGGTCGTCTACCAGGCGCTGCGGTCCCAGTTGGGGTCTAGATGTAGCGGTCAGCGCATGTCCATGTAGCAGTAACAAGATCCTAGCACACTCACCCTGGACAAAGCTTCCGAGCACGCGACTTCCAGTCTGTAGAAGAGGGTGTCCAACGACAATCTTGAGAAACCTCTCCAAACCTTTCCTGCGCTCCTCGATGACAGCATCGTCGAACTTGTTGAAGTAGACCTTTCCAGGCAATGGGGGAATGGTGACACGTGCGCTCTCACGCTCGAGGATGTCGCGGAAGTACTCAAAGTCCGAATAACGACGGCGAACACTGCTGTTGCGTAGCTTGAACGAGGGGATGTTTGTGCTCAGACGGATTTCGTAGGTTGTGTAACGCGACGAGGGAGTCAGACCGTGGGTTTGCGGATTGCACACCTTTGAGTGGGCATGTCAGCGGCTGTAGTGGTTGAGGTACATGGGCGCGACTCACCTCAATCTCGAGAAAGTTCTCAGGAGGGCCGTAGATCTCCTCGAAGCTCTGTGATCTCGAGTCGGGCATTGCCTGCATGGTCGAGGCTGTCCTCGAAGAGGGACTGGGCTGGAACTGGTTCATCGTAGAGCGAGGGACTGTGTATGCGCTGGTCGATGGGATGGGCAAGATAGAGGCGCGAAGTCGAAAGAACGGACTCGGATGACAGCAGCAAGTTGGTGGTGGGCAAGGTGGGCAGGGTGGGCAGGGTGGGCAGGGTGGGCAGGTTGGATGGTGCTGGTGTCGCTATCGCATGCCCTAGCCTCAGTACGCCATTGCCCCGCGATTGCTTGGCCGGCCCTAGCGTCTTTCGACCTCTTCGTCATGCAAGCCTCGCTGCACCTTTGTCTCCGGCGTTGCTTCTGCTTTCTCTGCATGCTTGCGCTGATGATGCTCTGCTTCATGTGCTTTCGCGTGCTCGTGGTCTTGCGGCTTTCTATCCTTGTGCTTGTGAATCGCTGCGGGCCCGCTATCTTGACCTTGTAACCCCTAGTCTTTCCGCTGCCTGCGTGTCAGATAATGTCCGGCTGGAGCCAAGCTGAGATAGACCAGGACAGCGCAGGGGATCACAGCGACCGGGCTTCGGTATAATGGTGTAGGCATCAGTAGGGAGTATGTAGATATAGTAGACGATAATAGGGTGCAACCAATGTGTTCTACAGAGCACCGAGAGCAAAGGCCGCAGATTGAGACACCCTGCTCGTGTTTAGTCACGGAAGTCGCGCTGGCCAGAGATCTAAGTCCTGCAAAGGAAAGAACACCTGCCATGCAAATGCTTAATTATACTATTTTTCTATCAGGCATGAAGATGAGGAGATGCTTTTGATCGAACCACGCGCAGATAAGATAAAGCTGCATGGACTTGCGGTAATTCATCGGCATGGAACAAAGACCCCTTCTTGTCTGCCTGCCTGCATGATGTTTCAATCCTCGTTTGCATCAACACAAACGTACATGAGTAACGCTGGGCTCCTGGTGAGTCAAAGCAGTAGATTCGGTATCTGAACCACGTTTGGTCTGTCTGTCTGGACGATCAGATTTGTGGTCGATGGCCATAAACGAGAGGTAGCAGGAGCTAGCAAAAGACCAGTACGTATATCGTGACCAAGGAAAAGCTGATTGCTTTTCACGGTGACTTGGTCGAGATCGACGGCCAAGATGGAAGGTTGAAATTAGGGTGGCTGCATATTAATAGTTGAACAGAAGCGTGAGTTACCTGACTGGAAGGCAAACAGGTGATTGAAACGATGAAATGTACAGACGGGCCGACTGCCACAGCTCGAATACCAAAGATAAGTTTTTAGAAGACAGACATACAAGTCCGTCCTCCATGCTTTCCAGCCATCTTCAATGTTATACTCGACTTGTCATTGGAGATCGTGGCGGAGGTTGTTTGCTCAAAGCAGTTTTGCATGCTTGTGTTTAACCCGTACTCTACATTGAAAATTGCAAGCCGAGCTCTACTTCCGCACAAAAGAAGAGGAACAATCAGGAACTTCACCGAAGTGAAAGTGTTGCTGCGGGAAGACGCGTTCAACAGGACAATTCGAATACCTTCCATTTGTGGCTTCGTCCAGCTGCAATCAAACTCGCATTATTTTCGTGCGCATCGAAGTTCCATCGACTCTTCACTCGGCGACCTACGCAAATCTACTGCATCCCATTAGCTGGCTCTCTCGAACACACGCCGTATCTAGCATCCAAAAACCACACTCCCGTCACGCTGGCGAGCCAAAGTCATTCGGGCCGCCGCGCGCGAGGTAAGTGCAGAGGCCGGTCACCACCTTCCCCTTGAAAGTAGTTAACCGATTTGTGATTCAGCTTGGCAGAGGCGTGCCACACCAACTCTACATAACATCTCTGAACTCCGACTTCCTTTGGGTACTCAAGCAGACCATCTGCTTCTGCACTCTTCCAAACCAAAGCAGGCATACAACCACATCAATGTAGTTAGAGCAGAAGACATTGAAGGCGCAAGGATAGAACAACCCGATCACGAGCCTTACGTCTCATCCACACCTGGACCCTCACCCAAGTCTTCAGGCAGAAGTCTGAGCTCTAGCGAGGCTAGTAGAATGTCTGTCCTAGACTCCGGTTCTGAGGATCAGCGACGTCTCGCCGAGTTGGCAACAGCCAGACTTGAGAGACAGAGCAGAAGAATCATTGATAATGATCCCACCATCCCCATCAGCAAGATCGTAAACCCACAGATAGCACGAAACCATGCCTCTCAACAATACTGGCCGACTTTTGATCATCCAGAGTCCAGTGATGGCGATTCAGCTTCAATGAGTCTCCCATCTAGAACTGACAATAGGCAGCGATCCAGGAGAGAATGTCCTCTGGACGCCCATGCAAAGGTCTTTTTACCCAGCTCGCGTGAGAGCTCTCTATCCCGCAGTCATGAGGTCCCTCGACAAGAATCTGTTCAACTTAGCCTGGACGATGGAGACTTCCAGCTCGTCACCAGCAAGAAGACCAAGCCTTCCTCCAGATCTGTTGGTCTCAACGCCCATGAGGTCAAAGTGGATGACAAGCCGTCGACCATTGCTGCTCCTTTCGACAGACACGAGATCAACGAGGTCTTCGGAAACGATCTTCCTCCTCTTTCCTACTTCCAGAGCAATGTTGGACACGAACATGGCCAAGTCGGATTTGCTATGCATCCTAATGGGGACATCTCGGCACAGCAGTGGTCACAGAACGACTACCAGTGGTATAACATTGGTCAGTTCTCGAATGTTCGCAGACGCACCGAAGGTACTTTGGCCTCCCATCGATTGTACGGTGAGAACGAGTCACATTGTCTTCTTCGACATACTCTGTGTTACTTCCGAGCAGTCTCTAAGCAGCATGAGGCATCGGCTATGAACATACCGTTTGGACTGAAAGAGTTACAGGCTGCAATGCCCAAAGTCCCTATCAGCCGCCCTTCACGTAAAGTTGCAGTGGCCGCTTCTATCGTCGAGACACAGACTAAATCAGAGTCGCTGTCGCGTCTCAGCGAGAACAAGCAACGGCCTGGGAAATCGTCACTCGCACCGGATTGCCAACCTTGGATCCCTAGCTACGCTACCCGTATCCGCAGCAACGACAAGCTACCCATCACTCCCGACGCATCTGCGTCGACCAATTTTCCTTTCGAGCGTGACTTCTTGTCTTCTGCTGTAGACGACAACATCACATCGACCGGGGCATACGACTATTGGTCCCACGGTCTCACGCCTCTCAACAACCTCTCGTTTGGGACTTTCTCTTCGAGCGGAAACAGCGACTCCGTTGGCGACGCATTACAATTTCCCACTTTTGAGCAGTCTGCCCCAGACTACTCTAGCATAAACGAGCACAGTCGTTATCTAAACTCGTTCCTACCAAAGAGCGCGCCGCAAACAATTGTGTCACAACTGCACTCGACGATAGCAACTTCAGACTTCCCCAGCTTCCTCGAGAAGGCACAACCGCAAGTCGCTTCATCAGACCGATCAACCGCACCAATGCCGCGCCATGTCTCGAAGGCGAGTCTGGACAAGATCTTTGATACCGCTGCAGCTCGCAACGCACCTACTGCCACCGGCACTCGGACTGTGCTTCATGATCCTTTCCAGATCCAGCCTCCTCAGATCGCGCACACTGCACCTAGCGTGCCTATGATGCCACCTTATGGCTCGGGCATGAAGCACACTGACCCCTTGTGGTCAAGTATTCCGATCGGCGAAACACCCGCGGGATACATTCGTCAAGCATCGTCTCACACAAGTAATGACGACGACGAGGTCTTTGACCCTCTTGACAGTGTTCCTGACTACACTCCCCAGTCGAAGACCATGGAAACTATCACCATCAATCTCCCATACATGACGACTGAAGAGCTCGCAATGTACTCAAGACCGAGTCCCCAGAACTTCAATGGCCCCTTCTTCATGGGAAGTCCTGACGATCCAAACGATACCAGCAGAGAGAGTCGTGATCAGGAACTTCACAACTGGTTCTTTGGCGGACTCAAGACCGTGGAACGTCAAAACGAGCACTTCCATTCTATCAAGGCAGCACACGACCAGGCACCTGTAGGTGCTCACAAGCCAAAGCCTGGACTCATCGGAAGCCCCTCGTTCTCTGCACACAATGGCAAGCGTCAAGAGCCTATCGGTACTTCTTCCTTCCCTACCATGAACGGCGAGCGTCAAGAGCCTATCGGTACTTCTTCCTTCCCTACCATGAACGGCAAGCGTCAAGAACCCATTGGAAGTCCTCCCGCGCCTTCGGTCAACGGTACACGCGAAGAGTCAGAACCCTTCAATGAAGTCACGACACGCCTGTTTATTTCTGCGCACGAGAGTCTCTCGCAGTATACTCAAGGCCCTATCGAACAGCGCCGCGGTTACCTCGCTCCCTTTGGCGATCCTCCTGAATGGTGTGTTGACAAGAGTGCAAGCGGTACTAACAGCTTCTTCAGCGAGGACTGGGGTCAGCCCCCCGAGCGCATCAGCAGGGACTCGCGTTACAGACCCCTCCCTTCTGAGAACAACTCAGGTGCCTATGATGGACATCGTGGAGCCGGCGTCGGTGGAACGCACTCTGCTTCGAACGGAAAGCCCAGATACAATTCGAGTCTAAAGTGGTGAAGCAGGAGAGCAAGAGACAAGGATGGAGACTTGTGATATCACGCGCATACGACAATGACCGATGACAGACGTTTCCAAGATGCACAGAGAGCATGCAAGAGGCATCAACTGCTGATCAAGGGGGCAGATGATTTCCGCTCTCAGACTTCGATGCATACTCGGGTTCTCCTCTCTTCTACCAAGGTGGCTCACACTGTAGATAGAAAATAACATAAAGACAGTATCGAATGCTTCGATTTCTAGTGTACCTCGGCCAAGTGGATAAGCGTGAGATTTGAGGTGAAAGAAGAAACAGGCGGCGTTGAGTTAAGGTATCTGTACAAGTTGGAAGCCACGTTTGGCCGTCTAGTAGCCCTCCTTGCCCCACTTGTTGTACTTCTCGTGAAGCTCCTGTTCAAGGTATCAGTATTGTCGAACCCACCGTAATCACGTCGTTGCAAACTCACTCTGGGCAGGTTGACATTGGGGACGATGACCTCGTTAAGGGCAGAGGGGGCATCCTTGCGGGCCTTTGAGGTGTCACCGCCGGGGTGGTACTGGTACTTGGCATCACGGCCAGTCTTCCAGGGCTCGGAGTCGGGTGCCTTGCTAACGGCGTTCTCGGATGAGGAGGAGGTGGGGTTACGCGAGAAATGCCAGCCAGCGAGACCGAAAGCACCGGACATGATGGTGAGCAGAATCTACGGGTTGAAGCCTGGTCAGTGACTGATCGTCCGTTCGTTGGCTGACTCGTGGGGACATGGAAAAGAGCAAGAGTAGCCGTAGGGAAGCACTCAGAGCTGCTATCCTTTCGCCATATCTTCCCAAGTATCTCAGAGGGTGTATGGGCAGTGTCGACGTACGTAGAGCTCGGGGTCCTTGCGGGCGCCCTGCTTGAGGGCGTTCTTGCCGGCTTCGCGTTCGGCGGCAGAGGCAGCGGTGTCGGATCCAGCGTTGATGCCAGAGGCACGGAGAGAGCGAGTTGCGCGGAAAGCGCTGCGTCCGATGATTGAGGCCATTGTGAGGGTGTATGTGGTGCGGAAGAGTAGAACGACCAATTCGATGTCGCTTGTCGGTCGACTGAATTGCGAGCTTCCGCTCTATGGCCTGACTCTTGGCGTTCCGCTCCACGCTCTGCGGTCATCATCATCCTCCGTCAGGGTCATCCGCTCGGCAGCACTGTTTGAAATGACTAGCACAATAATGCAGCATCCGGTGGCCGAATCTCGCTCGTACACTGCCAGTGGAGCTTTATCACTCCCATGAATAATCTGTCGCAAGGATCTTGTTTTGTCAGGATCTGATGGTTGCAAAATTCAAAATTGTTTGTCTCTCTTTTCCAAGTCCGGACTTTCTACGCAGCACGAATAATCTCGAGGCTGATACTTCGTGTTCACACGACAGACCTGTGTCAACTTACCACTATCACTTTGTAGACAGCGTCTTTCACATCGAATCATATACCCATTGAAAGCCTCGATAGAAAGCCCGGGTACGTACAGTAGTTGTGTCTGCCGAGGCCTCCACAGAATGGTGGTAAATTAATAGTGTTGATAAAGTTCAGGTGGCACGGACGGGCTTGACTAACTCTCGGCCAGTGCAATTTGGAAACGGCGCGGATCGCGGTCTACCTCGTCGACTTCCTGCAAGCAAACAAGTCACTGTTCTGTTTCCCTTCGGTTCAGAATCTTGTCGCTTTTGTGTGTGCTAGAGGGAATCGTACGCCATCAACAGGCCAATCGACAAAGCCAGGCGATACTTAGGACATGTATTGATCATCGCCGGCGCTTGACGATCATGGCCGACATTGGACTTTCCACTGCCGACGAGGGCCTGAACGGCGACCATCAACATACTGTCCTTACCACCACCGGCCCTGTAGGAGAAGCAGGACTTCCGCCATCTCGACCCACTTCCAACACGCTCAACTCGACTTCTCGCACACGATCTGCCGCTCCCCAGGCTCGCGTCGGCTCTCCCGTACCATCCTTGGCTGGTCGCGGCAGTGGCAGCTATCAGAACGACCCTTCTCGTCGTACTCATGTGCCGAATCTCATATCGAGCGCTTTCCTGCCAACTAGTCCGAGACGTACCGAACCGCAATCTCCACCACCTACCGCTTCCCAGAACCCGCCGCTCCCAATAGCAAGACCAAGCATCGACAGTGGACGCAGAACTCACCGTTCTCGTAATAGCAATGCGTCAATCGTAACTCTGGAACAAAGCAATAGGCCTCGAATTGACCCGGACGCTCCCCCGTTGCCTACCTCTCGAGGAACGGGGACCACGACCTATGATGTCAACCGGGACCTGCAGCCCTTCGGAAGTGCTAAGAGCCAGGAGAGTCAATACCCGTTGAGAAAGCCGCCTATGCTTGACATAGATGGCACTACCAAATCAGTGTCTTCGTTGCAAGCACAGAAGTCGCCCATCTCTCTGCGTCCATCATGGAGCCGCCAAAGTCGTTCGAGCAGGGTTAATGGCCGGAGTGTCGATCGAGATGGCCACGAGAAGCTACCTTCTGTACCGCCTTCACCCGCAACCAACAGAGCTATTCCGGTCCCGTCGGGCTCCCAATTAACTTCTGGAAAGAACTACCAATACTTCAATGGCAATGCCGTCTTCTTTCTGCGTGGCAGACTTATTAATACCCGGCAGCGGCCGCTTAATGTCTTTACTGCTCTTCTTGCGATAATCCCTGCTGCTTTATTCTTTGGCTTTTCGTAAGCATCCACCCGGCACGTCTCCCGTAGTTCGCCAGCTAACATAGTACAGTGCGCCGTGGCTATGGCATCATGTTTCACCAGCGATACCCATCCTTTTTGCCTACGTCTTCTTCATCTGTATCTCTTCTTATCTCCACGCCTCATTTTCCGAACCGGGAGTAAGTTGCTCGCGGCTCCACTTTAAGACATCATGTATTGACCCATTGTTGCAGATCATCCCACGTAATCTCCATCCTCAGCCTCCTCCCCCAGCGGATGAGGATCCTCTAGCTGTTGGGCCATCTACCACAGAATGGGTCACGGTTAGGTCCTTTGCCCCATCTGCAGGTGGTAGCAGCACTACTGCTATGGAGGTTCCCATCAAGTTCTGCAAGTCATGCAACATCTGGCGACCTCCGCGTGCCCACCACTGCCGCATCTGTGACTCGTGTATCGAGACTCAGGATCACCATTGCGTTTGGCTCAACAACTGTGTTGGTCGTCGCAATTACCGTTATTTTCTCACATTCGTCGCATCCGGAACATTCTTAGGCTTATTCCTACTTGCAGCCAGTCTCACGCACATCCTCGTATGGATGAAGAGGAACGACTCCGATTTTGGTCATGCTCTTAATGTTTGGCGTGTCCCAGCTGCCATGTGTGTGTACTCGTTTCTCATTCTGACATATCCTATGAGTCTTTGGGGCTACCATCTCTTCCTCATGGGCAGAGGCGAGACCACAAGAGAATACCTCAATAGTCACAAGTTCCAAAAGAAGGATCGTCACCGACCGTTCAGTCAGCATTCGATCTTGGGAAACTGGTCCAGCGTATTCACAAGACCTCGTCCGCCGACATACATGCGATTCAGACACCGTTACGAAGATGGCGACCAACGCCTTGGAGAGCGAAGGTCCAAGATGGCCAAGCAGTCGGAGAAGGACGGTGATGTGGAGATGGGTGAGATCAAAAGTGGTACTGCCGCCAGTAATGTCGGCGGTTACCAAGGACAAAGAACCCTTACTCCCATCAACAATACCCCTCGAGGATGAAGATACTCATGTTTTTGTCTTTGCTCTGTGTCTGCGGATACTCCTTCAGCGACGATTGTTCACGTTTACTATGCCGGTCCTGTGATATTCCATATTTGCTTTCTTTTCATGGTTGTACATATATATTTAGCCTGTGTCTATACCCCAATCCGCGAATGAACTCAGCTCCAAGACTCCAAGTACCGATTGACATGTCGTTCGAGCCGCAGATGCTGATATTGCTGCACATGCAGAAGCACATGCTGAGCAGCGGGTGTTGCTAAGGGGAGCGGAATGCCACAAAAGACGCGACTGAGACGCGGGAACTTTATCCTCCACTCAGCTCCGATCCGTGCCACAACAAACCGACACCCCATCCCTGAAGACCCCTGCCTGTTGGAGGAAGCCATGTCCATTTGAACTCATCGTCGAACAACAGTCAAGAAGACAGTAGTCTTTGCTGGAAGGTCAGAGCTCTCCGTACGAGGTCGTACATCAATTAGCAACGGGCCTCTCTCGGCGGCGCGTCTCATTCTCGCGTCTCTCCCCACCTTGATTGATTCCAGTCACCACCCATCTCGAAATCAAGTTTGTCGATCAGATACCATGGCAAAGCAAAGGAAGAGCCTCCCTCTTCCAAGACTGTCATCGGGCTCTGCCAGCTCGTCTTCCGCTGCTTCCAATATCGAAGTCGGTGGTAGCGCGCGTGAAGGCTCCCTCTCATCAGCTGCCCTCGCTCTGATGTCCACGCCTCCTACAAGCATCTCTGAGCGTGACCATGTCGGCTCGCTGACCGACAAGGAAGAGCTTGACGCGACAGCGGCAGCAGACTTGACCCGTCGATCCTCACGTCGCAAGTCTGGTCCTGCATCGTATAACCTGGGTGTGCTGTCTGGCGTCCGCCGTACCTCTGCCGCTATCGAAATGGCTCACGAGAAAGCCAACCGGAACTTCTCTGGCGATACCCTTGTCGACGATGCTCCAGGACCTTCTTCCAGCACACCCAATCGCCAGCTACTGAACGAAGGCGTCAAAGCTTTGAACATGGAATGGGAGATGGACAACCTGCCCGGCGATGATGCTGGTGATCTGCCAGACAGAAAGAAGCGCCGACACAGATCGTCAATGGATATGCTCATCGAGACAACCGGCCGCGCCATCGGTAGAGTCAAGAGTGTGCTTGGCAAACGAGAGCGAGAGACAAGTGAGAGCGACAAGACAGGCCGCAGGCAGAGTCGCCGTCTGCTGGCCATTGAAGGTCCCAAGGAAGTAGACGAGGAGGCACAACAGGACGATAACACTGTCGAAGATCAACCCGAGCGTGTTGAAAGGCCCAGCAAGCTTGCACGTATCTCGTCGAGCTTCAGCATTGCTATGCCACAGGTTTTCTCAACCAAGAGTAAGAAGCCGACAAAGCGCTACGAGAAACAAGGACTGTACGCTGGTCAATCCATCACAAGCTATGACGACCAGGCCATTCCTAAGCCTTCGCGGAAGCCCACTGGCAAAGCTCGCCCTCTCTCAACCTCCTTCCTTCCTGACGCTACCAAATCCGAGAAGCGCAGCAGTCTTGTCACACTACCCATGTTCTCCTACCTTGAGAGAGAGAGACCATTCACCATTCCTTACGACGTTTTTGCTCCTGTATATCATCAGCGTGGCGAGGACAAGCCGAAGGATTGGGGCAAGGTCCACAAAAATCGTCTTGTCGGTGACGCCAAAGAGTACTGGAGAAAACCTTACTTTGAAAGGTCTCTGTGCATCTGCACGCCACCAGTTCCTGGAACGTCAGAGCCTGGATGTGGTGAACACTGCCTGAATCGCGCAATGGACTACGAATGTGACTCCAACAACTGTGGCCTGGGAGATTTATGCACAAACCGTGACTTTGCAGGACTCGGAGTCCGTATGGAGCGTGCGAACAAGGCCGACAAGAAGTCAGCTTACTATCTCTTCAATGCAGGAGTTGAGGTCGTCAAGACTCCCGACCGTGGCTTTGGCGTTCGCGCTTGCAGATCCTATGAGCCGAACCAGATCATCACCGAGTACACTGGAGAGATCATCACCCCCAACGAGGCTGGCAGGAGAATCAGAGAAGACTACAAGGACAAAGCAGTAAGTCCTGATGACAAGAGTAAGATTTTGCGTTCGCTAACAACGTCGCAGGACTACTATCAGATGGAGTTTGATCAAGGCATGATTCTTGATGCAACTAAAGGTTCTATCGCTCGCTTTGTCAACCACTCCTGCGAGCCTAACTGCAAGATGCTCAAGCGCTTTGTCGGAGGTCAACCGCGCATGGCATTGTTTGCTGGTGAACGTGGCATCTTGACTGGCGAGGAATTGACATATGACTACAACTTTGAGTAAGTCCAATACCAGCCTGTGCCGGTCTCAATATACTAACGCGAATCTCTAGTCCTTACTCTGTTAAGAACGTTCAGGAGTGCCGTTGTGGTGCCACCAATTGCCGCGGTGTTCTGGGCCCTAGACCGAAGGATGCCAACAAGCCCGTCACCAAGACGGAGAAGGAAGGCATGGCTGCTGGCATGAAGCGCAAAGTCGGCGAGTTCTTTGGGGCCATTCCAGCAGTCGAAGTGGATAAGGAGCTTTTCAAGAAGCGCAAGGTCCCTCAGATGTCCAAGGGTTGGGTTTATGTCGACGACACCATCGAAAAGACCAGAATCGAGGAAGCTCGTAAGGATAAGGAGATTGCACGTCTTCAGAAGGAGGGCATTCTCCCTGCAAATCTCGAAGTCAAGAAGACTATTACCACGACCGCCGTTACCAAGGACAAGAACGGAGCCAGGCGTTTCGTACAGAAGGTCACCACCAGGATGACCGGTCACAAACCCAAAGGCACCCCAGAAGCCACCAAGAAGGTTCAGAAGCTCGGACGACTGTCGTCTGTCAAGAACAAGGCCAGAGAGATATCACGAGCAGACGATGCACAGGTTGGCAGCTCCCATGTGGCCAAGGCAGCTCGTCGCAGCATGGACAACAGAAGCATACCAAAAGGCTCGATGAAAGTCCGACCGGTGACCAAGGATGCAGCCAAGATGGCTCGCACCATGAGAGCAGTCAAGGCGGATGATTGATACAGGAAACAACGGATGGAATTTGGGAAGTGGGTATACCTGGACGGCGTCAAAGAGGGATTTGCAGGACACGCACTTGGGTATTCTTTGTGCCGCATCGAGGCTTGACATGGTTTTTAATCGCACGATTCGCTCTTTTCAGCATCACAATTATTTTTTGATTCTTTCTTCCTGTCTCTCACTCATGAACTCAGCATCCGCCAGATGTCGGAAAGTCCAGACCTTGCCAAGCATCTGCTGAGAGTCGGACGGAGCTTCGGACTTTCGGTCTACCCAATCTTTGATGACATAACGGCAACATTTGGATATACCTAGCAATTATCTCGCACTGCGATCCGACCGTCAAACAAGCGATTCTTTTACGATCCATCTAAAGAGGTATGTCAAATTTGTCTTCCCCGCGAAAGCCTCATTATTCGACGACGAAGCTGGAGAAGAAAGTCATTGCTAACAAGTCGCCGCAATCAGCACCGTGAACGAAACTCTTGCCTCACCACATACACACTCCTCAACATGAGTTCATCACCAGTCAAAGTCCGCTCCCTGGTACGATTAACCCGTCTCGAACATTTTCCAATCGCTCGCCCCAGAATATCAAACTTGCGACAGCTCGATTCGCCGCCGCAGAGAACACCAAGCTAATTCAGCCTATCAATACAGTACCGCAAGCTCTTGCGTCAGGGAAACCAATTTGCCGCATACAACTTCCGCGAGTACGCCGTCCGCCGCACAAAGGATGCTTTCCGTCAGCACGTAGCCGAATCAGACTCGAGTAAAATCCAAGAGCTTTTGTCAAGGGGAAACACAGAGTTGCAGATGTTGAAGGTATGTCTGCAGACAAGATGCGAAGTCGCTGTGTATTGCGTGCTTCACGCAGTGGTAGCAGAATGCAGCAAGAGCGAGGATGAGGGAGGGGTGCAGTTTCTTCTGCGACCACCGCGCGATTGCATACCTGCACTCCACATCTTCTACAATGGTTCGAGTCACGATTGCTGACTTCTGGGTTCCAGAGACAAACCGTCGTCAGCCAGTTCTTCCAGCTAGACAAGCTGGTAGTCGAGGGAGGCAAGACAGGCAAGCAGACCGGCAACAAAGGCGATATCGTCAGACAGACCGAACACGGGTGAGTTCCAACAACCGCTGGAATGATCATACGAGGTAAATGCTGACACTGATACCAGCTGGGATTGAGCTTGTTTCTGTTCGGGAGTAGCGGAAGTGGAGTCACGGGTCATATGCTTTTCTAAAATACCAATCGCCCTGCTGGGCTGAACTGTAAACATACGATACGATCAGTCGAGTCAACATGGTCATTCTACACATATACTGTGTGCCAGAGTTTGTCACATCCACAGTTCTCTCTCAAACAATGGTAGATCAAACCCGACCTGTCGAAATGCACAGTGACTTCCCAGACTGGACGAATTTTTCAATGTGAGTCTATGGAAGATCGCCGAGACAAGGAATCTTGGTGGACCTCGCTGTGATCCTGGAACAAGTTGTGACTCAATTCAGAAGGAGCTAGTTTGTATGTCAGCTCACCGCTTGCTGCTTACCTCTCCATGTGTTAAATGTATATAACGCTTGTAGTTGTCTCAAAGCATAATGATATCCTGAATTGAAACCATGTTTACGGAGATAGATCACCTCTATACAAGCTGGCTTGTTTTGGACAATGGATGTGCCCATCTACGGCCTGTCGCTGCTCTACGATCATCAAGAAGGATGGTAGACGTGACAAACTTTGAAGCCGGGAGGGCAGACTAAGCATGCAGTTACGAGCCGAAGTGTCGCCGGGCGCCGAAACTCCCGGACGTCCAGTCGCGCGTCCTCGGGCCGTAAGAAGACGCGCTGTCATCAACCAAGCTATCAGTCAATAATCACACGCAAGACCGCGTTAATAAGAGTCGATTATCGAAGGCCACAAAGTGACTGTCAAGGGACACGTAGCTGATCTGACGGAAGCGCGCGCGATCTCTGCTCACCACATCCCGGACTAAAGTGTAAAAAAGCACAGTCATGGCTCCTGTACGTGCCTTCCCTTCTCTTGTCGTCCCATTCTTTGCCTTATTCTTCCCGGGTTCGGCGCATTTTGCCTAACCTTTCCTTTCGTTTCACTTTCACTTTCACTTCCAACTACATCCTATCTGCCATGCTTTCTCAATTACCCTCTGTCCCGATTGCATTGCCCGAGTACACACCCATCCAAAAGAATATGAATCTGTTTTCCGAAACCATTGATTACGAGGTTCTCGAAGCCGCATGCATCTTGGTCAACATCAGTCAAAGCATTCACTTGGAAGCGGCGCACAACCAGCCAATTGGTCCCAATTCCCATACTGACATAGATGGCCCAACAGTTCCGCGCTGGAGGCCGCAGCAACCGTTCTGGTCGCTCCCAAGCAGATCATGATGTTTTTGAAGGATTACCTGTCCGCCAATGGCATCACTCGGAAACCATAGTGGGCTTACCACCACCGGCCGAGGTTGCTCAAGGTGGTGATAACGCATGGCCTGAACTTCCTATGCCCCGCGATTCGTCACAGCTAGCTCCTTGGACACAGCAATTACTGCGTGAGGCCAGGAGACCAAGGCTCGCCAAGAGACCTCAGGAACCGACAGAAGACGACAAGCAGGAGGAAGAGGAAGAGGGCGAAGCCGTCCAAACTGGATGGCAGTCGAAGAAATGGAGTCAAGTACCATCTCAACTCGAGAAACCGGAGCGCGAGTTTCTTGCCAAGCGTCGCAAGGGCCTGCCCAGTTTGCACACTCAGATAGCACTCCAAGCTGCAAACGCTGCGGCATCATCAGCACCTACCAGGAAAACCAAAGTCATGAAGTCTGACGCAGACGGCAACACCACTGTTTATGAGGTTCTGGTTGCCGAGGGTCAGACTATCGAGGGCGAAGTCACGGAAGATGCTATCATGGCCGACGCGGCACCGGTGCAAGCGGCCCCTGGCACCGTTATCGAAGGCGTTGGTATCGCCAATGCGGAAGGTGTCATCGTTGCGACCGACCTACTCCAGCAGCAGCAGCCGATGAGACGTAAACCTATTCCCCCTCGCAGAATCAGAAAGGGCGGACCTGGTCGTGGCAAGAAGAAGGTCATGTTCAATCCTAACGACGGCCACAATGCTGCAGCATCTTCAACTCCTGGAGGCATTAGTGTTGCCACACCTTCGACTTTGAACGCAAACGCAGACGACTCAGCAATGGACATTGATTCGAATCCGAAACCAGACGCCAACGATGAAGGAGATGATGAAGATGGTGAAGACGGCGAAGAAGGCGACGAAGACGACGACCGTGAGGATGATGACCGCGGCGAGGACCACGAGGACGGTGAACTCAGTGAAGGAGAAGAGCCCCACGCAGAAGAGGACGAACTCGCTTCGAAACCAGAAACCATGGAATCCACACGCACAGAGCCTCAGGCAGAGGAGCAACTACCACCAAAATCAAAAGATGCTACTGCGCCACTCGCAGAAGAGCTACAAAACACTACGCCTCCAGTCATGGAAGAAATAGCTGCACCGGTTGTGGAGGAGACAGAGCACACAACGCTAGTTCCGATCGCCACAGAAATATCGGAAAATTTCGTGGAGCAAGCTGAGACCCAAGAGCCTGCAATCGCCATTGAGGAACCTGCAATCGCCATTGAGGAACCTGCAATAGCCATTGAGGAACCTGGATTCGCCACTGAGGAGCCTTCGATCGCCATAAATGAAGCCACAGAACCGCCGATTGTGTCAATTACAGAAGAGGTCGTTGTGCCGGAACTACCGCAGCAGAACGAGCCAGAGAGAGAGCCTTCTGAGAAGGACATGATTATGGAAGACGCGCCCAACCAAGAAACCGAAGAATCATAGCGACCTTCAGCAAGGAGAGCCGAACGGCGTTTGTAATTATGTATGATTAATCTGTGCTGAACCGTGTCACTTTCACTCTCCTCTATGATGCTACAGGTGACATTGAGCTGTAGGAAGGCACAGTCGGTTTTCAAACCACCTCATGATAGCTCTCAACCAGACCTGCGCCAAGGCAACCTTCGCGTTCGACTCATCGTCCGTATCGCTTCAAACTTATATCTGTGTCGATAAGACGTCCATCACCGCTACAATCTTATCTCCATCCAGAAAATGTAATGGGCAACATGGACGTCTCATCAAATTCGTCAGACCACGTACTTCTGCCTCAACACAGCAAGCAGCACTTCCAGTTCTTGGACCTACATGGAGAAATCCAAAATATGATCTATGAACACAGCTTTGAGAAAGTACGGTTGAATGACTTCATGGACATAGACTGCGACTTCTGTTTGGATCCTGCAGACCTTGGAATATCTGGCATCGGTGCGGCGCCAGTGGTGTCTTACTCAGCTTGCATCTGTAAGCAGAGGCATCAGAAAAGAGACCATCTCCCTCTTCTACGCGACGAGCGACTTCGACTGGCACTGGGATCCAGAGCACGTATACTCGAGATCGTGTCTACGGCATATCGTGATATCGTGATATCGTTCCACATGGACGATTCAGCTGCTCGCCATCTGTTTGTTCTAGCAGGATCTTTGGGACCTGTTATACTCGAGAATGAAATGGATGACACAGTGCTGGTAGTATCAGCTGGCAATTGATGTGAATCTTCAATCTGGTTCAGAGGTTGTAGTGATGAGATTTTTGACAACAAGTCCAACGTATAAGAACTCACAAATCGTTGCAGATTAGTCATCCTGAACTTATTGAGTCCATAGGCCAGGTTCCTTCCTGTTCAAGGCAATCGGCAGATCGACAGTTACGGCCAAAGTCGGCCGGCGGCCAGCCATCTGCGGGGTATGTATATAATCGCCATAGTCACCTCGACAGCAAGATCGCAGCTTCCCACAACTCAGCATTACACACTTGGACAATTCAATTGATCATGGCAAAAGACAATCCCATTAGCAAGGTAGTCGCCTCCCACCGACCGGACTTGGACACCAAGTATGTCCCCATCTACAAACACTTCCACGCCAACCCAGAGCTCTCCCACCAAGAAAAGGAAACCGCAGCAAAGATTGCCGAACACCTCAAACAAACCTGTCCTGATGTTACTCTGCACACCAGCATTGGCGGACACGGCTTAGCAGGAGTCCTAAAGAATGGGTCTGGCCCCACCGTTCTCCTCCGCGCCGACATTGACGGTCTCCCCGTGCTCGAAAAGACTGGTTTAGAATGGGCAAGCACCAAGAAAATGATTGATCTCGAAGGCGTTGAGAAACCTACTATGCATGCTTGTGGTCATGATATCCATATAACTTCTTTGCTCGCTGCTGCAGAGCTCCTCTACAAGAGCCAAGACACTTGGTCGGGAACTCTAATCTTTTGTTTCCAGCCCGCAGAGGAAAAGGGGCAAGGTGCACAGGCTATGGTGGATGATGGACTTTATGATAAAGTGCCTATTCCTGATGTCGTGTTGGGAGGGCATGTTATGCCTATGAGAGCTGGCACACTGGGCACAAAGAGAGGGTTAATGGCTAGTTCGGCAGACTCGCTTAAGGTTACTTTGCATGGAAAGGGTGGTCATGCTAGTCAGCCGCATAGACTTGTTGATCCAGTGGTCATGGCTGCGAGTACGGTGATGAGGTTGCAGACGATTGTTGCCAGAGAGGTGGATCCGGCTGATACTGCTGTCGTCACTTGTGCTTGCATTATTGCTGGAGATGCGGAAAACGTGGTCGCCGATAACGCGATACTGAAACTTGATCTTAGAGCCGTCAACGCAGAGACGAGAGCGAAGGTCTTGAGCAGTGTCAAGAGGATCGTCACTGCAGAGTCCATGGCCAGTGGCGCCGTCCAGGATCCTACTTTCGAAACGACGCGAAACTTCCCGCTTACGATCAATGACGACGAGGTCACACAGCGTTTGGAAGAGAGCTTCACTGAGCATTTTAAAACGGAAGAGAAGGGATACACGGCTTCTGCAACTAAGCTTGGTGGTAGCGAAGACTTTGGTATATTGGGTGAGTCCTTTGATATACTTCCTCCTCCGAAGCACTGATATGTATACTCTGTCGCGTGAGCTGACCTGATGATACAGCGACCGCGATCAGCAAGCCTTCAAGCTTCTGGACTTATGGCGGCACCGATCCAGAGACCTGGGACAAGGTCGCAGCAGAAGGGCGTCCAGGAGATGTGCCTATCAACCATAGCGCATATTTTGCCCCTGTTATCATGCCGACGCTGCAAGTGGCAGTCGATGCATATGCTGTTGGAGCACTGACATGGTTGTTGAAGAAATGATGAGTTTGTAGAACTAAAAGAGCTTCAATCGGTAGGATGGTCCCATGCCAAGCGGCCAACGAGAAGATCTTTCTGACCGTAGAACTCGCTGGCTACTGTGACAAGCATGTCAATAGTCACACATGTGTTAGTGTCAGGGAACTCTTCTTGTTCCTGCTTTTCCTCTTGAACTTCAGCTTCGGTCTGTAGCTGGCGCTTCTTAGCAGCAATGGCATCCAAGAGTTGGTCTTCAGAGTAGTCCAAGTCCATAGCCGCATCGCCATTCTCATCCCGAGCTGAAGTAATCTCTTCTTGAATCCGAGCTTGCACAGCGGGTTCCACTGGCTTGACCTGTGGCACATCGATTTGAGTGGTATCGGCTTGATCTCCGTCGACAACTTCGCCTTCTTCTTGCTGGGCAGCATTGTCCTCTGGATAGTGGTCGAGGTGTTCGTAATCAGGATCATTCGACCTACCGTGCTTGGCTTTGTGATGCATCATACGTACCCAGATGGCCATCTTTGCCAAATCTCGAACTACGCTGACTTCTCTGGTCTGCAACAAACCGACATCGTCCAGTTTGGCCAGTAAAGACCAGGCCCACAGACCGATGTTTGGCGGAATGTTTGTTTTGCGACAATTCTCTATTTGACCTTCGACAAGCTTCAGTAGGCGAAGGATAGACGGGGAGTCAAGTGAGGCGAGTTGGGCAGGGAGAGGAGTGGTGTGTAGAAGATGGTGCTTCCACTCCTTGTCAGCCATCCTGTTGCCAAAAGGAAGAGAGATTGGGTGCTGGTCGTCTAGACTTTGAACAGCGTGGATAGACGGCGAAGCTCGCAGGTTGTGACGAAGCCTTTCGAAACGAGCTTTGATGGCATCGTAGAAGGCGTCCTGAGCTTTCATGCCTGGCTGGACGGGACCAATGACAGGAGCGGCAAGGGACGGGGCCACATAAGCGCCATCTTCGTACCAGCCCTCTTCGTGTTCGCCTTCCGACTCTTCCTCGTAGTAGCCACCGTAGTCGTCGACATGCTCTTCGTAATCGTCATCATCGCAGTCGACAGGCTGAGGCGGTTTGGGAGGTGGTGCGCTGACGATGTGTGGGATACCGCGTGCTTCAGATCTTGGAGAGTATCAGTAAGGGTTGGATTGTAGAAAGAGCAGAAGAGACATACCTGACCATGCGGAGGTAATCTAGACCATCGTTGGCAGGGCCATAGAACGGCTCCTTGTCGCGCGGGTCCAGACCAGGGAAGGCGCCTACTTGGCCATAGGTGACGTCTGTTTGTGGGCGCTCTCTTTCCTTGAGGGCCTCTTTGGACACAACTGCATGTCTCTGATCGGGTGCCTGGTCGGCCTCGTCGTCGTTGTCGGAGTCGCTGCCATACGAGACTTTCTGTCGTGGGATGGGGGGCGCTGCCTCTCCTTCGATATCATCGTAAGAGACAACCTGGCGTCTCTCACTCGGTGCCGGTCTCCTTGGTTGGGGCGCGTTGTTCTTTCTCTTCTTTTTGGCCATCTTGGTTGGTGTTCTGGGGGATGCGAGTTTCCAATTATTTCTCGGCCACCTTCTCCACAAAGTCGTCATCATCACATGCCATTTCATTCTTACAGAGGGAAACACCGACCGTCAATACCAACCATCCTACAATCTCAGCACATTGAGGGCACTCACGGAATACAACAGCAAATCTTCACAAAAGAGACTGGATATCGCTAGTATTCCTAAAGCTGCTACCACTTGTAATTTTCTAGTATGATTGCGTTGCCTGATGTTTTCCCGACATTTCCTACGACTGGACTTCGCCATTACAGCTCGTCTCTGCCTGTAGCTGTGCCAGCATCGCTCTCTGGCTCTGCAAATACTGTGCTTGCCTCGACACTCTTCTCCTTCTCGATGTCGTCGTTGACATTAACGCTGGCAGGCTGGTCGTTCGCAGCTTCCTGGGCGACTCCACCAGTTTCTTGGTTGGAGCCTTCAGCAATTGTTCCTGCGAAGCTCTCCTCTTCTGCGGGTGCGCGACCGTCGTGAATTTCGTTGCCGTTGGCATCTACCAGTCTGGTACGCGTCTCGTAGCGTGTAGAGAACGAGACTTTGCCCTCGAGCTCCTTGACCTGTTCTTCGTTCAGAAGGTTGCCGGCCTCGTCACGGTATTCAATCTTCTCTTCGCCGTCTACGCGGTTGGTTACCTGCGCCTCGGGCACCTCTTCGTGGGAGAACTGTACAGCGGGAGATGCTGCCGCTGTTGACTGTGCGGCTTGGATCGATCTGTCGTACGTCTTGTACTCCGAGTACTACATTACAAATTAGCATTTTGTATCGCGCTTCGAGTCTCCAGATTACTTACGCTGTCGTAGAAGTTGTTGCAGTCCCAATCCCAGGTGTCGAACAACTTGGCCTTGCTGCAGTCTGCCTTGGTCCAGGCATTTCCGTATGCGACGGGAGAGTACATGTAGAAGATGCTGATGCTGAGCGCCAGGAAGATGGCTGCACCAGCGGTTCCAATGACAGGACGTTGACGAAGACCAAGAGCAGAAACGCGTGCAGTAATGAAGTCGTAAGTCTGAGAGAGGGCGATGATTGCGAAGTAAAGAGCAGGGAAGTAGTGGTGCAGGAAGAGTTGTCTCTGCATGAGGAAGAAAGGAAGCCAGTGGAGAGCCCAGCCCAGAACGCTGGTGCCGACCTCGTAGTCGAAGCGCTTGAAGGGCACGTTGTTGTAGTCCTTGAATCCACGCTGCCATCTCAAGACAGCCAGTGCCTTGAATGCCAGGTACACAACAACCGAGACGGTCGAAGTCCACCAAATGAGAGGGTTACCGATCAGGTAGATTTGACGGTGGTCCTTGCCCCAGAAGTTGATACCACGGCGTAGGATGGGCCACGACTGTGGGCGAGAGTCCCAGGCGTGAGACTCGACGAGTCCAGCATTGGTGGTCCACATGACCTTCTGAAGTTCCCAGAACTTGCCGAAAAAACCTGGGTTGCGGTAATTGACCTTCTCTGCGTCTTCCTTGAGTTGAGGGTGCTCGTTGCTTTCGATGTACCAGATGCTGTTGGGCAAAGTACCGCCCTTGGCGCAGGTAACCTCTTGCTGCTCGAAACCCCAATCGGGAAGCTTGACCTTGTGCGAGAACAACACACAGCCAGTCATGATGTGGACGAGCTTGAACTTGGTCTCGATGGTACGGACACGGCTCTTGGCGGCTTCGCCATCTGACAAGTGCTTGACGATCTCAACCTTGAAAAGATCGTTGGCATCGCCCTCGAATCCTTCGTAGCCGTATGCAGAAACCTCGTTTTGCCAATCGGCGTCTGTGACTGGGGGACGGTGGTCGTGAGAGTGGACGCGGCGGTCAGTGATGACGTGGTAGAGCTTGAGGACAGCGCCATCCTCGATCAGAGTAGGCTCGATGTTGTCCCATGCAAAGGGAGTGAGGATATCGTTGCCATCAAAGTCGACGGGCTGAGTCTGGTTCTCAAGGAGCCAAACATTGTTCTCGTCCTTGTGGGGGTAGAGAGTGATTTGCTGCTGCTTGCTTCCAGTGGGGTACATGTGGGTGTGCGAGTGCAGGTAGCCTCCCTGAGTGTTGTGGTGACGGATTGAGACACGGCTGCCGAAGGCGACATCAGCTGGGACATCCTGCATACCCTTGCTGTTGAGGGTGGACTGGAACTCGGATGACATGAAACCGTCGCCATCACCAGGGTTGACGAGACAGAGGAAGTGGATGGCGAACATGCTCATGTAGAATGAAACAGGGATGACGACCAGGCAGAAGAAACGGGCGAAGAAGTGCTTGAACCACAGACGAGGAGTGATTGTCTTGGTATCGCCCAGGAGGACCCAGAGTTGGAGGAGGGTCAAACTGCCGATCCAGGCGATGGTGAAAAGGCCGACCCACTTGACACTGACGGTAGCTCCAAGAGCAACACCGCTGAAAGCCAGCCAAAACCACCAAGTAGGGGTGAAAGCCTTCGAAGGGCCCTGCTCGTGCTGGTTGGTGAAAGAGGTCCAGCCGAGCACGGTCAAAGCGGTGAAGATGACCAAGGGAGAGTCGAGCAGGATCAGTCTAGACTGCGTGACTAGACCGTTCTCGAAGAGGATCAAGCCGGCGCCCATGGCGGCAGTTGTGGTTTTGCATCCTGAAGCCTTGAGGGTCAAGAACATGATGGGGATTGTAAGGACACCCATGAGGGCAGGGAGAAGGCGCATGGAAACGTATGGGACGGCGGGCTCGATGTAGTCCTTGCCGATGTCTTTGAAGTCGAACTCGCCGTCGAAGCCGGCCAGGTAGCCAGCGAGGGTGATGAGGAGCTTGGCCAATGGAGGGTGGACATCCATGAAGAACTTGCCCTTGATGTACTTGGAAGCGAAGCCACCGAAGCTAGCAGAGGATGATCAGCTTACTGTTGCAGCAAGGGAAACATGTTTGGATTGACATACTGGACCTCATCGAAGACGACACTGGTGGGCTGAGAAATGCGGAACAAGCGAACGAAGAGGGCGACAACAGTGAGGGCACTGCAGGTCAACCAATCTTCGGACTTGAGCGTCGTGACATCGTAGTTGTCAACACCCTCAGAGGCGAAGGACTTTGGCTTGGAGACAGCCTTTGTGTTTGGCTGGCGAGCAGGAGATTTGGCGGCTCGATTGGCCATGGTGGATGGTTGAAAGGACAAAAGGTTGTATTAGAAGTGGATAATTGCGGAAGGTCTTCGCAGCTTCCAAAGGCGTCGCGGGGAAGTCGATAGTTAGACTTCTTGCTCCATACAAACGCTGGGAAGGCGCGATTGAAGAGGTGGAAGAAATGCAAATAGAAGGGAAAGATGCAAGGAAAGAAGAAGCAAGATCAAGGAAAGGGGTGAGAACTGGGGATTGAGCTGAGGATTCGATTCAAGGGGGATCGAAAACCAGTGTAACTAGCTGACGGTTGTCGCGACTGGGGCCACGTACAGCTCCGCCAGGCGCCCTGACGAAAATAGGAGCATCCATTCGGGAAGCTCTGCCTAGCTCCTGATCTGATAAGATATGGGGAGATCCGCTGGCAAAATGATCGTAGAGGTCATAGCGTTCGTCCTCGTGTCCGCCTGCTTGTCGCATGAGAATTGGAGATTATTGAACATATCAACTTGACTGGACAACGCGACTCGTACTCTTTGTGTTTAGTTCGGCATACAAGAGAACTCACACGTTTACCGGCGACTCTACGCGATCAACTTATAGAGACTCGCAAATACGCCAGACGTGTCGAGCTCATCCACAAAATGGCACCCGCGCCGCTGCTGGAGCGAAACGATACTCCAGACAACACCGATTTCAAGCCTCCGCCAGGTGTCATTCTACCGCCAAAGGAATTCCGGACTCTTCTAGAGAAGACTGCCGGCTACATTGTTCGTAATGGTCCAGCTTTCGAAGCACGTATCCGCGACAGCGCCGAAAACAACCCGAAACTTCAATTCGTCCTCCCCGATAATCCATACCATCCTTTCTACCTGTGGCGACTAGAAGAGATCAAGGATGGTAGAGGCACAGATATTGCCGCTGGCCGTGAAGGAGATGTTGCTGCTCCCAAGAAGAAGCAAGGCCCTGCACCCCCACCAGACTTCCACTTCTCGGCGCGCATGCCCAACATCAGCTCTGTCGATCTCGAAGTCATCAAGCTGACCGCTATGTTTGTCGCAAAGAATGGCCGCTCATGGATGACCACTCTGTCACAGCGCGAGGCCAGAAATCCCCAGTTCGATTTCCTTCGGCCACAGCACAGTTTCCATCAGTTCTTTTCGCGTCTAGTGGACCAATATACCGAGATTCTGAACACACAGGGACAACAGCAGCAGGAAGTCATTGCAGAGCTTGAGAAGAACGTCGACAACAAGTATCGTGTCCTCGAGAGTGCAAAGAAGCGTGCCGAGTGGGTCAAGTTCCAGGAAGCACAAAAGGTCAAGAAGGAGGAGGAGCACGAGGCGGAGAAACTCGCATACGCTCAGATTGATTGGCACGACTTTGTGGTCGTGGAGACGATCCTGTTCACCGAAGCAGACGATCAAACAGAACTGCCTCCACCCACATCGTTGAACGACATTCAGTCAGCATCGCTCGAGCAAAAGGCACAGATGAGCATGGCCCCCTCGGGCATGCGTATCGAAGAAGCCATGCCGGGTCAAGAAGCCTACTACCAGCCACCACCTTCTCAGATGCCTGCACCCAGCTCATACTCACCCGCTCCTCCCGCTTTCTCTCCCGCCCAGCAGAACGGATTCGCACCACCACCTCGTACAGCACAAGAGCAAGAAGAAGATGCTCGTATCGCCGAGAGAGCTGCCGAACGCCAACGTGCCGAACAGGCTCAAGCTGCTGCTAGAGGTCAAGGTCCTATGCGCATCCGCAATGACTACGTTCCTCGTGCCCAAGCTCGCAGACAGAATGCCGCCACTGCACTTTGCCCCAACTGCAAACAACAGATTCCGTTCAATGAACTTGAGCAGCACATGAAGAGTAAGTTTCGTAGCCTCTCTTTTTCACGACTCGATGCTGACCTGTATAGTTGAAATGCTTGACCCGAGATGGCGTGAGCAGTCTCGCATTGCTGCTCAGCGCTCAAGTACTACCAACCTGTCTACTGCTGATGTCGCCAACAACCTCAAGCGTCTAGCCTCACAGCGAAGCGATGTCTTTGACCCTGTCACTGGCCAGGCTGTCAGCGATGAGGAAGCTCAGAGACGTAAACGAATCGAACTCAGCAGCTATGACGGCGTGAATTCGTCTCAATCTACTGCGCCTGGTGCTTCGGGGAATCAGTCTACCGATGTACAGGAGCAGGTATGTATACATGGTCCAATTCGAGCTGCTCAAGCTGACCATATCGCAGATTCGCCAATTGCATCAAAAATATGGCCACCAATGATCCCCCTTCGCAATGCGTCTGGCCACGCCGTCCCTTAATAGCTATACGCTCAGCTTAACGAAACAACCATAGTGCTGTCGAGATTCATAAAGTAGTCTCATGCAGTGTATCAATAGCAGTGAGTGAAAGCAGACCGTATGGTGAAGCTGGGGGCAAGAAGACATGCTTAGATACTTAGGATCGCTTGTGGCGTTCTTTCCCTTTAGAGGACATCGACTTCACAAGTTTGTCCTCAAACGCTCCACCAGAAGGCATGTGCTTCCACATGGTACAATGAAAAGAGTCATTAACCCCCGTATTATCAAACACTTTCTCACCGCGCCTGAGACCACATGATAGCGCCGCGACACTCAACCAGCATCACTCCAGAGAAGGTTCGTCTTATTGGCATGCGCTCTTTGTTATTTTCATGCCCTCTATTTAAAAACATTGTTGTCTTGCGTATTCTGTAACGTGCCCAATACCGAGAAGTTTTACAGCCTCCAACACAAAGTTTCGCTCGACTTCTTTCTGCTACACACCCCATCGATTTCCGAGACAACAACAACTACAAAAGTAACCATGGGTCGAGAACAGAAGCGCGGATTCGTAGATTGGATGCACAACACCAACCCCAAGGCACAGAACACGCAAGACCACGCGCTGCAGGAAGCGTCGCAAGAAACCGCACCACGCACATTCTATCCGAACACAACCTCTTTAAGTGTTTACTCTCCAATTCCATCGACGCATCAACACGCTCAACCACCACCCCCTGGTTCACAAGCTTTTGTGGCTAGCCAAGTTTCGTATAAGAGAATCATGGTTTTTAGCCCAAACGGAAGCATTTCTTGCAATGGAGTCTCGGCGCCGCGACTAGGAAGGCCAATATCACAGATCACACACGAGCCGATACCACAGCAACAACAACGTCAACAGCTGGCTTCTAGCCTGACGCCACAAGGTTCTCGGTTTGCTCCTCAGTTCGCTGCCAAGTTGCGCAGTATCTCTGGGCTGACTCAGCAGCATCAGCTTCTTGAACCTATCCAACAGCATCAACAAAGTCAGCAGTACCAAGATTCGCAGCAGTATCAGCAGTATCAGCAGTATTCGTCAAATCAATACCATCAACCTCATCAGCAGCAACACCAACCACCTCGGCAATACCAGCATCGTCAGCCAGGCCAACCTGACCTGGACCACCTTCTTCGCTCGCGTGCCACTTCATCCCAACAAAGCTTTCCTCAAATCAACTCGGTACAAGGCCACGCCGGCCGCAGTCCATCTAGCGAAGCTCGCTATCAACCTTACCCGGCGTCCCGAGCTGGTAGTTCCCAAGGCTCGTTGCTGTTCAATCCACAGAACAAACCGCAAGCTGGGCTACAACATGATAGGGCGGCTTCGTATCCTCGCCCTCATGTCTCTGCACGGAGCGGCCCCGCTGCTACGCCTTGCGCTTTGCAATCCGCGGTTCCAACAAGCTTACCTACTTCTCAAAACCTGCTACAGTCTCAGGTCGGTCACGGTTCATTCCAACCGCAACACCATGTTGTATCGCAGCCTTTACCATCCTGTGGTCTCAAACCGTTCCCGCATTCGCATACATCCGTGCAGGCTCATGTTCGTCACACATCGCAAGAAGTCTCGCCTACTAGCTCGGACACACTGCCCCGGAGTTCGCCATCGTCGCTCCAGGGCCCGGCTCCACCCAATAGTGCAGCACAGCATCAGCCGAATGACGCGCTGCACGCAACAGTGTTTAAATCACAGGCTGTATTGCCTACCGTGACCCAAGCTTCCCTGCCTTCTGCTACCCATGCCCAATTGGCTCATGTGTCAGGTCCATCACCTGCTCAAGTGCCGCCACGCCCCTCATCACATGGCGTGTGGCTTCCAGAGCTACACTTAGTCATATATGCGGCCCTTCCTCTTCAGGCAGCTGATTGTAGTGAAGTCAATCATGACAAGCAGAGAGCGCTTCATGAGAGAGTGCGACGACGTCCCGTAGAGAGGCTGCGTCCGCATGAGTTCTTGGATCACCTTACCATGGATCACAATATATCATACAGACCCAGGATTGCGAAAGTATACGACATTCTCTTCATGCAAGCGCTGCTCTTCCACAAAGACCTTGTCCTGCTCGTCAGTCAAAGAGAGCTGAAGACTCCACGTTGGGAGCCGCCACAAAGCGTCTGGCATGGATACGATGTGTCGACGCTTCCCTCCAAAGTGCCAATCTGGTACCACGTCAGAAAAGCTATCAACCAAGTTACTGATTTCCAACCAAGCGAGGTTGCGCCTTGCGCTGGCTGTGAGCGACACGATTCACCGGTCGATATCGTAAAGACGAACGGCAAGTTGACTCATGGATGGGCTGTCGCTTACGCTTTCGACGTCAAGCCTGAATGTATCAGGAGTACGCTGCTCGTTCACCGTACTGACCTCGTCATCGGGTTCTTCAAGGAACATCAGGTGGAGCATCTCAATATGGATCCTGTTTGGAAGTCCAAATTGCTTGAGGTTTTCAAGTCGAGACGCGAGATTGGCAAGTCCGTCTACAAGTAAGACTCATTCGAGATCAACGAGGTTCATGGGAAGATTTGACGGCTCATTGAGTCGGCGTCCGAATTGTTTTGAGATCAAATGGCGTGTGCGAATTAAGATACCCTGGCTCCTTTTCCTTGCTTTCTAGGATTTTTCAGACTCTACAATGCTAGTTTCCTCGGTATTGCTTTTCTTTTTCTGTTCTTCTTTTTGCTTCTTTGCACGTCGCCAATTTACCCCTGACTTCATCGTGAGCAACAATGCTGGTGAGTACGCTATTAACAACAGTGCTAGTAGTGTGTAAGCCCACCCGTTCCCCATTGCTTTGGTCATGGGAATGATGGCTGCTGATGTTGCTGCTCCCATCTCGCAACGGACAATGTTGTTGGCTGCGGATGCGGTCGCTGGACGTCCTGGGTATACATCAAGCATGACAATGTTCAAGATTTGGAATGCTGCTGTGAGTGCGTATCCCATGACAAAGAGCAGTATGATTGGTCCGGCTAGAGAGACGTGCTTGTCCATCACCCAGCCGTAACCCAAGACGCAGAGTGCACCGATGTAAAATAGGGGGAGAGCAATTTCCAATCGTGCCTTCTCCAAGGGAAACTCTGTCAAGTCCTGCTGCTTATTCTTGACGAACGGGAAACCGTTGAGTTTCGCATGTCTACGGTAGTTCCAATCGACAGCTTTGCCGGTTGTAAATGCTGAGACGATACCTCCGACTCCGAAGGGAATGAACATCAAAGCGACTTGCATGTCATCGAAGCCATAGACACTCCTGAATGCCGTAGATGCGCCCGTGCTGACAGCATAGAAGCAAGAGAGAGTCAATCCAGAAGCGATCAAAATCAGGGCCGATTCCAGATCGGCGAGAACGACGAGTGTAGTCAATGGGTTTGGGAACGTTAGTCGGTAGTTCTTGCGCAGTTCTTCCTGTTTTGCCTCATGTACTTTTAGTCCAGCTTCCTCCCGGTTGGCATGTCTGATCTTGTCCGTCAGATTCCAGTTGAGCTTAGGAGCCGGTATAGAGCCATCGCCGACCACATTTCTGCAGGTCTCCGGGAAGAATAGGAATAGCGGGATGAAGAAAACTCCACCAAAGGCCAATAAGAACCAGAATATGCCATGCCAGTTCCAGTATTGACTGAGTAGTCCTCCTAGAATCGGAGAGAGAGTCGGTCCTAAGATCGAGCTTACGGAGGCAAAGGCGACATAACTACCACGTTCGGCAGATGTGACTATGTCGCCCACGACTCCATTAGCTAATGCGATAGTACCACTGCTACCACCGCTTTGTAAGCAGCGAAGGACCAGTAGCGCCGCAAAGTTGTTTTGGAGAGCAAGGCCAAGGTTTGCAACCAGATAGATGACGAAGCAAGCGATGTAGGCTGGTCTTCTGCCAGCTCCATCACTGAAGCCCGCCGTCAACATGGGAGCCAATCCTTGTACAATCATGTAAGTCGTGACTGTAAGATTCACTTTGGTGGCTGTAATGCCCAGATCGTCTGCGATGGTGTTCAGTGCAGGATAGTAGATCGATCCGCTTAGTGGTGAGAAGAATCCGGCCAAGGATGCCGTGAGGACGATGAACTTCTTCTGAGTCGGGGTGAAGACGGAGTAGACATCGCCATCGTCTGTTGGTTGTTCGATTGTTGAGACGAGATTCTGGTCTGTCTTTTCATGGGATGATGTGGGTACGATTGGAGCGGTGTCCGGGTCTGATGAGACTTTCATGTCATCTTCAAGGGCAGCTCTGTCACTCTGGTCTTGTGATGTGGTCATGTTGGGTGACCGATGGGGTTTGCACTGATCATTGGATAGGGCTGTGGTACGGCTGAGGAGAAGGAGCGTTACAGGTCGCAGTAGGAGAATACCGCAGATGTGCTATAAGGGAGTGTCGCGGGCAAGGCAAAAGAAAAGAAGCAATAGTCTGAGCCGTTTACAGAGTCCAGAGTCGCAACGGGAACAACACACGCGAGCAAGATCGACCGCCTAAAAGCAGCCCGGCAACATTCTTAGATCCCGATAGGGCAGGCGCTCAAGCACCGTGATCTAGTACATGTGCAGTCCCGCTTAATCGCTTAATTGTCCTGATGTTGTTATCGCTGGTAAGAGGCGTCAGAGGACATGCCGATATCCGAATTCTAGCAACGCCGATAATGCACTGTTAGTTGAGCGTTGCTCTCATCTCCTGCGACAACGTCGGACTCGACCAGAACTCGCTTGCACAGGTCAGTCCAGTCACTCCGAAAGGACGCCAGATTGATACTAGGTCGTTTCATATATCAGCTTCTAGCTCCAAAGTTCTGTATGACGCTCAACGGCTGTCTGCCACCGCCACGTACGTATTGGCGAGACCACTCATCGGAACATATGGTTTCACGGATTGAACGCGCCTAATTTGTCCGTGGTATGAAGGCTGTGTCTGAGGTAATCATGGTAATCATGACCTTGAGTGCCCTTTCCAATGTGTTGGAGGTCAGGTTCAGGGTCACACTTTACCTCTGAAGACAGAAACATGAATGTCGTCATGCAGATCTGAAATGGAGAGAACCTAAACCACAACCGAGGGGCCAAGCAAGAGAGCCTTCCTCTACGAGCAGCTTTCCTTCTTCCTAATACACATCAAGCCGCAGTGACTTGATATCAATTTCTACCATTATCTAAAGACCAACAATCGTTACACATCTCACAATGGCCAAAGGAAGCTGTCTCTGCGGTGATGTCAAGTTCGAATACCAAGGCGAGCCTGCAGCAAAGGTAAGGTGGTCTGATATAGATTATTAGAAAGGTTCCCCTGGCTGATCGTTCAAAGGCTGCCTGCCATTGTCTTCCCTGCCGCAAGACATCCGGTACGACCAACTCATATAACTTGATGATCCCCACCGACAAATACAAGATCCTCTCGGGCTCGTTGAGAACATTCACCAGAAAGGGTGACAGTGGCAAGGACGTCACATACAACTACTGCCAAAACTGTCCTACCGTTCTGTTCGTGCAGGTAGAAGCTATGCCTGGTATCAACATTGTCAAGATGGGCACTCTTGACGACGAGGACGCATATGAAGGTCTTGGCAAGCCTGGGATGGAAATCTACACCAAGAACAGACCGTCATGGTGTGACCCTATCCCAGGTGCTAAGCAGAAGGAGAGTTCTTGAATGGGATTCTCCAGAGTTCACATTGGTAGAAGCGACGTAATTGTCTCGACTCGGACAACACTGTTTGGATAGTGGATAGCTTTGGGACTTGTATAATGTTTGACTGACCGAGAGCTTGACCTATCTTGACCATAGTGACCATAGTGACCATAGTGACCATAGTGACCATAGTGACCATAGTGACCATAGTGACCATAGTGACCATAGTGACCATAGTGACCATAGTGACCATAGTGACCATAGTGACCATGTCACGGTGTATGTATCCCGGAGATTAACGTTAAAATGTCAAGAGCACGACAAGATCTCATATGCGATCAGGATTTGGTTCGTTCCATCTCGTGCCGTACATTTCGTGTCGTCGTTTCAAAGTAGGCATGTAGTTCGCAAGGAACAATTTCAGGTCACACTTAGCCTAGCAGATGTGGTTTTGACTGTTGATCAATGCGATTGGTTGTTGAGAACACGGACGGAGACCCCATTGGCGTCAGCCACCTTCAGCTCGGTGCTGACTGCTGGGAAGACAAGAAAGGGTTGAGCAACATCGCGTAGCGAGGGACGGACGACTCTCTTTTCTAACAATAATGCTATGCATGTCCGGAGCTCTACTGAGGGGCTCGTCCGAAGACTATTTGAAGTGTCAGTCGCACATGTGCTTCTGTCACACGCGGTAGGCGTGAGGAAAGCCATGGATTGGACTGGGCTTCATGCATGACAGTTACTTAAGTGCCGCCTGCCGCGTGAGTGAACCACGAGCCTCGCGAATACTCGAGCTTTTACCGACAAGAACCTGTCGCAGACTTGCGGTTCGGGGTTTGGGCTCCCCTTAACGATAGGAGGGAAGCTCAAGCTCTGCAGCAAGAGTTCCTGCCGTGGAGTTTCGACTTGCAACTTGCCAGCGCAGACTTTCAAGCGTCGACGGAAGCGTCCGCGCCGCTAAGAGAACGTACCGCAGGGTTGAATTGCGATATTCAGCCCATGACTGGAGCTCACGAAATACATTACGGAGAGACGGAGATGCTCCCAGAAGCTCGATTTAGTTTGATAGCGCTGCTTTGGACATTTTATCTTGCCGATGAACAAGATTGGTATCCACGTTGATCGCTGTCGGCCACATGGTGTTCGCGTGCGAGCCGCAACCTCTCTTCTCCGCTGGACTCGTGGAAGGAGAGAAGGAAGCTGTTTGTAATTTTGTCAACTCTCGTCGCATGCGGGGCAAGCCTCTAGAGTCAAAGTTGGAGCCAGCCATTCCAGTTTTATCGAATTTTCTCTTGCAAGAGCCAGCTGGGCCGCGGCTTTCCCTCTTCCGGACCTGCAGACACGGGCCGACGGTCACTGACCTCTGTATCGCTCAGGAAATAATCTGTCGAAGTCGAAGGTCCAGTGTCGCAAGTTAAGACGATGTCATGCCAGGATCACCAATGCATGGTGAGGAAAGTCGAGTATCATGTAAGTTGCGCAGCTTTGTGCCACAGCACGTTGGTTGGAAGAGGCTCCTCGACCGGAGAATTGGTACAAGGCAATGCAGGGCAGGTGAAGCCCCTATCGTTCGGGACTTTTGATCGATGTGCTAGGTGGGTGAATCACGAATCAGAGACGATTGAGGATTAGAGCGGCGGGCCGCGATGCGCCGTCGAGAGTAGGGAGCTGTGGCACCCGATTTTGGTCGATCTAGACGCAAAGCACGCTGCGTCGCTCCCATCAGTGCCATGTATAAAGTTTTGGCCATGTCCTCTGATCCGCGCCGCTGGTGACGCACGTTTCTTGTCTCCAACTTATTGTCGCTCTTGTGCTCCTCTCCAACCTCGCCCTCTCTCCTACCTTCCGTCCATTCGTAATCCTCGCATCCGCGGCTGCTCATACGGGCGATCGTACAGCAGCCAATTCTCGAGAGAAAGCCCGTTGGAGCCTTCCCCACGACAGATCTGAAATCTGAATCCTTCAAGCCTGCGCATCATAATTTAGTGGCCTTGGACCGCGGAGCCTCAGCAATGCCGACAATTGAGATTCCGGAACGCGACCACGACGTGTCCCCCATCTCGTCGCCAGCTCTATCGCGCGTCAACAGTCGGACCAGTGCTGTCTCGTCTCTGGACGATTCTCCGATCTCATCGCCAGTCTTCTCCCCAACTCAATTGTCCTCTGGGCTTACGGCCTCAGATACCGCAACGACCACTTCGTTTGAGCACTCGTTTACCGACGCCGATGACTGGTTTGGACGTTTTCGTGAAGACCTAGACATTTCTGATGAGTGTCCCGATCGCGGACAGCTGGCTGTCGCTGGTCAGGTCCCCGTGTACGATGCCAACGGAAACTCGCGACTGTTCAGCACCTTCTTCACAGGTCTGGATGCCATTGGTGACAGGCAATTCATCATCTTCGTGAGACACTTTTACTGCGGTGTAAGTTGAGCCCCATGGGATCCATGGCAAATGCATACTGATTATCACCACAGGCTTGTCAGGCATACATGAAAGCCATTGCCGAAGCCATCACCATGCAGGCATACTACACCATGGCTGTTCCCACAAATATCGTAGTCATTGGTTGCGGCTCGCCATCTATGATTCCATTCTACAAGCAGGAGACTGGCTGTCCTTTCCCCATCTTCGCTGAGCCTTCCCGGAAACTCTACAAGGCTTTGGGCATGCAACTCAGTCTCAACTTGACTGGACCCAAGAGACCAGAATACATGAAAGACGTTCCTTTCACTCAATGGCAAATGCGTCAATGGACGACAATGGCAAAGGCAAAAGGCGCCAAGCGCTTCAAGGGTGGCAATCTGCTCCAAATTGGAGGAGAGTTTCTGTTCCAAGACGGCCAGGTTGTCTGGTGCCATCGCATGAAGAATATGCGTGGCCATGCCGAGGTCTCTATCGTCAAGCGCGTCTTGGAGCTCGAGGACTAGATGATGCACGCCTGACCCGTTAATGCAACTCACCATCACTTGTTCGCTTCAGGCATCGCCTGTTCAAGTCAACAAATTACTACCCCAGACAGACTAAGCCTGGCCAGAAGAACATACCGGGTTTTCTGGCACGCTGGTTTGCACAGATCTCCCAGATTATCATTTCATTTGTCAAGTGTGATTGGACCCATGTCCAACACACATCTTACGAGAACAACGCCTTTTGCAACTTCTTCAGGAGGAAAGAGCCCAAGCTTGATTTCTGTTGGCTGATCGATTTTCTTCCCAGTTCTTCTCTGTTGATATATTTGTTTCCAGAGATACCATAGCTTTGTTTTCTCCACTTTAGATTCTTCTTCACTTACATTATTTCAATCTATTCCATTGCTTCTATCTTGGTTAGAACGTGTTTGTTCTATATTGCTTCTTTTTGGACAAGTTGTGACATCTTTTGTATATTGCTTTATGTATATCATGGCGTGTCTCAGGATTATAGGCAGCTGATCTCACTCCCACTCTCCTTCTCCCACGATTAGAGCAGTGCAACAACGAGCTGTCAAAAGGCACAGTTCCATTCTACACAGATGCTCCTAAGTTTGGAGCCAATGAAAAGATATATCTCCATGATATCGCTACGCAATCTGAGAAAGTACTATACCTTTGGACAGCTATGACGAGTGTGACAGGATCCACTACATGGAGAGGAAATAATTAGCTTTCGTTCCTTCCACTCTCCTAGTGTGCAGATGTCGTATTGTAGCTGTCTCGAGGCACAATACTTTCTAGATTGACAAGCGATGCTGCCGAGATACGTCGTTGGTCGACTCCCTGAATCAAGTGCATCCGTTCGAGAAATGATTGTGCCTTTTTACAGCTCATCGTTGCTCTGCTTCAATCATGGCGGAAGAGCGTGGGAGTGACATAGGGTTGGTAACCCAGGAGGAGTCTGCCCAGCAAAGTCTTACACAGGAGCAGTTGTTTGGAACATAGATTGGTAAGAGAATGCAGGGGTATCATGTCTTCTTGTCAGGCCATCTTGAGCTATTATGCCTGCTCTAATGCTATCTGCTCGTACAGTGGTCTTTTTGCTTTCTTGCGGTCATCAGAAGTCGTCACTGTCTCTTCGCTTCTTTCCTCTGCCGCCGCCAGCTCCTGTGCCGGCCTTTCTTCCTCTACCTGCACCTTTCTTAGGGGCACTTTCCTCGTCCTCAGAGTCATCGCCATTGCCACCCTTTGCTGGGGCGTCTGGGACTCTGCCTACGATGTCTCGGAGGTTGTCGAACTGCTCATCTTGCATGACGGCGGACTTCATGTGCTGGGAAAGGACACGCTTAGAGCCACGTTGCTTTGCGACTCCTGCACTGGCTGAAATTAGGCGGATCATGAAGAGCTCGAGTGCTTTGGCTGTAGAACATGTTAGTGAATGGTGACTGAGAAGAGCAAGAAGGAATGACGTACCCATAACGACCGGAGTGACTTGAGCCACTTTGCCCACATCCTCGTCGGCTTGCATAATGCGCTTTATCCTTGCAGTTGGGAACTTTGTCTTGACTTCGATGCCACCAGTGTCCATCTTCTTCATCGGCGTGGGAGGGGCAGCGCCATTGCCTGTCTCGCTTTTCGGCTTTCTACCACGGCGAGCGGGTGTTGGTGCTACCGCTTGCTGTTCTTCCCATGCAGGCTCCTCCTCCTTGACGTTGCCATTGTCGTAGTTGTAGCTTCCGACCTCGGCGGGCGTGCGCACACCCCTGTTACGGGTCTGGACAGGCATTTCGGGGTATGCAGGATACTGCTGTTGATAGGCGGGTTGTTGACCAAACGCGAACGGCGATGGGTAGGCTTCGGGGAGCAAAGGCTGTTGCAGAGAGGTGTGCGGTAGTGTGTAACCTGGTTGCTGAGGAGGGTATGTCTGCGCAATGTGCTGCTGTGGTAGTGGTTGCTGGTGCTGGTCGAGGCCGAAGCTGTGGTGAACAGACGGATCCTGTGCGTAAGAGTGCTGAGGTTGTTGCAAGCCAGATAGGTCGGGTGATTGAGGAGCGTACAGATCCTGGCCCTGAGAGACTGGTGGATAGGCGGCCAAGTCAGGAGAGCGAGGCGCGTATCCGGAAAGTTCGGGTGATCGGGGGGCGTATGACTGGTCCATGTGAAGATTAATGGCGAGGATTGGGCAACAAGCAAAGCAGCAGCTTGATGTGTTACAGAGCTCCAGCCACAAAGGGCTCACGAGCGATAGCAATTGGTCTGGCAAACAACAAGTGACGACCAGAATTGTTCACAGCTCCGATGCGCTGCTTGCTTGATTGGGAAAAGTGAGGGGCGGGTAGCAATCGATAGGACAGAGAGGTCTTCTTGGCGCGGGGTGAGAGAGAGTAGGAAAATGCGCGAGCCGGGCAGGAGGAGCGCGGTCGCACCTTCTTGTAGCTGAGCTGAAGTCCAAGCCACACTAAAATTATTTCGTTCCTCCCACAACGCGTCGACAACGCGCTTCTGTCAACATTTCTTGCTGTTTAAAACACACAGCAACGAGTGCTCTGCCAGGATTAATAATGTTCAAGCAGTCATTACATGTCTCGTTCTAATATAATACAAGTCTATCCTGCGGCGCAAAGGTGACCCAAGACGTGGTGACGCGCCTTGATGTCACTAACCGTTCTTCTTCATGTGTCCTTCGTATAAGATCCATCCGCCATTCTCCCCTCACCAGCACCCTCCATGGCCCATGTCTCAAACAAACCACATTTCGGATCCTCATCGGGCCAGCCTCTGCTCCTTCGTACGGCCAGCACAGCTTCCCTAACCCGCATCGTACACTCCTCTCGCAAGCGTACAGCCTCTGCTCCATGCATCAGTTGTTCGTCGCGAACCACACCCAACTCGTCACTCTCTGCACCCTGTTGTACTGCATGTTGCTTCAGAGCCGCCCATTTTTCTCTCAAATCTCGGAATGCGTCCCCTGTATCAATCTTATCGCCGAATGTGACAGTAACGTCCTTTCCCGCGCGAGGGATGGGTCGTGGGAAACCGCGACTCTCGTGCATGATAGAGTCAAAGCCTTCGATGAAAATCGGCACGAGGTCCGGTGCTGGCTCTGCCTCCAGGATCAGACGTGAAACACCCCATCTGAAGTAACGCATAGTCTTGTCCTCTTTCTGATGAACCCTTCCTTCGGGGAAGATATGCACCCAGGCGTGTCTTCTTGAAGCATAGGCTGAAGGAGCTGGAAAAGTGTCGAGGCCATCGGTGCTATATGTCAAATGTGCGCCAGAGAACGGATCGGTAATATCGGGAGTCTTCAATGAGAGCGATGCGGCCGTAGCGATAGGAGCGGAGAATGGACCGTGGGATAGGAGACGAATGGCCTGGGTCATGGTAGGCTGGAATGGACCGCCGTGCGGAGAGTGTAACAAGCGATGGCATGGAAGAGTGTTGCCGAGACTGAAGAACAGAGAGGTGAACCTGTACGAGGCTGTTAGAAGCTGCCTCGGGATTGTGGTCTGCAGGCGTACTTGTTCTGGAAGGCCAGGTCGTGGCTGGCAAGACTCCAACGGACATTGTTGGGGTTCCAATGGTAACTGTAAGGCAGGACACCCCATAGGATAGGATCGTCCATACTGTTGATGGCGGTCAGCGCTCCGGTTGGTAGCACTCTCGACTATGTCTGTACGTACGTACACGCTAGTATGGTTTGAAACTGGATGCTGTCAGTATCATGATTGTCGCAAAGCGATTTTGAGGATACATACCAGTTATGAGTCCTCTAGTCCTCCCCTTGACATCTGCGCGCTCATCGAGGAGGCGCATAAAATTGTCGTAGCCATTCACCTCGACCCTGTTCAGGCCAACAAGGAATGTGCGACACAGGAAGCCAGTAGCTCCCGTGATGATCGAGGAGCCTGTTCGCCAGAGGAGCGACGGTTGCTCGGGAAGGTCTGGAGCGGCCATTGCTATCGACGCAGGCTCAGGGCATGACAATAAAGACAAGCAGCGACAGGCAGGGAAGAAACATTATTTAGCGTTCCAAACTTAGTCCAACTTTGACCCACGTGTCGCTGGTCCGTCCTTGGTCCACTCCACATTCTCGCCCATCGCCCATCGCCCTATGACCGCATGCTTTTTCGCTCTCGCTCTCGCTGTCGTTCAACCTCTCCTTCCTCGAACCAAGACCATCATGTCGCATAGTACGTCGACTTTTTGTTGCTCTGTAGTACAAAACTGATAGTCGCCCAAAGGTAAGCACAACACATCGCTCGCCTTTTTCACAGCCCATGAGCGCGCCGAATTGCGCGATCGCTGGGGCTCGCAGTCCACTCGTCTAACCCGCGATTCTTTCCTACCCTTTGGATCATGTCGTCTCTGCTTGCTGCCAGCTCGCGATCCTGTATCATGTCCCTCGCACGGCCATCTGTTCTGCCGAGAGTGTGCGCTCTCGAACCTGCTCGCCCAGAAGAAGGAGATCAAGCGTCTGGACAAGGAATACATTCAGAAAAGGCAGGAAGAGGCTGAATCCGAGGAGATCAAGAGAGAGCAAGAGAAGGAGCGTGCTGTGAAAGACTTCGAGTTGGTTCAACAAGGCCTGAACAGCAAACTTGGCCCAAACGCTGCTGCCAGGCACATCATCGGCCGAGAAGCAGGCAAGGTCATCGTCGAAGAGCAAGATCCAGACAAACAAGGCACAAAGCGCAAGCTCCAGATTGATGAGTACGAGCTCATGCGTCTTGGTGGTCAGAACACCAGATTGAAGAAGGACTCTCAGAATCCCATCGATCAGAAGGCCGCTACATCTTTCTGGATTCCTTCGTTGACTCCCTCAAGTGCGACTGCTGCAACAAAGCCTACCAAATCAAACCCTCAATGTCCAGCTTCGACTGCCGACAAGCCTCACGACTTCACTCTCAAGTTGCTAGTCGCAGTCCACTTCAACGAAGAGAAGGCAGAAGGATCTGACGAGCCTGTACGCTCGTGTCCTTCATGCAAGAAAGCGTTGACCAACTCAACAAAGGCGACGCTGGCCAAGCCGTGCGGTCATGTTCTATGCAAGCCGTGTGCTACTAAATTCATGAAGCCTTCAGAAAAGGACGCCCACGATGCGACAGCAGAAGTTGGGGTGATAAGATGCTACGTCTGCCAGGCCAATGTCACGGAGAAGAAGCGCGAAAAGAAAGAGGGCAAGGAAGAAAAAGAGAAAGTCAGACCGGGTGTCGTAGAGATCAGCTGTGAAGGCACTGGCTTTGCTGGAGGAGGCAACAACATGGTCAAGAAAAAGGGCGTAGCTTTCCAGGTTTAGAGCACACCCATCATCGATGCTCATCATATTGCCTAGCTTCTCGGTGCGCTCACACCATTCGACCCGTTCCGACCACGAAAATAAATCGCGATGCCAAGTCGTGAACGAAACGCCTGAAAATATCGAGGAACTCGAAGAGCGAAGTTTCGACTTCGGAAGTGGGCTTATTGACGAGCAGCAGTAAGTGAGTCAACGATGCGACTCTGATCTGAATACAGCGGATATGTGCATACAAGTTACTCCATCCCAAATGTATGTCAAAACACGAGCTTTTAGGATACCCATTTAAGCATTCGGTGCATTGATAAATTCGGGCTGATCATCCGACAAATGCTCAAATAAACAACGTCATCACTGACAATATTTTGACCCACCTCTCCACGAGATTCCAACCTCAACAGGATACCCTGACAGCAATTTTCTGGCAAATGCTCCCGGGGAACGGCGACATCATAATGTCCCTGAGCGCGCGGTCAAATACAGACGCCTCAGGGTAGGTACCGCCGAGAAGGCTGTTTACTTCTATAGACCGTCCTCGCTCCTCTTCTTTACCGTCTAGTAATGACATTTTGAATCTACACATCAATCACTTCTTACGCGTCACACACCACAAATCAACCCGGAGAACGTCAAAGTCGATACATAAACTCAGGAACTGACACAGCCGTCTACGACCCGATCTCGATGGCTTTTCGAAGACGAGAAGACCAGGCTGGAAGTAATGCAGGCAGTGAACTTAGCCATGGCTCTACGGCTACCAATGGCTCCAGTGGAGATTTGGAACTCAGGATGAAAGATCTGGAAAAGCAGTTTGCGCATCGAAGACCGCAACACCACCGGCGTATCTCAGACGCTGCTCCAGAGGGTACAGACAGAGAAATTACATTGTCAGAGCGATTGAGGCAGTAAGTCTCGTTTTGTGCGCGCCATCTTCTATAAACCTTGCTGACTCGATTCCAGTTTCACATGGGCCTGGTTCACGTTGACCATGAGTACGGGAGGTTTGGCGACCCTACTCTCGGTGCAACCACACAAGTTTACAGGACTCATGACTATTGGCACAATCGTATACATCTTCGATCTGGTACTTTTCGTGATTCTCTGCACGGCCATCACAGCTCGCTTCATCATGTATCCTGGCTCCTTCCACAAATCACTCAAACACCCTTCGGAAGCTCTCTTCTTCCCAACCTTCTGGCTATCTTTGCCGACAATCATCGGGGGCATGAACAACTACGGTGTGGGAAACGTGGGCGACTGGCTTGTCGTAACACTGCGCGTTCTTTTCTGGCTATACTTTGCTTGTACTTTCCTCGTCGCTGTGTGCCAGTACTGGTATCTCTTCATGGCAAAGCAGTTACTCGTCAAATTCATGGCACCCTCTTGGATCCTACCAATCTTCCCCGTCATGCTGACAGGAACACTTGCAAACATCATTGCTAAGAACCAGCCTCCAGAGCAAAGACTTCCCATCATTGTCGCTGGTGTTGCATCTCAAGGACTCGGATGGACGGTCGCAGTCATGATCTATGGCATCATGCTAGTCAGATTATTCCAGTACGGTCTCCCTCCACCACACGCACGACCCGGCATGTTCATCTGTGTTGGCCCTCCTGGGTTCACCATCTTGGCACTGATTGGCATGTCAAACGCATTGCCCGAGGGTTATGGCTACTTTGCTAGCAACCCTACAGCAATACCGGCTCTAAAGGCCATGGCACTCTTCGTGGGTATTTTTATCTGGATGATTGGACTCTGGTGGTTCGCAATCGCCCTTGTTAGTGTGCTCGCTGGCATCAAGAAGATGTCGTTCTCACTTGTCAACTGGGCATTGGTCTTCCCGAATGTCGGTTTCACCATTGCAGTCATCAACATCGGTCAGCAATTAGAAAGCCAGGGTATTCAGTGGGTGGGCAGTATCATGAGCATCTTGATTTTTGTCATGTGGCTCTTCAACCTAGTCACACATGCTAGAGCTGTGTTGACCAAGCGTATAATGATGCCTAATCAAGACGAGGACCAAGGAGAGGAGGAAGAGTACTGAGGTGTCGTGTTTACATGATAGATCACACATTAGCATTTGCATAGCGACGGTCCACATAAAGACATGCATAGATAAAGACAACATGTAGTAGAGTTAATTTGTACTGCCATTGGTCTGCTGTACGGTGATGCCTAATGGTATCACATCCTTACCTCTCGGTGTACTACACTCTGTCACACCCAATTCACTTTCAACGATCAGAGCAGAGCGACAACGAGCTGTAGCAACGCAGAGTCATGTCCTATATCGACACACCTAATACGGGGAGTCGCAGCGAAAATGTGTCTCGGTGCCATTGCTCCAAATTCAGAGAAGTTCATGCATTACATATGCGACAGTCTTTCGCACACGAGGAGGCAATAAATTCGATGAATATCGACAAACCCGACCACATGACAGCAAACATACCGAGGGGGCCCAACACGATGTGAAAAGTATTAGAAGACACCGGAAACTCTGTGAACTAAAGATGTATGGGATAGAGCAGTGACTGAGACCATGATCAAATGGTGTTCGAAATTTGACAGGGTTGTCCTCTCAGCATAACGAATGAGGAAATCAGGAACATAGTTGTGGTACATTAGATATATTCGAGACAATTGTTTATGGCCGATCCGGAGTCTGGTCGATATCAACGCCATCTTCCTGTCTACGCTTCTGCTCTGGCATATGCACTGACGAGGGAGGATCATTCCTCTTCAGGTCAGCCTTCGGTTTTCTCTGCTCTCGCGGCTCCTCGTCCTCATACACTTCGAGGACATCAACCATTGGAAACTCCCGCCTAAGTTCAGAAGCCAGGTATTTAATACCCCACTCCTCACAACTTCGATGACCGACACAAAAGACTTTCATCTTCTTCTCCAATGCAGCGGTAAGCCCGGGCTCTCTTGCCTGACCAGTCAGATAGACTATGCTGTCTCCCTGCTCGATGTCCGAGATCCAGCCTTTTGATAGTGCGGCTTCAGTGACTCTTTGGACTTCCTCGGGGTGGAAAGCATTTATGATGGCAACGACAGTGATGGGCTGTGCCATGTCGTCCTCGTTCTCCACATCTGCACCATGTACAGCGTCCCACTGTCCGAACTCGCGCTTTATGGTGTCAGAAATAGACCCAAGATTTGCAGGCGTACGAAAAGTTGCAACAAGGCCTATTCGACGATCCGGATCGCCTTTATAGCCTTGTATACACACGGCATCTTCTCCGGTATATAGACCGAGTCGCTCAGCCAAGGCTTCATTCCAGCCCGTTGTCAGGACCTCGTCAAAGCCAACATGAGAGCTCATGACGTTTGAGCCTCGAGGAACGCGTTTCCGATCCAAGGTGAATGGTCGGTGAAGGAAAATCAGAGGTGGTGGTGTCCGAGCGGCATACATGGCGGTGAAGACTCCAGCAGTGGGTGTAATGCTACATATTACACGAGCGACCGGAGCCTTGTCCGACGAGTAACGAGGGTTCCTGGGTGCATGGTAAAGCCATGGCACATCCCGAGCTCGTTTGGGAAAGTAAGAGGCGAGGAATTGGCTGGCTTCCAGCACGGTAGGTAGAACTCTGGGCGGCGTGGGTTGAGCTATCAAGGCAGGAAGATGAGGAGTAACCATAGAGGAGGTACTCGGAGTGGGATCCGAAGGTATTAGTGACATGTCTGCATGTGTGTTCAACTGAAATGAACATTTGTGTGATACAAGAGGTATGGAAAACGATGACGTCGACGCAATGGAAGTGCAAGCAAGGCGTTTTTAGTCCACCTTGAAGAGTTTGATTCTCAAGTCGTCTGCTCTCTTCGCGAGAGTCATAAACAGCCATCGAGTAAAGCAAAGCATTCTGTCAGGTTGGACAAGTGCGTTGATTGGCGGCAGCAATAGTTGCCCTAAAGCCGTGATGCGGTCTTGCAGTGGCGATGAACAAGCATTCGGAGCACAAGCCTGTGACTGACTGGCTATGGATACATGTAGCTGAAGCACTCATGCTGTAATCCTGCCGCAATGTGAGCGGAAAGAAGGCAGGTGCGACGGGCAGGAGAATGGATCGCCTAACGATTAGGCTCCATCGACAGGGTCGCCCCTTGGACCCTGAAAATTATGGCGACTTCTTCGTAAAGATTTCGGAGCGCAAATAATGGAAACAATCTTCCTTGGACTTTCTTTCCTCTTTCGTTGCCTGCACAATGCTCAGTGAGCACTTCGCAGCATCCATATCTGCGGCGGCAGTTGCGCCCAAAGCTGCACCCAACAGTGTCAAGGATGTAGGCATTTCCGTCTTCGAAAGCCAACCGCATTCGGGCCAAAGAGCGAGTTTCAAAAAGAGCAATACCACAGCAAATTGTCTGGCCGTCAGCCCATCGCACATCTTCGCCGCGCAAGCCGACAAGGCCGTCGTCAACGTCTACAACCGTGAAAAGGGAAACCAAGAGGCAACGGTGCCATTTCAAGAGAGGATAACATGTCTGGCTTTGGCATGTGAAGACACCGTGCTGGTGCTGGGTTCGCAAACGGGTCGCATCTTTGTCTGGGAGACACACACTGGCCGAGTCGTCATCACGTCGCAAGCTCACCTTCAGCAAGTCACTGCGCTGGTCGTGGACCCGACATCAAACTTCGTCCTGTCTGCCTCGGCCGATGCTTCGATCCACGTCTGGTCGCTTCCCGCTCTGCTTTCCTTCACCAATGCCGCTCTGCAAGGCCAGCACTCTCCGTTACACACCCTCTCAGGCCACCGTGCCGCAATCACTTCTCTTGTCGTTGGTCACAGCGCTGGCTTCTGCAACATTGCTGTCTCTGCGAGCGCCGACCAGTCATGTATTGTCTGGGACTACCACGAGAACCAGTTGTTGCGCACCGTCCTGTTACCTGCCATTCCGCGATGCCTGACTCTGGATCCCGCCGACCGCGCCTTTTACACAGCTTACGATGATGGAAGTGTGCAGGTGGTTGACTTCTACAGCGAAGCCTTTTCTGCCGCAAATCCGGACTCGGTACAGCATCCACTATACGACCAGGCTCAGGCTGCTATGCCTGTTCAACCTCCTCAACAGACTCGCTGGACTCCACCTTCAGCCGACCAAGGTGCTGCTTTGAGTGCTATGCTCAGCTACGACGGAAGCATGCTCATGACGGGACACAGCAATGGAAACGTTCTTGTATGGGATGTCCCTCTTGGCCGCTACTCTTCAACCTTCACCTCAATCCCCATGATGGGCCCCGTCACGAACCTTGTCCCCTTACCCGTTCAAGGCTTCCCCGATACACGCCCTGCTCTCATCAGCCAAGCCGCCATCGTCAAGCCAAAACACGCTGCTTTCGACAAGGCCGACCTTGATGGTGCTATTCCAGGAAACTACAACTTGAGCTTACAATTTTCGCGTCAACTTCCCATGCCCCATATCTCCGCTTCAAAGAAACAAGCCGCCGTCATCGAGTCCGATTTCCTCACTGCCCTTACACATCCAGTGTTTCCCGAGTCGTTGCTTGCCGATTCTCTTGCCGAGCTCGCAAGCTGGAACGGCTCAGCAAAACCTCAGCCTATCGCGCTTAGTGCTGCCGCTCCTGTCGCTTCTACTGCTCAAGTAGAAGTCCCAGCTGCTCAGCAACAAGTCTCGGACTCTGCTGATTTCATGTCACTCGATGCTCCAGAGTCTGCATCTGGACCCACAGTCGAACAGCAAAACGAGGCATTGAGAGCCGAGCTTGCCGCCTTGAAGCGTGTGCAAAGAGCTAGTCTAGTACAGATGGAGTCACTACGGAAAGAAAAGGTCGAGTTGCTTGCAAAGATCAGGCAAGACATTGACGATGACATGGAGGACGAAGTGAACGAAGACGAAAAGAGCGAAAGAGCTTGGGGGAGACTAGCCGCGACAGGCGAGTACCTCGAGAGCGAAGAAGAGTCGGAGTAACATGCATGTAAAGGCATGAATTTTTGTCAATACCCTTGTCTATCAAACACCATATCCGGCGTTCAAACTGGCGTCCAAAGGCATTTCAAAATAGGAAAGGTTGGTTGTTCTATCGTAGAAAGCGTTTACCATTACCATACATCGTTTCCCTCTGTCCTCCTCTCTCGTCTCGTCTCGTCTCATGCTTGTCTGTCTATCTAAGGATCGTTTCCATAATATGCCTCGTATGATCATTCGTCTCCCACCCTCGTCTACTTTGACACTCCAACAACACATTGCCACATCTAACCCTCCCCTGTAACATACGTGACACAGACTCCTCACCCTTCCACACTTCGTCATCCGCTCAAAGCTCCTTCTTCTCAGTCTCAGCAACGTAGGGGTGCTTGATGGTCAAACACCAGATGTCCAGGTAATCGCAGATGGTGACAATAACATCAACGACGAAGCTGCCGTATACACCGATCGCAAGACCCAGGCATGAGAACATAAAGGCAATTTGGTACTGTCCATCGCCCAGAGCGCTGGGCCAACCAAAGCCGATGTGGTCCTGCAAGAAAGGACCCAAGCTGTCGACTACACCAAAGATGAGAGGCAAAACCAGCACGTTGGTCATGGGAAAGCGGGACTTGGTCAAGTGCGTGACAATCATTTGGCCGACGGAGTAAGCGTTGACGATACCAACGAAGAAGACGAAAGGCACGAGGTGCTGGCGAAGAATGACGGGTTGCAAGAAGAGGTAGATGGGGATGACGGTCCAGGTGAGGGCGAAAGGAGCCAGACCGTAGAGAGCAGTGATGGGATTTTCCTTGCGAGCGCGACGAGCAGCCATGACGTTCATGGCGCTCAAGACGGTGTTGAAGATCAAGACAGCGCTACCGTAGACCATGTACCAGTCTACCCACTCCATCTCGTAGATGAATGCAGGCAAGAAATCATAGCGAGGCATGCCGAGGGTTGCAAGCATGGACTGGTGCCAGAAGCTGCCACCGCCGACGTAGCCGGTGAATGCGTAGATGATGCAGAGGGTAACGATACCCTCAACAGGACCCGAGACAATACCAAGGGTCAGAGTGTGGGTGTGATATTCGTCCCAGGTTTGCACGTAAAAGGTCAAGAGAGAGGCAAAGAGGATGAGGATGGTTCTCCAGCCCTGGCCCAAGTTCATGGCGGCTGAGAAGATGAGAACCTCGAGGGAAGTGTTTAGGGCATCAACACCGTGATCGAAAAGCTCGCCGAGAGGACCGCTTTGTCTAGTTCTTCGTCTACATGGGACTGTCAGTCCTAGTAAAGCTTCGATCCGCCTATGAGTTGTGACCTACGCTTGGCTACCATCTACGGCATCAAAAGTCTGATATGTGAAAAGACCAATTGCCCAAGAGTAGTAAACCCATGACGGGCAATCTTGATCCATTCCAGGCGTGTAGTAAAACATCGTCAGCAAGTTCATAATGACAAAGCTGAACCCGCTCAAAGTGATCTGTAGTTTTAGGTCTTAGCATTTCGGTATACATCAATCGAGTCCTCGAATCACGACTCGAGTTGAGCTCAAATCCGAATAATGAAGCTTACGAGATTGGGCCTACAAAACACACATCAGAACCTTCATCTCTCAACTTCAGAGCGTATAGATCGATTTACTCACGCCATGGACATTGGAAAACAATTGATGACGACGTGCGTGTAAAATGGCTTCAACACATAACGCGACAACAAGCTGTGGTCAACACCGGAGTACTTGTACTCCTTGAGCTTTGGAAGCTGGTCTTGACGAATATACACCATGATTGACAGATCTACGATATAATCTTTAGAAGAAAAAGAAGAAGAGTAGCTACGAAAAGATCAGGGACGGGCGACAGCGCGAGAGAGATATCGAGTCTCTCGAGAAAAACGCGCCAAGCAAAAGCACAACGAGGGCGTGCACGATCCTGCTTTCCACTTTCAAGTTCAGACCGCCCTCGTCATAGGTGGAACACGTGCAAATATTGGAAAGCTTCCTGCCCTCTTACTCGAGTACCATCGTCGTATCATCTGCCTGTGGTCTTGCCCAACTGCTGCTTCGAGTTGCTTTCGTCGCTCTAAGCTCACGTCTTCTGTTGTGGCCAGACTGCTCTCGTCGCTGCAATTTAACCCTCTCAAGCCGCCAACCCTGCTCGACGTCTCTTCGAGCTTCATTCGTCATGCATCCATCCCCCTGCTATGCACTGGCATGACTAGCAGCTTCCTGATTGAGATGAACTGATGTGATATCCGTTTAAAGACGTGGCCGATTGAATATCATCCACAAGAAACCGATTCTAGTAAATTCAACGTCGAAACACCGCGTCCATGGAGTGATCAGAAGAGAGGAAGTACACCCGAAGGCAAGATTGACCATGCAAGCGAATAGGATATCAATTGGAACATACTTGATCAAAGCTATCGTGTTGTCCACCTTCGCAAACGAAGCGAAGCTATTTATCACCATCGGCCACCATCATCCGCATGTGACCGCTATTCCCAAACGCCAACATACTTCCTGCTGATCATGGTAGTCTTGGCCAAGAACATGTCTGGACCAAATTCTCCTTTGAATCCTTCAGGAAGGTCAAGTAGCTCATTGATCGAGGTCCAGTACTTGTCCTTTTCGTCGTAGAATTTTTTTGTGGCCTCCCATGAGGTCTTCAAGTTCTTCCATGCTGTACCCCTGGCAAGATACGAAGCGTCGGTAACGAGATCTCCAGATCCGTTGACCCATACTTTGACGTCGCTCCTAGGTCTTTGCGCTGGAGACTCTTCGAGAAGTGGATCCCCGGCTCGCTTCAGGTAGCGCTTGGAACGTGACAACAGCTGCGAAGTCTCCGCTTCTTCATCTCCATCCATATGGGACGCCTCCTCGTCAGACTTGGATTGATGGCGGCGGTTGTGCCTTGCCTTGTGATAACAATTAGCACGATCCTCCTTGTCTTTATCAACCAGCAGAAGTTCTTCGATGTCTTGGTAGTCGTCATGCTCGGCAGCGGCACCAAACCCTGCCGAATGGTCATCGTCTGCACGATTATCATGTTCATCATCAGCGAGCTCATCATCGGTCTCCTGGAAGCCGTCAGAGTTGGCGGCAGTACCAAATGTGGGATCTGCGTGACGGTGACGATGGCGACTTGAGTCGTAGCCTCCGTCCTCTTCGAAGATCGGAGACTTCAATAGCGTGATGGTCTGCTCGATTTAAATGTTGTTGTATGCTTCCTCTAGACAGTGAACTCGGTCAGGAATTTCTCGAACCTGCTCAAGTGCCTCTTCGTGTTCCTTTACCATTGGCTTCATCTTCTCAAAACTCTTTCGAAAGATACGAAGTTTGTCCTGGAGGTTGTCGACGCGACTGGGAGTCTCACGAACGAGATCCACCACTTTGGTGTGTTCGTCCACAATTGGCTTTATACTCTCAATATCTTCTTGCACGTTGTGAAGCCGGGCTTCGAGATCTTTGAAAGGATCGATGACCTCCTGATTACGGCCAAACGCGTTGGAAGCTTCATTCATCGATGACTCAATGGTCCTGAAATCCTCCCGAACGCAGTAGATCTGGTCTTCAAGGTCTTTGATACGACCAGGGACTCCTTGAACGAGATTGTACGCCTCCGCATTCATCTTCACAGTCGACTTCATGTTCATGACATCTTCCTGGATGCTACCGAGCCGTTCCTCAACGAGACCAACACGGGCAGGGACTTGTTGCACCAGAGTGAGTGCGCATTCATGTTCCTCTACGGTTGGCTTGAGGCTCTTGAGCTCTTCTCGCACATTTTCAAGATTGGTTTGGAGTTGGTTGACCAGTGTGGCGTTGTCGTTGGCGAAGGTCCTCAGTTTTGGAAAGTCTTTTTTCGCCTTAGATGCGTCTTTCTTTGACTTGGATACGTTTCTCTTCAATTTGGTGAGTTTGCGGGAGTGTGTTCGGAGGCTTTGGCCAAATCTTCAAGATTGGAGTCTTGTGTCGCCATCTCTTGTTTGACTCTAGTCACGAACTTGACGAAGCATCGCGCCAGTGCGGATTGAGAATCGGTCGGCTTCATGTTGTCAAGCTCGAAAGGGAAGTCTTCAACACTCTTTGGAGATGCATCCAACAGAGATTGTTCATCCATGATGACTTGTCGACTTGATCGGATTGTGAGGCTGTGTGGAAGATGAGAAAAACTCGAGAGCAAAGGGCGAGTCGGAAGGCGGACAAACAAGAAGAAAGGGCAGGAATCAAACGGTGAGGCTGGGATCAAAAGACGAGGGAGAAATTGGAAGCCGGCGACGAGGACGAGGGGAATTTGTTGTAGTTGACGCAGAAGAGGTAATGACTGGCTAACGTGCACAGTCCGTGGTTGTTCAAGAAGGAGCCATCGTGCTCTGTGTTTGTGCGGACGGAAAGACAACACTGATCCCACGACTTACGCACAGCAATGCTTTTCACTTAGGTACTCACTTGTGATTAATTGTTGCTTGCACCCATCGCGTGGAGAATCAATTGATCGTGCTGTCATTTGATCGTCCTGGTGTTCGATCGTTCGGTGACGGCGACTGACAGCTGCTGGAAAGCTTGACGAGACACATCGTTTGCTGAAAACTGGAACGATAAATTGTGCCTGGTTACATGAATGAAGCTGGCCTAGATTGTAAGGTATACAGCGCTTGTGGTAAGATCGATGAACGCTATATGGATGCTGGTACTTCCCAACCAGTAGATGCTGTTGCTCGTCTGTTCTGCTTCTCGGATTCCTATGATCAGACATTCTATGCTACGGGACTCCAGGGCATGGGGACCAAGATTCTGCTCTTCATCGTTTGAATCAGGGGAACAGTCTTGTGCACCGTTTCGCCCCAGCCAGATACGCTCCAGCTCTGCTCTCTGCGTGAGCGTCTCTCCTCGAGGTCGGCGAACTGCCATAGGTGGTGGACGGTGTTGAGGTCTCCGATCTGCACGAACCAAGCTCCCACGCCTTCCATGACCTCTTTTCTGGCACGCAGACCGGTACGCCAGTGTGTCTCCCACTCCAGGAGGTTTCCGGGATGTAGGGTGTATGAACGAAGCTCGAAGACACCACCGAGCTTGCGAGGAGCAGTTGTGGGCCAGAATGAGAACTCTTGCATGAGAGATGTCTTCTTCGAGTTTATCAGCGACTTAAGCTTGCGGTCGAACTCTGCGAAATCAGGGTGGTGCTGGATGGCGTGAAGGGATGCGTGGTAGCCCTCGTAACGTTGGTACTCCCAGATGTGTACTATGCGTCCGTTAGCAGCGTCTCAGAAGGATGTGGCATGCGAGGGGGACACACCAAATGTATCGCAGTCGCCGACTTCAGTTCGCCAACTTCCCACCAGATGAACCTTGTTCTCAGGCATGTTGGCCATTCTGGGGTACCACGTACCGACCAGCTCAACATACTCGTCGACCTTGTCGGGCTTGACGTCGTGGAGGACAATGCTGTGGACGTATTTTCCTCTAGCAAGCACCTGACTGAAACTGCGCTCGATCTCCTTGTCCATCTCACGGCCTTCCTGGGTGCCGTAGAGCAGGTTGGAGAGGCGGCCGCCCTTTTTGCCGTCTTCTATCTGCTCGCGTGCTTCAAGTCCTGTTAGTACGTTTCCTGACACGAGTGCGCAAAGCTCATAGGCATGTGATTTGACTGACTCTCATCTTGCTCACGCTTCTTCTGAGCGGCAGCCAGCTCGTCACGGAACTGCTGGGACTTTTGGTCGAATAGCTGACCCTTGTTGGGCTCGACGTCGGAGAGCGAAGGTGCTCTGTTTGGTGCGGCGGCGACTACGCTCGTCGAGAGAGGACGTGTCAGGTTCGATGTGCCTAACGAGGACAGGCGCGATACGAGACGTCGTGAATACATGGTTGAAGATAAGGGAGTATGATGATGTATATGAAGACGGGGACACTGTGACCAAGCCTGAAGTCTGGTAAATTGCCAATTATGCAGGGTAGATTGTGGTATGAAATGGACGACAAGCAAGACAACCACAGGACGAAGCAAAGAGAGAAGAGAGGTCAGCTCGAGATCCCTGAGCTGAGGGTTCCTCCGCTGATCGACAGCGCAAGCGTGGGGCGGGGTTGTGGAGAAGACCTTGTCGACGGCGGGATCCCGGGAGCTACGACCAGGTACGTTAATAAATCGCGACTCGGCTATCCATCTCGTTCGCGTTCATGTGCTTGTGACCGGAAGACACAAATCATTCCGCCATCTTCCATTGCTCGCCGATGCACTCGATGTGGCAGACCCGTTGTGGCTCAAAGCAAGAACCCACTGTTTGGAGGCCAGTCCACTCAAAATCGTCATGAAAGCCACAATTATTAGCGTATAGATGCGTCATGAGGCCCAAGCTCTATTTCCTTCCCAGTCCCCTTCGGTCACAGGTACGGAACATTTCGTCTGGACTCGATAGCTATAAAATCACAAGACCCCTCTCGTCCCTCACTTTTCCCTCTTTCACTACATCAAATCAAAATCAATCTTCATCATGTACGCCGCCAGACCAATTGCCCGCTCTTCCATCCCCAGAACTCTTCGCTCAGCGAGAGTTCCCCGCAACACCCAAGCTCGTTTCCAGTCCTCGTCCTCTTCAAGCAGCTCATCCACCGGCACAAACTCTCATGTCGTTACTGGTCTTGCCAGCGGTACTGCTGTTGCCGTTGTCGGTTACACCATCTACGCCCTGAGCCCTGCTGGCCGCATGTCCAGAAAGATCAACGGTACCGCCAAGGATGCCTACGTTTACTACAACGATGTCACTTCAAAGATTCAAGCAAACACTCCTGATGCTGATGATGCCATCAACTACGTCAAGGAGTTCGCCTACTCTTACGTTGCCTGGATCCCCGGTGGCCGCAAGTACGTTGACACTGCCTTCAAGGATCTTGACACCCTTCGTCAGAACCACAAGGACGATGTCGACAAGATCATCAGAGAAACATACAGCGAGTTCCAAGAGGTTTCCAAGAACGGTTTTAGCCGCGACAGCTTGACCAAGGCCATGGAGGCCCTCAGCAACCTGTCCCAGAAGATTGGTGCTCTCGCCGCCGACGCTGCCCAAGACCTTATGGACAACCACCCTCAGCTCAAGGAGCAAGTTGGCCCCAGAATCGAGCAGCTCAAGTCCATGGGTGACCAATACGGCCCCGAGGTCAAGCAAGAGGTTGACAGAACCTGGGATCAGGTTAAGGAGGTCATGGCTGGTGGCCTCAGCGTTGCCAACATCAACAAGGCCCGCCAGATCGTCGAGGAGAAGTACGAGAAGGTCAAGCAGCTCGGTGACCAGGCCTGGCAGAAGGGTCTTGACCAGGCCAAGCCTTACTTCGACAAGAACCCCAAGATCAAGGAGCTCATTGAGAACAACGCCGACGCTCTCAAGCAAGGCAACGCCAAGGAGCTATTCGAGAAGGTCAAGAGCGGTGTCGAGTCCGGCAGCACTGGTGACCTCGAGGGGTACGTCAACAAGGCCGTTGAGAAGGCCAAGTCCAAGGGCTCTGAGGTCAGCTCCCAATGGGGCTTCGGTGGATTGGACCAATACCTTAAGATGATCCCCAGCGGCGGTGAGATTCTTCCCAAGCTTCAGCAACTCAAGGAGGTCGCCGAGAAGCACAAGACCGAGGGCGAGAAGCTCTTGAACGAGACCATGGAGGAGCTCAAGAAGGTCTTGGAGAAGCAGTCCAGCAAGGCTCAAGACATCGTCGAGCAGGCCAAGAAGGATGCCAAGTAGACGATTGCCTCTCACGACAGATATTCCCCTTCGACTGTACTATTATAGTTTAACGACCCCTTCTTCAGCATACAGGCAGTAGCGGCCTCTTTAATATTCCAGGCTCAGCAGACCTGCGAGAATAAAAACGCATTACAAGCATTCCACATCCTTTTTTCACACTTGTCAACGTTGAATCTCATTTCGAGCCTACCCAGTATCTGCTCAATGACTATCCAACCTACCGTCCTTGTTAGCCAGATTATACAGAGAATTTGGTCCTACCAGCAGGTAGGAGCGATGCAGGATCTCGGAAGACGGTGAGAAGGTGCCATCAGATAGCACATGACCAGAGCCTCACCAAGCGGTTCAAGCCCCAGCAGGCCCTGAGATACAGCCCGATCATCGTAGTACTTGACTATCTAATGCTATACGCCATGCGACAGAGCAGGGTCAAGGTTAACAGGTGACACAGCTTCGTCTCCTTTCTGGGCAACGAAGATGAATGCTATATTATCACGGGCTCAGTCTGCCTGGTCTTTGAAGAAGATCTTCGAGAGAAATTTCGACGAGAAAGACGCTGGCCAGAAGACGATGCGGATCGGCCGTGGGCGTGGGAGATGGTATCAGCTCGTGATAGCTGCTCGAGCAAGCATGAATACTCTCGGTCGTTGAGCGTAGACTAGCGATCAAGGCCAACGCATAGTGGGTATAACCACGAGATAAGTAGCCTGCTCAATGTATGGATTATATCGATGATATTGCAGAGAACGACCATAGCAAGGGACGGACAGAACCAGTGTCAGGAGCGCGACTTTCATCACGGCGGTCGACACATTGTAAACACAAGGTGATACAGTCAGCCGAGCTTTGCAACCAGACACTAGCAGAAGAAGCCATAGAATCCGCGATGCTTTTCGTCGTCATGCTCGTGTCCAGCTGAATTAGATCTCCATGGCCAATATCAAGAATGGTGATCCCCGATAGTCGGTTCATCTCGAACGGGCGGCATGAAAATCTTTGGATGGAGAGATGAAGACTGAACAAGAGACATAGAAGCGAAGGGCTGAACAAGAGGTCATTGAGTAAACAAGGTTGCCAGCAAACAGCAGATAGATGTTGCATAGAGCGGAGACTATACGCCTCTGGTTGACTATAAGACTCCGAGTAGAGGACTTTCGGATAGATGGATGTTCAAGAGAAACGAGACAATAGTCAAGAAACTAGGTGATATGCCAGCTGCCATTGGCATCGGTAGCTGTCTCTGCGATCAGAACAAGGTCAATACCATTTCGTGATCGTGACCGAAGAGATACAAGAGGCTGGCAAGTAGAGTCGAGCCCGACACCGATCAGAGTCTGGAGCAACAAGACAGAATAACAGGGAGTGACTAGTCAGCTGGACTGCTTCGACTCTTTGCCCATGGAGGATGTCTCGAAGGCTGATCGGAGATGGCAACTCTGCACACCACTATGTAGTGCATGGATCAAGTGACTTGAAAGCAGACGTGTTCAGGAGTAGGAAGGATATACTGACAAATCACGAGCTGGATAAGGTTTCACAAGAGTAACATAAAGGTCGTAATACTGTGCGCATTGAATAAGGGTATTTTTTGCAGAAGAGACTCGTCAAATTGAGATTGAGCTTTTTGAAGGGCGCTGTCATGAGCTGGCACGACACCCGGATACCCGTGACCTGTACCGAACAGCCATTCAGAACGCCGAGGCGGAGCGATAGATTTACTCCTCCTCCTCCTCCTCGTCACCACCAGCCTCCTTGGACTCGGCGGCCTTGGCCTTCTTTCTGCGGACACGACCGGGACGACCGCCACCGAAGGGCGAGGTCAGGGCGAAGTCAATGTGCTTCTGGGCGTCAAGACGAACGACGAACGAAGGGACGTTGACGATCTGCTTGCCGACACGGATGTGACGCTGGCGGATGAGGACACGAGCGTGGTGGATAGACTTGGCGAGGCCGAGCTTGTAGACGCAGGTCTGGAGACGACGCTCAAGGAAATCCTCGACCTTCAAGGCCAAGACGTAATCGAGCTTCATGCGGGACTCGTCAAGAACACCGACACGGACCAGACGGCGAATGAGGGCGTTTCCTTCGAAGAGACGCTTGGGGTCCTTCTCGTCCATGGTCAGGAGCTGACTGCATCGGGGTGTTAGTGAGTGGTCGTGTGATGGTAGTTGCGCAACGTTTGCAGAGGCGTGAAGATTTCTCTTGTCGCGCGCAGAATCAGCAAAACAGAGCAAAGGAGATTCAGACGTACCGAGCAGCACGACGGATCTTGGACAGAGTGAGCTGGACGCGCCAGATCTCACGCTTGTTACGGAGACCGTACTCGCCGACACTCTTCAACTCAGAGTCCCTATTCCAGGGTGTTAACCACGGATTCCATTGACATGAACAGAGCAAGCTCTAGCTCAGTGGCCATTGGACGATACTAACAGACGAGCGGACTCGAAAGGTCTACGGGGGACCTTGTAGGTCTTGGAGTAAGAACGGGGGGCCATGGTTGTCGTCGGTGGGAAGTCTCTCTCGCGCAGAAAGGAAGCGCAAGTGCAGAAGTTCGACAGTGTGAAAAGGCAGCAGTGATCGTGGGGGTCCGTGCGTAGCGTGATCTTGGCAGCCCACGGCCGTCGCGGGCGTCGAAAATCCTCGCTGGCCCTTTGAAGTTTCCCTTTGAAGCCGCGACGACAACTATATCCCGACAACCCCCAGTTCTTCACAAACAACCGTCAAAATGGGTCACGCCGCAGGTCTCAGGTACACAACTCGCCCTCTCATGCGCTCCAACGAGACGCAGTCGCCAACTCGAACGACTCGGACGCTGATGCGGTGAAAAACAGAGCTGGTACCAGATACGCCTTCTCGCGCGACTTCAAGAAGAAGGCAAGCACACCGATCGATTCTCCGAGCCTCTACGAGCACGCCGACTAACACCTCTCAAGGGTCTCATCGCCCTCTCGACCTACCTCAAGCAGTACAAGGTCGGAGACATTGTCGATGTCGTCGCCAACGGTGCCGTCCAGAAGGGGTCAGTCGCCAGCCCTCACATGCCGATCGCCGCAAGAATCCACGCCTCTAACAACCCAACAGTATGCCCTACAAGGTCTACCACGGAAAGACTGGTGTCGTCTACAACGTGACCAAGTCCGCCGTCGGTGTCATCCTCTACCGCCAGGTCGGCAACCGTTACATCGAGAAGCGCATCAACGTCCGCATTGAGCACGTCCGCCACTCCCGCTCGCGCGAGGAGTTCTTGACCCGCGTCAAGACCAACGCCGAGAAGAAGCGCCAGGCCAAGACCGACGGCTCCCACGCCTTCCTCAAGCGCCAGCCCGCCATGCCCCGTGAGGCCCGCACCATCTCCATCAAGGAGGCCAAGCCCGAGACTCTTGCTCCTATCGCCTACGACACTGCCATCTAAGCGTGGAGTTTGATGATGAGCACCCTGGGGCCTCTTTTTTTGCTAGCTGTGGGTGGGGAGTTTTTTTTATGGAATTACCAAAAAATGGCATCGAGTCTTCTGAACACTTCCATACAATCATCCCGGCAGGAGCAAAATGGCATACAAAATGGTCGTGATCTGACTGCATGAGAGGCTTTATTATACCAAAGAGAAAAGTACCTGCCTCGAGCCATGTCGAATTGAGGGCTCTTTTACGAATACCACTCCCCATTCTACGCTACACCATGTTCATTCTTCGTATCTTCAGAAACTGTTTCAATGTGCAGAGAAAATGTCATGTCTCGTTGATCTTTTTAACAAGCAGTGAATATGTTCATGCGAGAACCACTCTGAGCACCTAACTAGGCACCGTTCTTGACGACCTCATCCCACTTTTGGCCAGTCAACATCTCGAAAGCCTCACGGTACTTCTTGGCCGTCTCCTTGACCACTGCATCGGTCATCTCGACACCATCCTTGCCCTTGAGACCCTCCTTGGTAAGCCAGTCACGCAGGTATTGCTGTGCATATCGTAAATTAGTGCATGTGCAAGCCAATATCATATTCATCCAACATACCTTGTCGAAGCTGTCTTGCGACTTGCCAAGCTCGTACTTGTCTGCAGGCCAGAAGCGCGAGCTGTCTGGGGTAAGAACCTCATCCACAAGGATAACTTCGTCAGTGTCGACATCAAGACCGAACTCGAACTTTGTGTCGGCAATGATAATACCACGCTCGGCAGCATAGTCTCTAGCCTTTTGATAATGATTAGTCTGATGCCAATGCAAAACTCCACAAGATACTTACGATTTGGTAGACCTTCAAACTCAGCTCCTCAATCTTCTTTGCGTACTTCTCGCCGACAATCTTGGTGGCTTCTTCAGGGCTGATGTTTTCGTCCTTGTCACCGACTTCTGCCTTGGTGCTGGGGGTCCAGAGAGGCTTCTCGAGCTTCTGGCTTTCTTGCAGACCCTTGGGCATGGCGATACCGTGAACAGTGCTAGTCTTCTTGTACTCTGACCATGCAGATCCAGTAATGTAACCACGGACAATGCTCTCCAAAGGCAGAACCTTCAAGCGACGAACATGCATAGTACGCAGACGAAGCTGGTCACTAACCTCTGCAGGAAGAGATGAAGCCACTGACTCTGGCACTGAAGCACTGAGAAGGTGAGTCTTGAGGTCAGGAATCTTCTCCTTGAACAGGTTGAACCAGTGAGCAGTCATGAGAGTAAGGAGGGCACCCTTTTGAGGGACTCCGTTCTTCATGATGACATCGTAGGCCGAGATGCGGTCTGTGGCGACAAAGAGCAGTGTCTTAGCATCAACCTCGTAGATCTCGCGAACCTTGCCGCTGGCAATCTTCTTCAAGCCATGCTGCTCGACTGTTCAACAAGTCAGACGATAATGTGAGCTTTCCGGATGGTAATCATGCGTACCCTGCGAGTCAATCTGTGTGACAGTTGGAGGGTTTGACATGATGTTGGTTAGATTACCTTCTGAGCACTCTGTCAGCACTTGCACCCCGACTCAATAGCGGATCTAGCCCAGTGTGATGTGTGAGGTGATGATATGAAGTGCAACGGCATCTTACTAAGCTCAAACCATAGCGACATACAGGTCTTGTGCAATTGATAAAATCGCTTGTTATGGCTGCAGTCCTGCATGAGGTAATACATATGAAAATGGATGAAATGAGTGGTCAATTGACTCTTTACTTGGAAGAAAGATACGTGAATGGTGGAAGCAATAGGGGATACAGTTTTGAACAACTTTGACTCAATAGAAATGTACTCACTTGACAGATGATCTTGAAGATGGTTTGACAATGATGTATAACAGATGAAGCTGCTATATTGCTCATTAGTGGAGAAACTTTCTGCTCCGAGAGTCGGAGTGTCTAACGCCAAGGCCTACATCATCGCGGGGCAGGGTTGCCTCTCTCCTCTGCGATACAAAGGCATAGCCGTTTTTAAAGAAGTCCATCATTGAGGTCTTAATTACAAAGATGGGAAGACTTGTTCACTGGTAGACTGCATGAGAGAGCAATGTTTGCGAAGATATGTTACAAATCGTAATGAAACCTTTCCCAGTACTATGAAATCGCAGCTGACCCATTTTTCCTCCATGAAAATCATAAAACGCCCTGTCGCAAGTGGTATCATAGTAACAAGCCTCTCCAGAAAGTCCCGCCCATGTACGATCCTAACTCCATAGACCATTCATCCCGTCTGATCGTGATGTTGGAATGCATATTCAGCACTCGCGAACCCGTTATTGGTGTCTACTAGCGCCAGCCCAGTAGTCCCATTGGTTCGAAGAGGATTCGGTATTACCATCAACTCCTGCGTAAGGGCCCATAGTAGGTCCTGTCGTACTGTGGTACTCTGTGTCACTGTCCCATCTGTTCATGCCCGGCCTCGATGCGTCGTTACTGCCAAATGCACTTGGCTGAGACACTTGCGCTCGACCTCCCATGAGACTCATATCGGCTCCAGGTGCCTCTGACTCTCCATGGTCCGACCTATCTTCAAATGAGCCGTTTCTTATGGGCGAATGCGAAGGCGAGTATGGGTATGGGCGAGCTGATAAACCACTCTGCTGCGCGTTGGACAACAGACCAGCTGTATCAGCATCGTCGACTGTATCCGCCCTAGCTCGCCTTTGGTGTTCAAGCTCCGTTGCGGATGGTACCGTATGAGTTGTGACATTAGGACCAGGTATCGATGTCGCTGGTTCGTCGATGTTGATTTTTGGTGTTGTGTATGAGACGTCGTGGTGTCTATGCCTGCGACGCACGAAGAGCCATCTAAAGCCTCTAGCTGTAGCCTTGATGAGATCCCAGGGATTGAAGGTGTCGCCATAGGCTTTGATTCCCAACCAACCTCCGTGGTACTTGGGTGCAGTTCCTGAGAATCCAGAGCCAGGAGCGGTGACAGGATCTGCGTATGGAGTTTTTGAGAGGTCATACTCGCGCCACGGGAAGGCGAAGAGATGCATCACAGCGAATATGGCCATTTCGACGCACAAGAGCATTGACGGAATGCCTACCTTGATGTCCGGATACGAGATCTTGTTCGTAGGTTGTAAAGGTCCACTGGACGATGATAGGAACGAGATGACAAGCTGCAATCGTTAGTGTCTTTGTATGTGGTCGGTGATTGTCAAAATTTACCGATTGCCAGAAACTGAAGAAAATAACCAACTTGATACACAGGACCTTCAAGAAAGGTCTGTGTTCAGCGAGATCGACTTTCAATTGCAGATAGAATTGGACCAGCATGAACATGGCAACAGTGACCGAGGCACCCTCAATGACCATGACCCAAATGTGAGCAAAAGCTGGATGTAGCGAGGCTTCACAGTAGCGATCCAAGGCCTCCGAGACGACACTGACGATGGTAAATAGCACACGGACCAAGGCGTACTGGAATACTGAGAACCAAACGACCTGAAATTCACAATCAGCATGACGATTGAGAAAGGTTTGCAGAGGTATGAGAGTCGTACGTTGAACCAGGTCAACCCGCTTCTCGGTATGCGCAAGATGCCCTTGTCTTTTCCGCCTGTACACTTTTGCAGTCCGAAAACGCCCCAAAACCAGTTGATGGGCTTTACTTGGCGGAAGTAATCCTTTTGCTCGTGTAGATTTGGAGCGATGTAGTGACAAAGGAGGGTGAAGAACGAGGCGATCGCAAAGGCCTCATAACAGTCGCGCAGAACTTCGAAGTATATCGAGTGCTTGTAGTAGAGGTAGGAGAGGAAGGAGACGGTCGAGTAGATGGGTATCATAAGGAGGATTCGGATGATGCTTATCGAAAGTCAGCACAATTGGAATTGCTAAGCATGTCGCGGTGGAGGGGTGGGTCTGTACTGTTTCTGTTCCCATGGCTTCGAATAATGTGTCGCGTGCTTCACGACCAGAAAGAAGGATATGATGACTGAGATGAGGGCGAAGACAGCCGACACGACAAGACCGACATGATGGAAGGTGACCTTTGCGAACAGAGGGTCCTCGACGACTGCGTGAGTGGTAAGTGGCTATACAAGGACTGGAGGATCTGGCAAACATACTTGTCTGTTCTTCAGACGTTGTATTACAGCTCACCATAACGCACTTCTAGCTCGGGGGTGGAATTCTGTACAATGTTTTGCAGCCCGCGTCCAGTGTAGGGATCAAGGTGTCGGCGCGGCATGCGCTTGCGTCAGATGTAAATGAGAGAAAGCCAAACACTCGTCGTACAAGATCAGAAGCCTACAAGCTTCTTTGTCTCCCTGGGCGCAGTCCTTTGTCTGATGGTCAAAGTTAGATGCTCCTGCGACAAGGTTACGAGTACGAATTGTTTCTACAGAAGGAGCGGCAGGCTGTGCACGAGCATGCACCAACCGCGCTGACGTGGTTTCCGATCCTCGCGCGCGCGTCGAGAAGGGGCAAGAGGGGTGAATCTTCCCCTGCCAAGCTCGTTTCATGAAGTGCTTCGCCAACTAAGCCCTGTGTGAGCCCTGCATCATGCCATGCATCAGGCCTCCTGCAACGTAATTTAAACCAGCTTCTGACCGCTACTAACAGGCTCGTTCGTCTCTCCGGCTAGGGGACAACCCGAGAGCTCCTATTCAGACATCACACGCACAGTTCGACAGTTCGTTGAGATCAATATATTTCATTCAAAAGGACTTCATGTAACTAGAGATATTCCCATCCTTGGACCAAACGCCATCCCGCGGCCAGACAAAAATCAGAGACTACCGATCAATGATCAATGAGCAACGACGGGCTCGGGGTGCTGGTAGAGAGGCACGCCAGGAGCGACACCAACGCGCTCCTTTGCAAGCAAGTCAACGAGCAGAGGACTGGGACGGTTGGTCTTGTTGGGGTGAAGAGAAGACTGGGTCTTCTTGTACTGAGAGACACTGTTGACGTAGGCGTCGAACAGGTAGCTGGAGTCGAGCGGACCACCCTTGGCCTCAGGGTGGAACTGAGTGCTGAAGATGGGACGGTGCTTGTGAATCATACCCTCATTGGACGAGTCGTTGAGGTTGATGAAGTACTCCTTGAACTCGCTGGGGATGGTAGTGGCATCAACAGCGTATCCGTGGTTCTGAGAAGTGATGTGGCACTTTCCAGTCATCAAGTCGAGAGCAGGAATGTTGTGAGCACGGTTACCGTACTTCATCTTGATGGTGTTGGCACCGATAGCCATGGCCAAAAGCTGGTGACCAAGACAGATACCCATGATGGGAATCTGAGAGCTGTCCATAAGCTTGCGGAGGTTGTCGCTGGTAGTGCGGCAGTGAGTTGGGTCACCAGGACCGTTGGAGATGAAGACACCATCAAAGTGGCTGGCAATCTTGTGAACAGGGTAGTCGTAAGGAAGGCAGGTGACCGAAACACCGCGAGCGACGAGACTGCGCAGGATGTTCTCCTTGACACCACAGTCGATAAGAGCGACGTGCATGTCACCAACGGGAGAAGGAATGTGCCAGGGGGCTTTTGTGCTAACCTTGGCAACCAAGTTAACGTTGCCGGGGTCCTCGAAAGCCTCGTCCTCGTCAGCATCGTATTCTTCACCGACGACAACTTTGCCGAGCGAAGAACCCTGCTCACGGAGGTGAGTGACAATGGCACGAGTGTCAACACCTGAGATGGCGGGAACTCCCTCTCTGGCGCACCACTCGCTCAAACTCTCAACAGCGGTCCAGTGGCTGTACTGTAGAGCGGCATCGGCGACGACAATACCAGCGGCTTGAATGTTAGGCGACTCAAAGTACTTGAGCAGGCCGTACTCGTCTCTAACAGACGAAGGAACACCGTAGTTGCCGATCAGGGGCTGGGTGAAGACTAGAATTTGGCCACGGTATGAAGGATCGGTCATAGACTCGGGGTAGCCGACCAGGGAAGTGGTGAAGACGGCCTCACCACTGATGTTAGTCTTAGCACCGAAACTCTTTCCGTGGAAGATAGGACCATCCTGTCGTAAACTTTCAGCAATTGACTCTCAATGTTCAAAGGTTCATGTTTGCGTACTCTGATAGTGAAGGTGGCACGTTCGTATGAAGGCGCAGTAGATCTGCGGTTCTGGAGAGGAGCAGCACGCTGGCTTCCAGAGACGACCGAAGCGTTTCCTCTAACTTGCATGCCGAGTCTGGAGACTCTGGCAAAGGCTGAGGCGGGACGCATGCCTGCGGACTTGCAGAGGCTGGGAATCATTTTGATTGTGGTGTAGATGGTTGTAATTTGTTGATAGTGTAATCGGTAGATTGATCGGTTGTGTGTGCGAATTCTTAGTTCACGTTGGCCTTCCAGAGATGGTCGCTAATGTAGTCTGGCAGACTGTTAGCCACTGTCGAGGAGCCGAGTTTGCATCGTGTCGTGTACCTTGAGAGGTGTAGGTGGTGGGCGCAGTACGCATAAGGGCGAATATCAGCCCGCTAACAGGCAGTCCGGGTGGATTGATGGGGGTTGGAGGAGTTGTAGATGGAGAAGGGAATCTGTAGGCCGGAGGTTGGGTAAAAAGCACAAAGCCCAAGCTCGCCCACCCACCCGCCGATTGTCGGCGCGCCGTGGAGTCATTCTGTGAAAAAAACGGCCAAGCTCTCCCATTGGCCTACAACCGACTTGCTTATCATTGTTATCGACCATCGTCATCTCAGCATATCTTTATCTTTATCTTTGCTTTCCTGCCATCGCTGCAGCATCGTCTTGATCGTATCCGTGACCTCCGCCGCGTGACCCAAGGCATCACGTATATGTTTGCTGAAGCCTTCTTTCGGTCCCCTTGGTCCCCTCGTACTCGGGGCCAGTTTCCCCAGCTTGTCTGGCGAGCATGGTCAGCCAGCGCGTAGTCGGTCCTTCCATTGCGATCATCTCTACCGACTCAAGACCACAATTCGGACAGCCGGCATAAGCTCTTCATCGAAAGCATCGACTCTCTTATGAAATGTATCATCATTATCAACACAAGCTAAGACTTTGCCCATGGCTCTCTTGCAGAATCGACGCCTATTCTCAAGCCATAGGACAAACATGACCTCATTACGTGTCAAGTCGCCCTGCTCCCGAAGCTGTACTTGAGCAAATGAATGCAAGAAGCTGCAGCAATGCACAATGACCTTCCGACTAGAGTAATTGTTTCGCTGTCCGAACCCGCTCGTTGCCAGACAACAGTCTTTGTCACACATAGATTTCCTGAAGCCGAGTATCCCAAGCTGCCCCCGCCAGTACCTCTAAGGAAGTCAACCATCAGTTGATGCAGTGTCGGCATTCTCCAGGTCAAGTATACTCAGGGGTGTGCAGACGACTGCATACTGTGACAATAACATCGTCTGCAGTAAGCATTTGGTTGAATATCTGAGGTCAGGCTCATGCTTGTTTTCCGAATGATATGGTCGTGAGCTTCAGACTTCCGCCAGGCTCCTTAGTAACCCGCTTCAGAACTCGGACCGTATCGATCGAGAGAGACTCTGTGGGCCCCGCTTGAATGGTCGCATGGTCTTTCGCATTGACTTTCGCAGTCTTCCACGTTATGTGCCGTGCTTCAGTCATGAGGCTTGCATAACAGCGAAGGTAACCACGCCTAAGGACTTGAATTCTACAGTACAATTTGGCAAAGCTGAGTACACAGACGTCTAAATCTTTCTCAGTAATGCCATGCGATAGGCTTCCTGTTTTGATGCTGATCACACACCAAGGAAAACAGTTATGTCGATCGTAGGTCTCGGCCCGAGATAGACACTATCCGATGTCTGACCTCACGGCATATTGGGCAATATTTCCTATATGCCGAGCAGTTCATGCTCATACACTACGTAAGGCACCGGGTTATTATCCGGGCTCTGAAGGTATAAACCAGAACACCCTCGCTGCCGGCCTTTTAAGACCACACCGCTCTGCAAGATGTATCACACTCTAGCCTTCACTGGAGCTTGTCTGTCAGCGGCTCTGGTCGCTGCATCGCCTCTGACCTCTGCCTCCAACAGTCCCTCGAACGAAAGTGCGATTCCCGACTTCACATTCCCTCCTCAGAATTTGACCAATTACGGCAACAACTCTCTCTTTGCACAATGGAGAACCAAAGCAAGATTCAGGCCATCCTCAAACCACATTGGAGACCCGACAGCTTTCTGGCAAGATGAAGAGGGAGTGTTCCACGTCTCTGGTCTCTTCTCATATCTACGTGGACCAAACATCTCAATCACCTCCAGTATTGGCTCAGCCCTGACCTCGGATTTTCTCAACTTCACTGATGTTCACGATTATAAGAATGCATCCCTATTCACCAATAGCATCTCGATTGGACCCGGAAATAATAATGACCCGCTGGCTGTCTTTGACGGGTCGGTAATCCCGAAAGGATACAAGGGAAGAGTCAGTTTGATCTACACTGGGGTGCACTTCCTACCAATCTCATGGAGCAAGCCTTACACCGAGGGCAGCGAAGTGCAGACTCTAGCCTACTCAGAAGATAACGGTGCTACATGGATCAAGCCAGATATTGAACCTGTCATTCCCGGCCCACCTGAAGGATTCAATGTGACCGGCTTCCGCGACCCATGGGTGTTCCAGGCACCTCAATTTGCCAAGCTTCTCAACGATACGCCTGAAACCTGGTACCTCACCGTCAGTAGTGGTATCCGACAAGTTGGACCTCGTCTGCTGCTGTACAGACAGAACGACACAGACTTCACCAGCTGGGAGTTCCTTGGCCCCTCGGTCTCTACTCCTGTGAACACTACGTTCAGCACTGGTAACTTTTCTGGCAATGACGGATCCAACTATGAGACATCAAACACACTTTTCCTCGACGAGGACGGCGAGAATCTCGAGGATGGTGTCAACTTTGTCACCATGGGTGCCGAGTCGGGCAGAGAAACACACAGCTTCCACTACTCTCTCTGGAAGATGGGCAAGTTTGTCCGCAACCCTCTGAACGAGAGTGTTATGCTCGAGGACCATGCCACCGGTGTCATTGATTGGGGTATTGGATACGCTTGCACTACTATGCCTGACTACAAGACCAATCGCCGTCTTGCCTTCTGCTGGAGCAACGACGACTTCAACTCGACCATCTCCGAGCAAGTTGGGTACAGAATTGGCTCTGGTGGTGTCTACAGCATTCCTCGTGAGCTTTACTACAAGGAGATTGAAGGTGTCGTTGCCGATGACCTTGCAGCTGAGAATGGCTACTGGTCTGTTGCAACGGAGTACTTGAACACTACTCTGGCAAATGACGGAATTGCATTGGCCAAGGCTGTTGGCAATGACACCGTCACCCTCGCAACCCTGGGATGCAAGCCTGCTCGTGAGATACTGGCTTTCAGAGAGCATGCCAATCACGCGTGGACTGAGTCTGACTTTGACGTCGACGTGAGCTCGGTCAAGTCAAACTGCAGCGGTGTTGAGTACACAAAAGAGGGAGGCGTGACCCGTGCCTTCATTCCCTTCACGCAAAGTCCTCACAGCCGCCGCTGGGAACTCCAGACCACCATCAGCATCCCCGAGACTTCCCTCCGTAACGAAGAGTACGAAGACTTTGCCGCCGGCTTTACCTTGTTGCACTCCAGCGCCTCAGCACCCTCCAACTACTCCATCGACGATGCAGCCATGCTCTACCGTCCTTCCAATGAAACATTCATGATTACCCGCGACCTCGCTCTCGGTCGTGATAACGTAAACACCGACCCCGAGATGGGCAAACTCCGCCTCTGGAACATTTCCTCCACCGACGCTACCGGAAACCAGACTTTCTCCATCCAATCCCTCAATATCCGCGCCTTCATGGATGGCAGTTTCTTTGAAGTCTATGTCAATGATGTTCTCACAGTCTCCACGCACCTGTACTACTGGTACAAAGATTCTACACGCATGGGTTTCTACCTCCAATTCTCTGATATGTTGGTAAACTCCACTCTGGAAACCGGAGTCAGGTTTTCGAATGTCAGTGTTTGGGAGGGTGTACCGAATGTGTTTCCTCACCGCCCTACTGATCCGGCGAAGCTGATTGATAATGGTGTGGGCTTCGTGGAGCCGCCTAATAATCCTAACCTACCGTTGGCTTATGATGGTGTTGGTGCTCCTCCTTTGCCTCCGGTGGAGAATCTGCCGTATGGTATTGATTTGAGTACGGTGGAGTAGGTTGTTGAGGGGCTTTTGTTAGTATTTAGCTTCTATAATTGCTTCTGCACACCCGTTCGTGTATATCATGAGTATTATAGTGTTCTTTGAGTGACTGCATGCAAGTGCCTTGTTTGTTGAATTATGAGTTGTCCTATAGATTGGACGGTGAAGGCTGCTTGAGTCTGTTAGTCTGACGTGGATTTCGTCGATAAACTCCAAAAAGAGCCCAAGAGCAGATGACATCGACACTTTAGCTGTTAAAACTTGTGTAAAGATATCCCAGCAGGCTCTAGGTGTATTCTCAAGGGACAGGTGTCTATTAGCGACAGCGTGGTGATATTGATAGAAGGTTTTCCGATGAGACAGGGTCGTCCCAATGACATGCGAGGAGGTCACCCTGGCCGCATATCGCTCAATTGTAAATGATGACAACGACGAATATAACACAGAGAGGCAGGATTGCGATGCAACTGCATCTCCCATGACCGTTCTCCAGTCAAAGAAAAGCTGTGAAAATGCACAAGCACTTCCGAGCCTCTGTCACTTCCACTGAGAGCACTCAAAACATGTCATCTCCTCAAGCGACTCCATGAACCTAAAAAGTACCGTGCATTTCTACAGGTGTAGTATCGCACAAGAAGATGACGGATATGATGGTACAGTATAAAGAGGGAATAGATTTAATTACAATACAACAAGAGAGAGACGCAAATTTGGTATCATAAAAGCAAGACAACAAAAAAGAGGCTCTATGAAACCACTCATTCCTCGTCTTCCTGATACGCGAGCTTGCGCATCTCGCCCAGATCTTTTCGTGCCCTACCAAGCGCATTTTCGAGTTGAAGGATCTCGACTTGCTTCTCCATGTGGCTGTGATTGCGAGAGTCAGTGAATCATCCGAACCAGAAGATATGAGGAATACGTACGATCTGTTGAACTCGTGCTTTGACAGCTTGGAATAGTCGACGACTTCTTCGCCGTTGGCGCGAGCGTCAATGATGGCTTGGACTTGCTTGACAAGACTGCGGCATGCGCCAGTCACAGCCTTGCTGGCATCCTCAAGTCTCTCTTGGGTCTTGCTCATGAAGCTAGCCTTAACTCTGCTGGCAGCGACAAGCTGAGCAGTGGAAGCTGCGACATCGTTGGATGCGACAATCAGCTGTTCGGGCGAGTTGCGACCTCCAATAACGCCATCGGCAGTTTCGATGAGCAAATTTGTGCTGTTGGCAACAGCCTTTGCGGCAGAGATCAATCCCTCTGTCCATCTGTTGTTCTTCTTGTAAAAAGCCTGCAGAGAGGGATAGCAGTCAGCTTAATGTCTCACGAGTTATGGTCGAGAGAAAAAGGAAAATCCGAGAAATACAGACAGCCCCGAACCACGAGACTCAGGAAGATCGGGGGAGAAGTAACTTACCGACTTTGACAGGGATGAGCCACGACCTTCCTTAACAATCTCTTGTTGAGATGCCGTGGCGGCCTTGATCAGATTAGCAATGGCGTTGGTAACCGCGATAGCAGCGCCGAGGATAGCATCGTGAATCTTAAGCTCGTAGGTCGAGTAACCATCTCTGGACTTGTTCATAAGTGCAGTGAGACGGTCAGTAGCTGCTTCAATGGCCTTGGCAGCATTAGCCATCTCGCGGTCAACGAGATCGCCGAGATCACCAGAGCCAGAGGTGATCTTGGTCTTCGGAGCGAACGCATCAGCAATCTTGGACAAGCTGTTCAGGTTGATCTGAACCTCGTTGTTCTTGTTGATGACAACATCGGTCTTCTGCAAATCATCCAGACCGTCAAGACGATAACTCTGGATGGAACGGAAGAAGCTGACGGTACTAAGGGCAGATTGACGTGCAGCGTTCATAAGCTGATCTGCCTTCTTCTCGTCGGAAGCAAATCTGGTAATACCCTTGGTGTTCGAAAGGACATCTGCAACAGAGTTGGAGAAAGTGTGAACAGTGCGGATGACTTCAGCATGGGTGCTGTTAGGACCATCGGCAATGAAGTTGTTGAAAGCGGTCGAGAATTCCATTGCGCTCGATGCAGCCTTCTCGATTGTGGATAAAACGTAAGCGCCAGAAGCACTTTGGTTTCCTGCTTGCATAGTCGAATCCAGCTCATAGAGAGCATCATCGACACGCTGGACTCCGCTTTGAAGAACGGAATCGATAATATCAGTGATCTTGCGAACGCTGTCGAGAAGCAGAGTATCGATCTGCTCGTCAAGAGCTTGGTCCGTCTCGCCTTGGCCATTTCGGAGTTCGTTCAACTCCAAAAGTGTCTGATCCATGCCAGCCTTGAAGATCTCGAGCTCATCCTCCTTCTCGCGAAGAAGTCTCTCCAAGTCGGAATCTTGTTCCCCGTACTTGTTCTGGGCGTCATCCAGAGCTCTTGTCTTGTTACGCAGAGCCTCCTCGAGATCGGCAATTTCTCTGTTATGCCTGGATAGAAGAGAAGAAAGCTCGGATCCCTTGGATCTCTCAGCGTTCTCGGCCTTGTCGAGAGCGAAGCGCAGTTCACGTCTAAGCTTCTCAAGCTCGTCCTTGTGTCCACCAGATGAACGGTCCTTGTCGTGAAGAGCACGGTCTCTCTCGCGAATCATGTCAGCCAGTTCCAAGTTCTTTGTCTTGAGTTCTCTCTCCAGCTTCTCTCTCCTGTCAATAGCCTCTTGCGCCGAAGCTGCCTTGAGTTGGACACCCTTGAATTTCTGGAGAAGCTCGAGATGTTCGTGACGCAGCTGAGAGTACAGTTTGGCCAAAGCCTCGTATTTGGTTCTCCAGGTGTTGATCTGCTCCTGCAGAGCACGAATCTGTTCGTCCTTGGAAGCATTTTGCTGGCCGAAGTTGACCTGGAGTTGCTGCAACTCTCCCTCAAGGGCCTTCATACGTCTGTCGTATTGCTCAAGCATGAGCTGATCGCGTTCATACTGTGCACGCGCATTCAGATTCTCACGCTCCAGCTCTGCCATTCTGCCTTGAGTTTGTTGCGAGTACTGATCACGCATCAATTGCTCCTGAGCCAGTCTTTGCTGCTCGGCTTGCAGTCTCTGTTGCTCCTCGAAATCTCTTTGCGCCTGAAGAGAGGCCTGTTGCTGCTGTCTTTGCGCCTCATCCCATTGTGCCTGCAACCTTCTTTGCTCCGCTTCGTACTCCTCTTGCTGACGAGCCTGCTCATTCTTCCAGAATTCGTTGATCGGTTCGGGATCGACAGAAGGCTGGCGAGGAGGTGTATCGGCGGGCTTAGTGACAGGTTCGTTTCTGGGCCTGGCAGGGAGCGCAGGTCTGTCCTCGTCGTCGCCAAGGAGGTTCGGTGGGTCTTGAGGCAGTTTGGGAATAGTGATGAGACTGGTCAGATAGCGCAAGTTGGAGCACTCGTAATAGAACTTGACCAAGCGGTAGTGCTGAGCGTCGTAACGTCCACGGAGAGGCGCAAGAACCTCGTCGTCTCCGAGAGCAGTGTGCATGGCGCGAAGCATGCTAGTGATGAATTTGTAGATTCCGTAGCTCTCCTGCACCAGAGGCACCAGACACGAGATCTTACACTCGTTGTTCAGTCCGCCTCTGAAATTAGCAAAAACGAGCTTCTGGAAAGTCTCAATCTGATCCTGGAGGTTCATGAGGTCGGAAATGGTCTCGTAGCTGGACTGGTATCAGCACGCTGCTCCGAGCCTAGTGTGACTCAATGCTTACCCTTCATTGGGATCGTTGATGGACTTTAGACTGATGTACTCCTCGTACTCGAACGTTCCTACAATCTTGTCAGCAGCCTATTTACACACTGCCTGGACTATACGCACCATTGAACTCGGGATGGTTTCGGTGGAAGTTGAGCTTTGCGATCAGGTAATAGACATATTCCGAGATGAGGGATCCGTATCCTGCATAGTGTCAGCGTGATCTACAGCAAGTGCAGACTATGACCTACCCTTCATGCCATCACCACCAGCGACGCCACGCGACAGACTCTCGAGCCAACCAACGTGGGCCTGTGCCTCTTTCAGAACGATGGGGTGACCTTCTTGGAGGACCTTGTGGATGGTGATGAGGGCCTTGAAGGTCTGGATCTCGTCTGCCATGATGGGTTGCCTAGAACAACGACTCAGTATGCTTGCGACTCTTTTAGGCATTGACTGCTGCTGCTTACACCTTCATGCCAGCCCAGAAGGATTGCGAGCTGCGGTGGTCGTATGTGTAGACAATGCATGCTCTGACGTGTTTTCCTGAGATTGTGTTCAGTCGGGCTCGGATGCTGGATGCTGCATGTATAGTAACGTACGCTTGGGAGCGGTCTCCTCTGTGTATACGGATTAGCATGAGCTCAAGGAGTAAGCATTGAGCCTGAGACGAACCAATACTTGTGGCCTTGCGGATGTTGATGGCCAACTCGGACTCTTGCCTAGTAATTGGTTAGCTTGTACGGTGAGGTCTGCGACAGGCTACCACGTACTTGCCCATGTCGACATTACGCGTAGAGTGGAGCGACATGATGGCTGCGGATGTCGCGGTAGTGCTCGATGTGGTGTCGGGCTTCACGTAGGCGTGGAGGCTTGCAATGAAAGAAGGCACCCTGCACGCAGCGGAAAAGAGGGGAGCAAGCGGGGACCAAGGAGAGTGTTTAATCAAGAGCAAGCAATATGCAGCATCAACCTATCGACGTCGACTTGCCGAGCACCGCCGTGACAACGCCCGACCAACGCCGCAACGTCACCGAACGCGACTGCCCCAAGACTTCTGCCAGGCACACTTACCACCTTCTGCATTTGACTTTCCTGCAAATCCGCACCCAAGACCTGAGCGACATCTACAGTCCCGTTCTACTGCTTGTATCCGGCATCAGCATGGACCACTGCTTACGAGGCCGATCATCTGCTAGGCTGACACTTTGCTCGATACATGTTTCACATCTCACATCTCACACGAATCGAATGTAGTAAAGTCATCAATCATTTTGGGCGCGAGGCTGTGAACTTGGATATCTTTCTTTTGTCGTAGAGCTACGAAAGTGCTGCATGGCACATCGCGTAAAAACTTCTGAACATGCTCCCCAGACGCCTTTTTTGTGCTGCCTGATGCATGAGAACCCTCCAACACATCAACCAATGAACCACATGAACCTAGAAGTCGGTTAGACAGTTTAGTTGCCAGCGATGGCGTGGGCACGACGGCGGTCACGCTCCTCAGCGATGGAGAGCTACGGTACAAGTCAGTCATTGTTTCGCATAATCTCAGTCTCAATCTACGAACCTTGACACCCTTGCCCTTGGGGAGGGAGATCCAAGGCTTCTCGCGGCCAATGACGAAGACGTTGCTCTCGCGAGTGGCGAACTCGTTGTCTATGGCATCCTTGATGTGGACGATGTTGAAACCACCGTCGTGGCGCTCACGGTGAGTGATGACACCAACGCGACCCATGTTACGACCACCGGTGGCCATGGCGATAACGCCAGTGTCGAAGCGGATGAAGTCGGAGATCTTGCCAGTGGTAAGGTCGATCTTGACGGTGTCGTTGACCTTGATGGCGGGGTCGGGGTAACGGATACTAATCACATATGTTCAGTTGTTGTCCTTGTATACTTTTTTTTTCCGTATCGCCAAAGCTTGATCCAACGGCTGATAGATGCAGACTTACGTGCGTGCATCATGCGTAACCAAGTATGGGATGCCGCCCTTGCCGAGCTGGACGCGCTTGACCTTGCCGAGCTTGTACTCAGACTCCTCAGCGGTGATGCGGTGGACGGTGAAGCGGCCCTTGGTGTCGTAGACGAGGCGGAAGTTCTCGCCAGTCTTCTCGATCGAGATAACGTCCATGAAGCCGGCGGGGTAGGTGGCATCGGTGCGGACCTTGCCGTCGACCTTGATGAGGCGCTGCATAACAATGGCCTTGGTCTCGCGGCCGTTGAGGGCGTACTTCAGGCGGTTACGGATGAAGACGATCAGAGGCATGCAGTCTCTGAGCTTGTGGGGACCGGGCGAGGCCTTGGGGGCGTAGGCACCCGACAATTTGTCGAGAAGCCAGTGCGAAGGTGCCGACAGGCGGTGCTGGTGCTTTCTGCGAAGTGTGTAAGAAGTTTGCGCAAATCGTGTGTCGCGGACTGGATGCGAAAATTCGACATTGTCCGGTCGTGGGTGCTTACCCGGGTCCTCTGGCCATCTTGTCGACTTGTGAATTAACGTTGGTCGGCTTTGCAACTGGTTAGTAATTGGTAAATGAGCGTGGGCAGTCGTCGCGCTTACGTTGAAAGGTCTCGCGTCTAGAGAAAAGAGAAGGAGCGGAGCGTCGAAAGTTGAATATCGGTGGGCGAGCGTCGGCTTGTGTGCCAAGAGCCGGCAAGCTCGCACTAACTCGATTGAGCAACAACGCTCAAGACACTCGACATGTTCAGTCTCGCAACCTTCTTATCCTGACCTTCACTACTTGAAATATATTCATAATCGAGTCAGCGTGTTCCAAGCAAAGGAAGTCGAGGCCAACCGATTGCTAGAATTTGCAACACTGTATACAGGGGTACTGATGAATTCTTTCACTCGGTTGCTGCTTCCATTACCATTGCAAGGCAATTGTGCTTGTAGGTCGCATCTGTCATCTGCTCACTGACTCGCATTCGAGCGTGATACGATCGTTCTCCTTCGGTATCTACATAAAGGTTGTGTCCTGCAATCAACTTGAAGACTCAGCAAACGTCTTCAATCTCCTGCTCGCCGCCAACCCTGGGACCAAGGTCTGATCTCAGCGTGCGGTTGAAGAGTTCCAAGAGAATCTCAAAGCAGATCTTGGTAAGCCCAGGGTCATAACGTCCCTTGCTCGACTCATCGCGAATGAAGGCGTCTACATAGGTTAGTTTAAAAAACCTGGAGGAGACTGCGTATTCGACTTACGCTGAGCCCAGGCAGCCTCGAAGAAGCTGAAGCAGATACCTGCCTCGTGCAGTGTCTTACGAATCAGGTCACGGCCCTCGGGAGGAACATGATTATCCTTCTTGCCGAAGATCTGGTAGGATATCAGCACGATTGCGACTGTCAATTGACTCTGGAGCCTTACCATAACCAATTCGCCCTTAATGTCCTTGGCTCTTGCTAGAGAGTCATCGTTCTTGCCAGCACCAAGGGTTTGGGAGTGGATGTCAGTAGCAAAGTAGCAGACAGCAGCGCTTACACGCTTGTCCAGAGCACACCGGTATGCCAGGTGACCGCCTAGACACATTCCGGTTGCACCAATTCTGCCATTGCAGGTCTCGAGGGACAGAAGTAACGAGACACTCAGTTCGGCATCCTCGTCGTAAGCTGCAAGCTTCTTGGCAACCTTCCAGTCGTTTCCCTTATCGGTGCCAGGGCCATCATATTCAAGAGGTTCAGGTCCGGTGAATTCATGGTAACTACTGGGAGCAGCAACAATGTAGCCCTGGCCGGCAATCTGCTTAGCAAAGCGGGCCACGGGTCCAGTCACTTGTGGTTGTCAACGATTGAGGTCCTGTAATAAGGCAGACACAACCCGAAGCGTACGAGATGACGAAAGGTCGGTCCGTCAACTTACCTTGGTAAATCTCGCTGAAGACAACTACACCAGGAAATTTGGCCTTGGGGTAGTTGGGCACAGTTGGGTGCCATGTGTACACACCTTGAGAAAGTTAGTAGATGTCATCGTCAGAAGCTTAAGAGCTCTTCGCATACGCATGTTTCCGCCATCCTTGGTAGCAATATCTTTGTAAGACTCTTCGATCAACATTTTGGCAACGAACAATGATATGTTTTGTCGAGTATCAGCAGCGACGCGGACAAAGAAGCACTTTGGACCCTGCGTTTGTGAGAAATGATACAGAGCGTTGTCATTAACGAGCAAATCAAAATCGCTTCATGTTCCTAGCTGGAGCAGTGTGCAAGATTTCGTGATAGACAGCAGACATCGGGACTTATTGAAATAGCAGGCCTCAAAAGAGCACTTCAAGACTTCCATGGCCATTGTGTATCTAGACTACAAGCAGATCTTGATAGACCATGGTAGAAGCAGATGCTTGGCGGATGGTTTGTAAGAAGCCCCCGCCGGTCTCTACGTGTGTTCACATGACGTGGGATGTGGAGGGGCCATCTCGGTGTCTCGGAGCGATGAGCAATTGCCTCCCTCCTCTTTATCGCCCTATTCCTTTCTCTTGGACCATCTCGTCGACACCCCTTGGGCCGGTCGACAGATCGCAACCTTCAATCTCGTGTATACGCCACTTTCGTTGTGTTAGCAGACTTTTTCTCGTCTTGAGTTTTGCTTGTTCGACCGCGGCAATCGTACTTGGACGCGTTCAACGACATCATAACCGCTCCTACATCCCGCAATGTCTTCGAATCCACAATCTGCTCTCTCGGCCAAAGCATCGAATCCCTCCAAATCCATTGGCCCCTCGAACCAATCGACACCTTCTTATTCCTTGACGAACGCCTACTTTGGAGAAACACTCGGTCAACGTCGAAGTGGCGGCTCAGGCAGCTCCAACGCCGCTAGTTCGAAGCCCTCGTCGACCCCGCGCAGCAACCAGAGTGCCAAAGCAAAGCACAAGCAATCGAAGAAGTTTAGACTCGCGGATGAGGATGCTCTTGCTGAATCCGTAAGTACCTCTATCAGCTTGTGCATCAACCCCCAGCTTGCTCACTATACCACAGGCAGCCATGCACTCTTTCAGCAGCCGTAAGGGTCAGACCAACATCACCCATCTGATGAGCTTCTCCCTTCCGCCACGCCCCCAGGCACACCAGCACAGCTCTAGATATGCATCCGGTCGTCCTCGACGTAACCCCACTTGGGGCCTTGGTTCTGGCTATCATGCTGTAGACAAGGCAAGGTAAGCTATATTCAATGCCTTCACTGTACATCTAATCCCTGACAAACTCTTGCAGATATGTGCACGCCAATTATCGTTTTATCGTTGATCCCAGAGCCGACTATCGCCCACAAGGCGTCGATGCCGATGTCCATATCGACTGGAACAACGTCTTGCAGATTCTCGTTTCGACAGAGTCCCAGTCTTCCGCTTGTCCCATTTGTTTGGGTACTCCCACCGCCCCCAGAATGGCCAAATGTGGCCATATCTTCTGCCTGCCTTGTTTAATCCGCTACATGCATGCGGATGACGGCACTGCCTCTGCGGTGGAGAAGAAGGCGCGCTGGAAGAAATGTCCAATCTGCTACGACTCCATCTATGTTTCTGAGACAAGACCGGTCCGATGGTACACAGGTGCCGAGTTCGAGCCGCCTAGAGAGGGAGACGATGTCGTACTACGGTTGATACAGCGTCCTGCCGGATCCACCCTTGCGATGCCCAGAGAAAGCCCCGACGCTCTTGGAAAAGGAGACCACATCCCCTGGTACTTTGCGGCCGAAGTCATGGACTATGCCCGAGTTATGAAGGGCGGCGAGGATTACATGCTTGCTCAACTGGACGAAGAAATTCAGAACGTAAGAGCTATGGAGCAAGAAGACGAAGTCATGTTTGGAGATGACACACAGTGGACCAGCAAGGCCGTACGCAATCTCACCGAAGCTAAGGAGAGAATTAAGGGCATCGGAAACCCACCAGCGGCACCCAAAAAGCCCGAGGAACCTGAACACAAGAAGCCGACTATTCAGTTTAACCAAAGCGACGAGGTAGTACCGGAAATGTACGGCATTCAGCAGGCATACAAATCTGGTCAAAGTCTGCCAAATGGACAGGCGGGTCAAACAGAGTCGCCGACTTCTGAACAGGACACTACGACTAAGAAAGAAGATCGAACCAGCAGCATTCTTTCGACGTCTTTGGCCGAGTTCCATGCTCGACAACATGCGGAGCGTCAGCCTGATACTTACTTCTTCTACCAAGGCCTCTTACACTACTACCTATCCTCCTTGGACATTCGCATCCTGAAGGCTGCCTTCGGAAACTACGACAACTTCCCTTCGTCGATACTTCCTCGTGTCGAACGTGTTTCTACTGGACACATTGTCGATGATGACCTACGCAAACGCGTCAAGTATCTAGGACATCTGCCATACGGCTGTGAGGTCACTTTCCTGGAATGTGACTGGACCGACACGGTGCCACCAGCGATTCTTGAGCAGTTCCAAGGCGAGATCGAGAGACGACGCAAACGAAACACCGACAAGGAGGCACGGGAGGAAAAGGAACGTGTTCGTGCAGAGAAGGCTGAAGATCGAGAGTTCGCAGCCGCTCGACGACGACGGGTCAGCATACCTAGCGAAAGTAAGTTCAGACCGGACGACTTCATTCCATTGGGTGCAAACGGATCCGATGCAGCAGGCTCTTTCGACGGACAAGGATCTTCTTCTTCCCCGCCATGGAGCAACAGTCACCGACCACAAGGATCCGCCTATGCCTCTCTTGCATCACCCGGGACCAGCCCAGCTACTTCAAGGACAGTGTGGGGTACTACGGCCATCGCGTTGAGCAGCCCCGAACTTGCCGCCCTTCAGAATGGAAACATGGATGATGGCTGGCTCGATGGGTGGGAGAGAGAATTGACGCAGGAAGATGACCTCATTGCTCAAGTACAGGCGGCTAGTCTGGAAGAAGGACCATCTTCTTCCAGCAAAGCCACAAGTGCCGCGAAAGGCAAGAAGAAGGGAAAGAAGATCACGCTAATGAGCACGAACGCCAGACGTGGTGCTTGATGACTGGAACAGGATCACGGAATTGCAATATGGGGCGTTTTATGAAGGCTGGCGCTGCATTGCATTGGAACTATACCTTGGACGGAAAGCGAACGTCCATATACACACAGCTATACAGATACGAAATTCAATGAACAAAGAGAACCAAAATAGATGGCGTTCCTGATGAGGAAAACGGATGATGATGTAATGAACAAACAAACTTTGGCCAAAAGTGGGTCCGAGGGTCGCGGAAAACAACAACGGAGATTGGAATATCGAGTCGCTCGCAACTTCCTTCCCCCGGCCACCGGCATCCTTCCTGGACATCAATTGCTGTCGCTATTGATTCACCATGACCGTCACGAGGAGCCAGACGGGCAAAACGCCCAGGTAAGTGCAGAATGCCCATGTTAGGCTGAAATCGCGTCAACTCACAAAAGTCAACAGAAAGCCAGAATTGCCCGAGGGCTTTGTTGAAACACCATCGAGGAAGCGTTCAACGCGCAAGAATGCAAACACTGGCCGTACTGCCTCTCCGTCACCCTCGATCATGGGCTCCAGGACCCCTCTTGTCGACGCCCCTGCCGAAGAGGTCGAAGTCAAGACCAACGGGCATACCAATGGGCACACCAATGGATACACCAATGGCTCGTCCAAGAAGGAGAAGCCGCGCATCATCGACGGCTGGCTGGAGGGCTCTGACCCAAAGGTGGATGCGAACCCCCAATACGAGTTTGGTGGCAGCGCCGGTGTCACCGCCATGATGATCGGCTTCCCCCTCCTCATGTGGTACATGTGGATTGGCGCCACCTACTACGACGGCGGCTTCCCTAAGCGCGAGTCCTCGAACCAGTCGTGGTCAGACTTTGGCAAGCAGCTCTTCAATCTGGCATACACCGGTGCTTTCCCGCACGCAAAAGCATGGGCAATCTACTGGACCTTCTTCGTCTTCGAAGGCATCTGCTACCTGTTCATGCCCGGTGTGTACAGCAAGGGCAAGCCCCTTCCTCACCTGGGCAACAAGCAGCTTCTTTACTATTGCTCTGGTGTCACATCCTTCTATCTTACCATTGTCGTCGCTTTGGCTCTGCACGTTACCGGCCTCTTCAAGCTCTACACTCTGATCGACGAGTTTGGCCCTCTGATGTCTGTCGCTATCTTGTCCGGTTTCATTGTTTCAGTCGTCGCCTACTTTTCTGCCCTCATGCGCGGCGCTCAGCACAGAATGACCGGTTACCACATCTACGACTTTTTCATGGGTGCCGAACTGAACCCTCGTCTTTTCGGCTGGCTCGACTTCAAGATGTTCTTCGAGGTCCGTCTGCCTTGGTTCATCCTGTTCCTTGTCACCCTCGGAGGTTGCGCTCGTCAGTATGAACAGTACGGCTACGTTACTGGTGAGATGGGCTTCTTGCTCATGGCTCACTTCTTGTATGCCAATGCCTGCTGCAAGGGTGAGGAGATGATCCCCATCACTTGGGACATGTACTACGAGAAGTGGGGCTTCATGCTCATCTTCTGGAACTTGGCCGGTGTTCCCTTGTCTTACTGCCATTGCACCATCTACCTCGCCAACCACGATCCCGAGGTCTACTCTCACTCTTGGCCCGTTCTCATCTGGTTCTTCACTAGCTACTTGTTCGCATACTGGGTCTGGGATACCGGAAATTCGCAAAAGAACATGTTCCGCGCTCAAGAACGTGGCTACGAGATGAACCGTAAGACATTTCCTCAACTTCCCTGGAAGGCCGTCAAGAACCCCCAGAAAATCGAAACCGAGACTGGTAACTCCCTTCTCTGCGACGGTTGGTACAAGTACGCTCGCAAGATTCATTACACCTGCGACATGTACTTTGCTCTCTGCTGGGGACTGATCACTGGTTTCAACTCGCCTTTCCCTTGGTTCTACCCTGCCTTCTTTGCCGTCATGATTGTTCACCGCGCTCATCGTGACATTCAGCGCTGCAAGGAGAAGTACGGTGATGCCTGGAAGGAGTATGAGAGACGTTGTCCTTACCTCTTCATCCCTGTAAGTCTTCAATTAACACTTCTGACCAACCTTTCACTGACCATGCCTCTAGTACGTCTGGTAAATAACACACAGCTACGGCAAAACATGATGTACATGATTCTGGATTGCGGGGGTTTGAAATACATCTGTTGTAATAATCGGGAGTGTTTGTGGTGGTCGATCTGCCAACACATCTCGGGAATCTCTCGCTCATAAAGATGGATGCTAGATGGAGTGAAGATCTGTTAGGATGTAGGGACTCGATCGTTCCCGTGTGGGAGGTTTCTCATTCTTTGTTTTAGAATAGCATTCGCTTTTTGCCTTCCTTGATGACTTCGCTGGGGGGAATAAGAGGAGGTAAAAAGGTGGGACAGAGCATGCGCGTAGCATATCATTAGCTTGTTTACCATTCTTGTGCATTACTCATTGTATTCAATCAATCATTTTTTAGAATGCACGCTTACAACCATCGTTTTATAGATGGAGGGACTAAAGTGCGCTAGTCATCCCAAGGGACACTATCCAAATTACTCGAGCTCACACACGGGCATGAACAAAATCGAATGCTCAGGGGCCAATCATGAAGTTAAGAGAAGGAGATGGAGAAAGAAAAAGGAGGAGGTATTATTAGTACAAGAGTCTAGGCTGTAGGAGGAAGGGTACTCGAAAGTAGAAGAAGAGAAATGGCCGACCCCTATCCTGTGTGTTGTTGATTGTATGCCCCTAGTTGTAGAATGTGCCCTTTGATGCTGCGAGAAATCAATGCAGTCCGCTTGTACACCCGAATAAGCGCCATAACGCCTTGCGAAAAAGAGGGACGGACGATCAGCCGGCGATGAGAACCCATAACAAAAAGACTGTGATGGGTATTAGCTGACGTTGGGATACGATGGCGGGCGGGAGAAACTTACAGATCATCAATACACCAAACATTTTTGCGACAAGCCATCTATTGCCTTGCACGCGAGACCAGTATTTCATAAGTTCTCGCTGAGCACCTTCGACATTGTCGACAATGTCCTCTGTATTTGCGTCGATGCGTTGGATCATATCACTCTGCTCGCTAACCATTTGAGCCAGTTGACCAAAGATGCCTCCGAGTTCTGCGATGGTGCGCTCGATGCCTTCTATGGCTTCGCTGCGTTGTTGGATGTATCCATTGTTTTGGTTTCCTTCTTCGAGTAGTAGCATTTGTTGTTCTGATTGTGCGCCTCGTGTCAAGGCTGATGAGGACGAGCTCGGCGGTTCCAGGGTCAAGAGGTCTTGTCCTTGGTTCATGGGTGGTTGTGGCGAGCGTCCCCGTGATGGCGGTGCGTATAAGGGACTATCACTCCTTCCCTGCGCAACAAGATGTCCAGCATTACTGCCGACCGTGTTGACGAAATTGTCCTGTCGAGAGCGACTGGCCTGTACATTCTTTGACCGCACTTCCAAGACTTCTTTGAAATTTCCTCCTACATTCGCCAAACTGCTCTGCAGCATGAGAACAACATTCTCATTATGTTGGCCTTCCTGATCCGCGCCTCCTTTGGGATGCGCCGTCTTGCTTATCGTATTCAACGCGCCAATCTGCTGGTTCAACGCAGCGAGATCCTGCTTGATAACATAGGTGAGTTCGGCGATTTCGACAGGTTTATCGTCAAACAGCGTCTTGCGACGTGCGAGTTGTCCTAAGCGTTCTAGCTTGCCAACAGTGGCCGCAATGCCCCTGCCTATCTCGGCAGCCTTGCGCGCAAACTCGCTGCGTTGTTTGCGCGTGGGTTGAGCCGATGGTTGGCCGGCATTAGGCAGCAAATGTTGACGGTCCTTGGGTGTCTTTGTGTGGGCGAGGCGCTTTTGTGCTTGGGCGAGGATGGAGCGGAATTCGGGAGTTCGGTCCTGGATCGACGACGTGGCTGCCGACATGGCTGGTGGCGTGTGTATGAGTAGGTGCTCTGGGCGTAAGATTTATTCGTATAGGATTTGAGAGTCGCTGGTGTCGAGTTTTGGGTAGTCGCAACGTGTCGGTACAGAGAATCAAGTCGTGTTCATTGTTCGGCCAAAGGACCATGTGTCGAAGTTGGGGAGTCGAGACGTTCTCCGCCGTCCCCTGGCCAAGCAAGCCTTCGTCATCACCCGCAATCTGGACATTTACACTCTGACTCCCGCCATACACCTTCCGACTCCTAGGTGGCCTTTGATCAATCTGAAATCACATGTCATGGCAAGATACATAATTAACTGAACTAGAGGACAACTGACTCGTAGACGCTTTTTTCTACCGTCCGCCTAGCCCTTGACTAAACAATAAAAGCAACTCTCGCTATTTCATGCTCCCCAATCATAACGCCGGTGTCCCTGGATGACTTTGTCGCATCGCCCTAGTCCCATCATGCAACTCCGCCAATCACCAGAGCTGCCAGCATTTCCTCCTCGCTTCGCACCTTGATGTTGACTGTCACTCCGCTCTTGGCACTGAACGCCATCCTGACCAGCGAGGCAACCTTGCCGCCAGTCACACTCTTACCATAAAGCTTGAGACTGTGTGTGCTTGGTGAAAGTGTGACCTCGCTACCCTCGAGCGGCTGCATGCCCAAGCTCTTGACAAGCAACTCGGTGGCTTCTGCCAGTGTCTTGGCATTCGCGAGTTGCAGCGTCTCCTCAGCCTCATGTTCCTCGTCCGACGGTAGAGAGTTGAAGATGCTGTCAAAGCTGCCAGCAAAGGCGGGGAGAATGTAGTCGGAGCCAACAAGATCAAGATCTTCAATCTCGTACTCATCCTCGTAACCATGTTCTTCTGGCTCGTTGGTCGAAGGGTCGATTTCTTTGCTTGTGAATCTGAGCACATTGGTCAAATTTGCTGCAGTGAATTCTTGGCCCTCGGGGCGTCTGAAAGACACGTATACAGTTCCGGGCTCGTCAGTCTTGAGCATAGGTGCAGGGATGGTGAACTCCTCTTCCAGACCACTGTCTTCTGACTCGTCAGAAGCTGTTGGCGTGCAGACAACTGTTACATCGGCAAGTACTGTGTCTGGCAGGGTGTTCTTGATATCGTATTGGACAACAATGTGCTCCTTGAACAAGTGCTTGACGGCAGTAACGACGTATTCGGTCTCGCTCTCGGTCAGTTCGACAACAGCACTGCTCTTCAACACACCACCATACGAAGCAAGTTCGGGGATGGCCTGAAGCTGTTGGGCGTACTTTTGGGCAGCAGCGCTTGCGGAAGCAATAGCTTCCGCTGATCCACGAGCAGCGGCAGGCTTGGGGCCAGTTGATGGGGCCTTGAGCGTAGGCGTGGCTGTGGTAAGCTTCTTTGTACGATCCTCGGCGAGTGATTGTTCACGGGTGACGACAGGGACAGAACTGAAGTCGAAGGGCTGGGAGAAGGCGGCCGACGAGTCTGCTGTTACATACATGACGAGCTGGTGCTCGAGAACGGGCAGCGAGAACATTGAGTCTAGATAGCGAGTTAGCCTTCGTTGATCAATGTCATTTGGGCGAATTCTATCTTACCATTTCTGACGAACTTGCTTGCCATTTCGTCATTTTCCTGCATCAAGCGCAAGTTGAGGGCTGCTCGATCTCTGACCTCATCATCTGTGTCATCAAGGCAGCGGGTAAGAAGGACGTTGACACTACGCTTGACGTCGGGATCTTGCTGACCGACACCAAACTTAGCCAGAGCGGTGACAGCAGCAGCACGAACAATGGCGTTCTCGAGCACAACACGGTTGTAGATGTAACGGATGTACTTGGTCGGGTTGGTAGTCTTGGGACCCTCCATACCTAGGAGGTGCAGAATGCGAACAGCCAGCTTTGTGAATTCGCAATCCTCGATGAACTCGCACAGATGCGAGAGAGCGTCTTCTTTGCTTTCCGGAACAAACTTGATAAGATCAAAGATGGCTTCTACAACGCTGCTCTTGAACTCATAGCTGCCCTCATCGCGAATCGAAGTACTAAGGAAGGCAAGCATGCCAGCCTGCTTGCTAGGGAACTTGAGAGCCAGGGTGCGGACAGCCTCGACGACGGTGATCTTGAACTCGTCAGTGATCTCGGCCATGAAGCCGGAGATCTGCTTCATCAAACGATCGACGCTAGACTCGTTGCCAGTCTTGAGGAGAGTGGTGATGGCGAATGTCGCAACGGATCTGTTCGAGTTTGTGATGAGAGCCTCAATGTCAGGGTTACATTGTCGAACAGCATCCGGCTTGAACGAGGCGAAGTTGTGAAGAATGCGGATGGCAGCAAACTTTGTGACAGATCGGGGTGAAGTCAAGAAGAGTTGAAGGACATGGACAGCTTGCATAACCTCCTGGTCGGTCAAATCGCGAACATCACAGATAGCCTTGGCGGCTTCAATGTTGACCAGCTCGCTCTTGTCCCTAAGCCAACCATCAAGCAACTTCATCATGGGGGTACGAAGGCTGGGATCTTCTTCAATGAGCTTGGCGGCCAGACGAACCAGCATGAGACGGGCTGCCGGGCTCTTAACGACTCCAGGGGCGCTGTACTGTTGTACCATCTTGACCAAAGCCATACGATCGTGCGAGCGCATCTGGTAGAGCAGGCCAATAGCGTGATATTGTGTCATGAAATTTGTGTTGGAAGCAGCCAGACTGTGCGAAGCAGATGAGCCAAAGCCAAGGGAGAAGCCACCAGACGACTTTGTTGACGAAGCAGCCTCCTGAGTTTCGCTTTGCCAGCGACGGACGATATCGCGAGCGATGGGTAGCAGGTGGTAAGAGGATACGAGAGCAGCCGAAGAAACCGAGGGGGTCTTGTCGACGATAGCCGTCTTGATGTTGCGCTCAATGGCCTGGACAGTCGAAGCATCGATGATGCGGCACAGAGCACGGATGGCGTTGGCACGGTATACAACATCGCTTCCTACGGCAGTATCCTTCATGATGCTGCTCGTAACCATGATGACATCCTGAGCGGTATTGGCCAGTTCCTTGATGACGAGGTAGACCATCTGGCGGAGGGCGGCATCCTTATTTTGAAACAGCTTGGAAATGCCAAAGAACAGCGAGGTTGCTTCATTCTGGGGAAACTTCTCTCCAGTGAACAGCAGAAGAGAGATCTTTGTGAGCAGTACGCGGCACTTGCGAGGGGATATAGGTGACGAGTTGAAGACACGAGCTATCAAGGTCGAGTTAGCGGCTTGTGATGGTTGTTGATGCTCCTTGGGCGAACACACCCTCTTGGAAGACCGAGGTACGGTCGACCTTGAGCAGGCTCGACTCGTCCTCGTCCTTTTTGTTGTAACTCATGATTGGGGCTTCAATTGTGGTCGACTGTGCACGTCGTCGACTGTAAACGTAGCATCCACAACTCCCTGAACCCCCGACCTGCGGCACCTGCCGTCGCATCCCCGTCATCCCCCGCCAAGGCCTCTAGAGCCCCTCCAACCTCCGCCCGACATCTTCGACCTAATTACAGCTTGGAGGACGAAAGTTGCAGCCTTCACACCAAAGACGCGCTTCCGAGAAACCGCAATCATGGACATGGGAGGTATGCCAGGCGGTATGCCCGACATGCCCGTCAATGTACCCATCGACGACCCCAACGCCGACACTGAATGGTAGGTTCCCATCTTTATCATACTACAGGCGCATTGCAGATTTCTCCTGTTTCGCCGTCTCTATCTACAGCGTCTTACTCTATGATAGGAATGACATTCTTCGCAAACACAAAATCATTCCCGAAAAGCCCCCGTCACCTACACCCATGATCGAGGAAGCCTTGACCGAAGCCCGTAGACTTGCACACGAGAATCGCCTGGAAGGAAAAGAGCTCGACGAATTGGCCGAGCTGGAAGACGAAGAAGACGAGGACTTTCTCGAGTTCTATCGGTAAGCCCTCCCGGTCGATATGCCTCTTTCTCGCCTGACACTCTACTCCACAGCCAAAAGCGCATGAACGAACTTGCGGCCATCCAGTCCGCCTCCGTCTACAACCAAGTTTATCCCGTTCAAAAGCCCGATTGGTCGCGCGACGTCACCGAAGAATCAAAGAAAGCCTTCATCCTCGTACTCCTCACCTCATCGTCAGGCACAAACGTCGAGTCGCGTCTATTGATCGAAATCTGGCGCGAGCTGGCCACCAAATTTGGTGACATCAAGTTCTGTCAGATCCAGGCGAATCTCTGTATCGAGGGCTACCCGGATAAGAATACTCCGACTGTGCTCGTCTACAAAGATGGCGACATCAAGCGCCAGTTGGTCACTCTGCGTGACTTGAAGGGTGATCGAACAACAATCCGCGATCTAGAGGATCTGCTCCGCTCCCTGGGTGCTGTCGATCCCAACGATTCGAGACTACAACCCCGCCAGTATGACGAAGCACCACAGTCCGCTCTCAGGAGCGCTGGCCAAGGTGCTGGCCTTGGCAACGATGATAGCGACAGTGATTGGGACTAATGGTACCCGCTTCGATATATCACTCGAGCAATAGCCGGTCCCATCTCCGTGCCGTACTTCTGCAAGTCCAGCTTACTTGGTCGGAGCGCGGCTGAGCTGGTCCCCGGAGCCCGGAAGATTCACCATCCCTATCCGGGATTTGGGGATTACCGTATTGGCACTCTTAGAAAGGATGACGGACCCTGATTCTTCAGGAGGTTGACATTCGGATATGTGACGAACGCCAACACCGCCCCACGGATGCCCTTGGCCAACATGATAGGGTATCGCGATCTTATCCCCGGCTTGCTTTGAATCATGATCTCGGCACTAGTTGTCATATGCAAGATTCGGTCTGCCCTATGTCTGGCTCGAGAATCGACGACGCTTGACGAAAGAACAGAAGAATGGGGATAGAAACATTACGTACAGGTCGCTCTTAGGCTATTTACAGAAGTTGGTGAGCGTCGAGAAAGACATTCTGGCGTGAAAAATGCATCAAGGCCGTAGTGTCAACGTCGTTCAGCTGGTAGGTGTTTATCAATTCTGTCCGGTCTCGTTACTGGTCTCCGTTGATCGGGCTGCAATGTGTTGCCCGGCAGCTGCGGTCGAGTGATGGTTCGTAAAAGTTCATTCTCCTCTCGTGTCCTGAGGAGCTCGTGTTTCAGCTTCTCGTTATCCGATTCTAGAGAGCTTGTTCGAATCTCCAGGGCTGTTAGTTGAACTTCTAGGTCTTGCACTCGCTGTCGTTTGCGGTCACGGAACGCACGTTGACTGTGGCCACCGCGACGTGTCAACAATCGAACCATTTTCAAAAGCGTCGGCGACCTGGTCACTTACGCGGCTCTGTTCTGTGCCTTACGTCTACGTTGTGCTGGTGTCAGGGGTTCCTTCTCTTCAGACGTGGCACTGCTGCGTCGGCGCTGGTATTCCAGAAGTTCGTCAACGTTGAACTCCACCATTGGAGTGGTGGGTTGCCCATAATCGACCTCTACGCCATCACGATACAGCAAATGTTGTCCAGGCGGTACTGTCGTATATCCATTTTGTCCGCCAACTACTGGTTCGGCTGACGATGTGTGGTTCGGGCTCATGGCCGAGGCTTGGACGAAGGCATGGGCTACTGGCGGAGCCATTGTGTGTTGCTCGTAGCCATACTGATACTGAAGAAAGAATGAGTTCATACAGTGTGCGACCTTCCAGGAGGCTTTCGTACCTGTGGGACAGCCGACCATACAGGCTGTGTATGCGGATACCCGTGTCCTTGGGGTGCATATTCGGCTTGGTGACAGGCACTCGTTGCGCAAGGCTGTTGATAATTCATGTTTGGCTCGATCGACGTAGATCCACTGGCAGATTGACACGATCAGGCTAGAAACCACGTACAAGAATGTCGATTATGGGAGAAGGTAAGTTATGAATCAAGCTCCAGTGCGTTATCGCCTAGATGCCTCTGGACCTGGTTGACTGGAGTAAACACGATATTGTATCAACAGATGATGTGGCTTACACGTTTTGAGGCAGGGATCCCTGTTGAATTAAGGGCAATCAGCTGTCCGAGTCAAGCAATAGACGCAGGGGCTTTTGTGTGTCAATCAAACCACGGCACAAGGCAAGTGGCTTGACGGAGACTCAGTAGTTTGAACATCAGCGTCAGACGCTTCGATGAAAACAGACCTGCCTAGAGCCGTTGAATCGAATTCCTACGGGCTACAAGCACGTTCTGACGGGCCCTCATCGTGAGTAAGCGGGCTTCTACCATGTTGGTCTGATTGGCTCGGTGGCCGTTGTGGCCCATTGTATGACTTGGGTTCGATTACTGATTGTGACCAGGGGCTTGATTTAGTACAGGTCACTTGTGCATGAGATCGAGGATCTGATAAATCGCTGATGCATTGCTACCAAGCGAGTTCTCGTAGAGATGCACATGCCATCGTTTCTTGCAGTTTTCTGACAACCGTACTGCTGCATTGCTTCGGTATTCACCTAGTTGTGGGGCCACGGCTTGGGATCCTCGTTGATATCAAGCCACAGCTCCACATGCCGAAGGCTCCCCCCACCAGTCGTCCATTCGAAGCGCACCCAAATACATATTGTACATACTTGGAAAGCAACCACATCTTGAACCTCGAGACTCATGACTAGCAGCTTGCGATCATGGTAGGGAACGTGGTCGCTGTAACTCGTTACGGCCTGCCTACCTGTCCGAGCTATGAATTTGGTGTGGGAGAACCATCATGCTCGACTTGCCCATCCTTTCGGATCCTCACCACTTCCGCGGGTAGATTGGCCGAACGAATCCGTGCTCTACACAGGCCAGGCGGGCTTGGGCCTCGGGTTCGGTCTGAAAGCATATTCAACTCGTCCAAAGACAGCTGGGTCGGCCGTTGAATGTTTAGGATGCTCTGTAGAAACAGACACCCACCTGCAGAAACACTCGGCTGGCCGCTGGAGAACAAACAGACCTGTCGAGAGCGTGCAATGTACACCACTCCACAATATCCGTCGCGTTCCTCCTCGGTGTTGTCTCCGAGATAGAATTTTCTACAAGTCGCAAGTCCGTACCTGATTTGTCGTCTGCAAATACGTACCATGTGTCCCTGTTGCTTGGTCCAGGTTTCGACACACCTGTGGATGTCGCTACAAGTCTAGAAACAGTTAGACTGCAGAAGCCGTTAATCACCTTTAGGCTCTTGCTACCATCGCTGCTTGCATACTCGGCCACAATTCCGTTTCCCGCAACTTTATCGAGTATTGACCCTTCTGACAAACACGCGCCCTGCGTTTTCTGTATCTGGCAGTTTGAGTTAAGTTAAATCTGTCTCCAAAATCTGGACTCATGTCTCTCGGCCATTTAACTTCTGTCAATTGCCGGTGTTACCGGCTGAATGGTCCGAAGCGTGAGCATCAAGCAAAGTAAATCAAAACGTCACTCATCATCCTTATTGCCGGTCCTTTCTTACTTGTAGCTCCCGCACACATGGGCAGGGGGAAATTTCAGACATGACGAGCGACCTTGAAGATCTTTTAATCCTCCGTTCAAGCCATTTTCCAATTTCGTAGGCAATTCGCGAGAGTGGTATCCAGGTTTTCGGTACCGGGGGCTGAAGGGCTCTATCGCATGCGACCGTTGCGATGCTCCCAGTATTTGTGCTACTCCTCTTGGTCCTTGTTTCATAGCCCATGTGCCGCAAACTGCCGTGCAGCTGCATATACTCGTTGTAGCTCGATTGTCCACCTCGCCCCCGATGCAATTGGCTACGAGCACGGCACCCCGGCTTGATCGAGGCATCAAGGATCTGTCTCGGCTGATTCACAGGGCAGGCATAGACGGGTCTCTACAGCTAACGTCTCACCCTTATCACTCCATCACTGCCAAGCCACGCAATGTGATTTGAATTATTGGGTATACTAATCTCAGCTGCATATATCAAAGCACGTCACGAATGACCCGCTGCACGGATTGCGCGAGCAGTTGCACGTGGGGAACCTCGTTTGTTCTGACTTTGGTGAGGTCGGTCATAACCTGGTCTTGCAGGTGCTGGCAAAGGGTGGGTCCAGAGATTTTCTTGACTCGGAGATCCATCATCTGTGCACCCCGAGAGTCCATGGAAGACCAGATCATTACGGTGAAAGTAGCGCTAGCTTGGTCTGCTTGCTGCGAACACGAATTTTGTGGAGGCTCGCGGAGGCATGGCCGCCTTTCACAACGCATGCGCTGATCCCAATGTTCGGCTGGTGCTCCAGAACTCTAAATTTGCTCTCCTGGTCACCTCGAAGCTGGTTGTCTCTACTGTACCATTCCCTGCATGGGGCAAAAATAATCAAGCTGGTCGGTGGACTCCTAGAGGTCTCATGCTCTGCGACCATGAATCGCAATGAGTCAGTCCACCCTCGATTGCGCTCTCGACAGATCTTCCCCGGCAGGCTCACAGATGCCCTCCACACCGTCTTGAGTCAATCAAGAGTAGGTACCAGTCCAACATCTGGCGAGCCGTCCTACACACCTGTATTTGGTAGATCCTTCATAAAAGCTCGATTTCCAATGCCGCTCATGCCATCGAGATTATATCGTTATTTATACATCTCTAGTCCAGGTGAATCTAAAGTGATATTCATGACAAGGCATGTATCGCTCAACGGTAGCGCAGCCTTCAGCACGCTGTGGATCAGCACATCATGTACGAAACAGGTTTGCTCCCGCTCCGCAGACCGTCTCGCATGTCCTGGAGTAGAGCTCGGCCAGGCCCAATAGCCAACATTCCCATTGGCCGCGTCAATGACATCTCCTGACAGTTGCAATCTTGTTGGTCAATATGTCCGTTTATCTCGCTTCTTGCCGGTCCTGGACTACTGTGCGCAACCCCATCAATCCTAACCATACCGCCTCTTCGGTACGAATTGTTCTGCTTCCCTGCTGAGGCACAAGATTGACCCAGTAGTCAAATACGTCCTTGGCTTCTGTCACGCCCTTGGACGTCAGATTTTTGTCCGCCTTCAGCGCAACTTCCAGACCTGCGACACCGCCAAACACAATCACCATATGTCTCCATTGGGTTGGGACAGGTGGAACCTCGGAGCTTCTTTCCGAGGCGTTGAAGAGAGATGCCAATGTTATGCCCCGCTCGGAGGTGCCGAAGCTGATATCGTAGCCACCATCGTAGGGACACTCAGTAAATACTGCCGAAAGAGAAGACGCCATTCTTGTTGAGTATCCCCAGTAATATCCAGTCTCCTCTCTCGGGGTGTCGGGCGAAACGGCTTCGGCATCCAAAGGAGTGTATCCATCCATCTGAGGCTCATCGGCAGATCCAAACTTGACCGTAACACGCGATCCTGGAGGTACCTCTACTGGAATACGCGTCTTGACAGGGAGACCGCAGTCAACTAGAGTTGAGACGGAGTTACCCTTACCACCCTTGCTGCGTTTGTTATTGTAGGGATCTTGGTACGCGGCATCCGCACCCATCGTCACTCCTTCACGGTACTGGCACCATTCATTCGCACGGAGGTGATGCGGCATGTCCAAACTTGGCATCGCTCCGGCGGTTCTTAGGTTGGGGTGCATAGGGAAGAGCGTCTTCCTGAGATGTGGGGGTGTTTCCAGATAGCTGAGAACATGGTAAAGGAAATCATCAGGATCCGAGTAGCCCGTGTAGCCGTCTCCTTCGAATGATTTTCGTGAGCGGGCACCATTCTGTGATTGGCCATCGTTGAAGACGACAACTTCGTCAACCTGGAAAACGGCACAGGCTCGCGCCACCTGGGCAGCCATCATCGTCTTGAGATCATGTGATTGAGCGCTGCGAAAGGAAAATTAGGCTCAATCTTCTCGAAACCGGGGCGCCAAGATTAGGTTGAGTTGGGGATGATGGCTGACGTGGTATGGAGCAATAATTAAGGGAAGTATAGGCCGAAGGATTTGCAATTTTTTCCAGGGCAGGATTTCAGATACAGGGTAGGGTGGGAAGTGTATTGAACAAAAGGAATATCTCAACGTGGTGAAATGCCAACGATAGGACGATTGCACCGAAGCAAGGCATCGTCCTCGATAAGAAAAAGTAAGAGAAGAAAAAAGATCGGACTCACTTTGCAATCACACTACCGGGCAACGCGATGGTCAGCGTATGCTGGCGACCACCAGTAGGTGTGAACACAGCTGAAGGCCTAGATGTATCGACCTCATCGTCGGCGCGTTCTTGCTGCTGAGGCTGTTGGAAATCCTGCTTCCTCTTCTGCACAAGCACACAATTAGTGCTCGATCTTTCCGGTCGCAAAGGTGAGTATGCATCGTAGACACACCTTGTTCTGATATCCCGACATTTTTAGTGAAGTTTCAAAAGAAAATTGATGCTTCACATGAAGTTTGGCCGATCATCAAAAATGCTTCAACCACACGGGTCATGCCAAGGACTCTGATCAGCGAGCACGGACAATCTACCAACACGACTTGGACACCAACCCTGGACTTGGCATACAACGACATCTCTCCATCCCTTCCACAAACAACCAGTAACTTATCAACCATCACACTGTCAAGTGCAAACATGTCAGCATCACAGCAACAGCAGCCGAGCCGACCATACTTCCACAACGGTCAAGCGCTCTCAGCGTAAGTGAGATGTCCAAGTCGCTCAGGATCACCTCAGGATCACCTCAGCTCTGGCTGGTCTTCGGCTTCTCCATCCTGGTGTACCGAAGCTGAATGAATCCCGACTTCCAGTCCACCCGTCACCGTCCGCGTCCGCAACTTTTTCGACAGTGCCTATGTCTTTCTTGGTCTCTACGTGACTACCTTTTTCTCGGTAAGTGCTTTTCTTGATCGTCGATTATCATTCCTAGATTTTGTACGGTTCACTAGTCTGACTCGACATCTTCTAGTTTGATCCCGCTGCGGCAGCTGCCTCATCACCATTCAATGCCAACAACAGAACTCCTGGGAAAAGACCCGGCTGGGGTTTCGGAGGTGGTAATGGCAACGGCGGCAGAGGCGGGGGTCCTCCTCCTGGCGGAAGAAAGGTTGGCAGAGTGGATGATGTGAGAGGACCTGAGTGTAAATCATGCAAGTGATGTCGGTGGTCTCTAATCCCAGGACATACGCTTTTCGGTCTCTCCACATTCAAGTTTCTGTCACGCATGAAACAGTAACAGTACACGATCGATTTGATCCAGCATCAACTCTAGTGAGAGTGCAGCTCACGGGCATCCTCTTTGATTGACTCCGACCAACAGAACACTACTATACAATTTTGTAGGCCTAAATTTTCTCAGTATACGTGTAGTAAACCTGTCATGGCCATTTATTTTGCTTTAACACTGTTTATCGGGCACATTGTGAGTTAAGCCTGCAGTTCTGCCTCGATTACATGTTAGCACACGATATGGCGGAGATTTTCTCGAATACTTGTGCAGTGGTGAACAAGCGCATAGCGATCCAGCAGCGCACACGTCGAATCAAGGGCTCCTATAGCTAGCTTCTACTACACCGTCTTGTTCAGTTTGTCTTCATTAGTATAGTGGTTTTGATCGAGAGAATGTGGAATCCTGAAGTGATCTGATTGACAGAACAACGCACATTGATTTTCGTTGCTGGCGAGACATCTGCACCTTTGCATCTCAGAGTGTATCAACTAAGAGCCTTAGATGGAAGGCTTCTCTGTAAGCACAGTCTCCGAACTGTCTGTCTCTGCATCGACCCTGTACGCACTGAAGTGTCTGCTAGGGACTTCACGTTCAAACAAAACGTCCAACTCCTCGAACGTCCGGCCTCTTGTCTCTGGCATGAACAAGTAGCAATAGAGTGTACACAAAAAGCCAAGTCCAGCAAACAGAAATCCAACCTTTCCTCTCCAATTGCCTTCGTCCTCGTTCATAGCATAGGGTATAGCCACAGCAAATACGATGGACAAGACTTGCACTGATACTGTCGCCAGAGCGATCGTCAAGCCACGAAGTCGTACGGATGGTACTTCGGCGAGCATGACATAGCAGAATGGACCAATGGTTGTATCGTAGATTAAGTTCGCCAACAGCATCAGGGAGCATTGTGCCCACGTTGGCGCTGAGGTCGATCTGGGTGCGAAGTCGATGGCCCCGATGAGGAACATGATCGTCGCCAGTCCGACTGTGCCAAATAGATATGCGGGACGTCTGCCCACGTAAGATAGGAGAGGCCAGGCAGCACAAGTGCCGACGACCCCAAGGGCAGTAAGACCAAGATTCATGGAGAATGCGTTCGAGGAATCCAAACCAGCCATTTCGAAAAAGTAGACGGCGTAGCTGATGAACAACATATTGCCTGTAAATGCTTGCATGTCATATGCCATTACACAAATGACCAGGCGACGAAGATCTGTACCACGGAAACACTCCAGATAGTTGGGACGATCTCGCTTGGATGATTCTTCCAGGCGCAGCGTTTCCAAAACGTTGACCAGAGTAAGAGAAGTATCGACATCGTTCGTTGCGAAGCGCCTCAGCGACTGCGCAGCTTCCTCGTGTCTTCCTTTGCGGCAGAGCCAGTACGGAGGATCCGGACAGAAGTATACCAATGATAGCATGAATACTGGAAGAGCCCATTGAGTAGCAATAGGAATTCTGTACGCCATGGAACTTTCGATAGAGCTTGTACCTTTCATGATCCCTGAAGAGACGAGCTTACCACAGACTGCGGGTCGTCAGTAAGTCGCGATCCAAGTGTGTGCACCACGAGAACTCACTGAAAGCAAGATTGGTCAGAGAAGCCATCACGCCCCGTAAAGCCAAAGGACACACTTCTCCGGCATATGCTGAGGCACAGATGGGAAAGAAGCTGATTATCGCACCATTGAGCAGCTGGCCCACGAACAACTGTGCAGGTGTGGTGCTGAAGAACTGGACGAACATAATGCAAACAGATCCGAGAGAGCATGCCGCGATCATTCTCCGAGGACCAAATCTTTCGTAGACATAACCAGAGAAGAGAGCACCGCAGACTCCACCAATATTGTTTGCATATCCGAAAGCACTAACCCAGGCGGCCGGAACGACATAGGTATCGTTATAGGGGTGTCCATATGTCTTCTTGAACGGGTCAAGGCCGATGAGACTTCCAGAGATACCTCCATCCATACCCTTCAGTACTGTCGCAAGGTTCACATAAAGCACCCATAATGCTGCCGGATAGTATAGTTTGGCTGCTTGCCAGAAGCCAAGAGAATGCTCGATCTCGGTACACCGAACGGACGCTTCTGACTTCATGCTTGATACTGCCAGCCTGTGGTTAGATCGTCAGCTCCGGTGGCACTCCCACTGCACAATCAGAACAGAAGATCGAGGACGAAGGTCAATCAGTTGGTCAGCAAGAGTCAGTGTTTTTGCCCATCTTGGCATTAACTTACGACTCTTGGCTGTATCCACAGTATGACAAGATGAGATCGAGTAAGCGAAGATTTGCAGAATCCGCCTAGAATTGGGGCCTCTTAGTTCCTCGGTGGTTGATGATACTGCGTCTCATTTCTTGCTTGAAGAGGTAGTGCTAGTACACGTAAGGGAGTGACGGCCGTTGTTGTACCTTCCTCTTGAGGTCCCAGTCGGAGTATCAGGCTGTAGAGAAGGCGTTAGTCGCAGCGTTGAGATTATGTCGATCTGGCTGTCGCTACAGCCTCTATCGATCCAATGTTACTACAGAACTCCAAATCGAAACCACGAGACTTAGCGTGCAAAAGATGGAGCTCACGCAACTTGCAATCGGCGGTCGAAGTACTCTACCTTGATGGTCTTACTGTCCCAGACCTGCACAGTCAGAGTCTGATTGGACAATCATGCTTAACTCAGGTTCTATCCTGAAGGCTTCGAAATGGCACAAGACCTTCGACTTTGGCATGCTGATACCTCGGATCAGACGGGTGAGCCATCGGAAGTGTCGAGAATTCTGGCGACGTTACGATTTCCGAGAGACATCCCGAACGACACAAAGATCATACTCTCAGTGGGCGGGACACAAATATGATTTTCTCAAGAGAGTAGGCATACACGTGGATTTTCTGGGAAGCCTTGACGCGACCCATGGCGTATGTCGACCGCCAAGCGGTGACTCCATCAGGACGACTCTCGACACACAATGGAAGCATAGAATCGTGAGTAGGTCAGCTCGGCAGTCCTTCCAGAGACGGTGTCGTATGTAAAGAGCCAGTCGAACATGGGCGTGACAGAGATGGGGGTGACGCGCCGAGGACGCGCGGGGGAAGAGGCGGGGAAGGCTTCCTTGCTGCCGACTCGGCCTTGCAGCGAACGCGCCGATGACATAGTCGTATTAAAACACTCAAGTCGTGCTGTCTTTCTAGCCGCAGACATTCGGTCAATCGACTATCACAATGGCAACGCTCCTTTCCAGGACCTCACGCCTATCTCTATCGAGTTCCGGCCGAGTCCAACGAAGATGGCAGTCTTCATTCTCCCATCTCGAGCGAGAAATGACGACCAGGAAGATCCGACCAGTTTTCGATGACTTGACGCCTCAGAACTCCTTCCGGCTCAATGTATCGCTGGCCGACTTCCTGTCTGACACTCGGTATGCAGACTGCTCGTCCGACCAACAGGCCGTGGATCTAACTAACAATCTTGCAGTGCACCACTCACTCCCCCAGCGCCGAACAATCCACTACCGATGCCAATCCCTCACCATCTGCTGTACTTTGAGCCCACGAAACCACCATCAGAATTACTCCCTGATGGCACAAATCCGGACCACTCGCCCGGCGACCCCTTTGTCCGTCGTATGTGGGCCGGCGGCAGTGTATTGTTCGATTCGAACAAGCCTTTGCTCATGGACAATAGCCGTGCTGTGTGCGTCGAGGGCATCCGAGACGTTGCCGTGAAGGGCAAGCCTGGAGACGAGAAAGTCTTCGTTGGCATCGAACGCCGCATTGCTGCTCTGAATCAACAGGAGGAAAGGTTGATGGCAGACGCGAGCGGGGAAGAAGACATGATAATCGCTTTGGAAGACCAGATCAGACAGCGGCTGTGGATGCCTTCTGACATTGAATTCGGACCGGCCAACATCATAGAGCGTCGCAACATCGTCTTCATGCGAGAGAGGTCTCCGGAAGAAGCAAAGCAAGCCGTTGCTGCTGCGAAGAAGCCCGGCAAGATGTTGAAGCCTCAGCACAACCCCGACTTTCACCACACTCTTCGACCAGACGCCCAACTACTGTTCCGCTACAGCGCCCTGACATTCAATGCTCATTCCATACATCTGGATACACAATATTGCCAGCAGGTCGAAGGCCACAGACACTTATTAGTTCACGGCCCTCTGTCTTTCACCCTCATGTTGACTATTTTACAACAACAGTTGGCCAAGGAGGGAGGTCGCGAGCACATTGTCTCGGTCGAGTACAGGAATCTTGCCCCACTATACGCCTACGATCCCTTGAAAATCTGCGGAAGGCGCGCTGATGACCTCAAGTATGAAGTCTGGGCTGAAACTCCAGAAGGCGGCATTGCCGTGAAGGGTACTGTCAAGACGAAGAAACCGTAGTCATTGGAAGCACATCCGCTGCTTTCGTGTGCTGAAGCCCTAAGCCAGACTTCACCCCATGTGGACCATTTACAACACAATGTAAAAACTTCAGGCAGCATTAAGATTGCTCTTGTTCATGTCTTATTACCAGCCCAGGGTCCATCATCTAAACAATCGACACCGGATAAGCGTCACTCGATTGCTCTTAGAAATACCGCACTCGCAAATCCTGCCATCTAGCTTGCTGGTCTAAGGCTAAAACGCCGAACGAAACAACATCATCGGAAACCCTCTCTTGAGAACTCCTGACGATGCGATCTTGATATCGGAGGAAGTCGTGATTTGGTCAAGGAAGCGACACCTAGCAGCGTCTGCCAGCCATATCAACCCTCTGATTACAGGCAAAGCTATCCCTCGTACAACCATCGATCTTCAGCAAGCAAGCTCTGTTCACCACCGCCTCTGTCCTTTAGGAATATCTACGGGTGAACTCTTCAAGAAATGATTCCGACTTGAGGACACAGATCAAGGCTCTGAAGCCCGCGACAGTGAAGCCACGAGCTGACGTCCATTCTGCTCCAAACAGCTTCCATTCTTCTGACGGAAGTCTAGGTGGCGAGAATGAGTGATGGTTTCCGGGCTTCTTGTAATGCTCGTACTCATCGACGATTGCCTCATTTGGCTCGCTTCCAGAAGAGATTGCTTTCTCGATACACACACTCAGTCGTCGTATCGAATCGTCCACGACAATCATGTAATCTTTTTCGTGGAGGTCTGGCTTTCCTAGGATGGTGGCAAGGCCGTCATTGTCAAGCTCATCGCCAACTGTTATCCTATGCATAGACCGACCACCACATCGACGTCGATGAGCTAGACGATGGCCTCCGTTGTGATGAAGTCCCTCCAGTCTAGCTTCAACGACCCTCTTGCCGGGAACTTTCCTCACTCTCACGCTGTAAAAGGCTCCTGCTTTGTCCGGGATATCAAGTTCGAGAATGGAGTCGTCATTGAGATCTGTGAATGTGAAAGACCGAATCCAAGCAAAGCGCGTCGAACTAATGCATCTCATCCAGGAGCTTTTGCTTCCGTAAACTTCGACAGCGAACTGGTTATGTCCATAATAGATTGGTAACGCTTCTGTGCGTGTCAAGCGACAAGCCTTGGTGATGGCTGGTTGACGTCGAGGGTGGAGAATTGTAAGAGATGCACGGCAAACAAGATGGTAAACCATCGATCGAAGCTCGGCAGGAAGGTCGAGGAAGTTAAATCGAGCACTGTGGTCAGCCTGTTCAAGCATGGCGATCAGAGTGTCGTGGATTTCGTCAATCTCAGAAATGGGGTCGAAAACCATTGCTTGAGAATGTTGACCAGATGAGGGCTTTGGATGCATCTCTGAGATGAAGACTCTGTTGTATGGGACCTGGTTCATCAATCGAGTGAAGTGTTCGGCAGAAGATTTGACGGCGACATGAGTCGCAATATCTTGCTGATTCTCAAGCAGGTCCTGCGAAGTGACTTGCAACAGGCTTCGGGCAACTGCAATGGGACTTTCGTCAAGTAGAGTGTCATAAAGGCCTCTTGCTTTGCTTAAGTTGATGAGATCGTGCAGTCCAAATCCCTCATGCACGATGGCCTGGGTGTAGGACTTTGCCAACATGGTGCGAAGTAATTCACTGTCTTCGACCGAGCCAGTGTGAATGCCATGGACCTTACACAGACCGATCAGCCCGTTCGTGATCCAGTGATTTGTGTGGATCAGTGCTGCCTTTACGCGAGCCACCTTCAAGTCCAGAATGGTAGGGCCGGAACTAAAGGGCTCCAGGACCTCTTCAGAGAACATCTTGAGCGTTGTGATGGGTATAGAGAAGTAAGGGAGAAAGCGGACCTCCTGGTCGAGGCTATTCGTTATAAACGTAGGCCAGGCTGTCTCTAACGCACGGGTTGGGACAACGTATTACCAACACTTTGGGGTGACAGTCAGCTCGGTGCCTACGAAGAACATGAGCATCTGGGTGTTCTGCACAATTGCTGCACAAATTATCGGTCCTGCTCGTGCACGCTCTGAGGGACTCGGATGGTCTTAAGTCAACACAGAGCTCCCGTGCTCTTCCAAGCTGTAGGAATGATCTTCGTGCTGAGTGCGACACTTGGTTGGATTCGTTGTATGCATATCGCAGCTTTCATTGTGGGTTGACGGCTGATCAAAGGACAGCCCATCGTTTATGTTGGCCGCAGGACTAGAAGCTGGCGAAAATCGCTTGTCAACAAACTGTAAGCATCAATATCAGAGCCATTAAGGATTCTGTATGTCTTGTTTCATATGGCTCCTCTAGCTCGACATCACGATGGCACGGCTAGAGATATCTGAATGAGATGCTCGAGGTTGGTCCCTCTCCACCTTCTGGTCGACGTGATGTCTTCTGATCGTTTCGGTCTTGATAGCATCAACATAACTTTGCTTCTTTGTAGATTCCGTCGACCTTCTAGTCTTTATAGGTCAGAGCCTCGAAGGTCTCCTACGAGCGTAGGTCAAGTCTCCCTTCGTCGTCAAGTCAGGTGATGCCGGAGAATTGGTGGTCGAGAATTAGTCCAGTCGTTTCCACGGAGGTGCTCACTTCGCTGCGCACTCGCACTTGCGTTCACACTTGCTCTCGTTTCACAACATCACTCTTCTCCCGCCTCAATCTTCTCCTCTTTCCTCTCATCTACAACAACAGTCATCCACAAGCTGTTGATCATTCGTCAAAATGCAGTTGATCGTCTACCGCTGGGCAACCTGCGCGCACACAGAGCATGTCGACCTTTGGGGTCAACGCGCAGATTACTATCAGATCAGTGATCCCGAGAACATCATCGTCAAGCATGAGGGTACTCCACCTTATCACTGTCCTGCTTGCAGTGACCCTACTGGAAACCACAATACTATAGGCACTGTGCCTGTTGCCGGCGCTGCAGTCATCCCCTATGTGTACGCTGAAGTGCTCCTTGTTTACAAGTTGTTTACTGACCCTGTCTTCAGACCCCTCGTCGCTGGCTCCAAATCCGACAGCGAATCTGACGCTACCGTCTCTGATGGCGGGTCCCACGATGGCGTTACTCTTAACCCCCGCGTGCAGCCATTCGCCCCTGGCGTTCAGTCGCTTGCCACTTCCGCAAACCAGCTAGATAAGCTCTATGATGAGCCTCTTGGACACGTCGCTGCCATCGACACAAGCGAGCTTGCTAACTACGACGCTCACGCTCTCAACCCCTTACAGGAGGCTCGACTCGCTGGCCTGTTCGGTAGTCTCACGACCAACGACCACTCTAACAACAACAATGTCTCTCAGCAGCAGACTGGTCACTCAATCGACGACTCTGTGTCCCATCAGCAGAGCGACAACTTTGTCAACGACTTTAGCTCTCAGCAGCATACTGGTATCTCAACCAATGACCCTGTCACTCAGCAACAGACTGACTTCTTGGTCAACGACTATCTCGGAGTCACTCAGCAAGTGTTCCAGCACACCGACCCCACTGGTCTCGCTGTTTACGCCCCAATTGGCTTCCCCGGAGATCCTTCAACTGACAATTTCGTAAACATCCCTCACGGCTTTGCTCCTCACCCCTCGACCGACATCATCACGTACGCTCCTACTACTGGCGCCGTCGGACTCTTCCAACAGCCTGCTATAAAGCCTGTCCGCTACGGTCGTGGCACTGGTCCTGACTTCGTCTCTGGATTTGCCTCCAAGGGCCCCCGTCGCCCCGCCAAACAGCCAAACATGAACGCCCCTACCGCCCCTCGCGATCTCAGGGCTCTTCCTCATAAGTCCAATAAGCCGTGTCCCGAAAGTCACGCCGCATGCCACTGGCACTACGCTGACTGGTGTCACAAGGACCCAGGCACCTGCCCTGCCGCTCGTAAGTACTTCTAACCTCTTTCAGATTCTTCCCTGCTCACATTCTTCCACAGTTAAGGCTATCAAGGCTGCCTATGAAGCCAAAGGCGCTTGGAAGGGCGCTCCCGATGGCTGGAATGACGCCCACCAGAATTGCATTCTTGCTGACAACCCTCAGCGCTGCCTATTCCACCAGTGGGTCGAGCGTCAGAGACACAGTCACCAGATTGTTTGAGCGGGCTGAAAGGACATCGCTAGAAGCAGAAGTGAATTGATGAAACGTATTGCCGCACGGCTCCACCGAAGGGTGATCACTATGGTGGACGTTCATGGAAGGACGCTCTTTGAGCCAAGTTATTCTTGAGCATTACATAGTTGACTCGCCCACTTTACTGATGACAAAATCCGTCAAAATACCAAAAAGGGTAACCTTTATACCCGTTGACTGAACACAATGCCCCAATTTTGTGTGAAAAGCTCTAATCGCAGCTCCCAGTACACAAGAGACTGTAACGGTACCCAATGCGTTTCCTGCCGTCCTTCGAACAAGCAGCGATATCTGATGATGACCATATCGATACGCAGAGATGTCGTGTTTTCTCTCTCGGCTTTCCCTCTACAGACGTGAGAAACTGCAAGCGAGGAGTAACCATCGACATAATTGTACTTCCACCTTCGTACCTAGCAGTCAAAGAGTTTGTACAAAATATACGCAAATTCTCAATACAGTAACTACCACATCCTGTCGAAGGAACAATAAATAAGTATCCCACAACGCCAACTTCTCCCAAAGCAAACGTACTGAGTCTCCATCACGGGTTCAGGCTCTGACGACGCTCATGCACACCGGCACTTGACTCGCGTCGCCGACGACGGACCCGAGGTCGAGATAGTAAAGACGGAAATCGACCCTCTTTGACTCTCGCGATGGAGTCACGAGGTCGCCTTGAACCAGGTCACAAGTGGGAGAAGGGGGCCTGGTCGCTTGATGGAGTAATAACAGGGATCTATTGACCCTGTTACTGTGGCGTAGGGTGTTGACCCGGCCGGTACCCTCACAAGAGCCCATGACTACTAAAGAGTTGTACAAACGCAGACTGAGTTTTGAGATCGTTAGCATTGGACGCAGAGAGCGGCTACTCTACCGACTCTCCAAAGACAACAGCTGTCGATTGCGAAATCATTGTGCACTTTGATAGCTGACCATATTCCTGAGGAACAAGCATGGGAGAAGGACAGAACCACACGATCTTGCGTCGGATTCCTGCTCTCTAATGCCAATTTACAAGATTCGCAAAATCAACACGCACTTCCACGGATTTTCTCTCACTACGCACAGGACAAAGAGATGAAGGTGGTCTGAAGAATTTGATTGACAATTAGAACAGAAACGGTTACATACATTCAAGCGCCGTGCAATAGAAACGAGCATTGCGATGATCAAAGAACCAATAGCGCGAAAATAACCAAAAAAAAGGCAACGACGTATGTGCGAGAAACAGTTTGTACTGGGCTAGTTCCAGACGGAGCAATCACAACTCCTCCTCGCGCTCCGGTACAACATCTTCAAGCAGGCCAAGCTTCCAGGCAGTAAGCAGACAAGTTGCGACGAAGATGAGCATGAATCCAACAATTCCAAACCACCAAGCGAGATTGCCTCCATCCATGCCAGGCACACGGACGTTCATGCCGAAAAGGCCAGTTACCAGGTTAAGGGGAACGAGAATAGTGGCCAAGACAGTGACTCTAGAGAGCAGCGAGTTGGCCTTGTTGCCTTGGGCGATGTTGTCGACTGAAATCTGAGCAAGGTAGTTGGAGTGACTACGAGAAAGAATCTTTTCGAAATGAGACAAGTTGCTCATCATGGTGACAACGTGGTCTTGAACGTCAGAAAGATACAGACCGACATCACCACGTGGTGCCATGCTGTATTGGTCGTTGCAGCGCTTGGCAAAGCCCTTGATGACATCTGCCTTTCCGCCAAGCAAGCGCAGCAAAGACATGACCTTCTTTCTGCAAACACCAATTTGTCGCAGTATGGCGCGTGAATCCTCGAAGCGTGCAGTGAAAACGCTGTCCTCAATTCCATCCGCTTCGTGTTCGACGTCACGCAGGACAGGTCCAAAGGCATCGACAATGTCGTCAATCAAGGCGTAGCAAATCCAGTCGGCACTGAGGTTGACATAATCACGAAGCCGACCAATACGCTTGCGAACATTAGCCGCATGAGGATTGTTGCAGAAGGTGAAAGTCAGTAGACCCTCGCGGAAGACGACTGTGTAGACGTTGATAGGCTCCATGAAGTCCTCGCTCTCCTTGTCCTCCTGGTAGAAGGAACGAAAACAGACGAAGTAGTAGGATCTGAAAAGCTCAACCTTTTCACGCGTTTCCTGAGTGGCGATATCCTCGCGAGTCAACGGATGGACACCGAATGCTTTGCAGATAGATGTAATCTCTTCTTCAGAGGGGTTGAGCATATCAAGCCACCATACACCTCCATCAGGGCCAAGCTCGAACAAGTCTCTGAAAGACTCGCCAGGCATGAGTAGGCCGCCCAGCTCAGGTGCGTGGATGGTCTCATCAATCTCGGAAGAGAAGAAGGTGAATCTGTTGAAATATTCTGCGTGTGATGTAACGCGCTCGAGCTCATCTTCGGGTAAACTGGTGTTCTTGAGATGATCACCGTCCTGCTTCTCGTCCACAACATCACTGTCGCTTGCATTGGTCTTGCAAGTGCGGAGGTCGTGGAACACCTTAGGATCATTGGTGGGCTTCTGCTTGCCGAATGATGGTTGGAACGGGTGAGAGACAGGGGTCTTCTCATGAGACTCAGCGACAAATTCCTCAAGTTCCTCAAAGTCAATGAGGTAAGTCTTGCTCTGATCACGTTCGGCTGGGAAGCAAACGTCATCTTGAACAGAGCTGTGGCGTGACTGCGCAGTGTGAGTTGACTTGGCATCGTCAAAGGTTGGTCGGCGGTGGTGTGAAGCGCCAGAGATAGTCCTGGTAAGGTTCAGGCCAGTGTATGGGGCAACATCGCTGGTGACAGTATCGCCACGACGACGTCTTTGTGGGTTGGCAAAGGCGTCGACCGAGTTGGGTGGAGAAGTCGATCTTGAACTTGAAGACTCACGGCTTCTGGACTTTGGGTCTTGCGCGGGTGGAGGGAGACGAATAGTTCCTCGTCTTCCTACATTAGGGCTGATGGAGTTGCGCCGCCATTTGGGAGTTTCATGTACAGAACGGATGCTGTGGTCGTCTTCATTGTCGACAATGGCGTTCTCAAAGTCGCGGGCAATCATTCCTTGTCCGAGTTCGAGTTGAACAGCGGCTAGAGCTCTGATCTCTGGGCTGCCCGCGATACTAGCCAGAGTGCCTCTTCGTGAGCCTTGGCCGATTGCGCGTGGTAGGGATTCCTGTTGGTGGCGATGGTCATCAAGATCAGACACGGGAGTGCTGAACCTGGTCTGGGACCTTTCGGATCTGGGTGTCTCGGCCATTTTGATGTTTTTCCGGCTATCCAATGGTGTTCTGCTTGGTGTAATGTTCTATGCTGTCCCTTCAAATCTATGCGCTTGTAGGCAGTCTAGTGAGCGGCGCGCGCGCGCTCACCGTTGGAAGATGTTCAACTTGAACAGCGGCCTCGCGCAGGGGTCAGCCCTACACTAAGCCGTGGATGGTGATTCGCGGTCCAGTCTCTACCCCCTCTTAGATCAGGGCAGCGAATGGGTTAGTTGGTTGTTGTAACAGTAGACAATGTGGTATGGCTGCCGTGGACCAGTTATGGCGGCTTCTTGTCGCCTCCACAGACCCAGATCTTTGGGCCCTGAAGAGGGAGGCTGAGGGACAGAATAAGGCGAACGCCCGCCAACTTGGTGGTAGCCAGAATGCAAACGCCGCAGCGAGAGGTTCCTGGGTAGTGGTAGTGGTACGCGAAAGCGGCTGAAGGCTATTTGTTGGCCGATCACCAGTCTTGGGTCGAGGTCGACGGCGAAATATGGGCGTGCAAGCGGTCGATTGGTCGAGTCTGTAGATGATTGTGCTAATCCAAGCAAAACCAGAACAGCAAGAGGTGAAGATGACAGAAAGTCACAAGGCCTCGAGGGTGGTAGGTAAGGAGAGAGAGTCGAGGACGATGCGTGGTTCAAGGACGAGGACTGACGGGCTTTTTCGGGCACAGACCAGAAAGCAAAGGCTGAGAGAGAAAGCGCGACCCCAGCCATTCAGCCAATCGCTGTCCACGTGTGTCACTCGCTGGCTCGTGTGTTGCCCAGTCTTTTGTTGTTTTTCCTTCGTATGCAATTTCTATAAACGAAACATGACCTTCGCAAGACAATTCTCATCCTCCCGTCATGGCTTTCGCCCCGATCGAGTATCTCCCAGCTACTGCAATGCATGTGTTACGGCGTCCCTTCTACGCGGACTCGAGCGCGTCCAATCGTTCTCGGAGTGACGAAATCTAGCGGCCGCTAGTTCGGTCGTTCCTGCCTTCCAAGCAAGAACCCCAACATTTCCACCGTTCATTGCAACGCCAGCCGATTGAACCACACATTGTTGCATCTCTTGACTCGAGCAGCCGACCATCTGGATCCGGCTTGTACTCTTTGTTCTCACGAGTCTGCCTATCTTGTTCACGTTTTCTTCAGGTGCTGAAGATGCAGGCTTGCGGCTGACATGAGGAACCGGGCACCTGCAATCTCGGCAAGCTGGCACTGCGCCCGAGTCTCAGCTTCTTTCCTGTGTCTTGCATTGCCAGGCATCCAGACCAAGACGACCAAGGCTTGGAATCTATTGCTTCCAGCGAGACTAAACCCGTACACACCGCCTACTCTGAAGATGAGGTGGTATCGTAGCCACGTCTAACGCGGCCTGACAGGCAAGAGTGTTACAAAGCATGGTTTTAGGTCGCGCAAGACTCTTTGTTCTTGTTGCAAGGAGTTGGCTCCGATCGATTATTGCAAATTGCTAGATGACTTGTCGCGAGATATGCTTGACCTTGTAAGATGCGATAGCGGAGATGTTGTGCCCCATTGAATGTCCATCCTCCGTAACCGGTCGGCCTAGATACTACCTGGCTTTACTATCCTCTCCTGGCTCTCTCTCCAGTTACCACTCTCGCTGTCAATATCGTAAGGCTCGATCTCGACTTCCCGCAAATGCTGGGTCTTCACCTCGATCGCACGTGAATTCAGCATATCACTGCCTTGGTTGCCTTTGTTGGCTTCGATCTTGGTTGTGAGTTGGGCAACAACTCTCTCGTCCAACTCCACATAGTCGCCTTGTTTGCCACCAGTTGTGCTGTTCAACCCACCCCTGGACTCGGAGGTGTTTTTGGGCTTCCGCGAGCCAGAGTTTGAAGTCTGCTCCTGGCGGTCAATCGCTGTCGCCCAGTGTAACACGCAGACGGTGAAGAGAACTTGTTGCAAGCGTCAGCGAACAGGTCTCATGCTTTTATTCGTGTACCTACTGTCAAGATTGCACAAGCACAGACAGATGTATCCGGGCTCTCCATCCAAGATCGTAAGGACCGACAAGTTGACAACGCTCATGAGCAGAGTAGCGCAGGATCCCACGAACGTTCTGAGAACAAGCGTTCTCATCCGGGAGGAAGCACCCTGTTTGAAAGAGTAGCATTCTAGAGTACAGTGTAAGCATGTGTGTGATGATGGTAACACGCAGACTTACGGCGGAGAGGATGCAAGAACAGTGAGGTTAGGTAGACGTTCAGAATGATGTCGAACGTGATCAAAGGTACCAGAGCTTTACGCTTCATACCAATGACACAGACGCCCTTATCATTGATGTATGCAATGCGGCTATGATATTGTTAGTTTCCGGATATGTCTGGATAGTACAGAGAGGGCTAACAAAACAAAGTTCAACACCACCAAGATGACATATGGACCTATGAGTGTTAATGTCATTCTATCAGTCTCAGAAATGCCGAACTAGCTTACAGATGACGCCGAAGAAGTTGAACAGCCATAACTTGCTCTTCATCCTTGATGTGTTGACTGTTCGAATGATGTAGACTTTCTCGACCAGGAAGTAGTAGATCAGCTGTCGATGGGTCAGACATGCCATGACTGGAATGTGCTTGGCGACTCACGATTTTCGTGGTCATATAACTATAGAACTTTGATCAGTAAAACTTGGTTCTACTCCGAAGGACAGCTCAGGTTCAACCAACCTAATGAGACATAGCAGAATCGCCCCATCGCACTTTAAGCCGAAGTATAGTCAGTAAGGCTCGGTTGGTAATTGAGACAGGGTACTTCGTCGGTAGATCAAGCTCACGATACATTCTCGCGATGGACGAGATGCGGTCCTAGACGGCATAGCGAAGCTGCAAGATCTTGCCGTTGAGATTGTGCATCTGGCTTACGTACAATTCCTGCACTCTGGTTTAATGAAAAAGCTTTTGATAGAATGGCTGTGCAGAAGATAAAAAGGAATGAGTCGACATAGATTGCAATGATCACTTAGCACGAGGTTAGCCGAGACTTATGGAACGAGACAGGTGCCGATGTATCTTACGGGCATTCGTCATCGTTATCGTCTTCCAGTTCTTGGTGAATTGTATGCGCCGGGCTACACGATCAGAAATTGTTTATCTTTGCGACCTGAGGGAGCTTTACTAAGGCAGATAGCAAGTCTTGACGAATCAGCATGGAACGTATGAGAAGATGAGGCATATACAAGGCAGTCCGTGACTGCTATATGGCAGAGTGTGATATTTGGGTAATGGCAAGATAGGATGTGAGGTCTGGTTGACATACACTGAGATTGTTATCATAGACAAGGCCATAGTGACGACTCTAGCCGCCGTTGGCACTTCCGTAATCTCATGAGTATGGTTCTCCATGCTGAGAGGAAAGAGCTGGAAAGAGTGAGTGCGTAGAACAAGCAATCATAAACATGACTTGGACGGATAGAGCTTTATCTATGAGAAGTCGACACCGTATCTGCAAGGGCACGAGGGCAAATCTAGACAACCACATTTTCACGACTCAATGTTTCAGAACAAGAGCTTCTGCACGAATCCGCGAACTTACCATAAAGCGTGATGTCAATATTACGAACGGCGCTCCAATAGACAATCTCAGCTGCTGCGGGCGCTTTCACCACACGGTCAAGCCGATCTGAGATGTGGCTTTTTATACTTTACCAACCCGCCTATGAAGCCAGTGAGGACCTAGTAACAGGAACTGGTGCGAAGGACCAAACAATCCAAGCTCCTTCGCATCTTTGGGTTGCAGAGTCGAGCATGGGCTCGAGATTTCAAGGTTGACTGGAAATTGATGGGCTGTCTTGCGGGAAATCTTGCAGCAGCGATCCGGGGGAAGCTTGAAGTTTGGGAAGTTGAAGGATGCACTCGCCGAAACGGGTCGACGAGGGTCAACGAACACGAGCGGCCAGAACCCACCCCCAGGTCAGATTGTCTGAATGTCGTCTGTTCAGTCAGGCGTGGATAGCACCCGAGATTGGTGATTCAAACGACACCTAACCAAAGTGCCAATACTCAGCACGTCGAGGATGGAATCAGCATGTATACTTATTACAGGCAGACGGTGAGATACTATGCAACACAGTCGGGTCAGATCGGTGGAGTATGATCAAGATTCAAGACTCGCTTGATTCTCGAGGGAACATCGTAAACGAACATCAGCTCGGCCGTAAGATCATGTTCATGGAAGGAGCTTAACCTACTGACAACCGAGGAGATTCTGCAATTCCAAATGGGTTCAGGCATGCAAGTACAGTCGAGAGATGGCGTCAAGCTCTCGGACCGCCCTGGTTGGGCGCAGCAGAGGAGGAATCAGACATGGGACATGATGCGTCAACACTCCGAGATCTGGAGGCCGAGGCCGGTAAGATGTTGGTGTACAGGTGAGAATCGGCGGCAGAAGTACCGAAAGGCTATCAACAATCGGTAGCGCGGCAGACCGGGTAGGGCTTGGTGGCAGTTTTAGAGCGAATAGGGCTCACCGAGCGCACGGCGCAAGGCAGGGCACGTTCGGCATACCGCGCACGTAAGTCGACCCCTCAACCCTACGAGGCTATCGAGTATGCCTGGTTCTCCAACGCCGCACAACGACTGAAGAGCCTCGAACTGCCATCACTGACTCGACGGTCCAAAGTCAGAAAGGGCATAGGACGTTACTGCATTTAGTGGGCCAGACGGTTCATCTCACCGACAACAAGACCCCGCGGCGCCACGAGCACGCGAACACGCGCCATCATGTCAGACCGGAGGTCCTGGGCCTCATTTGCTGTATGAGCGCATGGCCTTTGTCGGGAGCGAGACCGTATGGCTGACCGGGATGCGCAGCCTGGTGACTACGACTACCCCTCCGCCACCGCCAGCCCTGACGAAGCTGCCACCGCTCCCTCGAGAATGGACAGGTTCCGTCGAGTTGTGCAGAGAAACAACGAACTGAGAAGAGAGTCTGAAGACGCCGAGCGCAATGCGAGATGGGCTCCTCCTCCCTCGCGTCTGAGACGTCGGCGCTATAGAGATCCCACCGAGCAGTCCCCTCCGCGCTTCACTCGCAACACGTCAGCCATCGACCAGCCGTCCTCCGATGTTGACGAAGCCAGACAGCGAAACGTCAAGAGAAGAAAACTGACCCACGAGTCAAACTACAAATACGGTCACTTCGGTCAGGTCGAGTCTGGCAGGCTGAAGTTCGAACTCGAGAGCTGTGATGGTGAAGTCCACAATGAAGAGCGCAGCGACATCGACTTTGGCCCTGAGAACATCCTCAAGCACGATAAGAGCGTCTACTGTTCTCGCGCCTCAAAGTGCAATATCGTCTTGCGCCATCATGACGATTCGACCTTTTGTCTCGAGAAGTTGTACATCATTGCTCCCGAGAATGGCTTCACAGCTCCGTGAGATGGTCGTGCCCATGTCTCTCTATATCTCCTGCTAATATCTAGCAGGGTAAAGGAGGGTCTGGTCTATGTCGGCATGAGCCGAGACGACCTCCAGCCATATATCAACAGCTCCACCCAACACTACGACTATCTCAATCCACCACGAAGTCCGCCGCCGCGCCGGACTCATGATCCTGTACGCCTCAGTCTGTTGGAAAGTATCCATGATCCTGAAGTCGCGCGTGCTATGGGTACGCGTAGAAGTGCTGGCTTCTTTTCGCCCATCGACTCTCCCGCAGATGAACAATCTCAGGACGATGACGATGCTGACGACGCGTGGAACTCCATGCCTGCAACCAGGGATTCATCGTGGCCTCCCATGGATCGAAATCGACTCTTTGCCGGCAGGAATGATGTAGACGGCCGAAACTGTGATGACCCTGCAGACCTGAGAGAGTCACCAGACGGCCGCATCGTTGTTCTGAGCGACGAAGAAATCAACTGGCCCGAAGATCCCACTAGGCCAGATGTACTTGCCGATCGGAGGCGTAGAGAGCGAAACCTGCGTGAGTACGACGATGAGGATATCTGGGAATCAAGATATCGACCAAATTATGCTCGTATGAGAATACGACAGTCAAATGCAGCCTTGGAGCGACCAGAAGCAGCTTGGTTGGGTCCAGAGCCGGATCGCTACAAGAGCGATACTGTAGCGAGGGCGCGGTTCAGAATCAAGGACAATAGACATCGAATAGCGATCAAATTTGATCCTCCGGTGTACGTGGTTCCGATGAGTCATGCAAGCACTTCACTGACTCTGAACAGATCTGGAACGCATATTCTGCTCAAGCTGCAAACGCCCTACGTCAATAAGAATATTGACGTGCAGACCGTCATCGCAACTGGCTTCGCGGGTCCCAGGTATTTCCCGGTCGTCCAATTTAAATGATGGATGGACAATGTATGAATAGGAATTCGGCTATATATATTCATGGCAAGCCCATGAATGCCATCATCTACGACTAGATGAGCCAAAGCCAGTGCTCTCGTACCTCGATGACGACGGTACGGGCGAGCTTGAACCTGTGCTGCCTCCCCAGTTCCCGCTGTTGGATCTGTTTGAAGCGCTGCGCGAGCTGCTTGCTCTGTTTCCTGCCATATATGCTGCAGCCGCGCCAGCAGCAGCTCCTGCACCGGTGCCAGTCCAGAAACCAGGTCTCCAAGCCTGGCCGCCCTGTGTGCCGTAGTTGCGGCCTGAGTTTGACTTGCCATATGGTGTGTAAGGTGGCGGTGCATCATCTGAATCATGTTAGCTTTGATGGTCAAGACTAGTTTATAGAGCCTGGAGCCTGTCTTACCATTGTTGTCGTCGTTGTTGCCGCCCCAGCCACCTCCGTAGCCGCGACCTGCGTGTGGCGGACGTCTGTTGTTGCCTCTGACGCAAGAATCCCAAACACCGTAGACGATCATGCCTGCAACAACTGTAGTATGTGTCAGCCTATGCAGAAAGGCAAGGAGTAGTCAAAGCACTTACACGCAAAGAAAGCCCAGAAGATGAGCTTCTCACCAGTTGAGGAAGGTCCACTTCTGTCGTCCTCATCTTTTCTGTGACCATACTTCCTCTCACCCTCCTCTGTGAGCATAAGTCTGTAGCTGACGCCACAACTGCCTTTCAAGACATATGGATCCTCGGGCGAATCATACCCTTCACACGAAACGTCCGTACTGCCTAATTTGAACTCTGGAGGCAGTGACGCTTTGCAAGTCCATTGAACATTTTCGTCATCATAGTCGGAGCCTGCGTTGGTGCAGCGCATCACATCGACATCGTAGAGACCACGTGCGTTGCCACCCATGCATTGTAATTGAGGAATCGCAGATCCACGGCGAGCGCTAGTCTTTTGGCCAGCGCGTAGTGTGAGACTGGAGATTTTGGACAGGAGGACGCTGTTCGATGGTTTGCGGAGAGCATAAGACAGATTCAGGCCCGATAGGAGGGCCAGTAGGAGAGTGGATAACCGCATAGTGACCAATTTCTCTTGCTTGGTGCTGTCGATGGGTCGATGAACAGGTGAAGCAGTGCTCTCAGCTGCTCTTTTTGTCAATTCAGTGATTGTTTGAGTCTTCAAAAGTGGCGAGGACACGGTGGCAGTGCGGTTTCCAAATAGTGGCTGAAGCAGACAAAAGCTGAAGTGGTTGCCTTGCCGTGGGTAATTTGGAGCATGGGCACCAATCGGCAGCACACTCTGACCCTTCCGATCGCTTATCGCTATCTACCCAATCACGCGCCACGCTGCAAAGACTACAGCTCGCGAACTGGCCTTTGTTATAATATAAACAATGAAGCAAAGAATTACATACTTGTTGCACGAGGCTGGTGGTGTTGATCCTGCGACACTTGATGTCAGCGAACATTCTTTAAAATTGCCCGAACTCAAAGCTGCCAAAGAGTGGAGAGTTACGCTGGGCACACGCGAACTGCCAAAGGAAGTATGTGAATGCCTCCTTTCTCCTTCACATCAATCACGTGTGACCTTCAGCATGGGATCTAGAAGCTGACCACAAAGTCTGAAGATAGCACAAGTACTCGAACAGAGTCATGAAATACACATACGCTGGTCTGCTGAGTGGAACTATGATGCAGTAACTCCCTTTTCTTCAAGGGTGCCTTCGGGTCTCCATGTCTTCTACACTCCCGGCGAGGGTGCTTCTACGTACGTCCAATCATCTCGACTACAAATGGCCTATCATTAACTCATGTTGCTAGGGATACACTATGCCCAATGCTAGGCAAGGTCTTTGGTGAACCCGTTAAATGTCAATCGGTAAAGGTATTGTTGCTCGCCTGATCGAAACAATATATATCAAATCAGAGGCTGATGTGTACGAATGTCCCAGAGCTCCTTCTCGATACCCACTATTCTGTCTGAGCGATTTGCCATGTCTGCGAAGTACCAGTATTACAAGCCTCTAGCACGTCTGACGAAACTCATCGGATACCTCTCATCAACCATTTGTGACTCAACAGACATATCATGTCATGCTCAATTCACATCACTTGCGCAGGCAAGTTCCTTGGATCTCGATTACGACACGATATCTCACGCGCTTCGTGCTACCGCGTATTGGGACTGGGCTGTTGCAGCCGACGGCACCCAAGGTGTCTGGGATGAAACTCTGACTCTCCAGTCTTCCTCAGACGCTCTCGAAGTTGGCATCCTAAACATTGAAAAGGCTACAGAGGAAGGAGAAATTGGGTTGAGCGGCTTGCTTACTGTAGTTGGAGAAGACACAAAGCCTAGTGCGACCATGTTCTCCTTCCCTTCAAGGCACCATGCTGCATCAAAGCACTCCGACGAGCTTGCTCTCGAGACTTCGTTCCGCCAGCCTACTGGATTGCACCCTACCTTGGAGCTCAAGTTCCCTGTCAACGCACTGGTACAACCGGACGAGTCGTGCGCCCTCCACGCTTACCTGACCCTACCGTCTGCCGTTTTTGTAGACCGCTATCAACTTTCGGATTCTCTATTCCTTGCTTCGCAGAATCTGGTTGCTCTGCGTAGTTTGAGTGGTGCCACGGATCTGGAGGCGCCCGTATGGACAACACCTCAATGGGGCTCCGCAGCGCTACTCGAAGTTGCGCATCCAGAGACTCCATCAGTCACCAACGACACTTGGACCGTAACGGTTCCGCTACATACGCGCTATATGCCTCCTTCCGCAGACGGAACACACACCGCACATGTCCCATGGCCAGCAGTCTTCTGGGCCTGCGAAGCCGAGGATGGACTGAAGATGTCTGTGAATCCATTTGACCGCACTAATATCGGCTACGACGGACTCTTTGGGCCAAAAACTCTGTTCCATCACATCGGTGCTGCGGCTGAGACGAAGACAATGATGGAAACGCTGGAGATACCAGTGCTAGACGAGACAAAGACTAGATTTGTGGAGGTAGGCACTGGATTGGCTGTGTTGGTTGGATTCTTGTGGGTGATGTGGTGTCTTGCAAGAGGAGCGAGCAAGCAATCTCAGAAAGCAGGAAAGAAAGAGTGACCGGCTGTTGCTTTGCTCTTCAAGCCAGTGGTTCTTACACAGCTTTGTTTAGCCTGTTGGTGCAAAGCAGCCGAGCCACTTTGCTGGCAGAGTCTGCTATGCTATATGAACGACGAGTAGTCTATGGTCGGTGGTGTGTATTCAAGCACAAGACATCTCCTCGAATGGGACCTATACAACAAGGATGCGTCAAAGATGCCTGAGTTCAGGAAGATCATCGATAGGGGTATGCGGGAGATTATGGCTTGTTGAGTCCAGTCGCCCACTCGATCTTTCAAATACCGCAGCGGGCAGGCTGATGGCGTAACGGGCCCACATCTCCTGATCTACCATTTTGCTAGGATATCGTACGTTTATAATGCGGCTCTTAGCTACGGTGATCGCCATACGATCTCTTATACCCATCTGTATCCGACACTCAATTTATGGAAGCTTCTAGAACAGAGCCTCTGAAGAACAAGGGCAACCTCACGACGATTTGCCGTTGCATACCGGAAAATATGCTGACCGGCTGGCTGCTAGTGAACATATTCGGCTTTTTTAAGATCATTGCCGGACATTTGTCACCGACGGATGGGTGATAGAAGTGTACGTCGATAGTAGTACCTGATTCTTCAGGCAGCCAATTATCGATCATGGTTGGCGCGAAACATCTGTTTCACAGAGCTTGCTGGATTGGCGTGGACATGTCTCATACTAGGGGCTGCGATATGGTCAAAAGGACACTATTCAGGAGTAGCAGTAAGAATCTGATCCGATACACACGAGATCCCGATAAGCACAATGGATGTCTATACAGCCAGGCAGAGAAACGAGATGAAATCGGGCAAGGTACTCGGTTAAACCTTCCTTCGGTCAAAGAGGCCGCAACTTCCATATTCGGGCAGCTATGTGCATGTCGCCAGGTTCAATCGTTACGGTATTGGCGCATCGGGGAATCCGAAGTACAAATTCGAGTACATTTACATCGGTCAGCAGAGGTTGTGTTTCCCTGAATTCAAAACTAAAGATACAAGAATGAGCGATGAGTGTCAGAGCACACTCGGGACTCAAATGCCACGTGACGGGCGATGAAGCATGTGAAAAAGAACCTTGAACCAGGCACCGCACAAAAGAAGCTTCGACGTGGCGGTACATGTGCTTGACAAGTAGAGAATGTGCAAACGAATACTCGAAGCAGGCGATTTCGACGAGTGGCTCGGTGATCGAGAGAAAGGCGAGGTTTGGCAGGAATTGAAAGACGAGGGTCCATTTGGATGCCTTGGGAATCGAGAAAGCTTGGACCTTGTGGCATGTGTGACGTGGGTACCTGCCCGCAGTCTGAAAATCGCATAGCATGAGCCAAAGGCAGGAGCGACGACGAGAAAGAGATTTTCACCCATTGCGCTTGATATCATCGACGCAGATTGTACGCTTGTCTGGGCCAACCACGACCACATCAACAACCCATCGCGCACCGAGACACACACAAGTTTTACGCGTCAAGAGAGACACGGAAGTTGCTAGACAGAAACACAAGACTCATCGCGCGTTCACACTCGGCCCAGGTCTGAGGCCTGATCTGACCCGACCGCCAAATCGCTCCTTCACACGACAATGCCAGTTGGCTCGACCCGACGATAGGCATTTCATTCGTGCTCTGCTATATCTCTACTCTCTAGGATAATACCAACTGTGTCGCTACCACTTTCCCTCGTCAGCCATTATTACCAGCAGGCTGCCAGCATCTGCCCGCTACCAGTGACGACTCGTCTCAGTCATACAAACGACCAGATGCAAGCTCAAGCACGTTCCCGTAAGCGCGCGGCCGACGGCAGTGCACAAGACGCTTCGTACCAGTACACGCAGCAGGTGCCAGACGGAGCCTTCGGCGCGAACGACCCACTGGCTACATACCGAAACCCTCTCTCGAACGACGTATCCAACAGCTTTGCCGAGTTCGCGCCTTTTGACAACCCTGGCAACAATCCAGCCGCCGCTGCCAATTTCTTTCCCCAGCAAGTGCCTACTTCTCAGGCGCCCAATTACGGTCAAGCTGTCGCTCCTCCCTCGAATCAGCTCGTCCGCAGGAACACGAACCAGCAAGTCGCTCGCACGCCTCAAAGGAACCAATGGAGTGGTAACTTCGCAAATCAGACCGACCGTGTATGGGAGGACATGGAGCATGAAGAAGAGCAGGACTTGGACCAGAAGGCCGCAATTGCGAAAAAGGACGCCCAAGCAAAGCGAAAACAGATACCGCCATTCGTCCAAAAGCTGAGCAGGTATGTTTGCCAAACACACTTTGGTTTCCCATCTGATTGGAGCCTCTGCTAACACGCATGCAGCTTCCTCGACTCGTCCAATAACACCGAACTGATCCGCTGGTCGGATGATGGCAATTCGTTTATCGTTCTCGATGAAGACGAATTCGCCCGTACGCTAATTCCGGAACTCTTCAAACACAACAACTATGCATCATTCGTGCGTCAACTCAACATGTACGGCTTCCACAAGAAGGTTGGCCTGAATGCCAACTCGATGAAAGCGGCCGAGAAGAAAGTCAAGGATCCTAGCGTCTACTGGCACGAATACTTCAAGAGAGGTCGACCCGATCTGCTGTGGCTCATTCAAAAACCTGCGGCCAAATCCTCGGGCTCCAAAAGGAAAAGAGACCTAGACAAGCGCGAGCCGGGCGACAGCGATGATGATCAGAAGAACTCTCCTGACGCCGGCGACGGAGCTGCGGGCCTGATGACCACCCTCCCGCGGCAGGATATGGGTAATTTCCGCTCGGAGCTACAAAAACTGCAACGCCAGCAGAGTGTCATATCCAAGATGATCACTTCGCTGAAGGACCAGAACGAGCAGTTCTATCGCCAAGCGACTGCTTTCCAGGCTCTTCATGACAGACACGAAAACTCTATCAACGCCATTCTCACCTTCCTGGCCACCTTCTACAACCGTAGCTTAGATGGACATTCCGGTCCCCCGAATTTGGCCAGTTTCCTCAGCAGTGCGTCTATGCCGCAGCAACCCCAGCAACAAGGTAGTGTCTTTGACATGGGCGATGGCGACATGAACGAGAGCAATGTCAACAACCCAAACAATCAACTGCAACGCTACCAAAAACCACGACCTTTACTGTTGCCAGCGCCGAACCCGCAGAACCTCTCTGCTTCACCCTTCTCCAATGCCACGCCTTCTGTCCGCTCGTCCACTAGTCCCGGTCCTGCGCACCAAGGCCAGCAGCCAGCGCAATATGGGCCACACCCACCCCAACCACGACCTCACCAACAGCAACAACCTCAAAGAGCCTCGGTGACCCCCGTGGTCAAGGACGACGCACCTACACCCGACTTCATCAACCAATACCCGGAGAATGACGACGTGATGAATCTCATCCATAATGTCAATGCGAGCAATTCGCCCAACAACGGCGGCGGCGCTGGAAACTATGACATCAACAGTGCGCTGGATCACTTGCAGGCAGTCAACAGCAACAGCCCACTAACGCCACAACAACGTGAGGACATGCTCTCGATGATAGCAGCATCTGGGGCTACAGGCGCAGGCGCCACGGCCGCTCAACCCGGTGCCAACAACGCCCTCATGATGCCCAATCCACCATCAATGCCATCGCTCGACGCACTCCGCCAGAACAAACAGCACCTCGACATGCTGACCAAGCTACAACAGGAGCAAGACTCCAAGGTCGCAGATCTGGCAGGACGTCTCCAACCGCTTTCCCCCACAGGTGCTATTCCAGGCATCAACGCCAACAACTTTGATGAGTTGGGCAACCCCGGTGATTTTGATCTTAGCAGCTACATCAATGACCCGGATGATGGATACTTCAACGCTTTTGGCCCTTCGGACACGACATCTGCAGCTCAACAGTCTGCCTACCAGAGCACCTCGGCACCGACACAGGATGTGAATGATGATCTTGGCTTCACCTGGGACTACAACCAAACAGGAATGTCGGATGACCTCTTTGGCGACAGCGGAGGTGGCGGCGGTGGCACAGGAGTCAATGACGGCAACATGAGCATGGATGAGCGATCAGGCAGGGTAGTCGGAAGTGTCAGCTCAGCCGGCACAAGTCCACCAGACGCGACGAGAGCAACAGCAGAAGATGAAGAAACACCGAGCAAGAGACGAAAGACGAATAATTAGGCAGAATTCGCAACATTCGTAGAGAATCGATGGGAAAATGGCTAGAACAGATTTTTCATGGCTATAGAATACCTCGTTTTCCCTTTCTTGGCCCTCTGGCGTTTGGCATACAGGTTGCTTGTCAAGGTATCGGAAGATGATCCCTCCTCCAGTCTCTTTTCTTTCCTGTTTTTCGCTCGCTATATAATCTCTACTCGATTAGAGAACTTCCGGCATAGATGCTGGATTATTACCATTTCTTTTCTCCTTCATAAGTTCATATCCCTGCGATGCAGCTTTTCAAGTCGTGAATTACTGCTTCTGCTCTTGACTCATGATTGTTCCTTGATAATACAGACAGCCACATGACGTCACTTTGAATTTCGTTTTGCGAGTTGTTATTGAGTTCATCGGAAATGGTGGTCGTTTTGTGCGGACAATGGTGGGTTGTCTAAGCTTGAGGGTCACAAAACTGTTGAAATGGTATAGGACAACCACGCGACGATCAGATGACGGCAAACTTCTGAGTATGGCCTAATACACATTTAAGATGCTAATATACATTTAAGATGCTATAGAAGGAAGCAGTGTACGATATATCCGATGCAGAGTGCAGAAATGGATTGATCATGGTTGGAAACTATGGCCGAGGGTACAACCCTGACCGAAACTACCAGAATTTGGCTTCTTCGGATCCCCCCAAGGACAAAGCATCTCAAGATGGTGACATGGATAGTGTGCATAGCTGGATAAAGTGTCCGTAATAGCGAGCTACTGATAGAAGTCATGAGAAGAACGCCAAAGAAATGCAACAAAGTACCTCCATCTCCCAGCCTTCGTGAGGCCTGCTCCCTGAACGCCTGTGGTAATTGCCGTAGATTGGCAACATCCATCTGCTCAAACGCACTGTATAGTCCTCCTGTCATAGCTTTGCTCATCACTTCTTTTTTCTAAGAGTCTGACCCTCGCCGCTGAAGTAATGCTTCTTCGGTTGCTCTTCCTGGGTATCATCCTTCTTCGCGGGCTTGGGCTTAACCTCGTAACCAAAGAAGAGCTTGCCTGGCGGCAGACGGAGAGGTTGAGGACCATTCTTGCGGGGCTGAGGTTGAGCCATTCCAGGTATACCAACAGTCTCTGCGGGTGCTGGTGTGGATGTGCCGGTGGACGATGGCGTTGCAGTCTTGCTGCTTTTCTTTGCTACGAGACGGTGGCCGGCAGAGATGAAGTGTGAGGCTGCTGCTGCGTGGCCGGTCGCTGCATCTGTGCTGGAGGGGGCGATGGCGGAGTAGTTGATTGCTTGAGCCATGGTGCCTTGTGTGTGGATGGAGCCGCCCATGCCCTTGACTTGAGCGGGCGTCGAGGTACCGCTGTTGCGCTCCGGCTCTACGTAGCCAACAGGAGGGGCGAAATCGACACTGAGATCGGTCTCTTGAACGCTGATGGAGTGTGATTCCTTGTCTGGTTTCAGCTCCAGGACGGCGACTTCGTGGATCTGGTCGACGTAGCTGAAGGAGAAGACATCGCCGACGGTCAGACATGAGTAGTTGCGGAAGACGTTCTCGAGGACGGCCTTGGGGTCTGAGATGTCGAGGAAGGCGGGACTTTGTGGTTGCAGTTTGATGAAGGAGCCGGACGGCAGGTCGGTAGACTTGATCTGGAGTAGGTCGCCAGGGTCGAGAAGCAGCGAACGCATGATCCAGTTTGGCAGGTAGATTTTGCCCTCTTCTGCGGTGAACTCGAGCACTCCGGCATGTGTCTTTGTCTGCTTTGCGCCGTTGATGAGTTCAAACAGCATGGGGTAGGTGATGTGTAGCTGGGTGAGCTTGTCCAGAGCCGAGGCAGGCAGGTACACCTTTCCACCGTGGATGACATCTTCGCGGTCCGTCTTCATCAGGACTGGATAACAGCGGTAGTACTCGTCGAAGCGGCGAGGGCGCCCGCCTCGCGACAGCAAGCCCTGGTTGTACATGGCGAGAGGGTCGTTGCGATACTGCAAGTCTGTTAGCAAGGCTATACTCTATCCGGCTAATGAGAAGGTTTTCGGCATACCATGACAGATGAATGACTGAAATGTTGTTGTCGTGGGTTGCTCAGTCAGGTACTGTCTCTGTCTTGTGAAAGTCTGGAGTCGGCACCATGACGAAATCCACGCGACCTTGTCACTCACACTCACACTCTCACAACTCACGAGTCACGACACGTCTCTTCACCATCAAGTCTCCGAGCTTTGGAACCTGTATCGTATCCATCAACACGTAAACCCATATATACACCAAGAGTCTGTCGTACACGGGTATGGTCGACACGCGGGAAGCTTCATACATATCAACAGCCATCCTGAGCCGATTACAACCCTTACTTGGCTCTTCGTCTGAGCCAGTCTCTAGTACATGCAGTATCCTATCCATCACATCTTCGAGCTTCCACACCCACTACCTTCTCTGTGATTTGTACATGACCAGACATCAGCATAGAATTGCTATACCTTGTCCGCACGGACCTCATGACGCACGAGTCTAGATGATCGCGTCCTTCTCGAAAGTGCTCAATCAACACCGACTCCATCAAACAAACACACTTCCCACAGCGTCAACATGTCCGGGAAGCGTACTGCCGAAGCTTCTGATCGCTACATCTCGCCCGAAAGCAAAAAGCCGCGTTTCGACTACCGCAATCCTTCTACCCTCGCACCAGATGCCCCCGAAGAAGATGCCATCCTGGAGCTGGATGAAATTGGCAAGACTGGTATGCAGACCAAGCGTAATGCCGTGAAGCTCGATGGCTATGAGAGCGACAGCAGCGACGACAACTTCGAAGCAAGAGCAGACGAAAAGGCCGAACTCGCAAAACAAGAAGGCAGATCGGCTGGCGCAGGAGGCGCAAACAATGCTGGATGGAACGCACGTGAAAAGGATACTGGGAAGTCAAAAGACGAGGATGAGATGGACATGTTTGCAGACGTCGACCAAGGCACTGGAGGTGTAGGAGGAACAGCCGACGGAGATGACGATGAGGATTTGCAAGCAACAGGCAAGAAGCCGAAGAAAGATGTCCGCTTCATGGACATCGATGACATTGAAGGCCAAGTGCACAAGAGCAAGTCCGGTGGCCATGTTCGCGCAGACTTCACCCTTGATCCCAAAGGCAAGTCGCGCGCCGACGACGACGCCAGCGTTGAGAGCAGTAGCGAAAGCGGCAGTGACTCGGAACGCGATCGTCTAGATGATGAGAACGAGGATGCGGAGGAACTGGGCGCTGGGAGTAAGAAGAAGCACGCCCCGAAACTCGACGCTTTCAACATGCAACAAGAGGGCGAGGAAGGACGATTCGACGAAGCGGGAAACTTCATCCGCAAAGCAGCCGATCCGGACTCTGTACATGATGCCTGGCTGGTGGGCTTGAACAAAAAGGATATGAAGAAGGCCAAAGCTGCTCAGGAAAAGCGTGACGAGGAGCGAAGGAAACAGACCGCTGCCGATGACGCTCTGTTAACGTCTGATCTCTACTCTACTCTCATCACACACCTTCACAAGGGCGAATCGATCCTCGAAGCCCTACAACGACTCAACGCAGCCGCTCCGAAACAGAAGAAGTTGCCGAAGTGGAAGCAAAAGAAACTAGCCGCCAAAGCAGACGCCATGGATGTAGACGCCGACGGAGGTGCTCAGGAAGATCCGGCCGAGAAGCGTCGTGTAGCTGCCGTTGAAGCCATCACAGCTGCTGCAGACTCTATATTCAGTCGCAACAACCCTGATATCTACGACCATGAGCGCGAACTTCTGCAACGACTATACAAGCGCGAAACCGGCGAGGACTGGATCGACCCTGTTGTAGACGCACCAGCGGACGAGAATGCCATGTTCGAGTTCCGCTGGGTAGATGCCAGAGATGGCGGTCAGACTCATGGACCTTACGACAAGAACACCATGCGCGCATGGCGCGAAGCCGGATACTTTGGTCAAGAGGCCGAGGTGGAGTTCAGGCAGGTTGGACTGGATGGCTGGTCAAGAAGCGTCGACTTCGACTAGTCAGGAGCACAGCAATCACGACTTCATCGTCACGGTGCACACTGAACAGACGAAACGTGTTCTTGAAATGCTTCACTTCTGCCCTACAAGAGGGTGCTGCCCCCAGAATCCCTTTCTATCAGTCATTCACTGCACGGGATTCCACACTCTGTATCCCCAACCCGGCCTCAAAGCCACGCACTCTGAACCACAAGAGGCCTTCAAGTCAATGGCGCGGTCTTGTGGGCGGATGCGGTGAGCGTGGGCGCGGGACAGCAGGCAATGGCGGTGGCGACCTACGTCTGTCCGGCGGAGGAGGACGAGGTGCTGGCGGGTTTTGCGGTCCCTCAGGACGAGGCTTTGTAGATCGCTCCATCGTGAGTTGCCCACTCGCTGCTTTGGTTGCTCTTTGTGAAGATTTCTGAACAATGTAAATCGAAAGAGCAAGCCTGCAGAAGCAGCCATGGTTGAACACACACGACAAATATGACAAAGGAGTATCTTTCTTGCTTCTAACACTCTATGTACCACACCAGTAGTCCGATGACAATCAAGCACCAAATCTTTGTCAATGGACCGAATGAGAAGCCCACAGACGTCGAGCATTGGCCAGCGCCTCCCGTTCCACCTCTCGGCTCAAAACAGCACACGCACAGTAAGAAAGAAGCAAGTCACACAAATGAAGAAGTGACGTGGCAACCACTGCTACCAAGCCCGTGAAAGCTCGCGCAGCAAACACCGTATAACATGTGCGACCTCTGCCTCCGCTCACTCAAGATATAAAATCTCTCGCTCATACTATCACAAGCATCGTGGTCAACCGACACAGCTGAACACAATTACCGAGTCGCTGACGACGAGACCGTCACCACCTGACCATCACGGCATTGCCAACGGGCAAGGATGGCAGTTGGTTCTTGGTATAGAAGCCGTGGACAATGCGGTGTACTGCGGTGTCCAGAGACACGTAAAGCGTCATGAGGACCTCCGGCGTGTGAAGAGTTGATATAAAACAATTGCCGATGTTCACTGGGTAAGGAAGAAAAACATCAACAGTTCCTCAAAAAAAACTTCGGTAACAGCCCAGCTAACCTACCTAATCACAGCAGAACACTCGAAGCAAAGCCGAACGTTCCGAGCTCAAGTCTTGCAATCGAAGTCACTCAAGTGCAAAATCTATATACTCAATGTGTGGTTACACAATTACCTTTTATACCGGCTGTGGTCACAGCACAATTCGCAAGAGACCTTGCTACTCACCACGCCCCGTTGAGTGTCAGAATTGGGCAGACCAAACTCGGGTGCAGAGCAGAACATCGCCTGAGAACTGTCCGCGTTGCCCTGCCCAAGGAAGCGTCCTCGATCCTGAGATGTGGCGCAGAGTCCCTGGTCAGTCAGAGGATCTGCATGTCAGAGTGGGCGGACTGGCAGACAGATACCAGCCAACTCCACCACCTGTGCGTCCTTCAACACATGGCTCAGGGTATGGGTATGGTTATGGATCGCAATATGGCCATGTCGAGGACGATCCGGTGAGAGAAGGTGGAGCCCCAAACCCGTCGCCTAGCGAAGTCAGACGCAACATCTCACACTGGAGAAATGCTGTGAACCCTGCAGGACCTTTCGATACTCGTTCCAACACTAGTTCCAACACAGGAGGCAGTTCACTATATAGGCCGCAAGAACCAGCCACCACACATTCGCGCTCGGCACCACGCCTCTCTAGCTCTGGTGTCGAATTCCGTACAACAACACGACCCAGCCGAAGACGGGAGTATTAAACAAGAACACCCGACGATCATGTTGTTCATCTTCGCACAGAGTACGAAAATAACAATGGTCTCTTCCCCGATGAGGCCGTTTCTCCTCAGTCATCCAGAAGACGTTCTTCTCGCTCTCCACCACCCAGGTTGCCATCTGTTGCGGAGAGCACAAGATTCCACGGACCTGACAATCTTGCACTTGTACGCATCAGACCAGTGGACGCCAGCAGCAGAGCTCAGACAGTCAGAACATCTCGAGAGCCAAGTGTCGTTGGTCTACAGGCTCACAGCGGAGGTGTGGGAGTGAATGCAGCTTATCCAAGATCTATGTCGAGAGGTCGACGTCACAGTGCAGCATCTGGAGGTGTGGGTTCTTTGTGAAGTCCACAGGCACCTGAACCACCTCAAGCACCACAGCCGCCGCAAGGAGGATTCTACTGATGAGGTGACCATTGATGAGATGATGACGGTGGATGTTGTTGAGATGCCTTCGAATGTGGAGCGGATCTAACTTTATGTCATGAGCTTGTTTGAGAAAACGTCTCAACTACACTGCTTATTTGACAAGAAATGCCTTGTCAATGTCGATAACACCTTGTCTGATACTGGTACAACGAATGGAACGAAAAGGTCTACCTTGCAATTAATCCTAAAATCTCGAGTTGTGATGAAGAAGTGTTTCTCGTTGGCTCTTTGCGGTTGTGACATCTCATGACACTTCTTGCTTTACTGACTTATCCTTCGTGACTTCCATAGCTTGAAGCTTGGTCTCCAGAGTTAGAGATCTACTGTGCTTATTTCAACAACAGATTGACGCTTCCACAAGTAGGTTCAGAGTATCTTCTCAGCTCCCATCTTGATCATGCATCAAAACACCAGCTCCTTTCCCTCCCATCTTCCTCTCCTTCTCTCTTCGACTCAACTCAACAAGAACCAAAGCAATCATGCATCTCCTGACATCTCTAACCACTCTCCTCACCCTCTCCACCCTCACCGCAGCCTTCGCCCTCGAAAAGCGTCAAGAAGGCACCTCGATCTCTCTAATCGGCTCAGCCCGCCGCTCAGCCTTCTACTCCGCCTCCGCAGCCTTTGTCGCCGCAACCCCACAGCCCAACTCAATAATCTGCCCTGGAGTAATCGGCGCCGCTCCCACACCTTCTGAATCTCCTAGCGATGATGTGAGATTGAGGACGGATCCTTTGGCTATCAGTGCCTTGGAGGCTAGACAGAGCATTAGGCCGCATGAGAGTAGGAATGGGAATAGGAGGGGTTGGAGGCATTCGCAGACGACGTCGGGAGTGGAGGTGGTGGTTGGGGTTTCGAGTGTTGTGACTGGGTTGCCTGCTTTGGCTTCTGAGATCTGAAGACATTCAATAAAGATGTTTTTGATTATATTCGAAAGACTGTCTGTTTTGATGTCATGAGTTTTGTTCTGGTGAACGTCGAAGATGGAGATGATATCGTGGGAAATTGTTGTGCCCGTAGCCATGTATCAATATACTGTTATTGAATTGCACCAAAATTTCTCTTGACAAATGATAATGGGCCTGGTTGATGAGTCGCTCAGTGTGCCAGTAGTCGTGTATCTATTGTCGACATTCAACGTCTGTGTTGACCTCACTTTTCAGAACGGGCGTCATCACCACGTCTCGCCATCCGTAGATGCTATATTTTCACTCTATGAGGCAAGTGCAGATGATTCGCAGAAAGTGGCGATGCAACCCTGAACGCAGCCTAGCCCTAAGACACGTTATAATGATCAAGATCGTACACCAAGGAAAGCGAGCGAGTTCTGAACCAAGAGCTCAGACTGACCAAAAATGGCCAGCACCATCAAAGAGCCCTTGGGAGAGTATGATTTTTTGTTTTTTTTCTTTCTGCCCAATAAAACCAACAAAGAAACAAGAGGCTGCAATATATCTCAAAAGAATGGCAAGAAGCGCAAAAGTGAGTGATGAGAAAACGCAAGTGCGAAACCAGAGAAGCAGCAAGGGGGGTATCTTCGCACACCTACCGGAAAATGTGGAAAAAATCGATAGATAAGCGCCTCCTGACCGGTTGCTCGCTCCAGGGTTTCCAGCAACGCCCCAAAATGCCCAACAATGCAACTCTTCTGTCGTGAAGAAATCAAGCGCATGTAGAGGTAAGCGCAGGAAAAACAGAGTAAAGCACTAAGTAAAAAGAACAGGGAGAATAGCAAAGACCGAAAAAAACTCCAGATCGCCCTCAAAATCAGTAGGTGAAGCTCAAGGACAGCTCCTCAACTCCCTGATCGATGTCATGAGCTTCGAAAGACGACCAAAAACATGATCCAAACGTGCCAGGCGTAACAGTCGTCAAGAACGCCGATGTAAACCTATTCCGAGGAACACATGACTCCCGAGTAAGAGGCCGTGTTGGAACATGCTGACCATTGTAGGAGAAGTGCCGAGACGCAATGAGAAGCAAGATGCTCGCTGGAGTGTACGAGGAGTGATAGAGTCAGACGACCGAAGCTTCGAAGTGGATAAATTAGGTCAGCTTAAGCATTCCCCTGAGCTTGGCCTCCATGCCCTTGACATCAGGAGAATGCTCAGGCTGGAATGGGCGCTGAGGAGGGGGTGGTTGTGGTCGATGAGCACCGATATACTGCGCAGGACTGTGATAGGGCTGCTGCTGCTGATAGTGTTGCTGCTGCGGCGATGGTGCGGCATGTTGGGGACGTGAAACGAAGGGCGAGTGAGACTGAGACTCGAGATATGCACGGGGATCGAAAGGTTGCTGCGAGTGGCCTGCAGACGCCTGTGGCGACGAGGGGTCATTGCGAACAGCATTGAAGAGCGGGGTCAAGCTGCGGTTGCCGTAGTGCAATGAAGGGTCAGCGTCGAGGGTACGCTGCTGTTGAGGCGTCTGGAATGCAGGATTCGGCTGGGCACGAGGCTGAGCGGGAGAGGTAGTAGAGGGCTGCAAATTCAGGAAGTTCTTGAGCGACTGCGTATAAGCCTGTCGATCGACCTCTGCCTGATTGTGTTTAGCAGCCGGGCTACTAGATGTATCGATGTCCAACTTGAACAAGCCCTTTGCTTCTGGTGGTGTAGGACGTCTCTGGGCTAAGGGAGAACTCTTGCTAGCACGCTCCTGTCTGTCGGCATTGAAGAAGATGTCGAGCGGAGATCTTTCCCGAGACAGAGGTTGAGGGACCGCATTGTCAAGAGATGGCGAAGGTCCATTGAGCTTTGTGGATTCGGCGTCCAGTTTGGCCTGCATCGAATTGCTTGTGGTGACAGGGGGCACGGACTTTGAAGCGAACTTTGGCATGGGCAGATTCGAAGCGGCGGGAGAGGCATGGAAGGTAGGACCGGCGTAGGCGGCGGGCTTCGCAGGGGTGGCAGTAGGCGACTTGTGAGCGGGCTTGGAACGGGGATTCGTAGCCTTGGGGACGTCGCTGTTGGAAGCGGCGCGGTTGTCGTTCTGCTGCCTAGGCCTGGTCTTCTTGGGCTTCGGAGTGGTCGCTTGCGAGGGAAGACCCGAGTCGGACTGAGTGTTCTGCTGGTCGTGGTGCATGTTGACATTGCGAGGACGCGGCGGCCGTGTGTTGCGCTGGTTGGCGGCTTGTGTCGGGCTGCTGGACATGTTGTGATATTGGGAAGCGAAAGTCGAAGATTGCTGGAAGGGAGCAGCGACTACTGTAGACATGACAAGTGCGCAGAATGGCAGCTTCGAATGACTAGGGAGATGTTGACTTCCTGTACGGGCGCGTGGGACCGAGGTATATGTCGCTGTCGTGAGTTGCCAACAGACGATGGATTGCGAGTGAAGGAGATTGGATCCTCTTGGGCGTATGACAGAGGTGAAATAGGTGTCGCTGAAGAAAGTCGCCGAAATAAGGAGAATGAATGAGTTGGAGGGAGTTGGATGAGAGAGTGGGAGTGGGCGTAGCCGCACGTGGAGGTGGTCATTACCTGTAAGTCAATTGCGCCCGACGGGGCTAATCGCTCCAATCACAGCGCGTGAGCGGATCTAAGATTATCTTAATCAGATCTGACGCAAGCGCGTTCGGCAGGCGTGGCCGAGGCTCCGTGTTTCAAGGTGTTAGCAACAGCTGCCTGTTCTAGCATCTATCAAACACTTGCATTCACATCTGGACCCGCTTTCACAGACAATCTTCGCGACATCCGATTCTTCCGCCCGTTCATCTACATCGCCCGTCAATTCGTGCCTCTACGCACACCACGACAACAGACATGGCCGACGTCGAGATGACCGACGCCCCTCCCAAGACAAAGGTCCCCAAGCCCGACATTGCTGCCGACTCTGGAAAGAAGCGCTTCGAAGTCAAGAAGGTGAAGACGCACACCCTGCTCTGTCTCTGTGCATGCATACTGACGGTGCTGCCGTAGTGGAACGCTGTTGCTCTCTGGGCTTGGGATATCGTCGTTGACAACTGTGCCATCTGCCGTAACCACATCATGGACTTGTGTACGCTCGCCTCGTCCTCACCTCTTGGTCGCATAACGTACTGACCATCGCACAAGGTATCGATTGTCAAGCCAACCAGGCATCCGCCACCAGCGAGGAATGTACCGTAGCCTGGGGCATCTGCAACGTGAGCTTACCCACCCAACTCCACCTGTTGCACCTACTAACATTGGGCCAGCACGCCTTCCACTTCCACTGCATTTCCAGATGGCTCAAGACCCGTCAGGTCTGCCCTCTCGACAACAGAGACTGGGAGTTCCAAAAGTACGGCCGATAAATCCTCCTGTTCGCCACGCCGACCCATCAATACCCTTGCTTCACATGCATTCCAGCCTCGACTTCCCTGCGATTCAGCCATCTGTCCGCACCTCGAACTAGATCCAAGGCACAGAAAGAGCTGCTTTGCGGTTAGACTGGAAGAACACAACCCATCAGACGTCGTCGTTAGATTTGATGCGACATCACACGACCGAAGAGATAGCATTACAACCTGGCGCTTTTCGATTGCGCCCATGTTAATGAAAGGCAGAAACATGCCATATTTATGATTCCAAAAACTCCTGTTCGACCTGCCGAACGCAATGTCACTGCTCTGGCTTGCTCCTTGAACGCCTCAAACACGCTTGCTCTTGTGAAATTTATTGTACTTTCTTGCCGTCGACTGTAATGTCTATGCCTGTGACTCCGTTTGACTTTCTTGCAGGCAGCCACCTGACGGGATCCTTGTTGTAGATAGACCATGGGGGCACGCACACGACGAACGTGAGGGCTGCTCCAGCGAGGAGAATCCAGAGAGTGTATGCTATGTTCTGAGTTGCGAAGCCAATCATGAAAGCAATGACCTGGCGGGAAGTTAGCCTAGTGAACACTCTCACAAGATGGCCACCGTGGACTGCGATACGGCAGAGGTCGTGACCAAGGGCGGGAAGTTAGACATACTCCAGCAGTGCTTAGTAGGACGCTACAGAACATCTCGACCAGACGTTGACCTTCAAAGTCCTATGAGCTGTTAGTTGTCGTTCCGTGCCTGGTAGATTCGCAAATCTTACAATCTCGCCCTCCCAGATCTTACGTCCAGATTCGATGATTGCGTCCATTGTAATATTGCTTGTGCTGTCGTGTCGTGAGATTATAGACTGGCGAAGGGCATCAACAAGCTACATAGGTGTTCGTCAGGGTCGCGAATGCTCGGGGAAGACGACGCCGACTGAATATGTCCGTGCAGCCGAGCCGATGACCGCTTCCGCCGACCTGGCTTGGACTTTTGGATGCTTCTACAGAGTACTTTAGTTTTGCTAATATCTCATCTTGGTCCATCATCAATCTTGTATTGCTCTACTCACTCAATTCAGTTCGGCAGATTCTGTTCGCGACAAAGATCATTGCAACGCCTGAAACCAACCTTTCTACAATAATCTATCACTTTGTCAAAGCCACCACCCAGTCTATTTTCGACACAAACGACTTTCACTTGTTTTCAGTCTTCACTCTATCTGAACTCACACACACGATCTGATCTTATTTCTCAATTCCTTTCCAACACATTCGCCTCGCAACATACCAAGATCTTGAGCCAGAGACGGCTCTTTTTCAGTGGAATGTCAACCAACAACATAACCCTACCAACAAATGGTGATGCCAGTAGGTCGACCGATCGTAGGAGACGTCAATTGCAGTGAGACTAATAGAAAGTAGTGGATCAACCTGAACGAGCACTCGTGAATCAAGATGCAGCCGCCGAGACTGTCGCTGCTATCGCACAAGCACAAGCAATGAGCGCTGGTAATTGGATTGATCTCATCCATCTTGTCCTCGAAGTTGATTGTTTACAGATGAGATCGCACTCTATGATCGTCAAATCCGTCTTTGGGGCGTGCAGGCCCAGGAGAGGTAAGATGGCTCTTTTGATCATGGAAAAGTACTAATAAATGACCAGAATGCGCTCTGCCAACATCCTCCTCATCTCCGTCAAGGCACTGGGTACGGAGATTGCCAAGAACCTCATTCTCAACGGTATTGGCTCCTTGACGATTGTGGACAGCGAGCAGGTCTCCGAGGATGATCTGGGCGCTCAGTACTTTGTGCGCGAGGAAGACATTGGTCGTAACGTGAGTGTCACCAAGAGCTTCTGAAGATCTTTCAGCCTAACTAATGGACATCACAGCGAGCAGAAGCTGCTTCAGAGCGCCTCCAGGAGTTGAACCCAAGAGTTGCTGTAAGAACCGACAGCAGCAACATCTTGACTAAGGATCAGACCTACTATGCCCCCTTCCAACTCGTCATCGCTTGCGACCAAAATCTGGAAACCATGGCCACCATCAACGCCGCATGTCGACTCGCTAATCGTCCTTTCTACGCTTCTGGAATCCACGGCTTCTACGGCTTCATCTTCGCTGACTTGATCTTGCACGATTATATCATCGAGCGCGAGACTTCCAACATGCCTGCCGTTATCAAACAGGAATCCACGACTCGCAGCATCATCGGTGTCACGACAAAGAAGCAGAACGGCAAGAACATCGAGACCGTCACAAAGCGTGAAGTTTACTCTCCTCTGCTACTTGCCAACACTTCACCCTTGCCCGATGACTTCATTCGTAACCGTCGTAAGATGAAGTCCGTTACACCTCTGCTCCCTTGTCTCCGTGCACTCTGGGACTTTGAGCGCGACGCCCACCGTCTGCCCGACCAGAACTCCAAGCACGATCTGGCTGAGTTCACTCGCATGGCTACCATCAAGCTTAAGGAACTTCAAATGCCGGTCGAGACACTGACAGCCGAGTTCCTCCGCAGCTTCCTGCACAATATCGGCAGCGAGATCGTGCCCACTGCTGCTTTCGTTGGTGGTAGGCTAGCCGAGGATGTCATCAACGTGCTCGGAAAGCGTGAGCAGCCCATCCAGAACTTCGTCATGTTTGATGGCGAGAATTTTGATGGACCAATCTACCCTCTGCAGACATTCCTGCAGCCCAACGGCTTGGGGGTTCCGCAAGTGCAGCCTTCTGACCTGGAGATGCAGAAGATGCAGAATGGCAACGGCAACGGAGTACCGATCAACAACGCCATCTCTTCCGCACCTGCCGATGGCTCTAATGCTGTACAAGGCGTTGAGCCCGAATCTATCATCCTCGAGTAAAGATTACTGGTACATCTTGACGATTTGCTTTCACGAGACAAGGAACAAGAAGCTTACAGATTCCTCTGGTGCTCCCGCTCTGATGGACAGTGTTGATAGTAAGACCAATCCAGAATCCCTGAGTCTTGCACACTTTCACAGGGTAAAGACGGCAGGTTACTATGGTCTTACGGCGGCTCGACAACAGAGAGAACACTGCAATCGACGAATCAGCCAATGCAAAAGACAAAGCGCAAGGCATACGGGTAGATGCTTCCTTTTGCAGCATGAGGAATCAGTATCGCTAAGAACCTTGTCTTTCTTTACTCTATACACATAGTTGATTCATCCCCCGAAAAGGCCATCCATAGTTAGAACCGTTGGATGCCGAAGAGCAGAGAATGAGAATCTTGAAAACAGAAAACGCCAGATGTGCCCCTCTTTCACACCAATATGCCAGTGATGATTAGTTCTTCCCCTTCCGAAACGTTGTCCTCTTCTCCGCATTACGTGGACATCGAGGTCTTCACAGCATGCAGCACCTCTGTGCCGCTTGGACGACGCCTCAAGCAGAAATCGGCCAATTGCCGAGCTAAGTGAAGCAGGATGCTCAGACAGTACCAGCAATGCTCAGCTCACGAATCTCCTGCAAGACCTGCTCAACTCTCGCATCCAGATTACCGTTGGCGTACTGATCTCTGGTGTCAGGATCCAAGTACTGCTGCACCTGAGCCATTCTCGAGTAAGCCTCTGCGCAGAATCGCAACTGAATCTTGACGAGAGCTTCAAAGGAAGGATCCAGGTATGGCACGCGCAGTTCGATGAGTTGGGGCAGATCATTGAAGAGTTGTTCATTGAGTTGTTCGTAGGCGGCCTTGAGCATTTCGGCTTCCTTTTCCGTACGGGGTAGCTTTGTGACGTCCTTGTCGGGCTTTTCGGCTAGGCGTTTGACTTGGGCGCGGACGCGGTCGTAGTCTAGGAGTTTGTGGTTGCGTTTCTTAATGCCTGTGTCAAGCTTGTGTCAGCATGATGCTTGAAAGAGGAAACCCAGAAAGAGCGCGGGTAGTCATCACATACACTCGTTGATGTCGGGGAAGTAGGCGCAGAAGCGGTTGATGGGGTCCAGGACGGTGGAGCGGAAAGGTCCATCCAATGCCTTGATTGTTTCGGCATCCAAGTCCTCGACTGCCTGCTTGTAGCTGCGAGAAACACCGTCGTTGGCGCCGGCGTCACCGTAGAAGGCGTCGATCGTCTCGGCAATGCGCATCTGCGAGGCAGTCATTGCGCGCAAGCTGTCCAGATAGCCCTTCGATTCCTTCTGGAGACGAGTGGCGGCGTTTTCCATGACTCTATAGCGGCGTTCTTCGACTTCATAGCTGCGATCGTGGGTTTGTTCGACACGGCCAGTCTTGACCATGACCTGGGTGGTGGCCCGATTGACGTTCTTCTTGAAGCCAGCCCACGACATGTTGGAAGGCGTCTTGGGGCTTGTGCTTTTGTGTGTGTTGCTTGGAGATCCTTTGCTGAGGAGTCTGTGCCAGGGAGAAGAGGTGACAGGAGGGCCGGTTTTAGGTGTAGAATGATTGTCCGGTGACAGCGGTATACAGCCCTCATGAACAGTCTGGAGTTGATGCGCGCCCAGCGCCTCAGCCACTGACGCTCCACGCTTGCGACGCACGGTCCATCCAGGGCTCGGATGTTGATCAGCCGGCGTTGCCGACATAACTCCGGTGCTTTGCTGTTTGCTGCGTGCTTTTGTACGAAGGAGATATTCGACAGTTTGTTGTCCAATGTCGCCAAAATCAATTCGTGCAGTATGCGCGCGCTCTGCAAAACAAAGTGTTGTGTGCCGGCCACTCACACGCCTCAGCAGCAGTGAAGCTTCACCATCGCCAAGAGTCATTTTTTCCGGCATCCAGCCTACCGGAGTACCACATCTCGGCAACTATCTGGGTGCTATGCAGCAATGGGTCAAACTACAGAACGAAGCCTCTGCCAACACATCTCTGATATACTCGGTCGTGGACCTACATGCTATCACTGTGTATCAGGATCCTAATGCTCTAAGGACTTCAAAAAGGGAGATGCTGGCCGCTCTTCTTGCTGTCGGACTAGATCCTCAAAAGTGTACCATCTTCTACCAAAGCGATGTAGGACATTCACAAGTGAGGCCATGTAGAGAAGTCCCAGGCTGATGGGAAGAGTAGGTACCTGCACATTCTGAACTCATGTGGATATTAAGCTGTTCGGCATCTATGGGATATCTCTCAAGGATGACACAATGGAAGGTTTGTATTTTTCTCCCTAACATTAGCCTTCTCAACCTGCTCGCCATTTCCCTTACCATCAATCTTTTCTTTTCTTACCCGTGGCTGTATCTAACGTATACCCAAGAGCAAACTTGACTTGGACGAGAATGCCAATCCATTAGACTCTTCCACCAAAACGAAGCTGAAGCTCGGCCTCTTCTCCTACCCAGTCCTCCAAGCAGCAGATATCTTGATTCACCGAGCCACACATGTGCCAGTTGGTCATGATCAGTCTCAGCATCTCGAGTTCGCACGTGAGTGCGCTGCAGGCTTCAACCATCTGGCCGGTGACAAGCTTCTCGTGCAGCCAGAGACTTTGCTATGTAAGTCTCCTGTCGTTTCCAAGCAGCTACCCAGAATGTCCGGTAATGATATGGACCGTAACTAACCTGTCACCTCAGCTCCCGCGAAGCGAGTCATGGCACTCGACAAACCAACCAACAAAATGTCAAAATCGGCGCTGAACCCAAAGTCACGGATCCTGATTACAGATTCCTCGTCAACAATCTCCAAGAAGCTGCGGGTTGCATTGACCGATAGTATCGAAGGCGTGACATACGACCCTTCGAGTCGCCCTGGTGTCTCCAACCTCATCGAGATTGCCTTCAACCTTGATGGCTCCAACCATGGTGCAGCCAGTCCTGCCGAGTATGCAAAGGATTTCGAGGGATTGAGCCTTAAGGCACTCAAGAACAAGGTTGCAGAGGTCGTTGATGATCACCTTATGCCCATTCGATCAAAGTTCGAGGAGATTATTGGTGGCGATGGCAAAATTCTTCAGGAGGCTGCGCAGATTGGTGCAGAGAAGGCTAGGAAGTCGGCCGAGTCGACTATGCAGTTGGTCAGGCATGCGGTTGGCTTCTAAGGAACTTCTGTATGCTATGGATGTATTATATCCACAACACTTTCGGAATGCTGTAGCACATGAGTTTTGAGTCATCTGGTGTCTGCTGGATCTATTTGTGACTTTGATTTAGACGAATTCACCTTTATCGCATCACGAAACCAAGCTGAGAGGTCAGGGTTAGTGATTTGGGGGGTCGAGCTTTCCCCACACAGCCGATGGTGAAGCACGTCACAATTCGGACACGAAACATTGAATCGAATAATTGTCGACAGCAATCATCGCGATTAACAGACGTGTTCAGCAGTTGGGAGAGGATATGGATCGTTGGTCGTTCTAACAGTGAGACATATTAGAGCCAGAACAATGACGACGACAACGGCAAAACGTATCGCACTCGCGCTGTCCAACATTTTGATACCCATCGCGGTACTCGTCTTTGCGACAGGCTTCTTTCCCTACAAACCCTTTCTGTCTGGACTGGCCACTTTTGAAGAGGTAGAAAACGAAGAGCTAGGACTGGGTCTATTGCAAGGCAATGACCGACCACAACGGGTTTTCGACAAAGTCATATTCATGACAGTGGACGCGTTAAGGAGGTGGGTATGTTCTCCTAGGGACAGATTTGCAAGGACAAGATACTGATGAGCTAGCAGTGATTTTGTGTATGGCCATGGATCGGGCTTCGAGTTTACGCAGAGTCTCATACGCTCTGGTGCAGCGATACCCTTCACGGCACATGCCACTCCACCAACAATCACCATGCCGAGAGTCAAGGCCTTGACCACAGGCTCCGTTCCCTCCTTCCTCGATGTTATTCTCAACTTCGCAGAGAGTGATACAAGTTCTTCTTTGGCTACCCAAGACACATGGCTCGCTCAAGCAAAAGCAAATCTCGACAACGCCAACCTCATCTTCTATGGTGACGATACATGGCTGAAGCTCTTTCCTGACTTCTTCGCCCGACATGATGGCACCAGTTCTTTTTTCGTCTCCGACTTCACCGAAGTTGACATCAACGTCACGCGACACGTACCTCGAGAGCTTGATCAGCCAGACTGGGATGTCATGATTATGCACTATCTTGGTCTGGACCATATCGGCCACAAAGCTGGTCCTCTCAGCCCAAATATGCTTCCAAAGCAGAAAGAGATGGATGGTATCGTGAAGAAGATATACGAAGCCATGGAGCTGAACGACCACCTTGATGACACTTTGCTCATTGTGGCTGGCGATCACGGAATGAATTCTGGTGGTAATCATGGAGGTTCTGCTCCAGGAGAAACAGAGCCTGCTCTCGTCTTCATCGCGCCCAAATTCATGGACCTAGAAAATTCGGCGTATACTGCACCAACCAATCCTAAAAAGGGTACTGAATTTGAGTTCTACCGCAAGGTTGCTCAAAATGATGTTGTTCCTACTATATCTGCCCTTCTAGGACTCCCAATCCCTCGCAACAATCTTGGAGTCATCCTGCCTGAGATGCTCGGATTTTGGAAGACAAAAGCCAGTACTTCTGGTATGAACACTGCGGCCGAGTTGCTTTACCGAAACGCCTTGCAGATGTTAAATATCATCAAGGCCAAATTCGGTGATTCTGAAGCTTGGAGTTACGATCCGAGGACTTATGGCTCGGTGCAGATGGATTGTCAGGGCCTCGAGGATGAGCAGAGGTTGAAATGCCGATGGTTCTTGATCAGAGATGCTCTCTCTCGAAGTCAGCAACCGGGAGAGCTTCTCGCTTCTATTGTGCATCTGACGGAGGTAAGTAATCCTGGCAGGCTTTTTTACATGTGCTAACGTTTCACAAGTTTCTCAATGATGCGCAGGATGTGCTGAGTACCACCGCGAGCAGCTACAACGTCGATCGCTTGATTACTGGTGCTGCTATCTCCACCGTTTCTCTCATCCTGGCTATCGTCTCCAAAGAGCGCATTTGGCCACCTACTTCTGCTGGTCTAGGCCTCACTTTGATTACCGCCCTCTACGGTATTATGATGTTTGCAACCAGCTATGTCGAAGAAGAGCAACACTTCTGGTACTGGGCTACAGCAGCATGGATGGCCTACCTCTATGCAGCAAAGTAAGCTCATCTCCGTTCCATACTTTCGCACATAACTAATGGCGTCTGACTAGGACGAACGTCACTGGTCTTCGCACGTCGGTCGTCTTTTCGACCTTCGTTCTTCTCGCGCTTCATCGCCTATCGACACGCTGGAACCAGACTGGACAGAAACATGCCGGTGAATCTGATGTCGCCCATACATTCTTTTCTGATCATCACATCATCCTCTGGATGCTCATTATTACGACATATATCCACCTGGCGTTCCGCATCGGTCGTCGAACTTTTGCTGAAATCTTTGCTCCCGAGTTCGCAACAATTTCTGCCATTTCTCTGGTCCTGCCTTCGTTTGTGTTCAAGCTCAACTTCACGCAGGCTGATGCGCCAGAGTTAGTCGGTGGTCTGGCAGAAAGCATCAGACAACTTACCTCCGAGTTGGACCTTGTAATGCAGGCTAGGACTGCCTTTGTGGGACTAGGCATTTCTGCTCTGGTTGTCATCACAATGGTAGCCTTAGGATATGGGCGCGAGGATGAAGTAGTGAGAAAGGGCGCTGGCAAGTTCAGAGAGTCCCGTCTGCCATCTCGGCTTCATGACCTTTTGACCCTTTTCCTGCTCACGCAGACTCGCGCCCAAAACATTCCACTTTTCATGTTCTTCGATCTGCAGTCTCAGAATTTGTTTCACCTGCTCTCACGCCCCACCAAGCCTATCCGTTCTGGATCTCATGCTTACACGAAGCCTCTGCCCATCCTCCTTACGACTATCACAATCCTTCTCCTGGCACACACATCTTTCTTCGCTCTCGGTAATTCCAACGCTATTTCGAGCATTGATCTCAGCAACGCATACAACGGCGTTAGCGGCTACAATGTCGTTGCCGTTGGAGTCCTCCTCTTCGCATCGAATTGGGCCGGCCCAATCTATTGGAGCACATGTGCCGCGGTACTCTTTACTCTGCCATCTACTGAGCAAGAAGAAGCAGCCTTGGATCGTCTTGAGCAAGCGGCTGAAAGGGAAAAAGCTTTGGGTAGCAAGAAATGGATTTCTGAGGAGAGGGACTTGCTTCACCAGCAAGCTACTGCCGCATCTTCTGCTTCTACAAAGACGATAGAGGGCAAGGATGATAACGTCTGGCACGAACACATCAGTACGATGACGATCTTCGTGTCTTCGAGCTTGGTGGCTGTCATGGTCGCCTGCACTGTGTTGAGAACCCATCTGTTCATTTGGACAGTGTTTAGTCCGAAGTACCTGTACGCCATGGCTTGGGCTGTCGCATGGCACCTTGTTGTCAACATCGGACTTGGAGGACTCTTGTGGAGTGTTAGATGAGTATAGAGATAGACAGCTATCAATGTAATGATATGGAGGCTGTATATAGGAAACATAAAGGCTTCGGCTGAGGACTTACCAGGTCTCTTACATGTATTGGCCTTGCATGCGACCATCATATCTCAGAAGATCCCAGGGCTCGGTTTGACGCGAGATAAGACTGACGTATCTGACATGTCTTCGGCCGAAAAACAAGTGGGGATATGGAGATCACTCTGGATGTATAAGAGTTGTGCTCGATTCACTTTCTACCTCATCAGAATATTCTAAAATATCTTCCTCGTATAGAATCGATTGTGAATCGTGCCAAAATCCAAGATAATTTCTTCTTCACCAGCAGGACCAAATGTCATCAAAGGCGGTGCTACATTCACAGGAGATGTATACCTGAGCATGCTCCTTCACGACAACTCCGCCGCAATAGCGTAAGTACAACAACCCACATCTCCAAATCGACCAACGATAAAAACCCTCATGGCTGTACTAAGCCAAGGTAAAACAGCCATGTGACTTTCACCCCATGCGCTCGTACCCACTGGCACACCCACGAAAAGGATCAATACCTCCAGGTCCTGCATGGCGAAGGCTGGATCTGTGATAAAGACTCTTCACCGAGGAAAATCAAGGCTGGAGATTTGATTTGGGCTCCTCCAGGGTCCACGCATTGGCATGGGGCGGAGGAGAAGAGTGTCATGACGCATTTGGCTGTTGGGTTAGGAGCGACCACTTGGGGGGAGAAGGTTACGGATGAGCAATTTGGAGTTGAGAAGATGTGAATGGAACGGAGGTCTTTTGTTGTGGGATAAAAGGGAAGGAAGGTGGAATCACAGTGGACGAAAGCTCGGCAGGATATCGGGGAGCATGCTAGCCAGCTTTGACGAGAGACACTCCCTTTCAAGGCTGATATAATTGAAGGCTGTGTATACAATCCTTATGTCCACCATGGAGGGTGGTGTTGGTAGCGTTGATGAATAGTAGGCATCTCAAAGAGATATCATCGTATCTCGTAAAACCGGCTCAATGACGGCAAGATTTGCCGTTCTGTCGGCCGTCAATTGCAGGGCGTGGCATCTTCATCTTTTTGTCTATTAATAAGTAGTTGTTTCCTTTGTGTCAATTGGCAATTCAGACGATCAAATAGTACCGACGAGGCATTCGAGACAATGGTAGGTCGAACCATTCCCTGCTCTGTCCAATCTATGGAGACGATGTCCACATAAATGTCACAGGCCTACAACAGCGACGTACTATGAAGGCGCCCGCTAGTCATTGGAGATACTGACCTGAACATATTATTTCCAACTGACTTTAGATCTATCTTCAAACTCGAATAGTCACTTTCACTCCACCAACTCATACTGATGATTTCTGCAGGCCACCCCAACGAGAACCTATCTTGCATTCCAGCACAATGCAAAGCTGTTCTCTCTGGCAACTGCGATTAGATCAATCCGTTCGGCGACTTCTCTAGATGAGCAGAACCGATCTCTGTTCAAACAAGCTACCGACGATGATCATGTAGTCGTCACTGAACAAACCATTTTCCATCCGCAAGGTGGCGGCCAACCCTCCGACGTAGGCGTGATGAAAACTTCCAACAGCGTTTTCAAAGTCAGTGCGGTTCGTATGGATGTTGTCTCTAACGGACAAGTTCTGCACTTTGGTCGTTTCGAATCTGGGCACAATGCATTCGCCGAGGGAGAGACGGTCACGCAAGAGGTTGATGTTGAGAAGCGTCTACTCTACTCGAGACTGCACACAGCCGGACACGTACTGGGAGCAGCAACAAGGAAGCTCCTTGAGAAGGAAATTGAAGGCTTCGATGAGCTCAAAGCATCGCACTTCCCCGATGCCGCATCTTGCGAGTTTCAAGGATCAATTGAGGGCAAATGGAAAGACGCGATCCAGAAGAAGGTCGACGAATACGTTGATGGCGACTTGCCTGTCGAGATTGAATGGTGGAGTGAAGATGACTTCAAGAAAAATGGTCTTGAAAGACTTATCACCGACAATCCCAATGTTGCAGCAGGAGAGAAGTTCAGAGTCGTCAAGATTGTTGGAGCGGACACTTATCCTTGTGGTGGTACACACGTTGACAGCACATTGGCTTGTGGAAAGACGACAGTAAGAAAGATCAGTAGGAGCAAAGGAACAAGCAGGGTCTCATATGCCGTTGCATAGATGATATCTGATACATCTTTGTAGTATAGAGATCGACATATAGACTACTGACCTACTCTAGTAGTTTTTCTCCGTCAACGATGTTATCAAATTCATCGCCTCGACTCAAAAGCTGTTATTATATCGAAATCTGTGCAACATTGGAGTCTGCGGCAATAGGAGCACGTTGTTGCGCCGTGCTGCTTGAAACTTCAGCCGCAACGACGGGATGACGTAGCAAGATACCACCTTCCTCTTCTGCTTGTTATGCTGGAGCGATATCGCTTCTTTTACTGTTTTCTGCGCGAAAACATTCGCATGCTGAGCCACTGCGAGCGCCACTAGGTGCACTTCGATGTCGTGATCGCGCAACTATTTGCACTGAAAGCGTGTTCATCGCCCATGTCATTGCAACGGAGGAGAGATTGGTAAGCGGAGCGTTTCGCTTCGTGCACGACCCGGGCATTCGGCGGTGGTCTTGCCCTCACGGTCCTCACCGTTTTCTCCCAGCTTCTACAGATTTGCTTAATAAAGCAGTTCTTGACTAGGGGAGATACATAAGTAGGCGTCGAACAAATAGCGAATTGAGATCTTCTGTTCTCATCTCCATTTTCTACTTTCAGACTTTAGCATTACAAGCGAGCGTCACCCCTTTCCATTTTTTCAACTTTCACAACAATCACACACAATGGCATCCAAACTCTTCCAGCCCCTCAAGATTGGCAAGGCCAAGTTGTCCAACCGCTTGGCCATGGCTCCTTTGACCAGATTCCGCGCCGATGATGAGCACGTCCAACTCCCTTTCGTCAAGGACTACTACTCCCAGCGCTCCAGCGTTCCTGGCACTCTGATCATCACTGAAGCCACTCCTATCTCGGCTCGTGCTGGTGGTTACAACAATGTCCCCGGTATCTACACTGATGCTCAAATCAAGGCCTGGAAGGAGATTGTCGACTCTGTCCACGCCAAAGGAGGTGTTATCTACATGCAGCTGTGGGCCCTTGGACGCACTGCTGACCCTAGCGCACTCAAGAAGGATGGTTACGAGCTCTGCTCCTCTTCAGACATCCCCATGAGCGACAACTCGCCCAAGCCTCGTCCTCTGACCGAGGACGAAATCCAGATTCTCATCAAGGACTATGCCAATGCTGCTAAGAACGCTATTGACGGTGCTGGCTTCGACGGTGTTGAGATACATGGAGCCAATGGCTACCTGATTGATCAGTTCACTCAGGATACTTGCAACAAGCGCGAAGACAGATGGGGCGGCAGTGTTGAGAACCGCACCCGCTTCGCTCTTGAGGTCACCAAGGCCGTTGTTGACGCTGTTGGCGCTGACAAGACTGGCATCAGACTCTCTCCTTGGTCTCCTTTCCAGGGCATGAAGATGGATGACCCCGTCCCTACTTTCACTCACCTCGTCAACGGACTTAACGAGCACAGGCTCGCTTACCTCCACTTGGTTGAGTCCAGAATCCAGGGCAACGCCGACGTTGAGTCGACTGAGAAGATTGACTTTGCTGTTGACGCCTGGGGCAAGACATCTCCTATCCTGATCGCCGGTGGTTTCCGCACCGATAGCGCCTACCGTGCTGCTGATGAGGAGTACGCTGACAAGGACGTTGTCATCGTCTTTGGCAGATACTTCATCTCCAACCCCGACCTGGTCTACCGTGTCAAGCAGAAGATCCCACTTGCCGACTACGACCGTGACACCTTCTATGCCGCCAAGAGCGAGAAGGGTTACACCGACTACCCCTTCAGCGAGGAGTTCCAAAAGGAGTCCAAGCTGTAGATATGGCCTTATGATGTTTGCATTGCCCCAAAGATACCACTAGACGATTTCACAGAGTACGAGCTAGATTACCATAGATCTTCACCCTAGACGATACAAAGATTCACGAGATCTCTTTTCTCTTAGCCTCTCCGAAATATCTTTGCACTAACACACAATACCTCTTAGATTTGCAGTGATGCCACGGAGATGTGTCTCTTAGTCAACTTTCTGCGACAACCCACCGCGGAGTCCTTCGTACCTGCCTTGTGCATCGGACTTCCGCATCTCAAAAACCAGCAGGCTGTCGGCATTCTAGTCTATCACTTATCCGGACGACTACCATCACACTCTTCATTAAACACCTGCGACACTCCACTATCAACTAAGCTCTTCAGAAAATGACCATGCCTCCACTCAGCACTTTTTCGCCTTCCGTCGGTGTCGTCTCTTTCTGCATCGCCAAGTCACAAACGACACTGGCCTACATCCCTGCCAGTCTCTATCTTCGTAAACAGTGCTCAGCGGACATTCACGTTCTATCCACCGCCGACAATACCCCGTTATCCGTAGGCTCCAAGATATTGACTTTCGATCGGCCTAAAAACAAGAACGGCAAGCCAAACCTGAGGTTCCATCAGGTCCTGGATGTCGACGGAAACCTTCTTATCGAAGTGGCCAAAAGAAACAAATTAAGCATTGTGTCCAGTGGCAGCAATAAGGAGATAGGTCAGGTCGCCCTGTCGAAAAAAGATATGGGCAGCTGGTGGACACGAAGAAAACTTGAGTCCCCAATCGTACTCGACTTGACCATCAAGAACATGGCCGGCAATCGAGAGCAAGTCACGCTCAAAATACGAGCACGGAACAATACGAACTCTGGCGGCGATGTCTTTGTTGGTCAGCACGTCATGATGAGATTCGAAAGAACAAGTGACTCTATTTATCCGGAAGCCTCGAAATAGAAGTTTGAGGTTGCTCAGGGACTTGACCTGGCTTTGGTAAGTGCACACACATCGATGCTATGGTATAAGAGGACTGACTGGTCTTTCCCATGCTTCGATCTGTATGGCCTTTTTCCAAGGTACATGCATGAAAACACAAGCCCTTCGTCAGTGGAGACAATGAACAACATTATTCATCCCAGTTCTGTTATCCTACATACCGATCAGAAATAAACATATTCCTGATCATACCAAGTGGTGATGTGATGATGTGCGAGTGTCGGAGTGTGTATGCGTGAGCTCTTCAGTATTGAAAGTCGACCAAGATGCCGCCAAGATCATCACTACAAGTCAATCGGTCAACTCCTTACCGCTGCATAGATGATATGGATTGCAGGAGTGTAGCTCGTGAAGCTTGTCAGAGCGTTGATATCGTGCCTCGACGGCGGCGTCTCAAATGCTCCACCACCAATGGCTGCGGAAAGGAGAACTGCAATGGATTTTGGCTCGGCCAGAAATCACGTCACGATTTTTGGGGTACGTGGTGGCAGAGAACGATCTTCCGGATACAGATCCGTGATTCCTCGCTACAGTTCACCAACCACACTGTCGATCATTCATGCTGCTGCCTTATACTTTATACTGCTGCCTTATACTTTATGCTGCTGCCTGATCAGCGCAGGTACACATTGTTCTACTTCGCAGGTGTTTCTAATTCCGCATGATGGCAGTCGCCTGAGCACTTCATTAACGAAGTTTGACCGACGTTACCAAACATGGTCAGAAAACACAGAGACTCGAAACCGAGTGTAGAGCCGCGCATGCGAATTCGCGATCTCTTACCAAACATCTTCCTTGGCAACCATTCACCCGGATCTCTCAACTCTTTGACCGATGTACCTGGCATTAGTGTCTCTACACAAGAACTCACATCCGATGATGGCAGCATCAATACTGGAATCACCTGTATCATCCCACGCAAAGACTGGTCCCATAAAGCTTGCTACGCTGGAACCTTCAGCTTCAACGGCTATGGCGAAATGACTGGCGCTCATCTCATTTCCGAAGGTGGACTTCTTTGCTCGCCTATAGTCCTTACTGGCACGTTTGGTATTGGAGCGGCTCATCAGGGGATCTTGGAGTATGGTATCAAGACCTTTGGCAGATCATTCATGGCATTGCCTGTTGTTGCAGAGACCTTCGATGGACACCTTCATGACTGTTCCTCCTTTGCTGTCACTCCTACACACGTAGTCGAAGGTTTGCGTGATACAAATGTGGGAGTGGCAGTGGAGCAAGGAAACAAAGGAGGTGGTAATGGCATGATATGTCATGGTTTCAAAGGCGGCAATGGGTCTTCGAGTCGGCGTGTGAAGATTCCGGATGGGGACGAGACCTTCACAGTCGCTTGCATAGTACAGGCAAACTATGGTGTCATGGACGGGCTACGTATCGCAGGCGTGCCAGTTGGTCGGATACTGGCCCGTGAGATACAGCAAGATGAGAAGAGAAGGCGGCAGAAAGAAGAGCTGGAGAAGGCAAAGCAGGATAAGGATGGTAGCATCGTTATCATCATCGCTACGGATGCTCCATTGCTCCCCCATCAACTGACCCGTATTGCCAAACGGGCTACCGTTGGGCTGTCTCGCGTTGGAGGAGTGGGATACAACATGTCCGGTGACATATTCCTGGCTTTTTCGACCGCAAACCAGATTCTTGTCAACCAGCCAAAGTCAGAGCATAGGAGTAGTAAATCCGCGGTTGAGAGAGTCGAGGCAGTAGATGATTCAGCGTTATCGTGGCTGTTCGAGGGCACGGCAGATTGCGTGGAGGAAGCGATCTACAACGGTCTGTTCATGGCAGAGACTATGCAAGGAGTGGACGGACACAAGGTAGAGGCAATACCTTTGCAAAGAGTCAAAGATATCATGGCTGAGCATGGTAGCGGGCAGAAACACTCTGTCAACTAGGACGGCCCCGTAGAAGTGTCAAGATGCTACAGCTCTCACCAGCCTCTCTTTACTTATCAGAGATGATGATTTTGCATGTTCCTAACTACAAGACACGCAAGTCATGATGTGTATGCAAGCAAACGAGTGCTTTGTTCAAGAACCCAGTGACTACCTGGAGCGTTATCCTAGCCTTCGCTCCTGACTACACCACACTCTATAGGACTCATCCGTGTATTTCTACTGCTATAAGTGATGATGAGTGCAGTAGTGCAGTGTATCAAAGAAGTCGTTTGTATACAAATGTGGCGGCGTGTCTCTAATGTTTCTTTTTTTCAACGGTTATATACTCCAAAAAAAAAGAGTCCAAGTAAATATGAAAATGATGACGGATCGGTTCTATGGTCGTGAGGTCAGCCAGTCTCGAGTTTATGGTACGAAACGGAACGGGGGTCTTCCCCCATCTTCCAACTGATAACGTCCCCGTCTAGTTCCTTCTTTGCTCTATCAGAGCGTGCCTACTGATTGATGAGCATTGTTTTTGCAATATTACCATCATTCTAGAGCATCAATACCAGTACAACACTCGTCGGAGTTTTCGGAGCTGGGCGTAATTAATCCACAGGGCTGTAAACTTACTCACCAAGTGGGAAGCCAAGGTTCAATTCATCCTCGTGTCGTTGCCTTTTTGCACATTTCAGCTGGTCTTTGCGCTTGAGTGTGGGTATGTTGTGTTACTCTCCAGCGTGTATTATGACGGTCGCGACGAAGGGTTTTACAGAGCACCCAGATCGCTCACATCAGGTGACGGCGTGTTGGCAACTTTGTCGGCGCCGTCGTATTCTCCTTCTACATAACGACGTAGAGAGCCAGAGTGACACGACAAGAATGGCATCGTCGATATGTGACTTGGGCACGCTTGAAGGCATCGTTAATATTGGGGAGAACGGGAAGATTGGCCAGCCTACTCCCTCATTCATTGATCGATTATAGCATTACTGACGGGACCCTAGAGGCGCTCATAGTCCTCGGCAATATACTGACCAAGACATATAGAGTAGTTCGCAGATCGATAGGACTCTGTCCGAGAATGGTGTTGGGGGCCAGAGCTGTGTTCATACACCCATTGATCCAGTCCAAAGAAGCCTGGAACACGCCTGGCTCATCATGCAGTCAATGTCCTCAGGCAGCTTCTTGCCTGTAAATCCGCCTGCTGCCTGCTTGTGTAGGTGAGAGACTCCACCTTCGAGCTCAGAAATCTCGTATCGCGTTGCAGGCTCAAAGCGTGATGATGCAGGGATAGACATATAAGCGTGTTGCTCACAAAGGACCCTTGCCGTAAGGCTCGTTCTCATTTCTCCTCTTGCTGTTCTTCAGGGCGATCCTTCCTGGTTCTAGCCTCGCTAGTGACACCTTGAATACCCAGGCTCTCAAATTCTTCCTCATATCTCCTCCACACGGCAGCATCACGGGCCATGACTTTCTGGCGTCGTGATCGTTCACCGTAAATACGCAGGCGCTCATCTGCTTCTATGACACTTCCGAATATCATACCAGACATTTGAAGGAAGCTACAGTAGTGTCAGCCCGTGTTGCTGTGATTTGACCGACGGTTTAGAAGATCATATATAAGAGGCTCGCGGAGAGACGTTAATTGAAGGACTAAGCCACGCCACACATGCTCAGGTGGCAACACGGCCCCAGTTCTAGCAGAAGTACCATGATGTTGTACGGGTATGCACTCACACTTTGAATTGTATAGTCAAACCACGGTATATTGGTGAATAAGCATACGCAATGCCAGCCGCGACGGCGGAATATATGCCCCACTATCGGACCTGTTAGCAACGCCGCCAGTACGCTAAGTCTCTGTTCCTCAAAGAACTGAGGATATGAACGTACCCTTGCTGCTCCTGTAACAGCACCTCGCGTGGCCTGCCACGCCGCTGCGTTCGTCTCCTCGGTGTCCAGCTTGCCATGAGCACTGTTTGGTGGCATTTTGCTTGATTTGGATGCTGAGTGTCGATGGTCTATCAGCAATTTGGCAGCTTGTCGCCCTGTCTCATGCTTTGGAAGATTGATTTCAATGTTCGGGATTAGGTTCGGTGTTTGAACATGAAGTTGATAGGAAATGATTACGTCAGTGATCAGGCGCCAAGAGATATCTAAGCCTCCTCCCAATATGCTGACTTTGTAACTCCCACTCACTCCCCTGGTGACGATGCGAGCTGACATGAGCTGTAGAAAGGCATAATCGTTTTCTAGACAGAAGGACTTCATAGGGAGAGTCAGTCAGGTGACGTTTCCCTGTAGGACACAGCGACGCATGGAACTAACTGTGCCTTGAGACAACTCAAACTTACATACTTTGGCACACCAGGAGGCTACGTTCTTCAGATCTCGAATTCAAGGTCCTGCTCCAGCCGTAATATTCTAGGCATGAGCAATATGCCTGGTAGGATGCAACTGATGTGCAGAGGAAACGTGTATTGCCATATCTGACTAGAATACTTGCGCTAATCGTGCTACCTAGAATTATGGAAGCTATAATAGTCGCGCTTAGCTAACTGGGCTGATTGAGTGATATAAGCAATTGTGACCTTCTCCTATCATAAGGCTGCTGATTTCCATATACCATAGAGCCCCGGCAGCTATCAATACCTCCTATACAGTCTTTGGCTTGGGCCAGAAGGTGACCCAGTCAGACCAGTCGACTCAGTAGACAACGCCTGAGCAGCGACACCCGAGCTTGCGCTAGGACCAGGCGGGGTGAAATCGAAGCCAGGACCGTAAGGGCGTGGTTCTCGTGGACCAAGACCTGGTGGAGGAGGAGGCAGCAACTTTGCGCGGCTCTCAAACACATTACCCATCTTGCGAGTCTTCGCAAGCAGCACCTCATTTTCGGCTTCCTGCATTTCTTCAGCAGTCAATGCCTCATCCTTGGACTCCTCCATCAAGGTCTCCATCGTCTTGATACTACGGATAATCTTGTCATGACCTTCGAGTTGATCGATGATGATCTTGTCCATCACATGCTCATCCTTGCCAGCCTCAGCATAGATGTCCTGTTGTAGGACGTCGTGTGGCGGCTTCAACCAGTCCGCAGGCTTCCGGTTGGCATTGCGCATTGGGTTCTTCTTGTCGACAACACGAGACGCGAGACCGGTCTTGAATAGCTGTTTATCGTAGAGTGAATACTCGAAGGTACCGCCAGCGACAAAACGGTAGACAAAGACGGGCTTGGTCTGACCCAAGCGGTAGGCTCTTCCAATTGCTTGTTCCTCCCAGGTTGGGTTAAAAGCAAAGTCAAAGATGATGACGCGATTGGCCTGCTGTATGTTCAGACCAAGTCCTCCGGCACGTGTTGAGATGAGCAGAACGTCGAGCTCGCCATTCGCCATAGCTTTCAACACCTTCTCGCGCTTGTCTAGCGCCATGTCTCCTTGGATGCGACCATAGCGGAGGCCCATGCTCTTCAGCATCTTGTCCAAGAAGTTCAGGGAGGGAATGCTCTGAGAGAAAATCAAGACCTTGTCACCGGCTTCGATGGAGAGATTCATAATCCTTCGCACGAGCACTGTTTTGTTGGACAATTCAATGGATTCGTTGTCAGGAACGACCTCGAGCAAAGCGTCCACTATGGCTTTGTCGATGTCGTACTGAGAGATGTGCGCATCAGCGTATGCAGCATCTTCATCGCGAGAGGGAGATTGTCCTTCACGTTGCTGAGCGGTTCCAGAAGGTGCGACTGCTGTCGATGGCGGAGCGGCGGTAGGATCCATCGCGACGGGCAGTTCAACGATGGGAGAGCCTGCTGTAGATCCATTCTCTGCTACCAATAGTGAAACCTTCTTGCCTCTCTTGCTGTTGGTGGCTGGCTCGAGTAATTTACGTCGGAACACTATAGGATGGTTACATAGCAGTTGAAGAATGGCGAGCCACCCGAACAGCTTGACCTGGGTAATAGTCGATCCCTCTTCGCCGACTTTGCCTCGAAGGATTTCCTTGACATAAGCCATGTAACCAAGTTTCTGGGACTCTGTCAATGGGATCGTCAAGACAAACTCCACCTTCCTCTTGAGTGAGCCCTGAAGGACCGTGATGTCGGCACGGTTCAGCTTAGGAGAGATGATCTTTTTCAGCGCGGCAAGCTTGGTCATGGACTTGCGGACTTCCCATGGCTTGCTGTCGTAGTAGGTTCCTGCTTCAATAGGCTCCTGGTAATGAGCTTTGAATTCCTCCTTGTGGCCCAGAAAGTTAGGTGCAACCCAGTTGATAAGAGCGAAGATCTCAGACGTGTTGTTCGACATGGGACTTCCAGTCAGCCCAATACGGCGTTGAGTCAAGATTTTGTGAGCAGCCAAAGAGCTTTTACTTGAGTTGCTTTTAATGGAGTGCACCTCATCGGCAATGACGATATGTGGCTTCCTCAGCAGAAATTTCAGCACTTGTCTCTGTTCATCATCGTCGTAGATGTTGGAATTGTTATTCACAAGCCTAGTGAACATAGTGTAACCACAAAGCATGATACCACCATATTTGCGCCAGTCTTTGAGATCATTCAACCTCATCGCTTTATCCTTGACTTCGCTGCTCAAGCTGAAAACGAGGAAAAGCTTCTCTGGGCACCACATTTTGATCTCTTGTCTCCAATTGGTCATAAGTGACGGTGGGCACAATACCAGAACTCTGAGTTTGTCCTTGGCTTTCTTCAAGTCGCTGGGTAGAGCATCACGCTTTTCGATGTCTCGCGCAGTTTCGGCCACAGCAGTGATCAAAGCGAGACTTTGGGCTGTTTTGCCTAGCCCCATGGTGTGAGCTAACAGACAACCTTGGCCATCTTCATCTTCAGGTGCTGTGATTTCTCTCCACATAAACTTGACGCCTTCGACTTGATGTGGCTTCAGCCGTTTGGCAATGGTAGGGTTGAGGTAAACATGTTTCTGAGGATCCAGATCGCTTGGGGTATGGAGAGCAACTTCGGTCTCTCCATCGTCGCCGGCCATGAACGAGCCGGTCTGGTTGTACTGATTTTGAGAGTCGTATGCTTTGGCTCGTTCGGCTGCCTTGACACGTTTTCTCACACCTCCTTGATCTTGTTTCACCAGTCTCTTGCGAGCACTGGTGTGGACACTCAGACTCTTCTCATTTTGCTCATCGTCGCTGTCGTCGATTATGATGGTTTCGATCTCTCCAGTCGACTGTGCATTCTTGAAACGCTTTAGAGCCTGCCAAAGGTAATTGTACCAACGGCGTAAGTCCTCGGCAAATTCCTTCTCCTCTCCGTCCCACATCCACTCATAGCCAAGTGACTTGAGCTCCGACACGTCTAAGCTGAAGAATCTGTGATCGATATGGCAGAAACACAAGTAGAGTCTGGCGGCATATCGCATAGCTTCGGACTCCTCGTCGCTGTAGCCATCAAAGACCTCTGACCCTTTTCTGATTGCGGCGATGGCATCTTTGGTCTTTTCGAGACAAGTTGACACGTTGCCGGTGAACAGACGCACGAGTGGATCGCGTTGAGCATCGTCGAGGTGAAAGGCCATCTTGATCATGAGTCTCCTTCTGTCCTCTTCGGCCTCCAGACCTTCGTAGGTCCATTTTAGGATCTCTCTCACGGTGTCGGTGTCTGGGTTGTCCGAGTATGTGATCACGTTCTTTTCTTCCTGCTCTTCTTTGATGTCAAACTTCTTTGAAGGACTTGACTGGGTAGTAAGTGCCATGCCGGGCCTGACAGGGCTTGAGGATATGGTGATGACATCCTTTCGGTGGTTTCGTGTAGACGAGCGTTGAGACTTACGTAAAACCGAATCCAAGGAAGGCAGTCCAGGAGAGTCCGGCTCCACTGGCATTCCAACAGTAAACTTGTTGTTCGTTGGAGTTTGTACAGGCTCGAGATCGACTGCGTCAGCTGTAGACTCTGGAAGCTCGCTGCTAAGAAGTTCGCCACGAGGTTCGTCAATGTACTGGAAGTCGGCCGGAACTTCAGTCGCGTCGGGAAAGTTTGCATCGGCGGTCATGATAACATCCGCATCGACCTCATCGGTAGGAGTTTTCTCGTCCTGGGAGCCTTTCTGAGATGGCATACCTTGATTTTCGATACCCGATTCAGAGGCGCTATCGTCCTCGAGTAGGTTTTCTCTAGCATATTCAAAACTCTCATCATCAACGATGAATTCGTTGATGTCCCCGTCAGACATCTCCTGGGCGCGGGCTCCATCTTGAAGTCCATGTTGGCCACGGTCGGATGGTTTGCGATGTCTTGTTGTCGTTACAGGCTCTACTTTCAGTGCCCAGGTCCGGATCTTCCATTCCTCTTGCTCGCGGTCGTGGACTGTAGGTTCCAGAGACACGCACGCTTGTTCGACCTCTTGCTCGCTTTCCCAAGACCGATCCGTCAGATTCTGCTTGAGACGAGCAAGTCTGCCGTTCAACCGCTCGACTGCCTGAATTGCGCCACGAGTCAATGCACGTACAGTCTTTCTGTTGCCTTTACCCAAACGCCACACACTGCGTGCCTTGTGCTTGTCAAGTTTGGGTTGCTGATTCGCGCGCCAAGCCTGGGTCTGTATTTCGATCGACTTGTCAATCAAGGATTTTACCCGCTCTTGAGTGATGATGGGCGTCTCAACACAAGAATCTTCCTCTGCCATGTCATCATCAGATCCGCTCGCTGAGTCCTCAACATTGGTGTGTGTTTCCTCGGCAGAGTCTGAACCATAGTCAGACTCTCCATAAGTTGGTAAGAGCTCGTCTGATTCTGTGTGTCTGTTGAGGAGGTAACTGAAATCACCAGGACTCATCTGGTTGTCGACGGCCTCATCCTTCTGAAAGGGTAGAGTTTGGGCCCTCTCGCGGATGGCCTTGATGCCACTCTCTGACGTCTCAAAAACAGTAACGGATCTGACATCCTTGTCTTCGAGCAGGCGCTCAGGGTATGAGTAGACTGCGAGAGATGGGTTTTGATGGTACGTGACAGGCTGCGGATCAGAGTGCTGGAACGCGTGCCTAAGCCGACGATAGACGAAGGAAGTGGTGCCTGGGAATTCGGACTGCCCGAAGATGGTGAAGTTGTCATAGGAATCATCATCTTCATCCTCATCATGCTTGATCTCCGAGCCATATTTGGTGTCGCTATAGAAGATCTCGTCGACTGTATGTTTGTGGTCGGGAAGAAAGCCTGGGGGTCTTGCACGCTGCAGCGCCTTGACGGCAGCGACTGGACTTTGAGATGCTCCAGGTTGAGCATCCTCAAGAGTAGTTTCGACCGAAGACGCTAGTGTCAGTTTGCGGCGCTTGTGGCCACGGGAGTCTTCGACGAGCTCCTCGCCCTTGCGAACTCTGGTCGAGTTGAGCGGTGTCGGAGTCTGCGGGTCCGATGGATGTAGTGTTGGGGGCAGTGTCAATGTGAGGGTGCCTGGGCGCAAACTCGCAGCGTATGCAAAAGAGGCCTGGCGGAGTTCGCGGATTGTCCGCATGATGGCAATGCGCTCCATCAGCCTAACGATGCCGAATGTATTCTCTAGCAAAGCGTGGTCCACATCCTCTAGAAGCGCTCGGCCATCGAGTTCGTTATCTGACATGTGCCTAGCCAGGCCGGCGAAGTTGTGCTGCAGGTGCAGGACAGCTTCCTCTGAAGTCCACGCGTACGGATCGGCCCCCTGCGTCATGATGACCTGATAATGTTGAAGATCTAATGACATTGAAGACCTGATGACATTGAAGACCTGATGATGTTGAAGGTGTTGATAAGGTTAATGTTGTGAGATCGGAGACAAATCGGCTCTGTGCATGATCAGTGTCTATAAGAGAAGGTACGAAACGACTGATAACTGACATCAGAAGGTGCCAGTGACAAATCAAGTTAGTGGTAGTTTTGATCCTAGAAGATCGTATGCCTTAACTCTGCTGGCTATTGCAGTGTCAGTCGCCGAGCAAGGGAGGCTGTATGATAAAGAAAGTCTGACAATGTTGTCGAAGTCCCGAGGGGAAAGCGTGATGCCGGCTGAGAGATTGAGAAAGAGAACTCACTATCGGTGTGTAGATAGTGTAGCGCGTCGACATGCGCTAGTTGATCTGGAAGAGGTAGGTATGAGTGGAAGACGCTCTTATGTACATGAAGAAGCGTGTTGTGCGCGAGTGAAGGACACGCAACTCGCCAGTTTCAATGTCTTTAAAACTAGGTAATTGTCGCCTCGGCTGTTGAAGTCGAAGTGATGTGCCTTTTTTGCTGCTTCGCAGCTACTAAAGTCCCGAGGCCAGACTTTCACGCGTGCGTTTTGTACCACGATGTGGAGTGAATACAACCAGACTGAACAATCTGGGCAGATACTCGAGTGCAGAAGCAAAGTAGCTCGTCAAGTTGTCAATCAAGTGTTCACTTGAGTTCAATTTGGTTCGAGTCACTGCTGGATGCAGGCAACAGGTCAAGTTTCGAAAAAGTCCAGGCGTTTTGGCGTGACGCGATCGCGACAGCGGCTTCCACAACTGCCGCGATTCAACCGACAGTCGCTCAACCTCAATTCTACCAGCTCTCACTAACAACATTTACTACCAAGTCATAAATTGGTGGTGCTCATCTTCTCTCGATCTTCTTCTTTACCCCTAATTCCATCATGTCGCGCGAGGTCTATTCCAAGTACCCTCCGGAGCTCAACGAGGAGCAGCTCCAATACTTGATTACTAATGTCAAAGACTGGTCCATTGCAAATGGTCTGGCTGTAAGACCGGTGCCATCATGGATTTCGAAAGATGAGGACCCCGTCGGATCACTAGCTGTGACTGCTCCAGTCACTCTCTTCCCCAGCCTCTTTCCTAGAAACTGCTTTGAGCAAGGTCTTGGCATTCAGACAGCATACAATGAGCTCTACGCTGCCATTGCTAGCAACGAGACTTGGCTCAAGCAGATTGTTGAGGAGTAAGTCATTCTATCTGTCCAGCGGACAATAATCTTACTGATGCCGTGCTCAAGGCTTGTTGAAGTGGACGATTTCATTGCAGATCTGTGGAAGGTTCACCAGGCTGTGAAGAAGGAGGGATACGTCCAGGTAGATGCGCCGCGCTATTACCTGGCATAGCTGTACTGACCTTTCATTAGGACACCACCCTTGGACTGTTCCGCTCTGACTACATGGTCCATGTTGATCCAACTCAATCTGCTGCCAAACCCACCATCAAGCAGGTAGAGTTCAACACCATCGCTTCATCCTTCGGTGGGCTCTCTACACAGGTTTCCAAGCTACACAACTATCTTCTTTCCGTCGATGCCTACCCTGAAGAAACTCAGTCCATCATCAAAACTTCTTCTTTACCGCCGAGCACATCTGTACCATCGCTTGCCGGAGGTCTAGCTGCTGGTCACCATGCTTATGGTGAATCAAGAAGTGGCTCGCCTCTTTGCGTCATATTCCTCGTCCAGGACCCGGAGCGCAACGTCTTCGATCAAAGACACCTGGAATTTGCCCTTCTCAACGATCATCAAGTCAGAGCTTTCCGAGTACCTTTCAACAAGATCATGTCTCACACCAGACTTGATGAGAAGCGAACTCTCCTTTATACCCCTCCACACGCACCCAAAAAGACTTGGGAAGTTTCTCTGGTTTACTTCCGCGCCGGTTATTCTCCTGATGACTACTCAGGGAAGGCCGATTGGGACGCCCGCCTGCATGTCGAGCGAAGTGCGGCCATCAAGTGTCCCAGCATCTTGACTCACTTGGCTGGATCAAAGAAAGTCCAACAAGTCCTCGCAACACCAAACTCGCCTCACCTTGCTCGTTTCCTTCCGGACAAGAACAGGGCTGCCGAGGTATTCAAGACATTCGCGCCAATTTATCCACTCGACAAGAGTGAGGCGGGTCTAGAAGCATGTAAATTGGCCCAAAATCCGGAATCAGCCGCTCGCTACGTGCTCAAGCCCCAGCGCGAAGGTGGCGGCAACAATGTCTACCGCAAGGCCATCCCTGACTTCCTCAAGGACACACCCGAATCGCACTGGCCTGCTTACATTCTGATGGAGATGATCGAGCCACCGGCGCTGACCAATACGATCTTCCGCAACGGAGAGGTACAAAAGGGTGGTGTCATTGGAGAGTTGGGCGTTTATGGTGTCTGCCTGTGGAAGACCAAGAGTGGCGAAGACGGCGTGCAGGAAATTCTCGAAAACAGACAGGCTGGCTATCTGCTAAGGACTAAGGGCGACCAGAGCGAAGAGGGCGGTGTCGCAGCTGGCTTTGGCTCTGTCGACAGTGTCTGCCTTGTTGACATCTAAGATCCTGAGGTCGAAAAACGAGCAACTCACCTATAAATGTTACATCTATATTCACACCTGCCTGCTGACACATTCCGAAGCAACACCATGCCAAGAGACGATCCAGTCGACATCTTTATACGTGGTACACGCTACCTAGGAAATCCTCTCACAGTTCAGACATGCCTGATCACAGTTGCCGTCCACTCTGGGAAACACTTCGTGTGAAGACTGTTCGGGGGCGTCTTAACTCTTTGTTCTCGGAGTTTGTCTTCTCTAGGCTTGGACTGCCCTACTTACGAACAATAACAACGTAGAGAGAACAATAGTAACAGCGCTTCACATTCCTCAGCCCAACTTTCACGCGAACAAAGCACACCTTATCCTCATACTCGAACAACGAAATATCACCACTACGGACTCTTTGCCAAGATGAGTAGTAGACTTGTTCTTTATACCACAAGACGCTGGCAATGGTCGAGACACAAACTTCAAGGCGGCTTCGTCCTGAAACCGGATACCATGGAGCCATCTCATTGAGACCAGGAGATTAGTATTGTGACCAACCTCCATGATAAGAAGGTGCCGAACAGCCGTAAGTCACACAAGCTATTCCATCGACCGAATCGTTTCATCTACCTTATTCGGAAAAACCATAGGCCAGGCATACAACCTTGCCCAAGAATACACAGGGGCTCCTGAAACACGAAACAAGAAACAAGCAGAAGCAATGCAGAGCCGCACATTCAGCCTTCTCTTCCTCGGGCTCATCGCCCTCTTCGCCCTAGTCCTCCCCGCCGCCGCCAATCCCGATTGGGGAGTCATGTGGAACAACCGCCGTGCATGCGGCGGAAAGGACGGTGGCCGTGTGCTCGGCGCAATTTCAAAGTTCTGCTACCGTAACATGTTCGCCGGCGAAATATACGCTTCCGATGGTCAAGCTACAAACGGCGTCAGAGTTGGTATCGGTGCCAGCTGTGGATGGGATAGGTTTATCCCGCAGGTGTGGTGCGAGTATCAGATGTTGGAGGTTTGTGCCCAGGGTGGCAAGAAGGGACGTGGAAAGAAGAGATACGATGGTGGATGCCAGCATTTCTGGATCACCAACGGCTAGAGGGGTCATATCTTCTACCTCCCCCTATGCTGAGGGAGATATGAGGATGATCCATGGGTGCTTGAGGGGAATACTAGCCGTTCTAGCTTGGTTTCAATACATCTCTTACAGACAATCCACCTATGTTCCTTACCGATGCAGATATTTTACAATTATGACCAAAACCAAGTACACCGACGCCATCCCAATGCAATGACCCCCCTTTTCCCTGGCCCTTGAACCTTATGCGACAATCTCTTTCTCCTGAGATGCAAGCACCTGATCAACAGCAGCTGCCCTCTTTCCCGCACCTCTCACGTATGCCAACAGTCGAAGTGTGCCTGACGGGGTAACACCCTCTATCCTTCTAGCCTGTCCTAGACTCTCAGGTCTAGTGACACTAAGCACCCGCTTCTCTTCGTTGCTCAATCCGAAAATGTTCTCGTAGTCAATGTCTGCCGGTAGCAAAAGCTGCTCGTCTCTTTCGAAATGTCTGGCTTGTGTTTCCTGTTGAGTGACGTAGGGAGAGTATGTGCCTTCGATATCCATACGAGAGATGATGTACGGGTCGAAGTTTGCGATAGCGGGTAATAGAGGAAGAAGGCTGGAGACAGAAATAGACGCGAGGCGCAGGAGGTCGAAGGCGCTGCGTTTACTGCTGTCGCTGCGAACAGGGAAGCCATGAGTCTGCCAAACGCTACTCGACAGTGTGTGGCCTTCCAACAAAGTCTTCAGGTCGTCCATCTGTGATTTCTGCGATGAGAAATGGGACCAACGTGCATCCGACACGACGCCGTGCTCCCGTCCTTTCGCAGTCAGACGGAGGTCGGCATTGTCGGCACGAGCGGACATGCGATACTCTGATCGCGAGGTAAACATGCGGTATGGTTCTGATACGCCTTTTGTGATCAGGTCATCAATCATGATACCGATGTACCCATCTGCTCTTGTCAAGTGCAGTTGCGGCTTGTGCAGAGCAGAGTTACCGGCATTGATACCGGCAACGACACCTTGAGCTGCGGCTTCTTCGTAGCCGGTGGTACCATTGATCTGACCTGCTAGGAACAGACCTCCGATGGCCTTTGTCTCCAGGGTCTTACGCAAGCTACGAGGATCTACGTAGTCGTACTCGACTCCATAGCCGGGTTGCAGCATCTTGACATTTTCCAGACCCTTTATGGTCTTCAGCATAGCCTCTTGTGCCTCTGCGGGTACAGTCATGGAAATGCCATTCGGATATATAACATCATTGTCGAAGCCTTCGGGTTCCAGCCAGATGATGTGGGCGTCTTTTGTGTGGAAGCGGATGACCTTGCTTTCGAGGGATGGGCAGTAGCGCGGACCCTTGACTTCTTCACGAATGTGAATGCTGTTATGGAGGTTCGCGCGGATAACATCGTGGGTCGCGGGATTCGTATGGGTGGACCAGCAGTTGAGTTGTTCCTCGACTGCGACGCGAGGATTGAGGTAGCTGAAAGGCATCGGGGGATCGTCGCCAGGTTGAACCTCGAGGCCGGTATAGTCAATGGTTTTTGCGTCGAGACGAGGGGGAGTGCCCGTCTTCAGTCTGCCCAGTGTGAGGCCTGCGTCCCGTAGAGATTTGCTCAAGCCTGTTGTTGCTGCTTCTCCCATGCGACCCGACGGATAAGCCTCAAGACCGATGTGGATCTCACCGCCTAAGAAGGTGCCAGTGGTAATGACGACGTTGTTTGTCGGAATCACCTCGCCGCTCTCTAGTCGGACACCGGTGATCTTTCCGTGCTTGCCGTCCGTCATGCCTTCTCGTTGAACCACTATGTCGGCCACCTTGCCCTCGACCACGCTCAGGCCCTTGTAGTTTGTCATCTCTTCCTTCATGTGCTTCTTGTACAGCGCTCGATCGATCTGCGCACGAGGACCCCACACTGCCGGACCCTTCTTCCTGTTCAAGACGCGGAACTGGACTCCAGCTTTGTCGACTATGCGACCAACCAAACCGTCCAGAGCGTCGACCTCGCGTAGCATTGTTCCTTTGCCGATTCCACCGAATGAAGGATTGCAGGAGCAGACTCCAAGGTTTTCGACGGATGGTGTGACCAGTGCTGTTCTTGCGCCAGTGCGAGCAGCCGCGGCTGAGGCCTCGCAACCAGCATGACCGCCTCCGATGACGACTACGTCGTAGGGACTGTAGGGCAGTCAGTCGCGTGCTCGTGACTTTGTTGTCGAGAGGAATCCTACGGTGTCGTCGACTCCGAAACAGTGGCAAAGGAGCGGCGCACGAGGACGGCGGACCGCACTCTCGGCGCATGGCCCCAGAGAACTCGCGCTCTGGCAGACACGGCGAGTACCATGGCTCTACAGACTTGGTCGATGATAAACAGCGGCTTGAACGTTTCACAAAAAGTTGATAGACCCCGGGTCCCATCTCTTGGCGGCGGCGGCAATGACGCCGGCGGGCATTTCTAAGCCGACAAGGCGGGGGTTATTTTCTTTGCTGAATCTTGCCTCTCTACACGCCATCAACATCCACTTTTTGACATCTCGATCACAACCGTCGCTATGGTATTGGCGAAGAGCAAGCAGTCGGTCGGTCTGGGCAATGCCCTCATGAACGACCGATTCAAGAACAAGAATTCGAACCAGCACAAGGCCGGCGTCGGAGGCATCCAGAGAAAGAACGAGCTTGGAGAGACATATATCACAAACAACAAGCAGGCCGCTGCCTACGAGAAGATGCGCTCCATCACCGAGCAGGGCGATCTGGACGAGTTCCTGTCTACCGCCGAGCTGGCAGGCACCGACTTCACCGCCGAGAAGATGAACAACGTCAAGATCATTCACAAGGACCAGAAGAACCCCTACCTCCTGTCCTCGACCGAGGAGCGCAACGTCGTCAAGAAGCACAACAAGAACAGAAGTCGTCTTACCGTCCCCCGTCGCCCGAAGTGGGACTCCACAACCACAAAGGAGGAGCTGAACACACGCGAAAGAGAGGCTATGATCGAATGGCGCAGAGACCTTGCCGAGCTGCAGGAGAACCAGGATCTGCTCCTGACCCCGTTCGAGCGCAATCTGGAAGTCTGGAGACAGCTGTGGCGTGTCATTGAGCGTTCCGACCTGGTTGTGCAGATTGTCGACGCCAGAAACCCCCTCATGTTCCGCAGTGAGGACATGGAGTCTTACGTCAAGGAGGTCGACCCGAAGAAGCGCAACTTGCTGCTCGTCAACAAGTCAGATATGATGACTCTGGAGCAGCGCCAACAATGGGCAAAGTACTTTATCGACAACAACATCAACTTCCGTTTCTTCTCCGCCGAGCTTGCTCGTGAAATGAACGACGCCAAGGCCGAAGAGGAGGAGCTGTCAGCCGAAGATGATGAGGACGACGAGGAAGATGAAGAAGAGGACGAGAGCGAAGACGAGGTTGCCGAGGCTCTGGAAGGAGACGAGAATGCTTTGGAGCAGGAAGTCAAGAAGCTCGATATCCAGGACGCACAAGAGGAGGACGCAAAGTGGGTCGACGAAGAGACAATTGACGACAAACACGCCGAGCCTGTGTCCGACGTCATTCCCATGTCGCTCGAAGAGGCCACACGTATCCTGACGACTGAAGACTTGGAGGCTCTCTTCCTGGAACACGCTCCCAAGATGGCCGCCGCTACCGAGGACAAGCCCGCTCGCAAGGTACAGATTGGTCTCGTCGGTTACCCCAACGTCGGTAAGTCGTCGACTATCAACGCCCTGCTCGGCGCAAAGAAGGTGTCTGTCTCTGCCACGCCCGGTAAGACAAAGCACTTCCAGACCATCCATTACTCGGAGCAAGTCGTCCTTTGCGATTGTCCTGGTCTCGTTTTCCCCAACTTCGCTTTCACGAAAGCCGAACTCACATGTAACGGTGTCTTGCCCATCGATCAGATGCGTGAATTCACCGGTCCCGCAACTCTTGTTGCCACCCGTATCCCCAAGCCTTTCCTCGAGGCTGTCTATGGTATTCAAATCAACATTCGCTCCCGCGAAGAAGGTGGTACTGGCACACCCACTGGTGAGGAGCTTCTCCGCGCATATGCCGCCGCTCGTGGTTTCTTCACCCAAGGTCTTGGTCAGCCCGACGAGAGCAGAGCTGCTAGATTGGTGCTCAAGGATTACGTCAAGGGTAAACTGCTATTCGTTCACCCTCCTCCCGCAGAGCCACCGATCGACCACAAGCACTTCAATCGCGAACTCTACGACTACAACCACCTTCCCCAAAAGCGACGAGCCCAACTCGCAGTTCTGCACTCGGCCGCAATGCACCCTGAGCAGCAAACTGGTGATGAACCTTCACTTATGGAGAACGATGAGCTTGACATGGTCCCTATGAGCGGAGCAAAGACACAACGCATGGACAAGCAGTTCTTTGCACCCGGACAGGGTAGAGGAGAGCAAAACATGCCCTTCCACCACAAGTACACAGAGCAAGGACAAAAGAAGGTGGAAAACACAGGTGGCAGAATGTTGACAGGACGCAAAGCTAAAATCCTGCTCGCTCTGGAGAAAGACATGGACCCGGATGATGTGAAGATGATGACGTCGAGCAAGAAGCACTTCAAGGCTAACAAGAGAGCGCAAAAGAAGGTCAGAAGCGAGTACAACGATTAAGAGGATCCATGGTACGGTTTGCGCATTTCTTTTTCATTCTGGTTCATGGCATGCTGGGGCGCTTTTTCCATGGATATCCCTGAGTTGATTATCTTATTCTTTCTTCCGTAGTCGAAATGGTCACGAACAACAACATGCATTGCATTTCTCATCGAGCTTTGATGCGATTGAAGGTGGAGGGTGGAGCGTCGTTCTACCAAGTGGACGATTTGCCATGCGTACCTATTGCTTGCTCCGAATAAAACATTAGGAACAAAGCAATGACCTCTGTCATACTTCAGTCAAGCATTAGTCCAATTGGAAGCCTTCGAGATGACATGGTGCTTGTCAAGGTAGAGGCAAGTGTCGGACAGGGTCATGACCTTCACATTGTGGCGCACAGACCACTTCTGATTCGAACACCTTGAAGGGCATCACGAAGACACAATCTTGCGACGTGGCTATCAACATGCCGTTCCGACCACTGGCAAGCCCGGTGCCGGTAGGATTTTACTCGAGATCCACTCCAAACCTCCCGACTTTGAGGTCATTGACCACCAGTAATCGAGAAAGCGAGGGCGGCGCGACACCTTCAACCTTGACATCGCCTTCCGAGGCAGCATCGATCGAGGATTTTTCGCTGGATGCGCCTGCTTCGATCGATTCGGGCAGCGAAGATGAAGACAAAGACGAGAATGGCGACTCGATGCCGTCACCACCGCGCTCCATGTACCAACATAAACAATCGCAATCGCATACCTATCTAGGTCCGGCGACCTTCGCTCCCCCATTTTACAATCGTCCGCCTACACCTCTACCTCCCAGTCCGTCATTGACAAGTCTGCTACGGCCAACCTTCAGTACACACGCCTCCAGGCCTACGACTCCAGACCCAAGCAGCGATGAGGGTACAAGCCAGACCCCCAATAGCGCTGCAGCAACCACCCTCACAACTTCCTTTCGTACCGCAAAACCCATCCCCCGTGCCTCGCCGAAGGTCCCTACTTACGAGTACTATGGCTTTACCTTGTACTTGACGTCCACACTCGGCTTCGGTATCTACCTGCTCTGGAGTTACCTCCCATCTCCCTTCTTGCATCAGCTCGGAATTTACTATTATCCCAATCGATGGTGGAGTCTGGCTATTCCGGCTTGGTTGGTCATGCTTGTAGTATGGATCTACGTCGCCTTGGCTTCCTATAACACTGGCTACTTGACCCTCAAGATGCATGCTGTCGAGTGTTTGGTAGACGACGCTGCGAACATTGCCGTCGTGGATGGGAAGGGAAACATTATCCGGAAAGATGATGAGGGGAGGTGGAAGTCCCATCAAAGAGAAAACAGTGCTGGGAGGAACATGCCGCCAAAAGATCTGCAGTGGGATTCCCTGTGGAACGAGGGAACAGATGCTGTCATGGACGTGCCTATTGGAGGTGTCTGCGAGATACTATATGGCAAGGAAGACGACTACGACGAAGACACGACGTTATGAAATCTAAGCATATAACGAAGACACGAACACACCAACACACGCCTTGCCTAATCGTCAATCCAACTCTCCATGTGCTGGACTTTGCTTAGTATCTATGATGAGACACAACACTTAGCGCTATTCGTGCTACATAGTAAACAATGAGAGTCGCCAAAGTCTTGAAGAAGACCCTCAAGTTGGTAGCAATGGTTGGTGAATTGTGCCTTTTCATAAAATGCATCTCGTCGCGCTGCGTCATTATTGGAAGTGTCGCGCCAAGAAAGAGACCGGCGCTGGAAAACTCCGCTGCCTGTAGCGCGTCGCGTCTCGACCTTGATGTCGAAACAACATCCCTCCAACACTCCAACGCTTTGCCCCATTTCTCTGGCAAGACTGTTCGCATTGCCGCAAGTGTATACAAACACTCGCCCAATCGCGCCAGTCGCTGTTTTCCTATTGCCGCATGCCCAGACTGCTCGTGGCTTCAGTGTGTCCTCGGTCGCCGCAACCTTCTTGTCGTACTACCCAATCGTCTTGATCTCCGATTCTCGAGTCTCGCATCCCTCACGAGGCTTGCCAGACTCTTGTTCGTGAGGTGTTTGATATTGCCGTAGTACTTTTTGCAGGTTGCCCGACAAAGGCACTCCTGTTTGCCTCGCCGCAGTCTCCGGAACGGGTTGCCCGATAGTGTACGACAGCACGACAATTCTGAAACAAGAGGTCAAGGCTGTCTCTATCGACCATTCGAAGCCTGGGTGGGTGGGCGTACAAGTCTCTTGTACGGGGGAGCTTTCCAACTTCATCCTACCTGGCATGAATGTCTGATGCAAGCCTTGACTGATTCTGATTTTAGAACCAGCTCTTCTCTGTCATCATGACCTCGCGTCCTGATGCTGTCCGACTTCTCGAGCCTCAGCTTTCGCAATCCATGAGCCTGGACTGGCTAGTATATGGACAGCCTGTTATTGCTCTTTTTTCCAAACTGGGCAAATCAGCTTACACGCCGTTCGACCGTGAATATCTAGGGCAGCCGTCGCGCCACAATCGTGCCGGTCAAGGTTTGAGACTTTGGATTGGTTTCGACGAAGACACCAACAAGCTTATTGTGGCTCTCACCCAAGAGATTCAAGTTAGCAATGGAAAGAAGCCTCGTATATATTACCTCTGCGTCCCGGTCGAGTCTCTTGCTGTTGAGGTTGCTGAGCCCGCCTACTGGGCTTTGTCCGACGGCGTCGTACCTTTACATATCCTCGATAGGCCGAACAATACCAGACCTGATCAGGCATCTCGACTTCTACGCATTTCTTTCTCCCTTACCGCAAAGTCCTGGGTCATCATGCCTAATTTCCCTCATACTGGCCGCGTATCAGAGATGTCAATGTCGCTACTAAGCAAGCTCAAGGGGTTGTCCGAGGTACCAAACTTCGACTTGTTTACTACGCACGACTCCTGGCTTCACCAACGCCTTCTCAGAGTACGAAACGTTCTTCACAATAACACTGTGACTGGCTTCAACATCAACCATGCCAATTTTTACCCTGGAGGTCGTGCGGCTGTCGTGGATCTATGGGAGTCCCAAGGCTGGCGTCCTGCCGAGCGAGTACTTGAGCATAAGAGCAAGACGGATCATCTCAGTCCGGCCTTGAAGCGTAAGCACGATGAGATTGCGAACGAAGAGCCTGAATCGCCGTCGTCACCACCGCCGCCGCCGCCATACGGTATAGACGAGCCTGGACCGGAAGCTGCGTCAACAGCATCGTTCGATATGGCCGTGCTCCTAGATGAACGCGTCGAATCCGGCACAGATTCATTGCTATCAGAAATATATCCTCGAGGACGGTCCATGTCATTGCCTGTCGAAAATAAGATATGCAAGCCAATGTCACCAAACTTTGTGTTTACACCTCTTGCACGTCACTCAACTCATAACTCCGACGACACCTCTCGGTCATATGAAAAGACTCTGCCTTCGTACAGCTCACCAGAGACGCTACACCCGCTGCGTAAGCCAACGATTACTAACTCCAGCCGTACCTCTCCGTTGCGAAAAGATACTCTGCCTTTGTACAGCCTACTACAAATACCACGTACACCTGAAAAGGCAAGGAACACCCTGAAACACACTGCCCATGTAACAGACAATGTGTCGCCGCGTCAATCTGCACATCATTCGTCGACTCGGAATGTATCGGAAACGCTGTCTGGCAAGCTATCGTCATATCAAATCATTGATTCTATCAAACAACATGACCTTTATCGGTCTTGTCAGGGTCATCGCAATCGAGAGCTGTTGACACATTGGCTAGCGACACTTCTAGGTCGTTATGCTTATATTCACTATACACGTATTGCTGAATTACTCGCTCTCGGCTCAGCAACGATCGGAAATGACCCAAACGCTATCAGGCGTGCAAGGGCAAAGTGCTTAAGCGCTATTCTCAGCTGCGCTAATCAACAAGAAATCAACTCTGCACATAACGAAGTCGAAGGCCTGATCTCATGGCTACTTGTATTGAACCCAGAAACTGGTGACCTTGAGTTCCTTGATCAACTAGCTGAACTCTCAACAGCTCACAAGAGAGTTGAAGAGCTCAAAGGTGTTCCTGCGTCCCCACGCTCCTTTGATGGCGCGTTGTTCGATCCACCTGGATGTTCCGATCATTCCGATTATGATGAAGAATACCTTCAACGCAGACATGATTTCATGAACTGCAAAGCGAGCATTATCTTGGATGCATGCATACATTTCGGGCCTGATCTAGAGCGTCAAGGGCGTAATGTCAAAGACTGCATGACGGAAGAGTATGGTCGTATCTACAAATCATATTGAGGCTCTGGGACCTTCAAAGGGTTAGTGATAATTTTAATTCGTAGAAGAACATGAGATAGCTCGAAATTACAAACATTAATCCATCTCAATGGAAACGTCTGGCCGCAGAGGGAAAGTTTGTGCATCTTGACCGCCCCGGCTTAGATTCAACTCGACATGAAACTTTCATCAAGGCTTCAGTGCGAGCAATAAATACAAAGGGTTTGTAAACCTGCGGCAACCTCTGCGCCCAGATAATAATACAAGTGATACACAAAGCCCGATGCTATGAACTGTATCTCCTTCTACTCCTCCTTCTACCGTCTTGCGACTCGACCTCTTCACTTTCTCGTAAACTTCTTTCTCGCTCAGATATCATCTGGCTCAGACTTTTGCGACTCTTCTTTGTAGTCCGCTCCTCACTTGGATGTAGGTAGCGGTTGACAGTACGGTGATCGAGTATTCTTTCCTCCGTGTCGTGCTTGCCCTCTCTGTCCGTCTTTGGCCAGGCGAAGCCGTAGAGCTTACTATGTCTCTCACAGCGGGGGCAGTTGATACGCGTCAACTTGGCCTCATGCTGAATGAAGTAGTCGTCACAGTTGTGGCACTCAACCCAGCGCGACAAGGCAGTGGTCAGTAAGCGAGCCGTGAGGGTGTAATCGCCAGGCCTCCTACGATCTTCTGAATCGTCTTCTTCGACATCCGGATCAGTGCCTTCGATGGTGGGTACTGGCACAGAGATCTGTTTTCGTACGCTTTGTCTGGTGGTCATCCTCACAGGCCTGGGCTTCCGTTGGATTACTTCACGTAGAGTGTCGTCCAACTCGTAACTCTCAGAAAGTTCTGACAGATCTGATTCGGCCGTGGCTTCGTTAAATGTAGGCTCATCGATGGATGTGGGTTCGGTGGTTACTGAAGATGCTTGTGAGACGCCTTCAGTAATTGATGAAGTTGGAGAGCTGGAGCGAGTAGTTTCATATGTTCGCTTTGATGGTCGGCCGACCTTTCCATAACGATGCTTGAGCTTTGGTTTTGGCTTGAAAAAGGCTGATCCCAAGGCGTCACTTTCGCTGTCGGTTGCATTAGAGACTACCCTAAGAGTGGAGGAAGCGCTTGATTCCCTTTTCACGCTTACAAGCTGTGACGGTACTTTCAGCGACGATGAGGCGCCGACCTCTGTCTTGACGGCACGAAGTTGTGGCGATTCCTTCGGTGTTGAGGAGGACGTGTGGGTCTTCAGCCGCTTCGCAGAAGGAGGAGTAGTGACATCGATGGTTGTATCTGGCGAGAAGGCCCTTTTATTCTTCCTGGGTGACTGAGGTTGCGGTGTAGCAGAAGTCTGCTCACTGCTGCGCCTTGATGCTGGCGGTCGCCTGGACCAACCATTGCGCTGAAGACGCTCGCAAGTTGCACAGAGACACTCGCAATTGTCTTCTCCAAAGTAGTCTTCTCCATACGTGACTGTAATCTCCTCGCCGATGTCGATATCACGGGCGCTCACAATGGTCATGCCATTGTGCCCCATGGTGATGAGTTTCGCGTTTGCATTACAATCATGGTTGGCGAAGCGTGCAGGTCCAAGGAACAGAGATGGGCGCTTTTTGCGGCTGGACATGACGATACTGAAGTCGTTTACACCGAGGGTTCTCTCATCCTCCTCAGACATGGCAACCTGAACACCCGTCAAGTACTTGATGGTCTCGTTCTTGCGAATTGGTTTGCGAGCTACGGTGGCAGCCTCGTGGGTGATGATGGTGTAGCGGTTGGTAGTGGTGACTTCAAAGGGACAGTCGGGCAAGTAGATGTTGACATATTTCCTGAAGTGATCCTGGAAGTGCTTCTTCTCTTCCTTGGAAGGCAAGGTGTTGAGATAGCGAGCCAGAGCAGGCAGTTGCAGCAAGGTTTGTGCGGCCGTGGCAGCATCCTTCTTCAAGATGACATGATCTTGCAGGATGCGTGCGACATCCTCCTCTCTGACACCTCGAGAGCCTTGGTACTTTGTGCGCAGCTTACGAATGGTGGTCCAGTAGTAGACCTGTGGACAGTAAGTCTCCAGGGCGGAGCACTTGATTGCGACGAGTACTCACTCGATCGACGAGTGCATCTGTGATGCGATCGTCGTAGTCCACGAGACGGGCGAGGGTCAAGCCTCCCTTCTTGGCGAGCGAGTCTTCTAAGGAAGGGGTGCGTGGAGCCATGTTGTGTGCAAAGAAACAAAGAAACAGAGAAACGCTCGGGCGGAAAAGGGGTGGTTGGAAAGTACGAAGCAAAGGAAGGGAAAAGGAGGAGGGTCGAGTCAAAGGGAAAACAGAGGAATGCGCCGGACCCGACAATAGCACCAAGGAACAGACAAGGAGCGCGAGGTTTCACCCAATTGACATGATGCGAATGCTCTCGACGGTTATGCGACTAGCCGGAGCGAAGGTCCAAAACAATATCAGTAGCAGAGGACGGACGACAATAGTGAAGCATCACGGAGCGAGACGGAGAGCGGGAGACGGAGAGGACATGGGGAAGACGCGCCATCTGGAGCGGTGATTCCCGTGCGAAGTTTAAGTATTGTAAAGCATCAATCGCATGCAAGCCGCTCGAGTAGTCGTCGGTATAATATTGCTCGAACCGCCGAAACATTCGCTGCAAAGATGATCCAACTCAAGGTCCGCTTGTTTGCATGAGTATACGTCGTGTATGCGCTGACCTTTGGCGACCAGTCTATGCTCAACTGCATCGACAACTCGGGCGCCGCCCTCGTCGAGTGTGTCAAGGTGCTCAAGATGAAGAGAGCCGCAAAGATCGGTCAGCACTCTATGCCTGGACAAGCTCTTTCCGCCCAGAGCTAACATGGTTTTCTAGGCGATCGTATCATCGTCGTCGTCCAAAAGCAGCGCAACTTTGGACCAGAGTCTGGCCCCGGAGGCAGTGTGTCAATCAGCGCCGCCAACAAAGTCCGTCGTGGCGACATCAGACACGCCGTCGTTGTCCGCACCGCAAAGAAATACCAGAGACCTGATGGCAGCGTCGTGAAGTTTGACGACAACGCCTGCGTGCTCATCAACAAGGGAGGAGAGCCCATTGGCTCCAGATTGAACGGTGAGTCCGCCTGTCGACCGAAATGCCGTATATCGTATACCTACTGACGCCGCTCAGGTATTGTTGGAAGCGAGCTTCGCAACATGCAGTGGTCCAAGATTCTGAGTTTGGCACCCATGCACTTGTAAAATATGGGAAAAAGTCACGGTTTTTGGAAGCATAGCACAGGCGTTCACGGCGACACGGATTTAAGGCAGGTGAAGGAGACACTTTTGGCAACAAGATTTGCCATGTACGATTAAGAAGATTCCACGATATCGAGTAGGCCAAGACGGCCTGCTTGGTGTCGAGCATAATGCTACAGCTGCCAGATCGGCATCAACCGCCGAAACGTCCCTCATTGCATTGTCATGTGCCTTTGTTTCTGTCTTGTCGGCTCCCATGCTCCCATGCTCCCTTTTGTCTCTCATCGTGTCGAGATATGCCCATTTCCCAGCAAAGACTCCGGCTTCCCATGCATGCAACCTTTTGCGCCATAAATCCAGTCATTCAGTCATTAGGTGGTGGTCTTGCCACACTCGCAGCAGACGTAAAAGAGCTTCATGCCGGTCTCTGCATTACGCATTTGACTCTGGAAGAAGACGGCTTCTCTTCCTCCGCATCGTTGGTTGTTGCAGTCTCTCTCGACACGGGGCAGCTGTCGTTGGTTAGTTTTTTCTGGAGCAGAGTCGCGCACACGTGAGGCATACTGTTGGATCTGAGGCGACATCGGTGACGACACCAGCCGTCTCGATCAGATTTCCCATGACTTCGTTGCGGTAGATGCAGGTCGGGCCTACGGCGGTGGGCCACTGGCAGTTGCGACATTGGAAGATGAGCTGGTCCGTCTCTTTGTCCTCGCGGGGGTAGAGCATGTTGGAACTAGTCCAGACCGTCAGCATAAGAGCCTGTTGGAGGGTGCGCAGGGAGTGTATACCATTCGCGACAGAATCTAAACTTGATCTTCTCGTTCTGCGCGTTGGTCGTTTCGTTCGAAGGTGAGTCGTGAGAGGCCATGGTGAACAGACGGGTCGGCGATGGAGCTGATGCTGGGATGTGCGACTTGGGTATACGACAATGGGAGCGAGTGGTGGCGGCGGAGTGAGAGTCGGCGAGACGCAAGATGGTATGATGGATGATGGATCAGCTGTTAGGGCTGGACGGAGGATGGCACCGGCGCACCGCGGCAACCCGACGGGCGGCGCCAAGCACTTCTTCCTTGCACTCTCGGCTTTCCACCAAAGCGCGGAGGAGGAGCATCGAACAAACCATCAAGCATCATCCACATCCCCGCTTTCTTGTCTAATCGCGTGTGCCTGAGAAAACAAGCCAATCCAATCCACTCCATTCCGATCCGCTCCTCTCTCGAATCATGGTGAGTCTCTCCCCGCCATGCATCCCTTCTCCACTTGTCGAGTCGCGCCCTCACTGTTGTTGTTGTCGTCGCGCCTGCTTCTGACACGCCCATCTTCGTCCAGGCTACCGGTCTTCCCAGCGGCTGGGAGGTTAGACACTCCAACTCAAAGAACCTTCCCTACTACTTCAACCCCTCGACCAAGGAGAGCAGATGGGAGCCTCCTTCAGGCACCGACAGCGAGACTCTGAAGCACTACATGGGCACCTACCACAGCTCTGCCAGCCTGCGACCTGACGGCCAAGGCCAACAAGAGGGCAAGATCCGCGCCTCGCACCTGCTCGTCAAGCACAGAGACTCTCGCCGTCCCTCGAGTTGGCGTGAGGCCCAGATCACTCGCTCAAAGGACGATGCCATGACCATCATCCTGGGCCATGAGGCCAGAATCAGAAGCGGCGCAACCAGCCTTGGCGATCTGGCTACCACCGAGAGCGATTGCAGCAGTTCTAGAAAGAGAGGTGACCTGTATGTCGCGCTACACCTTGTTCAAACCTGCCATCTACTGACACCATCTCCCCAGCGGTTTCTTTGGCAAGGGCGATATGCAGAAGGAATTCGAAGACGCCGCTTTCGCCTTGAAGCCTGGCGAGGTGAGCCATGTTGTCGAGACTGCCTCTGGACTGCACTTGATTGAACGGTAAGCCTCCGCTCGCTTCCCTTTGACCTTGCTGACCATGATTTCTTTCCTGTCTAGCCTGGAGTAGAGTTTTCGTGTTTCTTATCCTTTCTGCCTCTCCGCGATATACCATCTTTGGACTTATTCTCCGCGTCCGACGCCGGCCTTTGTATTCGTCCGGTCTTGAGATCTCCTTCTGTGTACTCGGCTGAACGAAAAAAAGCATCCCTTTCTGATTGCTCCTACATCTCACTACGTGGCCTTCTTTCCTGTTCCGAGCGCAGCCAAGCCCTGGGTGATTTACACTGGTCTAGCAGTGAAAGTGAAGCTTGTCATAGCCGCCTAGAGGTTTGCGGTATCGTTTGACTTCGGCCAACGAACACTATTCGTTCGGTCACAACCCAATCTCGCAGTATCCTGGGCGAACAAACCATACACCAATGTCATTATGACGGCCAGCTATGTCTGTCTTACGATTTGGTCGATGAAAGGTCCGCAGATATGTCTTATCTGTGTTGTTTCCGTCCATGTGTGATCTGGCAGCAGCGCGAATCATGTACACAGAGATGTTGCAGCCAATCGTATAGTCCAGTTCATACATTGTTTGGTGGCCAGCATCTTCTAGGGGAGCTGAGCCTTTGATGTCTTGGTACGCGGGTAGGTCTTGCTTTCCTTAGTGGCTCATGAGCTCTTTCCCTTTATATAAACCATGAGCTTTTCCCCTCCCTCGGCATCTCCCCTCGCACTACAGCTGCGTGTACACCCTGATCCCTGCACTACTACCCAACTCTCCTTTCACTCTATATACCTGAGCACGTCTGCATCTGATGCTGCCGCCTTCCGACTATCTGCATCCGCATCAAAACAGTTCCACCATGCCTCCCGCAACTCAACCTCGCCATCGTCGCCCTTCGTGGAGACAGTCACGCGTGTCCCACCGCACGTAGTAAGCAAACTCAAAAAGATGCTTCGAAACCCCAGGTAGATGCCGCGTCTCTCTCAACATGGCAGTAAAATCTACTCAAACGCACGCACTCTTCCGCTCATCTGATGTTTGTGCTGACCATGTCCCTTCAAGTTTGGAAACGGACTTTGACCGAAAGCAGGAGCATGAAATGCCCGCCGATGCCGACGCCGACACCTTTTACTACAACGCTGCCTTCATTGCGGAATGGACCATGCCTGCAGATCTCTGGGTCCGCTTGCCCGAGTCGCTCACAACGGAGCTCAACGACTGGCAAGCTGCTGGAGCTGCCGTATGCACAGCTCTGGCCCGAATTGACAAGCTGGACGATGAGAGTCTTTACAGAGGCTGGCCATCCAGACACAACATACATCTTTCGCGTACTACGTCTGACTGCCCCGCTGTTGGGTCGCTTCCGTCCCCGATCACAGGACCTTTCGAAATGTCACCTTTCCAAACACCGATTGATCTCCCTGCTCTACGAACAAGCTTTGACGACGCCCTGTCAACTAGTCCAGAGACACCACCTTTCACCCCACGAGACAGCATCATGGGCGACGAAGTCGATGAGATTAGCACATCATTCCGCAACAAAGTCAGCCTCGAGCACGTCAACGCGATGTTAGCCACTAGGGTGAGACGAGCCTCCGAATCTGCAGGCTCACCATCACCGATCATGAGTCGCCTCTCCCGTCAAGATTCGAGCGAATTTGCCTATGGTCCAGATCAACAATTTGACGAGAGTGCTTGGGATGTGTTCTTACGATCGTATGAGGCCGAGCTTGAGCATCTGCGCACCGAGACATTGGTTCGCTTCAGACACATTGGTAAATCAGTGGATAGGCTTTGGCTGGATCTCAGATGCGAGGGCGTGCATCCTGTTTCGAAGGAGACAGTCGTTGAGTTTGTCGCCTGGTGGCAAACTATGAAGGACAAGGAACACGACTATGACAAAGAAGTCCAAATGCTTGAAGTGCCTCAGCTCGAAGTGGTCAGCTTCCAGCGGGCGTCGCAAGGTTGGTCCTTTTGAACGACAGATCTGGTCAGCTCATGATCATACCATGTCTGCATGTGAAATCCGAAACGATTACATTAGATCGGTGCGATGAACGATCTCAGTGCAGGTCACCAGGGTCAGATGAGAAGCACAGCGATGATTAGTTTGACAAATTTAACCTAAGATGCATTTCTATGAGCATCTTCAGTGTAATCAGGGTGACCCTGTTATCATCTCCAAAAGCATCCTTATTCGTTTTGCTCGAGTCGAAAGTCAACCCTGACGACATGTCTGACATTCCACCTTCCAGTCAACTTCAATGATGTTGTTCATAGTGTGCATTTCGCCGATGCTGACATGGTCAGGGCGACGTAGATATTTCCGCTGTTCTTTCCGGTGTCATTACCCCAGAGCATGTCAAGTACCACAACCGCATGTGCGGGGTCTCCCACGTGCACACACTCCAACACTGTGTTCCAAACCTAAGCTCGAACGACTGCTCAAAATCATGTCACAAAGGTGCCCTGACCAAACTCAGTACGATGTTATTGTTGTCGGTTCTGGCGCGGCTGGGCTGACAGCGGCCCTCTCAGCCAAGCTCCACAATCCAACCCTCAATGTCCTCATACTCGAGAAGGCACCGCTGGAATGGAGCGGAGGCAACGGCTACTTTACAGCAGGTGCTTACCGAACTGCTCACAACGGACTGTCCTCGATTCTGCCATTGGTTTCCAATGTACCACTTGAGCTGCATGACAAGATCGATCTCGCGCCTTATACTGACGATGACTTTTATTACGACCTACAGCGCGTGACGGGAGGTCGCAGTGACAAGGATCTAGGAGCTGTACTTGTAGGCGATAGTCTGGATACTGTACGCTGGCTTAAAGATCACGGAAACGTGGACTGGTGGCTCAGTTTCCGACGTCAAGCTTACGAGGTAGATGGACGGTGGAAGTTTTGGGGTGGGCTGGCACTTACGGTGAAGGACGGAGGTAAAGGGCTCATCAAAAATCTGTCGGAGGCTGTTACGGCGAACGGCATCATCACATTATTCGACATAAAAGTCCAACGCTTGCTTGTCAGCGAGAGCGGAAGCATAGAAGGTGTGGAGGTCTCAGAATCGACCAAAGCACACTCCAAGTCTCTGCTGTTCGCAACCAGCGTCATTCTGTGCGCTGGCGGCTTCGAAGCAAGTAGAGAACTCAGAAAGTCATTCATGGGACCTGGTTGGGAGCTTGCCCACGTCCGCGGCACTCCCTACAATACCGGAGACATGCTTCTGGCAGCTCTGGACCTAGACGCGCGAAAAGCTGGCGATTTCAGCCATACCGGTTGCCATAGCGTCAGCTGGGACGCAGACTCGTCTCCCGATGGAGGTGACAGAGACAAGACGAATGAGTTCACCAAGAGCGGATACCCACTCGGGCTCATGCTCAACACCCGCGGCAGACGTTTTGTGGACGAAGGCTTCGACCTTCGAAATTACACTTATGCCATGTTCGGCAGAGCGATACTCGAGCAGCCGGAAGGAATGGCGTTCCAGATTTGGGATGCAGACGCCGTTGGCTGGTTGCGTGAGGAAGAATACCGTGACGACGTCGTTCGCAAGATTGTAGCGCAAAGCCTCGAAGAGTTGGCAGAGAAGCTCGCAACGGAGGGACTAAGAGACAGGCACGAATTCGTGCGTACAATCAATGACTACAACGCAGCGGTTCGTGCACATCGAGAAGAGAACCCTGACGCGAAGTTGGATCCATCGATCAAGGACGGGCTTTCGACACAGTCATCTCGGATGTCGTTGGAGCTGCCCAAATCAAATTGGGCGTTACCTGTTGAACAGGGACCTTTCACGGCCGTTCGAGTAACTTCGGGAATTACCTTTTCGTTCGGAGGTCTAGCAATCGCGCCTAGTACGGCGAATGTAATAAGGAATGATGGGTCTTGCATCGATGGCCTCTTCGCAGCAGGGGAGATGGTCGGCGGATTGTTCTATGCAAACTACCCTGGAGGTGAGGAAGCCAGAGTGACGAAAGTCAATAGACTTTGGCAGAACAGAGCTAACGTAGAGAGCAGGTAGCGGGTTGACCGCTGGCGCAGTGTTTGGCAGAAGAGCAGGCGTTGCTGGGGCCCAACGGGCAGAGCAGCAATTAAAGAGCAATGTCAAGTTGTAAGCTTTGTTGTCATGGCGGGGTTTGTTTATCCCGGTTGAGACAATCTCCTGTCCACGCCATGATGACAGGATGCAGGTGGCTGGCAGAGGAGCAGAGAACATGCAGGAACACGGCCAGTTTGCTATACAAGAGGCCGACAAGGGTCGCACAGCACCTGCCACCAAGCAGCGGTCGACTCTTGTGGTCGGTCAGAGTAAATTGAATTTACCTAGCTAGTTGAGATTAGCATGCTAGCGCGCTCACGAACGCGGGAGAGCGGCCGTGCACCATAGCCGCTTGGCACCAGCCATCGCCCATCTTCCAAACATACATCGTCCATTGCTTCGACCTTGATCTGCGACCGCACGACGACCACGGCGATTTGATTCCGCTTGCTCGCCCCGTTCCGCCCCCTCCATACGATCCTCGTCGTCGTCCGCGCCCGCATAACTCTGGACGCTCGCCCGGCATCGTCGAGTGTAGTCGAGTGTTAAGCGCCTGCATCTGCTCTTGCACCTGCTCTGCTCTGCCGTCCGCGACTCCGCCAAGTCACTCTTTCACTCCAACTACTTAGCCACGACCCGACGTTCCTTATTCTCAACACCACCCGCTCAAATACCCATCTGCATTGCCTTTGCGCATCAAGAAGTTACGATAGATTAATTTACTCCTGTGTAAGTTCTGTTCTGCCCAACTCGACATGCCGCTCGTGTTCTCCGTCTGACGTATGCACACCCAGTTATGGCCGAACCTCAGACCTCACTCCAACCTCCCGAATCTCTCCATACCACCACAGCCGCGAGTATCAGCAGCGCAGCCACTGTTATTCCACAATCAGCCTCGCACAACCCTTCCGATCTCTCGTTCACCGTCGCCGAATCCGGACCCGTCGTCACACCGCGTCGTTCAAAACGCAGTCTACGTTCACGTGCCCGCACCGGAAGCAACGCAAGCAGCAAGCGATCTCACCGCGCCCGTCCTTCAATGAGTGAAAAACCGACCCGCCCGCTCTCTGGGGCCACCACCCAGTCCAATGCCGCCCGCCCAAAGAAGAAATCAAAGTTCTTGTCGTTTCTAGGATGCTGCGGCTCTTCGGACGATGCCCAGGATGGCGATCAGGATGTGCCGCCTCGTCAGTCAGTGCCTGCTCAAGCCTCTCAGGTGGATCAACAACCATCAACACACTCCAACCCGACTATGCAGTCAGTGGACACCATCGATGAGAAACCTGCAACTACTCCATACGCTGGCCAGCAGAGCGGTCCCTCGGCGAACGCTGAAAACGAAAAGATGTCTTTGCCCGCTCAAAGTGAACCTTTGTCTAGAACTGATGGTCTCACTGCATCTCCGCAAATAGCAACTGAGACACCCGCTTCTGGAGCACTGTATAGCCAAGATTCACAAACGCAAGCCTCTTCGGACGTCCCCTACCTGACCCAGCCTGACGTCGTCGTCCAAGCCCCAACCCCTGTTGCAGCGATGGCAGACGAAGACCTCATGATCGCCGACCGAACTCCAGAGCAACAGGCCAGGGACACCGACATTGAGATGACGGATGTTGGTCCTTCTTTACCCCTTTCAGCCAACGACGTAGCAGGCACATCTGAAGATGAGGGTCACGTTACCACTCGCCACGAAAGTGGCACACGAGTTGACCTGCCTCCGCCTCCGCCTCTGGTCGAGCGTCAGGCTCAGGTAGCGTACCCACACACGGCCAGTCATGACACGTCGTCTGTCCCCAGTCCAGAGCCCCAAAAGTGGCTCTTGCCGGCTGTGAGACCAGAACATAAGGGCAGGAAATGCTTGATTCTGGATCTGGATGAGACCCTTGTTCACAGCAGTTTCAAGGCAAGTCAACAATCACCATGATCTAGATCTCGTGCTGACCGTGCTTGAAGCAGATTTTACATCAAGCCGACTTCACCATCCCTGTAGAAATAGAAGGGACATACCATAATGTCTATGTTATCAAACGACCAGGCGTCGACGCTTTCATGAAGAGGGTCGGAGAACTATACGAAGTCGTCGTATTCACGGCTTCGGTCTCAAAGGTAAGTTGCAGCATGCCGTCATTGCACCAGAATGACACTCGGCTGACCTGAATCGCAGTATGGTGATCCGCTGCTAGACCAGCTGGATATCCACCACGTGGTGCACCACAGGTTGTTCCGTGAGAGCTGTTACAACCACCAAGGCAACTACGTCAAGGATCTCTCGCAAGTCGGGCGCGATCTCAAGGAGACAATTATCATCGACAACTCGCCCACATCATATATTTTCCATCCGCAGCATGCCGTGCCTATCAGCAGTTGGTTTTCTGACGCTCACGACAACGAACTCCTAGATCTCATCCCGGTGCTGGAAGACCTCGCAGGGCCTCAGGTTAGCGATGTCAGCCTAGTGCTCGACGTGGCACTCTGATGCGGACGGAGAAGACGAGAGATTGCAGCAAAAAGCATAGTTCAGAGGCGTTGGATGGCGCAGGACGTTCAATGATGTGCAGGGTGAGACGCAGCTCACGCACTGTACAAAAGTAAGAAGGCTCCCTCTGGCGGGACTGGGGGAGATTGTCGTGTTGAAGAATAATTTCGTTTCTCTTTTTGAGCTGTTCCGGAGGATAATTGATTGGCGGAAGTTGTTGGGTAGTGGAGTGACGGGCACCAGGTTTTTTTCTTTCTTTCTACCTGTGTGCGGATAGCTTTTTTTTGTTTTGTTTTCATCTGTTTAATTATCGGGATCCGCTGAAGCATAGCAGGCATATCAGCTGGAGAGCGGCGGCGACAGTGGCAAGCAGCAGATGCTGTAGCCAGAGAGGCGCAATACCCCTTTACATTTCTGATCTTTCTCCTTTGGCTACTCTAGTTTCGTCGTTGATTCTTTTACTACTGTTCTTCTAAACACAAGTTTCTTCAACCCTTCCATCACACCTTTGACCATCAGACTCGTGACATGAAAGACGCAAAGAACAAACATGATCAAGTTAGTCTGGCGGTAGGTGTGATGGTGCAAAGACGGAAAAGACAAGCAACAGCAGTCGGGATGGCCATGGGGTAGCATCTGCGGCGGACGGACATCTTGGCAGGCGGTCGGGAGTGAGGCGGCGTCGGTGGTTGCATGTTTTCAAAAGGGCCCAGCAGTTGAAGCATAATTATTTGTTTGCCAACCACTCGCACAATCCACAATGTCGCTCTCAATACCGAATGCGCCAAACAGCGGCCTGTTCAAGGCAGGCTACCAGAAGTGAGTCGATCTGTCCGGAACTGCATCTCCCTGCAGCGGAGCCGTGGAGCTCAGACGGAGCTCACGGCGCCAAAGTCCACGTCGATATAGGAGAGAGCCGACGACTGACAGATCAACAGCTACGATGCCGAAGACGGCGCAGTTGTACGCAACATCGATGCGTGCCGAACCATCTCAGACACCGTGGCCACGTCGCTGGGCCCCTACGGACGCAACAAGATTGTCATCAACCACCTGCAAAAGATGATCCTCACCTCGGACGCTGCCACCATCCTCCGCGAACTCGAAGTCGTACACCCTGCCGCCAAGCTGCTGGTCATGGCCAGTCAACAGCAAGAGGCCGAGATGGGAGACGCTACAAACATGGTCATTGTCTTGGCTGGTGAATTGCTCAAGAAGGCCGAGGAGCTGTTGCGCATGGGTCTCAAGACTAGCGACATTGTCGTTGGCTACGAGCGCGCCGGCCAGGAGGCTCTGAGAGTACTGGAAGAGCTCGAGGTGGACCGTGTCAAGGACATGCGCGATCAGGAGGAACTGTCAAAGGCTCTGCGCACCGTCATTGCCGCCAAACAGTCCGGCCATGAGGATGTTTTGGCCAACTTGGTCGCCGAAGCCGTCCTCGCTGTCCTGCCCAAGAACACCTTCAACTTCAACGTCGACAATGTCCGCGTTGTCAAGATCATGGGTGGCTCGATTGAGCAGTCGCGTGTTGTCAAGGGTATGGTCTTTGGTCGCGAGCCCGAGGGCACCATCAAGAACGTCCAAAAGGCAAAGGTCGGTGTCTTCAGCTGCCCCATCGATATTGCACAGACCGAGACCAAGGGTACCGTACTACTCAAGAACGCCCAGGAGATGCTCGACTTCACAAAGGGCGAGGAATCACAAATCGACCAAGTCATCAAGGAGCTGCATGATTCTGGCGTTCGCGTTGTTGTCGCCGGAAACTCTGTCGGCGAGCTGCCCATGCACTACCTGAACCGCTACGGAATCCTCGTCATCAAGATCATGTCCAAGTTCGAGCTCCGCCGCCTCTGCAGAGTTGTTGGCGCTACACCCCTTGCTCGTCTCGGTGCTCCCATGCCTGATGAGATGGGTTCCGTCGACATTGTCGAGACCATCGAGATTGGCGGCGACCGTGTCACTGTCTTCCGCCAGGAGAATGACACTACCCGCACTGCTACCCTTGTCCTCCGTGGTGCCACCCAGAACCACCTCGAAGATGTAGAGCGTGCCGTCGATGACGGTGTCAACGTTGTCAAGGCCATCACCAGAGACGCTCGTCTCGTACCCGGCGCTGGTGCCGCCGAGATGCAGCTCGTCGAGCGCATCTCCGCCTTTGCAGACAAGACCTCTGGACTTTCGCAATACGCTATCCGCAAATACGCAGAGGCCTTTGAGGTGGTACCGCGTCTTTTGGCCGAGAGCGCCGGTCTCGACGCCACTGAGATTCTCGCCTCCCTATACACTGCCCACAGCGCAAAGTTATCAAAGGATAACAGCGTCTGTGGCGCTGGTGTCGATATCGAGAACAACAACGGTGACGGTGTACTTGATGCTCAAGATGAGGGCATTCTTGATCTCATGGTCACCAAGCAATGGGCCATCAAGCTCGCAACCGAATCTGCCAGAACCGTTCTCAGCGTCGACCAAATCATTGTCGCCCGCCAGGCAGGTGGCCCCAAGCCGCCGGGTCCTAACCCCAACTGGGACGAGGATTGAGAGTGTAGATGAACCACAAGTACTCGCCGCGCCGATGTTGGTGAAAAGCCGATGAGCAGGATTGCACATTTGCCAGGTCCGATGAGCCAGAGGTCAGCCAAGCAGTGATCAGCTGCGGTGTGTGTAGGAAGCATGAAATAAACGAGCATGAGACGGTGCTTGTGCTAGAGAGCAATGCATAACAGTCAAGGGAAAGAGAGGAAAGACTGGATTAGCATAATTTCAAAGCCATCAACAGTGTTTTTACGACCATCAAACATCAGAAAGAAGATAAGTGCTTCACAAACCGCTTTGGTTGCTGCAATCAAATAATATACATGGATATTTACAGGTGATGAAACATGCCAAACGGCCTAGATATGCAATCCTCCAGTGTCTCGTGAGAGATGCCCTTTTACTCCTTGATAACGCCTTGTGCAAGATAAAATGCTGATACTTCCGCGCTCTTGCATCCACATATCCTGGCCTTCTCAACTCATTCTTTGATGACGATTGGGGTCCGTCTTCGTGACCGACGATGTATGCGCGGGTCTTTTCGTCTACCGCCAACGATACGCCATGTACTTCTACGTCCATCCGCAAGACGCAGACCTCGTGACCATAGATCAGGACGAACACGCTGTCCTTGCAGCTTGGGAACATCGACATCGGGTGCAGGTTTGGCAAGCTTGATCATGATGCGGATGAGCCTGTTGCCCAGAGATGATGCCTGCCTGATCTGTGTCTTTTGCCTCACTCTGCAAACTTCAGAGTAGTACTCTAGCACCCTTGCTAGTCTGAGATTGTTAGCACCTCTGGAACCTTCAGATCGTGATCGTAGCTCGGCGTGCTTCCGCGCTTTCCGGACGACAGTCATGAAGGTGTAGTCGATTCGGTAGCCTTTAGCCAAGACTTCCTTGATGACCCACTCGATTCCCGTGCTGTGGCTTACGCGAATATATGCTTGTAGCAATACAGTCATGGCTGGCAGGTCAAATGGCACTTCTCCCACCCACTTTGAGTGATAGATCATCTGGAGAAGCTGGATTGCTTCGTTCGCCTGGTTGTTCTGGATCAAGACTGTTGCTGAAGCCGTGGCTAGATGATGTTTGATGTTGACATTGTTCCTCACCATATGCCGGTAAAACCCCCGCACGGTATCGCGGAGCTCGTCAATGTGCATCGGTGCACCTGGTGTCGCGATTCGTATCTGATGACTTAATAGTGGTATCAGCGCCGCGGTGATCTCCATACCAGCTTCACTGGCTGTGTCGATATGATCTTCAAGTAGGCCGACGTCATCTGACAACTTCGTGCGGGCCTGTATTGCCATCTCTAGAGAGTATGATGACGCGGGCAGACCACTTCGTCCAAGGCTGCTTTCGTACATGTTGAGGAGATCTGCGTACCTTGCCTCCGACAGGGCTATCAGCATCTCATTCTCTTTGAGAGTCTGCGCTCTTAGGGCGGTCGAAAGCGCGGTGTCCGGCATGCCATCCATCGATAGATCTTCAACTGACGGCACATTTTTGTAGTCTACTGACCGGTCGCTTGCCAAAGAAACGTCATTTGACCACACTTCATCGATCTCGTAACCAAAATTTGCCAGTGATTCATCTCCGGCTGTCTCTCGCATACCTGAATTGGAGAGGAGCAGAGGTGCACGAACTGGTCTCGTCTCTTCATGTATCTGGTACCAGTTGAGAGGCTTAGGTAGACTCGGCCGATCCAAATCGACCTCCTGTAGCGCCTTGAGCATGAGCAGTGCCCGAGGCTCCCTGTGGGCAAGACCGGATCGATAACCTCGAAGGTCGTGTGCTACAGCCTCAAGCAGTAGATTAAGCAGATTCTGGGACCAGTACTCTGGAACATGATTCAACAAGCGTCGGCAGAGCCAGATCAAAACGGTGTGAGAAGGCCTGGTATCAAAGTAGAATTGCCGCACCATGGCCCCGGCAGTTTTTGATGTAATTTCTGCACCTCGTCCATAAGTCTTCATTTTGTTGACCCACACTGGAATCATCCCCAATCGACCAGTTCTGATTAGATCATTGATGCCGATGCTCAAGATGCGCGGGTCGGGAAGGACTGCGTATTCGTCAATCGCCTTGAAGGCAAAGGACCAAACTTCCTCTGGATGGTGATGCTTGGCATAGGCTTTCAGAACAGGGATGAAGAGATCAGTACGTTTCTCGGGAGTTGCTTCCACTTCTCCTGCGCGGCCTAACATGGTCATCAGATGATCGACAGCAGGCCAATCGGCGTTTGAAGACGTCAAAAGGACGAAGTGGCCAAAAGTGACTATGTCGGCTTCCAGATGTGGGCTCTGCTGAATGGTGCGGAGATGATGGTGAGCTCGATCGAGATTTCCGGACTTGATGCAAACTTTGATCATGGCATTATAGAGGACCAGTGGCGGAAGTTTTGTAGACTGGCACATATGCTCGAAGAGCGAGTCGACAAGGCTATAGTTGCGAGTAGTGTACCACATTTGTTCGATGATGGCAGGCCATGCAGGTTCGCAGCAGAGCAGTACTGTAAGACGTTGTTCCCTGTGTATATGTTTGGCGAATAGGAGGGCGCAGACTTTGGGACTATGGGTCGCGTATGCTGCGCATAATGCAGGGTAGACAGTGCGAGGAAAAACAAACTTTTCGCCGTAGCACTCGTTCATGTGGACCAACCATCTAGGGCGTAGGGGCTTAATGCAGGCCAAGGAAAAGCTGTGAAGACAATGAGTGACAGGCCATGCTTCGAGATACATGTGATCGACCAGTTGTTGACAGTTGCGGAAGCTTCGCTTGAGCAGAAAAGAATCGAACAAGCGGACTGCAAGTGGTTTAAAGTCGGACGGGCAGATGCCTGCGGACTTGGCCAAGATGAGAGATTGATGAAACAAGCGAAAAGCATCATCGCCCAGGTTCTGAGAAACGAGCTTCTCGCAGCGAAGTTCGAGAGCGGCCAATGTACGGGCCAGACCATGTTTCTCAATGGCGTTGACCAGAGACGGCGGACTGCGTAGACTGGTGGACGCCGGTACACGAGGCGTCTGTCCTTGTGGTGAGGTGACTTGTGTTGTGGGATGTGGTCGTGGGAGAGGATTGGACGAGCGGTTGGTTTGGACGTCGTGTGGTTGGCGTGACTCGAGTTTGGCGTATCCTCGCTCGACTTCGGAAGGCAGGACGTTGTTGCGAAAGGTTTCTGCCTGCGTGTGCAGCGTCGCGTCGTTGGCGTGGGCGTGCGTCGCATCCTGGTTGAGTCTGCGACGAGCAGCGTGGGCGTGCTGGTAGCGTGGATGCTGTTTCAAGCGGCGCGAATTGTCTGCTATCTTCGAGACGACATTGGTCTGGCGGCGGCGCTCTTCTGCTATGACGGCTGCCACACCACAGGCTGTGCCTGATGAGATGTACGCCAGCTGCCGCAGCACTCGGAGCGCTCCCTCTGATGGCACTCGTCTTCGGCTTTGGAACATGGCAAGTCCATGGCTGCTTCAATTCATCCTCGTGTCTATAACTCTCCGGCCGTCTGCTCTAGTGTCTGCACCGCGACAATTGTCTGCGAGTCGTCTGATGATAATTATTTAGAAGCACTGACTTGCCCCGGCCGCCGCTCGGCCTCGACCGCCCGGCGCCCTCCTTTGCCTTGGCACCACTTTTACATACTTTGTGTTTATCCTTTGCTACTCCGCTTACACCCAGCATGCTCTTTACCCATGCCTCGAGTAAAGTGGTCCTAGCATTTTCCAACTCCACTCCGCAATCCCGTCTACTTGTTTTATGTCCTGAATCCACTCAAGCATCAACGTCGTCGTCTGTTCCAGATCCTTGCGGTTCACCCTCTCGTTACATATCTTCTTCAAGCACTCGTTCTCCGTTGTCATTCGTAATATCAGCAATATTCCCACAAAGTTTTGCGTCCACGTAAATAGGTGTGGTACCAGGCGCTTCTTGTTCTTCGGCGGTGCGAGTATCAGTGGCCACAGGCACGCCGATTGTATTGCCAGAGCACAGCATATCTGGTCTTCTTCTGTCATGAGTTCGGGGAAATGCAGCGCCTTGTACACGAACGGCCTGTAGATCATGAACCGTGCATAGTAGAACTGCGTCCTCAGTTGCGCTGTCATGATGTCCAGATTGTCTCGGTGGTTGATCGGAACCGATCCTTGGTCCATTGAAAAGAGTGAATCCGTACCCTGTCTCCCCGCAGATCCCATGTTCGGGAATTCTGTCTTGTCATTGTCTGACCATTGCAGAGGTCGAGGGAGCAACGAGCGCCACGATTCCAGCTGTCGGGCCAATTCCTTGATTACGTGTACCGGTGGTCCACCGTAATCTTCGGACAATTCGGCCGTCACGTTGGATGCTACACCTTGTTAGCTTCTGCTTTGAGCTCCTTAGCCAAGACACTCACAGCAGTGTATTGACTCGTGTATCCGCGCGACCAGCCTGCGCAATGCTATCATCGCAAGGAAATGATATTGGAAATGTGACTTCTCGTCTGAGGGATTGCCGTAATTGCTTTCAGAGCCGTGGAAGTACGGAAGTGGGACCTGATCCTCCAAAGTATGGATCCCCGTCTGCGAAAGATCCAGTTCGAGATGATACATGCTGCTAGGTGTCAGTATCAGCGATATTTCAAGCACGTGAGCGGGATGTCTTACTCCTCGCTGAGCATACACGCCCAGTAGGCACGCTTGATGAGATCTGCTCGGGGAGTAGACCAGTCGATGGATTCACTAAAATACAGTCAGCTCGGGTGTACTATTCGGGAGGATTGTGATATATACCATTTGATCAGTATTTGGCAAGAAGTAGACGCTGCGACTGTAGCTCGCCAGAAATCCTGCACGACCGAGTCAGATCATCCGCCCACATCATTCGATTGAGAATCGGCTTACCATATGACGAGCGCAAGCTTCGTAATATGCGCTATGCTGTATGTTAGCATTGATAACCACAGAGACGGCAGCACTCACGACTCAAGAAGATGAATTTGCACGTTTTCGAGTGTGCATTGATGCATGATAAATCCCATGCGCCTCCTGGCCTCGTTGAAAAGATTCAGACCAGGTGGTCTTTCAGCTGTACCTCCACGTAGACCACTAGGATTACCTTCTATGATGCTGATTGGCGATCCATATACACCATCGATGGCGGTTTGACCGAGGGCCAGGACAAGCAGGACGAGACAGCCCTGAGGATCACAATCGGCAAATCCATTTCTCAGAACTGGCTCGAGAATGTCTTCGAGGAAAATTTGTCTGTCCAGGATCGGGAACAGAATATTGAAGGTACTGAAGTATGCATCGCTCATTCTCCTCACGTTCTCGGGTGTCAAGCCTATGAATCCGGCCCTCATTTCTCCCGTGCTGCTAGGCATCGGATATGTTCGCATATCAGTGTCCCAAGGAAGTGTCTTTGGATGCTTGTGTAGTTCGAGATGGATGAACCAAGGTGTTCCTTCCTGGAGCACGTACTGTAGATCCGAGGCCACGGCGATTCCAGAGTTCAGAATGTGTAAATATATCGATGGCCATAATAGAACTTTGTGTGCCACGGTCAGGTGTTGATAAGTGCGCAAAACGTCGGGAGGAAACGACGACTGGGACCCGAGTCGAGCCCCTAGTCGTACTTCACTATCAGATGATACATGTGATTCATTGGCGCTCAGGGTAGCGTTAACTCCTGGGGGACGTGATCCAGATTGTGGCACACTCCAATCAAGATTGCTTCCAGGAGTCGAGGGTTTCGATACATATAGGGTATCAAACTTGTTTTCGAGTCGTTGCAAAGTCTGCAGGATGTAGACCATGGTCTTGTCTTTTCTACATGCCGGCCCCTGTCAGAGATAACCCATCGCGTCATCCGAAAGTTGACTTACTTCGTAGGCTGCGGCTCTCGGTATACGCACTCAACACTGAGCCGTCTACAGAGGCCGCATTTGGGTCTTTGCTCATCACATTTGGACTTCCTAAATGACGGAGAAAAAGGGCATCAGTCCAAAATGGAAACAGGCGACGAGGAACTCGTAATTTCTTACCGACTTCGACAAGTTTGACATGCTTGGGCAGCGATTACGGCACGCTCTCGCCGCAAGGACATATCAGCCCTGTCATCGCCCTCGGCGTCCATGGGCAGAAGAGTCCCCTTGGTATGGATTATGCTTCGTAGCAGAGCCGCAGTGATCAGGCGGCTGAACAGAGAAAAAGATGGGTCTGATTAATGGGCGCACGACGTTGTGGTGGCCAGCGGCACGCGGCACGCTGTCTGTGGAAAAGGTTGCACTCGTTTACCACAGCCGATATGTTACCAATCTCCGAGATGACTTTTTCATGTAGGAACCGTCAGAACGAGCAACGGAAGATGGTCCGCCTAAGAGAGTCGACAGAGTTCACAGACTAGCCCGTTCACAGCAGCCTGTCCCAATCGCGTTTGTACAAGAGGCGTGGCTTTGGTGCAAACAAGATCACGTTCAGAGGGTGCTTTGCGAGTAAGAATGACGCACGCCAACAGTGCCCGATCAGGACAATGTACACTACCTTAGGGGTTAGCTTGAGCTTTGAATCGTGCGCTGCTCTCCCTGGACCATGTACCATGGCTAGTGCCGCTGCCGCTTATCTGCAAGTCTACAATAGACAGTCACACCTAAGAGGGCTGAGAAGATGGCATTCTTAGTTAAGCTCATGGCAATCTGAGAGGATTCTGTTCTTTGTCTCAATCTTCGGCCGACAAGACCCGAGGACAGTGAATTGAAGCTTGCGACATCGTATCGCACCGGCTGCCACGCTTCTTCCCCACCAAGCCGCATACCGGGTAAAGATAGCTCCCAGGCACAGCACATGGTACTCGACGCCTCTCGCGTAAATCCCCTGGTCTCGATTGGACCGACGAGCTCTTTTGTGAAAGCTGCGTATGAGCAACATCCTCGACTGCCTTGCGGCGGCCCCCGCATTGATGCCGATGCCCATGGCTCTGTCTCGAGACACCGAAGCTGAAGAGGCCAAGACCGATGATAGCTTGTCGCAACCGCCCAACCCTGCCCATCAATCGCCGGGCTCACGTCCTCCAGAAGGTCGCCATGCTGCTCGCCGGAGAAGTCTCGAGGTTGTGGCCGAGGCCCAAGGCGACGTGGACAACTTCGTGCGAGAACTCGACCAGAAGCGACGCCAGCTGGACGACCAGATCCACAAGTTCATTGCGCAGAAAGAGAGGGAATTCAGGCTATACGAACGCGAATTGCGCACGCGCTATCGCACGCCCGTCACGACCTCCTCCCAGACGTCTGGACGTGCCTCGCCCACCACTGCTGCTGACACGCCTGCAGATGCTGCTTCCACAAAGCGAGATACGGGAAGCACAAGTGACAAGGGCCACGAGCGCGAGAGCGAGCTTCTAGGCCTCTTTACCCCTGCGTACCTCCCCTTGCTGGAAAGCAGACCTGCAGGCCCCGAGCGATCTCCTTCGGCTCCGACCTTGAGTGATCCTGCCGAAGCTACAGCCATTGGCCCTGATCGACAGACTCTTCAGCGCGCCAACACCGATCCTGCTGGTGACAACAAATCTCACACGTCCAGGCTGGGCCTGGGTCCCCGGACTCCGTCGTCAGGCTCAGATCCAGGGAGAGGTCTTATATCCGCTCTGAAGTCACCCTCGGCTGGTCCAAGACTCTCCAACAAGAAGCGTGTGTCGCTCATCGTGGGCGATGAAGTCGTTGCTCCGAGCGACAATGTCTTTTTTAGTGCACATAAGGAACCCGAACAGCATCCGGATCTTGAACTTGGCGCCCAACACATTGACGCCCAGGCACCTGCACAAGTCGTGCGTGCAGAGGCACGCGAAGAAACAGCCCCAGAGCCGCCATCGTCAAACACGTCCGCTCCAGAAGTTCCACAACCATCTCCAGCCGGCCTTCAACCTGGAGGCTTGAGCCTTGGTTTCGCATCAGCGGCTCGTAGTCCTACCATCTTCAAAGAACCTTTGCAGACAAACACAAGTCCCGCAGGTGATCTCGAACTGACCTCGCCATTCTCCATGGATGAAGAATTCGACGATACTGGTTCTTCGGATATGTACACCATGCAGATAGAAGACATCGATGCAGATGTAGACTCAGGTCTAGATTCGGAGTCAACCCTGCGCGCAGCAAGTCCGGCTAGCCTTGGAGATGAAGATGTTTCCCCGGCCGGTCACTCACCCATCCCCGACCTCCCTATTGCAAGTCTGGGCACTTCGTCCTCATCTTCTGCCCAGCCAATCTCGCCCGGCTTTTCTCGACCTTCTGTGCGCGACGATCCTCAATTAGATCTTAGCAGCCCGATGCCAGAAGAAATGCCAGCTCAAGGGTCATTGTACGGATCGTTTTCACGTCCGAGTTATAGCAAGCAGCAGACTAGTGGCAGCTTAGGAGAATCCTTCATGCAGAGGAATGCCGAGAAATTAATGCGACGCAGACAATCGAATCAGCGACCCTAAAGAGATATGAATCCGTCCAGTATGATTAGCAGACTATACCCATGTAATAACCAGCGAGCACCGCTCCGTTTTGTCAACACAAAATGTTCTTGTTCTAGCAGTCTTTTACCATTACCATTTCTATATGCATATGCTGACTTACGAATCTATTTCAATTCCATTGACCCTTTGTGAATAATCAGATACTCTGGCTGCTTCCACGTGAGACCATCGTTAGGATACAACTCTTAGTGAAGGATATGTGATTACTTGAACTTCGCACAAGTTTGCTATATCTCACCATAGAACGCCCCAAGCATGCTTTATGAGTACTTTCGGCGCAGTGAATTTGAGTGGTAACATATGTTTGGGGTCTATCGCCGTTTCCTTTACAACCTCCGGCCCTCATACCTCCGGTCCAAGAGGATCATCTGAAGCAGCCAGATTGCACTGTCTGAATATACGGACCTCCTCAGGCTTGAAGGAGCCTGTTACACTGTGAAGCACTCCTCGATTATTGAAGAGCGCAAGGTCACCTTCATCCCAGTTGATCGCGTAAACCAGCTCGGGAGCGATTCCAGGCCTTTGAAGCCTGTGGACGATGTCTCGGACCTCCTTGAGATCGCTGATGACAGTGCCGTCGGCAAGGTGGAGCTTTTCGACTGCAGAAGGATGAACCTGCAAAGCAAGGCGCCCAGTCACAGGATTACGCCAACACATGGGATAGATCTTGATCTTCTCCTCGTCGATTGGGGGCAGCTCTTCCCGGGAGAGCTCGAGGCCGTCTGAAACGAGTCCCAGACCATCGCTCCTTGATCTTGCAGGACTCATCCAGATGTACGGGTGTGCGGCATACTGTACTTTGGTCGTCCGGGCAAACTCTTTGTCTTCGTCGGAGAGCAGGTCGTATGTGCGATATGAGCTTACGAAGGCGGTGGATCCACGAGGGACTCTCATCTCGTCGTTGCTTCCATCGTCGTAACGCAGAGTTTGGTATTCGGTCTTTGGCACACTGACAGCCATGAGACTGGTGACTCTGGGTGGGGATAAATCATACAAAGCTGCGTCAATGTGCCAGCGGTAGAACCTTGTTGCTTCTCTGTCATCGGCCTCGCTGATTGGTGTCTTGTGGAAGGTCTTGTGGTGGGGGTGCTTGAGTGTAATATTCTTCAGTCCTTCAAACTCAGCAACAGGCCCATTTCCGATGACTTGCACCTGAGGCTGATGTGGGATCGTCTTGAGGTCAGGATGAAGCACAGATCTTTTGGCATCAATCGTCTTTCCGTGTCCATATGAGCCGGCAGAAGGATCGAACTTTTGTGTCAACTCGAATTGAGCTTTTGGAGAGAGTGATTGTTGGTTCTTGAAAAGAACTACACTGTTCTCGTAAAGAGCATTCTTGATGATCTCAAAGTCTTGTTCTAATGAACGGTACGGTGTCAGCTCGCTGTGTTCGGATGGAGCGAAGTAAGAAGTATTTACCTGTCAGATTCTCCAAATTTGCTCCTCTGATCTCGGCACCGAAATCGATCTTGGATCCTTTTGGTGGTTGGATCCTGTGTACTGAGATATTGTTGATCTTGACTGCCATTGTGGCATATAACGTGGATAGACAAGTCTTTGGGTTAAGTGTTCGTGGTAGAGAAATTCTTGAGGGAATGCTGTGCAAAGTAGATAGAAGTACTCGAGACATGAGTGATGTTTATATACCTTAAGTGCGAAGTGCTTGAGCATGGTCAAGTTATGTTCGCCATCCTCACGACTCGGAAACCCCCGAAGCGGCCACGATGCGCTTACCTTTGGCCTGCTTTACGTTGTTGCGAGTCTTCTTCCGACATCAGTAGCATTGCTTGAAGATACTGTGCCGATTGCCTATTATTCCTTCGACCGGCCGCGACCGCAGTCCGGAGCATGCCGCGCGGACAGTCGAGCAGCGCAAGAGCGAAGTCGGTTGTCACAAAATGGGACGTGCACGAGATAAGAGACGATGCCGTGGAGAAACTGCTTTCTGAGGACCATCTAATCTATGGTTTCAACACTGAAGGAAGACTTCTAGACGCGTTCTCTGTCCTGCTTCTGAGAGCTTTCGTCTAATCCTCTTCTATCCATTTGCCCGGCGTGTAAAGCTATCTATGCAGTGAAACATATTGAGGGAACTCAAGCTGCAGCACAGAGAGAGAGAGAGAGAGAGAGAGAGAGAGAGAGCCCGCAAAAGTGTAGATGCGGGTAGCTTGTAAGTACATAGATTGGTATGCAGGAGACCGGTGACACGATTGCGCCAGAAGGAGGTCCGGCGCCCAGACGTAATATTCTGACCCTTCGAGATCAGAAGCCATCGGTGTTGTTCGTTCCAGGATCAGCTGTCCTGATGTCAAACGACGGAAACCGACAGCACGATCTCTATTCAATTGGGCCAACTCCGATGGCGCGGACCAGAATGCCTCTCAAGCATCATTTTCAATGAGCAGACGACTGAAGCGATCAGGATTATCGAGGGAGATGACCATCCGATGTGTTTACGGAGGCACTGGGCAAATGTACGGCCATCACAGCGTGGGCCATGTAGACCATCGAGGCGCCTTCACAACTTGTCCAGAAGCTTTCGTTTTCTTCTTTCGATGAGCTCGGCCTCGACTTCTTCCGCAGTTGGGAGAGTCCATGCGACACCATCTCCAGAGTCTCCAGGCAAAGGTTCCCAGTCAACGTCGTTGGCCTCTTGGTTCTCCATGATATGCGCAAATGCTTCCTTCTCTTTCTGTGCCTCGTAGGCCAGTAGCGTGCCATCCTCCTCATCTAGATTGTAGCCGTAGTAGGAAGCATCAACTTTTTGACGAAGATCCGAGCGTGTCTCCAGAGCCTTTTCATCTTGGGGCTTGACCTTTGCGGCCTCGAACAGCTCTTTGACTCCCGGCAACTCCTTTGCTCTCCCAAAGTAGCGATATCCTTTTCCTCCTCCTTGGATCTCCCGACCCTCCTCATCGACCACACGTCCACCGCCTCGCATATAGTTTGGTCCTCCAAGCTCGCGAATCCGCATCTCCCATTGCCATTTCTCTTTGAAAAGTTTGTTGAGTTCGTCGTTGATGTCGCGGATTTGGAAGTCTGAGAGTGAAAGGTCCTGGATTTTGGACACTTTGCGCGAGATTTCCTTCAGCACCTGACCGCGCCAGCGCTCACACGTCGGTACGGATTCTTGCTGTGATATGGCCTTTGGTCGTCGTGTACGGGTTGTGTCAAGAATGCCCAGGTCCGCCGCTTGCTGGGCCCTCCATCGGAAGAGCGTACTTTGCGCCTTTTCAGCATTGCGAGCCTATGCATGTTAGCAATTTGGACGTAAGTCCGAATTTCTGACAACGTGTACTCACCATGTTGGTGGTGCGTGTTATTGATGATGGTTCGTCCGAAGAATCGTGCAACTTTCGATTGACCAAGCGTGCTCACCTGGGACTTCCGGCGCGTCTCCGCGTGACTAGCTCCAGTGGCAAGATTATATGATCTGTCACCAAACATGAGTGTGCAATACCGTCGCAGTGGTTTAGTGGTAAAATTCGTGCTTGCCATGCACGAGCCCCGTGTTCGATTCACGGCTGCGACAATGTTTTATTCCCAGTCGGGCCAAATGTTCTTTTGTCATCCTCGTCCTCACTGTGATGCTGTGCAAAGCTGCAGTTCTTGAGTCTGAACTGTCATTGATGACGAAGATCCCAACGCACTGCTGTCAAGGTGGCGCTAGCTTGCGATCGCACAAGTCAGTGTCAGCTGACTGACACGAAACCCATAACTCAACAACGAGTTCTTTGCCCTTCACCACAAAGCTGTGAAGGTCCAGTACGAGCGAGCTTCAACTTGTCTTCACGTCTCAAAAGGGTCTCACAATTCATGATCGTTTGTTTGGTGGGGTCGGCGCTGGGCTTTGCAGGTGCCGATCGCTCATGTTTTTCGACGCCTACCTGTCTGGTCAAGTCTCCGTAGCATAGGAGGCCACAGTGTTCCACGCCGGAGATGACCGATATTCTGCACTCATCTATCTCCCTTATCAAGGTGCATGCGAGTCTTATCTTTCCGATCTATGGTTCTGTATCGCTTACCCGAGCCCACACGGTTTAACATCACTGTATCGCTAGAAATCGCACAGTCCACGGACCGCAAAGGGCTCCCGCGCCGTTGACCACGCGACAGGGCGTCCGCCTCCAAGTTATCGACCTGCCAAAAGTCAAACCGCAAATATCGTTAATGATAAGCGTGCCAAGGTTTTGGTTTTTCTAGCCGTGCCAGTGGTATATAAGAAGAAGAGTGTGGCCAGAGGTAGGTGCGATTTGATCTGCTCAAGTCAATCGCTTCCCTGATATTCTATCTGCAATGTCTCCCTCATTCTTGAAGCTTTTCGCTGCCACTTCTTTGGTTGCTGCCAGTCTCACTGGAGCTGCTCCTCTGGACCAACTTCAAGAGAGATCGGCTAAGAACCAGACCCAACCTAAGAACAAGGTGATCTTGGACAATGACTGGGGCGTCGCTGGATTCATTCCCTACCTCATGGCTCTAGATGCAGGTTGGGAAGTTCTTGGTCTTGTGTCCGATACTGCCAATTCATGGGCAGAACAATGTGGATTGTAAATATTGTCACTTCAGACAACAGAGAGTGGATTCGGGTGCTAATCAGGTGCTGTGTAGGCACGCACTAGCCACTCTCGAGGTTGGCAACCTGTCATGTATTCCCGTTCATAAAGGTGCAGACTATCCTCTCTTGAACACCCCTGAGCTCTTCCAAACTGTAAGTTCTATTCTGTCCTCCTTCGCAGCATTCAGATCGCATTATTGTACATAAGATGATGCGGAGCTATATGACTGAACGGTCATTCATCGTTTCAATGCCCTAGTCTCTGCCATTTCTGCGTCTTCGTCTATTTTGTTTTCCCATGTATCCAACAACTTTACTGACAATATCTCCAATCGTAGTGGGAGATGGTCCATGGAAAGCTTGCATGGGAAGGAGCATTCGCACCTGAGAACCTCACCAACGAAGCATTGGGAAATGATCCCACTTCTGGAGACCCAGGCCGCGTGTCGAAGGCTGCCCTGTACGAAGGCTACCCCAACACCACGTATGCCTCCAAGGACGCTGCCTGGTTCATGATCCAGCAAGTCCGCAAGTACCCTGGCCAGGTTTCGATTTACTCGGCCGGTGCTTTGACCAACATTGCTCTGGCTATCCGCATGGATCCCGACTTTGCAAAGAATGCTAAGGAACTTGTTATCATGGTAAGATTGAAAGTTCACCATTTCCGTATCTTGCTGACCATTGTTTTCAGGGAGGATACATCGACGGTAACCTTCTGCAAGTCACTGGAAGTATCATGCAAGCCGATTGGAATTCTGATGTAAGACATTCGATCAAAGCCATATCTCCGGGTCAGACACTGACAGCATGGTAGATCAACTTGATGATCGACCCAGAGGGTACCAAGATTGCGCTCACTGCTCCCTTCCCCAACATCAGTAAGTCCGCCATGAATCGACCTCTCTCGCGTAGTGCTGAGCACTACTACATCGAGACCGTGCTTTTACGCATCTTCAGAAGTTGAGCATGTCCGCTGACTGAGAGAACAGCTATCGCTGGCAACGTCGCCAACCAGGTCTCCGTCACCCAGGAGTATCTTGACGATATCTACAAGGTCAAGAACCCCTACTCCTCTTTGATGCACAAGTACTACGGTACCATCTTCCCTCTCTGTGAGTTCAGTGATACATCTGGTCTATGCCAAAGCACTAACAACGTCTAGGGGATGAGACTGCCGCTGCAATTATGTTGGACCCTACCATTATCAAGAACACCACGAGCTGTAAGCGAACACTTTGCTCCATTCTACGACCACGCGCTAACCACGATACAGTCTATCTCGATGTTGATACTGCTCCTTCCAGCCCAACTTATGGCAACATTCACGCTTACCAAGAGGCACTGAAGCCTGTTGCACAGAACCTTCAAAAGGTCAACATGGTTGTGTCAGTGGACGGAAACAGACTCAAGAAGTGGGTCAAGAGAGCGGTGCAATACCCCAAGACCTGTGCCGATCTTTGAGGACTGTGTTCAGTATGAGTCACTGCCCTGGTATACAATATTAGGGCAACAAAAAAAAAGTCCTTTCTTGATGATGATTTATCTGTTCAATACGTGGCCCGGTCAATCGCCAAGTGATCCGAAGTATAAGCATGTCCGCCGTCCCGTGCAGTGATGTCGTTGTGAGTGCGCTGCAGATAGGAGATTCAGACCGGTATACAAGCCTGTCGCGTTTGGAGTTTCCCAACTGGAGATCTGAGATGGAGGGGATTACGTGTGTCGTGCAACTGGAAAGTCGAAAGTCGAGGGACAGGTTCGAGAACGAGGGATGGTCGTGGCACGCCGTTCAACCCCACAGTTTGTGGAAGTTGACAAAAGCTGGTAACTCTGACATCCATCTCCACGCTCCAGCCTCCGAGCTGCTGCTTCTTCGACCCCTTCATTTCTCAGTACATATTCTTTGTGCTCTCTCCTGCATCAAGGCCATCTGCATCTGCATTTGCATCCGCATAGCATCCACCCGACGCCGTCCCCTCGTCTTCATCCTCTCCTCGTGGCGGCTTTACCACGCCGTCACCCGTTTTCTTGGCTCGTTAATTCCCCTGACGACCTTCGTTCATACCTTTCTCATCAGCGCTCGCATCATTGCTTCCCACTCTGTCCTAACCTCTAGATCCACTGCCGCATCTTTGCCCTCTATCATAGGAGCCAGAGCTCTCCCATCCAACGTCCTGACACGCTGTCCTCATCACCGCTCTCGATTCTCCAAACTCGCCCACTTGATCGGCTGCCTCGAGTCTACAGAGCCTCACGTAACGAACACCAGCAACAGCCAGCTAGTCTGGACGCTTCGTTGCCCCTCGGTTTCTGGTAAACCAGTCCGTCGCCGCAAAACATCGCTGTGTGCACATCGTCATGGCCCACTCCACGCGCCCCGAGCACAAGATCAATCTTGACAACCTGCCACAAGTCAACTTCCAGTCCCGCTCCGCCTCGTCCACAACAGCCAATTCACCCAACGAGGCTCCTTCTGGCTCGGGCTTGAGATACCCTCTAGGTAACAGCTTGGCTACCGCGGGTGCCATTGGTCTGGTAAATCGATCTGGAGCTGGATCTCCTTCCAAAGAATATGGTAGTCGTCTGTTCAGCAAAAGGTATGTCCCCTCCATGTTCCTAGACGGAAGTTGCAGTGGCTGACACAGGCGCGAAGAGCACGAGAGATCCAAGCTCAAGAGGGTGTAAGTCCTCAAATCTGGGGCCCTCCTACTTCAGGCAGTGGTCACTCCACCCCTCTACGCGAGATAATCCCAGAATCGCCGAGTAGCGACAGCTTTCCAGACTTCGACCAGTCCGCCACCGACTTCTCCGCTGCCCCTGCTGCCGGTCGCCGCATGCGAGCGGGTACAGTACCCTCTCGATTCCCCCCTGTTGGTACTCTTGGGAATCAGTCGTCTCAGCCCTCGCTATTGCCCAAGACCTCACGTCCAACACCCTCCACTAGCCCTCTCCAGGCTACCATTGGTACACTTCCAGAGTCGAATACAGCCACAGCCTCCGCGATCAACCCCTCCCAGAAGTCGCTTCTCTCTCGTCTGAGAGCGGGTTCTATGCCCCAGCGACCCGCTCTTCTCAACAATACCCCCGGCGGTTTTGGACCACCGTACTTTTCTAACGGATGGACTTCTGGTCGAGAAAGGGCTTCTACGCTTCAGAGCATCCGCTCATCCGACGCGCCCTCCTCCCCGGTGTACTCTTCGCGCGACTCGTTCAATGACAACGATGTGAAGACCCTGGATTATCTCGGTCTTGTCGACACGCCCCAACCTGGAAGACCGCATCACTCTCACATGATCGGTGCTGGCCAGACAGGTATCCCTGGTCCGACCATCGCCGACCTCGCTGCTCTGAATGCTTATAACAGAAATGCAAATCGCTTCAGATCTTACTCAGTGAATGCAAAGGAAAAGTACGCTGACGACGACGAGGACGACTACGACGCCTATGGGAGCATATACGGCATCCCCTCTGGTGCAGACATCACTGCTGCACAGGCTCTGGCTGTGCAAGAGGCTGTCCGCCAACACAACCTTGAGGTTCAGGCCTTTACCAACTTGGCCAGTGCCAGTAGGCCTCGTGCCAGGACTGCAGGCGTACTCGACTCTCCTTCGTCTAGATTGCTTCGCAACTACATCCCCACCCCTTCGCGTCTGGACAACAGTATCTCCGCGTCCGACTTCCAAGAGCTTGAGGGTCTTGACTACAGCGGCCTGACCGATGCTGTGCAGCAGATGCACCTGGACCAGAAGCCGATGCTTGATGTCTCTGACGAAACTCTTCTCGAGAACCCGACACGTGCTCTCTGGCTCGGTAACATCCCGCCCTCGACCACCGTATCCTCGCTGAACGTCATATTTGGCAACTTCGGCTCTATAGAATCCACCAGAGTGCTCACCCACAAAAGTTGTGGCTTTGTGAACTACGAGACCTTGGAGAGCGCAATACAAGCGAAGTCTCAGCTTCACATGAAGGAAATATTCCCTGGCGCTGGTCCTATACGCATTGGCTACGCAAAGGTTCCCAGCAACACTGTCACTCCCGGCGCGCCAGGCTCCTTCCACTCTCCAAGTCCGGATCCTTTCGCTCGCGATACCCAGATTGGCAGCGCAGGTGATTCAGCTGGTCTCAAGCCAATCAACATCAATGCAGAGACTGCGGCTGCGGCCCTGCTCACACCAAACCTTCGTGATATGCGCAGTGAGATCTACGGTATCATCCAGGAACTGGGCGCAAACAAAGAGGAGCAGACACGGATCAACGCCAACGTCGAGCAAGCCATCAGCTATGACCTTTACCATTCTGAGCTTCCCAGTGTTCCAGAGCCGAGCCCTAATCGTGTCCACGATGCTCCACGCCTGCGTGAGATCAGAAAGCGCATTGACAACAACAGCTGCTCTCCTGCTGAGATCGAGAGCATCGCTATGGAGATGCTACCCGAGATTGCCGAACTTGCTTCCGACTATCTAGGCAACACGGTTGTACAGAAGTTGTTCGAGTACTGCTCGGAACCGGTCAAGGAGGCTATGTTACGCGAGATTGCTCCTCATCTTGCTGAGATTGGTGTCCATAAGAACGGCACTTGGGCTGCGCAGAAGATCATCGACGTGGCCAAGACACCTACGCAGATCAACTTGATCGTTGACGCATTGCGACCTTACACACTGGCGCTTTTCTTGGACCAATATGGTAACTACGTTATCCAGTGCTGTCTGCGTTTCCAGGCCCCAAACAATGATTTCATATTTGACGCTATGCTTCAGAGACTCTGGGAGGTCGCTCAGGGTAGATTTGGTGCTCGCGCCATGAGAGCTTGTCTTGAGAGCCACTTTGCTTCGAGAGACCAACAAAGAATGTTGGCTTCTGCTATTGCACTTCATAGTGTACAGCTTGCAACCAACACTAACGGCGCTTTGCTTTTGACCTGGTTCCTGGATACTTGCACTTTCCCGCGCCGCCGATCTGTGCTCGCTCCGAGGCTCATCCCGCATTTGGTTCATTTGTGCACACACAAGGTCGCATACCTGACTGTGCTCAAGATCATCAACCAGAGAAGTGAAGCAGATGCTCGCGAAGCAGTTCTTCGTGCATTGTTCTTCTCACCCAATGACGCTGTTCTCCAAGACGTCCTCAGTGATTCGGCTTGTGGAGCGACGTTCATCTTCAAAGTGCTCACGACTCCCTTCCTGGATGAGAAGATGCGTCCAGAGGTCTTGGAAAACGTTCGTAATGTATTGCTTCGCCTCAAGGCACAACCACAGCAAGGCTACAAGAGATTGATGGATGAGGTTGGTCTTTCGACCCGTCATGGCGGTGCATCAGCCAGCCGTGATGCTAGTCAAACTAGATCCTCTTCTCGAGGCCCTGGCGCCAACGGTCATATGACACATCTCGACAACCAAGGTGTCTATGGTCGTCAAGGGTACGGAGGTATGGTGCCCCAACAACCGCTTGAACATATGATGGGTCCAGCTCTGCAAAGGACTGCCAGCATAGATTCCAATGCGTTCGATCCATATGGTAATTCAGGCATGATGACTCCAGCCTACACCCACAGCCCGGCGATGTCAAACATCTCTCCGGTCACGCCTCAGCAAATCCAGTACCAACAGGCCATGCTCGCTCAACAGCACGCCGCGGCCCAACGTCCCGGCGGATTTTACCCTCCGATGAATGGTTTCGGATCTGCGGGTCCTCAGATGATGGACCCCTATGGAAGAGGAAGCCTCAATGGCTCACCAATCGCAGCTCCTGGCGCACACCCGCAAAACGGCTACGCCCCACCTGGCTTCAGTCCTAACGTGGGCACTGGTGCATATCAGTATCCTGTGGGTTACTATCCTCCACAGCAAGGCCAGGTTGGTGGCGGTGGGCAACGCAGAGGACGTGTGAGTAAAGCTGCCTCATTTGTGACGAATACGTACTGATGAGAGACAGAGATGATTCGATGATTGATCTAAGACGATTTGTTCTTGTCAAGCGCTGGCTGTTTGACAAAATAGAAACCAAGTAAGCTTCGCTGTACGAAAATTAGGAGGGGGCGTCAGTGTTTGGGCGGAAAAGCGATGGCGACCGGGTCTTGAACATAGCTAGTGACGAGCCTCATTCATTATGCATATTGTCTTTCTACTCTAGGAGATGCTTTTCACATTTGCAGCTATTTACCTTATGCGTGACGCTCGCGGGCTGCGATGCGAGTTCCTGACTTAGGTGCTCCATGACCGCAGTCTTCTTCACTTGGGCGCGAATACCTCTGCTTATTTTCGATGCGAATGAATGAGAACCTAGAAAGGCGAAGTATTCCGAACAGACGATGCTTTGCTCATGGCACATGTTAGAAAATATGGTGATGTCATGCAAGACGGATTCCAGAGGCTAGAGCTGCGTTTGCGCATGGAAGCTGCTTGTGTTGTCGGTCTTTTAATTTGACAGCACTTGTACAACCACCACGACATCCCAACATGGCTTCTAACAGCATCTGCAATGGCTGCGTCCGCGCATTGAGACAGACCCCTCCCCGACAGATTACCGTAAGGCTGCCTCGGCCGCATCAGATCAGGCAGACTCTGACACACGCATCGCAGGGTCGAATCGTGCACAATCGCCTCTCCACCCGGGGCCAATTCTTGGGCCGTACTTTTGCGACGACTGTCAGTCGCTTCGAAGCAGGAAACAGCCAGGACGCCACGGACGCGTCGGCCATGCAGAAACTCGCACAGCGCATGCGAGCACAGAAGCAGATGAAGGCGGCCACGGAACCCTACGTCGCCTACGGCGCAACCGAGGACCTGTTTCGTGCATGTGCTCGCGCCGGAGAATACAGTATGCCCACGGTTGCCGAAGGCGAAGAGCCCTTGAGGTCCGCGAAGGGCGAGGACCTCGGTGTTGGCTCGGGCTGGTGGTATGAAGGTATGACTCTCTTGTCCCAGCATTTGCACAAGACGACCGACTGATCGGATTCAACAGAGCTCGGTCTGCCCCCGACATTCAGCACCTGGGGTCAAATTACCTTCCTGCACATGTATCTCGTTACTGTACGCTTGAGGATGTTTCCTCAAGAACATGCCCACCATTGGCATCAGAACTTGCTCGACCACTACTTCTATGCCGCCGAGGACCGCATGGCAGCCCTGCACAATATCTCCGCTCGTAGTACGCGCAATAAGTACCTGAAAGATCTCTTTGTGCAATGGCGCGGCGTGCTTGCTGCTTACGACGAGGGCCTGGCCAAGGGAGACGCCGTCCTAGCTTCTGCTGTTTGGAGAAACGTCTTTGGTGGTGATGAGAACGCCGATGCTGCCGCTGTTGCGAGTGTCGTCAGCTACATGAGGAAGAATCTTCGAAATCTCGACATGATTCATGACTCTGAGGTTGCCAGTGGAGAAATTACCTTCTCCGACCCTACCAAGGAGGCTTCCATGGTGGAGCGCGAGTCTAAGGCCATGAAGCAACCGGTTCCAGAGCCTGCACCGGTCGCTGTCCAAACCTGAGCGTCATTGGGGAATGTGTTTCTCCCAGGCATCGACAAACTATCAATTTATGTATACCAAACTTGTACTTTTATATTCCAATTCAAGCATCATCGAACACGGCTTATTTCAGATATACTCTTGGACAAGATCTTGGATTTCTACGCCTGTTGCCAGAGTTGTCTTGATTGTCTGGACCCGGCACGGCAGATCGTATGCAAATTGTACGCTCAACATCTTGATGGTCGGAGGATTTGGTCTTTAAGTTTGGGCGTTCCCGTTTGAGGACGCAAGCCACACTGACGCTGTTTTGAGGCTCTGCCCAATTCCTTTTGTGCTCCAATCTTGGAACGGGACTGGTTTCTACAATTCTACGGTTGAGAACTGTCGATGCACATTTGCTTACCATTGCAGTCTTCTCAGGTCGGGCTGTCAACACGGAACTAGTACCCATTTTCGTTTCAAGACGTCTTCCAAATTTCGCGCCTGCTGGAGCACACGATATTGATACACTGTTTTCGTGATCATCAGGATCCTGAGCACATATGGTCATCCAGTACAAGAAATGCTCCGAGGGCAAGCTAGTCTAACGGCGCGTCCCTATTTGCTCTACCATGACCATCGTCAAAAGGCGATAGCGTTTGGATACATGGCGTCATCCTTGACCTCCATCATTACGAGTCGAGAGAAATTTAGGTAGGAATCTGTATCATCCCGAAGGACCCGGAGCTGTAGGCTTTGATCAAATAGGTTAAGGTGCCCAGCTCACATGTACGAATCTGTATACTCTGTTCTCCAATTATCGACCACAGATTCTTGACTCAGTTGCAATGGCTGAGAATCCTGGAGACGGCATAATCAGAACAGCCAGTGGTCGTCAGACTTACGCTCCGGACGGTCTACTCTCCGCAGGTCACCACACACCCTTCTACACTGAACAGCAAGCACAACACCAAAGCAGAGCCGCTAGCATTTCTGGAACCACTACCGCCCATTCAACCAGATCGAGCATCTCAGGCCCTAGCGGATCCAAGGGAAACGATGAGAAGACTGATAAAAAGAAGCTCAAGGCCGGTCCTCCAGCAGGCCTCACGGCAGGTTTCAACGAGGGAAACCTGAGCTCCGAGGCCGATGTCGAGATGCAAAGAGATCGCACCAATGGCAAACTGGATGAGAAGAATGAGACGGACGACGATGGGGACGAGGGAAATGACCCGAATCTGGTTGATTGGGACGGTGAGGATGACCCAGGAAACCCAATGAACTTTCCCGCCTGGAAGAAGTGGATGATCACCATTGTTGCTGGCTTAATGACTTTCTCCGTCACCTTTGCTTCGTCCGTCTTTAGCACGGCTACCACTGTTACCTCCCAGGTCTTCGGCGTGAGTAGTGAGGTTATGATTCTCGGAACCTCTCTGTTCGTTCTTGGCTTCGCATTTGGTAAGTCACCTACGGCTGTTGTAGAAGTCTTGGTTCTGACAACTCAGGTCCCATTGTCTGGAGTCCATTCTCGGAGCTCTACGGTCGCAAGCTGCCCCTGTTCATAGGCTTCTTCACATTCGCGATCTTCCAGATCCCTGTCGCGGTTGGTCCAATCTAAACACCCGTCTATACGATCTCAGCTAACCTGTCTCGAATTCCAGGTTGCCCAGAACCTCCAAACGATTTTCATTTGCAGATTTCTCGGTGGATTTGCAGCATCCGCACCCTTGGGGATTATAGGAGGTCTGCTTGCAGAGTAAGAACCCCCAATCGGTGGACAGCTTCGATGTGATCAAGTTTGGAATCGTTCACTTCCTTACCATGGGATGAAACATTTCGGACTTCATTACCATCTAATCTGCTGTACCCGCTGAACAGCCCGCTGTCTCATGTCCACCTTCTTGAGAACTCCGCTGACCAGTTTCGCGCCTTTAGTATCTTTGGACCAGTCGACAGAGGTATTGCGGTTGCTGTCTTCGCATCCGCAACCTTCATTGGTCCTGTAGCCGGACCAATTGTGGGCGGTTTCATTGTTATGAGTCATCTGTAAAAGCTCTCATAGCTAGTTGACTACGATCTGTATGCTAATGTCCCATAGCGGCTGGCGATGGACTGCTTGGATCACCCTGATAATGGCCATGTTCTTCGGAATCATTGGTTTCATCGTCATTCCTGAGGTGAGAAGAAAATTCAACAGTATCAAGGGGGTTGCTTCTAGTACTGACATTTACAGACACTTGCTCCTGTCTTGCTCTCACGTAGGGCCAAGAAGATTCGCTTTGCTACAAAGAACTGGGCAGTTCATGCCAAGGCTGATGAGAACGAGGTCAGCATGAAGGATCTGGCCAACCGCTATCTGTTGAAGCCATTCCAAATGCTTGCCATGGAGCCTATCCTGATCCTTGTCACCCTCTACATGGGATTCATCTACGGTATGATGAGAGATGCCAGTATGCCTGTACCACGACTAATGATTATCAGGATTCCTCTACCTGTGCTTTGAAGCCTACCCAATTGCTTTCCAACAGGAGCGTGGCTGGAACGCTGGTGTTGGAGCTCTGCCCTTTGCCGCCATCATCGTCGGCGTTGCCTTCGGTTCCTGCTTCATTGCCTACTTCACCAAGACCAGATTTGCCAGGAAGATGGAGGAAAATGGTGATGTTGTGCCAGAAGAACGCATGATCCCGATGATTGTCGGTGGTGCGCTGTTACCAATTGGGTACGTATGCGAGGTTGTGGAGAGAACGAAGCGATAGTCACCTGCGGCCTTTCGGTCTCAGGCTCTGCTGCTGTCTCGATTTTCAAGAAGACGATGCTAACGTCTTTGGACAGCATGTTCTGGTTTGCGTGGACGTCGAACCCGGGCATTATCTGGGTGCCCCAGGTGATATCAGGCGCATTCATTGGAGGCGGTGTACTGCTCGTCTTTTTGCAAGGCTTGAACTACATTATTGACGTGAGTCTTGGAGCTCTCCTACCGAGATCAATCGCTGACTATTCAATCAACAGGTGTACAAGGTGAATGCCAACTCGGCAATCGCTGCGAATACATTCTTCAGATCCTGGCTTGGAGCCGGATTTCCCATGTTCGCCAACTACATGTTCCAGAGACTTGGTGTTCCTTGGGTAAGCGATCAACCACCCCAGCCACCGCGATTGTGGAGCTGACATCTTATCAGGCCATGTCCCTTCTCGGATTCCTCACATTGGCCCTGTTCCCAGTCCCAATTGTCTTCTTCCTCTACGGTGAGAAGATTCGTAAGCTGAGCAAGTTCACCGCATAGACTGTTGTCAGTTTTGTTCTTTTTTTTTTGGGGGGGGGGGGGGGGGTGGGGGGGGAATACACAAAACACGAGGATGAGCTCTCAATCATCTAACTAATTAATCAGTTATGTATTATTTACTTTCAAGACATTCGAAGTCGTCCGAAGCGGGGTGCTGAGGTTATGTTCGCAAGCATGACCAAAGAGGAAGATCATGATGGTGGTCAGAAGTTGGGGACGGAGCTGTCTGCCCCATGTTGATCGGAAATGTGGCATCAAAGCTCCCCCCTTGACTCGAGGGGTAACGCGTACTCGGCTCCTTATGAGATATTGATTCTTGATTATCTGATGGCCAAAAGGCATTTGATCCAATCCACCAGAAGCTGAGAGGTAGCGCACAAATGGATGCAGCCCGCGCTCAAATATACGGTCTGATTGATCAGGTGCAAAGAGTGCCGACAACGCTGTTATTGGCTGTTGCTTGCTTGTCCGTCCTCTCCTTCGCAGTACTGGTAACATTCCCAGAACGAGCACACTATACACAACATGTCTGATACCGAGCTCAGTTATACCTTGGCTTGTTCATTGTCGCTCCCGTCCCTCGCTCGCCGCACGAGTCCGAGAAGAAATACACAACTATCCTGCCCGACGGATCCATCAGCGAGCCCGAATCACAGCCGTGTTGGTACGACCAGCATGTGTCTCTTAGAGCACAAGCTCGCAACGGCAAAATCGCAATCAGCGATGCATTCCGACCGACTCAGGCTGATGTCCTGGTCACGGTCGTTGTGCCTGCATACAATGAAGAGCAAAGGATGAGTGGTATGCTGGAAGAGGCAGTCGAATACTTGCAATCGAACTTCCCACAGCCGCGGGACTTTGCTCCGACCCGGTCGGACGAGAAGCTCAAGGGCTGGGAGATTCTCATCATCTCCGACGGTTCTACCGATGGAACCGTCGACACAGCCCTGTCCTTTGCTCGCTCTCACCAACTTTGCGCACAACCCCCTACGCCTGCTGGCCCGTGGTCCTCCAACTCCGGTCCCAAGATACGCTCCAAATCTGCTCCGGAAGTCGAAACAGTACCAACCACCATACCTCATGGTAGCATTCGTGTCATCTCTCTGGAACAGAATAGAGGCAAGGGCGGTGCTGTCACTCATGGCATGCGCCACGCCAGAGGGGCGTACGTAGTCTTCGCCGATGCCGATGGTGCTTCTCGCTTCTCAGATCTGGGCAAACTGATGGAGAACTGTGACCGCGTGGCCGACAACAAGGGAAGAGCTGTTGGTGTAGGAAGTCGAGCGCACATGGTCGGCAGCGAGGCCGTTGTCAAGGTGAGATGACTCGAAGTACATGACATTGAACAGCATCACTAACGTCGCGACAGCGCTCCTTTTTGCGGAACACCCTCATGCACTCCTTCCATCTTCTGCTCCGTCTTCTCACACCTCCGGCTACATCATCCGTCAAGGACACCCAGTGCGGTTTCAAGCTCTTCACACGCCCTGCCCTCCCTTATATCATTCCGTACATGCACAGTGAGGGCTGGATCTTCGATGTTGAGATGCTCATGTTGGCGGAAAGCGCTGGCATTCCCATGGCCGAGGTAGCCATTGGCTGGAAAGAAGTTGGAGGCAGCAAGCTGAATGTTGTGTGGGACTCTCTGGGCATGGCTTGGGGACTGGCCGTGTTGAGAGCTGCATGGATGGTTGGTGTCTATCGTAGAGACGTCTGAACACATCCGCATCATTTTGAGTTTTGTGTATATCGATTCATCATAGACAAAAGCAGCTTTGCAAACCATCCAGACGTCGATTGCTAAGAGGGCCATGAACCACGAACAGCACGCCTTTATCATCCCTCGTTGGCAAAACTCCGGCTTGCATGATTCTTTATACGGGATCTCGTGCTTGTTCGTATGGCTACAGGAGCATCAAATCTATTACGACCTCGAAGTACATGCTTCAGTCTATATTTGGCAGATTGAGCAACTACAACAATTCTACCGTCACACGTTGTTTGTGCTGAACCAAAGATAGTCAGAAGCCTGTATTTGCTATGCTCGAGACAGATCCCGATACGCCACGTCGCTCGTGAAAGACAAAACGAGTCCAATAAGAAAATGTGATTGTTGCTAGGAGCAGATCCCGAATGACATATCAAGCACCATCACCCCATATGCCAATGACAGCCATCGCAAATCCGGCAAAGCCGACAGTGGCTCTTGCCTGCTCAATTCTCTGCGAAGCCTTGACAGCTTTCTCGACTGTTTCGCCGTTGACGTCGTCTTGTTCCCCGATGAGCGATTGCGTAGGGACTAGATCTGAGGCGGCGGCCAGGCCGGCGACCAGAGCAGTCCAGAGAAGGTAGGGGTGTCTGGCGCGAGCGGGTGAAAGTACGTAGGCAAGGTTAAAGGACAAGAATGAGACGATGGCCAGGGAGCGTAGATGGAGCGAGGCGGATTGCTTCAACGAGACGAAAACATGCTGTGCAGGCTTTGCCGAAGGGAGAGCCAGCAGGGATGGTATGGACAAAGCGGCCAGCGAGTACGAAACACCCTGCATATGTCAGTCGATGGAGCGTGACGTCTGCGCAGACAGCAAGCCGGGACTCACGGTGAAGAGCCCCAAGCTCGTCGTGCCTACGAATTTGCAGGCGGCAATGGCGGATGGCATGTCTAGATCTGGTCTTGCGTTGGTCTTGCGTATAAGGTCGCCTCCTCGTCGCGCTGTCTGCGTTTCAGCTGCCCGTGCTGTCGTCTCTCCACGCAATTGTCACATACGTCAGATCTTGTGTTTCCCCACACCTTTAACGTCCCTGCACTTGGTCCGTTTGCATGCTGCTCGAGTGCTCAAGGTGCAACACAGGACTTCACATCTGACATGTCTATACCCAAGTTTGAGCAGAGCATCCTGATGATCCGTTCATAGCCTCAGCCTGCACTGTGTCCTTCCATCCCCCCGTACATGTCGTCTCCCAAGCTCTGTCTGTCATTAGACGAGCACCGAGGTGGTCTAGCCCTGAAACATGTCCATCTACCTCGGCAGCCTCGTGCCGTTCAGCTAGAGCTGACACGACCCTGTGTTTGGCACGCTGTGTCCAACCTCTCTTCCCTCCCCTGCACCATCCATCTATATATCTGTCCGCCCAGTACGACCCAACTGTAAACATGCCACAACAGAAGAAAGAATATCTCAGTGACGCTTGGAAGGATGGCATCTTTAGTGTGTTCTGCTTCACTGCACGTGAAGAGACCGAGCAATGCTAATTCATTCTCGCAGAGGACAAGGTTTTGTTCTGCACAGGCGGTGCTGGTTCCATTTGCAGCGCTCAAACCAGGGCTCTGGTTCATCTAGGAGCATCTGCCGCCATCATTGGGCGTAACAAGGAGAAAACAGAGCGTATGGCTGCCGACATTGCTACAGCTCGTCCTGGCGCTCGTGTACTTGCAATTGCCGGCGTGGACGTTCGCGACCCCAAGGCTCTACAAGACGCTGCAGATAGGACTGCCAAAGAACTGGGCTCCATTGATTTCGTGATTGCTGGCGCAGCAGGCAACTTTCTTGCTCCACTGTCGCAGCTCAGCGCCAACGCCTTCAAATCGGTCATCGACATTGATGTCCTGGGCAGCTACAATACTGTTAAAGCGACCCTGCCTTATCTCGTCGAAAGCGCAAAGAGAAACTCTGCCAACTCAACAGACCCTACCTCCGGAGGAAGAATCATCTTCGTTTCGGCCACAATTCACTACACCGGTCTACCCTTACAAACCCATGTTTCGGCGGCCAAGGCAGCCGTCGATGCCTTGTCAAATGCGGTTGCCATCGAATATGGACCGCTGGGCGTCACCTCCAATGTCATTGCCCCAGGGCCTATCGGGGGCACAGAGGGCATGGAACGATTGGCCAAAAGTGACCCGGAAAGTGTTGCAAAGTCGTCAAAGAGGGTGCCTCTGGGACGGCTGGGATCGGTCAAGGACATAGCAGATGCGACGGTTTATGTATTCTCGGATGCAGGCAACTTTGTGAATGGCTCGACGGTCGTGGTAGACGGAGGCAGCTGGAGGGTCAATGCTGGCGGGCCCGGATCTACTTGGGAGTATCCAGACTTTCTCCTGAGCGGAGCCACTGTAGAGGGAGTCAAGGGCGGAAAGGCCAAGTTGTAGGCGATAGATTGCGAGCGTCTGTGCTCCAACGTCGAGAGGATACATACTCTAGTCACTTTGAATCGTTGGTGCATGAAGAAGCGATTTAGTTGGCCAGGCCGAATCGACGTCGGAAGACACGAGTTCTTGATGCATAAATGAAGCTTTGGCACGATCGGATGAGCAAGTTGACGAATACGCTTCACAAGAAGCTGTGACACGGCGGACAAGCAGAAAGAAGGATGAGCACAAAGGCGGCAGATCAGACATGAATCTTGGACACCAAGTCGGCGTCAAGGCAGAAGAGTGGACGGCATGATTGGACGAGTCTCACAAGATGACGAGGTCATCTAGAATGGCGAACCTGTTTGACGGCATGAAACAAGGGCGGGTGGAGGATCGACGGCACGACGCAAATCACAATCACGAGAGGCGACAGACTTTGGCTACGTTGGCTAGCGCTGTCGACGACTCGAGGCTTGCAGGATAGGCGAGTCAACACTATTACCCAACGGCTGCAATAACATTGTGCGTCTTGTGCCATCGTTTGCTTGCCTGCTTGCCTGCTTGGTTGCTTTGCGTTACTTGCTGGAGTCTTGGTTTGTCCTAGCTAGCTCTTTCTCTGTCGTTTCCCCCTCTCGACCTCGCTCACACAGCTGAAGCCTGCCTCTCCTTGCGCCCAGGACCTTTGCTTTGCTCGTCCCTTCTCTGCAAAGCCGTAACGTGGTCGCATTTGCTATTGCTCTCCCCCTGGCCAAGGACAATTGATGGAAATGTGCCCAAGCCGCTCGTGGTAGGACGACTCGACTTTGTGATTTTGCGATAAGCGTCGACGACCTCCAACTCCCTCCTTCTCTCCTTCTCTCCTTCTCACTGCGCGCCCGCTCGATCGTCGCTCCGGCGCGTCCAAAAGACCCGAGAGTTTCTGCAAGCTGCTTCGCTGCAGTGCGACTTTCCACTCCCACCTGTCTGAGTCTTGGCATCTATCGTCATGTCGTGTCGAAACAATCTTCGCAGCCGGCCACTTTTGCTGCTGTCGCTGGCTCTCGCGTCCTTCTGGCAATCTGCTCATGCTCTGAGCCAGACATACTGTTCGAGTCAAAACTCGGGCTCCGACTTTAGCGCTGGTGAGCCTCACTTCCACGTCGCAGCTCTGTATGCCCGCTGACTTTGACATAGTGACTGACATCTACCAATCCAATGGTGCATGCCATGATACATGCGCCGCCAGCTATGCCTTCGCCATTGTTCAGTACCAACAGTGCTGGTGCTCCAACTATGCTCCTGCAGATCAGCTCGACGTTTCCGAGTGCAGTCAAGCTTGTCCCGGTTATCCCGACGAAAGCTGTGGTGACAAGGACAACGGCCTCTATGGCTACATCAAGCTCAACATCAGCCCATCGGGCACCCAAGGTTCGGGCTCAAGTAGCGGCTCTACGAGCAGTGCCGCGAGATCCTCCACACAGCAACCGGTAAGCCATGACATGGATTCCTTAACCGTGCCTCCATATCGCAACACTGTTCCCTTTGCTGCCCTGCATGCCAACTGAACCCACGTCTGCTTAGACATCTACCTCCTCATCCTCTTCCTCCGTGCAGAGCGATACCATCGTACCTGTCACCGTGACCGTAAAGCAGAGTGCTTCGGTCGTTGTATCTTTCGTCACACCTGTATGCTTTGCCCGTTTCTTTTCATCTTCATTTGCTTGTTGTGCAGCTTGTCTTCCAAGACCCTACCCACTACTTCCACTCCTCTAATACACGCGCTGACCTTCGTTTCCTAGTCAGTCTCAAGTGCAGCTGCGACAACTCGGACTTCTTCCACATCATCATCAACGCCATCCACAACATTGACCTCTTTTTCTATCACATCGACTCAAGGAGCTGTTGTGGCAAGCAGCCAGTCCTCCACCATCGACACAAGCTCACTCTCCCATACCACCCTCGTTAGCACCCGCGTGGTCACCGTCTCAGGAGGCCCCGTCACGCAAACTGTCACGAGTACTGCCGTCGTTGACCCTGGCGCTGACTCGCAACGCCAAATAGAACAGAAGGGCGTCTCTGGCGGAACTGTGGCTGGTGCCGTCGTTGGTTCTGTCGCCGGTGTCGCTCTTCTCCTAGCAGGTGCTTTCTTCCTATGGCGGAGGAAGCGTTCCGAGACGCCAGACCCAGAGTCCCCACGATCGAGTTCGGGCTCCGGATCAGCGCGAAGAAGAATGGAGCGTAACACCAGCGTTCTCAGCAAGACTGGTCTACTATCATCCATAGGCAACGCTGCAGACGCCGAGAAGTTCCACGACGACTCGGCCCAGACTCACAAATACCATGTCAGCGAGTCCACTGCACCCATTCCTGCCAGCCCGGACGGCGATAACAGACGCAACAGCCGCCCGCTCGTTTATGATCAACGTCTAAATCCCGCCGCCCTGATGGAGCATTGGGAAAGGAACGGCAGTCGTGCGAGCATTGGTACGATGCAAGACCAACGAGACTACTCGCGACCTTTAGGGGTCACCAATCCCGACCCAGTCGATGACTAGTGCTTCTCTACCTCTCAATCCTACGCCTCACGCGATCACGCACTCCATTCGCACATTTTCTTTCCTTCACTTTACATACTACAGATCCTTTCCTTATTCTCTTTCAAGGGTTTTAGGCAGCGGGCGTTTGGGCGGACTGCCCACTGGTATCTTTTGCATGGTCCTTGAACCATTATTTATTTACACATAGAAGGAAGCTCTGGACGTTCGATCCATGATTTCCGCCATCTCCCGCTCCAAGACGATTACCCTTCGTCGTGGGCTCTGTAGCTGTACATACGTATATGTCAGAAGCATCAAACAAAAACCAGGACATGATCATGCGTTGACTCCCTGACCACCGGATTGTATTTTGAACCACGCTGTCAAGCAAAGATTCAGAACAGGTTCGATCATGTTTCTGGCATCCCACGATTTTCCAGATGCAGTGACAGGGTCACATCCTCAGCACTCAAACAAGCTTTAGCCTCTTTTGGCCAAACATCGAGACTTCTCGAATTGCGTCGCGAGAAGGCTAATCGGCTTCGATTGACAGGGACTGGATTTCGATGGATTATGAATACACTTATACTCATCCTGACAACAAATCACGCACGAGGGACTAGCCGTGTCCCTCACGGCTTCTGCAACCTGCTTACGCATACCTACTGACTGTTCTTCCGCAGAACGTTCTCAGAGATAAGAAATTTACGCTCAAGCCAGAAGAACCAGGACACGCGTGGTGATGGGTGCGTCTATACGCATCTGGTTTAAGAAATCTAATTTTGAATAATCACATTATACTGAGAGTCTGGGAGCATCTACAAGAAAGTTTTCCATATACAATCACTCCTCTGAGTCGAGGTGGACGTTCTTTTCGAGGTACACTACGGTATGTTAGCAGGGGTCGATACGTTGCTTGGTATCACAAACTTACCATGTGGCCTGATGAAGAAGCTGAGGACGAAGGCGAGTCCAAAGGTAACGGTAAGGCATACAAAAACTGTCTGCGTGAATTTGCCTACCGTCACCGAATAAATGGCATTAAAAATGGTGGGAGCGATGACTCGGGCCAAGGCGTGCAACAGGCCAGATGCGCCCAGTAGCTGGCCGGTCTTCTCGTGAGGTACATGCTTGGTCAGGGCAGACTGGAGAGTTGGTGAGCCGATGCCCCCAATGCTTGCTATGCTGCCTGAAAGGATCATCAACGGGCCAGTACGTGCAAGAGTATAACCAAGGTATCCCAAAGTGTCGAAGAAGACAGCAACACGGACGACAACCAGATCAAAGCTATCACTACCCGAGCTACGTTGCTTGGTTTCGCTCGCTTTGCCGCGGACATAGCGAGTCACAAGCGGCAGGACGACGATAAGACACAGCACTCGGCAAGTGTTGACGATTGACAGAAAGATGCTAGACTCGAAAGATTCCCAGTTGAATTGGTAGCGGGCGTAGATGACAATGATGGTCATGCTTCCCATTGCGACACCAAACAGGATAGTGTCCACTGCAGCAAGTAGGACCAGATTACGTCTGAGCGCGGGAGAAGATCCCTCGCCGGTGGGCCAAAGGATCTTGAGTGGCTCCAAGATATTGACTGCTCGGACTCGATCGATCCAGTCCGAAGAGCCCCTTTGAGCCTTGTGTTCCTGATGTTTATCCTGCGCTGCCTCTTGGCGACGCTTGGAGAGAGACTCAGGAACACAAAAGGCGATGAAGAGAATAAAGGCGGCGTGCACAGCCAGCGAGGCATAGAAGATGGACAAAATCTTGCCCGTAGCCTTGACGATAAGTCCTCCCAGTATCGGACCCAACGCGATGCCAGTAAAGAGACATCCATGAAGATAGCCAAACGAGATATTGCGGCGTGCGGGAGGAGTGCAATCAGTAGCATAGGCGTTTGCAATAGCCATTGCGGCGATGAAAGAGCCAGAAAGACCGTCGAGGGCATAGCCAACCAGAATCCAGTTGACAGGGAAAGTCTCCGGCTTGGTAGCGGCCATGATGATCAAAGCATCTCCTGCAATGATACCCATACTTGTTAAAGCGAGTATCTTTGTGCGGCCAAACCGATCGGAAAGGGCACCTAGCTTTGGACTGGTGATGGCCGAGAGCAGTCCTGCTATCAAGTTTCCGTATAAGGTGAACTGCGCCACCCGTGCTTGAACTTCTGGGGATCTACACTGAGGATTCTCTCCATCAAATAGGATAGGCAGGAAAGTATGGCCAGGGTTTTTGGTCTGCTGCTCTGACATGTACTCGCGGCAGACTAGGTTGAGGATAAGATTGATTCTTGGGGATATAATGGCACCAAATGCCAACGTCATGACGAAGAAGGGCGCCAGGACCCAGTAGATCGAAGGCCTGCGATACCATGGGAGATGGTCGAAGTCCTTTACTCCAACCCATTCATGACCAGAGCCAGCATCGCTCGGTCTTCTTTGTCGCGACTCGAGAGGCAGCAGAGGGTCCTGCTCGCCTGTGGCCATGTCCGCATCTACGCCTCCTCTTGCAATGGTTGCGTTCTCCTCGCCTGAGTGAGTACTCCCTGGCCGCGATCTAGAGATGTTGAGATTCTTCGAGTTGATCTCGGCTTCGCCAATGAAGACTGCATCCGTGTCGTTGTTCATGGTGTTGTCGTCCTCGAGCGGTGGTAGAGTGCCTGTTCCTAGTTGTGGCCGAGAGTCGCTGAGACGCGGGGGTACGTAGAGTCGCCACAAGGATCGCGTTCCAGAGAGCGGTTGAATAGGGTCAGGATTGGTAATCCGTCGACGAAGGAGGTCCTCGAGCACGGCAAGACATGTTTCTTGATCCCTAGCCTTTTGATGCGCCTTCGAACCAGATAAGGACGCGGGCCATCAGCCCCCCGAAAGTCTACACGTAATCCACCATGATCCGCACACGAAGCTCCCCCAGCTCGAGGATCGCTTTCGCTTATGGTCTCAACCAACGGAGCCGCACTGTTGGACACCTAGAAATATGGTCGTGCCGATGATTTGAATCTACCGTCGTCCTTTACCACAGTAGCCTACTTATTGCTGACTGCGCCATGTCCAACAACCATCTTATCACTACTTGAGGCTCTGCATCTGCCATCTCCGATCTGGCAGTAGCGCAACTTTGCATGCGCGATGACGCTGTTGATATCATTCCTCGGCCCAACTAGAGCCCGAAATGCGATGCTTGCAGCTGTGATGACCCTGACCCAACATTCTCTGCAGCATTTCTATCTTGACATGAGCATTCAGCAGCTCATGGTCGGCGATTTGTATCCATTATGTGAGACTAGTACTCGGGCAATCAACATCTCGCAGATCTGTACTCAGCGTCACATATTGTGGCACGTATTGTCAAGTTCAAGGATTATGCTGTGAAATTAGCATGACATCCGAAGAACCAAGGTACAACAGCCCATCATGTAACCCATTCTATAGTCACGATCTGCGTTGATTACACGGTATACTACCATGTCTCTTGCTTGTAACGACCGTCTTTCTCCATCTGATCAAGATACTCGCTCGCTTTATTGGCCTCCATCTGACCATGTTCTCGAAGCACGTCTGATAAGGCCTCGCGAACTCCCTTGGGCATGTTCCCCGAGGAGCCACAGACATACACCTTGCTGTTCTCTTGTTCGAGTAATCGGAGAACAAGATCTGCATGCCTGCGAATCAAATCCTGAACATAGGTTCTTGGCTTGTTCTGCTCGCGAGAGAAGGCTGGGAATACAGTGAGGCCTTGACCGGAAAGGTTCTGCCATTCATCGCGGAAGAAATAATCGGCCTCCTCGTTGCGGCATCCAAAGAACAAGACACAAGGTTGCCTCGAAGCACTCTCTTTTCCCCATTGTAAGCGCTCATAGATCATCGATCGCATGGGAGCAACACCAGTGCCTGGACCGATCATGAGTACAGGAGCATGGACTTCATCTGGGCTCACATTTAGATAGCCCGGTTGAATCGTCAGACTGAATTGTTGACCAGCTTGCAATGTTGCAATGTATCGGGTGCAGACTCCATAACGTCTGCGTAGTTTGATGATAGGATTAGGAGGATCTGCGATAGCCACGAGTAATTGCACTCTAGCATTGCCATCTTCAAGGCGTTTCAGGCTTCCTCCGCTTGCGATGCTAAATTGACGACCTCGCATGACTGGTATGATATCCAGAGCGTATTCCCAAGGAATTTTGACACTCGGAAATTCGGGCATGATCTCGAGAATGGTTCGTTTTGGTCGAGTCGTGTAATCCCACAGTTCATCGATCAGCTCAGGATTCGCTAGCTCCAGTATGCGTTCTTTTTGGTAGCCCTCATCTTCGTTTCCTTCTTTGGTGAAGTAAGCCAGCGAAGAAAAGAATGTTCTCCGAGGTATGGATAATATGTCCAGATAGTTCGTCAGCAGCTCGCGCATGGTAAATTGCTTCTTGTTTTGCCTGAGATATCTGAGAGGTGAGGGGGGATAGGAGGCCAGATCAGCGACCTCCGCTGTAGGTACTAACTCCAAAGGCTTATCGGCCATGGACTGCCAGCCCATCGTTTCAATGAACTGGTTCACATCCTTTGGGAAGTTCTTCGGATACACAACGGCAACGGCGCCAGGGCCATAGTCGACATCTGGAGGCACGCGGAAATCCAAGAGCCGAACATCTTGACCGTGACTGAGTGGAGTCAAACGCGTGTTTGACAATAGGTTAGCGAGAATGCTGTCTCTGATCGGCAAGATATCGTCCGCTGGAGGCGTGTCCAGAGTAAGGGCTTCAGGTAGGGATTCCACTTTGGCATGCGTAGCATTACTGTCGGGAGAGACTCGTAAGCACCACCTAGGTTCCAGGAAAACGTCTTCGGCAATGATGTCCTGTCCAACAGGCAAGGGAAATTTCTGCAGAAGTCCTTGCTTCAGATCCACGATCCAGGCGCGAAACTCGCCATTGTGGCCCTCTGGATGCTGTTCGTTGCCTTCCCCTTTTGGGCAGAATAGCTGAGCACCCAGCTGAAGCATACGATTGTGTAGCATGCGGTGGGCGACATTGTATTGTGGATACGAACTGTCACCGAGACCAAAGGTGGTGAAATTGACACGCCGCAGGACACCAGGTCGAAGCTGACTGCTCAGCAACACCTTCCAAAATGAACGGGCATTTTGTGGAAATTCGCCTTGTCCCGTAGTCGATATAGCTACAATGATGATGGTATGCTTGAGCAAATCACGCTGTCAAAGGTCAGAAAATACACAGCTAAAGATACGAGAACAGCACGCACAAGTTCTATCGAGTCAAGATCTATGACAGTTGTATCAAAACGCAGACGTTCAGTCAAACGAGCAATCTCTTGAGCGACATCTTGAGCATTCCCTGTCTCCGAGCCATAAAGGATCAATGCAGAGCGGGGTTTGGCAGCAGTTTGCCTGCACTAGTCAGAGCAGGTCTTTCAAGGAGGTGTGTCGTTGACAATCACCTTTTTACGGGAGTTTGTCCAGCGGGCGAAGCATGATGCCCGGAGACACCGTTCTGAAGTAGTGTCATGCAGTAGATACAGAACTTCGTCAGTGAGCAAGCCACAAGCAGTCAGAGGGTATTTGAGAGAATAGAGACAAGCAATGAATGTCAAAGAGAAGAACAAGCAGCGACGAATGTGAAATATGGTATTTCGTATTGATCGGAGGCGACTTTGTCCCAGTCCCAGATACGCCAGCCAAGCAAGGATAGACCCTTCTGGCATGGAGCCGCCGCACAGGCATTCGTGACTGCCGAAGTTCTGCCAGCAAGAAGTCAGGCCAAAGCGGCAGTCACAAGAACAACAACACCTCCATTAACACCACCTACCTCCCAAGCGAAGTGACAAACTTTCCACGCACCTCTCATCCCCAAAACCACGAATCGGGCACCTAGCTACCCAGAACTCTCCCTCGTCAAGCCAATTTCCACCACAAACGGCGGTCTCGACAATCGAATCAACCTCCCCAGACCTCACAGCTCCAGCGTCATCCAACTACCAACGTCATAATGTCCGTCGAAGCTGCCACCGCCCAAATGGCAAACACTACCATCAGTGAGCCCACCTCTACCGCCGAGGGTGCTTCAGTCGGAGCCGGCGGCGACAAGCCTATCAACGCTTCCCAGAACGAGGCCGTCATCGCCAGCGCCGCCGAGGGTAGAAGACTCTACATTGGAAACCTCGCATATGCGACCACCGAGGGAGAGTTGAAGGACTTCTTCAAGGATTACCTTGTGTAAGTGCCGTGTCGCCATCTCCACTACAAGCTTCGGCTGCTGATTCTGGCTGCAGTGAGACCACTTCCATCCCCACCAACCCCCGCACCACACGTCCTGTCGGCTACGCCTTCGTTGACGTCTCGACTCCCTCTGAGGCCGAACGCGCCATCAGCGAGTTGAACGGCAAGACCATCCTCGACCGCAAGGTCTCCGTTCAGCTTGCCCGCAAGCCCGAGCCTGCCCAGGAGGGTAACGAGACCGCCGAGCCCGCTCGCCGCCGCAGTTCTACTCGCGGTCGTGGTCGTGGCCGCGGTCGTGGTGGCCGTTCTGGCCGTGGTCGCGTAAGTTATGATGCAAAGCAAGCAGATGAACCAAGTACTGACGAGCTCAGGGTCGCAACGCCGAGGGTCAAGCCACCGAGGCATCCGCAGAGGCTACCGACGGACCTGTCAACGTCCCTGGTCAGGTACTCCCTCTGACCGAGACCACTAACGAGGCTCTCTCTGCTGCCCCTGGCGACAAGGACACCATGACCGTCAACCCCAACAAGACTGGCAAGACTGATGCCCTTCGCCCTCGCAAGCAGCGTGGTCCTCCCGAAGATGGCGTTCCCTCCAAGACCAAGGTCATGGTTGCTAACCTCCCATACGACCTTCGCGAGGAGAAGGTGAGCTTTTCAACATCAAAGTGTGTCGCGTGATCGGTCTGCTAACCCAGTCGACAGCTCCTCGAAATCTTCGCCGAGTACAAGCCTACCTCAGCCAAGATCGCTCTTCGTCCCATCCCCCGCTTCATGGTCCGCAAGCTTCAAGCCCGCAACGAGCCCCGCAAGGGTCGCGGCTTCGGTTTCGTCACTCTCGAGTCCGAGGAGCTCCAGCAGAAGGCTTGCTCCGACATGAACGGCAAGGAGATTGAGGGTCGTGAGATCGCCGTCAAGGTCGCCATCGACAGCCCCGGAAAGGAGGACGAGGACCCCAACGCCCCCATCGAGGGAGAGGCCGAGACTGACGGCAACCCCTCGACTGCCGAGGGTTCTGCCAACGCCACAGCTGCCGTCGCCGAGTAATTGAATTTATGAAGCACAACGAGGCGCGCACTCTTGAGAGTCAGTCCCTCTGAAGCACGACAAGAAGCACAAGCATTCGGCGGCCGTACAAATCGCAGCATGACCTAGGTGCGCTATCAAGTTACCTGCGAGCAATTGTTGAAGCCGGTTGCGCAAAAAGATATGATTTTCTACATGACATTTATATGCCCTGCCCTGCCCTGCCCTTCCCTCTCTATTTTGCATGGTTAACTCACGACCATCGAATATGTATTAGTATGACGAAAGAAAAGCGATCATGACTTAATCCTTGGTGTTCCATGTTCTCATTCTCTGTGTAACGTGCCTCGTAACGGACTATGAACAAACAAACCAATCAACGTAATGTCTTGGACAGCATCAAGGGGCTCTTCTATACGTGTAGCCTGTGAGGTGGTAAGTTAGCTGTCAATCGGGCTTGCTCCTGGAGTGCACATGGCGTCAAAGCTCAGATTCGGCACCCCTCATGAATTGTGAAAGCACAGGTGGAAGCCGAGGCCGAGGTGCCAAAGTTGTGACGCCGCTCTTGTCTGCTTCGCCCAAGTTTATTTCGCACCACTTTCCATGACAACAACATGTCAGGCCTACGAATCCTCGTGCCCGTCAAGCGCGTGATTGACTATGCCGTCAGTCTGCTCGTTTACAAGCCGTCGAGTACATTGTGATTGACACATAATCTACAGGTCAAGCCTCGAGTCAACAAGGCCCAGACGGCCGTCGAGACCACGGGCGTCAAGCACAGCATGAACCCCTTTGACGAGCTCTCGATCGAAGAGGCTGTCCGTATGCGCGAGCGCAAGGCCCCCGTCGAGGACATCCTTGCCTTTTCCGCCGGTCCCACAAAGTCACAGGATATTCTGCGTACCGCCATGGCCATGGGCGCCGACCGTGCACTCCATGTCGTCGAGGAGAAGACCGAGCTGGAACCCTTGAGCGTCGCCAAAATCCTGAAGAAGGTTGTCGAGGACGAGAACCGCAACCTTGTCATCCTGGGCAAGCAAAGCATTGACGATGACGCCAACCAGACCGGCCAGATGCTTGCTGGACTCCTAGGCTGGGCCCAGGCTACATCGGCTTCCAAGGTCGAGATTGACGGAGACACTTGTACTGTTACTCGGGAGGTCGACGGTGGTGTCGAAACATTGCGTGCCAAGCTGCCCATGATCATCACCACCGACTTGCGATTGAACGAGCCGCGCTACGCCAGTCTGCCAAACATCATGAAGGCCAAGAAGAAGCCGCTCGTCAAGAAGACCATGGAAGACTACGGCATTGACCTCACCAAGCGGCTCAAGACTGTCAAGGTCACCGAGCCTCCGCCGAGACAGGGAGGTGGCAAGGTCGACGATGTTGACGGCATGATCTCAAAGCTCAAGGAGCTGGGCGCGTTATAGAGGAGTCTGAAAAGGGCTCTAATCTTGATACCATGTATTTGTTCCAAGCATGAAAATGCAATTTTTCACTTCTACCAAAATTCTCTCAATTGCCTATATTTACCAGTCGCCCCATGTATCATCACCCGACTTTTGCTGTGAACTCGTAGGCTTCTTCATGGCGCTCGTTCCAATACTAGATGAAGCCTCTTTCTTCAGAGTGGCTGTTTCACCAGCGGCAGCGAAGTCGTCCCAGAAGTCTTTCTTGTCGTTTGCGGGTCCTTGAGGAGGTTCGCCAAAACTATCCCAGAAGTCTCGCTTGTCCGCGGCCGGACCCTTAGCTCCCTTTGGAGCCAGTCTCTCATCACCTTCAACGAAGCGGTTGAAGTTTTCAGCAGCTGCTTTTGTGCTTGTCTGGATACCCTGGCCTAGTTGCGCTGCTGTCATGCGTGCTTGCGTAGCAAGATCGGCCTCCGCCAGCTGCCACATCGTTAGTATTGGACTGGTGCGAATGCCTCTTCACAACAAACCTTCTGCATGTTGGGCTTGACCCATCCATCATAACCAGTCTTTGCCTGTTTGGTCACAGTGCTGCTCAACCAGCCGAAGCCTTTTGTAAGGGCAGCAACAGGGTCTTTCTGGAAGTCATCGACACCGGGGATCGATGTTGATTTCGAGGAGGATGAGGGCATTGGTTCACTACCGAATCCGGCAAACTTTCCGCCCTGATTAGGAGGGAGCGTGTCGGGCCTATGGGCATTCTCGGCACCCATACGAGCGAAGTAGGCCTCGTTCTGAGTCTTCTGAGACGGGGGAGCAGTGGAGAAGGCACCGAGAGGAGTCTGACTCCTGCTTGTTGAGGTCGAGGTGGCAGGCTTTGCGCGAGCAGGCGTGCCACTGCTCTTTGTACCTGGAACATATTCCTTGCCCTCCACTTTTGCAGTCATGCGCTCCTTCCACTCTTCACCGGCCCCACTATCGTAACGTTCCTGGATCGTGCAGTCATCGAAAGTGCGGCCTTGCAAGGTGTTTGATTCGTGAGCGTCGAAGAATTGTTTCCAGGGCTTGTTGCCGCCTTGAGACATGCGCTCGACTTCCTGGACCTTGAAAGAGTCCATGGTGATTGATCGTACAAAGGAGATATGGACGCCAAGGGAGCGATGAGTACCGGAACAAGACAGACAGAAGAAGATGCCGAACTTGGGAGACGCCTTGTCCACTGGTTAGCAACCAGGGTACTACAAAGAGAGAGAGAGAGAGCGAGCAGGCGCATACCCATTGCGGACTGGGAGCGCCGCAGTCGACGCAGCGGTTGTTCTCATTGGTCTTCTGAATATCTACGAGCTTGCTCTTGGTTTCGGGGTCAACCTGTACATAACGAGTTGGCACAAACAAGACTCGACGCGGGACAGCTATCTGACCTCCCACAATTTGTTGCTCATCCTGAACGTAAGCAGCTCTGCAGCAGGTTCCGCGGCGAGACAGTCGTGGCGCGGTGAAGCCGAGTGGTAGTGACGGGCGCAAGTATTGTAGTACAAGCAGAGAAGAAGTGGTTGCTATCACTTCCCCTTGGGTGACGGTCCACGGGGTCTCGACCGTTGACCCACGTCATATGCCAAGCACGGCCCTTTTGCGCACTGCCGTGGTCCATCACGCATACCATCAGGATTTATTCAGCCTCTAGCCGCACTCGACAGCACACGTCAGTGACAATTGAACCGCATCCGCCAACATGGACTACAGTCAGCTCACTGTCGCCAAGCTCAAGGATGAATTGAAGGAGCGCGACATTCCCACCACTGGCCTCAAGCTGAAGAAGGACTACATCGATCGCCTGGAACAAGACGATTCCGAGAAGGCACTCGAGCAACCTGCTGTCTCGCCCAATCCGCCGGAACAGCCTCTCGACCTCGAGAACCAACATCATGATCTGGCATCGTCAAAGGACAACGCCGTCGCCTCTCCCACCCCGGCAGCACCTACCAGCGAGGATAAGCCAGAAGTGCCCGAATCCGTTGCGCCAACCGAGCTGCCTGACTCAAATCCTGGCACCGAGACCGAACCTCAAGAACCAATACCGCTGCCGATCTCAGAAGCTCCTTCGTCGCTTGAGCAAGAAGAAGCAACCATGAAGCCGTCACGAACCACTGCTACTCCAGAGCCCGCCTCGTCGGATGGCAACAAGAGAAAGAGACGTAGCCCCACTCCGCTTCTCTCTGAGGGGGTCGTACACAAGAAGCTGAAGCAAGAGACTGATGGTCCATCCGCGCACTTCGCCTCCGACCAAGAACCCATGGCGAACGATGTCTCCATGCCGGATGCTCCTCTCGAACAACCAGCCACTACCCTACAGCCCATTCCTACCAGCCATGATCTGGCACAGCCATTCAATGATGATCTCGACAAGACAAAATCCATGCGAAGTCCCAATGAACGCCGTTTCAAGAACCTCGTCAATCCTGTCGAGTCTGACCCTGCTCAACCTACACCCGAGGCCGCCGATCTTACCGTATCACCCGCAATACACCCTGCCACCCGTGCCCTCTACATTCGCGATCTCGTCCGTCCCATCAATCCCAGCAGCTTAAGGAACCACCTTGAAGATATCGCCCAGCCGCCAGACCGGTCCGGTTCGTCCTCGTCCTTGGTTGAGGAATGCTATGTTGATGCTCTTCGCACACATGCCTTTGTTCTATTCACATCTATCTCTGCTGCTTCGAGGGCGCGAGCTAGCACACATGCTCGGATCTGGCCACCAGAGCCCATGCGCAAGCAACTGTGGGCCGATTTCTTCCCAGATGAGCGCTTCCAAGAATACCTTGACACTGAGCGAGCGAGCGGAGGCTCAAGACCCAGCCAGGCGAAGCGTTGGGAGCTTGCTTATAACACTTTGGACGATGGCGTTGATGTACAGCTTGTTGAGGCAGGTCCCGCCACTCATCGTGCTTCGACACATGCCGGCGCAGCCAACGCACCGCCCACTGGACCGCGAGGTAGCATGTCAAGTGGAAGACGACCCTCGTTCGCTCAGACCGAGCAGAGGCGCCCTTCCCAGCCCATTCCTACATCCGCTCCACGACGCAGCTCAATGGTGATTGAAGAAGCAAGTGCCCCCTTTCTGGAACTGGATAAGCTGTTCAACTTCACGGCGACCAAGCCAAAGCTATACTGGCAACCAGTAAGTGAGGATCTTGCAGAGGACAGACTTGACGAGCTGGATCGTGAGACCAGCAGAGATTGGGATCCACGAGCCGACTTCAAGAGAAATGGTGACTCTCTAGGCCGTGGACTCGATCAGCTCAAGCGCTACACTTTCGAGGATGGTGACGTCCTTGTTGATGGAGGTCCAGAGTTTGGTGGTGGACGCGCTTTTGCACGTGCCGGCAATCGTGGACGTGGTCGAAGAAATGGCGACAGCTACCGTGGCCGATAGATCCGAGCCAAATTGCTAGACGGCATATAGCTCGGCCCGCGCCACCAAAACAGGTAGGCGTTTCTCGTGGTCGAAACAATTGGCTAAGAGCGTAACTATTAGAAGCCTAGAGCGACGAATGCACCAACACGTCCCCGAAGCTACAAATATTTCGAACGTGTGGTTGAGATTGTCACACGCACTGTGCAACTCTGTGATTCATCCAAGTGAAGCAAACTAGTGTGAACAACAATTTACGTCAAAAGAACCGAGAATATTCCTAGACTGGGTATATATTAAAGTGCTTTTCCTAGTGTTACATGTTTCCGATTGCGTCGAGCCTACTCATAGCAATGCCTCTTGCTTCATGAAGAACTTCTTGGTCTCCAGACACTTCTGACTGGTGCATCCAGGACATCTCAAACCCAATTGTTTGCTGCCAACACTGCCGCTTGCCAGATGATCCCTTGCGAGCTCAGCCAAGCCTTGAATGAAGACAGGACTGCCGTTCAAGGAATCTGCTCTCTTGACACGACCTTCAGCACCCAACTCATTGGCCTCGTGAATGATCTCCTGGTCGACTTCGAAGAGTGTCTCGATGTGATCCGAAGTGAAGGCGATGGGAATGAGGATGAGATCCTTCTGACCTCTCTTCACAAAGTTGGTCACAGTGTCGCTCGTCTGAGCTCCCAACCAGGCGGAAGGACCGACCTGAGACTGCCAAACCAGACGATGAGCGTTCTTGAAGCCCAGGCGTTGTTGGACGGCGTAGACAGTGGCAGCCACCTCAGCTGGGTAGGGATCACCTCTATTGACAACGCTCATGGGCAATGAATGAGCCGAGAAGAGCAGGACGACGTCCTTTCTTGTTTCCTCGGGGTACTCGAGCAACTTTGCTTCGATGTTCTGAGCAAAAGCTTCGACAAGACCGGCGTGTGTAGGCCAGCGATCAATGACACTCCAGGTGATTGCGCCAGCCTCATCAACCTCATTACCAGCACGCTTAGTCTCGAGTCTTTGGCGCCATTTCCAGAGCTCGTTCAGAGAGCTTCCGGTGGTGCTGCACGAATACTGGGGATATTGGGTGAATGCGACAGCTCTGCCTCCTCTTCCGTTGCCGAAGCCGTCGTCGAACAGTGTCTGATACATTTCCTCGGTCAAAGGGGCGGCGTAGCGGAAAGCGACATAAGGTTTGTGAGGGGCGGTCTCGGGCGAAATCTTGTCGAGGATCTTGCACATCTCGGAGCTCTGGTATTCAGACCATTTGCGAATGGGAGAGCCACCACCAATTGCGGCGTATTGCTTCTGGATTTTGGGGGTGCGACGCTTGGAGATCAGAGGGCCGAGGTAGTTCTGCAGTCTGCCGAGAGGAATCAAGTCACCGTCTGCCTATGTTTGTGTCAGCAAGAAGGGGCGAGAGAGAGAGCGGGGAGGATTATGGGACAAACGCACGAAAAGCCTGCTGAGGAAGTCGCCGACCTCAGCGGTGGTCGAAGGACCGCCCATGTTCATGAAGACCATGGCGGTAGGACCCTTTGAGCCAGTATTGTCCTGGGTGACGGGTGGGACGACGGTCGCCATGGACTGTTGCTGAGAGGCAGCATACTTTGTGATCTGAGCAGGCAATGCCCGCCGTGAGAGGCCGAGAGGGGCGCGGAGAGCCATGTCTGGATAGGTAGATGTCGTGGTCGAGAAGGGGAGCGAGAGACGGACAACAATAATGTGTCGATTCAAGCACCAGCACTTGGCTATGACGATCGATCGGTCCAGTGCTTACCCGCCTCGTCGTGATTGGCCGACGCGTGAGCTTCGCGTGTAGTCTAATTGTCGTCGGCCGCAGCTTCTCCAGAGCCCAGACGCGCGCCGTCGTCGGGATACGCTCGACAGTCTGTTTGTTTCATGTCGCGACACTCGCTGAGCCATGGCTCGTATCAACCAACGCCCATCCGAGACAGCTGCCAATCCCTCGTCCAACTCATCTGCCGCGACTGCGACTGCAACTGCGCAACCCGCCCCTCCGTCCTCGCCAACTCCCTCGTCGGATAAAGAGAACCACTCCACCTCAGCTCCTCGCGACAAAGGAAAGGGTCGCATGCAGTCCGACTCCACAACTTCTCACTCTGCAAAGAGAAGGAGAACTCAGCCTCCTACGAATGCCTCCGCCGCACAGGATCAAGAACATGACGAATCTCGCTTCTACGACCCCGCCCAGGACCAGCATGAGCGTCAGGAGATAAAGAAGAAGTCTCGCGCTCTAGAGCGTGAATTCAACGGTGCTTGTCCCTGCATCTCCCGTCAGCCCAGAGCCCAGAGCTAACGCTTGACAGAGAACAAGGATGTCTATCTCAGGGACGGCACGCGCCTCGAGTCCGTCATTGACCGCGCAAACAAAGTCTTTGGCCGTGTCAAGCAGACCGCTGATGCCACCGTCGATTCTCGCTTGCTCGTCAACATCTCCGACATGGCCCTGAAGGCTTCTGCCCAGCTCACCCTTGGCGACAACTCGACCGGTCTTGACATTGACGAATTCGTGTCAAAGTGCATCCACTTCATGAAGAATGCTCATGCCAATCCCTCCACCGCCTCGACCGAACGCCGCAGACAACGTCAATCGCGTCGAGATCATGACGACGACGATGAAGACCAAGATGCCGACCATGTCCTCGATTGGGCCCATCTGGGCTCGCAAGCTTGTTTTCCCTACAATCTGCGACCGCCAGCTCCATCTTTTCTACTTGGTCCTCTCTCGGTTCAGAAAAAGCTTCGCGCCCAGACACAGCGACGTGTCCGCCAACGCAAAGACTCTACAGTCAAGGAAGTTCGCCCCGAAGCTCTGACTGAGCGTGATCTCCAGACAAACGAAAACAATGCCTTGACCACTCTGTGCCAAAACATCAAGGTAATTCTGGACAATCATTGCGTAACCGCCACCAACGCTATCGAATCGCTTGGCGATCTTGACGATGATCAAGCGTTAGCAGAGATGAAGCGAAATCGCATATCTCCAACTGGTGGTCCGAGTCTGTTTGATTTTGCAATCAACCCTCACAGCTTTGGCCAGACCGTGGAGAACTTGTTCTACATCAGCTTCTTGATCAAAGAAGGCAACGTCGGCCTGCAGATGGATGACGATGGTCTGCCCACTTTATGTAAGTCATGTCACCCAGTGCTTCTGCATGCTTGTATATCTGACATTGCTCAGTACCTGCCACGCCTCAAACCGTAGCACAACAGCGCGAGAAAAGTTCAATGCGACATCAAGCTGTCTTCAGCATCGACTACAGCACCTGGCAGCGCTTGATACAGGCCTTCAAGATCAGCGAGCCCCTTATCCCCCATCGCGGAACTGGTGGAGGCGGAGGGGCCATCGGTGCTCGTGGCTGGTACAATGGTTGATCTCGATGTGGACTCATGTCCAGTGTTTTGTGTTTTTGGTACGGGATGCTCGCTACGATGTTTGACGAAGAGATGACCAAGCTGCCCTTTTCCATTTCCGATGTACATACTATACCACGGCTTACTTGATAGACAGAAAAGAAAGGAAGACATGAATATACATGATTCTCTGGGGAAGACACCATTCAGCATGGGGACCCTCGTATTGAATCTTGATCCAAGTTCCGAGTCTTCTACATTCACATAGGTTACGCGCGTGAGTAGGCCACCAATGATTTGTTCTGCAACACTCGCCCGAAGATATCTGCTCTTCGCAGCAGGAGAATGAATGGCTCTGTGAGGAACTCAGCTGCACACTCGATGGGCTGACCGAAGTTCACGACTTTCGCGGAGGTAGAACAGTATTCGGCTGATTGTCTCAGCTGCAGCAGTCTCAGTGATGATGAAGCCTATCTACCACCCCTTGGCCTGCTACGAACGGCCCAAGAAGACTCGGAGCTGGCGATAGACGGGCCACGACGCAAGCCCAGCCCTGTTTGTAAGACATACAGCTGTACCACAGACGAGAAGACAAGGATGAGAAGACAAGGACGAGAAGACAAGGACGAGAAGACAAGGACGAGAAGACAAGGACGAGAAGACAAGGACGAGAAGGCAAGAGGCACATTGAAGTAAGAGAAACCAGTCTTGGATTGACTATCTAGCTGATGCAACAGTAAAACCTGCTCATGATAACGATAACAGAAAGGTCCTTCAATGAGAACAAGTGTTGAACGAGCGTGAGTAGTAAAAGTAAAAGTAAAAGCAAAAGCAAAAGCAAAAGCAAAGCCTGATGATGCAACAGAAAACAAACTCCCTCCGATGATAAAAAAAGCCGAGCAAAGTTGATGAGGTGATGAACAAGGAAAAGGCCAACAGGCAGGAAGGTACAGTGTCAACAGAAGAGGTATGATGGCCGACCGAAGGAAGACCGAGTGTGGGTTGATGACCATGACGACTCAAGTCGACTGATGAATGGACGATGACGATGTCAACTATTCAAAGCTCAGAGTGGAACACCTCAACGTTGCAAACCTTGATGGCGCTGCTGAAAGGGACCACCCTGGTGTGGTGATGAGCAACAACATCAGTGCTGGTCTTGATAGTGGTGGTGGTTTTTGTGACGACAGCAGTCGAGACATGGGTGTTGGTGATGAAGTCAGTCAAGACGCGAGTAGAAGAGCCGTACTGAGTAGTGGTAGAGCAGTCCATGTTGTTGAAGGAGGTAGAGACGTCATCAGAGTCGGAAGAAGCATCAGAATCAGAGCTGGAGCCGAGGTGGCTGTTGATGACCTCACGCTTGCAGAGCCACATCCAAGAGTGTGCAGGAAGGTTGCCGTAGAGGTACGCGTTGTGGCAGACGCCAAGAGCGGCTTCGTCGTTGAGGTCGATGAGCTCAATGCCATTGTCCTTGCATTTGTAGTCGCTGAAGACCAAGGCAACACAGTCGTGACCCTTGTTGAAGTGGGTGATGCGGCCGCGTGAGATGGTGGCTCTGGCGGAGAGGAAAGGCTTCTTGAACGAATGGCAGTGACCATGCTTCTTGGTGTCGGTGTCGCGGCTTTGGGCACTGTTGCACTCGGTGTTGTCGGCGGGAGAGAGAGTAACGTGGTCGTGGAGACGAGTGGCCTCGACAGAGATGGAAGAGTTGGACGAGCCGGAAGAGATGGAACGAGCAGAGATGATGTGGTCGGCGTCATCATCATCATCATCATCATCCACATCGTCAGGGTTGGTAGGCCAGGGCGAGGTGGCGTTCTCGGAAAGCTGCCACCCTGGGTTGATGTCGTCGCCACAGCTCCACATGACAGACTGGAAGAGGTCGTCATCTGGCTGAGATTGAAGCTGACAGAAGGCGAAATCACCAGTGATGTCGTTCTTTGAATCCGTGGGCTCGAGCTCCTCGATGATGAGACCATCAGAGGTGCAGAACTGGTCGGTGAAGACGGCCAACACGCAACGGTTGGTGCCGATGCTGCGGTCGACGTGGTCGTCGGCAGACACGGTTCTCGAACGAAGGAGTCCGAAAGGGTCCATGGGTAAACAAGCACGCTCGGGCAGGTACTCTTCCTCGCCGAACATGGCCAGCGAGCAGCTTTTGCCTTCGGCGGTGCTGATCAAGACTGTGTCTGACCTGACCTGCTGCTTGGCAGAACCGGCGACTCCAGCCACAGCAGCGGCAATGGAGAGAACCTTTGTGAATGTCAGCAGATGTCGGACAAGACGGTGATGGATCGGAGAGGATGAGAGAAGGCGGACGATGATGGGAGAAGGCGGCTGATGATGATGATGAGAGGAGAAGATGGATGATGGGAAACGTACAGTTGAGACCTTCATTGTGAAGACGGCGATGTAGAGTCGTCGATGTTGATCAGAACAGAGCTTGAAGCTTGTGTGAATGGTGAGATGAAGAGGATGATGGGTATGATGGGTATGCTGTTCTGATGGGAGCAAGTAGCAAGTAAGTGGTTGCGTTGATGTTGAGGAAAGAAGCTGGGAGCTCTGGGTTGAGAAGAAGACAGCTTGTGTACTCTCACCAGAGGAAGAAGCGGCCGTGACGCGGCTGTCTGAGTATTCTTTCCCTTCGGCGCCCGTCGCGTCGTCTGCGTTGGGACGGGATTACGTTTGGCTGAGCTGGTGCTTGAGTGTTCTTTCCTCGACGCCTGGCGATGGCTTCGCATGACGCGGGCTTTGCAATCAGCACTTGGTGAGTCCTCCCCACGTGGTCACTTGCATCTTCCTCTGCTGGAGACGGACGCAATGATTCCTCAGGTTGATAGAACGTGTGGATGTAGCAGATGAGGCGACGATCTCGGTGAACATTGTGCTTCTCGGAAGCATTGTCCCCTTGATACGTCTACACGCGCGTGAAACTCGACGCGGCGAGACGATCCGACAAGCACTCTCAGTGACCACTGCCCTCTGGTCGAGAGTGATGCACTTTCGCACGCGTGACGGAACTGGTCGCGTGAAGATCACCAGGTGCTGGCTTCCAGTAGACATTGTCATCTTTTGGAAGCGGTGTCTCCCAATACAACCACCGAGGAACACTACTCTCCTCAGGTATGGTGAAAGATGCCTGACCGTACGATCTCCGTATACGCGCAGCCTTCACGAATGACTGTCAGAGATTGTCTGGCGGTGCCTTCCTTGCAGGTGCACTAAACTAACGCTTTTACAAGACGGCTAGCAATCCATTTTCATGACTTCGACATCCCAGACAGGACTTCTTCCTAGGTTACTCCTTACGGATCTGTAGTTGAACTGAAGCACGTACTTTCTCGTAGCAAGAGAGTGTTCACTGAGAGAACGGAAAGCCAATCACAAGGCAAAGATCGTCTCCTGTACTTCCAATGACGTTCCTCGCATTACATGTTCTCGTGAGAAGTGGGTATGCAGACTATTGAAAGTCTACAAGAAACACAAAAGCATCGCATCTCAAGTCTGAACTTCAAGCGATGATTCCGCCTTCGTGATCCCCATATTTCTGTAGCAGCCCAGCGGCGCACCGACGAGAGCAGCGACACGTGTTCTTTGGGTGCACTCTTTCTGCCAAATTTGAAAAGTACAGATGACGTTTTCATCCGACAAGCTCAACGCATTGCTTTGGGATCTGAAGAGTCATTGGTGACTTCCCCTGGTGAAAGGGTACCGGCTGCTCTCTTCCCATGGGAGAATCGCAACTGAATGCGAAGTCGTGCCTTCTCCTGTCTCTCATGAGAATGAGTCGCTTACGCGTCTCCTTTAAAGACGGGATGACCTTTGGACTTTCGAGGGCCATTGCCGCGACTCGCGATCTATTCTTATAAGCCGCACAGTCGCCGCTGTACAGTTTACGCAACGATCCTTTGACAACAGCATGCGTTTGTGGATAGGTAGCTGTAGATAGGTCGTTCTTCTCTGGCAGTGCTCAGTAGAGGTTGCTTCAATCTGATCCGTTCGAACTCCTCTTAGTTGACGGCAATACTTGTTCGCTACTATCGAAAACACGGCGACGGAAAGCAGGACGGTCAACAAGTCACCGAGGTAAGCAGGTTTTGATATCGGCGAGGAACATTGGGTTGGGACGCTCTCGGGATTACATAGCATCTTGAGAAGCCGACAACACAACTCGAGCCAAGCAACCAACTGCTTCCAGGGAAAAAGCTGGAGTTGCCCTGCATGGAATGCCGCCGAGTCCTGCGATGGTTCCGCATGACGCACAGAGCTTCAGTGACCCATGCTTTTCCAACTCGTAAATTCCTCAGATAATTCAGGAGCGGTTCAGATCGTATGATGCTGCCAGCGAATGATGCCACTGAGGACACGACCGTGCATGTCTACAGCTTTCCGTCTCACGGAGACTAGAAGCCACGACAATCGCCAAATAATAGCGAACGACTTGGCGAATGCTCGCATAGTTCTTGATGACCATGCTCTCCCGTCGTGACGGAACGGGACAGGAAGGTCAAGGCAACAACGTCTCGTTGTCATCAAGAAGCACGCCCTGCGTCAAGCGACACACAGCCACCCGGGGACGCAGAGAGGAGATCGTCTTTGGGTAATGACTGCCGTTCATAAACAAAATAACAAGCAGATTTGGTTTCATGATTCCAGCCGATAATTCTTCAAGAGAACACCGAGGCACACTCCTTCGTTGTCTTCGGTGAGGTAGACAGGATAATCTATGAGCTAACCATGTTCATATGTAATCATGAAACAAAGGCCGCTCTCATGCATGATCGGGGACGAATGAGCTGTCTTGCGGACGAGGGTTCTCCGGATAGAATATGTTTTGCTGTGGTCGAATGATGCCGATATCATCATGGTCGTCCGAATGCCTCATCTTGATAGCGATTCATGAGCGTTGACCGTCTACAATGGTAACACTGATATTTGATCCGTGCTTGAGCCCCAGCGGGGCACTCGAACATTTTGCAGCCCACATGTAGCGCAAGACCCTGTTGACGGGCAACTGTTTCGAGCCAAGCCCTATACCAGAAGAGCTGACGGCCATAGTCGCACCGGCAGGGTTCGTTCGGTGCTGAATGTGCCCATCTATCAGGGTTTGGATATGCCTGTGCTTATGAATCCGATGGAATATAAAGAGCTGGCATACTACACTGCAGTGGGAACTGTCACGGCATGTTGTGAATTCAAACATGATCGCGAAGTCAAAGACACAAGGCAGAAAGCAGAATTCCAAAGGGGTATCTCGGCATGCTAAACGAGGAATTCGAAAGAACAAGATGGATGAGCCGCGTCATCAGTTAGTACCTCATGACCAGGACGTCAGGGTTGAACGAACCATGAGCTTAACTGTCCACCATTAAGAGACATGTCGTGGCTGGGGACAGCCGCAACGTTAGCCGCTGAAGAGGCTTGGCTCACGCGAAACACACCACGTCCATTCTGTGTAGGTTGAACTTGGTTTCTGTCAGCGGCCGACTACTTCTAGAGCAGGCGGCGACGTACCTTGGATCCAGCGTGAGTCTGGAACAGGTGCCTTGTCAAACCTCAGAACAGAAGGATAATTACAAACAGTTCCCCGCAGCTGGCAGGAATTACAGACTGGCTGCACACCATCACACTTCTCTAGGTGATAAGCTACAAACCCGAATGGATCTGAATGACAGACGTACCTGGCTGTGTGCGGCCTTGCACTTGAAACACGGAACCGCAAGCTTGGAGAAACGTCCAACATCCGGTGGTTGCAATTGTTGGTGACCGGAGGTGAAGCTCGGGCGAGAGGGATAGTGGCTGGACATAGCGTTGAACGAGCTAGAGACAGCTGCTGCGGACGGTGTATGCCAAAGGGAGGCTGCTGGAGGAGGTGATGGTGACGAACGGGCATGATGTTCGCGAGCCGCAGGGCCAGTGTCAGATGGAGTCATAGATTGCTGGAGGATCTCGACCAGGGACAGAGGGCGCTCAGGCTGCTCTGCCGGTGGAGCAGACTGTATCTTCTGACGCTTAGGCTGCGGCCGTACACTAAGGTCCTTGATCCTTCGAATTGGTTTTGGCGCGACGGGAAGCTCTACAGCGTTGGCATAAGACTGGAAGACAGAGTGGTCAATGTCATCAAGGACGAACGAGCTTTCGTGAGCATCCTGATCTGCGAGGGCAAGCAGGCTTGTGTCAGGTGTGGTCGCTGAGGATTGCTGTGTTATGGACCTTCGTTTCGCGTCTTTGCGCGGAGGTGGACGTCTTTCGGCGACTGTTTTGTGGATGGCGTGGTGCTTGTAGACAACTTCGACGGACTGGCGGAGAGCAGAAAACTTGACAGCAATTTGGCCCTTGCAGTCGTAGGTGGGCTTTCGGACACCACGGGTGTTTGCGCCAGGGCGACGAGTCGCGGCGTTGGTAGCGCGGAAGCCGTTGGCATGCCTGTCCTTGTTCTCCAGCGAGTCGAGACAAGTGTACGAGTAGCGGTAGCCGTTGTCGTCCTTGCTAGACCAGTTGTTGTTGAAGCAGTACTTGAAGCCATCGAGGTCCTGGATCTGCTGGACGATACCTTTTGCTGCAGCGCGCTGCCACGTCTGCCGCTGCTTGAGATTATCGATGTTGACTAGCTCAAACACAGTCTTGTACGCCAACTGCTGCTCTTGGTCATGCTGGTCGTGGGCAACAGGGCCGAGATCTTGCCCGGCGAGGCCTAGCTCGTCGCCAAACCCATCGAAAGGCACGTAGCTGGGCTGGCGGCGAGGGCTAGGTAGTTCGGCGAGAGATTTGAGAGGTAGGGCGGCATGGGTCGACAAGGTCATAGCACACGAGATGTACTGCGGGAGGGCGTCGGGGACGGTGGCATTGTCCATGTAGTGGCGTAGGGCGGTTTTGAGGTCGTCGAGCGAGTCAAATACCGTGTCCAAATTGGTGTAGTCTTTGCGAGGCCGGTGCGGTCGTCGAGCCTTGGGCTGTGTTGGGGCTGATGCCGCCGCTCCGCTCGTCGAAGCTATCAGCGCGTTCATTCTGAAGACCCGACTGACCAGAAGAGTCCGAAAATTGGCACTTGGTCGCGTTCGCAGAAGCAGGATCCCTCGACACTTCGACAGCCCTCACGGCCTCTACACATTTTCCCCGCCATCTACACTTTCGCCGCTAGCCCGATTAGGCTATGCTGTATTGAATCCCTCATCTTCCTTCGCAACTGTCCTCTACTCTGCAATTCGGACAGAGCCCTACTGTGGATATGGCTTTAGTATTTGCCCCCACTGCTCTCTCTATCTCAAGCTAGTTATAGATTGCGCTGCTGTTTGCACTCATCAGTTGCAGCTCTGCGGTCAGCACGTGAACCGTGGTGCCCTTGCAGCTTTCAACCGCATCGGATCTTCCAGAGCAACCTCTCCAGAATGCATCAAGAACAGGGTCAGTGACGAATCATTCGACATATGACTTGGAGCATGCCGAATTCGACCATTCATCTGTGTTGGAATACATAACAAGACGTCGGTGAATCCGAGGCTCCCCGCACACCATCACAGGCCGAGGTCTGCCCATGAACACCCAGCAGTCAGTCCTGTCGATGGGAGCTGCGCGCTGCCTTCAATGACCTGATACATCTTCTGCCCGCGAATGACCATGTCTGTCGACAAGATAGCCCTCGATGATAGCCGCATATCTCACTGTGAGGCTGTCCTGAACGGCCAAAGATATCGTGTGTAATATTCTGGTGATGACTGCTTCCATATTTGTTAACTTATACAAGACTACATACTTGGGATTCCGGAACACCAGGCATTCAGCGCTACGATCTTTCTTATTCATGGATGGCCAGATCTCTCATATGGTTGGCGCTATCAGATCCCTTTTCTCATTCAGCAAAACATGCGAGTCGTTGTTCCTGACATGATGGGCTATGGGCGTACTGTATGTGAGATCTCAGACCCTTCGTCGTGACTGGCAACTGATCAGCTGGACCTCAGGATGCTCCACAATCACCGCCTGCTGACTTGCACCTGTATTCGATCAAAAGAGCTGCTGACGACATTGCGGAACTGGCCAAGCAGCTAGGTGCCCCAGAAATCATCTTGGGTGGTCACGACTGGGGCGGCGCCGTGGTGTACCGAACTGCCCAATGGTACCCAAAGCTTGTCACTCACCTGTTCTCCATATGTACGCCATATACGGCTCCTTCAAGACAATTCATCTCGCTGAAACAGATGGTTGATGGGCCCCTTCCTCAATTCGGATACCAGATTCAGCTTTCCGAGCCAGGGCTGGAAAATGACCTGAAAGCCTATGATCAAATTAGACGCTTTCTGCAAGCTGTCTATGGTGGAAGGTCTGAGCGCGGACGATCTTGTTTTCGACCGGACATTGGTCTAGACTTCGAAGCGATGAAGACGATTGGGACCGCACCGTCGCTCAGCGGACAGGTATGTTGACAGCTGTCCCGGAATATCCTCAGCCTAACCTTATATTGCAGGAACTCAATCATTACACCAGCGAGTACATGCGTCACGGCCTACATGGGCCCCTGAACTGGTATCGAACACGACTCATCAATTTTGAAGATGATCTGAAGTAGGTCGCGCATGCAGCTTCATCTATTAGAGACTTTACTCACTCTCTCAGGCTAGGAACGAAAATGGTCAAACAACCGGTCTTGTTCATAACCGGTAAGCTTGATGAAGTACTGAAGCCTGCAATGTCTACTGGTATGGAGAATTTTATTCCGCAGCTGAGGAAAGAGGAGGTCGAAACAGGTCATTGGGCTTTAACAGAAGCGCCTGCAGAGGTGAACAAGTGCATAGGTTCCTGGCTCAAGGAGATTGTATGTAAGAGTAGCGTCAAATTGTGAAGTTACATACAAAGCATCAATTTCAAGCAGGTCGTTGCATGTAGATTGCAAGGTCTAGAACACTCTCGTTCATTTTCGCCTGTACCAACCCCGACAGAATTAGCGACAAGAAGTCAAGGATGAAGAACTCATTTGGATGCAGAGCCATTCGCATTATCGGGACAAGATACGCTTACGTCATCCTTAGAGCCCACGATACACCCCGTTGACACTGGTTGCAATAGGGTATGACTCGGCGCCAGTCATGTATCCGACGGTGTTGGTGACTGTTGACAAGTTGTAAGTCATCGAGAATGGTGATCCGTTCTCGACCAAATCATGCTGAATTACAGCCTTGTGGTTCAATGCCACCTTGCTCAAGCCTTCGGTACCAGCATCGACCGCAACCGCATTTGATGTATTTGCTCGGAGGTTGGCCTGTGCCACTGATACCTGGCCATTATCAAGATCGAATACCCAGTACCCTGCTCTCATGGCACTATTACCGGTCATCAAGTAACGGTCGTTGTGCTTATCGACGACTAGCCTGCACATCGTTTGACCCACTGAATTCGAGATAGCGTTTCCATCCTCAGACGTAACAGGAACGAAGAGGTCGGCTAGTTCGAGATTGAGGGTGGCGGTGTTGGTACCATTACCAGCAAGGGTGAGCTCGAAGTGGGTGGTGTTGGCAAGACCACGGGCTACATCACTGCAGGTTCTTAGGAGGGCACTAGGCAATACGTCTTTGTACTGATAGAGCGCTGGCTCGACTCCTGCAGACTCGATGACTTTATCGTAGGCGCTACTCGGTAACTGCCACCGTGTTGTTCCCGTATCTGGTAACGTGTAGTAAGACAAATCCTTGGTAGATTGAAGTATAGTCTGCTTTGGTCCGTCATAAGGCAGCATCGTGATGTCCTGTATGTACAGGAGGAAGTCGTTGACCATATCGTGCCTTCGCTGGCGGAACGGTGAGCGCAGACAATTCAACGTTGTCAGGGACCCCTTATACTTATCGGTGTCAATCCCGCCAAACAGTAGGGAGCCATACTGATCGAGCGTGTTGAGGTAAACACTGTACAGGCGTGACGAGATAGCACCAGATTTGCTAAGTGATTCGACGAGACCTGGAGGATCATGCAGCGACGAGGGTCCAATGCCCATCATTCCTGTATATGGAGGAAACAACAGTCTGACTTTGTGTGCACGTCCTATCGGAACATTCGAGATGACAACATTGTCTAAAGAACGAATTAGTATACACTGGCAAAACAAGAACACAACAGCTGACTTTTTCGGAGCCTCGGAGGTCATACGTACTCATCTGAATCACATCTGTGAAGTAGTCCCCGTACAAAGAGCTTGTATCAGCGAAATTCATGATCATATTTTGATGATCGATGATCTCGAATGTCGACGACTCGGATGAGTCAAAGGTACCATGATTACAGGGCTGAGATTCGCAGAACGACGCGTTCGACGCGAGCAAGATGTTGATGGGACTCCCGGTGTCGACCAAGACTGTTTGCAACTGGGGAGGAGTGCCAACGGTGATGTTGACGTAATACGCCATACCGTCTTTGTGACCGACGCTACTCATCAAGGCAAGTTCGACTGTCTTCGCACTGGCAGATGCTCGCGTACAAGAGAGTGGATGCGCTCTCGCCCAAGAGACCCGAGAGAACAGACACAAGAGTGTCGCCGCGGCATACTTCATGGCGAATGGTGTGTGCAAGATATTAGAATCAGACAGAGCGTAGTAGTGGATGGATCGGTCGCAGTTGCAGATCTTGTCGTTGTAGATGGACTTGGTGGATAGCTTTGTGATTGGGTGAGGGGTGGTAGTTGACTGGACGAAAGGTTCGAAAGTCTGTGAAAGGTGAGATTTAGAGAAAAGACTTGCCTTGGAAGCAATAAATACAAAAAGATGCCCTCATTATTGCTCATAGAGCGAAGCAGCGATTGATAACCGTGACTCACCTTCCGAGAGTCATACAGGAGCTTGAGGTCGTAATCTTGCTCACTTGAGCGTCAATCGAGTGCTATTAACTGGATACGACTGGCCGTTGGAATTTCCTCAAAGTCTTCACCATCAATCAACTCTACGGAAGTGCACTACGGAACAGATGCGTAGCTACGCTCTGCTGGACATTATCATGATTCATCGACTGATCCTAGGGACTGTGCGATGAATGCGCCCAGGTTCTCGGCAAAGACATGCTCGTCCTGGACGTCTAGCGCGCCCCCTTGCCACGAGATGACGATGCTAAGATTTCCGTGATACATGGATACAATATTGAAGTTCAAGCAACCCGATGTGATGTTTGCGGGCTGACTGAAAATCATAGATTCGATATTCCATCCTTTCTCAGGTTTGGGAGATCCGGGGTTGAAGGACATGATGTTGCTGAGTTCGTATGAACACTCTCTGCGTTTGCCGACTTGTCCTCTAGTCCATGGATACATGTTGCGAAGATACGCCAGGAGTCCGACCGGCTGGTCATTCAGTGTGCTGGCACATTGTGCCAGACGCTTCGTCGTAGAACGTGCAGCGCTCCAAAAGCCATCTGACTTTGAGGTCGACATCTCGGCTGTCCTAGCGAACAGCTCATAATATGCTGTAGGACAAAGCGCCATATCATCGTCGGATATGCCATTCAAATGAGAGCGCAAATCAACAGCAGTCTGCGAGACAAAACACCCTGCCCTCTCCTCGGGTAGCTCTTTGCTCAGGGCCTGCACTATTACTTGATGCAGGAACCCTGTGAACTTGACATCGTGTTTTCGGCATGCTTGAAGGATCTTCTGGACATGGGCCTTGTCAATGGAGATGATCTCAAGTCGGGTCCGATAATCGTGAGCATTGAAGAACGTATCACGGCCCACCCATTGATCATCAGCTGCCGGGGTTGCTGATGCGCGTATACCAAGGGCACTTGCGATAAAGGATGGAAGATAAGCTCCCAATAGTGGTGACAGTAGATAGGTCCAGGAGATAGGCAACCGACCTGCCATCTCGAGTGTCGGTAACAGGGGTGTTTTAGGGCTCGTGAGCTTAGGGTCGTCATCATACGGAGAGTCGTTACGATGAACGTTCCTCAACCCTTGGATGAGAGTCTTGTGAAAAGCCAATCCTGATTTGCCGTCTCCATGCGAATGATAATAACCAAAAAACAGGAGATATCTACTCGTCCCTCGTTGATCCTCGGCCAACAATGGTAACACGAATATCTTCCATGGAGGGACACGGTCGCAATCGGTGAATACGTGATCATTGGTTTGAGCCAAGACAAGCTTAATCAATCGTTTTTCCTCAGACACATTTCGAGAAAGCTGAGCGTCTAGTATCTCAATGTGATCGTCCAAAATCAAGATAGCGGGTCTAGCGAAGCACGGAGCTTCTGTCTCCTCTCCGAGTATACAGGCAGAAAGAATGGGATGTAGAGCAACGCAATGCTTCAGTGCTTTCGTGAGTACGCTTCGTAGTGGAAGATCGTCGGACGGTCCCTCAAGAGTGTAGATTCCTCCTACCACGAGCGTACGATAATAACCTAGTGCTTGACGAACGATACATCTTCGCTCATTGGGGCCTGGCCGAGTCAGAACATGTATGCTGAGCGTAATTGGGTTTCCATACCAGCTTTCCTCAGCTGTTCCATTGTAAAGTGTCAATCACGATTTCCGGTTGCGACTGACAAAGCTCTTGAAAGACCGAGTCTCTGAAAATCGAGGAATGGTAGGCTGATAAAGCCTTCTCATTCGGACCCTCGGACCTCGAATCTTGCGAGATTCAATCAGGCGCCTCTGTGGCTTGGCGAAAGTTCGTATTCATACAGATACGCGATCAGAAGAATGATAGCGAATCTATGACATGTTTCCGATGACAGCTGCTATCGCCTCCATGGACATATCGGAGGCAACGTTCCGAGTTGTCGTTTTGGCACGCAGGACGTACATCATTAGGGTGGTGGGTTGCAATGAGATCTCAAGGCCGATGGTAGCCGTCACATTCGGGCACGCCTGGCCGCTCGGGGTGGATCCTCAAACACACCGAGCGGGATAGGGCAAAGGTGGGCGGGGTAACATGTTTATAGAGCTCAGTGGATGCTGCTCATGAATTCGTCCCATTGCAGCAACAAAGTATACAGGGTTCGATCCAAACCATACATCTGAACATGCACGCCAACGGCAGCAGCTCGAAAGTGCCAGCTCCTGGGGTCTGGGCTCCAGCAATCACATTCTTCGACCCTACGACGGATGATCTCGACCTCGACTCCCAAAAAGCATACTACAAGTATCTGTCGCAAACCGGTCTCACAGGACTAGTAATTCTGGGCACGAATGCTGAAACGTTCCTCCTCACACGAACCGAGCGCGCGTCCCTTCTTAGATGCGCGCGCGAGGCTGTGGGTTCTCAGTATCCCATCATGGCTGGTGTGGGTGGCCACTCGACAAAGCAGGTACTGGAATACATAGCCGATGCAGCCGATGCAGGAGCGGATTATGTTCTCGTCCTGCCACCAGGCTACTTCGGACCTGCAACCACAGAGATTGTGGTTCGGAACTTTTACGCTCAGGTCGCAGAAGCTTCTTCACTACCAATCGTGCTATACAACTTCCCAGGTGTCTGTAATGGCGTTGATCTTTCGTCATCTCTGATCGCAGAGCTGGCAAACACGCATGCCAACATCGTTGGCGTCAAGTTGACCTGCGGCAGCGTAGGCAAAATCACAAGATTGGCCGCACAACTTCCTGCCTCTCGTTTCAGCATCTATGGTGGACAATCTGATTTCCTCATCGGTGGACTAAGTGTGGGGAGTGCTGGTTGTATCGCAGCTTTTGCGAATGTGTTCCCAAAGACATTGAGCCAGATCTACAGGCTCTGGATCGAAGGAAAGCACGAAGAAGCTCTGAGATTGCATCGGGTGGCCAGTCTGGCAGAGGAACCTTGCAAAGCAGGTATCGCAAGTACAAAGTATGCAGCGAGCGTGTTTTCGGCTCCGAAGGCTGGAATTCAGGATGCCGAGGTCAAGCTGAGACCTCGCCAGCCATACCCTGCGGCAGGAGAAGCAGTGCAGAAGAAGATTCGCGAGACTATGGCGGAGATGAGTAAATTGGAAGGCTAAGTCACGCAGAGCGCGTGACGAATGCTTGTGTGTGTGTGTGCTCTGCCATATGTACTCGATAGCGGCCCCGACTAAATGCTCACTGTCCGATGATAAGGGCTAGACTTAGACTAGAACATCAACATTTCGTTTCTCATTAGTGATAGAATGACGAGAGAAACGCTTCAGCCACTCTCGCGAGGGACGACTCGTTCTGGGGTGACTGGCCTTGGCTCTTGTGCATATAACAGCCCCCTGATCCGACGAAAAGAACCAGTTTGTGAAGCAGCCAAGCTCGATGCTGAAGTGGCTGTTGCCTATCGATCGACGCTACTTTGTGACTAGACATGTGGCGCAATGCGGCTTCCACTCGTTCGGGGCGACATGATGCGGTATAATATGGATGATGCGCGGCTGACAGCGACACAGAGAACTTGTCGCTCAATCGCTACTTCCGCATCCCCGGCATCCACAGCTAACGCACTGGATGGTCTGGTCTTCTTTGAGCTGCTTGCGAGGCACACGGCAAATGCAGGTGCTGTTGAAGTTGGTTTCTTTTGTTTGGATGCAGCGGAGACAGCAAAGCTGGACAATAACAATCAGCGTCGATGCGACAGACGTGTGTGGGTGTGCAGAAATGTCGTACCTTTTCGTAACCTTGCTTCTTCCACTTTGCGATCAGGTTCTTGTCGGCGTAGTTGTTCTTCAACAGCCATTCGTACAGCTGTTTTGAGATGGCTTCTTTCTCATAGTAGAGGTCGTAGATGTATTTGGAGCCTGATGGCCAAAGTCAGCACCACTGTTTTAGGGCCAATGGGGTTGAAGTCCATCTCGAGCAATGGGGGTTGAAACTAGAGACGGACCTGGGCGTTGTATGGCTCACGTACGCTGGTGAGTGATCTGGAAGACGGGCCAGACCATCTCGTGCTTCTTCTTTCCTTCGTGCGAGGCGTTTTCGGCATCCTTGAGCTTGTTTGAGAATTCGAGCAGCGTGTCTTCGATGTCCTCGAAGCCGTCTGGCGGGGGCTTGCGGTTCCTGGAGCTGCGGATCGGAGGCATCTTGTATGAAAGGCTGAGGCGATCCTGATGGTTCAAATGGTTGGTGACCGAGGTCGAGTCGTGCGTGCAAGAGTCGCAATATCAGGTAGTGAATGGCCGATTGAAGGCGGCAATGAGCAAAGTGACGCGCGCGGGTGCCAAGACTTGCTGACCTCCGCTCGCGTTGATGCGCCGGTATGCCCTGTCGAGCAGAAGCTCTTGAACACCCGAGTCTCCTCTTGTCCCGACCAATTCCAAGCACAATGATCAACCCTACCTATCTGGCTCAAAGGACGCGCTCGTGTACGCCTCACCCCTCCCACCCTGTCTCTGCGCCGACACGCTGACCCCACCTTGCACAGCCGTCAACTGGAACGATGCCCAGAAGAGAGTCTTGAAGTCCTACCGCGAGTGGGTTCGCGCCGTATGACCCCTCTGCTAGAAAGAGCTGCCACCCTTACGTCCTTCTGATCCTCTTCAGGCTCCCGAGATCCAACAGATGTACTCGCTCAACATGCCCGTTTCGGCCATCCGCACAAAGATGAGACAGGAGTTTGAAAGACACCGCTACGTCCAGCAACTGAAGACTGTCGACGTCCTCCTCTTCAACTCCCACCAAGAATACCAGGCACGCTGCCATCTGCCATCACTCAAATCGAATATGCTCAGTTCTGACCTTCTCTCCTATTAGGAAACACTCAACTTCTGGAAGCAACTCACCCACGTGCTCAAGTACTTCCGCGCAGAGGAGGACCCCAAGGCTGCTCTCCCGAAGAACTTTATCCAAGGTTTCCTCGAGGTACGACTTGTGCTGTCTTTCGATCATATACCGGTTTTTATGTTGACACTGCTACCTCTAGGGACGCAACTAGAGAGAGAAACAATCATCCTGCGCCTTCCCGATTCCCCCAAACCTTCCTGTAATGATACCATTTTGAACCGCAGTTCCCTATTCTCCAAATGCACAGAACGCCTGTAAAATGCACTCTCAACTATCACGATGTCTTGCTGGCATTGAACGCATCTCTTGATACGGTGAACTTGTCCACCACAACGTCGCAGAGATCCATCAGATCATTGAGACCCTTCTCCAGTACATCGTACACATTGACTTCGTCTGTGGACGGATTAGTATCCTGTATTACATGACGATCCGAAGTGGCCTTACCCCATGTTTGAATGCGAAGATTCATTTTTGCTTCCGAAGGATGAGGAATGGAGTAGCCACAGAACTCAACGTCAGGGCTGATTTCATGTTAGCTGCGAACAAGTGTGTAGCAGATTGACCGCTTTCTCACTTCTTCATGATGATGTATCGTAAAGCATTGCCAAGGGTGTGGTCCTCCTTAGTGAACTCGAATGAGGCGGCAGTATCGGTTGATCCAGGCAACTACAGCGCATTAGTTCTGCTCGTTCATATGCATGCGCTGTCCAAGCGCGACACTTCCAGAGCTGGAGAGCGAGACAATATGATCAATATCCAGCGGACCAGATAAAATTACTTACCACTCTGATGCGCTGTGGCTCAACAACCTCGATCTCAGTAGAATTCATATCAGCGCCGGCGACGGCGTCGGCCATATCGTGATCTCCGTTGGTAGACATGATCTGTTATATTATCTTCGTCGTGCAGAAAATGCTGCGATATAGCACTGTACAGACGGGAGAAGTTTGTCGCCAAGCGTCTTATCTTATCCATCTCCCATCTCCGAATGGTGATGCTGACCACGGGCCAGGAAATATTATCCGGCACGTTCGTCATTCCATCCTCACAAAAGTCATTTGAGCGAACACACTTACTACCATATACTCCTAATATGGCTGAAAAACAAGTGCGCAGTGCGGTCATCAACCGCGACACCAACGAGACCAAGATTCAACTGGCCTTGAACCTCGACGGCGGATCATTAGAGCAGATCACGTCCGAGGACAATGGCGCAGACAAGTCGCATGCTGCCCAGGCTTCGAAATCGCAGTCCATCGACATTGACACTGGCATTGGCTTCTTGGACCACATGATCCACGCTCTCGCAAAGCACTCCGGCTGGAGTCTGAAGCTCAGATGCCGCGGTGACCTCCACATCGACGACCACCACACCGCAGAAGACGTCTTTATTGCCATGGGCCAGGTTGGTCAAGCAGGTACCGCTTGACTCAACAGTACACATTGCTTACAAGTGACCAGGCTTTCAAGTCTGCCATCAAGTCGACTGCCGGCCTCGCCCGTTTCGGTTACGCATACGCCCCTCTTGACGAAGCCCTCGCTCGTGCCGTCGTCGACCTGTCCAACCGTCCCTTCTGTGTCACCGACCTGAAGCTGCGCCGCGAGAAGATTGGCGATCTGAGCACCGAGATGCTGCCTCATTGTCTACAGAGCTTCTCTCAAGGTTCTGGAGTCACCATGCATGTCGACGTCATCAGAGGAGACAACGATCACCACAAGGCTGAGAGTGCCTTCAAGGCCCTTGCTATCGCCATCAGAATGGCCAGTACGCCCGTGGTAGGTCGCGAGGGCGAGATTCCGAGCACAAAGGGCGTCTTGTTCTAGAGAGCCGACCTCCTGTTCGGACCCTCCGCAATCATATATCGCCCATGCGTCGCAATCCTATAGAGCGGTCTGCAATGGCCACACTGCAGACCGACAAGATATGCAGATCGACATACTCAATATCCTTTCGGTCCTTTGCTGCCAACGTATCTGACCCGCCGTCTGCATTCTTGCGTTCACGCCTGCCAGAACCATACACTTCCGTTGTGCTGCTCAACTTGATGCCGTTTGACCCTTGTTCTGTAGAACTTTGCCTACACAATCTAAACACGACTTCTGCGAATCGTCATGACATGTCGATCACATTGTTCTCTTCAGACGCAGCACGTCTTAACCAGCACCGTTGCTCGATTCGACCCAATGAAATCTTCACTTCCCTGACCTGCGCTGCGCTGCGCATGGTTTTGCTCAGGGAAATCATGCTCGACTCAGTAGGTATTCTTCTATACGCGGTACCTAGAAAACACCATCTCCGACTGTGAATCCTCACATGGTGATGACTTCTGTTCCCTTCAGCGCTATTAATGTGGTATACATGGCACGGCCACCTCCGTAATTCGCATGAAGGACCATGTGTCTATTGTCTCCCCATACCGACATACCACCAGGCGCCTTGAGTCCATTCCCGTCACCAGTCCTGAATAATGGGCCGCTTGCGCGTGTATATGGTCCCATAAGACTGGTTGCGGTCGCGTACGAGACCGTGTATCCTGAACTCGCAAAACAGCCACTGCTGAAGAAGAGGAAGTATACTCCGGCTCTGGACCGAGTAAGGACAGGAGCTTCTAAGATTCCTTGATCTGCAGCACCGTCGTTATCCAGGAGAGCGACTGCGTTTCCAGTAAAGGTGTACCCATCTGCAGCCACGGGCTGTAGCATGAGCGGCGTACCGACGATAGGAGCTACAGTGTTCCCACATGCCCCGCCTCTGCCCTGGCTGTTGCCATCGACCTTGTAGACAACATAGCGTCTACCGTCTCTGTCTTTGAATCCCGCTGCATCAATTGCACCCCCTTTGGACAGTGGACAGAACAGCGCATCAGGTAGCCCAGTGTAAGGACCTAGAATCGATGGTGACGTAGCAGCGCCAACGCAATGTTTTGACCCATCCGGTCTTGCTGCTGTAGTGGCCGAGTAATACATGATGAAGGAGCCATCATCCTGAATGCCAGAGTCAGCAAACAGGCGTGCCCCGAAGAACGCAAACTACTCACTAGCTGTTGGACATCTGGGGCCCATGTCAAGTAGTTGGCCATTCGTACCCATGCAGGGAGCACAGACAGGGCATCAAATTGTGAGCCATCCGCGTTCTTTACAATCGACCAGTCCTCGAAGTTGGAAGACTTCGCGACTTGGATTTTGATATTGGTGCCCCGGGTGTGCGTAGCAAACGCATACCAAGTGCCGTTGACCTTGATGATACTCGGATCCGGGAAGTTGGCCGTGATAGCGAGGTCGATTGACGCCCTCTTCGACAGAGACACTTGATCATTTAGGGGCTCAGGCTTGACGGTGCCAAATAGGGTGACCAAAATCCACAAAAGAGCACATGCTGGTCCTCGGAACATGTTCGCGGCAGATGGACGACGCAGAGTGTTGTACTCGGTCAGCGACGACGAGAGGACATATCCCTACACAAATACCTGGGAAACGGCAAATGTTACGAGAAACGGGCGGCCGTTGTAAGAAGATAAATTGCTATCTGGCTGGGCTGAATAACGTCTAAAGCCTCCAGCATTTTCTGGTTACGAGAAAGGACGTTCATCTTGTCTGAATAATCTTTATGGTACTTAAGCAAAGTCGAGTTGATCTGAACGGAAGGTTAGGCACACGTTGACGAATAGAAGAGTTGGAGTTAATTTCGGTCGTCTGACCGGATATACGAAATGGCGACTTACTGTTGGTCCATTGCTATGACAAAGGCGCTGCCAAGCTGATTCGAGCCGCTCAAGGAGTCGCGATGTACGTACCTCTTCAAGGTCTGGATGGCTGGAGACCGCTTTCCAGCCTCGATATTGTGACAATCCTGCAAAAACTGCAATCTGATGTGAGCACTTGAACATGGCGTTTGAGGCAACGACGAGCTGCGTATCGTGAGTAGACAACACGCCGAACAAGCTCCTCCTAAGGAAAATTGGTCTGGCGGCAGAAAACGAGTTCGTTGTCGTCAAATCTCGTGACTGTCAAGGCTTCTTCCGTCTCACTCGTCTTTCGGTATACACCTACCTTGCGTACGCTTCGTGTGTCATGGATTACCAAGATAGACCATACAACTGCCTGCTAGCACCTATTAGATGGTCTCTGGCTTGGTCGGGAAAGCCACACGTAATTTGAAGGGGTGATACGGGCTGACCCCATTAGCCGGCCACGAGCTATGTCATCGAAAACAATCACCGCACCGCTCCGCAAAGACTATACAGTGGTTGAATGCTAGCAAAGAGTTCGCGCAGCATCTTGCTCGTAGAATACCAGAACACACGTCAAGGAGAGTGTCCTTGGGCTTGCTTCAACATCTGATTAGATTTAGCAAACTCAAAATCATGGGAGCAAGCAAATTTAGCCGGCGAGGCTCGCAGTCTTCGTACGAAGCACTGTCAGCACACGCTTCTCTGCGCCCTGAACAGCGTCCCACTGTACAATTATTGGTTGTCATGTTTAGACTCTTTCGATGGTACTCGATCACGAGCTGTCTGCTGATCACCGTCAGTTTTCCAGCCCACACCCGCAACGCTCGCTTGACTCGCTTTGATAGTGCCTAGCTTCCGGTCCTCGGATCCCTCTGCCGACATCTGATCCGTGATTCGCAAAGTGCCTTGATGGTCTATCGTTCACGATTGTGGTCCTCATGCCGCCAAGTGCGAAGAGCCGGCCAAGTCCTGCCCAATCTTGTAAGAAATCTCAGCATGGAAGGCTACTAGAACGCGACATGGCGTTTGGTGAAGGATCGCTACGGTCGTACCCTGACTCAACTCTAGCCACGGCCGACCTCGTGGCAAAGTATAATTCTTGTGGCTCCTACTACTGTTGGCATGCGAAACATACGTACGTCGCTTACCTTCCGTCTAATTTGAAGACCTTGCGAGGCGCCATCGCTGGACCTGGTCTAGTTGGTCCACGGAACTTTCAGCCTCGAGTAGTCAGTGCCGAAGCAGCCATCCAATAGTATCGTCCGTCGCTCCATAGGGCAGCCATTTGCCCTCTCCAGATGGGGTAGACATGGGGAGGATCCCCTTGACATGGTCGTTTCGTGGTCCACGCTTTAGATCTCCACATGGTTTAGTTGATATTGCTCGCTGGTTCCCACGATCCTTCGGCGAATGGACCCTATTACTCGCAAAGCCTTGTAGTTGATTTATCTCAAGCGTTTTATTCTAGACGCACGCCTGTCCCGGGCTTTGCCAGCCCCGTCCCTCTCCTTTGTTCTTCTACTTTCGAAAAGACCGTTGGGTGCTTGCCGCTGCTGAGGTCGAGATCACAATACTGCCATCTGGAGTGGTCTCACATTCTTTACCGCCTCATTGCATATTGAGACACACAAGATATGGGTCTCATTGAGAAGCCTAGTGATCCGCATGGATTGACGCTTGAGGCATGGGCTCAAGTGAGTGTGCAAAGCAAGATTTGAGAACACGCGGCTGACCCTGAGTTTAGGGCCTAATGTTCGGCAGTTTAATGACCATGGCATGCATCACGATCGCAAATATGCGAAAAAGAGTCGTCCTCCACCATCTCATTCTTATAGAGGTTCGTATACCGCAGCCCCCGCACAAGCCTTCCCCATCTTCCCCAGCCTGAAGACGAGCTCTGTGCGTCTGTCTCGGTCGGTACTATCGCGGTGCTGCTATACATCTCGGCTTACGGCCCCTTCTCGATATCATGATTGCGGCTCTAACAACTCTACATCTGACTGACACGATCCTTCTGACAGTTGATGTTCGGTCTCTTCCAAGGAACATTCATCTTCCCCGATCCACCGTACTATGGATGGTACGAATCTGTAGGAGCCTTGTTCCTCAACATCAGTTGGAGCTTGCACAATGTCATCTCATGGATGAAGAACAAGCCCTTTCTGAGCCGTAAGATGTCCATGATCTACATCGGCACCGTCATCCTGGTACAGCCTTACTGGGTGGCCGAGATTACGGCAAACTTTCTCTACTTTAACAACATCAATCATAAGGTGTTCGAACACCTTCGGCCTTTTGAGGCATTATTCAGGTATTTTGGTGTCAATGAGATTCTCGAGCAGTCCTAATTACAATGTTCAGGGACCCCTGGTGGATATTTACTATCCTCAACCTGGTCTACAACATCAAGAAACGCTACGACTTTGGCTTCGTCGAGCTCGTTCGCATCTCCCCTCGCTTCGGTGTTCTTCTCGTCGTGATGACGCTATCGGTCCTCTTCCTCTTCGTCGACATCCTCAGTGTTACACACGTTATCCCCAGTAAAGGTTTACCTGATGGAATCAATCCCTTTTGGAAGCTCAGCTTCGTCTTCAAGTGTATGACAGACACTGTCGTTCTGGACGACTTCAAAACAGCTCTAGACAAGATGAAGGACTACAGGCTCAGGAGAGTAACAAGCTATGCGGACAGATATGACAATGCTGAACGAGGATCCACGGAGCCAATCACAGTCCGCACGACCGTCACTCAGCATGAGCATTTTGAGAGCAGAGTCAGAAACTACGACGACAGCAGCGTGAATGGAAAAGATTGGGCGAATGGGCACATAGAGCAAGTAGAGCTTGAAGAGGTGACGCCGCCGCCAACAGTTCGAACACACATTGGTTAGATAATCACCTTGTTCATATTTCACATGTACATATACGAGAGACGGTTCAGAGCCGTCCATCATTGATGCTTGGGTAGATTATGAATTTTTCAGAAATCGAAACCTGAAGATACTCTAACATGTCTGAATGCATACAATTGAAGCTTTTACGCTTGTACTGGCTTACGAAGACCACCGAACGTGAGCGCGACAACGCCGAGCATGCCTGTAGCGCCAACGGCATAGGCAACATCACGGCCTGCCCACCAGTATAGAGAGCAGAAGGAAAGAGGACCCAGAGTGCGGCCGATCTGACCGAATGATCTGTGGTTACCGAGCTTGTTTCCACGCTCAGATGCGCCAGCCTCAAAACTGCTCAGACTGTTGAGACCAGTCACGACGGTTGCACTGGTCACGGCGAGCAAGGCAGCTGCACCATATAGCTGAGTCTGGGTGGTGAGGCGAGCGAGGAGGATAAAGGCGAACAGGCAAGAGACAACGCCCAGCTGAACCACACGAAGAGGATGCATGCGACGGGTCACGGTGCCTTGGAGAACAGAGGCGACAATTCCAATGAAGCCAAGGAGACGTCCAGTGTCCTTGCTGCCGTAGTTGAAGAGGTCGTAGGTCATGAAAGGTAGGGAGAACTCCATGCCGCTGAAGAAGAGAATGAAGGCCAAATGGGTGAAATTGAGTAGAGCGTGAGAGTTGGTGCGTTGAGTTGCGGGCTTCTTGAGGTCATCCGTCTTCTTCTCGGAGCTGGAGGGCGAGCTGACTATGTGTGTTTCGGGCAGGTAGAAGTAGAGGTAAAGGGTTTCTGTGACGATGAGGAAGAGGGAGAAGCCGGCAGCGGTAGCGAAGGGGTTGCTTTGCACGATGGTGACATTGGACAGAGCAGCACCTAATGCAGGACCGAAGGTAAAGGCGATGCTGAAGCAAGCGCCGACGAGGGCCATGGTGGCGCCACGCTGCTTGTCGTCGCTGATGTCTGTAGCAATGGCCATGGCCAATTGAACATTGCCTTCACTCAGACCACCAACGACACGACTAGCCAAGAAGGTACGGAAGTCTGTGGCGGCAACCCAAAGAGCAACACTGAGAATGTTACCCACCATGCTCCATAGCAAGGCAGTGCGACGACCGTAGCGGTCGGACAAGCGGCCAATGACAGGAGAGGCGATGGCCTGGCAGAAGGAGAAAAGGGAGCCTAGAGCTCCTCCCAGCAGGACAATGTCGTAGCGGTCATTGATCGGTCTGGCGAAGTTGTTCTTGTACGTGTTCAGCAGGCCCAGGATGCGGGAGAGGACAGTCGGACTCGACGACGAGGACGTGACGGAGGCATCGACGGCGCGATAGAACTCGAGGAGCTTGGGGAACAGGGGGAGGATGAAGGTGAAAGAGATCTGGATATGTCGGTCAGCTTCGCACTTGTGCACGGGTAGAAGGCAGCCATGTTACCAGATCAAGCAAGAGCGAGATGAAGAGCACCTTGAGCACTTGCTTGCGCTTTTCGGGCTTCACAGCTACCGCTTGCGCCATTGCAGGTGAATTGGGGCTGGAGCTTGCTTGCGCGCGACTGGGGAAGTACGACTTCGAAGGCGTTTTGGCAGAGCTTTGGTAGAGGCTTCTTGTTGCTTTGGCTGTTGTGGGAGAGGAAATGTATGCCAGGGGATACGGCAGTATCTATGAGTAGACTTTGTTGCCATTGACAAATGTTTGGTACTTATGACCGGTCAGCTGTTTCGTGTGATCGTCATGCCACAATGCAGCCACGCAAGAGGCGCCTCGGTTGCTGTCGATCCCTCCGATCACCGCTCGGCCAATGAATATGCACGTCTGACAGCTCTTGATCGTATTAAGGGGTATCTGATTCTGATCCGTCTTCACCGTCCATGCGCTCTGTCAAAACTCCAGTTCCTCGACCTCCATGCCACACTCGACACAAGTCTTGACCGTGGCGCCCGTCTCCGGCTTCTCGACCGCTCGACCCCATTCATGTTCATGCTTTGAGCCCCAAAGCTTGTCTCCGAAGTTTCCTCCTTCGACCCCCGCCTTTTGGCGCTTGTACGCATCCACTCGCGTTCTCCTCTTCAGATCGTTGAGCTTGCTCTTGAACTTGGCCTCCTTTCTTCGCTTGGCCTCGGCCTGTCTCTTGACAAACTCCTCGTCCAGCGCTTCCGCGCTGCCCCACTTCTTGTCCGAAAATGCATACTCTTCTACCTGATACCGCAGGTATAACATCATGTTGTTCCATGTCGACTTGTGCGGGTTCGGCTTCTCCAGTCGTGGCAGTAGTTGCTCGTCCTTGAGTTCGGGATCCGTGAGTAGGTAGTCTTCTCGTGCCTCCGTCTTCGTGAGCAGACTGTACTTGTCTGGCAGCTTGTCCTGGCACGCCTTGCACACCTGACACCCGAACACGTCGTCCCACTTCCAGTCAATCTCCAGTGTGCCACACTCTCTGCACTTCTTCTGCTCCTTTGCACCACCTAGCGCACTGAGTCCCGGCTCATAGGGTCCTGCCTTCTCATTCTTCAGCTTCTTGATCAACTGCGCCTTTTCCCATTCCTTCAACGTCATGTTGGCCGGCTTCTGCTCTTGGTTTGGTGTGTGCAATGCTCTGTTGTGCGGATCGTCCTCGGCAGTCAAGAATCCTCCCTTCGTGTCCGTCATCTTACTGAAGTCGTATTCGACAAACTTCTGGAACTTTTTGGCCGGCTCGATGCCTGAGTCGCGTGCGGGTTTACTGAAGCCATCTTTGTCGCCAGACTGGGCCTGTCGTGCGTCGCGTTGATTTGGCTGAACGGAAGACCCAGATAGGGTGACGTGTGGTCGTTTCTGTCCGGCTATAAAGCCTGAAGGCGTTCGGTTCGCTGGTGCTTCTTGACTCGCGGCGAGTTGCTGTGATCGTAGTGCTTTCGCTTTCAGTCGCGCTTGTTCCTACATCGTATGTCAGCATTTGATGCCCCTCTTATGGTACATTCTCCAGCATACCATTCGGCGAATCTTCTCTGGCGTCATTGGCGATCGTGGTATCGAGCCTGGTCGAGCTGCTCTCGGTGGCGTTGCCGCTCGCTGAGAGTCTGCCATGTTGTATCTGGCTGGACGCGTGTTGGACCGTGACGGTAAGATCGTGAAGTGAAAATCCTCGAGTTGTTGGTATGAGGCGTTAAGAATCAGAGTGCATGGAGTCAGGCGCAACTGTGCACACTCGTGAAGGTTCAAGAAGAAGGCGCTGACATCATCGGAGCTAGACAAAGAGCCGGGTCACCCCTACGTCAACATGTGAGGAGGTTCCTTCCATCTGCTCAATATTCATCTGTTTCCAAGTTGTAACCATGTGTGATTTCTGAAAACAGATGATGTTTCTACGTAAGCTGTGTCCAGTTTGACATCTCAAGGTATTCTTGGAGAGTGTTGCCGTGGCAAGGTGTTATCCCGTTTCGAAGCCACCACCATCCTTGATGCTCTGCCCAAATCAAAGCGCACCAAACCCTGATCAAACAAACAAATAGTCAACCAGAGCCAGCACGAGATCTTGTCAGTAGCCAAAGACAATTAGCATGTGTAAGACGACCTCACGAATATGCAAATGTACAGCGCCAAAAAATTTAAGGTCTATCTACAAGTCTCACAAAATCCGAGCCAATCACAGCCTCGATAGTATAACGGTTAGTACAAAGGTCTCATATCGGTCATCGAAATGATCAAGCACGGCTTGAGTAATCCTTAGATGGGAGTTCGATTCTCCCTCGAGGCATTCCTCTTTTTGTTTGGAGTGTGGAATCTGCTCTGCTCATCACCGAGAAATGGCCGCTTTGTGCTTGGGCTCCGTGCGGACATTGAATTCAGAACAACTTGGCGCACCACAAATTCCAGTCGTCTCAATTGACCGACCTTAGGCCCGGTCGTCTCGAAGGCAACGACTGGTGGTAGATGTAAGAAGTAGAGAACGATATGGTTGTGCTTCTTTGTTTTCGTGTCATCATCTGTTGACTAGCAAATAATGAGCCATTCGATGAAGCAACTGCATCCACTACCTACCAAGGAAGTGAGCGTGTCGTTATCTTTCCGCCTGCCTCCTCGCTTTTCTGGACTCCAACTACCCTAGCTTCACGAAAGGCTCATCTTGCTCTCCATATAACCTGTGACTTCGTCCACAATGTCACCCTTCTTCGCTGTCGCTGGTAACTTTACACCCTTCTCTTTGCACCAAGCTTTGAGGACGGCCACGGTGAGCTTGCTGATCTTGCTTGTTTCAAAAGCTTTGCGCATGTCTTCATCGCTGATGCTATCACTCGACTTGGAAGACGTACTGGCTGTAGTCTTGGTGCGTTTGGTGTCTTCACCCGCTGCTGCCGAACCACGCTTAGTCGCACCTGTAGCAGTGTTACGACCAGCGTTGGCCTTTTTCCAGATCTCGTATTGCTCCTCGAGTTCGGAGCCCCATTCAACGACATAGTTTCCTGCCCGCTTATCAATCTGGCGGTAACGTGGTAGCGTCTTGTCCTCAGGCTTCTCCGGCAAGTCTTCATCCAAAGCCAGAGCTTGCAATATGCGGTAAAACCATTGCAGAGATGGGTTGGGGTATTTCTTAGGGTCGTACACAGCTTTTGGCAATTGCAGCTGCTGAACGATGGTCCTCATCTTGTCGATCAGAACGTCAGGTGCCTGGACAACTGTCGTGTCGGGTATCGCACGAACGTCGTCTGCGAAAGGAAGCACATGAACCCACAATCCTGGTGGCATGACTTGTACGCCATCTTCGTCTAGCCTCTCCGCTCCTGGAATGACAGCAGCAAGTGTTGGTGTTGCATTGCGACGCGGGATGTACCAAGCAAGACCCATCTTCTGACCTTTGAGCAGCTTCTGTTGTAGTGCCGAGAAGACCCTGGTACTGCCGATGATGTCCTCTTCCGAGGGGTAGATGAAGGTCGAAGGACGATGGTTTGCCCAAATGGGAAGCATGCTCAAGGGCTTGAAGCCTATGATGCGGAGCACAGGGTCACCGAAATTCCTGACGTCCGAGATCTCCTCTGGCGTGAAAGACACTGTCTCGCCGCCGAACTTGTATGCCTTTCGGATCTCAACTTTGTCAACCGATCTTGCCGTGTCTTCCGCCTGGAGTGTGGAAGAGCCTGCAGCAAGCTGAGGTCTCTCGCCACCCATGTAGACGTAGCTGCTCCTGGCGGGCTCCTGGCGCTTGACAATGATGTAACCTTTGATAGAGATCTTCAAGCCTGGGCCAATCTCGAAGGACATATTCGAGAACAGAGCGCGTCTTGGAGAAGATCTTGAGTTGATATTTGACAAGAGAGATTGCAATAGTGTAAGACCATCACCACTAGCGGAAGCTCTGGAAGCTTTGGTCACAGGTGCAGGGGCATCTGGATCCGATGGTATGGCGCTGTAGATGATGTCCTGTTGTATGTAAGTAGAAGATAGACAGTGGAGCTTTAGAGGATACGTGCATTGTAAAAGATGGAGCGATCGAACGTGTGTTCTGGACTCGAGATGGGAAAAAGCTCAATGACCACGCCCAAGTCGTACAGATCCTTTGCTCTAACTGCAGCGGCAGACCTCAGGGCCTTGTCATCGTCGTGAGGAGTGTCGTTGTCGGTGACCAGGAAAAGGCGACGCGAAGAGAAATTTGGAGCCTTCGTGGTAAAGATCTGGTTCGCACAGAACAAGACATTGGCCATAGAGACAGGTTCGTCTGAAGGCTGGAGAAGTTGCTTGGCCTCGTCCTCATCATTGACCAGATCTCGTAGACGCTTGATGTCCCTTGCTCCGGGGACTTCCAAATCGGTCAAAAGGTAACAATGCGGGTATGAGAGTCCTCTGGAAGAAGCGTCTTCATCCTGGAAGCGAGAATCTTGGGTGCCAAACAGAAGAATGCCCATCATATCGTTGGGATTGGAGATGATGCGTTGCTGCATCAGCGAGTAGGCACATTTTAGGGCGGCAATTGTAGGAGTATCTCGATCGGTCTTTTTCGAGTCGAGTTGATAAGGTTTAGTAAGCATGGTCGGGCTCACGTCGATAGCAAAAAGAACAGCATCTTTGGTGGTTTTATAGCCCTGGCATAGTCAATATATGTCTGTTTACTCCAAGCAAACCAGTGCAAATACAGTTTCGTCGATATCTTCCTCGTCTTCTTCGTCCTCTTGACCTCGATTGTAATTTGATCGATCAGCCATCTTGTCGATGCAGAGGAACAACAGGTCGAAGGAACGAACAACAGCAATGGCTTTTGGTATTGGACCATCGAAGGTAGAGTGGTAGGCAACACTGCGTACCAGCATCGGCGATATCGGACTTAGCAAGAGCGCGTTGGTTCCACTCACGCGACGCCGACAGCATGTGACATAGTGACACTTGCCGACCTCTGTCTCGGCGCACGATCTCGAGTCTATCGGGCATGGGCGAGGCTGCTATGGATACATTCACGTTTGCGAGTGCATCCGAGGTCAAGACCAGTGTCAGCGTCAAGGTGTGGTATCGCTTTATAGCCACCTCCAACCGCTGTTAAATGACGACTAATACTTTTATAGAGGCCGACTCGAGGGCGTTGAGAAGGCTTTGGCCTACTCTGCTCTGCTCCGCCAGCCCGAACTGCGCCATCGAGGTTCCAATCTGAGGTTCGTCGTCGAGAGTTGGCGGTTTCAAGAAGCCCAAGCTGATGACCTGCTAGTCCGACATCCGAGCTCTATGTGACCGCTCAGGTCTTTGCCGACAGCAAGCCCTTGACCGTACATGCCCAGACTCCGTACAAGACTTTCAAGAACTCTCGCACCTGGAACGAGTGGCTACATCTACCCATCGACTACGCTCTCCTGCCGCTCAATGCACAACTCGCGATCACCGTCTGGGACCTCTCCCCTGCCGGCACTCACGGCGCAAGGGGCCACCACATACCCTTTGGCGGCACCACCATCCCACTTTTCGATCATGACGGCACACTGAGGAAAGGAAGACAGAAGTGCCGTCTTTGGAGGCACAAACAGGCCGATGCCTTCTCGAGCTCGACTACTCCATGGACCCCCACTACTGAGCGCCGCCGTCGCAGCCAGGACAACATTCAACTCTTTGCCAACGACAAGCATAGTCAGAGGGCTGCTGAGCTTGAACGACTCCAAGGGCTTCTGAAAAAGCATGAGATGGGTGAACTGTCAGAGCACAAATGGCTGGATCAAATGGTCTTCCGCCAGATCGAGAAGATGGAGCGAGCAAACATCCGCGACGACTCCAAGATACACGTCCAACCAACCCATCATCACGCGCAGGACGCTTCCGCAATCTTCTACCTCTACATCGAGTTCCCCCGCTTTGATCACCCTGTTGTTTTTACCGACCATGAATACCCGCCCCCTCCAGTCTCGAGTGCTCGCCTGCGTACTGCTGCCGGCTCAGACGTTCGGCTCAAACCCCCGCCTGAGATACGTGTCGGCCCAGGCATCGACTCAAAGAACCTAGGCTACGGTGACGCTCACGCCCCGCATATGCTACGCATTTACGACCCTGAAGTCGGCTTCTATGACAACCCTGCAGAGATCAAACACCGTAGTCTGGTTCGGAATCAACGCATTGGCATGCTCGATCGACATCTCAAGCCGAACCCCAAGACCAGAGATCAGCTCAACCACATCCTGTCATGTGGCCCTACTACAGATCTGAGCGCAGAGGAAAGAGACAAGGTCTTCAAGTTCAGACATTACCTGACCCGAGATAAGCGTGCGCTCACCAAGCTGATCAAATCGACTTCTTGGACCGACGCAAACGAGGTACGTCAAGTCATTCAGCTGCTCCCTAAGTGGGAGGAGATTGACATCGACGATGCACTTGAGCTGCTGGGTCCTTCCTTTGACAACAAGGAAGTCCGCGCATACGCTGTAGACCGCTTGCGTAAGGCAGACGACGAAGAGCTGCTTCTGTACCTCCTGCAGCTCGTCCAAGCTCTGAAGTTCGAACCCGAGGTCAAATCCAATTCGGACTTCGATCAATACGACTCGTCTCTCGCCAGCTTCCTTGTCGCCCGCTCCGCTGCCAACATATTCCTCGGCAACTACTTGCACTGGTATCTGATGGTTGAGTTGGACGAGAGCTCCAACGATGCGCAGGCAGCCACATTCAAAAAGCTTTATGCTCGTGTGTCGTACGACTTTATGCAGGAACTTGAAAGGACTCCTGAAGGGCAAGCACGTCGCAGGACTTTGTTGCGCCAGGGCGAATTCGTCACGGTGTTATCCCAGCTTTGTGACGATGCACGGAACAAAACTCTTGACCGCACCCGCAAAATCGACAAGCTCAAGAAATCTCTCATGGACCCCAAGAACGATCTCGTCAAGATTGATCCTCCTCTTCCCTTGCCCCTCGACCCCAATGTCCAGATTGTCGGTGCAGTACCAGATAACGTGAACATATTCAAATCGACATTGTCGCCGCTATTACTACACTTCAAGACCACCAAGGGAGACATCTATCCTTTCATCTTCAAGGTTGGTGATAACTTGCGACAAGATCAACTGGTGATCCAGATCATTACCTTAATGGACCAGCTGCTGTTGAAAGAGAACCTCAATCTTCAGCTCTCGCCATATCGTATTCTGGCAACGGGCGCGCTAGCTGGCGCGGTTCAATTCGTGCCTTCAAATCCTCTTTCTACCATTCTAGGAAACGCCAAATACAACAACTCGATCCTTGGTTATCTGCGTGAGCATAATCCGGACGGTTCAGCGCCTATGGGAGTTCGAAAAGAGGTTATGGACACATATGTCAAATCTTTGGCAGGGTACTGTGTTATCACGTATTTGCTGGGTGTTGGCGATCGCCATATGGACAATCTACTTCTCGCCCCCGACGGTCACTTCTTCCATGCCGACTTTGGCTACATCTTGGGCCGTGATCCCAAGCCTCTTGCGCCCAGCATGAGGCTCAGCGCGGAAATGATTGACGGATTGGGTGGCAGCCCCGATCGAAATCCGAGCAACCCTGACAGCAGATTCGACGAATTCAAGCAATACTGCTTCACCGCTTTCACCACGCTGCGCCGCTCGTCTAACCTCATACTGAACCTCTTTGCACTTATGCAAGATGCAAACATTCCCGATATCAAGCTCGCTGGGGACCAAGCGGTCAAGAAGGTCGAAGAGAGGTTCTGCCTGCAGCTCAGTGAAGAAGAAGCCATCACTTTCTTTGACAATCTCATTAGCAGATCGTTTGAGGCCTGGGGCCCAGTCCTTATCGATGGTATCCACGACTTTATGCAACGTATAAAGGCGTGATTCCAATGTCGTCTGGCTGTATAGGCTATGCAAGAATGATGAATCAAACGAATGATGATTATTACAGCAAGGCATGAATAACTCTGAATCGCACATACGTTATATGTACGGTGATCTTCATTTGCCTCCTTTGCGATCGTACGGTTTCGCCGCCGTGGAGACTATCCTCGAAAGTCAAAAGTTGCATTGATCCAATTCACACGGCACATGGTGGTGGTAAGTATCTCAGACAAACACCAAGACAATGTCTCAATCCCCTGCTGATCTGAAAATGAGCCCTAGAAAGGGCGGTCTACTTTGTTCCTGCATATCGGGTTCCTGCGTCCAATCGTGCTGCGTTTGTACATCCACTTCAAAGCTTTGACGTGTAGTGCTCTTGCCCAGACCGGCAAGAACAACTATCAAACTGTGTCTTGTTAGAACAACTTTGTCATCTAGTCAACAACTGGAGGGGAGGCGAGGAAAGGGTCACATGCTCTTCGGAGATCCTTTGGGGGGCTGTCTCTGCTAATCTACATGTCTGAGATCTGTATTATGGGTTCTTGTGGTTTAGCACAGAGCGCCTCTCCCGTATTTTGGTGCCCTCGATTGCCTCCTCTGAGCAGCTGCTGTTGTAGATGTCCTCTGCGTTTGAGCTTCTCAGTGCTGTGTTCGGCCAAGTCTGCTGTGCGACAACGGTTTCACTGTGGGCGTACCAGGTTGATCGGCTCGTCAGCGACTGCGCTGACATAGATCGTGTCTGAGATCTGGAAGTCGCCCTGCTTCGATGTCAGCAATTCAAAGCATTCAAGAATCTGTTTTGACGTGACCCTTTACTCACTTCACCAAAGGTCTCGTCATCAAACTTGAACGGAAGTCCGGGTCCTTCTTTGTCTGGATTGTGACGAAAAACGACTTTGTCGGCAGTGCAACCAGCGCGCTTGGTCCAGGCGTTGATGAAGTCCATGATCTTGACACTGGGTCCCACAACAAACTCCATCTCCTTGATCCACTTTCCGTCCACTTCAACAGCATTGACCGTGAAAGAGATTTCTTCTTCGTACTTGTAGAAATCCTTAGCGACGTACTTGTGTAGCTTGGTCCGGGCGTGATCAGATCTGCCGCTGCTACCACCACCAATTTGTTCAGTCATGACCTCGATGATGTCTTCGTTGTCCATCTCAAGCTTGTTCCCGCGATCAGTATGTATTGCGAGATATCACGGTCAAATGTGCGACTTACAGTAGCGACAGTGTCGGTAGGGTTCACACGGACTCCTTCGTAGAAAAAGCGCAAAGATTCCAAAGGACGGCCGGTCTTCTCGGCATAGGCAGTCTGAACTCTCTCCATACGTGTGCTTGACTTGACGCCGAAGGCGATCTGAGTACCGCCCTGGTCCTTCAAGACAATCTGTACACGGTCGACAGGCGGGGCAGAAGGGGCGCGGTTGATTGGGGTTCTCGGGTCCTCATTGTTGACAGCCGAAGGTACGGCATCGCCGTTGGCAGGGATGTCGGGGCCGGCGTTGTTTGTGGCAGCACCATCTACGGGAGTGGATGGGCCCTTGGGAGCGTCCGACATAGTGCGCGATGTGGTAGAGGTAGTGTTAGCGCGATCACCACCGACGAAAAGCGAGACGGGGTCGTCTTCGACGGAAGGAGCAGGAGGATAATTGGGCGGCTGGTTGACTCCGTCCATGGTCAAGTACGTTTGGCTTGAGTATGTTGAAGAGAAGGGAGATCAAGGCGTAAGAAAGAAGATAATAGGTTGGATGTGACCAGAGGTCGCAAGGGAGCCGATCGCGAGGCAGAGGTGAATTTCGAACTGCCACGAGTGACTTACAGTGAGTGAAGCCGTATTTGTAGAATGAGAATATCCAGTATGACAATCGAGACAGTAATGCCGAAGGTCCGCAATTGGAGGTTGCAAGCAGTGCCGTTTGCTCTACGTTTGTCGTTTGGGTGCTTAAGAAGTGATAAGAAGTCCTGCCAACTTGCGCGTGTAAAATCCCACAAAGACATTGTCTCTTGACGAAAATGTGGTTCACTGTGACTACTTAGATGGACTGACTGTTCGGCGCGGACGATACGGCCAGAATAGCACGGCGCGTCTTTAGATGGCTCATATGGCAAGCCAGTGCAAATGGACTCCGATGGCATGAAGCAGCCTCGGTAGTTCTAGACATGTTCTCAGGTTCACGACTCGAACTGGACGATTGAAACTGTACAAGAACTTTCCACGGCGTGACTTGGACGAGGAAGAATTTGGCGGTTGAGGCAAGAAGACCAAATAGAGTGAAGTAGGTGTTTCTGGAAGGAATGACGTAGCCGACAGTCGAGGAAAATGGTCAGCGGGAGGAGCCGCCTTTCATGGTTACAACAACAAAGACGGCATCACCGAACGACATGTTTTGCGAGCAGCCCGAAAGTTGACAGCTGTCTCGACGATCCAACCTACCTTGCAGCAAGATGGCAGAGCTCCCTTCGCTTGTACGCGTCAAGCGCAAGCGTGGCGATGAACCTACGGCAGACTTGTTTCTCGAAGAACGGACCCTGAAGAAGCAGCAAGTGTGGCAGTTCCGCCTGCAGCAGACACACCCCTCGCAGCAGCCATCCGACTCCTCAAATGGCGGTGTGTCCGCTCCAAACACCTCGCCACCCGCCGTAGACCCCTTTCAGCACCAGCAGCAACAGCAACACCAGCGACAGCAACAGCAACAGCAGCAGCAAGACGCCCTGGTTCGCCGCGAGTTTCGCCTTGCCCGCTCGACACGCCCTCTCCACAGGCGCATCGAATCTGTCAGGAAGCGCAAAGCGCAATGGGATGCCCAGGATATCCCCACCTTTGTCGAAGCCACTCCCAAGCGACGTCGCGTCGGCCAGGAAGATGCGCCTCCGTCAATATCAGACACTCCCGTCTCTACGCCCACCACCCTCAAACGACCCGGCGCAAGCTCCCGGCTGAAGAAGCCCACAGCTGAGACTCTCTTCCAGAGCCCTGCAAATCCGCCGCCCGATCGTCTGGCAGACGCCCTGCACCGTTTCGCTTTAGAGGAGGAAGCTCGGGAAGAGGCCCGTATAAAGCCGAAGGTCACCTCGATCCCGAAGAAGCCCGTCCAAAGATACCGACAACGCCACCCCGAGCAGACTCCCGATGAGCCACAGAGTATTCACAAAACAGATGATGATGTTGACATGTTGAGCGATGACGACGATTATGTCTACGATACATATGTTCGCACAAAAGATCCTGTAGTCCCTGCAAATGTCGATTCCGACGATGCCACCAATGTCCAAATCGGCTATATCGTCATCTCCGAAGAAGATCAACCTCTATGGGAAACCTATTTCGAAGAAGAGGCCGAGAGTGACAAAGAGTTCGAGACCGATGACGAGGACGAGAATGGTAAACATCTATCCCTACTACTGGGATTTAAACTTCTCATATACTGACGTATGCCACCCACTCTAGCCGAAGGCTACTATGCCGCTGACTATCCAGAGGATGAGGTCGCCTCCGATGACGAGTTCGATCGAGGCGCTTACGGTTATCGACATGGTGGTTCTGATGATGAGCAATGGGCATCAGACCCCGACGAGTGGAGCGATGGTGATGAAGCGATGCAGAACCCTTGGAAGAAGTTCCCCTGGATGCGCTCTGCTCAGGCCAACGCCGACGAGCAAGATGATGAAGAGCTGTAACAAGACTCCATCTCATCTCGGCCCTGCTGATGATTGGTACGACTGGAGCCAATCGAAATAGCCGACTTTCTTCAAAAACCCCTGATCAAACCCACGCGCTCGTTGCCGAATCATGTCCTTTCCCTCCTCGGATATCTCCTGCGATGATTTGTTGACTGGCGGGAGTCCCCATTTGCTCCTGATGCGATAGTAGACGGCTGTCAATCCGTCTTTCGCACGATGCTGACCGAACACTTCTTCGAACGAGCGTTCGATCTGGTTCCAGTCCTTTTCTTTGCCAACTCGGACGTACATGATGTAGAACTGCGCCTGATCCGAGTATGGTTCGCGTTTCTCCCGAGGTGTTCTCTCAAATGCACTATCGGCCGCCGAGGAGCTCATCATGTGAGAAGAAGCAGGCTGTAGGTTGTGTGTTTGTACCGATAATTGGCCCCTCTGCGGTGTCAGGAGGTTGTCTATTGACATGATTTCTCTACAACGTTCATTCCGACTTGACTGTTGGTGATGGTAGTGGTGGCCGCTAGTCGACGTCATCTTCGAAGAGTGGTACATAGTATGGAGAGTTGCGAACACACTTGACAAGAGCGCAAGGAGAAAGGTACGCAAGTCACGAAACGACAGGTTGTGAGTTGTGTTAAGTGATGGGTGGCAGGCACCTTTTTTTAATCTCGATGCTCGACTACCACAGTGGTGCAAGGCATGATGAGTACACCAAGTCGAGTCCTGACGTGTCACATTTCTACGGCTCTCAGTCTTGGATTCATTGCTTGTCACAAGTCTGCATGCGTGATTGTGTTTCTCTCCTCGAGGGTGAAGCGGAAAAAGATGTGTTTGACAGCCGCCCCCACCCGCTCCAAACACATCTCGGACACACCGCCAATTTCAAATGCATGCTTGAAGTTTGGCAATCGATGCGATGGGCGTACACGGTGTGGCGGTCACTGAAAGACAGGAGGAAGAAAGCACGGCTGCCGTTGCTTGCTGCTCTTGTCGCTAATGCTGCACTCTGTTTGTTGTCGGCTTCGGCGTCGTCATCGTCAGCAATCGCCAGCCAGACGCCTTATTTTCCCAGACCTGTCGATTCATGACAATGCACGCTGCCGATAGCAAGGTCAAAATTGCAAATTGCCATGCCGCCCAATGGGACGTCGCGCGTCTTGGTCTGGTAGATATTGTGTCGTGTCGCCCCACAACTACAAGCAAAGGGCTCGATTTGTTCCATAGAGAACAGAACAAGGAACGACCAACAACACCTGTCGTGCAACACTGGGTATCTGCAGCTAGATCCACATACAACGCCTCCCTTTTGTTTCTCTAAGAGCGCCTGAACAATCATCACCGGCTCACAGCATATCGACTTGCAATCCGATAGCGTGGCACACAGGTCCAAGGCTAGGAACTGCCGGCAGCAGAATGGGACCCGGCTGAGCGGCCGTACCAGGTTCGTGGCATTTCCTTGGTTTCCAGTTGGAAGATCCATCGTGGTGGAATACAGATCTTTGCAGCTCTCGAACTCAGACTTGTCGTCAGATGGGTCAGATGATCCTTCCTGGTCTCTTCTGCTGTCTGATCTACTGTCAAGGTCGCTAAGCGGTATGGCAGGTACAAACTTGAGTGTTACTGGAACCGGCCGCAAGCCTCCGTTGTTCCCAGCGATCTGGATCAAACAACGAGTTGACGTGCTTTGTCGCGCATGGATGACTGTTACAATGCAGAGTGGTGTGCGTCCTCTCGGACCCGTTCCCGTCCGGAAGCGAGCTCCGCGCGTTACTTTCAAGACAAGAATTGTCCATCGCAGTACTCTACAAGTCAGGTCGGCCTCGATCTAATCCACGAATTTCTCTTGATGTGGTTCATTAGACAAAGAATAAAGTTTCACTTCACATGCTCGACACGGTGCATCTTATTGCTCTTGTCGCCTTTTGTTCCACGGTATCATGGAGGATGGAGAACACTGTCTCCAGCTCAGCCATGAAGCGACGCGCGCTGTATCAACTTGGCTCACGACTCTGTGGACGATGTTTCGAACAGTAAGGGCTTACGGAACCCACTCCGGCCGTCTTTGCTTGACGAAGTTGGTGAAGATACATAGCTCTATGAGTCTTCCTTGTCGATGATGATGACGGATCGAGCTGATAGGATACAGTGCCATGATCAGACTCGTCCGCTCGCGCATCAGATTACGACCTGGACTGGAAGTCTCGTGAGTGGTCTGCAAATCGACACCATGTCTTCGACCTTCGACCACTCTTTGCGGTACCGCTGAGATCGCCAATTTTCCCCACGGCCTCCCCTAACACACTTGCGTAGTTATATTACATGCTACTACCGACTTAACAGGGCCGTTAAATCCGAGTGCGACATAACGTGCTACAGGACAATGTCACCGGTCATTCAGGCGAGGCTGATGGGCTTATCTAGTAACCTCCCATCCATTGGGCGAAAAGCTTCACCGGAGAAGTCGCCGAGTCCGCGTCAAAGAGTACATAGGAGTGTTCGAAGCTCTTGTTCCACTCCCAACTGAGAGCAACTGTTCTCTCTCGTGACCGCTGCCGTGTTCGGTCAGATACTGCTTACTGGCACATGCGGAAGCTCTGTCTGCCCAAGGCGACTAATAATCGAGATATCCTATGAGGCGGATGATACTGGTCTTGAGGCTATGTTGGATCGTGCTACACAATATTCGTTTGATATTGCTAAGCCAGGTTAGGAGGCCATTGAAAAGCCTGTATGATGATTGTGACGTTCTAATGGCATTCATTGACCCCTCACGTCCCGTGTCATGACCAAGAGTGAAAGCAGGTCGTAGAATTGCGCGATGACTTTTGGAATTGATAGATGGGCCAGGAGAGCCTCTGCTTTTGCGCGCTCCTCCTTAGATGCGAGTATGATCTCGAAAGTATCATGCATCTTGAGAGGCTTCCGCTAACAACCATCTGATAGGAGACAAGTGATGTAAAAGTATGAGGCCATTCGGCTGAGAAATTGGCGTGATGACCATTATGTCTGCGTCTGCTCAGAAGACAATTCCATGCATTGTCACACCTCTTGCTCTCCCACATGCAGGATCAATGTTCTACGCAGTGTTATTTATTCACAACTGATATCGAGTCGCATGGCGATCTGGTCCGAAATAGGAAGCTGTCAAATAGTCGTTCCCCGCTTTGCTCCTCAATCGGCCTGCGACACACGGCCTTCGAGGACAACTGCTGGTTGCATAATAACGATAACAAGACTGATAAGAATCTGAGATCTCCTAGACAATATAAGCCATGAACCTGTATGAGCAGACAGACATCCAAGAAACAACATTGAACTTGGTTTAATTCCATCTTTACTGTACACTGAGACTCAGCGGCTACCCTACGACAACATGGGCAACGAACGTAAAGCTATCATTGGCAATGCCGCCAACTTTTGGCTGCACTCTTCCAAGCAAAACAGATTTGATCTTACGCACCCGAAGACACCTTCCAGCGAGGCAATCTCACCACGTCTTGACTTGATTACGTCAAACACACCGATTACCATCGATCCACAAAAGACAGCCCTTGTTATCATCGACATGCAAAACTTCTTCTTATCGGAAGGCTTCGGGAGGAAGAAGGGTGCAGGCCACACTGCTGTTCAAAATCTGGACCAACATGCCATTCCTGCAGCAAGAAAGGCAGGCATTCAGGTCATCTGGCTGAATTGGGGGTTGACGGATGACGATCTCGAGGCCATGCCTCCAGCTATCAAACGTGCGTTTGGCTTCGAAGCCGTAGTAGACGACGACGACGACGACAAAGAGATCGAAGCCAAGACAGCGGCGGGAGATGTCTTTCGAGAGAATGCTGGACAAGAGGGCACTCCAAGTTTCAAGCCCCAGGACACTGCTGTCCTTGAGAATGGCAAGGACAAACGCATCTACAAGGGTCTTGGATCTTGGTGTGGAAATGTGAAGCTAGCAGATGGTACAACCGTAGATGCAGGACGTTTGCTCATGCGCGATGCTTGGAACTCCGCTCTATATCCGCCTCTCGACACCGTGTACACAGAAGGTCTTACGCATTCAGCCAAGCCCGACGTGTGGATTCACAAGGATCGCATGAGCGGGATGTGGGGTGCGCGTACAGACTGCGAGGAATTTTTGCAGGAAGCTGGGATTCGCACTCTGCTATTTGCAGGCGTCAACACTGATCAATGTGTCAGCGGAACATTGACAGATGCATTCAGCAAGGGCTATGACTGTGTGATGCTCAGAGACGCATGTGGCACGACCAGTCCAGAGTTCTCGCAGCAGTGTATAGAGTTTAACGCAGCAAAGAGCTGGGGTTTCGTGGCCACGTGTGAGGACCTCGCGAAGGGAGTGGAAGGCATGATCAGCTGCTAATTTAGGTATATCTGTAAATTTTGGATTCTAATCAGATCACGGGTCTTTTCGGAACAAACGTGTTCCTGCAGCAGGTGATGGCAGCTTTTCTATATTGATGTCTGTCACACCTAAGCTATTCTGCAGAGACATGGAACTCTGTAGACATGTGGTGACCAGCCAAGCTCCATAAAGAATGTAGGATGTAGCGTATCAACAACACTTGCGGAGTTAAATGTGAGTGGGTAGATTCCATCGGCATAGCAGACTTCAGCACGACAGTTTAGACTGATGATCAGAGCTTGCGGTCGCCAGTGGAATAACATCTTGTTGCGTGGTCGTTGGCATGTTCCCTCTGCCGGGAGTACTTCTGGCCTACTGCCCCGGTGTTGACTCCGAGCGTAAGTGCATAGACTAGTGTCAAGAAGATTTCTAGTACTACGTATGTCATCGACTAACGCAGAAAGTGCCGTGGATGGTGCGTGGTACATAGAAATGACTGGGCAGGTTGAGTGTAGACCTCGGGTTGGACTCCGTAAGCAGAGATTTGACTCCCCAGCAAGACAGCACTCTAGACGCGAGGGCCGTGTGGTCAGCGACGCTGCTTCGTCGGGGCCACTGAGCATTCGGTGAGCTTGATGATGACCATAGCGAGCATACGCCCGTTGGAAATCTCACAGAACATCCGGTGACGTCCAAGAATGACAAGTAACAAGGACGGAGACTGCTACTGTGATGCCACTATCCGAATCTTGAGCTGGTGAAAATGCCGCATTAGTGAGAGTTGAGAACATGTGACAATGCGAGACGGTATTTCTTGTCATTCGTATCTATGCTTTTGCAGCGAAGAAACTGATCAGGCTGCCGAAGGCTAGACCGGCCACGAGACAGAGACCCATGAAGCCACCAGAAGCCTCCCTCTCCTCCGGCGCCACCCACTCGCCAGCACCCATCATGCACATACTGCCGAGATAACCATTGGATATACCAAAGAGCAACTGTACGACAACCAGGTAAAAAACGTCGCTGTCGATCACAGCGCCTTGACCGCGGATGTTGCAGAGATGATATAGCGGAATGAAGCCAACGCGAGCGACAGAAAGCATAAAGATGAGTTTGGGTCGATGTATGAGTGAAAGGCGAGGTACAGCGGGTAACAGGCGGCCGAGCAAGTCACCAGCATTCCAGAACAAAAAAGCCAATGGGATGAAGGATGGAGCTTGGAAAAGACGAGACGACGAGCTCGAGGCATTCACGCTTAGAATGCGTTGGGTATAGATTGGGAACATCATGGTAACAGCAAATGTCAGAAAAACGGCAGCGGAGAGCCAGCGAAGCTTACGAAACAGTACGGAGAATGGCACAGTCTTGCGCTCGCTTGGCACGAGACTGTCGAGACTGGAAGTCATGTCCTGGGTCGTTGTGTTGGGTGCTTTTCTGCTGTGTACTCGAAGGAGAAAGAAGAAGGCGATAAGGGTAGAGGCACAGATCACAGTCGCGGTAAGGAAGTAGGCGAAAGCAGCTGTTCCTGGCACTGGTACAGCGTCTTTGTAGCCATCTGTAGAGCTGTCGTCTGATCTCGATTGTTTGACTGAGAGCACCGAAATGATTTGAGCGATGCAGGGAAGTACGCCAGCAACCCCTTGTCCAGTCATAATAGCCTGTGTATAGCGCGGTTGGCCAAAGCCAGAGACGAAGGCAAAGACGCCGTTCTGACACAGGCCAGCTGCCAGACTGGTGACGAAGACGATAAAGATGAGGAAGGCGAAGTAGGCATTGGCGCTGACGCCGAGAGCAAACCATGTCGAGAGAGCAAGCAGGGTAAAGGCAAGCAGATTGATCAAGAGGGACATGACAATACGTCTCGGATAGGAAGCGCGGGCCTGCATGTTGGAAAGAACAAGCATGCTGCCCAAGTTCGTGATACTGGATACGGCCAGCTCGGATGCCTGGAAGTTGTCCAGGAGGCGGTCGCTCGATGCGAAGCGGCTCTGGAAGTAGGGCCCTGCCGCAAGTAGCATGTTCCACGCCCACAACATGGCCACACCCAACAGCAGGAAGATCGAGTACTCTATCCAAGAGAAGTCTGTGTTTCCCCGTAGCTCTGGTCTCTCTTGCTCCTCCTCGGTTGATCCTCCCTCGATGGGCTCATACTCCTGCTCTTGCTGCCATATCTTCCGGACGCGCTCCATGGCGTGTTTGGTCGGGGTGACTTTCTTTGGCCTTGTCCGTTAGTCTTGGTCGATCGTAGGGGTGGCTAGACGACTACTCTGGCGCGTCGACTTGTTGATCTGTTCATCGTGACGAGTCAGTCGACAAGTCACGTACTAACCTTGATGTTCCGTACTCCGAGCACCTGCACCGCGTGATAAGGACTAGCGGTCCGTGGTGCCAAGCATGCATAAGCTCTGTCCATTAATTATGCGAGTCTCACGCATTGATTGTTCAATACCAGATCACTTTGCGAGCAGTCTTGATAGTGATGAGATATGCCATTGTCTGTGTTGTACAATCGTAATGAGTGTCCCCCCGAAATTCCCAAAACTTTGTGCAGAGCTTCGGTAATTGTGTCAAACCATCAACTTCTTCGAAATCATAACGCAGCAGGAAAGCAAATTATCAACGCAGTATCAAGCAGATCTCGAGCGCCGGCTATCCCTTCAGATCGAAATTTCCTCTTCTTGCTCACTCTGGCTAGACACGAAGAGATCCTCCTGAGCTGGACGAGCGCTACGCTGATCAAGTATAGAACCGTCGCAAGGACTGAACGACCAGGCGGTCTTGCTCAGCATGTCGGTTTCAGAAGTGGCTTCGACCATGCTGGTGAGTGTACCGAGTCCAAAGTGATCTTCGGTGGAGTTGAGTGGGGTGTCAGGGCTAAATACGAGTGCGAGACCCTCTGCTGTCTGCTTGAAGACGAACTGATCAGATGGGGAATCGCCCATGAGACTGTCAGCACGCTCAGGTGACGATTGGACACCATTCTTATCAGCGCAGGCATTCTCGGTCTGCAGCTCCTCTGTATCGGCGACCGTCCCGGTAGGTGTCAAACGACGAATGGGTCCGTCTTCATCATCCTCCTCATCCATCATAAAGCGGACGCGCTTATGAGCCTTGGAATTCCTTGTCTTCTTCGCGACTCTAGCCTTGGGAAGCATCTTGGTCTTGCGCTTGGTGATGATCTTCTGGCCCTTGCCCTTCTTTCCGACTGGCACCTCCTCAAACTCGTCCACAAGAGGAACCTTGAGACCGCGGCCGCGGAAAGCTTCGGCAACATCAACGACATAGTTGTTGTACTGGTCCTTCAGAAAGTTTCTGGCGCTCATGATGTCGTGGCCTGGGATCTTGTCATCGTAGATCACTACGTTTGGCGTAGCGACTCTGGTGTGCTTGACAGCATAATCAACCATGGCAGAGACCACATTGAAAATGGGGCGCTTGCGAACGTGAAACTTGATGATGTGATGGATGCTGGACATCTTCTCAGGGTCATCTGTGCCATAACCAACAACGATTGCTGGGCGCAGGTTTTCGTCAAGGATCCAGTGAAGACGATTCTCCACTTTGAGCATAGGAATCTTGCGGGCCCGTAGAGAGCCAAGGGCAATGTCCATGACGTTACCTGTGTATGGTCAATAAGTGCTATGAACTTTGGTCATCAGATTCAACATACCCTCAGCGTCATTGGTGACTTTGTTTGAGGATCCCATGATGGAGAGCAGGCTGGAAGATCTTGAGGTAAAAGATGAACTTGGAGTCGGTGTAGATGAATGGTCTCATGAGAGGGTAGTCAGATGGCGGACAACGGAGTGAGAGCTACAGGCTCCGTCAGTAAAGTCAGGCGCGACTTTGCGTTGAAGTGACGCGGGGTGTAATGTCGGGTTGAGGGCTGCTGGTTGAGAAGCCAGTGGTGGCATGCACTTACTACTTGAGTGATTTACAGTGAAGATAACACACAAGGGAGGAGGTACTAGAATACCAAAGAGGAAAAGGGGTGGTGTGTAGAGGAAGAGGAGTGGTTGAGAGGAAGGCGAGGTATTTATAGACAGCTGGAGAGCTGAGTTGAAGTGCTGCAACACGCTGAATACCGAAGTGGTTGCGCTCTGGGAGAGGGTGTCCTAGGCAGCACTCCAATGAGATGCTCAGACTAAGTGAGTAGGTGCGAGGTCATGGATCAATTGTCATTAGACGAGCAGGAGCGTACGGACGAGCGTCTCCAAGGAAGAAGAAGAAGCTACTAATTGGACAGACTCAGGCAGAATTCCACAGCTGCGGCTTGCTGACACTGCCATACTTGGCCTGCCACGCGAAGAAGTACATGAGTGCAGCTAGCGGCTGGCCAACAAGACAGAAAGAGACCCAGAAGATGAGATTGCCTAGAAGTCTGCCATTGCCTCCTCTCATTCGGGCCAGTGGGTCCGTCAAGAAAATCAGAGGCAATTGGAATATCATACCAGCGAAAGCCACCCCTGGAGACTATTAGCAGGGCACACAAAATTGACGTTGCACTCCGACTTACCAAGAATATTATGAGTCGGTACGCCGACCAGTAGTTCATGAAGCACACCGGAGAAGAGAAAGGTCATGATCTGTGCAACAAGCGGTGGCACGCCACGACCAACCATGGGCGAATATATATGTCGCTTCATGAATTGGAATACTGGCTTGTTCCAGCTGGACCAGTATCCCCTGACTCCACTGCTGTTCCACCAATCTCCGTAGAACTCCCTGTCGCCAAAGCGCGTCACCTCTGCAAGGGCATTTAAAAACGACTGGAAGAGAGCATAGAATCCGGCCAGCCAACAGAAGAGAGAGATGGTAGAGAGCTTCATGAGACGCTCGGCTATGGATGGCAGATCCAGCGAAGATATAGTCTCCAGCGAATTCTGCAGAAGTGGGGCTGCGTATTGGGCGCTGGCGATCCATATCACTATGCTGAGCCCAACTACCTCGGTACAACGCTTGAAGACGAAGGGCCAGCGAATTCTCTCAGTTCGAGGGTAGACTGGCTGGTATATCAACGTAGGGGCCCACCAGAAGTAGGTGAGATTATGGAGCGTGATGTTTTGAGGGTAAGGACACGAGCTGTAGAGTTCTGGAACCTCGCTTGCATATGGATACAGTAGAGCGTGGCGTAAGTCCCGATTGGTGAAAGCATATGAACACGTCTTGAGCCATACGATGACAGCATGTAGCTCGCATAACGTGCCAATACCAGGATGATGGATATGGTAGTAGACAACGTAGGTTGCGAGAGCCAAGTTCAAAGTAGCGTTGACACCATGGGCGAATGCGATCAGGTGCCATGCTGTACGGAAGGCTCGAAGCTCCTGTCTGCGTTGGTCGGAGTTGGCTGACGCATCTACGCCCATTTTCTTCGCTCTAGCAAGAGCCCCTTTGGCTTGCTGAGCAGCAATAAGCTCGATGATGTATGCAACAAACAGATGGCAAGGAACGAGGAAGTAGAGAATGCTGCCATACACAACATCTTGTCGACTGTAATCATGGCAACGAACACAGATCAAAACACCATACTGGAATCAATTAGCAAAGATGGTGATTTGTGAGATTTGAAAGTCCGGGCTACCTTCTTGAACTTCTCAATCATCAATCGTAGGTTAGATACAACTGGAACAGTGAGTAGCTGTCCTGGACGTATAAGGCGTCGCCAGGCACTGACTGATTACTAAAGCGCCCAAGTTCCTGAAGCCAGTAAAGCTGGTGGACGCGGTTGAGTCCTGGCTCAGGCATGAAGCTCTGGTAGCAGAGTGGACTGCAAAGGTGTGTCTGTATTTCTTGGAGGGTTGTGTTACCGGCTTCTCTGAGCCTTTCTTCTTCTGCTTTCCAGCTGGATCCTGCATATCTCTGGGACGAGCTGTAGGGATCTCATGACTGGTTGTGATAGCTGTGTCAACGAGGGACGCCATTGTTTCGGAGCTGGTTGAGTAGAGAACTAGAGAGCTCAGATATGGAGACTTAAGATACACAAAACAGGTGACACGCCTTTTGCCTAGACTACTGACAGCCAAGCAACAGAGAGGGGTTTCTGCGGCAAAGAATTCAACATGGCGGGTTTGAATTGAAGCACAAACAAGTTTGCCTGTTCAACGCGTCAAGGAGGAGCTGCCATGCAGTTGACGCTGCCAGCTTCCCCACCAGATTCGGCCAAGCCCGCTAGTGACGCAGGTACACGGAGAGGCGTTGTCGTTGGCCAAGTTGTCACGCCGTCTTTCCCGATCTCGCGACAGCTTCGCATCACTCGCGCCGCTAGTCATTATGGTCAACGCAATAAGCTATTCGTGAGCATCATTATTCATTCTTGATTGTCTAATACCAACCGAAGTCCATTCAGTGCTCTCGTCGCGCAATTTACGCGCTCAAGCCCTTTGCGGTTTTCTCGTCGCGCAAAAGTTCTCATTGCTTTCTCGAGCTCAAGCCTTTGCGCAACACGTAGCTGGTCCTGAATTACAATCTCGGCATCAGGACCCGTGTCATTGTCATCATTCGACGGCCATGGATCCAGGGGAAGGCGGCGGCCACGATGGCTTCATCAAGAGAACTAGACTGTCTCGACGTAAGTGCTCTGTGGCTGTCCTGCATCACTTAGCCTTGCCAAAGGTGTGCAGGTTCACACCAGAAGCATATGCTGACATGCAATACAGGCCCTGCTACTGACTACAGCGCGAACATGGCCCAGTTTGTGCATAAGCGCCGGCCACAATACAAAGGAACCATGGGATTTGAGATGGAAAGACCCAGTGCTAGTTACGTGATAGACGTGAGTTTGAACTCGGCGTCCGCTCAGATAGACGGTATAATGAAAAGCTGTATGTTGACTCGACTCGTAGATGCTCCTACCACCTGCCCGCAGGGGAAATGCAGTGGATACAGTACCGGCTAGACATTTACACTCATCCTTGAACAAGATGCGCCATCCTGTCAACGTGGTCAAATGGACACCAGAGGGAAGACGTCTGCTCACCGGCTCGACTAGCGGTGAATTTACTTTGTGGAACGGAACTGCGTTCAACTTCGAGACTATCATGCAGGTGGGATTTCTCGTCACGATGTGGACGTATCTCGCTGACACATACACCTAGGCTCATGACAGCGCGGTTCGGGCGGTGGCTTATTCACACAGCAACGACTGGCTTATCTCAGCAGAACAAGCTGGTATTGTCAAATACTGGCAACCCAACTTCAACAACGTCAAGTCAATACAGGCACACAATGACCCCGTCCGGGACCTGGCTTTTGCACCCACCGATACGAAATTCGTAACAGCAGCAGACGACGCTCATCTCAAGATCTTCGACTTCGCTGGTGGTATGGAGGAGCTAGTCTTGGAGGGCCATCAATGGGACGCCAAATGCGTAGACTGGCACCCTACCAAAGGACTCCTTGTATCTGGCTCCAAAGATCATCAAATCAAGCTGTGGGACCCTCGAAGTGGGCGATGTCTTACCACACTTCATGGACACAAGAACACTGTAAGCAAGACGCTTTTCGAGCCGACAAATGGCGTGTTGCTGGCGTCTTGTGCTCGTGATTCTACCGCGAGAGTCTTTGATATCCGCATGATGCGAGACGTCTTCCTACTTCGAGGCCATGAAAAGGATATCAGCACGCTTGCTTGGCACCCAATTCATTCCAACTTCTTGACGACGGGAGGCTCCGACGGCGCAATGCATCATTACTTACTGGACGAGCAAAATCTTCCTCCTGGCTCGGCGGCCACGCTGTCCCCATACGACGCGCCTGAGAATTCGGATGCGCCTGCCCAAACCATCCATCCTGCCCATCGCGTATCCTACGCACACGACTTTGCAATCTGGAGTCTTGACTGGCATCCCCTTGGTCATATCTTGGCTTCTGGATCTAACGACCGAGCAACTAGATTCTGGTCGAGGCCAAGACCAGGGGACAACTCCTATAAGGATGATCGATGGCACATTGGCCAGACGGCAGCGGAGGCTCAAGGAACATGGAAGCGCACGACAGACCGTGCAGCCAGGGAGGATGAGGAAGAGTTGGAAGACGAAGCTGATGGTCTTGTCGATCAGCAGATGCCCACCCGACAGAACATGCTTCCTGGTCTTGCTGGTCTGCCGGGCATATCTGCACCCAGGTCGTCGTTCCCAGATGGAACCAGTACTGGTGGAGCTCAACCATTGCCCATGCCAGGTATGAGTGGTAACGGATTGCCCTTCCCCGGCGGGCCGCCAATGCTTGGTGGTCAAAGTCTGCCGTTCTCCCTACCTCAAGGCGTCGCACCACCGTTACCTGGTAATATGGATATTGAGAAACTCAAGCAGATGTTTGGTGGGCAGCTCCCACCTATGCCTCCGCCAGGCTCGCAACAGGGATTTCCTCCACCACCTCCACCGCTTGGTTTCCCAGGTGCGCAAGGGCTACCACCGCCCCCTATGCCCTTCCCTGGGTTTGCTGGGGCGCCTCCGATGCCTCCCCCAGGCTTTCCGGGCTTCCCAGGTGGCGCATCTCCGGATTTGCAAGGACAGAACAGGCGGAGGGCACCATTACCAAGTCAAAGTGAGAGCTTGCAAGAGGAAATTAGGAGGGGAAAGTATTCGCGGGCAAGATAGAGTAGCAGTATGCTTCAAAAAGTGCCTGGAAGCGTGAAATCGAATTTCTTTGCATGCACACTCATCCCAAAACAAGCAACAGATGCTCTCAAGCAGATGCATGTGCAACCCTTAACCGTGCTTGACTATGCTTATGCTCGTGACAACGATTGCAGCCGTCTTGATCAGACTTGCATTTCACAATAAGCCGTGCAATGTATGTGCAGCGAAAGTAGTGGATGTGCGGCAGTTGCTTAGCAAGCAAGACGAGCTCGGAGATGAACGCATCCGAGCGGCGTGAGCCAGGAGACGGCGACGACCGACAGCTTCTAGCACGCTTGACTTGGACCTCCCTTGGACAAGAACAGCTTCTCAGGAGTCGATACCAACTGTACAATATACAAAATGCTCACTCTTAACATTCAACCCGAATATGGGTGAGTCCAATGACCAAACGAGCCAATCACCGACTCCCGGCTGTGATTGCGTGCTGGCAAGAACTTGTTGACTAACCAGTCCTGTAGCTACGTCGTGCTTACTGCTGTCGGTACCTGCTTCCTGGGCACCTGGCATGGCATGAGATGTGGCGCCTTCCGCAAGGCCGCCGGTCTGGGCTACCCGACCCCCTACGCAGACTCTGCCCAAATGTCCGCCGCCTCCGCCGAGGACAAGCACAAGCTCTACCTCTTCAACTGTGCCCAGCGTGCGCACGGTAACTTCCTCGAGAACCACTACATGGCCCTCACCACTCTCCTCATTGGTGGTCTACGCTTTCCTCTTCTCAGCTCGGCTTTCGGTGTCGCCTGGTCGCTCGGCAGAATCGTGTACGCTGTTGGATACACGGCCAAGAACAAGGACAACGGCAAGGGCAGATTGGCTGGTGCCTTCTTCTGGCTTGCTCAGCTTGGTCTTTTTGTCAATGCTGGCTTGACCGGTTACAACATGGCCTTCTAAAGAGCTTGTAGCATGATACCCCTTTAGAACGAACAACTTGTGTTTCACGTACTATACTTGTATTTGAGGTCTTGAAGCTGTTGTGCAAGAGCAGTCAAGCTTGTCTTATGATGATGACTTGGTAACCGAAAGTGTAATATGCACCTGAATATATATGCTACAGACTTTGCTCGTACCCGTCAAACAACGCCCAGATAGTCTCGTTTTCACGGCTCAGCACGAGATGTTTCGGGAAGATGATCAAACGCCTCGTCAAATGTCGTGATTGTCTGAGTATGAAACCTGATAATAGAAAGATTTTGTCGGGATGCCAAGCAGCCATACTTTTGAACACTTTCATTATCCGCCACTTTCTTCGTTGCCCGTCTTCCCTGACAAGGAAAGCGAGATAGGCCCTATGCTGATTCCTTTTTGCGGGCCCGGGCTGCCGTCCTTGCTACGTAGGCTCCCTTTCCTCCTCAGCATGGGCATTCCTGTACCGTTTGGCTGTTGAGTACTAGTAGGCGAATCCAAGTTTGCGGCCGACATATCGCTACGCACACTGCCTATGCTGCTGACTGAGCTTCGACGCTTCGCCGGGACTGCGCCTACCAGTTTCTCCAGATCGTCTTCATCGTCGTCTTCACGTCGCCGCTTTTCCGGTACGATTGACTGTGGCGATCCTAATGTCTCCGGCGTTGTGGATTCGACGCTGGACTCCTTCTTTTCGCCCGGTGCCCCTGGTGATGCTGCGAGCAGTTCCATCGTGTCTTCGTCCTCATCTTCTGGATAAGATACGAGCGGTCGAACTGGAGGGCCGCCTTCGGCAATTTTCGCAGCTGTCGTCTCTGGTAGTGAAGACGGGCCCTCGTCTTCCGTTTCTTCGTCTGAATTGGCATTGAAGTAGGCTTCCTCCTCCGCATCTGCGTCTTTGAGTCCTTGCCACCGCTGGCCACCAGCAGCAAGACTTCTGTTCGGTGTATCTCCACCTTGGGTAGAGAAACTGGTTTCGTCGGGATTATATCCACTTTGTATTTGCTCGTACTTCAACACGAGAGCTCCAAATGTGTTGACATAGGTTATACCAAGCAACTTCTCACGATACCCTTCGACTAGGGGTATGATCAATTGCTTGAGATTCTCGCGCTTGATAAACTCGAAGAGCTCGAGAGACGCTGAGTTGAGAAGGTTGTCACGAGGCATTGTCTGGTAAACAATATCGAGTATTGGATCGAAAACCCCCTTGGTGATCAAGTCTTTGTTGTGGTGTTCGTCGTTGAGGCCAACACATGTTCGGAACCATTTGAGAGCCGCTGGAAGCTGTTAGTATACCCCTCCCTGGCGTGGCTTGTGGCAAACGTACTTAGCTTCAGATGCTTCTGAGGGCAGGATAGCAGCTGGGCGATGCGGCAGTGTAAGCTTTCTGCAAGAATGTAATATTTACTTCGGAAATTATGTTGACGAATGAAGAAGCACAAAATTTCGACCAAGTGGACGAAAAGAGAAGCTTCCTGTACAGATAAAGTGTGTACTAAAAGATGAGTTATTGACCAACCGATTGTGGATTTGATGCTTGATGAACTTACGGTTTTGGCTGTGCTCGAGATCCTTCAAAGGCTGGAAGAGACGTTTCGCGCCGTCATTGTAAAATTTATCTACAAAGCTCTCCATTTGAGCGCTTGAATTGGGATTCGCGCCTCTCATCTTTGCCATGAAATCTCCATTAGTCCGGCCGAGCATGTCCATGGAAGTTGAGCTCGCATGAGGATCAAGGAGCACTTTTATCGCGTCAGCCATCTGGGCTTTGACGCCTAGGTCGACTTCAACCAGCAAAAGTTCGATCAATGTGTCTGTGAGTGGCTTGGTCTTTTGATTGATGGAACGGAAAATATGAGAACGCATCATGACCGGATCATGGTCGATGAGCGCGACAAGAATATCCGTGCCAGCAACACGAACAGAGGCTTGGTGATGGCGCAAAGCATAAGTTACTACTTCCAGGAGACCACCGTGTATGAAGTTTTGGAAGAGGTGAGCACGCGACTGTGCTTGGATGCTTTTGGCGACTGAACAGCACGTCTGAATGAAGTGTACGGCGTCTTTCTTGCGCTGGTCGTCTGAATCGGGGGTCGTGAAGATGGTAAAGAGCTCCTGGATAAAATCTTTGCTGGACTGAATGTGGTTAACAATATCGACCTGGTTGTAGAAGATAAGCGAGTTGAGCACGGTGAAGGTGGGATCGTCAAGAATGCGTGCCAAGACCACGTCCTTGAGGTATTGTAAGCGGTATGTGGCGTGGATCTTGTTTTTGATGACTGGATTGTCGATGGCGACAACCTCCTTGAAGCGAGATCCGTCGGCCAGATAGTGGCGGTGGTTGGCTTTATGACTGGGAAAGTCTGGATCATACTCGAGGGCACCCACGACACCCAAAATGGCATGATCCGAGACTGTCAGCTCTATGATGGACGTGTCGTTCAGCAGAATGAGGGTCTTCATGATTGTGCATAGGCGGTGCAAAGCTTGTATGTCTTCGACGTGCTCAGCGAGCTCGACCAGTGGTAGCAGTTTCGAAAGGTACTGTGTCTCGGGGGCCATGACGAACTTGACAAGGGCGTCTCTCCCATGGGTTGTCTGGCTGGCTGCGCGCATTGTTTCTTGTACTTGGTGTAGGTTGGCCAGTTCGGGCATAGGAAGCAGCAGACCCTGTCCATCAACCAGCTCGTCAGACAGACCGTCGTATTCATTGGGATGCAGAGCGAGCATGCGTTGCTGGATATCGGTAATGAACTCCCTAACGCAGCAACCATGTCAGCGATTGTACGTGGCGGCTTCGATATGGAAGAGCAACTCACCAGATTTGAGCGCATCCATCCGCTTCTTGAAAACTTAGTGCCATGTCGATGCCACTCGGTTCGGTCCATACTATCAGTGTGTCTGCGCATTGCTTGCATCAGCTTGTGACTTGACTGCTTTGTTCGGACGAGTGAGCGTACCCTGTTGTCTCTGATAGCCATCATCGCGCGAGATTCGAGTTTCGAGCAGCATGCGTTGCGCATCGTCTTCGGACTGCACAAAGATGCGCGCCTCGTCATTCTGCAGTACATGTGTCAGCGCATTGCCGGGACAGAGCTCGTACTTGTTTGGCGGCGCAACTTACGTCCAAGACCTGACCGGCGCAGAAACCAGTGCCGCGGTCATACCAGTCATTGTTCTTGAGCTCATAGACCTTGACGCGCTTGCGATCGTTGAGCGCGGGAGCGGCAAGTGCCATCATCAATTAGATGTTGCGCACTGCCTGACTCCACAGCCCAAGGGCCTTGCAGGATGTGTGCCTCGTGATGTTTCAAGCCCGTCTGCCTCTTCTGTCGTGTCGTGTCCGCAGAAGACGCGACGCGTAATAGGTTGTGTGGGATTGCGTCGTCGCGTGCAACAATAATATGGCGGGTGATATGGATGATGGCGATGTGCGGCGACTGGCGGCGACGACGGGCGCGAGGTGTTCCGGAAAGGCAGTCGAACGCGCCGATGTGCTGGGTCAATCGGAGAGTTGCGACTAGCTGTCGTTGAGATGCGGGTGTCGCGCTCAGTTGACTGTCGTGTCTAGCAGCAGCGTCTCCGAGATGCTTGTCGAGCCAGTTCCAGAGTTCCAGAGTTCCGCACGGACGCCTCTGCTTGCGCAATTGACACTATCTTCGCCTTGCCCTTTTACCGCTCAATCCCAGCTCTTGCATTGCTGTCTTTTATCTCTCTTTGCTCTATACCAACTGTGGCCCAATGTCGAACCCCCCGATCTCTGTAGTACCCTTACCGATACGCTGCCGTCTTCTCTCATCGCCCATCCCTGGAACCCTATCACGATTTCAGCACGTCATCGCAAGGTCACTACGCTAGCTTCTCGTTTCTATTTCCGTCCTCTCACGTGATATTGTGCATCGCTCTCCGGTCTCCTGCGCTCAGATGCTGCAAAGACCTCTGGAGTTTCCGTGTGCTGACTTTGTCTCTATCATGCGCATTGGCTGTAGTATGGCACAGTGACAGCCTAGACCGAAGAGAAACACTCGCCTAGAAAGCTGTGGAGAGAGTGACTCTTACTTGGCCTTGCTTTGTTGCGCCTCCGCGCAAATGCACATGCGAGTACTCGGAGTAGCACATGAGGAGTCAGAATCGCCCGCTATCTCCAGACTGATCCTCACTTGGAGTTTGGCTATCCCCACGGGCCTGCAGAAGATTCACGATCCCCGATCGTAGGCATGCCGCTCCGTCCTGCAGATGCAGAGTTTGTTTCGAGTCATTGGAGTTACATACCATCTGCACAGACTAGCAGATTGACCGTCCTCCTTCAACCTTCTGCCGCTGAGACATTCAAACTGTACTCAGACAATGTCCATCGTCATATGTCCTCGAGTATCGCTCGTGTTTACATGGTTGTCTTTGCTTTTGCACATACCCCGCAAGCTCTGTCGGCGTAGTCGCCACTCCCATGAACCGAATCCATCCATGTCTCACCATGTGCGCGTGGCTGCGGTCTCGCTTCACGATGAGCAGCCATGTGTGATGCCTGTACGCGGCCTCCACAACGAAATAACAACGTCGAGCCTTCTCCACGTCTACGGTGCTGTCCTTCCACGTTGGTGTCTCATCCCCATGGTCTCGACCTAGATCAACACGTTGCATTTGAGAGCCGTTGTGTAGGGCCAGGCCAGCGCCCACTTCGTAACGCCTGCCGTGGCTATACCACACTTCAAGTACGCGACAGCCGTGACCCCACGAATATCGATTCGTCGAAAGAGCCAAAGGCAGCGTCTTTGAACAAAGCCTGACTCTTGGGAGGCTATCAGCCCTCTGCTCGGCACCACTGACTTTTGCCTTGTTTGATTTGGATTTGGCAGCACTCATTGCAGACCGGTGGTGTGGTACGTTGCCAGCCGCTGGCATCGGCAACTTGTCGTTTCGGCGTTGCCGTGGATAATCTCGACTAACCGTCTGGGTGCTCGCCAAGTGCCTCTGCAAGGACAGGAACAATAATGTCAGCAATTGGGCATCTGCATAATGACGAAATCGATGCAAGTTACCGAGTGTGTTCTGAAGGTACGAACTATTGATAGCCAGCCTCATAAAACACTTTCGGTCGTGCTTGTTGAGAGGCACGACGAACGCCATGGTCCCTGTTCGAGGCTTTGCAATTGCTCTTCCACCCCTCCTCAGCTTCTTCAGCTCCAGCTTCAGCTGCTGCTGCCCACGTGGATACGATTTTACGACGGCCAGCTTTCTTTTCAAATCTAGTACGCGCCAGTTTCACAGGCGCCACAGTATCTGTCAAACTCTGATCGTGCGTCTGTTCCTGGATCAAGCTACTGTCTGTGCACGGTTCCTTTCGTGCCTCCCAAAGCGGACAACTCAACGGCACGTCCGGGAGTTGACAGCAAAAGGCGCGGTTCCATCTCGTCTCCTACCGAACCTGGCGATAAGGATTACAGTTTTTCAGCCATCCTCATCACGCCGAGACTACTGCTTCAGTCTGCCACCGCTGCGCTGCTGTGTGTCTCGGATAGCACTGCCATTCACCAGCAGGATCGTCATAGGTCCAACTGCTTCTACCGCAGAGATGCAGCTAACGGGGATCTCGCCGCGGGTTTGAGGAACCGACAACGCATGCGTATCGTGTCATTTATGTATTCTGCAGAACTGTCCCGCATGCTGGAAAAGATCAGGCGCTCCATCTTATGTACACACAATCATGCTGTCCCGATTGAGCACAGCTACCAGCGCTTCTGCATGAGCCAACCTTAACAAGACCTGATGGTTACCAAGTCGAGAACTTCCCTAGCATGCGATCCGGCCGCTGCCACCCCTGGCTATAAAGCTAGCCACTAGAGGTATGTTCTTGGCCGCTATCTACGCACTGGATCGTCGAGCTTCCGCCCGTTTTGACCTTGCCCGTCAAATACTTTATTTTAGGCGTCACGCTAGATTCAGAGCCGTGCAATCAAGCTCCCTGGCTGAGCTCGGGGATCACTCAGGGCATTCGTTTTGTGAAGTAATCAAAAGGCAGCCGTTTCCACTGCCTCTCAAGTCCTGCCTTCTGGCATACCATTCCTCTCATCGTACTTGAGTATCATTCCCTGGAATTACTCCTACAACTGTACAGACATTTGCTAGCCCGCAGACCGAGCCAAATCTACAACGCTCGCAGTCATCTCATCGAGCAAACATGTCTATCTTATCGAAGCTCAAAGGCGCCAAAAAGGCAGCGGACGACCACAAGGCGAAAAATGAGACACAGGATACCAAGCCTACTAACGCTGTTCCCTACAAACACGTTCCTACTCACGCCGCTACCGATGCTATGACCAGTTCACCTGGAGGCTGGAAAGTCGAGGAAATTGCATACCAGAACAAAGCCCGACTCAGCAGGATCGGAAGCGACTACTCTACTCGTCCATCAACTTCGCACACCACAACACGATCCAACAGCAGACCAGGATTCAACAGGGCAAACAGCGACTCATCTCTCGACTTTGCACCGTCTGCCCAGGCCTTCACACTACCAGTCAGATCATCAGGCTCATCCATGAAGTCGGCCGCTGTTTCCCGCAACACGAGTTTCCAGGGTCTTGAGAAAGTTATGGAGTCTAATGATCGCGATCAGGAGCCCGTATTTGCAGCTGCACTACTGGCCAACAGGACTAAGGCGTCACGCTCCCCTCGTGGCTCAACACGAAGCTCGTTAGGCAAGAGTCCTTTATCTAGTGTTGGTACGTTTTTCCTCCCATCTCAGAGTTTGAACGTCTCATTAATATTTGAACAGAATCATCCACCGAGTCGTCGCCTGCAGAGAGTGAAAACAGTTCTCCTTCCGGTTCAAGCAGTAAGTTTGCGAATATACTACTAATCTGGTCCTCCGACTAAATCTTATTCAGGTGGTCAAATTGAGCTCAGATCCGAGGCAGTTGCTTACGCGCCCCCAAATGAGATTCATCCCGGTCACAGAGTGAACCAGATGCCTGTTGAGAAACCACAGGCCGAACGTAAATACTTTGGCCACAACAAGGCACCTGCCTCTGAAGCAAAGGAGATTTCCATTCCAGCCCCTGTCGTCGTCAAGAAGGAACGCTTTTCTTTCTTGAAGAGGGGCAATGGTGCTGTTGCCGCTCATTGAGCATACCAGCGAGACTCACCCCCATCGACCTGCGATGGCATTTCATGGGTAATTGCAGGTTCTACACGGATAAAACGTCCATGACGAGCGAAATGACCTTTCCACTTGAAGGAAAACGCCTTTTTACGATTCTCCTTTGTTGTCAGCTTTGATTTTTGTTGGGGTTATGTTGAACAGATTGGGTTCGATTCAGGAGTTGGAAATGTTATAGTCGTAGCGACAGTTGCGTATGGGTCCGGGGTCGTACTCTGAAATTTCTAGAATGCAGGGGTGTTGTGGGTACCCAGCAACACCAAGATGCGAAGACGATAAATGCAATCACGATCTTACCAGTGTCCCTATTCTTCTTGGTGCCTCGCTCAAATATTGGCTCATGCGCATGTACATAATCCTGATTCCGATCCTGGCTCTTATGTGCTGATGTGGGCATCCATTATACCATAGGTAGAGAGGACGCTATTGAAGTATTGATGTTTTGAGTTTCAAGAAGCGAGCAGAGGATTCGACCTGATTATCCGATGAGCACGTTGATGAGCGTCGATAAGGCTGTTGGGATTTCTACGATGTGGTCAATTTTCCCTCGAACACACGTGCTTGCTGCATAAGTTCCCGTCGGAGAATAAACAAGAGCGTTTGGTTCCTTGGGTCGGCTCGAGGACACCAAGTCTTAACATGCAGGTTCACGTAATTCAGCTGGCACCCTGCAACAACACAGCCGCTTTCAGCTCAAACGTACGGCCACGCATCCCGTGAAGCTTTTGCGCACCAGGGACCAGTCATATACCATAGTTGCGTAGTTGTCCAATTATTGAATGCCTCCTTGGAATAACATGGCCGAGGGGGGGAGCTCGGGGTGGCCGCCCGCCGAGCCGGGAAGCGCAATAGTGCACTAAAGAGCGGGACTCAGATTCGGTGCTTCAAGAATGGACAACACATGGTCATGCGGGCCCAGGGAATCTCTACTATCATCACGTCCAGCTGGCATGTCGTTTAGCAAGATTCGTTGGGTTGACGACTCATGGCTCTGGAGTGATGTCCACCCGACAGATCAAGACGAGTTGCGGAGTCTTTGAGGCTCAAACAAACACGGCACATCGCCTTCTGGGATAATCAATTTCGCACACGGGTCTGGACCCCGCTTGGCGACAGAAAGATTGAGGCGGGCCAATCAGATGGGCCCATGGTATTTTCTCATCAACATGTCGGGCCTTTGCCATCTGCAGGAAACGGGAAAAAAGATAGTCGGCTCCAGGATGTGCCGTCCTCACGAAGCACTCGACCAACAGTTGTGAGACGAGGATCTTGCCCTCTTCTCCAGAAACCCGACGTATTTTTCATTCCTTGTCTAGCGAGTCCGGCGAACGCGCCGAGCCTTGCGAGAATGAGCCACCAGGACGAGCAGCCGCAACGCCAGGTCGACCATGCCAACGATACCATCGAGATCGAAGACCCCGTCGAGCGCATCACTGTAAAGACAAAGGGAACCAACACGACGCCTGAACCGTCCACGCCGAGTTCGAGTATCAATGGCAGGCTCCATGGCACGCCCGAATGTATTGATGATGGGGGTGTCGTACACGACTATGAAGAAAGAGAAGGCGCAAAGAAGGGCAAATTTGCCTACCTGCGGACAAGAGATTTCTGGATTGTGCTTCTGCTCACACAAATCATCGCTCTGGCTCAGACCGGAACAAATACCTTGACATCTCTGATCAACGCTCGAGGCACCAGTATCCCAGCATTCCAGACCTTCTTCAACTATGTTTTGCTGAATGTTGTATACACTTCTTTCACCATCTACAAGTACGGCTTTGCCAGATGGGCCAAGATGGTCTTGAAAGATGGCTGGCGATTCTTCATACTGGCTTTCTTGGATGTTGAGGGCAATTACTTCATCGTGCTCGCATACAAATACACCAATCTCCTGTCTGCCCAACTCTTCAGCTTCTGGACAGTCATCGTCGTCGTCGTGATATCGTTGGTCGTTCTCAAGGTGCGCTACCACCTTGCGCAGTACGGAGGCATCGTACTTGCATGCGGAGGATTCGCCTTGTTGATTGCCAGTGATTACATCACAAAGTCCAACAACTACGCTCCGGCAAACGCGCTCAAGGGAGATCTGTTCTGTCTACTTGCTCAGACTCTCTATGCTTTCTCCAACACTTTCGAGGAGTTCCTCGTTTCCAAAAGACCCATGTACGAAGTCATCGGACAACTGGCATTCTGGGGCATGTTCATCAACGGCGTGCAAGCCGCCATTTTCGATCGCAAGTCCATTCAAGAAGCAACATGGGACGGACAGATCATCGGATACATCGTCGGTTACACCCTGCTGCTGTTCATCTTCTATACCTTGGCACCAATCGTTTTCCGCATGAGCAGTGCCGCGTTCTTCAACATCGGTCTATTGACAGGCACCTTCTGGGGAATCGTCGTTGGTACCCAAGTCCTCGGATATCACATCCACTATCTCTACCCCATCGCTTTCGTTCTCATCATTCTTGGACACTTCGTCTACTACGGTACAGAAGGTGTACTGGGCGAGGCAAAGAAGCCATGGCTGGGAGAAAACCAGGAGCTTGGCGAAAGTGGTCTCGGAACAGCTAGGCGTAGAGCTGAGCATCCGAATGCGATTGTTTGATAGTCTATTACCCCTGGTCTCTTCATTCCTAACCACATATTGTATGTAATGTTTAGCTTACGTGTTGATACTGTATTCATGAATCATGATCTTTCATGTACACAGTTCTCACACTCGTCGTACTACGCTTCCACAGTTGAGACTATGTGACGTGTTCAAGAAGTCATTCGACCGCGTCATTCTATACATCCAACAGCTTGCCGGAACGTGGTCAGCGAGATCGAGTTTCAGACAAATCATCAATATCCAAATCATGCATGACTTTCAGGGCGCCCATGTCTAGATCTACTTCTAACCAATAGATCAACCAGCAATACGCGAACTGGAATGATATATATGCTCTTTGTTGTATTTTGTGCTTCTATCGTTTCGACAATTTTGGAGTGTCGTTTGTGGACAGGGTAACACCTGTGACAAGAGTAAGTCGAACCGAAATAATGTCCTATATTGTCAGGCATATTGAAAAGGTGCAAACCTAATGGAATACTCTAACTGGAACTGCCTTGAAGGTGTTTTTACTATTGTCATCTCGAGGTGGGTGGCTGTTGATGGTTTCGGATTTAGGCACCCCGTTCCACGCACACAACCGGGACCCAGTAGCGTAGCTTTCTGGTAAAGCACTGAATCGAGGACTAATCGGATCACGATCTTGAGTCCCATAGGCTATTAAATACACTTGAAGAACGACGATGTCTGCCCGGAAGAGCGAGAGTGAGAGTGAGAGCGAGATGATGATCGTCTTCGGCTCTTACAACACCGGAGCAGGGTCATGCCTACACCACAGGAAAAAAGAACAGGGTTCCCCTCGCGATTAGCTCAAACGATGTACAGCAATACAACGAGCATTGGAATGTTGACAAAAAGACCGTGACAGCAGTGACTATGGGTATCTACACGGTTATCCATTAGAGGCAAGGATAAAGTTTGACAGTTCGTGATTTTATGCAATTTGCTCATCATCACGACTTCTTGCCGTGTTTCAACAGATCAACGAACCATGGTGTGAACTCAGAGGTCCTCCAACGGCCGAAAGTACATTCTCGCGATGTAAAAGATACCATCAGCACTGGCCAATACTCTAGCGTGTATGTGCGGCACCTACTCAGGGGAACATTTCTAGTAAATGGACAAGTTACTCCCATCTTGCCTTGCGGTGGTGAAGCGCTAAATGCATGGCAGAGATCGACAGATACTTTCGAGCTAGAAGTGATGTCTATCGAGTCGCCTCGGATAGGTATATCTCAATGGTATGTGGCGGTTGGATCCAAAGCGATTGTGCATTATACAGCAGCTACCCGACCCACACTTTGGACAGACAGGAAGCGTTGAGAATGGATTGAGACAAAGAGTTCTCGGCTGAGCCCCAACATGACTGTGTCCTGGCATAGCACTCAAAGTTGACTCGCTACTGTGTAAAGACATAGAAGCGTGACGTGTCTGCAAGCCTTCGACTCGAGTTGAAGGATACCATTAATGGAAGATAGACGCGTACCTACCTGTAATTCCAGAGTCCACGCACGCTCGGAATGCGAAGGTGCTCGTCATCCTTTTGTCCAGGAAACTGTTACGGTCGTAGAGCCACGCTAATACATACACTACTTTGTCGATTCGCGAATCGCGAGTTTCCGAGAAATGTTGTCATACGCGCTGTTTGACGGTTAAACCTACTCACAGTTGGAACGCGACGATGCGAGGTTGGCAGAGAGAGAGAGAGTTTGCCTAGAATGTTACTCTGCCCTGTTATTCCAATCTGATCTAAGGGTATCCATCGCATCGACGTAAAATCGACTCTGCGTCGGCTCGCCTTATTGAATCCATATTCGATACATGGGGACTGCAATAATGGAGGGGCAGCCCTGCGCGACTAATCTGGAAGTCGATGCGAAGTGTTACGCTCTCTTGGCAGGCACGAAAGCCGTTCTTTGGTGCAAACTTCAAAGGCTGGGAGTCAGGTTGTCAGACTCTGTGGATGCATGACGTTGATCTGGTTGGACCAAGCTGGGGCATGTGGGGTATCTTATCGATCTCGGCCTCACAGGTCGGCATAGCAGTACTCTGTTCGTGCCGAGGCCTTTTCGGAGCGCTCCATGTTCACGATCAAGATTCGAGGGAGTTTCGACAAGTGTCGTGACCTTTGCCAGTAGAAGTGTGTCGTCATACTCTATTCTTGACAAACAGACTCAAGTGCAGGGATTGCTGAAACTTCAAAGCCACAAAGGTAACATTGGTGTTGCGAAGCAGTGTGGCTTTGCGGCTACAAATTTGGAGAGAAGTCCGGACTTGCTTCAACCTCTTGCGCTCAGGACAAGATCTGGCTCCACCAGACTATTCGTACACTTCTCATTCTGGCTGTACAATGTCGATCGATGCAACCAAAACTAGCAATGTGTCACGCGCTGATCTGGTATCAGTTCTGATGAACGAAAGACCAAGACCAAGATCAGGGGGTATGCACAAAAGCAGAAAGCAAATGGACAACTCCCGATCCAGCGCTCCAGAGCTGTCCAAATGGAAAACGAAAAGTGGGGTTTGCGCTCCGGGCAGAGGCGGTTGCTCTTAACGCGGAGCTGACGAGTACGGGAGAGATGTGGGTTGTGGAGTGCTCGCGGTAAGTGTTCGTGTGGAGAGACGAGCTTGCACTCAGCCAGTGTTACAGAATAACAAAGAATGGTGAAATCGAGCAAATGTCAAGGAAGAACGACAACGGAGACGACTCACGGAGCGCAGAACGAGACATCGTGTTTTTCCGGCTGACGGCCATGGTGGCTGATGTCGTTGTGACTTGCGAGTCAAGCGACGCAGAAACTGAAGACCAGAAAGACGTCCGAGTGCGCGATGACTCATGGGCAAGATGCGCCTGGTAATACAGGTTTGGTTGGCATGGTCCTGAACAATGAGAAGAACGAAAACGCGTGCACACCAATCAGTGATGCCATGCACAGTGTAACAGTCGCCATAGGGCACTCTTGGACATCACGTTTGGCATCGTATTATGTAGTGGGTAGACATGACGCTTAGTCCGGTGGTCTCTCGTACGTAACCGAGCATTCGATAGCTGTAGTGCGCGTAGAGAGATGATGTTGTGAGGGAGAATTTTCCTGCCGGATCAAGTGAACGGACAAGACGAAACAGTCCAGACTGAGCACTGATATTCGGTGGAAGAAGTCGTGCGAATCAGGAGGGCGCAAGAGACACGAGTTTTGCCGAAGCGGAGCAACGCGGTGCGGGACAGGCCAAGTGCGGGCAATCGTCAGGGTCTTGACGAGAAGCGCCAACTCTAAGCATCCACTGTCTTCGTGGCCGCTACATGACATGTCATGCGTCGACAAGATTGCGAATAGCTCCACTTGATGGCAGTAAGTGAGGCTGACAAGGGGGAAGGTCACAAGTAGCCCGTTAAAATTCGGCCTGACCACCGTTGTGCTGTGGCCAAGGCACCTGTTCTTCTCAAGTCCACCTCCACATACAAAACCACGCTGCTATTCCTCGTCGCATCTCCCTATCGAGTATCGAGTATCGAGCATCGAGTACACAACAGCTATCCGTTCTCATATCCTCCTTGACACGACCTGCCGTACCTGCAGCAAGTACTTGGGATTGTTCCGGATCGACGACGCCCTATTGGCAGCCCTTATCAGCAACAAGGCCGCTTTCTTTGATGCAAAAGTCTCACCGCTGCTGCAACTTCCATTGACGGGTACGCACTTTGTATTTTCTTGTTTCTGGCTGGCCGAGGAATGAAATTTGCTCGTCGGCCGCCATCGACGTTGCTCAGTGTCATCTGCTCATGCGTGTTTCCGATCACCTGCAAAGCCGGTTCAGGTAGCCTGTTCTGACACATTCAACGGCAGGTCCATTTCGAGCCACGACTGTCTACATCGACATCTCCAACCTTCTATAGATAAGAACGCCCGCTTCTCACCAAGCCACGCCCTGTCTGTGTCCAGTGCTGTTACCGCTGTTTGCTGCTGCTGCTGCCACACTTTCTGCACCGGCCACCCGCGGCTTAACTTGCATGTCAATCACTTTGGTCTTTATCTTAAATCGCGCCCCTACCCCCAGCCGCCGAAGATGAGTCCTCCACAACAACATGCTCGTAATACCACTGCAAACACTCGCCGAGCTGCACCCACACATGCACGCCCGCTAAGGCCTCCTCCGCTCGGTCCTCGAAAGCATAGTCACTCGGCTCAGTCAAAAAAGACTACTGCCACTTCTGCAAAGAGTCACCCGAAAAGAGACATCGACCCAGAGGACGAAGACATGGCTGGTCTTCCTCAGTTTTGGTGAGTAAGCTTCGTCGTTGCCTCGTGTCGCCCTACTAACATGGCCCAGTGCTACTTGCGAGAAGCAAATCCTCACTCCTGCCTGCAACTCCATTCTCTACTGTTCAGAGAGCTGCCGCCGAAAGGACCACAACAAGCCTCTGAGTCACTCCATCTTGCCGTCGGAGCCCTCGCCGCAACCTATCACCCCCCGAAGCTCCTACTTCTTCGAAGACAACCAACACGAGATTTTGCCCATGCGATCACCGACCGTCGTGCGTCCACCATCATTGGCCTTCTCAGACGACAGTTCGGATCTGTCTGGCAGCGAGGAACAACCGGCATACCGACGCAGTGAGAGTGATGGATATCGCTATCTCTCACACTACCGTTACAGCTCCACCGACCAGAGCCCCCGTCGTGCGAGCTACGAACCATATACACCGTCCTTGTCACACACGCCGACTTCGCTTCTCAGCACTGTTGGTTCATATCTATCGGCTCGCCCGCTTCCGGGTCGCAAGAACCCTTATAGTGCTTCGTTCAGCTCCCTCTCAGTCGACCTCGTCACGCCTGTCGTCAACACAGAACCACTGACTGCGTCAACCGATCTAAGCCACCAGAGTACTTCACTGCGCAGTAGTGTAAGCACTAGCACTGCCTTCCGTGTCGTCGAGGGAGAAATGAGCTACGAGAAGAAGGACTACGCAAGTGGTACATCACCCAGCAAGGGCAGTCTTCGACAACTTTTCTTCCACGAGGCCATGCAGGCACCCCCAAGACACGATTAGCATGCCTCGGTCTCTCAAGCCTAAATCAACGGCTTCTTCTTTTCCTTCTCTTTCTTGCATAACGATTTAATTTCACGAGATTCATGACAGACAAAAGATCGCGGAGATGATTCCAGCTATCTGAAGAGTAAAAAAGCATTTGCATATGGCACACCACAGTATTTCACTATCATAGCGTTCGGCATTAGAATAAAAAGTGTTACGGCAGCCTTACGAATAGAATGTGTCATTCGAATGATAACGGTTGTCGCTCTCGCCCTTGACACGACTGTCTCCGCTAATGGCTGTACACCGTACATTCAGACATCATCTGTAGGAACAACGTGTCATGGGGCTTGTGTAGACAGTCAGTTCCATGAGCTTATTCATCGGGACACCATCCTCACCACCAGTTGAGTAGGTTCTGCTGCATTGCGATTTGTGCGAGGGATGCGCGAAGATATGTACACATGGCCCGTGCGTTATACTCTCCACGCCTTTACCGAAGCACCTTGTCTGTTAGTCGAGGTACATGCCCTGAACAATCTTGACAAATGCAAAATGCAATGCGGAGGATAGTTGTCACTGGCCTAGGGGCTGTGACTCCCCTTGCAGTTGGTAAGCTCAGCTGCCATACTATGAGTTTATCGTGGAGATACTTATTCTGATCATAGGTGTTCTGCCCACCTGGAGGCGACTGATCAATGGAGAATGCGGGATTGTGAACATCACGAACAGAGATCCGAAATTTTCCTCTCTGCCATCTCAAATCGCAGGTATTATCCCTGCCAGTCTCCGACACGGAGATGGAGGATGGAATCCAAAGGATTGGTTACGGCCAGGCGTAGGTAACGAAAACTTCACCTCTGAATGAACACAGATTGACATTCAAATTAGGATGATCGGAAGATGGCACTATTCGCGCAGTATGCTATGGCTTCAGCTGATGAAGCTCTTCGGGACGCGAATTGGAGGCCAGAATCTGAGGAGGATCTCCAAGCAACGGTACATTAACAACATCACCGCCACAACAAAAGACAAGTCTAAGTTTGCTGCAGGGTGTCTACATCGGATCTGGTATTGGGAGCCTGGACGATGCCTACAACACTGCTGTGGAGTTTGAGAAAGGCGTATGTCCGATGTCCTGGTCAAATCGAGGACGAGATACTGACGCATAGCAGGGCTACAAGAAAGTGTCGCCCCTATTCGTACCCAGGCTCTTAATCAATCTAGCCGCAGGTCACATTTCCATGAGATATGGATTCAAGGTGGGTGATTTCCTTCTCAGCACACACCGTCTGAACTGACGATAAGAAGGGGCCTAACCACGCAGCGACAACGGCGTGTACAACGGGTGTCCATGCAATCGGTGATGCTGCCCGCATGATCGCCTTCGGAGATGCAGATGTGATGGTTGCTGGGGGTGCAGAGTCTTGCATCCATCCGCTCGCCATCGCTGGATTTTCTCGCGCAAGAAGTCTAGCTACTGAATGGAACGATAGGCCACAGGAAGCCTCAAGACCGTTTGACAACGCTAGGGCGGGCTTTGTGATTGGCGAGGGAGCCGGTGTTGTGGTACTTGAGGTTAGTACCACACATAGTGTTGCACTATACTGGACATTTCAATAACGACTGCCGTCTAGGAACTGGAGCATGCGAAAGCACGTGGAGCCTCCATCTATGCTGAGGTCAGAGGCTACGGCCTTTCATCTGATGCACATCATATGACGGCTCCTCGAGAAGATGGTCAGGGACCGTGCCTCGCTATGAAGCGTGCACTGAAGCAAGCAGGCATCAAACCTAGCAAAGTTGACTATGTGAATGCTCACGCTACTTCAACAGTACTCGGCGATGCTGCCGAGAATCGTGCCATAAAGACTCTGTTACTCGGCGAAGAGGGATATGCGAGTGCTATGCAAATCAACGCAAGCAGCACCAAAGGTGCAGTCGGACATCTCTTAGGAGCTGCCGGAGCCGCCGAGACCATATTCACTGTACTGGCACTGAAAGATGTATCACCTTCCCGAATCCAGACACCAACGGACTCACGCTGACAAAACGCAGGACATTTTACCACCAACACTCAATCTCAGACAGGCGGGCGACCCTGCATCTGACTTCGATTGCAACTATGTCCCCAACACAGCCCAAGACTGCAAAGTACAAGTCGCGCTATCAAATAGCTTCGGCTTTGGAGGGACAAATGCTAGCATTTGTTTGAGCAAATACGAGGGCTGACAGCTCGAGAACCGACTCTTCAGCTCATTTTTGAGACGGAGTCATCTGTATAGACCAACAATTATGTCAGAATTGACAAGTTATGATTGCTCGATCAAAACTGTCAGGGAAGCGGCGCGCCCCCGCCCGGGCCCCCACGCAGCCCCACTGTCGACGATAACGAGACCTCGACTTGTATGCAGTGATTTTTCCTCTGCGGTAATCTCGTCTTTTCTCCTCGAGCAACACTGTCGATTTTGACCTGCAAGCAATTGTATGAAGCCTAGGAAGTGACATGTCATCCCAAGTCGAGCCACTGATGATCGGTTCAGACGACAACCGTAGCGAAAACGCCATTTATCTCCGACTAAGGGCAAAAGGCAAGCATGTTCATACAAAGATTCCGGTACTCAACCGTTTGCCTTTTCCTTCTATTGCAATAATCTCATTGCTGGTCGTCATAAATATATTGGTGTGGATAGTGGTTGGAATTGTTCTTGTAAGTCGCCCTTGGTCCAATTTGATTCATCGACGCATGCCTGACTTGAGATAGAGCTACCACACGTAAGAGCTCTGATTCTAGGATAAGAGAACACTTAGTTGACTGTCAACCAGATCCCTGATATCTACAGCTGTGCTTGCGTATTCTCTGGGGTTAAGGCATGCATTAGATGCCGACCACATATCGGTAGCGAGCAACTAGAAATTTCACAATTGATGCACTACTAATCTAAATAGGCCATTGATCTTATGACCAGACGTCTCATAGCCACAGGACAGCGTCCCGTAACAGTCGGCACGTTCTTCTCCTTGGGACATTCAACGCACGTAGATGGTAATATCCATTGTTCCAGCATCACGCATACTGATTGATCGCTAGCATCGTTGTCATAACCTCCATCGTGGTGGCCTCGACCGCTGCCGCTGTGTCATCAAAATTCGGAGCCTTCTCCAGAGTTGGCGGTATCATTGGAAGTTGCGTCTCCGCCACTTTCTTGATTGTGCTTGGTATCATGAACGTGTTCATTCTGTACAAACTCATCAAACAACTCCGGAAGATCATCAACTCTCCCGCCAATTCGCCTGAGCCCGAGTTTCAGATCGAGGGCGGAGGATGTCTTTTTCATATCCTGAAAAGGATGTTTAAGCTCATCGACCGGTGGGTCATCAATTAGGATCACGACAGGCCAAAGCTGACATACCTCACAGTCCGTGGAAGATGTACCCTCTTGGTGTACTCTTTGGATTGGGTTTCGATACGTCATCAGAGATTGCTCTGCTAGGAATCAGTGCAATCTCTGCTAGCCAAGGAACTTCATTCTGGCTCATCCTTTTGTTCCCTGTGCTGTTTACCGCAGGTATGTGCTTGCTGGACACAACCGATGGAGCTCTGATGATGGCTTTGTACACCTCAACACGTCTGGCCAAGGACACCATTGCAGTATTGTATTATCAAGCTGTCCTCACTGGCGTCACCGTCCTTGTCGCTGTGGTCATAGGTGTCATCCAATTCCTCGGCATGCTGCAGGGAGCTGCCGATCTAAAGGGTGGGTTCTGGGATGGCGTTGAGGTTGCTAGCGATAACTACGACATCATTGGTGAGTCGATTTTGCTCTCACTCGATTCTCAAACGTATACTGATCTCAGTCTAGGCGGTGCTATCTGTGGAAGCTTTGTTGTTTTTGGTGTCCTGAGCGCCATTCTGTATCGCCCATGGCGTAAAAGGGTTGATGCGAAGAGAAACGCGCTCGTTCTAGAATACGAAGAAGACGAAGCAGATACCGATCTGAGAAGAGGTGGAGATGTCGGAGAAACTCACGGTGAACCTGAACTTGTGCAGGAGCAGACTCAAGAGCAGAGCCGCGTTGACAGGAAAGGAGGTCAAGTCATGTGAACGCACAGAACTAAGGTTGGATACAGTTTCATTTGGAGAGGACCTGTATAGGAGTCCTAGAGCGCCTGTGGACTTTTGCTTGATGTCTTTTCTATTCAATTCAGAACATCTGGCACCGCTTCGATGCCTTCTGTCAGATAGCGCTGTACAGTATCCGCCTGCTCCGCATAAAACTTCTGCATTGTCTCATCGTTGACGTAACCCATGTGTGGCGAGAGAACAACAAGGGATCGGCCATCTTGTCCCCAAGCAGTGGTACGCCATAGACTTTCCAGGGGAAGAGGCTCAACATCGAACACGTCTAGAGCTGCACCTCTGATGGCACCTCGATTGAGTGCATCAAGCAGAGCTTTCTCGTTGATCAGGAGGCCACGAGAAGTGTTGACCAATATCGCGTTCTTTTTCATCATAGCAATCTCGGCTGCGCCAATCGTTCCCCTGCTACGATCCGAAAGCACATAGTGCATACTGACGACATCTGCCGTCTTGAGTAATTCTTCCTTGCTCACGGCTTTGATTGACCCTTTAGGTAGACCTGCATTCTGAGCTGCATCATCGGCTTTCTCTTGTGTCAGATTCGCACTCCAAGATACGACAGTCATTCCAAAACCCAGAATTGCTGTCCGAGCAGCATTAGTACCTAATCTACCAAGACCAATAGCTCCGAATGATTTGTTGGACAGAGTAAAGCCAAGACCGGTCTGGAAAGGACCCCCAGAGCGTAGTGCAGCGTCTTCCATCGGTATACGCGAAGCAAGAGCAAGGATGAGGGCAAAGCAATGCTGGGTAGTTGCATCATACTCGGGTGAGGGGGCCACTAGTGGAGGAAGCTCTGGATGAGTGATGTTGCGAGTGCCGGGAGCAGTAGCAACTACGATACCAAGCTCTCGTGCGGCAGCCATATCAATGCTACGGTTACGTTTGGCAGTAGTGATCAGAAGCTTGAGATTGGGCAGTGCAGCGAGGAGTTCTTTGTTGAACGGAGTGCGTTCGCGCATGGAGCTGATGATAGGATACTCTGCGAGACGAGCAGCCAGAGCTTTGATGTTGTCTGCATTGGTAGGTGGGATAGTGTCGGGGAAGCTGTCAACTTTGAGATTGTGGATGTGCTTGAAGTACTTGGGCGCTATGCCAGCATAGTCGTCCAATACGGCGAGAGATGACATTCTGGCCGAGAGAAGCCTAGGAGATTGTATGTGTGATGTGTCGTCAGAAAGTGTCGAGGTGAACAAAGGTTGCAATCATGTCTCTAGAGCATCTCTGGGTAAATGATGTTCCGAGGGGTCGCGGGATCTTCCTCCGGATGCTGGTATCGGTATATCGCTGCGAAACTTACAACGTATCTCATCGCTTCAGAAGTGGGTGAAGGTGAAAGACAGGAAGACACGCCGCGGCCAGACAAGCATGTGGAATTGTGTGTCGTCTCATTGAAAGGTGCAAAAGATGTGACAGAGCGACTGGTAGATTGAAGAGTTACTTACCTAGCGCTGTCAACAATAGGCGAGGCGCGTGTCATTGAGTAAAGCGACAGGGTGACGGCTTGGCACGCGCATTGACGCTGTCCGGGCCGGCCTTTGGTGCTCGCGAGTTGGAGCTTCTTACCACAGCATTGCTCAAGTTAGGCGCGAGCTCCTGGCAGCAATGGGTTCTCTATTGCAGCTGTCCGACGTGGCTGACTTGATTCCGCGACACGATGCCCAGTTCTTCAAGCAGCGAGTGGCCGATCTGATTGAGCGCCGTTCGCTCTCGTTCCCAGGCGCGCAGCCTGTGAGCTTTTCGCGCCGCCATTTCCGTGACTTGCAAGACACAGAGTATGCTCGCTCCCGACTTGTGTGCCGACTGCGTACTGACTCTTGTCTAGTTACTGGCTTTGCGAAAAGACCGACGGCATTCGCTGCCTCCTTTACCTCACCACCTTCTCGGATGGCTCTACTCAGCAAGAAGCCCATATGCTTATCGATCGCAAGAACGACTACTACAACATCGACAACGAACACTTTCATTTCCCCTTACCCGATGCTCCCGAAGCGAGTTACCACACCGAAACCCTTCTCGACGGCGAGCTTGTTCTGGACAAACTACCTGGAGGTGGAGAGCAAAAGACTTTCATGGTCTTTGACTGTCTCGCCGTTGACGGCAAGTCTCTCTTGCAGCGCACACTCGACAAGCGACTGGGTTATTTTGTCGAATCCGTGCTAAAGCCTTACCACAAGCTTCTCGCTCGATACCCCGAGGAGAAGGAGTTGCAGCCTTTTGTCATCGTGGCCAAGAAGATGGAAAAGGCCTATGGTGTTATGATGATGCTCAAGGACGTCTTGCCAAAATTGCCGCACGGTAGTGACGGACTCATCTTTACCTGTCGCACTTCGCCTTACACACCTGGCACGGATCAGAAAATCATCAAATGGAAGCCGCCTCATGAAAACACCATCGACTTCCGCCTACACTTGGGCGATTTTCCTTCGGTCACAGAAGACGGCCAAACATTTCTGGACTACGACGCTTGCCCGTCTATGGATTTGCTGGTCTTTCATGGTTCTGACAGGAGCGAGTTCTACGCAAAACTCCACGTGACGGAGAGTGAATGGGAGAGCATGAAGGGCATGCAGCAGATTCTGGACGGGCGAATAATCGAGTGCCACAAAGATGAGCATGGTCGATGGCGTTACAAGAAAGAGCCGAATGGCGAGCCTCGTTTTAGGGACGACAAGACAGAAGCCAACCATATCTCGACGGTTGAAAGTGTCCTGGAGAGTATTGAAGACGCCGTGAGTGAACAGGATCTTCTGGACAACGCAAAGATGATCAACGCATCATGGAAGAGACGTGAGGCCGAGGCAACACGACCAATGGCAACACAGACGAACGGTGTACCACGTTAGACGGGCTCCCGTAGGAGCCATGATGATATGATGAATGGGGAGAAGGATTGATTGGGACAGGCGTTTCGTTCACGGACACAGACATTCATAAGATACCCACTTACCGCCGGGCGGCGCTATGCTGAAGCGGAGAATATAATCACGTTGCACATCATTGAGCCTATGAGCGTGCAGTTTTTGTCGGACGGAATCTGGCTGGTCTTCATAGTGCAATCCTTGATTACGCTTATCAAAGGCATCTGGGATGGGTGGCTGAACGTTCAAATCAGAGCAGTTCAAGCAGTGTCGAGTCCATCGCAGCACTACTTTTTTGTGACAGATCAAGGACACCGAGATCCGATGACAGACGAAGGGAAGGTATGAACCATGTGGACCTAGCCGATTGAAAGTGGTAGAGTTCATGCCAAGTTGGTGTCTATTGGCCATGGTCCATGGGATTTGCGGAGAAGTCAAAGCATCGGGAACGAGCATGACCGACACATGCTTAATGTTGTACTGTAACAACCACCCAACTTTTGGTCACAACCCACAAATATAATACCCTCTAGGAACTGCGAATCGATCGCTTCAAGGACTCACCTTCAATACTCGCATCCTGTGACGAATCTCTTCTTGCCGCTCTCATTGTCTGCCTGGCTCCACCATCCTCATTTGCTCTTCATCGGCCCAAGCAAGCATCGCATCCATCTAGGAGAGCCGTCACCAGGAGACCCCTAGACGAACCTTCGACTGCCTGATTGTTTGTCTGACCTTTCAAGCTCATTCGACGCCCAGGACGATAGAAAGAAGCAAAAGCAGCAAAGCAAAGCAAAGAGTTGGCAGGGCCACGGTGCGCAGAGACGCAAGCAAGAGCTCGGGCTCAGTGGCGAGTGGAGGGGCTGAGAGTAGATGGATCCGCAGAGCGTGGCCTTTGTTCCGCACAACGATCCCTGGCGTCTGTGCAACGACTTGCTGCGCTTGCAGCAAGTCCAGGCCGACCATACAGATCGTCTGCTCCGTCTTGAACGCCGCCAGGACGACGACGCCAGGATGAAGTCGGTCTGGGGAGCTACCTCGCCGTTTCCCAGTGTCCTGAGTGGTACTCCTCAACATGCCCCCATCCATCTCAAAGATTTCGACGATGAGCCCGTCAATCTGATCGGCGGTTTACATCTGGACCCGGATGAGGAGCCTCGGCGCATGGGTGCAACTTCCCGCGCAAACAGCGTACGATTCGATGAATCTGCCAATCAGGGCCATTGGGCTCATGCCTCGCGGTCATCTATCGACTTTCTCCCTCGTAGTGCAAGCAGCCTGGGTGGACTCGGGATGACAGAACGCACCTCGTCACACAAGTCGGATGGCCGAGCCAGTTCCGTACACTCGGTCAGATCTGCTGCGTCGGGCCGCGCCAGTAGCATCAATCTAGATACAGGTTACGCCTCCCCTCTAGATACCCCAGCGATCGCTCCTGGTGTCATGATTTTGGGCCCCGTCCCAGCGATCGTGCGTTGCTGGCTAAACACGAACTTCAAGCACGATGCATTGCTATATGCTGCCGTCTCTACTGCCTCGTACAAATCACAGATAGACGAGCGTTTAGTGCGACAATTGGGACTGGAGGACTGCATAGTTGGTAAAGCCGCTGGTGGCAAACTACTCTCCCTTGCTGTCTACTTCGCCGAGGCCATTCCTCATCCGAATCTGACGAGATCAAGTAGTCCTGCGCCGCAGGTTCCATCAGTCACGATTGATTTCAACATAGTCGATCTCGCACAAGACGATATCCAGTCTAGAGCGATCCAAGTGGTCATTGGCAGCGACGTGCTCCGTTCTCATAACGCCGACATACTGCTTTCATCCAACAGCATGACCATTTTTGACGACGACCAATGCAAGCTATCGATTCCTCTAGTTCGTCCAGAAAACGAGGCAACATTCAATTCTCTTTCCATATCATCATCATCACAGGCATCGACACGCCAGGTTATGACGCAAGAAGAACACGCGCAGCTCAACGGACTAGGACAGACAAATCCAAGTAGTCCTTCTAATGAGATGACATACGTGACTGAAAGTGCGCCGATGCCAACGGATGAGAGCGTCCAGAGGCCAGTTGAACAACTCTTGCTTGATGAGAGTGCTGGCCGTAGCAAGCAGCAACCATTTGGCTCGAAACTGGTTCGATTGGAGAACAAGGACTCTGCAATTTCTGTACAAACCCAGACTCCTGACCCACCTGCGTCCTCACCATCTATCTGGAGCAATTGGCGCCGAGAGACGTCTAGTCAGAACACTGGTGCAGATGCGGGCGGCGCAGCGTCCAAAATCAAAGATAGTGGCTATCAACGGCGAGATGCTGGTATCAAGGTGCTCAGACCCACGAGAACCATCAGCCGTAGGTTGTCAAGTGGCTCAGTGGCATCTTCTCCAGCCGGAGATGGAAGATCACGCTACTTTGATGAAGGGAGGAAAAGGGGCCCAGACGCTGGTGCGGGAGGAGAAAAGTCGTTGGGTCGCGCAGGAATGGGAGACGATCAAGCTGAAATGGCGACGAGTAAAACAAGGAGCAATCCGGCAGGCGGAGGGTCTGCTTTCTCGTGGCTACACCCCAGCAACAAGGTCTGAGCACGATACGTGTGGTAGTTGTAACAAGGAGGAGAGAGCAGCTCCGCCCAAGCAGCTGCAGCAACGGACAGTCGCGCGCTCCAAGAATGAGTGCACATCTTTAGACAGAAGCAAATTTTACTAATGGACGATTAATGCCTTGATACGACATGTAGTCTGAAGTCTTGGTGTCATGAATAAGAGCGGAGTAGAATACTTCTAGTGAGTTCTTCAGCTTCTCTTGATGTGAAACGGCTGTCTGGCTCTGCGAACAGACGACTACGTGAGGGTAGCCTGGCACAAAGTCGAGGAACAATCAACAATCCCTTCCCGTTTGCCATGGTTTGTCACTTCGATTCACTTATTGCTGGTTGCAGAACAACGACAAGCTGTAGAAAGGCACAGTTGTTTCCTGAATTGACAGAATCCGTTCGAAGAATCCATGAGACAACGTGTCTTAATGACATAGCTCCAGTCTTGAAAGAGTATTGGTCGACAGCTACAGACAGATGTGACAGTGTTCAGCACACGGAGAGGTTGTAACAAAGATTGTGGCACTCGTCAAGCCACACCCCAGGAAGTTGCAGATCCAAAAATCCTACGTCAGGAGCGAAGCCGCTTGAAATTCCGCAATTCAATCACCGCAAAACAACCTAGACCAGGTAGCAATTCTCGCGGAGCGTCTTGTCGCTGCATTACAGTCCCTCTCTTTATATCCACCGAGCTGCCCTTCAGCGGCGGCTCACCCATCGTCAAGACGGCGTCCTCAAAGAAGCAGAAAGTCGCCCACTCTGCCGCAGACAGTCCGAGACACGCATACCATCACTCTGCGCATGACCCTGACCGCCAACCATCATCGCCGCACTCTTCGTCGTCCCCTTCGCCTTCCAGCAATACAGCAGCTCACACTCCTTCGTCACCGCCACGCTACATCCCTCCCCATTTACACGTCGACTCGCGAGGTAGTTCACCGAGCGACGCCTACGCCCAGCTGAACCTGACCGAAGACATGTCCCACCCCAATGGTCACAGGGACATGGACTCTCCCAATCCGCCCCAACGGCCTGCCTCGCCTGCAAAACGTTCTGCCGCTACAATGGAAGGCATTGAGTCTTCTCAGCACGACAGTGCCCAGCCAAACGTGCCAACAGATGACCCTCCGCCGTACGATGCCCACCAAGAGGATGCCCTCGCATCGACTATACCAAGTGTGGAAGAGCAGGTCGCACACATTCAATCTTTACTTAACACGCCTGTGGAGGATGGTTCCACAGGCTTCATCGTAGCTTCCAAGTGGTTCAACCGCGTTGTGGCCAAGACGGCAGACGCAAACCAGAAAAACTTTGACTCCGACATGTTGGAAGGAGAGGTTGGCAAGATTGACAACTCTTCTCTCGTGGCTCCGGGTAAGTACCCTGCTGCAGCAATCCAAGACTACGGCTAAAGTCGACCCAACAGGTGCTTTCGACAACCCTCTCGCGTTTGTGGGCAAGCCCGATCTTGCCTTCATACCACTCCTCGCCAGTGTGGAAAGAGCTGCCGACTACGAGATCTTCACCGAAGAAGCATGGAACCAGGTCGTCACATGGTATGGCATTACAGAAGGACACAAACCGATTGTACGCCTTGCACACAACTCTGCACCAGAGGGTTCAACCTCGTCACACATCGTGTACGAACTGAGTCCCCCTATTTTCACCATACGCAAGGTGCCAGCTCATTCTCAACCTGCCCAGGCCGATATTGCCGCTGCTTCACTGGTCGCTTCACGCACCGAGCGCTTTCAAACTTTCCTCGCCCACGCGAAGGAAGCTGCGGGTATTCCTATGCAACGCAAGGTCAAGATCTTCAGACAGCTGGATCCCACGAAGGTTTCTGGTGACATGCCAACCCTTGCTCAACCAGGCATCCCAAGCCCTCCAACCTCACGAGCCTCCTCACCTTCGCTCACGACCTCGTCCAAGCTTGTAATTGACGCCGCAACCTTTGCCAAGTGGATAGACGGAACCAATTTTGAGCCTACTGATGGTCAGGATCACACCGCAAATGAGAAGTACAACGGCAGGATGACGCTCGAAACACTCGGGTTTGTCGCAGAACAAACTCTCGTTCTTGAAGAGCAACAACGTGGAGCAGCTGCGGCCGACTTCGCTTCGGATACGGCCAAAAAACAGAAGAAGACCAGCTCGCAGCTGTCGCAAACCACAAATACCAGTAGACAGTCCAGTCCTGCCCCTACAGCACAAGTCACTCGCGGAAGGACTCGCAAAGATGGCAAAACCCGTGGTGCTATTGGTCTCGTCAATCTTGGTAACACGTGCTACATGAACTCGGCTCTGCAATGCATAAGCAGAGTCGAAGAGCTCGCTGTCTATTTCCTTCATCAGAAGCACAAGCCTGAAATCAACGCCGACAACCCGCTCGGCTATAACGGCAGGATCGCAAATGCCTATGCGAATCTCCTGGCCGGCCTCTACAATGACACCACCGCCTCTGCTTTTCGACCAAACGGATTCAAGGGTGCCCTCTCCATGGCACAGCCCATGTTTTCAGGTTATGGCCAACAAGACTCGCAAGAATTCCTGAGTTTCCTAGTCGATGCTCTGCACGAAGATCTCAACCGCATTCAGAAGAAGCCATACATCGAAAACCCTGATTCAGACGACAAGACCGTCCATGATCCGGCAGCCATCAGGCAGCTCGGTGACACATACAGAGCAAACCATCACGCTCGCAATGACTCCATCGCTATGGATCTCTTCAACGGATTCTACAAGAACACCATGGTGTGTCCTGACTGCGACAAAGTTAGTGTGACCTTTGACCCTTACTCCCTTCTGACTCTACAGCTGCCTATCGAGAACACTTGGCAAGGCAAGATTATGTTTATGCCTGTTACTGGATATCCTTCCGCTTTCGAGATTGACGTTGAAAAGAACATATCCATCAAGGCACTGAAAGACATTTTTGTTACCAAGATAGGGCGTGGACTGACTCGTGAAAGACTCATCCTTGCTGAGATGTTCAGTCATCGCTTCTACAAAATTGCCTTCGACAGTCAAACCCTCTCTGAGCTCGACTTTTCGCCCAATGATGTTCTCTGTATGTACGAACTCGCTGAAGTGCCGACAAACGCAGCATTCATGCCGAAGAAACAAACGAGCTATCGTTCGTTCTACAATGATTCGTCAGACGATGCTCTACCGGGAATGGACTCGCCCTTGGCAGAGACCATGGCGATCCCCGTCTTTCACTCTAAGCTAGACAAGCGCTCGTCAAATCTCGCTTTGAACCCAACTCTTGTTGTCGTCACGAGAGAAGAAGCCAAGAGCTATGATGCTATATTGAAGCGAGTGCTCACTTCTATCGCTCCCATGACGACAAAGCGTCTTCCTGAAGACGTTCTAAGCAAGGAAGACGGTGACGTTGCATCCGAGGACATTCGGTCCGATCAAGATGCCGATGTTGATGTATCTATGCGTGATGGGAGCCAGACGCCCGCCAAGCAGCAATCAGACGCCCTGCAGTCTGGAGACTTCATTTCCCCTGAGCTTAGAAACATGTTTGAGCTCAAGTATGTTCAATCTTCAGGAGACATGTTCATGACAGGTACCAATAGCATTGGTAATGGCCTACCCATGCAGGATCGTGTACGGAATGTGGATCGTCGTAGAGGAAGTACTGCTTCATCAACATCGAACACCTCCAGCAGAAGCAAGGACTCTGGTTACGATGGTCAGGGCAGGAGCTCACCGAGCAGCGACGCCGACCCAATGATAGAGTCATTCAAGGTCAATGGCCAGAGCACATTCTCTGGTGATGTACAGAGTGACGAGGAATCAGGCATGGCTTCTCTCGAACAGCTGTCAGCCAAGGACACCCGCAGACGTAAGTTCCAAAACAAGAGGGCGAACAAGACGTATTCGCGCAAAGCCAGTCGTCTTCTTGGCAAGAAAAACTTAGCGCGTTCTAACAAAATCCGTCTTACAGCAGTCGACGAGTCTACAGACGATGACGAGTTCTACATCCGACTTGGCGAGGGAATCGTAATAGAGTGGAATGAAGATGCCTTCGAATTTTTGTTCGGGGGAAGCAACGGCAATGGTCAATTCACATTTAACGAGAAAGACGTACCTGTGGTAGACGACAACGAGCTTCAGGTACGAAGGACCAAGCGTATGCAGCGCAAAAAGAATGGCATCACTCTTGATGACTGCTTCACGGAAACCGGCAAGACCGAAGTCCTGTCGGAGGACAACGCGTGGTACTGCAGCAGATGCAAAGAATTACGCCGTGCCAGCAAGACATTGGAACTTTGGACCGTACCCGATATCCTCGTCGTCCATCTCAAGCGTTTCAGCGGCGAACGCTTCCGCCGCGACAAGGTCGATGTTCTCGTTGACTTCCCCATCGAAGGACTCGACTTGACAAAGAGAATTGGTTGCAAAGAGGAGGGGAAAGAGTACGTCTACGATTTGTTTGCTGTAGACAACCATTATGGCGGTCTTGGTGGTGGCCATTACACGGCATACGCCAAGAACTTCTATGACAGCAACTGGTATGACTACAACGGTAAGACCAACCCTCAGGTGGAAGTCGAGTTTGCATGATGCTAAAGTTTTGAGTAGACTCCTCCGTCAGCCGACAAAATGCGGAAGGCGTTGTATCGACAGCGGCGTACTTGCTCTTCTACCGCCGTCGTTCGCCGACACCTCTGGGTCCCCCATACTTGCAAGAGCTGGTGCTCAAGTCACGCAACCCCGACGAAGCCTCGGAGACAGAGGATGAATCGGGGGAAGGCCAGCGTCTCGGCGACCACTCTTCAGCTTCCTTTCGCCTGCCTGGGTCATTGAACGTTGGGGCAGTCGGAGCAGGAGCCGCCAGCACCGGGACGCCTCAGCAGGGAGCCAACGTCGATGGCTCTGGCAGAGGAGTGAGCCAGGAAGTGAGATTGATGAGTAATGTCGACGATGACGAGGGCATCTCTTTGAACGACGACCTCTACAACAGCAACAACAACATGACTGCCGCCCAGCTCGCCAACGAAACCTCTTGGGGATTCGAAAACTTGGGTGAAGACGATAACACGACTTCAGTCAACACACCCGTCGACACGGCCTCGGATCGGCCCGAGATTGGTTCCGACCTGGAGGATCGATTCATGGATACGGAGCACGAAGACGACGACGAACGAGATCAGCAGGGCACGTTTGACGATGAAAGTCTTCCGCCATTGATTGACGATGACGAGAATATGGACACGGAAGATCAGGAGCATCTCAGCGGGCCAGCCTCGAGCGTCCACCAAGACGAGTAGGACCTGATTTCTTGGTTTAAGGGCAAGCTTGGCTGATTGTCTCAAGTCTGAGGAATTTTGGATGGCTTTGCCAAAGTGTGCATTTGCTAAGCCGATGATAGAAAGACAAAAGCAATGAAATCAGACACGATACATTAGAGTAGACAAGACAGGTGAAGACGAACAAAGCAGCCGTTTGTGACAAAGTGTTGAAGCTATAATAGGAGTGACTATGCAGGCAAGTGTAGTAAAACGGTAGGTAAAGTCAGGAATCTTTCAGCCTGCCCCACTCTGGCTTGACATCGACAAGGCCATGTTCGTCGATGACTTTGCCTCGATCCCATTCTCGACCCTCGCCCTTTTTGGCCCACACAACATCCTCTTCAGACTTCTCTCCACCCTTTTCCCACTTGGCAACATGCTTCTCACTGAAACCGGCGGCACGCAGTCTCTCGGCACCTTGCTGTTTCCATTTCTGGCGATCTCGGAGAGCTTCAAGGGCCTGGTCCCAATCTAGGCTGTCTTCGTTGTCCGGATCTGGTTGCAAGTCTGCTGAAGGATCATAATTGGAAGAGAAATGATTGTCGATGGTCGAGGCATTATTCTGCACGCCACGACCTTTTGAGCGAATTCGCGAATTGGTTGGAGGTGCAGGACCAATGATGGCTTCTAGAGGGTCGGAGTCTGATGCATCGGATATTGGCGAGCGGCTTCTCTTGCGACGATGGGAGTTGTCAGACAATCTGGATGGCCTGGTGGATGTGTGACGGTTCCGCGGTGAGGACGAGCGATGGCTAGAGTGACGTCGGCGTCTGGCGGATTCGCGGTGTGTTCGATCTGGCGAGCGAGGTTCTCTACGATGATGGTGGGAGTCGCGACGGCGGTCTGGTGATGTGTCGCGACGGGCGGAGCGAGAAGCTGAGGCTTTTGGTTCAGGGGAGCGGCGGCGGTGAGAGGAGAGGTTCCTCTCGGGAGACGACTTGTGCTCAATCGGATCGAGACGCCGCCTTTTTGGATTGTGGCGGTCGCGGGCAGAGTAGAGTTGCTGGGCAGGACGATGGGCGTGGCGCAACTTATCCAGACGGAGTTTAGATTCCTGGGCTTCCTTTGCGAGCAAGGCGGAATTGTGGTTGTCGGTATCGCGAAGGATGTTTCTCAGGAAGCGCGTATTTGGTTTGGGAGGGTTGGCCGAGCGCGAGCTGGTAGCGAGGGCATGAGCGAAGCTTGACGAAGAGGTGATGGCGCTCATGGAAGGCACCTTTTGTTCAGCAGCGACGATAGGCTTGGCGAAGACGATACGGCCTTTGCGTCTCGCTTTAGCAGTTCGGTGACATAGTCGTCGGTGAAGTCGGCGTTTCCAGAGACCGGCATGGCTTTGGTCGTGTTTGTTGGATGGCCTTGTCCGTCTTGAAGTATGAAAGAGCACCTGCAGGCTGCAGGGAGAAATGAAATGGGCATTCCCGTGACGTCGTTCTTTCGACTTTGTGGGGAAGTGGAGCGTCGTGTAAACAACAAAAGTCCAAGTTGTTTATTCCATAGCCGAGCATGCACCAAGACGCCGCAATGCCTTCAACAGAAGACGAGTCGTCGCTCACCATCCTCAGTCTCGCCGAGCCGCTGCTTGCTGCCCATGACAGTGCCGACCGACTGACCAGGTCTGCCCTCGACGCCGAGCTCGAGCACTACAAGGACCTTTTCTCCAAACTGCGCTTCTCATACGTCGAACAAGTCACCAAGGAGCGCTTCCTCAAAGCCATCGTCGCACATCCTCCAGACCTGGTCGATGCTGCCGAAAACGCTCGCTTGGAAGACCATCTAGCCCAGGCAAAGGCCGCTCTCAAGGCAAAGAAACATCACACAAACCAGACTGTGCACGAGCTGCAACAACTAGCCACTCGGCTGGCACAATGTACTTCTCCCAATACTCTGACACTCTGACCTGTCGACTGTCGCTAACACCAGAGCCAGCCCACGAATTGATCCAACTTCAAACCACCCAGCTGCACTCGTTGCCGAACGATATCCAGAACCTCGATGCCACCATCGCAAACCTCAAAGCCGCCCAGGACACGCCCTCTGACCTCCCCATGCTGAATCTGCCTCTCCACTCTACAACATCTCTCCTGTCCGACAAGCACTCCGAACTCGCCCGTCTCGATCGTGACCTCGCCGACCTGCAATCCACCCTGCCCGACAAGAAACGCCGTGTTGCCTCTCTCAAGGCCGATCTAGAGCCTATACAATCTCGCAAGCGCTCTGCCATCAGTGATGCTCAGGAGGTTCAGAAGAAGCGGGGCCAGCATGCTCTTGCTCAAGACCTTGACGAGAGGGGAAAGTGGCTGAAGTCGGTTGACACTGCACTTCATCTGATGTTGCTCGTCTGATCTGTTGTTCTCTCGTCTGATGTGTATTGGTCACGACCTTGTTTGTTTGCTTTTCTGTTCGTTTCGATACCCCACCGCCAGAAATGTGCTTTTCTTCTTCTATCTATCCTCGCTGCAATCTTCCGTAACGACCTACTATTCTTGTTGTGGCCATAGCGGTAGTCATTGCTATCCATTCGACCCACGGCATCATTTCCACAAACTTTGTATCGTGACTCTCTGTGTGCCATCTTGGTTCGTAGAATATGTTTAATACTGAGGTGAACCACAAAAAAACCAAAACTAAGGTATATCGCAAACAAGGCAACAATCAATCATAAAAACAGAAACGGAAATCAACATCGACGTCCGTAAATCGTCACGGACTGTCTCACTCCGTTCCCTCGCTCTTTGCTTCTTTCTACATTTGCAAACTCTGCTCTTTGCAGCACACCTCATACTCGTTCCTTGCCCGAGGAGTGTGCAGCCAAATTCGACGAGGTCATGGGTTGAGCAGTTGAGCTTGAGGTGCTCGGCCTCTCGTCGTCCTCATCACCGACTTCCAGACCACGCCTCCAGTTGTCCAGCCCGAACTCGGCAGGTGCTGTGCCAGACGTTGGTGTCTTCTCAAACTCAAGATCGCTGATACGGTACGATTTGTTAGTCGTCTCCCACTGCGTGCGCAGAGCGTCCAGCTCCGTTGCCAGGTTGTCAAGTGCGAGGCTATCGCGCCCGTCAGGTGCCTCATTCTCACCGCTCTCTGAAGCCGCGACACTCTGAGAGTAGATGCTATCACCTCCCATGGATTCACCGCGCGAATGGCCCCCTGAGTGTGCGGGTATGAAATGGGCGGTGCTAGCACTCACGTTGCTCAGCGCTCTGTGGTGTCCGACCCCATTGGCGTTGCTGTTCGGCAGTGTGGATTGGCGGCGATAGTTGTCGACAGACGATTCGACTTGATCAAGAAGAAGCTGCACCTTGTTCTCGGCATCCCGAGCCCGCTCTTCCAGATGCGCGTTCTCTCTCTGCAAGCGCTCGAGATCTGCTCGTGAAGCTTCATGGGTCGATTGAAGCGCTGTAAAGTTGGTTTGCGTGGCTTCATGCGAGTTGCGCAGAGAGGTGAGGTCGGTTTCTCTTTCTCCAAGTTGACGGTGCAGGCTCGAGATTTGTGTTTCCAGGTCAGTCTTCATACTCTCAAGATCACTGCGGAGGACATTGCTTTCGCTGTGTGAGTTTGTACCGGACTCGTGATCCAGACTGCGAGTGTCGTTTTCCTTCGAGCGCATCGTCTCGATCTCTTTGGCATAATCGGCGGCCTGGTTCTTGACACGCTGCAATTCTTGCTTCATCTTACTCAGCATCTTCTCTGTGCCACGGAGATACTTCACTGCGGCCTGATGATCGTTGTGAAGCGTCGCAAGTTTCTCCTCATACTCTTTCCTGGTAAGACCCTCACGGTCCTGCATCTCCTCAAGACTTGTCTTCATGTCTTCGTGCGCTCTAAAGTTGGCTTCCAGTTGCTGTTCTAGCTCCTTCACACGTTGAATGTCGGGTGTGCCGAATCTGATTTGTGAAGAAGGCGAGTCAAAGCCTCGAGACTTGCGTACATCGACAGGGTTGACACCGCGTTCAGACAAGATGTCTTTGAGCGCACCGTGCTGCACAGCGATTGCATTTGTCTCGAGCTGTTGGCTCTGCAATTGCTGCTGAAGCTCGGCTCGCTCCTCAGTCAAGGCCCTAGCCTCTCTGAGTGCATTCTGTAGTTGCTTTCGGATGGTCAGACCTTCCCGGCTAGCTTGTTCCTGATAAGACTCAAGTCCAGCGATGCGCTCCTCGGCACGTCGCAGTTTCTCAGAGGCAACATCAGCCGCAGCTTGATTCTCTTTGGCCATGGTATTTGCGGTTTCAACCTGTTCCTGGAGAATAGAGACTCGCTCGTCGACGATACCACGCGTATCTGAGCCACGAGTCGAGATCTTATTAAGACCATCAAGAACAGCTTGGCGATGAGTACGTGCTTCGGCCGCGTGTTTCTCTGCGAGACCCTCCGCATCTCTGAGACGTCTGCTTGTAGTCTCGAGCTCTACAGCACGCTCCTCATGTTGTGAACGTAGTTGCGAGACTTGCTGTTCGAGCTCGTTCCGCCCTCTTCTCTCCTCTTCGAGACGATCCTCCAGAAGAGTTGATTTGTCAGTGGAAGCTGCAAGTGCTTCGCGTAAGGAACCCAGAATCGTCCCATGTTCCGCCGATTCTGCGAGAGCATTCTCTAGCTTAGTGGTAAGTTCGGACTTGTCGACGGTCAGAAGCTTGTGAGAGGCGAGCGACTCAGCATGGTTGGCAGATGCTTCTCTGGCAGTCTTTTGAGCTACGTGCAGTTCAGCGCGCAGCGACTCCATCTCGGAAGAAATGCGTTGCCTGTCTGTGTTGAGTTCAGAGACACGTTGTTGAGCAGATTCTGCGCTCTCCTCTGCCGAGAGTCGAGCTTGCTTCTCGGCCTCCTTCTCGTGTATCAGACTGTCGATTTTACGGGACAGTTCTGTTTGAGCGGCGAGTGAGGATGCAAGTCGTCTGTTCATGTCACCAACACGATCGGCATCGGGCGTACCGCGTCGGCTCGAGTCAATTAGAGGAGAAGCGCCGCCTTGGCCAGCGAGCTTTGCTTTGGCAAAAACGGCTTCGCTGATGGCGTTATCTCTCTGTCTCTCTATCTCGGCGATGCGAGTAGCCGCAGCTTCTGCTTGGCTCTCGATTGAGTTTTGTACGTTGACCAGTTCTGCGCGCATACGGAGCAAGGCTTCCACAAGCGGTTTATCGTCATCGCCGAATGCATCAGTGGAGCGCTCGTCGAGGGCCGGGGTATTGGTTGTACTCCTTGAGTAGCCTGCTTTTCTTGCCAACGCAAGCTCTGATGCGAACCAAGCGTTCTTTGTCTTCTCGGTCTCCAGCTCTTTGCTCGAGCTGTTGGCAGCGTTGTCAGATGTAAGAGCTTGGTCCATTGCACTGTTGATTGGACTTTCTGCCTGTGCTTCTGGGCGGACCTTATCTAACACTTCTTGCGAGTCCACTTGTTGGAGTGATGGATGAGCGCGATGCATTGGCTGCTCCGGTACTTCTTCAACGCTCTCGGAAGCTTGTTGTGGTCCTGCCGTTCTTGAGCTGGTGCGAGATGGGGGAGAGAAGGTTTGGTCAATAGATGAAACGGGTTGGTGGGTTGGCTTGTATGTTTGTGGTGTTCTGTTTTGTTCCTCCTCTGCGTTCCGTAGATGATTGTTGTCATTGTTGTTGTTTGCTGAGGTTGCCATCGTAGCAGTGGCCGTTACTGGTGACATTGTCCTTGCGCCAAACGAGTCGCTGTGGAAAGGTCCAGGAGCCATGCGCGTAACAACGGTGGGTGAAGTGCTAGCTTGGTTTGGACTAAGTGCACGCTCTGGTCTGGTTGGTTGGCGACTTGGCGGTGTTGTAGGCTTAGAATTCAGTTGTGGTGATGCACCCGGTGGTCCTGGCGGACCCGCCGCGCGAGGCAGCCTCGAGCCCACTGCCATGGGCTCAGGTGCTCGACTGACTGGTATCGCGCTATCTCTACCAGGTCGACGAGGACCATCATAATCGGGTTGCTCACGAGGAGGGCCACGACTCTGCGGAATCCCTGTCCTGTCACCACTTGGTCGCCTATGACCTTGTATGCGCTGATCGGCAGGCATTTGCGATTGAGAATCGTTGGGATATCTTATCTTGCTGGTATCCAGGTAGTACGCCAGACTAAGTTCGGCAGCATCGCGCGGTGCAGAGCTGGGTTCACCACCTGTGACGACAATGTGTTTTCCGAAGGCAGTCATGCTGTGACCAGAACGAGGCGAAGGAGATGGACCCATGTTCTGGAAAGTATACCAACGCCGAGTTGTGATGCGAAAAGCCGCAAGGTCGCCTAGATCGTTACCTTCTTCAGTACGACCTCCGAAGACATACATGACATCCCCGACCAACGCAGCTGCGTGTCCCTCACGAGCCACTGGAATATATCCGATACACTCAAGCTGCGACCAGGAATTGGTTCGTGGATCGTATGCCCAGACATCGCTGAACCAAGTAACTCCGTCTGTTCCACCAAACAAGTATAGCTTCTCGTTCCACGTCACCACGGAGTGGTTTGTACGTGCTGGCGGGATCTGTCCATGTGGGGGGCCTCCGTCGATGGTATTCTGAATCAGTGTCTCCCACCTGTTACTGGCTTGTTGCAGTGCATTCAAATCAAAGGTGACAAGGTCATTGAAGAAGAAGCCTTCAACCTGACCTCCGAAGATGTATATTTTGGAGCCAATGATGTTCAGCGAGTGACCGTAACGACCTGGAGGACGAGGGCCCGCCGGAGCAGCTCTCGACCATTGCTTCGTGGCTGTGAAACGGTTAGCTGTGTCTCCGAGCTCGAGCAAGAGTACGTCAACGTACATGTATTGAGCAAGTAGAGGGTATCGTCTAGCATGTCTGTCTCATCTGTCTTGGTGTCTCCTCCGAAGACAATGAAGGCATTTCCTACCAGCAGTGCAGCATGTCCAACTCTTGGGCCTGGGCCTTCGGAAGTGGTCGCGACGGGATAGCAACTGAGATTGTTGGGGGCAGATTCAATCATCCAGAGATCGCCCTTGACAGTTGAACCATGGATCAGACCTCCCATGATGTAAATGGAGCCGTCCTTGGAAGAGAGCGAATTGGCAGCAGCGCCATAGCGAGGAAAAGGATGGTTTGTAGGGACGGTGAAGTTCAAGTGTCGCTGAGACCAAGGGTACGGCGAAGGATCTTGGTGAGGGCGCATGCGGGAATGCTAGTGAACATGTCAGCAGGCAGTCCGGCACGGAGCAAAGCAATGCGACAACTCACCTGCAGATCGCTGTCGGCACGGTCGCGCAGAGCCTTTTGTTCAGGACTGGGTGTTATGGAAGGCTTCTCGGACGACCATTGGGGACTGTCTTGCAGCTTTTCGCCGAGGGAGGTGAGCGAATTGACGCTGGTGCCGGGTGTAGGGGTTTGCTGAGACTTTTCCCTCGGGCTGCCACCGGAGCCGTCTCGCGCATGTCCAGGGCCGGAGGGAATGTTGGAGGGGGAAGCGGTGCCGTCCGAGGACTTGAGATTGCGCGAAGCAGCAGGCAGAGCAGAGGCCTGTTGCTTCTTGGACGACTTGAACAGAAACGACATGTTTACGCTGTAGAAGCGCGAGGACGAAGTGAAGGGAAGGGGCCAGCGAGCGAGGCAGGCATCAGACGGCAAAGATTCTCCGAAAACTGACGTTGAATGTCATGAGTAGCGAGCGGACGACTATGCGGAGAGAGAGGGAAAGAGGCAGGGAGCGTTTTGTCGGAATGGCGATGAGCACGCGTAGGTCGGTGGATTGGGAGGCTGGTGATCTTGGTTCAATTTGGGCTTTGGGCTTTGGGCTTTACCCGGCTCACAAATATTAGGTAGGTATTATTTGTCGCAGCTAATTATCGCAGCTAATCCGGCAAGCTGAAACACAAGCCTGCTGCATATGCTTGGCCCGAGTAGGCTGCGTTGACAAAGGCCGAAAAGGAGAGGCGACCATGTCTCTTCGTCGACTGCAGGCGATTGAACGGTTCAACACTAGCCACCTCGAAGCCTACCTACCCAGTACCAGCCTTGGATTACCATCATTCAATCACATGTGTCGGTTGCCGTCACACAGTTTTCGCGTTCTACAAGAGAACAGTGCAAGCAGCCGGTGCCAATGCCTTAGGTCCTCCGTTCTGCTCGAGGTACAGACAATACTTGTTCATGCATAATGTCAATACTCGGAGCAGGGACAGCAATCTAAAGCCAGCGTGCAGCCACTGATCCACCCTCGAGCCGGAACACAAGCCAGCGCTAAACGATAGATAGAGTCCGTGCGCATATCTTATCAGATCGGCGGTCGGGAATCGTGACTTCCTGCATATGACAGAGTGCTAGTCTGCCGGCCTAGGTACTGCGGTACTCGTCAAGGTGTCTGTTCGAAACTCGAATCCACCACCTCTCTGCACCAAATCCACGCGTCTTGTTATTGCACCACTATTGCTCTCGACGTCTGTCCATTCGTGCTGTCTGGAATGCGCTCGTGAAGTTGTAGCACGAACCTGATGTCAATGCAGTCTGCCCTCGCCGCGCAACATGAGGGTGGGCGTGCTGCAAGACGATGCTGCCGGTCCATACCGCGCAGCAAAGCATCCGCAACCCGTTCTCGATCCTCTGCCCTCCAACCTCTATGAAGACAGCATTCAACACGCCGCCCATCCCGATACCGACCCTCCGCCGGATCCCCGCACTCAGGCTATCAATGGCGACACGCTTGCTCATCTTCCTCCTCCTCATCATTTCCTCAATCATTCAACAAGCCGATCGCCAGGTAGTCCAGCCGTTGCTGCCTCCCCTCCAGAAGATGGTCCGCTTGCTTCACGATCAGAGAGGCCGCTGATGCTGCGCGCGAAGAGTGACTATGGCCCAGGGAAACAAAGACAGTCTACAGCCCCATCTTTCGAGCAGAGAGACGGCGAGGAAGCTTCTAAGTTCAAGATGCGCCACGGCTGGGAAGATCAACTCATGTCTCCGGAACAAGCGAATCTGCTGTCCCAGACCTTTTACATGTACTACACCGACAAGCGACATGAGACCGCTGGCAATCCAAAGGATACTAAGCACGACTACCACGTCCAAGAATGGCGCATGAAGGATCGTCTCAAGACCATATCAGCGCTCTTGACTGTCTGCCTGAACATTGGTGTCGATCCGCCTGATGTCATCAAGACAAATCCGTGCGCGCGCATGGAGTGCTGGGTTGATCCCATGGGTACCGAGGGTCCGCAAGGCTCCGGTGGTGCTAATCCTCAAATCGGGAAGAATCTCCAGACGCAGTACGAGACGCTCAGTATGCGTACTCGTTACAAACTTGTCATGGACCCGAGTATCGAGGAAATGAAAAAGTACTGCACCACTCTACGTCGTAATGCAAAAGACGAAAGAATACTCTTTCACTACAATGGACATGGCGTGCCGAAGCCCACTGCTGCTGGCGAAATCTGGGTCTTCAATCGCTCCTTCACCCAGTATATTCCTATATCCTTGTACGACTTACAGAGCTGGCTCGGCGCACCCGGCCTGTTCGTCTACGATTGTTCCGCCGCCGGTCTGATCATCAAAAATTTCCATCCCTGTATCAAGAAGCACGAGACGGATCAAGTAGAGGCCAGACGACGAGATCCAACAGCACCTCTAATAAATTGGAGTGATTGCATACATTTGGCTGCTTGCCGCGAAGACGAATCCTTACCTACTAACCCTGACCTTCCTGCTGATCTTTTCACATCATGTTTGACCACTCCTATTGAGATGGCTGTTCGCTTTTTCATCCTCCAAAATCCTCTGCCCGGAGGTCCCACGCTTTCCGAAGGCCGCAACATCCCTGGCAAGATCTCTGAACGCAGAACCCCGCTTGGTGAGCTAAACTGGATCTTCACTGCCATAACTGATACAATTGCCTGGAACTGCCTTCCCAAACCGCTTTTCAAGAAGTTGTTCAGACAAGACCTGATGGTCGCTGCCTTGTTCCGTAATTTCCTCTTGGCGCAAAGGATCATGCGAAAATACCACTGCCATCCTCAATGCTATCCCGAAATCCCAGAGACTCACAATCATCCTCTGTGGCAGAGCTGGGACTATGCAGTTGAGATGATTCTTGCCCAATTACCTAGCTTGATTCAGCAAGCAAAGGTGAACAAAGAGCTGGAGTATCAACATTCTGAGTTCTTTGCGCATCAGCTGAGCGCTTTCGAAGTCTATCTCAGTCAAGGCGCACTAGAGCAGAAGGTCCCGGAGCAACTTCCGATCGTTTTGCAGGTGCTTCTCAGTCAAGTTCACCGTCTACGTGCTCTGATCCTCTTGGGTAAATTCCTCGATCTCGGACCGTGGGCTGTCAACCTTGCTCTCAGTATCGGCATCTTTCCTTATGTCTTGAAACTCCTCCAGTCCCAAGCGATTGAGCTCAAACCTGTCATGGTGTTCATCTGGACTCGCATCCTGGCTATTGACCAATCATGTCAATCGGACCTGCTCAAGGACAATGGGTACGCTTACTTCATAAACATTATAAGTCCGCAGACTGGTATTCCTGTTGGCAATATGGCAGAACATCGTGCCATGTGCGCGTTCATAATCGCCATGTTCTGTAAGGACTTCCGTCCAGGGCAGAATGTTTGTCTGAGCACTAACCCGGAGCTCATCGAAAGTCTGTTGAGCCATCTGGTGGATATGGAGAATCCTCTGCTTAGGCAACACTCGTGCCTGTGCATCAGTATGCTCTGGTACGACTTTCCCGAGGCAAAGTGGCAAGGCATACGCTCTCAAGCGCATATGCGTCTATGTGATCTTGCCCTTGATCCTGTACCTGAGGTCAGAACAGCTATGTTACATGCTCTGACAAGTTTCTTGGGTATCCCAGATGTGACCGACCAGATCGCCTACATCGAGGAGACTATCGCCTCAATCATTCTTGCCATGGCGAATGATAGTAGCGTGATGGTCCGTAAAGAGCTGCTTGTCTTCCACTCCACTTTCATCGCAAGATACAAGAACAAATTCATCGTGGCAGCGTATGAGCAATTCACCGAGGAGCATGCAGCGCATCTTGCTCAAGATGCCAGCATCTATCGCCCGACGACACCGTCAGAGGCAAACGGCTCATATGACAGCAAGCACGATTTGTCTTCTGACTCGCACGACTCACTTGGCAGAGACTCTTCTGTCGAATCTGCAACGTCCAGGAATACAGTCTTTTCTGCAATGTGGAAACAAGTCCTGATCATATCGGCCGATCCTCACCCCGAGATCGCGAGAAATGCAGGCATTATCCTAGATAATGTCCTTGGCGCCTTGTTTGACTCCCCGCTTGCTGTGTACGTCCATCAAATGCTGGACGATAGGGCAGCAAGACCTATTCCACACGCTCAATTGGCGACCACTCTCCCTGATGGACCAGCAAGACTACAGCATTCCGAAGTTCCCCGAGCTCCTCCATCTCCGACACCATCCACAAATTCGAAACATGACGGTTACTTCTCTGTCTCTGCAGGCTTGAGACGTACAGCTAGCATGGCCGCCTCCATCAAGAATTTGGCTTCCTTTGGTGCCACTAAGGCTGCCCAAGACACTTCGCATACTCAATCTCTGCGAGGCTCGGGAGCTGGTAGACGCTCACAAGTTCCATCAGATTGGAACCGGCCACCGGACGCAACAGATCCTCAGCCAACTCGTGTGCGTGGTCATCAGATCGCAAAGTCACCGTCAGTGCCCAATTTCGAGCCCAGAAACTTTGCTCAGCCTCCGACAATTCCTTTGGCTTCTAACTTCTTCCAATGGTCAGCTTCGTACTTCAGAGAACCTCAAATGCGGCCATCAGAAGCCGACGAGCCAGGCTCTCTTGACTACAATGAGCGATTATGGAGGCGCAATCGTAATGATAAGATCATAGCGTCGACCCAGCCACTTAAGGAAGTTGCTGGCACTGGTCGCTGGGATGTTCCTGCGGGCGTACTTGCAACAAACAGTCCACCAATGAGGATGGTCTTCCACCAGTTCGAGGACCACCTTGTGATTAGCGATGACCATGATGGCATTAGTGTGTGGGACTGGCAACGTGAGAGAAGACTGGCACGATTTAGTGCAGGCAATCCGCTCGGTAGCAAAATCAGTGATCTCCGATTCATCAACGAGGATGACCAAGCGCTACTCATGACTGGTAGCTCGGACGGAGTCATCAAAGTCTTCCGAAACTACGAGAATGAGAAGGAAGTGGAATTGGTTGCCGCATTTCGCGCCCTCACAGATCTCGTACCGAGCACGCACAACGCTGGACTGGTGTTCGACTGGCAGCAAGGTCAAGGACGTGTTCTGGTTGCGGGTGATCTTCGTGTCATTCGTGTGTGGCAAGCCGGTACGGAACTCTGCACTGCAGACATCCCTGCAAGATCAGGATCGTGTGTTACTAGCTTGACCTCGGATCAAGTAGAAGGCAATGTCTTCGTCGCAGGCTTTGGTGACGGCGCAATTCGTGTCTACGATCAGCGCAATCGACCAGCAGAAAGCATGGTACGTGTGTGGAAAGAACACAAGGGGTGGGTCGTAGGATGTCATTTGCAACGCGGTGGCATGCGAGAGCTCATCTCGGCAGAGCGTGGCGGTGCCGTCAGGCTCTGGGATATCCGTATGGATCGCAGTGTGGGTGTAGTCAAAGGCAAGGGCGAGGGCGGTGTTGGCACATGTCGAACCCTGAGCGTGCATGAGCATGCACCTGTCTTTGCGACGTAAGTTAAATCGTCTCACGTGTGGGCTGCCGAGACATGATACTGACATTTCACGCAGTGGATCATCTCACAACGCAGTCCGCGTCTTCTCAACTAACAACGTGACGGCGACGGCGGCCAACTCAACGCCGTTGTCAACCATCGAACCGTTCAGCAACTTCCTGCATACCAACGTGCTTTCGTCTCACAGGCCAACACCGATCGCATCGACGGCATTCCATCCGCATAGGATGATGCTGGCGTGCTCCACGGTCAACGATGGACATGTCAGCCTGTTCAAATGCGCCTCGAGAGATGGCACGATGTTGAGCGGACAGAACGGTACTGTCAAGGAATGGGAGGCGTAAGATGTATAATATTTTTCTCAACACATTTGCTGCAGCAGAACCGAGGACTTTGTGGCATTCTTTAATTCTCAGTTCAGGGATCGTAGAGAACAGTTGTGTCCCATTAGAAAGGAAACGGGAGTGAGGTGTTTTCGCGTAGCGAGATTGGAACGAGGAGATGGAGTTTGTTAATAGCTACTAAATGGTTATCGTAGCTGTAACCACACTAGTTCACAGCGGGCATATCGCACCTTATGCTGTAGACGACGACGACGACGACGACGACGACGACGACGACGCGAATCGTATAGAATCCTGTGGGCGATGTACCGATGTGCTCGAGTTTGTTCTACACAAGACTGTTACTCGAGGTGTCACTGTCGAGTCGTGACCGCATGGCTCGGTATCGTCTATGTAGTGAAGCTTCAGTTTTTGGACAAACCTACACTTGTTTCGACCACAGATACTTCTGTCGAAGGCGGGAGCGAGTATAGATAGACTGGAAATTATGCTCAACCTTGGAATAATGTAGCAACTTATGTATAAGATAGAATGGGGAGTGGTGCGCTATTTCTGACAGTTGACAGTATGACCCTGTCCAAATGCTCCTGTAAATCATATGATAGCACAGCACGCTGAGCATACGAAATGGTCGCTCTCCAAGAATCTCGCACGAGGTGGAGACTTGTACAAAACAAGGTCTGACTCCAGCATACAGGAGTCTGACTTTGGTCCCGCTCGACAGGGAGAAAATGGCTAATATTATGTACATAAGTTTGGAATGGTCTATGATTGGTATCCATTAAGATCCTGTCGCCCGATAGGGACCTGGTCGAGGTTCTCGCGTTGTATCATGTTAGTCTTGCCCTCTACCAGCTGCATCATCATGTAGTTGCAGACACATTGCATGCCCATCTCTTCACCTCGACTCACAATGTAGCCATTGATGTAGCGGACTTCTGTCTTTCTGCCTGCGCGAGCATCGGCGAGCATACTACTGATGTTATACCGTGTCTTGTCTGCAGTACTGACAACCAGAGTTTCCAGGCGTTCAGGTGAGAAGCGATCCTGAATGTTGGGCAGACCGCGTAACTCTGGTAATGAGCGGATGACCAAGGAGATTTCAGCTAGTAAGAGACGCATGGTACGGGTGACAGCAAAGTTGTATAGTATTGAGCCATTGGGGGCGTCCAGCATGACAGTCAAAGGATTGATGACGGCGTTGATGGCCAGTTTCTCGAGTTGCTGCTCCATGAACTCGATAGGAGGGAAGCCAACCGCACCAAGGACGGGTAGCCCGGTCAAGGTGCGCAACAAGTAGCGCGAAGTGGGTGCGAAGGGAACAGAGGCACCGGGATGGTCCTTGAGCTGGCCTCTTGGCAGAGCAGCCAGGGCTATGGTACCGTGAGCGGCATGTACTGCAAAGAACGGCTTGGAGCGGTCCGGAGAATTGAGAGCGTGAGTGACGACGCCCTGGATGTAGTTGGGCCTCGTGGCAGGATCTGGGAAGATTTCTCTGTTGAGGTGATCTATGACGCCCATGCCATTCTGCAATAGACAAACGGTGGACTCTGGTCGCAGACGATGCTTGACAGCGTCGAGAGCACTTATGGTGGCAGTGGCCTTTGACGTGACGATCAGATTATCGATAGGCTCTTCAGCAGAGCTATGTGTTGGCTCCTCGTCGCGAGTATCGACACTGGCGTGATGGCGGCGTGTGGGTGGAATGGCGAGCTCGACATGGAAGCCAGAGCGGGAGACACGGTGGCCGTCAGATTCGAGGACGATAGACTTGTCGCCACGTCTCCACTCATCCAACAAAGCAGGGCGATGGAAGAGCAGCGTGACGGGCGGAGGGTTGATGTCTGCACGCAGCGAGTGGGCAATCAGCTTGCCAATGTTGCCGACGCCATAGACATGGATGCGCCTTGGGACACGGCTTTCACGTGCATACTGCTCGCTGGCGGCCGTGTATGTGCGTCGAGAAATGCGGAAGAGGTCGCGGGTACAGGGGAAGGAGCATGGTCGTTGCGGCATGGTTCTAGGAAGGCGCGTGATGGGAGGGCAGGTGCGAGAAATGAACAATGACGCATGCTCGCGCGCAACGCCTTGTCACCAAGCTCGCCCAACCCTCTTGCCTCGAGAAATGCCGCCGACATCGACGTTACGCATCCAGGCACGCTCCTTCTCCGTGCTCAATCGCCCAAAGCCAAACTATCCTGGCCATGTGCCCTTGACCTTTGTCGAGCGATGCGGCTTGGCCGTGGGCTCTGCCCTGGGCTCCATGCTCGACCATCATCGCCATGGTACCTTTCCCCAAAGCCCGCCCGCCCGCCCTCGACACTAACAAGACCAGATCTGGTAGCTGCTCTGGGCGAAGCAACATGCAAGCCCTACTTCATCACTCGTCTGCGACAGAGCATGCTGTCGCACCCCACCGGCCGCCGTATACTTCGCGACCGTCCCCGCATCTCCAGCGAGACCATGTCGCTTGAGCACCTACGCACTCTGCCAGACAACTCGGTCGGCCGCGTCTATGCCCAATGGCTCGATCGTGAGGGCGTCACGCCCGACACTCGTGATCAAGTTCGCTATATCGACGACCCGGAGGAAGCCTATGTCATGCAGCGCTACCGCGAATCTCACGACTTCTACCATGCCCTCACCGGCCTGCCCGTCTTTGCCGAGGGTGAGATTGCCCTCAAGGCCTTTGAGTTTGCAAACACTCTCCTCCCAATGACCGCTCTCTCCATGGCCGCTGTCGTCAAGCTCAAGCCCGCCGCTCGTCGCCGCTTCTGGTCTACCTACCTGCCTTGGGCCGTGAAGAACGGTCTGCGCGCCGAAGACGTCATCAATATCTACTGGGAAGAAGTGCTCGAGAAGGACTGTGGTCAATTGAGACAAGAGCTGGGCATCGAAATGCCTCCGGATCTTCGCGAGCAGAGAAGGATTATGAGAGATAAGAAAAAGGCTGAACAAGCCTCTCGCGAAGCTCGTCAGACTGTGGGTCAAGGTCTCATGTCGAACTAATCTTCTCAAGTGTATACAGCCTCTTTGTCTATATACCACCCTTCAGGGGCATTTTACCCAAGCCTAAAATACATTTCATGTGGCAATTGGCCTTCTCTTAAATCATGACTTCGCAAAGTTTTGGTCTTCCTTCTTGTTCCATGCTTAGAGCTGGTCCAAGAGTCCCTCGGCCTCGAGGAGCAAGACGATCTGGTGCACAGCTGTGCGCACGCTGATCTTGGTCAAATCAACTGTCAAGTCGGCCTCGCCCTCGGCTGGTGTCTCGTAAGGGTCGTCGACGCCGGTGAAGTTCTTAATCTCACCACGGCGAGCGGCGGCGTAGATACCTCTACGGTCGGTCTTCTCACACTCTTCGAGCGGTGTGGCAACGTGGATGAGGTAGAAAGATCCGAACTTCTCGACAAGCTCGCGGGCGTGCTTTCTGCTGGACTGGAAGGGTGCGATAGGTGCAGCAATAACGGCGGCGCCAGCCTTGGTCAACTCACTGGCGACGAAACCGATGCGACCAACGTTGGTGTTGCGGTCCTCCTTGTTGAAGCCGAGCTCGGAGCTAAGCTCTGAGCGGACAGTCTCGCCGAGAAGAAGCGATACGGTGCGGCCACCCTGCTGGTTGAAGGTAACGTTCAAGGCACGGGCAATTGCGTCCTTGCCGCTGTTGGCGTAACCAGTCAGGAAGACGGTGAAACCCTGCTTGTTGCGAGCCGGGTGCGACTCGCGCAGCACGCGGACAACTTCGGGATATGAGAACCACTCGGGAATGTCACCACCGCTACGCAGACGACGGCGGAGCTCGGTACCGGAAATATCGAGAGTTCTGACATCCTTGGGGACCTGGTCTCTGGGGCGGTACTCGTCCGAGTCGGGGAGGTAGGTCATCTGGAGGAAAGGAACGACCTCAATGCCGAGCTCGTCTCTGTACTTCTCAACAAGGTCCTGAGCGTCGTAAGGGCCGTAGAAGTCCTGACCCTGGCTGTTCTTGCCGGGTCCAGCGTGATCACGACCGACAATGAAGTGGGTAGCACCGTGGTTCTTGCGGATAATGGCGTGCCACAAAGCCTCACGGGGCCCGGCCATACGCATGGCCAGAGGGAGAAGGGCGAGGACGGCCATGCCGTTGGGGTAACGGGGGAGGAGAGCTTGGTAAACACGGACACGGGTGAAGTGATCAATGTCACCAGGCTTGGTGAGACCAACAACGGGGTGAATGAGGACATTGGCCTGGCGGGAGCGGGCAGCGCGAACAGTCAATTCACGGTGAGCGCGGTGCATGGGGTTTCTAGTCTGGAAGGCGACCACCTTGGACCAGCCGAGCTTGTCAAAGTGCAGACGGATCTCTGCAGGGGAGTCTGTGGTATCGTCAGCTTGTTGTCATGGCAAACAAGATTGAGAGCTCCTCACATCTGAGAGCGACATAGTCGTAGTGCATCAGACGGTCAATGGCGTCGATCTTGCCACCAATGCAGAAGTCGCCAGCAGTTCTGTACAGGTACTTGACGGCCGGGTGGGCTTCGTCATCAGCACCGTAGACCTCGATTGCCTCCTTCTTCTTGTCAGGTTGGTAGATATCGTCGACGGTGATGATGGCCAAGTTGCGGTCGTCTCTGAAGTCGCGGAGGGTGATGCGTGTACCGGCCTTAGCCTTGACTTCGTCAATGATCTCCTGTGTGACATCAAGGCAGATAGGCATGGAGAAAAGGTTGCCATCGACGAGACGGTTGTTGTCGACAACGCTATGATCCAGTCAGTTTCTGCAGCGTGTCTAGCGTGTTTCCAATTGCGTACCCCTTGTAGTCCTTCTCGTTCATGAAACCTATTCATACAGTCAGAGATGCATTCTGGTAATACCAAATTTTCCGCTCAAACTTACCCTCAAGAGGGGAGAAACCTCCGTTAAGGATCAGTTCGAGATCACAAAGCTGACGCTCATTGAGGACAATGGCAGGAAGCTTCTCGGCCTCGTCAATGAGCTCCTGGCGACGAGGAGCATCACGGGCAATGAGGTCCTTGAGGATACCACCTAGGCTTCAATCAGTTTCCGTGAGCCGTACGCTTGTGCAACTGCGCGTTCATACCGTGAGGAGGATTGGCCATGACTGCTAGTTGGCGGTTACGGCTGGAAGATTATAGTGGAGGAAAAGAGGTCAAAGGAAGGGAATGGACGAAAGATTAATGTGGACTCGGGGAAGGAGTTGCGAGACCGGAGCAGACACACGGCGACTTTATATTTGAACACACACTACGGCAACGCAACAAGGCTTTTGGTTGAGCAGCAACGATCCGAATCTCAATACTCGATTCTCCCACAAAAATTCGTCTCCACCCCTCTCTAGCATGCCCCTCAGAAACCGCTAACGACCTTGGCGAACGTGTAGATGTACGTCAGTCGTGTTTTCCCCAAGCGTCGTGTCTGCCCTTGTCCGACCATCAAACAATTAATTATTTCTTTGTTCTGAAAATCGGTTTCAATTACATGATATTGGATTTAGAACTTTTCAGTGACGACTACCTAAGTGCCTTTGCACATTTGTGTAGTTTTGTTTCTATGAAAGACGCGGGTCATGATGTATTCAACCTCCCAATGCTGAGGTATCGATTTTCCCACCCAATGCCATCTTGATACCATTCTAAAATATCAAACTCCGATATGCCCTATCATGATCCGACCAACGCCTATGCTAAATTCGCAAGAACACTCGAAAAAAATGGAAGAAAAGAAGAAAAACTTAGACGACTTGCTCAATGTTGAGCCCGGACTGGATGGCTTGACTGAGTTCGTCTTGACGCTTCTGTTCCTGCTCTTGCAAGAACATGGCATAGCGGCTCTTCTTGTTGTGGATGCCGCACTCAGTCTTAGCACGGCCCTTCCAGCGACCGGCTCTCTCGTCCTCGCCTTCCTTGACAGGCTGAGTCGAGTGCCAGTCACCGATCGAACGGTAGCCTTGAGACATCAAAGCGTTGACAGGGACGTTGTTCTCCTTGATGTAGTCGTTGACTTGTTGGAAAGACCAGTTAGCCAGGGGGTTGATCTTGATCATGCCTGCGTCGTCAAGCTCAACAATGTCGAGATCTCCACGTTTGCCCCCCTGACTGCGGCGACGGCCAGTGATGACAGCAGCGACACCAAGCTCAGCGTAAGAACGCTGTGCAGGCTCGACCTTAGCGACATAGTCGTAAAGTTCCTCATTGGTCTCCCAAAGTTTCTCGCCGTGCTTGCGGTTGAAGTCTTCCACATTGTCACATCCCTCAGGCTTGTAGGTATGAATAGTGAGGCTGGGATATCTATCTTTGAGAGTCTGTACGAGATCGTACGTCTCCTTGAAAGCGTGAAGTGTGTCCAGGTAGATCAAGTCAATGTCGGGTTTGATAGGACTGTCTAGCTTCGAGACCATGTCGTTAATGGCAAGTCCAGTAAGTCCGAAAGCAGTCGTTTGGAAGAGACGAGGCAAAGTCATGATGCACCATTTCAAAATGTCTACAACGAGAGTCAGAAATGCAAATTATAGCTGGGAGACAGCACATGTGCTCACCTTGAGGTTCGAGGTTTTGTAGTTGCTGATTGATGAACTTGAGGTGTGGGCGAGAGAAATAGACCTCAGGAAGACTGGCACTGGAACTCCCACTGGCATAACCAGACTCGGCATCATGGTCGGATGAGTATGAACGGGGCATTGTGGCGTGGATTTGCTGTTGCGTTTCCTTTGTTTGGATTCAGAGTAGTAATAGAGACACGATTTTCGTACAGACAACTGCGGAGCTACGTCTGAATTGAATTTGTATGACAGGTGGATTGAGAGAAGGGGAAAAAGAGAAGACAGAACTGATATTAGTTGCGAGAGCCGGTTACGGCACCTGGGTTCATCGCTTTGAAATCACCATAGAAAAACTCACTGACGTGCTCAAGTTTCGCGATGGCGTGCTCGCCATTTCGGGAACGCACTAGTCTAAATCGGGAACACTTCGATCTAGAATCCGGTTCATACACAAATCCCGGATGCGTTCCTGGAGTTTGTGTCGGACGCTGGTGCAGGATGAGGCATCACCATCCTTGTGAGCCGCGTTGTACCGGTTTGCCATCGATGGTATGTATCTCGTCATCGCTTTGCAATCTCCGTGGGTGATCACCCCAGCCTCGAGGAAATTCCATGCGGCTCTGCTGCGCCGCCCCACAACCGTGCAACTTTGTTTTACGTGAACATCAACATACATACTTCTAGAAGCATGCTGACTGCCAGTTATATAAGCATTGGACGAACAACGAGGTGTAGAAGTCCGCCGAATGTTGCTTCCGACCAGTTTTGAGCAAGCGATCCTCTAGGACCTCATAGCTTGCGAGTCAGCTCAACGAGTAGCACATCATCGACTCGCGATGATGATGTGACCAGCGGTCAATGCATGGAAGCACGCAAGATATGCTCGTGACTTGAGATCGTAAAGGTATGTTGTGCCTTTCAAAATCGCAAGATGGCGCCATAGGTCCAGTGGAAGATACCATGCGGAGCAAGGGAGAGCGGGGGAAGAGAAGAGAGTTTATGGCACAATAACACGTGCCTCGCGCCTACCATCGCCGTTCACTCTTGGCCGTTGCTGCAGCGAAATGCTACCATTAGACCCAGTTGTAATACTCGCAACCATCCATGATCAGATGTGGATGATTCGTTGTGATTATGTCACTAAGCGCTAGTTGGAGACTGTCGTCCAGAAAATGACATTGATATTTTGATAAATCGTAAGATGTAAGAGGAAAGTCACAGACAGACGTATTAGTTGAAATGAAGAAGTGATAACATGAGAGACAGGCTGCAAGAAGAAGATTTAAACGGCAAAGACCACCCTAAGCACCGATGACGGTGCCATTGGATAACGTAACAGAGCGCTTCAAGAGATTTGCGCTCATGTTGGCACCAAGATCGATGCCCGAGGCGTTGATCAATTGCCCAGTGCTGGTAGTTCCAGACGTAAAGTAACTCTGGAGATTCTCTTGAGCAGTGATAGCATCGTTCAATTGTCCTGACTCCTGGAATACCAATAGTACCGCGACGCGTGCGAAGTCAAGTGTTGTCGCGTCAGACAATGGCGATGATAGGGAAGAAGATGATGAATTGCCACTGGAGTCCGAAGGCACTGGCGATGGTGATGCAGTGCGCGCCGATCCACTTGCAAAGACAATGCCGTTGCTGGTGACAGCAGCTCCAGCCACAGACGTGGAGTCCGCACGCTCTGATAAAACCTTTGTGGGGGATGAATTGCTTTCGAGTACCTCGTCCCTGAGAGCTCGAGCGGAAAGACCGTTGAATGTGACGAGTGCATTCTCGGAAGTGCATGTGAGCTTCGATGAAGCAAAGAGACCCAGAATGTTCGAAGCATTGAGTGGGATGCTGAAGTTTGTCCCTGAACCAGTTAGGAGACGAGGTATCGAATCTCCTAATGTCGCGTTGTTCACGTTACCGACATTTGTTGTTGTGCATGATACACTCGAAGACTGTGAGCATTCAGAACCTGCGAATCCATTGACGCATAAACAGCTGCAACTTCCGTCACTGCCTAGGATATTGATGCCGCCATTTCGGCAGTCGAGAGATTGCTGGCATGTAGCAAGCGCAGAGGCTGACGCACTGTTGTGAGACCCGTTTTGTTGCGGGATGACAACTAGAATGATGGGAATCAAGACGGCAGCAGCAATAAGGATGATCACGAGCAAGAGCAGCGTCAGGAACAGCCACAGTGGCATACCACAGCACGCTCTTCGTTGTTCATGTGCCTCGCCAAGATCACTCTCAGAAGTAAGAGAACTGTGTTGCAAATTTGAGGTCCATGGCATCGCCTTCGATCCTCTTGACCCTCCTCTGGAGCCTGTGGGAGTAGCAAGACCGGGCGGCGGGAAAGAAGCGAGGATATCAGAGAGCGAACCAGATCGTCTGTTCTCGGGAGCGTGAGCCTTCTGCGCTTCATCCTCGAAGAAATTGAATCCAAGCCGACTGGCAGTTCTACCACGATCGAGGTTAGATGCGACTTTTGTGGCTCTGCGGATGAGATCTGGAAGGCTGGTAAGACTGCCACGTGCTTCTGCCTCTCGAACAGCATCCACGTTCAGCCTAGGAGGCCGTCTAGACCCGACTCTTTCTGCAAGTGTTGTTTGTTTCTCCAATCTCTGACTACTGTGCTTCTCAGAGTAATTCGAAGGAAGACTAGCATTCTCATAACTGGTTACGATAGCGTCTTTGTCTAGAATGTCACTGCTACTGGTCCTTGCAGAGAGTGTGGGATAAGACTCTCCAGATCGTTCTTCTGGAGAAATGTCAACCATTGGGAGATTCATCTCTAACATCTCCGACTCGATGTCTTCAGGCGCACTGCCACGTCGCATGTCATGATGAACAGATCGCCCGTTTGAAGAACTTTGCGTACTGATTGGACCCAAGGGTCGCGTCTGACTATCCGGTCGTAGATCACCATTCTTAATCGTGGTCAAGACCGGTACCGATTTCCGACCAATGCTGGCCTGGCGAACAAGAGCAGGGCGCATTTGTTCAGTCTCGCTCGAGTCAGAGTCCTCGTACTGGTCCTGGAAAGGAGAATTTTCGGCTTGAAGCATGTCGTGCTGATCAGCAAGGTGTCTGGAGATTCCGATGGGAATTGCATTGCTAGACGCGAAAGAACTTTTTGAATCGTGCAATCCTCGTTGATGGTCAGATTCCTCGAGGATGGGCGCGACGTGGTTCGTCTGTGGGTAGTACGACGCAGGACCTCGACGGGCTGAAGGAGGTGGACCTAATGGTGGGCGACGATTCGGTTGATACAAAGGTCTGGCGACCTGTTGAGAGACTTGTGGGACGTCAGGAGCAGGGTTGTCAGGTAAAGAGTAGACAGAGGATCCGGTAGAGTCACGATGAGTTTCAGCGAATGGCCGAGGTACATCTAGGGACGTATAGGTAGGGGAGACTTCGGCATCCCAAGAGTACATAGGCTCTTGATGAGTGTAATGTGTGACTGGAGGGCCGAGATCTTGACTATATTGAGAGATCGTTCGCGTGGTTGGTGGTTCTCTGTTTGCAGCCGGCCGAGGCGCACTTATCACGGTTGATGCCTGATCAGATTGAGATCTGCCCGGTTGCAACCGCTGGGATGGATGTACAAGAGGAATGTTCCGCGTAGATGATTGAGATGGTTCCTGATGACGGTACGAACGTTGTACATAACGTGTGTTGCTCATGGGCGGGTTTGACCCGTCTCGGTGGTAAGCCATCGTGTATGCCTGTGATGACAGTGCTTCTAGCTGATGGCGATGGTATGATCAATGTGTAGCTCCTCTGGAAGTATTTGGAAAAGACCCGCTCTCCGAGTCTGGCGTGCTCTACAATCAATTCGAAAGAAGGTGGTGATATGTGTGGTTAAGATCAGTAAAGAGCGTGATGGTCGCTAACAGATCATGTCGTTTCGCTGCAGCTTGAGCACATGAATAAAAACGAAGCCTGCCCGAAATATAGCGCAAACCGAGATTATATCGTACAAGATGAAGCAAGATATCCGTATCAGTTCTGAGATCTGGGACTTGGAAAGAGAAAGTGCAAAGTCGCGACCAGCGTCCGATTGGCAAGCAGCGATCCACGCGACTTTGGACGAAGCAACAGCAAGAGAAAACAGAAAAGGCGAGAAGGTCGACAGACAAAACTCCATGCAGGACGCCAGCTGCAGGGGACGGACGCTTAGCGAGGTATGGGATAATCGTTGGTTCCGCGCCGTTGCTAAAGCCAATCTGAAACGCCTTTGATTGTGCTTTGATTCGTGGGCTTTGTTTTGACACTTTATTTAGCATTTAGCGCAAAGACGATGTATTCGATCTTGCCTCCGAGCGCTCCAGATGTCGACACTGTCGATGTATACCGTGTACATATATTTATCATGGCGTGTGGCATTTCGGACGCGCTCTCATCGAGAAATGCCGCGCACCTGAACCTCAACTCGATAGTCCTGAGCGTGTGATGCATGCTGAAACCAAGATTCGAAACCGACCTCGCCCGTTTTCTGGGGACGGTCAATTTCGGTCGTTGGTCCACTCCCTGGCCCTGGTCCTGCCTGCACCTTTCCCTGCGAAGTGCTGTGGACAATCCAGTAGCCCTTCACTATCCATTACATATCTACTCGTCATGTCCCACTTTCAAACGCTACTGGCTTGTGATGGATCCTTAGCAGGAGCAAAAGGCTCATGGGCGAATTATGGCTAATATGTCTTCTGGCTGCGCTTCTGCAAATTACCGATTGAGCCCAGGCGGAACAGAAGAAGACTGACGGTCCGTCGCACAGTCGATCAGGTAGTTTGATACCGTTATCATCCAATCTAGCTTAGGTCGTCCTGCATTGACTTGTGTAAAACGTCACAGCGTTGATTCCATTTGACCTCGAGTCAGACGATGGCCATACAGCTTCCAACAAGCATCACACGATATCAATCCGGAGGATATAGCATGCCGTGCCGCCGCCGTAATGTGTTCGCCATCCATGCACATGTTCAAGTAAGTCTCTTCAAAACATACTGACCACCCTCGAGTACCATCTCTTGACGCAAGATCTCGGTCACCTCATCGACTGTACATCCAAGGATGTAGGCAACATCCAGCAGGCCATCAGCATTAATCTTGGTAGGAGCTTGCATCTGAACTTTAGGCTTCGCATTGAAAGCAATTCCTAACCCAGCCTGATGCATCATCAGAAGATCATTGCTTCCATCACCCACAGCAATGACATTCTCCAGCGGAATACCCTCCTGCTCAGCAATGAATTGGAGTAACGTACGCTTCTTCTCCGCGTGGATGATAGGCATGCCCTCCACCAGTTCGCCTGTTAGATGACCGTCTTTTTCTACCAGATGATTGGCATAGCAGTAATCCAATCCCAGTTCTTGTTTCACCCACTCGGCCAACGGTGTAAAGCCACCACTTAAAACAGCGGTCTTCCATCCTAATTTACTGAGTACGCGGATCAACTCACGAGCTCCCGGCGTGAACGAGATAATGCCGGCGCGGAGGTGCTCCCAGATAGAGACGGGCACACCAGCGAGATGACCGACACGAGCGCGTAACGATGCCTCAAAGTCAGTGTATGGTGCTTCTCCTCGCATAGCAGCTTCTGTGATTGCAGACACTTGAGCATAACGACCCACAGCGCGGGCCAATTCGTCAATGACTTCCTGCTGGATCAAGGTACTGTCCATGTCGAACACAGCCAGACCGGGAGTTCGATGGGCCACATATAATGCTTGGGGTTGCAGCACGACCTCAATGTTGTGTCTTTGACAGAGACTAATAATGGAAGCGGTGCGAGTGATTGCGGAGCATTCCAGTAGAGTCGGCGAAGGATTCTTTTGGGGCAGAGGAATAGCAATCTCCAGAACTCGACAATCTTGACCGTCCTCAGGACCATCCAGGAAGCGACGGGGAGTTGACAAAGATCGTCTGATGGAGAGCTCTTCTTGTAGAGTGTAGGTGACAAAAGCTGCTACATTTTTCCATTGCTCTGCGTCCAGAGAACCTTGTCTTAAGAACACAAGTGCGACGACTTGATTCTTGCAGGCATCAGATCTCTCCCGCTTTACTTTTGGTTTCGTTTGCTCAGCGGGTTGCTGAGGATCGGCTGCAAAAGAAAACGTCTCATAATTGACCGATGACATGACTGTTGATTGCTCGATGATGGAACATGAGAAAAAGTTATTCGGCCCCCAACGATTACGCCGGAATCATCGTGCCAAGACTGCCAACAAGCCGACCCCTGACGAGAGAGAGGAACACACAACACCCACAACATGATACATAAGGTGCATTGCTGAGTCAAGGCACCATGTACATACCAGAGAACAGATCAGATGCGTTATGATCACGCTCGTCGACCGGAAAGCAAAGGACGGGATTTAAAGCAGTGAAGTCTAGAGTCAGGTGATTTGAGTGAAACTAACCATTTTCAGCGATGAGTTCTCGCATGTGTACATGATCTCGCAGTGACAGTGTTGAGGGAAGCAGAGCAACCGATTGTGACGATGCTTAGACGTATTCACACATGTCTATAACTTCGAAGACTGGACGCATGGTTTATGTTATTCAATCGTACGTTTGCTGTGCTCCCCACGCCTGTGCGCTCTGCAACAGTCTTATACGCCTGCATAACTTATTGAGATCAGCAGATGCTGAGACGATACCCCTGTACGACTTATTGTGCAACTATGTAGACTCGTCTTATTAATGAGAAGCTCGCGCTATATGTGTAGTCACGGCAAACAGCGACTGCCTTATTGGGAACATATGAGGTAGTGACCTGAAGGTTGATCAGTCTACTTAGTCATCCGCCGTGAATAAGTATATCAGTGTGAAGGAATTGCACCCACATCATCTGAGTGCTTTCGACATGTCCATCATACGTTCTGATCTTCCCCTTATCAATATCAAAGCCACTTAGCCCCCAGAGAGAGAGAGAGAGAGAGAGAGGGGGGAGGGGGCTAAGCCTATCGCTTTGGAAACGCTCAACATCGTGCACAGATATCAGAGCAATTGCCAGATACGAGCACGAGCGTAAATATCGATACCACGAATAGGAAGATACAGCTAGTGCTGTCGACTGCGGTCGTATGATGGTGAACGTCAAGGTGAAGGAGTTACAAATTGATGAGCCATCAAGGTGGAAATTTGTGCTTGGCGCTTAGCTTCGTGGAAGAACCTGCCTGAGACCCCTGAGGTCTCGTCAATGTTCAGTTGAGTCCTGATCTCTGCTGGATGCTGGAGTGATATCACGTTGATGTTCAAGAGATAGTGGATGCCAGCACACAAGAAGGCGTGATCGTACCGATCCCGCAACCTGCAGAAATGCCGATGGCTGGCTGTCTCGGAACTCTCCTGGACGATTGACGACGAGTCCTTAGCCTCCTGAAGGAAGAAACATGATCTGCTGCCGTCCCTAGTTGCACGGCCGCTTGCAAAGGAGGACAGACTCCGATGCATCCCAAAAATACGAGTCATCAAGGTGGAGTAGCCATCAAGGTGGTAGTCAGTTGGGGAACATCAAGGTAATCCTGTTGCTTGAATAAAGTCCACATGTGATGGTCCGGCGAGACGATTCAATTGTTATCTTACAATGGCTGGATGCTCGACTACCCATGACGTGCTCATCGTTGGAGCAGGACCATGCGGGTTGGCAGTCGCTGCTCGCCTCTGCGAAGACACTCCGTCAGCAATTTTTACTGACGAGGAGCATAGACGATATCACTGGATCAGGAAGAACGGACATCATGCTTCAATCAAGGATAAGAAGACTGGCCAAATAAAAAAACCCACGAAGCTCGAGAGGTGCCGTAACTATTCGACGTTAGTGATCGATGGTACGGGAAAGAATTGGATGCAAAAATGGAATCATCTCTTCAAGACCTTCGAAATTACACACCTCAGAAGCCCGATGTTCTTTCATCCTGATCCTCATGATCGAGATGGTCTGCTATCCTACGCATACGAACAAGGCAGAGACAAGGAGCTCGTTGAGATACCGGAATGCGTGGGCAAGGAGATCAGCAAGCACAAGAAGAAGCAGAGGCTCAAGTGCAAGGCGCATGGGTAGGCTTCAATGCGGCATCGAATCGTTAGATACGGTATTGACTCTCTTTCCAGGGCCAGGCCTCCAATCGCCATAGACGAACGAGATCGTAAAGACTACTTCACACCTTCGCGTTCCTTGTTCCACGACTATTGTAACTGTGTCGTTGATCGATATGGGCTCCGGAGCAATCTCATACAGAATGAAAGAGTCGAGGATATCGATTTCAGCATCGTACCAGATGTGGCCGAGACTGAGAAAGTCTTTGTCGTTAGATCTGACCAAGCAACTCATTACGCTCGCAGTGTGGTGCTTGCAGTTGGACCGGGAAACGCGCCGTCCATCCCTGCTGGCTTCGAGAGCGTCGATCGAGGATATTGTCATGCCATGCAAATCCGTGAGTTTCCGGATCCTTCGGTCGCAGCAAAGATACGACAGAAGAAGGACGTGAACATAGTGGTCGTCGGAGGTGGACTTACGTCTGCTCAATTGACGATTATGGCAAGTAAACACGGAGCGACAAAAGTATTTCATTTGGTCAGAGGTCGGCTGAGAGTCAAGCCATTCGACGTTGATCTAAACTGGATGGGCAAGTTTCGCAACTTCGAAGAAGCGTCTTTTTGGTCGGCAGATACTGATGAAGGTGAGAAGATCGGACCAAGGTGTCACCTTTGTATGAACATTACTGATTAGCATTAGAGCGTCTACACAAGATCAAGGATGCTCGTGGTGGTGGGTCCATCACACCCAAATATCACAAAATCCTCAAACAGTACATATCGGCCGGCAAAGTCTCTCTGCACACAGAAACGACAATCGAGTCTTCAAGCTTTTCCGACGGCATATGGACTGTCAAAACAAGCCCGCCCATCAATCTACCAAGCATTGACTACATCTACTTTGCGACTGGTATAGCCAGTGACTTTGAAAGCCTACCTTTTCTGGAAACCATGAATCGCAAGTTTCCGATCGACTCTCATGGTGGTCTCCCTAGCTTGACCGACGACCTCATGTGGAAAGAAGACATTCCTCTTTTCGTCACTGGACGATTGGCTGCATTGCGGCTAGGTCCAGGAGCTGGAAATCTTGCAGGAGCCCGTAGTGGGGCTGAGAGGATAGCTTGGGCAATTGAGAATATCATGTCGAAGGGGGAAGGGCAAGAAGACAAAGCTGATCTGACGTACAAGTTTAGGACTGGTGCAGGAGGACAGTTCTGTAGTTTAGACTGCGAGGCGTGTATATAGCGTACATTGCTTACAAACAGGTGGCCTCGCTGAGTCACACCGGGCGCGATGCATGGGCTATCCAAAAGATTGTTCGGAGTGCGTTGATCTGGTCAACTTGTCTCAGGCGGCGCCCGGAGAAATGTTCAATCTTGTAGCAATCAGCACACTATCGCCTTGAGATCCCGACATACTTCCCGCCGCGAAGTGGTACATTCAGTGCTCTACTTGACTATGACTGAGGAGGGCGTGTATCGTGTTGTTGAGCAAGTACGTGAATGCAGAGTCAATTGACAGGAGTTGGGACATTCTCTGAATTATCGGATGCTATTTCTAGACTGGCCACTAAACTAGCTCCAGATTGACATCTTCGATAATTGCTGACAACAGTCAACAAATCCCAACAAGAGAAGAAGGATGAGTGACGAAATCATCACTCGTTCGTGTACTCGTCCTGAACTGGTACCCTTGCAATTCGACGACATGTGTACGCCTTCTGGCTGTCTTCGTCTTGAAGGCCTGGCAACCACATGACAGGACTTTTGTCGGGTAAGAGCAAGTCTGAAATGGTGTGGGCGCGTCCGGCATAGCAAATTGACCCTCTTAATCCAAGTAGAAGTGAACGTGTAGTAGTCGTCTATTAGCCGGTAGGCAGTTGTCGCGGAGTAGTACCGGCCGAAGCATTATGCGTCGTGATCACGATGACAGTGGATCAAGACCTTAAACTCTTACATATGCTACACCAGTCAGTACCATAAATGACAGACCACAGAACCAAGCACTTACTGGCGTCGATCTTTGAGACCTGAGGTAGAGCCAAGCGGACCTTGTTGCGGTACAAGACAGGATTGCTCTTCTGCAAAGGATTGCCTTCAAAATAGACCTCGGAAAGTTCTTTCTTGTCGCCGAGCTCCTTTTCTAGCTCATCAAAGCGTTCCAACTTGCAGCTCGTAGCCCAGAGGTTCTCGATATGGACAAGAGACGAAACGCCGCGCAGAGACGTGATGGGATTGTTCTGAACGTCCAGAATTCGGATGCCAGGAGCGTGAGAAAGGGGCTCAAGCGATGCCAGAAGATTGTCAGAAATGTAAAGTTCTTCAAGCTGGGGAATTTCCTTGAGTCCCTCCAGTGAAGTGATTCTGTTTGCTTGGATGGAGAGAGTCTTCAGTTTGGTAAGAGTGGAAAGTCCCTGTTGAGCATTAGCACGTGAGCTAGGCGCGTGTTTAGTCAGGGCGCACCTTGAGTTCAGTAATCTTGTTTTGACCCAACCATAGCGAGTCGAGGGCTGTCAGAGTTTCCAAGCCGGTGATTTCCTAAGGAGGGTAAGAATGTAATGCGTTGGTGAGAAGTTTCGCGATGCGTACCCTAATTCTGTTGGCGCCCAACTCTAGATAAGTAAGATTGGAAAGAGCGTCCAAGCCTTCAATACGAGAAATCTTGTTCTGGACGAAGTAGAGATGGTCCAGCTTCTGCAGATGCTCAAGGCGCTTGATGTGTTTGATCTTGTTGTAACTCAGGTCCAAGCTGCGTAGCTCTGTGAAGGACTCGAGACCCTTGATGTGCGATATGAGGTTGTCGTACAGCTCGAGGTCTTTGAGGGTAGTGGCGAGGGATTCTGGGAGTTCGATGGACGAGATAGAGTTCTGGCGCAGACATAGTTTCTGACGAGGGAGTCAGCCCTTGCATCTGGTGTGTTGTAGCGCCCGATGGGACGTACCACGACTTTTGTGAAGCGTTCGAGGTGGAGAGCGGGAATGGACGACACACGACTGTGCTGGACATCGATCTCCTGAAAGCAGTCAGTACGCGGGCAGGGCATGAGCGGGACACAGGAGGGCACACCTCTGTCTCAGGGTCCTCGTCTTCGAGCAAGTCTGGCGGGTCACGTCAGTCTCGGCGCGAGCCATGCTTGGAGCAGCAGGACTTTGTACCCTCATCTGCTTCGATCTGCTCGACTGGAGGAGCATCCTCGTCTGAGAAATCAGCGTCGGACAGTGCTTCCGGGTTCGCTAGTACGGCCTTCTTGTTCTTATCCAGGCGTAGCTTGCCGTCCCAGCCCGATTTGTTGCTGTGCAGGCCGTTGCTCTTAGCTGGCGACGCACTGGGCTCGGGCGCATCTACCTGATCGGCAATAGGCACGTTGGTAGGCGTCGACATGGTTGGCAAATAATTCTTGTCGGATGCGACAGAGTTGGAAGGGCGGAACGGGCGTCATTGTGTGGGGTGTTGATGGACGCCCAAACAGCCACGAGCTCTACCTATGCTATCACGCGTCTCGTCCATCACCTTTCACCTTTCGAGCTTTGCGCTTTGCGCCTCGGACCATCACTCCCATTACTCATAATACCACATTGTTGGATTTTGTCATCAAGGTACAGTATCAATTAAGTTAGGTATATCACCGTATTCTACCCCTCCCAGTTATCTCTCAAGAACGCCTCGCTTTATCAATTCATGCCATCCATCCATAAGCCATTATACAGTGCCAATCTTTCCAAGTTCCATCAATTCCTCAACTCGCTGAAGATGTACGGGAAGAGCACAAGGCAAGCCTTGTACAAAACACCAATGCTGGCGATTGCGCGGAAAGGCATGAGCAAAGCATTGCCAGAGGTGATGTACACCCAGATGGACAGGAATGCAACAGCGAAGAAATGGTAGAAGAGAACCATTGGTTGGCGGATGATGCCCGCCAGCAATCCAACAGGTCCATCTACACACTGCCCGCCTCTCTGGAAGTATCGGAAGCATCCTTGCTGCAGCGCTCGGAGTTGGGGATCTGTGGTGCGTTAGTGTCAGTCATATCGATGGGTGTCGGTTGCGAGGCAGAACTTACCATCAGCAGCAAAGAGAGAGTATAGGGCTTGTGCAAGAATGTTGATGACACTGGTCAGATTCTTCCTCTTCCAGTGAAATATGTCGAGCTGAGCGAGCACAGCCTTGGTATCTTCAAAGCGTGGTACCTGTTCAGGGGAAAGGAGTTTCGACAGTAATAGCGCGTCGTTGAAAGCGACAGTCATGCCACCTCCTGTCAGAGGGTGGCGCATGTTCATCGCGTCTCCAAGCAATATGACGCCCGCATGTTTGTTCTTGGATGCAGGCAGGAACGAGTTGGGCATAGAGCGCAGGGCCCCGCGGTCAAGGGCAGCTTCAAATGATGGCCTCACGCGGGCGGGAAGCGATGGCAGGACGACATTGCGCAAGTGGTTCTTGACACCTCCGTTCACGACTGATGCAGAGGGAAGATTGTCGGGAATGTCAACGAGGGCGCGTGTCTCGTGCGTGCCGATCTGATAGAGGAGGACGGGAGGATTGTCGCTGATAAGAACGTGCCCATGGTTGGGCATTGGCAGATCCGCGTCAATCAGTTCAAGACCCCAGAACTTTGACTTGACAATAGGAGCCTGAGTGTTGACCTCTTTGCGGAACTTGCTGGCGTACCCGTCGGCGACAACGGTCAAATGGGCAAAGTAGTAGTCCTTGCGTTCTTTGGTGGAGCACTCGACTCCCAGTACTTGTCCGGTGTATCCACTACGCACCAAGTCCGTGGCCGTGGTTTCGATGACGGTAACGTTGGCACACTTGAGAGCGCTCTCTCGCAGCTTTTGGATAAATCGACCGTGGTGGAAAGATCGGCCTTCAGGTCTTGTGCTCTTCTCTTCCTCGTTCGGTGTGGTAGTGGTCGCGGTTGCGTTCTCGGGATATGCTATGGTCACTTCGTCGCCGTGGTATATGACATCGTAGCCAAAAACCTTGATAGCATCGATGTCCTCCAGACAGTCGGCTAGACCGAGCTCTTGCAGGGCAGCGACTCCGCCAGGCTGCAGAAGTTCACCGACAATACGGTCGGGTTGTTTGAGTGATCGCTCCAGCAAGATGACGCTCCGGCCTTGATTGGAGAAGGCGACGGCGAGAGCACAACCCAGGATGCCGGCACCAATGATGACCACATCTGCTTCGTGGTGAACTCGGCGGCGCGACTCCATGGCGTCAGCGAGGGTAGGGGAAGGTGGAGGCGAATCGAGAATGAGCGGCATGGTGCGGGCGGATGATATTGTTGTGATTCTCAGTAGGTTGTCAAGGGTGTTAGCATACCAAGGTGGGTTGGGCAACGCGACAATGGTCGACGAAATATTCAGAAAGGAGCAATTGTCATACGATTGACCACTACCGGTAAATTTGACAGGGTCTGCAACCGCCTCATACGTATTGGCAAGTCACCCCACTGTCTAGACCATCAGACCATTTTCTTACCACCTGGCTCAATACCACTCAGGGGAAGTGTTGATCAAAGTCATTCTTCCTACAAGAAGAACAACGCACAACAGATTCACAGCAGGATGCTGACTCAACGAAAGGTCGCTTCTTCAGCCAGAATGCAACAAAATCGCTGTGAGAACGCCCCTGATCAGAAATTCTGGGGCGACCAACTGCAAGTGCGAGATAGACGCGAGTTTTCATGAACAATCTACTACCCAAACGTCAAGACGCTTACATGTCCGCTGACTGCTGAATGCTTTTTCGTAGTCGAGCGAATGAGAGAAGGGTTCCCTTATTTTGCTGCTTCTCATTTGTTCAACTGTAGAAGGGACAAAGAGACTACCTTAGGCACAAGCCACAGATACCAACACCCAGTCACCCAGGTCTCGCCTGTGTAACCGAGCTGTCAGGACCGGCGTCATGCATGTCTTTTCGCATTCGAAATCGCCTGCATACTCGAAGCCCGAGACGACCAAAACAAACCAAGAATGGGACATTCAGATAGGGGCCTACTGGATGTTTGTTAGTGACATCCTGACCATAAGATGGGATGTGATCATCGTGTTGCCATCCAAATGATGACGTCAACGTTTCTCTGCCTTCCCTCGACCAATCATTGATTCCTCTCTCAAAGGTAGAGTACTCAAACAGACATCAAATCATACTCACACGACACGGGAGACATGGCGCCCGAACTGAATAACTGCAGGGTCATTAAAGAGGAGCCGCTTACTTCCTCTGAAGCAAAGTGGATTGAGCTCAAGAGGTACGCTTTTTAGGCCCGGAGTTGCTTGACCTTGTATCCTGAACTTCTCCAGGATTACATACAACAATGCAAAAAACGTCACCAAGACATGGTAATATCTATGCGATAATACTGCCTGAGATACGAAGCTGAAGGATCGCAGGGAATCAGCTGTGAGGCCAACTCGACCATCCAATAGCTTGATCGATTCGGTGGGCATTGTTGCCATTCTCGAAAAGCCCAACGGGCCAGAATTACTTCTACAGCGACAGTATCGTCCCCCGATCGACAAAGTCTGTATTGAAGTGCCAGCCGGCTTGGTAGACGAAGGTGAAGACGCCGAGACTTGCGCGGTGCGAGAACTCAAAGAGGAAACTGGCTACGTGGGAGAAGTCATCAAAGGCGCTTTAGGAGTAACACCCGTCATGTACAACGGTCAGTCTCAGTCTCAAAAGTGGTGTTATTTGACTGACCTCATGGCCCAACAGATCCTGGGTTCTGTAACACCAATCTGAGCATGGTCCACGTTCACGTAGATATGTCAAATCCTGACAATCAGAATCCGCGGCCGGAGCTTGAGGAGAACGAATTCATTGAATGCTTTTCGGTTCCACTGAAGAACCTTTTCGCGGAGTGCAAGAAGCTCGAGACGGATGGTTATGCCATAGATGCCAGGGTCCTCACATTGGCGGAAGGAATCGAGGTGGCTAGACAATTCAACATCTCTTAGTAGTGTAGACGTACGTCCACATAGTACCTCTTTGCTATAACTTTGGTGACCCTCCCGGGAAGACAGCGGTGACTCACACTACACCTTGGAGCAGCTACATGAGATCGCATTGAGCCAGAAGCGCGACGGCGGCATCCTCGATTGCGAGTTCTCTTTGACCTGTGAATTTCAGACGTGTACGGCGTGCGGAAGCAAGTGTTAGCTTCCTATACCCGGATCAACCCATTTATCTTTAATATGTATGCAGGTGTCGATCCCCAACCACCGTGCCGCTTTTGCCCATCAATTTCCGGTTCCTGATATTGAGACGTCAACACAACCCGGCCCTCTTTTGGGGTATTTGCAGCTGGGCTGTCAAGACTCAAGAAGGGAGGTGAGGGTCTAGGCACGTGTTCAACGGCGCGGTGCAAACCACTCGGGAAGGGCCGCTGTCGTCAACGTTCGACGGGCGAGCGACTTTGAAGCACGTTTCGCCGGGAAAAAACTTGATAAGAACAAGCTAAGATCACCTTTATGCACACTCTGCGCGAATCACGAAAAGCTGCGGTCGGGGATGCAGGAGTTCTCTGCGGTGTGATTCGACGGCTTCGCTCTGGTTTTTGCCATCACACTTACCGATCGCTTGGGGGGATGACTCGACTATGCAGCACAAGCATATTGAGTACAACACGACCAGGACCGATGGTGACTTTTCATAAACCATCGACAACGGACGCGATAGGTATTCATGCTTGTGAGAGAGATCACCGTTCAAAAGTCGTATACCTGGAGAGAGCTATCTGCACAGTACACACAGCAAATGCTCGGTGAGTCGGTATAGTTAGCTGTCAAGCACGGACGGGGGGCTGAACCACCTCGGCTCGACCAAAGGAGCTGCATACCTCTTCATTTGTTCCGGTACATTGGTCAAACTAGTATGCATCCCCACTTCCAATTCGACGCCAAGGCCATCAAAACCTGGTCCGCCGTCCTCGAGCTTCTCAGCATGAAAAAGGGAGTTGGGTGGGTTTCGACACCCATGCCCGGGTACGCATTCATGCACGGGCATACAGGGCTCGTGTCACAGCGTACCAACGAAATAGAAGATGGATGAGGCGAGACTAGCAGCCGAATGGCCAAATGAGACGCACCACACATGTGCGAAGATCGTTTGGAGCGGTGCAGGAGCCAGCAGGGAAAAGCGGCGCGTCAATTCTGATAAAATACCCTCGCCAGAAGAGCCTACAGTACAGGCGCCGGGCGCTACCCGAATCCACACAACGGGTCAATGCACTAAACCAAAGCAGCACGTACGTGCAGATGCTCTCTCGCGTTAGTTGAGCTGTGTGTTCCCACCGTCAGACATTAAAGATAATGGGTCTGGCACGATTTCATCCACCGCTCTCCTTTCTCCCCACCCTGTCTCCGGGATGCAAGGATTGCTCGACTTTTTGCATGTACTTCTCGCAATCCACGCATTCGCTTCCATCTCTGCTTCACCCTTGTAAGGCAGACTCTTCTGGTTCGGAACCGTAACCTGGCTTTGGGATCGCCTCGCAGCTGTTGTGCTCGATCGCCTCGCGCCCATCCATTCACACCGATTGGGTAGTCGAGTCAGATGTGACAAGAGCATGCACGGTATATCAAATTCGTTCCGTTGCACTTGCCCAGGAAATTGTCTGTATCACGCTCTGACGGGCAACTTGAAGACCGCCTTTTTGCCTCAACATACCCCTTCGCATTACTACCACTGTTAAGACTAGAGTGGAATACCCCAGATGCAGCTGTAGGATTCTTCTGTTGGGACGACAATACTCTCCAACCATACGTATGTCCGGGTCGCGACCTCCTTCGCCCGTCCATCCGCGAATTGTCAATAGCTCTCACAGAGAGATGGCGGCAGAGACTCAGAGGCCTCAGCAGTTCCTCGTTCCACAATTCCTCGGACATCCTGAACGGCACAACTCTGTTGGATATCACTTTCCACCAATATCTGGACAGGACCGCTCCTCGAGTATCTCTCTTCATCCGCCATTTACCACTCTTCCACCGCCATCCTCAAGGGCAGGAGCTTCAACAAATCCCCAAGATTATGTACAACGGTCAGTACCGATAGCCAAACTGCTGTCCGGTGCCCCTCAGGAATCGCCCTATCGCTCCCAACTCTCAGTCGCGGGGCATCTTTCTCCAGAAATCGCGTCGCCGCGATTGCATGCACACCAGCGAAGCACAGCCAACTCGGCAATACACTTACCACCACCAAATTCGCGTACGGCGCCTGTCTTCCAGATACCGCAATATCCACCTCAGGCTTCCAGTTCTCAACATGTTTCACGATACCCGCCATACAGTCCGCCAGTTGCTTCGAATAGTCCATCTTCGGCATCGCTTGATTCTGCTACTTCACCACGTGAGCCTCCATCTGCGATCTCGGAGAAGTTCAGTCGCTTGCCTTCCTTCTCTACCCCCTCATCTAACTTGAGATACGAGTTGAATATGCGACAGCAACCTGTTGCTGCTAGAGCATGCGGCTTTGGAGAACGTGACCGCCGCGTGGTGGACCCGCCCCCCATCTTGGAACTCAAAGTCATCGATGCCGAAACAGGGAAGGTGGATAGCGAAAACACTCCTTATGTGTACACGACATTGCATTGTACTCTGATCAACTCGATGACGTACAAGGACGAATCGCAGATCGAGCCAGCGCATCCAAACGCACCAGCAACACAGCGTCTCATGGGTACCGCGGTAGCATCTCCGTTCTCTGGTACGGACGAGACTGGAAGAAGAGGAACGTTCTTCGTCTTCCCCGATCTCTCTTGTCGCAATCCTGGAAGATATCGGTTCCAATTTCGTTTATTGATCGTGGATCCATTAAATCTTTCCGTCGGAACGACTTCGCGGATTCAAAGCTCGATCATCTCAGAATCTTTCGAGGTGTTCACAGCAAAGGAGTTTCCAGGCATGCGAGCTAGCAGTGCTTTACTGAAAGCCTTGAGGAAACAAGGTCTGAATGTGGCTGTGAAGAAAGGTCGTGAAGCCACAAAGAAGGCTACAAGGAGGTCTGGCAACGCTGATGAAGACAACAGCAGTGCAGACGACGGAGAGAATGCTGCGGAAGAGGACGATCAGGATAGTGACGACGCACAATCGCCAATGGCCATCGGAAACAAGGATCGAAGAAAGAGAAAGAGGAAAGAATGAACGAGACTACGAACGTGCGACGCCCAATAGATGTATGTTTTCTTTGATTCCTCCCTTTTCGGCTGTGCATACGGGCATCTCGGAGGTTATTCTATGTTTTCCCATTTGGGTTCGAACGATTTCACATATCCGCGAAGGTGCTAAACGCTTGCATGTAGGCATTCTGAAACATTCTGCACTACTCTCAATAATCTCGGTAACTTGAAAAGAAAAGACTCATTTCCAAAATCGTTGCCAAATTTCTCTCGCTAGTAGTTTCACTTTATGCCTTGAAGACCACCGTACAATTTGAGTTTCCAACTCTTGCTAGGGTTATTGTATCTGAAGGTGAACTTACGACCCAGCTTTGCGATGGTAATCTGGTCATCGGAGTCCAGTTCGATATGCCCGCTAGCAAGGTTTTCGTCAATCCTCTCTGCATGTGCGCTCTTGAGGATCACACTTGTTCCTCGGCTCTTGCCCCAAGCCAGAGCGACGGCAGCAAGTGTAGAATTGTGCTTTTCTGCAATCATGGCCATGGCTTTATTTCCAGTAACAGAGGGGGCATGTTTTTTCGACTTGCGATGGTAGGTGGGATTAGTACCATCACTTGGATCAAAATTGAATTAGCAAGCATCCCAAACTAGAATCAGAGCTCTCATACAGGCCAGTCTTTCGAGTCGAGGGAACTACAACGTTCGCCAGTTCTGTTCGGAACAGCGCCTCGCTTAAGCCAATCGACCCGTTGTGACTGGGAAACCCACATGTGCTCATAGCATCACATACAGAGGGGAGTAGGCGGTTACTTGGATACCGCGCATTGTGTGGTATTGGATCCAGTCATCTTGAGGAAGATAGGGATGCAGCTCCATCTGATGAGCATACGGTAGATGAGTGGTGTGATTTAGCAAGGTGTCGAGCTGATCAGGTGAGAAGTTTGAGATGCCAATGCGCCTCGCTTTGCCAGACTGAACTAGCTTGATCATCGCCTTCCATGTATGAAGGAACTGTATCTCGTATCCCTTATGGGTGGAGGCTGGCCAGTGCATCTAGACAAAAATGCTGTTAGCGAGACTGATCGAGGTTAGATCACTCGCCTTCGGCTTACGGACCAGATATAGATTCAGATAATCGAGTTTGAGGTTGGAAAGGGTCTTGTCAATGGCTGCCTCGACTTTGCTCGGATCATGATGGTCGTTCCACAATTTGGAGGTTATCCATAGGTCTTCACGAGACAGCCCGTTCTTTGTCAGGCCCTCTGCAATGCCTTTGCCGACACCTATCTGCATGATGTTACGGCTTATTCCATCACAGCACGAAGACCATTGATACATCGTTTCTATAGATGGAAGCAGCATCGATGTGCCTATAGCCAGTCTTGATGGCATGAGATTCCGCTTCAGTAGCGTTGTCTAGATTTCAAGTGCCAAACCCTATGGCTGGGATCTGGAAAAGGGTTGATAGACCAAGTGGAACTTGGTCGGAAACCGGTTCGCGAACAGTTGCGAGAGTGCCTACAACAAGCGACAAGAGCGAGAGTAGATACATCTTGTTGACCTCTCTAGTTCGGCGCTTCAGGTGATCCTTATACCTACCAATTCAGACCCCTGCAACATCTGATGTTTTGGACTGCTCATGGTACCATGCAATCTTCCCCGCAGCTTGCTTGCGTTTCTATGAGCAGCTCCTGCCGCATGCCAGCGGGGTGATTGAGACCAATGGCAGCCAGTGTGCTGTTTACTATCCTGGTTTTCTCTCTCTAGTCTGGAGTGAGACTTGCCGAGCGGCATTCTAGAGAAGACATCAAGTCTTAGGTCGGACGTCCTATTCCACAGTATGCCCCACACTTGTTTGTTTGCTTGAATTACTCCATAGTGGCATAGTGGGAGGGTCCGATGCATGCAGGATAGTGGATAATCAGGCAGTCTCACCGAGCGATCAGCGTAGATTTTGATACACCCGCATGATTGTCGCGACTCAAAGTCACTTATTGGGCGCCGCTTCTTAGTCTCGCAGGGCGAACTGGAGAGTGAAAAAGGGTAGACACACGCTTTGACCACAATGACCGTTCCGAGTCATAATGCTTCCCCAGGATTTGGTGAGCGAACGCGTTTTTCTGGCGTTGTCGCGAAAAAAATTCCACCTTCTTTCCTTCCCGCTGGCATATGCTAGTGAGGCGACCCTAAGGTGCATTATCTAAAGCAAACATGAAATACGTACTTGTATCCGGAGGTAAGAAGCAGTGCTCAGTTACCGAGGCTTGTTCCTGGACTAATGGCTCGTCCAGGTGTTATCAGCGGTGTCGGCAAGGGCATTATTGGTATGACCAGCGTTCATTGAGAATGCGCGCCGATGCTGACATGACTGCGACTTGAAGCCTCGTCGACTGGCCTGCTGTTGAAGACTATGGGATTGAAGATATGTTTGACCTATGGCTCTCATCCATTCCCGCGCTGACAAGACACACGTCTCTTCCATCAAGATTGACCCCTATCTCAATGTCGACGCCGGTACCATGAACCCCAAGGAGTATGTCGATTGTTCCTGAATGACAGACGCGCACTTCTGACCTTCTCAAGGCATGGCGAAGTCTTCGTGCTCGACGACGGCGGTGAAGTCGACCTCGACCTCGGCAACTACGAACGCTACTTGAACATCACCCTGACTCGCGAGAACAACATCACCACTGGCAAGATCTACCAGCACGTCATCGAAAAGGAACGTAGAGGAGACTACCTGGGTCACACTGTCCAGGTCGTGCCCCACGTTGTCGACGCCATCCAGGACTGGATCGAGAGAGTAGCAAAGATCCCTGTGGACGACACAAACGAGGAGCCCGATGTCTGCATCATCGAGTTGGGCGGCACCGTCGGCGACATTGAGAGCATGCCTTTCGTCGAGGCCATGACTCAACTCCGTGCCCGCGCTGGAAGAGACAACTTCATGCAGATCCACGTCAGCTACGTCCCCCTGGTCCACGGCGAGCAGAAGACAAAGCCGACTCAGATGGCCATCAAGGCTGTGCGCAGTGCCGGTCTCATCCCTGACCTTATTGCCTGTCGTTGTGAGAACCCTCTGGACTCCGGCGCTCACCAAAAGATTGCTCGCTTCTGCCAGGTCCCTCTTCCCCAAGTCCTCGTGGTCCGCGACATGCCCAGCACATACCAAGTCCCCATCCTCCTTCAAGAACAAGGTCTTTTGCAGAGCCTGACCGATGTCCTCCGTATTGACGCCATGACTATCTCGCCAGCTCTTGCTGCCAAGGGTGCCGAAATCTGGAAGAGCTGGAACAGCTTGGCCTCGGGCCTGGCCACTGTCACCGACGTTGTTGAGATCGCTCTGGTTGGAAAATACCTCGAGTGTCCCGACAGTTACCTCAGTGTTGTCAAGAGTGTTGAACACGCCGCCATGAGATGCAAGAAGAAGCTGAAGATCGTATGGGTCGACGCTGAGCATCTTGAACCCGAGTCTGAGCGCGCAAATCCCGCGGCATACCACAGAGCCTGGCACGATGTTTGCACCGCTTCCGGTATTCTGGTCCCCGGTGGCTTCGGCCAGAGAGGTACCGAAGGTATGATGAAGGCTGCTCAATGGGCCCGTGAGAACGGTACACCTTACCTCGGAATCTGTCTTGGTATGCAAATCGCCGTCATCGAGTTTGCCAGAAATGTTTGCGACATCCCCACCCCAATCTCCACCAGCCAGGAGTTTGACGCTCGCGACGAGGATCGTATCATTGTTTCCATGCCCGAGCACCACCCTGGACAGCTTGGTGGTACCATGAGACTCGGTCTGAGACCTACCCTGTGGCAGGCTGGCTCAGAGTGGAGTCGTCTGCGCGCTCTCTACGCCTCTAGCACATCTGCCGATGGCCAATCTCAGATCCTTGAGCGTCATCGTCACAGATACGAGGTCAACCCCAACTATGTTTCTACCCTGGAATCCAAGGGCTTGAACTTCATTGGCAAAGACGAAACCGGTGTCCGTCAGGAAATCATTGAGCTCAAGGACCACCCCTGGTTTGTCGGAGTCCAGTACCACCCCGAGTACCTCTCTCGTGTTCTCCACCCCAGCAAGCCTTATCTCGGATTCATTGCTGCCAGCGCGGGTATGCTCGCCACAATCACTGCTGAAATTGCAGGTGCAGAGTCGACAAAGGCTTCGTTCTAGAAAAAGATATCATGAATATGAATGGGCAGATGCATCGAAAGAAAACAAGAATGGGAGAATAATGCATCATCACGGCGTTTAGAGGCGTCCATGCACGTCAAAGGAAGGGACAGAAACCCGCTTTTCGCAGTAAATAACCTGCTCGATCCTTTCAAGCTGGATCAGTGAAGGAGTGTTAGCAATGACAAAAAGAGATAGAAGATTGTTTTCCGCTTGCCACTTTTCAAAGCGTGCTTGACAGATGTGATGATGTACAAGAAAAAACCCACCTCTTGTTGCAATAGAAGAGGCTAGATATGGATAGCATATCACAGGACCAGATGGTAGGCGAATTGAGGTCTTCAATCTAGGTTCAAGTTCGCAGGTACTTGCGCTGTCTCTGAATTACAAGTGCTCATTACATGCAATATCCTACAGGTGATGACGAAACTACTCTCCCAAACGGCTCTTGAGGCCAGCCACTTCTTTTGTAAGGCTCTCGATACGCTCCGCCTGTGCTGCCATGTCCTGGGCTTGCTGCACCAATAGACCTCTAATCTCGGACAAAGCACCTTTGATACCTTCGGCTGCTCCCTTTGCGGCACCAGCAGACGTGGTAGGCGGCTCTGCGCTGGTGGGAGTTGGCTTGGAAGTTTCTGCGATTGGTGACTTGACGTCGCTGGACTTTGGCTCGGAGACGGGCTCGGGAGTTGGGGCAGAAGAAGTCTTGGTGGGAGTTTGAACTTGTGGAGGTGTACGTACACCAGTCCTCTCCTCTTGCTTGGTAACAATTGTGACGTTGGGTCGTTGAGCTGGCTTGGGTACTTCGTCGAAATCATCGTTGACAGAACCCCTTGATTGAGTCACTTCCTCATTGTCGGCGAATCTATCAGCCATAGCGGCCATGCTAGCCTGGTTGTCCTTTACCGATCCTCTGTTGGCGGGTGCAGGCGTGGGTGCTGATGCAACTTCAGGCTCAGGCTTAGGCTTTGCAGGCGAAGCCGGGGTAGGAGTGGGGGCGGAAGAGGATGAGTTAGTAGCAGGAGCTGGGGTGCTCTTCGCCTGGCTGGCAGAGGGCGCCTTCTCGGCAGGTATCTCGACAGGGGTCTCTCCTTCGTACACACTCTCGAGAGAGATCTTGGGGGGGAGGGCAGCCTCCTTGCCAGAGAACCAGTCCTCGCTAGACATGGAAGGCTTGCTGCCAGTAGCGGGAGGGTATATGTCGTTCTGGAAGACTTCTGCGCGGCGAGGAACGATGAAGGAGATGGGCTCAATCAGGTTTTCGTTGACCGTCTTGTAAGCACGCATAACCTCGTTCTGGTGCAGGTTGACGCCGCGCTTGGGCACAAAGGCGATACCACGTTGCGGGTCGGCCGACTTGTACTCGGAGAGGTACTCGAACTTGTCGTTCTCGTATTCGTAGTAGCGAATGTTTCCATCACCCTTGCCTGCAAGGTATAGCATCTGAGTGCCATCATCCCAGAAAGGCATACAGACACCACTGATAGAGTCGAGGATGGAGAAACCACCGATGGGTTCCTTGGGGTTGCGCACATCCCACAGACCAAGCTGACGATCGCTCATGCGCGAGAAGCCGGTTGTGGCGACACGGTCATGTTCGCCCATCCACACGGCTCTGCTGTTCTTTGCACCGGGGTGTCCTTGTACCTCGTGTGCGGGCCTCTCTTGTCTGACATCCCAGAAGCGAATCTTCTTGTCGCGGCAAGTGCTTACAAGCATGCCACCATCGGCCGACCATGACAAAGACTGGACAATGTCGTTGTGCTTAAGAGTAAGGCGGGGGTTGTTTGAGGCAAGATCCCATAGCTTGACGGTGCAATCGCCCGAGGAACTGGCAAGCACATTGGCGGCGGAGGGGTTGAACAGAACGTGGCCGACCTTACTGTTGTGGGTCAGTTTGGGGCGGGTGTGAGATTTGACAGAGGCGCATACCGAGTGTGGCCAGACAGCTTGTGCACAGGAGTGATATCGGTGGGCTCATCGGCGTCGGTGTGCAGGGTGAAGTCTTCTGGGACCTGCCAGATAAAGACCTAGACACACAAATTTGTCAGAGGGCATCCGCAAAGCGACCGAGGATCGGAGCTTACCTTGCCGTCGTCTGAGCCGGAAGCAATGACCGAGTCGTCAAAGGGGTTCCTGTCCATGCATGTCAGAAGGGAGTGGCATTTCGTCCGGAGGGTGGGCGGCGCACCAGTCGGTGTCGAGAACGGCGGCCGTGTGGCCACGGAACAAGGGCATCACATCGGGCAGCTTTCCACGCTCGTCGACGGGAATGACAGCAAAGGCACCGCCACCGCTGGCTTCCCAATTGACCGAGAGATACTTGGGATTGGCCTTGATCAGGTTCGTGTCCCAAGCATTCTTAGAGATGCGGAGGTTGTCGTAACATTGTTCCTGCACGAGGCATCCGCGTCAGATGGGAGTCCAGACTGTTGAGGAGGCGCGTGAGTGTATACCTTCTTGGTCGACTGCCCGAAGACGTGGCCTGCTTCACGTTAGACATGTCGTGTGCTTGTATGTGGACGCGTCGAGGCGCTTACGATACTTTGATGCTCTAACAAAGCGGCCAGACATGGTGGATGAAACTGACGTCTTCACCGGCTGCGAAACAATACAAAGCAGAAACGACGAGGTCCGCGACTGGTTGATGCGGGAGGGTAGAGGTGATACGGTATGCGCACGGCTACCTGTCCGAGGGCGCTTGACTGCCCCGGCGACCGACGCTCAGCCCTCTCGTCATCTCGCTTTGACTTTCCGCCAAGCCACCTTCGGTCCAACTGCCTCGTTGCAAAACGCACAATACTTACCGTGAACAACTGTATGGTCAGGAGAGATACTCAGCTCAACAATCCTTTCCAAAGAGTTCGTCACTTGGCCGGTGGTATACGCGGCTCGATTATCATGACAGGGTCGTCCCCCGTACAATGGACACTGCTGTCAAGAACCATACATACCTCTTCTGCATCGCTGCGTATACATCTGTCGCTATGCATGCACTATTCTAAGATAGTCTCTTAATCACTGAGTCGCCAGACTGGTCAGCAGACAGGTCACTGAGTTCGAAAATCGTGCATCTTGGTCTGCTACCGGGGCACCGATCAGCGAAAGCATCATTGCGCTTTGTTCCCGTGACCTTACGCAGCGTCTAGCCGCTCTGGGCTCAAAACACGGCTGCTTCTGGCTCCGTCGCATCGTGTGTCCTTCTCGATGTTCTCGCCTCACATTGAGAACATGTCCAGCAACCCCTATTGCTCAATTCTTGTCTAGAGTGGCTCGGCCAACGTTGCTTGCAAGGTCGTGAGTAGTTACGCCTGACATGGCTCTTGTCAGACATATATATAAGATTGGGTCACTACAAGAGTTAGGATGGTAGTGTCAAGGACGTGATCTTATTCATGCTATTTATGGGAATCATAATTTGAACGCAAACTCCGATTGCTGATGAGTTGAGATTCAAGGGAAAGAGTAAAAGTAGTAGTTTGCATAGCCCAAACTATAAGGCTGACGATCTTGCATCTGCTTCCTTCACTTCTGTATGAACACTAAATCAATGCACTGCCGGTGAACATGCCGTCACGGACTTCTTTTACGATATCCCTGCGGTCGCCTTTACCGACAAGGACGAACCCGCGACCTCGCCTGCCCATACGTCCAACACGACCAAGGCGGTGGATAAAATCAATACTGGTGTGGGGTACATCGTACAGAATGACGTTGCGAACCATCAAGGTGTCGATACCACGAGATCCAAGATCAGTCATGACAAGTACCTTGGTGTTGGTCAATTGCCTTTTCCCAGGAAGGGCCGCCTGCACCGCGGGACTGGCCTTGGCCTGAGCCTGACTGGCCTTGGAGTCAATCGTCGCTCCTGTGAACTCGGCCAGGGTTTGAGCCTGTTTTCGCTCGTCGGAATCACGACTGAGAGCCAACGCGTCAACACCTTTGCTTTGAAGGTACAATGATAGTTCGGAGCATTTCTCGCGCTCGTTGACAAAGACAATGACCCTTTTCACAGCATCTTCACCTGCTTCACGACCCAGATTCCACACCGTATCTGCGCAAGCCAGGTCTCTGTTACCCTTGTAGGGGTCCTTCTCGACGTCGACAACGCTGAGTTGGACACGACGAGGAATCGCATGCAAGTTCGGCGTGGCAAGACGGCGGATGTCGGGGAAACGCTTGCGAAGATGAGAATCGAGACTGCGAGGAATCGTGGCTGAACATAGGACAAGCTGTTTCAAGCTTGGAGTGGCACGATCTAGAATGCTGCCAGTGATAGGAGCAAAGGATCGATCGAGGAGCGAGTCGGCCTCATCGACGACCATGTGAGTGACGCGCGATAACACATTTGGGTCGTTCTCGCTGATGCTCGCAAGTAGGTGTGGGGTAGAGATGAGAAGATCAACACCTGAAGGTGAGAACAAGCGGTTGCGAATAACGGTACCAGTAAAGTTGGCAGAGATAAGTGCAGCACGGAACTTGGTTGTGTGGGATAACGACTTGGCCAGAGCGCCGACTTGTTGTACTAGCTCTGCAGTGGGAACCAGTATGATGGCACGAGGACGTCCGGTAGTGGGATGAGGCTCATTGGAGAGCGGTGGAGACTCGAGCGCAAACATGTTCTTGCGCGCAGCAGTCTCCTTTTCAACTTGAGCATCCTCCTCAGCCTGCGCGATTTCAGCACGTTTCAACGCATCAATCACAGGTAGGAGGTATGCTAATGTCTTGCCAGATCCAGTTTCTGCGGCCAATAGATATTGCTGCATGGCATTGTTATCTTTTGATTTTTTGTTGCTAGTTCCGAGTAGAGCTGGGATAGCAAGACGCTGTATGGGTGTGGGCGAAGTATCATCTAGCCCTTTCAATGCTTGGGCAGATATGGATTGGTGGATGGAGGGTAGTAATCCGAACTGGTCAAAGGACTCGGTATCCGCTATGCTCTGCTTGACGGCCGAACGATGACTGTAGGAGATTGGACTGAGAGCGCGTTGCATCTTCAGAGCCTTGAATGGGTCTTTGTCCTTGTCATCCTTGGGCTTGTACTTTTCTGGAGCATTTCGCGTCGCTCTCTTTTGTTCTGCCGATGACGGTCGCTGGCGAGGGGCATGACGGAAGTCTGCGTGCGTGACGTTCATACCACCGAACGGGCTATTTGTACGTCGTCTCGGGGCCTTCGCTTCGGGTAGGGCGACCTTGGGCGACAGACCCATTCGCGATGGGCGAGGTTTTTGTGTAGTAGCCATGTGGCGCATGGAGCGCATTTGGAATGCCGGGCGTGCCATGAAGGCAGCGGCCTCGCAGAAGGGACAGAGAGACGGTCGCATCCTGGTGGAGAGCATCTATGCAGCGGCGACGATAGCGATAGATGACGATACCGGCAGCGTGACAGCCGGGTATATAGGCACCTAATGTTGACTGAGCAGTCAGCTGTAGCAGACAAAAATAAATTCCCGGTTCCACAAACGCCAAGCGGTTTGAAACACACGATAAGGTTCGTTTTGTGCGGGGAGTTTGATTAGAGAACGTGTGTATGTGCGGCTCTAGTGTGCTTGTCGAGTCCTTGGCCGATTATCGACTCAATTGACACAAGATCGCTTGAGACAAGCCTGATCCGTCATCAAGCTGCATGAGATGGGTGGTGAGGGGACAGTGACTTGGACTTGGTCGATTGAGCCATCACTGTGTCTCAATGCAGCTCGTCGTTGGTCTGCTCTAGTCATCGAGAGAGTGTGGGAGTGACGGACCTGAACACATCGAAAGGCCGAAGCGAGATGTCGCGTGGTCAGCGTTCTCTAGCTAGTTTCCCACATGTGCCAACTCTGCCGCATGAAAGCAACGGTTGCGCAGGGCGACGAAAACAAAGACTCCACGATTGTTTTGTATACCTAGTGAACCGACCCCAATCGTTCTGTTCTCCGTTCATTCACTTTTGCTTTTTCCTTTCGGGGCCCAACTCTTGTTCTATCGCTGTTGTTGCAACAGCATCGCTGCCTTTGCATTTGTCTCTAGTCTTGTTCTTATAGTAATCCAGCGCCCTCCCCTGGACGGGAAAGCGTACATTCCTCGTCAACAATGGCCACCGAAGAGGTAAGCCAGGTGGCCTGGATCGTGTCAATCTTCATGCGCTGACGTTGACCCTAGGTGCAGCCGCTCAAGATTGTCAAGTCCAACTCGACCGCTTCGTCGATCGGTTCTCCCACCAAAATGGCTCGTCCGCTATCAGAGATTGGCTCAACAGAGCGAAGGAGAAATTCTCCCAGCTACAACCAAACGACCAAAGTAAGTCACGGTTTGCGCGAGTGTGCGAGTGTCCCCCCCTAATCTTCCGCACCAGAAAATGGTCGCCAACAAAGATTCGTCACCGTTCGACTCGTCACCTTTGCAACAGCAACGATCGCCGCGCATGTTCTGGGAAGACCGTGCCTCTCCGTCGCGCTTCGGATCAGAGAATAGTCCTGAGCGCCCGGAGCGTTCTGAGCGTTCTGCTTCGCCATCTGGCACATCCTCACACCGTCGCTCCTCGATTGAGAACCTTAAAAAGGCATCCCGCGTCAAGAACAGCACCATGTATGCTCGCGAGACCAAGCAAAACTATGATCCTTCGAGCTCTCCTGTCATTGAGCGCCCACTGAGCAATCGTGGCTGGGGAGGCAACTTCCAGAACAACGTCTTCACCCGCTTCGACAGTCTGCGCAAGGAAAACAACCCCCTCAGATCACCTACCGATGCAGACCTGAGCCCATCCAAGATCCCAGGCCCTTCGTCTGCCACTTCTACTGAAAACACATCCGCCCCCGCCTCACCTCGTCGAGAAACACCTTCGCCGACCAAGTCTTCCCTCACATCCAACAGCCGTTTCACTGGCTATTTCGAGACAGAACAAAGTGATTGGCCTGAAGATGAGGACGATGGACGGCTTGCGACACCTCGTGCGCAACCTCGCCATGCAAAAAGTGTGACTTTCGAGACAGCACCTCCAGAGATCAACGAGTACGAACAACAAACACCAGAGCCATCTTCTATTGCCTCGGGTTCACGAGAGGGCAGCTACGATTCCGATGATTATGACGATAACAGCTTCGAGCGCGCATCCTCCATAGACGAAGACAGTTTCGATGCTTCCCTCGAGGACACCGACAAGACTCCTGTGGTTCTTCCCGAAGATTGGAGGCACATGAGTCCTGAGGTCGCTCGTAATCATGTTGTCAACGATTATGACGACGTTTTCGACGACGACGACGACGATGAGACAACCGAGAGGCATGCGTCGATCTCACCTACCGAACAAAGGCCCTCTTCCAGCCGTTCAGAGTCGGCTAACTCAGACGCCGAAGCAAGACCCCTGCCTCCACTCCCTGGCGTACCTTCATTTAGAAGAGACCGTGTCGATTCTGGTGGCCTTGCTGCTGCCGCTGAACGAGCAAGCAGCATTCAACGTTCTCTCCCCTCGCCACCCCGTCCTGCTTCAGTCTCCAAAGATGAGATTCTTCGCATGAGAGAGACCAATATGTCCATGGAAGACAGAATGAATCTCCTCGCATTGCAGACATCTCTAGCTGATGTCGAAAAGTCACAGAACGTAGGACAGTCCCTCGAGGAAGACCTCGAATCCGCACATGAGAATATCGCTGGACAACCAGAGCACTCTGACGTCGAAGAGGATGATCTAGCTGGCTTTGACTTCGCACCGAGCATCTCGCGCGAGTCCATCTTGCGCAACGTCAAGTCTCAGAAGTACAACCAATTCGATGCTGGTCTACAGGAGGAATCAATGGTCTCGTTCGCCGACCGAGATTACCGCGATTTGGCCAACCTCGATCCTGATGTCCCGATTCCCTCTCGCGAGACATCCACGCAGTTCGACGCTGAAATTGGCGCTGTTATCAAGGAGGAGGATGAAAACAGCTACCTCGATCTCAGTGCTGTTCCATCTTTCCAAACCGGACCTGAGCAAGCGCGGCTGGACGAGTATGATAGACAAGGTTCGGTCATTCATCATGCCGACTACGATGAAGACTCTCACGCTGAGGACGACTTAAGCCGTTATTCATCTCCTATGTCGGTCTTGGTCAATGAACAACCCGATGATCATCAACATGCCACCTCTCAACACGACCACGAGTCTCTCCCCGAGGAAGAAGCATTCGCGACTCCGCTCGGCAATCCGCAAGGGAGTGAAGAATCTAGTATGGGCCTTCCCCTGAGTTTTTTGGGTACTGACGATTTCGACTTTGGCTTGAAGGACTACATGACCCCCACACCACCAGTTTCCACAAGCGCACAAGATCAAAGCAAGAAATCCGTTCTCGAACCTCCCATAGTCTTGCAACCTAGCTTCACCACCGAGGCGGAATACGGTAGAGACAATTCCTTCGAATCCGATCACACAATTGGCCGCGAGTCTTTTGGCTCTGTGATCCATGGCTCGATGATTGATATGTCTCCACCTCCGGAGGAAGCACCAATCATTCCTGAACGCAAAGCTACCATTAAGACTCAAGGCAAGCTCAAGGCTCGTCCTTCTGGAACTCCTGCCGATCTGGAAGCTATGAAGGCTCAGCGTCGTCATGTGAGCTACGAGGTACCCGCGATCCCTGATCAGTACCGCTCTGAGTTCTTGGCCCAAGCGGATGAAGAAGCTACTTCTGACGAGGATGACTTTGGACATGAGACCCACAGCTCAGACTCACGTTCGGGACAGGAGACAGCCGGTCAAGAGATCCAACAGGACTCTTTGAACGGCAAGCAAGAAGCCGAGGTGGCTCTTCGTGAACCCGCTGGACTCGAACAGGGTGCGCTTCCCGAGGAAGGTGACTCGTCAGGTGTTTCTATCGAGCAGCACGAAAACACTCAACAGAGCCGAGAGATGAAGCTCGACCTTGATTTCCCGCTAAATTCGTTTGACGATGATATGGGTCTCGGAATGGACGCTGAATTTGACCGTGTGATCGAGTCCCAGAAGGTAAGTCTTGTTCCAGACATGCCTACTTGCACGTGCTAACTATTTGTTCACAGAAAGGATACCTTATGCGCCAGAATACTAAGGTCATTGTTGCTAGCAACAGAAACTTCAGTGATGAGAGCCAACGTCCGCTCTCCCCCAACGGTCAGATCAACCCCTCAGCTACCAGCAAGGGTTCGCGTAGCCCAAGAAAGTCGAGTGCTGGCGAGAAGTTCTTGACAACCGAGCCGTGGAACGGCAAGACCAGACGTAAGAGCTCCAGGAGATCATCCGGCAGAAAGTCCAACATGACCGGACCAGCCCCTCCTGTGCCTGGTCATGAAAGCTCTCTGGGAGTCGTGGATGAGTACATGACTACTGATGAGACTGGTGATGGCGAGGAGAGAGGCCGACTTTTCGTCAAGGTCGTCGGCGTGAAAGAGCTTGATCTACCACTACCACGCAGTAAGTACTTGCGCCATGGATGTTTCGACTATGACTAACACATACGATCAGACGATCGTCTGTTCTTCCAACTCACACTGGACAATGGCTTACATTGTGTGACGACTGCTGATCTCCAGCTTGGACGAGCAGCCGCCATTGGACAGGAATTCGAGCTTGTCGTTCTTCACGACCTCGAATTCCAACTGACTCTTACTACCAAGCTCCCTGCCCCTGCGCCCAAACCTCAGATGTCGATACCTGTACCCGTCTCCCCAACCAAGCCCATCAAGTCCTCCACATCAAGATTCTCCCGCTTGCTTTCGTCTCCCAAGAAAAGAGCGGAGCGCGAGAGAAAAGAGCGAGAAGAGGCTGCTGAGATCGAACGTCGCCAACAAGAAGAAATGCAGAGGAAACGTGCTTCCGTCAAGCCAACCTCATGGGATATGTTGCGTGAAGTCGTGGATGCCAAATCTGGCTCATTCGCTCGCGCATATGTTTCGTTGAAGTCGCATGAATCTCAATGCTTTGGACGACAGCTAACCGTCGATGTACCTTGTTTCAATGAGTGGGCGATGGAGAAGGATGCCGATGTCGTTAGCAGTGTTCGCAGCAAGCGCAACAATGGCAACCCTGGGTTCGGCGGCAGAGATGGCACCATCAGACGCCCACCTTACGCTGTGGGCAAGCTTGAATTGCAGCTCATGTACATCCCGAAACCTAAGGGGTCTGGCGATGAACATATGCCCAAGAGCATGAGCTCCGCTGTCAGAGAGATGAAGGCTGCCGAACAAGTCAAGGAGTCTTCTTGGGAAGGTTGCTTGAGTCAGCAAGGAGGCGACTGCCCATACTGGCGTCGTCGCTTCTTCCGCTTGCAGGGAACCAAGCTCACTGCATACCATGAGCACACTCGCCAGCCGAGAGCGACTATCAATCTCTCAAAGGCTACCAGAATGATTGATGACCAGAAATCACTCGTCGCCGATCCTACATCGGGCCATCCAACCAAGGGAAGACGCAAGTCTGCTTTTGCCGAAGAAGATGATGGCTACCAGTTTGTCGAAGAAGGATTCAGGATGAGATTTGCCAATGGCGAAACCATCGACTTCTACGCCGACAGCGCGGCCGACAAGGACGCCTGGATGAAGGCTCTCGGGTCATCCATAGGCAAGCCTTCGTCAGGTAGCACAGCCAAATGGACCGACATGGTGTTGAACAAGGAACGATCAGATGCCAAAGCCGCCAAGGCACAACAGAACTCGGAGAACCCCAGTCGATCAGGATCAGATGCTCAAGATACCAAGGCCGGCGCGCCCAAACTCAAACGTACACTATCTCACCAGGAGACCATGAGAGATGAGACACCGCCTACGAGTCCACGTCCAGGACTTCGTGACAGACATCAAGTCAAGAGCATGATTTACTAGGAAGGTGTCAGCCAGAAGCGGCCTCTCTTTCCTCTTGGTCACCGTCTTTCTTATTTCCTTGTCTTCTTGTTCTTTCTTATCTTTTCACTTCTTGTGGACCCAAAATGCATGGCTTGCAGAAGAAGGAGTATACCGGTTCTCATCCGCTTTGCTGCTCCGGACTGCCATTATCACTCGCGTATTTCCTTGCGACTCGGAATGCATAGATGTCGCCTTTTCTCCTTGGTTTCTCTTTTCTTTTCTTTTCATAGGGTTTTCTTCTTTGCACTGTTTTGCTTGCTTGATAAAGGGTTGGACAGAGGAGTTTACGATGATTGTAATGACAATGCATGTGCTACCATGACACTTTGAACCTCAATCGAACGATTGTCTTACTCTTGGTGTTCCACTACTCGTCGTGTTTGTGTTTTGCGTTTCTCATTTGGCAAGTGTTGGAGGGTGGCGTGTTGATTTGATGGTGAGATGACGGGCTGATCAGGGTCGTCCCATCAACCATCTGACTTCGACTACAGTAGTTCGTGATCTGCATGACTTGTTTGAATGTGCAAATGAAAGAGCAGGATAGGTGTAACATGATGACGCATATCTGTTGATAGTTGCCTTGTTCGAGATCAGCATATAAGCAAGATAGCTCAATGTCAATTGAAGCTTCACAGTTCGGATCGGAGAAACTGCAACCGACACGACCAGCACTGTCACAGAAACACAACCTGAATCACAACACATATGAGACAGATACCATCAATCGCTTCAGGATTTCCAACTTCAGGAAAAGAACCACTTATTTATACAGTTAGAACGAAAAAATTGGATGCGTGACCCTGCTCAAGAGACCAAGAGAGAAAGAGAAGCGAGAAACAGAAACAAACGTTGGCCTCTGATCACGCGGGTATCTCAAAGATGTAATGGGAAAATGGTGAAGTAAAAAACGCCGTTGGTGAAACCCCCCTTGCAAAGATGCTTTTGTGCTTTTGCTTACAAGAAGACGCCATGCTAAAGACCCAATGATGCGTGACGACTGTCGATTGCCGATTGCCGATTGCCGATTGTTTTTAGAAACTGAAAGTGGATTAGTACCGAAGGCTCGAGTCGTGTATAGTGTAAAGGTGATGGCTTACCGTATCTCATAACTGCCTGCTCGTGTCATGTATCGCACCCACTTGACACTGCTGTATTGACTCTTTTCGAAAACCTTGAGATACCTGACCAGCAAGCCTGAACTCGTAAACATGAGCAGTGAGAAGTTCAAGCTCAAGGGTGGTCTACTCCAGGCCTTCTGATTGGTCATTGAGGTGAGTTGAGCTTCAGCGCTGAGCACGTATTCGGAGCCACCGGTGAAACGAGCAATCTTCCACACTATGTTGTTGTGCTCGGGCTCGTATTTCGCCTTGCCTTGGGAGGTTCGCTCGGTGATAGAGGCGGTATTCAAGGGTGTCGGAATGCGGATGACGACGTTGGTAGCGAAAAGCTTTGAGCCGTAGTTTGCCTTGATGGCGATGCTGTATTCGACCTTTGTTTTCCCAATCTCGTTGACAATGGCGTGGACCTTGAATGGCAGATTGATGTTCTCGGTGGCACGGTATCGCATCAGCTCGAAGCTGCCGTCGGGAGGAATAAAGGAAATCGTCCTGTCCGTGTCGAACTTGCCCAGACGCACACACTGATGGAATTGGCAGTCCTCGAGAGTGACGCTACCAGCAGCAGCTTTTGTGGCCTTTGTGCCAGCCATGTTCCCAGAGGGCGAGGCCAGGGCTTCTTCACCCAGGGTCAGACGGTCATTGAGACCGAACTTGCACTCGGGGGTGCCCGAGAGGTAGGCGCGCATTTCGATTTGACCATTGACATCAGCACGTAGGACAGTGCCGTTGGCAGACATGAGGAGGTTGACGTCTTCGATGACGTCGACAAAGGCTTCGTTCTTGCGGTACTTGATGTTGTCTCGTCTCCACGACATTGCTCCGGTGGCTTGCATTGTGATTTTGGACGAGTCTTCCTGTTGATAGTATGTGAGCGACTGTTTGGGCATTCAAGATGATTGAGCAAGCGTACGACCAGACTTCTCTCGGACTTGACACCTTCTGTGGTAATGTACATCTTGAGCGTGTCTGTATCTGTGTTTTGAGGATAGCCAAAGTCGAGGATTTCTGGACGAGTGGTGAGCGAAGTTCAAGATTTGATCAGACAGTCTCGACGAACCATCGAGTAGCTCGTAGATCAGGACAAAGTTGTTCTTGACGGCCTCCTCGTCGAACTTTGCGAAGTAGGAGCGGCCCAATTGAATCAAGCGGTACAGGAATTCGAAGACCAGAGCAGCATTTGCATTGCCCTTTGTGACGGCGACAATAAAGATGTTCTCGTGCTTGACATGGCTAAAAGTGGTCGATCCAAGAGTCAAGATGGGCGAGCGAACCAGTGGGTTGGAGATGACCTGGATACGGAAGACATCGGCGAGACGAGGGCGGCAGTCATTGCGGAAGGCACGAAAGATGAGGTTTTCACCCTTTTGATTGAAAATGAGGATGCCTGAAATCATGGCGGCTCCTGTTGACTTGTCGTTCAAGATGACAGCTCCCGCACTCGAGACGTGTAGCTCGAACGCTCATCGAGGGGTCTCGCGGCGGCGGCGGCGGAGTCGGGGGAGGGCTTGGCAACGATACGCAGCCCGCAACCCGCAGCACGCAGCACGCAGCACGTCAGCCACCAGCCGGGTCCTTTGTTCAATCCATCGCCTGTTGAGAAAGTCCATCTCTGCATACCATCCTGTCGCTCGATCAGACACGCCGAAACACAGCCTACCTATCCGCTTGACACCTTCAACCACTACACGACTCACACGTCCGAGTCGTCCACAACCCGTCGCCCTCCAACCATCGCACGCCTCAATTCAATATGAAGCCTGTCGTATCCGCCTTCAATGCCTGGACATGGTACGCGAACTGTCTGCCTGTCTCCCTGCTCGCATACTGACCCCGACAGCGTTGTCATCTCCATTTTTGCCATCGTCATCCTCTCCGTCATTGGTGCTCTTTTCAAGACAAACAACCACTCGATGATGGGCTCAGAAGAAGACCCGACTGATGGCGCTGCTGTCGCCGCTTCTGTCTTCGGTGCTGTCGCCATCTACGGTGTAAGTCGTTGCTCGAATCTGGAAATTCCATCACGCCTTCTGATCCGACTACAGGCTTTCCTCGTCTTTTGCGCCGGCCAGGCCTATCTGCATCAACGAGACAGATCGAGAGGTGCCATTGCCCTGTCGTAATTCTGTCCAATCACGACCGTCCTATTCTCCATCCGTTCCTCTCATACTCCCAAGAGCTACCTGCAACCCCAATAATATGAGTCCGACTTCTTCGACATTACGACCACCTCGACCATCTCAACAACCTTTTGCTTTCTCGGCGCGGCGTTACTGCTTCCTCTTTAGGTACAGCCTTCTTCATAGACATTTCGCAATTGGGCGGCAATCAGGCCCATCGCCCTTGTTTATAACCTTCATCTATCTCCTGCACATCTAAAACTTCCATCCACTTCCCACAGAAGCCCAATACGCCATCATTCATGTTGATATTCGCCAAATGCATCATTATTCCACGACCAAGGTGCTCAAAATCAGAAACCGTCGTCGCTATCCTCGTCGTCCTTGGTCTTCAGCCACTTGCTCATATAAGGTCCATCCAGCCAGTACCCAAGCTTGGCGTAGTAGCTGCGAACACCCACACCAGAAATGATGCTAAGTTTCTCACTACCGTGCTCGTCACGCGCTATCCTTTCTGCCTCTTCCATCAAGAGTGTGCCGTAGCCTTGATGTTGGAACTTCCTGGGATCACGTCCATGGACAGGCACCGCCGAGCCGTATACATGCAGTTCACGCACCAGACTCGTCGGCTGCCCGGTAAGCTCCGGACGGAATGTATGCGTCGAGCTGCACTTGCGTAGACGCAGAAGACCGATCAGAATATCTTGCTTAGGATCCTCGTAGGCCAAGAACGTCTCCCAACCGCCGTTCGCTGTGTAGTCTCGGCGGACCAGCTCAACTTGTGAGGGGCGGATCTTGTTCTTGACTTCGTTGATACCGACCTCGCGTGTGCGGACGTCACGGCAAGTTGTGCCAAAATCCTTCATGCGAGACAAGGCTAGCTCGCGCAAATTACCGTTCTCGACGCCTGACGTGACAAGAGGCATGGGGATATCACGCTGCACACGATAGATACGGGTCCATGGCGGCACCAATGCTAGGATGCGAGCGACAAGATCGATCAGCGCATTGGGTGTGTAGTTCTTGTAGCGGCCTGTTCTCCAGAGTTCGTACAAACCAGTTCCTCGAATGACTAGTGTAGGGTAGATCTTGAGACCATCGGTTCTGAAATCCGGGTTTTCGAAGTACTCTCTGAACTGGTCCAGGTCTCTCTCCATGCCAACGTTGGGCAAATCGGGCATCATATGACTTACAACCTTGAAGCCAGCATCCTTTGACAATTTGAATGTCTCGGCGACTGATGCGACAGTGTGACCTCTGTTTGTATCGCGCGCTACGTCCTCGTAGAGCGACTGAACGCCAATCTCCAGACGGGTACATCCATATCGAAGCATGTCACTAAGATGTTGGTCCAGACAGTAGTCGGGTCTCGTCTCGATAGTGATACCAACGCACTTTGTGCTGCTCATTTCGCCAGCCAGCACGGCCTCGTCGACGTTTGTTGCTTGGAAACCACTAAGTGCATTGTGTAGTTGAGAAATGAACTCTTCTCTGTAGCTGACGGGGAGAGACATGAAAGTGCCGCCCATGATGATGTATTCGACCTTGTCGACCGAGTGACCGAGGGACTTGATCTGATCCACTCTTCCCCTTGCCTGCTCAAATGGATCGTATCTTGCACGGATGGCTCGCATTGAAGTAGGTTCGTACCCAGTATATGACTGAGTCGAGTACTCAAAGTCCGAGTCGGGACCTCCAGGACAGTAGACACAGATGTTTCCAGTGTATGCGATATGAGGGCATCTGTGAGGCTTGCACATGACGGCGACAACTGCAATACCAGAGGCACTACGGATAGGCTTTGCGATCAAGCGAGGCAGGATGTATTTCTTGTAGTGTTCGGGGACGGCATTGATGATGGCAGTGAGAGGTGGCGTGTTGCTGAGAAAATGCTTCTTTGCGATATTATTGCGAAGAGTATTGAGGTTGAGATCCTTTTTGGGCTTCTTGCCATCGAGCTGGCTTTCGTAGTCCTCGACAAGGGCGCTGGCTACATCGGCGCAAGCACGCATATAGCGCTCGTTCTCTGGTGGCAACTTGACACCCTTGGGTACGCGGGAGTGCTTAGGTTTGGACTCAGTGGCCGTCATGGTCATGGTCGCCATGTCGGATTAAAGCTTCTGCAGGCCTGCAGCGGCGACGGCGGTGGAGTACGACGAACGGATCTTCTGAGATGTCGACCGAGAGTGTTGGAGATTGTTGTTCTTCCAGGAAGTGAATAGGTCGAATGGAGTAGTTTGGCGAAGGTCTGGGAGTGGTCGATATCAATGTACAATTGGAGACAAAAAGTTCAAAAGTTCAAAAGTCCACCAGTCCCCCGCATAGAGCAGCGAGTCGTGTATTGGAACGGCAGGCGCAGACGCGATAATGGCTTGCCGCTTGGATTGGCAGCTTCCTCGAGCGGCAGAATGTCGGGATGCGGGCGTTGCAGGGTTGCTGCGGCTTTGCTCGCTGCTCCTCGCAAAAGAAGGGAAAGCGCTATCGAAGAAGTTCGTGTGTCTCCAAACAACTCCCTCCACCTCTCCCACTCACCACCCTCCTCGACGTCCCCCGACAATGCAGAGCTTCAGAAAGCCCCTGGGCTCCGCCCTGCGCGTCGCCTCGCGCCCCTACAGCAGTGGCTCGTCCTCGTACCTGACCACAAACACAAACCTCCGCATCAACGACCAGACCAAGGTCATTTACCAGGGCTTCACCGGCAAGCAGGGAACCTTCCACGCCCAGCAGGCTATTGAGTACGGCACCAACGTCGTCGGTGGTACCAACCCCAAGAAGGCTGGAGAGACACACTTGGGCAAGCCCGTCTTCGCTACTGTCGCCGATGCTGTCAGAGAGACCGGCGCTACTGCTTCGGCCATCTTCGTCCCTCCTCCCGTCGCCGCAAAGGGTATTGAGGAGGCCATTGAGGCTGAGATTCCTCTCGTCGTCTGTATCACCGAGGGTATCCCCCAGCACGACATGGTCCGCATCACCGACATCCTGAAGACTCAGGGCAAGACCAGACTTGTTGGCCCCAACTGCCCCGGTATCATCGCTCCGGTATGACCCACACAACACCTCAAACTCGGACAATCACATCTCTGACCATCCTACAGGGCCAATGCAAGATCGGTATCATGCCTGGATTCATCCACAAGCGCGGTCGCATCGGTATCGTCTCCCGCTCCGGTACCCTCACCTACGAGGCCGTCAACCAGACCACCCAGGCCGGTCTTGGTCAGTCGCTCGTCATTGGTATCGGTGGTGACCCCTTCTCTGGTACCAACTTCATCGACTGCCTCAAGGTCTTCCTCGAGGACGGCGAGACTGACGGTATCATCATGATCGGTGAGATTGGTGGTTCCGCCGAGGAGGATGCCGCAGACTTCCTTAAGCAGTACAACACTGCCAACAAGCCCGTTGTCTCCTTCATTGCTGGTATTTCTGCTCCTCCTGGCAGACGTATGGGTCACGCCGGTAAGTGAACTCCGACATTTCCCTAAAGACCTAGCTTTTCTGACCATTCAAACAGGTGCCATTGTTAGCGGTGGTAAGGGTGGTGCCGACTCCAAGATCTCGGCTCTCGAGGCTGCTGGTGTCATTGTCGAGCGCAGCCCTGCTTCGCTCGGTAAGACCATGCACGCAGAGTTCGTCAAGCGCGACCTCATCTAAATTCGCGCTTTCCGCTCTGCAATACCCACTTGATGTTTTAGTAGGCCACCGGGACACGGTCCCTTGCGCCGTGAAGGAAAAGAAAGAAGACCCATTGTGTATAAGCCGGCGCATCTCCCAGTTCCCCCTCTTAGAAATCCCTTATTTGTTCTAGTTTTCTTATTTTTTCCCGATTTCATTGTCATGCGCGCATGGACTGGGCAGGCTCTTTATCTGTTCGTGTGCTTCTTTCTTGTTGTCTCGAGATCAAATCTACTTGTGACAGTTTGGGATTCGGCATGGACTTTGAGTGTAATGTGCACCGCAATGTGGATTCTCTAATCTGTATTCTAATATGGGATGCTGACCATGTTCCTGTTCTTCAGCGGGTCTACAAAGCGAAACCAGTGTTCCACCATCGGTCTCCCCTATGCCACCACACGATATCTCCCCACCAGCACCAAAGTCCATCTCCTTTCCCTCCGAAGCCCAGTCCTCGAAGTGGACTAATGGGCAGAGGTTCGAATAGCCAGATGCCGCCACGTGCAAAGTCGTCACATAGTAGCGGTGCGGTATAGTAGAACCATACATGCACATAAACGAAATTTGCGGTACGTTGCAACCACTTTGGTGATCGTTGTACCACGCCAAACTGGCGCAGAAGTAAGATAAGTGCAAGTTGGGCACTTATACCTCCAATTTGAGAGACGAAGAAAAAGAAAGGGCCAGAGAGTGGATACGTACGTCCCAGCTGCGTGTAACTGCCACTGGCGTGCAATACACCCGATAGCACAAACGCGATAGTCAGACTCAAAAACTTTGCAGATGGTGATTTTGGGTGCAAGTCCAGAAGCTCGATGAGTTTTGTGGCAGGAGCTTCGAAAGCGTAGCGGAAAGATTGGTGCCACCAGCCTCCCCACCAACCGGCGAGGCCTTTGTCCAGAACATTGGTGAATGAGCCGAAGCTATCGGGATACATCCAAGGCTCGCCTCGTACGCCCAGGTAGCGAGGACCGATGATTCCAACGAAGAAGAGAGGACCCAGAGCAAAGACGGCCTGTAGAGCTGTGTAGACTGCGGTCAAGCTGAGCAGCAGTCGAGCGCTGCGGACTGCAACAGGAGAAGTATGAAGAGACGCTGGCAAGTAGCTAGGTACCGCCGAGACATTGCCATCCCAGAAGTAAGCGTCGTGTGAGATCAGAGTTTTGAGTATATCGAGAATCACAGCGTTGCGACAAGCAATGTATAGATTCGCTTTCAGCAGGGATGGCTTGTCGTGATAGCGGTGGACGCCAGTACGACTGACAAGAGTTTTCTTCTCGTCCTCTTCTGATGGTGGTGGCGCATCTGAATTGTTCGAGACTTGTGCCTGTACCCAAAGTGGTGGTGAAGGTAGACCATTGATCCGCCAATTCCATCCCATACCTCTGAAGTTGGAGAAGATGTCTGCGACCCAATCCAGACGTTTCAGGAATGGAGCTTTAGGGTAGCCTTGCCAGGCTAACGTGCCAGTCCTTTGGGCAGATGTTTGTGTTGTGCCTACTTTACTACTGCGATTGTGTAAAATTGAGCCGTTCTGATGAGCACTCCCAGTCGCGTGGCCGTTGGTTTCTGCGGGCCGTGGAGAGGCAGAATAGGAGCTCGAGTCCAGATGGACTTCTCTTCTTTCAATCCTCGAGAAGTCAGACTGTACATCCTTGATCACTAACATCATGCTGCACCACAATATCGACCAGGCAGAGATCAGGCCCACACCAAACGCCGCTGCCGGGTTCCGAGCTCGGAAACTCTTGATGCTCCATATCGCAAACACTGTGTTGAAGGCCCATGCTGCAAAACGAACTTTACGTAGCCAAGGACTCGATCGATGGTCGAGAAGGAGATAGAGGATCACTACCGTGGCGCCTAAAGTTCCAAAAGGATAGGTGAACGGGTGGTAATCTCCAGACGCCAGTAGTCTATCATATTCTCCATTCAGTCGAGCAATGATATCATAGTGAGAGACCGGAAAGTATTTCTCTTTGGCGAACATGCCTTGTCTTCTGTGTCAGGATCAATGCAACTTGATGCTGGACGGAGGCGCGTGTTCGCGAGAGGAGCCACCTTCTGAGCAGCTATGTTGCAAGTGATTAGTGGCGTAAAGAAAAGAAGTGCTTTGAAAGACACATCGTCAACGACATCACATCTCCACGATCCAGTCTAACCTTTTACAGTATTTAGAAATCAAGATCGCGCGTGAATCTGTTTTTGCAGACGAGGTTCGATGACGTTTGAAAGTCCCTTTGAAGGTGGCCTGTGCTCAACGGGACTTTGTGAGAGCCTCATCGCTGGTGGCCGGGCTGTGGGTGGAGAACGTCTGCCAAAGAAATCGTGAGCTTGCGTGCTGTTTGTATCCGGACGGCGACCAACTGTTTCTTCGTACAAATCATCATCCTAATACATCGAAAAAGGAGAGTATTAGCTCCCGACAGTCGTAGAAATGGTCAACATTACAGAAAAGATCAAGGAGTGCGTCTAGAGCAAGGAAAAATAGTCTGGGCGAAATGAGACTAATTGTTTTCCAGGATCGAGGCCGAGATGGCTAGGACTCAGAGTGAGTAGATTTGAATGCTAGAGAAGAAGAAAAGTAGCTGACAGATCGCAGAAAACAAGGCAACAGGTACCTCATTTATGACTCAAAATCCATTTTCGTAGCACGACGACACTAACAGCCTATGCAGAGTACCATTTGGGTCTTCTCAAAGGGTCAGTATACGAGGCGCGATCGTGAAATGACAAGGACTGATTGTTTTGCAGAAAACTTGCCCGCCTGAGAGCACAACTACTAGAGCCTGGCCCAGGTGCAGGCGGCCCCGGCGGAGAAGGTTTCGATGTCAGTAAAAGTGGTGATGCTCGTATTGCGCTCGTCGGTTTCCCCTCGTGAGTCCAGCCTGCCTGTTTCTACTTTGCAGTTTTGTCGCTGACTCTTCTTACCGCAGGGTCGGTAAATCGACATTCATGGGAAAAATTACGAAAACGCAATCAGTGGTCGCAGCATATGCTTTCACTACGCTTACTGCCATTCCTGGTGTTCTTGAGTACGGAGGTGCTGAAATCCAGATTCTCGATTTGCCTGGTATCATTGAAGGTGCCGCAGAAGGCAAGGGTCGTGGAAGACAGGTCATCAGTGCCGCAAAGGTAGGCGCTCCGTGCATGTGCGTGTCTGGACCCTCCTAGCTGACTCAACCCAGACCAGCGATATGATCTTGATGGTGTTGGACGCAACAAAAAGGGCCGAGCAAAGAGCTCTACTAGAGGCTGAACTGGAAGCAGTCGGCATCAGATTGAACAAGGAGCCACCGTAAGTGTTCGCGTTATGCTATACGCGTAACTTATACTGATGATGGACAGGAACATCTACCTGAAGCCCAAAAAAGCCGGAGGCATGAAGATTACCTTCCAGACTCCTCCCAAGAACGGCCTCGACGAAAAGATGCTGTACAACATTCTTCGCGACTACAAGATTCTAAATTGTGAAGTGCTTGTTCGTGACGAGAACGGTATGTTTAAGGAAGATTGTGATTCTTGAGCTTGTGCTAATGTTGGCTAGTCACCGTCGACGACTTCATTGACGTTATCATGAAGGACCACCGCACATACATTAGATGGTAAGTCTCCAACGTTTCCAGTAGATGACCTCAGACTGACACTTCACAGTCTTTACGTCTACAACAAGGTCGACGTCATCGGTCTTGACCACATGAACACGCTGGCGAGAGAGCCAAACACCGTCATAATGAGTTGCGAGCTCGACTTGGGCGTCAGAGATGTAGTCGATCGATGCTGGGAAGAACTCCGCTTGATCCGTGTCTACACAAAGAGGTGAGAGACATATTTCTTGCACTCTTTTCAGTTCTTTCAAGCTAACAATACTGCAGAAAGGGTATTGATCCAGACTTCAGCGAGGCTCTCATTGTTCGCGGCAACTCGACAATCGAAGATGTATGTGATGCCATTCATCGCAACCTCAAGGAGAGCTTCAAGTATGCATTGGTGTGGGGCGCTTCTGCTAAACACGTTCCTCAAAGAGTTGGTTTGGGTCACGTCGTGTGCGATGAGGATGTGGTGTCAATTGTTGGTACCAAGTCTGGTCTTGCAGCAAAATAATCTAGTCAGAGTGAAGAAAGATGCATTATTCTTTTCATGACGGTTTTGCTTCTACCTATTCCCTGCAACTCTTGTACTGTTCTCTCTGAAGTCATGATACAACTTGCCATTGGTTCAGACCGACGTGACTGGCCGTCGTCCGCCTTGAGAAGCCCTTTGGAGCAATCTGTCCAGATTCGTTCCTCACCGAACTCAATCCACAAAGTCATGAACCCACAGATTTTTGATGTCTGGTATGTTTTCGACCAGCATTTCCATGATCCTCTCGATGCTCGGACCCGAAAAGCCACTGCGAGCAGTCCACTCCACCTCAAGTCGTTTCCAGTTTGCGATTCTCGCGGTCTCGGCGTCGGTATCACCAGTTGCCAGCATCTTGGCCCCCTCGATCCTTTCCAAGATACTGCTCTTGAAAGCCGCAAGCAGGGAAGATGAGCCTTGTAGATGTAGGAACCTATCGGACTCGTTGCTGCCCCATTCGTCGTACGTTCTCAGCCGCACAACATACGATGGCGAGGTCCAACTGCTCCTGGAGCGGGCAAGATAGTCACTCAATACTTGATCAGCCTGCGAAGGTCGGAAAGCGCTGAAGCGGACGATCCCGAGTGTCTGATTACGGATATCGAAGTCGATGTCAAGGAGAGCGACAGCGCCGACGTACTTGAAGGAGAAAGAGCGCACAGAATTCAGATGGCATGGTGATATTCTTTGAAGCCAGAGATCCTTATCGGATAGCGCCTTGCGGGATACATTGTCGAGAAAGACATGGAATCGGTTACATCCGTAGTACACAGCCAGCGCCTCTTGCCGCAAGAGTCGACAAGTCCCGGCAATAGCAGGCTGAGTCTGAGGGTGAATGATGGTGGTAGAACTGATGCAGACCAGATGTAGAACCATGTCGCGTAGCTCTGGTGGTAGACCGAGGAAGTCAAACTGAGATTCGCGGTCTGCTGTTCAAGAACCTCGATGAGAGACATCTTCGAGAGCCTTCCCGCAGCACCGTATGATTGTCGTAGTTTCCTCTGAGCTTTGCGTAGAGATGGGAAGATGACTCTCTTGACTGCAGGACTTCTGATCGGCTTTGCAGGATGGTTGGATGATCTCAAGAGGAACTCTGGTCGACGGGGCCCCGGGCTACGAGTCTCGACGATCGTCTCAACAAGAGCCCCGAGTTATCAGCCATAGTGAATCTACCGACGTGAGGCTCACGAGAGGTAGGTTTCTCTGCCTTGATCTGCGAACCCAGGGCCTCTAGCCTGGTCTGTATCCCTATAAGCTCTGTGCGTTTGGCTCTGAATTTGTCCAGATGACGCTCCGCTACGTCGCTAAGGTTCAGCTCTCTCGAGAGGGTGAAGTCGACCAGGTCTTGATGTCCAAAACCATCATAGATGACCGGCTGAGTAGGCAGCTTGCAGAGCATGCTGACGAGACGCTGCTTCTGGTACTTTCCTGCTACGATGCCCAGAATTGCGCATTGTTGGCGCAATTGGCCCACGGTGAGTATGGCCACCGACCGGGTGATGATCAATGGCGCGTCGACCAGATCCAAGTCCAATATGGTTGGAGGAGGCAGCATGTTTGCGAAAGCTGATGTATCAGTGGTCTACAAAGTAATGCGAAGAAGGAAGCAGGCTGTAATAGACAGTTAGAAGATAACGCGGTCAAGCAACACCTACTTCACTTCGAATTTCACACAAGGTTTCTACCTAGAGCTACGAATACACATCACCAATGTAACCGAGGAGAAGGAGGCTGACGGAATATGCTAGAAAGCGATCATTCGCCGAGCGCGTGAGATGGGCTTGCGTTGGGAGAGACATTGACATGAGACCGGGGTCACTAGCGGGTATATATGAGCAGTAAAGGTTCAAGGAACGGTCAGTCAACGAAACCTGTTTGAAGACGCGACGTGCAGTTGGCGTTTGATGGATGAAGATGTGTAAAAGGAGAGAGATCTGGTCGGGTCGGTATGGGCGGCGGAAGGAAGAGTCGGGGCTTGTGACGCAGCTTCTCCACAAGATGGCTTTGGCAGGCTTCACATGTCGGAGGCTCACGAAGGCAGCCCGCGTCTTTGCATGGCTGCTGTTTGTGACTTGCGACATCGTTTGTCTTCACCCAACGTCGGTCTGAGAAGGATCGCAGAGTCATCAATATGGCCGAACTTGTGTCGACCAAGCTGCTTGCCGAGACGCACCTGCTGCTGGCAAGCCTCACCAGGCCGCCATCAATGTATCCAGCTATTGACTCTGCTCACAGGATCAACCACTACTACGAGTGCCTTTTGAATTAACACGGAAGAACTTTGCTCAAGCCAGACGACACATTGAGAAGACGTCGGCCGACACGCTTGCTGCTCTAAACGCCGCCGCGACTTCTGCTCCATCAGTCACGCCCGAGCAGACGCTCGCCTCGCTGGACGCCATGATCGCAAAAGCCCAGACGCTGAAGCGCAAGCTAGAAGTCTTACATGCCGAAGAAGAGATGCTGCATCGTCATCAACGCGCCCGTATACAGCACTTGCAAGAGCTGCACGACATCCCCAATCTGGCCGACGTCAAGTACGACGAGTGGAGCAAAGTCCGTCTGGACCGCATGCTGGTTGACTATCTCTTGCGTCAAGGCCATGTGCAGAGTGCCAGCCAGTTGGCCAAAGAGAAGAAGATTGAAGAGCTGGTCGACGTCCAGGCTTTCGTCGAGTGCAGACGTATCGAGCTCAGCCTGCAGAATGGCCGCTCGCAGGACTGCCTGGCCTGGTGCTCGGAGAACAAGCAGACGCTCAAGAAGATCAACAGCAATCTCGAACTCGAGCTACGCTTGCAGCAGTTTATCGAGCTGGTCCGGAGCGGAGAGCCGCAGAAGTTGATTGAAGCCACTCTACATGCAAGGAAGCACCTGGGCACACACCAGAATGACTCGTACGGTCTGCGAGCCGGAGGCCTTCTCGCCAATCCCCCCAACACAATGACAGAGCCCTACAAGGTACTTGCCCATCTGCCACCCCTTCTGACTCCTCGCTGATGACCTCTAGACCATGTATTCGGCCGCTCGCTGGCACCAACTCGCCGAACTATTCGTCAAGACACATCACGAAATCTTCTCGCTACCGCCGCAACCTCTTCTCCACATTGCTCTCTCAGCCGGTCTCAGCGCTCTGAAAACTCCGGCCTGCCACTCGCATTACGCCTCTTCGTCCTCAAACGCCTCCTCGTCAACCACTTCCGTATGCCCCATCTGTTCGACAGAGCTCAACGAACTCGCACGCGCTGTCCCTTACGCCCATCACAGCAAGAGCTATGTTGAGGATGACCCCGTCATGCTACCCAATGGACGCATCTACGGCAGAGGCAGGCTCATGGCTCTGAATGAAAAAATTGGCACCGCCGAGGGCAAAGTCAGAGACCCGACAGACCTATCTCAAGAGTTCTTCGAGAGCGACATCAAGAAGGTCTACATATCCTGATGTTTCTCTGGCTTTGCTTCGGCAAGCGCGTGCCTTGTTTAGCGTCTGGCGTTTCGTCTCTTTACCATTTTGCTTTGGATTAGCGACGACCTTTAGATTTCAGCCATTGGCTTGCAGCGTTTGAGCAGTGGCGTCTCTTACTTGATTACGAATGAAATGAGATATGCACAACAATCCTTCTACTTCTGCTTCGTTCTTAGCAGTCCCCTGTCCTGTCTGCTCTGCTAAGCAGTTGCCTTAGTGCACGCTCAACCTATTAAACTCGCTTTGAAGCACCTCAAATACGCTGCCTTTGACACGGTGAGCCACAAGTTTTTGTATCCAACCAACCTGGGGTCCTGGTTCGTGAGTTCTTTCGAGGTACATATCCTTGGTTGAAATATGCCCTGGCCAGTCCGGCTCGATTCTGTTCGGAGGCATCGATCAAAAAAGTACACTGGACCTCTGACTACACTCAACTTGATAAGGTACACGCATTTGGATCATCCCCCCCCCCCCCCCCAAAGAGGTTCAAGGCCATGTCAGCAACTACTTCCTCACTCTTCAAGAGGTCACCATGCAACCTTACGACGGACCAGCTCAAGTTTTGCTTGAGAGCCACTCCAAGAGAATAGCTGTTCCAGACACCGGCACCCCTGACTGGATGCTACCAGCGAGTGCATTTAACAAATTCGTCAAGCACGCCGGAGTGCAGCTAATCGAAGCCTTCTCGGATGAACAGCTCGCTCCAGAGCTCTTCTCCGGGGACCTTGTCAGGCCATGCAGCGATGTAGCATACGGCATGACCAACACCACTCGCTTCCAGCTCACCTTTACTGGCAACGGGACCAACAATGCCACCTTGAGCCTGCAGCTCGCTGACCTTTTTACTCCAATCTCAAATGCAGACGGTAGTGCAGCGACCGATTTTGTCGGCCGGCCGTTGTGTCTGCTGCGTGTGTTTGAAGGAGACGAAGACGAAGACGAAGAACTCGTCGTCATAAGCAGTGGTATCATGAGAGCGGGCTACTGGGTCTTCGGCATGGATAACGGCCAGATCTCCTTAACCCAAGCTAATCTCAACACAACCTCTTCAAACGTGGTGTCAGTGGAAGCTGGACCAGATGGCTTGAGTAAAGTGGAACCTAATCATGTTGCTGAATTGCAGAAAGATGCAGTTGAGGCCATGGTTCAAGATTCAGTGCGCCATACTTTCTCGACGGCTACTAATACTGTTGGGTACACGATGGGTGCAGAATCTGTTCCTACTCCACGGGCCGGTAAGAAGGACTCTGACAGTCATGAATCTCGTTCCGAGAAGACGAAGGGGAAGAGGAAGGAGCAACTTCGAAGCCGACCTTCGTACAGAAAGTAGCCAACAACCGATCATCTCTATCGGGAAGTTCAACATGTCAGCTCTTCCAAGGGTCATACCTGCTTACTCAGGAAGCTGCTCAAAAGTACATCACTACAAAGCGTCACTCAATAATCACTGTTATGCCAAGCCACTCGCAGCTTCCCTCCAAAAAACGCCATTGGTGGAAACATTCTCTCTCGTTTCCATTTTCTCTGGACTAAAAACCACTTGATTTTCTTGGAGCAATTGGGGCAGGGGATAATGGTGCTGTTGACGGGGAACTTCTTCTCTGGTGCACAGCAAACAAGGCAGGCAGGTATGTAGAGATGTTCTTTCCCAAAACCCCTTCTTCTCTTCTCGCGGATTAGGTAGAAAAAAAAAACATACAATACGTTCCTTCTGTTGCTTGTTTCTGTCGTTCTGTCTTGGTGTAGTGCTGGTGGTTGAGTGGATGTGAAACGAATGTATGAGAAAGAAACGCTGCAGGGGCATCTTCGCGCTTGTTGGGAAATGAGACCAGATCGCCGTGCTGGAAAGGCTGCATGAAAGAACTTTTGGGCTTTTCTCTTGATGTAACGCCGGTGAATGGTATGAAGTGAAACGAATGTAATGGTGGAAAAGACGCTGCAAGGGTATCTTCGCTTTTGCGTTGAGAAGAAACCAGAACGCCATGCTGGGAAAACTGCATGAAATGGACTTTGGGGTTCGTGATGGTCATGAAAGTCATGATGAAAAAGATGTGACCACAAGACCGAGTAAGGGAAAGAGTGAAAAGCGGTCTGCCGACTGATGATAAACATGCAAGGCCAGCTTGATATTCACCGCGAGAAGGAATCTTTTTTTTATGTCCCAGCGCTGGGGTCGTTGTTGATTTTGTTGGTCTTGTGGTATTTCGAAGAGCAATTCACTCTTGTGCGGTCGAAATATCGCAATTCTTGGTCGTTGGTGGGCGCGGGATAAGACTCGATGTTGAAAGTTGGCTCTTACTGACAGCGTCAAGCTCGATAGAGTGGAGGCAGCTCACTGCTCAGGAGGGAACGTGTTGTTGATGTCAAAGCTAGCGAAGCTGATGGCTGGATCCACGAGCTCGTCAGTCTCGAGCTTACCGTCGTCATTGCCAAACTGAAAAGCGTTGTTGGTGAAGTACGGCTGGGCTTGCTGAGGTTGTGGCCGATACAACGAAGGATGCTGGAACTGGTGCTGAAGGTATTGCTGAGGTTGTTGCATCATGGGATTGGAGCCGTTTGCCAGAACTCCAGCAGTGTGGTAGCTATCGAAGCCAGTGTTCAGTAGCATATCATCTCTGGGCGTGTGAGCAGGAGTGTTGAGACCCATACCTTGCTGACCATTGAAGTAAGCGTTGCCGACAGGCTGATTGTTTTGGGAGAACATCCTCATCATGAAGTTCCACTGTGCTTGCGAGGGGCACTCCATGCCGAGGCCCGGGACATAACCAGGGGCCCCATGCTGAACGACAGTTTGGCGGTTATGGGGAATGCCGGGACCTGCACTGGAGAGAACAGACTGCTGGCCATGAGCAAAGTCAGTGCCCGCAACAGGATGAGCCAACTGGTTGTCGTTACCATTGTAGGTTTGGTGGTATGGCTGTACGAGCTGCTGAGTAGTACGAGTGCTCGGCTCCGAGATCACGGTAGAGTCCGATTCATAGCTCTTCATAGCGTCGGCACGGCCAAGTGTGAATCTATCCTCAGGGATGTCTTCAAAGAAATTCTCAAGCTGAGCGGATGCGGCAGCAGGAGCATTTTTACTGACTCTGCCGTAGGTTTGACCAGTTTCGGCGACACCATTGAGAAGGACAGGAGTAGACATCCGCTCAGTGGAGCCGTCATTTCCAGAGATCTTGTCGGTCTTGGTCTTGGTCTTGGTCTCGGTCTTCTTTGAGTCAGTACCCTTCTTTGAGCTTCCAGTCTTGGTGCCATCTACTGCCTTCTTCGCAGGTGTGACTTTGGGCGCCTTCTTCGAAGCGTTCACAGCTAATGGTGAGTTGAGAGCAAGACTAGCTAGAGGCTTGGAGATGCTCGAGGGGGTCTTTTTCGACTTGATGACACCTTGGGGCTTGCTAGCCTTAGAAGGCGTGGCTGGAGGCTTGCGAGCAGGTGGCTTCTTGAAGGCCGAGCTGTCCTTCTTCTCTGATTCGGAAACCTTCTTTGAGGAGTTACTCTTCTTGTCGACTGGTGTGTTCTCAAAGTAGTCGTTATCATCCTCCTTTTTGACGACGCTCTTACCCTTGGCAAATCTGCTCTTCTTATCCTTGTTGGCAGGCCCCACAAGTGGGTGCTTCGAATCACCGTAGTGAGGTAGGTCTGGTCTGTTGGGATATGACCTAGGGGTATATGTGATCGGTATGCTACCAGGTGTACCTTCGATGACCTTCTCTTCATGGCCAGGCTTGGTGAAGGTGATGGTATTGTAGACCTTGGCGATCTTCTGAGTCACTTGCGCAAGCTCCTCGGCGACATGGGTCTTTGGCGGTGGAACGGCCATACCATAGTAGATGCGCGCTCTACGAACCTTGGTGAGGTGCTGCTCTACCGATTGGGCAGAGGACGCAGGGTTGACATGCAGAGCTGCTGCTGCCCAAGGTATGTCGACTCCACGCAACTCGAGCTCGTAGATTAGAGCGAGTAAAAAGAGCTGGTCCACACCAGCTACTACCGTGTTAGCATGTGTAGGATGTAACGGATGTACACAAACTTACTGTTCCAGCGAGTAAGAATACGCTCTTCTCTATACTTCCTGCGCTTTTTCTTCTCGTCGTCATTTTCATCACCTTCCTCGTCCTCTGAATCTTCCTCGAAGTTCTGATCGTCGGAGTCTGCATCTTCCGTCTTCAGGGCGTCTGCAACCTTCTTGGGCTTGGGTTCGGGTTCTTCCACTCGAGCGGGTGCGCTACGTTCAACCGACTCTGTGATAGTCTCGGTGTCGACATCAGGCGACTGAACCTGTTCAGGGTCTTGCTCAGAGACTTGATGATGGAGGTCTGACTGCTGAAACGGTTCGACATGATCAGTTGATCGGTAGGAGGGTTGGTCCTGAGAAGTAGGAACAGCAGGAACATGGAACGGCTGCAGGTGTTGATAGCCGGGAGGAGCAGAAATGTGCTCCTGGCTATATTCGTAGTAACCAGGCTCGTGGTATTCGAGTGTGCCGTGACCGCCGTAACCATTGTCATCGGAGAAAACGTCCATGCCAGCATGGTCGCCAGTACCCATCTCGATGTCGAGAAGATCAAACTCGGTTGCGTTCAGGCCCTCCGTGTTGCCTGAGAGCACGAAGCGAGAATCGCCTTGTGCTAGGAAATTATTGATGCTCATTTTTTCTCTGTACCCTCAATCAGAACTGTACATGGAGTCATGTTGACGACAAAAGAGAGGAGAATGGAGACAAAGCTTACGTGACTTAGTAGATAGTCTTGATCAATGCTTGAACAAGGTACAGGAGTACGCTATGCCCTCTGAGTGCGAAAGTCCTATCGAGTACAGGGTCAGTAGAGAGCGAAGTGAAGGTAAAACTCGACGCGACGCAAAGTTTTGAGACTCGTCGTTCGACGATGTCATCGTAAAGTCGGGACACGAGATCTATCGAATGATCACGTTCGGTCCAGTCGATAACATTGTCGGATCGATGCTTAGGAAGCGAAGTAGCGAAAGAAAGCAGATAGCAGATTGGAAAACACACGGAGACGGAGCAAGGGAAAGGGGCTAAAGCTTACGGGACTTGGTCGACAGCCTAGGGAGTACTCAAATGAGTGCAGCTCTACGAAGGCTGTGTCTATGACAGTCTGGTCGAGTATCGAGTCAGCAAGGAGTAAAGCAAAGCAAAGTAAAGGTCAATTGCCGTTGTATCGTTGGGACGATACTCGTCGAACGACGTGGTGTTGTCGAGTCGATGACATCGTCAAATTGACATCCAGGAAGTGAAGGTGTGAAAGCGAAAGCGCAACATAGCAGATTGGAAAAGGACACAAAGGCAGAACAAGAAAGAGGAGTCAGAACTTACGGGGTCTGGTCGAAGATCTCCAGAAGTGCTTCGAAGAGTGCAGCTCTATGACAGGCTGTGTGATCGAAGGCTGTCGAGCAAGGAGTTAGCAAGAAGCGAAGCAAAGAATGGCAACAGTCAGTTGCCGTCGCCCTTTGAGCCGACGTCGATCGATCGATGTCGCTCCGGCGAGATATGGCAGTCGAGATGAAATCGTCGAGATGAAATCGTCGAGATGAAATCGTCGAGATGAAATCGTCAAGTCGACATGCAGAAGTGACAAGTGAACGATAAAGCGAAAGATCGCGGGTTGAATGGAAGACATTCATCAACAGACATGTCGAGACGAACTTCTTGTTGGGATGATGTCGTCGAGACCAATAGATCAGACCTCTGGAAGTGAACGAGTGAAGGCGAGGAGTGCCAGACTTTGTGGAGAGGCAAAGGTAGAGGGCAGGCGCGGTGTAGACCATGTGGGCAGAGACGAACAGGAAGTGGATAGTAGACAAAGTCGCGGGGGGGGGGAGTACAAGGAGGAAGACGTCACGAGGGCGAGAATGAACTTACAGGATGACGAGAGCAGCGTCGTAAGAGCAATGGTATCGAAAGAAGATGCTGATATGAAACGGTGTAGAGCTGAACGCATTGTCAGTGGCTGATTCAAAGTACGCGCATATGCATCCATTGATCGCGGAGTCTTAGTGATCGTGATTCTGTTCAAGCGACGAGGCTCGTGGGGTCGAGACTTGACGCAGTCGGAAGTCGACAAAACACGGGGCTCGACAGAAGACGGGGCTCGACAGGATACAGGGCTCGGCAGAAGATGGGGCTCGACAGAAGACGGGGTTCGATAGAAGAAGTGGTCGAAGAGAAGAAGGTGCTTGAAGAGGGTACGGGAATCAAAGAGAAGACGGAGCGCGAAGAGAAGACGCGGCTCCAAGGGAAGACGCGGCTTGAAGGGTTGCATTGACCTGCGGGTGTGTTCATGGGGGGGGAACTTTTGGAGACATCGCAATCGTCGAGTGGAAGCAAAGATGCAAGTAGACTTACAAAGTAGGTATTGGAGGTATGCGGCGGGAAAACACAGTCAAGCTGGCTGGTTAAGTTAGCAAAGAAGTTCGCGGGAGTGTTTTGACGAGTTGTGGTAATGAGTGGGACATGCGTTGAGAGGCTTAAGGGCGAGCTTGCGCGCAAGTGTCGACCTCTCGTAGCGTTCCAAAGATCGTGGTTGTGTCAGGCAGTTGAGACTCGATGGTCGAGTCTCGGAACTTGAGGCGCGAGAGCTTGAGTTGTCGAGGGATAGGCGATCGAAGCACAAAGTGTACTGAGCACCAGGTAGAAAAGGGGAAGACTTTCGGATAGAAGTTCTGATTTTGAGCTAGAAGGACACACGGCTGAGCTGTATGGAGTGTGTCAGTAGCGAACTACATGCGAGTGCGTCGAAATAGCGGCAGCGGATAAATTGAGCGTCGGGGGCAGAAGTGCAAGTGCGCGCAAGTGAGTCCAAGATGTGCAGTTCGAGAGGTAGAGGGCAGGACGCCAAAAGGCTGATAACTGTGTAATCGAGGGACATACTATCTCAATCACAAAGATGAAGAAGAGAGACACTTACGAAGGATGAGGACTGGGGCGATGCTGCGAGCAAGCGCTTTTGAAGCTTCGAGAAGTGCGTCAGTAGCGAAGCACAGGCGATCGCGTTGATTGATCGTCGCGAAAGCGATTTGCGTTGAGGAGAAGTGGTATCGTTCGAAAGATGATGATTCGTTCCGTGGAGAGCGAAACAAGGTTTGTCGAGGAGATTGTCGAGGTGGTTGTCGAGGTGGTTGTCGAGGAGGTCGTCAAATAGGTTGTCAAATAGGTTGTCAAAGAGACTGTCGAGACTTATGTTTAAGGGCCCGTCGATACGGTCGAGAGGTGCAAGGGTGTCTTGGAAGGAGGGTTGTCAAAAGGGCCGGTATGATGCAATTAAGAAGCAGAGTGCCACAGGAACAAGGGGAGAGGTTGACCTCGAGGGGTAGATGTTTTGATTGAGGAAAGACAACAAACAAGCGATTTTGTGGGTATCCGTCTGCTAGAACGGCTGATGATGAGATGGAAACATCTAGCAGCCAATTGTCCGGGCTCAGGCTAGCAACGAGCGACGGCCACGACGACAGCTGCCATGACTAACCTCAGGCCATTCCTCGTTTCTGACATGACTCCAGACAACGCACTTAAGGGCAGACGATCCAATTGCTAGCTCTCGGCGCCCTGGAACTTACTTATGCTATGGCTCTTCAAACTTTTGGATGCTAATTTTCTCTGCCACCACCAAACATGATGCTGTCATGCAAATTTCAGCCCTCGGACTTGACAAACATCCCTTTGCGGTTTGAAGGGCCAGAGATGTCGACAAGACTTGAACAAGATGGCAGCCAGGTATATACGTCTCACATAAGCTGTCCATAGTTGGTGAAGCAGCTGGAAGTTCGCCGACTACATCTTTTGTTCGAGTGTTCCATCACACGCAAACGTGGATCCACAAACGGATAAAGACGTGGTCGCCTACTACATGTCCACGCCAGAGGATTTGATTATCGCAAGCCCACCTGCTACATCCAGCCATGGCAATGGGGGTGTGTTTGATCTGGACCGAGGCCAGTATATCGAGGCGAAGCGATCGGAGATGCTCTGCAAGTGATCGTTTCATATTCCTGTATGCCGGAGTTTTCGTGAGTCAAGATTCATCTACCATGTCCTGTCGTAGCCGCTGCCTTGATCGATATTGAGGCCAGGTTAGTGGGTCGAAACGACCAAAGATGCTGGGTAAGTGATCGTTCTGGACACCCGCGCGAAAGGGGCTTCATGAATCGAAAGGGGTTCCGTGAGCCGAAAGGGACTTCGTTGATGAAGAGACCACCTGCCACATCCGGCCATGGCAGCGAAGTAGATCACGATTGAGGCCTGGAAATGGATTTGAAGCGACCAGACGTGATCGGAAGCTTTCGACACGCACAAGATCTGACCGGAGGTTAGAAAGCGATGATCCTCACGTCCAATAGGACCAAGGTGAGTACCGAGACCTGAATCATCGCGAAATTCGTGCCAGGGTCTTCGAATGCGTTCGACGAGTGATCGGGACAATCATCGCAAGGGCCAAGTCAGCGTCTTCGAATGTGATCGACGAGTGATCGAAAGACTTACTTCGCCGAACGGAGCCTCGTAGAAGGCTGTAAGCTCACATTTCCCTCGCTTTTCGAGCCGAACAGTGTCGCTTATCGGAGCACTCGACCACGAACGAGTTACACAGGGGGAACAATTACTGAGAAGGACAAAAGGATGGGTAGCGAAGTGTGGGGGAAGTCTTTTTTTGCGTATCGTTGTTCGTGCTTGTTGATACCATCGGGTGATGCGAAGAGACAGAGTGTAAAATTACTAAAAAGCAGAAGGAGAAGATACTTGAGGTATAGAACCACGCGTCTATACCAGAAGCTACTCACAGCCAAGTACGTTGGTCCTATCAAGCTTCATCCTCAACGACTTCGGACTTGATCTCGAGTTGCTCTTCCTGCTCTGGGGCGACCTTCTGGGACTTCTTGCGGAGAGGAGTACCATCATCATCGTCCGAGTCATCAGAGACCTTGCGCTTGGGGTGGAGCTTGCCCTTGCCCTTGGAAGGAACAGAGGAGCCAGCAGCACTAGGAGCGGTTAGCAAAGGCTCACAACACACTCTGACAGGAAGACTCACCCCTTGCCCTTAGCCTTGCTCTTCGGAGCAGGAGTCTTGGGGACGGGACTTTCGGAGCCGTCACTATGGGTCAGTAGTCAGCACATTGTGTCCCAACCGCTTGTGAGCGATGCTGGCACGTACCCGTTGTCTTGTCCGTTCTTGACAGAGACACGAAGACGTGAGAGATGCTTCTTCAGAGCGGCAACGGTGCAAGTAGCGGTTTCAGTAGAGAGGTCGGCGGCAAGACTGTCCCAGTTGATGTTTGCTGCGGCGTTGGAGTCCTTGATGACGTAGAGCAAGATCTTACGATCGGCCTCGGCTATGAGAGAATTAGTTTCGGTTGTGTAAGATATCACCAGGCTCTCTTACCGTCCCAGGTAATGCCAGGCATATTGTTGGATGGAGTGTCGATCTTTGAGAGCGAGGGTGGGTTGTGTCAAGGGCAGAATTGTGCTGACACTTTCCGAAGGTAAGGTGAGAGATGACTGTGTGTGGAGATGATGGTAGAGAAAGGGCTGACCACTTTGATCTGGACAAGAAGAGAAGAGTCAAGGAGATCTTGAAGAAGGGGGAGTTATGAAGGAGAAAGCACCGGAATTTAGTGAAAGTTGCTGGTCTGCGGCGCGGAGCTGTTCAGACTTGTGAAAGCCTTCACTATGGGCGACGACACTTTTCTCGTTCTGAAATAGTGCCGTGAAGACAACCACTGCAGAAGAATTGAGTGAAGAATGTCCCAGAATAACCAACACGCTTGGCCGGAAGGTTCCCAGTTGCACAACACCGACTTGAACCGATGTCGTCTTGACTTTTACATGATGCAGTTGTTCTTGCTCTTACGTCTTTTCGGGGCTGATGATTTGTGACTTGTCTCAAGATCGACCAGCACATCCCTGTTAGATGGGGTCCTATCATAACATTCTAGAAGAGGCAATTCAGGTCATGCCAAAGGATCGAAAGCATTTTGTCTCTCGCTACCCTTGCGTGTTATAGATGTCGACGGGCGACTGGAGTGGTGCTGCAGAGATGCTGATATAGCTTCGGCCAGTCGGTTGTCTAGAGGCGAAGCAATATCAATTGGAGCAGCAACGTGCATGCAAGCTAAACGAGGTTGAGAAGCATTTACAATGCGACCTGAGATGTCTTGTCAAGCAAGAAAGAGAGGGCGAAGCTCAACAAGGAGATGAAGTCGGAAGGAGCGGCAGAAGCCGAATCTTGGCAAAGCCTCTACAAACACTCCTTCTTCGGTAACTACTACCGATCTCATATCTCGTACGATATCAGCTTCAAGGAAGACGAAAAGCCCGGCTGCGGCTGATTCATACGCTTCTGTCTTGCGTTAGTCCTGTTTGTAAGTGCAGTCTTGCATAACAGTGTAGAATCAGCGGCCTTCGGCAAGGAAATGCTACATTCAAGGGAAACGCATAACGGTTGATGCTTAGGACAAAAGCGATTTGAAGAACAGTGTTATTGATCGATGATCAAAGAACATTCTGGGAGGGGCCGATGATAGTGAAAAAGAGTGAAAGAAACAGAAAACTTGGCTCTCCCTCATCCAGTAAGTGCACTCTTTCGCTGCCGTAAAGTTCATTGTGCTTGCTGCCTCTGGCGGTCAAGTGCCTGCCGTGATGCAAGAGAAACGGTGGAAGATTGGATGTCGTGGTTGATCAGGCAACAGCCTAGCAAAGAGTCAGTCAATCTTGCCGCCTGTCAGTGTTGTCCTCATTCTCAGAGCATACCTCGTCTTCGCCATCTTCGCCATCTTCGGTGCCAAATTCGGCCTTGACACTGCTGTCTTCTTCCTCGCCAGCAACAGCATCCAAAGTGTCGTAGTCGACCTGCTGGTCCTCGGCGCCATCACTTTCGTAGCCAGAGGCCTCGTCGGTCTGCTTCATCTTGCGCCTCTTCGAGACTCCTCCCTGGCTGCGCGCTTGGCTTCTCTTTCCCTTTGCTCTCGACGGACCCTCTTGCGAGTCGCTTTGCTCTCCTTCTTCATGTTCAGTGCGATTCTTGGCACGAGCAGCAGGAACGCGGCCACCGCTGCTGCGCAGTACTCCACGGACCCCATAGTCTTCGGAGAGTCTCTTGAAGCGCTTGGAGCTGTGGTGATGTCAGTTGGAGTTGTTTGAGATAGAGGTGATGGAGACGTACACGGCGTTGGCGGTGAGTCCGGTGTCGTTGGCTACGCCTTTGAGGTCGATTTGACCGGGGCCCTTGCTGTTCTTGAGGCAAGCAAACAACAGGACGATGTGGTCCTTCTCAGTGGTGGGAGCCATCGTTAGTTTTGTGAAAGGTATGTAGGTTGATGTTTGAAGAAGGATGTTTGATCAAGCACAACAAAGGAATTGCAGTGCTTCTACTGAAGAAAGAGGATGGAAGAGAGTGCGATGAGTTGGGAGAGACGAGTGGTCAATGGGTCGCGGAAAAGTGTGCGGAAGACACTAGTCGTGCAGAAGTGAAATGGCAGCAAATGTGAGTGATGCGTCGATGCTCGATACGCGACGAAATACTCACTTATGTTACTGCTTGTACAGTGTTGCCAGATTCGTAGTTCTGTCACTCAGTTTGAGGTGATCGGGCTTGGATAGTGGATTAGGAGGACACGTTATGGAGGTAGAGAAGAAGATTTGGTTATACGTCAAGCATGAAATTCTTTAGTCTAATCGAGACCGTCAATGGTGCCTATACCATGTTTCACATGCATTGAGTACCTCGTCCCGCAGCTTCCAGCTCAGATGACCCTTGAGTTGGTGAAAACGTGATGGCACAAGCTATCAGTTATTATTCACTCGCTTAGCCCAAGATGATGAAGAATTGAATATGTAAAATTGTGGTACAAGCCCAGATGAAAATGTCAATTGATATCCGCTGTCAAGAAAAAATCTATTTGGCCTTGGGGCTAGCCTTGGCCTTCTTGCCTGCCTTGTTCAAAGTTCTCTTCTCCTTCTTGCTTTGAACCTCCGTTGGAGTGCCATTGGCATGTCCGCCGGCCTCGCTAACACCATTCTCGACAGGCTTCTCAGCTACCTTTGGGCTTTTTGTTCCTGACGGTGACTTTACTGCCTTCTCTTCTAATTGATCCTCAGCATTTGACTGCTCAGCTGTGACTTCCTTCTCCTTGGGCTGCTGCTTAGCAGGCTTTGTGGCTTTGGGATCAATGCCCCTCTTCTTGAGTTGCTTAGCGCGGGCACGTTGGATGATGGCTTCGTCCTCCGAGTCAGAGAAGCCGCCGAACTCATCGTTTTCGGCCTCCTCGCTGATGGGAGTTCTATCGATAACCTCCTCGTCGATGTCCTTCTTCAGATTTTGCTTCTGGACTTCCTGGCCTTGGGCCTTGATGGCGTTGGCAGGTGTGGGGCCGGTCTTCTTGAACTTGGCGACGAAGAAACCGTCAACGTTATAGGCGTGAGGGTAGTATCTTCTGGTCTCCTTCAGGGTGGGGTGGAACTTCTTGCCCATGAAGCTGGTGAAGCCCTCCTTGCCGAAGACGAGACCAGTGCTGACAAGCTTGACGTTGGGACGTCTGTTCAGGGCGTATTGAACGACTTGTTCGTTCTCCTCCACTGTGACACTACATGTTGAGTAGACAATGTAACCACCAGTCTTCGATGCGTGGTCTACAGAGTCGATAGCGGCAAGCAAAAGCTGCTTCTGAAGATGGGGCAGGCGCAGGAAATCGGCTTCGGTCTTGTTGGTCTTGACACTTTGATCCTTGGCGATGACACCAGTACCAGAGCAAGGAGCATCGAGAAGAACTCTGTCGAAGCCACCCATGACCTTAGGGAACTCGAGGGCAGAGTAGTGGCAGACGATGGTGTTCTTGACACCCAGACGGTGAATGTTACCAATCAGACCCTTGGCACGGACCTTGCTGGCATCGTTGGCGAAGATGACACCAGTGTTGCGCATCAGAGCAGCGGCGTGTGTTGTTTTACCACCGGGAGCAGCGGCCATATCCAGGACACGCTCGTTCTCTTGCGGAGCCAAAGCCATGACGGGCAAGAACGAACTGGCGGCTTGGAGGATGTAATGTCCAGCGAGATATTCGGGGGTGGCACCCAAGGGAACCTGAGATTCGAAGACCTGCAGACCAACCTTGCTCCACTTTCCAACGGGCTCAAGGGTGACACCACGGTTGATCAGAGAATGTGCGAGATCACGGCGATGAGTGCGGAGAGTGTTTGTTCTGATGACCAGAGGACGAGGAGTTTCGTTTGCGTCGAAGAAGGCGAGGGCTTCCTGAGGGGTGAACAGTCTCCACAGCTTCTCGGCCAAGAAGCGCGAGTAGCCATAGTAGGCGCAGATGTCGTTGAGAAGGGAGTTGATGTAGTCGGTGCGCGAGCGCGAAGGGTCGGACAGCTCCTTGAAGCTGGTCAAGACACGGGTGGTCTCTGTGATACGGGTACGGAGGAGCTGGAGGTCGGGAGCAAGAGTGGCCTTTCGGATCGCGGCCTCGTCGTCGTCCTCGTCTTCGGGGATGTCGGCGGCGGCAATGTTGGTCTGCATGGCATCGTCCTCGAGTTCGGCTTGCGCGTCGGCGGCTTCCTGGGCGGCTTCCTCGTCGAGGCGACCGGAAAGTCCAGCAATGTTGGCGGCATTCAAAATCTCCTCGGCATCTGAGGCATCTTCGTCCTCAGACCACATGGCACGCTGTACATCGGGGTCGTCTGAGTCCATGAAGTCGTCGTCCTCGGCGGGCTCATCGTCCGACTCGAGCACGCCCAAGTCGTCGGCGACATCTGAATCGTCCTCAACGTCCTCGTCGTCGGATGCAACGAGCTGTTGTGCCTTCTTTGCGACAACCTTGGGAGTCTTTCCATTTGCCACGAATTTGCCCTTGGTCGTCTTCTTTCCAGCAGAGTTCTTTGGCTTGTTGGGGTCTGTTCTGCGTTTCTTGTATGTTGCCTCTGGCGGCGGGGGAGCGTCCTTTCTCTTCCTTGAAACCAGTGATTCGTCCAGGGGTCCAGGAACACCCTGCTTCTGCATGCGACGACTTGGTGCCATTTTGGGATATGATGTCGAATGCGACTGTGAAAATTGGAAAATCAATGGCAGAAAGGCCCAGCTCTTCTCAAACTTTACGAGACTTTTTCTGGAAGCACTTTGTGGGGAAGTCGGTCTGATTGGCCGCCATCTGATGCTTCGGCGTTAAGAATCATGATTATCTTATCACCTTTCGCATCATGTCTGCAAATGCACTTGCATCTCTCATGATGACAGAGTGCGGCATGTTTGTTCGAAATTCTGGCTAGCAGTGTATTGTGGTATCGATCCATACTAGAGAGCTCCTGAGACTCGGCCTCAGTCACTGTCCTCGTCGCTTCCATAACCAACCAGCGGACCTGCGGCCTTGTCGGGAGCCCTGGTGCTCGTTGCTCCAGAGCCCGCTGTGAAACCCTTGAGTGCGCTTAACGTTGACCCTCCGAGAATACCAGAGGGCGCATCTTGTCTCTTCATGTCCTCAATCCGCAGCGGCACACCATCGTCCTCGTCTTGTGAATCCCCAGCTTCGAGCAGGTACGGTTCTTGGGCTGCTCCGAGTCTGGCCTTCTCCGATGCATACCAGACCTGATCACTGGCTTCGTATCCGACCAATCCAAACGTGCCTTCGACCTTCCTCCTCTTTCTTGCGTCCTCCCATCCTTCACCGCGTCCTTCAATCTCAGCAACATACTCGGCAGGCAGCGCGCGTCGGATGGCATCAGCCGCTTGTTCCTCAATCTTTCGCACTTCTCTCTTCTGTGCTTGCGGGTTTGGGTCGACGGTTGCCCATCTCACGTTTATCGTCTCGTTGTTGTCTAGCGGTTGGTGTGCCATGGCCTCTTTGGCGAATTCCTGCACGATTGTCAGCTTCTGTCCTGCGGTGAAGTGTATGATGGGTAACTTACAGCATTTGCCAGGTGGACATAGGTTACGAAAGCCACACCTCGCGCTGGCAGTACACGTACGCGCTCGATCTGACCCCACTCCTGGAAGTGTCTGGCAACAACCTCTTCAATGTCATCTGATGTGTGAATTCTGCCGACATATAGAGTCCTGTTGACACGCATGAAACTTCCAACACCACCCATGTCATCTCTGTAGTCGCTAAACTTGTCTCGTCCGAAGCAGTCGACATTTGAAGGGAAGATATCGCCCAAGCCACCCTCTTTTTCCACGCGCGAATTCGGTAGACGGTGGAGGTATTCGCAATCCTGGCCCTTTGGACACAGGCCGCGAGCAAAGAATAGACAAAAGTAGCTACCAGGAATGCTGTCGGCTTGAGTGAAACCAGAGTCGAGGGCGACATTGCATCTGCCCTTTGCTTGTTGCTTCGAGGAGTAGGCATCCTCGCGATCGCCGCCAGACCATTTGTTGTACCAGATGTTGAAGATTGTACCGGTCTGAGCAGGCCTTTCTGATTGGAAGCCTTCCTGCTGCACTCTAGCGGGCCTTCTCTTCTTCTTGACCATGATCTTCTTCGTCTTCTTTTTCGGCTCCGATGTGGTACTGTCTGTATTTGTGGGTACCAGTGCTGCTGAATCTGTGACTTCCATATTTGCAAGGGGATTTTGGTCGGTGGTGGTGGCCTCCTGCACGGGAGGTGATTCGACGTCGGCCATAGTTGTAGAGTTTCGATGGAGAGTCGCGTAAATGTAAAGATGTGGTTCGAATGACGGCGAGGGGCGGAGCGATATGAATGGTCGTCGGTGAGTTTGCGAAAGATGGCAAGGGCGCAAGTCTGGCAGGCACGACGGACTCCGGAGAAAGAGCGGCGGAGAGTGTTGAGCTTGGACCAGCGAAGCTACTCCCGCGACGGTCAAGCAACCAAGCACCATCATGCCCACACGCATCCCATTCCATCTCCCAAACCCTCCCTTTCTACCATACACCGTCAACATGCCTGGATTCGATTTCTCACTGCACAACCGCAACCTTGCTCTGCACGCGCAAGGTGTGCCGCTACCCAAGGCCACCAGTACCGGAACCACCATTGTTGGCTGTCTCTACGATGGCGGCGTCGTCATCGCCGCAGACACAAGAGCAACCAGCGGTCCCATCGTCGCCGACAAGGTCAGTCAAAGTCTGCAATATCAGAACTTCTTCATGCTGACAATCCAACCCTCAGAACTGCGAGAAGCTGCATTACATCGCCCCCCAGATCTGGTGCGCCGGTGCTGGTACCGCTGCCGACACTGAGTTCACCACCGCTCTCATCTCCTCAAACATCGAATTGCACGCCCTATCTACCGGCCGCAAGCCTCGTGTCGCCACCGTCATGACCATGCTCAAGCAACATCTCTTCCGCTACCAAGGTCACATTGGCGCCTACCTCGTCGTAGCCGGCTGCGATCCCACAGGCAGCCACCTCTTCACCGTCCACGCTCACGGAAGCACCGACAAGCTCCCTTACGTCACAATGGGTTCAGGTTCGCTGGCCGCCATGTCGGTTTTCGAAACCCAGTGGAAGTCTGGTCTCAACAAGGACGACGCCATCAAGCTCTGCGCCGACGCCATTCAGGCCGGTATCTGGAACGATCTTGGTTCGGGTTCCAACGTCGACGTCTGTGTCATTACCGCAGAGAAGACGACGCTGCTGAGAAACTACATTACTCCCAACACTCGCGACCAGAAGATGAGGAATTACAAGTTCCAGAGAGGCACCACCGCCATTCTTAACGAGAAGATCATCACCCGCCAGGACATTAGCAAATACGTCACGGTGCACGAGCTCAGCGACAATGATGCCGGTCAGGCGGGAGAGAAGATGGAGGTTGATTCATAGAACGCTCTGTCTTGCTAGCCCACAACTGGCTGGCCATGACTTTGACATTTCTGTATTCTAACGGGGACAACGATCGGGCGCTTTTCTATCCAAAGCAAGCACAGGCATTTCAGGGGAGTTTGCAATTCAAAATCGGTCTTAATCTATTCTACTTGAATCTGTTCGTGTCTAGAGTCTAGGGTGACATGTAAAGACAACTGAAGCGATGGTCGGCGTGGCCCAGCCTGCTGGCATTTTCACCTCAACGAGAAACTGAATGCTGCCTGATGTCTCCAGGCATGCATCAGCTTGCAGCTAGGGTAACTTCCGTTGCGATTCCCTTGTACTTGCAGCAGCGTGGCTATCATGGCCTCTTGTGTCGCAACATCCATCCGCCAGTGCTACGGTGGAGCCATGGCTAATCTTCCTTCCATATCGCATGATGCTCCCGATGAGTCTCATATTTCATCAAGTATGTATAACCACACTGGGTCAGTTCGAAGATGCAGGGAGTGCATCTCTGTCGTCTCTGTTGTGCATGACAGATTGGGTGACGAGAAGAGTCTCTGGGACGCTTGGTCTGGTGTAGAGGCTGCTGTTGGATGCTCGACGAGCTATTGAGATGCCTGGCGTAGGATCGATAGTGTAGCTGCTAGCTTCTGGGTGATGGATAGTGGGCCAGCAGGGATTGGCGAAGTGGTCTCTACCAATGCCTCTACCGGTTCAGATGCAGTCCCAATAGTAATAGTAGTCTGTAGTGTAATGTTGGTATAAGCGGTGTCAAAAGGAGTGTGCTCGAACGCCGTGATGTCTCTGATGTGCAAGATAGTTGACAGAGTGATATGAGCCGCAAGATTGGATGTGATGCTAAACGTACCGTCATTCGTCGAGGACGGCTCGAGTTCAGTCGTCGTCGACGCTTGACTGCTCACAGCAGCTGTGTTGATCGTGGCATGAGCACCAGCGCCGAGTCTCACTGCTCCTGCCCTCGTGCTTCTTGCGGAATTTGCTTCGCAGCTGGATGCACCAACGCTCGTCCGATTGAAGAAGGCTTCGACCGATCGAATTTGCAGGATGCTATCTTGCAGTGGAGGTCCATAGGTCCAAGCATAGCCATTAGACCACGAGTTCCACATTAGCCATCCTGCTTCGCTTGGGACATTTCTTGTGATTGACATAACCAGTTCGCCGTCAATGTAGAAGTATGTGCCTGTTGGGAGCCAGTCATAGCGGTATTCGTGGAACTCCGTGGTTAGAGTGCCGGGTGCGGGTACAGCATATGTAGTTTCGCCATTACCAGGGTGTGTCTGCTGGTTGGTGAAGTGAACATGACCAGGATCTCCAGTCCGAATCTCAATGTCGGTCTCTTGCGTGTCGTTCATGTACATGAAGAAACCTGATAGACCGTTAGTACGCAAGTCTCCTGTTTTCCGAGCATTAGAATCGTACCGTGAACTGTTCCGTTAACAGGACTGGCTTGTGCGATGGTCCGCACACTGGCATACAGGACATCGTTGTATCTGGTGACCACCTGACATGTGTCCAATGGATCTGCAGTCTGGCCACCAGGGACAATCATCTGCATGGGTTGACCACGCGTGAGCACAATATTGCTGGGATTGAAGATATGAGCGTAAGGTGCATAGGGTCCAGAACCAACTTCGTAAGTGCTGGCGACTAAATCATCCGGAAGCGTGTCCATGGTTGTAAAGTCAAAGGCGAGGTGAGAGGTGAAGGCTCCTACGCCTTCCACTTGGTAATGACACCCATCGGAGGATCCATCCGCGCTGATATCTGCACGAGCAGCCAGGTGGTCGAAAGTAGTGGCATGTGCCATGGCTGCAGCAATAGCAATCAAACAAGCATGCTTGAGGGTGATCCTGAGTGGAGGCATGTCGAGAAGTCAGTGTCTACTGCCCATTTTGTCGTGAATTAACTGATCCAGGACAAAGACAGAAGGAATTGGAGGGTGAGAATGCACAAGGAAATGTCTGAGATGTTCGAGGGCTGGACACTGAAGATCGGTAAATATTCCAGGCGACAGTTGGATGAGCAAACGGGCGAGGCGTCTATGTTCAGGTAGGACTAGCAGACGTTTTAAGCACATGGCCCGACACCGAGACAGAAGTATAAACGGTACACAACCATGAGGTAATCATTATAAGCAGACGGAAGGGAAGCAGAAATGATGGTTCGAAAAAGATGCTAGTCAGAGGTCAGGGGCGTGGATCCGATGGTGGCTTGAAGACTGTATGCTAGGGCTGAGACCGATAGAGAGGCTGAACGGTAGTGCCAGATAGCAAGCCGAGATACAACGCAGCTGGAGAATGTCATGCCGGGGGACGCTCGCCTTGGAGATGGATCGCATGCGTCTCATGCCGGTCTGCTTGACAATAGTGGAGAAAGGGATGACGTGGTGCAGTGGGAGATGAGTGGGCAGAGCTAGATACAGCTCAACAGTACCTACAGCGGGCGCAATCGAGGCAGAGTGCTACAGGGTACCTACTCAACAAACAGAACAACACATAGGTACGACTAGATGGTAGGAGAAGAAAGTAGCCAGGTGTCTCCAGGGCCAAGCAGATAATGCGTGGTGGGTGGGTAGATCCCCGCATCTGCACAGCGGGACGATCAGATGCGAGCCAAGGGGGTGGATCGAAGCCAAAAACAAGACCAGTCGGCGTCCCGTCCAAGGCGCAAGGTGGAAGGTGGACGCTAGAGCGGAAGGGACACGCAACTGCCATGTAGGTGAGTCGTGACTGCTGAATGACGAGCCCTTGGCCAGTCCATCGCAAGCAAAACATGAACCTGCGTCCTTCTCATCCACCCTCGACGCACTCGGCAGCATGAGCAGACCAGCATCCAAGGCATCAGCTCCTCCATCGCCTGACGAAGCTCTGCATATACCTGCCGCCAATGCATCGTCATCAGCTCTACCTCAGCCTCCCCCGGCGACGATGCGTAATCGCTTGACGACAAAGACGACTCCTCCCATGTCAGGTGGAGCTTCGCCAGTCGAGCCTCTGCTCTCTCGCCGTCGCTCCTCGCTGCTGTCCTTCTCCAGCTTGGATGACACGCGACAATCTGCCGGAGACTTTATTCGACCGACCCTAGGTCTTGAAGACGACGATACAACCACTCTCGAGGACGTGTCTCACTGGCACAGCTCTCCGCTGGCCTTTGCTGTTCTGCCTGCCATTGCTGGTCTCTTCTTTACAAACGGAAGCGCCTTTGTCACCGACATCATCCTGCTCGGCCTAGCTGCTTTGTTCCTCAATTGGAGTGTGAGACTGCCATGGTATGCTTGACCCTATTTGTCTTGCTGTCTTGCATAAGCTGACCTGTCCAGGGACTGGTATCGCTCGGCTCAGGCTCAATTTACTCTAGATCAATTGGACTCCCCTCGCTCGATCCCACGGGACACAGACAACGACCATGACCAACGACGCCAGACGCCCGAGAATGTCCACGTCAGTCAAGAGCAGGAAGGCGCCGCTGCCAATCTCCGTCAACATGAGCTCTTGGCCTTGGTCTCTACATTCTTGTTTCCAGCCTGCGCTGCCTACCTGCTGCATGTCATTCGTCGTCAGCTTTCACGGCCATCAGAAGGCCTGATATCAGACTACAACTTGACCATCTTTCTCCTTGCCGCTGAAATCCGTCCAGTCAGACAATTGATCCGTCTGTTTACTCAACGAACTCTACACCTTCAACGCATTGTTCGTGGCAGTACAGATCCCGCACTACTGAACAAGAAAGACAAGGCTATCTCTGAGCTTGCATCTCGCTTGATCGTCCTAGAGGAGAAGTTTGGCAATCAACTGTCGTCTCCAGGTGTTTCCGTGGTCCAAAAAGAGTATGTCTCTGCTCTCTCCAGCGATATCAAGAAGCGTTACGAACCTCGTCTGGATGCTTTGGAGCGCGCTGTCAGAAGATATGAGAAACGAGCTACAACCCTGACCTTGCTCACCGAGCAACGTCTACAGTCTTTGGAGAATCGTCTACAGGACGCTTTGAGCTTGGCCGCCGTCGCTGCCCAGTCGTCGAGTAAACCAGGCGTTGTCGCTGCTATTCTTTCTGCTCTCGCAAAGACTATGGCGATCCCTCTTGAGCTCGCCTGGTACGCACTTGTATGGCCTTTGAAGATGACAGAGTTGGTGATTAAGAAAGCTGGCATACTGGTAATTGGTCCAACACATCCTCCTCGTCGTCGCAATGATTCCAAAGGTCCAAAAGTCAAGTCTGAAAAGAAGAAGGATGACTCGTATTTCTCGCGGCATTATTGAAAGCATCGCTCAGGGGTACGAACCGCTTCGCATCAGCATATGTATCTTATCCCGTTCACGACTCTATGAATTGTATGAAGAAGCTTGAATGATTTACATGTATTTTGCAATCTATCAGCCATAACTCCCACATGTGAATCGTCTGCGTGTACAATGCCCGGGTTGTGCCAACCAGAATCGTTGTGCGGATGACCCTGGTCAAACTGGTAAATATCCTTGATTGCAGATGTGCATGCACCTGATACTCGGAGTGGTCACCCATATGCAAGAATAGTATAGTTCGATGTCATACAGTATCGATGTCATCTAGTTGGTCGCTATGTTGCTGGTATTTCGAAAACGGTTCTTGATTCGGTCAGAATGAAGCCTCGTCCGGGTTATTACCTGTGCGCATCCCGCTCTCACGACATGATCAAGATCAGTTTAGAAATATTGGTCATTAAAGCGGCATAATAACAGAAATTAAACAAGTAAAAGAGATATCCTGCGCAACGCCATTCTGCCCTCAGGCTTCAGCCTCCGGACTGCCCACCGCACCGATCAAAGCAAAAGGAAAAGAACGAGGACATGAATAACATCGTGCGTCAGTCATTTGTTAGGGCTCGTTGAACCTCCCACTCACAAAGTGGAAGAGTAGTAGAGATTGAGTAGCTTTCCGGCACCACAGTATTGAAACTTGTTGCCCGGGCAGATCATGAGCTTCGAGGTACCGCACTTGGTTGCCGCGGCTCCTGGAGCAGGGCTGTCGCCACAGTAGCATTGCGTACCATATTCGATACTGTGATCAACGTCAGCGCATTGTCAGGTGAAAGTGGAAGTAAGATCAAAACATACCCAGCATACTTGAAGCGCTTGCCCAAGCAAAACTTGACGCACTTGTCCACAGTCATAGCATCATCCGTGGTACTAGCCCCACCAAGAGCTCTTGCCCCACCAGTTGTAGGCTCCAAAAGACATCCCTTACTCTTATACTTGCCCACATTGGCCACAACTTCCACAGGCTTATAGTTGGGATTCTTGTACATACTCAACAAGCGCGAGCCACCACAAATCTGCGAAAAGTTGCCGACACAGCGGGTGCGGCAGGAACTCTTTGAAAAGTCTGCACTTGTGTCTTGGACGCTGCTGTTGGATGCGAGGGCGTTACCGGCGTAACATTCATTGCCGTTTTCGAGGCCGTAGAAGGCGAGGTTTTTGTCGTCGGCGAGGGCGGCGCATTTGGAGAGGGTCATGTCGAGGCCGGAGAGGGAGCTTCCGTTCAGTGCGCGACCTCCGGTGCCTTCGCTTGCACAACCTACATAGGTTGAGTTGAAGGGAGTCACGGGGTAAGTGAGCTGAATGACAGACTTGGCCAGGTTGGTGGTCTTTACGAAGGTTGGGTCCGTATTGTTGTAGATCATAGTGTAGAAGGCACCGCCGCAAAGCTCAGTACGATTACCAGGACAGACAATGTTGCAGCCGTCCATGAAATTAACTTGGTCCTTGATGATGGTCGTTGGATTGATGGCAAGATCGCAGAAACATTGGTTTCCATTCTCCACACCCGAGTATGGGTATCCACGCTTGGTGCAATATGATTGGCAGTACTCTACAGTCATACCGGCCAGAGTGGTGTCTATTGCGTTGAGAGCTCTGAAGCCATTGTTAATGTATGAGTCATTGCCGCAGCCAACAATCTTGTTAAACTTGTTACCAAATTCAGTGCCGGCCTTGGGTGTGTAAGTGGGTCGTGGGGTGGAGTCCACAGTCCTGCTAATTGTCGCTTGGGGTACACTGGCAGGGCACTCCATATCGGCGGCGGTAGCAGCACCCGGACCATTGGTGATGCGGATGCATCCAGGAAGTTTGTCTATCATGCCAGTAGCACGCTCACCGATTTGAGGTGGTCGGACGGGACAATTGTCTGCGAAGTTTGGGTTCCAGAAAGGATGCAGAATTGAACACTCGTCGATGGTACCAGAGTCATCTTGACCATCGACAAGGCAAGTATCGATGGCACCCTGGAGAGCAGTATCGACCCAACCATTTTGGAAATCTCCGTGGAAGCCGTAACCGGTAGGATCGCCCTGTGAAAACACGAAGCGGCCGCCGTCGTTCAAGTTAGAGACTTGAGAGACTGCATAGTTCGTCTCGAGGAATAGATGAGGGAACTGATAGGGGTGCGTGGGTGGGCAGACTCCGTTGTCAATGCCGGACATATGAGCCACATGGCTGTTGTCGGCCTTGTACAAGTCTTTACCGTTCCAGCACGTCTGGAAATGAATTTGAGCACGTAGGCCGTTGATACAGACACGGGGGTCAGCAGGCATGTTGGGCGTCTCTGGACCACCAGGACTGGAAAGACAGGCATAGCTGACAGCATCTGAGATAGGCCTGTTTGGGTACTTGGCATTCCCCCAGGTCATGCCCGATTGATTAGCAGCTCTCAATGCTTTGTTGCCTGACAGCATTTGGAAGCCTTTGGGAAAGGCGATAATGTCGTTGGCGTTCTGACCACGAGCTAAGTAGTAGATGACACTTCCACCGTGGTCAACTTCTTCGAAAGAGCCATTGGTATGCTGGTAGTAGAGGTTTGGTGTCCAGTATGCAGATTTGTCGGCCGAAATCTCACAAGAAGTACACTCTGAGGCAGCTAGACTGTCGAAAGTTGCGTTTACACCAATGTCTGTCAAAATTGGTTAGCTATGAACGAAATCGCTGTTTCATCGAATTGTACTTACTCGAGCCACCTGAAATCGTATGACAGTGAGCTGCTAGGGCGCCTGGATTGACAATAGGATCAATACGTCCGACTTGAATCTTAGCACAGTTGATACGAAAAAAAGCGTCAACCCCTCCGATGCTGGAAAAAGCCAACGCGACAATGGTGTTCCTGAGCTGCATACTTGCGTCTGACAGCGGTTAGTTGCAAAGACAGTAACTGGAGTTTGACACTTGTGCTGGGGCCTTGTTTAAGCACGATACTCGGAAATCCTTCTTTGACGGCCTTCTCGAACCTTGGGGAACAAAGTCGGCATGCCGAGATGGCCGGACTTGGATATCGGCGTCGGCATGGCGGTAGGGAGATAGAGACAGATATTTTCAGACAAAGACACGGCTGCGACTTTTTCCAAGTATGAACATCACGAAGCAAGGAGTAGGCTGAATCTCCTTTGTGTGGCTCGAGCGGCCAGCCCAAGAAGTCAGCAAAAGCGGACTGGAACAAAGAGATGGCGGAAGAGGTAACATGTACCGAGAAAATGGCACTGCCTCGTGATTCTCGAAACTGTAATTGCGAGGAGGTTTTGGTCCCCGCTTGAGCTTGTTTCGAATTTCGCGAGAGGAGGTGAGATGGAGGTAGCGCTGTATGGCTGCTTATCCAGTGGATTGGGTGTGTCCCAAAGACTTGATCTGCCACCACTTAATCACCGATCCATGATGAAGGATAGTTTGTTCGCCTTCTTGAGACCTACAATGGTAGAAGGGTGGTGTCCGTTAGTGCTTGCTTCATACGCAGCTTCCAAGCACGAGCTTTGCAGCCAGCTTCCAGGCAATCAAACATGCTGACTGTCAACAAAGCCACGTGCAACTTCAGGATGCAACAACTAAGTCTGAGCCGTAGGTGCGATCACGACTCTTCATCATGTTCCCATACCTGAGTATTGAGACAGTGCCGGAATATTATTCGGTCGTGACGCGTTTTTATATTGTCATCTCACGAGACAATGCACCGGATTTGACGGAGACGGCGACTGAACCTTCGAAAAGAAGAAGAAATTAACATTCTTCAGTCAACGCAAGGTTTCACAATGGTTGACCTAGTCTGTCAAAGTAAGGCTGGCTGAATTGCATTGATTGTTGAAGTTGGTGCACACTTGAACCGCCAAGCGTGAAGCTTTGCAAGATTGCGGCTTCCCCGCCTTTTCTCGACGACGCATGGCACGTGACTTGCTCGTATATCGCAAAACTCCACAATTCTCCACCCAAATAAATCGCTCGTCTACTCTGTATGGCAGGGGTAGGCAGCAAAAGAAATGATGATTACGATGGGACTCGAACCCATGCAACTTTCGTTACCAGGAGTCGAAAGGTTTACCCTTAAGAAGCTAGAAAGCTAACAGTGAACTGTTAAGCTCGTTTCACTTGAATCTGGCGCCATAACCACTCGGCCACGTAACCCGAGATCATGAAGACCCCGGAAGCAAGGTAGTCTATGTAGTCTTGTCCAAAAGTTGCTCAGGCTTCTGTGGAGCCTGATCTGAAGCATCTGGCGGACTGGTGGGCCAAACTAACATGGCGTGACGCAGCAGACCCCCTACTTCTATAGACTATGAACACATCTGTCGGCGCGTGCCTGTAGATCATAGACATTAGCTCTAAGTATTCAGGGACAACAAATACAAACCGTGGTTGAGATCCGCTCGAAGGCTTCAGCAAATTTTGCGTTGTGGTGCACGGGCCTCCAAGGCTTCGGTAAGGATTTTGCTGAGTGACGTTCCAGCTCGTCCATCCAAAGCATAATGACACAATCCAAGATGACTGATTGTTGATGAATCCGGGAGGACACCTCATCGAATGAGAAGTTATGAACCTACTCGTAGTTGTCAAGTAGACCACAGCGCTCGAGCGCCTTGCCCGGAGTCAGACAAGCAAATGATTCGTTTGCTAAGCTCTGCCACATACTCAGCTGCTCCCAGTGTGCGAAAGACTGTCACATTTGTAGCTGTCTTAAGGCACAAAATTTTCTAGATCTGGAGCGATGGCACCAAGAGACATCCTTTCAACGACTCCCTGCGTTACGCTTCTTGATAAAAGATATGTTATGCATTGCCACAGCTCGTTGTGGCTCTGTTCTGCTCATTGAGACAGAATTTAGCACACAGGGAGGCTGTATCAAGGCACGATAATTTGTGAGATAGCAGCGATGGTCGATGGATACAGCATCTTACCCACAGCCAACCATTACTCTCAACGCACCGTGGTGAAGCAAAGGCATGGCCAGCTCGGACAGAGCGTCTCGAAGCAGCTTTGGACCCAACGATAGCCGGAATCGTCGACATCGATTCCTCTGGCAAGAGGAATCGCGAGCACTCGTACTGCTCATGACCTGCGTAAGGTCCTGCAGCTGCGTTGTTCGAAATTGACATCTTGACCGTTGATATGATGACTTCAGAACAAAATAGTGTCTAAACCAGATTATCCTCAATTTGGGCAGCTCCTTTGTGACCTATCTTTGTAATGACTTTACTTCTCAATTGAGAAGCCCTTCTCGCAACCAAAAGTGCATCTGTTCGCGCCAATTTGCCAGAAGTAGGAAGTGTGGAGGGTATCCGGTTTGGTGGTTGTAAACTTTTGAACTGACCAGCTCCCTCAAATAGAAGCCTTGCAGTTTGGTACATGGCGGGGCAAAAGCACATGTTAACCCTTGACGAGGGCGTTTGCGGTTCTCAGGTCGCTTGCCTTTGTAGAGAGGATCACCGGGCTGGAGAGATGGCTGTGAGACCCGGCACCTTACTTGTTGGTTGCACGGTTGCGATCCCCTTCGAGTCTGGGTCATCCTCTCGAGATGTCGACCGATGCTGATCCGGCTCCTGATGTCGCGTGGCATCGTCCACATCGGTAAGTCCTCTGTACAAAGCCTCTCTTGCTCTGGAGGCGATGCGCGCGACCAGGCGTTATACACAAATAGTTCGTTGAAGTAAGCAAGGTTACTTACACACATGTCGATCGACTGGAAAATGATTACTGGAGAGATTGCGTACGGGTCGGAAGCTAGATATGTTGACCGATGCTTCTGGAGATCTCTCTCCCAGCTGACATCACATTCGGTCTTTGGTAACAGATCGCTTTCGAATGAGCGCGGTTAGTTGCGCGTAAGGTCGCTGCCCTAGACTATAAATACACAAATGTATTGTCCCTGACGAGGTCTCATGAACTTTTGTCGTATGGCGTCCGAGTGCATGTCGACCAATCTTGAAGTCAACCATCAAAGTTCAGTGAGCTTATGAGTGAGACCCTCTTCGTCTGACTCGTGATCAGATGGGACGAATCTCTTTTTTCTGGCGGCGCCCTTGCTCTTGCTCTTTTGAATCTTTGGCTTCTTCGTGACGGGGATCTCTTCATTCTCGTCCTCCTCCGTCTCGTCTCCCTGAGTGACCTTCTCTGCTGACTTAGCATGCTTACGCTTTCTCGTCGGCTTGCTGGTACCGTCTGCCCAGTTCTTGCCTTTGCGAGCCTTGGGAACTTTAATAGCCAATTTGCTAGTGGGAAAATTGATCCGATTCTCAGTCAGGCGGCCATCCGGTGGGGTGGTTGTGTAGCGTTTGTTCCCTTAGGGAGCCTTGATGTCTTCGCACAAAGCAGAAGGAAGATCGACGTCATTAGCCTGACACCACGCTTCAATTTAATCCAGACGCTTCGTCTGAATAGGGTTTATTGCTTGCTTTCCGGTAAGTTTTTTGCGCGGTCCCGCGTGGTAGAGATCGAGCTTCTCTCTTTCCTGGTCAGCCCAAGTCTCGGTTGTAATGCAGCGGTTTGTGATTGAGACGGCGGCTTCTTGTAGCTTCTCAAACTTTTACTCTTTGTTCTCATGCCAAAGTCCTCCACAGTAGCTTTTTCAGCACCGGTCGCGACCATCAGAGAGTACTGCGCGTCAAGAGGGTGAACTCCGTGTGTCTTAGGGTTGTAAATACCGTTCTTCATGACGGTGGTTATCTTGGTTCCGAACTATCCATTTGCACCTCTTTCCTGGCACTGTTTACACTTCATCTTCCGAGCGGATCCGTTGACTCACGAGTTGCCTTCAAATGCATGTTCGGCGTGATGTTCGAGGCTATCGCTTGGATATTTGAAGTGTTGGCCGTCTATTCAGAGTACATCAGCAGAGTAGTTTCGTAGGGTCGAAGAGTGAAGTTGGCTCGGGGAGGATCTCCGGCGTGACAAAAATAGTGCTTGGCGGTTGCGTATCCCCATGAGCGCAATTCTGTCTTGCGAGTCACTGTCTTGAGGCACAGGACTTTTTCAAATTGCACCGACGCTCAGGGGGTTCCGTCAGCTCACCGATTCTTCAAGAGAGCTCGATTGATTCGGAAAATGACCATGCCTTTGTACCGCTCGTTATTGCTCAACAGTCGTCGTGGAGGAGAGCAACACCATCAACCTTTTGATTCGTTATCCGAGCACCACACCCACACATCAGGACCACCGCACACGCCCCACATGACCATGAAGAGCTAGGGTGTGGAGAAGAAGAAAATATTATACGGTGATACTATTATGCTGCCCTCTCTTCGAGGGACGAGCGGCGTGACGAAGATGAGGATCGTACTCCCCCTTTGTCGAAGTCGTCAAACGGACAATCCATTGTCTCGTTTTCGTCTCGTAAACACAGCTGATGGATCTCTGATGTTCCAACTTCGCCGTACTGGGTCAAATCAGGACTAATCTCGATCTGATCGTACTCCGCGAGCAATTTGCGGACTTTTCCTGTTGCCGACTTGCGCTTTTCCGGCGTGCTCATAAGGTTGTCGAGGACCCATTTCGGTTGTAACGCGACCAGTGGTACAGGAGCGTGTCTTGACCATCTCCGTTGATGTGCTGGCGTCAACGCGACTGGGAAAAGAGGTATGCCATCGAAACAGAAAGTCCACTTCTCGTTCATCGTCTCTTGAGGGATATCTTTCGGCCACGGTTTTGAATCCCAGATTCTCAATCCGCGCAGCATATCGAAGAACTCGTTGTTGTATTCCTCCACCGTCTTGGAAGATGCTTCGGTAGGGGCGCCCATGATGACAAGACTGGTGTTTGGCCCGAGAGATCTCGAGACCTGCAAGTATGCTCTCAGGGCTGGTGCGATGATTCGCACATTGCGTGGTTCTGACGGATCGTCCGATTCGAGGAAGATGTAACGATGATCTCCGGCGCGGTAGCCCATGGTCGCATACACACAGGGGAACGTTTTGAGCCCAGTACCCTTGGCGAGTATGGTGGTCTTGAACTCTTCGTAGACCAGGCGTTGCCACGCGTTCATGTCATATTTCTCCTCGAGCTGCTCCCTGTTCGACATGGTCAGAGATGTCATCATGAGAGAAGATGGTGTAACTTGCTTGGTCAACAGATTCTCCGAGCCTCTTTTGATGATTTGCTCGTTGGTTTCCGACTGCTCTAGGTCGCCAGGGTGAGGCCCAAGCCCTTTCATCCCATTGGTAACATGGCGGAGTTGAGATGTGAACGCCTCAATATCCTTTCGTGCTTTGTGTGGCCTCAAGGCGACTAGTGTCGCAAGGCCGAAACCGAGGAAGAAGAAGATTATACTGAGAGCAAGCTGCATGTCGAAAGTGTCCTAGCCATGAGTCTGTTGGCAGCACACAAGTGACTTATCAAGCGGCTCAGGCCTCTAGTAGTCTCTAAGCGACATCATGACGACTGCAGATTCATCGTTTGGTCAGACATTCTTTGGTGCATCCATACAAAGATCTTGATGTCATGGAAGCCACGCAATTCCATTTTCAGCGTGGCTAAATGCTCACAAGGCTCTGACAAACGTAAGAGAATTGACGTTTGGAGCTTAGGCGGGGCAAGATCGCGAGGCTCAAGTGTATCCGATTTACCGAACCAACCACATCTTGCATGTCATCGCACGCCATGTTTGCATCTCAGGCACAGATTGAGCAAAACGGTTTATGACGTGGTTGGGGTCGCACGGGAACAATTGACATCAAGACTTCACTTTCACGAATGCGACACCCGTCTGCTCTTTTCTGAAGTACAAATCCCCGATTGCAAAGCACCGACTCTGTTCATCGAACCAACATTATCACCATGGCAGAAAACATCGAAATCACCCCTCGTACCGGCACTGCCTTCACCTTGAACAAAGGTCAACGCCTGACTGTCATTGACCCCAAAGGCGTACAAGTTTCTGATCTCGTGGCCTTCAATCGTCACGATCCCGAGGAAGTCATTAGCAACGGCAGAACGCTCGACTACGCAAGTCGGATATTCTTGACCACCGGCGACCCGCTCTACTCGAATCGCAGCAATGTCATGCTCAAAATCGTTGCCGACAACTCTCCTGGCAAGCACGATTTTTTGTTGACGCCCTGCTCAAAAGACACTTTCCGAATCATATACGGTGACAAAGAGCCGCACCAAGGATGTTTTGGCAACATCGCCGGCGCGATTGAACCCTATGGCATCTCACCCGACCGTATACCATGCGCTTTCAACTGTTTCATGTATGTCACTGTTGATTCAGAATCTGGCGAACTCAAGGTCCTGCCTCCTATCACGAAAGCGGGTGACAGCATCGAATTTGTGGCAGAGATGGACCTGATCATCGCTTTGACCGCATGCTCCGCCCTGCAGTCTAATGGCGGATCGTTCAAGCCAATCCAATATAAAGTCAGCGATTAAGCACGAGGCGGGCAGGCCGCGGAGGAATTTAATTGTCGTTGGTCGTGGAATTCAGAACTTACCCCATGGGGCGATCTATCTATGGAATGACAGATCTCATCTGCCCATCTGGAAAGGCTGAATCTGGGGCGGAAAATAATGAGTCGTCATCGAACTGCGAGATATCTTCCGAATAAGGTTAGCATTCGACGCTTGTTACCAACGTTCAACGCTTGATTGTCAGCCATGATTTACGAGTAACGAGCAGAGCCTCTGTGGTTCACGATCTCTTCGTGCCTATTTTGGCGGCCGAATGCGTACGTCCGAAATGACGTCTAGACATGATGATTCATCCCTTGCTTGTTTGAGGCAGAGTGTTGGCGTAAAAAAGTAAAGCGGAACCTGATAGCTCAGGCAAATGTTTACAATCGTAAGAAAATAGTGTTAACACGTTCTTCGCTGTCAAGTTGGGTTTTTTGATTTCCCACTCTGCTCTTCCCATCCTACAGAGCCTCATATGACTTCACTAGACTCACCTGCCGCGACGCGGGAAAGTACCGACAACTTACTTGAGAAACATGGATGCCACCTCGAGGATGGCAACACAGTGTGCTGGAACGAGGATAGCAAGGATCACCCTCGAAACTGGGGCCTCTTTGCAAAATGCTACACGACTGTACTCATTGGTTGGGTCGAGTTGTACATGACTGGTATCAGTTCAGCCGGAGTAGGTTCTCTTCAGCTCCGCAGGACCTGCCCAATCTGACACATTCTAGACCGCAGCGTCGAACTCTGCTCGTATGGAGTATGGCATGAGCAGAACACTTGGAGTCTTCGCCTTTGTCACCATGTACCTACTCGGCCAGACTATTGGTGGTATCGTCTGCGCTCCAATCTCCGAAACCTTTGGTCGACGCACATTATACATTGGATCCTCGGCCGTCTTCTGTGTCTTCTCAGTAATAACAGCAGCCGTACCCTCTTCCACCGCCGTATACTTTGGTCGCTTCTTTCAAGGTCTTGCAGCGGCCGTGCCTGCTTGCGTCGCATACGGCAGTATTGAAGATATGTGGGCCGCTCAAATTCGAATTTGGGTAGTGTACTGGTACACTGTGTCCGGCTTCATTGGGCTCGTGCTGGGTCCCATCTACTCTTCGTACATCACTCATGTGTTCGGCTGGCGAGTGGTCTTCTATGTCTCTGCTGTGGTGGCCGCAATTTCAACATTCCTGTCGTTCTTCATGAAGGAGACCAAGGCCACACAACTGTTGCAGAGAAAGGTAGACTCTATCCACTCGGAGACAGGCCGCGACGACTTGAACGGGCCCGAATCCTCTTCAGGATTCTCATTGAAGTCTTTTGCGAAAGACTCTCTCTTCCGTCCATTGGAGTTCCTTGTTACCGAGCCCATCGTCTTCTTCTGCGCCGCTCTCTGTGCCATTGCTTTTGGATTGATCTATGGCCTGACAGAAGGTCTAACTGTTGCCTATACCAACCCACCCTTTGACAGGACCTTCTCGGAGACATCTTCTTCGTTAGCATTCATCGCCCTTCTCATTGGTATTCTCCTGGACGTCCTACCACGATTTTATGATGACTACCTGTTCAAAAAGTTCCGCAAGGAGCACCGCCGTCTTCTTCCAGAAACCAAGATCAGATCTTTCGCGCTTGCATGTCCAGCTCTTGCTATCGGTCTCTGGATTTTCGCCTGGACGATCCCACCCAGAGTCACCAATGTCCACTGGGTCGTCTCTATGATTGGCCTTGCCTGTGTAGGCTTCGCTACTGCTGATTTCAGTTATGTGCTTTTCGGTTACTGCACTGATGCTTACGGACCAATGGCTGCATCGGCCGTGTCATCGCTTAGTACTTGCCGTACCATCGCAGCTGCCGTCTTCCCTCTGTTTGCATACCAGATGTTTTCGGGCTTGGGAGCGAACATCGCTGCTTCCATCCTGGCTGCGGTAGCGACATTATTTGCTTTTACTCCCTTCTTGTTCCTCAAGTATGGACGCACGCTGAGGAAGAAGAGTAAGATGGCTGCTGATGACGAGGATTGTTTGACGGAGGAGAATAAGCATATGGATGATGAACCGAGCAAGGGTGATGCGGAGAAGAAAACAGAAAGCGCATAAGCTCTCGAGACGACTTGCTTGTCAAACAAAGCACATAATGTTCATGACCGACGATGCGTTCGGAGTTATCTTGGGTTCGTGCGGGCGTTAAAATTATCCAACCTAAAAGAGCATAATACATAAAGTAATCAGCACATCCTTCCAACGACCATATCGTCTTGTGCTTTCCGAAGAAATTGTGAGACTACACCAAGTTCAACAAGAATCAGGATCATGGTCGCTTATCATCCGACACGTCCTCGACATGCTCTGATACGATCTTATCCTCCGCGATGGCCTCTTCGGCTGCAATATCTCTCTCGGTCAATGTCACGACCTTGTCTCCAAATGAGGCAGCAATCTCTTCGAGTGTCTTGCGTCTGGTCTCACTGTTTGATGGTCAGTACTATTAGGTGACCACATCTGTGAAGTTGATACTCACGGGAAATACAGATAAGCGATGGCAAAGAAGAATAGCGAACATCCGACAAAGACATAGTAGTAGCTTTCTCCTATCTGTTGATGTCAGTCAGCATGGTGTTGGGAAACTCACACGCAAGGTCTTTGCATCACATGCCAAGTCTGGTGAAGTGTTCTGCAACGTCGAGAGGAAAGAACGAGCCACCTGTTGTGACTTCCTCAAAAACTTACGTGAGCAAATGCGCTGGGTCCAGCCTCAGTGATACCAACATTGACAATGAAATGCGATGCCGCAGCCAGGCCCATCACTCGACTTCGCAGTGCGATAGGGAGTACTTCAGCTCCTGTGAATGTTCTGTTAGCTCGGAAATAGAGGTAATGGTGTCCTTGCTAAGCCGCTTCCTTGAGAAACGTTCGAAATTTTTAACTTGACCACACCACAGCTACATGCTCTGGACAATGAATGCACTTACCGTACAGCCATGTCGTACTATTAAGCATGGCATCTACGTGGTTGATTAGTCCACAGCTGCAGGTGTCCTTCGGAAATTACTTACAGTATGTCACGACAAAAAGATAGATGCCGAGAATCGCAAATCCTTTCCCAACTTGATTGTCCGAGTTCTGAAATTGTCTTTGCATCACAGCAGCATATATCTCAACGATTACAATGCCTCCGAGTCCAGTGAGGATCATTCTGGACTGGAATCAGTAAAATCTTTGGACATCCAGGAATGTTGCACTTACTTCCGACGACCCCACTGATCTGTCAGAAAGGCCGTTGTGATGGCGTTCGAGAGGAATGCAATCGTACCGTATACTCCTGCTAAGGCCAGTATCTGCTTGGGGCCAATACCGAGTGATTTGTACAAGATTGCTATATCATGTCAGCATATTTTGTGGTGAGAAGATGATCCTTTCGCTCACTTTGATAGTACTGTCTATTGTCAGCGGTGTTCCTCATCTCTCATGCGGCTTTCAACGCACCTGAATGACATTTACGCCTGTCAAGCTAGTCATGGTTTGGACAGCGATTGATCTATGAACGACGGTGAGCCTGAAGTCTCGAAGCCGAGGAGGCGAACCACTTACACCAAGGCACGGTGCCTGAACAATCGGAATATCTCCTTATATGATTTGACTTCTCTTTCCACCTCATACTCAATCTGAGCCCTCATCAAGGCAAACTCTTCGTAGGCGGATTGTGGGTCTAGGTCTCGACGTATCTTGAGGAACTCTCGGCGAGCATCGTCGACTTTGCCGATACGTAAAAGTTGACGAGGTGAGTCGGGCATGAATGTCGCAAGGCCGCAGAATAGGATTACTCCCCATGGAACTTGCATGCCTAGAGGTAATCTCCATTGTGTTGGTCCGTAGGATGCGTAGCTACAGGCGAAGCCTACCCAGTTGGACATCTGCATCGTTTTGTTAGAAGGTGGCAATGCGATCTTGATGGTCGAATATGCTTACCATGGTTCCAAAAGCGATACCACAACCCGAAATGCCTCCTATGAGACCTCTGTGCTGTGGTGACGAGATCTCCGATAGGTAAATGGGAACTGTACCGACCAGACCACTGATTGCGTCAGTAAACATACAGGCTTCGTTCCAGAGTACCTACCCAACAGCATATCCAGCAAGCACGCGGCCTGCTAGAAACATGCCGATGTTTACACTCGCCGTTTGTATCACGGTACCAATGGTCACAACCACACAAAGAGCTTGCATGAATCGAAGACGACCAAGTCTATCACCCACAGCAGTCTGAGTCAGAGCACCTAGAGCTTCACCGGCGATGTAGACGGCAACAACCTGGAGTTATTAGTCTGTCATTCTAGTTGTTCTGAGACCAGTACTTACAGCGCCAGTGAGGCCTTTCGAAGGATGGTCCATGTAGTCAATCCAGCTTTGATGTGCGATCGCTGTACAGATATGAGTTCGGCAATGATCATGGGTGTCACAGGCACTTACTCGTTGTCGCAATACCCGTATCAAAGCCAAACAGGAAAGTGCCAATGGCTGCGAATAGCGCAATACCGAAGGTATACCATAACCCCATGGTGGTGATAGTTACAAAAATGGCTAAAGGAAAGGGAGGATCAAGTCAAGAAGAAAGCGTGAGCGAACAAGCACAATAAGACATCAGGATCTTCAGCTCGTGACTGCATGCAACATGGACGATCATCTTGACCTTTTTGGACCTTGTCGAGACCCCCGCACTGATTATCAAGGAGGTCGTGGGGTTGTGGGGGGCTTTGAGCATCGGGAAGAACTCCGCTCGGTGTAAAGCAAAGCGAAGGATTCGAGTAGGAACGAAGAAGGGAATGATCTGCCATGGTTTACAGCATTAACATGAAAGCCCTATTTAATTTGGTCCCCGGATTTGGTAACAACGATGCCGCTTAGGAAAAGTGAGAGGGGGTGGAGGCCGCTGAGACCCGCTCAGGGAAACCATCACCGGCTGAGGAAAGTTCGAGCTTGCAAGTTTCAGGGTCTGTCGTTCTTTCCCTTCATTTGACTGGTAGTCAGTGCAATGATGTTTTGCTTCTCGTCTGATCCCGTTCAGTCTTCATACTCCGATCTTGCCGTATGTTATCATCGAGGCAATGAACGGCCACCCCAATACCCCGGTTACTGCTGCGCTATACCTGCGAGACATGAGTGAGCCAGAGTTTCTTTCGCCAACAATTCGTGGAGCACACTCACCATACAACAGTCCAGCCGACCCTTCGCGCTAGCATGGCACTGGTTTGAGATCTCAGAGGACTATTGAGGAAACTCTGAGCTGTGGGATTCTGAAAGGTAGCTCTGATGCTACGAAGGTTGCGCAAAGCTGGTGTTGGACGCATGATCGTGTTTGTAGGACTGGTGAACGAAGATAACGTAGTGGTGACAAGAGACGTCGGCCGGGTAAAGACACAAGGATGAAGAATAGAAAGAAGTTGAGATGACAAAACGAGCGCTTCTGTAGAAACAAGGCTCCATCTCATGTTTATATGCTCGAGTCGGATCATCTTACCTGTAGCATTGCGTAGCTTCAGAAATGCGTCAATACGACTTGTGCCTACAGACACCGAATATAATTCAGGCCATATACGGAGAGGTCAGCAGATCCCGAAAGCTGTATCACAATGCAAGACGAGGCATGATAACCAGTTTCATGTGGTACACAAAAGCAGGGAAGCCGAGATTTTGCCGTCTCGGGGTTTGGAGGCAGGCGACGAAAACAGTGCCCGAAACAACGAAAATCTTTCGCGTGACTTCAGAGTTTCTTGTCGTGTTCGGGCTATGGTATCAGGGACCTCGAGGTTTGGAAGTGCTGTACGGCAGATGGCGGTATCCGGCATGCGGCGGCTAAGTCCAGACAACAGTGATACGACCTGGTTCAAGTGGCAGCACCACGTGCGAGCTCGAGTACTACGGAATGATCACCTCTCGGATGTAGTGGTCGATGTCATGCTTCGTCGTCACTGCGCTGTTGATGCTGCGATGGGTAGGTCGAAAGATGTATGATGGCAGGAACAGAAAGAGTGGTGCCAAGACGAAAGTCGACGCTGTTTGGAACATTTAGTGCGTTTCATTGGAACAGCTGCATAATCACACGGCGTCGGCCCCACCTCGCACCGCTCCTCCACCCTCCCGATGCTAGCCCCGGTGTAAACACAATCAACGAATCTATCTTATGACTTAGCGTGTGAAGGCCGGCCGCAGAGTACTTGGGCGTCAGTAAGATATTTAGGATGATGATCAGAGATGTAGTAGCAGCCCACTGCAATTAAAAAGACGAGTACAGCAGACAGTAAGTAGGAACAACAATCACGATGACGTAGATGCACTTGATGAGACAACCCAGATTGAAGGAAGGAAAAGTTTCTGGTACAGGTAGGTAATATGTACAGTTCTTGTAGGCTTTCGCCATCACAAGGAATAGGATAGTAGGTAGTAAACAAAAGAAACCATTAAGCCTTGGTGCTGGAGGCCTGATATCATGAAAGCGCCATTAACCCGGTTGTGTCGTGAGATGTATGTACAAGCCTCGCTCGCTCAGTGCTTGCAGAGGTTGATTGTCGGGTCGACGTCGAGGAGATCACCTTTTAGTTCTCTGTTTTAGTATTAATACCACTGTTGTGGTGAGGCTGCGAGAAAGCAAGAACTTACTAAGGTTGATCAACGAGTTACCGTCAACAGAGTTGCCTTGAGATTTTATTAGTTCGATGTCCAACAGTCGAAAATTGTCCTGCAAATTTACCGTTGCCGTTGTTGTTGCCAGCGGAGTTTCCATTGCCGGCAGAGTTGCCATTACCAGCCTCGTTACCGTTACCATTTCCCTCAGCAGAGTTTCCTGATAAGGCGTAAGTACGAAGTTATGTAGAGCAGAACACAAGCAGATAGTACCGTTCAAAGCTGAGTTGTCGGATCCGGGAGAGAGGAGGCTACCCAGGTTCTGTGCCGAGTCGTCGGATCCAGGGGAGAGGAGGTTGGTGAGAGTCTCCTTGAGGTCGGGCTGAGCGGCGGCGATAGGGGCAGCAACGGGTGCAGCGGCGACAGAGGTGGCCAGGGCCAAGATGGCGGTAGCGAAGATGGTCTTGGAGAGCATATTGACGGTGTTTGGTGTTGGTAGAAGAGCGAAGGAAGATGTGATAGCGATTGAAGAGTGTGAATGTGGATGAGAGAAGAGGTGGAGAGTGGACTCGCTCGATCTTTTATGCGTTGCTCGATCATAGTCTTGCAGACCTGCCAGTGCTGAATGACATTTGATCGACAATCGTTGATGTGCAATCCCACATACGCAATGAAGATGGATGCGGTTGCTGGACAACAAGGATCGATGGTCCCCGTATTGGTCAGTAGTTCCCTCGAGCTTAGAGTCCCTGTCAGAGCGTAAGAGCCGCGATGCAAATGCATCTCACACATACGATGATGTTGCAAGCGGCGTGGTCGATCTGGAGAAGTGTCGAAGATCAAATCCCAACTGGGATACCAAAGTCCCCACCTTGCACTGCCTTACTAGGGATAGTCTGTTCTGAGAGATTCACCTACCTGATTCGTGGCATGCAGCTTTGGAGGCCGATGACCCTCGTGGAGGATCGTTGCCATCTTCTGGTCTGCATTTCTCGGTAATTGATGATCGTCATTACTGAGCCGCAAAAATGTCGTGAATTCTCGAGATTGACGTTGCGATGAAGCCGGGATGGAGCTGGGGAAAGTTGCGAAACGTCATTCGCTCCTGCCATGAATCCCATCAAACACAACCTGCGTTCAGAATCATCACTTCAGAGGCTCAATCTGTAGAGAGAATGATTCGCATCATCACAGGAGACAGGGTCCGGCGAAAGCAGAAAGCCATCAAGCCTTTACGTCCTGAGAAATGGCGCATAAAATGATCAACAAGACATTTCGGAGAAAAGTACAGCCTGCAATAGCGTCGCTCCCAAGAGATCAACACCAAAAGTGGGTCAAAAGGAGCCCCAAAGATCTTCAAAAAAAAAAAACATCGTCACACAAAGCTCACAAGAACATCATTACCCACGCCGAACCAAAGAAGGTAATCGCATCGGAGAATTCAACGGATGAAGCCTATAGTATCTGGTTTTTCGCTACCAGAGCGCTCGCTGATTTTGGTTGATCTCCATCTCTTTTGCGATGGTCGCGTTCTTGTGAAATTGATTAGCTGAAGAGTGCGTCTATCGTTAAACAAAGCTGCGGAGAACCGGGGCGACTGAACAAAGTTTCGTTGACGATGGTGGCGCTTTCCACTATCTAAGCTTAATCGTAATTCTTATCCGGTTCGGTGGGAAGCAGTAGTTCAAGAGCCCCCTCCTGCACAAACGTACGAGGCTTGCGGCAGCTTGCGGCAAACTTGCAAGGTACACAAACCCTCTTTTCCACTTGAGTCTCTGATCCATCTCCGGAAAGAGAAAGTTTGAGCACTCTGGTCAGTAATAATCGCATAGAGAAAGAGCAAATGATCTTCTTCTTCAGCGTGGCGGGTCTGTTGATCTATTTGTGGATTTGCCCATCCTTCCGTACCTATTTCTTTCATCCAAGCTGTCAATAATTGCAAAGCCTCCGAGACCGATCGTCTGTTGAATCGGAAATCGGGGAGAGTTTTGCGATTGGATGATTTCAGCTAAAACCCGCCTGGTCGCTCGCCATCGACTTTTCACAAGCGATGAGCAAGGCATCTCGACATCACGACATGGAGGAACATGCCTCGGCTTTGGGAAATAGGATGCAACCCTTCACGCTCACCGCGACACGAACGAATCAGAGAGGCTCGTGTAGACAAGGATCGAAGAATCTACCAATCGATGAGTGAGAAGTGAAAATCGGTGGGTATGTGCATTAATAAATAAACAAGAGAATGAGTAAAAATGGCTGTCGCTAAAAGTGAAAGAGAGGCCATGGCCAACGTCGAATACATACACCACCGACTATCCACCAGCATCCATGCAAAATCCTCATCTCGTCACATCACAACACATCGTTCTTCTCTCTCGGCCTGAGTCATCCTACCGCCCGACCCAGGAGGAACATAGCCAGAATACTGTGGTGCGGCTTGTGAAGGCGCCGTGGCTTGAGGACCTTGTTGAGCTTGGCTCTGTTGCCTTCGAAGCAGAGAGTTGCTGCTCGTACGACCTAGAGCCATGGCACTCGAGCGCCTGCGATGCATGGATGGTGGTTGAGAGGTTGAGTTGCCGAGATTGGAACTGGCATAAGGACCTTGTTGCATCTGTAATGCTGACAAGGCGCCCAAAGCATCTCCCTGTCTTGGCTCTCGTGTTGCACCAGCTGGTCGGAATGGCCTGTCAGAAGCCGCCTGCTCGTATGTAGGTGGCTCGTCATCACCGTCGTCCCTCTCTCGGATGTATGGTGCATCTGCTGTAGGGGGTGCAGCGGTGGACGAGGTGTTGTTGTCCAAGTTACTTCTCCTGGGAGGTACCGGAGGGCGTTGCTCTGAAGTCGGACTGCGACCAGATGTTGCAGACTCACGTTCAAGAAACTGGCGTGAAAGCTCATCTTCTTGTCTGCGTCGCGCTGCTTGGGCACGGCGCTGACCGTCTTCCTCTTCTTCTTGAAGCTGAAGAGCCAACGCCATATCAGCATCCTCCTGCTCTGACCCATGCCCACGAGGTTCAGCAAGAGCTTGTGATTGAGCAGCAGCAGAACTCGAATCACCAACACCACCATTTGAGTTGCGGTGTCGCGAAGGAACAGTCTGCCAGCCATCTCCGTTGCTCTGAGATTCCGAAGGAGCATTGCCTACAGGTCTGAAATCGCCTGAGAAGAAGCTGCCAGCTGCACCACTGACATCAACCAAACTTTCCCAGACAATTTCATCATGAGACGAATAACCCGCATCTGTGACAAGATTCATGAGCGTGCCAGTTCTTGGTTGTTTGTAGAGTGTCGAGAAGTGATCGTTTCTGAACAATATAGCAATCTGACCAGGTCTCAAGTAATCAGTGATAAGCTTTAGGCCATGCTCGGTCAGCTGAGTTGGGTAGCCAGTGAGAAACTCTTTCATGAAGATGATGTCCTCGAACATTTGCTGTTCATCTGCGGAGAGACCGTCAGTTCCGAGCTTGTGTTCTAGTTCGGCCTGTGCAAACTGGAGATTGAGCGCATCATCGAAGGTTTTGGCCGAGCGGTCAAATGCTTCGTAAGCTGATGAAGTTGAATGAGGTATCCAGCCGTGGACAAGGGGGACTTCAAAAGCGCTGTAGAGACGCATCTCCCTTGTCTCGTCGAATGAGCCGGGTTTCTCTTGTGGCGAGTCTGGAGAGGCGACAAAACGCGGGTTCACATTCATGCCAGTGTGTAATGTGATGAGGAAAGAATAAAGATCGCCAACATCAGGAAGTGCTCTACTCGAGATTTCGGTCCTCCTAGCGAGCTCCTCAAATACAGCATCTAATAAAAGACCCAGGCTGATTTGTTCACGAGCACTGAGAGTCTCGACTAGAATTGTCTTTGGTGACTCTGGGGCGGACAAAGTCAGAGCGTTGACCAGAGCAAGCAGAGGGCAAGGGCCGTTTGCATTTTGCGTCAGGATTGGAGTGCGTCGCATCGAGCCATCAGAGCTGGCAGAAGCATCGAACCAGTTGATCTGCTTGATCTGGTACGTCTCGTTACGTTGTTTCTTGAGTAGCTCTTCGGCGGACTCGATAGGAGCGGAGAGATTGTTGCTATGTTCAGATTGACTTGGGTTGGTGGGTTCTGGATTCGTCGCTGGGGGTTGTGTTGCATGATCGGGGCCAAAGTCTATGAGAGATTCTTCTTGGTAGCCAGGGGGGTTGCTCGGAGGTTGCGGAGCAAAAGCGTTTGGTTGGGTGAGCACAGGAACAGTGGGAGCGTCTTTCGGAGTGGAGGAAGAAAGATGGTAGTTCGTAGAAGGAAGAGGAGGCGGAGGAGGAGCAGCAGGAGGAGCATTGAATGCCAAGGGCGGCGCAGTAGAGGCTGGCGGCGGAGAGGGCGTAGAGTGGAAGTTGTCAGAGAAAGCAGAGTGGGAGAAAGATGGAGGTGGGCCTTGAGGAGGCTGGAAGATGGCGTCAGACAGCTGCGGTCGCGGACTAGGAGTAGAAGTCCAAGGGCTCTGATTGTTCTGTTCTCTGTCGAGGTCTTGCTGCCAAGGGTTGGCTGAGTTTTGTGAGATCAGACTTCTTCTTGTACTCTTCTGGGGGATTTCTGGGGGAGGTGGTCCTAGAGCTTCAGCACCTATGTGACCATCCAACGATAAGGCGGCGAACGAGGGTGTTGGAGGCAGCGAAGGAGGTGGTTGAGAGGGCGGCGGCGGAGGAGCAGTACTAGGCTGGGCGGGTGTGGAGCTCCATATGGACTGGCTGTCTTCTGAAGGATAGGGCAAGGGTTGGTGCTGAGTCTGGTTCTGAGACTGCTTCTGTATATTGAGGTATGGATTGTGCGATTGGAACGAGTGTTGTTGGGGCTCCGAGGGCTGGGATCGGCCGACTCTCAGCGAGGCAGGAATGTCGCTAGATTCGGCCTTTGGCTTCTCAATGTTCCCATCTTCATGATCCGAGGAGAAGCCAGAGTTCCAAGTGTCATGTGAGGAGGCCGAACTACTGCGGGTACGTTGCAGAGATAGAGGATCGTCGTGTGGTGCTCGGTAGGCAGACGCGTGGTTGTTGAATGCAGATGGTGCTGTGGGAGAGGCAGGGTAGGGCGCAGAAGATGCTGGCTCGGCATTGTGCGAGGGCACAGGCTTTCTCGTCACCATGACTGGAGGTGTGAAGAGTGTCGATCGGTAGGTGCAGCGTCGAGAGCGCACTCGCAGCTATCTAAAGACACTCGACCGCGACGACGAGCGTCATACCGCACTCGTATCTCCGTAGACGAGACGCGCGGGCCGCACTGCCGAACCCCGGACGACTGAATGTGAGGCTGGGTTGTGGCACAGTCACGTCCTTCTTCTTGGTCCTGCAAACAGAGAGCAGAGAGCCGTGGCCTATCACTACATGTCTGCCTAGTATCTTTTCCCTCAGACCGGGGCTGTGCCGCATTGTTTTCATCCGTTCCCACATTGCTGGTGCACGTTCATTGTATTCTGGAGGCTGAACAAGCCAAGCAAGTGACGACTCGGGAGTCAGGACCCTCCAGCGAAGTCGCATGTGGCTGGGGCCGTATTCTCCAAAAGTTTTGGCGGGGTTTTTCGCACCTGGCATTCGAGAGTGGTAACAATCATACATCATGTCGATTCCCAGTCTGCGCATCCTGCTGGTAGGAAACGGTGGTCGCGAGCATGCTCTTGCATGGAAGCTCGTCCAGTCGTCACACGTAGAGCACATCTACGTCGTGCCCGGTAATGGCGGTACCGCAGGGTTCGTCCCCTCATAAGCAGCCACTGCCTTCCCAAATACTCAGACGAAGCCTCACAGTTTCCCCAACAAGGTCACCAACGTTCAGAATGTCAAGGCCGACGACTTCCCTGCCTTGGTCGCCTTTGCCCGCGACAACTCGCTCAACTTCCTGGTCCCCGGTCCTGAGGCCCCTCTTGTCGCCGGTATCGTCGACTACTTCGCTCAACACCTCCCCGATGTCAAGAGCTTCGGTCCCAATGAGGCAGCCGCCCGCATGGAGGGTAGCAAGGCCTTCAGCAAGGACTTCATGAAGGACCACAACATCCCCACTGCCGCCTACGAGAACTTCAGCGACTACGAACAAGCAAAAGCATACCTCGACAGCATCGACCACGACGTCGTCATCAAGGCCGACGGTCTGGCTGCTGGCAAGGGTGTCATCATCCCTCAGACAAAGGAAGAGGCAGTTCAGGCCCTCAAGGACATCATGTTGACCCGAGAGTTCGGCTCGGCGGGTGACACTGTTGTCATTGAGGAGCTGTTGGTCGGCGAAGAGTGCAGCATCCTGACCTTCAGTGACGGCTACAACATTGCCAGTCTGCCTCCTGCTCAAGATCACAAGCGCATCTTTGACGACGACAAGGGTCCCAACACCGGCGGTATGGGCACATACGCTCCTACTGGTGTTGTCTCTGCCCAGGAGAACGACGACATCCACAAGTCCATCCTTCAAGCCACCGTCGACGGCATGCGCAACTCTGGCAACCTCTTCATTGGCTGCCTCTTCACCGGTCTCATGATGACAAAGGCTGGGCCCAAGGTCCTCGAATACAACGTCCGCTTCGGTGACCCAGAGACTCAATCCGTCTTGACACTGCTCGAGTCTGACCTCGCCGAGCTCATGTACAGCTGCACAACAAACTCTCTCTCCTCTCTCGGACCCATCAACATCTCATCACGCGCTGCTGCCACTGTCGTTGTCGCTGCTGGTGGCTACCCTGGCTCCTATGCCAAGGGCACCCCCATGACCTTGAGCGAGACTCCCGAGGACACTGTCATCTTCCACGCCGGCACCGACATCAAGGACGGTCAGCTTGTGACAAGTGGAGGTCGTGTCATCGCTTCCACCGCTACCGGTCCTACCTTGAAGGAGGCCGTCGCTCGCGCATACGAGGGCGTCCAGACCATCAAGTTCGAGGGCATGCAATTCCGCAAGGATATCGCCAAGCGTGCTCTGAAGTAAACTCCCCCAAACCTGCTGCTGCCGTCTCTTTTCCCTTTTCACCTTTATATAGAACCCAATGTTATGATTGTCAAGATGAAAAAGTATACACATGCAAGTCCTTGACTTGCCCAAATTTTCCGACTTATCAATCCTTTTAGTCAACCCAACACAGCGTATTTTGTCGAAAGTGAAATGAGCTTACAAGGACCCCCCTTACTCGTCAAAGTTTTTGAATCAAGTTGACTCTCAAATACTCCCAACGAACACGAGAGTTCCAAACTCGCAGATTGAAATTAAAGGTCTGGCACCACTGATCTAAGATTATCATCTCCACCCTCATTCAATCCTGACTAAAAGTCTTCCTTCATCACATGTCGGTTGACTGTTGCAGAGCCCCAAACTGTATAGGAAAGGAGAAAGTGTGTCGTAGTCTTTAATACCAAAGCAGTTGCTTCTCTTTCCCATGTAACCAGTCATCAGCAGGGACTTGGGATTGCCATACTTCGTACAAGACATTTTTGCGTCTCATAAGGGGAGCATGCCTATTGACCTCCACAGCGGACATGCGCGTCAGTCGAAGGCAAGGCAAGGTAAGCTCACAACAGCAAAATGAAGCGTGTTTGAAGTCTCAACAATGATCAATTGCATGATTAGAAAAAAGGGAGGACGAGCAACACAAAAAAAGACAACTCCTATGACCCAAAAGTGGCAGAAGGAGAAGAAGAGCAACAACAAGCTATCCGCCTTGCCACCTTCAAAGAAATGTATGCCCCCCTCACTCCCATAACAGCGTACGTTTGCCCCTTTATAGTCGTAGCTCCGTATTTCTCCTTCATGCCTCCCTCCGTGGAACGTTTGTAAAAACAGAATGAAGAAAAGAAGAACAAAAACACCACCGCCGCCTCGTTGAAAATGCTCATTCAGAATTCTACTCGTCGTCATCGCTCTGGACCATGGACTCTGTGCCTCCACGGCTCTTGCGACCACCGAGGCTTAGCTTGACACGTGGCTGAGGTGTACCAGCCGTGGACACAGGACGTGTGTTGCCTGTCTCGGTCTCCCAGTCGGCAAACTCGGGGTACTTGGCAGTCTCTTCGGCGAGCTTCTTGACAGCAGTTTCCTAGAATCTCCATGTTAGCTGGTTGTGCCTTTGCAGTGTCAATACTCGAGAATACATACCTCGATCAGATTCGCGTCTTGGTACAAGACGCTGCCATCCTCGTTGTAGCTCCTGCAGTTGTCGCACAATTGTTTAATATCCTGTCTGAACTGGCGCAAGTTTTGGTATTGCTTCTTGTTGATCTTTTTCTGGATCTGTTCCATACAGATGGGTGTGCGGATGAGTTGGTAATAATCGGGGTAATGCTTCTGAGGGGGCAGCTCGATGAAAGGATCAATGATTCCCCTGTTTGCCAGGTCGGGATCTGAAGACACCTCTTCCAAGTCCATGAGTGTGTCGTGTACTGTGTCGAGAACTGATTGCAAGTGCTCGCGTTCTGACGGCGGCAAGAGATCGGGCACCTTGGCTTGACGGCCACGCTTTCTCGGCTGCGGTGCTTCAACTTCTTCCTCTGCCTTACGTTTTTGGACGGTCTCGGCCTTGGGCTTGCGACCACGCTTCTTGGGCTGAGGAGACTCTGAGCTAGCACGCGACTCTGGTGGAGGCGTATCCTCGCCCTCTTGGTCCCTCTTCTCCTTGTTGCCAGCACGCCTACTGATACGCGCTTGCTTACGGGCAACAGCCGATTCGATGTCGTCCTCGCTATTGTCGACAGCTTCAAGCCATTGCTCTTCAGTGAGACCATCATCGTACTTGACCTTGGCACGCTCACGATTGCCACGTCCCATGGCGACCTCGACAATCTCCTCGATCGGGTTGTCCTCGTTCACATAAATATCCGGAAGCTCTTGCTCGCACATGAGACGAGGGTATTGTCTTCCGGGCCCATACTCCTGATCTCTCTTACGATCACGATCCATCTGCTGGAAGAGCGTCAACTCGTCGTCAGAACGCATCATGATCACATTCAAATCGTCGTCATCCATTTCCTCTTGCTCAAAGGCTTCGGCTGCATCGGCAGACTCCAGCATGACGCGAAGCATCTCATCACGCTCCTCGTTGGTCGATCTGTTATCGAATTTACCAGCCTGAATGACTTTGCCATCCATACTAAGCTTGTAGTTGGCACGTTCGAGAATCTTTTCCTCCACAGAGTTGGAACTGATGAGACGCAGGATGCGCACCTCATTCTTCTGACCGATACGATGAGCACGATCCTGTGCCTGAAGATCCTGATGAGGATTCCAATCCGAGTCGTAGATAATGACAGTATCAGCAGTCTGCAAATTCAAACCGAGACCACCAGCGCGGGTCGACAGCAAGAAACAAAAGTAGGGCGAGTTGGGTGCGTTGAAGATTCTGAGGAGCTCACTACGGTCATCAGCCTTTGTCGAACCGTCCAAGCGCAAGTACTTGAGACCGCGAAGTCGCAAGAAATCCTCCATGATGTTCATGATTTGGGTCATTTGGAAGAACATCAAAACACGGTGACCAGATCTCTCGAACTTTGGCAAAATTCTGTCCAGAAGCTCAAACTTTCCGGCTGTACGCCACAAGGTATCGTTGGTTCCTCTGCCGGGGTTGATCTGATCCTCAACTTCTTCAAAGACGAACGGATGGTTGCAGAGTTTTCTCAGTTGCATGAGCATGTTGCTCAGACCACGCAGACCGGTCTTGCCACCCTTGCCGTCACTGACCATGAGTCTGTTGTGGCTGACAAGCTGCTTGTACAACTTGGCTTGAAGGGCAGAGAAATTGCACTTGATGACACGCTCCTGCTTATCAGGCAAGTCTTTCTCGACGTCCTTCTTCAGACGACGCAGCAGGAAAGGTCGAAGAACCTTATGGAGACGACGGATGACGAGCAACTGCTCCTCTTCCGACAACTCCATTTTGTCTTGTCCACCTGTGTTGGCAAAGGGAGTGTTGAACCATTCATCGAACGACTTGACAGATTTGAAGATGGTAGGGAGAACGAAGTTGAGCAAAGCCCAAAGTTCTGGCAGACTGTTCTGAAGAGGTGTACCGGTCAGAATCAGACGGTAACGCGTCGTGTAGTACTGAGTGATGGTACTGCTCAGCTTCGAGTTGGCGTTCTTCATACGGTGACCTTCATCTACAATCATGTGAAGCCACTTGATCTTGCTGAGTACAGGTCTGTCCTTGATGATGAACTCATAGGTAGTAAGCAAAACTTGGAAATTGCCATATCTGATCTGGTTCTGATGAGTCTTTCTTTGGGTGGGGGGTCCCTTGTAAACGATCTTTGTAATGGAGGGAGCCCATTTGTCAAACTCGTTGTTCCAGTTGGTCAATGTACTCAAGGGTACGATGACCAAGTAAGGACCTGGTTGGCGTTTCTTCTCGATAAGGTAGGTGATCAAACTGATGGTCTGGATAGTCTTTCCGAGACCCATCTCGTCGGCAAGGATACCGTTGAGGTTGTTGTTGTACAATGAGATCATCCACTGGAGACCCTTGACTTGGTACTCCTTGAGGGTACCACCGACGAGCATGTCGGCTTGTTTTGTGACTTCCTCCTTGATCTTGTGGGCGACTTCGTAGTAGTCGACCTTCTTCGATGAACCTTCGCCATCTTCGTCGTCAACGACAACCTCCTCCTCTTCTTCCTCTTCGACGATTCCATATCTGCGAGCGGCACCACGTTGCTGTTCCTTGACGGAAGCGGCGAGCTGGTCGAGGAAACCATCGGTCTGCTTGAGCAAATGAGATATACGGCTGTCCTTAGCCTGTCCGAGCAGCTTGAGGTAGGTCTCTTCGTCGTTGGCCTTGAGAGCTTGCAGACGTTGCTTGGCTGTTCTTTCGATACGCTTTTGCTCCTCCTTCTCGATATTGGAGTGAGTAGTTTGCATAAGACGACCCAGCTTCTGGATTCTTGTGCGCTGGTTGGCAGCGGAGGTCTTGAGTTCGTGGCCATGAGAGAGCACGGAACGGAGGAAATCGTTGTGCTTCTTCTTCTCCTTGGACTCGTGTGCGTCTTGCTGTTGCTTCTCGAGCTTCTCAGTGATGCGGGCTTCGCGCAAGGACTGCTTCTTGACACGGCGGTACAGAGCGCGGTTTGCAGTCATGGCCAGGTTATCCGACTGCATCATCTCGCGACTGACGTGCGCTCTCATTTGACGCTGTCTAGGCAGTAATGAGAGCATCTTGTGCTCGATGAGAGCCTTGAGCTTCAGCTTGCCGTTATCGACAGGGGTTGTGGATGACGTTGTGTCCCATGAGCCAATGTTGGCAGGAAGCTTGTCCAATTCACTCTTGCGTGCCATGATGCGGTTGTACAGAATAGCTTCCCTCTCTTCGCGTGCTCTGTCGACGTCAATGCCCAAAGGCATGATGCTGGGGATGATGTGGCGCTGGTCGCGACGGGTGTGATCGAGGTACGAGATGGAAGTGGGAACGAGGGCGTGAGGGTCCTTGAAGGATTGGAAGCGGTGGGTTCTGCTTGAAGGCTGGGCAGCAGGGGTAGCGGGTTTCGACGGGTCTGCCGTGGTCGACTTTTGCGATTGGAACAGAGACTCCTGGATGTTCTGAGGGATGGGCATGTTCTTCTGCAGGTAGTTGAAGGCAGACAGTTGTTGGCGCAAGGTGGCCTGCTGGTCGGTGGACAGGAGCGCCTCCTTTGATGCGGCCGACGATGGAGGCTGTGGCGTGGATTGTTGAGCAGCACCGTTCATGGGCTGCATCGTGGCTGCACCATTGAGAGCAAGGGCCTGGGTGTCTTGTGGGAGTTGACCGTTCTGCTGCTGTGGTTGCGACTGCTGCTGCTGGCGTTGCTGCTGGGCCTGCATTTGCTGCTGTTGGCGCATTTGCATCTGTCTCTTGGCCATCTCCGACCGGTTGCGAGCGAATTGGAGGATCTTGCCACGCTTGATCTGTTCGGGGTCGGTGTCAGGGACACCTGCAGCCTTGGCCTGGCCATAGAGCTTGATGGGATGTTAGTGATGGGATGGTAGTCTGGGGGTGCGGGCAGCGAACCGTGTAGGTCTGTGTCAGATATTCCTTGGTCAGTTGTGGGTGGTTGGCCTGAGGATTCATGCTCATGCCGGGCTGTTGTTGCTGGACGGAAGCCATGATGACGGGGGTGTTGCGCGTGGCTGTCTCGGAGTTCAGTCAATTGAGCCGGGGGGCCAATTCAGCGACAGCGGTAGTCGCGGTGTCGACGGCGGGCGTTGCGAGACGTGGTTGGCGTTGAATCGAGTCAAGCTGGATGGACGCTCGTTCGTGATGGCCGGCGTTGATGACTCGGGCTGTGGTTGGATGGGAAGGGCGTGTGAAGCGGTCGCGCTTGCCTCGCGCGTACGAGTGGGCGAAAAAGGGAAAGTGAGCGTCGGGCGTCGTGATTGGCACTCTCCGAATTAAACACCGTCGCGTCGACTGCTTGGGATACGCGTTGCAGTGAACTTCTTGATGGCACGAAGCGGGGGTATAATTCCGGGCGATGCTGTCGCTCGACAACCGAACCTCGCGCAAGACAGATCTGGAGCCTGAAGTTGCTCGGCGGCTCTCTTCTGCCAAGCTCTTGGCAGCCACGTGATGCCACATCACATCCGTTCCGATCGCTCAGTTTGAGCACATCTCACTGCACTGCACTGCACTTCACTGCGAGAGAAGCCCTGAAAATACTCGTTCTTACTTCACTAACTATCAAGCATCGTATGGGAAGGTAAACAGTGAATGCTCACTCCAGGCATTTCATCAGATCACAACTCAAATCACCTGCAGCCCTCTTTTTATAATCGACGACCAGATCACTTCTACCATTCACAGAGACAATTCAGAGCGAGAAAAAACTGCATTACATATTAGCCAGACAGGTCATGTCTGCAGTACTTGTCAAGACAAGAGTCTAGTCGATTCGTATCGGTCGACATCCACTCTTGCTATGCCTCGACGTAGTCCCAGCCCTTGAAAATGGAGAAAAAGAGCACCCAGCAACACATCTGCTTGTCTCGCATAGTGCGCATCATTCTCTGTGCCGCTGTAGTCATCAATCGCCAATGAGGCAGCACCAGCATGACATGATATTACAAGCCATGAGAAGAGTGGCATATGTAGCAAGAGTACTTGTGGTCGGCACCATTAGCCAAAAAGTCATAGATCCATTCAGCAGGGGGCAATCCGCCAAGCTGGACAGGGTAGATGAAATCCGCAGACGCATGGATGTACGCGCTATCCAGCGTCTGCGAAAGAGACTCTCACTACGCGCTTTGCTATTTCATTTTCCATATTGTACACGAACTCGTTATGTTCTCGAATGACGAAGGCTTCGTCACTCGCAGCTCATGACTTCGTATACGTCTCTGAGTCTGGTATATCGATCGATGGTGGACGCGTTCAATCAAAGACGCGTGTTCTGGGCTCCAGCTCTTGTGGCGCGTCGGCCAGGTACCAATGTCGCGTTTGTCATGTCGTAGAGTATAGGCGATCGACGAGCTCCTGGTTCGGGCACGAGTTGCTGAATCGAGACTCCTGCGGATCTGGTGTCGATTTACTTAAAAGTGATTGTCGAGTGAAGAGTGCAGGTGAGCTTGGTCGTAAGACCCGGGGGAGCTCCGATATCGCTTTCTCATGCTGTTGTGATGACCCTGGACAGCATCTGTTCTCTCGATGCAATGGTACAACAGCAAGAGACTCTTTCATTCATTGCAACAGATATGAAGAGAAGGAGTGTTTTGATATGATAGAAGGATTGTTCTGTTGACAATCGACAAGATGACAGTTTTCGTTGGACTTTGTTGGACATTCGAGAAGTTTGGTGCTTCGACTTGGTTGCTGTCACGAATTGGCTTGCTCACAACATATTTATGCCACAAACTAGAGGATTTTGAGAGAGAGAGCAAAACTATCACTTTTGATTCGCAAGTACTCAACTAAGACGATGAACAGGAAAATGCGTCGCCAAACTACCAATGTGCAAAACGCCTCGAAAAACAATGCTCCTTCCTCCCCCTGTATGCTCGCAAGAAAATCACTTCCACCTGCTTCCACTCCAAATTGAACATATGATCTAGTACTGTCGCGGAATGTCGGACGAACTCAAAGCGCTACGCTTCATGGGTGGTGGTGGTGGAGGCTTCTTGGCTCTGAATGTACAAGTCAGTATGGGACTTCGATTGCGCGTTCGCTTGCAGGAACATACCTTGAAGGTGGTGGTGGAGGAGCAAGTTTCTTAGCTCCGCCGTCCTGCTGGGACCAACTAGCAGAACGCGAGAAACTAGGAGCAGCATTGTACGAGGCGGGAGAAACAGATCTTTCGTCGGCATAGCGGTCGTTGTCCATGGCGTAGTCATCCTGATCGCCAAAGACGTCCGAGTTTGCACTGTCGTTTCGTTTGGAAGGTCGCAAGCCCTGTCTGAGGGACAAGGACGAATCGGTGGGTACACGAGACAGACGAGGCATAGCAACAGGGGAAGCGTCGCGGGAGTTGAGGCTCGAGGGGCCCTCGAAACGGGCAGAAGGTCTTGTAGGAAGGTCGAAGCCGGCCAACTCACGGCGAGGAGAATTGGTACCAGAAGGTGCGCGTGCGCGGATTGGAGGACGGAAATCGGTGACCGGGCCATCCTCGTCAATCTGACGGAAAGAAGCAGAGGCCCCAGTGTTAGAGCGGGATCTGGGTGCTCTGCGGCCTCCTGGAATGGCCAGACCACTGCCAGCGCCAGCAGAAGTGCTGCATACTGTTAGCATACGCCCGTGTCAATTGTAGTCGTGCATCAACGTACGCTGGCCAATCTCTCTTGGCTTGCATGAGGATCTCTCGTGCTCTGTCGTAGTATGCCAATTCAGCGTCCAGGAAGGTGGACAAGTCGTTGATGCTGTCGACCTCTGCTTCCTTGATGTCCAGCATCCTGCGTTGTACGTCGTCGCTCGACTCGTCATATTTTGCCTTTTGGGAGCGTGCCGACTCTTCCAGCGCGAAATCGTCCTTCTTTGCTTTCTGCAGCTTGTTCATCGAGGTATCGTATGCGAGGCGGCGCGTCTCGAGTCTCTTGCGAGCAGTCTGGAAGCACAGGGTCAGTGATGGGCTGGACAGCTGGCAGGCAGTAGACTCACCTGGTATTCCTTCATCTGGGCCATGGACCTTTCAGTCGACTCGAGCCAGCTGTTTGTGGCATTGGAGACGTAGCTCTCCTGCATGCGAGCGATCCTTTCGTTGGCTCTACCAAGGGCTGCGACGTGTCAGTCAATTGTCCGCCGCTGATAGCATCGATCGCGATCACGTACTCGAGAGGCACTGTCCAAACTCCGAGTCCGGCTCGAAGTCGTCTCCGTGGCTGGCCATGGTGGCTCCTAGGTTGGAAATGGGCAACGTCTTTTCCTTGTCCTCGGCCTCCTTGGTCTTGGACAGAGACTTGACGTACGTCGTCATACTCCTTTGCAGACGCTCCATACCTGGAAAGCAGACATGTCAGCACCGAGGCCTACACTACGTGTCCTGCCCCTGGCAAGCGGGGAGACATACCTTCGTGTCTCAACTGCATCTCCAGCTCAAGAGCCTTGAACTCGTCCGAAGCGGCAGTCTTGATCTCCTTGCCCATTCGCTCGTCCGTCCATTGCTTCATGCGGTCGAATCTCTTGCCGATATTCATCTTGGCGGTCCTGTTTTTGTTTATCTGCTGAGAAGAAAGAAAGGTTGTTGTACAGTGTCCGAGATGTCGTCTGCGTCCAAGTCGGAGAGCAGGTCCAAGAGTGTGTGGGAAATGAGGGCAAGCACTGGCGAGAGGGGCACTGCCGCACTTGATTTAATTGATGTGCCGTGGTTGGAGTGGGGGGACGAGGTAACGCGAGTGGCAGGGCTGGCTGTGAAGCAGCCTTTAAACAGGAAGCCTGTGATAAGTCAATCGGTTGAGCCGTGACTCTATTGGACACCAGCTTTCGAGTAGAATGTCTTTAGTTAAACTTCTCATACATAATCGAAACCCGTCTTTGCGGCCACTTTCCCCAGACTCTCCCAGACTCCACCAGTTTAGGGGGAGGCCACGGCCGAATACACGCGTTCCTAACCATGTTCCATAAGCTTTTTTTAGGCCAGGCCAGAAGCTAGTACACGCGACCGCCACGTCCGCGGCCTGTTTTGCTGAAGAACTCTGCCGCATCTCGATGCTTACCCGCTTGTAGTTCAGTAGTCTTCCTTGTGCCTTGTTTGCGACTGCAACGAGACTATTGTACGTGAGGTTTGTACACGCTCTACGTTCAACGGCCATCGCTGTGTGGAGATGCCCGGCGGCTGTTCTGTCAGTCGCGAAACAAAGGTTGACTCGCACTTATTTGACCCACCGTTGCCAAACCCACTAACCACACAGGCACAGCCTTCTTCCCCTGCTTCGACGCGGCCCGTCGCCTGTCGGTAGCGAACAAGGACGATCAGCAGTTGCGAAGTAATACACTCTTTGAACCCTATCCATAGTGTATGTCACCCCCTGATCAGATGTACAATCACCTCACATGTACAGTCACTGGTGCAATATGCTACTGGGAATCTCGACGTGCTCATGAAACATTTTTGGACATTCCTCGATGATGCTGCCTGTGAAAAGAAAAAGCCATTTTGCTCGTAGGTTTTTCTGGCATTCCTGGTATCTAACCCCGAAACAGTACGGTATAGTAAATGCCAGGCATCGCTCATAGTTTTTTGGCAAAGTAAACGAGAATGACGACCCAACCGACCAGCACTCCGATCCCCTAACCACTTTACTCCTTGGTCTTCTGTGTACCACGGAGCAGACCAGTTCTGCGGGCGGCAATGAGACCAGCCTTTTGACCCTGGGCGGCGTAGCGGGAGATGGTCGAGGCCTTACCGATATGCTGGTGGTTACCACCACCGTGAGGCTGTAAATTGTGTCAGTGTGCTGTTTGTGCGTCTGCTGGGTGTGGCGAATCCTTACATGGTCGACGGGGTTCATGGCAACACCACGAGTCTTGGGCCATGAGTTGCGCTTGACGGCGAACTTGTGCTTAGCGCGCGAAGCCTTAAGGAGGGGCTTGTCTGTTCTGCCGCCACCAGCGACAATACCGATCATACCACGGACGCTGGACTTGACGACCTTCTTGGCACCCGAGGGGAGCTTGACACGGGTCTTGCCCTCGTCGGGGTTGTGGCCAATGACGGTAACGTAGTTACCGGAGGTACGGCCAAGAGCACCACGGTCACCGATCTTCTCCTCGACGTTGGTGACAACGGTACCCTCAGGGCAGGATCCGAGGGGAAGGACGTTGCCGATGGTGAGGGAAGCGTTCTTGCCGGCGTAGATGAACTGGCCAGTGTACATGCCCTCGTTGGCGATGAAGGTCTCGGTGTGGAGCTTGAAGCGGTAGGGGTCACGGAAGACGACCTTGGCCAGGGGAGCACCACGTCCGGGGTCGTGGATGATCTCCTTCACGACACCGCGAACATAGCCGTGTCTCTCAGCGAAATCGAGAGTACGGAACTGGGCGGGGGCCTTGTTGAGTCCTTTGAAGAGCGTCTAAGTCAGCGGGAGCGTTCGGATTTGATGAGATCGATCGGTTGGAGATGCGTACTGGTGTTGGCCTGCGAGGAGCTTGTGTCAGTAGATGATTGAAAATTTCGCGACGGCATGCGCGCTCTCGGTGGAAGGTGGACATACAGTGAAGATAGAGCCACGGCCCTTTCTCTGGTTGCGAATAACACGACCCTAGATATCCTGTCAGCACATTGCGCGCTGTATTGCTGGGTCCTGGTGGGTTGATTTTTACCATCTTGAATGTGGTTGGCGGTTCTGCTGTCGCTGGGCGTGCGAGAAATCGAAGTCGTCAAGCGCTCGAAGGTATTTCGCAACGCCAAGTCCACGCTAGTGTGTGTGTGCGCACTGTTCGGCTTATCCTCGCCGATTCGCCGACACGCTTCCTCGACCACCATCATGAGCTGCATCTTCACATCATCCACGTCTTAATTGTCACTCGATATTTCAATGCGATTACACTGACCGGCTGGGAGAGTATATCAACATGTCCCGGCAGTCATTCTGATTGGCATATCTGCATCACTGTCGCTGCTCGTTCGTCTGAACAATGCCATGCGTCCGAGCTCCAGCTTGCTCAGTATCTATCTAAGGACTGCACTCATCCCCGTTGCTAGAGCCATGAGTCTAGCTAGCTCGATACTGATGTATGCACAGCTCACTGCTCAAGGTGCAATGTGTCTCTCGCATGTCAAGTCCTGCCAAGATGATCCCTGCCGCAACCAATCTTCAGACAGTGGTCTATAATGACCAGAGACGTTGTGTCAAATGAGCTCAGTATCATCTGACCAGGTCAGACCTACTATGTAAATGTCGGGTGTTGGTATTACTGGTAAGGCGATAACATCTACTTTGGAAAGTGCAACCTGAGACTAGCTCCTTCCTCAAAAGCATACTGTTACCTGTTCTCCCGGGTTGTGATTTCCGCCATCCATTGTCAGTCAATCAGCACTCTACCGACAAGCTCAATTCGGAAGAATCGCTTCAGCCCCAAGTACACGACCTCCAAGAACAATGTCTTCTCTAGCTCTCACAGTCTTCGCAGCCGTCGGTCTTGCCTCTGTCAGTATCGGGAAGCAAACAATCGTTCCTGGCCACAGCGGGTTCTCACTAAACACAGGACAAGGTTCACTTGCCGCGCTTTGGCAGTCGCTGTTCGGCACTGACCCGGTCTATGGCATCTTCAAGAGCGCAATTACTGACTGCACATGCGCCGTCATCATCGTTCCGGTAGACACTCAGGACACTTCGATATTTGATACAACCCGTCAAGCTTCGTCAAATATCTCTGCGGCGACCTACTAGAAACAGCCCCAAGCCCCACGTCCTCCTCGGGTATCAACATCTGCCACCTCGCACTCTTGTCCAGATGTGAAATTAGTTCCATAGCTGCCGGAACTACCCTGAGCCTTGTGTGCGGCGAAGAACGCAGAAATATGGCGCTCGTAAGGTCCTGCAGAAGTTGGGATAGCTACGAGAAGATCCGCAACAGCGAGTTCAGGGCTCCGTCGTGCATAGCTGCGCTTTGGAAGAAACGAAAAATGAATGGTGTGCCAAACATCGACTGAAACCCTGCTGCCCATGATCCTAGTTTTTTTTGTCAGTCTATGATAACTTCATTGTGTATCACAAGAACCATACCAGCCAGAGGCCCAAGCAGACCAAAGCCTACAGAAGACATAAGTGCCAGGATGATGTCGATAATGAACATTGTGTTGAATTTGCAATCTGTTTCTACTCTGAGTGACCAAGGATCTTGGAGTAGGATACTGATGTTTTATGTCTCACGGTTGATTTACAAAGTATTGACGCGGAACATGCAGGAATTTGAGCACCACTGAGTAAGATACTCGATTGAATTGAAGATCACTCGCGAAATTTCAGACCACCATAACCAGCTGCCACCAGACTGCTTTGACACGAGCTCAATGTTGATGAGATGACGTTCACAATAACAAGTTCGACCCAGTGTTTTGTTTGACTGGCGTCACACCAAACATGATCAAAAAGCATCTTGTATATGCCTCAAATCACAGTCAGAACAGTCGCATATCCGGATATACCAATCAGAATGGTACAGAAGCATTCTCTGAGTATGAGATCATTCATGATGTTCATTTGAGGTAAACCCAGACGTGGTTTTCGTGGGAGAAAGTCTTGATGACCGATTGTTGCTCTGCTCAACGGTTCTGAGATGTCGTTCATTAGGCTGTTCAGTACAAGTCGGAGGAAAAAGCCTATAGGTGCATGCCAGCAGATCCCGAGGATCACCGTCTCATAGCCCGCAGCGTTCGCTCCTTCCTACTAGATTTGCAGACACCGTCGATGTTCTTTTGAGGTGGTTGTTGAGGTCAAGATAAGTTCGAAGAAGCTGCGAAGAAATGGCGTCTCTGTCGAAGGAGGAGCCGAGCCAAGCCTCCGCGAAAAGAGAAACTTCGACACCTAGAGACCGGCGTCGCTGCAGAACCACTCTACTCAGCATCGAAAACACAAACCGCCCAAAGCTGCGTCACACATTGGACCTCAAGAAATCGCTATTTCAAAATTCACAGACTCGGCAAAATGACAAAATTTCGCCCTTGTATAGATCTCCACGCCGGAAGTGTCAAGCAGATCGTCGGCGGCACCTTGACAACCACCACCTCTGAACTCAAGACAAACTTTACAAGCAAACTGCCATCATCCTACTATGCAAAGCTATACAAGGAGAATGCATTGGAGGGTGCGCATGTAATCATGTTGGGACCCGGCAATGATGATGCTTGCAAGGAGGCTTGTGAAGCTTGGCCGGGGCATTTGCAGGTTGGTGGTGGCATCAAGGACGAAAATGCAAAAGAGTGGATTGAGAAGGGTGCTAGTAAGGTGAGTTTACTCGTAGAGACAAGAACCTGTCAGAGAATGCTCCAAGAGCAAGGATCTTGGTGAGTCTGACATGGAAGATGATTATGTGCTAAGTACGATTTATAAGGTCATCATCACATCCTTCCTGTTCCCTTTTGGTAAACTCTCCTTGGACCGCCTGCAATCGGTCCTCAAGGCTTTGGACAATGATACCTCAAAACTCGTGATCGACCTGAGCTGCCGTCGTAAGGGCGACACATGGTTCGTTGCCATGAACAAATGGCAAGATCTCACTGATATGGAATTGACCGCTGGTGAGTCAATGGCTTGTACCTCTCTTCAGGCGGCCCTTCGTATCCCAAATGCAGTCATATGTTGACAAGTGATACAGAATCAATCTCACTACTCCAGCCTTACTGCTCAGAGTTCCTCATCCACGCGGCCGACAACGAAGGTCTTCAACAAGGCATCGATGAAGAGCTCGTCCGCAAGCTCTCCGAATGGTCTTCTATCCCCGTCACTTACGCAGGAGGTGGTCGTAACCTGCAAGATTTAGAATTGGTTGAAAGCTTGAGTGGTGGAAAGGTGGATCTGACCATCGGAAGCGCGCTCGATGTGTTTGGTGGCAATGGTGTCAAGTTCGACGAGTGTTGTGAGTGGAATTCGTCAAGGACGTAAAATCTTCTTTGGGTAGCTGGCTCCAAAACCTGCCGAAGAAGCAGAAAACATGCAAAATATAAGTCTCGCTACGACCCTGTCTCCGTTAATTGGACAGCTTCGTTCTTCGACCCCTTCCTCGCGGACGCCACTCAATACCAAGCAAATATGCGAAGACCAAGCGGTTCTGTGATTCAGCTCATAGCTCTTACTAATGCAAGTTTGCTGCAAGAAGTGCTCCGCTGGCACAAGTGCTCGGACATTCCAAATACCGGTGACATCATCGACGGTGGTGGGACGGACGCCTTTGAGCTTGCCTATCTCAAGGACAACTCTTAGTCTACACGTACCTAATTAGTTGATGCCTCCTAAGATACGCAAGAGATTACAATATCTTTGAGTATCACAACGAGGTCGCCGACTTCACCAACAATAGTCACCTTGCCCTGTCGTCTATTGTGAATCGTCAACATTTGGAGCCGGAGTTCGGACTACGAGATCAAGCAGGTCACACTCATCAAAACTCCTAACATCTCCACACTTCCAACAACCATACTCATTCCTCTTCCACACACTCGAGCTGCTATCTGTGCTCTCACTGGATCTATTTAACACAGTAACCACATACAACTCAACCACCCACCATGGTCTCCAAAATACCCAACGACATCTTTCAGTTCAGCACCGCTAGCGCTCTGATGGCCGGTCTCGCCCACAACGGCCCTTCCTGCGGTCAGCTTCCCGGCTATGGTTCCCATGGCATTGGTACATTCGGCAGCATGAACGGCGAACTCCTTTTCCTAGATGGCAAGCCCTGGCAAATGCTCCCATCCGGAAAAGTTCAGCCCGCAGACCCAGAAACCTCTTTGCCTTTTGTCCAAGTCACAAAGTTCTCACCCGAGTACGAAGTTGATGCGCCAGAGTTGAAGAAAAGGGGATTGTTGGAGATGTTTGAGAAAGCTGGGCCGCATGCTGGTGGAAAGAATTCGTTTGTACCCTTTGTGGTTAAGGGAACCTTCAAGTCACTGTATTTGAGAATAGCTGGACCGCAACAGCATCCAGACCAAGATCTTGCGGAAGTCGCTGCTAATGCGAGGAAATGGAGACTGGAGAATGTCAAGGGTACAATGTTCGGCATCGTGAGTCCCGAGTGGATGCAGGGTGTCAGCATTGGTGGTGTACATTGTCATTTTATGACGGAGCCTGAGCAAGGAAAAGATGCTGAGGGAGGTCATGTTCTTGACTTTGAGACTGGAGATGAAGCCGAGTTGCAATGGGCTGTGACTGGGAGATATCATCTTGGCTTCCCTAGGGACGATGAGTGGGAGAAGCTGGATCTCACGGCAGATATTGCAGGTCTCAACAAAGCTGAGGGATGAATTCAATGACGAGCACCTGAAATAGAGAACGCTGGGAAGGTGTATATTTGCTTCTCGAGGTCATCTTCATGGCACAGGAATTTCTATCGGGAGCAATATGGTCTCATGTCACACATCTGCTTTCACAAAATTCACTTCAAGAGCGGGTCTCTGATGACATCGCTCTATTCGTAATGACTTGCCTTGCGATGACTCCAAGTATTACAGAGTTCAGTAACCGGAGATGCCTCAAGTTGTGGGACACGTCATGTTTGCACTGTTTGTCTTGTACACGACCTCATGCTTCGCGTCCTGCTTCCTCGAAACGCGTCGGATCCTAGCAACAGCTTTCCAAGGACCATGGATCTTGGAAGTTCACAATATGCTGAAGCATTAATTAAACACAGCGTAATGGTCCACTGATCTGCCCGGTATGAGACTGCACAGCATCGCAGTCGGATGAAGGCACCAGAATCCGCTTGGCTCGGCTATGAACTCTTCCGGTAGGCGGGGACTCCTGTCGACAACATGCAAGCAGTAATACGTCAATCTTTTTGAGGTACAAGAGCCTGCCACAGGCACTCTCCAAGCCGGAAAGACAAATCGATCATCCCTCAAGGACTCTGTTTATAATGAGCCAAGCACAAACACAAACGCAAGATGCCACGGCCGAGCCGAAGAAGCTGCATCTGATCGGTGTCGGCGTCGGTCACAGCATCGCACCAGTCATGCATAACTACATTTGCCAAAAGTTGAATCAACCATGGATCTTCGAGGCAACGGAAGCACCGACAATCGAGTCAGCACTAGAACTTTTGAAGACGGCAGCTGGTGCTGTCATCACCATGCCTTACAAAAAGTCCATCATGCCATATCTAGATGGGCTTGATCCTCTCGCTGTCAAACTTGGTGCCTGCAACAACGTTTACGTCACAAAGGATGGCAAGCTTCAAGGCACAAACACGGACTGGAGAGGGGTTAAAGGCTGCCTCCTGGCAAGCAGCGACAAAGGCGTCGGCAAACCATCTATGATAGTTGGCGCCGGAGGTGCGAGTCGTGCTGCCGTCTACGCGTTGGCAGTCGAGCTCAAAAGTCCCGTCATCTATGTGGCCAACCGCGATGTCCAGGAGGTCAAGGATCTGATCGCCGACACCCAGGCACTGCTCTCTACTCCTAGATCGGATGAACCGGTGTGCAAGATCATCCACATTCAGAGTCTTGAACAAGCTAGCTCTCTTCCCTCGCCCTTCTACATTGTCGGCACTGTGCCAGACAGCGCACCAAGCACCGAACCGGAGAAGATGGCAGTCAAGATTTTTAATCACTACCTAGCGTCTGCCCCCGAACCTGGAGTCTTCCTTGACATGTGCTTTAAGCCAAGAGTCACCAGGAAGATCAAGTTGGCCAAAGTCCACGGTTGGCCTACGGTTGAGGGCACAGAAATTATCGGCCATCAGATCTATGAGCAGTACAGAGTATGGATCGACTCAGAGTCTGATGCCGCTGTCATCAGTCCTAAATTGGCTCAGGAAGCATGGAGCACATTGAGAAAAGCTGCAGAGGATAGTAAGGGTATCAACTACGAGGTGGAAGAGTTCCAGATAGAATAATCTACGCAACCCGAATTGGCAAGTCATCTGTCAGATCTCACTCAGCTGCTCCATGTGGTGGACATAGCCCTCCGTGTTGAAACAAGCTGGTACCATGCTGAATGTGGTTTGCTCGGAGTGTATATGGTCTCCTTACATCTTGCGCTCGCGCGCTCTATGCAAAGCCAACGTGTTGCCTAGAATCAATACAGCTTGAGAAAATGCAAAGGTGACTGGCCTGACCGAACGCGTAACAGTGCCGACGATCTCCAAGCATGCATGAAGCGCTCAGCCTGTAGTCACCGTGTCCGGCAGAGTGTTTTGCCGAAGTCTCTCACACCCAGCAGTGTTCTTCCGCTGCATGAGTAGTATGCGACGATGCGTAACGGCCAATCGAAGTGCTCCTGTGTTTGTATTACCAACTACACGATTAGATATAAAGTATCGGGGATCACCCCAATCGCGGAGACGTACCATCGGCCTCAGTCAAGACATCGAAATGGACTCTTTTATCTACACCAGCAGGCCTGGCAGGGTCGTATTTGGCCAAGGCAAAGTAAAGACACTGCCAGACGAGGTTGATTCGCTCGGTGTCTCACGATGCCTTGTTCTTTGCACTCGCCAGCAAGTTTTCGATGCGAAGAAACTGACAGATCTGTTGGGCGACAGAGCTATCGGTATCTTCGACAATGCAACTATGCATACACCGGTCCATATCACAGAAGAAGCACTGGAGATGGCAAAGACTCAAAAGGCAGATTCGGTTGTCAGTATTGGTGGAGGCAGTACCATCGGTCTAGGCAAAGCGATCTCGATCAGGACAGGCCTCCCTCACATCTGTATTCCTACCACGTATGCAGGAAGCGAGATGACACCAATTCTTGGAGAGACCGTAGATGGCCAGAAGACTACAAGATCCCATCCGGACATTCAGCCAGCTGTTGTCATCTTCGACGTGGACTTGACGATGTCCCTACCTGTTGGTCTGAGTATGACGAGCAGCATCAACGCAATTGCACATGCCGGTAAGATACAAAGTTCTCAATGACCGAGTTTGATTCAATATTGACACTCTCGTGAACATAGTGGAAGCATTGTACGCAGTCGACACGAATCCGGTCATCCAAATGCTGGCCGCAGATGGCATACGCAGCCTGGCAGAGGCTCTGCCAACCATCAGACAAGACCCCAGCTCAGTCTCAGCCCGAACGAAGGCACAATATGGTGCATGGCTATGTGCGATCTGTCTCGGCAGCACGAAAATGGCTCTCCACCACAAGATCTGTCATGTCCTGGGTGGTTCCTTCAATCTGCCTCACGCTGAGACACATACCATCGTCTTGCCGCATGCACTTGCATACAATGCATCCTCATGTCCTCAAGCGATGGAGATCTTGGCGCGAGCCCTGCCAAACAGTGATGGTGACGCTATCAAGGGATTGAACTCGTTGCTGGACAAACTGGACATGCCACGCGATCTGGCACGGTACGGTATGCAGGAGAAGGACATTGAGATCGGAGTCCAGCATGCTCTGTCCAACGCTTACTCCAACCCTCGAGAGATTGAGGAGAAGCCTCTTCGGGAGATGATTCGCCGTTGCTGGGCAGGTGAGCGGGCGGTACAGGACCTGTAAAGATAGAGTATAATCGTCATGGTAGCATTTATTACAAGATGCATCTACACAGGTGGGAGCAAATCATTTCACCGAGTTAGTGTGCATCTCTGCGATCACGATAGAGGTTTCTTCAGCACTAGTCCTGTAGCATTCTCAATTGAAAGTTTGGGCAGTGTAACATCCATGTGATCTGGGTAAATGGGATTTTATATCAGACAGAGCCTTTGCAAAAAAACTACAGATGATAGCCTTATGCACTGTCTTGCAGTTGATCTCGACTTCTTCGAATGATCTCGAATTTGTAGATACACGAAGTGCTCAATCTTTCTTCACAGCCAATTTTCTCGCCACAAAATCGATGGCTGCAGTATAGCCATATGTACCAAGTCCACAAATGACAGCCACAGCTTTGTCGCTCAAAAAGCTCTTGTGCCTAAACTCCTCCCGAGAATGCACATTACTAATATGGACTTCGACAAAAGGAATAGCTACACCTCCGAGTGCGTCGCGAATGCCAACTGATGTATGTGTCAAAGCTCCCGGGTTGATGATGATATAGTCGCAGTCGCCTCTGGCTTCGTGGATGCGGTCGATGATATGACCTTCGTGGTTTGATTGGAAGGTGGCGATCTTGAGATCTAGATCTGAGCCTTGTTGTTGCGCTGAATTCTCGACATCTTTCAGCGTCTCGGATCCGTAGATGTGTGGTTCCCGGGTTCCAAGGAGGTTGAGGTTTGGTCCGTTGATCATAAGGATGGATTTGCTTGACATTTTGGCAGGAAGATGATAGTGATAGATTTGATCTTGCCGCCTTGTTATACCACCAGTATGGCGATTGTTATCAATTTACTGTATTTGACGATTCTTTCAAGCATCGGATCATATGTTGGTGGTCTACCCCTGATTTGTAGTCACCGGCTAAGACCTTTACCGAAATGTTTGCAAGCTGCTGCTGCACAACTTCGCAGTCTGTGAGCGGAAAGTGCATGTGAGGTCGTACCGTACGTCCTCAACAGAAATAATGAGTGTTAGGGCAGGTACACATGGGTCCAACCGGGAGAGAGCTGATGCTTTGCACAATTTGACTTCGCTGCGAACGATGCATTGATCCCGGAAAGAGCTCGGCAACTTCAAATTACACCCTCGGTTGCACGAAACGTTACACATGTCGTGGGTCGTGACTTTCGCTCCAAGAAAGGTCTGGTAACTTGCCACGTGTCGTTGTAACCTAGCGTGATTAGCCCGCAGAAAATTGTTCGGTGTGCTCCTGTCTATCCGGATCATGTACGAGAGAGTGCGCGGCTACTCTTCGCCCAGAGGCTACTTGATTGCACAATAGACAAGTGAGTCTTCATGGTAACTTTGCAAGACTGTAAGGTCCATGTGTCTCAGCTCTGTAGAGCAGTATGATCTAAAAGAACATCGTGAAGCGGGAAGTATTGAAGAAAGCCATTAGATGGCAATTTGAGATCTACGAGCTATGCACAAGTATCAAGACGGTTCGGGAACTGTGCAAGGTGAAACCCCCCGAACAGCTGTGAGCAGTATAAGAAAGGTCGGCAGATGGCACCAAATGTTAATGATCCGACGACGACTAGACACAATCAAGCAGTCTCGACGCGCTCAGAATATCTGAAGCCCTCCTTCTCAGCACCAAATTTCTCGCCCACTGTCTCGCGGCGGAACTCTTCATCGTGAAGTCTGACCTCTTCAATGACCACACGGTTAGCCCTGCTAACAGGCTTGATTTCAAAGAGGCGGTCCATCGACTCGAGGGGCACCGATTTGGTTTCAGGTATAAGGAAATAGACAAACACAATGCTGGCAAGCATCATGCTGGCGAAGAAGAAATATACTCCACATCCGCTGGGCCCCATCGATAAGAACATCTGAGGTGTGAAGCGCGACACGATGAAGTTCCAGAACCAGTTGTTTGCTGCGGCAGATGCCTGTCCAAGAGAGCGAGTGGAGGAGTCAAACATCTCTGAATTGATGACCCAGGGGGTACCGTTCCAAGATGGACTGTAGAACGCGGTCCACACATAGAAGAAGAAGACAGCGGCGATGCCACCGGAGCCAAGTGTTTCGCCGTTTCGCTTGCCATGTGTTCCAAGGAGGTAGCCACCGATGATCCACATGCACACCGAGCCACCACCAGCACCAATCATCAGAAGCTTGCGGCGACCAAGCTTGTCGACGAGGAACAGTAGCCAGACGAACGTGAGAACTGTCTTGACTACACCGAAAAGTCCGGTAGTGAAGAATGAGGTACTTGTGCCAGTGATACCAATCGACTTGAAGACGGTAGGCGAGTAGTAGTTGATTGCGTTGATACCACTGCCGTTCTGCCACAGGAAGAGCATACCACCTAGGAAGAATCTCCACTGGACAGTGCGACTCTTACTAACAGCTTGGAATGGTTTCCAGAAACCGACACCGATGGTGGATACTTGCTGTTCATGAGCGGCGTCGATAGAGGCAACTTCTTCGACGATGTAGACATCATTGCTGTCAAGCTGACGGATGTAGCAGAGGTTCTTGAGGCCTTCTTCTCTACGGCCCTTTGAGTACAACCAGCGGGGTGATTCCTTGAGCCACAGGGCTCCAATCATCAGAAGTCCGCCAGGAATGAGTTGCACAGCAAAAGGAATCTGCCACTGGCGACGGCTAGGACCCATAGTCTGAGTGAGAGCATAGTTGATCCAGAAGCCGACTAGACCACCGAGCTGCCAACCCAATTCGTAGATACCAACCAAGCGTCCACGAATAGCTGGTGGGGAGATCTCAGAAATATAGATGGGTACCTGGGTGCTGTTAGTGTTTGTTTGTTGCTGGCTAGGATTTGATCTTTGGACTTACGATCATGGAGGCTCCACCAACACCGACACCAGCCAGTACTCGTCCAGCAAGAATAGGAGACAGGTTTCCGTCTTTGGCGACCAACATGATACCAGCACCAACCATGAAGACGGTGACAAAGGCCCACAGACTACGCTTGCGTCCGAGGAAGTATGCAGATGCATATGCGGCTAGCGAACCGAAGAATGCGCCGGCTTGATAGACAGAGACGATGTTGGCCTTGATGAGGGCGAGATGATTCTTGTCCATGTGCTTGAATCCGAACTCTGATACGAAACTGGGCAGTGCTAGGGTAGTCCCAATGAACGCAGAATCATAACCGATCATGCATGATGCAAAGGAAGCCACGGCAGCACAGGCATACACTCTCCAGTTGTAAACAGCCGAGGGAGTTGGACGATCCTCGACGAGGGTGAGTAAACCCATGTTTGTAGATTTGGTTGGTCTTGACGGTGCGTGAGAAGACAACGGCAGAAAAGAGACGATGTGAGAATGCTGTACCCCAGAAAAGGATTGATGAGGATCTGGGGGAGGGACGATCGTGCTTTTATGTGACCATTTCCTCGCTCAGCCCCATGGGGTATTTGACTTTGATCGAGCGGGGAAGAACAGCGTGCGCTGAGATCTAGAATCCATGGCGCATCATAAACGAAGGTGCCCAGAGGCGACCGGGTCTGCGATTTACTGCCACCGAATTGGCAAAAGCCACGCCGACAAGCCGGCAGAGTTCTTACCCAGATATGCCAAAGTTCATCTCATCGACAGAATTACATGATACCTTAACCATAAGGCTGGTGGGCTAATAGTTGGTACAGAATGTCTGAATGCAAACGCTCGGATGTGGGGTTTAGGGCGGATGAATTCTTGGACGGAGGGGAGGTATGAGGTAGCAAGACAGTCGAGCACTGATGACTTGGGCTTCGGTCTCCTGCGACACTATAATTTCCAAATCCATACTCCTCAACTACAGCAGTCACGATGGTAATGAATGACCAAACAGTAGTGTGTGAAACACCAGACTTCTCACATGTCGAAAAGTTTGGTCTTCTGTTTGGATATCCAATCGCGCACTCATATTCGCCATTGATGCACCAGACTGTCTATGACAACATCGGCTACAAGTGGCAGCAGTTTCTACTCGAGTCAACGGACATGTCGCATTTCCTTGAGCTCATGAGCCATCCAAAGTTCTATGGTAAGTCAGAAATAAGAGTTGGAATTTGGGTCAACCAACTTACCTCAAACCAGGCGCTTCGGTGACTATGCCTCACAAGGTCACGATACTATCGCACCTCGACGAATTGACCGACGAAGGAAGAGCAGTAGGAGCTTGCAACACTGTTTTTCTAAAACATGTTGACAACAGGCGGATCTACGTGGGGACAAATACCGACATCATCGGAATCAGGGATGCCTTCTGGCAGAACATGCCGGATCGAGACGCCTTCCAAGGGAAACCAGCTTTGGTTGTCGGTGGTGGAGGTGCTGCTCGTAGTGCTATCTACACCTTGAAAATCTTCATGAAGGCAACCACTGTCTACTTGGTCAACCGCGATAAAGCCGAAGTCGACGCTGTTATCTCTTGGTGCGGCGACCACGGTTACGGAGAGGGTTTGGTCCACGTTGCGACCGTTGACCAAGCACATGCAGCCCAGAGTGTCGGTGCAGTCGTGGCGTGTGTGCCCAATTTCACTCCAGCGAGTGCAGCAGAGATCGAAGCTCGTAACATTCTGGTGACCTTCCTCGACAAGTCCAAGGGAGCAATCCTTGAGATGTGTTACCATCCTAAGCCTTGGACTCAGATTTCTGAGCTGGCTGAGAAAGCTGGCTGGAAAGTGATCTTGGGTACTGAAGCCATGATCTACCAGGGTTGCGCACAGGATAGCTGTTGGACCGGTAAAACTATTGCTGGACTGCCCGTGACAGAGGTAAAAGCAGCCATTGCAGAGAAACTGAAGGCACCAGACTCATGATGCTATCTCAATGTCCTGGAAGCCAAGGGGATAGAGATCGTACTACATGAATATCAGACATTTCCCGGTGGCCTCCAGCCGACCAGATTGCATCGTCCACTGATCCTGATCACAGTGAAAGTCGACCGCAGCAGGCGCAGCTGTCAAAATATCACTGCCGAGGATTGCGTGACCGCCAAGGTAGCGTAGACCTGAACACTCAGCTGTCTTGCGCTCACGGTTCGAGCCAAAGCTTTTTCCTAGGGCACGGCCAGATGTTCCACGTCTCGGAAGATATCTTAGCCGGGTCTCATTGCGTTTGAGTCTGGCTGGACGTTCGGATAAGTCATCGACCATGGTCTTGGTGATGAAGACCAGCCGAATCCATAACAAAGCCGAGCGAGTAGCGGGCAATTCAGCGTTCCTTATCCTTATACTTATAGGCGAAGTGACCAGGCTCATAGGTTCCGGTTGAAGAGTCGCTCTTGTCATCAAAACGAAAGCCATTGTCTACGACCTGCTCTACTCATCAATCATGGTTGACTTGCACACATTGCCAGAGGGTTCGCGGCCCGATACTGCCTTCCGTAACAACGGACCGGACAATTTGGTTTTCGAGAGGTATAAGCTACGAGAATTGGCAGAGGGGTGGCCCTGTTACAGGTAAGCTCACCTTCAACCCCGCGCTAGACATCACCAAAGAGAGCAATCCACTGATGAGCTGCCTCCTCCGTAGAGACTCTTGCGAGTGGGAGAATCTCAAGTCCATTTTTCATCCCGATGCGTACATTTACACATCCTGGACTGGCCGTACGCACTTCCAGGACTTCATCAAAGCATCCCAGGCCGGAATGGACAAGGGCGTCTTTATCATGCACAGAATCCACGGATCAACGACGGATATCAACCCTGAGGCAACCCGAGCTGTCACGAAGATGAAGGCTACTATCACCCAGCGCTTCGAGTTCGAGGATGGCATAGAAGCCGATGCTGAATCTGACTGCCGCTTTGTATTTTTCTGGTCAAAAGATGAGCAGACGGGCAACTGGAGGGCGAACTACGTTAGACATTTCTACGAGAAGGACAAGTTAATCCCGGTGGATCCTAACAGGATACCCAAGATCGATGTCGAGGCAGCGAAGAAGTATCCAATTGGATACCGTTACCTTGCGTACTGTCAAGAAAGGACGATGGGTGTCAAGGTTATCTTGGACTTACCCGGACATCGTCGTGAGGCCGGTTCAACCGCCAACGGCGAGAAGCACGATATGCTCTATAAGCAGATCAAGGAATGGATGGACGGTCAGGAGGTTGACATCTAGATAGCCGTATCAAGTGAACGTGTGACTGGTACTGAATCAGAGAACACATCATCAAGCAAGTCCTCGTGCGATGCCCTGCGGAAAATGACGTCGCGGAAATCGCCAGCGCAAAATGCCAAGCTTCTTCGCGCGCGAGTCTGTCACGCGTTCGACTGTACGACACAAGACGTGTTGAACGCGATGTCGATGGACATCGAGCGACGTAGCAACGGCGCCCATCGTGCTGGGATGTCTGGAGGGACGAGACGGCCGGCATGTCGAAAGGGCGGCGGCATGTTTTTTCAGGAGACGGAGGCGCTGCTTGGCATTGCCCGCCCGGAAGTGTCTTTACCCGCACCGCGACCTCAGTCCTACTGCTGGGCAACTAGACGCCACTGTAATTTTATACAAGGTATCATACAAGACGCAGTGATGCGATTCAGATTTAACTTGACAATTCGAACTCGAGATCCCTCTCTTTTGCTTCGTTGCTAGTCCGCAACAGCCATAGTCAACCATGAAGTACATTCCAGCGATAGCGTCCATGAGCCTTGGACGAGCTTGGGTCCATAACTTCGAAGACAAGATCATAGCTGCATCTATGTCTGGTTTCGAAGGTATCGAAATCTTCTACGAAGATCTTGAGTATCTCACGATGACCACGCCCGTCTCTCCAGATGAGAAGTCTACGCCAACCTCACAACAACTGTTGGCTGCCGCCAGAGAGGCCAAAAGAATCTGCGATGAGAATCACCTGACCGTTATTGGTCTACAACCCTTTCTCTTCTACGAAGGTTGGTCAAACTCGGAAAGTCTCAATTTCCTCCGCCTTGTATAACGTGTTAATTTAGGGCTGAGAGACCGACAACAACACGATCGACTGATAGAGAAACTGCACGTCTGGTTCGATATCGTCGATATACTCGGCACGGACATTATCCAAATACCAAGCAACTTCTTGCCCAAAGATCAGCTCACGGGAGACATGAATGTGATCGTAGCCGATATGGTTGAAGTTGCCAACCTAGGCGCGAGCCGCGAACGACCCATCCGGTTTGCATACGAAAACTTATGCTGGGGCACTTTTGTCGACACTTGGGACGCTGCGTGGGAGATTGTGCAGCGTGTTGATCTCCCAAACTTTGGCATGTGCCTCGATACATTCAACATCGCTGGTCGCATTTGGGCTGATCCCGCTTCGCCCACGGGCATGGTTGAAGACGCCGAGGCTGCTCTCGCGGCGTCGTTAGCCAGACTTGTGAAGACAGTCGATGTCAACAAAGTATTCTATATTCAAGTTGTATCGGCGGAGCGTGTCGACCCTCCACTAGATGAGAAACATCCTTACCATGCGGATGGTCAACCAAGCCGAATGTCGTGGTCACGCAACGCTCGATGCTTCATTTACGAGACTGACAGAGGCGATTACTTGCCTGTGGAAAGGGTGGCTAGGGCTATCATTGAGGGTCTGGGTTATGAGGGTTATGTGTCCATGGAGCTCTTTTCGAGGACACTGTCTGATCCTGCACCAGAAGTGCCTGGAAGTCATGCCCGTCGTGGCATAGAAGCCTGGAAGAAGTTCCAAAAGGCACTGAGTTTGAAGTAATAATACGAAGCTTGCAAATTTGAATATCGCGTGTCAAAAATTATGTTAAGAAGAACAACAGCACAACCGTGGTGAGAGATTGACCTGTCAGTCAGTCTCTTCCGTCACATGGATCGCTGCATATCCGTCCATGATACTATCTTGCATCCTTCTCTGTGGCGCAGGATAGCCAGTGAAAAGCTCAAATTGAGCACAGCCCTGCTCAATCAGGATTTCGAGAGGCTCGACGCAGATCCAGCCTTTATGAACATTCTCATGTGCTTGCTGCAGCAGTGGTGTCCAAGCGGATCTGTACGAAAGCTTACGTTGGAGGTCAGTTGTGCTCGAACATCTTCGGGACGTCGCAGACTTACCTCAATAATAACGCCTCCTGTCCTACTCTTAAACCATTGTTGGGGTATTTGGAATTCTGGAGGCGTTGCATCCCCGATGCGATGCGCGGGTATGGTACACACTACCATCGTTGGTTGATCAATGTCAGGCCAAGGTGCATCCAGCGTCTCAACAACCATAATACGACACTGCGCTGTTCCAGATGGCGTAGAAGAGCTCTGGTGGGTTAGCCACTCAGGCTGAGGGTCAGCACATAAAGTTGTGAAATGTTTTTTGACTTCGTGCGCTTTGCTGAGAGTTCGGTTCCAGATTACAATGTTCCTTACGCCCATTTTCAGCAAGGCATATATCGAGGCGCGTGCCATACCGCCAGCACCGATCACAAGAGCTGAAGAGCTGGGTTTGATGGCATTGGCAGGCGAGAGATAGCGAGATATGCAGACATATATGGCAATCCAGTCTGTGTTCTCTCCGTGCAAGCCAGAAATTGGTCCAGCCCGATTTCTACATGATCTTGACAGTAAGGATTGATTAGAAGAGTTACTGATCGGTGTGGCCCTTGATGGTAGGACTGTATTGACAGCCTGTATAGCTGTGGCCGCCCCACTCATCGAATCAAGAAGCGATATCACTCTGGACTTGAACGGTAGACTGACACTGGCACCGCCAAATGTATCGTCCATAAGAGCTGTCAAGTCTTGCAGGTCGGGAGATTGTTTGATTGTGTAGATATGCTCCATAGCCAGAGCATCAAAGGCGGCGTTGTGCATCATTGGTGACAAACTATAATCGACACTTGCACCGAAAATGTGAAAGTGCAATGGCTGATAAATGAAGCTCGCGAACTTTGCTTTCATGAGTTGGGGTAGGGTAAGCAATGACGTGCTCGGGTCCGGAATTTGTACATTCGGTTGTCGTACAGAAGTCAGACATGAGTTGAGTACCATGGCTGATCTTGCCACGATGCCGGTGTTATAGGCTATCAGGGGAACTTTGGATCGTGACGTTATTGCAGCCTGAAACGCAACACAATCTCTGTCCTCTGAAGCTGATTTGGCCTCACGTACAAACCGGACTACGTGACAGCCCAAGGCCACTGCGCGATCGAACTCTTTATGCAAAGCCGGATCTCTCCACGTTAGACCTCCCTTAGCATATAATCGATGACCGATGACTTGAGTTTGACCGACTGAGCTTGTAAAGTCATGAACCTGACGATCTGTACAGCCGAGATTGACAGTGATGAAATCTGGGAGTAGACGAAGCCCATGATGCAAAAGATCAGTGTATCCGTCCTTATCTGCCAAGATCTTCTGGTCGCCGCACTCGGTATGATAAATGATAGGGGCTTTGGATCGCCTTCGAATCATCTGGAGAGAGCGGCTGATACGGTCCCAATCGTATGGCACATCTCGCGACGAACGGCTGCGGACTATCAGCTCGATTGCATCGGTGCCAAAGTCTAGATCGTTGAGAGTTGACTCATGTGCGGCGACGTCTTCTAACTGCAGCACAGTCGAGTATTCACGGTCCGAGGGTGATGCTGGGTAAAGTTGCAAATCAGCAGACCCTGGTGTCCCAGCAAAAAAGCTTAGAAATTGCAGAAAGTCTTGTTTCACATTTCGGAGAAGTGAGGGCGAGTTTGGAGTATGTTTCCGTCTCAATCTTTGCGATATTTCGGCAGAAAGGCAGAAATCTGCCTCGCTTTCGGGAAGATTGAAGAACTCGAGGTTGGAAATTTGGCGGCAGAGTCGCTGACTCTGTTTCAGTATATGCAACACCTCGTGCGAGTTTTCCAGACCAAGGTACCGTTGGATTGTGGTCAGGTCACGATTTATCATGATCACAGGATGTGACAATGCAAACTTGCGAATGAGCGGCTGACAACGCGGCTCAAGTGCTTCCGGGCCGCAGACGATTATACAGCGTGTGCCATGCTGATTCAGAATCTCCTTTAGAGCTGCGGACGAGATGTTGCGATAGGCGTCCAGACCTTTTTCCTTGACATAGGCGGACCTGCGGAGGCCTTGATGTTCAACAAGCCATGCCTCTGTGTCAATCAGACGAAAACGCAAGGCTTTGGCAGCAATCACGGCGAAAGATGATAGGCCGCTGCCTTTAGTGCCAATCAAAACCAGAGAAGCGTCTTGTCCAAACACGAGTTTTGCCCTTGGTATCTGGAGCTCATGCACTCTTCGAACGTGGGGAATCCGCTCATCGACGCTGTGGCGAGCACTGGAAGCTCTTCGCACACCGTCACCAAGCTCGCTGTGAGTTGAGGCTCTGACACTATTCGAGGGTGAGTAGCATATTGTATCGAAGCGGCGTTTTTTGTATCCAGGACTTGTGGGGGCAGACAAAGTCAGTCTGCCAGTCGTGTCAAGCCGGGTGCTCATGTCGCGAATTAGGTATGGACATGAGGCACGCCGAAGACGTGATCGCGTCCTGTGAGCGATGAATTTCGAGACCGAGTACGAAAACGAACCGATCAGTCCTGATGATTTCGTTGCGCGTTCGAGTGAGTATCAAGCTTTCGCTGCTGCTAGGCAGACAACGGCAGGTGGTAGTGCATCGAGTCAAAGATAGCAAGCAACGCGTACGAAGTCGGATGAAGTCAATGCCGGAGACCCTCGGCTGCGGACTTTGCGTGTGTTAAACTTTCGATGACCTCTTCTGCCCCTCGATTTCTCCACTCTGCTAGCAACGGCAGGCAGCACCCGTTCACGGTCTCGGCAATGCATTTCAGCAGAGCATCAGGTCCCAGTGTGACAACCAGATATTTCTTTTCTGGTGACCAGGATTCCAGCTGAGTGCGCGGCCTGCTTGATGCGGCAATGATTCGCTGGCGCATAACAAATTCGCCCTCATTTAATGCACTGGATCAGCGCGACGCGCTCGCAGCATGTCGCAGGCTGTAGCCGACCAACCTAGGAAGCGCCGACGAGTGACGCAGGCCTGTCATAGATGCAGGTCGAAGAAATACAAATGCGACAGCGTCCGTCCAACATGCTCTACGTGCCAGGCTTCTGATGCTGAGTGCATTTACGGTACTGTGGTCAAACGCCGCGGCCTCCAATCTGGATACGTCAGGGCACTCGAAATACTATGGGGCTTGGTTTTCAAGAACATCGAAGGCAGTCAAAACGTGGCTACCCAGCTGCTTGCTAATCTCGCTGTTGTTATCAATCCTGTTGCGACCGGAACCAGTGACAATGACCGCGCAGACGATCTTCTGGAAAGCTGGAGGGGCAGTGGCGTACCCACCGCTATTGAGAGTCTTCTAGACGGCGAGGTTTCCGAAAGTCCAAGGTTACAAAACGGGTCGTCTGGAAATGCTGCTGGCCTTGCAGCTTGGTCCCTGCCACAGCCGGATCCGCTTGTAGCAGGCACGCCGCCATCGCCTGCATCACCGCTACCACCACCGCAATTCACGCCACCACCCATCCATGCGGTGGTCGTTCCAGATGCGACGTACTTGCTAGAGGATATTGAAGCGAGACGTGCGACGCAAGAACTTTGGACGCCACTACCGTCCGACTGGCACGCCCTTACCCAGGTGTACTCCACCGTTGAACACTCATGGTTCCCCGTTCTCGAACGACATGCGCTCTTTCGAGTGGCATACACATACCAAGACCAGTGCGACTCTCGAGCTGTCCTAATTGACCGTCATCGAGGCGACTTCGCAACTCTGTGGGCAGTGTTGACACTCGGCGAAATCCATTCGGGCGGTGTGTCGTCTCCTAGGGCAACACAGTTTCAAGCGTTGTCCAGGTCTTTCCTCCCTGTGGATTATCTGAACGACGACTATCTCAGTCACGCTCAGGCACTGCTTCTCTGGGCTGTCATTCATCTAGGTCGCAGCGAGAAGATGCTTGCGAAGATGGCGTTGGCACAGGCTACTGTGCTTTGTTCTGTTGACACGCACAAAACGACCTCAAATCTCGCTATGTCAGAGCGGCAACGGAATCTTCTTTTGGCCGGATGCTTTGTTATCGACTCACTGTTGTCTTTCTCCACGGGCACAAAACCGCGATCAACAATTGAGGAGCTTCCTACAACAGCGCCCTGCGATGCGTCCGGCCCTGATGAGTGGGAACCCTTCGTTGATAGATTCGGACCACAGAGCTTCTCGAGTTCTACTAGCTCAAGCACTCTAGCGGTACCCAGTCGTGCGTCTAGCACATTCAACTGTCTTGTCAGACTAACATCTATCCTGAATGCCGCTGTGCACAGGCACATGCCTGGAGCTGCGCTTGCTGCTACCCTTGAGACGTGGACAATGAGCCTACCTACTCACCTCGCGATGACTGTATCATCGATCCGCAGTACCACAAAAAATCTTTTACCGCCGCAACTTCACCTTCGAGCAATTTATTTTGCCACAACATCCGTTATCACTTCTAGACAATCTAATGGACAGAACATTAATTCCAGCGCAAGGGACCAGCTCAATGGAGCTCTCCACCAACTCAGTCACAATTTTGGCGTCAGGGCATTGCCGGCTTCTGTGAGCGTCCTCATTCCTATAATAGGGACTCTGCCACCTGCTAGCTCTGAAGGCTGGTCTCAATATTCTGTCCTACCACACGGCAGCGAAGTACTTGCCGAGTACAAAAGCCTCTGGGGTTGGATTAATAATCCGTCATCTCCCAAGTTTGATGCTCACGCAACAGCAAACTTCCTGTCACACGAATCGTCATACCGTCCCACCATTTCCGAAACAACACATGACCTAGGCGAGGTGTACAACTTCGATACCGACACAGGCGAGCACAACAGGCACATAATGGTATCCGATCTAGACACGTCTGAGCAACTGGATGTAAACATATTTTCGACCACACCGGATCAGTTTAGAGACTACTTGGCTCTGCTTGAGCAAAACGAAAGGTACGTTTCTTGGATGAGTGGTCAAACATTCACATGCAGAGCATCTAACTGACCTCCTCAGCACTGGTAATGGTCAAGACTTCATGCAGTCGCTTGGATTCTTCGAGGATTTTGACTATAGAGATATGTAATATGGTCAAGCCCGAAAGCTGGCATGCGTGTCCCCTGTGACCTGGCTATAAATCTCCGCTATTGTTCCGGAAGCTGTGCGCATTGAAAGCGCACATGCAAGATACGCACCAGGCTGTCACTTGACAGCGCTTAATCAGGATTCTAAGAGCGCCCATAATGACTACGATTTTCCAACCACATGGTATACTCTCGTACATGACGAATAGAGAGTCGAGTCGCATTTGTGATAAGTCCTGGAATGTCTCGGTGGGTCTGATTACGCTATCAGACTAAGATCTATCATCTACGAATGCGGGATTAAGAGTTCGTCCCAATGCATTGTTTACTGCTTCCATCATCTCCGCTTTGGGGGCAGGCCTTCCGGTCCACGCCTCAAACTGTCCGAAGGCCTGTTGTTGCAGTACATCAATACCATCAAAGATCGCCCAGTTGCCTGCCAACTTTACTTTCCGGGTCATCTCGGTCGTCCTTCCGTACGCCATTTCCACCAAGACGCCCTTCTTGACGTTTGAGAAGATTCGATCTGGTACGTCTGACTCTTGAAGTACGTCTGCAGGGACGCACCCGACAATGACTGAGGCCTGGATGTCTGAGCGTTCCTCCAGTCTCGACAGCGAGTCCACAATCTCAATATCGTGGTCAGGGAAGCCCGCAATCAACTTTCGGGCTCTTTCCAGAGTCCTGTTGACGATGACGATGTTGCGAATACCTAGCTTGACGAAAGCATAGACAGCCGCTCGTGCAGCTCCACCTGCTCCCAAGACCACTGCTGTTATTCCCTCCAGCTCCAGGTCGATTTTCCCACCTTGAATGCAACGAGTGATGCCAAGCCAGTCCGTGTTATCGCCGTACAGCTTCCTTTGCTTTGTACCAGGTGCCGTAGAAACAACAATAGTATTCACCGATCCCATCGTCTTTGCCTCTTCTGATATTTCATCCATATAGCGACCGACTTCGAGTTTATGCGGAGCCGTCACCGAAAGTCCGCCTAAGCGAGGATCTTGCAGTAGTCTTTCAACCGAGTCGTCGACATTGGGGACCTCGAAGAGTCCATATGTATGCGGTAATCCCAAGACTTTGAATCCAGTGTTGTGGAGGAGTGGTGAGAATGACCCTTTAATGTTGAAGCCTAGTAGATAATATTGTTTCCCTTGGGCTTCGCTTTGAGCTTCTTCCAGATGTCGAGTCATCTTGTGGGTGACAAAAGTGTAAAGTCAAACTAGATGTGTATAGAGTGATAGCTCTGTGATTTGAGAGTGCTGATATAAAGCGAATTAACTCTGATTATCAAGAGATTGAACTGTTGTGTTGTGTCGGGTAAATACATTGCCGGTCCTCTTCGGGCTGTGTTTCTCTGTCGGTGAAGTTCAGGGTAACTTACTCCCCTGTCGATCTATTCCCGGAGAGAAAGCCGCATGTCAGCTCGGCTATAGTTAGATGTATCCGCCGGAGCTCTGCTTGGGACCAAGGGCTTGTTGTCGTCTCGTTGAAGGTATCTTCCAAGCAAGGCACACAATCTCAATCACTTCTGGTAATGGACCATCCACTCGCGAGCCGGTCTATCTGCGCTCGCTTCCTCATAGCCGCAAAAGTTCACCGCGGTTTGTAAGAGAAAAGTAGTTGCAGCAAATATAGCAAGTATCATTCATCTAGCAACATGTGTGTAAAAGAGCAAACATAGCCATCAATATCGTTCCATCATCACTTTCGTCACATCCGATGAGGATGCCACCCCTAGACCCTAGAATCTCATACCCACATATCACCTCACTCTGCTTTGCTCGCTAGGCCAGGGGAACTCGTAAGAAGGTAAAACCTTCCTGTGCTTGTTGGGCGGAGATGAAGGCCACGACAGCTCTGGCGACGGCTGTAGCTTTCTGAGTGATACCCACGGTTTTAGCGAGTTGCACTCTTGATCGAGGCTTAAGGATTGCGGTGGAAAGAACTGTGCTGAAGGTCGTAGCGAGTCAAGGTCTTGATCCACGCCTGACGACTGTGGTGGGAATGGTCGCAGGACGTCGAGGTCTTGCTCAGGATCAGACGATCGGGGAGGCGCCTCGGAGTGTGGAAGGATGTGATGCGGGTCCCTTGGTCGTCTGATTGTTATCAAAGGAGTCTCGGAGAAGAGTATTGGACCTTCAAGAATTTGTGATGTCGTCTGAGCTGCTGGGCTGGCGGCTAGACAAGCGTCGTCGCCAATCACTTGCTCAGCGACTAGGTCGGCGTCTGAACAAACATTCATCTGGTCACCTTCCACTTCGTCTCGCATCCGAAAGAAATCTAACTGGATCATGTCAGGGTCAGATTGCTGGCGAACCACTTGCGAAGCGCTGGGAGTCGGTAGTGAAATATCACTAGTGTCGATGTTGACCACGATGTCTTCCTTGAGCGTGGCTCTCGGCTTCCAACCGCGGATGGCCTTCTCGTACACAGCGTCGAAACTTGCAGCGCAGATGTGGTTGGTGAACCATGAGTGCTCAAGCGCCTCTTTGGCCGCCAAACGCTTATCCTCTTGCAGCACGAGTAAGGAGGTGACGAAGTCTCTGGCTCTTTTCGGCACAGACTTCCAGCACTCCTTACCTTGATCAATTTGAGTCAAGTCGTAAGCGCTACGAGATCTTGAATTGACTTGCCCAATGTCTTCCACGCTACCTCGGTGATCGAAGACGAGGCTGCCGGTCAATATGAGGGCACTGACAGAACCAACCGACCACATGTCGATTGCACTGCTGTAGCCTTTGTTTTCCGCCATAGTTGGGTTGAGCCTGTTGACCTCACTGTTGGTCATGATTAGTTGGGCTATATCAATACGAAAACTAAATCGACTTACGGGGCGACAAAGCCAAGTGTGCCACAATTCGAGAACATGCGATGTCTTGCGCCAAGTCGACTGGACAGTGTTGCGGGTTGACTGATCCGTTTTGCCATACCGAAGTCTGTCAGGACGATACGAGTGCCACTTTCCCATGAAGACATCAGGATGTTCTCGGGCTTGATGTCGCGGTGAACAACACCATTGCTGTGAAGGTATTCGACTGCCTTGAGCAGCTGACGAGTGATGACTGCGCTGAGCGAGTCGCCGAGGACACCACCTTTGTAAAAGATGTACGAGAAGAGGTCGCCGCCGGTCATCAGTTCTTGGATGATGTAACTGTTTCATAGCGTCAGCGCGAGACTTCGTATCCAAAAAGAAGGAATGGCTGACATGTGATGAGTCGCGATGAAGACTTTCCTCATGTCGATGATGTTGGGCTACAAGGAATCAGTAAATTCTCGACACCTTGGACTGAGATTGCATACATGGCTCAGATCTTTGAGAACATCATATTCAACCTCCAGGCTGTGTATCTTGCGAAGAAGCTTTGTTGATCGCACCTTTGCTCCATGGCTGGATGTGGCCTGAATCGAAGCTTCGTCAAGTGCATCTTGGTCGCGTTCCAAATTTACACCAGCCAAGGAGACAACTTTACATGCTACCTGCTGGCCAGCTGTCTGATCCCAGGCGACAAAGACTTGACCTTGACCACCAGCACCGATGAGTCGAGGATAGATGTTGAACTCTTCCTGAAAACGCTAAAGGGTGGGTGAGTACTTAATGACCGAGGCTGCACACCTTCAGACCTACCTCGACTTCGCAGCTCATGACGAATGACATCTTGGTGTCTTTCTCAGGATTGACCTCCTTGTATTGCACATAAGTTGATTTTGAGAAGTACAAAGAATCCCCATCCTGCAGAAGCACTGGACCCGTTGACTTGGTGAACTGATGATCGAGTCGGACCACAGACCCATCGTCGGCGAGGCAATCACGAACGAGCACAGTTCCGTTCATGGACAGATCCTCGGCGTAGACCATAGGCGCAACATTCCAGGTCGCGGCATCCTCGTCGAATTGCACACACCGAAGGACCAGATGGCGACGGGATATGGTTGGATCGTGGTCATCGACATACCTAAGAGATTAGATACATGGCCAGGATCAACCATCAGGATGGTAGCATACTGTTGAAGTTGCTCCGCGCCGAGGATGATCTCTTGCTTTGGCCAAATACTGAGCACGTCTAAAGGTAAAATAATGAGGAAGGGTCCAACGCGGAGTGAAATACTGTACCGCAAGAACGTACCTTCGGCCACTCTGCGGTCTCGCTCATTGAAAAGTGTCAGATTTGCGACAGGAACCTGCGCCATCATGCCACCTTCCTCAAAGCATGTATGCAATTGAAAAGTGAGGTTGTGGTCAAAAGACAAGTGAAGCTCTTCAAGTGACGTGGCTGGCAGACCAATCAGGCGTCGCGGACGGACCCGAGCTCGCTTATGTCAGCACACGCACGGCCGAGCGTCGCAGCACTATCAATTTGAACTTCGCAGCTTGAGCTTCCCCTCTCTTTCCTCATCACCGCAACTCATCTCGACACTACTGTAAGTTTTTGCTTTGCACCTCCAATTGACTTGGAACTCGACTAACGGTTCATCCTTCAGGCCAAGATGAGAGCCAAGTGGAGAAAGAAGAGAGTTCGCAGACTGAAGCGCAAGAGAAGAAAGACGAGAGCCAGATCGTGAGTTTTATCTTCTGCTTCTGAGCAAAGTGCGCGCAGCCTTGCTAACAACCATTTTAGCAAGTAAATGATTCGCCCCGAAAACTCGATCATCACGGCTCCTTGATATCAATTCCCACATCTTTGGCATTGCCCAAGCTACTATGACGTCGACAAACGCATCCACCCTCGCGACTCTATCGGCCACCACTTTTTCTCAAAACCTTGTCGGATTCGCTCACATGTTTCCGCCATCTTTGCAGCCGACCCACCACAGTTGGCTCGGAAGGCGCATGTTGGCAGCTTGAAGCTGAGGAGGGGAAGAATACAGGTGTGATGTGCACACATTTGTTATCACATGGTTGCAAGACCTAAGGAGTCGGTCAATTCTTTTCACTCATCGAGCTTTATCATGGAGTGTTCATTGCCTGGCATTGGGAAGGATATCTTGTTTCTCTAACACCGGCGCTTGCTTCGTAAGCTGCGCCTTTGAGATCCAAGGGCCTTACCTTTGCGGTTGGCTGTTCTGAAAATCAGAAAACTGCTATTCGCAAAAAACTTGACTGTTCCACTGTGCCCTTGTGATGTAATGTGCCATGATCTTTTGTCTCATGCTGCGACACTGCGCATGTGGTCGCGTGTGACGCCTACACGCATACTCGCTGTGCGATGCTAACATTTTTTTTTGCGAGCTTCCGACCTTGATGGCCCACAGTGCTGTCATCGGTCGGTCCGAATGCTTTGAATTCCCTTGCTCTAATCTCCTGTCTCGTTGCTTTGCACCCTGTCGGCACCCTGCTGTCTTGGTCACGCGATGTCATCGTTAGAGCTCACTCAGTCGACCTGTCGCTACCTAGCCAATGGCTCACGTCCAGACCATCATCAAGCTCAATCACTCTACAAAGCAACGTGTGGGATGAGCTACAAGCAGCGGAGGACAAATCTGCTTCATCCAAAAGCACTGTCGGCATTCTCGTCGAGCTTGGCTTACCTTGCTCAAAGGACGGGAAACCTCGCTCTGGGCTCTGGTAAACTATCAAAGATGTTGATGTTTCTATTCACGGCAGCATCTCTCCCTTGCCCGGCGATGCACTTATCGGTCACCTACATGGTAAAGACGAAGTTATTCAAAGCTGGTCGTAATACTGCCTACACAAAGATGTCGGTCCAGATGAACTCTCCTTTGCAGTCTGTTCTCAGACATCCAATGCTCCGTCTAATACTGCACTTACTAGAATGTAAAGAGGAGTAGAGACTGTCACAATCTGATACTGAAGTTGAGGGAAGAGAGAAAAGTCTGCAACTAGTTGTAGGTTGATGCATTGAGCTCATCAATAGGATGAGATAAGAATGGTGTATTGTAAGTTAGAAACGCCGAATTGATGGCCTTCCTGAAACCCCCATCCCAATATCGCCCTTGCTCTGAGTTCGAGATGCGTCATCCCTGATGCAACATAGTAGAGTTGTTTTGTTGTCATAAATTCATAAGCGCTGGTTTCGCCATCTTCGGGCTCTCAGTAACGAATATGAGGTGCACCGCACGCCTCGTCGGGAACTAAAATGCCGTCCTTAACGCCACCCATCTTCTCGAGCTGATCCATCCAAGTTGGAGGAGGCTTCTTGCTCTTTCCCTTGATGTTCCACCATGCCTTTTTGTCACCAGCTTCCTTTGGCGGCACTGGTGGCGGAGATCGGACCTTGAGAATATCTCTCATGTGACGGTGTTTTTGATCATGCTTGTTGTCGGTTGCTGTTTTGTCTGCTCTGGTGTTGGTGGAAGTACTGCTGATGCTGCCGAGAGGGGTCGGTATGCTCGAGCTGTCGTAGTTGCGGTGCTTAGAGAACCCGGTAGATGTGTTGGCGAAGGCAGGATGTGAGACTGCGTAGTCACCTCCTTGTCTTGAAGACATGGCTCGTATGGTCAGTGTAGGCTCTGGCGTTGTGACACGACCCGCTGACTTGCTGCGTGGGAGAGCGGGATTGATGTTATCGCTGGTGTGAGCAGCGCCAAGGTTGGGCATTTTGGTAGCGGCGGCGAACCTTGGAGAGCGTGTGGGCATATAGACCTCTGGCTTCTCTCGGGCTGGCGAACCGAGACGAGCTGCGATGATTTCGTCCTTTTCGCCCATCACACTATCTACCGACTTTGTGTTCCTGCTGTGTTCGGAATTGATAGGGCGATGTATAGATGACGGCGGTTGTGGGGCACGTCGTGCTGGAGGTGCAGGTTCATCCTCCTTCCATTGATCGAGACTAGGAAGCGGAGGCAGTTCGCGATTGAGGTTGATCTCAGACTTCTTGGAGCTTGAGCAGTCCAATCCTTCGCTCTTTCCTCTTGTCGAGTTCGACCTGCTGACATCAGTCTGGGCATTTTCCTTCTTCAAGGTTCGACCCCAACTTCTCCAGCCACCGCGGATGTCTGGATCTTGAGACTGCGAGTCAGATCGTAATGACGAGCGCGAGGCGGACCTGCTGGGTGGTCGACTGTTGTCCCTGCTCTGGCCTCCGGCGCTGCTTGGACGAATGTATTCTTTGATGTTGTCACGAAGACTTCGGATGCTTCGTGTCCTGCTAGGAGCACGCGACAAGGCTGGTAGTGCAGCATGCTCCTCTGCAGCAGCAGCAGCAGCTTGATTCTGACGGCGACGTTCGAGTTCGTTGCGCATCCACTCAATGGCAGTCGCGTCTGACTTGATTGGGATCTCTTGCTCTGCAGGTATGTGGGAGGAGGCTCTCTTCGAGGTACGCACGGGTGTGATAGCGGCCGAGGTAGGAGCGGTAGAGGTACTCCAGTGGTACTCTGTTACGTCGGTGATGGGCGTAGAGCCATTGGTCTCACCAGAGGGCGAGCGCTTAGCGACGCGCGGGCGTGTACCGACATCGCTGTTGGGAGACAAGACGTTGTTCGGCACAGGAGTCTTCGCACGACTGCCCATAGGAGTATCATACTTAGGTCTGCCAAGAATAGACTGGACAGGATCGATGGCCGGGTCCGACTTTGTGAAGAGCTGATCAATGGGAGCATCTGGGCGGTATGCATACTTCAAGGGGTGCTTGTCGTCGGCCGAATCTGTTCGTGGTGGGAAGGGACGAGAGTCTTGTGATTTGCGCGTGGAAACAGATCTCTTTACAGCCTCATAGTCGAGTGCCTGCTTGGGCTCAACGAAGGCTGTGATATGCGCCTCCGGAGGGACGTAGTGATGTGAGGGCTTGGTGTTGACTAGGATTCCGGCACAGGCTACTCGTAGATCGGCCTCGACCTTTGTTGCCAGAGGGGCGCGACGTCCAGGATACGGTGAGGGCGGTGGACTCTGTAGAGAGTTGGTAGTGGGTATACGATCATCCGCCTTGTGCGGGCCAATCTTGAAGCGCCTGTCAGCCGATGTTTGCCGCATCTATGTGCAGGTGAGAGGCCTACCAGATGGGCTAGACCCAGAGCCAGCTTCTTTCCCTTCATGGTCGTCTTGAATAGAGAGTGAGTGGGGGAGGGGAGAAGGGGTTGGAACAGAGTGGTGAGATGTCAATTAATTGGGCATGTAGCATCCAAAGTCAGTCTTGTACGGCAACAACCAACATCAGCCGCAGCTCGTGGCTAAGGGAGCAGGAGCAAAAGCAAGAGCAGGAGCGATTGCCGTGGCTTCTCTGCGCGACCAGTCCAAGCACCAAACTGTCAGAGACATACTTCTAGTTTCAAGGCCCTTGTGTGATACTCTTGCTGATGCGTAGAACCACCCGTCGCATGCCCTTCCAGACTTCTGCCAAATTGCGAAATTGTCGTCGAGAGAGCCAGTCCGACGCGCCTTCCGCGGATCATTGACCCGACCCACGCTCCTTCCGTGTTTCAGCCTCGTACTCTGAATCACTCAGCGCCTGCCGTTCCTGACACGAGTCTCACTCTGACACGCAGAGCTGCCAGTCGACCTAGCATCTCTCGACAACTTGAAATACATCCATAGCCCCTGGCGACCATCATGTTGCGACTTCATTGCACGCCGATTCCTCTCACCAAACATCTAGCTACCCATCATGTATCACCGTTACACCTTTCTTTTTACCGACGATAAGATTGCAACCGTCAGAGCTCGGTCGTCGGAACCAGCCTTGCACCAAAACAGTGGCTGCTGATGCACCCCACTCACCCGGCCACACAGGCGAGCTTTAATATATTTTGCTGGACCTCCATCTCGCCAAACCACAAGGAGATTTGATTCTGTTCTTCTTCCACGAATCATCTGACCTTACTTGCGTCTACCAAGACATGACTCTGAATCCTCATTGCAAAGGTGACTTTGGCTTCAATATTTCGGCCAATGCTAGCCTGCCCTCCCGGTGAATGGACGGGCTTCATGACCATCGGCCATCGGCTGAAAAGTGCTCGTCATGAGGTTGGGAGTCTCGATCTTTTCTTCACCCTCTTTCCACCGAACACGCGACTGTCTGCTCGTGCAATTGCTCGTTTAACAAGCGATCAAGCCACTCATCGGTGAAGACAGCAAAGTCTCTTTGTTGTGTCCTGATTTTCGATCACCATTCTCAACAGTATTGTCTTGGTAGGTCTTTGGATGATCGAGACGATCGGTTGCTAGACTATGCCTATCCACTATGCGCCTTCAAGATTGTCCAGCAATATTCTCACTTTGAACGTCGTCAGCCTTTGTTGATGCTATGCCATGTGTATGCTGTGTCACCAAGAGGCTGTCATACCCTGACAACATGTCCTGCACCCGTGCCTGTCTAAACACAAGCTCCTACATTTCCTCTACCCATGCTTATCATCCCAAAATCTCACCGCTCCAAGCACCCAGCCATCCACTTGAACCCAGCCATGATCCCGAAAGTTCCCATCACCCACAAAGGCAACACGAAAGGCACAATCGCCCTGTGCAACGGCACCTGCAACATCAACCCCATAACCAATCCCACAATCATCTGCACCTCCACCCAAAACGCCGCCTTATATCCTCCTCCCTCCTCACAAATTTCTCTTCTCCCAAACTTCAACTGTAACCCAATGCAAACCAAAAGTCCAATGACCAAAAATGCAAGAAAACAAATCCCAAAAACGTCCACCCAGAAATATGGATGAAAATGATTCAAGCTCAGAGACACAGAGCCAAATCTCGTCCCAATACTACTCATCTTCCTCCTCTTTCCTGCATCTCCAGCACCAGCTTCTTCATCCCCGCAATCATTGACATAAGTGAGTACCCTACTCAACCTCTCCCTTTGCTCACCTCCTGCATCCACAACTTGCACAATCCCCTCTGCCTCTTCTCCTTCCCCATCCCCAACCAACCCCAACTCAGCAGCAGCAATTTGTCCCAATTCCGCAGCTTCATAGTCCCTGATTCTCTCATGCCAGAGATCAATTTCTATACAATCTATTCTGCTCAAGACATGGGCTTCTAGATCTTGCTCTGGGATGTTGGAGGTTGGGGTCAAGGCTTCAGAGTCGAGACGGGCTTGTTCGAGGATGGCGATGCGGTGGGGATGAAGGGCGAGGATTTGATGTAGAGAGGTGGATGCTGTGGATGTTGTGGAGGGTGGTGGAGGCTGTTCGTGGGGGAGGAGGCAGGTTGTTTCGTCGTAGGCGGTTGTGGTTGTCGAGGTTGTCGGGGTTCGTCGGACGGTGGGTGGTGTGTTGGAGCTGTTTTTGCTTGCTTTGCTGGTTGGGGAAGAGTGGTATGGTGGCATTGTGGCGTTGGTAGGTCAGACCTTGACGCTTATCTGTATGTCGTCGATGTCGATGTGGAGTGTCGTCGCTATTGATGATGATGTTTGGGAGTACCGTGTGTCGATGCTCGTAGTATGATTCACTGCAATCAATTCCTCTCAATGAGCATGCTACGGCCATGGAAGTTATATGTCGCTCGCTTCCATCGCGATGCCTTCTCGTTGATTCCACTTGTGTTATCATCCTGACCTCAGCTCCACGTGCTCTTTCCTATATACACTCCCATCATCTAAACTCTCTTCCAAAGCTCACCAATCGTCGGCCGGAAAACTAACGAACACACACTTGGCACAATCACATGGTCTTTTTGGATACCTCTTAAGCGGTTCTCTGTGTAGATCATGAGAGTCTTTGTATTCGTGTCATTTCTTTCGAATTCTCTCCCACACCCTCGATACTATCTAGTATAGCAAAAGGAGTAAAAGCAAGCCATTGTTGATGCCACGATCCATGATACTCCTACTATTGTGTAATTGCGTAATTGCTTTTTGGACCACCTGCCGACCAAGGGATATAATGCCGGACTCCGAAACTCCGGGTACTTGAAATTATGATGATCGTGTCGTATTGACCAGTGCCGTCGGTGCTGCTAACAAGGAAGTGGTCGTGCTCCGTGGAGAACTTTGCAGCGCGGCAACTGTTCGGACACTGCAAATAAAGAGCAGACATACGAAGCTTCCTCAGATGCTGCCGTTGGTTTGCTGGTCAGGAGCACTCCAAGCGAGCAATGGCGCAGGAGGCGGGTGGGCGTGGTATGTGGGCTGCGCAGGCAGACTGTAGTCCATCGGTACCAAAGGGCGAGGGTGGTGTTCCTCTGCAGTCGGTGCAGGCGTAGGCTCGTCTTGTGTCGACAAATTCGCAGAACTTTGTCGAGCGGCCGAGGCATTGGAGACGCCGGCAATAGGTGGTGGCTTCTCCTCGATAGGTGAGGTTTCCATCTTCGTCGACTCTTGAGGTCTCTTTCTGAGCTTCAGTTTGACAACAAGGCTTCTCTTCACACCCTCTTGGTCTAGATCCATGTCGTCCTCGTCCTCTCCATCAGCCATATCGACATCATCCTCATCGTTATCGTCATCGTCGCCTCCGTCCCACTCGTTCCCGCTGGAAGGTGCATCCTCCTCTTCGCTGTCTTCGTCCAAGCTGTTGTAGCCTCGCGACTTCCTCTTTCGGTCCTCGTGAAGCGGTGAGATTCGCGTACTGTTTCTAGTCGCTCTTCCTCCGGAAGTGTGTGACGTCTCCGAAGCGGCATAGTCTGGTGTCTCGACTTGGCCGCTGAGCAGCGACTCGCCATAAATACCAGTTCTCGCAGGGCGGACGTGGCGACCGCTGGCAGTGACGACGGGGCCCATGTCGGCAGGCGTGGAATGTCCAGAGTGTCTTCCAGAACGACGTGAGCCAGTAGCATCAGACTCATCTTCGTTGTCGGAATAGTTGTAACGGATGCGCTTGCCGCGAGTGCGGCCTTCGTAGAGGGAGAAACCAGGCTCAGGCTTTGTGAATTGTGCCTTGCGCGCTTGTCGGTACTCGCGACGTCTGCGTTTCTGAGAGGGAGTTAATGCTTGTGTAGAATGAAGCGAAATTGGGCAGATTCACCTCTTCCGATGCCTCGAAGCGTGGCACAGCAGCCTTGACCTTCTCGGCCAGGCGACGAGCGGCTTGTGTGTTGTCCTTGGTCTCGAGTTTCTCTACCAAGGCATTGACGCCATCAATTGTCTCTGCAACGCTCCACCATTGAGGGTGTTGGGTAAGGCGGTTGGCTTCACGGTATACGCGGAAGCTGGTATCCTCTTGGCCCTCGATCAGGTAATACTTTCTCTTGTCACCGTCATAGCCCCAGTGCTGAACTGACAGGGGCTGGTTGATGTCATCTTCGCGACGAGAAACCTTGTATGAGTCCTTGATGGTTTGTGAGACAACGTCAGATGATGTGAGCGACCAAATGGCGAGAGTGCGGAGGAGGTTCAAACGTTCGGCGGGCGACATGTCGGGGAAGGTTCTGCTGCCGGCGAGAGGGTTGACGCGGTTCCATGACAGCGGCCATTGGTGCTTCTGTGTTGATAGAGCTTCTTCCATTGCGCGACCATGGTGGCCGCGTCTATTCATATGTCAGTACCGTGATGGATGAGCAGCATGTTGTGCCCAATACTCACTCGACGGGCTTCTTGCGGTTCAAAACAAGCGCGAGCATGGCGCACATCAACTCTTCAACTTGCGACGACGGAGGTGACTCGGCGACACCGCTTTCAATATCTTGAGGACCAAAATGAGGTAGCTTGGGTGGGAAGGCATGGCTGAAGCGAGATCGGAACATGACAAGGAACTGTTCAATGCTACATTAGCAATGCTTGCTATGTCGCGTCGGTACGCGTCTGTGATCGGGGACACATACAGCGACATCAGGATTGTCGGCGAGGGATTCTTCGTGAGGTGGGGAGGGAGATCTCTTTGGTCGCGGCGGTGAAGGTGGAGTCGGAGGAGTAACAGGAGCCTTCTTCTTTCTGGGCGCTGCCTTCTTGCCCTTTGCCATTTTTGTAAAGATGGGAGCCAGAGTCTTTTCGTCGTCGCTCGGCGGTGCCGATGAAAGGCTGGAGGAATCCGAATCACTCATGATGCGCCGTGACTTTGTGGTTTGTCAATTGTAATCAAAGGGCCGCACGTAACAAAGTGAAGGCAGGAGCGCGTGAATGCGCGTTGGCGTACATGGGGAAACTAAACTTAATGACATCGCTCGGTCCGTGCGCTCGTCACCTCCGTCGTCCAAACTGAGATAGATATTCTCCGGGTACTCAATTGGTTTGCGACTTGACTCTGCTGTCTACATGCAAAGGCGTTGAATGTCTTTATGACTTGAATAGCATGATGATTTGGAGTTTGTCTAGTCTGCCTTGTCTATTGGACTACAAGGTGAGGGAACCATGGAGTGAAGCTCGTCTCTCTTTGACGATTGTCAAGATACCCAACTCGATCACGTTCGCCCTTAACCATGATGTTCGATCACAAGAAGCCGCCCGAGCACAGTAAATATAGCAGTCGATGGTTTGTGTAAATTGTACAGGTTACTAATGTGTTTGTGGGAGTTTATTGGAGTTTTATCGTGTAATTATCTCGGTGTGCCCACCACCCTGCTCGTCCTACCATCCGACTCATATCGCACCAGCACAGTCATGCTCCTTGCACGTCTTCCTTGTCTGTATCGTGAAGTTGTCGAAAAGGAGGTGGCGTTCTGGTTATGTTCAGCCCTCGTAAAGCTTCAGAGAAACTGCTTGGACGGGATTGGGCGGCAGCGACCAAATAATCTGCGGTCAGGACCAGCACCAAGCCTTGGAGAACTAGGAATGCCGATTTGGCAGGCGTTGGATTTGACGTATGCCGCAGAGGCATCTCAGTGATATTTTGAGAGTAAGGAGATGTGTTCGTGAGATGGGACAGAGAAGATTAGCAGCTATCCTCACGGCAGACGAGCAGCATACGAGTGAGATGGAGCTGAGTTGGTGGTGCGGAGGTCGATGGCTATTATTACGACAGGCTTGGCAGGGTTTAGCGGAGCAATGCGACTCTGATTGGCTGGGTGGCACCTCCTGAATGGCGAGGAAGTCGCAACCGCTGTGGCAGTTTGAAGCGTGCAGGTGCTTGCTACGAGTACGTGCAACGCTTCAGAAGGAAGGTAGGCCAGCTTACACAGCCCAGTATTGCTATTTTCTATCTCCTCGCCAGACACCGGCACGTCGTGACAAGAGCATTCATGTCTTCGTGACAGCCTTCGCATCGCCATTGATCTTCTATTCCGTACGCTTTGGTCGCATCGTCACTGTCCAAGTAGCCTTACCGCCGTCTGCCGAATGGTCGCATCTGCCTCGCTCACCCCGTATTGACCCGCGACCCTCCCCTCGACCGCGAACCCCTCGACGTGACTATCAGCGAACGCGCGCATTGTCGACACACCTGTTCAGTAGTCATGGCCGGGAGACCTCATGGTCAGGCGTCTCCGTCTGCCAATTCGGACCTCCTGCTGGACTTGGACGACCAGCCCATCTACAATTCTGGCAAGCCCCCGCCTACCGATGACGACCACCTGCTCCTCCACCACAACATTGATGCCTCTGATGCTCCGAGAGCCTCGACCTCTTATGACGACTTCGTGGGTTCCTCTTCGACAGCTGGTCTGCCTGGAGGTCCTGGTGCTCCGGCAACGACTGGCTTGCACATCCCCATGCACGACACTATAGGAAGACAATATTCCCAGACCTCCGAGCTGAACAACTACCAGAGATACTCCGACCTCGACGATCTTCCAGATGACTCCAACTACTACGCGTCAGGAGGAGGCGTGGACGAGGACAACATGCCAGGTCTGCATGAATCACGCTTCACCAGTCACGGACGTAATAGAAACAGCATAATGGGCATTGGAGGAAGCATCGTGGACCGCGCCAAGAATATATTTGGTGCCAACGCTGGTGGCTATTCAGAAATGGATCTGCCCTTGACCGAAGCTGGTGCTCGTTCTTCTCACATTGCATCCGGAGGTGTTGATGCTCTTCCGTCTGCACCACCACCAGCAAAGCGCACACCAGGAGCAAAGTTCAAGTTTGGCCTTGGTAGATCAGGCCCGGATCCTAACGCCGCTGGTCCTCGTATTATCCATCTCAACAACCCTCCAGCGAACGCCGCCAACAAGTACGTGGACAACCATGTCTCCACGTCCAAGTACAACTTTGCATCTTTCCTGCCAAAGTTCTTGTTTGAGCAATTCTCAAAGTACGCCAACTTGTTCTTCTTGTTCACTGCCATTCTGCAACAGATTCCCGGTGTTTCTCCCACAAGTAGATACACCACAATAGTGCCACTGGGCATTGTCCTTTTGGTGTCTGCTGGTAAAGAGATGGTTGAAGACTCGCGCAGAAAGTCCCAGGACAAACAGCTCAACACCTCCAAGGCCCGCGTCTTGCGGGGCTCGAGTTTCCAGGACAGCAACTGGATCAACATAGCAGTTGGAGATGTTGTCCGTGTAGAGTCTGAAGAACCGTTCCCCGCCGATCTCGTGCTTGTGGCCAGTTCCGAGCCAGAAGGTCTTTGCTACATTGAAACGGCAAACCTTGATGGTGAAACAAACTTGAAAATCAAACAAGCCATACCAGAGACTGCCAACCTTGTTAGTCCTGCCGATATCAGCAGACTCGGTGGCAGGATCCGTTCTGAGCCTCCCAACAGTAGTCTGTACACATACGAGGCTACCATGACCATGCAATCAGGCGGAGGCGAGAAGGAGTTGCCTTTGAATCCTGAGCAACTCCTCTTGCGTGGTGCTACTCTACGAAACACGCCTTGGGTGCATGGCATCGTCGTGTTTACTGGACATGAGACAAAACTCATGCGCAACGCCACGGCCACTCCGATCAAGAAGACCGCTGTAGAGCGCCTAGTCAACTTGCAGATTCTCATGCTCGGTGGTATCCTGGTGACCCTTAGTATCATCAGTTCCATCGGCGACCTTACCATGCGAGCCACCTCTGGCAAGAAGATGTGGTACCTAGCCTATACTCCAGTCAATGGTGGAAAACAGTTCTTCAGTGATTTCTTCACCAACTGGGTTTTGTACTCAAACTTGGTACCCATTTCGCTCTTCGTCACGATTGAAATTATCAAATACTGGCAAGCCATTCTCATCAGCTCGGACCTTGACATCTACTACGACAAGACGGACACACCTGCTAATTGCAGAACGTCTTCACTTGTCGAAGAACTGGGCCAAGTTGAGTACATCTTTTCCGACAAGACAGGCACTCTGACCTGCAATATGATGGAGTTCAGACAAAGTTCTATCGCAGGAATACAATACGCCGACGAAGTTCCTGAAGACAGAAGGGCAACTGGAGAAGATGGTGATATGGGCATATTCGACTTCACTCGCCTGGAACACAATAGAAGGAATCATCCATCTGCTGAGATCATCAACCAGTTCCTGACCCTACTCTCCACCTGTCATACAGTTATCCCTGAGACAAATGCAGAGAAAGGAGGCAAGATCAAGTATCAAGCGGCTTCGCCAGACGAGGGTGCCTTGGTCGAGGGCGCTGTCACGCTCGGATACAAGTTCGTTGCACGCAAACCACGTTCAGTCATGATCGAGGTGCAAGGTGTTCAGTCTGAGTTTGAGCTGCTGGCCGTCTGTGAGTTCAACTCGACCAGGAAACGCATGTCAACGATCTTCAGATGCCCTGATGGTAAGATCAGGTGCTACTGCAAAGGCGCTGATACCGTCATCTTGGAACGCCTGGGCGGTGACAATCCCTTTGTCGAAGCTACTTTGCAGCATCTTGAGGAGTACGCCGCAGAAGGACTAAGAACGTTGTGTCTCGCCATGCGCGAAGTTCCGGAAGAGGAGTTCAGGGAGTGGCAGCGAGTCTACAGCGAAGCTGCTACCACAGTTGGCGGTAACCGAGCTGATGAGATGGATAAGGCAGCTGAGCTCATCGAGCACGACTTTACGCTCCTTGGTGCTACAGCGATTGAAGACAAACTACAGGATGGCGTACCGGACACAATCCATACATTGCAGACTGCTGGGATCAAAATCTGGGTCCTAACAGGAGACAGACAAGAGACCGCGATCAACATTGGCATGAGTTGCAAGCTTATCAGCGAGGATATGACTCTTCTGATCGTCAACGAGGACAATGCAGCCGCCACTCGGGACAACTTACAGAAGAAGCTAACCGCTGTGCAGAGCCAGTTCCAGACTGGCATAACAATTGATACTCTGGCACTTGTCATTGACGGCAAGTCTCTTACATTCGCACTTGAAAAAGAGATGGAGAAGCTCTTCTTGGACTTGGCTGTAGTCTGTAAAGCTGTGATTTGCTGGTATGTGCCGTCTGTTTCGTCCATTACGAACATCTGCTGATCAAGTATAGTCGTGTCTCGCCATTACAAAAAGCCCTTGTCGTCAAGCTTGTCAAGCGTCACAAGAAAGCCATCCTCCTAGCAATTGGCGATGGTGCCAATGATGTCTCCATGATCCAAGCCGCACATATCGGTATTGGTATCTCAGGTGTCGAAGGTCTTCAGGCCGCACGATCAGCCGACGTTTCCATTGCGCAGTTCCGATACCTTCGCAAGTTGTTACTCGTCCATGGAGCCTGGTCATACCAAAGAATCTCCAAGATGATCCTATACTTCTACTACAAGAACACCGCACTTTTCATGACCCAGTTCTGGTACTCGTTCCAAAACGGCTTCTCCGGAGAAGTCATCTTCGAATCCTGGACGATGAGTTTCTACAACGTTCTGTTCACCGTCATGCCACCATTCGTCCTCGGTATCTTTGATCAGTACGTCTCAGCTCGTTTGCTCGATCGATACCCTCAACTCTACCAACTCAGTCAAAAGGGTGTGTTTTTCAGGATGCATTCCTTCTTCAGCTGGGTAGCAAACGGATTCTATCATTCTCTCATCCTGTATTTTGTCTCTGAGCTCATCTGGCTGTACGATTTACCACAGAGCGATGGTAAGATTGCTGGCCACTGGGTATGGGGAACTGCTCTCTACACAGCAGGTCTTATCACCACGCTTGGAAAAGCAGCACTCATCACAAACCTCTGGACCAAGTATACTGTGATTGCCATTCCTGGCAGTCTTGTGGTCTGGTTCATCTTCTTGCCTATCTATGCAACGGTCGCACCCAAACTCGGATTCAGCATGGAGTATGCTGGTGTGGTGCCAAGACTGTTCCCCAGTCTCGCCTTCTGGCTAACAATCATCGTTACGCCAGTCCTTTGTCTACTTAGAGACTACGCCTGGAAGTATGCCAAGCGCATGTATTACCCTCAGGCATACCATCACGTCCAGGAAATCCAGAAGTACAACATTCAGGATTACCGGCCAAGGTACGTGCAATATTGTCATTGCTTTGTAGACTCGAGATCACTAACAAGACAACAGGATGGAGCAATTTCAGAAGGCTATTCGCAAGGTCCGCCAAGTGCAGCGCATGCGAAAACAGCGTGGTTACGCGTTTTCGCAAACCGACGAATCGCAGGCCAGAGTCTTACAGGCTTATGATACTACGAGAGAAAGAGGTAGATATGGCGAGATGGCGAGTAGCAGAAATTAAGGCAGCAGGTTTGTGTTTATATGCATGTATGGGATATGACAAGCTCTCTCTCTTCCATCGGCGTTCCGATACTGGAAATCACTGTGCCTTCTTACAGCGACGTTTTCCGGAGAGCAGCTGCAGCTGGGATCACAGCATTTCTGAACTTGTCGGCAACCCCCTCGTTGGCGCAATGGCTCTCCAGATTTGATCTCCAGCCCCAAATAGGGCTGTAAAAAGGCAGGAACAAATTTGAAATGATCGTAGTTGTCCGTGGAGAACAGCATTTTTTCGTCTCTCAGCGGAGGATGCAACGATTTTGAAAATGACTGTGCATTTTTACAGGATCACGAGGGAGTAGCCACTGCACTTGGGAGACGCTAGCCCCTGTTTTCGTTCAGACAGGGTACGTTCAGAAACAGAGTTCTCCAGCATCAAGCATCACGTTCTAATTGGGCTGTAAAAAGGCAGAAACAAATTTGGAACGATCGTCGTTGTCTGTGGAGAACAACAATTTCTCGTCTCTCAGCGTAGGTTGCACCGATTTTGAAAAAAACTGTGCATTTTACAGGAGCTTGGAGTGTGCAGCACCTGCTTCTGGGAGATCAAGTTCGTTCCAGGGGTTCATGGACCTGATTAAATCTAGGAGATTCACTTTTTTCTGATCGCATGGTTCACTCGAATATACTCTGGACTCACTAATATGTTCACTTCTCGACTCACTTGAACACTGACTTACTGGCACGTTCACTCTCGACTCACAATGTATATCACTTGGTATGAAATTATGCTAATGCATCTCACTACGAGGAACTATCAGCAACGCTCTCGTCGACTAGCTGCGGAGTTATATTGCCTCCTTAGTTGCTGGAAGTACGGCTCCAATTCATTTACATTACCCTTCCGTCTCACCACGCGCGTGTCACGGATCCCGTCCTCGCCAGTGACTCTCCCACCTGCCTCATCATCATCGGAACTCGCTCCGACGCCTTTCGCGCGACATTCTGGAAGGGACCCCGCTCTTAACCACTTCATCGTCACTCGACACACTGCCCAACGCGACTTACTGCGGGATTTCCGCCGGGATCTTGTCGTGCTCGACGTATTAAAAAACTCGATACAACCTCGACGTATTTCATAACTCGATTACGACCTCGACGCCTACTCTTGGACATCCTCTTCGTACAGTTCGAATATCACGACAACAAAATTACGAAAAACCTTCTTCTCTTCCAACATGATTGAGAGATCGTCAAGTCGTAAGCGTAACAGTGTGTATTTGGGAAATGTTGGGGCAGGCCCAAAGAAAAAGGTTCGTTTCGTTACGCCAGAAAAACCCGTCTCTGGTCTAGGACAGTCAATTTTAAGTCGTCCACCCTTCGAGGAAGAGAGTGACAACGACGAGGTCAATACCCCTGTCACAACTCCCAACATCCCCAATCCTCAATCTTTACCCCGATCAACGTCGGAGACAACGTCAGTCCGTGTCATACCAAGGCAGGAACAAATGCAGGCAGACAACAACATACGAACCTCGAGCCCTGATAAGGTCAAGCATGTGGACAACCTGGTTTATAAGCTTGAGAAAGAACAAGAGAAAGCCCGGAAGCAAGTCCAACAACAAGAGAACGATTGGAAACAAGCACAGCATCAAGCCAAGTACAACTCTCCATCGCGCGGGACTGAGGAGCCTATTACCTTTGTAAAAAATCGGCACCTTCTTCGATCTCTGAGAGCGCCTGAAACTCCTACCAAACAGCCACGCAAGCCATCAAAATTCCAAGAGGATTTGGACAATCCACCAGAGTCTGCCTCTCAGCTCTCCAACGCTCCTATACTTACACCAGTTCCGACTTACAGTCTCGCGGCCTCTACTCCCGTCGCTTGGACAGATCTCATGGCACTTGGCTTTACTGAGGAGCATGTGAAGAACTTTGAGCCCAATGATCTGGACAACAAAGTGTGGGATTATCTGCACAGAAATCCGCCTATGGAATGGGCGACAGTCAAAAAGATACTCGACTATTCGGGGATGGCATACGTCCTCGAGACCTTGAAGACCAGGCAGCTATTACTTGGAGCCCAACTTTCTCTCACGAAAGGAAAGAGCCAGGTACCAGCAGAAACATCTCCTGTGGGACAGCCACAGCCACAGCCACAAATACAGCCGCTGCAGCAGACTGAGGTCAACAACAGCCAGCCTCCCAGACCAGCCAAAACAACAGCGGCTGCACCTGTTCCTCAACCACGACCACCCCAAGCTCTCGGCCGGGTGACTGATGCTAAGATTCTAGCCGATACACTGGAGCAAGAACGCCTCACCTGGTCCATCAAAGCAGCAGAATCTCAGCAACGTATCAAAGCCCTCGAAGAAGAAGCCGCCGCAGAAAAGCTCCGAATCCAAGAACAAGAACAGCAACTACAGCTTAAGGCTGAAGTCGTCGACAAGTACCAGAAGTTAAGGGAAGAGCACCAAACACAGAAGGAGAGTCTCAAGGACGAACGTCTACAGCGCAAGAAGGCCGAGAACGATGCAAAGAAAGCCCAGAACGACCTCGCTAGACGAGCTCTTGTACAAGCCGGTTCAGGCAGAAAACACGCCAAAGCTACGAATCTTGGGTTTGCATTTCCTCTAGAGGAGGGAGATGAAGAGGATGAAACAGTGCAGAAGAAAGCTTCTACCAAACGCAGGGCGACGAAATCAACTACAAACGCCGATCTTCGAGTAGACGGGCATCCGACGACGGCAGGGAAATCGTTGCCTCCAGCTGCCATTCAAGCTCTCTACAAGCATCTTGGTAACTGTAAAGACGAGGACGAGGCGGAAGAGCACACGCAGCCAGAACCGATCCAGGAGAAAGACCTTATCCATTTTGTGTACACGGTTTATCGCAAACAGTGGCTCAAAGGAGAGCAAGAGCCAGACGACGACGATAGTGACACACTCGCCTGTGGCACTTACACCCATCTCAACGAAGCCAATGCAGAAGTCACCAACGAAATCCTGCGTCCTCATGGCACGTCCATTATCAGAATCGATCCTTTGCAAGACAGAACTCTGCACCAAGGAGTAGGCAACTATAACATGGCATGGGCACAGATAGATGTACCTACTGGCTCCGTCAAGGTCTGGGTTGAGAGGCAACTGCACACAGAATATAAAGGCGAGCTTCCACTCTTCGAGGCCAGAGGTCTACTCTCCAAGATTGTGTTTGCAGTCAGACAGGAAATCTCGACTGCAGATACGGAAACTGCGCCGGTTATTGAGGAGGACGAGGAGATTTATACCACATTCGACTTGGCGAACAACAAGGCTTCTGAGAAAGTCTTCAAGATGCAGTGGCCAGACACGCAATCTCTGCGCATGGACGATGTTCTCGCCAGAGAAAAGGCGAATCAGGCCAGAAAGGAGATGTTGGAGGACTTGGAAGACAACGGAAAGTGGTTCTCTGAAGAACTCAGCAGGGACGACGGAAGCAAGATCAAAGTCCTCATCGTGCAAAAGACCGTGGTTGGACCCAGAAATTGAAGGGGGGGGGGGGGGGGGGGTTGAATTGAACATCGGTGAGGATCGAATGAGATCCGAGTGGATTGGGGAGATGCGATGTTGATGCTGCTTTTTGATTTGATTGCAGACGAGCAGGATCCATTTACTTTGGCCTATCTGGCTCTTTTGATCCTTTTTGATACTGTACACTAATTTACAAGAAAAATTGCGACATACCTGATGTCTTCTATACGCCTCTCTCACCGCTGTCAACCGAAGTGATCCGAATATGGCAACTCACGTATATGTCGGGCAAGCAAACAGAGAGCACCAGCCTTCCATCCAATGTCTGCACGTCCTGGATGGTTCTTTGGGTCGAGGTCATGGCTTGTCATGATGTCCCTTGCTCTTATTGCTACTGCACCAATCAAGGCGCCTTGGTCTTCAACTGCACGCCATGCCAGCCCTTGATCTCGTCCTTGAGCACAGCATTGACGAGACGATGTTGCTTAATCACCGACAAGCCCTTGAACTTTGCCGACACGATATCCAAAGCATACATGCTACCACACCCACCACTAACATCTTGAACCTATAATTTCCAAACCATCTCATCAGTAACTTTGCTCTTTCCCCCATTGACACCTGACAGTAAAAACAAAAACATCTTCTCCATACCTCTAATTTTGTGGGCTCTAATTCAGCCTTGAGCTTTGTGAAGATGTGCAATTCCTTCTCGTCTAGGTAGTCGGGGGCTTCGACTGCGGATTCCTCGCCGGCTTCTGAAGAGTTCCAGCGGCGGGAAGTTGGTGTGATGGTCAAGGTGGGTAGTGTGTGTGTTGCGACGGGGCGGGAGAAGGAGAGGTGATGCAATTGTCGCGATGCGGCAGAGGCCAATGTGCGGGTCGCGGGGGCGGAGGATCTGAGGGCGGCGAGTGCGGTGGACGCGCTTCGGAAGACTGCTCTTGATGGTGCCATTTTGGTGTGTTGTGTGTGTGTAAGAGACGAAGGGTTCTCGAGATGGGCGGTAGAGACGTCAAGGTGATTTTGGTCATGGATTCATGGTTTGAGCCATTGGTCAGCGGGATGCCAGCCCCGCATTTCGACCATAGATGATCGCGTCTTGCTCTTCTATGCTTCACTGCACGATTGTCTGATTCACAAAGGAGACAGAGTACTGATCATCATGGAGAGATATATCGTCCAGTTGACTGCTCCTACCGGAAACACTGCAGAGTCCACTGCCTTTGCACAACCACCCCAATTAGCCGGCACGAAACGCAAATCTACAGATGCCTCGGACCTTCCAACCATTGACCTTGATGACTATGATATCCCTGATGGTCAGGCAATGGACTCCTGCACAGTAGTCCGTGGCAAGATAAACCGTTTCCTCGAAGTCGGCGAGATGAAAGTGGGACAGTTCTGTGATGCTATTGGAGTTTCGGGAAATGCGTACAGAAGGTTCATGGCTCAGAATGGCAAGTTTGCAGGTGCTGGCTGTGATACTTATCAGAGTGCATGGCTATTTTTCAAGAAGAGGGAGATGGCCGGCTTGCAGATTCCAACAAAGAAGCAGAAGACTGCTGCTGCTAATTCTGCTACGGCTAAGTCTGGTGCTGCAACTTCGGCTTCTAGTGGAAAGAAGGATGCTGTGACTGATATAAGCTCCATTCATCTTGACGGTAATGACAGCTTATTAGACGCGGGTTTCCGAAATGGACTGACAGTAATGTGAAACAGGAGGAGAAGACGACTCGGTGGAAGTCTATGACAGCTGTGACGAGATACGCAAAAAGATAGCAGCACACCTACGCAAACCAGGTGTCACTGCTGCCCAATTTTGTCGTGACCTTCTCGCTCAATATCACGGCGAGAGGAAGCCTTCCCAAATCCAATCAGGCCAGCTGACAAAGTTCCGCGGCTACAAAGGTGCGGATACTGGCAATACTTCCTGTGTCTTCTATGCGGCCTATGTCTTTTTCGAAAAGATGAGGCTGGCAGAGGGGAAACCGAAGAGCAAGCATAGACAAGAAATGGAACGTATCTGGGCCGGAGAGGGTGGATTCGATGTGACTCGAGGTCACCACAGAGGGTATGGTGTCTTCTCTTTCCCACACACACTCCGCGGAGTTTTGGGTGTCAAATGCTAACTGCGAGTGTGATAGATACCTCTGCCTCGCTGGTGACAATCCCGTGCAGAATCAGTTCGGCCGCGTTCATATGATGCGAGGAGGTCGATAGGCGTACCTGGTATCTCGCGGCTGAGGAAAATGTCTCGTCATGCAGTTCGCTTCAGCTTGAGATCATAGCGCTGTTGATGTGGTAGGACTTGCCAACGGAACAACCAGAACGCAAAGTACTCATCGCAGTGTAAAGGAGCAGACTGTTTGTAAGAAAAAAAAGGAAAGAACGACCTAGCGTGCATCGAGGCCATCGATATTGGAAATCCAGCGAAGGCGGCCGGCAGTAGCGGCTGAAGGCCACCTTCCCGTCGATTGGCGTCAAGATACAAGTCTCAAGAGACATGGTATTTCAGCCCAGACACATTGTGGTCTGTGTCGTATACGACTTCGAACACCAGAAGCACGAAGCATTAGAGTGTCGTTTGTGGTGGACCTCAATGTCGATACGATCAACGGGAAAGCTGCACTGGCGCCTCAGGGATGACCCTCACCGCTAACAAGTCTTGGTGTCAAAAATGTAATGCCTGGAGTCTTGTCAATTGGCTCGAGTCTCTACATTCGTGGACAGCGGCTGGCGACACGAATCGCTCGCCTTGTCTTGCTAGGCGCTTTCCAGCAGAAGCGCTCAACCTGGTCAACCTACATCCTCATCATCAGTCGCTTGGGGGATCTTCCCGAGTCTTCAAGGCTTCGAAAGCACACATAGCAGTTCATGCTGACACGAATCGATCTCAGAAGCGCCTCTACATACCATCTCTCGAAGCGCTGTGCGCACACGACCAGATAACAGCAAGGAGACACCACAGCATACATGTATCACGTGCTTGCATCAGGCAAGAAGGCCCCCTCATCGTCTCACCAGTTCTTCTCATATTGTAAGTAATTCCCGTATGCACCTCTCGCCTCCGACTCGGTTCAACGCGGCACGACGTGGGAGATGTGCCCTGGCCCCCCCCCCCCCCCCCCCCCCCCCACACACACACACACACCCCGAAGAAGCACCATACTATCCCCATACTTCTCCTCACTCAATCACGCCAGGCAGAATCGTGCGTGCATGAGCGGACGTCAGCAAGACCTGCATCGACCTTGGCGCGTCTCGTTTGGCGCTGCGGAGAGAAATAATGAGGGGGCAAAAAGAGGGTCCTGTCATGGCTCGTCACAGCGTTCACCTCCTGCAGGGTTCAGCGATTGAGTATGCAACGGTGATCTGAAAGGCAAGGACGGCACTCGGCTTCTGAAAATGATTTTCAAACGAGAGAGCTTTGGTACACGAGTAGATGTCGTGGACATATGCATGGGCATCTGCACGTATGCACGCACGCAATGAGAGTCACCTCATCCGATACAATTTTCGGTGAGATGCTACACCATCTGTCCGCTTTGCTTCGCGACACACGCAAGACAATATTTTCAAAAGCGTTCAAGAAAGTGGAGCATGCATGAGAGTTAGATGAGTCGAGAATGAATGCAGATAGTCGCGTTTCCAAATTACCACACATGCCGATCTTCTATTAGTTGTGATATCCACTTTCGATCTCTTGTCTAGAAAGTCTCGACTCTTGAGCTTTGCCAGCCTCAAAACAGTTGCATCCCTCAGGCAATTGTGGTGAGCTGGACGAGACCTGCTAGCGTGATGTTTTGAGACAACTCTATTTTCCCATTGGACGCCACGAAATCTGGTGGCATGAACGCCTCCCGCTGAACTCTACATAGTCACGGTTTGCAGTTCAGCCACACCAGAGGGAAAGTTGAATGCCCGGTGGTGAGGAGGAGGATCTTCACGACTCAACATGAACGAGAGCACGGCAGGGTATGGAATATACTTTTTACTTATTGTTATACTCACCGTTGAGCAAAGTGCGCAATTCCTGCACCATTGCGTATGAGCCACGCAACCGAAGCGGCAAGGTTCGTTGGTAGTCATGAGATAGGCAGGGGCTGAGATGATAGTCAGGAGGGTTTTGAGGTCATTGAAGGCGTTCTCGACCTTTTCCTGTACCAGTGATGGGAAGGTAGCCATGCTTCACCGCTCTCTGGTCATTGCTGTTTTTTTTTGTTTTTGTCTGTTCGTCCCTTGTAGGCTGGAACCACATGTTCATGTACCCCAGCTCGAGTCTCGAGTAAGCCCACAAGTAATGTCCCGTGGAAAGGTTTGTCGCAAAGGACATGTACAACCCAGACGCGGGTGAGGGAAGCTGAGGAAGTTACACCCGACCGTGTAGCGCCCAGACCCCGGTCGCGGAGGGAGAAAAGGCACATCTCAGGATAGGTAGAGGTAAGGAGTGTAACTGCTGTATGCTCTGTCGTCGACTCTTGGGAAGGGTCCACAGCAGTCGACGGGTTCCAGAACTGACGTACGAACATGTATGCGACATTTGTGTTTTCACCGAGCCACTCTGGCCATGGTGATCAATTGTTTGATAGCATGTCTGCAAAGAGCTGTGGTTGGAGGACTTGCTCCGCGGTTGAGCCAACCGATAACCACGCCTACTTCCTCTTTGAGCATTTGCATAGTTTGTGGCAGAAACGAGTTACGGAGTACAAACTCTGGTGATGAGGTCAAGGGTCATGGCTTTTTCACTTCAAATCATGGTGATCATGTGCAGAGAATGTGCATGTTGATCATGTCTTGCTTTTCAGTAAAAGTCTGAAACTGGCAAACTCAGGAGAAGGGGTTCAGAGGACCATGGGCGGAGACCACTCCTCCTCCTCATCCTCCTCAACCTCCACACAAGCACGAGACAAGTTGCCCACAGCTGTCGGGGTCTCCGCGTCCCCATCACTCCACTCATTGCTGCAATCGGTCCGAAGGTAGGAACGAAATCACCGCCGAAATGTGGATATTACCGAATCCTTCGGCCTTGACGTTGAGAGTCTGGAGTGCGTGTGTGGGATGTGCTAAAGCTTCAGAGCTTTTTCATGCAAAGTTCGACGAACCCCATGCTTCAATAAACATGTTCGGAGAATGGACCAACTTTCTCCACGGATGACATGACTCTTTAGCCGCAGAGGATTGACGCGTTACAGGAATAGAAAGGCAGATGTGAGAGGGCTCAGGGAGGATCCGTAGAGAATTGCCCGAGTTCGGAAGGTCCGACAATACTTACAAAAGATACCTGCGGAGGAGTGCGGGGATCTCCCGTGCGACGAGACATCTCATGTTTCCAAACCTGTCGTGTCCAGCACATCATGTCGTGCTAAGCTGGCCTTATGGTCCATGTCCTTCATTCGCCACCCAGTCGCAAGCAATCAATCTCGTCTCCGAGATGTCGTGACGACAAGATGTTGTATGGGAAGGATTGAGCCAAGCCTACCAATCCCCCGCTCCTCGAAGAAGGCAATCTAGTGCCAGTTGCTGAGTGGAGCGAACGAGACAAGGTCTCTGCTGCACTCCGCGATGCTGTGCAGTTCGCTCACGTACGTCGAATTATGTCGTCTTGTCCTTATCTGTGAGACATGGTGTGATAGCAGCCAAGGGAACGGGCGTAGTCCAGCACCATCTTGACTCTTGATGAGTCCTCTCGGTCACGACATCATCCTCCAGGAGCAGAGGCTGCACTCGTGGCTCGAGCCCATTGAAATTGGTACATGTCAAAGACGTGCATACAGAATATACGATTGTAGACCCTCCATGTCTGCTGCAAGCCAACGAAGTCAACGGTACTCGCTGCGAAGGGTAATGTACACATGTACCGCTCGAGGTGAGCCGCGACGCTGTTCCTATTCGAGAATGAGTTCGTGTGTAGCCAATGGTCGAGAGATGCATCGTTGCTGTGTCGATGGAAATGTCTTAACCCAAATCAGACCACATTAAAGACACACCCTTGTATTTTCAGCAGAGCCCCAATATGCCACCGCAAACATTAATTGATTCCATGCATGGATGGTGCTTTTGTTCTCGTAAGATGCAAGGCAAGCGTTGTTGAGATATTGTGAGGTGAGCACGGATTTTGAGTGAGGAAACGCCTCTGCTCACCAACGCTTATTCAACCCCCAGACATCCTGCAAGGTGGTGTGGCTTGTGTGGAGGAAGTTGTTGAAAGAACAGCCGCCAGATTTGCTGAACGTAAGCGGCGCGACTATGTGTGCCGCGCTAAAGCTGACCAACCAATTTGTGAATTCGGTCGGAGCCGCAAGCCGTGGAATTTTATGAGCTGCTGTCTGTGTGCCGGTCGGGACTTTTAATGCGAAATCCGAATGGCCCAGAAAGTTTTTACGTCAAGACCCGCTGCATACAGCTGATGCTGGTAGCGCGTCGTCAGTGAAATGTGTAAGTCGTACCGACCGGTCAGAGCAGCCTTCCTTGTCCCTCGATAGGCGGTATCGTTCGTGTTGCGCGCTTGATAGATAGCGGAGCACGGAAAGCGTTTGTGGTGAGAATGTGAGAGGTGGGAAAAAGAGATTCGTTGAAGCGTTAGTACGAGCTGGGTGCTATAAGCATCGTTGAAAAATCCGGGCAAGTCTGCGATTGATGTGCTTCGCGTTTCATCAATCGCGATTGCCTGGAGGGCTGCTTACAAAATAATTTGCGCTTTGACCGCGTACTACGCCAGAACTGTCACTGTTGTCCTACATAAGCGTGCGTGCTATCTCGGCTCTGCTTGACCACAATATCTCCCCAAGGACCTGGGGAACTCGGAATAATTGTTCAAGTACTATGTCATCGTCTCGTCGGACGCCAGTCTATGCTTGACCCGGTATTAGCGCTTGGAAAATGTCTTCCAGTGTGATTGCAGAGGCGTGTGGTATCGAAAGTATTCATGGCCGAGGAGATGGTCGATACGTGGATCATAGTGAAGCATCAGTAGCCAAGACCAGATCTTCTGAGCATGGAACTCTGTATAAGAAACCCTTTTGGTCGCTCGCGTAGATTGTCTGGTCTCACGACAGCGAGGCGCGACAGAATGTCGCTGGTCGGTCGAACAGCATGAGCCCTCGAGATGATGAAACGGCAATGACGCTTCGCTCAGCTACCTTGCGCCGCTAGGTGGAGATGGCCGTTTTTAGAGCCTCCTTTTTCTTCCAAGAACGAGAGCGCTGTAAGAGAGTTGTTGCGTCAAAGCTATCCATAGGACGACAGCGTCATTGCTTACAGGCAAGACCACGCACTGATGCCGACAAGCAAGATCGTGCACGCAATGCAGTGGATCTAATGACAATCTTTGCACTTCCACATGGTGACATATCGATGGCAGAATTTTACCATCGCGATTTACAAGAAGCGATCGAAGATATAGTGGGCCGCTGTCGTAGCACACGTACTCACCTCTACACCTCGTTTTCTTGTCTCACATATTTTATCTAGGTCCCCTGCTACAGCGAGACGCCAGCCAGAATCTAGTGCAATGCTCATGCGGAGGTGAAGTGTCAATTTCCTGGGCGCAGCGGAGATGTGGGCATGAAGGAGAAGAAGGACCGGTTCTTGCTGACTACTGGGTCAGACACGCACCAGGGCACCTTCCACTTGGTAGTCTTGACTTGATGCACCGGCCCGAGCTTGCCGCTACGCACAAATCAAGAGTCAAAAAAAATCAATGAGGAATGTGGACGTTCGGGGACGATCTGGAGAAAGTCAGTCGGGCCCCGGAATAGCAAAACGCTTGGTTCTCCAGAGAAACCGCGTTCGTGCCAGTGATAAGAGACGTCGTTGCAATCGCTGATGGCCGGCGGTAGTGGTGGTTTGTAACAGAGCCGAGAGATGAGCTTTTCCAATAGGTGGTGTCACTGTCAGCAGACATGTAGCAAGACAACATGATAGCAGGCATGTAGGAGTCAGCATCGCAACGGAGACAACGAGACAACGACACAGCACGGCCGCTTTGTCCTCGGAAGCACGGGCATAGCTGTCACTAGCCACAGACACTTGGGCGCTTCTGGCTAGACCTGCCGCCGCCATACCACAAAAGACGTGACGAGCGTTCGGAAACGGCCACGACCGCGCAGACCTGATTCCCGCAGAGATCGACAAATCGTCAACATCATCGGCAGGTGGTTTGGATTTTGATGCTGAATTCAGGTGTTTCTTGCATGGCGTGCAGAAAAAGTTGGAGGGGTCAAGGGAAAATAGGCAGCCAAGTATTCGGATACGGCACTCATCTCTCCTGACACCAAGATTCCTCGAATGCATGACAACCGCTGAGAGATCGTGGATAGTGGGCAAAAAGTACAGAGATATGATACCTCAGTAGTACCAAGCCTGCGCGTAACGTGTGGTCGAGTACTTTGTCTGTGCCTGAGTTCGAGCCAGGGGGTTCCTTTGTTTCTGGTGTATTGTCCGGGCTGCCCCTCGATTTGGTACGGTCGCTGCTGTTGCCGTTGCGCCCGTCGCCGGCCAGCCCAGAACAGCAAGCTGCTGCAAGTCGCTGCTCACTACGATCCCCAACCCGCTGCAGGCGGAAAGCTGTTAGAGCCAATCCTCGCTTGTCAAACCTTGTCCCGGCTCCCTGTTCCTGGTCGTGCATGGGGTCGAAGCCACACTTGAATCCTGCCGCTTCCGTATGTGATTCGCGCCCGCACCCGCTTCAACCCTTCAACGACCCTCAACCAACCGCACCACCAGTTAACTGCCCACACTTCCCCAATCGACCTGGGGCTTGGGTTCCTTGCTTTTTATCACTGCCTGTTCCCGCATCGATTTTTCCTCCTCCCGGTTGTGTCTTGACCATCTGTTGTTTGCTCGACTTTATTGCGTTGTTGCGTCTCGAGCTTTTCCTTTTATCTATCGTCATAGCATCACTCCATTCCACGGCAGTGACGACGCACCTCTAGGTTGGAACATACCAAGAAGCCGCGACTCCCGCTTTCGGTTTGACCAGGAATTGCTGTGCCTTTCCTCACTCACCAGGCTCTAGCATATTTGCCCGTGACGGTGCGGCTTTGACTAGCTGATATCGCAATACAATCACCAACCCTACACATCCTCCCTACTCTACTACCAATCCTCTCCACCTTCTCACCAGCCTCATCAATTATCTTTCCGTAAGTATCCGGCGGAACAGCCAAAGGCTATTTCCCCCCACGTGCCCGTCTGACAAGCAATCCCAGTGTTGTGCAGTTCTGATGCTTGCCGGCCTCTAAAGTCTACACATCCCTCTCCCTCTGGTATTCTCGACACAACACACAGGAATGCCTTATACACCGCCGTCCCACCAGTCGCCCGCCTCGTCCAGGACGACGAGCCCGGTCATGAGCCGCTCATCCTCATTCAGTGCCCAGGCCGAGGCCTCCGGAACACGCTCTCCTGCCTCACCCAGACCGGCACTCCCCCGCTCTGTATCTTCGACAACTTACCTGAACAAGCAACGGCGTGGTCCTTCAATCTCACAACAACTGGAATCAGCTGGCCTGCCGCAATCCCCCGTCGACGACGACTTGGCCACCGTCCGCCAAGTTGAGGGTGTCATCTCTAACAACGGTAGCATCCGCCAGTCACCTTCTCCTGTGAACAATCTATTGATTCCGACAGGTGCCATCTTGTCACCCCCTGACTCCTCCGAGAACTCGGACGGCGAAGACGCTTCCGAGGTACCGAGGGGGCGCAACAGCTTTTCCCACACATGGGGTGAACTGGAGCAAGCCGTGCGGTCAATCGAACTTAAGCGGGAAGGTTCTCCAGCACGAAATGGCGTCTCGTTCTCAGAGCCCACCACCACCATCCACTCACCCATAGCATTGAGCGCCACAGCTCGCAAAATCTCACACTCAAGGTCCTCTACGGAAACAGCAATCATCATCCCGGAACGCGTTGTCACAGAGTCTCCATCAGAAGGCAGTGAGGATGACGACGACGATGATGATGATGAACTACGAGTCAAGCCTCCGCTTGTGAGGAAGAAGTCTGGTGAATTGGTCAAGCCTGCCCTCAGGCCGTCATCGAGACGCAGATACTCCAGCATGCCCGGAACACCCACCTATTCCAAGTCAGTCCACTTCAACGACAACGGCAACCAAACCAGACACTTCCTGCAGGTCGAGAAGCCGTCTGCTATCAGCGCCGGCTCCTCGCCTGTGGATACCTACGACGAAGAGACCGAATACCCCTTCGAGGGCAAGGACACATCGAGCAAGGTCGAGTGGCACCTCAGGCTTGCAAACTTCCCGGAAGAGTCGGAGCGTCAGCACTCGCCGGTTCGCGTCGAGAAAGTCTACCTCTCCGCCGACACAAAAACACTCATCGGCACTGTCGCTGTGGCAAACATCTCCTTCCAGAAGCACGTTGCCGCTCGCTTCACCCTCGACTACTGGAAGACAACCTCCGAGGTTATGGCCGAGTTCGACTCTGACGTCCGCAAGCAAAGCTTGGGTGACGGCTATGATCGTTTCACCTTCAACATCCGTCTCTCCGACCAGGCCAACCTCGAGAACAAGACACTGCTGTTGTGTGTCCGATACAACTCTGGCGGCCAGGAACACTGGGACAGTAACAATGGCATGAATTACCAGATCGACTTTGTCAAGAAGTTGGCCAAGTCGGCTTCTACCAGCTCCCTTTCGTCTCTCCACTCGTCAAGACCCTCTCGTAACACCATCCCTCGCAGCAGACATTCCCCTCCTGCTGCTGCTTCGGCACGTCAGGAACGTCAAGAGCGTGCCTCGTTCGCCGACGAAGACTTGCTGTCCAAGAGTTCGACTTACCACTTCGGCTCCCCGGAAAAGCTCACTGGTGACCCCGCTGCCCAGCCTCAAGTCAAGCTGAAGCCTCGCTCCAAGAGAGTCGACCTTTCCCGCGTTGGCTCTGCACCGGCTGTCAACGGTCTCGGCGGAAGATACGACTTCGGAGCATCTCTGAGCGCTGCCTTGTCGAGTGCCCAGGACAAACTCGGAAAACAAAGCGGACTACTGCCTCACACCCAAACTTCATCTCAAGCCGACGCGCATTATTTCTCGCCTAGGACTGCCAGTGAGGTCAAGCAAGTAGTCCCAGAACGACCCGACGCCATCACCACCGACAGACCTGCCATCGGCTCCCAGCAATACAAAGACCTCGTGAACAAGTTCTGCTACGTAGGTTCCAACAAGACTTCCACCAAGGCCTAATCACCATGGTGCTAATTATCAAATCAGTTCACTCCTGGATCTTCGGGCAAATCATCACCTTCGGCTCAAACAAGCTCTGGATCTAAGCCTAGCAGCACCGATGGCTCCGGTGACGGTGCCTCCCCAAATGAGTACAGTCCACGATCTGGGTCTGTCACTCCTACACCGCCTCAAAGCCTTTCGCCGTTTCTCGACGGCACCAGCGACGGATATACTAGCTGCAACGACATCAGCAAGTTAATCTCTCGTTCGGGCTCACCTGCATCCATTAGCAGCAGCAACAACTATGTTGCACGAGCGTATAGCTACCCCTACGCCAGGGACGGATATCTTTCAGAGTCGCATACTCCGACCGCCATCCGTGGCTAATCGCTACTATCAATGCATGATGCATTCTCATATCAAAACCGGATCCAGCACCTGTCTCCCCAGACGTTGTAATCCAACAACCACGATCATCCTCACGAACCTGGGCAACCCCCTCGTCTAATTTGGCTTTTCGACCTTTTATATCTTTCAACCTTTCCTTGGTCTATCAAAGCGATTCGGCATTGATCATTTTCATCTTGCAAGGCGTTCCGGACCATCCATGAAATGGCTCATGGTGTATAGATTGCTCTTGTCAAGCGTGGCCGCGAAGCTTTCCGCTGCGGTCGTTGCAGACTCGAGCCTGTTTTCGAGCGCGATACCTTTTGGAAAAGTCGTTCTCGTTCTTTTCCTTCTCATCTTTGCATTTTCTTTTCTTCTTCTTTTTCTTTTCTTTTCTGTATTTGATTTCTTTTTCCTTTCTCACGTTGATGGAAACTGGGGGGACAGGTCGCTGTGCATGTATGTACAGAAACATCATATGGGCGCACGCATTGACTCTCAACTCTGGTTGTTAGTCAATTCGGAATCATGGCAACAGGGATGGTAACTTTTGATGGCTAGCATGGGTTTTATTGGGCTCCTCACGAAAGGGCATGGGTGAATGCATTCATGTTCATGCTGGGTTCTGGAAGGGTTCGAAGAGGATGTGTTCCTTCCGAGTCATTCTTACGAACCAATGCTAGGAGGTTAACGACACGGGCTGAAGGCAGCAGCAGAAATCAACATTTCTATCACTCTATCAATAACTTCCCTGTGCACATTCCGTGACTGCCTTTCTTGGATCGTTCTGTATAAAGCTCGCACGTGCAGCGAACTGGCGTGTGCACGCAATGGCACTTGGACTCCTTTTCGCTCGGGTTAAGCAAAGGTTGTCACCAAACACAACAGTCATGTCCGCATCACCAGTTTCCAAGGGACTTGTCATCGACCAGACGACTGTGCTGTCGCTCTTGTCTACGCTAGCTATCCTTGCAGCCGCCTATACGACGTCTCTCTACGCTCTACCCAAGCATGCAAACTCAAAGACTCGCTTCCTCTTCATCTGGCACGCCTTTGATGCTCTGATCCACTTCATCCTCGAGGGCACATTTCTGTACAACTGCTTCTTCTCCTTTGGCTCTACGTTGCTCACTGAACCGTTTCTGCCCGACAATGTCTACTTTCTTGGCCACGTAGGCAGGAACTACGGCGCGGCTTACGGAGATCAATGGCATAGTGCTCTTTGGCGCGAGTATGCCAAAGCGGATAGGAGATGGGCAGGCACTGATCTTACAGTTGTGAGTTTAGAGTTGCTGACGGTGTTTGTGGGTGGTCCGTTGGCCTGTTGGATTTGTTTGCAATTGGTCAAGGAGAGATGGGGCAGTGCGTGGTTTTGGATGTGTGTGCTTGCTACTGGTGAGCTTTATGGTGGTGAGTACTGCTGCTTTCGTTTCCCTCTGCGTGGTGGCCTCTCAGGGACAGGGTTACTTCGACGCCTCAACCACAAAGTCCGAACATTACTGATGCCTCCCGACAATCATAGGTTTCATGACTTTCGTCCCCGAGTGGCTCAGTGGATCGCCTAACTTGATCACTTCAAATTGGATGTACAAGTGAGTTCATTATTACCGCCGCCTTGGCTGTCGATATATTCCCACTACACGCCTTGTCTACATCTTTTGCACACACATGACCACTTTTCTTACCATTACCGCGGACTGCCACTGCGATCGCGCTCCGTGGAAGTAACCGGCTGTGGAAACATTACACCACGACTTTCAAAGTTGGGTCACCGTTTCACAGCTCTTTTTTACACTTCTTCTCCGCACGCCACAAATTCCCCCTGAGTCTCCTCGGAGCCGCCGATTGTATATACCGTGCAACACACAAAAAGGCTAACATCTTTTTGCGACGACAGATGGGTGTATCTTTTCTTCTTCAACACACTTTGGGTCTGGATTCCATTGTGGATTCTGTGGCAGGGTCATGGTGTCTTTACTTCTGCTTTGAATCCTGCGACGGCAAAGACGAATAAGCCGAAGAAGAGATAAGAAGACATGGACTCCTACAGTCGGGCGCCTTGAGTCATGGATCATGGGCTTAATGGGACGTGGTTCGATGCATTGAACGGCCGTACCTTGGGCGACCTTCTTTATTCTTTCTTGGCTCAGTCAGCCACTGCTGTGTAGCCACCACACAACAGAGTCTCAGATGACCTGATCTGGCGTGACGCGGCAAGAGACTTCTAGGAGATGCAGACAAAAAGCTGTTGTTGTCGCAGGGCCGCAACCCGGCAACGAGAAACTAATCACTACAAAGTCTATAGTTCTTTCCAATCCATCGGGATCGCATTGTGTTTTGTCTATTGGACCATAGGTGTTTTCGGATCAACCGTTTGAAAGCACTACTCACAACGGCCATGTCTGGGATTTCTGTCTGAAAAGGAAGGGACGACACAGCGACTCCAAGACAAACGAAAGAAACGGACAAACTCAGAATAATAAATCAATACTTCTGGAAAAAGACAAGGTATTTCAACGGCTTCTTAAGTGCGGCGTTCTGATAATCACATGCAAGGATGGTGAAAAGATATCAAACTATTTGATGCAAGTATGTTTTTTTATTTTTACTTTTCTTGCAAAGAGAGATATGCGAATGCGAAAATATGCAACAGGGCACACCAGGGCACAGAAAAGATGTAACGGGTGGTGTCATGTGTCTCATTAGAATCGTCCATCTTGCATTGCATGACTTTTCCCCAAATCAACAACGGTCGCAACTTTGCTACTGCATGCACTCCATGGGCAAAAAGGAAACGTCCATACAGCAAAGAAAATTCCGGGGAACATGCATCTCCTGCATCCAAGATTTGGGGGGATCTCATGCCCTCGTGCTTTTCCATGCCCAATGCTTTACACTCACGGTCCTTACTGCATGATCAGCAACTCCCACTAGTTCGCTTCTGCCAGATGCAAGACCGCTGGATGTGTATGCAATGCATATCAAACGATCCTGACATAATTACCAGGAAACAGTCCCTTGTCTCCGCAATAGATACCCCAGAACCAATCTCCGTTTATATCCTCTACTTCCGTTATCAGCGCATTACGGGGGAAGCGGATTTCATCTTTTGCATCGTCGCTGGGGAAATAAGACCATATGGCTTGAGCGCGTAGACCTATCCCTCCATCGGGAGGGAGGAGATGTGGGGAACTGGGGAACTTCGAGGTGGAGGTGGTTGCCATGGAAGTGCCGTCGTTTTCTTTCCAGCGCCATTGGTCTTGTTGTGTAGTTGCAGATGTGAGTGTGGATGTAGGAGTGGCGGAGATGTCGTCTTTGAGGGCCCAGCCGCCGACGATCTCTCGGACTACAATGCGGTGGGATCCACCTTCTCTGTCCTCGTGGCCGACGACGCTCATGCGATGGGAGCGAAGACAGCGGCGCCAGCCCGAAGGGCCGTTGCTTCGAGCTATCTTGCCTGTGTTGACAAGGGAGTGGTAGCAGGAGTTGCAAATGTCGTAGTTACCTTCGTTGCAGGTGTTACAGTGGAAGCGAGCGTGGGAGGATGGAATAGAGTATTGACAGATATCGCAGTAGGACGTCAATACTATCGGTACGTATGAAGCGGGGTCAGAGACGTGAGGAAGGGTGGGGGCATGGCTAGAGGGAACCGCAAAGTGGAAGGCAGAGCCAGTAGACGTGAGAGACGGCGGGTATAGATCGGTGGGTGAACGTCGCTGGGATGGAGTGGGCGCTTGAGAAACATGCGCCACAGAGGCCAGTGGATGAGAGCAGTGTTTGCCCTGTTCAACACAGGCATTACAGAAGCCCCAAGCGCCATCATTGCATGAGTTACAATGCCAGTAGCAAGCATCTGCGAAAGCCTGACAGCCGTCACAGAACAGACCTTGCTCTAATCGCGTAGAGTTTTGGACGTAACGCCTGGCTAACAAGACATGAGGAACACCGTGATCCGCACGTTCGGAGCGAGAGGCAGCTTGCGGACGATATCGAGTCATGGCTGCGTGTCCGAAGCCGTACCAGTTCAGACAACCTTTCCCTGTGCGGTAGCATTCGATGCACAAGTTGAAGTTACCATCTGAGCACTTGTCACAGTTATAGTATAGTGAGTGCTGTATATCAGGCTTCTCGCATCTTGAACAAGCAATCGAAGGAGCTAGCACGTCCGATGATGGCTCTTCTCGAGCAGACATTGGCAAGGCAGGTGAACTGTGATTCGAAGGACGCGAGGGCGAGTCAGGGACTAAATGTCGTGGGCGACCGGAAGCAGCGTTCAATCGATGAGTGTGATTGGCTGAAGCAGCGCGACGTCTGGCTGGAGATGGCTGATCCTGGACCGGAGCCAGGGCATGAGGGCTACGTGTTGTTGCAGTTGAAGTAGGTTGTCGGTGTGTCGAGGTTGAGGGAGAATGTCTGGTTGTTGACGAGCGAGGAGTATGACGATGGGTCTGGATGGCTGGAGAGTGGCGAGCAGCAGAGCGTTCACGATTACGGTCACGGTCACGGTCACGGCGGTCTTGACGACGACGAGAGCGATATGCTTGAGCAATCGAGTCAGTGATGGCATCTTCCTGGTCCGGAGTCAGGTTGTTGAGATCCATTCCGTCCAGGAGACCATGATCGATGATGTGACGCATGATTTCGTCCTCCATATCGCCTAAGTCGACATCAGACTGGCTCAATAGCGAGCGTATGCTGGACTGATGCGACAAGCCGTCTGCTTGACCAGATTGTGGCGAGTCTGCATGACGACGAGGACGAGGGAGGTTTGTCTGCCTCTGGCGTGGGCGGTGTGTAGAACGACTTCCTAGGCCAACATCGTCAAGACTCAGCTCTCGCGCCTGTGCCAGCATACGTTGCTCTTCCTCATCATCATCATCGTCTGATACCTGACCTAGATCCACAGGCGGTATAACGTCGTCTCCGGGCTTATACGTCTTGTCCATAACCAGCTTATCTTGGGCCGTCTTGCCTTTGTCAGGGTGGGCTTGCAAGAACATCTCGAGCAGAGTGGTAAGAGTCGCATTCGGCCGTGTATCGCGCACGGCAGCTCGACATGCTGGACATGAATATACATGGCCCCTCGATGAGGCCTGCCATGCGAACCATTCTCTCAGGCAGCTTCCACAGAAAGTATGCAGACAGTCGAGCAACGTCAGAGGCCGGTAGAGTACGTCGGTGCAGATCTGTGAAGAAACCGTTAGTCCCCGGCACTCAACTCTATATCGTGACGTCCAACTCACCGAGCACGACAACTCCTTTTCCAGATCCAACTCTCGCCCACCTTCATTCGCTTGGTCCGCCATGTTTGAAGCGACTTGCTCGCAGTTTTGTCCAATCTGCCGACGACGCTAGACGTGGGGTCGTATCTCTATTTATTCCTCCGGCCCGCTGCCAACAACCTTGCTGATCATGCTGCTGACTCCCTGTTTCACGCAGTCTTGGGAGCTGTCTTGTCCCTGCAAGACCTACTCGTCTTCACCTCCACTTCGGTTGTCCTCACTTACTTATACTCACTGTTTGTGCTATTTTTCTCGACGCTGTAGCTCGTTAGTGATTACGCATTCAACCAAGGTTCACCTCGCCGGCATCCCGTCTGCCCGGGAGTGGATACCTGCCGTGCGAAGATTCTTATCAGCGTCGCGAAATACCACCTTGCTTGCGCCCAACTTGATCTTCAGCTACTGCCATCTAAGACCTGTGTTGACTCCTGACAGCAACTTCGAGCTGCGTAATGCTCTCGCTTGACATCCTCCGGCGCACGTCTATCACTTACGTCTGGCTGCTGTGCATCACATCACTATCAATCCTCGCAGGCGGTAATGCCGGATAAGATTCCATGAGCCCTCGGTAGTAGATCCCCATCTACCCGTCCCACGCGATAAATGTCTCAAACTTTGGTCCCTTCAACTTAACACCGAGAGCCAGATCTTGCTATATTTTATCCTTATTCTCGACCGTGCCCGATCACTTAATCTCTCGCTCTCTGTCAGTTCATTCCTGCTGGTCATTCTCCTTCAAATCAATTGCCGTGTCCACTATCTGGCCGGAAAATCTATTTATCGAATCTGCACATGCTCTCACTCCGTACGTGCGTACACATTAATCTAGATACCGCAGCCGAGCAGGTCTGTTCTCCCGTCCTTCTCGAAGACTGCCGACAGGTGCTCGCTTAGACATTACTGAACTTTTTCGTCTACATTCCTCGTCCGTGCTTGCTTTGCCCTCCCTGAGAGATATATGAATCTCCTGCCCTTAGTAGAAAGTCTAGGTCTTGCTCTTCCATCCTCTCATTCCTCTCTATCTCAGCCTGTGTCTCGTTATGGCTCCCTACGCTGCTATCCTGCAGCTTTCCCTGCTGGCTGGACATGCTTCCGCTGCTGCCATTGATACTCGTTCTCTCACTCCCTATGCTCCCGTCTCTGCAAGCTGCCCTAGCACTCCCCTGGTTCGCACTGCCAACAGTCTAGGCTCTGATGAAGCTACATATATCGCTGCTCGTAAGCCTCAGGCAGATGCTGCTCTTGCTGCATGGTTGCAGAAGACGGACTCGTCCTTCGCCACTACCAACCTTCCCACTGTTGGCCTTGTACTGAGTGGTGGTGGTTACCGTGCTCTGCTTTCTGGTGCTGGTCTTGTACAAGGTCTGGATGCTCGTGATTCTGATCTCTCTACCAGCGGTCTCTATCAAGCTATGACTTATGAGACTTCACTCTCTGGAGGTGCATGGTTCTCTACTTCATGGACTGGATTGAACTGGCCTACTGTTTCTTACTTGAGGGACAACCTTTGGTCTCAATCTTTTGCCGATTCTCTTCTGGTGCCAGCTCGTCTTCTTTCTGCAGTTGCATACGCCGAGATTGTAAGTTGCGAATGGGGTCTGACTTAAGCTCAAGTTTCCATCTAACGCATGACCAGGTCAAAGATATTGTAGACAAAGCCAAGGCTGGATTCCCGCCCACTCTCATCGATGTATACGGTAGACTCTTGTCATACCAGCTTCTCACCACCAACTCGCAAGATATCAGAACAGACGGCGCTGTCTCCAAGACTTTCTCTAGCGTGGTATCCTCTTCCAACTTTACCTCGCACGCCGTGCCATTCCCTATCATCACCGCCAGAGGTGTCAATACTTTCGAAGGACAATGTATTCCTCGCGAGAATGGCACACAATACGAATTTGCAAGTTTGCAACATCTATGCTGAGAAGAGCACGACCCACTGACTGTTCAACAGACCCCCTATGAATTCGGATCTTGGGACTCGGACATCAATGCCTTTACTCCCACCGCCTACCTTGGATCGAAACTGACCAACGGCGCCCCCACCATCTCCAACCAATGTATCAAGAATTACGACAACTTGGGCTACGTAGCCGGCACAAGTTCTGCACTCTTCAACAACTACTGCAGCACCGTGCCCGCAAAAAACAACACCCAATCACTCGCTCAAACGCTTCAAGCCATCGTTCTGAACGCCCACAGCCCTGTGACCCGCGATCTCTACGCCCCTTACCCAAACCCATTCTACAAGTACCCCGCGTCCACACTTACGAATGCACAATCCGAGATTCAAATCGTGGATGGCGGAGAAGGAAACAGCGCCATGCCCTTCTGGCCACTGATCCAGCCCGAGAGAAAGGTAGACGTCATCATCGCTGCCGACAACGGTGCAGATACCTCCGACCTCTTCCCCTCTGGCACAGCAATCGTAGGAGCCTACGAACAAGCCCTCGCTGCAGGACTCACGCGTATGCCGTTCATCCCCTCATTGGACACCTTTATCTCTTCCGGTCTCAACAAACATGCTGTTTTCTTTGGCTGTGACACCTCTGATACCGTCACGATTGTTTACTTGCCAAACAACAATTATACCTATGCTTCCAACATTGAAACTGTGATTATACAGACGAGTGAGCAGGAGACTGCGGGGATTATCGAAAATGGCAATGCTATTGCTACACAGAATGGGGATGAGCAGTGGCCGGTTTGTTTGGGTTGTGCGGTTATGAAGAAGACTGGTAGTGTGTTGCCGGAAGCTTGTACGGCTTGTTTTGACAAGTACTGTTATTCTGGATAGAAATTGTGTTATTTTTTTTTTCTCGAGATGGAGTGGTGTAGATAACTTAATGTATAGTATATGAATCTGGTCAGAACTTACATCTCTTGACGCAACAATGCTAGACCATAATTTGGTCAAAATGTCTCCATGTATATATTCAATGTATCTGTCGTATAGAATAGGGCAAGCATGTTGGATAGGAGGAGCCCCTGCTGTAAGCGAGATTCGGGACTTCGTCATCCAGCCCTAGGTATGGACGAAAATGATGTGCTTCGAGCTTGTACACCTGAGACCGTATCATGGCTCGTTGTCTCAATCAACTGGCTCGTTTCCAACCCTGAGTTTACAACGAGGAAAACAGCGCATAGGACGAGATCGAAGACCAATGTAGGTACTGCAGCCACGACTGCCTGGTTGTGGTCAGAGAGGTAAGTCGAGATGTTAGGCAAAGATCGACCCGTCTACCAGCGACCAATATCAAACAAATGAAAAGAGATATTGCATGATGATAAAACATTATGGATTTCCGGCTCTGGCTATTTACAAAACATTGTCAAGTCGCTCTATCTATGATACTGAACATTATTATCACTAATCAACTTGATACCCTCCGCTCTCCAAGTATCAGCCTCAGCATGACTAGTAACATTAGCATCAAACACCATATTCTGCGGCGCTTCAATACTATAAACCGGCCAAGTAGGTAAACTAGAGTTCTTTCCCGCATAACCATTGGGATCCAGATCATGCACAAAGGTCACCCAACTTTTACTCATAAAGTCACTGAGTTCGGTAAAAGCAGAAGACTTGTTTGCAAAAGGAGGGATGGCGTAACCAAGACCTTGAAGATTGTTGAAGACGAAAGCGACTTCTTGGAAGTGGGCTACGTATTGGGAGCCCGTGGGGATGGCGTTGAAGCGGTAGGAGTAGGCGGAGATGTTGTTGGCGGCCCAGACTTCGCAGGTCTTGCGGCGGTTGGCGATGAAGACTTCGTCGCCAAAGTAGGCGGCTGAGGCGCGGTACAAGGGCCCATATGCAGGACCGAGGGATGTGACGTTTTGACCTAGCTCTTCGGTCGAGGGGATGAGATAATCGGAGGCACCACTGGTGTAGACACGGAGAAGATCCTGGACAAGGTCGGGAGTCAAGGCATATTGCGTGTTTGAAGTGTTGTTCAAGTACTTTTCAATGTCGGCGGTGCTGTTGATACCGTTGGGGCTGAATGAGACTCCCTCGTCGCTATTTGCGCCGTTGATGATTGGGACGTGGACGAAAGCTCCATCAGCAAGCTGCTCGCTACCATACCGAGCGATGAAGTCACCATCAAGAGCAGGGTTCCAGCGGCTGTTGAACTCAGTGGTGTTGAGGATGTTGTTGAGGACGAAGAGTGGCAGGGCACGAAGGCAGTCCAGGGTGCTGGTGGAGTTACCGCAGCCCGCAGCCTTGGTCAGAGCAGCATATCTGGGCTGGTATGCTCTGTTCATTTTGTCAGTTGTAGGTCTCGTACGTTAACTGTGCCATAGACTTACCCAGAGCTGTTGAGGGCATTGTATGAGATTGCGTTTCCAGATTCCATGATGGCGCCTCTGAAGAGCTTGTCATCGCGGCCATCGAAGGCAGTCAGCTGGAAACCCACGGAAGCAGCACCTGCAGACTCTCCCATGATAGTGACCTTGCTGGGATCGGCACCGAAAGCGGCACCGTTCTCCTGAATCCATTGGAGAGCCAGACGCTGATCCTTGAGACCGACGTTAGTCTGACCAGCACCAGCGATCTCATCACCATTGAGGAAACCAAAAGGACCCAGTCTGTAAGCAACACTAGCGGCCATGATTGGCTTTCCGATCTTGACAGAGTTCTCGACGAGGAAAGTCAGGTTGTATCTTCGGTCAACAGCGCCACCCATGTAGAAGCCGCCACCGTGGATCCAGACAACCATGGGCAAGCTGGCATCTTCGTAGCCGGATGGTCTTACGACATTGAGGTAGAGACAGTCCTCGCTCTGTTGATAGCCAACCTGATCGCCACCATAACCAATGCATTCCTGCTGTTGTGTTAGTAGAGTCATATCAAGCAACACTGTAGTTACATACAAAGGCGTAGTTTGTAGCTGGGAGAGCGCCAGTCCAAGACAGATTCAACGACGCAGGGTTGGCGAATCGCAGCTCGTCGATTGGTGGTCTTGCGAATGGGACACCCAAGAAGAAGTCCTGGTTGTACTGGCTGTTGTGTACACCATAGTATGAACCGTTCTTCAGGTTGACAACAGGTGCATTGGTAGGTGCTCTACGCAACAAAGAGGGAGCAGCTGAGGCAATAGAAGCCACCAGTGGTAGCAAGGACCAAGTAGAATGCATGTTGACTAGATCTAAAGTTCCTGACTCTGTATTGAAGAAGAAGGACAAGATACTTACTCTGGGGCTTAGCCGCATTCTTATACAATCGCCATACCCTCGCAACCTACCGTAGTATCATGCCGAAGGTAACTTTGACCACGGCAATTGGTTCAGGCCCACAAGACATGGTGCAGCAGAATGTGACATGAAGATGGAGAAACTTGGATGAAGCGGGGCTCCCTGGGGGAAAGGTGGAGTGCAAAGGGTCCGTGGTCGGCCATCTTGCTCGATGAGGCAGGGATGTGTCCGGGGAAACGTGGGTGCTAGTCCAAGAACATGACAAGATGGACATTCATCTTAGCCGATAGCGACGCCGCAGCCCGCCATCTCGAAGACATGGAGAACTCAGCATCGCGGCCGTAATGACGTCGGACATTTCGAGTCAGCTGGACATGACTGAGGGAGATTTTCAGAGGCTGAGATCGGGCGGGTAGTGCACTGGCAGCTTGACTTCGACGACCAGTGTCTGCTCTAGCACCATCAGTTAGGCATCATCGAGCTGTGCCGGGCATACCGAGCAAAAATCTTGTCAATGCTTCATGTGAAGACGGCACCGCAGCCGACGAACATCTCGATCGTGCCGATGTGGCTCATGTTGAGTAAGTGCCGGTTGACTCTTGAAGCCGAGCCCAGAGTATTCGTCTACGAGGATATGGCATCGTTCGCTCTGTATCGGAATACGATCAGAGCGCTCTCTGACTGCCTTCACCAAAAGTCTTCCGGTGCTTTGACAAGCAAAGTGCATACAACTAGCCACCGTGTGACTTGGCACATCCCAGCACCACCGGCGCCAAATGTGGTATGGTTTCATGCACAGGTCAGAAGCATCGTCACCTTCGGTCTTCGCTTCTGGGGATAACTATGTTCATGACAACCTCCGCAGGATTAGGGACATCACGGATATGGATATGCGTAGGCTCAATCGATTCAGGTCTTCTCCAGCCGCACACTGCTGCTCTTGAGGCCTGCTGGTGATATATGGGCGCCACGTCGTCACGAATTGCTTGCATGATGAATAAGACAATCAGAAGTGTTGTGCTCTGCGTTATCGATGCATGAAAATGGTGTTCATGAACAAGCCTGATATCCCATGGCAAGTCGCCTCCATTGATAATGTACAAAGTTTATACAAAGGTGTTTCCGCTGCCGCTTTATCTGCCAGCAAGCATATTGGCGATGGAGCTCCAGTACTTAGGAGTGACGGTCTGCTGAATCTCTTCGCTCGACAACCACTTAAACTCCTTGTCGCCATATGCGTTTGCCTTGAGGTTCGCCTGACCAGCCATGATACGAGCTTTCATGAAGAAAGTTCGCTCACCCACCTCTTCGACGTTCTTCTCTGTGTTGGTAATAGTCTTCTTGAAGTTGCCCGAGTAGTGGCCGACGGGTGCGTTTCCAACGACCCATGTGTTCATGTTGATGCCTCCTGCTTGTACGATGATACGTTCGGCAGCCTAGACTCGTCAGTACGATGGAACGACTTCCAGTATGCATCCTTTCACTGACCTGGTCCAGACCCTCGGGTCCCTTGATCTCGTCCTCGGGGAATCTCCAGACACCGTTCTTGTTCTTGACCAGCAAATACAAGGTTCTGTCGAGTAATCTGTTCAAGCTGGTTTGGTCGCCCTTCTGATCTTCCTCTGTGATTCTAGGCAATGGTCGTTGTACAACAATATCCTGGCTGGTCTCTCTCTTGACTCCTGCTTCGCCGTCGGTTCCCTCAGCGTCCCTGATCAAAGCCTCGACTTGCGACTCGGGCTCGCTCGTCTTGTCGTTGACGAGAACTTCGTCAGCCCAACCAGCCTCGCTGTAGGCATTGTAGACACCGATATCACGGGCAGGGGTCTGCCTCAGCTTCATCTTGCGCTTCCATTCACGGTCGCCCGGTGTTCCTTTCTTGTAGTAGAAGTAGCGTGTGAATGGGAGAGCCAGACGTTCATTCAATCGTTTTTGGTAGAGGAAAAAGGCCTTCTCGAATGGGTGGAGGGCGCGTGTGAGAACGGGAGGTCGTGATAGTACTACGCCAGTACGTAGCTGGTATGCTGGTCGGACGGCTGGAGAGGCAGATGCATCCTGAGATTGCGACGAGGTTGGCGCTGAAGGAGCGACAGCTGCGGCAGTAGATGCTGAGCGGTATTGAGATATTTGAGCGAGGCAAGAGTTGCAAACAGATTCCGTTGTCGAGCGGGCTAATGCTGGGTTAGAGTGGCCAATCTTCGAGCAAAAGACACACGGTCAAGACATACTCGATGTTGCGACCAGCCGCCTGGCAGTTCTTTGGCCTGAGTTCATGGTGGATATATATGAAAGACACACGACGTGGACTCTATCTCGATTGCTACACTCCGCCGTCGCTGCAACTTTTCGAGAGTTGCGCTTGGCGCGGCCGCTCGCACGGGCCTGTCGGTCGCTGTTTCCTTTAAAATCCTGCGTCTCCTCGTCCTCCTTCTTTCTTCTCTCACGCGCTTCTTATCACCAATTGCCTCGATTCCTAAACCGCAAATTGACCATTGAAAGCGCGTAGAGCAACCAAGCGACCCTTTTTTCGCTAACCGCGGATTTCAAAACACTTCCGATTCGCAGTTAGATAGCTGGTCGTTCCACTCCATTCTACACTATTTACATGCGTGATGTTACCTGTGCTGTCGAAACCTCAGATGCTGGACCGTTTGGATGCTCTGCGATCAGTCTCGAGACTTTTCTCACTCTCCGCCCTATCCATTGCGCATGTGCTAATACAGCGGCATTGAAATGTTTCCCGTAGACATTTCAGACATGCAGTGTTGTACTTGGGCTCGTCGAGGGGAGTACCCTGACTCGTTCACCGGTTTTGTTGGCATCAACCTCCACCGAGTCCGGAACCGTGTGCTGCAGTCGGGAAACGTTTTGCAAGTGGTCTGATAATGCCTGCAAAGTGCAAACGAGAAAAGATGCCTGGCATTAAGATTGATTGCTTGGTATGCCGTAGCAACCGACCAAACAAATAGAATCCAGGCCTGAGTTGGTCGCAACTGCATCTTGACATGGTTGAATGTGTACATCAAGCCTTTCGTCTCATCGGTTTGGAACATAGTCGAACAGAGTCACATTGACGTACTTTTTGACATGGTAAGCATCCGAGTATAGATGAGCAAGCATATCGGGTGCTAGAAAGGTTGATGATGGTAGAGGTCCAAGGGCCGAAGCGTCGACAGCGGGTCAATGCAGCGGAGTGGGCTTGATAGCCGAACCTTAGGACAACGCGGTCATCGTCATGCGCGATCTCCAGGGACATGGCAGTTTGAGCAGAGCAGTCGCGTTTACATGGGCCATGCGCTCCTTCTTCTCTTCTTGTAACGCACCTTCCGACATGGACAATACAACTTGAACGAACAGTATCCTTAGCCTTCTCATCCATGGACCAGGAATAGCACACTGCATGCATGACATCTCCTTTGTCACATCCACTACCATTGTTGTAATCCACCCACCACGAGCTTCGAAGCACTCCCTTCTCTACCAGCTCCGGCAGCATGGCCGAGTACGTCCTTCTGTCTAGTGCTACAGGACCTCTTACTAACGCATCGACTCTCAGGTACGGCTTCCTCATGGCTGGCGGGCTGGCCACGCCTACCTCGACTCACATCCGCTCCGTGACACCGTCTCCCAACACAAACAGATCGGAATCTCCGACTCTGATAAAGGCCAAATCTGCCTCCCACCTGTCGACTATGAAGACCTTCTCGACGCCTCCCCGTGGCCGCGCCAACTTCGATAACGACGCAGACTACCCCAACACCATCCCCGACCCACGAACTCCTAGTCCAAACCCACAAAGTACTAGCCCTGCAGAAGACCCGCAGCATCAGCACCCCGATCTCAGCAACGAAGTCGCCATGCTTAGCACGAAGCTCATCAACGCCATCAACTACCAAACAAATCTGGACGATTCACTTCAGCACACACGCCACGAGCTTGAAGCTGCTAGACAGCGTATAGCTCAGTTGGAAGAAGAGACACAGAATCATAAATCCTTGGTCTCAAGTGGAGCCCTTGTCAACAAGGCCGATCTGGAGACCCTCAGACAAGACTTGGCCGAATCGCAAAAACAAAGAGACACGGCTGAGAAGGGCAGGAAGGAGATGGAGGTTGAACTGGAGACTCTCACTAGTGCCTTGTTCGAGGAAGCCAATACCGTAAGTAAGAAAGCTCGACTTTGTCCATTGCACCTGCTGACTTTGACCAGATGGTAGCAGCTGCGCGCAAAGACACCGAGGCCGTCGAACGTAGAAACGCACAACTAAGGACACAGCTCAACGACACTGAACTCCTCCTGGCCTCACAACAAGAACAGCTGCAAGATCTGAAGAGTGTCATGGAGAAGATGAACGAAGATCGAGATCGCGACGAGACCGAGACGTTGCCCCGTTCTTCGACTGCTCCATCAACGCCAGGCGTCGACTCTACCAAGATGAGCACCATGTTCGACTCACTTCCCTTCTCACCCAACGCTACAAACTTCGGTGACATTGCGCCGGACCAGCCTCTACGATTTTCGCATCTCATCATCCCTGTCATGCGTAATGATGTTGTTGCCTATGTTGACTTTGCGGACTTGCTCAAGTCTGCCAAGCCCGCTGCCTCTAATCATTCTCGCAACTCATCGGGCATCAGCTCGAGTGTCTTTATATCTTCCGCTTCTTCATCGTCGCCGAATATCCCAGGTTCATTCAGCTCTGGTGCTGCTGCATCACCGCGGGACACGTCTTTCCAAGCCTCAGTACCGCCGCTCAAAGATAGCAAGTTCTACAAACGATGCCTTGTTGAAGATGTTGAGCCCACATTGCGTCTTGACCTCGCTCCTGGTCTCTCATGGTTGGCACGACGTACAGTCATTGGTGCCGTGACTGGTGGAACTCTGGTCGTGGAGCCCTTTATACCGCAATCGCGCTTCTATGGGAATGCTTATGCTTGCGCACTTTGCGGAGAATCTCGCCGGACAGAAGCTCATGCCCGTCGCCATCGTTTTAGGACTAGCGAAGATGAGAGTGCTCAGAGATACCCTCTTTGTGAATTCTGCCTGGGACGTGTCCGGGCGACTGGCGACTTCCTTGGTTTCCTCAGAATGGTTCGCGATGGACTTTGGAGAGCTAGTACAGAAGAAGACATCAAAGCAGCCTGGGAGGAGAGCGTTCGTCTGAGAGAGAAGATGTTCTGGGCCAGACTCGGAGGTGGCGTGGTCCCAGCGATTGGAAGAGAGCCGAGTCCTACAGGAACTCAGCGGCGGACAGATGCCAGATCGCTGCGTAGGAACAGCACTGAATCGAGTGTACCCAGGTTCTCGAGAGACTCGGAGTCAGGCGTTGAAAGCGTCCACTCCAAGGCATTGGAAGTTCCAAAGCTAGGCGAACCTCGACCTCCGACTCGCAACAACAGCAGATCGACTCCCACTGTCAGCGACGGCAGCACAACTTCCTTGAATACTTCGGAGAGTTCGGACACGAGAGATTTTGCAGATGCACAAACAGACTTGGACAACATTGCCAATACACCAACAGGGCTGAACATTCAGGAGGATACGGCCAACGAGGCAGACAACGCAACCTCGCGAACACCAAGATTGGTGCAAGAAGATGGAGCGAAAGACGGTCTAGGCATTGAGATGACTCTACCCGCGGCAGAGGTACATAAAGATCATACTGTTGATACGACTTCGGGTAAAGAAGATCAGGCTCCTGAGCCCGAAAGGGAGAAGGAGGAAGGGGATCCGGTCGAGAAGCCAATGCAGCCAGAGATTCCTGGATCTTTTGATTGAAGAGAGTTGCTCTACCTATTCTATTGTTTGTATACCCCACCAGCCCTTGCCATGACTTGCATGAGACAAGAAATGCCACGAAACAGTATATACATAAAAAGCCATTCGAGTCCTTGTGGACCGCTTTGTTTGATATTAATCATTATTCCAGTGTGTTGCACACTATACATTCAACGTATCCACCACCAGTGATCCTAGAATCTACGATTTGTTAGACAGGGTCCTACAGAGTATATTACGAGAAACAGTCCCGAGGCAAAGAGAAGAAATCAAGCAGTAGGATATCATGAGGACTCAACGAGATGACAAGTGAGCAAAATGGACATGTAAAGTCTGCAGGCGTGATTGAAGAGCTAATCATCACTCGGTCTTCGTACCTTCCATCCCCCTCGATCCTGCCTCAACATCATCATCCCTTCTCACAGGAAAGTCCACATTCTCCTGTTCTAGCCTCGCTCTTTGCATCTTCTTCCCATCTTCATCTCCTTCGGGCGTACCATCTCTACAAGCCCATGCATCCACAAAGCGTAAAGTCTCGCGATTCCAGATCTTGTTCATGAGTAAAAGTCTGGCGGGGACCAACATGATGATCAAGACTGGAAAGGCTGGCCCGGCGATTGTCAGAGTGACGATGAAGATGATGATTGTGAGTACGATTTGTGTTAGCGTGTAGGCGTGAATAGGCCAGTAGCTAGAAATCGTCTTTGGTAGAGCAGGAAGCTCTGATGGCGGTGTCAAGATGGAAAAGGTGCGATAGAGAATCGGGCTGTGTGGGTTTGTTAGCAGAGTAAAGCAAGAGAAAAAGGGGGGGGGGGGGGCAAGGAAGGAAACCCTTACTTGACAGCCAAACTCTGCTCTCCCATGAAGATGAACAAGCCGGCCAATACAGATGTAGGTGTCAAACCCAACACATGCATAAACGGCGGACTCACAAACAGCATGATACCACCAGCATGCAAAAAAGCACTCCACCTCTGCTCATAAACCCTATTCACCGTTTTCATCTCCACCCTCTCCGTCCCATCTCCTTGAATGACAATCTGCTCTTGCTCGACTTCTCGCATCAAACTCTCCGAATGCAGAGGAGCTTGCGGTAAAAGTCCATTCGCCGGAGGAATCCCCAAGATGCCAGCCAAAGCAGTAGTAGTACCGAGTAACACGATGTCCAACGCAAAGCCCCCCGGTTTCTCACACCCATACCTATCAATTGTACAAATAATACTACTAACCTCGTGATCAAAGAAAAACAAGACTGTAATGATAGCTCCAGGAATCATGGCCGCAAACACCCACTCAACCCCAATCTCCCAAAACCTGACAAAGAAAATGTCTCGTGAGGGAAGGGAAGGTCGGAAAGATGTAGACACCTGCAAAGTATCTTTATCCAAATGTGCAAGCTCACCTGCATATGGTATCCCGATGAAGAAGATGATCGAAATCGCCGCCGCATACTCCGTCAACCCCAACCTCACATATTTCCCAAACAGCGGTTTCCAACTCTGCGCCGTGGACAAGAATAACGCGAGCAAGAAAGTTCCAGCAGCTCCAATAATCGCATACAAGAAACTTGCATAGTCCAGTCTCGCATGCGCTCTCTCCAACTCTTGCACAGCTTTGTGGAAATAAATTATAGAATTCAGCAGTGAAAAGATTTCACAGCTGAATTCAGTCACATAGCGCATGGTCCAGTCATGAGCATTGAAAATGGCCAGGAGATAATGCATCCAGGCCGAGTGAATAAGACTCCATGCCATAAAAGGTAAGAAGGGAATCTCGAAACTGTGAATACACAGATCGTAAATGTTTTCCGCCAGTACAGAAAACGGTCCCGTGACTCCAAGGATGGTGAGGGGTTGGATGGAGAAGAGAGAAAATATTATTCCAGAGAGTCCGGTGCTAAAGACCACTTCTATGGTCCCCCAGTTCTGGCCCGTCTGAACGTAGAGATCGCTTGCGAAGCTAGATAGTCAAAATGTCAGCGTTGATCCTTATTGCAGGCCAGTATACCCAGGACCCATCCTTGTGCACTGAACCACAAAGACACCATTCATTCCTCTCTTATTCATTTAGAAAGTAGCAGAAACTTACGTGATTCCAGGCAACAGATTCGTAAAAAACACATATACCGCACTCGCAAAAATGAGTTGATTAAACACCGTCCAATCACTCACATATCTGCCAGAGATATTCTTCACATCCTGCCGGAGCAAACGAAAAGGCCTCAGTAACCCTCCCTGTTGAAAAACTTGAGGTAATCTTCCTCTTCCTAGTGTATTCTTGATTTTTTGCAGTGCGGTCCTAGATCCTGGTTTCGGTTCTTCCATGGTTTTCTGTTTTCTTTTTTTGATTAGTTTTGTTTGTGTGCACGAAGAGACGTCCAGCGGTTTACAAGATCAAGGTGGTGCTTTTGGTTGGGTGGCCATTGCGCATATATACACAAGTCGCCAATGCGATCAAGCATTCAGAGACAGCGACGATCCGTTAACTACCAAGAATACATTTACTCTCACGGGCGAGTGCGGACTTTTGAATATACAAACTTTCAGCAGTCGTCGTGTTCGTTTCAAGAACAGGGCGAGCGACACGAGGTGATTTCGTCGTCACCGAGTGGCTGAGTTGCAAGATTTGGCGTCGAGAAAAATGATGTCACCCAAGAAGACGCCGAGACAAGCAGTCAAGATAGGCGAGCAAAGAGATGGAGAGGGAAAACATGTGCTGGAGGTTTGGTAGTTTTAGAAAATAGAATAATATAAGGTTGTTGGGTAGCTTGAGAGAAGGAATAATAGAGAGAGAAAAACCGAGGAATTACAAAAGTTGGGTGTTCAGGAGGTTGGGAAAGCTGTTTCCCTTCTCCTTGGTCTTTCCTTGGAAGACAAGAGATCTGTAGAACGACCTATCTCGTGTCTCTGAACAACCTAGTCCTTTCCGTGCCGTGTCACCATTTTGGTTTTTGGCCTTTGCGATATGTCGTTCGTGAACGCGCCCTTCCTGTCTCATTACAGGTCGTTTGCCAGCTGATAGGCAAGTGCGTTCGCTTCGTGTGATGTTCTTTCCAAAGCATAATCTTGCGTGCGTGTCATTTAAAAATCGGGGAAGAGACGGCCGTGTCTAGAAGCGGGAGAAGTCAGCTGGAAGGTTATTAAATGCAGGATCAACAAAACTTACTGGTCGTCGCCCATGTTACCATATGCCTCGGTCTCTTCTGGGTACTTGTCGAAAAGACTGGCATCACCCTGGCCTCCCTTGACTGGGGGTACGTAAGGAGCGTCTATGTCCTTCTTTGCTAGTCTCTCCCAGGTGACCTCTGCGAACCAGGGGTGTTGCATGACATCCTTGCTGCCACCGTGCAAGTTACCAAGACGCTTGGTCAGGTCGTGGGTGATGAGCTTGCTCAGGAGATCTTGAGCATCCGGGTGGACATATGGAGGGTACTTGACTCTTCCGCGGAGAATGTTTTCGTAAATCTTGAGGGGACTGCCAGAGTCCCAGAAAGGTGTGAAACCACAGAGCATTTCGAAGATGAGGATACCGAGCGACCACCTAGGCATTGGGTTAGCAGCGCACGGAGAGTTGACAAAGGGCAGACTCACCAATCAACAGATTTGTTGTAACCCTTGGACGAGACAACCTCTGGAGCCAGATAATCTGGAGTTCCGCAGAGAGTCCAGGTGATGTCGGGGACTTCTTTGGCGAAACCAAAATCGGTAATCTTGAGATGGCCGTGTCTGTCGAGGAGCAAGTTCTCGGGCTTCAGATCACGGTAGATGATGTCCATCGAGTGCAGGTAGTCGAGCGCAAGAGTGACCTCGGCAGCGTAGAACTTAGCGACGGGATTGGGGAACCTCTGCGCATTGAGTTAGTCGTGTCGCAAGGGAACAGTAGTAATTGAAGTCGACAAACCTGAGACTTGCGCAGCAAGCTGAAGAGCTCTCCGCCCTCGATAAAGTCCATGACCATGTACAGGTTCTTTGAATCCTGGAAGGTGCCCCAGAGAGTGATCAAGAAGGGATGCTTTACTTTCTGCAGCATGCGACGCTCGTCGTTGGTGTGCTCGACTTGCTTCATCTTGACAACTTGTTGCTTTTTGAGCACCTTGACGGCGTAGAAGCGCTGATTATGCTTGGACTGGACCAGGTGGACACGCCCGAAACTGCCGGTACCGAGAGTGCGGTTGATGGTGAAGTCCTGCAGTGTGTACTTGCCCTTTGTCTCGCGCACGGGATTGGAGACGGCCTTGGGCTTCTCCATTGCACCATTGGCCATGTATGCAGAGTCGTGGGGAGTTGTGGGCTGTGCTGATGGTTGGTTGATGATGTTTTGGATGCTGGCAGCATTCTGCTGCGATTGCGACTGTTGCGCTTGGGCGGCCTGTTGTTGCTGGAAGGGCTGCGACTGCTGTTGCTGGATTGGGTAGGCTTGCTGGTGCTGCATGGGCTCGACGGACTTTTGTTGTTCTTGCTTGTTGGACGCGGATTGGGAAGGAGTCGATTCGGCCGAGGGAAGCGACGACTGGGACTGGTTTTGAGATTGAGATTGCGCAGGGGCTTGCGATGGTGCAGCTGAAGCACCGGTCGTCGCTCTGGTTAAAGCGGGGCTCTGCTCTTTCGCAGCAGTGCCAGCAGCAGACGCAGACGTGGTTTGGCTGAGCTTGGTCGGCGAGGTAAGCGAGGCAAAGTTGCCCTTGACTGGAGACGTGGGAGAGCTTGGGTCGTCCTTGGTCTTCTTCTTCTTAAGGAAGCCGAGCGATGGCATTGTGTGTGTGACAACTAACTCCGCGCCCCGCAGCTGTACTGGAACAAAGCGCCTGAGACGATGTGTCCTAATTTACCACAATGACGCAGTGCTGTTTGGAAATATAACAAGCCGCTGCAAGTGATGAACAAGTGAAGCTGAAAGCTGGAGCTGAAGCTGTAGTACGAGGAGGAGAGAAGCAAGAGTGCGAGACGCTCCACCGAGTTAACTCGACTGCAAGGAACTAAAGAGCTAGTGGAGCCTGAGAACAACGTCCGTTATGCGCGCATCCAGACTCGCCAAAAGGCAATGAGATCGTTGGAATGCGGGTACCACCCAAAGGCTTGTGCTCGTACAGCGACTGATCAGCTCCAACAACTAGAGACTCGACAAGACGGCTCTTCCGTCAAGAATATGAACATGATCATCTAGCATGCCCTTTGCATGACCTTCTATTTACCCTGTCCTGTTCATCCCTGCCCCTGCCCGCTTTGTCTCATGACGACGGTGGCCGAAACCCTCCCTCCATATTCCTTTTCCACCACCCCGCAAGCAATTAATCTGCCCGTTCGCGCCAAAGCCCCAATCCGTCAACCCTTTCGTCTCGAGCCTTGCAAGCTCGTCGACTAGGAAACTGTTCCTGTCTCAGAACCCGCCTGTCCGTTTCACGCCCATCATCATGCAACCCTGACAGTCGATACCACATATTCACATGGCCACGCCCAGCTCATGCCATCAAGGCCTCGAAAGACACTTGATTTTGTTCCGTAGCAGAAGGAGCTTGGAGCTGTCCAAGACTTGCCGGATATGGTATCATAACGCCGGCCAATAATACTATTCGTTGTTCCGCACGCGTTGCTTATTGGGGCTATCTCTTGCAACCGTTCAACTATTGGACTCGTCCAGTCTGTTCATCATCCTACAACACATACTCGTGCTGAATCTCCTTTCCGCTTCCTTTCTGCCATTTTCGACTTTGTCGATCGTGAACCAACGTCATGAAAAGCGCGCGTGTTCTCTTTTGCTTGATCTGCTATGTTTTATCTTTACGGTCAAAGTTCACGTTTAGCATGGGCAACGGCGGTACGTCAGTGCACACCCTTACACAGACGAACTCTAGACAAGGCTGGCAGCACTTTGGGGTGCAAATGTTTTATGGTCCTATAAGCAGGCTACCTAGTTTTGATGATGCCTGTGATTCGGACCAGACACCCACGGCTTCTTGACGTGAACCGAAACGGGTCGTGCCGCTGTTAGAGCATTGCCTGACTTCTCACTATAACCCTGTCAGTACATAGTCATCGCCATTGATGGAGGCAATGCCGTCCAGCCCTTTGATATCATTCTGGCGGTTCCTTCGTATACAGATGGGCTCGGAGAAAGTGGGACATACTTGACTGAGCTTGAGAAATCTCTTCCTGGAATGATCAAATGACATGAACTTCCCTTTCTATATGGCCACAATCAGCCTAATGCGAACCATGCGCCAAGCTCGATTCAACTTACCTGTGACAAGCATATGCTCAGCCGCATGACTCTATCAATTCTCACCTTGTTGGTGGTCGGAAGCTCGAGAAGACGACCTTCCTCGTCGTGTTTCTCGTCAAACCAACCAGACTTGAAGTACCCTCGGCACCAGATCAAGCCGCGTAGAAGATAGTCTTCTGGCAACGGCTTTACTGCACCTTGCAGGAAGCTTCCTCGTCGGCCCTGGTCTGCCACTCGGTCTTCGATAGGCTCGATCCTGATGAAGCTGTTGAGATAGTCGACGATTCTTCCCCAGGGGATAAATTCCAAAACTTTTGTGATTAGTGCGGCCGGCGCGGCAACCAGATTGCAGATGCTCCAGAGAAAGACCAATATTGTATGTACATGTGGGAGGACGTTGAAGTCGCTCTCGCGAGTTAGTACCAGAGCGAACGTGCTGGATAGAAGGTAGAGGGAGTCGTCCAGCGCGGGACTAGATCCGGAAATACTAGGGACCTAGTCATCATGACATTAGCCACATTCTTCTAATGCGCAGGGAAACAAGTCTTTACCGTTGTCCCTTTTCTGTAAACTTTTGATAAATCACTGTCCAAGTAACCATAGCCAAAACACGCTGATATGTTAGTTACGGCAATGAAGACGCCGTGATCTTTCCATTTAAGCGCCTGACGACGAATTTGTCCATCAAGCCGGTGGCAGTAAGAAGGGACGACAACCTGAAGCTGACCCGCACAACCCCGAGACTCGCAAGCCATCAGCCTTGAATGCAGACAGAGGAACATCGCGTCTGTTCCGTCCACGTAAGGTATTACCGCTCGCTCTGGGTCGACCTTTGATAGAGCCGAGAGCAAGGATGACAGAGACTCGACGGCAGATCCGAATGGCTGAACACAAGTCAACGCCCGACAATAGTAATATGCTTGCTGAACTGCATCAGGACGTGCCAGGATGCCCAAGTGATGGTACAGTCGCCCTACATCTGGATTCCTGTTTGATGTCTTTGAGTACCAATCTCGAGCTACTCCGCCCCATATTTCACGATCTCTCATATCTATCTCTTCGACCGCCATCCTATAACGTGCCAGATCTCCAAGACACTCAATCCAGGTATCCTTGAAAGACGGGACCGTCTCGTAGAGAAGCGCGACTGTTTGGTATGCCAAATATATGAACTGTAGCATGCAATCAAGCGACTCCGGCAAACGACGACGCAGCACCTCCAGAAATGAATGGATACCGTGTTTCCACATTCGGGCTGGCATAGAGTACTTGGTGGCCAATTTTCGTAGCGAAGAACTGGTCGACGGATGCTGTGATGCAGATAAGAAATCAAGATGCTCGTGCAGTAGAGTCCTATGCACTGCAAAGAGTGCTTGCCACTGATCAAAGGAAAGATTCTCGCTCGATGTCATAAGCGCGCTATCCAGCTTGATGCACTTCGCCTCAACCATGACCAGCGCGGCATAGATACCCTTGATTTCTGCTGTGAATTCGTTTTGAGACATGTAGTCGGTCTGCCTCAAAGATCTGGATGTGTTCAAGCCAGGTATGGATTGAGCGATGTCGAGGTACAAGGTCTCGGTAGGACGACGACGACGCTTCAGCCCCTCTGTGAACTCTTCTGGCGTTTGTGGATCGTAAGTATCAAGGAATAGCTTTTCTCTTCCCGCAGCACTGATTGATGCTCCACACTTTAGTGGAGGGCATACTGTGCTGTCTTCAACAATTTTCTTGATGTATGTAGAAGCCACACATGGTGTTCTCAACGCAAGAGCTTTGTCATGACCATTGGCACACATTGCCTTCGCGTCTGTAGCACAGACCTCTGAGGTCGCTGGTCGCTTTCTCGATACAGGACTCAGCCGGATGCCATGGACCGTAGTGAGGTCTTCCTGAGCGTGCTCCAAAGACAATCGACCGAACCTTGTCGTCGTAATGGCATCAGATGGCGAGATTCGACCTGAGCGTTCTTTTGGGTAGACTGAGCTTGTCTCACGGAGGAGAGTCCTTGGTAGATGACTAGGTCTTACGTTTGTTCGTGGTGACTTGCGGCCAGAGTCCTGAGCCCTAGAGCAAGTCAATCGAGTTGTCTCGAAGATTGGTCAAATGAAGTGACCTAGGGATAATTGCTTTGGTCAAGCTCTGGGTTGGATGGGGCTTGACACATACGGGTTGACTGATTGGGTTTTACTATAGAAAGAAGAAGTCATCCATTCTCCATCCTTGCGCATTTTGCCCACGTCATGATTCGCGTGCGCTCGCGGCGGAAGATACCCATCATAATCGTCGGTGTCATCTTTGATCTCAATGCAGCAAGAATCAAAAGATGGCTTGAGTGGATCGTGGATTCGGCGATGTAAGGATTCATGTGGGTCCGCCATTACTATTAATTGATAGGAGATAGGATTGCGACGTGAGTGGCAGGCTTCTTAGCAGACCCATTCGTGTGCTCTACCTCGAATATTCCAATGTAAATGTCGAAGAAAATCAAAAGGCCTGATTATTGGAGATGCAAACGGCGGACAGAGTGCGACGTGTCGACAAAGTTTCCACGTCACACAAAGTTGACTGACACACGGGCGCTCACCACGAACGGCCGAGACAGGAATGGCAGTAAGGACAGTGAGCGACCCGACAGATACGTGATGGCAGAGATGGGACAATGTTTATATGTGTGCACCGATAGTTGACTGGTCAACTCTTATTCTTTCCAGGCAGACACACTAAGACGTAGACCTTGTGGCTTGCTGCTGAGGATGCAGGCAGACATGCTTCCCGAATGATCTTAATTTGCGCCAAGCTCCACCCAAGTGGGCGGGGTCTACCCACGAGACTCTCGTCTGCACCGGTGTCATGTTCGTGAGTCTAGATGAGATAGACTTGCCATGACTGCCTGTGCGACGTGAAATTATTTCTTCATCTCCTCGCCTTCGACCTTGCGAGAGGTTCCCTGAGGAAAGAGGGATCATGCGCGTAATGTGCTGCCTCGCGCCAACCGGTCATGCAGCTTGTCACTGGTCACGCCATGGTTCTACTTAGTCAAGTTTTATGAGCGGCTACAAGCAATTTGGTGGTCCGAATGGACGTTGATAGTAATGAGGTGATCACAATGCATACATCTCTGGCGAAGCACGGTCTCACCGCACCTCACGGTGACGAGGCAGCGTGACCTTCCATCCCTGGTCTGAACCCAGTCAAACTTTTTAATGCCGGTCGAACCTGTAGCATGTTACAAATCAGCCTTGATGGATAGCCTAGCAATGAGTAAGCTGCAAGATCGAGGACAGTCTGCTGTGCGGCCGGGATCCCATTTGCGCACAAGCATGCTAGCAGGTCCGGGGTGTATGAATGTACTGCCGGTGTAGTGCAATTTTCAGGTGACTTCCAACCACATGCTTGAGTCGGTCGTACACCGTAGGTCGCGATCCATCATGCACCTCATCCAGTCTGGATGTTGTATTAACGAGTCACAGACACCAACGCTGTCTTTTCCTGCAATGTGTGCTGGTGTCAAAGGATAAGGGGTACGCTGTAAGTAGCCTCCAGGTAGAGCCAATATTGCTGAACAGGTATGTACCAGGTGCCAACTATCAGAGGCGGATCGCAGTGATCTTTTATGCGTCGACTGACCTCTCTGTATAGTGAACTCCATCATGTGAATGCAACCTCTTCGAAAACGATTGCGCGAGTCCTCATCACTGCGGCGAGTTCCACAACGAAATGTTGCAAGATGACTATGTTTGTCACAACATGGCTTAGAGTAGCTTCTCGGACTTCAAGACTGTCCCTGTCTTGAGTCGTGAAATACTCGGAGATCAAGTTGTTGGTTTGAGAAGCGCTGGGAGCAAACCGAATCTTGCTTCTGAGTGTTTGCGCTTCGTTCTGCTTGGACTCAACATGTCCCGAGACAATATCGACAGTCAAGTTTTCGTCCTCGGGTGATTCTGGTGGTGGCGGCCTGAATATCGAATTATGTTGCTGACCCTGGGATGTCTGCGGGAGTGAACTAGATCTTGGAGGCACATTTGATAACGAACCATCTCTCGCTTGCGCATGCGATGACGACCTAGAAACACTAGACTCGCGTGATGTTGACCCTTGCCTCGATCCTACCTGAAGACGCTGTATCTGGCGATTGTCGCTTGGTCTTGAAGATTCGGTGGATTGTCTATTGGATAGATGGGCACCTTTGGGCTGGCTCAGCGAGTCTTCCCGACCAGCACCACCCAGAATTGCAACACGTTTTTCGATCAGATAGTCGATGATTGGATGGTCAGAACGTATGCTGTCGACCTGATGCTTTAGGGTACGCAACACTGCAAGCAGTAGAGGGTCTGAGGAGTCTCGTCGGCGCTGCTGAGAGTACATGGACAACAGCAGACGTAGACTCTCGGCTTCTTCCACGTCTAGACTAGCACTGTCGAACGTCGGCTCGAGTGCAGTGGCCTGATACTCCGTCCTAGGTACCGCAAGCCACTCATCAAGGCCCACCTCAGCACATGACGCCAGACAGATCGTGGCCTCTGTCACGGCGAGATTCACATCCACGCTGTTCGTAAAGAAGGATGCAAAAAGCTCTGCAATCGATCGAACGTAGGGATCGTGAGGCAACAATTTCAAAACAGAGGTCTCTCCATGAGCTCTATTTGACATTTGGATTTCCAAGGGAATGGTTATATCTTGACAGGCCGTGGCATAAGCCTCATCCATGTCGGGCTCTCCGCCAAGGTCTCTCGCAATCTGAATGAGGTCGTCCGTCTCGATGCATAATGCTTGGACGGTTCTTGTGTCCTCGGGCGACAAAACCGACTTTGATTGCAAAAGGGTGGAGATGGCATATCCGCGATGCCTCGTCAGCATGATGGACGACAGCTTCAAAGCCGCGACGACGGTCTGTGGATTTTGCGACGTGACACCATTGCGTATGAGATCGACCAGACTGAACAACGTAGGCTCAAATTTGTCTTCCTCGTCGCCGACTTGAGTCATCAACATAAGCGTACTCTGCCTTCGATAAGCAGTCGGGGAGATAGGCTCAGGCTGTTCATCATTAGTGATGGCTAAGAGATACTGCAGGGTCATCCGTGTCAAGTCAGGATGGTCGAGAGATTCGAAAATGTTGGAGAGATAGGTGAGAACAGCGACAGAAGAGCCTCCATCGGTATCAGAAGACTGTAGCAGCGATGGATATAGAAGTTGTTGTAGGAAGAGAATTCGAAAGTGGTCCAAAAGAGTGGTCTTGACACTTTCGGATTTGCAGTGTTCCAAAACATCTTGCCAAAAGGCCAGGTGGGAGAGGAACGTGGCCATGTGAGTGGCGTGGGTTGGGGAGAAAATGCTCTCGGTGGACGAGAATTGCTGAGCATCGACATAGTCCGAGAGAGCAAGAATTATGGGTAGGCGATCATGGTCATGCAATATAGACAACTCACGACTCAGCTGGCTGTATAGGGCGCCGAGACCTGAAGCCATCAAGGTAGGCAGGTCACTGTCGATGATCCAATTCTCGAGGTTTGTAGAGTATGATATAGCTTCGAAGATGTATAGCAGACCAGTACGCGCAAAGTCACCTATACGACCATCATGATGAATGCGATCAATCAAGAGATAGCATAAAGGGAAGTCATCCTTTTGGGTCTGCCCAGCAAAGTGAGTGGAGTCCTTGTGGGAAGCATTGTTGTTCGCTGACGAAGAGAACCAGACGGAGAGGATGTCGGGCTGGATGCGGATCTTCGCAACGACAGCAAATAGAAGCTCGACGACGTCTGCCTCGATGTCTTCGCCAAAGCCGCCAGAGTTCGAGTCTATGACCTTCGAGGCGAAACGCATAAAGGACCTGGCAAAGGCATTGGAAGCGACGAAATCTTCGTCCTCGCTCTCCAGCAGTAAACTGAACAAGAGGATGGCCTGACGGACCAGGCGTTCATCGCGAGAGGTCGAGGCAGCGCGAGCGACTACGCTGTAGATCTGAGAGGATTGAGCAAAGTTGAGACACAGGTGTGGAGCAGGGGTACGGCTCTCTTCAGCGAGTAATGCGGTGATGTTTTGCAGCGAGGAATAGAGCTGGTCGAGGGCGGGGCCATGCGAGGCCAGGGTCTGCGGTCGACCACATAGTTGCAGGATGGGATTGTATGCTCGACGGAAACGTTGTAGGCGTTGTTGCGGACTGGACGCAGCTGCCGGGGCAGACTTGGGCTTGCTCACGCCGCTGATGAGTTTCGTCCACTATCATGTAGCTGTCAGTGACGTGTCCGCATGCACACTTCAGATGCTCTTTGCCTACAAAGTCCATGGAGAGTCGGCTCGGGATGCTCAGAACATTGCTGCTACCTGCTTGCTGGCTGCGGCGCCGTATTTGCATGTGAACCTGAAACGGCAGGGGCTCAAGCACAAGCGTCAACATTTCCCCTTCCCCACATTTGCTCCTCTGCCTCTGACGTACGCTCCTTCCGACTTGACCCTCTTTGTCCGCAGGCCGAAGCTTAACTCCGAGGAAGGTGCACCCGAAATCGGTCAGTTGCATACCGACACTCGAGTAGTATTGCTCCATGCCATTTGCCTCCTACAAACTTGTATATTTTCGAATCCTCCCCTATACGCCTTGTAGTTATCTGGTCCTCTGGTCATACATATCCTCGACCTCCAGCCGCCACCATGGGCACCTTGACGGCTGATCTGCCTCGTTTGCCCGAGTACTGTGACCATAAGCTACCAACCTCTTGTCGTCTATCCTCGATCCCGAATTGCTGCGCCTGTGCCGATGAGCGAGCCCATCAATCGAGTTATTCGACTTATATCGATGGTGTTGGCTTTGTCTCTAGAGGTGCTCGTTGGGATCGATACTGCTGGCCTTGCTCTCGTACTATATCTCTCTTCGTCCGCTTCTCGCAGTCCCCTCACTGACTCGGTGCAGAATTCTGGAGAAACAGAGTCGCTCAGACAAATCTACTCCCCACTCAGACTCGCATCCCGACGATACCCGATCAGTCCGCTTTCCTGGATCGATGGTACCAGTTCTATAATGGCTACCGCAACGTGCTTCGTTCTGATGGTACCGAAGAGAGAGTCGCGGTGCTGGGTGAACGCTTCAGGGATGTCTCGCCCGGTCGCCTTCCTAGGACGCTGGACGAGCTCAGGGCTGGTCAAGAACGAAGTGACGCAGATCAACTCCAACACGTCAACATTGTAGTAGACGAGACTCCAGATGGCCCATCTTTGGAAGACGCTCTGGATCAGATGTTCGAAGAGGCTGAGGAAGAGGATCAAGATACAGGACGAGAGCTTGCCCCTAATCTCATACACGCTCCCTATACGTTCAACTCCAACGACAGTCGCAACACGCCTCGTGTCGCAGGTCAGGTCATGAGAGCTGCTCCTTCGAGAAATCCTGAATATCAGGCTCGCAGGATCTCTGCTCTCAGGAGGGAACTGCTTCGCATGAGGAATGGTATCGAGCGTGTCATCTCTGGCCTAAGGGACCTCGGCGAACCTGTGCCCGACCACACAGACACCACTAGTCGCCTCACAGAGATTGGGAGATCACTCGACACCATGTCTTTCATAGATGCCTCAACATCAATACATCCGGCTTCGGGGAGTCGTGAACCACGCGCTCCTGTCGTTGGATCGGTCTATCGCAACCCTCTTTTGACCAACGTTCAGCAACGCTTCGATGAGGCCCAACGACAACTTGAACAAGCTCAGAGGTTCCGCGATCAGTCATCAGTAGAGTTCCAACTCGCCCACGCTAGCCACAACGAAACTTCGGACATACTCGAGGGCGCAGAACTTGACTTAACAGAGCACAGAGAGCAAGTCTCTCAACTTCGTCGCGAACAACGTACTGCAGAGAACTATTCTCGTCTGTTTGGGACACGTGAGGATATGGAAAACGCAGGTGCTGATTATGAAAGTCCCATTGGCGGAATGTTCACACGCGCTTGGGACCGTTTCAGAGTCGCTGAGGGAGTCAGGCAAGACGAGCGCACTCTGCGTCAGGTCTTGGAGAACGAGCAAATGGCTACCGGACCTCTGTTCTCAAACGACAACGAAGAAGCCAATCCGGCAGCCAATACTGTCTATGAGGATCGCTTAAATGAGTACTATAATATGCTTAGGCAACAAGATTGGGTACAAGATGTCCGGGCACCTACAGCGGATCGCGACATTACTGTTGATGCGACCCTCCCGCCCATAGAAGCGACAGTTCCACTCTCGGGCTCTCAGGCAGATGAGAACTTGGCCGAACCAGCTGCGTCTCAGGAAATGTCTACCTTGGAGAGACTGCTGCGCAATACACCCGAGCCTCAACGAAGCTCCATAATCGCTCGTATGGAGGAGAACGGTACGGCTGCTGCTATTCGAGAGTCTGATAGTGGTAACTATATTGATGTCTGGAGACGTCTACGCGACGCCTACGCTCCCTTCCGAGGAAACTGGGAAGAGGAAAGCGAAACATCAGAAGACGATGATCGTATCAAAGGAGGCCTTGATGCTGAAGACTCTGGACGACCGGAGCCCAAAGAAGATATCGACATGACTCTTAAGCTGGATTGCAAGATCTGCTACACGCAGACCGCCGACACCGCATGTCTTCCTTGTGGACATCTAGTGATGTGCCAATGGTGTAGTGCGCAGCATTCACCTGTCATGCAACATGATAGAACGAGGCCGCGTAAACCAGCAAACTGCCCGGTTTGTCGTAAGAAGATTAAACAAAAGGTTAGAATCTACCGAGCATGAATTGCTTACAATAGACGACGAACACCATGCACTAGATAGATGATATGTCAATAGCACAGCATACACCAAGATCATTGCCGCTACTGTCGAACCCAGCTTTCCAAATCTTACCTGGCGACAAGGGTTGCTCTAGGATCGTTTTTGTCTGCGTTGTTACTTCGAGACCGTCGGTCGGTATTTATTCCCGTCCTGCAACCACGAGCAAAATTGTTCATACTTCTACATACCTGTGGAGCATCAAAACATGCTTCCAGGGGCGCTCGGCAATGTTTCCTTCCAGACCATGGAAGCTTCATGGAACTCAGCGTGGCGCACTCGGCCGAGCTCCCTGATTTGTAGACTGGGGAAGGTAAAGCGACTTTAGCCGGGAGAAATAGTAAGACTCGAAAGACTTAAAAGAGATGGCGAGAGCCTGTTGAGAGATTTGAAGAACTACATCCAATTCAAACATCTAGACGAGACAGACATGATGGCGAACCAAAAGACATTGCTTTCTGAGCTTCGTGCTCGTAGTGCTATCGATTGTGACACCCTCGACTTGGAAGGTATGCTCTATACCAATAACTTGAAAGTGACTATACTTCGATGCTAATACTCCCTTGATAGTCGCAAAGGCATTGGGTCCATTCGTCGATTGTACATCCAACCAGGTGAGTCAAACGGATCAGAACACATCAAGCATCAAAAGGTGGCGCTAACCTCTAACCAGGCAATCGTGAACATTGAATTACAGAAGCCCCAGAATGAGCCTCTTGTGGTTGAGGCCATTCGACAGGCTAAGCAGCTGTACGAGCAATATGCAACCGAAGCAACCTTCGAACAGTTTGCATCCGAGGTCATGGTTAGTCCGATTAAGCGATACCATAACCCAACGGACATCAACTCACGCATCACCCGCCCAGGCAGTCAAACTTTCAGCAAGAATGATCCCCTACTTGACCGGCCGCGCTCTGATCCAAACAAACCCCTACAACGCCTACTCAACATCTGCCACAGTTGCAAATGCCAAACGCATCGTTGCAATCTACAAGACTATCCTGCCCTCTCACCCAAGCAATCGTGTCTGCATCAAGATCCCGAGTACATGGGAAGGCATTGCTGCGTGTAAGGAGCTTGAGCAACAGGGTATTGTGACTCTAGCCACCACCCTGTTTTCGATGGAACAAGCTGCCGCAGCCTCAGCAGCTGGTTGCACTTACATTGCACCCTACGTTAATGAGCTACCCGTACACTTTGTACCTGGGTGAGTCTCTTTCCCCCCTGAGTCTTCAACAACAACAACAAATTGAAGCATGCTGACCAAAAGAAAAACAGCCACATCGACAACGACAAAGGTTTCGCTTTGACCCGCTCCTGCCAAAACTTCTACACCCGCATCTCATCTCGTACCCTCGTCATGCCAGCCTCCTTGACTTCTGTAGAAGAATGCCTGCAAGTGTCTGGTGCCCACCACATTACCATTTCTCCTTCTTTGCTTGCCGCTTTGGCTGCTACACCTGCTCCTGCCTCTTCTGCGCCTTTGTTCTTTGATGAAGAGGTCAAGGGAGAGCAAGTAGGCGATGAGGCATTGATGGAGGGCGTAAAGGAGGAAGCGAGTTATAGGATTAGGTATACGAGGTTGAAGAATGGGGCTGCGGAGAAGAAGTTGGTGGATGCGATTAATATTTTTGCGGACTGTCAGGACGGGATCGAGGAGTTGGTTAGGAGGTATGTCAAGTAGGTGGGAAGTAAATGAGGTGGTTGCGAGAGTATGATGAGTGGGATGTGTAACATCAGTGTACTTATTGCTTCCTCTTCTGTGTGCGTTGGATTCGTTCCAAGGGGCATTGCCTTTTGAACTATGTGCAGAATCATGGCACGAGAAAGAAGACAAACAAAGGGAAGAGCGAAACAGGAAAAATCGAAGGATAGAATAGCAAAGTAGAAGGGAACATGGCAAGGTGAGGTGGAGTGACTTTCATTACACCGCTTGGCCCTTATGTTCTACTGACCGTTTCAGCTCTTGCTGCTATCTATCTAGCACGAAGCTGGTTCAGAGAAGGCCCAGGACCAAGATGATGTTCCAAAGATATGTATTATTGATCCGACGGCTATCTCGTGATCACTCAAGAGTAGCGGTTATGGTCAGAAACGCTCCGAAGTACAGCGCGTGTGAGCATGCGGATTGACTCAAGGGACGGTATGGTTCGTGGTCGCGTGTTCGATCTGCAGGACATGCAGAGTTGGGAGGATGGGGGAGCGGTCGGACGCTGGGGAGGCGCGATCTGAACAAGATCGTTGACAGTGCCGGATGGTCTCAATCACTGTTCAGAAGATCCTCGAGATCGTCATCATCCCATCCACCTTTTCTTCTCGACACCTTGACAGTCTCCTTCTTCTCTTGCTGCTCGGACATGGCACCGAGGATGTCCTTGAGTTGGGCCTCGCTGATCTTCTGTTTGAGCTGACCACTGCGAGCCAGCATGATGAGTCTGTTCTCGACGTCCTCGGCGCGCGACTGCTTGACAAGGCGAATACGACCTAGACGGTCTGCGGCATCGGGTTCGAGGATTTGCGACAAGATGCTTGCGCGTGCTTCGGCTGTAACACGATCGTTTTAGTTGTAGATTCGCAAAACACTGCAGTGCATATTCCTACCTTCACGCTGCTGCTTCTGCTCTTGCTGGTCCCCTTGACCACCTTGACCGCCCGCCTGGCCTTGCTGCTGCATCTCTTGCAGGCGCGCACGCCTAATCTGGAATGCCAAGTCAGATCATTTCTGTCCTGGTACAAACTGCCAGAGGATCGTGTTTACTTACTTGTTCAAGATCAGAGTCACCCATGATTGGTTTTCCTTGTTGCTTTCCTTATCTTTGTCGAGACGAAAAGTCCAGAGCTTGTTTTCGAGAACCCCTCGTGCCCTCACTCACTCACTGACGCCGCGCAACCCCGCAACTTTCTGATGCCAAGCCTGCTGCCGACCCTGCTTGATGCATTTCCAGAAGCAGTCCAAAAACCCGCGTCCACTTATCGCGACTTATCTCACTCTGCCCTTGGTATCTGCCTCCTCCAATGGTTCGATCGAGATGGCTTGCTACTCATATGCGCCCTAATTCAGGCAAGGTAAGTCGGTACTGTATTGCTTTCCTGCCACCGTCTCTCCGTGGTCGGAGTCTGTCTCTCTCTCATCTTCTTATCAAGTCACACATAAGACGTTCTCTATATCCTCAATCGTGTCTGTTGTCTGTTATAATATCCTACTCTTTCATCTGACGTCGTGGTTGAACCATCTATCCCGTTTTCAACTTCCCCTCTTTTCTTCCAAAGCCAGCTACATGGCGGGTCTCTATCTATCCATACTCGGTGTTGTGTTCGCAATTGTCACCATTTTATACTTTAATTCGAACGAGAGGCAAAGAACTGTACTGTCGAGCAGATTCGGCCTCGATAGACAGCGTAAGCTTTCATGGGCACCTCCGCGATCACCATCTCCGGCAAAACGTGAGCTGGCCGAAAAGACATCTCTGCCTTCTGGTCAAGAATACCGCGACACATTCCCCCCATCTAGACGTTCAGCTCTCGCCGAACTCACCGATGGTCGATTCAGCGTCGGTGGAAAGTCAGGCAAGGGTCTGAGTGAGCTTCCTCACAACACCGAGAGATGCCTTCCATACGATTGCAATGTGCTGGCACCTAAATACAAGAAGTACTCTACACCAACTGGCTTCACCATCGAAGAAATCAAGGCTCTAGGCAACTTCCCAGACTACGCAACTCTGAGTGGTGTACCTAGACCTGCCCCGTATACCGACTTCGACATCAAGACCGCGAAGGCTAGACCATACCGCCCGATCAGATGGGCATACCATCAAACCATGTGTAAGTATCAACACAACCCCCATCACCCCGACCTTACAACTGACGTTCCTCTCTATCGATAGCATACAAAAAGCTCGAACCAGACTGGTGGTTAGAACTCGACTCGACATACTCAACCCGCATCCAACAACGCCAGTCCCTCTACGCAACCCACGGCTCCGAAATCCTTCAGTCCCTCCCCGGTTCAGAAATCGCCTGCAAAGAACTCATGGAAATGTGTCTCCAATTCCTCTGCTCCCGTTACCCTACACACTTCACCATCGACTCTAAAGCCCTGCTCTTCCACAACAACATCTTAAACACGATCACAAATCTGAGGGAAATGGATCCGTTGGAAGTGCTGTTGAACAATGTACCAGAGGACTTTGCAATCGTGCTCAGAAATCCAGAGACTGGCTACTATAACTTCAGAGCAGGTGTAATCTGTAGTTCTCTAGGATGGAGTGTCGCCTCAAAGATTGGAAAAGATCTCAAAGACATACACGCACCCATCCCCGATTACAAGGAAAAAATGGAGTTTTCAATGGATAGGTAATGTTGTTGTTCCGCGGCCCTTAGGTGACTTTTACTGATCACCCAAAAAAAAAAGCAGATTCTTCGCCAAAATGCCAACGGATAAACCAATTCAACGAGGTTCTTGGGGGCTAGAGGTTGGTGAACCTTTGTTCATGCCTCCCAATGACCCTCATGCAGCACTACGCAATACACAGAACCCCGACCATACGATTTCAGATATGAACTTGCGTGTGGATTGGCAAACGCTACGTCGTCTACCCCTCTCTGGTGGTGTGGTGTTTAACTTCAAATGCCTATTCACTCCTGTGACAGAGTTCGAGCACGAGGCGTATATACCTGGATTAATGCTCAAGGTATTGAAGGAGGGGAAGAAGGAGTTGATGGAGTACAAAGGGACATGGCATACAGAACATGTTGTTATCCCTGCATTGCAGGAGATGGACAGCAGACAGAAGGAGAAGGGTATGGTGGAGAAGGACTGGGAACCCGTGACATTGGATGAGTATCCTTACTTCCCTGGTTGGCAAGACAAGTGGCATGCTCAACAAGGCTTCTAAAGAAGAATGGTGATGTTTTTTTATGACAAAGAAACCGTTTCATATGCAATAAACTCATCTTATCAACCATGTCATTATATGCCTTCCCTTCCATGTAAACCCATTCCAGAATCTCATGACTTCCAAAAAAAAAAAAGGAAAAGAAAAAAGCACATCAATGCTCCCCTTTCCTCTCCTTATGCTCCAATTCCTTGACATAACGTACAAACGCCTTTTTATGCACCAACCCTGCGAATTTACCCCCATCAACCACACACAAATACCTAAGTCCCAATTTCGAAAAACACTCAAACACCAGCTCCAGGGGGGACTTTATATCCAAGGCCATGGGGGAGGGATCTACACAGCTGCTAAAGTCTAGCTCGCCATCTCGTAACCCACGGCCGATTTCCGCATCAGAAGACTCGAGGATGTGCATAGAATCCGAGGGTGACGAAGCGTCAGAGGAGGAAGGGAAACGAGATGCAGGGCGGCCGAGGTAGCACATGGCATCGTGTTCATCTTCACCGAGATGGTCGAGAGCGAATTCGAGATCTGGGCCTGGGATTATACCCACGAGGATGCCGTGCTTGATTATAGGGAGACCGCCATCGAGTTCGCCGGCCATGTGCATATACTCTAGTTTGCTGCGAAGCTGGTGAGAGTGTACAAAAGGTGAAGATGAAATGTCGATCAGACGCTTTGGGTTGGGCGCGTGGGTTATGTCACCCAAGTCACCGAGGAATGGAGGATGAGATTTTGCGTCGAGATATGGGTAATGGTTCATGTCTGTGAGCAGATCCTGTGGACCATGTTAGTATGACAAAATCGATGGAACCATGCCTGTGGACTCACGTAGATGCTTAGTGGCTCGAGCGCGTCAGCTGTCCATTTAGACACCAGAACACCGATGGAGAAAGGAAGAACGTGCTCCAGCGAGCCGGTCAACTCAAACAGGATGACTGCCAAAGTGACAGAAAGTCTGGTGACGCCAGTCATGGTCGCACCAGCTGCTACGAGCGCATACACACCCGGCACCACACACGATTCAGGGTTGCCGTTCGCGGGACAATTTCCAAAGATTTCCAGTTCAGGGTACTTGAGCGTGATTAACTGTACTGTATGGCCGACGATACGGCCAAGCAGGCCACCAACCACCATAGATGGCACGTAGATACCAGCAGGTAGTTTGATCCCGAATGTTACGATCGTGAGTGCGGACTTGATGAAGAATGCAATGCAAAGGTAGCCAATAACATTGGGAATGTTCTCCTCAGTAGGACAAAGGCCATGTCCAGAAGAGCTGAAGGAACTGCAGGGACTAGCCAACTCAAACAACAGCTCCGAAACCGGGATCCTAGTGTATCTGTTCCAGAAGCTGACAAGTCCAGTAACCAAAGCAACCAAGAAGACTTCAAGTACAGGATATTTCTTGATAGTTGGGATGCGTCTGAAAGTTGTGGCCCACAGGCGAGATGCCTTGATGAAAAGTGCTCCTAGTGTGCCACCCAAGACACCCAAGAGAATGAAAATGGCCATCTCGAAGAACTGCCAATCTTGGAGGTATCGGACTTCGAAAAGAACGATCTTGTTGGTTCCATAAGGATTGAGGAACTTTAGAGATAGTGCTGCGGCCTGTGAACATTCAGTCATCTTTTGCATTCATAATCAGTAGGTCGGCAAACTTACAATGCAGCAGAAAAATGTTCGGAACAAGGTCTTCGGAGGGAAGTAGTAGCTGACTTCTTCCAAGCTGAACAAAACACCTCCGATAGGAGAGCCAAACGCAACAGCAACACCACTTGCCGCGCTGGCACTTAGAATCTCTCGCCTTTTCGCATCGTTGACATGATACTTTTCGAACATTCGGCAAGCCACATTGCCGACACAGGTCGCAATATGAACAAAGGGGCCCTCTTTGCCGATTGAGAGGCCCGAAGCAACACTCAGAATCAAGCCCAAGGTCTTGAAGAGTAGAGTTCGTAGACCGAGATAACCGCGAATAATGAAACCGCTGAGAATGACCTTGACTTCAGCTACACCACTTCCAGCCGCCGGGTAGTAGATCATCGGAGGACGTTGAGCGGCCTTTGCAAAGCGACCCATGGGACTGCCGTCACTATCTTTCCTTGCCTCAGCAGTAGCTGGTGGATGCGCGGCAAGGTTCTCATCCAGCGTGGACAGAGTGACGGGTGAACTGATGGCAGTCTTTGTCTGCAGGGTGACTAGACAAGCTGCTAGAGATAGAGCTATCACCCACACGACAAAAGCAGCATAGTCAAACCATCCGTTCTCCTCAGGACCAGGCGTCAGACGCAATGACCAACGAGACCATGCATCGCAAGTATTGGCGCCTCCACAACAACTTCTCTTTCCGTAGTACCATGTGTGAGAACAATAGCCACTTTTCAGGTCGAATATAACAGATTCCGAGACGTCGACAATATATGCAATACCTGCGGTAACACATCCGATGACAGCAACCAGTATCCATCCTTGAGCGGAATCAAACAGAGCCTCTGCTCTGCCCCTGAAGCCTTTACGGCTACGCAACTCTTTCAAGCGGAAGGCGTCGCTTATGCTGTCTTGAACCCAGTCGGTACTCGTGTACTGGTCGTACCACACGCGGTCATCACGGTATATAGAATCGGTCAGGTTTTGGTGGTCGTCTTCTATAAAATGCGTTAGCATAATGGTAGTCCCCAGCAAGCAAGATGCACACCTTCAGGCTGATGCGTCTCAGCTCCGAGAGCCTTCGCAACTCGAGAGCTGAGAGTGCCTGCACGTCTTTCGACACCAGGAGCACTGTTCCTCCTGCGGAATGTTTTCTTTGGGGATTGCGGCGCCGAAGCAACAGCGCGGTATGAGGGTCGACCATCAGGGTTGTCCAGCAAGGAAGCATGGTCGTCGAGTATTAATCGTGAGGGAAGTCTGCTCCTGAGATCCCAGTCCGAGGCGAGGCGGCGGCCATGTCGTCGCACCGTGCTGGCCCTACTGCTCTTTGGAGTACCCGGTATATCATCGTCGTCAAAGGCGTCTGCGTCGTGCGCATACGAGGCTACAGATTTCGGCATTAGGGGTTAAGTTAGTTGCATGTGCATATATGTACGAGGAAGCACCATGTCTGCCGAGATGCAGCTTCGAGAGGATGTCGGACAAGATGTAGGCCACAGCTCGGAGATGAGAGAGCATCAGTGCCCCCTTGACCGCTGGCCATCCCTCGAGTCGCTACCTGACTATCCACTGTGCCCTCTGACGCGATGGGCCACTCGAGCCTTGGCATGTGATCATTCGCACTCCATCTGAGGGGCTCATGACATGAAGAACGTCTCAAGGGGCTCGACTGGCTTATCGCTCAGACCTGCCAAATCTCGACGGTGCTCACATTCTCTCACACTTCTTCATGCATGCCTGTTCTAAAAGTGCAGATGACCATCTGCTTAAGCTTTGAGACCCTGCGCTTGCTCCCGCCAAGTGCCATCAGAGCGGTGTGACTGGACAGCAGCTGAATATCACCTCCAGATCTCGTCCTAAAACTCGCCTGTTCTCCACCCGTGTCTGCTTCTCCTTTTATCTAGCCGCTTCGCCCTCACCGTCGTCGCATGGTACTTGCAAACATGTTGGACTCGTTCATCCGTACATCCTTCAAGTCTGACACGACCATGACTTGAAACAGTTTCGGTGCTGAGGACCGAGATAAGTGGCTATCAGTTCCTCCGTCTTTTTATCCGATGAGCCGCCAAATCCCGTCGTATAGTGAACTCCACTCCTCTCCACAGTTGCCATATCATCACGCTAGTGCTTTGTACATCTCCTTGTCTGTTTCATCATCGAACTCTCCACGCAAAAGTCCATCATGGAACAATTCATCTTGTTCGGCGATTCCATCACGCAACAGTCCGCGAGCCAAGCAAAGGGGTTTGGCTGGACACCAGCTCTGCAAGATAGTATGCATCAACAGTGACATGTGATGTTCGCTGCTAAGACGTGATAGCATACATTCGTCGTCTCGATGTGGTCAACAGAGGCTTCAGGTATTTCGTGCTTTCCACTTTGTCAACGACAGTTATCTAATAACTTACCTCAGTGGATACAATACTACACAGGCTTTGAGTGTATTGGATCGTGTTCTGCCAACTCCTGAGCAGGGCCGCATCCGCTTGATGGTCAGTTCGGCATGTCCATCGTAGGGTACACAACAGTTGCTAAACCATACAGACCATTTTCTTGGGTGCTAATGACGCTCGGTTACCAAACACACCTGGGTTCTCTCAGACTGTTGATCTCGAACAGTACAAGAAGAACATGACAGACATTGTCAACCATCCCAAGCTGCAAGCACATAAGCCTCAGCTTATCCTGCTCACCCCGCCTCCGATCGAGGAGAGAAAGGCGCTTGCGCATGACCAGTCAAACGGTATCAACGTGATGAGACGTACTGCCTCAAACACGGCCAAGTACGCAGAGGCAGTTCGCCAAATCGGACAGGAGTTTGGTATTCCTGTTCTCGATGTCTGGGCTGCTTTCATGAAGGAAGCTGGCTGGAAGGAGGGCGAGCCGTTGCCTGGATCAAGTGAGATTGAGCAGAACAAGGCGCTTGCCGACATGCTGCATGACGGTCTTCATCTGAACCCAGAAGGCTACGAGATCATATACAGGGAGTTGATGAAGCTGATTACCGAGAAGCTGCCCGAACACGCACCGGACAACATGCCGTACGTGTTGCCATCCTGGGATGATGCTACGGCTTGGAAATAGTAGAATCGAGATAGATGTACACACTCAGATGCGATGAGTACACAATAGAGCGTCCCATTCCAGACTCGTGTTGGAGTCCTCCCTTGTGATGGATACTGTCACAACCACTCTCCTCTATGATGATGCATGGCGATAATGAGCTGTAACCAGGCACATGTGTTGCTCACAATCAGACAATTCGGAAAGCAGTTTGGTGAGACAAGATGTAACGGTAGACGTGGTTGCAATGCGTCAAAAGCTCGGTGCTCATCGACAGCTGCAAGCGTCACATGCAAGATGATTTAGCTGGTGGAGAAAAACGTGGGTTGTTATACAAAGCTCGGACGTGGTGGTGATGACGTTTTGACAGAAAAAGAAGTGGAAGTTGCAACGCCCAGGCTGGACGGAACGGCGTGCTTGGTCTTCGACGTCCAAGAGGATTGTGCCTTGATTCATTTGCTCGCTCACTTTTCGACCATTCTTACAGGAATAGCGAGGCCTGTGTCAACATTCGACCCTCTCACCGGCTGTTCCACGTCGAACCCTTCACATCCCATCTTCATCATGGCGACAACAGCAGAGTCGACTCCCCTCCTGGCGAAGAAGCCCGATCGTCCTGCTCGCAGCGTTACTTTCAATCCCACCATTGCGACGAGCAGCCCGCCACCCCGTAGACCCATGTTCCCGACATCTGGTGCGCTTTCAACAGGCGCAGTCTCAACATTAAATACACCGCCGAGAGATGGTAGCCAGCCCATGCTCTCGGCCCTCAACAGCAAACTCCGCAGAAGAAACAGTCAAGGCGCTCCATTGACGATAGCTCCCGGTATTCCCGCCGCAAAGATCGGTCCTCAACGCACAACAAGGACTGCTCAGAAGTTAAAACTCTTACCCAATCCGGAACACGGGGATGACGGTCCCGACGAAGAGAGTGGTCGCGATGTTTACTCGCAGTTCACCAGGATAAAAGACCCCACTGCCCGTCGCGATGCCGCAAGGCTGGGCAAGGACGATAGAGACAAGCTGCCTCGTGTTACCGCATACTGCACAGCCAGCTCATACCGTATGGAGGATCTGTTGCGCTTTCTCAAGGGACGCAAACTTAAGAAGGCTGCACCAAAGCAATTCGACGAGTGCATATACACGCCCTACCAATACAACGCCAAGTCGGAACTGCAGCAAGACCAACCCAGTGTTGTACATTCTACCGCTCAACGCAGATTCTCCGACAGTGCCATCGAGGTCGAAGGTAATGCTGAGAGGAGACGAGAAGATCTGCTGGACTTGCAAAATGACAACCGAGAGTCGGCAATAATGGACAATCACGAGGCCTCTACATCGAGCGAGGCTCTGATCATGCCGCACAACGACACACCTGACTTCGACACGACTGTTCACGTTCCCGAGGTCTTTTGCTTCGAGTACGGAGTGGTGGTGATATGGGGCATGTCTGTCCAACATGAACAAAAGTTCTTGAAAGAACTTGCCAAATTCGAGACGGAGAAGCTCTCAAAAGACGACATCCAACAGGAAAATTTCAACTTCTACTACACCAAGGAATACCAGGCTCGAATCTACAATGACTTTATCAGTTTGAGAGAAAAGAAGAATTACATGACCAAACTGGCCATCAGCCATGCTCTGGCACAAAGCACAAAGGTTCGCATACAGTCAGGCCACGAGCAGACACGAGGAGCTAATTGATTTCACAGACATCATTATACGAAGACTTGGTAGACAACACGATCGACGTCAACAAGGAGATTCCAGCACAGATTGCGCTTACGGGCAAGGTCAACATGTCACGCAAGGAGATCAACATGCAAATCGGAGAGCTGTTTATTCTACGAATCAACATCCATCTTCAAGGATCAGTGCTGGACGCACCAGAACTCATGTGGGCAGAACCGCAACTGGATCCTGTTTATCAGGCCGTGAGAAGTTACCTAGAGATGGACCAGAGAGTGAGTCTCTTGACGGAGCGACTGGACGTGATTGCAGATCTTCTGGCCGTGTTGAAGGACCAGTTGACACATTCACATGGTAAGTCAAGAAATATGGCATGTCGAGCTTGAGCTAACAAAAGGTGCAGGTGAATACTTGGAGTGGATTGTGATTGTACTCATCGCAGCCGAGATCATCGTGGCTGTCATCAACATTATAGTCGATCTGTACGCAGGCGTGGATTGAGGAGATAATGGACAGAAGCAGCGGAGGTGGGGCAGATGGAGTGCAGTCAGAATGCCTCGTTGCGGGACAATATAGGCATGAGAGTGCATGAATGCAGTCAAGGAAGAGGGGTAGTCATAGTGGTCGGGGCAGAGGATTTGCTCGTACTCGTATCGGTCTTCCCGAAAACATGCATCCTACACGATAATGTTCAGATGAAGCAGATGGGATAGGGGTGGATAATTCGACGATAGAATAGGGGAATTCGCATTGTACAATAGTAGTAACGGCGGATGCAAGTGCCATGGTGAAGTCCAGCTGTTGTGGTCGAGGAGGGTAAGTGGACGGGTGGAATCAGGAGAAGGTGGATCTTGAAGTTTGATGATGTCTGGACCCTGCGACAGGCCTCGGTGTCTTCTTGCGGTATACGCGACGTGATAGACGGCGTCGCACAAGGATCGCATTGCTGGACCATTACAATATACAAGAATATGCTCATTGACCGGACTCGATGAGTTGGAACTTGCTCGAGCGCTTCATCGAGTCGGAACACTTCAACAGGGACCCGTCGTTGACTGTGGCCTATCTGGCTCGATACGCCGACCATGTTGGAATCCAATACGTCCTCTGCTCCAAGCTGCGGCAGTTCAGCTATGAGGACATTGAGTTCTTCCTGCCGCAGCTATGCCACCTGGTCATGTCGCTGGACAACGAGAGCATGGCCCTCGAGGACTTCATCCTCGATCTATGCGAAGAGTCGGTGAATGGCGCCCTCTTGGTACGACGCGCCTTGCAACGCACCCGACCACTCGACTGCCTCATGCTTATGCCGTATACAGACATTCTGGCTTCTACAGACGTACCTCCGCGACCTCGCCCAAACGCCCACGTGCAACGCTTTCAAGACATGCCGTCGCATCTACAACAGAGTCCAGCGAATCGTCTTTGGTTCGTCCGAGCCCGCCCGCCGAGAGAAGATCACTGAGAATGTACTGCCCGTCACACTGCTCTCGAGTCTTGTGCTCGGTGCCATAGCCGCGCCGTTCCTCCCTCGTCATGCTGGCCCGCTGGCCATCGCGCAAGCTAGGAGGCCACGTCCAGTCGAAGAGACCATCTCGGACAACGTACAGCCACAGCGCATTTCCAGAAGTCACACTGTCTCGGGTGCCCCTGGCCGCACGAGGAGGATTCGTCCATCAACCCAGCCGTCGAAAGAAGCCTCGACCCCACCAGGCACCTCGACTCCAAGAAAAGCCTCACGCCCTCTGTCAGTACTGACCAAGGATAGCCCAACTCCTTCCAAAGATTCGCCCGGGAACCGTGCCATGGCAGAGGCACTGCGCGCAACACAGAACAACCAGGCCTTTGCAAGCACTTCGTCCCTACCCGAGCTCCCCTCACAACCTGCTCCCGAGCCGCCGCGTCTGTCTCGCCGTCCTACAGAAGCCTCCATACGCCGCCACTCTGCTAGTACCAAGGCTGTCAACCTGTCTAGCATGTCCCGCTCGCAAAAGATCCGCATGCTCCGTTCGAACTACTTTCGAAGTCAGACACAGTTCTTGAGCGCTCTGGAGGATATCTCTAATCGCCTGGTCGCCGTACCGAAACCTGCTAGACTAAGCGCTCTTCGTGCTGAGCTTGCTCTGATCGCTCAGGACCTCCCCGCAGAAGTCGATGTGCCTCTTCTCTGCCCTGCGACCCTTCCAGACGGCAGTCCAAGTCGCAGTCAACATCATCGCATTGTCAGGCTCAATCCTGCTGAAGCCACGAGTCTCAACAGTGCTGAGAGGGTGCCCTATCTGTTGATGGTTGAAGTCCTGCGTGAAGATTTTGATTTCGATCCAGAATCTGACCAGAACACACAGCTGTTGACAAAACTGATGCTCGAAAAAGGGAAGCCCCAGCGTCGACTATTCGACATTACAGATGCCTCACGAGAATCTGTTCGCTACCAGACCGAAGTCCCCGTCGAGAATGATAGTGTCTTTGAGCCCGCGACCGGGGATCTGGCCAGCCCTGCACTTTTGCAAGAACTGGATGCACGCGACACCCCGCGCAACATTTCTAGATCGCATACCCCTTCCAACGCCGCTATGCTGAGGGAGCTGCCTCGACTGTCTAGTGGCGTTAGCACTCTATCATCACTAAGTCTCACAACACCCAGAAACTCGGATCTCCCACTCAGCAGATCCGCCAGTCCTTCTCCCTATGCTTCAGCGGCAGGCCGCTCGCAAGCCCCCGACCAACCAGACTTTTCCGCTCTAGCAACACACATGCGCGCAGCCTCTTCCATGCTCTCCCAGCTCGACTCGAGCAGCTCAAAGCGCCCGAAGGCCGAAGTAGCGGCGATCAAAGCGAGAATTATTGCGAGTATGCAGAGTCTAGAGGAGCAAAGCTTTTACACAGATGACACTGCTCACGTCACGAACTTCGACGCCATCATGGCTAATGCGAATAATATCGCCTCTCACGCCGAACCTTCCGATATCGAAGACCCGGCCTTGGAAGCAGCAGACGCAGATCCGAATTTAAGTTCTAATGCCGGAGCCGCGCGCATGGAGAATGATATCAAGACTGGAGGTGTGCAGAGAAAGGGCGACAGAGATGATCCTTCGGCAGCAACTTTTGGCGAAGCCTGGGAAACGAAGAAGGAACGTATCCGTCGCTCTTCTCCGTACGGCTGGATGAAGAATTGGGATTTGATCTCCATGATTGTAAAGACGGGGGCGGATCTACGTCAAGAGGCCTTTGCATGTCAACTCATCGCCGTGTGTTCAAAGATCTGGCAAGAAGCAAATTGCGATGTGTGGGTCAAGAACATGCGCATCTTGGTTACTGGCGAATCCTCCGGTCTGATCGAAACGATTACCAATGGTGTTTCTCTACACTCGTTGAAGCGCTCTTTGACCCTATCCTCCATCGCAGCAGGCACGAATCCGAAGAAGAGAATGGCCACCCTCTACGATCACTTTATCAAGACCTTCGGCGCACCGGAAACAGCCTCATATATCTCTGCCGTTGACAATTTCGCAAAGTCTCTCGCGGCATATAGTGTCATATCCTATATCCTGCAGCTCAAAGATCGACATAACGGCAACATCCTCATCGACAACGTCGGCCACATTGTACACATAGACTTTGGCTTCATGCTCTCAAACACACCAGGAAGCATGGGTTTCGAAGCCGCACCCTTTAAACTGACACAAGAATATATAGACGTGTTGGGTGGCTTTGACGCCCCTGCGTTTAAGAGATTCAAGACGTATATGCGCGAAGCTTTCCAAGCGTTGCGTAGGGAAGCTGAACGTATCGTCATGTTGGTAGAGTTGATGGGCAGAGAAAGCAGAATGCCGTGTTATAGTGGCGGAGGCGTTGTTGCAGTCGTCGCTGCTCTGCGTGCAAGATTTGTGTTGGAAAAGAGTAAAGAGGAAGCAGGGGTTTATTGTGATGAGTTGGTTGCAAAAAGTGCTGGGAGTTATTACACTAGGCTGTAAGTTGTGCTTGCCTGTTTTTCTCTTTCTGCCCGGCTTTTTGATTTCCTTCATTTATTTTTGGCTGACATTTGTGACAAAAAACACAGTTATGACACTTTTCAGTATCGGACACAGGGGATCTATTGAAAACGATATCCAGATGATACAACACGACGACAACATACAGAAGAAAGCGATATACGGGAAAGACCGGCAAAGAGGAAAGAGGGACAAGAATCCCGCCGAATGTCCTAGACGCATGTGGAAAGCAGGCAAACAAAACGAAGAAGAAAGAGGAGGAAGAAAACAAACGAAATGCATTAGAGTGGGCGTTTTGAGATTATCCCCTGAACTGATTTGAACAAACAAGAGACTTTTCCACTTCTCGCTTTCCTTGCCAAACAAAACATTGTAGGTCTCGTGTGTTTCTGATTCAGTTGCATGTTTCCACCATGGCCGGTCACAGCATTGTCAGGTGAATTGTGTTTTGTATGGGCATGGAACTAAGTTTTTGATTGCTCAACCCTTTCTATCTAATCCTGAGACTAGAGATATACTTGCCACCCCCCTTGGCAAACCACCCAGCAGCAACAACAGCAGCCACACTAGCCATACCCAAAGCCCCCAAAACACCATTACTAACCACACTCTCCTCTCTAACCCTCCCAAGTCTCTCAACTTTCTTACCCTGCAGAACCTCTTTCCCACTACCTTCGAGTTCATAATCCTCCCATTCGACTTTGGACGTCATCTTTTGATACTCGACAACAGTACTACTCCAATTATTCGTAATCAAGCCCTCGTCATTCTTATACCAACTCTGACAATTCGGATCCGCAAAAGCAGAGCTTGAAAGTTCTTTTTGCATCTTTTCGTTGTACTCGTTCATCCTCGCCTGTTTTGGTCGAATACACAATGCTTTTCCTGCATTTCTTGCCGACAGCACTGGAGAGATCAAAGCATTGATGTAGCGAGATTGAGCTTCTATCATTAGGATGATGGAGTTGTGGCCAAGATTTGTGTTGGGGCCGTAGAGCATGCCGAAATTGGGCATGTCTTGTACTGTGATGCCGTAGAGGGCCTTTGCGCCGCCTTTCCACACTGAGGAGAGGGTGTTTGATGCGTGGCCGCGCATTTCGATGGGGTGCATGAAGTCGAGGGTTTCAAAGCCTGTGGCGAGGACGATAAGGTCGTAGGTTTCGTGTGCTCCGCCTTCGACTTCGATGCCCGAGTCTGTGATTTTGGAGATGCCGTTGGTGATGAGGTTTACGTTTTGTTGGGCGAGGGCTGGGTAGTAGTCGTCGCTTATAATGATGCGTTTGCAACCTGGATTGTAGCTCGGCAACAACTTCTTCTGCATCTCGGGATCGTTGGGGAATGAGGCGTCTAGCATTTCTTGATTCATTTGTCGGATTTGGTTGGCTCCCTCTCCTGAGGTGTCGCCGATGATGAAGTAGAAGGACTCGCGGAAGTCCATCATCAGAGCACGTTTCCTCCACATGATTGGTGGGACGTATTTGAACAGGCTTCTCGTCCATGATGGGATGGGTGCATCGAGTCGAGGTGTGAGCCAATTCGGTGTTCGTTGATATACACCGACTTTGCTGGCGACTTTGGCAATTTCTGGGATGATCTGAACCGCGGTGGCGCCTGTAACATATTAGCCATGGGTTACGTGTGATTGAAAAGGAAATCTGCGAACCATTTCCAATGACAGCAATCTTCTTGTCCTTCAAATCGTAGCTCCAGTCCCAACGAGCAGAATGGATGACTTTGCCTTTAAAGTCCTTCAATCCAGTAATCTGAGGATACTTTGGAACATTCAATTGACCCACAGCACTGACCAAAAAGTCTGCGTTGATGTCGTACTCTGGGTTGAACTCTGCATCTTTACTACCCTTTGCAGTACTGACGTGGATCTTCCACTTCTTCGCCTCATCATCCCAAGCTGCATTCTCTACTGTGGTGTTGAAACGAACGTATTGGTACAAGTTGTACTGCTGAGCGACGCTCATCAGGTAGGATAGAATCTCTTCTTGTCCAGGGTATTCGCGTGTCCAGTCACTCTTTTGAGCGAACGAGTATGAGTATAGCTGTGACCAGACGTCGCAGCAGGCTCCTGGGTACTTGTTGTCGTGCCATGTGCCGCCTACACCACTACTCTTTTCAAGGATGATGAAGTTCTTGCAGTTGTTCTGTTTGATTAGGTCGATAGCTGTGCACATGCCTGGAGTGATGAAATTTAGTCACGACATTTCCGATGTCAAATTGACGTGTGGAAGACATACCAGATATACCAGCACCAATAATCACAACTGCTGCATTTGCATGGTTCTTGTTGCCTATGGGCACCTCAGGCCAGGGCATGTCTCCGGCCATATTGTGAGATTTATCAGGAAGAGAGTGGTGAGTCGATCTTTGTTCGATTGGGCGTGATACTAAATAGTACTGCTATATGAGTGAGGTTCCTAGGAGTAGATTTCAAGGTCTCCAATGTTCGAAACCGAGACCGAGGCTCGAACATATATCTTGTGCTCACTCCTTCTCCTCCTCCTCCTCCTCCTCCGGATGTCGAACGGCCGAGTCGTGACATCTTCACGCCGAACCACTTCCTTGCAGCAAAAGCGCGTTCATGTCTGGGCGGATCGTCAACCTTGATTTCCATGATGGTGTTGAAGAAGGCGGGGTTATGACCGCTGGAAGTTTGGGAGAGGGGTTCATGTTGTGTTCCCCTCAACGAAGCCTCGGTCAAAAGGTCAATCTTTGATCATGAACCATCGCGGCACGACACATGAGGTGGGTATGTTTGCCTCAGCGTGGATGTACATGCATGTCCTAGTAGATGCGAGTCATAAGATACTGACACAATATGACATGGTTTAATGCGAATTTAGATCCGTCATCGAAGTCTCGATGAACAACTAAGTAGATGTAGCCGCTCACACGCAACATGTCGCCTTGTCGCCTTACGCCTTGGACTTTGCCTTCAATTTTTCGATGAAGTTCTCAGGAGCGGGTCCATCTATCATGAGAGGAAGGTTGGACTCTCCCTTCTCGCGATAGCTTTTGTAGCCAGGTCTTTGAACAGCCCGTTTCAGATAGGCCAAAATGTTGCTGTATGAGCTCAAGTCATAGCCATAGAATGTACGCATGGTGGTGAGGGTGAATACGGTCATGATGTCTGCAGCAGTAAACTCCTTGCCTGCCAGCCATTCATTGCCGCGGCCCAGATGGCCATCCATGTGTCGCAGGTAGAGCTCCAGCCTTTCTTGATAGCGTTTGAAGACGTCGTTGGATGAGTCGAGACCAGCGACCTTCATAGACATGCAGCGGCTCACACCGGGCTGCAAAGAACCATTTGCATAGTGGAACCAGTAGAGATAGTTGGCATAGTCTGGGTGTGTTGGTGGTAGAGCGAGACGACCGTTGCCATATTTGTGAATGATGTATTCGACACAAGCAGCAGACTCTCCCATGGTCAGATCGCCGTCCTGGATGACGGGAGCTGTGCCTATCTCGTAGAGGTCTTTGAGCTCTTGTGGAGAGAACATTGGGCTCCGCTTGTGTAGTTTCAAGTCATATTCGATGTCCAACTCTTCACAGAGCCAGACGATGCGCTCCGATTGGGAGACGCACATATGATGTACGGTAAGCATGGTGAGGGAGGTGATGCGATCTATATAAGAAATGTTCGTGAGACGAGGAGGAAGCTGTGGGACAGAAATCTGGATAATGATGGGGAGGCTATGGACACATATGTAAAGATTGGTAAAGTTCAACGTCGTGTCGATAAAGTTAATGGAAGTATGATGTCGCTGATTGGTATGCTGATTGGTATGCTGATTTGGAAGGTGCCAAGGCGAGCGACAGCCGACAGCGCATAACAGGGAAGGAAGGAAGCTTGGGGGATCATCATCCACCATCGACTCTCTATCTCCATCCATCCAGGTCATCTTGCATACCATAATAAAACAATGGCTCCCCCAGGTGCGCATTCGCTTCAACAGCTGTACATAATCAATTCACTGACGATCAACCCGACAGAAGCAACTCAGAACACGCCGCTCGCGCCGTCAGTCGAGAAGGCCTACTATCGCAAGTGCATCGAGCTCAAGCGCCGCTTGAACGACGTCGAAGAAGCCAACGATGCCGCTCGTCAGCGCAAGGCTCGTCTGAACAGGGCAATCATGAAGATGCGCCTCGAACGCGCCTTCCTGCTCGAACAGCTCGCGAAGCGTCTACAGAACACGTCCGACGGCCCGGAAAAGACCACCATCAACACCACCAACAGCGACTAGAAGAACGCAAAGCACAAACTATCATACATACTTGAGAGCGAGGAGTAAACCGACGAACCGGGGGGCGTAAACACAGCCAACGTGGATGGGACCCGTGTAAGAGAAGACTCTCTCATGGCTGTTTACGATCCCGTCAAGCGGACTATACGACACGGTCTAGGAAACATCTTGGGGCAGCGATACGTCTCGCCGAGTTTGGAGCAACAACGCCAGTGGTACACACAATGGCGATCAGCTTAGTCCGTTCTTCCCAAACGACACTGAATCTGCGGGTTTCTGGGAAAACATCACGACATGTTCGATCGACGACTGAACTTGACCAAAACATTCCTATGATCGGCATACATCAGTAACACTGCATCGACGGTTCCAACATCACTCTACCCCCGACAGTCATAGTCGCAAACATCCTGGACTCCGCCTTGAAGGCACTCATGCATCTGCTAGAGCGAATCATGAAATCAGTCATGGGATGATATTCGGCAGTTCGGTATGCCTTGGGGGCAGACACTCCAGTACCTAGACTTGGGATGAACAAGGCTGAGACGGCAGCAGCTTTAGACCGAAGGAGCGGAGTTGTCCTACTTCCCTATTATCATCGAATTACTTAGCTTGTCGCTTTCTCATCTTCTGCTTATACCCGCTCTTCCTCCTTGATCTCAAGGACACCTTGCCCTCTTTCGCCCTTGTGGGGCCTCAAGAATCCCACGCGAAGTATTCCTTCCAATAGCTTATGACTACTTGTAATGTCAATACCTGCTGCATCGGCTATCATTTCGGCCTGTTCCTCGAGATCTTGCAATGTCTCCTGGCTCTCCACCACTTCGAGCACTTCCTCGTGTTTACTCCAGGGGGTCGTTTCATAGAGGTACTGGGCATGTGATTCGCATCTAGCCTTTGATTCTGCGATGACAAGAGTTGCTATCATGACCTCGTACAACATGGCTTGCGCCTCCTTGGGATTGAAAAGTGGATTCTCAATGGCTTCAGAATCTTTGCTGTGGCCAAAGGGGTCGAGGGGTTTCAGTAGCGTGTCCTTGGGATATATGAATTTCTGCAGACATAGCTCTGCCAGCGTTATGTTGGCGGGCAAGTAGTAGTTTGATCGGGCTATATTGAGCCAGTAATGCGCGAGTTTGATGCGCTTTTCTGGTGTGTTTGCGAATTGCTCATGTTGGTGTATTTGGACCTTTGGGTTGAGGTTGAGGTTGGACTGGTTTATAAAGGTAGCAAAGCCTCGAAGCTTCTCGAGGAAGGGTACTTCCTTTTTTGTGGGAGGGCAGGGGGAGTTTGCGTAGTATTCGCCTAGCTCGTGGGCGGCCTTGTAGTGGCCACTCGCGGCTGCTTTTGTCATGTTGTATAGCCAGTCGGTTGTGTGCTGGTTGCCCGCCATGTAGTAGTCTAGACGGGCGAGGTTGAAGTATGCCATTGGATCATCTCTTTCTAGCCCTACCATGTAGACTTTCATGGCTTCGACATGGTGTCCCCGACTGACGTGGAGATAGGCGAGCTCGATCCAGGGTGAGGAAAATTCGTCTTTGATGTTTGCGTACTTGTCTTTGGGATTCGGCCCTGTTTCTTTGACGATCCGCTCGAGAGCTTGTTCGTATAGCTTGATAGCCTGGCCAATGTTGCCGTTGTGACGAGCCACGTTGGCCTCCATGACGATTGCGCGCACGTTGCCTGTCTTTGATATATCACGCAAGCGGTCCAGAGCCATCATTACGTCGCGAGACCTGATGATACCAGGCTTTGTCGCATCCTGGCGTAACGCAGATGCAACGACCTGGACCACTGCCTCTGCATGGCCGTTCTCAGCGCATAGCTTGACTATCAGGCGACCTTGTTTGCCACACGACACTCCTCCCTTGTTGCGTAAGATGAAGCTGAGGTCGTAGGCATCGTCGAGTGTCATGTTAGGCACAATCCCGATCATTGGCATGAATCCCTTTTCCAGTGGGCGTCCAGTTTCGATATTATCTTTGCGCCAACTGGCAAGCCACAGTGCTTGAGTGTGGGTCATGGCCACAGCTGCATCAAGAGTCGTTTGTAAGAAGTCTCTCTTCTCTTCGACAGTCCAGTCCGGCTTATTCTCATGATCCTCCCTCTGGGCAGACAAGAAGGCTTCCTTGAACTTTTGTTCAGCAGCGATTTCCATCTCTTCTTGGTGGGTGTATACGACTGGCCTCTTTATTCTGTCCTTCCAACGCTGGCTCGGTGCCCTTCTTGCTTTGGTGCGCTTCTGTGTAAAGGAAGCGCTCACTTCCGCCGTCAGCATGCGCCGTGACACTCGTGTACCAGCAGCGAGTAACGACATGATGAGGTGTGGGCGGACCAGTCCACCGAGAAGTTTTGGACGGTAGTCGCAGAAGTGCTGGTAATCAAGAGCGGCAAGCTTGCCTACCCTGATGGACAGAATTCGATGATGGATCGTGCCTGTTTCACAAACCTTTTATGAAGCGTTTGAACGGCGATCCGAACGCCTCATAACTTATATGCGCAATCTAAATAATGAGCATAGCGATCTAACAAAATTTCCCACAATGTCATACAAGGACAATCCAGCGTTCGGTCACAAGTCCAGTGGTCTATTTAGTAATAGCTCCCCAGCACACCTCACCGTCTGTCCGGGACCATCTGCATGATCCTCATATTCAGCATCCGATGCAAGCAGTATTCCAAGCGCCGGTCCATCAAAGGCAAGACAGTGGATACTACCATCAATATGCTCCTCAGACACATAATCGAGCCAATAATCATACAGATGCGCTGGCTCCTCAGATCCATCAACTACAGTATCCCTACAATGGCTACTTGGCAAACGGACCTGGTGTCGTTGTACATCATCAAGTCTTGCCCGATCCAAACGAAGAACCAACCTCCACCAAAATCACAGCCGAACAGATGATGCAGAAACTGTGCAATAAGCTTGATGCCCACGAAACCATGTTGAACAACCTATGCAGCAAGTTTGATCAATTTCAATATCAAGTGAGCTACCATCATAACTGGATGATAAAAGACTTCTGCCCTCAATTCAAAGCATTCGGCTCCAAGCTCGAAAGAGTATTGAGCATAACAGCCGAAACTAGAACAACAACTTCTGCCGCAGACGCTTCAGGCTCGTTGAACGGCGATGAACCTGCCTTCGAAAACGTCCAAGTAGTGACCAGTGGTCAAGGCAATGTCGAATCATCGCCAGTCAGCGAGGCGAGCTTCCGGCCTGTTCAGCAGATTCATGTCACTGCTGAACAGCGGAACGGCAGTCCGAACACGTTTCAAGGTACCATCAGACAGCGCCTGGACTCCATAGCTCTAAAGCAGGTGAACGAAGACGTTCTGCGGGACAAACTTTGTAATAAGATCACTGAAGAGTTTGGTGCTGTGAAGACTTTGATGTACATGGTCTTCAAGAATCAGGGTCTTATGCAAAATTGCCTCACAGCTTTCAGTAGAGAGCAAAGTCAACATGTGCTTGAAACTGAAATGCCGCTCGACCGATGCTTGACCAACCAGATGAGCACAAATCAGGGGTTGAGGCTTTCTGAGAAATGGTTAAAGGAGGGTCTGACGAATGTCGACGATACTCTGGAGAGGCTGGAAGGAAAACACGACACAAGTCTGCAGATCAGGGAGGAAATGGTCGAAGAAGCCTTGGAAAACCGACGTCCTCTCTCGCTATCCGATATCGTCCATATTGACCAAGAGCCATCCAGTCCGATTCCCAGTCTCGAGGAGATAAGGGAGGAAGATCTCAACGTCGAGGTCCAAGATCAGGGCACGCAGACGTTCGAATACGACATGGAATTCCACCATCATCAGGCACGCATGTCGCCAGAGGTGAACATCCACGACGATGACCAAATTTCTGGTTACCGTGGAGCAGCGGAGTCCGTAGCGCGAGGAACGCAAACCTATGAGCTCGATACCTCACTTCACTATGCATCGGCATCTTCTTCAGTCATGACTCCCCACGAAGAGTGTCTGGATTCCAATGCAGCAGCAGAAGGTCCAGGTATCCCAGATTCGCAGACTCGAGCGCCAGAAGAGCAACCTCAGACAGAGATCTTACCATTACCGACTGTTACTACTATCCTCGATATGAGCGAGATGCAACGAGACATGTTGCCACAAATTTTATCTGAGATACGCAATCTAGAAAATCAAGTCTCGAAAGTCTCATGCCAGATCAAGCAATGGGAGACTCGAGCACATAGCCAGGTCCTGTCCATCCAAGCAGCGCTTCCTCTAACAACGACTCCCGGTGCTGGTGAAGACGAGGCGACCGGGTTCAGACTGCCAAGCCCAGAATCTGTAAATGACAACTCTGTGAAGATAACATCGACCGTGGACCTGGAGAAGAGGAGAAAGCACAAAGCTGTCGCTACGCGATCAATCGAGACACCGGGTCGAGGGGAAGTTGTACCAAAACATGTCTTCGAAGCACCAAAGAGGACTAAATCGAAGCAAGGTAAAAGCCACATCTTCTCCGAGGAAGGCAGAGTTGGTGGTCAAAAGCATCCAACGAATAGTACTCTGGCTACGGCCAATAGTAATGCTGAGCGTTCACATGGACGAATGGGCCAGGAACGCAAGTGGGAGCAGCCAGAGATCACAAGTTCTCGAGAAAATTTGCTGCAGCAGCAACGGCATGCGTACCGCAAGAAGCAGAGGATGTCATAGATAATCTCAGCCCCAGATAGCTGGAGTGCAACGTTGGCGCTTGGTTCTGGCCGACAATAGCGCCGCGGCAGTCTTCCTTCAAACGTCTGACTGCATTACACATTGGATCTGCTGAAGATTTGCTGTGTACGGAGCGACACCAAGGCCTCGAGCGGCTGTCGAAGCAGACACGGAATTGAAAGCCTGTTTCTGGTTCAGTCTCACGCGAGTCGTGACGAGTGTTTAGCGAGCCCATTGGATCTACGATTATAGTAAAGCAGGAATACTTTGTGTCCCTTCCCCGCTTGACCATACTCATTTCGGGGTACATGGCACTGTCCAACGGTGGCAGTCTGGAGTATGTAGATAAGATTGTTGCTCGAAGCCAGAAGTCACCCATGGTTGAGACATTTTGCAAAGAAGAAGCATGCCCAACTTGGTATGCAATTCTAAAATTCAGATGATAGGAAAACGGCGAGGCTTTGGACTCGATCATTTAGGGCGACATGCGGCTCTGGGGTGCGCTCGGATTGGGCCGGATGTGGGTGACGGTCGGGTTAGCTCAGCCAAGCCGTCATCCCCACATGCAAAGCGCGGGATAAACATGAGAGACATAGACAACAACCTCAACGGTGGTCGTGATGTCGAAGTTTCGCTAACCCAACAAGGCGCTTTGTTGTGTGTGTACATGTGCGATGCCTCGAGCTCTCTCGATAGGTGCGTAACGGTCAGGAGCCGGGGCAAAAGTACATAGAGCAACAGGTGGGCGAGAGCGAGAACGATGGTTGAGACTCTATGCATCACGCCGAGTAGCCCCAACCAAGTATCGAGTAACAACCGCTCCGCATTCCTGGTTTTTTGGTCATCGCGCGTGCGCAACTCTTGACTGTTTCGTAGCTTCGTTCTCTACCTTTCTTGTTTCTTCATTCTGATTTTGACGTGTATCAATCCTCCCTTGTTTGCAATCCTGCCTCCAATCCTTGCCATCGCCATCGTATACCTTGGCGATACAACAATACGTCACAGTGAGCGAGTTGCGAGCTTTGGTCACTACGGGCTCACGCCATCTCACACATCGTCGAGGAAGGCAACACGCTCGACCAGGCCCACCTGCCTAACGAAGAGTCGATTCGGCTCGAGATCCGGTACGTATCACTCGTGCTTTCCACGATCCCCTGCCTTCTCGCCGAATATAACATTCTGTTCAATTCCAAGTTCGTCCTTGAACCTATCAAACTCCTACTTGGCTAGCATTCTTCGAGCAATAAAGCTGACACGATGACTTCGACTGCAGTATCCCGATCGGACAAATACACACCTTCTCACCTCCAAGCTCCAGTGTTTGTTGACAAACCAGGACGACTGTCGCCTCGGCCCAGTTTCACATCGAGCAGACCATCTTGGATTGGACCACAGCATTCGTCACCATCACCCGCACCCGACGTATCAACCATGGCTCAGAAACACGAGATCCTTTACAGCCACCCCGGTCTGCAGCCTCCCGTCTTCATTGCCGGTTCCATGTGCGAGCCGCAATGGGAGCCAATAGAGATGGCATACGAGGAGAAGGCAGACGGCGAACTAGAATTCAAGCATGAGTTCAAGGCTCAGCCTGGACAATACCAATACAAGTTCCGCCTCGGTCCTGGTGACTGGTGGGTACTTGACGAGACCAAGCCGACTGGTAAGCAAAGTAGTTTCGGTATCGAGGCAGCCTGTTGCTTACTTCTATGCCCTAGTTGACGATGGAACTGGTATTCGCAACAATCACTACACCGTGGAAGCCGAAATTCCCAAGCACGAGGTTGAGAAAGCTCCTCAAGCACAGGTCTCACACACCACAAAAGAGATGGACACCCCGGCACCAGCACACACTGCAGAGCAAAAGCCTTCTGTCCCGGAAATAGAAGATGACGATGAGATTCCTGAGAGCGAGAAGAACCTCTTCCGACACGAGACTATCCAGATCGCCGACGGTTCCGGCCAGAGCGACAAGGAGGATCAACAAGATCAAGAGGATGAGGATAACGAAGAACCGCCGCTCCTCGAGCACGAAGCTGGTCCATACCAACGCGTGGACAGCCAGCATGTAACGCCGTTCAAAACCGATAACTTCGTCTTCGACGAGCCCGTCGAGCACGCAATTGACGTCGACGACTTTGCTGACGACGAACGCGACGCTCCTTGCCCTTTATTCAGACACGAGACTGGAGCTGCAAGCGACATAGACCCGGATGAGGCACCCTTGTTCCGTCACGAGAGCATCTCCCCTCTGGACCCCATGTCAACAAGCCCGCTTTCACCCTCATCTCGTAAGCAGCGCAACTTTGACTTCCAAGACGTCAACGATCCCTCGCTTGAGCCCTTCCCTGTTGACGAGGCTGGTATCCAAGCACGTATCCAGCGTGCTGCAACACGCCGTCGTGAGGATGACGACGTGTTCGACGGTACTCCGCCTTCGCCTTCTCTGGCTCAGACCAAATCATTCTCTCCCCAAGCCCGCCCTGAGCTGCCTCATCATGAGTCTAGCGATCTCAGTCATCTCGACGCTATCGACGAAACAGAAGAGACAGATGACGAAGACGAAGCGCCCGCAGTCAAGCTTGTTGGAAAGAAAGATTCGCTCGTACATCCTACTCCCATTAACATCAAGGTGCAGGATGTTTCTGAGATTGCCAACATTCCTTCGTTTGCAGACGTCCCAGAAATCTCGAATCAGGGGCCACCTACACCACCCATGACACCTACTGAGCACGCCAGATCGAAGGCCGCACCTCACGATGGTGCATCCGATTCGAAGGAGCAGCCTGCTCAACGTGGAGACCGTCGTTCTCGTGAGGACAATGTCACAGATCACATCGCAAATCGCCCATCACCCAGAGAGATCGCAGAGGCAGAAAAGAAAGGCGAGAGCGTGGATGCTGCTAAGAATGGAAAGCCTTCCAAATCAAGCACTCCCAAACAGAGCATGAGCTCAATGGCTTTCATTTGGTTTGTCGGTCTTTGTGGTGGCAAGCAGAATGCAGCGTAAGTCCTTGAATAAACTTGAATATTGTGAAGGATGCTAACGTCGTTTGCAGTGGTGTCGCTATTGCCATGAGCGTCGCAGCAGTCGCGCTCGCCATGAATTCACGCTCTGGATAGATGCTCCATACTGGACTCACCTTTTTTCCCTTAATTCTCACAACACATTTTCCTTTGTATTTCTTATGTCGACTCTGTCTCATAATCGGACTTCCTTCATACAGCGGGCGCAGAACAGGGTGGGACACGGTTTGTCACGAAGCATATGGTTACGGCTGATTTTCATCACATTCAATAATGCAATGACGATGGGGAGAACGCTGCCGAAGCGCCCGCACAGATAGGCGGGCATCAAGGATGGCCATCGAAGCTAGAATGGTGTTTCGCTCCACGTACTATTTCCTAGTGTCAGACTCAATTTCGTATACAAGAAGGGCGCACCTGCTCTCTTATCCTATCGCAACTTTCAAGTTCTCCGTTGAACCAAAGTGTCAATTGGGTATTGTACGATCGTAGTTCAGGAGGGCCAGCAACGCAACACCCGACTCCATACGAACATAAAGCTTGTCTGCTGGCATGAACGATGGTCTCCAAACATCTCATAGCCTCAACTCATCTTCGAAGGGTGACATATATGCGACAAGATATCAGTGTCTGGATGACCCTGGTAGAGTTGAGCCGTCGATTCTATCAAACTCAACCCTGCCACTCTTAAAAGTCTTTGGTGTCCAATGCAACTCTGTATCATCACAGTTATACAACACGGATTGCTGATATACACGAGACCGGAAAATGGATATACAATGTGAGACCTGTTGATTCATAATAGCCAAGTCGATAATGACTTTTGCCCTTGCGCGGAGCTCGCCGAGGAAATACAAGCAACAGTACCCCGCCGAAGCTTTTCTTTCAATCTATCCACGAAATCGATTCTCGATCACCAAAGTCAGCTCCGAGGATATGGAGGGTTGATCTTTGCAGTGCTGATATATGATTTGTAGCGGTGATTGCTATGATCAATGTATTGTGCAAGAGGCTGAGACTTGGGTGAGGATTGGTTTCGTTGGTTGCCCTGATGGGTGGGTTTGTTAACGGTAGGAGCTCCGGCGCCCGCTTGTTGTTCGGCGTGCCCGAGCTTCACCCCCACTTGATAGCTCGATGGCGGTAACGATGCCCGACTCTGAGCGCGCCCCCTGCTGAGAGTGAACTTCTCTCGCGTCAGGCTTTGGTCGCAGGTATGGATGGAAGAGTAGTTGTGATAAGAACTACACTTTATTGTTTCGCACAAGCGAATTGCATGCGGTCCCCGTCTTCTACACAGACTCAAGATGAATCATGAGTGGCGGACATAGCACTTCTTATATAGCAGGGGGCGCGTCGATCAACAAGTTTCCATACTCGGAGATACGGTCGAGAACTGGTTATCAATCGCTGTCAAAAGCCGGAACGAGCGAGCTATCGCGGATATTTTTCCACAAAGACGCTGGGGTATTTGCCCGCATCTCTGCAAGTTACCGAAGATCCATAGCTAGCTTAAGACTCATAAGTAGCTCTAGAGAGCCGCCCATTTCTGCCTGCTCGTTTTTGTTCAATCCATCTCTCGTTCGACTCCATCCTGCAAATATGTTGTCCAAGTCGTTTGCTGCCTTGTCTCTGCTGTCCTCGTCAGTGTCGGCTGAGCAGGTGTTGGGTGTGTACATGTTCCACAGACATGGAGATCGTACACCCAAGGCTTTGGCTCCTGCCAATCTGACGGATCTTGGTTATGCTCAGGTCTACACTTCTGGTGATTACTACCGTAGTCGCTACATTGACTCTGAGGCCGAGCACAAGATTTTGGGCATCAATTCCGATATCGTCAAGCAATCGCAGATTAGTGCTTCGGCTCCTGCTGATACCGGTATTGTAACTCCGAGGAGAAATTGTCTTGGACTGCATTTTTCTGACTTTTGTGTTTGTTAGTTTTGCAGAACTCTGCTACTGGGTTCTTGCAGGGTCTTTATCCTCCTGTTGGCATTTCTTTGGGTACTCAGACGCTGCGTAACGGATCTAATGTGACCTCGCCTTTGAATGGCTACCAGCTTATTCCCTTGACTCTTACTACCAGTGGTTCTGGTAGTGAGGACAATGGATGGCTGCAGTCTGCTTCTGGCTGTGCGTCTGCTGTTAGCAGCTCCAACGAGTACTTCTCCAGCACTCAGTACACCGATCTTCTGGCCAGCACCCAGGACTTCTATGACATGCTCACCCCTGTCATCAACGGCACTTTCAGCTCAAGCCAGATCAGCTTCAAAAATGCATACACCAGTAAGTCATGACTCCGGGCGAACGACGACTAAATGCTAACATTGAACTCTAGTCTACGATCTGATCCACGTTGCCGAGATCCACAATGCCACCATCAACTCATCCGACATCCTCACCAGCGATGTCCTCCACCAGCTACAGACTCTAGCCGACACCCACGAATGGGGACTCGCCTACAACTCCTCCAACGACATGCGCGCCGTTGCCGGAAAAGTGCTCGCCGGAGAAATCGTAGAGTTCCTCAATACAACCATCTCGTCCTCTGGCAAGAGCAAATTCGGCGTCCAGTTCGGCGCCTATGCCACGTTCGCTTCCTTTTTCGGTCTTGCAGATCTCCCTTCTGTAAACGACATGTTTTACGGCATCACTGATTACGCCTCGTCCATGACTTTCGAACTCGTCACCAATGCTTCTACATCACCTTTCCCCAGTGTTGAGGATATCTCTGTGCGTTTCCTGTGGCACAACGGTACTGCGAATTCCAGCAGCACTCCCACCGCTTACCCGCTCTTCGGCACTGATAGCGAATTAATTTCTTGGAACGACTTTGTAACCAACATGGATAAATTCAGCATCAGCAACACAGAGGCATGGTGCACGGCTTGTGGAAACAGCACTGGTACTTGTGCAGCCTACGCACCTGCTTCTAGCACCAGTTCTGGCAGCAATGGCGCAACTGGGGAGCAGAAGAAGAGTGGAAATGGATTGAGTCCCGTTGTTAATGGCGTTATTGGCGCCATGGTTACTTTGGCTGTTATTCTTGGTCTAGAGGCACTTGTTCTGGCGGTTGGTGGGTTGAGGGTTGTTAGTAAGAAGAGTCTTGCTCAGGGTGCTGTTGTTGGTGAGACTGTTACTGGTGGTAAGGCTGCATAGGTGGATAGTTTATTGACTTATGAGATGTGGACTGGCTTATGTGGTCTGTAGAGACAGCGAATATACGTAATGAGTTCTTGACGATATGAATATCCTTGACGCCGACGTGACTGTGGTTCTAGCCACGTGGGACGAAGGGTTCTGACGAAAGTTACTCTACTGCCTTGTGTATGTCATTTTGCCTGATAAAAAAGTGAAGTTGGGAGACTCCTAGTATCGGAAGTCATTAAAGAGTGTACCCGTGTGCTAATTTCTCGTAACCTCGTGCATCATCGCTCATAGTGTTCATGGCTCCCAGAATCCTAAGATACTACCTTGCCCATACCAACACAAAGGAAATATATCAAAGCAATTGAAGAAGCAACATGATCGTCTGCGACGAGTCTGCGACGAGAAGCCCCCTGTAAATGAACTTCTTCCGTTATCTCCATCTCATTCCAATCCTTCAATCAGCTTCGTCAGACTTGAGCCTGCCTCTGCATCTTCCTCATATGTGCTTGATGGATCTCCTGACCCCTTGGCCCCATCATCATCTCAGTAGCTTGCATAGATCTGCGTCTCTTTTCAAGTTTGCTTCTATCCCTTGCCGCGTCTGCCGAAGTCTTCATCTGTGTAGCGCTTATAGGGTCCGTGCCCCGATGTCTCTCTACTTCTGCCTGTTCGATTTGGTTGAACAATGTCTTTACTGATGCGCCGTGGACGGGAACAGACTGTCTCCGCGGTACGGGTGGAGAGCGGATACCGTTCTTTTGGATTGCTGGGGCTGGCTTATCTTCGAGATAGGCATGGTTCATCATGCCGTCGTAAGTGGATGGTCCGATGGACTCTCTCCATTGTGTGCCTTTTGCTGCACTGGTCAGAGGGTGGAAGGGTTCACATGGTGGCATAGGGTAAGCTCCTCGTAGTGGATGAGCGACCTTTGCAAAGACCGGCTGAGCATAAGGACGGGACGGTGAAGATGTAGCTGGTGTAGTTCTTGCTGTCGTGTGAGCTGGAGATTGACAATCCATACTGCTCGATGCCCGAGGTGCGTAGGACATTTCCGTCGAGACTTGACTTGCACTCATCCTCCTTGCGTCAATAAGGCTCTTTCGCTTCTGTGCTAATGTCATGTCATCAGAGTCGGGGCTCTGTCGCGCCAGCTCCTTAGGGAGTTTGGAGAATCTCCTTTCGACGCCACTCTCTTCTTGGGCAACATGTACATCGGCCACGAGAGCTGAGACTCGAGTCTTTTGGGTGGATGTCGTGGTAAGGCGATCCAGTAGGCTGCTTCCGGTTTCCAGCATTGGGAGCGTGGAGTTGCGCTCACGTACGCGTGCGGACTCTATTGCTGTAGGTAGGATAGCTGGTGTGTCATCTACGATCGAGGCACGCTGAGACTTGGGTCTCTTGCGAGCACCTGTCCTAGCTAGAACGTGTTGTGGTTGATTTGAGATCACTAAGCCTTGTCCGTCAAGTTGTTCGGCATCGATTTCTGCCGCATGTGTGCCTTCAAAGCCAAACCATAAACTTGGCTCGTCGCCTATCGTTGACAAAGATGCGCGTTGGGCAAGCGCCAATGTCTTCCTCCACTCACTTGTTCTCTCCATGATGTCTCCTTCTTTCTGTGCCTCCATAGCGGAAAGTTTAGAGAAGACGGCACGGCCGAGAGAACCAGTACTATCAGTTGCTCCTAACCCTTGGGGTACGTTCGTTGAATCCTGAGGCACCTCGGCAATCATTTCTTGATTCAGAGGCTGTTTGCTTACATCTGCTTGACCAGCATGTGAATTCTGTAAAGCATCTTGCTCAAAGCCTGAGTTCTGTGCGAACACTTGGGTGACGGCAGGCTCGGGATCTTCGTCCTTTCGCGATCTTTGAGAAGCGGCTGACGCTCCATTCTCAAAGTCGGGCAGCTCCGATGCCATATTTACCTCAGCGTCCTCCAAGTCCAGAGGCAAGCCCAAAGAACTCACCCGGTCTCCAAAATAAGGCAGTCGGGGACTCTCTGAACCCACGTTCACGTAATCTATCCCATCCGAAGACGACCGAGATTCCCCGTCTGACTGAGAGACGATAGGTGGTGGTGGGAATGACTTTGGTCGCAAGCTACGGAAGCCGTGTGGAGATGATGGATGTTGTGGTTGCACGACGGCGTCCGGGTCATCTCTAGATGCTTCAACAGGCAGAATCTCGTCGTCGCGTTGTTGCATCTCAGTAGTTACTCCCCTAGTACGGGTAAGAGACTTAGGAGTGATCTTTGCGAATGCTCTCGCTCTTCGAGACTGTTTGAGAGGCGAGACCGGCGAGATTTGGGTCAGCTCAACACCGGGCTTCTTCTTTTCCGCATGTCTCTTCTCCCAGTCGTTGAGCCTTTTCTGGTTCTTCGTGTGAAATTCCCTGCTGGTCTCTGCATCTCGTTGCTCTTCGATCTCTCGCAATTGGGCGGCTTCTATCGCTTCCCGCTGCTTTCGTGCTCGGATCGGGATGTAAAACTTGATTTGAGACAACAATCCCAGGAGAAACAGAACGGGAACGAGGCCAATCTCGACCTTGATAAGCCTGGTCATGGGGTAGGGGGGAATTTCGTAGCCGAAAATCTCGTCCCTGTGGAGGTCTATCATAGGTCAGCGAAGAGTGTTGGATATATGAACATAGACTTACGCCATGTGTACACCCAGAATTCTTTGAGACCGGCACGACTGAAGCAGTCAATACCTAAAACCAATGCTGTCGCGCCAGAAAATGCCGATGAGATGATTAATGCCGGGTCTCTTGTCTTCTGAAAGTATAAAGGCACACAGCCAGCAACGGAGGTGATCATGATGAGAATTGCGAGTCCGTTCGACGATGAAATGACACCTCCTGGGCTCAGAACCTCTAGCCACATACAAAAGCAGAATCCGCCCAAGAAGCATCCGAGTATTCGAGAGACCGTTACGCAATATTTCTGGGAGAGAAACGCCAGGAGGATGCTAGGCAAGATGATTGCGACCAGGTACCCACCTTGGGTAGCATCATCGATCCTATGGGCGTATTCAGGCCTGGCAAAGATAACAAGCACCTACGAGGTGATCAGTAGATATGCGAAGTGAGAGTAGTGACGACTTACAGTCACACAGAGACTGACAAATAGGGCACAACTAAGGGACGCATGGAGTCTGTGGTACTTGGTCAGCAGGCAATCATATGGATTCGAGGACAGAAATAACCTCTTGATCCTGATACTGAGAACTGCATATGCTAGACCAGTAAGGAGGAGTATGGCTCCACCCAAGCCGAATGCGGGCGTGAGACGTGGTTGGAAAGGTAGTCCATCTTTGGCAGGGAGTTCTGAGCTGTACGATTAGCAATGAGCAAACATGGTAGCAATGCGATTGATGCAACCTGTACCTGATGATGTGTCTGTGCCATTGTTTGAATTCATTGTGCACAGGATGCAGCACTTGCGACTGCGGTGATTTGGCGCCCAAGGCTTCGTTGGACTTTGTGTTGAGGTTTCGCTTTCTCACTCGCTCTATTCACTTCAGAGCAGTCATGCTCAGAAGAGGGACAATAGGTGCAGGAAGATCGCAATGGCAAGACGAGTCAATGACAATCGTCTTGTACGCGTCGAGAATAAATGTTATTGCTGTAGTCAAATATCATGCTTTTGTTTCAGGGTGACAAGTTGCCAAAGCATGGCGCTGTGAGAAGTCTAAGTGGGATTCGTGCGAGTTTGAGGGACAATTGTTGGAGGCGTCGAAGAAGGACCTACCCACGAAGACATCGCGGAAGCTCGCATTACCTATATATGGCAGGCACAATATGCCCGCATCTACACAATCGAGTCAAGCAGGACGAAACCCGCGGGCATACATGTAGGTGAATGCATGCGAGAACTCTAAGGTCGAGTAAGCATGCAGAGTGATGAGGTCGGGCTACCCGTTTGGCTTTGATAGAGTTTCTTGCCGCTCGCCGGATTGGAGATCTACTCTACTCCAACTCCACGCCTGCCTCGAAAGAGGTGGTTGGTTTTGGATATCAAAAGCGGCACGACTGCACGGGCGGATGTTGTCCACCCGATGCCAGCGAATCGTCACTAGGCGTGGTGCTAGGATCTACCGGCCGCGCATAAACGTATCCAAGTCTTCCAAGTTGTGGCTGCGACTTTCAGGTAGGATCCCGGCAAAGAGGGAGAGGCTGGTGCTGGATATGCAAGATCAGAGCACGGACTCCTTGCCAACGGTTATCTCCACTTCGGTTCCCCCAAAGAATATGCGGAGAGATGTTGACGATCACATACAAACCTGGCTGAGTTCTGGTCATCATTGTCTGCTTTGCATCCGGAAAGACGACATGCTTTGCCTTGCACGTACAGAACCCTGCCGTACCCCCATTGCGCCTGTCAGCAAAAGCTTCATACGATTGAAACTCTGTCCCAGGTACATTGATACCTTGAGGTTCTGGTTCTCCGACCTTTGCGAACCATTGCGCACGCCTTTCGCTGGGCACAAAGGCACTGCCTCTCCAGACACGACTGCTTGACCGGTAGTCTGATACACAAACTGGACGGCCACCGGGTAATCATCAACACAGACTTCACAACCCTGAAAGTCACAAAGGAATATGAGTTTGATGAGGAGATGCTATCTACCTTCTCACGTATCACAGCCGCTGTATGTAAGATATTAGCTTTGCGCTGGAAACTCTATCTACGATTGCTGTTCAGCGTTGCAGCCCGGCTTGGCCAGACTGCTTCCTTGATCTGACTGCAAGTGCTGCCAACTTCCAAGCACCAGACAAAACATGATGGATACTGGACAAAAGGTCACTGCCCCCTGACGGAGTCGAACCGGCGACCTCGGCATTACTAGTGCCGCGCTCTACCAACTGAGCTAAAGGGGCTGATGAGAGGCTGGCTTTGCTGGCAGACCCTATGATTCTGAGTATGCTTCCGCAAGAGGTGACGGTCGAACACCATTCAATCTCACTGGTGGATGGCTCAAAAGTGTACACAGACGACCTTGATTGGAAAGTCTCGTACCCAAAAGCCTTCAGTTGTAGAGCAGTCGACAAATTCCTGGTGAACAATTGAGTTGACATATTGTATCGTGATATAGAATGCTGCGCTTATGATCCTTTTTTTGTGGTCCATATCCCATGCCCAAACGCCACGCTAGAAGAAAGACAAGATGCAGGTATTTGTGACTATCGGTGGCGATTGCTCTGGGCCTGAGCAGACTTGCCCAAGCGAGCAGGACCCAGACCGAATCGGATCTCGTCGAGCTGCTCCATACCTGTCTGGAAGCCAGACTTCTTGATGTGACGGCCACGGTTACCAGCACGAGAGTGACCGGCAAGGAAACCGTCCATGATACTGTCAAAGTCGGTACGGACGAGGTTGGGAGCTTCGGAGTCGGTGGCTCGTGAGTAGGAACTGATGGCTGAGGCGTGGGACATGCCCGTCATACCTGAGGCCATGGACTCTGCATCGTCGAATTGGGAGCCGTAGTCGTCAAAGTCGTCCTCGGCGTATGCTTCCTCGATCTTGTCGAATCTCTGATCTAGCAGACTTTGGGCGTCCGTGCGAACGAGAGCAGAAGAAGACATTGAGTAGCCAGAGGTTGAGGTCATGGCACCCTTACGTTTCTTACGGCGACCAGAAGCCAGAGATGATAGACCAGTGTTGAAAGATGGCGCCTCTGAAGGGGCTGGTTGGGCGGCCTTCTTGGGCAGAGCCTTTGCAGCCTTGACATCTTGCTTGAACTTGGTAAACTCCTCCATCCAGGCTCCCTCGCTTGGATCTGATGGCGGAGGGGCAGCAGTATCGGATGGTGGCGGTATGGCATCGCCCTTGTCTCCCTTCTCCCCAGCCTTGATAGTGTCGTCTGATTGCCAGCCCTCATCGTCGTCGTCGACGTAGCCGTCACCCTCTTCCTCGTCAAACTCGAGACCCTCCCAGTCATCGCGATCGACCTCCTCTCCGTCTCCAGTCAACTCCTCAAAAATGTCATCCTCGTCGTCGACGTAGGCTTCGTCCTCCAGAGCCTCGAGGGCTTCGCGCAGGCGAGGGTCCATGTCGGGTTGGAAGCCAGCGATAGCGTCGGGTACGTTTTGCATATCCTGGTAGGTGGTTTTGCGCACAAATTCGCTGGGCAACATATCCTCGGGCATCAAACTCCTGGTAGAAGCGACACTCTCTCCGCCGTAGCTCTGCAAATCATCGTCCTTGACGTCCATGCCACGAAGAGCATCTTCCAGGCTCATCTTTCCCTTGTTCTTGTTCTTTGCAGAGGGAGCCTCGACCCATGTGGCAGCACCGCCTCCAGAGCCCAGATCGCGCAGATGTTGCATGTAATCGTATTGGGTATCGTCAAAGTAGACACCATGCTCGGCGGCTTCACCCTCGTTGGGCTTGTAGTCTGTGCCAAACTCCTCCTCTAGCTCACCACGCTCCTTGATCTTGCGGCTTTGCTTTGCATATTGGGGACCTCTGAGCTCGGCAAAGACCATGCTCGGGGCGTCGGCATCGTTGATGAGAGGGTCATTCTGGGCACGATGCACCAGGGCGAAGGTGGTCGCATTCTTCTTGTCGCTGTGACATTGTTAATATTTTCCCGGCGATCTGGTCTCATGCCTGCTACGTACAACTTGCGGCGAGGCATCTTGATCAGTTGTGTTGTGTTTGACAAAAGTTACAGACAGAAAAAGTTTCAAGATTCGTCAGGATGGAGCACCCCAGTGGCGCCAAGAGAGGCCGGCTGACATGTGCCTGATGCATGATTCCACCTTGACTCGTCAACATGTTTAACCAATATTCAACATGTCGCAAGAACCGGAAAATGAGATTCCCAGCGAGGAGCTGCTGGTTCATGGCCGTGCCAAAAGAGCGACGGCGGGAAACCGCATGCAATTCCTCATGCAACATCTCGAAGACGAAGATGTCCGAAACGACCTGCTAGCCGAAGACGAAACAGACCAACTGGACTATCAACTCTCCGACGCAGAAGATGTCGCCTTTGGATCCAGCGACGACTCGGACGACGAAGGCCCACCACGCGAAGGCCAGGATGAAGACCTCCAAGGCGAAAAAGAGTTGCAAAAGGCCGAACGCGTAGAGGCGCGCAAGAAGAAACGCAAGGCCCACGACTTTGCCAACATGCCGCTCAATCCTCTCATGAAGCGCCAAAGACTCGCTGCTTCAAACTCGCTACTCGCTCCCCGTCCGCGAAAGAAGTCAGAGCGCATTTCCTGGCTACCAACTCTCGACGATGCGCCAACACGTCAATCTCGCCGGCGTCAGACTGTCGCCAACAAGGAGCAGACAGAAGCAAAATTGAAAGAGAGTCAGAAGCGGTCAGAGAAGGCTCATGAGCTTATGAAGATTGCCGCCGAAAAGAAGGCTGCTGCTGCCGTACCCGCTCTCACCCAGGAGGATCGCATGAAGAGAGCGCTCAAGGTGGAGAAAGAGAACAGCAGGACACTCAATCGATGGGAAAAGGCAGAGGAAGAGCGTCAACTTGCCCAGCAACAGAGACTAGAAGCCTTGCGAGACAGACAGTTGGAAGGACCCGTCTTTAGGTACTGGAGTGGCTCCGTCATGTGGGAGGGAGAAAAGATCAAGGTCAAGCGTGTCCATCAGCCACGAGTCGAGGCTGTAGTTGAGAGCAAGCCCAAGCCTGTTGCCGAAGTACCATCTACAGAGACACCCACACAACCAATTGCCAACGAGGCTGACGAGAGACCGAATCCGACCAACCCTCAAGACGTCAAATCTACGGACGAGTCAGGAGGGCAACCGACCGAAGACACGCTGATGGTAGACGCTACGACTGAACCGCCAATTGCGGCAGACCAAGCATCAAAGAATATTCCGACTACAGAAAGGGACCGGGAGATATCGCCTAAAGCTGCACTTGAAACAACAGAACAGACAGCGCCAGCTGTGGTAGAAGGCAATGAGACATCCTTGGACAAGCTTTCTCATGATAAGGAGACAGAAACAGAGAAGAAGCCCTTGGGGGACAAATCCGTTGAAGAAAAGCCATCTGAGCAAAGTAGCGCCCGACCGACACCTGCTCCTGAGCAGAAATCACCATCATTCCTGGACGGCATCCATTACTGGGCTTCACAATCACCAGAGGCAACTGCACAAAAGAATAAGACTCCGTCATCACAGACTCCAGTGCCCGCATCAGCTCCTCAATCAGAGGCACAAGAACCAGCATCTGTGCCGCTACAAACTGAGCAAGTAGTTGTAGCTGATCAGCCTGGTCAGGAAGCGACCACTGATACATCTCAACCATCTACCTTACAACCACCTACCTCAAGACCAGTAGACGCCACACAGTCAGTGGACACCATACAGCCATCAGAAGCCACACCACAATCCACAGCACCCTTCGACATATACCCTCAGGTCCAATCCGAATCAGCACCACAACCTCCCTCCATTCCCTTGATCCGCGAACAAGCCCAACGCACCCTAATAATCCTCGAAGCCTTTCCCACCCTCGAACTCGCCCCACCCACTCTCCCCTCTTCCAAAAAATCAACAACCACTTCCTCCCTCCTAACATCCATCCTCCTCCCCTCCGCCCTCCCCACACTAACCCCCCAAGAATCCAAATACCTGACTTCCAAATCCGCCAAAAAGAGGGAATTTCTCCCTCCTCCACCTCCAAAACCTGTTTGTGCAATTACTGCAAAGCCGGCGAGGTTTAGGGACCCTAAAACAGCAGTGGCGTATCAGGGGTTGGATGCTTATAAAGCTTTGCAAAGAGTTGCAGCTGGGGGTTGTAGATGGGGAGGTCAGGGTTGGGATTGTTGGATGGGGATTGTGGGGGAAGGGGTTATGGGGAGGGTTGCTAGGGGTGTGCCGGAGTGTTTTGTGAGTGGGAAGGTTGTGAGGATGGAGGTGCTGAAGAAGGAAGATGTTAAGGTGGAGGATGGGGTTAAGGAGAAGACGGCTGTGGCTCCTGTGGCTCCTGTGGCTGCTGGGTCTACACCTGCACCTGCAACGAGTGGGGGTCTGCCGGCTGGTGCTGCTCCTTGATGAGGTGTTGGCTTGAGTATAGACTTGCAGCATTGATACTCATCTAACGACTCTTATGATTGCATCCCTTTCTTCGACATCTCTCGAGATGAGAGTGCTCCTACTCTTATGATCATTTCACACGATGATTCACAAGTCTAGAGAGCAACATACACATTTGATGGAGACATTCTAGTCAGTCAACAGAGCCAAGATGGTGAGCCTGGTACATCTTTCCAAGTCTCGTCTCTCGAGAAATATCGAGACATACACAAGTATGCAGAGGCCTTTCATGAGACGAATGGGCAGAGGTAGTCCAGGGTGGAAAGGTTGATAGTCGACGACATAGTTTTTCACCAAGCTGAACTGTGCTGTGCATCGACGAGGGATGAGTTGAACAGGCAAAGAGATCTCTTAGAGAGTTTACAAGACGATTATCAACGACGAGAGATCGGATATGATTGAGATACATGAATGGTCTCGAGTCTAGATGAAGTAGAAGACGTAACAACTGAACAACCACAAGTCGGATGCAAAGGTTGATATCATGACAGAAGTATACTGTGAATCTACAAGAGGAACATTGCAAAGGATTGAGACAAAAAGACTGGACTTTTGATGATGATCGTACTTTTCGAAGTAGGGTATAGACTACGAAAAGCTAAGAACCGGACGCCATTTTCATCCCCATCCTTGACCACTGCACCATCATGATACAAGTGGTAGTATCTTTTAGAAGAGACAATGCGCGCCGATGCGTGTTGCTGCTGCTGTGAATACCATGATGGATATACAGCGACAATTTTTCCACAGCCCGGCAAAAAGAGAAGACGACAGGCAACAGACCACTCTGATAGAGAGGGCGATGCGCTTAGTCCTTGGACTTCTTGGCCTTGGCACCCTTGACCTTGGCGGTACCAGTGAGGGTCTTCATGCGGTTCTTGCGTTGCTTGCCTGTGTGGTGTGTAAGTACATGGTGGTGGAGATTTAGGAATTTTGAGAGATTCCCGGGGTCAAAACGTACGCTGCTGGCGAGAAGCCTTCTCGATCTTGGTGGCCATGCCGACACGGACAAGACGGTAGTGGGGCTCGAACTTCTTCATGGCCTCGTTGGAGTCGTAGATGAGAGCGAAGCCAGTGGACTTGCCACCACCGTACTGGGTGCGGAAACCGAAGACGGAGACCTGGTCCTTGTCGGCCTTGTAGAGCTCGGAGAGCTTAGCGCGGAGCTCATCCTTGGAGACGTTGGGACGGTTGGGGTGGAGGACATCACTGTATTGAGGAAGGATCCCTCGTCAGTACTCGGATCTCAATAAAGAGGAGATCAATTTTGCCGGCTGCCTCTGCTGCCACCATCGACCTTCAAGTCTGCCATGCCATAGAGAACGATTTCGAGAGTGAAGAAGGCAGTAGAAATTCGCTGTGGCTCAATGTCTACTGCCTTCCGGAAGCGGAATTGGTGAAAATTCTCTTCAATCACTGATCCTTTCACACATCGCGGCGCAATGTTGAATTTCGTGCAGATGTGCTGATCCTCCTCTTCCTCATTCTCCGTGGCAAGTGACTTGTCGGGCGGCGGCGGCTGCATCGGTGCTCTAGCGATGGGGATGGGGCGAAGCGACTCACACGACCATCTGCTTGCGGGCAAGCAGGGGGTTACGGATGAACTTGCGAGTGCGCAGAGTAACTTGTGCGTCGGCCATTTTTGCGGTATGGGGATGGGATCGATGGTCGTCGAAAGGTATTGTCGTCTCAGCAAGCAAAAGAAGAATCCTCAAAGGCGCCGCGCAAATTCGACCGACAGGCTGGCTTGTGTGCGTGGTCTGTGCGGGATAGCGCGCTTTTGTGGAGTCGAGCCGTTGTTATGCATTACTTTTTGTGCATGCTCAATGCAAAGCTGACCACTCACTCGTAAATTTTCCGTCCTACCATCTGAAAGTGACAGTACTAACATGCGTGTTATGAGGATGGCTCAGACACTATCAGAGGAAGCGCTGCGAGAGATTCGCTTATTCCGCAGACAATACTTGCAGCTGCTAGATACTCAGCATCTGGCCTGGCCCTCATCAGGCACACTCCGCTCGTATCATGCCCAAGAATGGATATATGAAAATCTATTCCAGGGAAATGATGTGGAACACTTTCTGCCGCCAGAGAGATATCGTCTGCGTATCCTGAAGCTACTCATGTCCAAGATTGAGAATTCAATAGTAGATCCTGAGGAAGATGTAAGAATGTCATGTCTCGTGTCCTTTTCGCCTGTTTTCTAATCCTTTCTTGTCCATCTGCTCAGGAGATCTCGGACAGTCTAATGTCTACTTTAGCTGAGCTCATGTTCTCGCCCATGCCAGATGATGCCACGGCTGCTCAACAGAGGAATTGGGTGACATATACGCCGCTTCCTCAAGATTCTCCGATATTGGACAAGGAGCCAGAGTTGAAGTTGTTGGAGAATCGTGCAGTCATCTCAGGCGCAGGTACCACTGGCTTGCGTACCTGGGAGGCCGCTTTGCACCTTTCTTCGTACCTTGTCTCGACACCTGAGCTGATGTCAAGTATCAAAGGTAAGAAGGTGGTTGAGCTTGGCGCAGGCACAGGAATACTGTCCATCTTGTGTGCAAGTCACCTAGGTGCTGCTCATGTTACAGCTACCGATGGCGATGAGGGCGTTGCGCAGGCTTTGCATGAGAATGCAGCCTTCAATGATGTTAAGGATGCCATGGACATTGGTGTGTTGTGGTGGGGACGAGCCTTGAAAGGGTCTTGGATGTTTGAGAAAGACCCTTCATTTTCCTGCGATCTGGTACTTGGTGCCGACGTGGTAAGTACAAGATTGCGTCACATATGCTTCAACATACTGATTATCATGACAGACATACGACAAGGCAGTCATTCCAGCATTGGTGTCTACGATGAGAGATATGTTCGAAGTATGGCCTCATGTACAGATCATAGTTGCAGCAACTATTCGGAACAGCGACACTTTCGCTGCTTTCGAACATGCGTGTGGTAAGTCACAAATTTATACATGACACGCTCACAGGCTGACGTTTGTATGAAGCACACAACAAGTTCAAGGTCCATGAGGTGGAATATCCCCTGATCCCTATGGAGCAACAGACTTCCCTCTTCCACTCAACCACAGTGCCTATCAAGATTTTTTCAATCACTGCGCCCGACACCCAGAGAGATCCATATGCGGTGTAAAGCATGTATACCTTCGTCGCCCTCGACATCACTACAGATGTCGAACGAACTCAAGCAGCGTCTGCGATCCTGCGGATCTCTGCTCTCTCTTCCTCAGTAGTGGTGTTTCTCGGCGCTTGCTTGATCACCCTTGCCGGGTTGCCTGCCACTACTGTGTACGGCGCCACATCCTGAATGGGGTGTGAGTACGCTCTACTTACACTTGCAACAAGTAGAACATTGTTAGACTTACTTTGGTTACAACGCTGCCGGCGCCGACGACACTGCCACGTCCAATGGTCACACCAGGACAGACTGTCACATTACCACCAACCCACACATCTTCCTCAATTGTGATGGGCTTGCCAGACTCCGGGCCATTTGTTCCGTTCCTTAGGTCGGGATCAAGAGGATGAGTGCCAGAGTATAGGCTCACATTGGGTGCTAACAGAGTTCTTGAACCGATGGAAACAAGACACGTGTCAATGATAGTGCAGTTGAAGTTGATGAAAACACCTTCTCCCAGGCGGACATTCGTACCGAAATCAGCTCGGAAGGGGGCCTCGACCCATGGTTCGGAGCCGAGCAGCTCTTCATCTTCATCTTCTGTGCTACCTTCCTTGCGAGGAGGTAATGGTCTGGTATCTCCCACAATGCTATATCAGATCTAAGTAACGATGATCGAATGGGAACATGTGGGAAGTATATAGATAACAATAACAAGGAGGCGAACTTACTCTTTCCACAACTCGACCTGACGTCTTCTGGTCATTGTGTCATCTTCCCCTGCCTTGTTGTACTTTACGCAAGCACGTCCACAACGACGTCGCTCTGCGACTAGCTCAGGTGTGAAAGCATGGTAAAGCTCTCCTCGTAAAGCTCTCGCCTTGTTCTCTGAAATGTGCATAGTTATTCAAACAACAATCTAGACATGTGTCTTTGTAATTGAGACGGATGGAGAGTGATTGGACAGATTGTGCCAAGGCCAACGGATTGGGTCAAGAACACGGGGAGACCCTGGCGTTGATATTGTTCGTACACATTCCGGAAGTTTGACACGACTGACTCGACCACTCTGGTGTTTATTCGGGCGCTGCGCCGGGCAGTGTTGCCATCTTGTCTACACGCGACAACCAAGATGTTACACCAGGGCGACCCAACCATCTCTCTACCTACATCTGTGTCGCCAGATTCGGATTACAATGGAGCAGTAACACAACCGCGTGCGCCATTCGTAGACGCGACCATCTACCCTGGAGGCACTCGCGACATCTCGTCAATCGCATCGCATGCTCTCTGTCTCGGCCTTACCCTCGCAGGCTGTGGTATCGGCACCGTCCTCCTAGCCCAATCGCACTACCGTATCTGGCGACTCACCGAGTTCATCGCGACACTGTCACTCTTCCACTTCCTCGAATTCTACACAACAGCCCGCTGGAACACGTCCAATGCAAAAGTCTCAAGCTACCTCCTCACCTCAAATGGAAGCTCATACCTTGCCGCCCATGTCGCCGCCATGATCGAGATAGTCATAACCTCCCTCTTCTTTCCAAACTTCCAAGACCAATACACCAGTAAATACACAATCGCTGCTGGACTACTTCTGGTAATCATGGGACAGACCGTGCGCAGTATTGCCATGGCACAGGCTGGTGTCAGTTTCAACCATATACCCGCAAAAAGCAAGAAGAACGACCACGTCTTGGTGACATGGGGTTTATACTCTTATTTCCGCCATCCAAGCTATTTCGGCTACTTCTTCTTTGCTGTGGGTACGCAGATTGTGGTTGGAAACAAGATTTGCAGTTTCACTTATATGGTCATCTTGTGGTTCTTCTTCAAGGATAGGATAAAGAGTATGTTATTACATTCTTTCAAGGCTCTTCACTGTTTAAGGGTCGTTGTGCTAACATTTTGACTCAGACGAAGAGAAAGACTTGGTCAAGTTCTTTGGCGCTGACTATGAGCGTTATCGCCAGAAGGTGGGTACGGGTATTCCGTTCATCCCATAGATACTTTGCTACACGGCAATTAATTTACAGTCAACCTGATTTTGGTAACTCATCCTCGACTGTGCCTAACAGTATCGACGTATGTCGGTATAACGTTGTTCTTTTTCCTGCAGCGCTATCTAACTTCTCTGACTGAATGATCCTTCCTTGAGGGAGTTTTCCGACTGATTTTCAGTGCGGCTTCCCTGGTATCAAGATGCCACAGTTGTCGTCCTCGCAGCCTGTTCACCCAGTCTTCCATCAGCTTTGTCATTGACCTAATAGCTCTTGCAAGTGTCAATATCGAACTTCTAAGGATGGATCCACACCGGCCACCTTCGGCACCTGTCCGCATGCTCGCCTATCCATTAGCACTCGGCCACAGTCATGATAACAACCAGTTTCTTGGTGGCCACCACATGATCGCTGAACACAGTCTACGCAACAGAACTTCTGGCTTGACCTGAACTTTCAAACCTCGCAAGCTTTTACGCCGCCTGTAACCTGAGGCCTCAAAGGCAACAACTCGCCTCAATCATGCTCATCCCACCACCCTTCCCCGCCAGACAGTCACTCCTTATATACGACTTGTTTTGCGACCCTCTTGTCCCCAGCCAAGCAAGGGTCTCCGTTCCTACCCGACTGGAGTGTGTTTGGCCCACTTGGCTAGCGTTGGGCATTCGACAAACCCCCCCCCCCCCCCCCCCTTTCGCATCGTCGACTGTGCACGAGTTCAAGCTTCGTGATGGTCGGAATGCTTTCGCTGGGATGATAAGAGAACGCGGGGGCTGCCGGTTTCTTTCCACCATGCCCAACTGGGTGTGGTGGTTTCTTTTGCTGCTGGCCCTTCTAGGCTGTGAGGCTTGTGTGTTGCATGACTTCTCTCTTTTCCACCTTTCCTCCATTGTCAAGATTCGTGTCGCCATCGAGATGATCCTCGCTGCCATCTCTGATCTCGCTACTTCCAAAACACACTATAAAGAAATGCAGACCCGATCCCTGCTCGACCCTCTTTACGTTTATAGATCCCTCGCTGCCAGTATGAAAACACTCGCTATTTGGAAGATGGAAGAACGATGGCAATAAGGAAATGAAAGGAAGGTTGACAGAAGTGATTTTTGTGTTTCAATATGTTGATTTCGGCCATCACAAGACCGTGAGGGAAGTTTCTATATACAAAAATGGCAACGAGGACTATCATTTATGGCCTGTTCATGGGGAAAAATGAATGTTAAGAAGTTTAAAGCCAAGCAAAAGAGGTCGCGATATCCAGTATCTAGCCAACCTCCTTTCATCAAGTCCATGCCATGTTTCCAAAAAGAATTGGCACATCTTATGCAATCAAATCAAGACATCCGTCAAGCACACCTTCCAACTCTTGAACCCTGCGTTCTAAACGCATCTTTTCGTCTCTCATGAAGTTCCAGACGCCAGCGTCAATCTCGCATGTGCGACCGGGGATTCTAGCAGTCACTGAATCTCTGGATACAGGACGGATAACTTCCTTGATTGGCTCCATGGCTGAGCTCCACCTCTCTGAGCCGTTGAAAGCGTAGTTGTTGGGATTGGGTGAAGTCGGTGTCAATGGTCTAGAGCAGGATTCCGCTGTATCGGCTTCGGATTCAAACCCACTGTCGCTATGCAGGGAACTAGCGCCACTGTGACGATTACGGCGGGGTGTAAGATCATTTTGGCGTGCCATACGTTCGTAGTGTTCGCGGTCCTCATGTCTGCGTTGTTTTTCCGCTGCCAATTCCTCTGCCAAAGCACGATTTGTAGCTGCCTGTTCTGCAGATTGCGCAGCCAGGTTCTCGAGTTGCAACTTCAGGTGTTGAGCGCGCGTGGATGCTTCTTCGGTCTCTTCGGATTGTGCTTCTCGCTCAGCGAGGGCGGCTTGGAGGGCAGAGGTCTGTTCTTTATATGCGGTTTGGAGACGACTGATTAGGAACTCGGCGTTGTGGAGGAGTTCGTCAAAGGTGGCGGATGATTTGTCGGCAGGCAGGCCTACGGGGAAGAGCAACGAAGTTGGTGGGTTGAGAAGGTCCATGCCGACTGTGCTTTCTGATGACGTTGACGGGACAGAAACAGGAGCGTTCTTCATTGAGCCAAACCAGGAAAAGCTGCGAGCTGCGAGACCGGTGGCTTTTGGCGCAGCGACCTGAGGTTCCGGTATGCGACCCGAGCCACCGGTGAAGGATGACTTGTAAGACATGATGTATTCCGACTCTTCTTCAGGTTCCGAGGGAGCAAGCGATGAACGACGAGGTGTAAAGATGTCGGTAAAAGAAGGGCCTTTTCTCGGCGGCGACCTGGCTGAACCGTGTTGCTCCTCTGTATCGGTAGGATTGAAGGCAGGTACAAAGCTGACCAGCGACCTTGCACGAGCGTGGAGAGAAGCCTTGCGGGACAGAGAACCAACAGTTGCGACAAGACCAGGCGACTTCACGTTTTCCGAAATGGCAGACAGGACTTGCTTTCCAAAGGCGGCGGATACAGTGCGCGACGAGTAGGAGAGAGAGTTTGAGACAGAGGTTGTCGTCGAGGGAGTATAAGAGTTTGTGTAAGAAGTGTCTTCTGAGAATGCTTGGTTGTAGTTGTCGTAGTTGTTTGAGCGGACGGCGGCGGAATTCGGTCGAGCCAGAGCAATAGGCGTGTCTGGAAAGGGCGAGTGTTGAGGGGAAGAGTTGGACGAGGAAGTCGCCATGGCTTTGTGTCTTTTGTCCGAGTGGATGGCTGGATGCTCAGCTGCAAGACTTGACTTTCGACGCCAAACCCCACTTGGTTGCGACAAGGTACTTTGCTGAAACAGACAACGTCTTTAGCGATTGACTGTCAGTATTTGCTGGAGAGGCTGGGAGAATAACAGTTGAGCCAAGAGACAGTCTTGTATTTCTTGGAATTGCTGATCTGTTGTTTCCTCAAGAGCGTTGTTGCTGTTTCCTGCACTGCAAGGACACCTCGTCGCACGGGGTCTTCGAGGGGCTGAAATGCAAGGAAGGTTAAGCTTCGAGGGCGGCTTGAAAGTGGAGATGGGTGACAATGAGTGGTACAAGTCGAGAAACGACAGAATGATCAGTTGCTGCTTTGGTGTGTAGAGTGTAAGGGATAGACAAACTCGCCTCTTCCTTGCAGCGATTAATCACAACATATGAATTCTCGCTGACGACGTCAAAACGAGCGTGGCTGGGCAATCTCTAATCAAGTGGCTGGGACCAGCGTGCACGTTTCACCGTCGATATGCCTGACCCTGACAACACTGCCACGAGGACATGCCCACTTCGAGTCATCTCTCACTGTTCTGACTGTGCTTTAATACCACATTTTTGCACTCATCGACCTTGCCAACTCGTCAATTGAAGACACACTCGCCTCCTTCGTTCTAGACGTCGAAAAGCCATGCAAATGTCTCGCCCACAGGTCTCGGTTCCCGGGCACGCGACAGACGTTGAGATTTCGGCCTCCACCCCGTCACCAAACGTCTCGCCCTGACAACCCTGTTTCTGCCAATCTTTTTCAATACTGATCTCTGCCTAACAACGACTTCCCAGCCATCATTTTCCAGTTGCGTCATTCTTTTTATACTGTCGTACACCGGAAACCGTCCCTGCCTCATTCTTCGATAGCATCAAGCAGTACAGGTAGTGCCGTTTTTGCCTATCTCGATACTTGTAGATTCGGCGTCCTCTATTCGTCATTTGTGTCTTTCTGTTTTCGGACTCATCTGGTCTAGAAGCTTTATCTGCCTATATTGCCTCGTACAGTGAGCAGCCAGAGTGCACAAGCACAAATAGCCATCTATCCCAGTAACTGTGTTGGGCATGGTTGTTGCATACTTTCATTGAAACGACCCCAAGCACGTGTTGTTGATATTACGTCCGCATCAAACAGTTCCCTCCTCCATCCTCTCTGCGCGAGACCACAGCAACGACCATGCTGGACATCGAGCGGTCAGGCTCTGGTTTCAAACACCTTTCGAATCACGACAGAAATTACGGAGTTCTGAGATTTAGGTATGCTCAGTCGTAGTTCCGTTCCCCGTTGGCAGCACTGCGCGTCGCCTGCTACCAATAATCAGCCTCCAGAACGGGACACGGCGGTATCGCCGCACGACAATCTCGGACCAGAGCCGGATTAGAGCCGGATTGAAATATGACAGTAGAGGCGTGCCACTATGGAAGCAGGAACCAGCATCGATGATTTTCTGGCCAACATTCAACACGACACGGCCGCCCATCGAAGAACGCCTCGAACCCAACACAGGGTCTTGATTCTATTCGTCGCAATCCCTGCTCGCATTTCCACCACTGTTCTAAGCAATGAGCTAGTTCCTCGAAGTGATTTGATGTCGTTGACGCGGCTTGCTTTGCTTGGTGAGGTTTTTCCTATTGAGCACCGAATTCGGTAAGTTTTTGTGTACCTCCATCTCAGACACGCACTTTAGCTCGACAGTCGCGCGAAACAACACTCCATCTCAATGGACTGCGACCCAATGCTATCCGGCTATTCGCAGCTTTTCAGTCTCCTGCAAGAAGAGCGGTTCAAAGTCTATTCGCTCTTGTCTCAGCTTATTGAGGACCATTGGGCTTATTGAGAAGGTGCAAATAATCATCTGGTCAAGTAAAACTTCTACCATGTCCTTCCTACCACGTTTTCCTTTCATCCACTTCAAAGAACTTCATTCATCTTCTCTTGTTCCCTGAAGCAATTTTCTCATACCCAGAATATCCTTTCATCACTTCTCGGCATTTCGCCCAGAAAGCCATACAGCAATGGCTACACAAGGGGGCGACTATCTCATCGTTGAAGATCACATCATTCCTCAGGGAGTGGTCCTGGCTGTGTTGGCTCCTTTCGTCTTCATTCTCAACTTCCCGCCACTGATATGGCATCTTCGCAATCGCAACACGGCGGCTGTCTGTATGGTCTTTTGGATCATGCTGATGAACTTGATCAGTGTCATCAATGTCATCATCTGGCCTTACCTCGACATGCGCCACATGTATGATGGGCAGGGTCTGTGTGATGTTGAGATCAAGCTACTCGGTGCTCGTACTACTGGTATCAACGCTGCGATACTATGTCTGCTGCGTGCTCTGTCTGTTGTGCTCAACACTGAGAAGAGCTTCTTGGGCCCTTCCAAAGCGCGAAAGAGGTGGAACAGAGCAGTCGAGATGGCTTGGTGTGTTGGTCTTCCTCTCTTCACCATGATTCTGCAGTACATTGTCCAGTTGAATCGGTACGCTCTGATCGGCGTCTCAGGCTGTCAGCTCATGAGCCTGAAAGGCTGGACGAGTTTCTTCCTTCTCTGGACCCCTCCCATAATCACCAACATCATCGCTGTCTACTACGCTGGTAAGTCCTGGCACTCGTCTTCCACTCACAACTCCTTCTGACATACCAATCTCTCAGTCTTGGTAATCATCCGCCTCCACAAATACCGCTCTTCCTTCAACAGCATCCTCGCCAGCAGCAATACAACCCGTTCCCGCTTCCTCCGCCTCTTCTCCATCTCCATGATCCTCATCCTCGGCATAACCCCAGTCCAGATCTACATAATCTTCACCCAATACCCACGCGGCGAAACCTACCCTTTTTCCTTTTCCGCCCTCCACGACCCTCAGACTTGGAATGTCATTGTGGGTATACCGTCAGCGGTTATCTACGACAGGTGGATTAATTTGGTGTGTGGGTTTTTGGTCTTTTTCGCTTTTGGACTGGGGAAAGATGCAAAGGGTGTTTATAGGGAGTGGCTTGTCAAGATGGGGTTGGGGAGGNGGTTTTCGGTGTTGTTGGTTGAGAGTGAAGGGGTTTCGCAACGGGGGCAGCTGTCTACGAATAACAGCAAGATGCCTTTGCGTAGAAAGAGCTCTTGGATGAAGAATGAGAGGTGAGAGTTCGATTTTTTCTTGATTATTGATACTCGATACTGACGTTGGCTTAGTTCTCAAGCTTCATGCTCCAGAGTCTCGACGTCGCCCCGGAAGCCTGACTTCAACGACTTGGATACCGCTAGCCCCTCATCACCTATCCGTCCCATGACAGCCTTTTTCCGTCGCTTCGATCCAAGACGTAAGATAGAGCAACCAGGTACAAAGTACGAACTCCCCCTCTTCCAACACCGACGTCAGAACAGCGATGGAGAGGACAGAGGTGTGCTAGTCAGCAAAGAAGTCAAGAGGGAGAGTTTTGTCGTTTGACAGCACGATGATGACGGGGAAATCATCTAGCCTGAGCACGACGGGAGATTAACAAGCGAAGAAACTACATTGACAGCACAATAATGGGACTTGCATATAACACGGCGTCTAGGCGGTATACATCAATTTACACTCCACAAAGACTTTCCGCGTTGCATGGCTGTGACTCACAAACAGAAGTGATCGTGAAATACAAGGCATGTGACGTACAGGGTACGCGGCTCCTAGACAAAAGACGTCTCAAGCTCGATATAGGTTTGTACATGGATGGACTCCGCCAGGCTTTAATCCCCAAAGACATGACTTGTATCGCAAGTTCAATTGATTGTGAGGAGTAAGATTAAATACTGGCATCGTCGGATATAGTGGCCTGACAACTTCGGATTCTCTATACATCTGGAAAGTTGATTTTCAGTAGCCCACTGGACCAGCCCATGAAGACTTTGTGATTCGTGGAAGCCATCACACATTTGTACAGCCATGATGGCGAATTATTGTCGTCCTGGAGAAGAGGGCCTGGAGCAGATTTGTAGTGATTTTTTCAGTTGACCAGTCAGCTCTCCATGGTTTCTGAAAGACTTTACAGCCCGGATTGTGAAGTGCAATATTGCCATTCTTGAAGAAGACGGCTAACAACAAAGATTTGTACACACAAAGTAGCAGAAAAAGAAGAAAGTAATATCATCCGGGCTCCAGAAATGCGACGATCCCAATAAGTCATCCCTACCAGTCATAAACTGCGTGTCTCCCATATCCGTCATCTCCTCTAATCAATGGATAGTGAGTTGATTTGACTCCAGTCGTCACCCAAGCAATCGACGTTTTCCAAGATTCTGCCTCCTTCATCCTTCATTCTTCCATCAATAACGATATTGAGAGCACATTTCGCGACGAGATTGTCCGCGATACTTGTGGTACTACCCATAGTCATCAGATTGTATACGGTCTGTCCTCCTGGAAGCACCTTTCCCAATCTCAACGAGTATACCTCGAAGCTGCCCGGGTTGCGTGAATCTGCGAGCTCAAACAGACCTTTCTCAGCTGCTCCCTTCATCTTGCGAGAGTCTGCACTCCACCAGAGGGACGCAAAAGGATTTTGCTCAGCGCCGTTGCAGGACATGTAGATGAAGCGGAAAGGAATGCCGCGTTTGTTTCTTGTCTGAGAGATTTCAGCGGAGGAGGGAGATAGTGCGGAGGAAAAGGCTTCGGCTGCGGATTGGGGGAGGGCGATATTGACGCGTTGTGCTTCTTCCAAGGAGGGGAATTTGGCTACCCAGCCACCGATGCACCTGTCGCTTCATGTTAGTCTTGCTGTTCTGTCTGTCTCCTGAAGCAGGAGATGCATGGTCGGAGGGGGGGAGCCTACCAGATACAGCCTCTGACGCCTTCATGTTCGAACAATCTCATCAAGTGATCAGGCCATTGTTCAAAGTCCTCGTGGATAATCTGCGTCACCTTGGGGTGGTCTTCAATCTTTGGGTCCAGCGGTTGGCGCGTGATGGCATAGATGTGTGTGATGAATTGATGTTTGATGGCTGAGCGGAGCACCTCGGAACCCACTACGCCTGTGCAGCCTGTCACGATAATCTTCATGCTTGCTGATGTTGTAAGTTGTGAATGTATGAGCGATCTGATTATGGATGTGATGCTAAGAGGGGACTTGTCTGCGTCTTGGTGGGCAAGGAGGCGCGCGTCACAGATGCGGGGTGATTTTGTTTGGCAACCGCTGCTTCATGGGCAAGAACGATGCAATAAACATCATGCACGAGCTTCTCTCCCAACCCAGGACCAAACATGAATTAATTGCGCTGTCTCTCGTGGGTCAACATGGTCCCTGCCAGTCCACGGAAAACATGCTTCAAACTTGAACATTGAATACCAACATGCGCTGATCAGTGCACATAGATCAAATCAAATATACCACTGTCTGGCGAAGGAAAATGTTATTTGCTCGCAGACCCGCCTGATAGCTGTTTCTCAGATCGCAAATGCTCAATCATCCCGACAGTTCATTCAACAGACCCACCCGACCAGATTCCACATGGTATATTCCTACAAGCACGTCATGCTGCCTGTCGTCGCCCTTTTCGAATATATGAGCAGGGTCATCCCGGTACCCACGCTGGAGGACTGTGCTCGATGTTGCCTCCCTTTGCTTGGTCCCTCGTCATCTGTCTCTCAAGCATCACGTCGTCAAATCCACACAAGACGAGGTGTGTTTGGGCATCCAAGCAAAGATGCACCGTGCCAGATCGCCATCTCTACACTGCCCATGGCAAGCGCCTGCTTTGTGCACAGGCGATGCACCGACGGCCGGTGACCTCGGACTCGCGCCTTTTGTCGCCTGTACTTGTATTGATCCGCCTTGCCAATCCCTCATCCAACGGTGAGATGGCCGAGCGGTCTAAGGCGCCAGCTTAAGGTTCTTCCAATACGCTGGTCCGAAAGGGCGTGGGTTCAAATCCCACTCTCATCAATATCCTTTTGCACATGGCATACACACTGGTAGTAGGCGAGAAAAGGATAGTATGTTGTGTTGGAAAAGATATTCGAGATTTTTGTACGCAGGATGTCGATAACTTTTTTTTATGCGTGAAGCCTGGATGCATGGATGCACAGGTTGGCTTGGCGTTGTTTTCATGTGCACCAATTCCTCCGTTGGTTTCTACCGTCCTCTGCCATTATCTGTATGTAGCTTCGATATATGATTGAGAATACCGCGTTGAAAAGGTCCACTTCGACTATGATACCTGCTTAGTCATTCGAGTCGTGATTATCGAAACATCCAAGTGTCGAAAGTGTCACGGAAGGCATAGACGTGCGACGAGCGGACATGGTGCCGTCCTGGTATAAGGCCAGGGTGGCCCGGTTTAGCGAGGTGACTTCCTAGCAGAGAGCCATCGCTCTCCCATGATTGATCAATATAATCCTTACTGGCTCCAGGTCAGACAAGGAATCATCTATCATGCCAAAGAGCCAAGCAATTCTCATAGACTTTATATACCGTGAGCCACGGTCGAACTCTATCTACTCACAACTGGCCGACTTGGCGCAGGGGTAACGCGTCGCACTTGTAATGCGAAGATCGCTTGTTCGATTCAGGCAGCCGGCATAAACACCTCTGGGTAGTTCCTCTTTTTGATTTTGCCCACTCCATCTACGGCATGTGGACACATACGTGGAGAAAAAATCATGTCTTTTGCTATGGTGGATTGGCGATGGTAGTGGTCTTAAGGCGTTGCCGACATGTAAAATCATAGAAAGGCTGGAGTAAGCTGAAGTACCCTGAAGCGCCGCACCCCTCGAAGCGCCGCAACGCGTAAACACTCAATTCTTGTCACCTTCTTTAATCAATTAATTCTTATACTATAACTACGTCGTCGTAATGGATTAACGCGAGCTTACGATACAAACTGCCCTCTACGAATTTAATATAGGTGTTTTCACATCCCTATAAGCCGCCGGTCGCGCGTATAACGTCTCCGAACGAACCCTTTGTCGCCGACGCGATAGAATTCTAGATTGACGTACTGCTTACGCTTACGAACAACGACTGTCTCTACGATAAGAGGATTTTCTTGTTTAATAGATACTTAAACAGGAGGTATAGGGGTTTCCTCCCTCTTACGCTCGCGCTCGTAAAATGGCTATTCGCGTTCTTCGTCTTAACGGCGACGATAAACTATTAGGTAAGAGATAGATTATAAAATTTATACGAGATAATCTACGTATTGCCTTAGTTATTAGAAGGCCTATTAAGGCTGCTCGTATTAACGGCACGCATCCTAACCTTATTTAAGAGTTTTATATAGCTTACGAAGACGCTGTTCGCCTTCTTAATATTAAGCCTTTAAATATATATAATATAGACGAGCACAGAATTACCCTTAGTATCTATACTAACTCGAGAGTTCTTAGAGACTCCTCTCGTTAACGCTTGTATGTTAAATTACTATAAGATCGTAAATAGGTCTTAATTATTAAAACTGTATCCCTAATAGGTAGCTTTACGCGCCCTCTAATTATATTTAAGGGTTATAATCTATAGAGCACTTAGTTTCCTACTAAAACACCTGATTATATCTATATAACCTCTAAAAATAGCTAGATAACAAATAACTACGGTCTCTACTAGTTATAGCGAATCTTTTATCCTAAAACTTAACCTAATAGCGATAAATAGAGGCTTCTTATTCTTAATAGCTATAGCAGTTATATAACTATTAAATTTCTCTAGTTTTATAAGTAACATAAGATCTTTCTGCTATTCCTGCCCGCTTATTTATCTTATGTACTTTAACCTCTAGATTTAGGGGTTGTTTTTACCTCTTAAATCGCGATACCGTTAACAAATTACAGATTTAGCTACACTTAATAATACATCACCTATTAAGAAGTAACGCTTTGTTACCTGCTACTATTTAGCTCGCCTTAAGACATTTATACCTCGCTATTTACGTACGGGTTAGCTAGCTGCTAGTATCTATCTATTTAACCCTTTAAAAGGGCTGAATTCTTCCTAAATTTAGAAGGCTAGATAAAAGGCAATTACACTACTACTATAACAACTAGTTCCTACCTATCTTACTACCCCTAAAAACTTACGTTAAGTTCATTTAAATACTTAATTTATTCGGAACAATTAAGACTAGAGATAAGAGCTCTATTAGGTTTATAAGAAGGCTAGTTACGCAATTAACAATCTTAACATTAGAAACGTAGAACTATAAGCTACTATAGCTAACTAACAGGCTTAAATTAAAGCCCTTACCGTTAAGAGAAGGAAGAAGGTATATATAGATCCTAACGATAAATTTGCGAGTATTAACAATATAATGGTTACTATACAAGCTGTTAAACTTATAGAGGCAAGGGACGCGACTGACGCGCTAATTGTAATCGACAATTAGCTATAACGAATCAGACTGTCTAGAGCTGTGATCAGCTTAATTTTTAGAGCTATACATTAGCGTTGTAGTCGTATATAGCAGTTCGACGACGAGGTGATCAATTCGGCTTGTGCGGCGCTTCTAGGGGTGCGGCGCTTTAGGGTACTTCAGCTTAGTGCATAGCCCTTGCTTTGGACTTGCTATGCGTGTTCTTACACAAGTAAGCATGGCTAACATGCGATATCTAGTTCGAGTATTTGACTTTGGCAGCTCCAATTGCTGTGTAGTAGTTCTACTCCAACTCAAAGAGATCTGTTCGTGTTTCTAAGGCTGAGCCGGAACTCGCAGGCGTCAATTTTCAATAGATATGCAGTTTAGACGTGAACGTCAAGAAAGACATTGGCACGGTCGAGAGCACGGTCGAGAGCACGGATCGAGTATAGCAGAAAGAGGAGGGACGAGCACAGTCCCAAAGCCCAAGGATCAATGTGCTTGCTATAGCAACAAAAATTTAGAGTCAAATAAAATAGTGTCAATGGTATCTGGAAAGACAAAGAACTTTTTTATTTGTTGAAATTATTACTAAACATTAAGACTAAGGTTTTACTAGATGTACTAATACTGTCAAAACACCACCAACTGAAGAAGACTTTGACGTCGATAGAAGAGAGATATCGACTCGGATGGACACCAACACAATTCAAGATAGGGCGGAAAGCTCAGCACAGTTCGGCCGCGCTTCCCAGCTCCAGCAGCATTTGGACATGTCCAGAGTGTTGCTTGTGCTTTCTGTGACTGCGTGGCAGGGCGCGTCTGGGCAAGACGGCAGTAGGATGGAGACCATCTTCCGCTTTCCTAGCAGCTTCATCAATCTGACTAAGTTGAAGCTTGCTGGTAGCCGGGGTTGGCATGATGGTACAGACAAGCACTACGGAACAGGTCAGCGATAGCCGCGTAGAAGGAATTGTGTAAAGTGACTCACCATGGTTTCCTTTACTCATGCCTTTTGTGTTCCAGTCATCGTTCCATTGGACGTAAGTATGAGGACAGTGGTGACGGCCGAATGCGGGATTCTGCGCGAGCCCACGGCATTGATCGTATAAACCGGTGTCTTCGTGAATGTGTTGGTCTTTTTCAGGGCACACCGCAAGGACGTCTGTGGTGCAACCTTGACCCTTCTCCCATGGTTCACCTTGTGCGTGACACCAGACCGGTGAAGAGAAACCCTTTTCAACGTCAATGTCGTAATATGTCAGATCATAACTTGAATCGAAGGTTGCTTCCACAACGGTGTCATGATCACGATGGCTTCCGACCCTTGAAGTCTTGTTGTTAGGAGAGACGCCTACGAATATCTTCGGACTGAGATGAGGCAATGCTCGTACGAAGTAATCCTCTCCAGGGTTCAGCTCCAGGGTTTGAAAGTCGAGTACCGGGTGCTTGCCGTACCGCGCATAGTCTTTCTCAGCCCAATCCGCACTGAGGTGTTGCGTGATCGCATTTCTGTTCAGGAACCAGATACCGTGCGAACGCGAGGGATCCTTTCCTGGTTCAGCGCCAGGAGGCTTACTACCAATAGAGTGGCCGATTGGTGTTCCGATCGACGAGGGTTGTACATTGACATGTGTAGGTCGAGTAGCAGGTTGACTGACTGGACGTACGTTGCCAGGCTCCTCCTGAGGCGTCGAGACCATGACTGTGACTGGTCCGGAAGTCTGACCTGTTGGTATAGCTGGAACGATTGGTGTATGGGCCTTGATGGGTTGCGACTGCAAGGGTAGCCCGGCGGCTACTGAACTTGTTCCGACCAGGTTCTTCCCAGAGTCGTCCAATGGTACTGCGATTTCTGGAGAGCCGACTTTGTAACCAACAGAGACACCATCTTCGCCTATGACAGCGAGATGGCCTTGGCCAGCCACCAAGCAGGCCAGTGGGGCGAACAAGATTGCAGAACTGAGATGCATGTTGGAAGGATGAAAACGACCAAAGTGAGCGACGAAGACTCGGTAAAGGAAAGAATGTCGAAAAGGTCGAACCTGTCGGAGTACCAGACATCATCTTTTATGTCGAAAATCTCCTCTGTTCATATGGCAAGATTCATCGTCCAGACTTTTGCGTGTGGGCCAAAACCAAGGGCAGGTTATCCACTTTACAGAGCGGATTGTGGTCGTCTTGAGTGTATTCCTAAATGAAGACGTGAAGCGGGGGCGGGAGCTCATGCTTCGACCTGGTTGAGTTAATTAAACAGACCGACCATTGGCAGCTTCCCCTGAGCGGTTGCGTGGGGATTAGAGTCTATCTAACGTGCCTGAATATCCTGTCAAGTAAGCATATTACTCTCCATGGTACCTCATGGAGTCAATTCATGCTGCAAAGTTCTTGCAATATTGAATGCTATTCGGTGTTGAAATTGCGCGTGGGATCCAGGTCGCAAAGATGGGCAGATCACGAAAGTGCTTTCTGTTGAGTTGCATACGGGGTGGCTGCGAGTCGTGAGAGCATACTCGATGGAAAGAGGTAGAAGAAGAGAGGCAAGTAGCGGACCTGCATCCGAGAACGAACTTCGTCAGGGTCCTTGACATGCTTGGCTTTCGATAGATGGGAAGTGCGATTGTTGCGCAATTGTCTTTAGCCGTCTTGCACTGCACTACGTACGAATGCGAGACCGAGGGACTTACCAACAAAAGGATCGTTGAGCCCGCGGTGCGTATGGTAATCTTCGGATGGGAGTTCATGATTCAATGTTTGAGAAATGCTGTAAATTCACAATTGCCATGTCTATCCTGCCTCGTCCAATCCTTGATTTTGTAGAACGCCTTAATCGTTGCACAGGTCGTCTTCCTCGACCGCATGCTTAACCCATTTAATATGTCCACTCTCTTCGTTTCTTATGTGCACTTAGTTCCATGCATCGAGGTTCTTGAGAACAACTTCATCCTCGCCTCTGGTGAAGAGCTTTCCGATAACAGAAACTCTCTCACCAGCATCTTCCAAAACCTTCTGTGCCTCAGCAGCGTTCTCCTTGCTGACGACAATGACCATGCCAAGGCCGGTGTTCCATGTGCGGGCAAATTCGCGAGACTCGACGTTGCCGGCTTCCTTGAGCCACTTGAGCACTGGGGGGACGGTCCATGCGGAGACATCGACCTCAGCTGCCAGAGTCTTAGGCAGCATTCTGGGGATGTTGTCGTAGAGACCACCACCAGTGATGTGAGCCATGCCCTTAAGGAGATCTTTCTCAACAGCCTTCAAGAGAGACTTGACGTAGATACGAGTAGGGGTCAACAAGCTGGCACCAATGCTGGTGTTAGGTGCCCAAGGAGCCTTGTCGTGGTATGAGAGTCCCTTGGACTCGACGACCTTTCTGACGAGAGAGAAGCCGTTCGAGTGCACACCATCACTGGCAAGTCCAAGAAGGATGTCACCGTCGACCATAGATGCCATATCAGGCAGGATGGTACGTCCACGCTTGAGTGCACCGGTGGCGCAACCACCGGCATCGAACTCGTTGCCCTGGTACATTCCAGGCATCTCAGCAGTCTCTCCACCAACAAGGGCACATCCTGATTCACGACAGCCGGCTGCGACACCCTCGATGAATGACACGGCCTCCTTGATCTCCAGCTTGCTACAAGCGTAGTAGTCCAGGAATGTCAAAGGCTCCGCACCTTGTACGACCAGATCGTTAACGTTCATGGCAACAAGATCAATACCAACAGTGTCGAACTTGTCCATAGCGAAAGCTACCTTCAGCTTAGTACCAATACCGTCAATGGCTTGGATGATGATGGGAGCCTCATCGTAGCCGGCGGCCTTGAGGTCGAGTGCACCACCGAAACCACCGATTTCAGCATCGGCGCCAGGTCTGCGGGTAGACTTGACAGCCTTCTTGATAGCAACAACTAGGTCATTACCGGCATCAATAGAGACACCAGCGTCGGCGTAGGTCATGGCCTTGGGCTTTTCGACATCTCTGGTACAAACAGCACCCTCGTAGGCAGGTTCCAGGAGCTTCCACTCACAGCTGATATTCTCCTTCTTGAACTCACCAATCAAGTGATTGGCGATCTGCTCGAAGTTGTGAGTCGCCAGGGCCAGGATGGTAGGACCAGCACCTGACAGGCAGATACCGAGAAGACCGGGTTGCGATGTAGGGGTGACAGACTTCAGGATTTCAGTCAGGCCGGGGATTAGAGTCTTTCTGTAAGGCTGGTGGATCTTGTCCTGCATGCCATCGTAGATCATGTCAGGGTTGGGAGGGCTCTGACCAAGTGCTGTGGTCAACAGAGCGATTCTCTGGAGGTTGGAAATGACATCGGCCTTGGGGTAGTTGGTGGGAAGAACCGAGCGAGCCTTCGCGGTAGAGACCTCAAAGTCAGGAATGATAGCAATGCACTTGATCTCAGGAGCCCAGTTGAACTTGATGTGTTTGCCAATGTTGATCGGAGGAATGGGAGGAGTAAGCCCAGTGTCGACACCACCAGCGGGGGCAGGGAGGACCTCACTCAGAGGAATCTCCTTGCGCTTCATGTCCTCCTCATCCAGATCCTTGAGGTAAGAGCCGACGAAGCCACCGAACAGAGCAGCAGCAACGTTGTCAGGGTGTCTCTCGATCATCAGGCAGAAGTCGAGCATGCGGTCTTTGGACAAGTCAAGGCCACCAACTTCGCTACCGAGCATAACACCAGCAACAACAGCAGCTCCAGAAGAACCAAGACCACGGCCAAGAGGGATGGGGTTAATGATGTGAACGTGAGTCTCTGAAGGGAAAGCATGCTGGTTGTGGCATCGCAAGACGTAGAGAGCAGTCTGAGTGATCAGGTTGCGATCAGCAACGAGATCAACACTCTCCTTGCCGAGACCTTCATAGGTGATCTTGCAGTTAGACTGGTACTCTGAAGACTTCTTGGAAGAGTCTACAGTAACACGCAGCTCGAGCCAGACAGAAAGGGCCAGACCAATGACATCAAATCCAGGGCCTGGTCAAAGAAGTCAATTGACGAGCGGATGAATGTTTTGCAATTGGTAAGAGATACCAATGTTAGCCGAAGAGCACGGCACCTCTGTGGAAAATTAGTCTTGATCGTGGGGCATATATGAAGGCACCTCCGTACTGATTGAGAAGGACATGTTGGGCAATGTAGGTCGTCAATGCGCGTTTCGACCTGATGTAAACAAAAAAAATGAGGTCGCGCAAAGACTGTGTCTGAATTGACAGAGTTTGACACGCGGTATGCAAGTATTCAGCGATAGCGGAAGCTCACTGTCGCGAAGGAGTCACCTTGATAATTTCTTCACTTTCACAGGACCCCGCGTTCGGCGGCCGGGAGTCCCGCGTCTTGGCAAGTAGCGGACGCCAAGCACAACGACCACATCATACGTAGGCGGGCAGCGACGCGCGCATCCACCTTGGTCAAGCAATTGATCGCTCTCTAGCTATTCCAATCAATCCTCTTCCCAAAAATTTATTCCTTCTCTCACCCGACAGTCTCACTGCTGTCACACATATCTCATCATGCCTGTATGAAGCACAGATGTCCATGAAACCTCCAAGCAACCCCCTGCTGACAGCTAGCGCGGCAGGCATACCACTCAGTCTTCCTTGATGAGCCGAATCAGCAAGTCATTGGCAACTTTGCCTTGTTGCCTCTCCGTACTAGAACGCGTGGTCCCGCTATGCAACTTCCCGCTCTATCCGGCGACGTCACAGAACTCAGCATCGATGCCTCACACGAAAGCTACGATCCGCTAGACGAGACGCTGGCTTTGTTCCGTGCGAACACCTTCTTCCGCAACTTCGAGATCAAGGGTCCCGCCGACCGTGTCCTCATCTACGGCATTCTGTTTGTCAGTGAAGTTATCTCAAAGATCAAGCCTCAGATGCCGAGAAGAGAGGCCGAGAAGGCCGTTATGAACCTCGCTCTGGACACAAACTTTGCCATCCCTGGCGATGCTACCTTCCCTCTCAACCAAGCCTTTGAGCCTCCGCGAGACAGACAAGAAGCCGAAGTCTTGAGACAGTACATCAGCCAAATGAGACAGGAGCTGGCCAACAGATTGTTGAACAGGATATACGCCGACGGAGATGCTCCTAGCAAGGTGAGAACTGCTGTCAGCTCAAGTGTCACAGGAGATACTAACTCAGTCTTTGCAGTGGTGGTTGAGTTTCACCAAGAGAAAGTTCATGGGCAAGGCCCTCTAAGCTATCCATCGAGTCGGAAGGCGCCACGCAGCAGTCTTCAGTCTCAATTCCCTTTGGCTCTCCCCGATGTCAATCACTTGCCGAGGAACATACGCATGCGCATTCTACTATATGGATGCCAATAGCACCGGTCTTAGCGGCAACACAACGCGCGACCTTGTCTACCTGGTGTCTGGGAACGCCATAACATTGTCAATAGGAGACAGAAGTATCAAGAGTTATGCAAGCATTCACTTTCTATTCCAAATCAACATATGAGTACTGGTCGAGCTATACAATTATCAGCACGTCGCAAGAATTTTCCAGATTGACAAGACTACCGGTTCACTCCACACTTTGAACCACAGGCACCACTTAGGCATTGGAACAGAACCGAGGTAAGTTGATCGACGTTAATGAGGCTATCAGATTTCGCAGGATTTCAGATTCCTCTTTAAGAAGGACTCGGAGTATTCGGTCAAGTACAACTACGCACATGCCTGCTACCATTGTTATCAACTACAACCCATCTCTCGACAACCACAGTATCGCCGCCCTCCGGTGTCGTCACATTCTTCAATTACTCGTAGATGTATTGTACCTGGCAGTTTTCACTTTGACTCTTAGCAGTGTCAGCAACGGCAGTCGAGTTCTCCTCGGCTGCTACGCTTGAAGTGGAAGATACTCTGGTCGCGGTTGAGAAAGTTGTCGCAGAAGCAGATGCCAATGAAACAAGGGACAAAGAGTAAAGTTGGGTCGAGTGTGCTACTTTGGCGATCTTGGCGCTCGAGATAGACGCAGAGATGGCAGTGGATGAAATGACAACAGGACTGGAGATTGGAATTTTTGATGGTGCAGTGGAAGATGAGGTGCTGATGGCAGCAGTGTTGGCCACAATCTTAGACGCCACAACAGTGCCCGAAGCCACGGCGCTGGAAGATACCACGGATGAAGACGAAGCGTTTGCGGCATCTCCGACGCTTATACAAGCAAAAGAGATCTGCTTAGTGGTCGAGGAAGGCAGACCGCCGTATGCACCGGCAGGTTGATCGAGTCTCCAAGTCATGTTGACGTAGGGCCAGCAGATACGCCCGTCAGTCATGGTCACCATATCGCCAGCGACATAGGTATCCATTGACTTGACCGGTGCACCGATCTTCTCGCCTTTGTTGACGAGCTGAAAGTACGATCCGCTGTACTCGCCTTGGCAGCCCATAGCAATGAAGTCGCATTGGGGCTCGTCGATCTGCTCCCAGGTCACCAGAGCATTTGCGCCGTCGAAAGTGGCGACGTGGGCATTGGAGCAGTCGGCTGTGCCAGTAGTGATCCAATTGACTTGCGAGTCGCCGTCTTTGGCACCCACGATGGAAGAAGCTTGTTCGCCGTCCATGGTCTGCTTGTCCGAGAAAGTTGCGATGGCAACGTTGCGACCATTTGTTCTGTTCGCAGAGGCGACATATCCCTTGCCCATCCAGCTGTTCTCGTATAAATCAACGGCACCACGGGATACCCAGGAGAAGATGTAGGAGTCTTCGTCCTGATAGCGAGCGAGATTGCTGTAAGAACCGGACATGCCACCCATGGACTCGCCGCCAGCACCGTTGGTCGTGTTCTCGTTCGAGATCTTGGTACCAGAAAGATCCATGCCGCGATTGTTGGTGTTGAGCCAAATGTCGCCCTGATCTTCTGCGCAGATACTGGCGAAGGGAGCGGCATCGGCAGCTTCGAAAGCAATTCCAGTATTGTGCGAACAACCCCAGGCGCTGGACTCAGGAAGAGCATCGAGCGATCCGTTAGTTGACACATATTGGACCGAATCGCCAAAGTGACCTTCAGCCCAACCGCTGTAATCGGTAACGACAAAGTAAGCGCCGTATATGCCAGCCTTCTCAGAGTAGACAAGATCGCCATTGAGATCGGGAGAAGCAGAAAGACCGTCACTCTCATGAACACCAGGTCCACCGAGGAAAGTCTTGAAGGTCTGCTCCCCCTCAGTATATCTGTACAGAACAGGTACAGGAGTGCTATCGGCAGGAGCGTTAGTGGTCCCAGACGGAAGAGCCTCGTTGGTCAACAGTGCAAATCCATCATTGTGGGCAACGAGTCCACCTGCTTCTTTACCACCCTTGACGGTCACTGCAATGCCGACCGCCGCGAACGTCTTGGGATCCACGCGTTGGACATGGACATCGGTCTCGCTGTCGTCGAGGTACGCGAGGAAAGCACGAGTGCCGTCAGGAGAGAGTGCAAAGGGGGTTCTGCGATGGTGAGGCAGATCTGTCCAGTAAGCTGCCTTGACAGGATTGAAGCTGTAGTCGAGATCAAGCGAGTTGACGTAGTTCTTCAAAGAGGCGTCATTCAGACCAGCGGCCGCAGCAAGCGAAGTGGCGAAGGAAAGAATGATTGGCAGAGAAAGCATGATTGGTCTAATGAATGGACGAAAGGTACCAGCCCTTTCTTGGAGAAGGTGGAATTTACGATTGAAAGAGACGTGATGGACACCTTCGATAGGCCAGGCGAGTGTGAGATCTTTTATGTATCATGCGCGACATGTCGTGATCGCTTGTTTTGAGCAGCAATGGAAGCCACTCCCTTGCCCTAATTTTGCGTCCTCGTATCTGAGTAACAGATTTTAGGGTTGTATACAGAAAGCAAGCATAGGTGGCAGATCATAAAGGCAAGGTACATTGCTGCAAGATTTGGCTATATTATAGGGCAGTCCCGTCGGAGTTTCGTGTTAGGTCCTCCAGGATTGTGCCTACGTTGATACTTGCGATAGGAGAGATGTTTAGTCGTAAGAGTGTATGAAGTAGGTTTACGGCGCACAGAAACGACCTTCGATGGCCAGCTCTTGGTGGGTCTTTGGCAGATGACTTTGAATTAGCAAAGCAGCTTTGCAAGTATGCAGGCCCTGACGGACAAGTGTGAATAGTTAAGGTAAGGATGTCCCGGGGTATTGGCATTAGTCGTCAAGCCGCTTGTTTGTCAGAGATAAATGCGTCCCTCTCTGCCGAGATTGTTTCACGTATGCTTCAGCTTTCGGCTCGAGACGTGGGTTCGGAAAAGAACATCTTGGCGGACCTAGATCGAGCGCATGGTAATGGTTCATATGTGCAACCCCAAAATATGTGGTCTTGACCTACATCACGCGACAAGCTTTATCGAGTGTTCAGACACAAAACAGGCAGACTGAGGCAGTCAATAACAACAAGGCAGCTCGCCCACACCTCGGCGAGTCGGTGGCACGCTCGGTCCGGGTTGCCGTTTTGTCTCCCCCTCCCAGATTGCGCCTCCTTCCATTTCTCCATCAATTGAAAGCGATGCAAAGTGATCAGAAGGACTCCGCCGCAACATATTACGGCCGCAGTCCATGAGATGCATCAATATCGAATGCCTGATCCTCTGGGGCTTGTCTTGAAATAACAAAAGATCAAGCTCAGCCCCCGCCAAAACGGGTGACTTTGAGAGTCGACATGGTGCTTGAGCAGTCCAAGCCTCGGAAGAAGTCACGCTAGAAATTTTGTAGAAGCGACTTCATACCTGAAAGAGTAAGATCAACGTGCATCTTCTTTTGTCCATATCTTCGGCCTAGACACAGCCGCTTCCTTCAAGTTTGGTATGTAGACATTTAATAGGTCGAAACAGTGTTCGAGTAGAGTCATGCGGCACTCTCAGAATCCTTTGGTCTGCCTGAGCTGAGCAACGGTGGGGTCGTAACGACCATCTACCTTATATAACCATGCATCTCTCCCATACTTTCACATCATCTCAAATTTGCCCCACTGCATCTTAACATCATTATGGGAAGACTTACAAGGGCCTTCTCCCGGACTGGACAATCGAGCAAAGAGAAAGAAGCACTGGACGCCAAGGTGGACAGTCCTGAGAAGAGTCCGTCGCCACCTCCGCCAACCTACAAGGAAGCAAAGGAAGACGAATGGAACGCCAAAAACCCTCCCCACATCGTCAATGGATTTGCTGAACTCGACTTGGGCTCAGATGGTCCAGATGTGCCACAGCCCAGAGACTGCGAAGCACATCTAAAATTGCTTGAGTGCTTCTACCGTTTGAAGCAAAGGATTGCTAGGACCGAAGGACTGTTTGGCATATCTATCAACATCGTGAAGGATCTCGATGAGGTCGTACCACAAGCAAAGACCCAAGTCGAAAACAAGAACAACGAGATATCAACACTGCTTGCCGAGAAGCGATGGCAAGTCTACGTCTCTCGTGCAGTGCAACGCTTTTCGGCATGGAGGAACACTATCGAGGCTGAAGCTGGTTACTATACGCTGTCTCAAGCGACCTCTTTGAAAGGTCATCGATTGGCGCGTCTAGTAGATCCTTTCCACGAGAACACAGATGCATTGTGCTTCGACCACAGCAACCTCATACCCATCGGTAAGTCATACGGTCTTTGGTGCAATTCACTTGCTGATATATGGCTAGACATCCTGATGGTCTGGCATTCGTATATGCTGAATCCTAGAGCATATCTGGAAGACTGCGCACGCGAAGGCCGCATGAAGATGTGGCACACGCCATTTCCATCAAGGACTGTGGCCGAATATATTGATCCTTCAACATACTATTACGAGGTTGGCGACGCCGTAACGAGCGAGTTCGAGGAGCAAACCGGACTTCACTGGGACAACCTGGATGATCCCAACGAGACGATCATCAAGTGTCCTCATTGCCTGGCCTCGAACACGACTATCTGGACCAGGTGTGGGGAAGTTACTCAGAAGGCAAGAGAACGCGGGTCGACCAGGGGAAATGCTCCCATTCTTGGAGCCGTTCAAGATCAACTCGGTGCCTCCCAAGGATACGCTGACAAGGACTTTGCCTTGGATTGTCACCAATGTGGTATGCAGATCAATCACGACTCCCTTTGTGTTGGAAAGCTCCGAGAAGATCTGAAGAAGCTTCTGCAAGATGATGTTATATTGCCTGGCAACCTTCTAGGCAGGGAGGGGCTACCAACGAAAGTCGGACTGATTTCCGACAGCACAGGCTGGGCATATTTCTCGTTCCCAAGCAGGCTGATGAGGCTTGGTCTGGCAAGACAAATCCTGGATCTCAAAAGCTGCGACTTGAAGATGCTCAGTGTTCGAGAAGTTGTCGAGGAGTATCTTTCCAACAGACAAGCGGTCAAAGAAGCCAAATGGATAGGAACGACCTCCAAACCGTACCCTGACGAGTCGTTGGCTATCCGTCGCATGATGTCGAGATATTGGGAGAACTCGTCTCCTTTCGCCATCGACCTTGTTGGTGCCGTGACACGCCAGGGCTCTTTTATCGAGAAGATGCATACTATTGACTGGCTCCACTCTCCTGCGCTTTCTCACACGATCCCTCGTTTGATCCTCAAATACACACGATTCATCGGCATCATCGCAAAGTACAGTAAGATGGCCGTACCAACCCTCGATGTAGACTTGGCATGGCACACCCACCAGCTCAACCCATCCCAATATCTCCAATACACCGTTGCGAAGAGCAGAACATTCATCGACCACGACGACAAAGTGGTAGAAGCAAAACTCACAGACGCTTTTGCAGAGACCAGTAAGATGTACCAGAGACTATACGGAGAGCCATACTCGGAATGCACATGCTGGTACTGTGAAGCCGTACGAGAAGCAAACACTTCAACCGCATCACGCCTCTTCCGCAGCAACAACGCAACAGCAGCAGACAACCTCCACGACGTCCCCTCGGACCCTAAGAAATCCGTCCACATCTCCACCCACAACGCCGTGCGTCCAACAGGCGACAAAAGGTACGACGAAGGCGTCACAAGACGTCTAGCCGAGCTGGAAAAAGCATACGCCAAAGCCTGCTCACGCGCAGACAAAAAGGGCAAAACTCGCCCGAAGCGAGACGACTATTATTACTCTGATGCTTATGGATATCCGGTGTATATGCCTGCTTATGCGCCGTATATGGGTGCTATGCCGTATACACCCATGGTGTATCCTGTTTACCCGGGGTGTATGGCTCTGGGGGTTGGTGCGGCTGGCAATTGCTGTGCTGGGACTTGTGGGGCAGGTGCAGCGGCTGGGTCTTGTGGTGCTATGGGTGGATGTGGTGGAGCGGGTGGTGTTGCTGGTTGTGGAGGTGGAGGGGGTGGAGGTGGTTGCGGAGGAGGAGGAGGCGGCGGCGGCGGCGGCTGTGGAGGAGGCGGCGGTGGGTGTTAGATCGAGATGGCGCTGATTTCACGATTTTATGATTTTGGTGTGGGTGTTCCTATACCATATCAATTGTGCGATTTTATACCTTTACTCCAGATCTTCTGTGACTTTGTCATCTCACTACAACATTCCTCATCTGACCTAGAACAAGACAAAAACAACCATGTTACATCAGCATCAGGTCCGTAAGTCCATACTGCCTACAATATAGATGATATAGATGCGCAATGATATGGCAAACCACAATTACTCATCAAAACTACGTAGAAAACCAAAAACCGCTTTCGCATACCTTCTTAACCTCGATTGCTCTTCGTTCTCCTCAAGAAACCTGCACAAATTGTCCGATACCAGGTACGCCATCCACAACCACATAGATCACATACGGACCCGGGGGCGCAAGATTACTAGACGGCGGCATAGTAACCGTAACACTCTGTCCTTGCACCCCGTCCTTCCATCCCTGAGTGTCCAAGAATAACATTCTATGACTCATATGCACCGAATGTGTTACGAAGCCTCCATGATATAATGCCACTTTGACGTTCTTTGCGCCAGTAGGGACGGAGAAGTCGATGGTGAAGGTTTGAGAATTCGCTTGTAAGGTCTTGGATGAGAGAGCGACGTCGGTGGGACGCTTCTTTGCGTTATCGCCAGAGAGATAGGGAGGGGTGTAGATCTCGACTCTGAACTCTGTGACGTAGGGATCTTGAGTTGTAGGTTTAAGAATTGGCTGTTCGACTGGATTGGATCCTGCAATCATCAATGTACCATCAAGAAGCAGTAAAGCTACTGAATGGTACAAACGAGGGATCGTAGACGAAGGACCGGTGGTCCAACGTTGACCGAGCGGTTTAGCAGGATCATAGATGAGGACTTCGAGGGTAGGATCACGAGCGAGGCCGAAGCCTTGGGCTCCTTCGTTTGCACCGTTGACCCAGACGACGGTACCGTCAGGGAGGAGGGTCCCTTCAACCATACCGCGGCCTTGAGGCATGGAGTCCATTTCCCACTTTGCGGTCGTGGAGAGTGGTTGGATGCGGCCACAGCTGGGATCCGTCGGGGAAGTGATATCTTGGTATGCGCCGCCGCCGCAAATTACGATGTCGGGATTCCAGTCATTTGAGGAGGACAGAGGTAGCAAAACGGAGCCTCCGGTGTTCGGATAAGTACGATAATCTCCAGGTAGATCCGCAAAGGTTCGTACGGTGGTGTTTGTATCTATGTTGAAGAGCTCGGATGACTTGGAAACGAAAACGAAGAGAGAACCATCCTTGAGCTGGTGCATGAATGGATACATATAGTAAGGTTGGTTCTTGGCTAGGATCTCCATTGGAATGGAGACACCAGAAGACTTTCCGTTCCTGTCCAGAATCTCGTATGTCGGATTGTTATTGGTGGGGATGGTAGGATCAAGTCCATTCAACGATCCGGAAGCGACGAAGAGTCTACCATCAGGCATAGTCTGTACCGATGCGTACCATCTCTTGGTGTTGAGCTTATTGCCCGGCTCCTTCCAGTCTTGGCCATCCAGAGAAGCGTCAGATGACGAACGCGAGAGGTATCTAATACCATCGAAGCCGTCCCCGACCGTGGTGTCAATAAAGTCCAATGGGCCGTTGCCACCCAAGGACATGAAGTCGCCATTCGGTAGGAATGAGCCACCAGCACAAAAGGCATTAGTCTTGTACGCCAGAGCGGTGTATTTGTTAGTGACGGGATCATATTCGGTCGAGTACGCATATTGGCCATTGGGAAGTTTGATGTTAGTGTAGTTCTCAACCTTGTCAAGGAAGACGACTTTGCCGTTAGGGAGAAGACCAGCATGCATGGCAGGAGCACCGGACTCGCCAACGACGTTGAGAGATCCTGGGTTGGCATTGACTGGCGCAGGGCTTGGTCCTGGAGGTGCAACCACAGCGCCGTTCAAGCAGGGGCCACTTTGACATCCATCACCACAGTGAGCTGTACTATTTCCACAGTATCCGTACATCCTAAGTCGGGACATTAGCTTTCCGGAACACACGCGAAAACCGTGTTACATACGAGCAACAAGCTCCTTGAGCCCAATCGCCACAGATCGTGTTCTCGTAGGTGGCACCACAAGTTCCGTCCTTGGTGACAGTTCCGGTCGGGGCACTGCCAGCTGAAGATGACGCCGCAGAGATGACAGGCTCGCCGGTAGTACTCGATGGGGCTGCCGTCTCCACATCAGAAGGCGAAACCGATGTCACTGCTGCAGAAGTTTGGGCAGCGCTTGTAGGCGATGCATCCTTGCAGCCAGAGATACATCCGTTTACGACCAAGCAATGGCCATCAGTATTACCACAGTATCCGTATGAGCTGACGGGGGATGTCAGAAAGATGCTTGTGTGAAATTGAGATATGACTTACGAGCAGCAACCGCCATAAGCGCCCTTGGCATCACACAATGCATTGGCAAAATCAGGACCGCATCTGCCATCATCACGAGGGGCAGCACCAGAAGCCGATGGTGCTGCTCTATCGACAGTCGTGCCTGTATTAGAAGGTACTGCAACGGCCGAACTTGCAGAGCAACCTGATGAGCAACCACTTCCACAATGAGCTGGAGAACTTCCACACCATCCTGCTTGCTATCAGTTGCATTTCCGATGAACGCGAATAGAAGAGTCTGACCATATGATGAACAGCAAGTACCGTCATATACTTTGCTATCAGGATTGCACAAGAGATTGCCGTTGTTTGGACCGCATTTACCGTCTTCTGAGTATTGAGGCCCTCTAGCTTTGTGCTTGAACAATCCTTCGATTAGGTCGAAAACATTCCTCTTGCCATGGTCTTGGAAGGACATTGGCCATGTATGTTTCACAGCAGTACACCTATGATTGTCAGCTATGGAATTCTCACACAGTTGGATAAATTAGCATACGTATTGTCCAATTGACAAAATTGCCCTTTGAGACATCCGCTGAACTCGAGATTCTCACTGTCGCATGTCGGCTGGACTTTTGGAAAGTAGATATTGGCGAAGGATGTGCTGGCGCTAAGGCCAAGCAACAAAATAGATTGCTTCATGGCTGTTTTGATGGATCGATTGAACCAGGCGCGATCCAGTATCCTTCTTGGTTGCACTGGAAGACGAGAGGCTATGTTTCGCCGAGAAGTATTGTTGTACGTCAATAGCTTGTTGGAGAATGACAAGAGCGCAACAATAAGGCCTATTGATTGTCAAAACGAATGAAAATTATAGCGAGTGGGACAAGAGTCACAAGATAGTGACAGCTCGTAGAGAAAGACAACAGGGAGGGAAGGAAGGAAGGAAGGAAGGAGGAATAAGAGGGAAGAGGTCGTTCGACGCTGTTTATATCACCATGTACCTTTCACCACGGAAACAGTCCACCAGTTACCTGAGACTTGGAAGCGACGCCACATCTGCAGGACAGCACACACGCATGCACCTATAAATTTCCAAACTTAGCAATAAAGGTCGACCATCCAGCCGGCCGCTCGCAGGCGCTGCTAGGCTGTTTGATCACAGCGGGAGCAGGTGCCTTCACGATTCTGGGGCAGATCTTTTTTTCGGACACCTTGGCTGCCGCTATCCGTGTTTCTTGTAACCGCATACTTGACTTCAATTCGAAAGAAGATCAGAATCGATATAATCATCTGCAGCGATGCCCACGAGACCCCCTCGCGACATGGCTTCGTGGCAACAATGCTCTCGTAGTCCTTGCGCTTCACATATGGTCAACTGATACCTTGCAGTAAACTCGCATGGGGGAATACGAGCGTGGCCATGCGGGCCAATTGGTTGCGGTTACACGAAGCATCCTTTGGTTTCATCTTCACCAGTCGGGGAGTTTCAAAGGCGCTTAGAGAAAAGCTTGGTCAAAGCTTGTACTTGTGCTGTTGGTGTTTTAGCCCACGCGGCGACATGCAAGTCTGTGGCGAATGACCTTTCGAGTAAATCCATTAATGTAGGTGGGACGCGAGGGAAGGCAGGTCCAATATCCTTTGTCTGGTTTGAAAGCAGTCGCGTTGAGTGAGGTCGCGATGGCAGCTGTGAGGGGCTGGGTCTTTTTGGCGGAGAAACGGAAAGAGAAGTGACATCACCGACATATCTACATCTGCCATCTCCTGCCTCGGGAAAGCAGTGCTGCACACTCAATGGCGATTGCTATTCAGACCCATGGCTGAATGCATATCCTATGGCTTTCTAGACCTTTCCACGACCTCACAAATACAGAGGTGACAATTTATCATATCTGTCAGATTAGTCAATGCTTCACCTGGTCTCGAGATTACCCAGTACAATCAAAACCGACCATAGAAAGAGACAAAATCGCACAACTGTCATCTTACTCTCCCGAATCATACAACTCTATAGCCACTTTCAAACAACTCAGGTCATTTCTAGACTTCGACCATGGAGCACGAATATTTCTCATCCAACCCCCGGCCAAAAGTGCTTCAAAAACACTCCACCTTGGCTCGCGAATTCATCTCCCACCATGCATCCGAAAACCGTCGAGTCGTCCTCGTCACCTCCGGCGGCACAACCGTACCGCTAGAAAACCAAATGGTCCGTTTCGTCGACAACTTCTCCGCCGGAACCCGTGGCGCGACTTCCGCAGAATACTTTCTCGATGCCGGATATGCTGTTATTTTCCTGCATCGCCAATTCTCTCTCCTGCCGTATTCGAGACATTATTCGCATAACGTGAATTGTTTCTTGGATTTTATGACGGAGAGCGATAAAGGAGAAGTTGTGGTAGGGGAAGAGTATCAAGATGAGATGGTGGAGGTGTTGAGAAAGTACAAGGATGCGAGGAGGACTAACAAATTGCTTCTCATCCCTTTCGTCACGGTGAATGATTATCTTTGGGCACTGAGAGAGATTGCAATTCTGATGCAGCCGCTGGGTGGAAACGCACTCTTCTATCTTGCAGCTGCGGTGTCAGACTTTTTTATTCCCACTGATCGGATGGTGGAACACAAGATCCAGTCTTCAGAGGACTTTAACAAGGATAATCAGGAAGGTGGTGATGGGGCCAAGACACCTGCTGCAAGGATTGAAGGTCAACGTTTGGTCATCGGTCTGGAGCCAGTGCCGAAATTCCTCAAGACTCTGGTTGACGGATGGGCTCCTGATGGCATGATCGTCAGTTTCAAACTCGAGACTGATCCGGCAATCTTGGTCAAAAAGGCCGAGTATGCGCTAAACAAATATTCGCATCATCTGGTCATTGGAAATTTGCTTTCGACACGCAAGTGGGAGGTTGTATTTGTGTCTGTGTCAGGAGGGCAACAATGGGTCCGCGTGCCCAGGAGCAAACGCACACCCAGTCTTTCCGGAAAGGTTGAGCATGTCGGTCTGGCTTCTGGCGGTGGAGCTGAGCAAGACGCAGAAGCCGTGACGGGTCAACCTGCTGTAGAGATCGAGTCGCTGATCATTCCCGCCGTTGCAAAGATGCACGCGGCACACATGTCTAGAAGGAAGTCGAAGTAGAGAAAGTACAACAAGGCATATAGATCGTTATGATATCCTATCACATACCATAATGATGATTTCATCCCTCGTCTACTCATCATAAGATAATACGCCACTGTGCAGTACGATGACGCATCCTAGCACCAAAGATACTAAGCGGAATAGCAAACAGCAGGACACCGACAGCGATGGCAGCCTGCTCACCAAAGCATTCTGCGTACCCAACCTTACTGACCCAAGGTACAATAGCATACAAGAAGCCAAAAGCCGCAACGTTCTTCAAGCCATTGATGATCAACAGCGCATCCGGCGCAATAGGAAGATACTACACGTCGGGTTAGCTCCTCATCTTCATTCAGCAAAAGAGCCAGAAGCAAAACTTACACAATCGGAGATATAAGTCATAGTAATGCACGGAATAGTAGTCAACCCCATCGCCACCATCCCATACCCAAAGAACATAGCAGTCCAGTGCAATTTATCTTGCACACCATACCCAAAGGCCAAACAACCCGCCGGCACCATAATAGCCGGGAAGACTAGCATCGTCAATCTTGACTCCGGTTGAAAGACGCCGCCATCTTTCCTAGCGCGCCAGTCAGAGTACCAATCCACCAGGGGGCCTCCCACGAGTGCACCACAGATGTTGCCGAGTAAGCCGGGGATGTTGATGAGGCCATTTACAGCAGGGGACCAGGAGTAAGGTGGAGCTTGAAGGACAAAGGAGTTGAGAATGTTGATGCCGACCACCCAGGCGAGTGCAAATGCAGTTGCGAGGGTTGAGAAGATGACTTCCGGGTATACTATCAATGGCCAAGGGCGAAGGAAGAGTTCAAACAGAGACAGATCTTTAGGTAGCGGGGACCAGAGTTTGAGTTGTTGTGACCATGGTTTCTTGGGTACTGTATCTATGGGTGTAGTGTCCGAGGTCTCGGAGGGACGATGGACAGGTTGTTGTTCCGAGTTTGAGATTGTCTTTTCGAGGGTTTTTGTATCACTGGCTGATCTCGAAGTCTCAAGGGGTTCGACAAATCCATGGCCAGAGCGATCATATCTGGTCTCAGGGCAGAGGAAGACCACGACAAGAAAGTTTACGCCCACGAAGATGGCTGCGATGATTTTGTGCCAGCGCTGCGAGACGTCAGTTAACATGTCAATAACCATATCGCTGTAGATAGTTACATACCCAGCTCAAGTCTTGTACTACAAATCCACAGATCAAGGGCTAGTGATTGTATGGTCAGCATTGCTACAACGTCGTAAGGATACTCATCGCAGTCAATACTCACACCTAAGGTGTTACCAGCCGAGATGCTATTCACGTACCAGCTCATCTTACTAGCACGTTCATGTAAAAAGTATAGATCATTGACCATAGATGCAGCAACGGCTTCAGAGGCGCTGCCACCAAAAGCACCAATGATATTGGACCAAAGCAGACTTTCAAAAGTTTGTGCTGTGGCACCCCAGATATAACAAACGCACAGCAGGAGTGTGGTGAAGACAAAGATGGGTCGCTTGCCATAGTAATTTGCCAAAGGTACCCAGAGGAAGTTCTACCCGGATATCAGTACATACGGATTGCAGCTATTGAGATGCGACATACGAAAAGTCCAAACACGAGGACCGGCCAAAGCAGCAGCTCACTAGTTTGATGCTGAGACTTGCCAAACTCCAGACTCAAGATATAGAAGGCCGGAGCCAGACCACCAATGGCGTAGTTGGAGAGGAAGGAGAAAGCGCAGACACTACCAAAGGCTACGTGCTTTCGCCAGAGAGGCCACCGAAGCGGATCGTTGGGGTCGGTGAGCGAAGGAGCAGGATAGAGGATAACAGCAGTATCTTTGTCGTTGTGAAGACGCACATTGCCCTCGGACTCGTCGAGCTCTTTCAATGAGTGTAGACGCATCTTGACAGTATTTCAAAAGCCGTGAGAGACCCAGGAACCTGACCAGGCCGGTATAGAAGGAGTTGCAGAAGACGGTGCGGTAGAGGTAACAGGCTGACCATCCAAGGACATTCGGGGCATGGCAGTCATCTCTTATATCATCTTCCAATGGCTTTCTGAGTTGTACTACCGCAGAGAAACAACAAGGCGGGACAAGAAGAGTGGATGCTAAGCAGTAAAGATATATTCCGAGACCAGAGGTAAGCAATGGGAAACACAAGACCCTGTGGTGCTACCGCTGAGAAGTCATATTGTCCGGAGCTTGATGATCCATGGTGGATCCCTCTTTTTGGGCATAACAAATGTAGACAATGCTTCGATGCTGACGGGTCGCGGAGAACCGACATTGGAGTCCAGTAGCACAGATGCTAACGCGACCTGCGGGTCTGACACCACACAGAGTTTTAATTAGCCCGCTACGGAATAAAGAGACAGAGGATCAGCAGAAAATACCAGCGATAGCCAAGATCGCCAGGAGAATGTGTGCAATGCTAAGATATAAGCTGCACTTGCAGGAGCGTGTCGCCCACGACTTTTGTGCTCCGCGGGCGTCAACCAGGGTCGCGACTTCACGACGCATACAGCGCCTTCTGGTCAACAAGTCCTCCAATATCAAGCCAGTGGATGTCAAAAAATGAAGTCTTGCTTACATTTCTATATTTCGCGTCGTTTCTGCTGCTCTCGACAAAAACAAAGATCGATACAACGCGCATTGTCTCACCCAAGAGCCATCTGCGGGTCTCCTTCCCTTGCCCAAACCCAGGCTCGTGAGGGTACTCCAGATATGTTCGCCCAAAAGAAAAACGCCTCAAACAGTTCTTCCATGAACGTTTGAATCCTCATGAAAGTAAGAAAGGAGGAAAAGAAATGGAAATATTCAGTACTCGTGAGGTTCAATCCTTGACCTTCGCTTGCCTCTTTGCGGTTCCAATGTGAGTGTTATGCACCTTGGTTGCGAACTTCAAACTTGTCAAGGTCTCCGACAGATGGGCCTGCAGAGGACTGACCATAACAAACATCAAGGTCTTGCTGTTTCCGCCCAGCGAATATTGCAAGAGATAGGTCAACTGAGGAAATGTTAGCCCAGTTCAAAAACAGTTTATGCGCTCAACTCACTTTGCTATTACGGTAAGGGATATGCTTCGCATCCTTGCCCGACCCGAGAGCGCTGATGACATCGCCCAAACAACTCAAACTCTTGTTGATATTCTGAGTCTCCTTCAAACGATCGCCCGAGACTTGACTGTGGGCAAGACGCTCGCTACCTGCCAAATCGACAAGGTTAAGCGTGCCCTCGGAGCGTTCTCCTGTCATTGAATTTTCTCCAATCAGTCTGAGGATGAACACAGAGTGACTGCGCGACGAACGCGAGTTGGCTTGGGTGGCGGCAACCCGTCTGTTGCGATTTGCCTGATCCAAGATAGCGTTCACTCGTGAAGGCGAGTCTAAGTTGACTGTCGTCACATCTGTAATTGTGGTCTTGAGTTTGACTGGGTCTTGGCGAATCTCGTGCTTCTTGTTGTTCCAATCCTCGGCCTTACCAAGGAGGTCATTCACGGTCTCGTTGTACACTTCAACAAAGCTACCTTCCATTGAGTATGTCCAACCCTTATCTTCCAGGCTTTTAGCGGTTTCGTAGATTTGGGTGACAGCACTCGGAATCATGCCGTCAGATGCTGACATCGTATGAGTCTTTCCTGATCCGGTCTGGCCGTAACAGAAAATGCAAACATTATATCCATCGAGTGCGCTTTGAACAAGCTGACTGATCTCGTCGAAGATTTCGCCATTCTGAGAAGATGGTCCAAAGACTCGGTCGAAAGAGAAGTTGTTGTTGGCTTTGGTAACAGTGCCCATGGCACTCTTCTGATCGGGGCCCTGTACGACAACCTCTTTGCTGTCTGTGTCGGCATCCGGGAAAGCGAGCTCTGCTGTTTTGGTCTCCTCGTCGCCTAGCGCTGGACGGACACGGCAGAATACACGAATATTGCCCTTGAGCTCTTGGACTTGGTTGTGTAGTTTCCTTCTCAAAGTTTCCTCCTGTCGCAGCTTTTCTTTGGCCTCGGCAGCGACGGCTTGAGCATCCAGCATTTGTTGATTGAGGTCCTGGAAGGCTTGCGATTGTGCTTGGTTGTCTGATTCGAGGAAGTCAATCTTTGCTTTCATGGCACGCATTGACGTCTCCAGAGTGAGGGTGCTCGTCGAGGCTTCAGTCAATTTTTCCTTGAGGCTAGCATTCAGTGCGTTCGATGATTCCAGATTGGCCTTGACTTCGTTCAGCTCCGATCGCAGACTCTGCAGTTCGCGATCTTTTGAAGTGACATCGTTGTCAGCCGTCAGCTTTTGCAGGCTGAATTGTGTTGTAAGCTCCTGAACCTCTCGTAATCTTCTGGCTCTTTCTTCTTCGAGTTCGGCTCGTAGCTCGCGTTCTTTGTCTGCCAACTCCTCCCTCCACGTCTTGTTTGCTCTGTCGGCTTCTTCTTGGGCGTCTTTCCTGACTCTGTCCAGCTCGTCTCTTGCTTCGCGCTGCAGGCGTTCGATCTCCTTGCGATGATCATCTTTTGCGTCTTCGAAATCGTTGCGATTCTTTCGTCGTAAGTCGTCAATCTCGAATGAGTGTGATCGCTTCATATCGTCTAGTTGTGCATTTGTTGAGGATAGTTTGACCTTTGTCTCCGCGAGTTCGGTGGAGAGTGTTTGATTCGCGGCAGAGAGCTGTAGGCGGACTTGCTCCATTTCGGTGACTGCGCAAGAAATCAGCAAGGCGGAGGACGACTTAGAATCGAGTCTCAAAACATACTGCGCGCTTTGTAGATAGAAATGCCTTCTTCCATGCCCGTCTTCTCTGTTGCGGCGGAATCGAGCTGAGACTTGAGTTGCGAGTAGAGAGTCTCCATGTCTTCGAGGCGACCTTTGGTGTCCCATGCTGGAGCAGGAGTGTTAGAATAGCGATTCAAGTACGTGATCTTGCCCGGGGAAGCATTGTAAACGGTATACTTGGTGTGGGGGGTCTTAAAGATGTGCAATTGCAAGTCTGGTTCAGGCGGACATGGCGTCTTTGGGGCAGGCTTGGGCTTTGGTATCTGTGAGGGTGTTTTGGGGCACAGAGGCTCCTCTTGCGGTGCTGAAGACAATGAAACAGACCGAGAATCCGAGTTGTTGGAACTCAAGCTCAGGGTCCGGAAGGCTGTTGAAAGAGAGGTATTGCGATATGCTGAAAAGGCAAACTTCTTTGGGTAGGAGGAGGATAGAGGTGTGGGGGAGTCCCCAGCAGTCGGGGCACGCGACAATGCAGAAGCATAGGATGCAACCTTGTCGCCAGTACGCGGCTGTTGGAGAATGAGGGCATATGATTCGATAATGGGAGATAGTAGCATACCCTTGCGCTTGTTTGGTAGAATGCTTGACGAGGAGGAATCCTCGTCGTCGTCCTCTTGTGTGACTGAAACAGGGCGGGCAGCCAGGGCACTGCGTGAACCGGTTCGAGGAAGGGCTGAGTTGTTTCGGTGGGTAGCGGCGGCGGAAGCAGGTCGGACAGAGGAGGCAGCTTGGGTTCCAGGAGCCTTGCGCAAAGCATTGGTCGTGTTGGAGCGCTTTACAACTCGACTTGTGGTGTGTGTGGATCTAGCAGGCTCGCCAGCACGTTCGGCCAATGTCTTTCTCTTAGGAGCTGGCTCAGGTACTGAACAAAGAGCCGGTCAATGAGCGTCATTCGGGATGCGACAACGAGGACATACAGGCTGAGCCCTTGTGCTTGAGCAGATTGGCTGGAGGCGGAATGGCGCGCGCATTGTTGTCAGAGGCCGACATCTCTAGTAACCCACTCGTGGCAGGTATGCGACTAGGAGGCCGTAGCCCTGATGCGCGAACGGGCTGCTGTGAGATAGACGTTAGAGATCTTGTCGAGGGAAAGGCGTGTAAAAGACTTACAGCATTTTCTCCATTAGGGACCATGATCGATCTCAATAAATGGCTATTTCAGACGACATGCCACAGCGTCGTGGGAAACCGTAGCACGAAAAGTGTATACCGTTGGTGGTGGGGCCTCTCTGTGTCTTTTGTGTCTTGTTAAAATGGCAGGTGCTTCCCCGGGATAAACAAACAGCTCTTGCCGCGTTCCCAAAGGGGATGCTTGAGGATCAGCCAATCGGAGCATCGTACGCTGTTGCCGATGGGAATCTTCACATGTCAAAACAGCCATTCAACATCATCAGTGACGTTTTGACGGTCCAGCCCAAGTTTTTTCCCATTACCTTAATCCTGAACTTTCCTTTTCTATACTCGCCATATGAATCATCATGGAGAAGTACAGTGCTTTTCGTGATCGCGGTAAGTCCCCTCACCATGTATTGCTCTAATCTGATACTGACCATCTGTCAGGCTCGGGCATTGCGCCCTTCTTCCCAATCCCCACTCAACCAGCGGGATATGCTCTTCCTCTCCACGTCTTCCTTTTCGTCGTGCGCATCTTCTTCTTGATTCCTGTCACTTTGGCCTACTTCTTGATCCTCGCATGGGTTCCTGTCGGCTCTCTCGGTAGAAAGGCCGTCCTCTGGTGCATGCTGGGCATCCCTGGCATTTGGTGGATCGATCTAGGTGTTGATGGAGTGAAGAAGGGGTACGTTTCTGTTGCAGCTTTACCAGAATTGAATACTGACTTGCCACAGCTCTCTCGGTCAGAACCAGAACAAGCTTCCTCACCCTGGCTCCGTCATTGCTTCTTCTTACACATCTCCGATCGACGCTCTATATCTGGCTGCCATCTTTGATCCTGTCTTCACTCGCTCTTACCCTGATGAGCGCAAGGTTCAGCGCATCAGTCTCCGCCAGGCCATGTTTCAGGCTCTGACGCCACCTGTTCTCTCACCTCCCAAGGACGCCAAACTGGTGTCCATTTCGGACCTGCTGCGAGAGAAACCCGATCGCTGTATCGCTGTATTCCCAGAATGCACCGCCACTAATGGCCGTGGTATCCTGCCTTTCTGTCCAAGTCTTTTGACTGTGCCCGAGAAGACCAAAATCTTCCCCGTCAGTCTGCGTTACACTCCCGCGGATGTCACGACTCCCGTTCAAGGCTCTTACTTTACTTTTCTCTGGAATCTATGCTCCAAGCCTACTCACTGTATACGTGTTCGCATTGCTGAGGCTACCTACAACAAGCCATCCGCTCCCGAGCCACCGCGCAAGAACTCCTTCCAGACTAACCTTCTCGATGACTTGCATCCTCGCACTACGCAAAAGGGTGGCGTGAGTGAGACCGAGAGGGAGTCATTGGACAAGATTGCCGAATCTCTCGCTCGTCTAGGACGTGCAAAGCGTCTAGGCCTTGGTCCTTCTGATAAGATCGCGTTCATCAAGGTCTGGAGCAAGAGAAGATGATGCTTCTACTCATTCAAGCATTTCAAGCGGGCGGGTCTGCGTCTATCATCTGTATAATATGATTTGAAAGTCCGCGTCACACAGTCATAGTTGACAAAGCAATCCAAATTTCTGAACTAATCACTTTTGACCGTACCCTTGATCCGACATCTTGCAGAGTAATACTGTTCTTGGATTTGTGATTTGCTTTTCCATTCTGTGTCAAATCCACACTTGACAACCGGTGCACCTGCAAGAGTGCTGCTCATTAGGAGCACTTGACCCAGCTCAACTGACGGGGCCAGCAACGACAAAAGAAAACGCCTCCCAATATGCATTTCCATAAAGAAAGAAAAACTCCCAAGCGGCAAAACACGAGCTGCCATGTCCCAGGCCCATTGTCCTCTTTTTCCAAGAAACTTCTGTAACTCATCCGTTTCTCTCCCCAACTCTCCCTACTTCTCAGGAGCATCAGGCAACCTCTCAATAACATACTTGCCCTTTGCCACATTAACAATCGGCACACCGGGAATCTTCCTCAACCTCCTCTTCAAATCCCTATCATTAGTAGCAACCAAATAAACCCTATGCTTCAACACCCGATCCACAATACAATCATCCGCATAGGTACCCTTGTGTGAACATTCCAATCTTTCCCATCTCTCGTCGCGCGCAATTTTAAGCGCGATGCGGTATTTTGGTCCTAGTTTTTCCAGCTCGGCCATTACGCAAGAGGTTATTATGGGGCGGCAGGTGGCGTAGAGGCAGTCCATTAACGAAGGAAGTAGTTCGAGTTTGTTGTGTACGGTGTGGGAGAGGAAGTTTGTGTCTACGAGGACGGAGTAGGGTGGTTGGAGGGCCGTGTTGTGTTGGAAGAACATTGACGAGGGAGCTTGTGGACTGTGTGTCGCATTTGTAATCAGTATCTTTGCGCGCAGAAAAACCAAGGGTCACCGGAGGCATAACTCACATCTCTCGTACTACTTCTTCGGCTGGTGCTTTTTTGGCTTGGTCTTCGCCGGTGACTTGGTTCTTCTTGAGGCGCGCATCGCGTTGGCCGATGACTCGCTTGACTTGTGCGAACTTGCGCGTCTTTTTCTGGACTCCCATGTTGACGGAAGGTGTGAGGAGTCGGAGTTGTGTGAGTTGTCAGGATGAACGTCAAAGATGATTGTTCTCGTGGCGCATCTCTAACTCTGCAATGCGACGGCAACCATTTTTTGGTCTCTTATCTTATCGCGGGTGGTCCAAGCGTGGAAGAATGCGGGCTCCCATCTCGGACCTCCGCACTTGCATCTCAATCACCTCACTTCACACATACGAGACATTGCTTCCCACGAACTTCACCTACATCGACGCGTTTACACGACACAACATGTGAGACGATGCCTGTTCACAGTCTATCTGTGGCTCTGCATGTCCTCGAGACATGATCAGGAAGACAAAGTCCAGAGGGCGCGATTTCTCTCAGCCTCGGCTGATACCAAGACATCTCTGTCCATGTCGCTATTTCTGTCTTCTGAGCACTGTATATCTATACAGCTGGACACATGACAGATGGATACACGCGGAGCGAACTTGTCGTACTTCGAAGCTGCTCAATTAGAAATACACAACTTCCAGACGAGTGGTTCGATTGTCGCCGTCCAGGGATGCTGTTGTGTTTGAGCTGCCTACTAATGATACCTCCAATGCCAGTCCGATCCTCTGATGTCGATGTAAGTAACTTTCACTACTCAGACACACTCGTGTGCGTCAATAAATGAGCAAGGAAAGGGTGTCCATAGAATCCCATAATTGCGAGGCTCGAATTGGAATTTTGGTTGATGAGCATGATCGAGGCACACTGCCAGTTTCTGTCTTCTATATCATCTGTCTTCTTGTTTTTTTTTCCCTTTCTTTTGACCTCTTCACAACATCAAGTCATCTATCTACCGATCATGAGATACTTGAAGATTATTATTTTGTGCTCCTCTCTACTGGTCTTGGGTGCACAAGCAGCAGGCCCGCTTGCGTTCGCTGTAGGACGGCTTCCGAAACCTGAAGAACCCTCTCTTCAGCGGCGCGGTATCCTACAACCAGCTTTGTTAAATGGTCTAAAGGGCCGAGATGGCGGTCTCTACTATTTCAATGTCTCAGTCGGTACCCCCGGTCAGCTACAGACTGTGAGTCTCGACACCGGAAGCAGCGACACGATCTTCATCGCTGCAAACTTTACCGTCTATGATATGTATACGGGTGCCAACTCCACTTGTGAGCCAGAGCCCGGCTGCCCGGGCGGCACGTTCAATGAAACTCTGTCGTCCACATACAAAGAGGTCGTCGGTGGACTGGAGGAAGGACAACTCGACATCAACTTTGCTGATGGCACCTGGAGAGCTGGCCCTTACTCTACAGACGTGATTCAAATCGGTACGTGACAGCACATGATATATCATCTCTGTCAGATTAAGTCAAACTAACATAAACTACAGGCGACCTCTCAATAACAGGTGCTCAATTCAGTCTCGCCTATGAAGGCCAAACACCCACGAACCATGGCAGTATAGGTCTCCTAGGCCTCGGCTACGCAAGCAATGAAGGTGTGATCGAATCAAACGGCACTTTATACCCAAATTTCCTCGAAACTCTCGTACACGCCCGTGCCATCCCGTCCCGTCTCTACTCCATCTACCTAAACCAAATCGATCAAATCGGCTCCTTGATTTTCGGCGGCATCGATACTGCTAAGATTTCTGGCCCACTTACAACTCTGAGCTTGCTTGCTGAGAAAGGCAAAGTGACGGGGCATTTCGGGTTGAATCTTGATGAAATCACTGCTTCGACTCCTGATGGCAAAACCCACAGTTTCATCCGCAGTGTAACCAACAAACCACAACCAGTCCTTCTAGACATTGGCGCCCCTAAATGGAAGATCCCGGAAGTCGCATACCAACAAATCTTCGCCATGATAGGAGATGAAGAAACCGGATCTCGTCCTTGTTCAGAAGTCACCCGTGGCCACCCAAACACTACTCACTTCAACCTCCACTTTAGCGGCTCTGGCTCCAACACCTTTTGAGATCTAGAATTGGCAGACTTGTATACACCGCTCATGGGACCGGGTACTGGGAACGCTGCCACCAATGATGCAGGACAAAGCCTTTGTTTCCCAGAGATCCGTGAAGGAGATGCTAAAGGCGAATGGCCTGATGTTGCCTCTAATATAGGAAATGCAGTCATGAAGGCTGGCTACTGGGTTTTCGACCTAGACAACGGACAAGTCTCCATCGGACAAGCTAATCTCGGCACCAACGCCTCGAACATCATGGCTGTGGAAGCTGGGAGTGATTGGTTGCAGAAGGCCGTCGAGGGTCTCGTGGGGGAGGTACAGGGCAATGAAGTCGAAGGTATGATTGGGAAGGAGGGAAGAGTGTTTGGGAAGGTGACTATGAAGGCGATAGTGGGGTATGCGACAGGAACGGACTTCTATCCTCCTCAGGCTACAGGCTCCACTGGAAGTCTCAAACAAAAGTAGGAGGTTGGAGATAAGGACATTTGATTTCGATATCTGAAAAAAACAGCAAGCCGTGAGCTCGGCGCGTGGCGACAAGTATGGATATAGCATCGCTTTATACCTGTTTATCCATGGAGCTATCATACCCCAGGTTCTGAACTACCTCTGAAGTTGTGTGAGATGCTAACGATGTATCAGTGCCGAGTTGCTATACTGAGAACAAACTGCAGTACTGGAGAGGCTTCACGCAGTGGTTGTTCTTCTGTGAGCCTTTGCGACTTCCTCAATAATATCTTGAGTCGAGACACCACGACGCCTCTGAAGATGTACTTGATACAACCTGGCCTATCGACCATCCATCCTCAAAGCGAGACGGATATCTCAGTCATTGTGGGGGCTAGATATGGTTGAGATTAATCATGGTCAGAGTCACAATCATGACATCTGATGCAAGAAAAAAGATAGAATCAAAAGAATAATACAATCTCATCTGAATATTATTAGTTTTCGCAAAGTTCCTCTTCCTCTGCACCACCAGATAAAAGCAAAATGATAATACAATACACAAGCCAACGTCTTCCACAGAAAGCATTAGTGCCAGACTATTCTTTCCCCATCCCATTTTGAAATCCCTTAAAGGAAGAAAATGATATCATAGAGATGTAGGAAAGAAGCAGAAGATGGAGATGACAAAGAAAACAAAAGCAAGGAAACAAAATAATCAGACAATTGTTTGTTTGTCCATTTCTCGATATTCGTTATACTATCTTTTTCGTTGTGTTGATTGTTGTTGTCGAGAGATTCCAAACAGTGATGTGATATCGTTTCCTCCTTTTCTCATTCGTTGCTTCAAAACAGGCGGTGGTGAAATGACAAAGCAGAAGGTGCACCAGATGGGCGGGAAAAGAGCATAAGGGACTAGAACTTGATGCAATCTTTGACAAGGGAGGGATAAAATCAGTGCGCTGCTTTCGGGCTTGAGTGAATGTCCTTTGAGCCATGCTGAAAGCTAATAGTGGTACGGTGGGGATATGTTCTTTTGGAAGGGGTGGGATCTACTTTCGTAGCGGTCGTTGGTGTCATTCGTCATTGACTTCATCAAGGCAGCCGAGAGACCGAAAGAAGACATGAGAGCAATGTCGTCTCGTCTGCCCATGCCGTGGTAGCTTGTTCGTCGTTCTTGAAATCGGTTCGAGTTTGCAAGCATCATACTCATGAAGGTGTACAGTTGCCGTTACGTGTCATTGAAAATGAGTGATCTACTCGACAGTGATTTCGACACCGGATTGTTGGGACAGTTCATCGCTGCCGCGAGCCATGTGTCCATTGCGACGAGGGAAGCCGGAGCCACGCTCGGGCATAGGACCACGAGGCTGGCGAGAGGGTGCGCCCTGGTTGCGGTCGCGAGGCTGCTCGTCATAGCCGGTGTTGTTAGTGCTGAAGGAGCGGTGGCCACCAATGGGTCCTGGGTTGCTTTCGCGGTCCCAGGACATCATGCCGCGCAGACCACGAGGGCTGCTGGCGAAACCGGCGGGGCCACCAATGTTCATGTTTCCGAGTCCGTTAACGAGCATGTTCTCGTCTCCACGGGTACCAATGGGAGCGGCAGTACCAGTGGGGGTGATGGCAGGTGTGCCACCATTCTCACGAGCGTATTCGGCAAAACGAGAGACGTTGTTACCCAGGGTGGCAGGGAAACTGGCGGTTGAAGGGACGGGGGAAGGAGTGTAAGAGCGCAGGTCAGCGAATGACTTGGCAGCACGGAGGTTAGGACCTGCGGCAAGGTTGCTAGGGGCGTCCTGGAAACCAGCAAGGTAACCAGATTGCTGGTGGCGAACACCAGCTCCGTTATAGAAAGCATCTTGGTTGCGAACATCGGTGAAGTCGGTAGTCGCAGCGCGGTTGAGGCCTCTTCTCTGTGTCTCACCTTGCTGGATGGCCTGAATCTGAGGCATTGGTGGACTGAGTCTCTGACGAGGGGCATCCTTGTAGACGTGAACAGCGCGCTGGTCGGCCTGTCCCTTTGAGATGTGGGCAAGACCCATGTGGTGGGAAATGGTGTGGATGACACGCCTCTGAGGAGGGCTCAAGTTTGAGGGAAAGATGAACAGATCTCTGTTCTTGTCCTCCTTGAAAATGAGCAGGTCCGAGTAGACCTTGAGCGTGTCGGGGTTGTTAAGATCAACAGCAAGTCCAACGTTTCCAGCCAAGACAGGCGAAGGAGAGGCTGGAGGCATGTGTCCAGTGAGTGAAGACATGGATGTCTGGGTCTGAAGAGTCTGGTTGGCCATGGGACGGTGTTGCTCTTCGAGCTGGCCACGGCGCTCGCGCTTCTCTCTTTCAATCCTCTCGCGCTCAGCTGCGGGGAGCATCTTCTTGTACTCGACTCTCAACTTCCTGCCCTGGAGCTCAAAGTGGTTCATGGCATCGATGACGGCGGCCGTTTCATCGGGCGAGGTGAAGTTGGCGAAAGCCAGACCGCGGAAAACACCATTGTCGAAATGGTAGTTGAAGGCATAAGGGAGGGGCAGACCCATATCGGTCATCAACTGAACCAATTGCTCTTTCTTGACAGCGAACGGAATGTTCTTGATGACAATGGCGGTGGGAATGAGCTCCTCGTCGGGCTCAGAGCCAAGTTGGTCCGATCTGATTGACGGCGCACCCATGACACCTCCACCAAGACCAAGGTATGGGGAGACTTGAGGCATGGGTTGGGGCTGGTCGAGCCAGGCCTGTCCACCAACGTTAGTCAGACCCAGACCATACTGATGCGAAGGCGCATTGGTGCTTACCGAAGGAAGACCGTTTCTCGGGGCCTGTTGCGGGCCGCGCCTGCGCTGGGAGGCACCCAGAGCGCCGATGGTGTTGTTTCCAAAGGCAGCGCTGTTCCAGTTTTGAGCACCCATATCGTAACCACCACCATAGTTTTGGTTCATGTTCTGGTTCATGTTTTGATTCATGTTTTGGTGCATGTTGGGAGGGGCGCCCATTCTGTCATTATAGCGAGGAGCGTCGAAACGCTGCTGTTGCTGCTCTTCGGCGCCGTAGAGGCCCGAAGGGAGGTGAGCGTACGAGTCGAATTGGCGCGACGACTGGCGATGCAACTGGGGCTGATGACGCTGCGCATGCGGCGAGCGACTTGCAGGCTGGTTGTCGTAATACATGTCCGGTTGTTGAAGACTCATGATGTCGACAAGCAGGCGAAGTCTTGGGAAGAGAATTCGACGGAAAAGAGTTTAGAGTTGTCGGGGGGATGTGATGTCAAAAGGCGTTTAGGCAGACCAAAGAGTCGAGGACGTGTGACCCCGGCTAGCTCGGCGGGATTGACAACGGCAGCAACGGGTTGCCTGAAGAATTACAGGGCGAGCTGTATACAGGGAACAGCTATGCAGCAGAGCACAAGGTCAGGTGAAGGAAAGGGACCTTGATCGTCAAGACTTGAGACGGGCGTCGTTGCGGGTGTAGCTGGCCGACTTTGATTTCTTTGTCGTCAGTCGTTGTTCGTGGCGGGGCGTGATCTCATAAGCCCTTGGGGTGGTTCCAGGGGCGGGAGAACAGTGCACAGAGAGAAGACTACCAAACCAGCAGTCGACGATGAGATGATGATTAGGTCTGGAGAGGGTTTGGGGAAGGAGAGAGGGAATGTAATCGAGAGAGGATTTTGCGATGGCCGCCAAAGACAGATGTGGGTACTGCGAGAGCTTGGCGTTATGATGCAGCAAAACAGCCTTGTGGCCTTCTTTTCTGCAGCCGTAAGCCGTTGGATGCCCGAGTCAGAGACCTGTCTCCGTAACAACTAACGGAGCAAGTGATATGATGATGAAACAGATCAACCGAGAACTAGGACTATCACAACTCCCTGACTGCTTTCTCTGTACAAACAATTATATGCAGACCCCTGCCTGCCGATATAGAAATTTCCAAGCAGAATCCGTCAGCGGAGCGCACTTCCTCACAAAAAAAGAGTCGCAGGGAGGTCCGCGCCCGCTTTCGCTGAGCATCGGTAAAGGCCACACACACACACCATCTTGACCCTGAGTCTTGCCCAGTGTCCACCGACTCTAATAAAACAGCGCCGCGCCTCCACCCGGTAGTGCTGCTGCCGATTACAGTCTCCATACAGCATGCCATCGTGCATCTCATCGCACCGCACTACCGCTGCCCTCTGCTTCCTATTAGCTGCTGCTTCTCTTGGCTACCTTGTATCGTGACCAAATCGACCCAATTGGCCCGTCATTTCCCAAGAATCTCGAGAGCTCTGCCTTCATGCAGCACCCCGGCAGCCGGTTCCAGAGTCCTTGCGCTAGAGCCTCGTATGGGCGTATGCTTCGACTTTCTATGTGCTTCTTCTCCAGTCCTGAGACGCCGGCCACGAAATGGTCTTTGACCTCTAGCACTTAACTAGCTATCGTTTTTTGACCATTCTTCCGCTACTTCCGCGCTTCTTCTTTTAATCAAAAGAGAATACGAATGTCTAAATCGCGCACTGAAAAAGCAACAACCCTCTGTCGACGGGACCAGGTATGATGATGCTGTGAACTATTGTAGGCTTCATCTCAATGGATCGGACCACTTGTCGACCGTTCGCTTCCAACTGCCAGGGTCCGTTCAGGCATCTGTGCTGCTTACTCTGGCAAATCCTTTGGGCTCCGACTTGCTCTTCTAGAACGTTGTTTCATCAACTTGCCTGTTGACAGGTCAAAGTATGACCCTCTTCGATTGCTTGCGTTATGCGGCAAGCGGGCCGTACCCTGCTGCCTTTGCATGACTTTGCAGCGTCACACTTTATTCAAGGTCTGCTTGTGTCTTGATGTCGATGATTCAGACTGCATGTCAATGTGCTTTACAAACATTTTGACCAGAACCGGCGCAGCAAGACCTGCGTTTGTGGTCCTCTGCCGAGTGTGCTGCGCTAGACTGGCCCTACTAAATCCTGCCGTCCATTTGGGACTTCTAATCAATCTATCGAATAAATGAAGTCACTCGCGCGGAGACTTCTCGAAGATTGTCATCAGCCTTGTCGATATCTTGAAGGAAATTAGCCAACGTCAAGCAGTTCCAAAATCAAGGTCTCGCATCCTCTCGGACGCACTCTCATCTTTCACAGCTCCGTCAATTCTTAGGAGATATGTCAGCAACTTGATACGCGCGTAGGGGATGTAGTCGCAGGATGTGACGGATGGCCAGCAAGGCGTGAACATGGTGCATATGAGCCGCGCGCGTCTGCACAGTGTATTCATCTACCTTGCATTCGACACGTTGTACTGACCAAAGAGAGCTTCCCGTCTAACCGCCAGCACGGCATGATAATATGTGCCTGCCAAAGTGTATGCAGCACCTTTCAGTCATGTGATTGTGAACGATCCTTGCTGTATTTGCTGGGTCGACCTTGGCCCTACCAATAATCCGCTCAAAATCAACGTACACGAGACAAACGGCTTGTTCGTGCATCCTTCTCGCTTTAATCAACTCTTGTTGATCAGCATGCATTTGAGAAGTGTGATGCATCTGTCGTCCGATCTGAATGTTGCAGCCCAACCTTATCGCACGATAACGTCTCGCATCGCATGCACATACGGTTATGTCTTCGTAGCCTCGCTTTGCCAGATATTGCTCAGGGGCAGGACGGAGTACCTGACTGACCATCGACAAAGTTTGGAGTGTGCTCACTCCAGAATGATGCAGAAGTTGTTTCTGGTCTTTCCAGGATGGACCTCATCTTTTCGAAACTTGTGCCGCTTTTCTGAACCCTTGCCCTGGTAACGCCACAGATAGTAAACGAGTTTGGTCGATAGCTTCTTCTTGACCATAGTATAGCCGAGGGTGACCATGATCTGGTTCAATAGAGTCTCATCCAGGTAACGCGAGTTCATCACACAGGGCGCTGGAAGGACCAAGAAGAGGGACGGGAAGTACTCGGTTGCAGATTCCCCGAAACCTAACACGGGCAAAGCTCGCAGAAATTGACATGTCCTTCGCAGCATCTCTCCCCTGCCAAGTGCCTCCGGAACATAGTTCAATACTAATGACAGAGAGATGATGTCGAATTTGTCAGCGTTTATCTCTGGAACAGGTCTTTCCATAAAGTCTTGCTGTTCGATTCCAGCGGCCTGTGAGTTCAGGTCTATGCGCGTCACATCAAACACGTCAGATTTCGAACATGCGTTGTTGACAGAGAGAGCGCCGACTTCGAGCATGCGGATCGTGTGTCCTTTCGGCAGGTCCTTCGGCAACCAGTCCAAAAGAATTCTCGAGGTGTCTCCGCCACGATCGCCAGATTGACCTTGAATGCTCGCTTGCTGGTAGCTCTTCAGACCACCTTTCTCTTCAATCTGTTGTCGAATGGCTGACGCCGTCTGTTCGTCTCCTTGACGCGTGGCATCGGCAAGTACTTTGTGCAGACGATGATGACTTTGTATCAAATTTCGGGTGGCCTTGGAAGATAATGATGCCTTTGGCTTGTTGGCTGCTGGTGGCCGACCATGAGAAAGGCTCACTGGCTTTTGTTTCTTCTTGGTGTTGACCATTTTTGTGGAGTTGTTGGAAATTTGATAGTCTTCAGAGTTTAGGTGGAGCTAGGTTGTGTGGCTCTCTGATTTTCTCCAACTCGGTAAGACGAAAAGTCGCAGGCTACAGAGGAGTTTGAGCAAATTATTATGATTGAATATTCTTGTCCTTCCATAGTATCTCTTCACTTGTGCAAAAAAGTGTCCGAGATCCACGCCAAGAGTTTGGGCGACAAAGACCAAACCGAATTTTAGCCGCTTCTTTGCACTTTGCAAACTGCTTTGCAAATTCCAATCTTGAGCAGCGAGCGACTTCTGTAGCAACGACCCCGACAAATACAACGAGATGGCCCCTTCGAACACCACCCAGGCCCCTAAAGGTGCGACTCACCAGGACGAGGAATCATGGCGAATACTCTACGACTGAGGATTGTTCAATTGCGACAAAATCTGTCTTCGTTGGACGTGTTCGACCCCAGGCCTTGATCCTTCCACTGCAAATTCCGCATACCATGGAAAAACACTTCACTAACACCACCTTTCACAGGCGCAAAGAAGGCCACCAAGCCTTCGGCCAAGGCCGGCGCTGCCGCTAAGGCTGCTCTTCGTGGCGTAAGGACTACCTGAAATAGAGGCGTGTCAGCACTCCCATCGCTGACGGCCTATTCTTTTGATTAGGTCAACTCGCACAAGGTCCGCAAAGTCCGCCTGTCGACCACCTTCCACCAGCCCAAGACTCTCAAGCTCTCGCGCGCTCCCAAGTACCCCCGCAAGAGTGTCCAGGCCGAGACTGGTGTCGAGCAGCACAAGGTCTTGATCCACCCTCTCAACACCGAGTCTGCCATGAAGAAGATTGAGGAGAACAACACCCTCGTCTTCATCGTCGACACCAAGGCCAACAAGCGCCAGATCAAGGACGCCCTCAAGAAGCAGTACGACGTTGACACCGTCAAGATCAACACTCTGATCCGGTATGGCCAGCCCTGTTTCTCGCTCGACTTCGCAAGAACCCTACTAACGCACTTGTCTTTTTCAGCCCCGACGGTACCAAGAAGGCCTTCGCCCGTCTTACTCCCGACGTTGACGCTCTTGACATCGCCGCCACCAAGCTCAACATTGTTTAAATTAGCCTCGTTTCAAAACAAGATGATGGCAATTTGGACTCGAATGTTGTGGTTATGATTATGGTCTGCTCAAAACAAAAAGCATTGGCGTTACGTGGGTGTGGGTGGCTGCAAGGAAGCAGACCCCTTTTCGATACCAGGGAGAAATCCCAAATCTAGTTCATTCATGCCCTCGCCGTGCATTGCCTGTTGTCATTCATGTGATTTGTTGAGTAGATGTGTGTTCTGATCTCTGTATGTTTGACCACTTGACTGTCAACGATAATGCGCTTGAACAGCTTCCAGCGCATTATCGATGATTCTCTTTTGCTATTGTCTTCTTTCGACTGATGCTTGGGCTTTCGTTCTCATGCTCCAAATACCATCATCTATCCTACAACCCTCCATAATGTACAAATTCCTCATGGCTCTTTCCATATCATGCCAATTGCCCAGCACTTGTATATCTCCATCCTCCAGAGATTCCAGAGACCTGTATCCTCCAGACTCCTAAGGTTTAAAGACAGACAGCTTCAGACGCTTCTCTTGCTCTCCATCTCTTTTACATGCGAGTTCTCATCTGCTCCAAATTCTTGATGACGACCAAATTCGCATCCATGAAGCGATCAACACAGTTTTGCATACAAGGCTCCTCGCTCCTGTCCAGTTTACCCGAGGAAATCTTTCCAGTGATGCATTTGCGGAAACAGGTGTCTGTGAGGGAGTGGATGGCTAGGTTGCTTCTGGTCAGCAAACTTGGTCTGGAGGACTTGGAGCAAGGCGAAATAGGATGGGAGAAGAAAGCGATGTAGGATGGAGGAAGGGAGACAAGGGAGTGGGAGAAGAGATCAAAGGGAAGCGGGTGCGACGTACATTGTTGGATTCTAGCCTTTTGAGACTCGTTGACGACGAATTGTTGAAGGTCTTGCTTTTCGGCGTCTGACATCTTGGAGAGGTCGATGTTTCCGCTGCCGAGAGAGTCCATGGTGTGATGTGTATGGGTTTGTCTAAATGGTACGATAGATATTGGTTTCGAGATGATCGGAGGTTTGGCTTGCTGTGGTCGAGTCTGGTTGCACTTTCGCAGCTTCGTCGAGGGTGCAAGCTGCGTCATGAAATCCATTTGCCCTTTGGACGTCTTGGCATGGGATTTTATGGTCATAACAACAGAAACAAGACATTGTGATGGTATTTGTATTTGCGAGAAAACAGTAAAATGGGGTATCAATTAAGAAGCATCAACAGAAGTGAAATAACCAGCAATGCATAACTTCGTGGAACCATCATGCCAAATAACCAATCATGCTGCTGCCAGTTTAGAGAGCCTTCTCGCCTCGATTCGTGCTAGAGCTTTGGCCTTCCTCTCGTCACTCAAACTGGAGATTCTAGCTCCTGTCTTCGGCGGGCTGGTCGGGGCTCCAACATCGGGTTTGCCAGAACCAAAGTTGAGAGCACCAAGACCTAGAGGCAGAGCAAGACGATCGAATTGTGGCTTTTCTGGTGAGTACTTCTCGACCAGCTCGTCTATCGTCATGTCTGCTGTCGACTTTCTGCTGCTGCGAGGTATGGAGCGAGGAAATAGCTCAGGGGATGGTTGTGGAAGGGCTAGTGAGATGTCGAAAGTGTCTTCACTAAAACGCTTTGTGTGCACACTCTTGGTCGACTTGGGTCTTCCATCCTTGGGCAACTTCTGACTTTGAATGTTCAAGTCTCGTGCGCGTAGAGGAGATTGGTCCTTGTCTGCGGCATCGTCCACGAAAGGGCTGGAGAAGGCGGCATTTGCCCAAAGATCACCCGCTGGAGCAGTCTTCGGTGTCTTCCGCTTGGGACTGTTGATAATACCGCTTTTCTTTCCCAGTACTTGGTCGAGATCGTAACGAAGATGCTCGTTCTCGGCCTTGAACTTGGCGATGTCGTTCTTGGTGTCCTGGCTTGTCTGGCCCGTGAGCTTCATCTCAAACTCCTTCATCTGAGCAGCCAGATCTTTGGTCTTGGCTTCCAGTTTCTCGACCTTGAGTTTCTCTTGTCGTAGCTGTGATTTCAGGTCTGATACTTCGTCCTCCTTCTCCCTTGCGAAGTCCTTTGCGGCCTTTTGCTTAATGACCAGTTTCTTCATCTCCCGCTGAGTGGCTTCGGCATATGACTCGTACTCTGTCTTCCAGTACTTTCCTGACTGTGATCGGGGCTCCATATAGTCCATGGTCAAGTCGGTATCGTCCTTGGCCCTCTGCATTGTCTTGCTCTTCTGTGCGGAGTCGCGAACCTCTTGAAGTTGAGCAGTGAGCTTAGTTCTTGCTCTGTTTGAGGCTGAGCCAGGTTGGCCGAGGCCGTTGTCGTCCCTTGCTGTCCATGGACTTGGGAACTTTCCGGGGAGAGTGTTTGGGAGGCCGTTGCTGCCTTGCTTCTTGCCTTCATTGTCGACAACTTGGGCTCCAAAGGTGACAGACTTGTTCCTTCTCGTAGTACCGGGTGTCATGAGAATCCCGTTAGGCTTGGTAGGGGACAGACCAGGTGCAGAGGGTAACGCGATCTCATCCGTGTCGTCTTTTGGTCGTGTAGGCATCTCAACCGTCACAGTGCGTGGCTTCGATTCGATTTGGATTGATTGAGCGACTCTGGTGTCTTGTATATAGTTCGCTTCGTTGGGTGGAGCAGGAGTGCCAAAGATGGCATGTTTGAATGCGCGTGCTGCGAAAACATGGGCTGGTGTTTCTGGCGCTTCGGGAAAGGGATCTGAATACCACTTCAGTTTCGTTCCGATGATCGAATAACAACGACGATACCTTCGACCTCTTCCACGCCCTTGGCGCCCGTAATCCAGGATAACATTATGTGAGATTGATGTTGTCAACTCGTTATCGCGTTTGCACTCGAGGAGAACGCTTTTGTTTATCAACACTCTCCACACCAAACCTTGATCTGCCAAGCTGCTCACCGCCTTCCGCCTTGGAGAGTTCATCTTCCAACGCTTCTATCATTGTATGTTCTTCTGATGATAACCACCCCATTCTCTCCTATACCATAGATATCATAAAGATTAATGTCGGCCACAGCGTAAAGAGTGCGGCTTCGGCTGCTCGCTCTTACTCAATTTTGGTAGTGTCATCTGGCACTTCTACCACACACGCTCATGACCACCTTCAAGGATGGCTCCAAAAACGCCTGGAAAGACGTCTACCAAGAATCGCAAACACAATGAACCCCCAGCACCAAAGCCTGCCGCGACGATCCCGGCAGACGTTCCTCATGTCAACTATGCCGAGGTTCAGGCTGAGGAAATTGACGTCCTCCAAGCCATTTATATGGAAGACTACGAAGAAGTAGAAGTCAAGTCTGCCTGGAGCAAAAGCTCTGATCGAGCATTCAAGCTCAAATTGAAAGCCTTTTCCGATGAATCTACCTTTGTCATTCTCTCTGCCAAATTGACGGCAACATATCCAAAGTCTGCTCCTGTCCTTCAAATAGAAGGCTTGGATAAATTGCAAGCTCAAGCTAGGAAATGTCTTCAACACATTATCAAGACCAGACCGGCCGAGATGGCTGGAGAGGTCATGATGCACGCTATCGCCGCGGACATACAAGATGCGCTTGAAGACGCCGTGCAGGCCAGAGAGCAGGGCGTTCTCCCCAGTCTTGAAGATGAGCGCATGAACCAGGAGGCCGCTGCCTTTGACCAGGCCAAAGAAGCCAAGGAGGATGAAGCTAAGCGAGTGCAAGCCGCTCAGGATGAAGAAGAACGTATGCTGCAGCAAATGGTTCAGGACGAGGTCGAACGTCGTGAAATTAAACGACGCGACAGATCTTCTCGGACTCAACAAAAATCTAGCCCACATCCATCAGCGGAAGACGGCAATAACACGATCGACTTTGATCAAGACATCGCACTTGCTCCTGGCGTGGAAAGCGCACCTTTCAGTAGCGTCGCTTTGATATCACCAATCGCTTCCAAAGGACAAATGGGTATCTTCGCTGCTCAGCCCAAAGTCACCAGAGGTGCGCTCATGAGTCAAACCATGTTGGCGGTTCGTCGCTTGTCCTTGAAGATCATACACGGCGATGCCACGAGCAAGAATCATTTGCTCGCCCTGGAGGAAGAGTTGGAAGCGCTGAAAGTCCTTCGCCAACCCAACATCCTCAATGTCTACGCTTTTAAGGTCGATAAGACTGAGGGCAAAGACAGCGGGTCCAATCAAGACTGGGACGTCTCAGTCTTGACAGATCTTGCCAACAGAGGAAGTCTTGCAGAGATGCTTGAAGACGGTCACACTGTGCCTCCAGCAAAAGCGAAGCAATGGTGTTTGGATTTGCTCGAAGCACTAGACTATTATCACCGCCATGGTATCGTTCACAAACGCATTCACAGTGCTAATGTTCTACTTTTCCGATCGGATACTGGAGTCACGTCACCGAAGCTCGCAGATGCTGCATACGAGGACAGGCTACTCATACTGCAGGGCCGACCAAGCACTGTCGAGAAGAGCAAGAAAATGGTGGCTTGGCTTGCACCCGAATGTTCCGGGAATGATCCTGCATTTACTCGCCGGAGTGATGTCTGGGATTTTGGTGTTCTGCTTGTCCAGATGCTGTTCGGCACCACAGTGACCCGCAAGTACCATGGTCCAATGGCTATGCTTGAGTCGCTGGATCTTTCGGACCCGCTTAGCGACATCTTGCGCAGAGTGTTCAGCAAGGAGCCAAAGAACAGACCTACAGCTTTCGAATTGATCCCGAGCGAGTTCTTCCGCAGCGACCTACCAATTATCAACGCAGAGCATTCCACGAGTAAAAGAAGGCAATCGTCTTCTATGGGCTTTTCTGGAGACTTCAAGAGTCCTATTGCTAGACGCTCTAGGCAGAACTCACTCAGCGTTGGTGAAGGCCCTTCATTCTCACGCTATGTCAAGGACTTCACCGAACTCGGCCGTCTTGGTAAAGGTGGCTTCGGTGAGGTGGTAAAGGCACGCAACAAGCTCGACGGCGGAGTCTATGCCATCAAGAAAGTCAAACAAGATTCGGCTGCACAGCTCGAGCACGTTCTATCGGAGGTCATGCTCTTGCACAGACTTAATCATGCTTACGTGGTCCGCTACTATTCAGCTTGGGTCGAGGATGACTTGTCTGGCATGGTTGAACTAGATCAGGAGTCCGTCTCGTTCGCGGAAGATATGACCACGTCCTCAGGCGATGGTATACAATTCGGCATGAGCAGTCGCGGCTTAGACTTTGTCAGCTCAAGTGGACTCGGCGACGATATTGTCTTTGGTGAAGACAGCGACGATGACGACGATGACGACGAGGACGACGAAGACGACGATGAGGGCTCGGCTTCTGGAACGGAGACTAATGGTCGTGTTGCAAGTGGCAGGCCTATATTTAGGAATGGAGCACACTCAGAGGGCGCCATCAGCGATGGCGAAGACACCGATTCACGTCCGCAACGCACACATCGCGCCTCGTCTCGCCGCTTCATGCGCTCAACACTTTACATCCAGATGGAGTATTGTGAGAGACACACACTTCGAGACTTGATTCGGAAGGACATGTATGCCAAACCTGAACAAGGTTGGCAAATGCTCCGACAAGTCCTTGAAGGTCTCGCGCATATTCACAACCATGGAATCATCCATCGCGACCTCAAGCCTGACAATATCTTCATTGATGTTGCTGGAAACCCTCGCATTGGAGACTTTGGTCTAGCTACAACAAGCCAGTACACCAGCGCTGACAAAGTCATGACAAGCTCCAATGGAGGCGCGGATATGACCAGAAGTGTTGGAACTGCCATGTATGTTGCACCGGAAATCAAATCAGGTTCCGGCGTGAACTACAATGACAAAGTCGACATGTACTCGATGGGTATCATCTTCTTCGAGATGTGCTTCCCCTTGAGAACCGCTATGGAGCGCCACGAAGTGTTGCTTGAGATGAGAGAGAAAGATCATGTCTTACCTGTTGAGTTCCAAGCTCCAGAGAAGGTGTTACAAGGAAACATCATCATGGAGCTGATCAGTCACTCGCCTGGCGACCGTCCGAGTAGTATGGAACTCTTGAGAAGTGGGAAGCTGCCGGTACAGATTGAAGACGAGACCATCCGACAAGCACTGCAGAGTTTGACCGACCCAGGGTCGCAATACTATCAGAAGATGATGACAGCTTTATTCTCGCAGACGCCCGATCAACGCGTTAAGGATTTCGCTTGGGACGCTAAAGCGAGTAAGGACCCACCTACAGCCGAAGATTTCCGTGTAAGAGATATCGCTAGAGGCACTCTATGTTCCATCTTCCGCAGACACGGAGCCGAAGAGACGCAGCGACCTCTAGTACTTCCTCGCTCCAACTACTACACCGCACCCAATATTGTTCAGCTCCTGGATGGCACCGGCAATCTTTTGCAATTACCTTATGATCTCGTTCTTCCGCATGCCAGGCGTCTCGCCAAGCAAGAACCGGCTGTCGAAAAGACATTTGTCTTTGGCAATGTCTTCCGTGACACCCTCAGTGGAGGTGCGCCTAGGACTATCAAGGAGGTCGACTTTGACATTGTGACAAAAGAGAGTGACGATCTTCCGTTGCAAGAAGCAGAAGTGCTCAAGGTTGTAGATGAGATCATTGACGAGGTCCCTGCTCTCGCATCACAACCAATGTGCTTCCATCTCAGCCATTCGGATCTGCTAGAACTCATACTTGATTTCTGCCGCATTGATCAATCTCAAAGGCCACTTGTCAAAGAAACCCTCAGCAAGTTGAACATTCACCAATTTGGCTGGTCCAAGATACGTACTGAACTTCGCTCACCTCTTATCGGCATTCACTCTACATCTCTCGATGATCTGGCACAATTCGACTTCCGCGATACCCCTGAGAAAGCTTTGAAAAGGCTTCAGGAGATCCTCGAAGGCAGCACACACGCAAGCAGAATTAGAAGACCCATGGACCACATTAAGCGTGTGGTCGATGCGATGAAGCTATTTGGCATTCGTCGCAAGATTTACATCTGTCCTCTGAGCAGCGTCAACGAAAAGTTCTACTCCGGCAGCGTACTTTTCCAGTGCATGTACGACAAGAAGAACAGAAATGTCTTTGCAGCAGGTGGAAGGTACGACCGACTTATCGATGCCCATCGCTCTCGCACACATGCCACAAGTGAAGCTTGCCATGCCGTCGGCGTCAGTATCGGTTGGGACGGCCTCATCGCCGCCATCATCAGACACAAAAAGAACGCAGTCAACAATGCCTATCTCAAAAAGGGCCACGAAGAATCGCTCAGTGCAGCTTGGAATGCCAAACGCTGCGATATTCTCGTGGCCTCTGGCGATCCCACGATTCTCCGCTCCACAGGCATCAAAGTCCTCGCCAGCCTCTGGGCCAACGACTTCAGCGCCGAACTAGCCACAGACGCCCGCACCATCGACGACGTCCTAAGTAAGCAGCGCGATGCCTCGCACCCATGGATCGTAATGGTAAAGCACGAAGCCTCTTCAACCTTCAAAGTACGCAACAGCACCACAGACACCGAGACCGAAGTCGCAAGTACAAACCTAATCGCCCACCTGCGTTCTGAGCTCCGCGAAAGAGAAAGCAGGGAAGCTGGACACGGCAACAATCGCTCTCGCCACCATCCCTCCCTGATCCGCCATTCTTCCCACCACAACGAAAACAACAACAGCACCAGCGGCAACGAACGCAACAAAAACAACGTCCAAGTCCTCATGGCACAACACCGTGGCAAAAAGAGCAATAAATACCATATTGTAGAAGCCGCCCAAGCCCGCTGGACATCCTACATTGACTCTTGGAAATCTTCCGCTCCTATTCTCGCCATCGAAGGCAGAGAAGGTATAGTAGAGAGCATCCGTGACGAAACACGGCTTTCGGATCCGGATTCTTGGCGCAAGTTTGTTCAGAGTGCTCCGTTGGCCGAACGTCAGTATTTGGCGCAAGTGCATGAGTTGTTGGCTGAGATGAGGAAGAAGTGGGAGGCGGGGTTGCAGGTGCAGGGGAGAGAGGATGGGGTGGGGGTGGGGAGGGAGGCTTGTCTCTATAACTTTAGGACGGCCAATTGTGTTTATTACGATGTTGGTCTTTGAAGGACTTCTTGCCATCGAAGTCGCGAAAAAGATCTATTTCACTTTTCTACATTTTGCTTCACTCTTTCAAATGTGATGAGATGCGCATGAAAGGTGATCTTATGACAAGGACACGCAAACCACAGTCACAATCACAGTTTGCAGTTCAAAGAAGTGCCCAAAGAATAAAGTCGAACAGAAATTGGAACATATGTACAAGTACGGCCAATTAGTGGTGGTGGGAATATCGAACCAGACAACAGAGAACCACCGGTACGAGACATGACATCAAGAGAGCTATGACCGTACGGAAATAGGTCCTCCTCTTGTCTTGATTGCGTCGAGAAAAAAAAAACAGTACGCGCATAAAACTTCTTGATGAGAAAAAAAGCCTTTGTGATTGGCAAAGGTCGAACCACGCGCCTCCCAAACAGTAAAAAGAAAAGAAAAACTCCAAAAACCAGGGCAGGTCGGTTACCAGAAAAAAAGAGGCGCAGAAATCAAAGTGACCGACCCCGTCATTATGCCCCCCATAGCACATACCTAATCATCCCCCCCAAAACCGTGTCCATATCCATGGATCAAAGATGCACGTATACTGATTTCGTCTCGGTTGATGCATTTGTCGGACGTATGCAACTTCTTCAGTCGTGTGTGAAACGTGTGTACGCGTCGAGATAGTAAGAAACAAGTCGTGATAATTCATGCAATGTCAGAGTCCGCTTCGTGCCGAGGAGAGCTTAATTCTTGCAACATCTTTTTGTTGACCTCGAAAGGTGGTTGAGCCACATCCTCACCCATGTCGTTAACAAGATTCGTCGTTGGCCAGGTTCGGGTGGCATCAGAGAACATTGACTGACATGTCCCCGCTCATGAGACCGTACTTGGACATGGCCAGGTCATCATCCGTGATGCCTAATCCAATGCCGCTGTCATCCAGATCGGCTCCATCCAGACTTTGGTTCTGCATGTGCTGAGAGGGTAAGGACTGGCGTGGATGCGGCATTGCGAACTGCTGGTGTGGTTGGGATGGAAGCTGTTGCGATTGCGACAGCTGCATCGGCTGGCCACCCATGTCGAAGGAAGCATTGTAGGTGTGCATAGATTGTGTGGAATGAGCACGCGTCACTTTTAGGCTTGAAGTCAGTCAGAGCTCTATGGAAGAGAGGTTTGAGAATAAAAGGTTAAGAACTTACTTTGAGCACTGGCTGGCCGAGAATGCGGCTGTATCTTGAAGTCAACCTCCATGCTGCTCATTCTGCTGTCACTGCCACTTCGCATACTCGCACTGGAGTCGAGCGGCTTGACGTCAGGAGACACGTGCGCAGCAGAAGCAGCAGGTGCTGCATGAACGGGGTTGTGTTCGAGGAAGCCGCCCATGGCGGCCAACCACAAAGCCATCTCATCGACAAAGATCTTCATGACCCACCAGGTTTGATAACTTGCTCCTCCCATGATGGTGATGTCTCTTAAGGCTGCAGTTCCCACAGCACTAATGCAGTGCAGCAAGAGTCTCGTGTTGGCCTGAGGGAAGCGCGAAGGGAGAGAGGTAAGGAAGACAGACCATCTGTCAAGGACGTTCTCAGTCGAGACTTGTCCTGACTGATCAGTAGTCTGCGGTGGCGGTTGCTGGAAGGTCGGGAAGTTGGCCTGCGCATAACCGTAGGCTTGGTTGTCATGAGCGAATAGCGGATTGTCGGGGAACGGAGGAGAGCTAAGGGGTTCCAGGAGACCTCTGATGTCGCACGTCATGATCTTGTAGACCTCTTCGTAGCCACAAGCAGGAAGCTCGGCTTCCATGACACGCTTTGGGTTGACCATGGTCACCCACTCGCGCCACATCTGCTCACGGTTTTGGTCGACGGTGAGAAGGTTCGCGGCAGCATGAGCGGCGGCGTTGACACGAATCAGGCGATGCAGAAGGCTGGCAAAGGTTGCGGCGGGTTTGAGCTTGGCTTGCAGAACATGGGTAGGGTGTGAAGCAAACGTCTTTGAGATATGGGCGTGCAGGTTGGTGGAGATGTTGTTGAGGATGTTGATGACGACTGGTGGTGCAGCTTGCAGGGTGAGGCGAGAGACGAAACGGACCATCTTCTGGTACATCAGCGTATCACAAGCCTGAATCCAGGGCGCGAGAGCAGGATTGGCCAGCAACTTCTGCACTGGCACGGTCAATGTGCCGTGGAAGGATGTGAAGAGACGGAAGAACTGCTTCTCTTTGCAGAAGCGGATGCAGTCGATCAACGACGTGCAGTGCGTTCTATAGAGAGCTGTGAGAGCTTCGGCTGTGTCGGGGTCTGTCTTGACAGGGCAGAAGGGCAGGATGTTGGGCAGTACTATTGTGTCATTCTCTTGGAAAGGCGCTTCTTCTTTCGCAGGGAAGCGCAAGTTCTGGTCATACATGATGGAACAGTCGTTGTCGGCCACCATGCCACGCGTATCAGGATAAGCAAACAAGCGTGCTGTCGAAGGAGGGCCACGAGGCTCGATCTGCGGTGAAGGTTGTGACTCGGCTGAGCCATCGCTGCTATTTGTGCCGTCAAGGCCGTGGGTTGGGAAGGCGGCGGCATCAGCAGGCAGGCGTGGTACCTGGCTGAAGTCGAGGTGAGGATTTGTCGAGGCACTACGGCGCATGTCTGCGGCATCGGGATGTAATGAATTCGAGTTTGAGCGTTGGAGAGTGAGCTGCGAGTCCGAGTTGTCGTCGACAAGACACAAGTCGACATAGTGGTACTTGGACTCGCCACGGACACCAAGTCGTCTAGTTTGGATACCCGGGAAGATGACTCGTACCAGTTTGCCAAAGGATGCTGGGTTAAGAGGCACCACGCGTTCTGTACCGCAACGTGTAGCGTAATGTGAGTAGACACGGTTGCGCGGCACTGACGTTTTGGCCGCTTTGCAAACTTTGCGCAGCCTGTTGTCGCGTCAGTAAACAAGTCGTACATGGACAGAAGTGCACTCACCAGAGCATGGCGAAAAGCTGTTTTGTCTTTTCTGCCTGAGGTGTGCGCTCCTTTGCGATGACCTCTTGCGCGACCTCGGGCAGTGAACGCGCTTCATTCTTGCACAGCAACTCGCGCAACTCCTTGTCGTTGGTAGCAGTGGCCGATGATCCTTTACGGCGACGGTCCTCTGGTTCATGACCACTGAGTTGAGGAAATGCGGCAAGGCCCATAGGGACGGCATACTCGGCAGGTTGGAACATGTACGAGCCATCTTGAGTCGCGAACTGCTGAGCTTGCGCGGTGAACTGGTCCATGGGAATGTGTTGTTGTTGGAAGGTGCGCTGCATCATCTGAGCGTCCATGTGCGGCGCCGAGCCTTGAGCATAGTGTAGTAGCATTGACTCGGGGTTGTGGTGATTCATGTATTGTTGTTGGTGCAGCATGTCGGGAGCGGGAGAGTGGGCGCTCTGCGTCGAGGCGCGCGACAGCGGACGGTGTATAGAGTGGGTAGAGCGTGTTCGCTGCATGGTGGCTATGTCGATTGGTCTGTCGTGCTCATAATCCAGCAAAGTGGCTTTTGTTGATGTATTGATGTTGTTGATTTATTTGTTTGTAATTCCGGGATGACACCGACAAGGCCACACGTGTGCTCCTCCAAACAAACCTCGATGTGCGATTATCCTACAAGTGCCTTGGAGAGCGCGTAGAATTCGGTCCTTGTTGCAGGTCCGAGTAGTCGAGGATTCAAGTCGAGTCGTGAGGAAGTAGTGGCAACCGGATGTTGTTTGGAATTCAAGCGTTCTTGTTTACCTACACCTGCAGAAGGAGCAACCGGAGAGCCAGCCAATGAACGCCTCGGCCAATCACAGCCCGCAAAGTACGTCACCGTCTGGATGCCACTCTAGATGCCTCCCATAGACAACGATGTGTGTTTTAGCTTGTTTGCTTAGAAGCCGATGGATGATGAGGGTCAATTTCTCAGAAATTGGCTGTTGCTGTATGCAGTAATCCTCCTCCAACGTTCCTTCTTAAACCGTTTTTCGCTTGGGTTGGCGGGTGGCCGGCTGAAGGTAAAGGCACATTTCCCGACCTCTCTGTTCGTATGCTGGAGTCTGTCACGCCCGCACCTGTAAAGGCGGTATTCCTCTCTCTTATAAATCTTGTAAGAGTGTAGTATGGCTTCATCTTCTGCCCACTCTAGATAAACCACGCAGCTATACAGCTCACGTACTTCTCAACGCACACGCGACTAAAGAGCATAGTGACAAACTTTCTACATGGGGAAGCAGCGGAAACAAAAGCCAAAGTTTTGCCGACTGGGAAGGAGCGGGTGTGGGTGACGTACGAGTATTTTCGGAGCTTTCGTCTCTCCTGGCCTCGAACCTTTCTCTCCCCTAAACCATCATCCAACTCTGCCTTCGACCACCAATTTCATTTACTTGCCGTTTGCATAGCCTTATTTCAAACCGTCATACAATATGTCTTTCCAGGAACGCGCCCAGCAGCACATCTCGCAGCTCGACAAGGAGGTAGGTGTTTCTAGAGCTCCACGTGCCCATTAGTTACGCGCTGACACTCTTATCTACAGCTGTCCAAGTACCCTGCCCTCAACAACTTTGAGCAGCAGAGCTCCGTCCCCAAGGTCTACGTTATTCTCGGTCTTGGTGCCCTCTACTTCTTCCTCATCTTCTTCAACATCGCTGGCGAGTTCCTCGTCAACTTTGCCGGCTTCATCATCCCCGGTTACTACTCGCTCGAGGCTCTCTTCAGCTCCACCAAGGCCGATGACACCCACTGGTTGACCTACTGGGTCACTTACGCCTTCTTGACTGTTCTCGAGAGCGCCGTCAACGCCGTCTACTGGTTCCGTGCGTTTTCCCGCCCGCTCCCCTGCAGCTCGTTCCCGTTTCGCTAACATGCTTCTAGCCTTCTACTACACCTTCAAGTTCATCCTCGTCCTCTGGATGTCCCTTCCCCAGACTGGGTAAGTCATCGACCATCTTTCCACTACTCATTAGCCTTATCTGACATGAAACAGTGGTGCCAAGATCGTCTTCAACTCCCTCCTCAGCCCCCTCTTCGGTCGCTTCTTCCAGAGCCCCGCTGGTGTTGAGACTAGCAAGACCCAGTAAATTCGTCGTTGCAACAATGGCATACTGGACCAAGGATACTTGTGTGAAGCCTGTCCTTAATTGACTGGCTTCCTGTCTTTTGTCAGAGCAGCTTTGTCTTACGGGAAACACGACTCACGCCAGATAATCTACTGGCAGTGTGGAAATTCATAATCAAGAATCGCAGTGTTGTTGGAAAGTTGAGCCTATTTAGACTGTTGGAGGTTATATGATGAGAAGATAGGTACGCTGATGGTACAACAATGAAAGAGTTTGTGTACACCTCTTCTACTTTGCCAGAGTCCATCTGTGAATTGCATTGTGCAAGACTGACCGCCAGCTGTGGTGATCTACATGCTGACCGTGTAGTCATCTTCAGGGGTATCTTCACACGTATGGCTGTCGGGTGTCCTATGCTCTGGCGGCAGACTCGAACGCTTTGTCCTGAGTGTCGTTTGTTGCTACAGTCAGCTTTTGGTATTTTGACGACTTCTCATCAAACCATCGTGAAGCCAAGACCGTTGAATTCTCACACCCAACTTCCGGAATGTGCAATCAAATCTAATATCACGTTTAGCGAAACACGAGGACCTCATTTCGAATCACCTTGAGACATTCGCCGTTGATGGCAATGTGTCGCCAGGTCTAGCAATAACCAGACTCTAGCATTGCTTCTACACTCAACTCGTAAACAGGCTATCGGTGTAGTCATGTGCATGTCAAGCTCAACCTACATGATTTGTTTGGTTGCCGGACACCACTCTTGAGTATGCGTTCTGTGTAAATCGGACAGGACGATCATTCGGACCATCAAGTTCTAGTCATGAAAGAGATTTACTGAGCGACATGGCCTCGAGACTGGTCGATGTATCAAGGTCGACACAGCATAGTCGCCTATGGCTGATGTATCCCTGGTCGATGTACTCCAGATATCATGGTTGTCACGTCATAGTTGACCATGGTCGATGTATCGTTGTTGCTATGTCAAGGGTGACTACACAAATCGCAACAGTCGACCTGACCCTCGTCGTAGGACTGTGGTAAGCAAACCCACTATTCGAGATGAGTACACGACGCCGGACCTTGGTTGTCTTAGTTCGACGAACACAGAGCACATGATATGTGCTAGACGTGAAACCAGTCGTGCTTCTGCGACTATGGTATATTGTCAACATCCTCTTAATTTCCTGCACAATGTCGAGCTCTACGTGTGCCCATTCAACGGGAAAACAGCATGATATTCACCTCACATCCAGACCGTCATTCGTACACGACTATAGGAAATTCCGAGCATTGTCTTAAGTGCGTTGTCGGATCTCACACCAAACACAGGACCCGCCCATAATGCACTGCAACTATCGCACGTGATCTACACTCAACATACATTGCGCCTTGAGTATCTAGGCAATAACCATGAGACGATACAACACTCGAAGTACTGCCTGTCAACCTCAACTGGTACTTGGCACTTCATCTTCGATACCACACAACACTCGCTGATAAGGCTAGGCTATGGCGCCCTCGCCAGTCCAGTCCTCTACGCAGTCAAGACCAAGATACACACGATCCAAGTCGGGAGCGCAGGTAGCGCTGATCAGAGCTAAGAGGAATAAACAACAACCCATTCCGACCTACGACCCTTCCAAACATGGCTTCCTGGATCTGCCCGGTGAAGCGCGCAATCTGATCTACGATCTTGTGGTCCAAGATATGCCATGCGCCGGTACCCTCAACCTTTACACCTTCCGCATACCTACCCCATCGATGGCTCTTGCGTGTAAAGAGATCTTCGGCGAAGTCATGGGTTACGTGGTCCAAAACTTGAGTTTCGCTGGACAGGTGATAAACCTGGCGGTGGGTTTGACTTTTCCGTCACCCAGACTCCTTTGCTCTCTGTCAGCACTCGTCTCTATCTGGATGCTTGTGCCGCTGCTGGCATGCACTTCAGCCTCAGACATCTCAATTTCTGCGCCCCTTGCTCTCATGGTACAAGTCCTTTCTCGAAGCGCTGTCACTGGGATCTCGAGATCACGGACGACAAAGCTACTGTCACAGCCTCAAGAACAGATGCAGAGACAGACGCTTGTGTGCGGATCTGGCAGACAAACATGGAAAAGGGCGTGATGGGAATCATGCAGCAGCACAGGACCAAGTCTCTCGGTGTCGCTGAACGAGACGCTTTTCGGCAGCTTCTTTCTCGGTTCAGTCTACACGGTCACTTTAGAGGCAGATCTACTCGCCCTGAGGCTTTGGATTCTGAGGATGCTGAGATGATCAGGTTGAAGGGGGGGTATCTTGGTTGTCATCTTGAGACTCATCCATGGGAGTTTTATCAGATAAGCTCAGACTAAATAGATTGAGGACAAAGCATGCAGGATAGTGTCAAAGAGGACTGGTTAGCAAGAGAAGGAAGAGGTGACGAGGCCCTTGCGCAAACATGCCAATACCGAAGCAGTCACTTATGTTGGCATGGACTATTCGTACGAGATACGATATAAATGCACCGAGCTCGAGTGTTTCAGATAGTGGTACCATGGACAGGGTGGTCCCCGTAACAAGTGATGCACGGATACATATCGCGATAATTCGCTCACTGCCACCTCTGGTGGTTTCAAACTCCCTCACATAGATCTTTATGTACTCAGGTGCTCCCCTTGGGTATATTGTATTGATCAGATGGATTTTGGTGCTGCCATGGACAAATATATCATTTCCAATGCTCGAATTTCGAAGCCCACTCGAGACACTATGTATGGGACACTAAGCTCAAAGTTACGTAGATTTTTGGGGTAAGTAGTCTATGGTAGGCCCAGAAGATTGATATATATGATTACGATCATAGGGGTTTCTAATATGTCCAATCTTAGGGTCCGCGCAAATCTGGTTGCTTGGTTCCACAATGTGTAGACAGACAGGGTGTCACCGAGCAGCAAAGTCACTTTGCAGAAAACATGTATTGACTATGAGGAACATTGGGTTGACCGACACTAGTCTTGACACCTCACCCCGTAGCAAAGGCGTAAGATCTCTTCGGATGACAGTAAAGAGCCATCTTCCAAACAACAGCTCATAGTCCGAATAGCGAGTTCCCAGTGTGGCCATGAGAGAACAAAGCGTGAGACCGCAAAACCGAATAGGGACTACGGTGACTCAACCAACAACAACGATGATGTAGTACAAAGACTCATTCATTCTCATCGAGTACATAAGCCCTCGATTCTGCACCTCGACCATCGTCATAAGAGAAAGAGTAAAAGTCCTCGACATTTCGAAAAGAGAGCCACTTCCCAAAAATATCGAAAATGACATCACCGCCGATCTCTCGCGACACGATTTCTGAGTGGAAATCGCAACCCACCGATTCACGACAAGAAGCCGTCGCAACAGCCACGCCAACCCCATCGGTACGAGCAGACTCGCCAATCTCAGTCGCAAGCGCATCTTCAAAGCCATCGACACCGAAAAAGAAGAAAAATCGCCGGGCAAAACAACAACAAAGCCCTCCTTCTCGCGTCGACACTCCACTGTCCACGGCAGTAAACGACGACAACGACATGACTTCCCTCCCACTGCTCATCTGCAGTCTTGGTAACCCGGGCGCGGCATACGCAAACACCCTTCACAGTGCAGGTCACAATGTCGTAGCCGCCCTTGCGACACTCCTCCAAGCAGGCCAGTTCACAAAAGATCGCTCCTATGGCAATGGCTCCCTCACACGCTCCTATGACCCAGAAGTCCCATGGACGTTATGGCAATCCCCCGGCTTCATGAACGAGAGCGGAAAAGGCGTTAGTGCTGCTTATCGCACATGGGCACGCGAGAACAATATGCAAGGACGCCTTGTGGTTGTGCATGACGAGTTGGAAAAGCCATTGGGCAGTGTGACGATACGGGATAAAGAGGGCTTGTCAGCGAGGGGACACAATGGGTTGAAAAGCTGTTTGTCGAGTCTGGCGGGTGTCAAGTTTGTGAGGGTGGGTGTGGGCATTGGGAGACCGGTTAGCAGGGCGCCGGATGATGTTGCGAGATATGTCTTGAAGAAGATGACGCCGCTTGAGAAGCAGAAGATTGAAGGCTCGGCGGAGGATGTTTTGAACAAGTTGTTGGCTATCAAGGGTTGAAGAGATGTTGATTGCTGGATCAAACACATCGAGAAGGACTGTAGGTCTGTACAGACATGGCATTATTGAGCCTGCTGCAACACGCCAGACGACACGACCTTATACGGGTGCTCGTTGGTACTCCTACCCACACGCCTCGCAAGACACCTACCAGCTCTGCTTTGACAACATGCAAGTCTGCACATCCTTGCGGCTGTGACACGTCGCTTTGGAGAAACGTCTCAATGTGGGCCACGAAGTACAGGCCCAGGTTCGTTGCATCCTTCGTTCACCTTCAACCGACATCTGTGGTATAGAGGCCAGCTCCTGGGATCAAGGAGGCCATACATCCAGCAAGTGGCGACAGTAGTCCATCTTGTACCCAGCATGTTGGTTTTAGTTCTCGACAGGTCCAAAGCCAAAAACCTTCCTGACTCTATTTCTTACAAAACTTGCTTCAGAAAGTAGACGCGCGCTTATGTATAAGAGTCAGCCTTGACATATCCTTAAAAACATAAATCGATTTCGTTTCTTACCCTTTCGTCCCAGCGACATGGGCTTGGAAAGATTATTCAGGCCAGAGTTTCGGTACGTGGTTGCCGTAAAGGCCATACTTTCGGTGTTATAGGACCGAGAAGGTATATCCTTTCGCACTTCGCCCCGAACCGGTGGTGGGTGCTTGGGTATAAGGTAAAGGATGAAAACACTATATAAAGATGAGATCTAAGGTCCTTAAGTTTCACCGTCGCGCTCGCTGCAAGGGGCAGTGAAGTTTGTCTGGTTTATCTTGAGTTTGTGAACATGGAGAAAGTTTGAGGATGTGTTTGTGCCTGAGGCATGCTCTGCGGAGTATCGGGGGACCCTGTCCAAACCATTTTTTTGGCACTCTGCCGCTCCTCGAGCCTTCTGTCCATCTTGGCTGTCTTCTCTACAGCCGCAGATGATCATTGTAAGCCAGAAATACACGGGATCAAACCCTTTAGCTTGATGGAAATATTGAAACGAGCAGAGTCCACATTCTCCGTGGAGGATTGTGAAGACGAGTTTTCGGCCGTAGCAGTTGCACAGCCCTGAGCTGCTGTTCGAGACTGGCAACCGTCGCGCGCAAAAAAAAGGGTCGCTTACACAAGCCATTCGGAAGAGGTTTGATCCGCCTCCAGCGTTGTGCAGCAAGACCCTGATAGAGAAAATACAACGAGCCGTCAAGGAGCACGAGACATGAGGTGTAGACCAAGCCTTTGTCTGGCAAGAACAAGTCTCGATGCCCTGCCCCCAGACATTGCGAAATGAACGTGTGGAGAGAGACGTAGGGAACCATGAAACACGAATGAGCCAGCACAGCCCAGAGACTCGGAGCCTCAAGATTGACTCGCGACTACACTCTGCAGGCCGACTGGTCCCTTGCGTTCAATCTATCAAGCTCTCATCAGAAGGAGTCAACTGCCATAGGGAAAAGGAGCCGTAAACCTCGACCAGGGTGTTGAACATTAAGCTTTGCTCGCCCGTCGCCGCCGATACATTGCGCCGTCGGCGAGACTGACAAGTTACTTCTTGATCCCCATGGGCGCTTGGGCAGTGCATGTGCGAAACTGCAGCTTAACCCACGAGTCAGTTGTAGACTTCAGCTGCTGATCAGGCATACCAATATTTCGACACTTCCTGATACGACCTCCGACGAGGGTGGTTGGATGAGCTGACCAAGTTCTGATCCGCGACGATGATAAGGATCGGCACCTTGCGGAGTCGGAGAGTCTTTTCATCCCAACATCCTGGCTGCTACAGCATTGCTCGCGCTAAAAGCAAAGCGTGCGTTGCTGTGTATGCATACTCAAGGTCCAATATTGAGCCATTGAGCCATAATATCCACTAGACTGCTAGAGCCCTCCACGGCGACAGTGAGATCGAACAAGCGACGTGGTGTTACTGATCTGTCCGCTCGACTCCCGTACACGTCATCATGGTGTAGTCCCCTTTCCTTCCGCAGAGACCCAAGTCACAGAACAGATGCAAGGATTGCGTGTGATGACGGTCGCAAGAACCACTGCACCCTTCGTGATCGTAGGGACCTGGAAGGTCCAACCTAATAGCGACATGAACCCCGTCTCTGACCGCTTCGAGGTCCTTCAAGCGAAGCAGTAATTGCTCTGAAAGAGACCGTTTTGCAATCAAAAAGTTCGCGTCGCAGCCTCGTAGGCAACTGACGGTCACTCGCGGCTCTTGCATGTACATGCATATGATTGATGCTCGAGCAAGCGAGATCAATGTCTGTACATCAGTCTGCAATGTGTGTCCTCATCGCTATCCATAGCATACCTTCGTCCTCGGAGGACTGCACTGTAACTGCCTTTTCGGAGGCGTCAATGCATCGGCGTGACTTGCATCGTAAGTGAACTGATCGTTGAGCTCGTGTCCTTCTCATTTGCCAGTGCCACCGAAAGCCCTCTACGGCGCCAATAATTGCTTGCTCGCGCCACCACAAACCAATTTGGGCAGCATCGTGGCCGTTGACGGCAGGACCGTAAATCAACTCTGCGCGCGCCCGAGCTGACCGGCCAGCTGATGCAGCAGCTTCTAGGGGACCGACGATACTGGCAGCTTGAGACGATACGAGGAACCAAAGGAAGGGGCCACGACGCACTGCACTAATTGCAAAAGAGCCTCACCAAGCTGCAACCTCACCCCCTCCCGCCTCGTAACATTGCGCAACCAGATGAGCGAACGGTACCAGGTCTAAGCGCGCTGGCGACATGCCAGGGAGAGTTTCCTTTTCCCCAGCACTTTTTTTCCTCTTTGTGGATGAATCAGGGCTCGTCGGATGCAGGATATTCAGCAAGTACGTGCGTACTCACAGGTCCACGAAACAGATATCCTGTGATTGGCAGAACATCAAGCCCCAATGATCATGATTCCATCATGTAGAAGTGATCTGCTTGTAAAGTCATACGGTGAGCCTTCTACCAGTGGCGCAGCGCATTAGGCGTAAAGTTTCTCAGAGTGTTGAAACCCAAACTGAGCACAAGCTGCCGGGGTTGAGTAGGCATCAGCACAAGCCTCGTGATCTGGGAACATCAAAAGCAACCCTGAGCAAAGACGAGTGTTTGCAACAACCCAAATTGCGACCAGGGAATTTGGCAACTGTCAGAGACAACTCACAAGATCTTTGAGTTTGTCCTGGATGGTGAATGCGAGAAAACCGAGAGCTAATTCATGGCAAGACGGTCGTTGCACGTGATATCGAAGTCAAAAGGACAAGTTACTCTGAGTAGCCTTTGGACGCAACAGAAACGGATTGCACCAAATGCCAGGATATGGAAGCGATCAGTCGGAGACTTGGCCGACCGTGTGTCTGAGGCCGGCGATCACATGGATATTGCTGGCGCGTGACCGAGTCAAGCAAAGACTGAAGACGACTCACATCTGTACGAGGCTGTGAAGAGACGATAGTGGTAGACCGGATGGCTCGTGTGTTGTCACAGCCAGTGGTGGTGACTAGATGACATGTTGCGGACAATTCATACCACAGCCGGGCGGTACCGCGATACTCAACGGCGCTCGAACCGGAAGACTTGTGCGGAGGCGGTGCCATCGCAAGGAAAGACAACGAGAAGTCAGGCGGCGGCTATCGAAGGCCTTGGGGCAAGATGATCCTGTGCATCCCCGCGGCCTGCTTTGATGACTTTTAGGGGTCGCAGATGGACCTGGTTTGGCGGGCCTCGTAATGGGGCTGGCCAGCGCTGCTTGAGTTTCACCGACGCTGAGCTTCTTCGCGCTGAGATTGCGCCAGTCGACGTCTGAACGCTGTTAGCAAAAGTCACTCTTGAGTGGTAGTCTTGTACTTGATATGGTGAGGAGAAACATATGTGCCACTAGCCAGCGCAACGGGTTCCCGGAGAGGCGCTGCGATTTCTGGAAGATAAGCGGCGAAGAGTAAGATCAATCTGAAGCACTGCGGACGTTGTGCGGAAATGCCAAAAGCGGTATAGAGGAAGAAGTGTTGTGAGACAGGACGAGTAGGCATGCCGGACCGAGCAAACTCTCCATCCTTAGACCGGCAACCCGCGGTGTGCGCAACTTAACAAGGTTGACGGCGGCCGTTCGCTGCGCCGGAGTCGGCGCGGATTTTCACCTTCGGCATCCTGACCCTAAAGGCCACGCGCCATCTGCACGCCAGATTTGGTTCAAGGGACGGTGCGCTTTGCAAGGAAGTAACAACGTTTGGGCCACGAACTTGCATTGTACAGAAGAGGGAGGTCGCCAAAATGTGATTAGTGATTCGTTGATCAAAACATGAACTAGAGGGACCGTGTTCCTCCGGCCGAGATCTGTGTGTACTCCGTGAACCCGTGGAAGATCGAATAAATGTCTCAATCCATTCAATCTGGGCTTCTCTATTACTATCCGAGAATCAAGTTCAACACAAGATACGTACGTACATAGCCATGTACACACATGTTCCCGAGTAGTATTTGCGTTTCGGCTGCGATCATGCTTAATGTTCCCATCGCATGATCAGTGAGTTCCCCCCGGTTTAACGAAGAATACCTCATGACGCACCACCGTGCGTTGCAAACTCGCTTTTGTGCGAGCAGGATTTTGCAACGGCCTATCCGTCTTCTAGCTTGCTTGCCAGGCGTTCGAGAGACTCATGCGCGGCGCCGTTAGCGCTTTGAATCGGCGGACAGTATCTTGCCTGTAGCAGAGCTGCACGAGCACCTAGTGTATACAGCGTGTAGGTAGACACTTTGGTGGTCGGCACTCTCCGAGAAGAGTGATTAGCTGCTCTGCCCATCTCTCGAACTCTAATGGCACATGCGGTAAGGCTGCCACTCCAGATCTCTCCTGTCGATCATTGGTCTTAGTCCACGTGGTCGACACAAATACCACAGGACTCAGGCAACCCCGGAATGGTTCGAGGGGTGACATTCTTCGTGTTGAATCGTCGTTCACAAATCGGAATGCGAATGAAGTCATAACAAGCAGATATCGCGCCGCCATCGGGCAAAGTGTTCTAGCAGAATTGATGACCTGCGAGCTGCTCGATGCGTACGACCACACTCGTCATATTGACTTTCGACTATCATCAAATGGGCGTCTTCTAGAAAGACTGTATCCATTGTGCTGGTACGAACTTATGTCCTGAGCTTTTAACTTCACTCACACCTTGGCTTTCACGCCATCTGCTATCGTGCAATCCAGCGCGCAACGGAATGATTGTCGCATCATTGCGCAAATAGCTCTGCCTAAACAGGCCACGATTCTGTATCACGTTGACGTAGAGCAAGCAGATCCGTCTCACGAAATTGCGAGTCCGTTTGCCTGTCCCTCTAGAAGTGGCGCTGCGACTTTGCGAAAGCTTTCCCCTTTTTGGACCTGCCGCCGATCGACCTTACATGACAAGGCTCGCGTGTTTGGAAGAGTTTTCCTGCAGGTTTACAAGCCTTCAATTTGCAATGGAAATTTAGGAATGCTCATGATCGGGACTTCAATGGCACAGATGTGCCTGCAGGACATCATCATGGCACGGTCGAGGTCGTAGTATTTGGCAGATCGATGGGATACTTTGAGACAATCGCTGCAATAATGACCTCTTCGCGGAGCATGCTCCGTTTGAATCCTACAAATCCTGCCATTCGTACTAGTTTCAAGCATGGGACATACCGAGCATACCCCTCACCCGAACCTGCAGAGAGCCAAATCACGGTGATGAGTTATCATAAATTTCGCGCTAGTATCGGCCTTGGAGTGATGATTAAATTCGCGATCGGGACGAGGGTGCGTAAAGGTCAAGTCCGCATGCCGAGGCACCATCTTGGGTTAGTAGAGAACGCTGGGGTCGGCTCGCATGGCACATGGCACACGGCCACTTCGCTCTAGTGTATCCTAGTGGCAGTTGCGTCGTCTAGGGCAGACTGTGACGCAACCAATCAGATCGCCCGTCTACTGTGCATTCAGTCGTGGCTAGACTGGCATTTACGTGTATCTCGCAAGTACCTCGAAAGGCACGCGTCGGGCGCGAGAGATGTAATATTGAATATGGACTTGTGGCTGTGTCGAGCATCCCACGCTTGAGCGTGCCGCGGAGGTCATCCGAGTCGCTCGTCCAGGTAGAGGATGTCGGGTCATTCAAGTCCGCCTAGCACGTGCCATTGGTACAGGCGGCGCCGCTTGATCGTCGTCCAATGAGCGGCTTGCCGTAGCAGAAATCCGAGCTAAGACCAGGACCGACCACCATTTACCCTCAGTCGCCGCTTCGCAGTTTCAGAACACGGATAAGTGGACGTGTCGTATTGCTTTTGGGAAGCGCTCGACCGGCTCGCCATCATACGAGTCAACATGTCAGCCATTGCGGTATGTAGTGCACTTGAGAGGGCATTTGGAGATGAGCGAGAGTATGCATGCTCTTAGAAGGGGTCCATTGTAGTTGGACCAGTATGCGCATCGCTCGTTTGCGAAAGGACAAGTGAATTGGGTGTTGGAGTCTTCCCTTCCAGCTATGGGCTGGACCTTGACCGGGCGGCTGGGTCCCCTGGGACTGTCTCTGCAGGTCATCATCATAGCAAAATTCGCTGCAGTGATCGGGTTCCCGCGCTACTGTATGCCCTTGCCCAGAAAGGATGGGCATCCGCTAGACTAGGGAGATGCTCCGTCCAGTCAGCAAACGAGCGGCTTCACACCCCTTCTGGGGTCGCCCTGACAGATTTTCTCTTTCTCATCAAGAACCGCCGATGCTAGCTCCGAACCACTCCCGCTTGACTGGCACAATTCTAATTCAATTAAAGACATCTGTGCCTGCTGTCAAGTCGACCGTTTTTCTGGTTTGTGTCTCTGACCTCTTCTCTCTCGATTTGCAAATAGTCCCGCCGAAGCCAAGCACACACGATCGTCACCGGCTCTCGCATCTTCCCTGAACCAGAGCGTCGCTGCGTCGCTACTTCCCCTCTTGCTAAAAGGCGGCCTTTCCGTGCAGCTATCCATTGTGATTTTCATCAAATCTGCAGCCGCTCAGCATATCGTTTCTTACTCTTGTCACATCCTTCCCCGCCGAGAGTCAATCTTCACCATCCAAAATCTTAACCCCTCAAAGTCGAAGTCTGTTCGTACGCACTCCCGCCGCACGCCATTGTCCGGTCCAAACTCAGATCGTTCTGTCGGTGCCCAATCATTGGTTCACCCATCAACTCTCGACTTCTGATCATTTGTTTCTATCCTGATCTATCCTCGGCCCGATCATACCTTGCCAGCGTGATCATCAATCCAGTACTGCCCAAGCTGTGCTTTCAAAGTCAATCTTAACAAATTGCCCTGCTTGCTCGTCCACACCCATACAGGTAGGGTCCAATCTGTAATTCCAAAACAGGTTCCTGAACACTCAATTGACTTGACACACAGCTCTGTGCGCTCGCATCATCAGCGCTACCCGATCCCGCGGACACAGACATAGCTCATAACCAAGAACCACTGGATTGACGAACCAACCCCTCCCGACATCGTCGAGGCTTGAGCTGTTATTTGGTCGACCTTTGGCATCCGAGATCTTGACCCCGAACCACAAAGATCGAAGCCTTGCTAAGAAAACGGTGAGTCAAATTTATGTCTCAACCCCCAGCATACCCACTCGATAACTGACGCGAATCCAGAATATTGGAAGGTCACAGTCGGTTGCAATTGCATTAGTTACTCGACTCGAAAAACAGTGGTTAACTTTACTTGCCGGTAAGTGTAAAGTCTATTCCAACGCGTTGCCCTTCTACGAGCCTAGCGCATTTTCCCCAATGCAATCCGTGCTCCCAGCCTGTCTCTTTCCAATATGCTATCACCGTTCCCTTCCCCTCATTCATCATAGATTGGCTCGCACCACCACCGCTCTATTCCCCTGTCCCTACTCTTCTCTCTCAAACTATATCATCTGCCTGTGGACCTTGGTCGAAACATTGTTGATCCGTTGAATCATTCCTCTTACCCCGCCTGTTTCTCTTGAGCAAATTATTTCTCATCCGTGTATCGAGTCGCTTTTGCCTACCTCACACTCGCTGACACCAACAAGACCAGAAAGTAAACAAGGTCTTTGAATCCAATTCTGGATTTGATTTTACTCTCATTCTTGCCTGCTGCAACCTTGTCAGCAACTGTTGACCTCTATATCAACCTCAGCCTTCAAGCTTACTGCCTCCGTCGACTACAATGAGTGGCAGTGGCTCTGGTTCTGGCCCACTCCAGCCTACATGGCATGGTTTCATCCAGAACAGCATGGACGGGCTTGTCCTCTTTGAAGCCTGCCTCAGCGGCAAGCTGCACCATGTTCCCCGTCGCCCTCACGATCGTGAGCGAGCAAGTCTGATCAAAAGTGGCAGTGTCTTCATTTACGAGGAAAACGCGTCTGGTATCAAGCGTTGGACAGATGGTGTCGCTTGGAGTCCCAGTCGCATCCTTGGAAACTTCTTGATCTATCGCGAACTAGAGAAGCCTTTTCCTCCCGGCGAGAAGAAGCGAGCAATGAAGCGCAAGCGATCTTCGCAAGAGCCTGAAGGTCGCCGTGACTCTGAGGAAAACGAAGTTGCCGAATACAATAGGCTGCCTCCTACACCTCCATCTCCCGCAAACCAACCGGATTCGAAAGCCGCCGCTGCTGGCACGACTGACAGTGATAAAGAGGTGGAACGCCAGCTCATTGGCTCACTCGTTGATAGCTACGGTTTTAGACCCAATGGCCTCGTCAAGAAGACGATGAGCATCTCTTTGAACGGCGTCTCGCATCATCTGGTCTCCTACTACACCGTGGAGGACGTCAAGCAGCGAAAGCTCCAGCGACCTCTGGTTGACACGCGCCTCAACGGCATCGCAATTCGTCCCGAGCTTTACCTTAAGCAAAACTTCCGCGCACCAGTCGAGGAGTCGGATCAATTTGCCGTTGATCACAGCGGACACGCGTACCCTCACATGGGTGGTTACCCAAACATGGTGGCACCTTCCGGATACATGATGCGTCAGAGCTATGCTGCGCCTCCTGGTTATCCAATGTATGGTTCTGCACCAGTGTCCACTGGAGCAGGCGTGTACGGTAGCTTGCCAGCCACGGCGCAACCTTCTCCTTCTTGGTCTCAGTCATACAGTGCAGCACCTTCACAGCAAAGCTATGGTAGCTACTATAGCCGTCCAGATGCCCCAACTCCTCAAACATCGACCAATTCATACCCTCCAATGCCGCCGATGCAATCGCAATACCAGTCACCAATGAGAACCCCTGCTCAGAGTTATGGCCCCCCAAGCAGTATGACCACTTCGTCCACTCCAGTGGCAACGCAATCGCAATACCAACCGACGCAAACGGCTACAGCATCTCAGTACCAGCCTTCCAGCTATGGTGTCCAGACGAGCTCTCACCAAAGTGCTTCACCTCAACAGCAAAGCCTGAGATCGCCGCCAATCGGCCCACCACCACAATCGATGAATGCTTACCCCCCACGCTCCAATCTTCCCAGTATGTCTAGCAGCATGTCGAGCTACAGACAGTACTCCAGTCAGAGCACTGGCTCGCAAGGGGAGATGCCCAGTATCGGAATGGCTTCTGGATATGGCAGCAGTCACGCTCAGCCCAGCAGCGGAAGCTACGGTGCACCAAGCTATGGGCCACCTGGAGGTCTCAGTGCACCCCAAAGTTACCGACACGCTAGCGACGCCCCCCCTCCTGTCCAGAGCGCACAATATTACAGTGATGGAAAGCCTGCCGTGAGCAGCTATACTTAGTCGTCTATTGTCTTCTCTGCAACCTGGCCACGTTTAATGACATCCCTTTCTTCGACGATCTTGCGTTGTAGCGCGTTCATGGTTCTTCTTTTCTTTTTTTCTCTTCATCACGGCACTTTACGAGAGTTGAAAAACAAGAACCAACAGGTGGTTGCTACTGATAGTGTTGGGCATTTTTCGTAGTGTATTCATTCAGTAGCATTACATTGTATCACTAAAAATGGCAAACATTCGACAGACAAAATCTTGTGTATTATAGCCCGATAGCATTCATAAGTGGTTAATCTAGATGATACACTTGTGGCTTCGTCCTGCGTAACATTGAAGTGTGTTCCTGGCTCTTTTAGAAGACATAAAGGACACCGAAGACAATATCTGCCCGTTTCCTACAGTAAAATACCTTGACAGGGTTTCCGTCTGAGGGCCTCTGGAATGCCGCAATATTGGTCAACACAAATCAGTGCATGCACAGTTCCGGTTCGTTGTAGTGTTTGCAACTTCTATTTGGATTTTTTTCCTTGTGTCGGCATTTATTGCTCGTCCGGTCCATGATCTTCCTTGCATGACAGGCTGTCTCGAACGCTTTGGACCTTTGGATCTGCAGCGTCTTCAAAATGACGATCATCGCGGAGCGTTGGCGTTCTCATGTGATTAGGTATCTCTTTTCCGTCGTACCTTGGGTGAACGGACCTTTTTCGCAAGCGCGCCGAACGAACGACATGTCGCAACCAACAGCTGCGGTAAATAAGACATTATTTGCGAGCCATGGACGGTGGTCGATGGCATACCTCAGCAAAATGGGCAGGCTGTCAGCTGCCAAATCCGCCGCCATGAGTGGTCGATCAGTCCCTCTACTGTGCCTTGGCCGCGCCTACGCCGCGGTCGCAACACCATCCGTATCAGCACCAGCAGCAAGCTCCGCTCGTTTCGCGTTCCGTCGGCCCATTCAGCAGTACCACTACACTCCGCGGTATAACCTTGCCCTGAGCTCCTCCTCCGGGTAATTTCTCAACCCATGACCAAGTCCAAAGCTATGCCTGTACTGTGATCTAATTAATGCGGCTGTAGCTCGTACACCCTGCCAAACTCAGACCGACGTCGCTACTCAACACCAACAGAAAGCGGCCACAAAGACCCCGTAAGTCTTGCCGTGATTCCTCCAACGTGTCTATCGTGAATTGTAGGGCCGTTGTGTGTCGATGGCACGTGTACTACTCCTTCGTGGTCCATCGCCTAAGACTTCGGGCCTTTGTATTCATTAGCATAGAAGTGTCGGAATCTCGAAGTGCACGTTGACTGACAAAACATCAAAGCGATCACGACCTTCATCACCGGGAACGGAAAAAACCATCTCTCAAAGCATCGATGCTGCAAACCTGAAAGCAAACAACATCGGCGACAAGGTCCGCTCATTGACACCCCGCGAGCAGATCTATAATATCCCCAACATCCTTACCGCAACTCGCTTGGTCGCTGCGCCTTTTGTCGGATACCTGGTATTGCATGAACAGCACAATTGGGCTCTTGCTCTGTTCGCCTATGCAGGCATTACCGACTTGGTAGATGGATGGATTGCCCGCAAGTACAAGCTGCAGACTGTTGTAGGCAGTGTCATCGACCCAATGGCTGACAAGTTCTTGATGACTGTCTTGACTGTTACTTTATCCATGAATGGCCTCTTGCCAGGTGAGCGGTCCCTAACGATATATGTAGAGTCTTGGCTGACCCTGTGTTATAGTCTCTTTGGCTACTCTCATCCTGGGACGTGATGTGTCTCTTGCAGTGGCTGCTCTGTATTGGAGATATGCATCTCTCCCTGCGCCCAAGACCTTCAAGCGCTACTGGGACTTCTCCCTGCCATCCGCAGAGGTTCACCCTACCACTATGAGCAAGTACAACACGCTTCTGCAGTTGCTTCTCATCGGTGCCACACTGGCCTACCCAGTCATCACCGCGGACAACCACCACCTAGGTGTCATGCATGACATTGGCCTGGAGAAGCTCGACCTCGCTCAGTTCATGACCTATTTCCAGATCCTGGTGGCCGGTACCACAGCATGGAGTGGACTCAGCTATGCTTTCCTCAAGGACGCAGTCAAGATCTTGGGTAAGGATGAGCAGCTGAAGCTCAAGCAGGGAAGAAGGGGCAGAGCAATTATTGGCGTGACATTCGGCAGCGTTGTGGTGGCTGCTGCGTACTTGGCTCTCACCAAGGACTTGCCAAAGAAGAAGGAAGAGGGAGTAGTTGCTTGAACAGATGGCTGCCTGAGAAGTCATGCACGAATGAAAAGTCATCCACATGGACCTTTTCCGTCAGGCAAGCATCAAGCTTTGAATACCAATCACCATTTGCCCAATTCAGACTCCAAAGCCTACATGACAACACATCAGTACAACGCGCGTCGTCTGAACGAACGTGCCTTGCTACCAAATTCGTGTATCGAATCCGTGGCTATGCGAGCCAAACATGGTTGTTTGGTTTCCCGCGCTAACTTGCTCGCTCCTTCCCGCCATAAATCCTCAACTTGACGTTCCAATTCTTTACCTTTTGCAAGCTTCATTGCTTCTTCTCCCACCCTTTTTCTCATCGCACCATCGCCGGTCAACGAGGACTTATCGCTGCTCGTCCGCTCCGACACTCCTCGTGCTTTACACAACAGCCCATCGCATCCACATCCGCTCCAAATAGCGTCAGTGCTCATCGCATCTTCCGTATCATCACCTCTACATATCTTGCCATCTCGGCCGATCTTCAACACCCAGCAAGATCAAAGCATGTATCAGCAACGGCCATTCCACGTGCCACCTAGTTCACGACTATGAGACTCGAGATTATCACGTTTAGGCTTCCCTCTGATTTGATTGACGAATGCTGCCATGCCTCCCTTCTGTTCGTGTTTGCTCCTTTACGGTGTCTACTCGTGGAGGTGTAGAAGCGGGGTGTCTGGATATTGATCGTTTTGCTTCTGTGCTGGGTGTTTGGTCGCTCTTCGTCCATATTCGAGTGACTTGATGGTTGCCCGGGTGTTCTTTGCTGACACGTCTACATGAGCAATAAGGTATCGTGAGACCCCCAGATAGATACACAGCCACTTTGCCATACAGCTGGATTCGCCTGATTGCTTTTTAGAGGCTCAAGCATACTGGCGGCTTTGACGTGTTTCAGCACAGCCATGCATATGTGTTTGTCACCATGTCAGGGACACCCCTCACAGCGATGGCGCGTGCAACATAGTTGACCTCCGTCGATATAACCATCACGACCATACTAGTACGTTCTGCGAGCACGAACAGTCTCTACATCCACCACCACACGTCCTCATGCCGCGGAGACACAAGACGTCGCCTACAGAATGCATGCAAGATTTTCTCCATCGACATCATGCACGATATATTGTATATGCAGCAGAATTCAGGCCTCCCTCCGCTGCAGTGTATACGTAATCAAAATGCATGAATGAACTACATACGAAACCCTATGCTCGATCGCCCACCTCAAGACTCGTCCGTCGCCATCATAGTGCAATATACACAATGCCACAACAAACAGCGGTGAGAGAGAGGAGCCCGCATATGCATATCCCCAAAAATCAATATGGAAAAGTTCCTAAAATATCCATGCTACGAAAAAGACCATGTAGGAAAAAGAAAGATGTGCTGTCGGAGGTGTCTTCTATATAAAGGTAATGCCCGCTTTATTGTTACGCGCCGTGGAATACATGCAGTTTTGACGCACCGATTAACAGATCATGTGTTTGGGGTGAGACAATTGTCAGTGCGTAAGAGGGGAGAGAAAATATTCTGCCTGGACAGATATATTGCAATTGCAAATATCTGATCGTCAAAGATTGTGAAGAATGGGTGATTGTGGAGATTTTTTTTTAGCTAGGTTATGCCCATCGATTGAGTCATCTAGAATGACTGGTTGATGTTTTGCGTGGTTGAGTGTTTTATTGATTTTTTTTGTTTCCGGCGAGTTTGCTAGAGTGTTATGGTGGGTTTATTGTGCCGCCATCTGTCTTATACTACAGAACATGGTGATTTTGAACACGGTTTCATTGAGAGACTGTCACGTAGCTCGGAACATGGCTGTATAAGAGTAAAATTCTCTTCTTGGATATACATGGAAGGCTAGAAGGGGGGGGGGGGGGGGGGG